TTTTTAAACTACTTTAATTATTATAATAATACTAAAGCTAAAGTTTTTACCCTAGCTTTAAGTAGCTATTTAAAATAGTTAGTAGGTAGTAAATAATTTTAAAAGCTTTTTTCTTTATTTACTTTATAATCTAGTATACTTTTTATTTTTAGCTAAAGTTTAGTTATTATAAAAATTAATAATAATACAGGCCTAACACGCTAAAAAGGAAAATCTTATTTAAGTATTTTTAAAATTATATTAAGTAATAGTTTTAATATGCTAAAGTAGTAGAAAAATAATAAATTAACTTACTTTTAACTTGCTTAAGTTATAAAAAATATTTTAGTAATACTAATTATATAAGTAAGTATTAAATGCGTTTTTAATATTAGTAAAAATATAATTAAAAATTAAAGACATAACCTTTCTACGCAAACAATCTAATAAACTATAATTTTTTAATATTAAATATTAGGAAAATAGTCTATTATATTATTTAATTTTTTTATAAATAATTAGCTAGCGCTGTATAATAAAATAAACAATCTATTTAAATTACTAGCTAGTATTAAAAAATTAAGTAAAACTAGTATTAGGCAGTTAAGTAAAATAGATAATAGTTTAAATAATAATATAATAAATAATTAGCTAGCAACTTTTTTGCATTAAAAATAATAGCTATAAAAAAAGATAAAACTTCTATGCTACTATAATAATATACTATAATAAATTTATATAATAAATTACAAAATTACGCAAATAATAATTTTTTTTTATTTATATATATATTCTATGCGTGCAAAATATTAAATAGTAATAAATACTATTTATATTATATATTCTTAAACTAGTTTAGTAGAAGTATAACTTTATAAATTATATAAACTAAATTTTAATTTAAGCTTTTACTACTCTAATTTACCTTTAACTTAAAGTCTATATAACTATAATTAAATTCTAATTTAAAATTTCTAGTACTTTTACTAATTTTTAATTTAAAGTTTGTGCAACTATAACTAAATATATACCTAGTAATAGGTACTTTAAACCTATTTACTAGTCTAAGCATATTATTAGTATAGTATTACTTTAGAATTATTATAAAGCGCTATAGCGCATTATAAAAAAAATATTATATTTTATTTAAAAGTTTTAAATATAGTTTATAGTTAAGCTTTATTAAAAAGTCTTATTTAGTATTATTATTAAAGCACTATATAAATAAGTAAAGTTTAGTAAAGGCTTAGTAAAAGTGCGTTATACACTTATGTGCGTTACTTACTTATAAAGTACATTACTAAATATTAATTTTCTACTTTTAATAACTACTAATAAGTTTAATATAAATTGTAGTTATATTTGCAAAAAGTTACTTGCTTTTAAAGCATATATAAAACTACTTAATATTTTTAATTTTCTATCTGCTGCATTATATAATAGTATAATAAATTTTGTTTTTTTTTACTTACTTTAGCATTAACCTTTTAAACTATTAGCTAACTTGTAAAGAAATATTAAATAATAGCTTTTATATAAAAGAAATTCTATAGCTTAGAAAAATAAAAAATAAAATAGTTTTTATATAAAATATTTTTTTCTACTAGGAACTAATGCCTAGTAAAAAGCTCCTATTTTTTCTTATTTTTTTACTAATAATAGAAAATTTCCTAATAGTTAAAAATATTAAAGTTGCTAAAATTTAGTAATTTTATAGCTTTATATAAAAGATAACTACTTCTAACTTTACTACTATTAATCTAGACTACTTAGCTCTTTTTAAAAAATTCTAAGGCTAAGTAGGCTATACAGGCTATAGGTATTAGAACAATAGTAGAGGTCCTTAAAAAAGTAGAAAAAATTTAAAATTTAGTAATATATTACACAGGTGAGCTGCGCGCCTAAGCAAGCTGCGCACTTTACTAAAACTTTACTAAAATTTAAACTATATTTATAATATAATGCAATGCTTTAATATAACAATATGCAATTTTTTTAAAAAGAAAACTAAATATAGCTTATAGTTTAGGCTTTAAAATAAAATGCAAATTTCTTTTAATAAGCTACTGCGCGAATATTTAGTATTTTTTTAAAAATATTTAGTAATTAACTTAAAAAAACACTTTTATAATGCAATACTAGGCCTAATAATATAAAACTTTTTTTAATAAAAAAAAAAGTAATTATTTAGTATATATTTTACTTTAAAAACTAAGGATTTCTGCTCTAACTAGCTACTGTAAATAATATAGCTAATATTTTACTAAATAAATATAGGCAATTACTTATTAATAAAAACTAGGCTAGTATATTTATTAAATAATATTTATAGTTTAGTACTAAGACTTTTTAAAAGTATAACTACTAAAAAGTTTTATATAAAAATCCTAAGCTTATACAAGGCTAGTTTTAACTTATAGAAAATATAAAAGCTAAGTATAATATTTAAAATAAAAATATATACAACTTTAATAAAATAAGCTTTATAATAAGCTAAATATTATATAAAACTATTATTTTAAGTGCTAACTATTAAAGATAGCTAAAAATAGTGCAGCAGGGTAATTAAAAGTAAGTAATAATAATCTAAAGCATTAATATAATAAAATAAGCTATTTTACTTTTTATTATTTTTGTAGGCAAGAACTACTTTTTAGCCTAGCATAAAAAAAATAGCTTACTTTATAATTAAGTTATTATAGTTTTTAAAAATAGCTAAATAATAAATAAGCTTATTTTTAAATAATTAAAGCACTTTAATAAGTATACTAAAAAAAAAGTTATTAGTACCTATTATTTACTTATTATTAATAGTTATAAAAGCTATATATTAGTCTAATTCTAGCAGTACTATAAAAAATAAAAAATTATTACTTTTTATATGCTTTTGCATTTATTGCACTTACTATAATTACTTAATATAAATTATTTTATACTTTTAAAAAAAGTATATAAGTGCTAAGCTAAAAAGCTAATATATAATAGTATTAATTATATTACTAAAATTAAGTTTTTACTGTGCTTTAAACTAGCTTTTAATACTACTATTATAAAAAGTAATATTTTAGGTAGCTTTAAAAGCGCTAGTCTAGTTTTTTTTAATTTTAAAGCTATAATATTAAAGCTTAATATTTAGTTATATACTTTATTACTATTTACTATTAAAAATAGTTTTTAAAAGTTAAAAATACTAAGTAATATTTTAAAATTTAAGTTTTAATTAATATTAGTTAAAATAAAAATTTAAAAGTACTTAAATAGTTTTTTTACTTTAATAGTTAAAGCTTTTAAAAAAATTTTAAAAAGTATAGTTATAATTGCGTATAAGTTTATATTAGCGCAAAAAAAAATTACTAAGCTTTAAGCAGCTAATAAAGCTACTATATAATAAAAATTATATAAAAAAAAGCAAGTATAAAAAAAAAAAACTTTTATAGTAAAAAATAATTTTTAACTAATAATTTTAAAAGAGTTTAGGGCGCATAGTAATAGAAAAAAAGTAAAAAAGTAAGTGTATATTAAAGTAAGTAAGCTTTTTTAAAAGCGCTATAAATACTATAATAAAGCTAAGTATAATATATAAATATACAAGCAAAAAATAAAAGTAATTTTTAAATAAATTAGCTTATTATAATTTACTGCTATAATTTTTTATAGTGCTATACTATTATATATAGTACTAATTTTAGTAAAGTTTTAGTAAAGTGCGCAGCTTGCCTAAGCGCGCAGCTTGCCTATATAATATATTAGTATTTAATTAAATGCAAAAGTAAAAATTAAATAACTAAAGCTAGCATTATTCTTATTAAAATAAGCAGGTTAAAAAACTATAGTTAAAAGCTATTACTAGACTACTTTAGGCAGAAGAAATTGAACGCGTACGTTGAGGATACTTTAAGAACTTTGAGAAGGTGTTAACGTGGTAACGGCTGACGATGTGTATAGTCTAAAGCTGTGCTACTACAACTACTGTATACTAGGTATGCCCCTTGTTGAAGCCCGGTTACTTAGCTATCCGGTACGTAGGTGCCACTGAGCCCAGGGACAGCCACGACTTGCCATTGGGTGTCAGAGGAGAGGGGCAGCCAGCTGGCGGCATACGTCGAAGACTGCGAGAGCTCCCACCGCCGCAGGTTCTCGCGAGTAAGAGCGAATTGAGATGAACTCGGCGCCTGAGGGCGGAGGGAGCTGGCGGAGACGAGCGCGAGACGAGCGTGAGACGGGAGTCGGGAGTCAAGGACGCTTCTGGGACAATGTACCGCCGACGTATAGGTCTTTGGATCGCGCGCACTTTACTAGCATGAACGATGAATTGATGGAGCACTACGAAAGATATATAATGTGTGGTGCTGTGGGTAGTGGGTAGTGGTGTGGGCGAACGCGGGGCTGTTGTTTTGATTTTGGCGCCCGCAAGCAACTCCACGCAAACTGGACCGGGAACATGTTGCTGCTCTCTACCTCAACCTGCCTACGTCTTCTGTGGAGGCTAGCGACATGGGTAATGATATTCAGGGCGATAAAGCATCGTTCCAGGAGATTGTCCGGCTCAAGGTTGGCGAGAGTTTGCTTTTCTGCCTAACGGCTGCAGTCGCAGTAGCAGGAGAAGGAACTGGATAGATAGAGGGAGGTTACGTAAGTTCAAGACAAGGCAAAGGGTAACGGGGGATCGAGGAAAGAGTAGACTTGCTACTAAGGCGCAGGTCTGAGTCTAGGACATTCTTCCAGTATGCGTTATATTCTGATAATGATTTGAGGTGGCAGCGATAGTGCGTGGAGGGGTCTAGAGATAGCAGCAATCGATGTTATGAAATTTGAGGCGAGGTCTCTGGGTTGTGGTATGTCTTGTCACCAGGCCATCAAAATACTGATAGCTGCTTGCCGTGTCTGGATGCCACTGTGTTGGATTTACAGGCACGAATACGCGCGCAGATACGATACTCAACAGTTGAAAAGAAAGACATAGTAAAGGAACGGTGCTACCCTATAGTGTAAACCATCTGTAGACATGTGCCTGTTCGGCACCCTTCTACTACCCCCTACTATTCTCCACCATAATACTGCCGCGCGAAGACTGCGGCTCTGTCTCGCAGGTCCTCGTCCTCTTGATACTGCGGTCGAGGCGTCTTGACCATTTTCTCCCTCCTTTCTCCCTTTTCTCGCCACACATTTCGTGCCTTCTCCTGTTTATGCTTTGCGAGGGCTTTCTGAGAGGTGAATGGGCGACCGCACACACAGTAAAACCTAGCTACTAAAGGCCCAGCCTGAGTCGACACGGACTCCAAATTCAGAGAAGCAAAGGAAGAGACCAAGGAGTTGTCCTCTTGTTTGTTTTGAGTAAGAGACTTGTCGGCTTGTTGCCCGCAGTATAGAGAGTCGCGCTTGTGTAGGTCAAGTACTTGTTGAGTCTCAAAGGCCTGACCGCAGGTACATCGGATAAGTGAAGCTACTGAAGATGAGATAGTGCCTGGTAATAGCCCTAAACCTGAAGAGATCGAAGTCTGAGATGAATGTGGAGCTGTGATCGGCACCGAGACCGGCGTTGTGCCTTTTGGTGTAAATCCGGTTCTGGGCTTTCCTGCCTGATGAGTCTTCGAATACCGCAAATGATTTTCCAGCTTCCTCTCCTTCGTAAAGCTCTGTCCACAAGGGCACAGTATCTTCTTTGGCGTTGAAGCTGGAATTGAAGCTCTGGCTGGAACGGTGGCAGCCCTTCGATTGGAGCCTGGAGTCATAGAGATGACATTCCCCCCCCTCCTGATGGGTAGCGCAGAGCCCTCTATGCCCCAAGTACGCCTCGGCGTTCTCGAAGCTTTTACCACAGGGGCAGCGAACCTGGAGTGTGCTAATTCTTCCGGCTGTGTCCGCCATTTTGACCTCCGCATAAGATAAGAAGTGAGGCACTTTTTTAAGCTTGATCTACATTAGCAATCGTAGCGTAAGGTTCCCGTAGTCGGGTTGGGTCGTAGTACGGGACAAGGCACTTACTGAATATTATGAATCTACGCATCTCAATATTCTCGTACTTAATAGTGGGATAGTTAGTAACTTATATTACATTCCTCAAGCTGAGCCTACCCCGCACCTGTTTACCAATGGGGAAGTAGCAGGTCTATCTGTGCATTTCACATTAGATAATAGATTGAGTTGTTTGTCTGATTCGCCAGCCGCGCACGTATACCAGCGATAAGCATGCGCGTTGTGCGACGTGCGCTAGATATTCACACTTGCACACTTCCCTAAGTCTTATTAGCAAAAAGCACAGTAGGTCCAGCCTCAGATAGGGTGTGCAGGGTATCCTGTATGCTATAGTACACTTTTATAGATATGCTTCGGGCGTTAGTTATAGAGTCTTTGCTTTATTGCAAGAAGTATGCATAAATATACATTAAAGGATAAGTTCAAGAGGAAAGCCAGCTTAATTATACCACTATAGTATTATTAGATTAGTACGCCTAGCGATTTAACTAAGGAAAGATACAGGTATATAACAATTATTATTAACGAATCCAGAAGAACTTTACAGGGAAGCTAAGATAGGGAAGCCCCTTCTAGCTCCTCATTATTACCTGTCCGGGTATACTAGTATAGCAAAGCATCCTTATCTGCTATTCCAATTTACGCGACTGCTACTTCGTACAACTCCATGCACGCCGACACGCAAGAGTACCTAAGTTCCGTTAGCTCAATTCGATTAAGTTATATCAGCAGGAAAACACCTACAGATATTGCGCCGTCTGCTTGCAGACCGCCGAACTCGAGGTTTTCGTAGCTGTTAGAATCTCCCCAAGGCTTGCAAGTCGGACCGGCACCGCGGCAGTCTTGACACAATCGCAGGCAGGCTCGTAGTACTTTGAAGCTGTGCAAGGCACACCACCGACGACAGTAATGCTAGCCGTAGCGCTTGCTACCTGGATTGGCACATTTGTAGTGCGCACGCAATCGCATTCTTCTTCGTAGTATATCGTGGCTGTGCATGGGACGCCGCTGATGGTTGTAATGTCCACGGTGGCGCTTTCGATCGTCGCGGCTGGCGTGTATGCAACAGGAACGACGGTGGTTTTCGTGCAGGAGCATGTAGCTTCGTAGTATGACAACGTTGTGCATGGAGTACCATTGATAGTCGTAACTGAGTTTTGTGTGCTCGGCGTTATCAATGGTTGTGACGCCACTACATAGCCTGGGGTGGTCCATGAAGCGACTGGTAGTGTAACATTCACGGAAGATTGTGACTGGACGTAGTAACCCACTGAAGACAATGTAGTTAATGGTTTGGACGACATTGGAATCGTGGCATACGCAGTTTGAGGCGAAGGTGTAGACGTAGTTTGTCCTGGCCCTGGAAACGTCATGGTTGGTTGAGTGTTAGTCCGTGTAAGTGTGCCACCTCCAGGGTTGTTCCCTCCTGGGTTGTTCCCTCCTGGGTTGTTCCCTCCTGGGTTGTTTCCTCCTGGGGTGTCGCCCCCCGGTATTGGAGTATCGTCCGTTGGTGCTGGATTGTCATCTCCTGGTACAGTTGTGGTCGTGTCATCTCCACCAGCTGGTACTGTTGTACTCGATGTAACCGGGGGAACGACCGCAGATGTGGTCGTTGTTATGGCACACGTCTGAATGGTGACCTGGTCATTGTTGAGCGTAACAGCGCCGTTGAGCGCATACAACCCACCGGCGACAGTGACACCATTGTTAAGCGAAATGGAGGTATAAGCGAGGATGTTACCAACGAAGGTAGTTGTCGTGCCAAGCGTGGCCGAAACGCCGACCTGCCAGAAAACGTTGCATGCTTGCGCGCCATTGATGAGTACAACTTGAGCTGAGGTCGCGGTGGTGAGAGTAGATCCGATCTGGAAGACGAAGAGCGAATCCGGGTTGTTTCCGCCGTCAAGTGTGAGCGTACCAGTCAAGCCAACGGCAGCAGCGGCGGTGTAAGTCCCAGCAACGAGCGTTTGTCCGCCAAGCTGACCCCCAGTGATTGTGGACGTGGATGTTTGGCCAGCGGCAGCAAGGTAAGCAGTGTTGGCGTCGTTACGAGCTTGAAGCGCGACGCCGTCGCCAGCATTCTGGCCACTTGCTATTCCAGGTGGAAATCCAGTGATGGAGCTTGCGGTGTTTGGGGATATGGCAAGTTTACCCGTAATGACAGTAGCACCCGTGTTGGTGATGGCGGTGCTTCCGAGAATACCAAATGGTGCTGCTGTGCCGAGTTTGACTTGCGCAAGAGCTTGTTCACCGAAGCAGAATACCACGGCGAGAATCGCCGGAAGGCGCAGATGTGCAGAACGCATGTTAGCGGATAATAGAATGAGAGAAAGAGCACATTTGAGACACGTAGCCGTTAGCTTTGTACTGAGGGAAGCTCTCGGATATTTTCTACGCGTCAGTGATTGTTGTTCCGCATGGGGCGAATACAGTATTCTACGTCCAAATGCAGCCGCAAGATCGGAGAGAACTTCATCCGGCACAATAGCTGGGACCCAGACTATTCAAACGCCTCCAATATATCGCTACGTAGCGCCTTGGATATTGCGCGGATGGCTGCGGGGAACTAGTATTCCTGAAGTAGTTTTGCAGTTCTCATGCCCTCCGGGCCTTGTCCGTTTCTTTTTGCGCAAGAAACCACGACGAGCAACCAGCACGATCGATTGCATCGCCAGAATTATGTAATATCAGATTAACGAGTGTTTTCAATCTTTTAATTTGTTTAAATAAAGGCAGTGCATGCGTCGACGAGGATGTCTTCAGGATGACGTTGTTCCATCGGGTTCACTCCGGCAGTAGCAGACCAGCTCGTCGTCATCGAAAGTCGCTCTGGATAGGTTGGAAGGTTTAGGCGAACCGAGTTTTGCATGCGGTCTGGCTAGAGGATGGAAGTTGTTTTGAGATTGATGGTTGGAGGTAGGTGGTTGTTGTAGACAAGGTCGGAGTCGTATGCCGGGCGACCGCCGGATGGGACTAGCTCGGTTGGCCTTTCCCAAAATCGCACGCGATTACAGTCCCGATCCGGCGTTGCCAACGTCACTAATGTCAAATGGACCTTGTTAGCCTGAGTGATAGGAGCAAAGACACGCCCGGGTATTATACGTTGCGAATGTATAGACGTTGCGGCAATAACTACACAAAAGTATGGTATACCAAAATAAAATATATTCCTTCTCTGAATGCCAGAACCTTTCACTGTAGCGTGGAAACAGCTTCGATACCCTCCATTACCATCCTTTAGCTCCATCTCCGCCATAAGAGGTGGACATAACAAGGTGGAAGAAAGATAGTGAAGCGCATATCAATTCACACATATCCAATGACGACAGCATCTCAAGTATTTGTAAGGAAGACTAGATTACGCAGTCATCGCGGAGCCTCTAGTAGGCTTAGTCTCTAACCCTATTCTATCGACACCTCACGATCTCGCCCATCGACGATGAGTGCGTAGACAGAAACTCCGCGTGACCATGTACGCAGTCAATTACGTGTGCTCGAAACGCCTCCATCTCTTGTGGGAAACAAGCCCGTCATTGAAATGACTTTTATCGAAATTGATCGAGATCCTTCCTTCCATCTACAGGGACAGCACTCAGCCCCGGCGTCGTGGAAGAGGAATTTGGTAGTGAACGTGGACCTCCGTCGGCGAAGAAGACGACCGATAGCCTACACAACTCCCCCATCCTGTGCAGCACATGATATAGTTGTATAATGGTCAGAGCAAATGTCTTCTTTATTTATCTATCTTCCACGCTCTTCATTACCACCTTAAAGTCTCCTTACACTCGCTCACTCTTGAAAGTGGTATCATAAAAGCACAGTACTATATGTGTACATAACGCCCACCACGCTGATACGTGTATCAATATATACCCCGCAAACGCTCCAGTACATGCCACTACCCGAAAGGAAATCGATAGCCGAGCATGTGCCACTAATGAAGCAGGAGAAGACAGCGCGATTATGTAAATGGTACCGAGCGAAATCCATGGCGGAAAGAAACCCCGACTAACTGAAAGGAAATGTGTTGCTGACTGGTATCGCAGAAGTAGGAGATCGACGATGAACCGTAACGCCTCGCTCGCTAAGAAAATCATGAAAGCAAAATGTTAGATATGCCTGCGCATGTGTGGAATGATTGCTGTTGGTTGGGTCGCATCATGTTTCCGTTGTGTTGTTCGCCGTCCTATGCTCCTTCGTGCCAAGTTCGTTCAGTACCTCAGCCTCCCCAATAAGCCGAAGCAATAAGCGCACTCTCTCTCGTTCTTCATCTGGACCATGAAGACTCTCGCTCTTGCGCCTGACACGCCACCAGTCTTCGCAACGGACCCCACTTCTCCGTTCTCACCAATGACGTCTTCCCAAACGGAGATGGCAATACCCGATCGTGCTACGCGCTCGAAGCAGGTTTCAGAAAGTGTGACGTCGAGAAGGATTTCGCCCTTGGTCTTCCCCGTCACTACGATACGACGTTCTTGCGTATGACTTCCGTGACCAGGAGCTCGCTGCAGTTGATTTGTCGGCGAGGGAGGCGTGCTCGAGTGTGGGCTTGGAAGCATTATTGTCAGCCTCGCACTACCCATATCGCGCCATTTCTTCATTGTCTCGCGTTCATACAGTCGACACTTCGTGTTAGTAATGCCTGCGGGTGCACCTGGCGCTCTTCCTGTCTCGCCGATGACATTTGGTGTAGATGCACCTGAGCCCGGGGATGAATTTTCGCCGCTATCGAAGGACGATCCCGTACTGCGCGACCCGAGTGTTGAGTTACGAATGTTGAAGACACCATTCTTGCTGAAGGAAAAGCGACTAAGGGCGGAGCGGAGTGCGGTATTCATCGTGCCGACAGATGAATCGGTAGCCGCAGAGATGGAAGCAGCACGTGTGCCTGACTTTCGGTAGCTGCTTCTCCTGCCCAGAGTACCCCCAAGCCACCCAGAAGAGGATCCGGAGGCTGTCCTGGCTGCGTTTTGACGATCCATAGTTTCCGCCCAGCTTGTCTGGCCATATGGTCCACGAGCGTTCTGGAGAGCAATGTACGTGGGGTTGTTGATGCGCGATTGATTGATCATGGCGTACAGTTGAGCGCATTCGGCTGCATTGCGACTCCTCAACATGATATTGTTTCCGGTCCTGATCTGTGACTCTGCGGTAGGCGGTGAGCGAATGGAGATGTCGATGGCCGTTGATTTGCGTAGGGGTACCAGAGGGGTAAGCTCAACCGCAACAAGGGGAGCACGTCCTTCTGGCTGGACGATTTCGTCGCCGTCGGCCATGAAAGGCTTGGAGTGGTCGGCTGTGATTTCAAAGACCGCGATTTTGCCCGGCGTGACCACAACGCTGCATTCGTCCGGATGGAGGCTCTCCCATCGTCCTGCGTCAGACCATGCGAAGATAGATGCAATCGCCTTAGCCGCTTGGCCTGAGCCTTGAGGAACTGCGCGGTAGGGTGTATTGGAGGCTGACTGTGATGGCGTGATGGTGCCGTTCGGCAAGGTGTAGATCGATGCTGGGGGTGAAACCTTGGGGAACTTCTTAGTGTCATCTTCTGGCTTTTCTGCCGTGCTAGGGCGTCCGGTATCTCTCCCAATAGAGCGTGAGCGTGCGGCGTAGCCATGAGGTCTTGCGTATCCAACTGGCATTAGTGGCATGGGCACGTCATCGTCAAGCTCGTCTTCTGATGACTCAGAAGTAAGGCTTTCCTGGTCTTCTTCGTCAACCTCCTCATCCGAAGCCTCTTCTTCATCGCTCTCGCTAGATGTTTCGGTACACGTAGAGGGTTCATATTCGTGTTTAAGGGGGGAAGAGGAGCGACGCTTATTCTTGAAACCCGGCAATGTTGGTGTGAAAACAGGCGTCTTGGTTTCATTCAGTGGTGTTGCCGGGCTGGGTGATCGGTGCGCTGGTACAGGTGGTGGCTTGTCATCCCGCTCTCGGGGTCGTGCGTTCTCCTCGGCCACTGGTTCACGCCTCTTCTTTTGTAGCTTAGCTGGCGCAGAAGAGGACACATCTGGAATTGGCTCGGGCTTGACTTCAGTGCTTTTAACAGGTGTGACTGGCTGGCTTGTCTTCCTTAGCTTGGGAATGCTGGGGAGATCTAGTGAAGGTACGGAAGAAACTCTCCTATGCATCTGGGGACGCTGAGGCGATGCAGGAGGCGAGACTGGATCCTCGTCGATAGATCTTCGGTTCTCGTCAGACTCATCCGAGAGGTCTACGTCGGACGATGGCATCCACACGCTGAATCCAGTGCTTGACTGAGACACTACCGAGGATGATGATGGCATAGATTGAGGTCGACGCTTGGTAGACTTTCTGCGGGGCTTGACCTCCTCTTCAGCGGGCTGAGATGCTTCATCGCGCTCTGCTGGATCATCAAGTGTGATCTGGCGCAGTGGCCGTGATGAACTCGGTGACGTGGTGCCGTATCGAGAGGGTCTCTTCGTATTAGGCCTCTGAAGATTAGTTGGAGAACCAGTACCAGCCATTCGAACTGCTTCATTGAGGCTACGTGGTGTGCGATTAGGGTCTTCCTGAGACTTGTTTGTTGCCTGTGAGCTTTCGACACGCATGTGCTTATCTCGTGGTGAGTTTCTGCCCGTAGCGTTTGTCATACCCTCTCTAGAACTCTCACCACTAGGCGGCGTAATTGGTGATCCACCGCGAGATTGCAAGTGTCGGTCAGGTGTATCATAGCGCCATACCTTGGACACCTCGGTGTGCTGTTCACCAATAGGGATTTCGATCTCAAGCGGACTTGGTGTTCTGCTCTTCATTGGCAAGGTAGAGGCCGTCGCTGCCGACAACAATGAAGAAGATGTAGGGCTACTCGTGGGTCGTGGTGCTTTGCTCGGTGTGCTTTGGTTCTTTTTGATCTCGGTGATCTGTATAGGTATCGGGTTGAGGCCGAGCATCTGCACCCATTCAAACCCCACTTGTTCATCGTCGCTTGTGAGGGACATGAGTTCACACCACTCAGATCCTTCTGCTTGAAGCCCACGGATCATGACCATGATTTCGCCCTTTAAGTCACCGTTGCGAGCAGATACCCGACTCTGCTGCACAGGCGGCAGCAGCAGCCATCGTCCCGTGGGGCCCACTTCGCAAAACAACAGGTCCCCACCCTTACCCGTGCCTGGTGCATCGTCTCGTAGTAGTATCTCGATTCGACAACTGACTTCTTGGCCGCTAGAATGATACAAGTGCATATCGAAGTAATCTCTTGCTCGTACGCGTCGAGTAGGGTCGACTCGCACACCAGCGAGAGGAGCTAGACTGCGAGGATCACGAGCACGCGTGGGATCGATGCTAGAGGCGGCTTCATCTTCAAGGCGGGCTTGTTCGTCATTGGACCTCTTCCGTGCAGCAGTTACAAGCTCTTGAAAGGTGTTTGAGATCTTCTCTGCATACTCTGATGGTTTCAGGTGATTGATACCCTACGTGATAGTTAGCATTTGTGACGGAGATGATGAGGGTACATAGAGTATAACATACTTTCAGGCTCTTCGCTAGATACTTCAGCCGCACAAGTGGCCTCTTGAGCATGTATGCCACATCCACACGTTCACCGTCGCCATTGACCACGTAACCTTCGGCATTACGAGGCATGCCTTCATCCCACGGAGCGCCATCTTCGGGGCCATTGACAACTCTCGCGGGCTTGAATGGGTCGTCATCGGCAGATGCGAGGCTGATTACGACGTCTTGGAAGCCGAGGCGCCAGACGGCAATGTAGTCCGAGTATACTCGATGGGCGCTCTGAGCCCAAGAAACAAAGGCATCCGAGTCTTCCTTAGGCACGCGCTTGTGCAGCGTCTTTAACCGCTCCAAACAAACACCCATGTCGACGATAGGCTTTGTCACATCACTCGGGTCAGTGTTTGTTGAACGGGAGAAAAGTCCAGCGGCGACGGCGGAGTCGGATTTAGAGAGGACGCAGCTGAGGAGAACAGGAATGACACCGTCGACGATGGTGCGGAGCTCTCGCATGTATTTTGACTCGTCCGAGGTGAGCTCCTTCATGATGTCGCTTATAGTAGCAGTCGCCAAGCGACTTCTGTTTGTGCGGATGCTTCGAGCAGACACTATACTCTTCGTTCCTGCCTTGGGCATGGATAGGACCGACATCAAATCGGAATGAGTGGCAAGTCTCTTCCGCCTCGTGCTCCTGCGGCTTACAATTGTGGACGTGTCCGCGTGGAGTCTCGAGCCGACTTGTGATGCAGTCACTTCTGAGAAGGTGCTAGTTTCCTCGGATATTGTTGTGAAGACTTCTGAACCTACTGCTTCAGAGGGAGGCGCAGCATGCGCCTTGGTTGCGAAAGAGTCTTCTGAAACAATGGTTGAGAGACGTTTGCCGGTCGATGGAAACATGCGGGCACCAAGTGGGCGGGGCAGCACCGGGGTGTTTTCGAGGTCTATGGCTGATGCATCCACCGATGAAGAGAAGGCAGACGATGCTTCGTCAGTGTCCCTGACATTAGACCTATGTGCATCGTCCACTGATGTAATTTCGCGAAGAGGCGATGACATGGAGCGATTCTTCGTAGGTGAGCGTTGACTCCGCTTTGCGCCGCGACGTCTCAACGTTGGGGTCGGAGTGAGTGATACTTGACTGTCGTTTTCTTGTGTAGCTGTCTCGACCGTGTCATCCGAAACAACAGTGGATGGCGTCTCGTCAAGATTCTTGGTGGCAATCTCCAGTTCTCGGCTGCGCCGCCGTTGTCTCCGCTTGCTGCCACTTCCAGTCCGACGTAACGGAGGCGCTTCGACTGGTTTATCTTCGGTTATTTCAGTAGAGGCAGTAACGTCTGATCTGTCTTCTTTGAGGGTCACATCTGAGGTGGTTGTTACAGACTCCTTCGATCTCCGTCTGCGGCGAGAGCTTGTATCTACGGGGGGTGGTTCTGAGGTTGATATGGACTCCTTGGATCTCCGTCTACGGCGAGAGCCTGTATCTACGAATGGATCTGGAGTTTCGCTAAGCCACGCCTCGAGTCTATTCCCAATCGGCTTGTTCGGCGGTGTTTCCGGTGCAGGTTGTGCAGGTCGCGTTACAACTTGCTCTTCGTCAGATCTGGGGTACGATTTGCGACTTCGTCGTCGCGTGGGTGTGGGGTTCTTGGGTGGGGCTTCTGCCGTGATATCGCCCTGGCTCTTCGGCCGCCTCCGCCGTCGCCTCTCCCGTATTTCATCGTCTCGAGGCGATGTAATCTTGCCCTCCCGTCTGTCGTAGTTTGGAGGTGATGTGAGTCTGCTCTCCCTTCTTTCGTATTCTCGAGGCGATGTTACCCTGCTCTCGTCGTATTCAACAGTAACGATATTCATGGGGTCCTCAATGAGGGAGGTCTCGGATTTTCGAGCCGGTCTGTGGAGGAAGGGTGCGGCTTCATCTGCTGACAACGAGGCCCTTGGTGATGTTCTCGCTCGGCGTCTGCTGCGACGCATCTTGACAATCTCTGTTTTCTCCTTCTCTGGGGGTGGCGACGCTGGAGCATCTGCGCTGTCCTCGCTCTTTACTTCCTTGCCGCTCCCTAGCCCACTACTCGTTGGCCGCTGTTCGTTCTCCGAGCTGCATGGCTTAGACGGTCTTCGTTGTCGCGGTGTGGGCTTTTTCTGCCCTGTACTCTTGCCGACATATTCGACTAGTGGAAGCAGTGGGAGCAGTGGGTCTGTGTGCGGTGTGCTCGGAGTCGCGGGTTTATCCTCGTCGTTGACCTTCTTGACAGCCTTGGGGGGAACAATCTTCGAAGGGCGCACCCAGGCGTTGGGAATGGTCTTTGGTGCGGGTCGGCCGGTGTCTTTTGGCGGCGATAGCTTGCTACGCCAGTGCGAGTCGCTGATGACGCGCTTCTTCGGGGCGGTCGCAGTCAACAGGTCGTCATCGAGGACATTATGCGTAGCGGGCGTCTTCTTTGCGCTGTTTGGCCGCTCGGGGCTCACGTCCATGGATTTGCTCGGGGTATGTTTTGGCGTCCAATTTGGCTTCTCCTCGAAGGGCTTCGCTTTCGGCGTCGCAGGCGGCTTTGGCGAGGGTGTGGGCGTGGGCGTGGGCTTGTTGCTATTGTCTGAGGCGGATGCGCCCGCCTTCGCTGCGCTGACCACATCGGGGTCTACATCCACCTGCCACCTCTTGATCTTGTCGCGTACATTGGCAGGCTTGTTGATGCCAATCGCTTTGGCGAAGTCGTTGCCGTTCATGTTGTTGTTGTTGGCCTGCTTGTCCGTCGCGCCCGTCCGTTTGCCTGGCGTGCCATCCTTCTGCTGTCCAGCCGACTTCTCAGGGTCATTGGGTAGCGGCGAGGGGGGCATCGAGTCTCTTAGTCATTAGAGCTATCGGTGGGCGTCGTGTTGACGTGGAGGCTTCGAGTCGCTGTTTTGTTGTTGTTGTGTCGGCCGGTTCGTGTCCGGCGGGCGGCGGTGGCTGCGGCTGAGGGTCGGGTAGGGAAGGGTAAGGAATGCAGTCAGCAGACGTCGACGAGGGGTCGTCGAAGATTGCTGGTAGCGAGTGTATAAGTGAGGTGTGGTGTGGTGAAAGCCGTGTCAGCCCGAGGAATTCCAGGTCGTGCAGTGGAAATGCACGCTTGCTGGTGCATTGACGGGCGTGGGGCGGTGATCCAATGGCCGGCGGCTCGTCATAAAACAGGGCCAGACCTGCACGTAACCTACACAACCCATGCACGACAAGCAATGCGATAAGGGCCTGGAGTTGCTTTTGTCGTGGACAAGACCTGCTAAGGTTTCTAGATGGGTGCAAGTCACGACAGTTGCACATTTGGAGCTGTTCAACAACCTCCTATTTACGCGCCCGACCCTTTGTTAGGCATGGTCTAGCAACGTCATGTTGGGCTTTGGGACCCACGACGGCTCTGGGCTATGCGCTAGCCACATCATCTTTACGACTCGTTCGACTAGAATAGGAGTAGGAGAGGTTAAGGGTCAAGTAGGGCAATTGGGTTGCGTGAAAGCTTAATTGGAACGTCGCTTAAGCTGCAACCTACAAATATCTTCAAAATATCATTACACCACAACTTGCCATGTCTATAGAAAAGGCGACTCGAAAAATGAACCCCAGGTATCCATATACCATACATACATATGTGCACCAGCAGTCCCAGAAGACGCTTGCCATCCCATCATCACTGTCCCCTTGCACGCCACGTCCGTCGTCTCGACCTGCACCCCAATCGACTTGACCCCGTCTTCAGCGGCTCTTCTTCGCAAAGCCATTCTGACCTGCCCTCTGCAACAGCTTGTGCGCATCATTGACCGCCGCAAATGCACTCCACGTGGCCGAGACACTCTGGTACATGAGGTACCCCGGGATGACGATCCAGAAGGCGTTCATCAAGACGAAGTATCCCCAGTAGTAAGCTGCCTCAGGGCGCGTGTATGACACGTTCAGAATGTAGTGATCGAACAGGGACGTTGCGTAGTAGAGGACGTCGCCGTAGAACTGGCCGAGCGAGACGATGAGCTGGGCCGAGTAGCGGAGCGGGTGGTCGATGGAGATGAGGTAGGCGGTGATGAACGAGCCGGGGCCCCAGAAGACCTAGAGGACGTACGTTAGCATTTGCTCAGTCGCAGGCGGGGCCAAGGAGCCAATGGCAAACGTACAGCGGTGACCGTCTCCATACAGAGGACAAAGGCGTCCTGCGTCAGGTACCGCGAGTCGCTCAGCGAGTACTCCTTCCACAGCTGCCCAAACAGATCCTGTCTGCCACCCATGGCCCTGAAGTTGTAGGCGAAGTAGCCCTCAAAGAAAGAGTGGATGCACCCGCACATGACGAACCACATGATGGTCGCAAGGTCTCCAGTGCTGGCATTCGGCCGCAGTCGCTTCACCATGGCGTACGTAAGGCTGAAGATGACAGCCAGCCCGGCAGTAAACATGGTCAGCAGCTCGAGCGTGCCCCATTTGTTGGCGAGGTAGCCCGCGATCTCCACCTCCAATGGGTAGTAGGGGTGCTGCCCTGGGGTGAGGGAGAAGTTACCGGCAGCCATTGCGATAAGACGTGGGCTGGTAAAGTAGCTAAGAGGGAGGAAGAAGGCCAAAGGTGGGAGAGATGACCACGACGTAACTGCGAGGTCAATTGATGAGTGATGTAGTCGTGCTGGAGCAGGTCGCTGCTATTAAGGGTTTTTTTTCCTGGGGAAAGTCAAGGTCATGGCGCTTGTTGGCGCGTTTAGGGTGACAGGGATTCGCGCATCGCCATTTCCGTCATTGTCAGCAGAAATCCAGCCCATGTGGCAGGCGCGAGAGCATGTGACCGCTGTCAGCAGGACCCATGGACGCTCTATGGTAACTATGACGAGACTCTACTTCCACCTTTTCCTGGCTGCTGACCGTTGAATAGCTCTTCAACATGTACACATCAAAGGATGCGCTCTCATTTCCCTAGCGCCAGGGGGCGTTCTTCCACGTTCGGATAAGCCTCCCAGCCAACTGTTGAGAAGCAAACGTGGCCTTGGAACCACGAGCCCAAGACCCTCTGGCCCTCTGACCAAGATTGAGCAAATATGACGACGAGCAAGACAGCAAGTGTACCACTTCTTTGTGATGCAGTAGTACTAAGTAGAAGTTAGCGTAGAAAGGACGTCACCACTCCACATGGCGCAGTTTGACCAACTTTTGGGGCTCTTTACACCCCCAGAGCGCAAAGAAGGTCGAGGTACTACTTCTGTCGACAGCTATGGAGTATTGTTACCACCGATGAACCATGCGTATCTCTCTGCACTGACAATATCGTGGCAGTAAGCACTCTAAATAAATAACTGGAGCCATGGCTACCCCTCAACCCACCATCCCGCATCTAGCGAACCTCGGCTCAACCCCAACTTTATCAAAAGCTCTAGACCCATGAGGTCCTCTCATCTAGACCTCCATGTACCATAATGTCCAAGTCAAAGACTTTGCCTGAAGCTCAACTTCCGCCCAAGTGGCAGCTTGTCGCGTGGCAGAAGAAAGATGAACAGGATGCCCGGATCCCACATGAATGGCGATTGCACAGCTTGCCGTCCTCTAGTGTAACAAACTACACTGACATCCCCCGCAAGTGTGGGCTGTTGAGTAAAGAAGAACTAGAAGTCACGGAGGAATACGATGCAACTGCGCTTGCGGATGCGATTAGAGACAAGAGGTTGAAGTGCGTCGATGTCGCAAGTGCATTTTGCAAGGTTAGCATGCGACAAAACAAGATTCTGATAGAGTGAAGACACGCTAACGAGGATGCAGAGAGCAGCCATTGCGCAACAACTCACCAACTGTCTGACTGAGATCTTCTTCGACGACGCACTGAAAAGGGCCCAGGAATTAGACGCGCACCTGGCCTCTGGCAAACCACCGCTAGGCCCACTTCATGGCGTCCCTGTCTCTCTCAAAGACACGTTCAAGGTCCGCGGCTACGACGCATCCATCGGACTCGCGAGTCTCGCTTTCAAACCGGCAGAGGAGAACTCCATTCTGGTCGACTGCTTGCTCAATGCGGGAGCAATTCTGTACTGCAAGACCAATGTTCCACAAACCCTCATGGCACTAGACTCGCACAATAACGTCTTCGGGCGCACTATCAACCCGCTCAATACTGCCGTCACTGCTGGTGGTAGCTCAGGTGGCGAGGGTGCGCTGCTCGCAATGCGTGGTTCCGTACTGGGAGTGGGCACGGATGTTGGTGGCAGCATCAGAATTCCAGCCATGTGCGATGGCACGTACGGTGTCAAGCCAAGCTGGGAACGCATTCCATATGCGGGTCAAGAAGGCGGTGCACTGCCTGGTGCATCGAAGATTGGCATTCCGGCTAGCGCTGGACCGCTGGCACATTCTATGCGCGATATCGATCTATTCTTCCGTGCAGTCGCAGAGCAGAAACCATGGCTACTTGATCCAGATACAGTACCCATACCATGGACTTCGCTCACTTCAACATCAAGCGGAGGGCAAAAGCTGCGGATCGGTGTCGTTAGACGAGATGGAGTCATTGATCCGCACCCACCCATTGCGCGACTACTCGATGAGGTCAAGGTAAGGATGCAGAAAGCCAGCATCGAAGTCGTGGAAATGGACATTACACCCCTATTCTTGCAGTGCCAGTCCCTTGCCAATGCGCTGTTTGGCATCGAAGGTGGCAACGCCATGTTCGATCTCCTCGAGGCCGCCGACGAGCCGCTGTCCCCATGGATCTCTACCCGACTAAAACGTAAGAAGCCAATAGACCTTGCCAAACTTCAGGAGCTTCACGGTAAGCGAGAGCAACTGCGAAAAGAATTTTTGCAGATATGGAAGGACAAGCACGGGGAGATAGATGCGTTCATCTGTCCTGTTGCACCCCACCCTGTACCGCCAATCGACCGATACAACGGTGTGAGCTATACGAGCTCGTTTGTGCTGATGGATTATCCTGCGGGCGTTATTCCCGTGCGGAGTTTCACGAAAGAGGATATGGAGGGTGAGATGTCCACGACGAAGCCGTTGGGCAGCTGGGACAAGGCAAATAGAGAACTCTGTGAGTGAAGTGGTCGCTGCACTTTTCCGATGCTAATATGTCTTCCAGGGACGGATTTTGACCGTTCGGTTTACATTGGCACGCCTTTGTGCGTTCAAGTCGTCGCGCAAAAGTTGCAGGAGGAGAAGTTGGTAGAGGCCATGTCTGCGATTGATCGTGCATTGGTAACGCAGAGGCCGATAAGCGCGAAGCTGTAAAGATTGAGTGCATGGGGATGCCGATTTAGTAGGCCATTATATGGTACTTATACATTAATCAATTGGCTACACAAGGCTTGTGAGAGAAGAAGTATTATTTACGTCGCGATTACGCAGAGATATGCACTTGTCATTATTTCCCCAAGGTTATAGATATACGCGCTTGAAGGCAGTGCGTAAGCGTTTTGTTCTGGTGCGAGCAGATTTATGCGCAAAAGTGTATTATATAGATTAGCAGGAGTGCGCATATGTGCGCGTATCTGAGCTTAGAGTATACCCGCGCAAGAAGCGGAACCTGCAAGTGCAAGTAAGTGTATTACTTTGTTTACCTCTAACCGGCGATAGATTTAGGCTATTAAAGAAAGTAGACAAGGGTGTACCTGCCTTAAACGTCGGATTCGAGTTAGGCGCGGTTCTCGAGTTCTTACCTTGTTGTTATAACTACTTTGTTCGTTTGGGGGATGTGCTGCTTTAAGCACTATACTGCGCTTGCAAAACAAAGAGAAAGATAAGAAGGCGTGCCTTATCTGTATTCTTCAAAGTAGAGTAAGTCGCTAGAACCGACACGATTGCATCCCGAACAAAGGTATACACACGAAAACCACTGGTGGCCTTTGTCCCAATACTTGGCTTCTGCAGATGTCTTGATCAATGGTAATCGTGATAGGAAGAAAGAAAATGGGTTTATAAATACTGCAGCATGTTTTCACCTTGCAGGAATAGTCTTCGTTTAATACTTTGACAGCACTTCGACATGGCGCCTTACGACTTACACTACCAACCCAAAGATCTTATTCCGAATGCTGTATACATGGCATCTGATCCCGAACTATCTATAGAAGAGAAGGAAACGATTAAAGGTGTAGTTAATATCTTCAGTCCTGCCGATAATCGTGAGCTGTGTCGAGCCTGTGGCTGGAATCATAAACACGAACTGTGCAGTTCGTACCTACCCCGACTCCGCGTTAGCCATACACGCGAAAATTCTGGCTTATGGACTATGGGAAACGACTGGGTAGTCTGGGATCGCACCGATGAGGAGTGTGGAAACGACTATATGACGCATCAATTCCTTCAGAAACAACGAACGAAGTACATACCACTTGTAAAGAAAATGGTCGAATTCAAGGACGAAGACAGACGGTATAACTTTGTAGTTATGTCTCGAGCTAAGGGAATTCCACTAGAAAACGTATGGACAGGACTATCCTGCGAAGAAAAGGAGAGCTATGCTCAACAGATGATTGCTGCACTTCGAGAACTGCGCCAGTTTACAGCAGAGTTCCCGCAGCGGGTAGATGGAAGCCCTCTGTGGGATAATGTCATTGGAAACTGCGACTCAAGGAAGATGTGTAAGAAAGTTGGAAAGACGGCGGAGGATTGGATTAACAATATGGACGAAGAGCTTCGAGAAGGCATATCAAGGCAGTTAAAGACTAGAGACAAAACTGCTATTGACACCAGGCTACAAGAGATTAAGGTATGTTCCCCATGTCCAAACCGAACCTGTGACTAAACACTCACTTCGTTACAGAAAAATTTCCCAGATGGAGCTCCGTATGTCCTTACACATGCCGACCTCAACATGGGCAATATCCTCGTGCACGCCGGAAAAATTGAGGCTATTATTGACTGGGAACTTGCTGGATACTACCCGTGGTGGGTTGAGATATACACATCATATAATCGTGCCCTCAGTGACGCCGCGGACGAACTGTTCGATGTAGTGTGGAGGGAACTCGACCTAGACCTCGACAGCGTTATGGACAACCTGCGACCCGTTATGCGCGCTTGGGGCCGCTGCCCGGTGGCCCATACCGGCCGTACGCATATCTGGCAGCGCCCACCTTTTTGCCAATGTCAACCCTTCGGTGGCGTGATTCGGAAGCACCTCATAGATTCAGAGGAGAAACACTTTGTCAATTACGACCGGCCCGAATGGCCCTATAGCAGGGCAGAATGGCGCGAGGCTTATACCGGCACCCACGAAGAGCCTAAGCAGGGTTAGAGCGGGTGATGTTGTGCAGTCGGAGATACCTTACCGGTTATTCTGTCGGCATGTGATTGGAATATGTCACGGCTGACTTGTAGGAATTCCGCTTGGTCAATGCCCAATCGCACGGTAGACTGTGTTGTTGTTGCGCAGGAGCGTAGTCTGCCATCGGCGTCCTTGATCGATATAGCGAATTGAGAATCGCTTCCAACGCGTACTGCAGCAAGCACACCGTCGTCAAGCGCTTCGATGGCTAGGTCGAGCAAACTTTCATGGAGTCTTGGGCAGGACGGAAAACAACGATACACCCAGGTATTCTAAGGATTAACAAAATTTAGCGCGTAAATGTTTGCGTTTGCGCTGTACCTAATCTAAAAAGGCCCCGACTATCACTCTAGAGATAGCAAAATTATTTGTTATTTATATACAGGATCCGGCCTTTACAGGCCAGGTTTGAATAGTTAGTACTGGATACACAGCAGAGTTCTCTCAGTTATCATAAAACTCCAGTTGTCCGCAAGAGGTCCTCCTGGGAGGAAGTCCTGTACAGCACTATATTCAAAGTGGTATAGCCGTAGGTATAAGCAAATAGAAGGACATTCCACTCTAGCCCTCAACTCAACCCACCATATACTACGGCGTGCTTTGTGGTACCATAAATACAAGAGCAAAAGCGCGACGGGGTCCTTCCCCTCCAACAGGGCTTGAAAAGGGCCTTGTATGCTGCGCGTGAAGAGTTCTGTCAGACCTACTGTGATCTGGCTATCCGGGAGGTTCTGAATCTGGGATAGTGCATGGGCGGCACTGAAATACGGATTGTTTTCTGCCGTAGATGAATCCTCAAGATGACACACAAAAGCCAAGGCCTTTGATATACCATCTATGCCTTCCTCTAGCATGGGTGAGTTCATTTGAGCATAAGTTCCCGCCATGACGCGAAAAAGGCTGTCGGGTCGTAGCGGGTTAATTACAGGCCACAACGACATTTTCCCCTTGCCCATCCGCAACCACTCCAAATCCGACGGGTCAGAAGGCTTTAGGGGCCACGATTCTGCTGGCGTAGACGCATCAGGGGACGCGAAGGCCAAGAGAGCTAGAGCAGCTGCAGTGCCCCATATCGCATCCTTATCTTTCGTTTCGACCGGCTCCCTTAACCGTCTGTTGAAGAGAGATGTGCTTTGGGAGCAGTGGTAGCACTCCTCCAGAGTGCGACGACCGCTTGACGAGCTATTCAGATAGTGGTCATACGCAAGCGCCACGGCTAAGGAGGCGTGCATCAGGAAAGGGTGCTGTACGCCACAAGTTAATAGGACTCGGGCATCTTACTACATCATCCAACTCATAGAAAGACTTACGGTGAAGGCGAGTGCCAAAAGCTCTCGGTTGACTACTACCATATTGGGGTCATCTGGAGTGATGAGACTTCTCCCCAGATACCGGGTTATGAAGTCTTGACATTTTGTGTTCAAACCATAGAATGATGATGCGTCAGATGTCCAAACAGCATTGGTAATAGGACGTCGAGGATCTGCTCTTTTTGGAACCATCAATGGCCTTATTGAATCATCGGCGACCGGCTGCAGATCAGGAACATTGGACGTGAAGTTGCATAACAACCCAAATAAACTACATCTCTGGCACTGTGGTTTGTCTTCGTCGCACTAGGAGGCCGAGCAGACCCAGTCAGCCAAACGTCATTCTATAGAGATCAGAAACACCCACCTTGAGTTTTCTAAGTTTGCAGTTTCGGCAGCCAAATCTCGACCTCCGCAACGTTTTACGCTTCTGAGCCTGCCTTGGACAAGTGGAATCCATACTTGGTTTGTTGTCTCATGATGTGGGCCGCTTGACGATAAGGTTAACCTCCTCTCGAAGTTCCATCGATCCATCGCGAGGGGCAATGTCGGCTCGCCAAGTGTTTTCATGTACTAACCCACTTTCGGATATGGAAACTCGCACTAGCTGTTACTCGGCTGCAGGTGTCTCTGATTGGCAGCGAGCTCCTCTCATACGAACAGACGGCCGGCGAAATCATCAAAGCGTAAGCCCTTATGCATTGAGTGTATAAGAAGGAGGCTATCCCTCGCCGTTTGTACCAGAAAACAATTCTTGTTAATTTGACCTCGACTTGAACACCAGATTTACGTTCGCACAACATCTTTAACGTTAAAGTGGCACTACTTACATCAAATACCATCATGTCCACCCATCTCGCCGCCGTTTCTCCCTCTAAAGGTCAGCCCTTCGAAATACAAACGCGTCCCACCCCAAAACCCGGTCCTGGTGAGATCCTCGTCGCCGTCAAGTCAGTAGCTCTCAACCCTGCAGATAACATCATGCGCAATCTGGGCCTCTTTATACCCACCTACCCCACAGTGATGGGCTTCGATTTTGCGGGGTTAGTTCTTGAGATCGGCGACGATGTCCCAACTGGTACTACCGATAGTGGCCAGGGCCTTCCCTTCCAGCCAGGTATCACCCGCGTAGCCGCTTATGCGGCTTCCTTTTGGAGGTCCTACAATCCGAACTACGGCGCTTTCCAAGAGCGATGTATCGTTCCCTGGCAGCATGCGGTGCCTCTCCCGGACGCTAACATGTCTTGGAACCATGCGGCAACCTTACCTGTGTCCGTCGAGGTACCCCTTAGCGCTTGGGATGCATTGGGGATTCCTCGGGTAGGGGAAGTCACTTCTGCCTCGCCTCCCTTGAATAGTACGGATACCAGTGGAGGGACGGAGAAGGTGAATAAGAAGCAAGGCGAAGCCCTCCTAATCTGGGGCGCCTCCTCCAGCGTTGGTACCATGGGCGTACAGAGCGCCCGGGTGCTGAAGGAGGATCCAAACTCCTCTGTCGCTGCTGTGTACGCCACCGCTGGGCTAGCGAATAAGACCTATGTGAGCTCGCTGGGTGCAGACCGCGTCTTCAACTATAAAGATTCTGGAGTCGTGGATGCTATAGTTTCGGCGGCGAAGGAGGATGGGTTGGTGATCCGACATTGTTTCCTTGCCATGGGACAGCTAGCACCATGTCAAGCTGTGCTGAAGGCTTTCCTTGCGGGCGATGAAGAAGGGGAGAAGAAGCATGCGAAGATCGGATCGGCGCCTATCGTGCCCCCGGATTCAGACATGGTGAGTGGGGTGGAGATCATCTTCCTGCAGCCGTCACCGAAGGAGGAGGAGAGATTGGGGCATTTCCAGTATTGGATGGGGACGTGGTTGAGGGAGAACTTGGTCAAGGGAGTTGTTAGGCCGAGTCCGGAGCCGAGGGTCGTGGGGAAGGGATTAGTGGCTATCAATGATGGGCTAAATATGCTGCTCCAGGGAGTGAGTTGTACTAAATTAGTCATTGAAATCGAAGAGTAAGGACTTTTTGGGAAGTGTGTTCCATCAGCCTTTTAGGTGCATTTCTGTTAACCTCAAGCTTAGATTCTTGTTGGTCCCAGGTATTCTAGACCAACTCCCGAGTATACGTCGGCTACATCGGGGTAAAGATCGACTCTCGGTCTGCTGCTGGTTCTTCTAATGCGTACGTTGAATCCTTGAATAATGGGTAGCTTACTACGTTCTTTTATTGCAGTAGTGCCTTATAAGAAACGGACGAGTAACACAAGCTTGCGGTAAACCACAGTTCTGCTTTAACTTACTATATCCCCTACTACGTAGCGAGAACCACTCCGTAGCGAGAAAAGTCACAGGTACTTTGTCTTCAAAGAAATACAACTTCTTCCTATGTCTAGATTTTTATGTCACATTGCTTAGATCGTGTGCGGAAGGTTCTCCCTTTACCGCCTAAATGTTTACTACTAGAAAATTACTAAGTTGACGCCTTTCGCGCCTCGTTTGCGGAGGTCCTTATTCTACGATATAGCAGAATTTCTCCAACGTGTATCCATTTTCTAGCGGAATAACCCCTGTTACGGAACAAAATCTAGGTATCCGAACATAGAAGCAGCAAAACCTGTACAGGCAGTTCTAGATTACATATTCTTTCTGCAAGAATTTATCTTAACATATTCTTAACTCTGAACAGCCGAGAAAGTAAAATCTAGTTGTACTGGCGCCTTACGGCCTGCTTCAGGTTGCCCATAGACGTTGACACTACTTCGCTTATAACCATGCGGACCCATCGATATAACCCACCTTGCCCTGCCCCGTTGCAAAATAAAATCTGGAATTATCGTAGCAAGTGCGCCCTTGACGTACGGCTGTGATAAATCTGACATCCGGAGATTCGGCGACCGTATTGACAGCATTTTCAGGTCCGACCCGCACGATGCGGTTAGCATGAGCGGCAGAAATCCAGGACGCGCCGTATGCATCAATCTCCAAATCATCCAAGCCCAGCCCGAGATTTGTCGCGAGGACTTCAACAGGCCCGATCGAGTTGCCAGTATATGCATCTATGGGTACTCGGTAGTATCCTTGACCGACGTAATTGTTGTAGTATAGAAATGTTGTTTTAGAGTGCCTAGGTTTGAAGACCCGGATACCATCAATGCCAATGAAGAACTGCTGTCCATTGGGGGGAATTGTGGTATTATCCGGGCGGATTGTGACCGAGACGTCGCCAGTGATGGTATCGATGCGATAAACCGTGCCGTCGAAGGAATCGCAACCTAAAATGACAGTGGGGTCCTCAAGTCGAGTCAGACCATTTAGGAAAGTCCAGTCAGGATGCGAAGCAACCTTCTTCACTGCTGGTGCTTCGTACGGATAGTTTTCCAGATTGATTGTCCAGACAGAAAACGTGCCCTTGAAGCCTGAAACAGTAGTGTGATTTAAATCACCTAAAACGATCGCGTAGGTATCTGGACTTGTTTCAATAATGCCGCCGAGACCACTCAAACCTGGATTGGTATTGGGAAATTCGTGAATGAGAACTTTTTTTTCTGGATGGGTAGGATCGATGAGATAAAGCTCTGGAGCCGATTGGCTATTGATAAGCAGCTGGCCATTGGGTCGTACATATAAGTTCTCCAACCACGCTACCGGCTCGAATTGGTGAATGATGACTGGATTAATGAGACTCGTGTTTGTTTTCTGTGGCCATGTAGGAAGCGAAGAAGCAGCACGTGCCGCAAAAATAATGGGCAACAAAGTTTTTAAAAGGTGGCCGAATATCATCTTGACAGCGGAAAGGGTGAGGTAACCAATGATATTGAAATAGGACCAATCTCTTGAGCTGCTAGAATGCAGACAATTATATCTGGGATTTCTTAGGGTTCATGATGATTGGAAAAGGTATTTAACTTCTTTCCATGACTCTCCATGACTCACTACACGACGCAAGTGCCCTGTTCTAGTAACCTGTTTGTTAGGCTGCATCTGCATGCCAAGAAGTACAGTGGAGCCCGTCGGCCTCCGTAATAAGGATCATCGTGACAACTAACCCAGCTGGCCTTGATTACGGAGGTGCCTTCCAAGAGTTCTTGCTCACGCTAGTTGAAGCTACAAAAGCTACAAAACTAGGCATATGTGAACTTTTTTCAATCCCGCTTCATGAAGCTGAAAATAGCAGAATGCACTCGATTCTTGGTGTTGCATGGCTCCGAATACTCTATTCTTTACTCGTGCCCTATGAAAAATCACATCCGTTTAAATTGGATAACCTCTGTTTTGTGATAAATAGATTATCGGCTAGTTATTTGGAGGCAAATGTATCTCTAAGATAGCTAATAAGCAGTGATCGGAATGGTCTAGTCTGATAATTGTGTAAGACCGTAATCGGACCGGTCCGGCTATACCAAGGTCTACATAACTAAATTTGCTGATCGGCGCTATCTTGGCCTTTATCTCCGCCGCATTTGGACCGGATGCTGCAATCTTCTACTTTTAATTACGTGTCTTCATGCCCGTGGTAGTGCCTCTAACTAATGTAGCACTCGCAACTATTTTAGCGTTTTCCTTAGATCTTCAGTTGGTTCAGGCAGTCAACAAAGTTAGAGCACACCGAGTCCGGGTCGAAGTCAGTCACGTTGAAGACCTTGATACCCGGCTTCTTGAACACGTCGCCGTCGAAAGGGATCGCGGCATTAGTCAAGTTCGCAAGCTTCCAGATAGCTGGGGGATAGTAAAGTCCGCCCTTCTCACCGGAGTGCAAGTCGAGTTCAAAGGAGCGGACAGACTGATGCTCCGCCTGAATGCCAAGCTCGGGGTGCGAGTAGTAGAACTCTTTTGGGTTCGTGATATACTTCTCGAAAGCGGCGCACCCAGCGAGGTTGACCTCGCGATGGTAGGAATTTTGTGTGCCAACAGCTTGGATGTGATTGATTCTCTTATGAGAGGAATTTCATCGCACTTGGACGACTTGGCAGGCGATGTGGATGCAGTTTCTGAATCACTATCAAGTTTTGCTAGTGTCTTGGTGAAAACTGCTCGTACGCGCAAGGAGCATCGAGCTCGCAGATACCTGCTCTATTTAGCTTTGACTTTGGCATACTGGCTCAATAGTCCTACCATTGAGCCGAGTATTTTGTTTGTCTCTTGAATCGAATTGGTAAATGGCTGCGCTGTAGACAAAAAAAGCAAAGCAAGAAGCAAGAATGCGTGCTTTATGTAAACGATCATTGTTATACCGGATTCAGATACGCTGCCATGTGCCAACTCGAAGGATGAAGTTCTTCGACTTTCATCAAGCACACATGCATTATAGGCGAGCTGCGATTGGGTTATGTCCACATCATCGGCTGGGTTGCGAATCCTACTTGACGTAGATGCAGAAAACGGACTGAATATGCCGCACGCACAGGTATTCAGTGCTTGGCGGGGCTTAAGTACCTGTGTTTATTGTCGTGCGAGACTATAGCACGTGTGGTTCCGACGTTGTGGGCTGGGTCCTCTAAGTAAATTCCCGATTCATGGTAGACACAACAACTGAAGTTCGGTACGCGAGCTGGCTGGATTTTGTACTATTCTTCAAGTTAAGCTCGTTGAGCTTAACGTCGAAATGTCGTAGGTGTGAATCCCCACTATTCCTCTTAGACAGTAGCAACTATACATACTAAAGCCTCCCTACCACTGATACTGCTCTCCGCGCCTCGCAATAAAAGTCCCAACCTCAGCATCTCGCTTCCCCTCCACAATCTCCACGATTCCTTGCGCACTCGTCTCCGAACTCTCCATACCCATCTTCTCCCTCTGCTCACGATCGCGTCCCAAATCCGTCACCACATACCCGGGGCAATAAGACCAGACCTTGACGCCGAATTGCTCCAAATGGTAGTACTGGTAGGCCGTGAGCATGTTGAGCGCCGCTTTGCTCATGCGATACGCCGGATACGGGACTGCAGAGAAGGAACCGGAATGATCGGAGATAGCCGCGATGCTGCCAAGGCTGGAGGAGACATTGATGATCTTTGGTGATTTGGAGGCTTTGAGCAGGGGGATTAGAGTTTCGGTTAGGATCGTGGGACCGAAGACGTTGGTTTCGAAGATGGAGCGGAAGTTTTCGCGCGAGGGCCATTGGTCTTCTGCGGTTTCGGGGCAGACGCCCGCGTTGTTGATTAAGACGTCAAGGCGGCCGAAATCTTCTTTGAGCTTCTTTGCGGCAGCGGTGATGGAAGAGTCGTCGTTTGCGTCTAGCTGGACTAGACTCACAGTGCCTGAAAGGTTCTTGGCTTGGACTTCCTTTAGCACTTTTTCGCCCTTGGAAAGGCTACGCGCGCCGATAACGACGTGGTTGTTGGGAGAGGCGGCTGCGAGGTATATGGCGCTGTCCAAGCCGATGCCGTTAGTGGCACCTATCGTTGTCAGCATATGGTGCTGCGACCAGAGAGATGACCGTACCTGTGATGAGGATGATCTGCTTTTCAGGAGCAGCAGACATAGTGCAAAGTTACAAAGTATTTCAAGATTTGATAAACCGAGCAAGATGAAGTATTATGAGTGTCTAGGAGATTGGCTCAGAAGGGTTTTAGATGTCGATGAAGAATGAGATAAATGGCGAATATATATGCCTCAAATGAGAATTTCCAGCGAATCTTTCGTACAACCAGACTGAACTGTTAGAGCTCGTCAAAACCTTCAATTTCGTGACGTACATCATTGACGAGGCTACTGCGGGGCCACGGACCTAGTCACCCTAACTCCGCTAAGGCCCTTGCATATCCGCCCTGCCAAGGCTGAGATTGATAGGGCCTACCTAGGTACACTGTGCGCGTCTAGAAACAACGGATTTAAGACTTTGTCGCCTATGAAACTGTTGTACGACCTGTTGTACAAAGTTGTTGTAGTAATTCTGGTTACAAACCTGCGCTCTGGCCTACTCCCAATATGTTCATGTTGGAGTCTAAAGTCCGCATCATCGCGTATCAAGCCGTGTTGAGATTTGGTCTTGGAAATCCGCGACGCGACAGGATGAGCTTGATTCCACGGTCGCGCATCGAAATCAACGTAATGCACATTCTCTCAGCATCACCATCATCTAAGAAACTTAGAGTTACAGTGAAAGATTATTGATTCGACGAGCTACTTCTCGAGTAACTCATGGCCGATACTAATGAGCGTGTGCTCCGCTAAATTATCATACACAAACGTCGACGTTCGTTCTTCTCCATCATTCATTCAAACTCTTTTACAAGGCCATTAACCGACTAGTTTTATACCTTAATCTCCTGCGTATTCTCATGCCTCTCCGGGCGCTGCTCGAGAGCTTGAGCCTTCTCTGGGTCCAACATGCCCTGCTCAGCGCGGCGCACGTTTGAATACTCCACCTTGGTCTTCCAGGCCGGCACGCCCGCAATGAAGATCTCCTCGACATCTTCGAGCGTCTTGCCGGCTGTCTCAGGGAAGACGAAGAATGTGTGGATGGCCATGGCGATGCAGAAGACACCGAAGACAATGTACACCTTCCACTTGATGCTGACGAACGCCGGAGGAACAAAGTACGACAGAGCGAAGTTGAAGATCCAGTTGCAGGATGTAGTGAGTGCGACGGCCTTGCCACGGATGCGAAGAGGAAACACCTCGGGTGGGTAGACCCAAGAGGCAGGGCCCCAGGTTGGCGCGTAACTGGCGACGAAGAGATATGTGCAGGCGATGACGGCCTTTGCGGGTTTGCCGGTGATTTCCCACGACTGTTCGGCGACGTTGTTGAGACCGCCTGGGGGCGCTGCGTGGCCGTAGGAAGCCATAAGGCCTGCGTTGGCGAATAGCCAGGTTGCCATGAGGAGCGCGCCAATGACGAACATGGGACGACGGCCCCAGCGGTCCATCCAGATGAGAGCGGGAACTGTCATGCAGACATTGATCACGTATTGGATACTCGAGGCGATAAGGTTGGTGTTGCCGGTGAGACCAGCCATGCCGAAGACATAGGTAATGCTACACGATGGTAAGTATACGAGCACAAAGCAGCAGGTATCAGGAGTGAACTTACTAGTACATCATCACGTTCATTCCTGTCAGTTGCGACCAGATCTGAGTGAAGATACCAATATGAAGGCGGTTAAGCATGCGAGGACGGAACAGCTCGGCGACAGAGACATCAGCGTTCTGGCGCTCGAATTCGATCATCTGCTTGATCTCTTCCAGCTCGAGCTTGACAAAGGGACTATGTGGGTCGCCATGGCCGTGCACAAGGGTGAGAACGGCTTGACATTCCTCCCAGCGATCGTGGCGCGCAAGCCATCTGGGGGACTCGGGCAGGAATAAGATACCAATAGCGAGGATGACAGCAGGAATCATCTGAAGACCCCATGGAACGCGGAAGGCAGTCGGGCCGTCGAGGAAGGTGCAGCCGTAACTGATGTAGTACATGATGAGAATGCCCCATGTGATGGCCCACTGCTGCGAGCCAACAACGCGGCCACGCTTGGACGGAGGAGCCAATTCAGAGACGTAAACGGGGACCTGCGCGGAGCAGATACCGACAGAGAGACCATTGATGAAGCGACCGACGATGAGCATGCCGATGTTTTGGGACGCGCACGAGATGGCAGAGCCGATCATCCAGATCATGCAGCCAATCTGGATGGCCTTCTTGCGACCAAGCTTGTCCGTCAGGTAACCAGAGATGAGAGCGCCGACGAAGGAGCCGCCAGGCATGGCAGCCGTAATGCCACCCTGGACATTGGGTTTAGGACCAGAGCAGGCTTCGCTGGCGTCTGTGTAAGGAGGGCCCTTGGGGCCTTGGTTGAAGTAGCAGCGGTATTGTTGGGTGGGTAAGCTATGCAATGTCAGCGCTTTGTTTTTATTTTTGAAATAAGCAGAGAGACAACATACATGGCGCTCATAGAGCTAATATCGAAACCAAACAGCCCACCGCCAATGACCGAGATGGCGGTGATGCCGTAGATATTGCCGATGTGGTACATCTTGGCTGAGGCTTCAATCACCTTGGATGTATGTTTGTGTGTAACTCGATGGTTGTGTGTGTGTGATGGAGGAACCACTAGTCCGGGGACAAAGTGAATTTATATGAATCCTCATCCGCCTGTGACCCTCCGCGAATCTCCAGACCCACACCAATAAGTCAGGAGTATAACGTGAGCGCCCATGGGCGCCCCGTAACGGGCTTTTCACTGTCCCAGGTAACGTGCCATGTCGGAGGCCTGATTCCTAGTAGGGTATAGTCTCCGAGATGCAACGGTGTGATTGGTGAGAGGAGCGTGGAGATTAGTGCGGCGGGGGCAAGCAATGTCAAGCCTGACACGGTCGGTGATCAGTAGGGCTTGTTTTTCGAATCAGCGGGAACAAAGGAATTGGCTTCGAGTGCGGCTGGGCAGAAAAGAAACGGGTGACAAAGCGCCTTCTGACGTGGGTGGTGCGATTATCGCGAATAACTGCCTGTCGTGGGGGTAGGAAGCAGTTCACTGTTCACCACAACCCCATCATTCGCTCTCCGCATCTGCCTTCAACTGTGCTCCGCAGCGTCTCCATGTCTCAGTCCCCAGATGCCCGCAATTGCCCACTCCATTCTTTCTCCTCCGCGCATGAAATTTTCTTCCAGCGGGTGGGTTCTGAGGCTCTACAACTAAGATGAAGTGCCCACATTTGACGTCAAGCATCGTCAAGTTTGTTCCCGACGCGCCAGTCGGCATTGGCGCCGCTGACGTGGTCCCGCTTTTCCCGATACGCTACCAAGTTAGTGTGGGCGTCAAGCCTCCCGTCTGCGTGAAAGCTTGTGTGTAAATGCCGAGAGCCGAACATGTCGCGGACTTCAATAATGATGGATATAAGGCGGCATCAGTTGAATGCGTTGCCATCGCTAGATGTTGATGGGAGACGTGACCCGATGACACTGGCTTCGTGTACCAATGTAGCGTGGCAGACGCTCCAGATGGGCCGACGTCGAAGATGGCGGTGAAATAATTTTAGAAATTAGAACTTTACAGCTGCCGAAGTTCAGGCGTGACTGTCCCGTCAGGTAGAAGAATACGAACCCCTGTGCCGATTAATGAACACAACCTCCGAGATCAGTACGAGGTCCGACATGGAGTGAGCGTCTAGAGGCGCGCTGGATTTCATGTGACAACGGTTGAATCCTTCCCCGGGGGTAAAAAGAGGGTATGGGGATGCCACGTAGCCAACAAGCGAAGAGAAAATAAAAGCCCGTACGATCAGGCCATGCCATCTCGTCGCCTTATGAACTTCGCCTCTGCAGCTGACTGAGCTGCTCGAGGAAACGCGTGTCGGCGGATCTGTTACCGGATACAGCGTCTGCAGTACCAATCGATGCGTGCACGCCACACGCGCTGGCCCCACACCTCGTTTTCCGCACGCAATGGACCACGCCAGCCGAGCTGGATCAATGTCCGAGGCTCTGACCGTTCAAGCGGCATGTGGAGACGGTAGTCGAGTCAGTTCGACGATGATAATTTCATTCAAAGAGCCTCGGTCAGACCACAGCCTGAGATCTGGAGGTCATGGGCTCCCGAAGAAAAGTAACAACACCAGGTGAAGCAATGTAGGATTAGTAATTTACTATAGTTGCGTCCAGGTATGTACAGAATTCCTCTTTACCGTTGTGTGCCTAGTAGTTACCCAAGGTATATCTCATCAACCATAAAGTCGTGCCCCCTGCCCACGATGCTTATTCCCAGACCCATGCGGGAAGGAAGTGCATTATCCCCAGACTAGTTTCTTCAGCGAGTACTCAAACTGCTCCAGGTACCCGGTACTTCTCTTCGCGTCCGCAATGCTGATAATATCTTTTTCTTCGACCTTCAGCTCGGTGTCCCTGTTCTCCCCACTCCCCTTCTCCTCTTGATTTGTATTCGGTATATTCTGCTTCTCTGCGTTCTCTTTCTTCGTCTCGTTGATAACGCGTACGATTTCGTCGCATACTGATCTCACAACCTCGACCTCGTTCTCCGGCGAGTTTTGTGTATCCTTAGACGAGGAAGGATTACTACTCCACGGTGGCAGTGCCTTGAAAGCCAGGAAGCGACCAGCCTCATCGTGCTTCTGTTGCTTCTTCGCGTCCTTTTTCCCGGGAGCATCATTGGGAGCCCCAGAATCTAGCGCCCTGGTGTTTCTCCGTATCAGCTCGCCCCCACTCTCAGCGCGATATCGGATGATAAACCCCACGTTCTTCTCCGTATCCACATGTCGCTGCGCAAGCGTGGAGGTAATGTACACACCGCGCATAATGCCCCTTACGTTCTCGAGCTGGATCCGCTCAAATTCGCGGACCTTTTCAGTACCCCAGTCAAGACGGCAGAAGTACAGTGCCTTTTCGGTAAGTAGAAGAACTGCCTCTTCAAACGTGGTCGTCTTTACTTGATTCACGGCAGTCGGTACGCTCAATGTCCACCCATGAATCAAGTCCTCGTCATCATCTTCTATAACAATGCCTGCAGAGCGCTCGATGGCTTGTTGTCGGACCTTGCGAACATCAATGAAGTAATCTGAGCTCTTCATGTCTGCCTCGAACTCGGCGAAGATGGTGTCTGTGGCGCGGCCGAGCAGATAATCGATGACTGCCTGAGCAAAGTAGTCGTTGACAATGTTGTTGTAGTACCTTGTGAGCGTGAGTCCGAAGTCAGTCAATGCGCCTGTAAGTTGTCGCTTCCGCGTGCGCGTGAAATCGCCCTTAAGCGCTGCAGTGCCGGCGTATTGGCGAGAGATCGCATCGCCATTGTCGGCCCAGAGCGTATTGAACCAAGAGGTGCTAGGATCGTGCTGAAGATCAATGGTAAAGCTACCGGCACAGAGTTGTGCCTCGAGCGCTGTCCGAGCGCAAGCAGATTGAACCACGTTGGTCCGGTCGAGACAATCCATGCAGTTGGTGCGCAGCACGCCTGTCTGTTTCTGTTTGACCTCATCATTCGTGATCTCCACCCAGCTGGTGGACTTCATGAATGGTTCCAGCGAGTCCATTAGCTTCGAGACGTTTTCAAAACGCATGCCGCGGCAAACATTGTGAAAGTCAAACCACTCGAAGCCTAGTTGCTTGCCTTTTCCATCAATACCGCCCTTCTCGTTGAGAGCCTTCGCATGACTCTCATACAGCTCGCCAATCTTCGCCTCCGTGCCATGCTTGTCAATGAGTGAAGCGCAGTAGATCTCGCCATATCTGCTAGAAAGATCGGCGAAATGCCGCTTGAACGCTGTAGCATTCGTCTCGAAAGAGCCCCAGGTGCTGACCTGTGGCTTGAGGCTGTATGGTGATTGAGAAAAAAAGAGCGGGATTGAGCCACGGCATTGTGTAAAGGAGAATATTTTATCTTGCGAGGCATTCCATGCCGGGGATGACAGGATTTGTTCAGTCTCGACGCTGTTCGCAGTGGAGCCCTCGTCGTCTGTCCCTCGGCGCAGGTAGCGTAGTCCAGCTCGCTTGGTGGATCGTCGAGAGATGAGTGTCAGTAAGAAGTCTTTGCCATTTGAAGTTGTAGGCTCTGTCGGCACGGTTTCAGTGCTAGCCTCCGCTTCCTGTTTCTGCTTCTCCTGCCAGGACTGCAGCTGGATATCGTCAGGGGTGGCACTTGGGTCTACGACTAGACTGTTCGACTGGGAGTCTGCTACTTTGATGGTAAAAGGCCGTTGACCGACAAAACCTTGCATAATCGGAAGAACGAACGAGTGCTGACCGGCGTCTATAAAGGGTGAAACGATATGGTGGTTCCAAAAGAACTAAACAAGATCAGTCCCGGGCGGCGCGAGAACACTGAGGAAACTTACCAGAGGGTCAAACTGCTTGAAGAGGGGTAGACTAGAAGTAGGATTCTGTTCCCCGGCGCCGTGTGATATGTCGTACTCGTAAGAAAAGAAGAAATTGCCGGAGGAGAAGTACATCCGCGTCGTCTGCAAAATCTTTGGTAGTAGTGCTACTGTCGTCGCATCCTTTTCACCGCTCAAGGCCTTTGGTATCTCGCCCGGGCTTACGGGCTCTTGTACGTTCTTGTCGTCATTTGGAATAGCATCTGGCTTCGACTCGCCCGTGGGGTGCTCCTCACCCTTGCTTATAATCGAATCGACGTTCTCTGGTATATTCTTTGTAGCCAGATTCTCCTCTGAGCTCAACCCCTGCAGTCGCCTGCTTTCTGCACTCCACCCCTTCCTGGAGAACCACTGCTCGGCAAATCTACCGTATACACCTTTGCGCTGTATGACATCTTCCGCGACACTCGTCTTGCGCCGCTGCCCTGTCGCCGAATCCTTGGTGTCGCCTTGGCCAGTTGTGGCTTCTTCGACTAGCGATTCAGTTACACTGGGTGTGTCATCATCGCTCTCGCTGCCAGAGTCCTCATCTTCCGCTCCTGGTGCCCTGTTTTGTCGCTTCTGGCGTTCTCGCGTGGTTACAATAGCCTTGTCTGCGTCGGATTGCGAGGAGAGCGGGATGAGTGCGACATCGGTGATTTTGTATATCGGCTTGCCTCGTATCTGCGCGACCTGTTCGCGACCGCATATCGAGATTAGGAAGTACGAAGTAGCAACCTTGAGGAGCCCTGTTCGTTGCGCCTTAGCATCGTCGTAGAGGGTTTCAAACAGCGCAATGCGACATACCAACAACGCCGTGCGCTTCGAGCGATGATGGCGCAGTGTCCTCGTCGCGTCGGTCTTTAAGCAGTGGGCCAACCTTGCCCTTGTAGTCGACCTTGATGGCCTGCTGCGTCGCGGGCGGATGATTGCGGGGAGGAGAGGGCTGAAGAACCAGCCCGTCGACAGCCGCGAAGATGAGGAGCTTCCTGGCTATACCTGGCATCTTTTGTGAGCGCGTCCAGGGGGAATTGACTCGTAGAGCGACGGCATGGACCGGAAAGAGGGTTCGGAAACATTTGGTGGGCGGGTGGAGATGACGTACTGCTAGTGGGCTGTTTACCCCACGCGTCTTCTCATACCTCTTCTCCATCCTAACCACTGCCAAAAATGCGACTTCGAGCACAACACTACCTTGAATGGTATTAAATTAGTAGAAAATAGTCTCGTCAGGGTTTGAAATGTTGTGACATAGTAGCTCCAGCATCCCATACGCAACTATTAGATAACAGAAACATTGCTGAAAGGCTGAACAGGTAGATGGATAAAATTACGGCGAAATCGTGTCATGGGGTTACTTTCAATGGACTCATCCATTTTGCCTATACAGCATAGTATAGAAACCAACCACGAAGAACACTTTTGAATGACCGTCCTTCTGACGACGAGCCATCCAATCTGTTAACTCTATTCTCGGTAAACCAAAGCGAATCTCTCTACCACGCACAGTGACCACCATCTACTCGAAGGTCCTGAAGTGTCTCATTAGCACTGTTCCATACTGGCAGTCGCCCAGCGACTCTTTTCGACATAAGCAATAGAGTAAAACTAAAGCACTCACCGCACCAGTCATATAACTGCTCCCCTCCCCCAGCAAGAACAGCACCGGGGCCCTATACTCCTCCGCAACACTAATCCGGCCCAGCATATTCTGCCTCGCCCACTCAACCGTCAACCCTCTCTTTCTCGCCTCCTCACTAAGCGGCGTATCAATATGCCCCGGGCTAATCGCATTAACGCGAATAGGCGGATACACGCCCCTCGACTCCGTGGACGGATTGGAATTCGTAGCGCTCTGCGTGCTGCCTGGAAACGTGTTCTGCGGGTGTCCCCATTCGGCGGCGAGGGAGCGGGCGAGTTGGTGCACGGCGGCCTTGGACGCGTTGTATGCTGACGTGTTGATGCCGTGGTTGCTAATGTGCCCGCTTATGCTGGCGATTAGTACGATGCTGCCTGGGACGTTGGCGCGGTGCATTTCTTTTGCGACGGCGCGGGCGATTAGGAATGTTCCCGTGATGTTTACGTCGAGGATCTTGCGGAAGGTCGCGATGGGGTAGTCGCATGCATCGCTTTCGCCTGAGATGGCGGCGCAGGATACGAGGCCGCGGATGGAGTGGCGGAGTTGAGGGTTAATGGCTAAGAAGGCGGATGTGATACTGTCTTCATCTTGGACGTCAAGCTGTTGGTATATAGCCTTTGTGTTATTCAGTCTGGCAGCTTCTTCAATAGCTTCTGTGGCTGGGATTAGTCCTCTGTGCACAGCAAGATCCATATCGTGGACAGCACTACATACTCCATGTATCAGTATTTGGCTGGGCTACGATATCAACGAAGACGACATCTCCACCACTCTCTAAAATGGCCTTGCCAACCGTCGTCCCAACGGCTCCTGCGCCTCCAGATACTGTGTTCACGTGTCAAACTCGAAGATTTTTTTTTGGATGCTAACCATACTCAAGACTGTCCGCTCTTCGAGCCTAAAAAGATCTCCAGTGGCAACATGGGATGGTGCAGGGCGTGTCATCGTGAATAGGCATGAAGTTCCGGCAATGGCAGTTCTCGACTCCAGTTTGAGATCGTGTTTCATAGATGATGAACATGATGACTCGAAGTACAGGTGTAAGGCTAGCACGGAGATGTGACGTAATACTGCATGTGCGGAACAGGTGGAGCAAAACCTCTTCTTACTTTCTCAATTACACTACACTATATCTACAAATCCTCTACCTTTATTGGTACTGAAATTCCAAGTATGTACATGAACAATCAGCCTTCTTCTCAACACACCCACAGTAAAATTCAGTTAGTGAGTATACCATTACTGGTTAATGCGATGTTGCCAAACCTCCTGCTCAGCTCTCGCCGAGTACGTGCTCGCTCCGAGAATAGCCTGCATCTGCTCGACGCCCGTGAACAAAATCTGCCTCGCCATGAACCACCGAATGCCCTCTGAACACGGCGGGCTCGTCAAGCTGCCCTGATACGTCCAGAACTCATTGAAAAACAGCACGCTGGCCAGGGCCGGCTCGAAATCCAGGGTCGCGGGCACATTCGTGTTCATATCGTTGAAGTTGATCATCTTCGGCAACTGCTCGAAGAACGTGTTGTTGGCGTTACCGGGGTCCAGGCGCACTGCCATGACGGCCTTTTCGTGGCCTGTTGCGTCGACCATGACCATGTGTAGTTCTGCTTTGCTGCGTACGCCTCCCACGGAGTGATCGGCTGGAGAGTGTATGTGCCACCCCTTCATGTAGACAGTGGTGTCGTCGTAGGTAACACTTGGGTGGGTGGTCCAGTCGCTGTCATGTGCAACGGTAAATGCGGGGCCGTAACCCCAGTTGTAGAAGTTTCCTTCAATGGATCCATTGAAGTTGAACTTGGGCACATGGTTGAGCGAGAGGCCGTTGCTGAGGGATAGAGCTATGGGGGACTGCTGGGTTCCCATTTGGCAGCGGGCATAGTTAGGGTTGAGTTTGCCCCAGTTGAACTACCATCGAGGTATAGTCAGCAATCATTGTTAAACGACTTAGGTGACTGTATTTCACATACCGAGGCTTCGTAGGCCCAATCGCTTTTGGTGCTATTGGAGCCTGGCTCTGTGGCGCGTTTGTTGTTGGTGTGCTGTGGGCATCCAAGCACGGATGCCACAAAAGGGGCAACGATAAACAATGATTGAAAGAGCATCTTGAGGGCTGTTGAGATTGTGTTGGATGGCCGGAGGAACTGATGGAGCGATGACGATCAGCCTTGTTGGGCAACGCAGGCCTTATATGCCTCACGAAATGACCTCCACCTCTGCAGATAGCTTCGCTGTACCGCCGTAAATAAACCGCCAAGCTTAGACCGTGAATGCCTTCTTTCGTAGTGCAATCACAGCCGCCAAGGCCACCGCCCAGGCTTTGTCTGTATACTCCACTTGCGCAGCCACTCTGTACGCATAACGGTGCGCGTCATTGGAGTTATCGGGAGTTGAGAGGCACGTGGCTATATGAAGGGACGTTAGCAATCAATCTCATCTGAAGGGTTGATAAGAAGATGCACATAAACCCAAGGTGTACATAAAAACGCCTCGCGCCCAGAGGAGCGAGATCGACTGCGCAGCGGCCTATTCGAGGAGCCGATCTTGGCGGTAAACGGTTCCGTGGCTTATTGGTCACGGTGTTTCACCGACGCATAGCTTGGCATTGAAAAGGAGGAACCGGAATCATGTTTCCAAGGTTGCAGACTTGAACTAATGTTTGGGGGCGTGCTTGTGGGGAATCTCAACATGATCGCCGGATATTTGCGGGGAGATTCAGATCGAGCAGATTTCTCCAATCATATCACACACAGCATTGCTGACTACTCTTGAGTCAATTAAACACGCGCGCATTTCAATCATTAACGCGTGCTGGAAGATATCCATTCGCATATTCTTGCTGGTAGGCTTTGAGCAATCTCTTCCACTTGTCTGTTGAACTCGCGGCCTGCGCCAAGACAGGACGTGCGATTCGGCATCTTCCGAGCGATACAAAGAAATCAGGCGCCCTGGGAAGCTGTAGTGTATAACTCGATCAGGGCCGAAAGGGAGCAACCCAGGACCACTATCTCGGTGCCCAAGACGACCGCTGGGCCGTTGAACGTTGGGACGTTGAACCAAGATGCGCCGAATGGCTGGGAAACGGCGTGTATAGCGGCGAAATCTAGTCTTGGAGCCTTAGGGTCTTGGAAAACGTAGCACGTGGGGTGGCCAAGCAGCCTCACTTCAGATGACATACGATAGGGTCTCGAACTCGAACCTTTGTGATCAAATGCTCAGCCTCGATCTGTGTAATATCTTGTTCCAGGCTCTGGTGATGACTGCGAGTTAGACCTACTTGCTTGATAAGCGATACCTAGGCATACATTGTGACAGATGGGACAAATATCATCATGTACAGGAGGCATTGCAAAGATTCAGAAACAATAGGCTGGCTTGGAGAATACAGTAAATGTGCTTCATCTGTGTCGCACGCACATAAAGAGACCAGGATACCTGCGCAACACGATCGCGTGAAAGGTTCCTACGCGATAACTGTCCGAAGCTAACAACACGACGCACTGGGGATCGTTATGCATTCAAATTTAACACTTTCTTCCGCCTACGTAGCGCTTGCCCATTAATAACCCGGCCACACAACCTCATCACAGTCCGGGTGCTTGAAGGCCCCGTTGCTTGCCTCGTACTCGTATTCCAGATCCGGCTGAAATTCCCAGTACAAACTCTCAGCGTCACTGGACATCTTAAATGTGTATGCAGCGGCTTCATCATCGACGTAAACTTTTGGGACGCCATTGGCGGCGGCGGCCTCGACCTTGAGCTGGACGTCGCAGGAGCGTTCCATGAGGGTGTAGAGGAATGCGGCTTCGTCAACGGTACCTCCTACTGTCTTTAGGGTGTCAGAAAAGCGCACTGGGGAGCAGTAGAACATAGTAATGTACGCACCAGCAGACCATGATTTCTCAGAACCATGCCTTTACCCTTTGGTCCCAAGGCGGCCGCCAACCGCTGCCCCTCCTCTTCGCTGAAGACGACTCCGCCAAAGTCCTCGTAGACAGCCTGCGCGTCGCCGTAAAAGTAGCACACGTCCTGATTGATCATTTCCAGCGGTCGCGCAAACGCGCTCCACGCTTTGCCCGCCTTGCCGTGGCAATGGCACGCAGCATTGACATCAGGCCTCGCCTTGTGCACGGCAGAATGTATCAAGAAGCCAGCCGCGTTTGCCGGTCTGCTCTGGTTCCCTCCCACCACGTTGCCGTCGTAGTCTACGAGGACCATATCCGATGCCTTTAGTAGCCCGAAGTGCTTGCCCAGCGGGTTCGTCCAGAAAGTGTGTGGATGCTCTGGGTCGCGAACAGAGATGTGGCCGCTCATGCCCTCCGTCAAGCCGTGCCGGGCAAAAACCCTGAAGGCGCCTGCCATGTGTGAGAGAATCCATGCGCGATGCTTGTCGTACGACGAGAAGAGTGGGATGCCCGGGAGACAGACGCCCTGCGAGATGGCTTGTAACGGCGTCTTCTCTTGTGTTGGCTCGTCTTTGGCTCGGGGCACGAGCTGCTTGCTACGCGGAACGGGTGTATCTTCGACTTGCACAGCTGAGGGTGCCATCGTGCGCGGTGATGGGGCGTTGAAGGGGTGGACTAGCTGTAGGTGAGTGCAAAAGGTGAGTTGCGAGTGATCAAAGAACGCGGATGGAAGTACACGCGATCGCGGTAGGGTTGGATGAGGTGTTATAATCCTACAGGCACTCTGGTGCAGTTTGCGCTATCAGAAAGGATCATCAAGGTTATCCTACATAGGGCGTGGTGGAGCGTTGGTGTCGAGCTGCTGTTGAGCGGCTGCGGGGTTACGCCACCTTCGGGCGAGGGTTTGCGAGACGCAGCAACGGACACGCCCAATCATCGCATTCTGCAACTCAGCAACATGTGTGCGACAAATGAGGTAATATTATAAGTAGGATTCGATGAAGAGCATATCACTATTGCGACAGTCTCCGCACGGTGCAAAGAGCAGTTGCGGGCCACGAGCTACTACTTCTCATATACGCGGTAGTCGCCAGGCCATCCCATCTTTCCCTTCACATCTCCTTAGTCCGCACCACGTCGTCTTCAGTCGCTTTCTGCTTCAACTGGTTGCTTCTCATCTCCTGGGCCCGATAGAAGGATATAATGTCTGGTTTACAGTTTCTTCTCGCGCGCCAAGTGCCAATGGACGCCCCGGCGAAACCCCTCTGCAACGCTCACCCTGGGGACGTATCCCAACCTCTCTTTCGCCTTCGTGATATCAAAAGTCCGGCGCTGTGCAGTATACTTCATCATCTTCAGTGTCACCGGAGGCGTACCGCCAAGCGTCAGGAGCCAGTAGATGGACTCCCAAATCACCATGAAGAACGAGAGCACGCCGATAGGCATTTTCCAGACATCCTCTTCTGCGATCGGATAGCCTCCTTCCTTGCACACGAATCTCGCAGCTTGCCAGAACGGCCATGGATCGCCGTTGCTCAGGTTGAACGACTCGCCATCTACGCGCTTCTCTTCGTTTTCTAGCGCATGCTTGTCGGACTGCGCAATGCGCAATAGAGCCTGTGCTGCCAGGATATGGCACTCTGCCGCGTTACCGCCATAGATGAAGTCGTATAGATTCCTCCCTTGCCCAATCTGGAATTTGATCTTGCCCGATTTGCCGAGGTCGAGGAAATGCTTGGTCAAAATCATGTCGTTCTCTCCCATCATTGTGGTCAAACGAATCGCGGTAGTAAGAAGGCCTTTCTGTCGATTGGCGCCGAGCACAATGGTTTCGCCTATAGCTTTTGATCGCGCGTAGACGCTGCCATCAACAGGATTGTCCAGCACCGGGACTTCCTTGAGCCAGACAAGGTCGTGATATCCATCCTGGGCGACTTCGGAACTTGATGTGTGCACAAGGACTCGGATTCCTCGCTCCTGTGCGCATTCGATTACGTTTTGGACCCCGAGGATGTTGCACCGTTCGAATAGCGCTCGGCCAGGTCTGATCGCGTCTGGTGAAGCGGTGTTGATGATTACAGATGGCTTCGCTTGGTCGAGAGCAGAGCCAACGTCACTCTTAGACCCAATGTCTCCAGTGATGTACGTGACTCCATTGCTGAACCGATTGTTCTTAGTCGAAATATCAAACACAAATATGTCGTTAGGTGAATGACCGTTTTCGACGAGGAACTTGACAATATGGAAGCCGAGGAGGCCACAGCCGCCGGTAACGAAGACTCGACCGAGCGCTATATCAGAACGGCTGCTGCGATTCATCTTGAGAATTGAGTTGGTAAGAAGAAGCAAAATCTCAACTCTCGAGTCTCGAGGCGTCTGAAAGTTGATCTTATTGCTGACATGCAGGTAATTAAACATGATTGGCCACTTGTTGGCGTACTGCGAGATTCGCTGCTGCTCGCGACCTCGCCGCAACCAACTACTTACGGCTAGGAATAGTATGAAGTAAGTCTTACTATGCACGAAGAGTAGTATATCGTCCATAGTACCTCATCGTGCACGTGGGTGTTACTTGTTGATATGAGTTAGTTTGATAAATGCATTGCGCAAGTGCAAAAATACATAATTGGATCGCACTATTCACCGAGATCCTTTCAGAATATTACCCTCAGCCGCAAACCTTCTTAATATACACTCTTCTCTTCTCTAGAGATATGCTTCCTTACGTTACTATCATGTAGGACAATTGCAGCACGATTTCGGTAATCGCGCTTATTGCCCAATAGTGCCTCGCTTTCCGAAGTCCACACCTCTGAAACTGCAGCCCAAGCTTCATTGAGGACGCGATCCCGACCCATAAAAACGAACATCGCTACAACAGCTATAGTCAAAATACAGTGAATAACCACCGACGTCACAACAGCAATGAGCCCGCCTTCCCTCACAGGCATCTGCTGTTCGCTTACTATGCGTCTCACAGTCGTTTGATTATAGTTGAAAAAGGGGACAGCATCGTAGTATGCGGTTCGTAAGAGTGTTGTCAATATTGCTTGGAGAGCAAGGGCTGGATTTTGCGTCTCGTCGAGTGTATCCATGAACATGTTTCTAAAAAAAGGTTTATGTCTGTCGGTTCTTTTGATGATAGTTCTGACTTCCTCATGGCCGACCGAATTATTCTATCGGGCACCGCGTCCCACATGAAGGGATGTTTCTTCGGGTAGTCACCATACCTACTCCACTTTTTGATCTGATCGGCGATGTGATTGAGGTCGAAGCCTATGAAACCTCGTTCTAGTGCTGAGAGATTCATGCTATCTAGAATTGCACCAAGTTGCCTTCTTATTGAGGATTTGTTAATGGTTCCGGGCCTTGTCTTGAAATAGATAGCGGTCAACTCTTGGGGAAGTTCGTCGTGGCGAGAGATCGAAATATTAAAGTCATATAGAACATGGGCGCTGTGTTATGTAAGTTATAAAAGCCGCTAGGACTGTTGATGAGATGTACGTACATGGCATCGTAGCAAAAGAATACTCGCAATTTTTCAGTAGTATTACTTGAATTCCTCATGCTAAAGCTCTGCCATGGCCCAGATTGTTCAGTAGGCACACCGAGATTATCTAGATGGCATTTCGTGTTAGAATTGCCGATACAAGATGGAATATCCCAGAGAAGATATGCATGCCCAGGGGAGATTGCTCCAAGTGGACGCAAAAGTCTGGAACCAAGACCTTGAACTTGTGGCGAAGCAAAGGTCAGCTGGCACAATTGCGTCCTATCGGACCACGAAGAAGATAGTTGTGCAATCAAAGCTGTCAGGATCGCTGAAGTTCCGGTAAATCTCGGGGATGTTGAAACTGTTATTCATTTGGCTTTCAAGCTAGGGTAATCTTCTTTGTGTAGAATATGTGGAAACATCTTGAGTTCCAAGTACTGTGAAATGTATGCTTGGGCGAGCACATATGACTCTGGTGTCAAACAAAGCTGCCATGCCTTGGTAGGGTCGTAGTCCTTTTCTCAAGGGTTGGTCACTGATGGGGAGAACCCCGCGAATGGAGACACCGGTATCGGAAACAGCATCCTGTGGTCGTGTCGGCTCCGAAAACTCCAAAAAATTTGCAAAGTTAGTGGGATAGAGAGTCCAATAGTTGATATAATCTGTTGGAATACCGCTAGATATGCCAGTAGCTTGAATCCTGGTCTCTGGGGATCCCAAGAGCTGCCCTCCAGCGACATCGCTAAGGAGAAAGGTAGACGTAAATTGAAGAACGGTGGTGATTAATGTCAGTGGGATGATCAAAGCCAAGTAAGTTAGTCCCTGCGAGCCACGGCCGTTTTGCACACACATCCAAAGAATGAGTAAAGGGCCGGAATTCGAATACCGAAGGATTGAGAACTGGGCTGCCTCTTTCAGCCGGACTCCCCGAAGTTCCAATAGAAGAGTTGCGAGCATAGACGTTGCTACAACAGCCTGGACCGAAGACGCCGTACGTATAACGACGGACGCAGTTGTTGCCGACCTGATTACCCATCGTGTTCTCACAATCCTAGCCCAGTTGCAGTCCGAAGAGTTGCCGTTCCAAAGCCAGCCGAGATACGCCATTGATGTTACTAAGAGAGAAATAATATCGCAAGTCGCAGCTTCAATACGCCAGAACGCCGATTTTTAGTGATATCGCGATAGGTAGTAGAGTATTATCGTGCACTTATTACGCGAGTGCGTGGATGCATTAAGTGCCAGACAGCAGGCTTTATTGTAAAAACCAGTGTCTGTGGTAGGTGCAGGGTGTAGCACCTGAACCGTAGTTTTAAACTATAATCCGCTCTTCCAGCGTTGACTTTACTTTCAAACAAAGAAATTGATATATGGCAGTTAATTACTCTACACGTCCTCGCGACGTGCACTGTACGCCTTAATATCTTCGAACTCTTTACCACGTGCAGAAGCGCATCCACAATTACTATTTTGACTTCCTTTATCCTCAATTATTCCGTATCATTCAGCAAAAGTTTTGGAGAAACAGGACTTTCTTATACCACCACCCATGGTAAACTGGGCCACGACTGTGAGCACTCAATTTGAAATCAATAGTTTACAATTATCCTAGAAGGCAAGGATCAAACCTGCCGAATTTAGTCTGCATATCCCTGGTGCCCTTTCGATGTTTTCATCTAATAAAGCCGCAAGCCTCCCCAGGTGTGGCTGTATTACGGCCGTACCCGAGATAGTCAGGGCGCAACCTGCCCAATGGAGGAATTCCTCGGCTGTTCTATGGAGCTCATTTCCAGCAGACCCACAACTCCCCCTCAAACGCGCCACCCATAAATTATAATCGTTGAACACAGACTTGTTCGACCCTTGTATCATACGCAATGGAACATACGCAATGGAAAGCCCGGGCTGATGACGAGCATCCAGCTATTTTTGCGCAACCTGATCATTAGTCAAATCCTTATTTATAACTGCTTTCCCGCACCTCGGAGTGATTGCACCCAGTAGCCGTGTTACTCCTCTCAATCGGTCTTCCTACATTTGCGTTCTCTTGCGTCTTTACCTTCACAATGCGTTGCTCGATTTTCAGTCTTGCGTGCCTTGTCACATCTGCTGTGGCATCCTCTCCGGTTACTTCCAATGTGTCAAAAGTGCATGAAGAGACTCGCTCTCTTGATGAGATACACAAGGCTGCCCTCGCTGAAGGGGGCGTCGTTACGCTTTGGCACGGGGGCGACGAGGCGAATCAGCAGAGTTCCCTGAAGACTGCCTTCGAGGCTCGCTTTCCCGGTATGACTCTCAACGTCACCGTGGACCTCTCCAAGTACCACGATGGGAATCTTGACCAGCAAATCGCGGATGGCAACGTTCAGGTCGACAGCATCATTCTCCAGACGCTGCACGACTACCCGCGATGGAAGGAGCAAGGCGTCTTACTTAATTATGCACCGGCCAATTTCGGCAAGGTCCATGGCAGCTTCAAAGACGCGGATGCGGCGTACATGGGCTTACTCATCTTTGCTTGGGGATTGATCGCGAACGTGAACAAGACAAACACCGTGCTGGCCGAATATCCCGACTTTCTCAAACCAGAATTCAAGGATAAGCTCGTTCTCACGTACCCAAACGACGACGATGCGGTTCTGTACCAATTCGACCTTATGTAAGTTATTGTGTCAGCCCATAAACACCCACATTATATTCAATACTGATCCTCGTTCAACAGTATCCAGCAATACGGCCTAAGCTGGTTTGATGCCCTCCTAGCTCAAAATCCTCGTTGGGTCCGTGGCACCGAAACACCAGCGACGTTAATCCGCTCGGCCAACAGCTCCAGCGTCGCCACGTTCACCTCAGGCATCAGCCTACCCCTCCCAGCTGGCAACACGTTGCCCACCCAAGGAGAATTCGTTTCGTGGCCTCAGACAGGAGCCATTCTCAAAAAGGCACCTCACCCGGAAGGCGCAAAGTTGCTCCATAACTTCCTCCTCAGTACTGAGCATCAGACTACCCAGGGTTGGAGCGTGAGAGACGATCTTCCAGCACCGGCGGGACTCTCTAAGATCTGGGAGCAAGAAGGCACAAACATAACCGGCTTTGGTGCATGGATGAGCGACCGAGCGAACGTTGAGAGGAGGAAGTATTGGTATGAGAATAAGATTGGAACAGCACAAGGATTAAGCCCCCTTGTGGATGACTTGTGAGCTAGACATGTATGTCAAGTTAAGTTATGTTGTATTGACTATCGCCAAACTCGCTGCGGATTAATTCATTGGCGATTTAACCAAGATCAAATTGTCAAGACATGATCAATTTATTGCGAGCGTAGCAGCGTGAAGCGTTCATATTTGGAAGCCTATGAAGATGAGTATCCTATAGCACGACCTTGTTAGGTGCCTCCTGCTCCTCTGGCTCATCGAAGATGTTGATGCTCCAGCGCGGTTTGTCTGTGATCTTGATTAACTCGTCTTCCTTGTAATGACATTGCTTTGGAGGTGACTTACTCGCAGTGTACGGCACATTGTACCGCCTTCTGCCCTGGTACTCATCGGAGAACTTCTGGATGGCAGCAATCTCTTGCTCGTCCAGCTCGATCTCCTTGAAGTTCTCTGCAATCCTAGACGGCGTGACTGACTTGGGAATGACAGAGTGGCCGCCGACCTGGCTCCAAGCCAAGATGACTTGCGCAGGCGTGGCACTCTTCTTCTCGGCAATAGCCTTAATCTCCGGGCGGGTGATGAGAAGTGGGATATCGAAGGCGTTATTGCCGAAGGCTGAGTAGGCAGTGATGTGGATGTTCTTCTCCTTGGCGTAGGCGATGAGCTCCTTGCTGGGAAGGATAGGATGACGCTCAATTTGCAAGACGCTGGGCACGATTTCGGTCTTCTCAACCAGAGCCTTCAACGTCTTGTATGTGAAGTTGGACACACCGACGGTGCGGACCTTGCTCTTGGGTAGCTTGCTCACGGCCTTCCATGTCTCGCTGTTGGGTATCGAGTTGTCAATGTTGACCTCATTGGGATCCGCAGTAGCAGGGAAGAGATCCGTATGAGGACCCTTGCCTGGGCCAAAGTTCACAGGCCAGTGAATGAGGTACAGGTCGAGGTACTCGAGCTCGAGCTCAGCGAGGGTGTCGTCGAGAGCGGCCTCGACGTGAGCCGGGTCATGCTGCGAGTTCCATAGCTTTCCCGTGATGAAGATGTCCTCACGCTTGAGGCCGGGAATGTCCTTGAAGGCACGCTTGATGCCCTGGGCGACTTCTTTCTGGTTCTCGTAGCTGTAATTGGTGGAATTATTCGTTAGCTAGCGCTCTCGATGAATGTTTGTTGTGGAGAGAGGTCATAGCTCCTTCATCTGCCCCACCGAGGGGCATCCAGCTCAACCTCTACCAACATGTTGCGAGGGGCTCTTGCGGCGGCGGCAGCGGTAGCGGCGGTGGGGATGCGACGGATATCATGACAACCGAGTGGAGTATACGTACATCTTTGCGAGGTCCTGTTTGCCGTATTAGCCATCTATCGCCGACATCCCAGTGCTTGGTAAATCGCTACCCGCGTGCTTGACGCGACAAAGCTATATTGGGGAGTCAAAAGTGACTTACAAGGTGTCGGTATCCGATCTTCAGGGCTTCGTAGACGCCTTTTTCGACCTCACCAGGAGCAGCTTGCCAGGTACCATATCCCAATTGGCTGTTGCAGAAGGCTTGTCAGCGAAAGCTCCAGTTACGCATGCTTTGAGAGGAAGCACGAGAACATACGGGATCTTGTAGCCAGTGCTAAGAGTAACAGTCTTTCCGGAAGACATTCTGAAGGAGGTCTGAAATTTGAATGGTAGAAAGGTGTAACGAGGTATGGGTAGTGATCGAGACCAGGAGGGTGGGATCGCTCTTCTTAAGTATCTCATGGCGACAGCTCTCGGCCATCAGGCCGGCGGAATGGCGTTATGTACTCGCAGCAGAAATTGCTCCATAGCGCGGGAGGATGAACATAACAAGTAAGGTATAGTATCATGTTGGTTGGGATCACTGTAGATGGCGGGATAATTGTGTACTTTCGCGACAACGAGATACCCCGCTGGCGTCATTTAGAGTGATTTCGCACAGCAATTAGCGCTTTGGCGGGGCACATGGCTCGGTGGGAAAGCCGCCGAATGTCCTCTCAACAACACAGTCGCTCTCACTCACACCTTTGCTTGCCTGAGTCTGTTCTGTTTTTTCAATTATTTTCCTACGCGTATAGAGCAGCTCTATTTCTCTCTATAGCTGTCTTTACTCAACGATCGGTCTATCAGGCGCAGAATATCCCATTGTGCTTCTCAAACCTAGCACGTGCTGCAATCGTGCAGTAAAGACTCATGCCAATAACAGCGGGCTGCCTTCTCTGTGTTCGGCGTAGTTTGACTCGATTCCTTATTCCAATCAATCTTAAACCAGGAATTCTGCCTACCTGAACTAGACGAAGTTGGAAAGTAGCTTCATAGAGACCATCGTTAAAGTTTCCACATAGAGAGGAGGTGCGTGAGTCTATCAATAATTTGTTATGAGAGCTGCGTTGTAGAGGGACATGGCCGTTATTGTAGTCATACGCAACACTTGGTGCCCAAACATTGGGGGCTCATAACCGCACCCTAAGGCCTCACACTGTATCGTCCCCACTAGCTTCACGAGCCGCATTTGAAACCATGAGCAACCGTCAGTCTCTCTTCAATTGTACTTCCTAGTTGTAGTTATATATCAATTTTTCTGAGGTGCCCTTGAGCTGTCCTTGGCGTGCGATGAGCTCATGTCCAAAAATAGCTTCAGGGACACACGGACGTTCAGCCTCATGAATGTCACCCAAAACATCAGCGCGTCCCTTTCTGACTAAACTAGGATTCGACCTCGAAGCTGCGTTTGACGAGTCGGCTTGACCCCTCCCCGTCACGGTCAAACATGGTGGCGGCATTGACAGTCAAGCGGCTTACATCTCATGCCTCATCCTGGGGTCCAATGATAAGTGAGAATTGGGCCCAGGCAGCAGCAGTCGCATCACCTGAAGCGAGCTTACCGGCTCATGTTCTGACCGGCAATAAATGAGCGCCAATCAGATCGTTATGCGCAGTTGCGACGCAGCTGCGTTGTGCGCGCTCTCGCATTTTGTATTTCTCAGATCTAATTCGAGAGGACGTCGAGGTTCTCGCCCACGACTAACACCTTTATTGCACGACCATACCTTCCTACCGCAAGGCCTATTACTTGCAACAAAACTTACTCCTCGAATTCTAGCCGATAGCTAAATCTTTTGACCATTATCCAAATCACACAATCAACGGGTTACTTCCAGTCACCGCTCGGAGCGATGAGTCCAAGAATGCCCTTGGGCGATTATTCGAGTATGTATGCCCTTGAATCTGACTGTAAATACTGATTGTGAAGGTTCAGACATCAAACTAGCTATGCGCGATTCACCGTGTGATGGAGAACGCAATGGTGAGATTGCTGCCTGTCATCGACGAAGCTGTGCTTACATAATGCTAGGCACTCCAGTATGGACCAGAAATCCTTTTGCACCCGAGAACGAGAACGACACAGGAGAATTGCCAACGGATCGTAAAGATGTTTGCGAAGAAACCCACGCAGTACTAAAGAAGGTGCTTGGTTGCGCCCAGCCAGCGAGCTGTCCTAAAGATGTAACGCTTTTTGAACACTCCCTGAAACCGCCGAGACCTGCTCCTATCTACGAAGACAAACAAAACGAGGAATACTGGACATTCCTGAAATCAGTGCCAGATATCCAGACCGACAGTTTGTCACCTCTTACAAGGTGCCCGAGTCTCATGAGCGGCAGCACGTTGAGCAGTCGCAACTCTTCAACGAGGTCCACAAGATCATATGTATGGGATCCTAGCGATGACCACAACAACAATGCCAGAGAGGTTTGTCTTGTACCCGACTGCAGTGGTTTCTGCTCGAAGGACGTAAACGCCCACATACGGACGACACATTTTACAGAACGGCTTGTAGACACGTGCCCAGTGAAGACTTGTGATCGACACATGAGAGGCTTCACCCGAGCTGGGGACAGAAGACGACATGTTTTTACCCACTTCAAGGGGGTACTACTTTGCGGCTTTTGCAAATCTTACGCGACGTGCTTTTCTCAAGCGTCCGATCGAGTCGAGCTGTTCATGACCCATCTCATAAAGAAGCACGGAGTCAGACCACTACAGATCGATCAGCAGTCGGATGGCGCAAGATTAATAAGGAAGAATCGCAAGTCTAGTGGGAGCTGCCCGGTGACTACCTGTTCCGTGTGTTCGGAACCATTCACTGCTCAAGTCTTGTACGCGCATCTACCCGGGTGTATCCTTCGCGAAGTTACCAGAAATAAAGAACCCACCGGTTCGGCAATGCGCGAAGATGTCAGCGCCGCTTACCAGGTTCCCGATCTTCAATCAATGGAAGAGATGCATCCAACCTCTTCAATAAGTGAGGAAGAGCACACTTCATGCGGCCAAGATATCTGTCAGCCTAAGCTGCTACAAGCATCCGTCGAGTCAGATGTGCTAGAGTCTAAAGACATTGAAGAATTGACGGCGTCGTCGCGTTGCCTGTCGCTCACGTCATCAAAAGCTGTTGAATCATCCGAAGAGGATACAGATTGGACGGAGGAGGGTACCTCGAGAGAAAGCTCACCAGGTATCTCACAACTTCCACGGCGATTATCACCCGCAAAGAAACAAGTTGTGGAGACAATCATGCAAGAATTTCAGCGTATCTTCGGTCATTGCCTACGAGCCCATACGACTGGTGGAAGTAGCTCAGGCTCATCACACGATGGATACAGTGGTTGGTCGAGTAACACATCGACCTATTCTAGCGCATCATTTGTCTCGCGGAAGCGAAGCTTGAGTGGAGGCGGCTCGACACCGCCTAACGATGACGATGACTCAAACAAGCGTCGCCGGCCAGATTCGACGGTTGATGGGAAGCAGCCTTTGACCGACCTTAGGTTTGCGTGCCCGTATTATAAGCGCAATCCAGGAAGACACCCAACTTTCACATCTTGCCGAGACCCAGGCTTCACCACCGTTGCGAGACTAAAGTAAGTCATATACATAGCCGTCTGTGCGCACCTACATGCTCCAGCGGCTGTCGCTACACGAGATTTGCTGATGAAGACAGGGAGCACTTATATCGTCGCCATCTACTTCCACCGCAATGCCATCGTTGCTGCACAACATTCAATAACGATGTTGCCCTTCGGGAACACCAACGTGACGCCCGTGGCTGCGAAGTCCAAGAGCAAACTCCCCTAGAGGGCTTCGACAAGGATCAAGAACGACGATTGAAAAGCAAGAAGAGAAGCCAGCAATATCAAAGTGAAGAGGATAAATGGAAGGGCGTATATCGAATTCTCTTTCCGGATGATATTGAAGCCGACATACCCAGTGCCTGTAAGATTCCTCAATTATGATGTATACAAAATCATAGCTGACGCAAGTATAGACATTGAGTATCAGCCGTGTACCCGCCAGACCCCAGAACCATCCGACATCACCCAATTCCAAGAATTTACACGGCTAGAACTACCGCGCCTAGTCAGAAGAACACTCGAAATCGTCGTCGAACAAGAAGCGCAGCCACTGGAAGACAAACTGAAAGAGCGTCTAGTTGACATCGTCAAAGAATGCCAGTCACAACTCGTTAACATGTTTCAAGCCGCCAGTGGGCCTGTTCCCATGACATTGACACCACCCAACGACGCTGTACAACATTCTAATACTCACAATGCACTCTCAGTCTTTGAGGGCTTTGACACACTGCCATATCACAATGAACTGGGTAGTAATAACGTACGCAGCCAACCTGCACAATACCAATCCGACTCGCCAGATGCAGGCTACAACACTTCCTGGCCCATGACAATCAACCTTTCACAAGCACCCATGAACGAATCAAATGACCCGACAAGCACTGTACAACCAATAGCTCTCACCATGCATGAAAATGCAAATCTAGACGGTTACTACGATGTCTACGGCCAGCGAGCAGGAAACGTCCAGCCTGCAGTCGATTTCAACGCTGACGCTTGGTCGTTCATTGATGTCTTACCGCGCAGAGGCGGAGGGGAAAACAACGGTATTGGATTTGGGTTGGAGTCGTTGAGTGAGTTGGATCCTCCTGCGTGGCTGGGGATGTAAGGGCGTTTTATACCTGGTATGCAGATGACTACCCGGACACGGGCAACTTATAGGAATGATTGATAATGATAAAATCTCTTCAATTCGTAGCCTGAAATAACCCCAGAAAATATATGTATGTGAGGAAATGAGGAAATGAACGATAGAGTGAATAGCAAAGACTAATAACGCAAAGTTCTGGCAAGGATCTACCTATATATATGTCCACTTAACTACATACATAGATCTTTATAAGATAAATTATAGGAAAATCGTCAAGCACTAATTAAGCAACAGTATACTGCACAAGTAACCAAGCCCGCTTGTATGAAGCCGCCTTCGGAAACGTGACTTCGCAATCAGCCAAGGTAACAGAAAACTCAGGCTGACCTTGAGGTGTCTCGTTCTGAAGCACTAGGAGCTTACCGACAGTCTCGCTTGCTGGCACGAATTTGATCGGTGTTTCGATACCTGCAAACTTGATCTGCACCGGGTTGGTGGGGGCGTACGGCTCAACTGCGTCAGCCGCCTCAAGAACCATCCAAAGTTTGCGTGCAGTGATTGTCTTGTTCGCCGTCCAGTAGGGTAGACGGGAAGGCATTTGGGCGAGAGTGAATTTAGCGGGGCCGCTCTCTTTCTTCGTGCTGGTTTTGAACGCGTTATACCACTCGTTAGGAAAGTCGGCTTTGAGGTCAAGCAGCGAAAGCAAACCACTTTCTGATTGCACCTGCAGTTTGGCGTGGAAGTCGAGGACGGCTTCCTGCGCGGTCTTTCGCCATGCGCCACCGCCCTCGAGCGCCGTGTACCGGACGTGCATGACGACATCGCTGATGGTGTTGTAGTCGAACTGTCTGACCGGTGACGGCAGTTCGATGTGCCATCGCCCGATGACACCGGCGCCTTCGAACGGAATGTAGCGCTCGTCTTTGAAGCTGAGCTCGAATCTGCCGGAGTCTTGCATCGCGGAACTAATGGCCAGGCTGGTTACGGGCACACGGTCGGTGTGGAAGCGCTCGTCGCCGGTGATGTCGATGTCGTAGTAGTCTCCTGAACTGCTCTTTCCGGATTTGATACGGTATTGATGTTGGAGCAGGGTGAGAGAGCAGCTTGGTGTCGTATAAGGGCCTAGGATACAAGGTATAGAAAGTGAAACAGACTTGATCCGGCGGCCATAGTGCCCAGGGAAGTCCATGTCGAAAAGCACTTCTGGCAGCGAAAATTCAGTAGCGCCAGACTCCCGCAGACGTAGCAACGCCCAGGGCGCAATCTGCCTCAGTGAAATGTTCTTCGTCAGCTCGTGATCGTGAGCGTCGCGGTTAAGGAGATTATGCTCGATTCGTCGAAGCTCCAAACCCAGCGAGTGGCCTGATAACAACCCGTCGCGAGCTTCGTCCCAATGGGCGCCCGTCAGGCTGCGCTGATACTTGGGGCCGTACTCAAACGCGTACGCCGTCTCGGCGGCCCTCGCGACCTCTAGTGCAATCAGGTATGTTTGATGGAAAAGTTTCCTCGTGACGCCTTCGATCCAAGCGTAGAGAGCCTCGTTTGTGAACTTTGTCTTGAGGAACTCTTCGGCTTCGACAAGATTCGCAGTTTGCTGTGTCTGCATTTTGATCTCGGCATCGCAAACGGCGATACGCTTCTGCTGTGCTTCGAGCTGCTTGTCAATATTCTTAATCTCTCGTCCAGTATTGTTTGCCTGTAGTCGGCGGTCTTGAAGCTGTCGGATCAGGGTGGCTTTGCGAGAGGCACTTCCAGCTTCGTTAGAGCTCTTCTGCGCACCCGCCTTCATCACTTCGGCAGTAAACATGATGCCCCGAATGATGTTAGTTGCATCGAATTTTGTTGCGACACCCACGCCCATGGGCGAAACTTCGGTGGTGAGCTCGGGGAGAACTGCTAGCGCCGAGCACCCGTTTTCCAGCGCCGTCGCGAGTTCAGTGAGTCGGTTCGCTGCGTCGGTCTTGTCCATCTCGAGTTTTTCTTGTGGCGACATTCTCAGCTCGTCCTTCGTAGGCTCCGGAATGGCCTGCTCAATGTCGTCCCATTCGGCCTTGTTGATCTGATCCACCTTAGACTCCTCACCCACCAGTCGCAGGTAGTATCTGAGCCGCATAAGAGCTGTCTGGCGCGAATCCTTTAAGACCTCGATCGATTTCAAAGCCTCTTCACGCTGCGCAACCTTGATGTCCATGAGCACCGCTTGTATGGCTACTTCTTGTCTGGCCTTCAAATTGGAGAGGTGTTCACCATCGCGCTTTTCCTTTACCGAAAGCAATGCATCGCCCAGGCTTTTGATTTCGCCCGCCAGGTCCATAGCTTTGCCCAACAAGTACGCAGCGCGGTAATTCGGCATGGGCCCTCCAGCTATCTCGAGGAATCCAGCAAACCCCCCTGAGCCTGCTGCGGCATTGACGAGTTGGCCTGGATCAATTGGCGGGTCAAACAACGGCATCCTCCGAACGTTGCCATTTATATCAAGTCCATTGCGCAGTTTATACAATCTGTCATCAATTGTTGCTCGTAGCGCAGCAAGCTCTGGGTTCGGAGGCACAGCGAAGAACGTGGAGCGAGCAAAACCCAGTAACTCCTTCTCAGATTCATTCGGCATCTTATTCCCCGCCGTAGCTACGAAGAATGGGAACTGCAACTCCATGTCGACATTCGCCGTACTAAAGTCGTTCAGCAAATTCTTCAAATCGTAGTATGTTTTCGTCACTTTGGTGGTAGGCCGCATGATCGTCTGTGGGGCAGGCCCGAATACTTCTGATGCCTCAATGTACCGCTGCAACGCCAGCGTGATTGTGTCCATAGAGTTCTGCCTAAAGTAGACGTCGCCACTCGCGATGAGAATCTCAATATACTTTGCAATGAAGCGCTTCATGTACACTGCCGGGCGACCTCTAGCGACGATGTGTGGAGCGAAAGGATGTGATCGCCAATTATCTATATCGGCTGAGACACCCGTACCAGCACCGAGGGATTGTAGGATTGTTTTTGCCGAGCCTTTCTGTCGTACGATTGGCGATCTGAAAGGTAGGAATCGCCAGCATCGATCAAGATGCGATATTGCTGTCTTGTCGCTTGCAGTCAATGTATCTGAACCCTCCTCGTCTCGTGTGGGGTCGAATACCATACGTGCGACATTCAGAGCTAGCTCATGTTGCTGTGTTGCTAACAAGCGCTCCATCAGCAGAGCCACAGCATGGAACCCCAGCTCCCAGTTGTACAGGGCATAAGGTCTCGCAAGCTCATGGAATGTGTTACCGTCCTGGCCGAATGCGTTGATTTGCAGGGGATGCTTAACATTTTCGAGAACCCTGAAGATCGGAGCCAGGTCTTCTGTTGTGCTAGCTCGCTCCACCAGGGCATGCGATATGCCATGAGTGAGGACTTGTGTGTCCGTGGTAATCTTCTCCTTGAGATTGAACGCCCCGGTTTTGAGATCAATAGACGGGAAACCGAAATACGTTTGTACATCTGTTGATGTGGTTCGCTCGACGACGAGACCAGCGGCGCCAGGATATTGAGACTCATCCAAAACAATGGGCCAAACGAGCTTCTGTTCTCCAGCATTAGAAACCTGGTCGCTTCCTGGTGGGACTGCGAGAAGTAGCGGCTCGTTTGGCTGAGTCGGACTCATAGAGATCTGAGACACAGCTGCCTTGAGGTCATCCAATGTTACAGCCTGTGTTTTGCTTTCCAGCTTCGAGAAGGAAGTTTTCGAGGTCTCAGTCTCAGTTGTACCCACTTCATGACGTACGAGCACCCTCGACCCTTGAAGTTCAAACTGTCCGCAAACCTTGTATACAGTCTTCGTCGTAGCTAACTCGTAAGATTGTTCAACATCAATGACCAAGATCTCGCGGAGTCTTGGGTCTAGAGACGTCGATGAGCCTGAGGATGTCGTAGGAGGTTGGAAGCGGGGTTTTAGACGGAACCGAAACTGGGCGATGGGAGGGAGGGCACCCGGTGCTGACGCTAGCACCTTGATTCCGGTAGATGTTACTTGCTTGGAACCCCATTTCCCATTCTTGTTCTCCGTCCAAGCCATCTTGATTTCCCACATCTCGGTTGGGGGAGAAACGCTTGTGTCTGAATTGACGAGCGCTTTCGGTGACTGAATAGTGGCCGGTGGAGGAGACGATTTTTTGAGAAATTGGGGGATGAACAAGAAGACCCTTCCACGGTACAAGGCAGGCAAGAGGTATGTTCCTGGTCTATTGACAGCCACGCCATTAGCATTCACCTCGTGCAATGGTATGTCGACTTCCATTTTGGTCCATGGATACCAGTCCCACCGAGCATCAGAGGCTCTAACGCCGCCAATCTCCAGTTTGCGGTAGTAAAACACGTACGGAGCCGTCCTAGTACGGGAAAAGAAATGAATGCGCGCGTGAAATCCCCGGGATGCCTCCCAAAGGTAACTCTCAACCTCAAGGTCTGCGACATCATCGACAGCGTAGATGTAGTCACGCAGGATCTGGCCGATTGTCTCCTCGTTAAGACTTGTTTGTAGCACACGTGCTTCAAGCTGTTGGAACGGCTCTGTTTTATCATCGCGAAGTGTTGGATCAGCCCAGTTCTCAGGGTAGAGAAAGACTTTGCGGTTTGCCTGCCAAAGTGCATATCGCGACATCCATGCCCAAATCTCTTTGCTGATGATGGTTTTCTTAATGCCGTTTTTCTTTTCCATCCCAAGGAGACATCTTTGAATGAACAACTGCACCGTTGAGATGGCTTGACGAATCCTGGTAGTCTCCATCTGCGAACCCATTTGAACGTCAATGAGGAAGTGTTCAAAGAGACCATATTCCGAGCGGATCTCTAGCTTCTTGAAATCGGTCTGTGCGAGTAGATACGACGTCAACACGTCTTGCTTCTTCTTTCTGATTGTGTCAATCACGAGAATGCGCAGATTCTTCTCTTGGAAAACCAAGCTGCAAGATCGCAGGTGAGAGAATAAATCCACATCTTCATTGGCCGCGGAATCCACAAATGCGTTCGCCCAGGAGAACCAGGCAGCCACACCAAAACCGAAGCGATTCGCCAGGTCGAAGACTGCCTTCATGCGCGCCAGCTCTTCGCTTAAAGTTCGCAGCGAGGAAAGTGTTTTGAGATAGGTGGGGTCGCTTATCGCTTCAAGATACTCTGTGACCTTTGCCTCAGGCCACAGCAGTGCGGAAGCGATCTGCTTGCTAATTTCAGCTATGAACTTTTTCGCGGCGCTTTCCTGAGCCCAGTCATATGCCTGCAAGGTGTCTTTTGCCCAGTCATACAACTTAGATAAAACAGGCAGTTGTTTTGCCTCGACAATAGAGCGACAGGCGGTGAATACTTGTAAGGCCTGTAAATCGGCGAGAGCGGGTCGTGTGAGACTAAGGTTATGATGGGTTAAGGTATCGATCTGCGATGCTTCAAGGCCATGCGTCTCTACTAGCGAAGACGCAACCTGTAGCTGCCCGAGAAATGAGTTGAAAAAGGGAACCGAAGACAAGGGAAATGCGTTGGCAGAAGAGAATTTGGCCACTGGAGAGGCACCGGAGAACCAGGTAGCGGCTCCAAGACTGCCAGCCTTATCGATTGAAATGCGACAAAGCTTATCACTACTCAGCTGTAGGCCTTTTGAGGCCGTATCTGCCGCAGAGTCACCGAAAACGACCTCTTTATGATCAATATTGACGGTCATGCTGTGGCCGGCCGGGGGGGTGAATGTGTATGATCCAGTAGTCGGTGGCAAGAAGTACGCACTACTTCCGAAACCCTTCTCATCCGCCAACTGTATGAACTGGGAAATAGATGAAATGCCTTGCACCGCTGGACTACTCTTATCAGGCTGCATAGTGATACTTTCCGAGAGCGTAGGTAGAGATTTGCTTGGGATATGGGCAAACGTGTTTGCAAGGCTAGACTCCACCGCCTCATTCAGAGCTTTTTGGAGCCATACAGAATGTAGCCTGAGCGCAAAGTCATAACAGCGCTCTAAAATGGCTTCGTCTCGACGAGATTTCTCTTTCAAGAAAAGAGTCGAGTCCCAGAGGTATGCTGCAGGTTTGGTCGCATTCGAGAACATACGAGATGGCAGAAGATTAAAGGGCCTTCTCTGCGACTTCAAAGCATCCGTCACAGCCGCAGTCTGCCCGTTTCCAGATTTCCAAATGCCTCGGAGCGCTACCTCGTCTGACGGGTTGAGCACTCCATACAAGTAAAGAGAACCCGTGCTCTTCTCATAGGTTAACTTTGTGGAAAGACTTGCTGGGATTTCTGCGTCATCAGGCAGGGAGGCTTTGCAGGGTGTTACGATCGTGCCTACAATAAACAGTGAGCATTAATAAAAGTAGGGAGAAGCTGCAAATACCTTTAACCAACTCCAAGATTTCCGCAGGGGCGCCGGGCGCAAACAGATCAGTACTCATAGCGAGAATAAAATCGCTCAAACTCTCTACAGTTTGGCTGGCACGATCAGCAAAGAGGCCTGCATACTTCGACTTGATGTCAGTGGACTTTCCGAGCACCGACCGCAGGAAAGGATATGTGAGGCTTTCTTCCACGTCTTTAGGTGGAGCGGCTAATTTAATTAGGCTCTTTACCGGTAAAGTACTTGCGGAGAGGCTGTGCCACGTCTGAAGTGCTGTGAGTGTGTTAAGGGGGTTCTCGAAAAGAGCCCGATCGCGAGAAAAAATATCCAACCAAGCTCTAATATACGCAGTAGGTATTGCTGTCATCTTGAGTAGCAGCCAGACCCTGTACAGTTTCGTCATATTTGCCGACGTCCAGACATCGTTGAACTGAAGATCTGCCGCAGAGACAAAGTCGGCGAGTCCCTCGTCGTTAACGTTCAAAGCCAGCTTCAGCGCAGCCGAAACCTCGGATATGGTAGCTCTTGTAGCCTCTAAACCAGAAAAAAGGACACGAGGGTACTGAGTCACTAATCTCGACTTTACAAACAAGCGCTCGAATAACACCGCTTGGACTTGCTCATTTTCAAGGCCCCAAAATGGGAGAAGCTTATTGATCTCGAGACTAACCAGAGTCGAAAGCGTTTTGACTTGCGCAAGCGATTCAAGCGTTTGACAGTCAACATTCATGCGAGCAGCCTCTTCGCCATCGACGCAATTAGGCCGGGCGAAGAGTACCAAAGCCTCGTCGATCTCATTTATATCCCAACCACTTCGTTTCCAAAGCCGAATGAATGCCTGTAGGGTGTGGCAAGTCTCCTCGGACAACGGCACAGTGGCGCTCCCTGAATTGACGCGTGAGGTCTCCAAAAGCGTGAAGTCGCCAAGCCTTTCCGAATACTTGCCCTGGAATTCTGGCAGGATGGCGAGGCGGCGGCCCACAAACTTGGTGTCCAAGATTCTAATGAGCTCCTTGAAAGAAAGGCCGCTTCTCGGAAGGAGTTCGTCTCGAATGTTGGAGAGACCCTTTGAAGACGCAGCATCTGTCATTTGCTTCTCTGCGGTGTTCGTCTCGTCAACAGGCGCGTAGCCCCAATATGATGCCGTTGAGTGACCACCAATATAGGATATGTATGCATTTTGGTCGGCTGGAAGTGCGGTGGAATTGCTCGATCGAACGAAATCTAGGTCGTAAAAGCCTTCTTTGGTGATGGCGATCCAATCGCAATGTTGCAAACCGAGTGCTTCGGCCGCCCATTTCCGATCGTTTGCAACGCTTGCTGCGTGAAGAAGCCGTGGCGAGTCGGATGAGCCGAACGCGTTGCGACTCAGGGTTGCATCGGAACGGAAAAGGTTCAGCAGCTCGAGCCGCGAGACCCCTGCGGTATGAAGCAACTCTCGGGTCGAAAACACGGCGTTATTGTAGGGAAAAGCTGAGACTGGATAGGCTTGTTTTCCAATTGGTGAAACAAATATTCCCCCTGCATTTGGGAGGGCAAGCTGTGCAGAGTCGTCCGTGTCATCGATCTCGTTCAGTGTATTTGCGGTAGCAGTGGAGTCTCCTTTGCCTTCTCGGATGAAAGCCTCCATGACTTCATTTGCCAGCCCGTTGTATGAGACCAGTTTAGTCGTGTTAGCCCTGGACAAATGCAAATGGGCGATGTCGGGCCTTCGGTCTTCGAACAGATTTAGAAGCGTTTTTTCATCCGTGACTTGGCTCTTTTTCAGGAGCTGCAAAAGATCGACAAGGTACGCTGCTGGGCTGAGGACGGAGTTGGTTTCGTCGTACTCAACGCTATCCATTTCGTTGAACAAAGTGGTGAGGTTGATAGGCACCGCTTCATTGGGTGCAGAGGAATCTTTAGACACGTCTATTTGACCTTCCACCGAGAGCAGCGGGACTTGACTGCGTGAGCGCAGGAACTCTGACCACAGATCTTCGTTCCTCAGGTCGATGACACTGGCTCTTGAATGAATGTCTGCCGCTACGGTGGATGAAAAGCCAGCCTTTTCCATCATGTCAAGGAAGTCGCCACGATTGCGTGCAGCAATTGTGTGCGCAGACGTCAAACTGGCTTTGAGTAGACATCCAATGGTTCGTGGGTTCTTGACCACAGGAATTAGACGTTGCAAGGATTTGATGTCCTCGAAAAGAACACCCGAATCTGCAGCATTCTGTCCATCATGAGACGGATCATTTGCTACAAAGTCCAATAGCGATTCTTTAACAAGATTGGCGCCTGCAGCTACAGCACGCTCCAGGATATCCAGGACCTTGGCCTTCGTGTCCGGTTTTATGCACAGCTCGTCACGACGGTGCAATGCTAGGAGTACTGCAGCGGGTTGCTTCTCGAAGAGCGCTTCCTCAAAAGGTTGCACGTCGCTCGCCATAAGTGCTAGCCCTCTATCCTTACTCGCCGAGGAGAATACAAAAAGTGAGACATCGCTCAAGCTTTTCAGCCCAGGTTTTTGAAGTATCGCAGTACATGCTGTGGAACTGTGACAAAGATCCCACAACTCAGCGCAGAACACAATGCGCAGTCTTTGTTCTTTGTTTCCCCCACTTTCTGCAGAAGAGATTATGCGTAGGATATCTGAAGGTGTCTTTTTCTCTTTTGCAGGTATGGCGGCGATGTCAGGCCGATTGGGGGCAAGGCCAAGGGCATTCAAAAGCCCCGTGAGCTCACTGCTTCTGTCTATAGACAACGGAGGGGTCATCTTGCCCAAGTAGACAACCGGGTCGATAGGTGAATAGGAACAAACGAAAGAAAGACTGTCGACGGGTTCGACGAACGCTTACGTTGGTGAACGAAATGGAAAGACTTCTGAAAGCGTGCAAGGTGGGATTTGATAATGCGAGGTCAGACAAACGGCATCTGTTTATGATGATGACAACTGATCTCCTACCGCCTCGTTCACAGATGCGCGACCTCAACAAGCAAACCGGGGGTAGTGAGTAGTCTGTAAGAGGATTTCCAAAGCGCCTACGCCCTAGTTGAGCTATCGCTGGTTCTGTGACCATCGCTTGCTCAGAAATTCAGCCAGCCCACTAGCTGATGACACAGCGCAATGGATGCGGAGACTCATGCTGATCCAGAACGCTATTAGGTTTGTGGGTTAGTCGTGGAGAGCAAAAGAGATCGAGCTGAAGCGTGGCGGGCTCAGCTCGGCGTGGCGCGTCTGGGCCGTCTCGCTTCCCACCTTTGGTCGCCGTCGTCTAACCGCTAACGTCGCCACGTGGCCGGGCCATACTTTTCGGCTGCTCTCGTCTTTTCCCTTTATGGACGATTGTGGTTGCGTTATCATGTGTGACAATTGAATGTGGCGTTCGACCCAGCTGCTTCGAGACAGGCGATGATCGCTCAGCTCTCCATTGTTTCTTCGAGTGGATATCTTCCAAAAGCAGGTTGGCGAGAGCAGACTAGCGAGTCACGAATCGGCCCGGCTTAGTGAACACGGGCGGGAAGGGTGATTGTGGAGGGGGTACAGCTCCACTCTGCATCGCTCCGCTCGATATGTACGACGCTCAGCCAGGAACATTTTCACGAGCTGAAAAAATGGACGCGTTCCAGCCCAGTGCATGATCACCTTGCGTTGCAGCCTTCGTCGGTAAGCCACACGCTCTAGTTTCTTGAAACTTACCGGTATGAAAATTTACGTATACGAACTATGATGAGCTGATTATCTCTAGTGAATGATATAGCGATGAAGTAGTATATCGACGGCAACATTCGTTGAATTGCGCCAAGCTATCGTCAAACTCGAGAGACCACATTGGCTATGCAGTATCAGTGTATTTAGATCTTGACTCTTTGTTCGCGAGAGAAACATAGCAGCCGTTATGTGTAGACAGAGGCAAAGGAATTACTAAAAAAGGACTATGTAAAGTGACACTCAAATATGCTCTGTGACATCCACCGCATCAAAGTTCTGTTCAAGACTTGACCACAATGCCAATCGGTTTGCCAAAATGTCCCTGCGACTCTCCCTTGTCATCCTTCCAATCCTCGTCGACATCGATCTCGTAAGCTGATGCTCCATTCACTCTGCCATTAAACACAATCTCAACCCAAGCGCCTGGTTCCATTTTGATAACCTTCTCCGTACCCGGGACGATCTTGACCACCCATTTGTTGAAGCCTTTGCCGGCCTCGACCATGTTGCACTCTAGCCTGCGGGCCGGCGGGCCAGAGGACTGGAGCAGCTCAACTTCGTTCACTTTGCTTGATCTCTTGGGTGTTGCGGGGGTCTCAGCCCCTGTGTCTGAACCACCTGTTGTAGCCTTCTCACCGAGCCCAAGATGAGTCTCAGCACCTGCACCGGAAGGCGTTGCTGAAGTGTTGCCAGAGACAGTCGGTGTGAGGGGTGCGGTGGTACTAGCAGGCTTAGGAGTAACAGTGGTACCGGCAGTAGAGGCGCTGGTACTGGACTTAGTGTCAGAAGCATCACCAGCTTTGCCTGCTGTCGCCGGCTGCGCTCCCTTCTCAAGGCGTACAAAGGTCTCCGCGGCAAACAAGGCACCTCCACGTCCCCCAGACTTGAATCCAAACGACAGTGCGTTCAAGTATACTGCATCAGGGTTGCTATTGGTAGCTCTTAGGCTCACCTTGGCGTCCGGATCATTTGCAATCGGTGAAGGGCCGACGGTCCACGTGAGCCAAAACTTTCCTGCAATTCGCGAAATGACACCTTGGCCCGTCTTGCTGGGTTCTACCCTAGGGGCCGGAATGGAGTCCTTCAAGGTAGGCACCACGATCCATTCGCTCTTCTCCAGTCTGTGATATGTGAGTTAGCAGCAAGTTCAATCTGTGTCTCTTCTCCTCTCAAAGTTTCAACTCACTTTCTGTAGTTGACTTCTGCCAACAAGTCACCCCATTTATTGATGACCGGGTTTGTGAAGATGAGTCTCCCGTTGCCTGGATAGACGAAGCGGCCAGCGCCCTCGAACTTTCGACGGATGTTTTCCATGATTCGAGGAATTTTCTCTTTCAGACGCTCTTCGATGAAACGCCGCATCTCTTCGTCTCTCCCCGTGACTTTGATATTCTTCTGGTTAGGTGTGAACTTCACAGAAACATCCTTTGCATCGAATGTGTGGCGGACACTAAGCTTGGAAACTGGCGCAGCGCCGGGTTTGGGAACATCCTCGACGGGCTCGATGAAAATCGAGACCTTCCAATTGGCCTCGTATTGATCACTTGCGCCCAATTAGCACAGCATTTCATGCAAACGTAACCCGTTTCCAACTTACTAGAAGTACGCCCACGGGTCGTTGAAATCATCACTCCTGAACCTGGTCCACTGCCCATTTTCAAAAGCAGTCGCCTTCCCGCTAATGACGATCTCGTTGGATCCAGCCTTCCAGTTGACTTCCGTCCGCATCTCATCTATCCCCGTTAGGAAATGTTTGACGCAGCAGCACACCAAGTTAGATGCGATCACGTACCTCTAGTCCACGCCTTTCCAGAACAGTTCTCCTCACTGCTCTCCTGCTTCACCGGCCCAACGGCGTAATCGCCACTTGGAGGGTTCTTCTTAGTCCACACACAACGAACAGGTAAACGTGGGTCCTGAGGATCATATTCTGTAGTGAAATTATAAGCCCCGCCGTTATCTGTCGGATGAGCGCTGTCATAGCCCACACCGTACGGAGTGAAGCAGGCGCTTTTCTGGTCCTTTTGGTCGATCTCAAAGCGCGGGGCTGAATGAACAATATCGGACGCCTGGTTGAGCGCTCTAAATTCGGTCAGAAGATACTTCTCAAGAAATACTGCGCGATTCATGACAAAGCTTCCTTTGATCGCTTTGTGCTCGTCGGAGAGGAACTGGGTGGCGTAATTGCCTGACCACACGACGCGCAGATCATCGGGCATGGGGTGATTATTAACCATCTCACAGTAGAGCAAGCAGTTGGAATTTGCTGCACCGTCGTAGCCTGTCGAGCCATCGGGGGCACCTTGTTTGCTGGACTTGTACGGGTAAACTTGGTGCATCATCGCAGTGGGTTCTACTACATGTCAGCCGCCAATGAAGCATGTACTCCAAGGTAAACCCCGCTTTTGTTCTTACCAAAGGTTGCTTCGCCCGTCGTTGCTGTTTAGGTATTAGATGAGTGCATTCAACTACTAAGCAGTGGAGACCACCCATACCTTTGGGAAGTTTGAAAGAGAGGCCAACGGCATTCTTCCCGAGCTTATCTTGCTTAGCCGCCCATTCTCCCAGCATGAAGGTAAGAAGACGGCCAGCCGACTGGTTCTCTTCTTTGAGCGACCAAGATTCAAGAGTAACTGGGTTGCCATGTTCATCCACGCCAGCATACGAATTGTTCTTGTCAAAACTCTGCCACTTTGCCGCTGTGGAGGAATGAGTTAGTTGCTATCTCAACAGATGGAATAATGATTTCTTACAAGACAACTTGGCGTACAAGCGCTCGATTGAGTAGTCATTCGGAACCTCAAAGTTCTCAGCAAGCCATTCTTTCTTGGCTATCCTTGAGGCTATCACGTTCGGATCCGTGATCTTGTCGGTGCTGAGGTCTTCGCCTACGACCTCCACAGCAACTGCAATTGACCAACCTTTGAGATCAGGTATCACAAGCCTGTCGGTGTTGTTGGTGAGCGATCCGGACTTGAATCTGTGCGACAGTCAGTGTTCAGTTTTCAACACTTTCTCAAAATTGATTATGCATACCGAACCTGAAATAGGACGTTGGTGTAATTGGTCGCAAGTTTTCCGCTCGGGATGAGAAGTTTTGGCGCATCTAGTTCTGCGTCGATCTTTCCGATTCCAGCTTCACTGAAGTAGTACTTCTTCAGCTCATCATACATGTCATAGAGCTTTACAAAGTTCTCATTGATGATCCCTTGGGAAAGTCCAAGGACTTGATCAAATTGGCCATTCCCAGTGCGGGTGGTTACTCCATATCGCGACTCCCAATCGTAGAGATCGGCCATGTCTGCAATTGCTTAAGGGAAGGTGGCAATCGAAGGTACGTGTAGAGTTTTGGAGAAATTTGAAATCGTGGTTTGCTTCGCAGGAAAAACATAGAGCACGATTAAATATGCCCACCATCTAGAACTCATCACCAAGTAACATCAATCCAAGTCTGTAGTCACTCTAGCCAATCGAGCGCACCATGGCCAATCTGCAGCGCTACGGGCTTCCAGCCTGCAAAGCCTCTGAACGAGCCTGTATTTTCAGCTGAGTACCCTCCAGGCGGCATTGATAAGCTCGCAAAATCATGCAGCGTTAGGGTTCAGGTGCTTGAGTCAAGCCACGGCTTGCTTCGGCATCGCCTAACCGTTCTGCTACAGTTCCAGGCCCATTCCACTTGTGAATCTACTAGGCCACCCCACTGTAGCGCGTATCCTCTCGCCATTATGATAAGTCTCGACTCCGTTCCACGTGAAGCCATGATCTGCTTGCTCAAAACAGGCATGCATGTTATGGGCATACGTGGCCTAGCTGCATGCTAGAACATACCTTAGGCGACACCTTTCCTACTAATTTCCCCGCTAGTTTGGACCCCGGCCGCTATGATATTACGAGTCAGCTGAAACCAGCGCTATGGAAAGCGTTTTGCAGATAAAAGCAAAATCTAGCCCTGCGCCATACTGCACGACAGATGTGCAATTTAATCACATGTTTAGAATCTACCATCTTGGCCGAGCTGATGAAGAGGATTTTCCATCGCTTATGGATTTTGCACTATTTGGGCAGATCCCTTGCATAATCGGCAGCTAAGTTCGACGACAAAAAGCTACCACGGATTGGTCTCAGTATTAAATACTGGATGCTGGCTGTGTAAAGAAAACACCACGTCTTGATCCTCCGGGGAAGCTGATTGCTCATATCGTTCCAGTCTTTTGCTTATTATAAGTGCCTCGTGATCATCACTTTGATGATGGCAAGCTCCTCTGCACATGAGAAGCAACGTGAGCCAAAGACCAAATATGTTTGTGGTCTCAAGAATGTCCAAGCCGGGACAAGGCTCAATGTCTACAACGGAAAAACCTGTGGCTGGTGCGTTCTCAAGCGTCTATCTTCGATGCTGATTCTAACTATGGCATATTCAGGGCTGATGGGGGAGAAGTCCGCGATCAAATTTGGTTTTTGCAGCCCGCCGGAGATAATGAAAATGGCCCGTTTATGATTACAAGCAACCTGACCTATAAGCACGTCGTCGCCAAGGGTAGGACTACAACCTTCAAATTCGGCAATGTGTTGCTTATATTACCCCAGGGCCCTATGGTGTGGTTGAGCTCAGCGACGGCTCTCCAAATGACTCTGAGGCGCAGTGGAATTTGGTGCCAGTCGGATCAAACTTCTCGTTAGTCGACCCTCGGATTAGTTTGTGGTGTAGTGCTGACAAGCAATGTTGTAGCTTCACGAGTGTGCGTTTCAGCAACTGCGTGCTCGATCTTGCGGCTGGGCTGACTCACAACGGGGTCGACATCTATTGTTGGCCGTCGCATGGTGGTCAAAATCAGCAATGGACGATGATCAAGTATTGACGTCGAATACGACAGAAGAAAAAGTTGTAAAGCTCGGAGAGCTCTCTGCAAAAAGTGTTACAATACAATGAACGGTACGTTACCGCGACGGTCGGTCGCAGAACCATGGAACTGAGTCCAGCCACGTAATAGCGATGGGAGTACGACAAGGAGGCCTGATTTGCCCAGATGTAGGTATTAGTGATGCACATCGAGCATCTAGACACACGATGTTTTAGAAACCAATTCAACTTGACTCTCAGTCAAAAGCTCATTGTTGTTGCTGTTTCGGGCTTTCCAAGGTCATTATTAGCCGAAACTAATCATTCATTGCATACTACGTGGGTGGGGACGTATATCACTTGTCCTGTGCGAGCTGTCACAAGCACTACGAGAAATTGGAAGCTAGAAGGATGTCAGGGTTGGCCAGGCGGCGCTGGATTCTCTACTGCGCTTCTGGAATGAATGCAGCAATTCACTTCTGGGCTATCAGCTCTCCACATCCAAAAGCCTTGCTAGGCTCGGAATGTACCGTCGCAGCGTGCAGAACCACAGCTTACTAGCTGATAATGAATCTGACAGGGGAACGGTCCAATCACAATAGCGCAGGATACTCCTTCTAGCGTGATTTGTTCATCATTCTTCTGCAGGTTCTTGTCCGTTTCGCTTGGGTATGACAACAGGTGGTATGAGCGTAGCGACGTCTAGAGACTCCTCGCAGCAACTGTCCGCGTTTCCAGTAGTCTTAGTCAGTCCTCGAGAGAGAGGTGCTGCTTATTTGGGACCATTAAGTGGAAGCTAGGTACCAACCTATACATGTCATTTCCTCCACTCGCTAGCTTATTGTCGTTTTGAAAATAATAGCGATAGATAGCCATAACTAGGTTGCCACTAGAACCAAAGCCGAGAAAGTGGGATCTACGCTCCTTGCGGTGCCTTCTGCAGACTTTCGCGTAGCTCCCTAGCCGGCGGTCGCCCTTGTTCGAGCGTGGCGCTCAAGGGCCAAGCTGAAGAGTCGCTATAGAACGAGAGAGAAAGACTATCGCCGATCAGGGTGCCGTGCGTCGTGAGCTATTGACGTGTGCTAGTAGATCGTTTCGCGACCCAGACTTGCAGCCCAACTAGTACCGTACGCGAAGTGAGCTCGGACCGCCGACGCTCGGACTTACCCAAGCCCAGCCGTCCTACAATCGCCTCTGACAACACCTTGGAAGAGATTATGTTCAGCCGATGATCTAGGCCTGCCATGTCGATAATCTAGCCATGTCGCTCACAGAGCAAGCGCGTTGGTCAATGCGACACTATGTGGACCTGGGGGTCGTATTCATCAGCTCCCGCCACTACTCGTGGCATGTTGACTAACAGCGAGCCAGGCAGCCACGAAAAGTATCAGCATCCAACTACGTCCAAGCTGTGCATGTATCACCGCCTGCTAAATGTTCTATGCCCTTTCCGCTATAGCACTGAAACACCACGTCGGTCAGTATCTTGGAAGTCGCCATTGGTTCTTCGACGAAAGCCTATGGAGCTTCTCAGGACTGTACGTTACGCGCAACTCTCATCCTAATCGTGGACCGCCTGCAAACTATTCGTCTCCAACCTATTGAGAACACCGTGCGATGGACATCAAGAACACTCCTCTACTTCCACCGTCTGGGCAGCCACGCACCAGAAACAACAAAGAGAGCAACCCTTCCGCCAGTACGCAACAGACAACAGCACAAGCCGGTCCATCATCAACGGATCTGCGAATTGCGTCAATCAATGCATCCGTTCTCGCAAGTGGCAAAGGAGGTGGTGCCTTGCGATCGATCGATCAAACATTTCAAGTGAATCCCAACACTGGGGCGCTATCTCTGAGCATTCCACTACAGGTCACTGCATCCAGAAATCAATGTCAACCATCAGTTTCACTCGATTATAGCTCTGGCTTCGGTAATGGACCATTCGGAATCGGTTGGAGTCTGTCAACCGAGACTGTGGCACGGAAAACATCAAAAGGTGTTCCTAGGTATGACGATGCGGACACCTTTATTCTTTCTGGTCACGATGATCTCGTACCGCTTGGAAAAGCTTTGGATGTGATAGACGGCTACGTGGTCCAAAGGTTTAGGCCCCGCGTGACAGTGGAGCAATCGAGCTTCAGAGTTGAAAGCTGGACCAGTCAAACCGATGTAAATGATGTATTCTGGCGAACAATCTCTCATGTCAACCACGTCAAAGTCTACGGTCGGACACAAGAATCCCGCGTTTTTGATACTACACTAAGCGGGCATCAACGCATCTCTTCTTGGCTATTGTGTGAGGTATACGATCCCCTTGGCAATGCTATGCGTTTATCGTACAAGCCGGAAGATAGTGCGGGTATCATTGGCGCTGGCCTGGAAACACCGAATCATGAACTTCAGCGTTCAAATGATACTCGCAAACGTGCTAGGTACATTAAATCCATCAAATATGGCAACCGCAAGCCAGCTCGCGATCTCAAGCACTGGAACATCTCCCCTGTCGCTAATGACAAAGAATGGCTGTTTGAGGTTGTGTTCGATTATGGCGAGCACGATCTTCATCTCCCGACTTCACGCGAATCGCAGCCTTGGGCTGTTCGGCGCGACCCTTTTTCGACATCGACGAGCGGATTCGAAGTTCGAACATATCGCTTATGTCGACGTGTCCTTATGTTCCACCATATCGAAGAGGAGCTCGTGTTGAAAGACTATCTGGTCTCTTCGTACAGTTTTGATTATGAAGAATCGCCCTACGGCTCGTTTCTGATATCTGCAACCTCCCACGGACATGTCTGGAAGCCGGATGCCGATAGTGGCGCCTACTTCACAGAGTCACTTCCGGAAAATGTGTTTGGATATTCAAAGGTTACTCCTTTGGGGAATCTAACCCTACAAACAATGAAGCCGATCGCCTTTCAAACATTACCGGTTGCTCAACCTGGTGCAGCTTTCCGTTGGATCGACCTCCATGGAGAGGGCCTCCAAGGGATTCTATTGCAACTGGATGGAGCATGGTACTTTCAGCGGAATATGAACGCCCTCAGCACTGCCGTTGATTCGGACAACGAAGAGCTCCCTGAAGCTGAAGATTTTGGTCCATTCGTCAAACTTGGGGCGCACCCTAACGTCACAGATTATCAAGATTCTTTCTTTGAAGACATAGACGGAAATGGCCATCAAGACCTTGTGATTGTGGATTCCGAAGGGCGACTTGATGGTTACTTCGAGTGCACTGACCAAAATACATGGACTCCTTTGCAGAATTTCCCAGCGTCGCTAAACCGTGGGAAGAAAGATGCTCCTCTACATCGAATGGATCTCACTGGCAATGGTCGTAGCGACCTCTTTTCGCCCTCGCAAGGTAATGGCGAGTTTGTCTGGTATGAGTCCCTGGGCAAAGGCGGGTTCACTTGTGAAAAACGGAGCAGATGCCCAGAAAGTTTCCCGCAACTTGAAACTCACGACGATCAATCGTTGACATACTTCGCCGATGCCACTGGCGACGGCCTTACGGACATTCTTCGACTCTCGAACTGCAAGGTCTCCTACTGGCCTAACCTCGGGCACGGCAATTTCGGCTCAGAGGTTATTATGGACAACTGCCCCGTCTTTGATTCAGTCGACAGCTTCTCTACACAGCGCATTCGTATCTTGGACGTCGACGGCTCCGGTACAGCCGATCTTCTATATCTGTTGCCCACGGGCGGCGCCATTGTGTATTATAATTACTGTGGCAATTCATGGAGTGACGGTGTCCTTGTGCAGAACTTTCCTATGGTTGACAAGCTGTCGAACGTTTTCACTGCTGACTTACTCGGAAATGGTACTTCATGTCTGTGCTGGACCGGCCCTCAGGGTGATGATGGCTATACGATATCGTTCTTGAATTTGGGCGGGGATGCAAAACCACACCTACTCAAGTCATGGTCTAACGGCATCGGGCTTTCCACCGCGGCTACCTATAGCCCGTCAACGAAGTTTTTCCTTGCGGATGAGCGGAATGGTAGACCCTGGTCAACTAAGCTGCCGTTTCCCGTACACACTGTAAGTCGTGTAGTAGAGAAGGACGAGATAGTTGGATCCACTCGAACAACAAAGTTCTCCTACCACGATGGATATTACGACGGGTTTGAGAGAGAGTTTTGTGGTTTCGGTGAGGTAGATAAGCGGGAGGATGAGAGATTGCCCATTGCGGATGGGGCGAAGATGTACAAGACACCAACTCGGCATACACGACTTTGGTATCACACTGGAGCAGAACAGATGGGTCTTGCACCTATATCTTCAACTACATTTGGCAAGAGTCGACTACAGTCAAACATCACTCAGAATCTGGATGCAGACGAACTTTTGGATGCTTACCGATCTTTGAAAGGTAGAGAGCTGCGTACCGAGGTCTATGGGGAAAGCGCGAGCGACCGTGCCATGGTCCCATATAGTGTCGAAGAACTCTCATATGATGTCCTCTTAATCGACGCCTCAGAGCATGGTAACAGCCCTGCAATATTCGACGTGCACTCTCGGGAGAAGCTGTCATTTCAGTATGAACAGGATAAGCAGAATCCTCGAGTGGCACATGAACTCATGTTAGAGCGGAACGGGTACGGAGATGTGACAAAGTCCATGCATGTTCAGTATGGTAGCATGCCTAACGCGCTTATCGACCCGCTTACTATGGCCGCGCAAGCTGTCCATCATGTTACCTACACGGAGACCACATACACAAACGACATTGACACGGCACATATCTTTTACAAGCCTCTTACGTGTGCTATAAAGACATTTCATGCATCTAATAATTCCCTTAAGGGCCTTTTCGACATTGAGATACTCCGCAAGAGCGATTTGGCTGCTGTCGTGGGCACAGCACCCGAAAGCCAAGAGACAAGAACTTACTATCAAAGTCAAGATCTATCTAAGCGGCTAGACTTTGGGATACTGGAACCCTTTTCAGTTGTAGACCAGCAGTTCCAGCTCGCCATTACCCAGTCCACATTTTCGAACGTGTACAACGGAAAAGACAATGCGATTGTTGGAACTTCTTTCACGGATCTTTTCTCGAAGCAACTCGGCTATTCGGATATTGATGCCGACAATCGTGCTTGGATTCCGTCGAACGAACTGTTGTACGGAAAACATTGGGCGATTATCGAAAAGAGGTTGGAGGAAGCTCGTAGCACCTTTTTCGTGCCGACCGGCTCGCGAGATGCTTTTCAGAACATCTCAACGATTGAAATGGACAATTATGGCCTCTTACCTTTGCAAAGCGAGGATTCGCTAGGCAATATCAACAAGGCGAAGAATGACTACAGAGTCATGCAGCCTTCATTGGTCACAGATGCTAATCAAAACAGAACACAGGTCACTTACAATGCTCTCGGCCAGAGGGAGACACTAGCGCGAATGGGAAAAGTTGGAGAGGCAGTCGGTGATCTCATAGAAGGAGCACCTTTATCACAATCGGGTGACCAATTGCTTACGTTCCTTGCCACACCTTCACTCGACGAAGCTACGAAGCTGATTGGCAAAGCGGGCTCCCGGTCACTCTACTCCCGTAAACCGCTGTTACTTGATGCCAGCAAGTCTAGTCAGCTGCCAACGTTTCGTATCGACCTTACTCGCACAGAGCATATTGGAGCTGTCCATACAAACGATAAGACGACCAGTGATATCATGCTGAATGTAACCTACATGGATGGTCGAGGCCGCGATATCCAGCATGTGAGTCTTACCGAGTGGGTTGATGGCAAAGACCGGTGGTGTATACATTCACGAGAGTCATTTGATGGTAATGGGAACGCTATATTAACACTTCATCCCTACTTCTCGTCGACTAGTCACTACACACGGCTGGCTGGGCTGCAGCTTACGCGTACCATCAATTTCTTCGATGCGCTTGATCGTCGCGTTGGCATCCTGAATCCTGATCATAGCTGGTCTAAAATACACCAAGGTCCCTGGTACCGAACAGCTTATGATGCTGGCGACACAGTTCTCATCAAGGATCCAAGTTCAGACCCAGATGTTGGCTTGTTCTTCTGCACTCTCGATACTTCTCTATATTCATCATCTTGGCTTGAAATGGATGCAAGGTCAGAAAGTGGGCCACATATTCAGGCGGCCAAGCAATCCATAGCCTACGCGAATAAGCCTACAACGACATATCTCGATAGCCAGGGGAAACAGATTGCTGTACTTGAACAAGGCGAAGGACGAACTCGCACCATACGCTTCGAGAACGATGTGTATGGCAATCAGGTTGCTCAATACGATGCACTTGGTCGTACAGTGGAGAGAACTATTTACGATCTCTTAGGCCGTCTGGTCAGTAAGAATAGTATGGATGCGGGTCTACAAATCCACTTGCTTGACTGCCTTGGCAGTGTTGTTGTTGATTGCAATAGCCGTGGAATACAACGACGCTCGGTGTACGATGCACTTCGCAGGAGGATCAAAACCTATGTGCGTGAACGAGGAGCTAGCAGCGAAATTCTGTGGAGCAAGACGATATACGGCGAAATGGAGGTAAAAGCGGAATCGAAAAACCTGCGCGGTCGTATATATACAGTATCTGATCAGTCTGGCATGCGCAGTAATCTGGAATACGACTTCAAGGGCAATTGCATCGCGACCGCTCACACGCTGGCTGTAGAATACAAAACAGTACTAGACTGGAACAAAACACCCGCGATGCACGACAAGTCACATACGACAACGTCCGTGTTCGACGCACTGGATCGTGTGATAAGCTCGACCGATGCCGTTGGGCATTCTTCTGTGCGCAAGTTCGATCTCCTAGGGCGCGTACGGGGCCTTCAATCTACAACGCAAACCTCAGGCTCCTCGACAACAGTTCATGTCACCAACGCGGCATACACAGCGGATGGCAAACCCTTGCGAATTGACTACGGCAACTCGGCGCATTCGGCTTATTCCTACGACGAGCGAACACGAGATATGTTGAACAGACGAACGTGGCGTGACGACAAGACAGTTCTAGAAGACGTCACAAACACCTACGATTGTCTGGGTCGACTAGTAACCGTCACAGATGCTGCACATCAAAGGCAATTCTTCCGCAATTGTTCAGTGCTACCTTCGAGGGTTTACCAATATGATGACTTTGGCCGGCTCATCTATGCGACAGGTCGCGAGACTGTTGATACAGGAAGCGGTACTGGGCGCAGCCTCCGCCAAGTCTTTTCCAGTAGTCCTCTCGTCCAGACAGCATTGCAGTCTGACTCTGGCGACCAGCTCTGCGGTTACGTTGAGAAATACACATATGATATTGCCGACAACATACTCAAAGTCCAACACGAGTCGAGCGAGGCTTCTATAGCTGGGTGGACAAGAGAATATTCATATTCCGAACCGAGCTTGTTGGAGCCTAAGAAAACTGGTAATCGACTAAGCAGTACCCAGATCGGCGGTGTGGTCGACAACTATGGCTATGACGAGGACGCTGGCAAGGTTGGGTGTATCACTTTAATGTCCGGCTACTCGCGGTTGGGCTGGGATATCAACAATAAGCTTCGATGTAGTGCTAGGCAGAGAGTGAATGACGGTACGCCTCAGACAACCTGGTATGTCTACAACGAGAATGGGGCCAGGGTGCGCAAGGTGACGGAGCACGAGGTCATCGGTGATGAGTTGGGTTCTACCGCGAGGTTATTCAAGGAAACGGTCTACCTAGGCTCTGCAGAGATATATCATACGTACGATGGAGATGGTAAGACCGTGCAGACAACAACCCACACGTCGAAGATCAATGGTGGCTCCGTGCAAGACCACCAGGTTGTTGCTAGTATCGAAGATTACGTCTTAGCCTTGGAAGACTCCAAGAGGCCGAAAACACCACTCATTCGTTACCATATCAATCAGAATCTAGAGGTGGATGACACAGCGCAAGTCATCTCGTACGAAGAGTACAGTCCTTTTGGTGTATCCACGCTACTTACTTGTCGATCCAACGTCGAAGCACCACGACACTACCGGTTCGCAGCCTATGAGCGTGACAAAGAGACCGGGCTCTATACCTGCGGTGCGCGGTATTACGCTTCGTGGCTGGGCCGCTGGTTGTCTCCCGACCCCTTAGGAACCGTCGACGGACCCAATACGTACACATACTGCGCGAACGACCCGGTCAACTATGTCGACCCCGAAGGAACGACGTTCAAGAATCTTTTTAAAAGCAAACCCAAGCCCAAGGCAGAGGACAAGCAACCGCTTTTGGAGGCACCAACTGAACCCGAAGCCCGAGAGCGAGTCAATGGCTTCAGCGGCGACCTACCTGGCGTAACCGACTCCACGACGTTACAGCAGCATCTTGAGAACTCCTCCAAGGCAGAAACCAAAGCACTTGGTCTCGTGAAAGGATTTGTTCAAAATTCTGGTGGGGTTAAGGGTATCGCCCAGAAGGTAGGTTTTACGGGCTTGAAGACGGCAGCAAGCGCTATGCCCGACTTTGGCATAACCAAAGGTCTTGTCACGGCCGCGGAAAACAAAGTAAACGAGAAACAAAAAGAAAAAGATACCAAAGCGGATAGACAGATGCACACGGCCAAGGGATTCGAACTCGGCGTGAAAAAGGCGACCGAAGCATTTCAAAAGGAGCTGGCGAAAATCGCGGCTCAGTATGAAAAGGACGGCAATGCACAAGCTCAAAATGACAGGGTCACGAGTTTATCGATTCATGGGCTTCAGGGGCCGAATGTGGTCATGTCGCACGGCCGTGTCGAGGAGGATCGGCCCGTCAGCGAGGAGGAGTCTCAACAGGGCGAGGGATCTGAGCCTGAAGAGAGCGGTGCATCCTCTGAGGACGAAGCTGACAGGGAGTTGGATGACCATCTTGGTTTCCTTAGCGGCAACAGTGGCAGGCGCGACTCTGCGCATAGTTCTGACATTATCAGGCCGTGGAGGTAAGGGAGAACGAGATCAGTCCTTGTCAAGGTGGAGCTAGAGCGAAGTGGCCCCTTCCTTTGCCTTTGCTACATAGCTTGAGTTTGAGGCTAGCAACCTACCTCCCTCCTTTCTTTCCGATTTCCTTCGTTGGTATTAGTTCAGTAGCAAAGGTCGAGTTCCAGTGGTTCAAATTGCAACACCGCCTCTACGGTTGACCGAGTGCTCTAGCAAGCTTTGAAACCTCGTATTCTTCTCTACTTCCAATCTTTACCGTAAAAGTATATAGCGCAATAACATCCACATTCATTCAATCGTCCGCCTGGTAGCCAGACTGTTGACAATATACGATCCGAACACACGAACGCAAAAAGGGTAACGAGAAAAAAGTTTATTGCGCCAACGCCAACGCTAAGTAACAGGCAAATATACAATATAGCGGAATACGAACTAAATGGTATCATGAATTTCCGCCAAAAACCCCAACCCTTTTTCGTTTCCCTTGTCAATATCATCTTTTTTCTCCAACCCATTTACCCCAACGCCAAATATATGTGTGAATTTGGAGTTGCGACGAGTATAATATACCCGCCCTTACTCTTCTATCTATCTAGGAGGAGCCCCACCCGTAGTAGCAGCGCCATCAAGCGTATCAGGTGCAAACGTCCCGTCGCCAAAGTACAGAATCTCGTGTGGTAGGTACTCTAGGTCCCAGGGCATCATATCTGCTCCGAGAACTGACATATCGACGTCTTGTGTGTCTATGACCATGTCGCCGTACGCGGTCTGTGACGCGGTGGCATAGGCCCCGAGAGTGGGAGAGAGGTCGTTTTGTATTGGTGGTGGTGGTGGTGGCGGCGGCGGCGGTGGCTGTTGTTGGATGGATGTGGATCGCGTATAAGATGTGGTTGGTATCGGCGTGCGAGTAGCAGACGGCGAAGCGCCTGAGAAGGGCGAATGGAGGTTCAATAGTAGATCGGCGTCCGACACGAGCACGGGGTCTGGTGAAGGGACACTGCCGAAGACTTGGTTTGGCGGTGGAGGCATAGTAGTGGGGTTAAAGTGTTGGAAATTAGATGGCGAGGGCAATGCTTGTGCCTGTTCGAAATTGATCGCCGGCTCTGCCATGAGGGACGCAATCGAAGGCTGATTACTTGCCGGTGATGGCTTCGACTGTGCAACTTTTGCTTCGCCCCCGTTGTTGTTTTCGGAGCTGTACATGACGGCGACGTGGGTGGATGGAGAATTCATGGTGCCAGTAAGTGACCACCCTATGGCTATACAAATGGTTAGCAAACATGTAATAAATGGCGCATGCCTAGACCTACCCTGACTGGGGTGCACCATTGGAGATCCGGGTATGGTAGGGGTTCTCGCACCCTTTCTGATTGCTGCAGCTAGCTTCGCTGCCTCCCCATCCGGGCTTTGCGCTGTCAAATACGTCCCCCAGCTAAGTTTGCGCCGCCATCCTGGACTCGTAAATGACGGTTCTGGCCTCGGTACCTCTAGTGCACTCTCCATCTCTTCCCTGGTATAAAGCAGTGGGTCCCCGACACCCGTCACCTTTTGGTCCAGTACGGTCAGTATGTACTTGACTCCAGCCCAGTACGTCTCCAGAGCCTTTAGGGAACGATAGCAGCGCTGGTAATTCTGGTTCGCCGCTGAAGCGAGCAGCGTGTGCTTTGCGGCTTGCTTTTGCTCGCGATCCTGAGCATGGTTGTGGCGCTGGTTGTTAATTGAATTTGGCATAGATATCTTTTTCCGTTCAATTTCGGCAGTCGAATCTGGGGTTGCAGGTCGGGATTGCGGTTGAGATGATGCTGAATGAATTGCTGTCTCTTTTAAGAAGGCGCATGCAGCAATGTATATCGGCTGACTGAAGATGCTGTTAGTTTCGGGGGAAAGTATTTAGTATAGCATTGGGACGTACCTAGTAAAGGGACTACCCATTCCCGTTTTTGCATCGATGAGCTCAGTGAAAGCCAAGATGTCGGCAACAGTTTTTGCCGAAGACATGGACAACTCCCTGCTGTTAGCAGCCAGGGATTGCGGGGTCCCCTCGAATGTCTTGAGTAGTGTTGGTTGATGCAGGAGAACGATAAGGGTGTGGAACCAGCAATGGAGCAGGAGAAAGTTGGCGCCTTGGTTGAACTTGACGTATTGCTGGAAGTTGACGGCATTGAAATGCAGCTTAGGCGACAAGTTCTGATAGATTATGGTCAAACGATCTTCCAAGGCGCCAAGTTGCTTCTGCAGATCGTCAGTTATGTCGGTAGCGTATCGTATCCTGTTGAGCAAATCGGTTACACGGCCATAGAGGTGAATGATCCTGATAAGAGCCGGGAACGGTAACGGCCAACCAGAGGACGTGTCGACCTCATCTAGTGAGGGGAACGAAAGCTCAATGTCGCTATCGTGTAAGGTAACTGGTCGTCCGGTGCCTGAAGAGATGACGCGGTCGAGGAAGAAGATTGACCAAAAGGTATCGAGCCTTTCTCGCTCTACGGCTCTTTGTTCTTGTTCCTCTGGGCCTGTTTCTGGTTCATCACGCGGAGTGCGCTCCACCAGCGATGGCCGACGGCTCTCAGTGTCGGCTTTGACAGATTTTGGCGTGGGGCCATCGTGGCCCTCGTATTTCAAGCCTTGGAGTGTTTGCATGCCTAAATCCTGCGCCATCCGAATCGCTATACCTAGATACATCCATAGTCCACTGTCTCGACTGGCACCAAACTCATCGTAGGCGAGCAGGAGCGCAGCCTGTACCACGGCGACGCTAGGACACGGAAATGCATCTGGGATGGCCGACTTGGCTCGTAGCGCAAAGGCTTGGCCATATTCTGAGGGCTGAAGCTTTGACACGGCGCCTTCTCCATCCTTGGGCTTGGGCTGGTCACCGTTGCCTGTCAGCATTGGGTGGGTAGAGAAGCGGGCGGCCAGGGCGCACACGGCGTCTACAAGAATTGCGTCCACCTGCTTTTCCTCAAGGTCACGCATGAAGCGATCGCGTTGTAGAAAGGGGAAGGAGCAACCTAGATGAACGAAGAAGAGCTTGCATAGATGCGTTATCAACGGGCTAGGAGACATAGTAGAGGCATCGTAGACGGGTATCTCCAGAGGTGTGCGAGCTTCGGGTATTGGTGGCGAACCTACTGATGGTTGTGCAGGCGAAGACTCTAGGGGGTGCTCTGCTAACATTAGCAACGGTAGCAATGGTGAAGGCGGGGTCACGCACGATCTGACGTAGTTTGGCCACTTCCGTGCTGCTTGCCTCGAACCTTTACGACCATCTGCTTGAAGCCTGGCATGATGGCTGTAGGGCCAAAGTAGCGGAAGTAGGGCATCCTATTGCGCGTGCTGAGGCTCAGCCCATTGCTGCCTGCATTGTCGTCGCGTCTAGGCGTGGGGTTGAGAGTCGAACCTGGACTTTGTGCCATAGTCGATACAGTATGCGACAATGGCGGCCGTGTCAGATGGGGGTCGATTGGTTGCTCGACCTTGAAGACAGGTGGATTGCTGGAGCCATGGGTCGCCTTCGGGACTGCCTTGTTGCCCTGTCTGGTCGCATCTTGGGTGCTGTCGTCTCCGTAGCCGGCGCAATCGTGCTTGTTCTGTATACAGGTCCCGCATTCTGGCCGCTCGCCTGTCGTCTATGTTAGTAGGTGGTCTTGCTTAGTTGGTCACGCGCATCTCGTGGGGCTGCTCACCCGAACAGCGCGTCTTCTTGCGACGGCAGGTGAGGCAAGCGGAGTTTATCCTGCGCCTCTTCGCGTAGGGGCCATCGTGGTTTGTCACGAAGCGGATAGGCTTTTGACTCATGAAAGCAAGCGCTTGGCCGGAGGTAGATCAGACGGATGTCGCCCACATCGGAGGCCTACACTCGTGGCTCGAGCGGGGCTAGGTCGAGACGTGCTTGTAGTGAGACGGCGGGGATTCTGCAGAGAAACGGGGATAGTTGTGGAGCAGCGAGTGCATGTTCGCAGGCGTAGGCGCTGGCGACGAGCGATCGGCAGAGTTGCTGGTGCTGGAGCTGGTGCTGTGCTCGGTCGGCAGGACCCCGAGAGGAGGCGTGCATGCAGGGTGGACGGGAGTGCTGCGGAGAAGAGACGGGGGGTTGGACAGATGCGCTATGTGAACCGAGCGCAGCCTCGAAAAGTCCACGGGCGGTCAATACAACATCTACCACTACTAGTGAATTAACCATCCCATCAGCCCTCCTCTTCTTTTTGTGCTCTGGTGTCCGCCATGGAGTCAATTCGCCCAGCACTTGCAACGCTGCGTCTGTCAGCCCCGCGAAGAGCCTACCGCCCCCTCTATCAATGCCTCCATACCTCTGCGGCTCGACGAGCAACGCCATTGTCGCATCCCTCAGTGCCTGGTCCTCCGCCAGAGACACCCTCGGCAGAGCCTTCTGATGCATCAGCTCGGGTTGCGAGGAAGAGGAAGCAGGCGGACATGATGAAGCAGGCTCGCGAGATGCGCGAGATCTATTCACCCTCCAACAAGCCCAAGAGCATGCTCGCGAAGCGCTTCTGGAAGGACGTCCACGTCAAGGAAGGCGAAGGTGAGGACGCTGCATCTGGCACAGCTGCACTGTACTGACGTCGCCAAGGTGGCCTGCAGGTGTTCCTCGACCACAGACCTGTTCGCATGTCCAACAAGCAGGTTCTCACCGTCCCCCCATCCAAGCACCAGCTGGCTACGGCCATTGCCCTCGAATGGGACCTCCTTATGAGCGCCCAGCAAGCGCTCAAGGCCGACTACATTCCCATGACCTCGCTCGCCGCACGCGCACTTGACATCGAGGCAGCAGACGCCGCAGGGAGGACCAATGTCAGGAACGATATCCTCAGATACATGATGCGGGTTCTGGCTACCGACACGCTGCTTTGCTGGGCCCCAGAAAAAGTCTTGAACGATTCTCTGCAGGATGGAAAGACGCTCAGGGAGCTTCAGGAGGAGGTGGCCACACGCATCATTTCCTACCTCACGACACATGTCTGGCCAGGCGTCGAGATCGCGCCGACACTTGACCCAGACAGCATCATCCCCGTAGCGCAGTCAGAGACGACACAACAGGTGATCCGCGGATGGTGTGCTGGGCTTCCAGCCTTTGAGCTCGCTGGCCTCGAACGCGCAGTGCTTGCTTCCAAGAGTCTACTTGTCAGCGTTCGACTGATTCACGAATGGGCCGAAGCGTTTGCGCAATCGCCAAAGGCAACTGACACGGCTCGGTTCGGCATCGAGGAAGCGGCTGAGGCGGCGAGCTTGGAGGTTCGGTGGCAGACTACGCAGTGGGGAGAGGTCGAAGATACGCACGATGTCGAGAAGGAGGACCTGCGGAGACAGCTTGGAAGTGCCATCCTGCTGGTTAGCGGTCAGTCTTCGTAGTGGAAACGAACGCGTAAGACGATAATGTATAGAATATAATAGAGAACGCTGAAGGCTCTCAGTATATTATGTAAAGACTCTGTCTACAAAATTCGTCGAAGCCACCCAGGCTATACTAAGAGGTAATGAACGAGACGATCATAGTGTGCTTGGGCGCATACACTTGAACAGTAGCTACGCCGTTACATTGATTGTTTCAAAGCATCTAACGTACGTTTCATTTTACTCCTCTCGACTGTGACGTTTGCTGGTAGCTGTGAGCTGAGGTGTGCGATGGTCGTGTCTTCCACCGTGCCTTCCGTCGTGACTTCCTCGCCTTCACCCACTTGCCTCGAGTTACAAAGCCACATGTGCGTCATAGCTTAATCGAATAGCTCTGGAGAAACTTAACCTCTAACCTCTAACACTCCTTTCTCTGACGTGTGTTATAATGGGGCCTATCGTGTACTCTGCAACCTGAATCCGTGAGTGTAGCCTTGGTGCCTGGGTTTGACAGTGATTGACTGACCCTACGACAGAAGCGTAAGTGACTTCACCTCTCCTAACGTCTTACCATCCCAGTTCTCTTTTCTATGTTGTCGTAGAAGCTGGAACGCAAGAGCTAGGAGTGAAGCCCAAGCAAGCATGTATTGATCAATGTTACTCGAGACGATTACGGCCAACGACTACCCTCACGGAGACCGAGATACTCCGCCGACGTACCGAAGACTGAAATACGCAAGGGGAAACAACCAATAGGCATATCGTCAATGAAGGCGAAGTTATGACTTACGCGTCAGGAATTGTAGTCGACACGACACACGACATCGAGCATGTGCTCGGCCTCACATAGCGCGTCCCTCGGACCCCGCAGCACTCCTTCACCACACCCGACGAGTATATTTAGATTTTTAACATTTACAACTCTTGATTTGTGGGTATGCTTCTACGGCTCAGATTTTGTCCATTTCATTCTTCGCAAAAGTACGACATTTGTAGTTCGCATGCTAATAGCATGCTAACAGTTGACGCTGCAGGTGAGCTAGTGGTGCCACGGATGTGATTCGCTGGAGATGCGATTGAATGACGGAGGAACCTTGGAAACCAGTGCCCCCCCTCTCGAGGTCGAATAAAGTCACCCATAGACTGCTCGCCTCGCTGTCCTCTCTCATGCCGACTTGGAATACTCGAGCCTGTTGACATAGCCCCCCCGCGTCTCTTGGCTGCTCAGCATTAGCCCGCGGCCAATTACGCCGTTATGGAAGGGTAGGTGCTCCGCTCCAACCTGGCTACATAGCTGCCGCCATGGCCAGAATTGAAGAATAGAAGGACTCGGAGAGACTGACTATATCCACAGACACAAGCGCTCCAAGTCCACCAAGGTCAAAGCTCTCCTGTCGCGCGTATCTTCGAAGAACGACATAACAGACGAGTCCCCTCCAACATCCTCAGGCGCCTCCATGACCTCGCAACCGCCTGCGGGGCACCACCGAAGCCTCTCCAAGAAGCACCAACCCCACCTCTCGACCAACATGTCCAGCTTGAGCACTGCGCAGGACGGCTTAAGCCCCCCCTCACCAAGCTTTGCGCCGTCACCAAGCTCGCCCACGACCAAGCCCAGCTCGATAGAGCAGTCGGTGAAGCTGTTCCGCGTCTTCGAGTCGCTGCGCAATGGCGATACAGCAGCCATCTCCAAGGCCATACGCGAGCAGTCGGCGCCGGCAGAGAATGAGGACAGTAGAGCATCGCTCACTCTTCCCAGCGCACGCACAGAAGGTACATCTATACTCCACCTAGCCATACAATGCGCCGAGGTTCCCGTTATCGAGTTTGTCTTGTCCAACACCACCGCGAATGACGACTCACCCATCGACGTCAACGGTCGCGACCGTGACGGTAATACCCCGCTCCATTTGGCAGCAACCCTTGGGCGGACTCCCGTAGTGCGAATGCTGCTCGACCAGCCTGGCATCAACGACTCCATCACCAACTACAATGGTCAGACGCCTCTAGATTTAGCTCGAACGCCCGACATTTTCCAGCAGCTGCAGCTCGCGCGGTCGATTTTCATCGACACTAATGTGAAGCGGATACAACAACTGGTAACGGCAGGAGATATGGAAACGCTAGAGAAGATATTGCAAGATGGCAGGATCAAGAGCACCCTCGACGTCAATGGCGGTGAACTTGCCACAGATCCAGTCGTCGTCGACGCTGGAGGTACTCTCTTGCATGAAGCAGCCAAGAAGAAGGACGTGAAACTGGCCCAACTTCTGCTGCTCAATGGAGCGGATCCGTTTCGCCGTGATCGCAAGGGCAAACTTCCTCAAGATTACACAAAGGACGACCGCACACGCGCCATCTTGAAGCGCTCGCCTGCCGCGGCAGCCGCGCAACGAGGCATCCAAGAGAAGACTATTCTTGCAGGCGCGTCACCGGGTGCGGCTGCAATGGACAGTGGAATGGGCGTTAAAGAGTCCCGTGAGATGAAGGGTTATCTTAAGAAGTGGACCAACTACACAAGCGGCTATAAGCTTCGATGGTTTGTGCTTGAGGATGGTGTGTTGAGCTACTACAAGCATCAAGGTACGCTGTTCCTGCATGTTTATACACGTTCGATGGACTGACAAGCTCAGACGATACTGGCTCTGCATGCCGTGGTGCCATTAACATGCGCATAGCGAAACTGTACATGGACCCTCAAGACAAACAGCGATTTGAGATACAAGGCAAGTCATCGGTCAAGTATCACCTCAAAGCAAATCACCAAGTGGAGGCAAAACGATGGTATTGGGCACTGAACAACGCGATTCAGTGGGCTAAGGACGAGGCGCGCGAAGAAGAGAAGCGTGCCACTCAAGATCAAGAAACACTCAAGCAAGCCAAAATCGAGCAGATCAAGGGCGAGGGTGATGCTTCGAGCCTCACCAGCTCCCGCATGACCAGTTCGAAGAATCTTGCTCCTTGTAAGTTGCCCAAAGCTCACTTCAGCCACGTACTAACAAATCCTCAGCCACTTCACTAGGCGTTCCACTCACGAGTCAAGATGCCACATCTTCAAGAACCGCGGTTAGTATGACAGAGGATCCTGGAAGTGCCTACGAACCCAGCTACTCTGGTCCTGAGCTAGGACGAATGGTCAGCCATTTAGGCACGACTACAGTGGCTGGCGACGACGATGACGACGATGATTATGACGACAGCAGCAGTCACGAGTTGAAGCCGCAAAGCAAAGACGCGTTCAACATCACAGCTCAGTCCGCGAAGCTGCAGCTGGAGCTACTAACGTCGGTCTCTGCAGCATTGCAATCAGAGAAGAACAAGAATCCAACTATTCAACTAGCAGATCCGTTAATGCTGCAAGCTCTGGCTTCTTACGACTCGGCCATCGGCAACCTCAAAGGTCTCATTGGAGATCTGTTGCGTATATCAAGAGATCGTGATGCTTATTGGCAGTACCGGCTAGATCGCGAAGCTAACGTGCGGCGTATGTGGGAGGAAAGCATGGCCAAGGTGGCGAAGGAGCAGGAAGAGCTTGAGAACAAACTAGACGAATCCGAGCTCAAGCGTCGGAAAACAAAGACAGCGCTACGAGAGGCTTTGGAAGACTACGAGCTTACCGGACCCGGACCTGCTGTCAAAGATGATGAGGATGAATTCGTCGAAGTGGCAGAAGACGCCGAGCAGCAGAGATCGAAACCTAGCCAAAAGGTAAGGAGAAAAGCTACTTTCGCAGACATTGCTGCCGACATTTCGGAGTCTGAATCAGAAGATGACGAGGAGTTCTTCGACGCCGTCGGTGCTGGTGAGGTCGAAGTCGTTGAGATGCCGGCTGCAAGCCCAGGTTTGGAGGAGACAGAGATTCCACCATCCACCGAAGACTTGTTCGAAAAGAAACACAGTGAGATCGCCACTGCTTGGGCTGGATACGAGGACGGTCCACGAAAGAAGCTCGCCATGGATGCGGATGAGAGGCCTAAAATCTCGCTTTGGGTATGCTCACTCTTCTCTAAAACGCGATAGCAAAGACACTAATTTGCGCCAGGGAATCCTTAAATCCATGATTGGCAAGGACATGACGAAGATGACTTTGCCCGTCTCATTCAACGAGCCCACCTCGTTACTTCAACGTGTCGCTGAAGACATGGAATATACCGACCTTCTCGACACAGCAGCCGAGCGAGCTGACTCTACTGAACGACTACTTTACGTTGCGGCTTTTGCTGCGTCTGAGTATGCGTCAACTATCGGGCGTGTTGCCAAACCGTTCAACCCACTTCTTGCCGAGACATACGAATATGCCAGGCCAGACAAGGGTTATCGCTTCTTCATTGAGCAGGTCAGCCATCACCCACCGGTCGGTGCTGCTTACGCCGAATCGAAGAAGTGGGACTACTATGTAAGCTCGTCAACTTCCCATAATGTATGCCAAACAGCATCTAATGACCTATAGGGCGAATCCGCTGTCAAGTCCAAATTCTACGGCAAGTCTTTTGATATCAATCCGCTCGGAACCTGGTTCTTACGCCTTCGTCCTACTTCCGCGGGTGGGCAAGAGGAGCTATACACATGGAAGAAGGTCACCTCGTCCGTTGTCGGTATCATCACTGGGAATCCAGTTGTCGACAACTATGGCCCAATGGAGATTCGAAACTGGACGACGGGCGAAGTGTGCCACCTCGACTTCAAGGCACGTGGATGGAAGGCTTCGTCCGCATTCCAAGTAGTTGGAAAGGTCCTCGATGCTCAAGGTCGCGTACGCTGGTCCGTTGGCGGACGCTGGAACGACAAGATCTATGCTCGTTTCACGCCCGGTTTCGAGGACGCCGACATCGACAAGGGCGGAAGCAAAACCAAACACGACGAAAGCAAAGCCTTCCTCGTCTGGCAAGCACACGAACGACCCACCGGTATTCCGTTCAATCTCACTCCCTTTGTGGTCACTCTCAACGATATTCCTGATAAGCTACGGCCGGTCGTTGCGCCTACGGATACAAGATTGAGACCTGATCAGCGCGCCATGGAAGATGGCGAATACGACTTTGCTGCCACTGAGAAAAACAGGGTAGAAGAGAAGCAGCGTGCGACGAGACGGCAGAGGGACGAGAGAGGGGAGGAGTTTGTGCCCAGGTGGTTCACAAAGGGCCGTTGCGACACGACAGGAGAAGAGTACTGGGTGTTCAATCACGAGTACTGGAAGACCCGAGATAGGGTGGCTAAAGGTGAGACGAAGTGGCAAGAGGAAGGTCTGGAAGATATCTTCTAGGCTCATTGGCTCGGGGGTAAGCCTGAGTTTGAATGAACTGTACATCAGGCACAACCATAAGGCACATACATAACGATTTACACATATTCTCTTTTCTGGAACCAAACAAATACTACTCGTATACTGTCCGCTTGATCATACAAGACCGTGCACAAGCAACGAGAATTACCTGATCAGCCCATGTATTTCCCACTTCCCTCATCTCCATCTGTACTGAGTTCATCGAAATCCGTATCAGAGGACAGCTCATCATCCGACGAGGCTCGGCTATGGATAACCGTAGCAGGCGCGTTAAGCACTTGTTCCAGGGTCGCACCTGCAAAGATAGCATACTCTCTATCCCCATTGACCGTATTTTCCATCTCTTCAAGCTCTTGCCGCTTCAATTCGGCTCTTCTCGTCGCAAACTCCCGTCTCGTCTCGGCCAATCGCGATTCTAGCATGTCTTTGTTACGTTCCAGCTCTTCAATGGTCAATTGCGTTTGTCGCCGTATCGTGGAGATTATGTGCACATAGGCGTCGTCCTGGACTAGCTCGATCAGCGACTCGGCATCGTTGATGAACTGTATTGCTCTATTGGCTGTGAGGCGGAGCCGATGGACTGTCGCGTGGCGAAGTTGGGTGATTGAATTGAGCAGGTCGGGCAAAGGCGTCCTCAGGTCTGCTAAGGCGCCTGGGTCGAATTCTTCTTTATGGACAAGTAGCACTCGTGGCCACCGGTTTAGCTCAACTGCTTCCGCGCAATCCCAGCCTTCGTTTTGTAGGATGCCTCCTAGCTTCTTCTGGGCGAAGATATAGAATGCCTTTTCGAGGGTGTGTTGCACTCTGGCGAGAATTCGATGTTGAACATCAAACGGGAGGTAGACGGGATATAGCGATGCTACAACGGTGCTTGACTGTGGTTCCTGGGGTTTCTCCGTCTTTGTGGCTTTGCCTGGAGGAACTACTGAATTTTGTAAGTATGTATGAAATGGCGTTGTATCGCGGAAATAACACACTAGTTTCTTCGTGCTCAACCTCACCACCACTTGGAATCCCGCTCTCGTGGCCCGAAGATTCACCTTGATGCCCTTCTGTAACACACTGGATAGCCGCATCCTCATGTTTTGCAGCCGCAGATTCAGAAATGGCTCGTTCTGCGCTCTGGTCCGGCGAGACTTCGAATACATCCGGAAAACGGGTTTTCGCTTTCAAGGTAGACTCGAATACCTTCTCTTCTAGAAGAGCTTTAGCAACTTGACACAAGCTGTCTAAACTGTGCTGTTGAATAAGGATTCGAATGTTGGCGAGGCTTTGATACTTCTTAATCAATTTGAGGATTGTCTTTTTTTTGCGGATTTGTGCATCTTGACCCTGAAAGATCCCTTTGAGCGCTAAATATACTAGCTTATCGTCCGGTAGGTTCTTAGCCATATTTGGTGTGAAGTGAGAAATAGTTAGAGACGCGCGCTGTAGAGTTTTGTACTTCTGAGCCGTTTTTAAGGATAGATTGAGGATGGGAAGTCCGATGTTGTTTGCGGTAACGAGAGAATCCCAAATTCCGCATCCGTGCTTTGAGGTACTCATCTTGTGTTACTTTGCATTTACTTCGAGGACGATTGCGTGCGGGTAACAGGAACAAAGGGTGTGATAAAGCGCAGTCCCAACAAATCCAACTCGGATCAATCTAACACCATTCATTCTGGCCAACAATGCGTGAGTTGGTGGTATTTCACGAAAACAATCTACGTCATTTCATTCACGATGAGAGTACATTGGACCCTGTTTGCAGTTTTTAATGTACACCGCCGCCTCTGATTCGATTCTGATATCAAGGTTGCACGTCGTCACGTGCTTGATACATTCCACAGTTTATTGCGGCCGCTATGCGCTAGGTACTAGTATCATTTTTCATGTAACTCTATTAACTACAGAGGCCTCTAATTTCGCTTCACACGGCTTTCTCCTTTTTCGTTAGAGTTGATAACTTCTTTCCGAGCTAAACGCAGATTGTGTACGCGAACCTTCAACCGTGTGTAACCAACTCACTATTTTAATTTTTGGTGCTACAGTCGCTTAGTTGAGTCTATTAGTAGAAATCAATGTAAGCAGGCAAGTATCTTAATTGGGCCATCCTGTATCAAGTACTTTATAACAGACCCCATTCAACTAGCAGAGCCTATATATGTTTAAAACCTAACTTTACTCCTGTTGGTAGATTTGCGTTGAGAAAGACAATTCGCGATCCCAAGGCCTCTGTCACACAACATGCGGGTACCGTACCCTTCATCAGCCACTTGTTATTTCTAGCAAAAGGTACAGCTAGCGCTCTAGAGTAGACATACACAGTTAAATATATCCGGCTTATTAAGCGCCTGATGGTTGTCGCGTCACGCCTGCATGCTGCACGTAGCACGCTGCACGCTGCACGGTCATTGCTTTTTATTTGTTGTCCTTAAACTGCCTGCCATTACAATGTTTGTGCATTGGCTTGGCTGTGCAACGATACCTTAAACCTTGCCCCACCAACACCTTCACTTCTTTTCTTTCCCCACAAAACTCCTTCGATTGACCGCTACGCAAATATCCCGTGAGCAACGCGATCCGGTGGCGACATTCACTTGGGACATCGTCATGTTTGGCCCAGTCTACTTGGATGTTTTAACCTTCTTCTACCCAATAGGCAATACACCTGCAGTATGCCTCACTCGGAATTTGCCACGTGAGGGTCAAGGCGACATCCTTCTCTTGGGCTGCGGTGATGTTCGCAACGTGTTGTTTACTCTATACTCCGAGCAGACCACATGTAAGTTCAAGATCACGATGAAGTCCGCAAGACTGACGCAGCGTAGCTCGAGAGCTTGACATCACCTGCTGCGATCTCCAGGAAGCCGTCATTGGTAAGTTCAAATGAAGCATACTCATCCAACTTACTAACAATTCAATGTAGCCCGAAACATTCTCTTGTATTCGCTTGTTCTTGACGACTCGGACGGCGCAAATCAACCATTCATTTGGAATACCTACTACCACTTCTACCTGGATGAGCAATCTCTCAAAATCCTGAACGATCAAGCGAAGAAACTGGCATCCTTGTCTAATTCAATGCGCGAGTGGCATGATACAGCATACGGTCGTATTCTACGATTCTGTGACTCGTCTACACTCACTCGCGTACGAGCACTGTGGAGGTCATACTCCATGCAGGATTCAGCGCAAGAGGCAAAGGCCGATTTCAATCGCCTCCTCGAAGCAAACTTGCAGCGCGCCAGAGATGTCAAGGCATACTATATTAAAGATGGCTATGTAACAACGGCAACACGATCTGCCGCTCCGCTTGGGGTTCAATCTATGGAAGCCGCGCATGAATCATACCAACACTATTGGAAGCATGGAAGCACAAGCCAGGATCCCAAAGTGCTTGCGGAGACCATTCATCCGAATCCGTTGTTTGCCTACCATGTTACCGAATCGTCAACGCTTCACTATGGAACAGATCCGCTTTTAGGCTTTCATCTTGCGACAGCACTCGCGCCACTGGCAAAAGGTTCTCCCTTCGCACATAGTTTTTCCAAGAAACCCACGCTTGTCAAAGTGGTAGAGGCAGCGCAGCTTCAATTTGGAGCGTGGTGCAAGGCCCTCAGACTACGGTCTGCGGAAACTCTGACCATTCGGTTCTTTGCAGGAGATGCAATTGCATTTGCACGTGCTTTAAATCACGCCGATGTGGCTGGAGACATCCAGTCTGCGAATATTTATCGGGACTTCTATCACCTAGAACCGATCAAGCTTGACGATGCGGAGTATAAGACCGCCCAGGGGGCGCCTCTCTCATTCACGGTGATCGACACGTCAAATCTTATCGATCATCTAGGAGCTGTAAACCTTCTATCAGCGACGACACCTTTACTGAGAAACGAGGTCTCATCTAGTCTGTATACAGAGTCCCTGGTCAAGCGAGAACGAAACCACCGGGCCTATACCGACTCTCTCCTCTGCGGTGACTTTTCTACGATGTCATTGATGCTTAACCTTTTTCCGATTGAATACTGGACTAATGCATCAAGCTTGTCTTCAGCCGACGAGGTGATCTTCGACATCGCCGCGCGCCTCAGTGGTGCCGAAGAAGTGGGGCAGATGCGCATCAGGCTGACATGGAAGCGTTTGATACTGCCTCGATATGCAAAAATGGGGGTAACAGAACGAAGATTGCGATTCAATGAGGCTGACTTGGCTCACATGCTTCATAAAGTCTATCAGACTATGTTCCAACACGAGAACGTGCAATCGCTCTCCTCGAACATGGATCTGCTAAAGTTGAGCAGAAGCTCCATATTGCATTACCACCGTGGGAGTTTCGCAGTCTTTCTTCGACTCGTTCAAAGCCGTGCTATCGTCGATTGACACAAGGTGATGGACCAAACCCTTCACCTTATCGAAAACGATTCAACGATCATAATGGGCAAGAACTACATCCAGGAGCTCTACCTTTGCCTTCACGTCATGGGGTTATATTCCGTGGATATTTTTTCGCTAAACTTCTCGCCTCCCTCCTCAGTCAAATCTTCCAGTGGAGACGGAATCAGCAAATGGAACGACCTTCCAAGAGTAGTTTGCATCACAATGAAAGTTCCAAGGAAAGCCTTAGTAACGTTGACCGGCCCTAAACCTACCGAGATCGGCACACCGATAGCACATTGCCTTGTGCAATCGCCTTACTCATCCAACGCCGGAAGGTGGCAAAATATCTTCTCTGCTGTCCAGATTGTATTCGGCAAGGTCACGACAACTGGCATACGCAATAGCAACAACTTCGCAATTGAAGTCGAAGAAGATGAGCTGAGGTGGAAGGGTACCTCTCCCCTCGTTGTGTCATTCCACGCCCCCTCCTGGTTCCTCCTAATTGAGCCACAAGATGCCGTTGTAGCTTTTGGTCTACAGAGTACACCTCATAGTTCGCAGAAATTCATGCAATCACTCGGGCTCGAGATGAACGTGTATACAACGACTCTGGGCAATGAAGAACACGTCTATGTCACGAAATACTCGCCTAACCTTTCTGGCACTGCGTCAATTCATGGAATTAGCAGTCAGAAGCATAAGGCACTACCAAATCAAGAGACCAGAACCACAATGACAGCCAGCATCATGCGATCCCAAGGACGCATCTCTTCACTCACTGGTCGTATTGATCTGCTCTCGAATAATCTCAAGGACATGTTGAAGAGCGGTTGCGCTTTGCAGACAACCCAAACCGCGCCTTGCGAAGTTACCATCTCCTCCATGGACGACAAAGCTCGACTACAGCTCCAATTCCCAGTTCCAGTCGTCGGGAACAACAGCAAGACGCGCATCGCAAGAAAGTCCTCCTATGTGGAGGTAGAAGCACCCATCCATGCGAAGACGTGGCTATCCTTTCCTGCATTCATCTCTTCTCGAATCTCGGACAGTGGAAAGACATGCTTATCCAACATGCATACTCTTAGCTTGGACAAACTACCAGTACTGGACACAACGAACAAAACTCAACTCGAGTGGCTAACAACGCACACATCTGGGATGTTATCTGGTAGAGAACGCAGACTACGTGAGGAGTCAAAGGCTTCGACGCGCATCTCAACAGTGGATACGGCAGACGCCCGAGTAAGCTTCAAAGACTCATTGTTCTCTCTCTTCATGCGCTTCACCGGATTACAAGGTGATCAATCAAAGGTTTTTGGGCTAAACGATCCAACCGGCGGCGGCGTTCACATTCTCATTTTCGTCTCCTGCATGAGACTCGATATTGGGAGTCAAACTGTCGTACTTGACACAGCGGTATTGCCTCTCACCAAGAGCCTGGTTTCGAAAATTGGGAGCTTCTTAGCGGCAATATCAAACAGAGGATTTTGCTCTATCAAGGTGGATGGCAAAGAACTCGATCTCTGGAGGCAAATCCTTCCATCCTTCGCAGAGCGCTGCAGGACCTGGGAACATCGCTCCTCTTGTGATTATACCAACGCAAAGAGTCAGCGGACTAAAGAAGCAAACGATGTCTTCTGCTCTTGCGGGCGCGGTCTTCTGCCAAAGGATTTTATCACGGGCGTTGCCAATTGGTCTGATGTGGCTAGATATACCACGAGAGCGGCTATATCTCCCATCTTCTCGGTTCCGGTTGTTGATCCCCCGTATGAAGGTTTGCCAACACCCGGGCCATCAAACACAATGAGCTGCAGGACGTGTGGCAAAGACGAAGAAGCTCATGGGGGGAAGCTCCTCAAATGCAGCGCGTGCCATGAGGCCAAGTACTGCTCTTCTAAGTGTCAACAGGCTGATTGGAAGAAGCATAAAAGCTCTTGCAAAAAGAAGAAGAAGGGACTTTGATACTAGGTCCCTTAGAACTAGGGCGGATCCGATCGATTGGTCATGGGGATGTTACAGGGAGAGGGAAAGTGTCCAAGAAGAGAGTTCGTCAGCGTCAGGATAGTCGTGAATGTGATCATTGAGCTTTTAAACCTCCGAAGTAACATCAGCACCTAGCGTTTTCATAAGGCAACAAAAGTGTGTTCTAGCTCCCGTAACAGCCACAAGTATCCACAATGCCCAGGTGGTACCTAGAAAGGAAATTCAACGTGCTCAGAGAATTCTCCCCAGTTGAAAGAAAGCATTTTCTTGATTTGCTTGTTTTCGTTAGTCTTTTCGGTGCCGGTTTTGCTGCCAGCCTTGCTTTTGACAATTCTATCAGGTGTTAGCATGCTTCTTCACGTGCATGGGAGGAGACTAACCTTGTCACAGTACCAGCGACACTTGCACTGTGCGCATGCCAGAAGAGAGGATCGCTCAACGCCACAGACATCGCACTTTCTTGGTTCAGTGTTCCCGCAGCTCCGCATGCGTATTTTTTCGCTCAGAGAAAAGAGACTCTCCAGGGGCATGTCAAAGACCTGGCAGATCAGCCATCGGCTTAATATCAAAGATTTTTGTCTTACTTCGATGGTGCTCGTACTTTCTTGCCGAATGCCCACTGACATGTCCAAGAAACCATGCTGTTCAGCGTATAAAATCGCGACTGTGCGGCCATTCTGGAATTTGCTCAAGTCCAGACGACGGTCATCCTCCTCGATGTAGAAGGATACGGGGAATTCTTTTCCAGATCTGTCCTTGACCCACAGTCGTAATCGGAAAAGGTAATCCACCTCCGTGATCTGCGCGAGGAAACACCAGTGTCGCTTCGGATAGAGAGATATCCTTCATTCAAGGAGTAAAAGTCCATACAAGGAAAGTTCTCGTGAGGACATTCGTCAAAAGTTGGAAAGTAGCGTTCATCCAGAGCGAAGCAAGAGGTCTATATGAGGGTGGTTAACCGTGAAGATATTGTGAGAAAGCGATGAAGCCTGATCGAAGCAAGAACTAGTTGCCAAGGATGTTGGGTGGGGGTAGATATCTGGTGAGAGGCCTGGGGTCCTTGCATTCCGAAGGCAATCAATTGGATGTAGAAGGAAACACAACGAGTGGAATGCTGCTCAAGACGATCCGAAACAAAGGTCAATGGCGACACATGCTAGTTGGCATGTTCACCATTGTCTCACAGCACCAGCGGCGCATATCTATGTTGCACAGGAATTTTTCAATGTCCTTGCATCCAGTTGACCGATAGGCAATACCTTCTGCAATTATTCGCCAATACCAATCTTCCACTGTCTCGAATGAAGAGTTGGTTTACCCGCAGTCTCTCTCCTCTAATGCAAGAGAAGGTTTAACATGGGCTTTTAAGCTAGAGTCGTGTTTTCCAAGGCTTCCCTTAATTTGCCGTCAGCGAGAAGGACGTTCTGATAGTAAAAGCAATCTAATTCTGACCTACAAATTAGTCGAAACATCTACAACCGCGATCAGCCATGCAAGTACTCTTCCCAGTCTATCTACAACTCCACTGGAATCTATATCAATCTCAAGGACCATCACCAAATTTACGCAATCCAAGAGCAGAATAGAGGCTATTCAATTCAGCTCTCCTCGTCGCAAATTCCAAAGTTGGCCATGAATGTGTGAAGGTTTTGGGTTGTTGCAGTGCACGTTTCGATTGTTCCCATTAAGTTCGTATGCTCATCTCCGTCGTTACAGGGAGTGGTATGCTATGGCCCGTTTACCAGCGGCGTCGCAGCCCTCATCGGCAACCAAGCTCATGTGCCCATATTCCTTCTCTCTAATTCCACATGCGCCCCCTCAAAAGAGACCCGGCCAGCACTTTTCCTTTGGCCACGAAGTCTGATCGTGACTGAGTGCGTGGGCTTCAAGCTGAGCTATGTTCGTGTTTACAATCTCGCGGCGACAATTCTGGCACTATTCCACCCGCAGTTATTAGCCATGGCAACTTCCTTCTCCGCTTCGGGCACGTACAATCGACGTCGGCTTCGGTGCCTTGACGGGTAGCCCATTTGCCTTGACCGGGGCGCGGGTGCCAGCCTTGTCGGCTTTTTTGTGCTCTCGCTGAATCTGCGTGGGTTGGTAAGTTGGGCTGCTTTGAACGAGGGAGGGGAACATACTCTGTCTTTCTTGGAAATGGGCATGGTGGCGGATGTGAGGGTGCGTGTAGTTCGGTGTAATGTTTGAATGAAGTTCTAAAAAATCGCTGATAAAGCGCACGCCAATGAGACGGCGGGAGCTGGGCTTGGCGCTGCACCCTGAAAATTTCCCTTGAGCGCCAAATATACTGACTCAGGGTCTGTCTAGTAGCCTCTATATAACTAGCGTAACATCAATCTATGATATAGTAAGGCTTATTTTTTATTAGTAGCATTTATATGTAACAGGCACGTGCCTGAGTTAAAGCCTTGGCTAGATAGCCTCAGATCTTAGGAGGCATAACCAAAGTTACTCCGGAATCGGCCCGGAATTAGCCTGGAGATTGTCTAGAGTATATAAAGATAAAAACCTAGCTTTCTCTTAGAAAAAGCTTGTTAGTTAATTTATCCTAATTATTCTCGGTAACAGTCTCTTGATCAGCCCGTTACATTATAAAGCTACTAATTTAGAAATAAACTACTTAACTACTAGAAAGAAGATACTACTATATTCTACTACTAGTATTAAGCATAGTGCTATAACCTACAAGTTTAATAACTAGCTAGGTATATAATGTATCTTTTTTTCTACTAGGTAATTAATTTAGGTGTTACTATTATTTTGATGAACTACTTACTTAGATAATACCCACCGCTCTCTGTAGTTGCAGTTGCACAGAGTAAAACGCAAACCATTGTAACAGGATCGCCTCTACCTAAGTTCCAGGCTGTTTCTACAGGACTTAGGTGCCAGTCCTCGTCCTTTATGTCGCGAACCATGTTCTTTCGTCCTTCAGTCCATTCTACTCTTGTAACAGCCTCGCGCCCCACATGATACAGACCAAGTACCCCAGCATCCTGCGTCATAGCTTTGAACTCGTTGAAGAGTGCTTCTGGTGGTGTTTCTGTGGGCCGGCTCGTGAATTCGTAAGGAACTCCGGACGGAAGCCAGCGTTCAGCATAGTATCTTCCAGCTTCTGATACGCTCACTGGCTGTGAGATGTCATCTTTTTCCAGCATGATCTCGCCTTCTAACAATCCGCAGTGCGTATGCACGAGGCAAACACCGAAAGCGTTCCCATATCTCGATAATAGCTTTGTTAGGTCGAAGAACACCTGTTTTCGATTCGTGAAACGATTATTTGCTTCCAAAAGCGTGGGAAAGGCATTGTAGGATTTCCAAAAGTGTTCCATCGTTGTTCTTCTCAAACGCAAGAGAGATTAATGTCTATAAAGCATGTGTCTATCCGAATTACGTGGTGCGGGGTCACAACCTATACAGCCTGAAACTCCACCCGAATGCATGAATAATATTGTTCTGCCAATGAAATCATTGCTCCCTATCGATGGAGGTATGATTTAGGAAGTGCGGCAATATTCGGATTCGTCATGTTTGACGCGTTGCCGTTACTCGCCAGCCCTTTGTTCAGCCGTCCCACCTTTATTGGATACCATCAAGAAGGCGCGGAATGGTTGGATGACCTGGAGGCTTTCGACCGGTCAATAGCCCGCTCCAGTTACAGACGTGGCGAGCACTAGCATACATTTTGTGTGATCAAAGTATTCGTAAACCAGGCCTGTTCTTGTTTCGTGGTATAGATCTCAAGTCAACAATGGTACCGGTAAAAGCCACTTTATGCCAATATTGCTCAAGAATCGTCCCTATTAATCATGAAGGACACACTACGCGACCATTTCACGCGACCATGTCAGTTTTGAGGCAACAGTCCGAGCGATGCTATATTTGTACGTATATCTGGACTCATCTGAAAGCAAAAGTCCTTGAACATGATTCTTTTAATAACGCTGCACTCTATGTGAGGCTCAAAGAGTCGAACGTATCCAAGGAAGACGTAAGATGGGCACTTCTTGAGCTATCCGTTCGTCAGTCAGTTGCTGCGGGAGAGGTTGCAAGTATTCATACATTCTCCGTTACGACGTGTAATTCGAATTGTAAGTAATTCATATGCCCTCTCTTCATAGTGTTGACTTCAGAACAGCAGCAATAGGTCTACGCGCTCCGTGGGCCTCTTCAGCCTCGGTTCAAGACAAGATGATAACCATAAAGAGTTGGTTGGATCACTGCGAGTCTAGCCACGGCAGTCGATGTATGCCAAAAGCCAAGCAAGTTCCACATCGATTGATCGAAGTTGGGGGGGATGGAAGTACTCCTAAACTCGTTCTCAGCGAGCAGATCTCCGCCCAAGATCAACGATACACTACTCTCAGCCACTGCTGGGGGACAAGTCTACCTATACGTACACTTCTGTCAAATATACAATCGTACAGTCATCGAATCCCTCCTCAAATAATCCCTCGAACATTTGATGATGCCATCCACATCACGCTTGAATTAGGGATTCGCTTTATATGGATAGATGCCCTATGCATTGTTCAAGACAGTGCGAAAGAGTGGGAACAGGAAGCCGCAAAGATGAAGGATATCTACTCAGGAAGCGTTCTCAACATAGCAGCGTCTGACTCGTCTGGAAGCGAAGGCGGTTGTTTTCCGATCAAGGATTCCGTCGTCCAGACGTTTCATTTGGCTCAAGTTGAAGGTCCTGAGCTTGTTGTAAAATTGCAACCCGGAGATACTCGACATCTCACCAAGCAGACGATTTTGAGCTCTCGAGGCTGGGTACTACAAGAACAGCTTCTCTCTCACCGAATGATTTCCTGTATGGGTGACGAATTGCACTGGGAGTGCAGTGAAGCTTATGAAACAGAAGCTGGCGTTCATTTCAGTGATCATACTTCTGACATGCGTGGCGTTCCTAGAATGTACCAATGCCCAGCCAATCTTCAACAGGACGGCATGTGGAGAAGCTGGATGGTGAACTTCTCCGAACGTAAATTCACTTTCTGGAATGACCGCTTGCCTGCACTATCAGGGATTGTTGAGAACTACCAAGAAATTACTGGAGATATCTCGATCCTTGGACTCTGGAGGCGCTCGATTATCCAGGACTTATTGTGGATCAGAATGGGTCAGATCTCACTGAAGCCTGCTCGTGAGATCGGACCAGCTAATCTTCCATCATGGTCCTGGCTTTCGTGTCCCTCTGATATCAAATTTGATATCTGGCAACTCACCAAGAGGGTTCGTCAAACTGATCGTTACGTAATCGTGCACGACCACTGCGAGCTGATGGACTTCTCGGTGCAATGGACAGGGGTTCCCTTCATGTCGACTGTGAAATCAGCGTACGTGGTTCTTTATGGGCCAACTGTTGAGGCTACTATTGATATTGAAGAAATATCAAGACAGCCTAACCCACCACCTTTTAGGCTCATATGCTCCAATAAACACATTTCCTGTTCCGGGCAATTTGACCGCGGTAGGATCGTGCCAGGTCGATATTACTGTCTCTCGTTACGATCTAGGGTTCATAGCCAGACAAATGTCCGGCGAGACATTTTCATGATACTTCAAACTCATTGCGGGTTCATTTATGAGAGAGTCGGTATAGGTTGCGTTTATGAGCCCGGTCTTTTTTCAGAAGCGATCTGGAAAAGGCATTTGATTCATTGAACGTGGTATTTCTTACAAATTAACAAGGATATCATTGCAACGATTACTTTAATCTATATCCTTGCCTAGTTCATGTCGAAACTGGGTCATGCTAGAATCACCCCGGAAATGTCGCATAAGATAGAACGTGCGAATCAGTTTCAGAAAGACCGAGTCCTTTTTATAAGGAGCTCTTTGAGGTCATCACGCTCTTCCCTTCTTTCTTGGAGTTCCGCCTGGCGTCTGAATCTATCTCGTTTTTCCTGAAGCTCATCAAGTAGCCTTTGGGGCTCACCAGTTTGCCTCAGCCATTTCTGACAATCAGAACACATCAGTGGACCTGTATCTGACTCCAGGAGATTCAGAAAATGTGAGGCCACAGTTTTCGCCGAAAGGCGATCGCTCGGATTACGCGCTAACATACTCCGTATGTACCATAGCATTTCCGGGTTGGCAGCGCTGGAGTCGCACATTCTGCGAACTTCGTCTAACCGAGCTTCATACCGGTAACCACCATCCTTGATGCTTTCCGCGAGTTCCCTGCGTCCATGTATAGCAAACACAATCTCAAACAGAATTGCTCCTAGGGAAAACACATCCGCCATCTTATTTCGCTCTCCTAAAGAGGATATCACCTCAGGTGCGGCATATCGCTCCATCTTCGGGGGAAAATCAGTTGAGGTAGTACTTCGTTGTTTATATTGCGTATGTAACGAGGCTCCAAAGTCGCATATTAGGATCTCGCCACTGTGAAGTAGTATGTTTCCAGGATGTAAATCTCGATGGCGGAAACCTTTATCGTGTAGGCTCGCAATGGCCACAGTGAGACAGCCAATCGCGCGACGAAAGATTATAACTTCATCTACAGATCGTCTTTCCCTAGCAAATGCGAAGTTGCGAAGGTTATCCTGGAGCGTTTTGCCTTCTGCGACGGGGTGCATGATCAAAAAGAACTGCTTCATGCCAACCGTGTACGCATCGATGATCCTGACTCTGTGCTTCGTCGGTTGTTCTTTCTCCAATTGATTATATATATCAAGTTCTCTTTCTAGGTTCTGCTGTGCCGCGGATTTGCTGGATGAATCGAATCTATCTTTATGGTGAAACTCTTTACGAGCAAATATGCGATTGTCTTGCGACCCTGGCCTATCGGCCGCCTTCACAATGTCGACTTTTCCATATGAACCTTCTCCTAAATCAGGTAATTGAGAGGGATTCGTGTAAGGAACATCTTCTTCCGTAGCGAAATTGCGGAGGCAACAGGTCTCTGCTGGCAGTTGCACTTGTGTAAGATCCATAATAGATATCGTGCATTTAATGTTTAGACGGTGTGGATTACAGTGTATTGTAGGCAGGGTGAGGAACTAGCTCACGTTAGTTAACTGGTCCAATAGCTGTCGACCACGTAGCTATGTGCGCTGGCAGGTTATATAATAGCCAACTGTCTAATTATTAACACTAATAACAAAATCGTTACGTTTCTTAGGACTTCTATAATAATAATATTTAATTAATACTAATATTGTTTGTAACTCTTTAATATAAAAAGGATACGCTAGCTTTATATAATTTAATATATTTAATTATTTCTAAAATTAGACTTATAGTCGTAGAGTTATAACGCGCTTAGGTTAAAATAGTTATAATATTATAATATCCAGGTAGCTTAAGTTGCGACTTAGCTTAGGTCGTGCACAGGTACTTGTATTCAACCTGCTCTGTTCTACCTACTTCATGTCTGCCCCACAGACAAACACTTCCAAACAGCCAAAGTATGCACCTTAACCACAGCAACAAACTCTTCAATCAGTACAGCCTCACCCCTCGCCCCCATGCCCTTTGGAGAGACCCCCAGCACAAACGCCGGCACACCTTTATAACGAAAGAACTTACAATCCGTCCCGCCCATGCCAGCCAGCGGAAGCGGTCTGCTCCCTGTAACACGCTCAGTAACATCGGTAATACATTTTGCGAACGGATGGTCGTGCGCAAGGTAGTTGGCTGGGTTACTAGCCGCTTCATGGACGACGTAGGATGCTTCTGGGAAATCTTTTAGTATAATGTTGATTTGAGCGAGGACCTTGTTGCGCGTTAGACCGATGGGAAGGCGTATGTCTGCGGTAAAAGCGGCTTGCGAGGGGATGACGTGGACTGCTACGCCGCCGTTTATGACGCCAATGTTCAGCGTAGGTTGAACGAAGGATAGTCAACGAGCCAGGGCCTATGATTTCATCTACCACGTCACGCACATCGGGGTTGTCGAAGTGCTCTTTGAGATCCTGTGGGAGGTCGGATGGTAGGGCTTCTACCGTCTCTTGTAGTGCGGTGATGAGGCGCGCGGCGAGGATATTCGCGCCGCGACTGAGGTTCTTGTATGCGCCGTTTGCGCCGCGCGTGCTGACGGTGAAGTTCAACCGCAGTAAACCTTTTTCGCCGAAGCGCACGGATTGAAGACCACCTGGCTCGCCGTTGATGACGCAGTCGCCTTTCCACCGGTCACTGCCAGTCTGCTCAAGGAGATACTTTGTCCCGTACTTTCCGCCTGTTTCTTCGTCCGAGACGGCGGTGAGAGCAATACTTCCCCTGAGATGCTGCGCGCGCTTCTTCAACAATGTGAATGCAATCACGGAAGCTGCTGTGCCTGCTTTCATATCCACGGCTCCTAAGCCATGGATGGAACTTCCGCCATTATGTCCTGAGTACGGATCTCGCTTCCATTTCTCTGATTCGCTGGCAGGGAAGGTGTCAATGTGGCCGTTGAATACGACTCGCGGCCCGGGTCCTTGTTTGCCGTCGAAGTCGGTGACTATATTGGGCATGTGCGCTTGAGGCGCTATAATGTCCGCGGATATGCCGTGCTGGGAGAGGAAGTCTAGGATTACCTGGCTCGCTTTTGTCGTGTCGCCGGGTGGGTTTGGACTCGCGGCTTGGATGAAGTGCTGGAGGAGTTGGATGTAGTCATCGCGGTTGGCTTCGATTTCATTCAGGATATCTTCTATGGAGGATGTGGAAGTCATGGCTGTATTTCTTTCAAAGAGAGTTGTTGTTCCATTGAACTTGCAAATGATACGACCATTGTATGAAATATATGTACTTTTGGAGTCACGAAGTGCTGGGTACAGTTTGCGTCATGTTGGAGTTGAACTTGTCCGGCTGGATTGCTTCTCGGAATAGAAACGGAGTAGGATGCCTAGCGCGGAATAATCGACTCTAAGACATGACTCCTCAAAAGCACGTCAGATGCACCAGATATTGAGAAGTATATATTCTGTTACAAGAGCAACAGCCTCTGCCCAACCACTACAGAATTATCTGATGTATCTAATGTAATGGTGCCGAAGAAGGAATAGTTCTCCCGAGAATTTGAAAGCACGCAACTACAACCGAGATATCGCAGTTTAAACCCAAAACTATATGATATCGTTACACTATCTCCCAGTACTGAGACCCATTCAAACATCGGGCTCCACCAAGTCCACATAGAGCCTCAACTCCTTCTCCATCAGAACCCTATACAACCTCCAAAGCTCTTCCTCCGTGAAAACTCCCCTTGCATCCGTAAAAGCCAGCATGATAAAGTCCTTGCACCAAGGTAGCCGTCTCACGCCCTGATAAAAAGTCTCTTTAACTCTACCCCCCGCCTCCTCTACACGATCCTTCCCTCTGCCCTTCTTCGCATCTTTACGCTCCTTCTTATCCGGACGCCTCACCTGCTCTAGGCGTAATTGTTCAAGTTCAAAGTGTATATAAGCTTTCCAAAGCGCGGGACAGTGCGCACCAGTCCCGTCTACGGCGCGTTTATACAATGCGCGAATAGAATGTGCCGTTGAACCCGCGATCTCGCCTTTGAGTGTTTCGTAGTGGATGGTAAAGGCCCAGCCGGCTACGCTAGTTGCGTCTGAACGCTGCAGAGCGGTTTGGTGCATGATGCTCCGGACGCGGTCGTCGATGGAGAAGCGTGCTTCGTTTGCGGCGTAGAGCGATAGCAGGTGCGTGTTGTTTGGGAAGAGGGAGATGAGGGGTTCGAGGGTGGTGCGGATCAGGGCTGGTTTGACGATTGGAGTATGACAGGCGTGGTGGATGAGGAAGCGGGCTATTTGCTGGGCGTGCAGCTCTGCGGGGGGAGATGATGATAGCTTGTTGGACGCGAGCCATGCGGTAAGATGCTGGTGGGCGTCAAGCGCGCGTTCGGGGTTGCAGTCGTTTGAGAGATATGCCATAAGAGCTACAAGCGACGTAGCAAGGACTGCGGATTGGTAGTCCTTTCGAAGTAGCGCTCGCTCACTCGTCTCAGAAATGATCGTACGGGTGCGTAAAACAAGACTATGTGCGGGTCGCTCATCTTGCTCATCGCGCTCTGGGACCTTTCCAAGGGGCGACACAAGCCGCCAAAGAGCCTCCATATGTTCCCCTCGATGGAGGGCTTCCCACACCCAGCTACTAAGGAGCTCCAGACTACCAGCCATTGAGAGCGTGACGTCTCCTTTCTGCATGGAAAGCGCCATGCTGAAAACCTGATTCGCTTTTACTGTATTGCCCCGACGCAGCTCAAGGAGGCCATAGACATTATACAGTCGCATGCTCGTTGGACGCGCTTTAAGTAACTGCTTCGCTGTCTTGAAGGCATCCGATGGAAAGTGTCGCAACTCAAATGCGAGAAGATACTCACTAATGACTTCGTCGCACGATAGATCCGTGGTCAGAAGCTTCAGGAGTCTTCTAACAAAGTCTGGACTTAGATTAATTCCATCGAGTGGGAAATCTTGTTCGAACAGGAGCTCGCTAGTCATCTGAAAGTTTTTCAACGGACAGTTGGAGAACTTCGCAAATAGTTGCGTAAACTGGCTCGATTGGTCCTGGAGATGTGAAGCAGAATGAAAATTGCGGTGCAAGAAGGGATCTGGCCGCCACTTCTCTTGGTGTTGGGCAACTCTAGGTAGTGGAGGTAAACTGCAGAAGCATAAAAATGCCTCCAAGATGAGTATACGTTCGGTTGCCGCTGGAAGGATATTCAGATAATCCGCTATGTCGGAGAAGAAGATGGAATGGAAAGCATCGTCTTCACCCACATCATCTGAGGTGCGACCGGGATACCTAAGCTTTTCAATTGCGTCTATCTCGCGCATACGAAAGTCTTCGAAGACATTGCTTGGTTGATCTGGTGTTCGCAAGGGTAGAGAGCCCGATGGCGTTATGTCGTTTGGGCTGGACTTCATCCAGCCGTTGGCTCCTTCCTCGCCGACCCGTGGCGCTTCGCTTTCCCAAAACTCCGAGAAGGCGGAGATAGCATCGGTTGTCTCGAGCTTAGCATTGGGCGCATTCTGGACAAAGTGAACCTCGATTAACGCTTGCCAGATAGCGAGAGCAAGTTCTTGATACCCCGACTCTTGCATAATGGACGTCAGGCGAAGCAAGATATGCAGGGCGTCCTCTGGCTTGAGTCCGCTCGCACTTGCCCGAAGCACTTCCAGGCACTTCAGAAAGGTTGATCGGCAGTTCTCGTACTTGAACTTGGCAAAACTTGACTGAACGAAGTCAAGATACATGAACCACAGGTCGACACTCTGCGGATGTTTCGCGAGTACCTCGTTCCATTTGCTAGCAAGCTTAGTCTCGTCCCAAGCCCTTCGTGCTTCGGTTAGCAGTCCAGCGTAAAGCTTGATCTGGCTGTCGTGATCCGTCCCTATCTTCTTTGTTGCCTCCTCGTAGATAGAAATGCGCACATCGGCGAGATGTGCCTTATCCGAGGCAGTCAACTCCGACGAAGGCCGATCGAGTTTCAACATGGCTTCTTGATGATCGATGAACGCTAGCCAACCTTGAAGATCTGCGGGATGCTCTTTCGTTTTTCGCACATGCTCGGAGTTCTTTCGAGTAACTTCGGCGTCAATTTTGATCGTCTCGGTATCGGACTCATATTGCGTATCCACATCAGCCGGCTCTGTGGACTTGGGCTTTCCATCAATGCCCCGGTAGTCTAGGTCGGGCGTCCCCTCGTCGTCATCATCACTATCGATGCGTTTTCTTTTACTTGAGCTAGAAAGTGCGATAAATTCTAGGTCTATGGGGATAGAATCGCTTTCTGTCTTTACCAGTCGTAGCGCGCGGTCAGTCGACTTGTTCAGGCGCTTATCGGTCAAAAGCCGCTCCTGTCGTCGACGAACTATCGGCGTTACGTAGATCTTCTTGTCTGTAGTAATATCCCGGTCTATCTTCTGGTCCGGAGATAGTCCCAGCACGAAGCCACGACCGTATCGGCGGTAAGCTGGTATGTGGTAGCGATTTAGGGTCCCATAGCGAAGTACGTCGGCGTCGCCTCTACGGTCGCTGTAGTAGGTTTTTGATGTCAGAGCATCTCGACCGTGGGCCAGTTTCTCGGACTGTTGGGCTTTTGTGGTCTCGCTGATTGCCTCTTCTTTTAATGGTCGCTCCGCTTTTGAGGGTTTCTGGGGCTCCTTGGGCGGCTCTGGGGCAGCCTTAGGTTTTGGCCGGAAGCTGGCGAACTTTGGGATGTTCGAAGCCATGATGAGACGGGCGATCAAGTTGGATTGCTCATTAAAGTGGGCAATGTTACTAATCTCGCAGTGACTGAGGAGCAGAATCTATGCTTGGTGTTGAGGAAAGAATGCAGGCGCCTGTAGGCCACGCCGAAGCACAGTGAAGTCGTTCCACCCACATCATGTCATTGTGCATGTGTCATTGGTAGATATGGAAGGCACCAATAGCAATAGTCTGTTGTTGGATGAACGAGGGTGAAGGTCGTGTCGCAGTGCTCGGAGGTCCGCACAGCGCGGTGGGCTCGAGTGGCGCGCCGTAACCGCTAGTGTCGAAATCTTGGCTGCGAGTTCGAGAAATTTTGGAATGATGCGCTTCACTTCCGTCACATCTCGCCGACAAGCTCGCCACGACCCCTCTCACGCTTTTTCGCAGCGTCTCATGGCTCTCAGGACTACGCAAACCATCCGCTGAAGCTCATCCGCACCCAAACCGACTACTACTACCACCACCACCATGGCGACGACGCTCCAGAAGCAGCTCGCGGCCATTGCCGCTTCGAGCACCCATCAACTAGATCTTAAAGCGCAAAAGTCGGCGCATGGAAAGTCGCTTCTCTTCGATCCCAAAGTCGCCGCGTCCCAGTCTTTCGAAAACCTCTATCTCATATGCTACGATGGCTATCGGCAACTCTGTGCCCTCGACTCGCGCTTCCTGCACTTTTCAAAGAGCCTGTTTAGCGAACAGAGCAAAATTGAGGACCGCACGCAGATGACCCAAGAGGAGAATGACAAGCTTAACCGCGTACTGGAGGCATTTATTACACTGGTGGGGCCTAGGCTGTTGCTCAAGCCGGCCGAGAAGGCCTTGGAGTGGCTTGTGAGAAGGTTTCGGTACGTTATCTGAGAATTGATATCCCGAGGCTCAACCTCTGCTAACAGCGTGCTAGAGTACACGAATACAACACGCAGTGCTTGGCCTTCACGTACCTCCCATATCACAACACCCCACAATTCCTCTCGCTCCTCTCCATACTCCCTCACACGCCGCCAGCCGCGCTGCGATTCCTCTTTCCCTATATCCAGTCGCCAACAAACGTCCCGCGACGCACCATCGCATACACGGCCATCAATACCCCAGTCTTCTTCGATGCATACCAATCATACGTGGCTAAGGTGTTGGAAGCGGGCCACCAGGCCTCCCATATGCTCTCGTTCTGGTCCAGCATCACCGTGGAAGCCATATTTGGCATACTAAGCAACTCGAGCTCTGGCAGGAGAGACATTCATGAGCAGAAGACCGAGGACTTGGTTCTGAGGGTCCTCCCCGTCCTCAACAGCTGCATGCGGGCCAAGCATGGAGCAGAGGCTGTCACTGCTTGCTACACAATTGTCATAATACTCGTCAATCAGGCGAAGCTGGGGGACAAGATCCTTGATGGGCTCATGGAAGCTGTCATTCTGGCGCATGATGAAGCATCCATGAACGAATGTCTGGCATGCCTTTCTATCATCGCTAGGGAGCGATCCAAAGCTGAGATTCCGGAAAAGGTGTACAAAAGGCTTCTCAAAATCCCGCAAATACCTCAGAAGCTTTCGTTTGTCTCCAAACAGTGCCAGGTGGAGCGGCTTGTGCTGGGAGCTGCTCTAGGCGCGCTTCGTACTCTTGATCAATCGGACGAGAAGCGCAACATCTTCCACGAGCTCATCGAGTCGCAACTGCTCACAGAAGCGCACATCCAGATAGTCTTCTCGGCACTAATTTCAATGCTACGCGATACTGCGCCAGGCTCAGAACAACATGGACAATTACTCGATGTTGCTACGAAGCTGGTTGAATGCAAGACACTCCTGGATCTAATGCAGGCTACTGCGAAGCAAAGTAACGTGGACCTCGAATCGCTGGGGCTGCCCATCGAGCAGCCTTCGCAAGTTGAGCAGACGAACGGTGTAGACACGGAAGACGAAGAGATGCTCGACACAGATGAGGAGGTCGCCTTGACAGTAGAGATTCCAGACTTCAGAGTAACAAGCTTCCTCGATCCCAAGTCGGATATCTGGTTCGTGGAGATCGCCAACGCCTTTGAGCAAGCTGTCGCCTCCAAGCAGACCAAACAATTTCTCGCACTAAAACCGCTTGGCCAAGAAGACGCGTTACATCACACGAGGTACATTTCCTTCTTGGTCCGGGTCTGGTGCAGCCCTCGCTCGGTCTCTGTTCGAGTCGCCGCTCTACGCGCCGCGACAACTCTTATGCAGTCCAACACTGCATATGCCCTACAAAACATACTTCCCTATATACTGCATGCGCTAGCCGATCCATCGCCGCTTGTGCGTCGTGCTGCAGCTTCCTGTGTTGCCGCATTATCAGATAAGACCCCGGCGGAGAAGGAAACCCAAGTATGGGGCAGTTCCGACATGTATGGCAACTCGTCTAGTAAGATCATTGGGCTAACAGAGGAGGAGGTGTCAACGATTTTGTCCACCTTGCTCAAGCCCATCCTCGAGGAGTGTGTCATGGATCCCCATTTCGTCATCGCAGCAATTCGAGAAATGCTAGAAGGCTCGCAATCCTCGAGGAGTCTCCCCAAAAATGCAATCAAAGCGCAATTACGGGCTTCAATACTGGCCTTTTTCGCGAGTCATGCTAGTCTCACGCCATTATTGAGAGTCCAGCTCTGTCTTCTACCCATCTTCAACTTCTCCGGAAAGTCATCAGATGCCGTGCGCAGTAACACGATCGTCCCGATGATTCGGTCGTGGTGCCTATCTCCAGTCATGGACGTATCCAAGCAATGCGACGCTGAAGGTATTACACTCGAAGCAGCTGATCGTCAATACCTCGATGCGCTACTCGCAAGAGAGGCGAAGAGTGCAGAATTGCTACAAGACCTCGTCCACTTAAACTTTGGAGCCCGGAGATCACTTGCAACTGCTGCCTTTGGCCGCATCAGCTCAATCTGGTCTGCAATGAAGTCAGAGCCGAGGCTATCTCTAGCTCAGTCTCTTCTAGATGTGGCTTTGAGGGAGAGCAGCGATCCAGTAGCCGTGGCATATCGCGGTCCAGCACTTGAGACGTTGCGAACTGTAAAGCTTGACTCTCTCACCCTTGTGACCTTCTTGGAAAATGTGCTCTCTGCGGTACAGATGCCCGAGGGTCCGCCTACAAAGAAAAGGCGACGAACGAGCCGGAGCGAAATGGCTCGAGTAGAGCTATCCTCTCAGGACGATGTTCAACGGCTACTTCGAAGGCTCACCTTAGTTCTGGAATTGATCGAGGGGTCAACACCCGCACAGCATCCAGCGCTGTTCAAGAGTCTCTTTACCGTATTTGGTGATCTTCAGCCGCTGAAGCAACAGTCGGGGTCAGAGCTAGTGTATCTTCAGAGCATCATCCTAGGCTCTTTAACCCCGATTGTGAATGTATTGAAGGTAGGTCGAGTTGCATATATCCATAATCATCACTAACAAGTTTCAGGAGCAACCAGATACAGCCGAGTACCAGTCCGCCGTGCGTGCGGACCTCCTCATCGACTGTATCCGCCACTCGACCAGTCCACAAGTACAAAACAGTGCGCTGCTTCTGATCGCTAACCTGGCATCCTGGGTGCCGGACCTGATCCTACACAACCTAATGCCAATTTTCACCTTCATTGGCTCTACACTGCTTCGTCAACAAGACGATTACTCTGCCCAGGTTGTGGACAAGGCAAGTTCAAATACCCGTTCCTATCATCGCCTTGCTTACAAAGTCAGACCATTTCTCGTGTCGTACCACAACTGGCCGCTTCGCTGCGCTCAAAGCATAAGAACTTCCTAACCGGCGTATCCGATCTTTTGCTTAGCTTCACCGCAGCATTCGAGCATATCCCGCTACATAGGAGGCTGAAGTTGTTCTCGGAACTCGCGCGAACGCTTGGTCCTGAAGACTCGCTCCCCGCAATCCTTGCCCTTCTTGCTGATCGCTATCACAACAACAAGGCCCAGCGCAGATTCAGCACTGATCTGCTCCTTGTTTTTGATCCGATACACACACTCGAAGTAAGCTTCTTCACAACCTCATTTGAATCGATGCTGATAATTCTAGGCTTTCAAGGGTTATCTTGACCTCGTTACTGATGCTGCTGGGCCAAAGCGTAAGGTCTCCGACACCTTGTTCGGCCTGAACGAGAAGCAGCCAGCTCAGGTAGAATCCGCTCTCAGAAATCTGCTGTCATGCCTCGCAGACCTTGCAACCGACGAGCGAGTACGTGCCCATGTCACCAGAGCCTTCAGACGGAAAGAGGATTCTAGCAAGCCACGAGAGGTTTTCGCGAACATTGTCGAGACCACAATCCAGCTGTCCAAGAAGGTCGCAACGTCAGCGAAGCTACACGATTGCTGTAGCCGTGTGCTTGCTAAGTGCTTGGATCTTCTCCCCACCACCGACCTTATCAAGTCCGCAGAACTGCTCCTTGCGAACTCAGATTCCCAGGTTCAAGTGGCAGCCATCAAGTCCGTTGAGCTAAGGGCAGGTGGGACTCTGCAAAATGACCGAAGATCGATACCAGCTCTGCTTTCATTCCTGCCTAGCGTTGAGAATGTCCTCCAACAATCACAAGAGATGGACGCCAAGATCATCTCGGTCAGCTGCATCGATCGCATCATCGAGCGGTTTGGCAAGAAGGATGTGGAGGCCGTTGTATCTGTGGCGCACACAATCTCTGGTTCGCAGTCACTGTCTAGCAGCGACGATAGGGTCCGCATACTGTCCCTGCTCTGTCTGACTTCCGTTGTGGACGTCCTTGAAGATGAAGCGATCTCATTACTGCCAACAGTCCTACCAACGGCATTTGAGTACTTGTCGCACGCCATCGATGAGGAGAAGACTGGCCTGCACAATGCTGTGTATACTCTTCTTTCCAACATCGTCGAGCGACTGGGTTACATGTTTTCACGAGAGTATCTTGAAACGGCGCTCAGGTTATCAAATCGCTCTGCTGAAGCTGACTTGGAGGATGCATGCGACGAAAGCCGTCGTAGCTTTTATCAGAGCGTTTCGGAGCATCTTGACGCACAGAGCGTATTCGCGGCCATCAAGTCGAGTTGGCCACAAGCTGTCTCTCAGGGCTTCAACGTACGTATCTTGAAGAAGCACACTTGACCATGCGCTAATCAACAACAGGCATCACTCGAGCACCTCGAGCTCCTCCGCTCCACGATCGATGGCCAGACCAAGACGAAGCTCATCAAGGCGAGCTCAACCTTGTTCAGCCTACTTTTGCAGACTTTCCATCTGCGAGAGGCGATCGAGTCGCAAGATGAGCAGGATTTTGACGACGACGAGGTTGAACAGTTAGACAGCATATTTGTAGAGTCGGTTCTCGCCATGGTCCTGAAGCTCAACGACGCGACATTCCGGCCTTTCTTCGTACAGCTAGTGGAACAAGAAGGACCGCTAGCAGCAAGACCGCAGCGCGCCATCACCTTCTACAAGTTCCTCGCGGCTTTCTTTGACAAGTTCAAGGTAGGCACCACCCGAGCCAACACTTTGAATAGACCCCATACTAACACCCTTCCAGTCCATCGTCACAAGCTACTCCAGCTACATCATCGACCACGTCGCAAAGATGCTCGAACACCTCGCTCGCGACGACGTACAACCCGAGCTCCGCACCGCGCTGCTCACTGCCCTACAAAAGTCCTTCCAGCACGACCAAGACGCCTTCTGGCAAGCGCCCTCCCACTACACCACCATCCTCGCCCCACTCCTCAGCCTACTCACCCTCCCCTCGGCATCCACGTCCTCACCCGCCAACCCGACAAACATTGCTATCCCCACCATTGCCGACCTGGCCGCTGCATCGTCCTCGTCGATTGACAATCACCGCGAGATGAACGCTATCTTACTCCGGTATATGCGTGCTGAGGAAGCGCATACAAGGCTTGCGACGGTACTGTGCGAGCAGGCGTTGACAAGGAGACTAGGCGAAGAGTGGTTGGGACTGTTGCCTGAGATGCTGCCGTTTATCAGTGAGTTGCGCGAGGACGATGATGAGATTGTTGAGCGAGAGACGCAGAGGTGGATTACGGGCGTGGAAGAGGTGCTCGGGGAGAGTTTGGAGGGTATGTTGCAGTAGTTAGTGTTTTAGTTGGTTGTTGTTGGAGTAGGAGATGTTTAGGATGACAATATGGATATGAATAGAGACTAGAGCATGATCCAGCTCTTGAGAAGATCAATGTAGTGTTTTTCAACGAACTTGATTCGTTTATTGTGGGGTAATGTAACTCTACGTCATATATGCGTGCGTGCGTGTCTATCGTTTCGTTCCGATTCGTAAATCCTTAGTTTCCGCTTGCTCGTGTATGTCCAAAGCACGAAAGCCTAGAAGCTAGGCGTATATATATTTTATTCCACCCGTCCCATCCCTCGTATCTTGAGCGATCGACTGACGGCTTACGCGCCGTGCTTTGACTTCTCTCTACCTGACTGCGCTCTCTTGCGCGCCTTCTTTAGCAAACAGCATGAGTCTTGCCCGTCTGCCCCTGCAGACTATGCTCCTCATCAGCAAAGATGTTATTAACAGCCTTGAAAATGGGCGTAACAAGCGTGGATCGGCGGCGATGAGCATATTGCGCTCGGGCACTGTGTTCACGGGTCAGCCACCAATCCATCCATACATCCTATCATCCATCATAATCATCCCCACGACCCCTTTCTCTTTCAGGGTATTATAAGCAGAGGAAACTTACTCCTTCTGCTCCTGGATCTTCTTCGCATCGAGTTTATCCAGCGTCTGCAGTGCGAGCTTGAAATCAGCAATCAGTGCGTCGCAGCGCGAGCGCGTGAAGTCCTCGCGCACAACGACGCGCAGCATCTTCATCTTCTCCGAATGCGGCGCCATGGTGTAGGCGGGCACGACCCAGCTGCGTTCGCGGAGCTGGTGGGCTCTGTTTGGGGTTAGCGAGTCTAATTCTGTGTGGGAAAAGGGACGTACACGTCAAACTCATCATACTGCTTATCCAGATCCTCGTCGATGCGGCACGCAACAAGAGGCAGGCCCGCACCACCCCTCTCGCTCATGATGATGAAGCCCAACGACTCCAAGTTGGCAGCCAGATAGTCGGACGTGCGCGTCAAGTTCAGCATGATGCGCCTATATCCGCGCTTGCCCAGGCGGATAAGCTGGTAGTACTGGCCGATGATCTGGCTTGCACCACGGGAAAAGTTGAGCGTGAAGGAAGCCTGGTCCGCGCCGAGGTAGTTGATGTTGAAGACAAGTTCCTGTGGTAGGTACTTGGGGTCGCGCCATACGACCCACCCGACGCCTGGGTACACGAGCCCGTACTTGTGCCCGGATACGTTGATCGAGGTTACTTTGGGCAGGCGGAAATCCCACAGGAGCCGGGGGTTGACAAAGGGGGCAACGAAGCCGCCTGAGGCTGCGTCGACGTGGATGTCTACTTCGATGTTTCGCTCGACGAGGAGGTCGTTGATGGCCTTGATGTCTTCGTATTCGCCTGTGTATGTAGTTCCGAGGATGGCGCCTGGTGCTGTTAGCAATTGCATGAATAGTCTAGGTTGATTGATTCATGTACATATGCCGATGGTGTTCTCGTCGCAGAGGTCGACGGCCTCCTTGGGATCGATCACGTAGCGCTCCGTGGTGCAGTATACGTATTTCTCCTCGACGTCGAAGTAGCGACACGCTTTCTGGTACGGTCAGTAGATGCAGTGGCGGAATGCGAACGCGTGATTGTAAACTGACCTCCCAGCAAACCTGTACGGCCGAGTTCATGACCATGTTAGGCTTATCGTAGGGCAGGCCCGCCGCCTTGCGCTTGTTCTGCCAGAGTTTCTTCATGGCGAGCACGCCCAACTTCAGAGTGTCAGCATTGATAACTCTTTGAATAGCCTAGTACTGTTATATTACCATGATAGCCTCGGAAGAGCCGATGGTAGAGGTACCGATCGTATTGGCGTCCTCCTGATCAGGGGCATTGAACAGCTTTGCAATCATGGAAACACATCCTACGCTTCGTTAGTGGCTGCGTCCCAAACTTGGTCTGACGTATGTACGTACGGTTCTGGATATCGGCGCTCACGGGGTACTCCTCGTAGTCGATGAAGTTCTTGGAGAAGGCGTCACTGTGAATAGTCAATGGCATATCCTTGTGAAATAGCGGGCGACAGCATGTCACACGTACACCATGAGCTTCTCAGCCTCGTCTTCCTACTCAGCTTGTCAGCGTTGGTCAGAGGAGAAACACTTCAGGGGGCGAACCATGTAGGTAGTGACGAACGAAGCCAAGTTGAGCGTCGGGGTACCATCGAGAGTGAGGTCGTCTTTGATCATGCGGTATGCCCTGAATCAGTCAGCCAACATTCTTGCACCAACCACCCCTCTCATCCAACTTCAGACATGACCTACACTTGGGCCGGCATTTCACGGTCCTGTACGCGCAATTAGCCATGTCGAACTGCCATGTAGCGAGTGGGTCAACTCACGGGCATCTCGTGCCTGGGCAGATCCTCAATGGCATACTTGCTTCCATAGACGGTCGCGGTGTAGTCATCTGCGTCGTCCTCGGGCGTAAGATCAATAGTGCTTTCAGGATTACTGAAGCTCTGCACGCGCTCAAAGCCAGACTTTTCCTCTGCGACCTCTTTCTGGGTGGCTACGCGGTTGATGTGCACCATTCTGGCGACGGAAGCTCACACACGGGGTGGCCTGGCTACAGTGTGTAGGGAGTACGAGACAGAGGGAAGAAATTGGAGTGGGACAGAGGAGGGAGAAGGAAGAATAAGAGACGGTTAGAGAGGACGCAGCGCAGAAGAAGGCAGTTTTATCACTCAGACGTGGAAGGATTACGTCGCGCCGCCGCCGGGTGTCCTGTCTAGCTGCGTCGTATCGTACAGCACAGCGACGTACCCCACCATGCCACCAACACGCAGCCCACCATGGCACCACGACGCCCATGCCCGTCACCGCGCATCCATCAATAGCCCAGCCGCCTGCCAGACGACTCCCTCCTCCCCAGATACATATATATGCGTCTTCGCCAATGGAAGCCAGGGCGCCGCGTCAGACCTGTCCACAACACGGTGACAGTCCCGTCCCGCAGCCCTCATTTGGCAGAGCGAGCGCGTCGACAGCGTCATCATAGCGGGGACACACACAAAACGGCCCTTCGCTACTAAGCATTTGCTCGCGAAAGCTTACCTGTCTTAGCGGCCCGTCCTTCACACCGCCTCTCGCCCGCTAGACTGCAGACAGACATGGGCTAACGGAGGAGAGAACGTGGTACAGTTAACGGCGGGGGTGCCCAGAGGGGGGACTGCGGGAGGCGAGTGCTATAGCCAGGAACGCGCGCGCGCCTCTGATCGATGATCGTCGTCGTCGTGTCCCACTCTGCATCCGCTGGCAAATGGAGACTGAGGAGGGGCTTGAGATGGATCGGGCCAGCTTGTCCGCGGCTACGACTGCCGAAGACGCACTTGAGACTGTTTAGCGCTATACAGTCCGAGTCTCGAGATACGCACTCATTGGATGAGGAGAAGCAGTTGAAGATCGAGCTGCTGTGAGACTACGGCGCGAATCGACTTGGAAACACGCGTGTGTAGCGATCGTCATAGTGCTGAGTGATATTTTCAAGCCAGTGTGGTCTTTTGCATTTATTGGACATAAGTGCGATTTGGTATGGATTAGTATTTTGATGTTAGACAATTAACTCGGTGTAATTCAGTAGGTGCAAGTATGCTAAGACGGGGTGCCTTGTAGTACATGCACATGTCAGACCACAGCTCCAAACGATGAAACACGCTCTCGTGAGACAAACCAATCCCGCCAGACACCTTCACCGCCATAACTGAGGGAAGGGGTATGTATGCGAAAATACAGAAATACAAAACATAACATACTCTCTCTTTCTCACTCTCTTTTCTCCAAAATTCAAACGTACAAGTAAGCCGCGCTCAAAATGCTCAATCCAATTTCTGACTCTCCCTTCAAACCACGAGATACTGCTGTCCACATCATTACCCTCCTAAGCTCGTAGATATTACTTGTATGCCCTAATTCATCCAAGCCTGCCATGCCATGCCTCCTCCCAGTATCCCTATATTATATTCGCAATGCTGATCCGGCTCGTGCTCGACGGCGCTGGAGTAGGTACCGGGGCCGAGTTGGCCGTATCAGACGCCAACTGCACACGCTTGACAGGATTATGCGGAGGAGGATAATACGTCGTAGTAGCAGTCGGAGGTGGAGGGGGAGGGGGTTGTGCAGCCCTGAGCCTACTCTCGTCCATCAGTCTTCTCAGCACCTGCGCGATCCGCGCCCACTCATCCCTCTCCCCACTGCCGTTCTCAGGAGACCCAGACGCCGTGCGTACTGGCAGCCCGTTATCGCGCATCGGCTCGTCGAGCCCCTGAGATCGCACAGCGCTGTGTGGGGACGTGTGCGGAGAGACGGGAGAAGACAAGTCGGCGCCTGCCCACACCCACGAGTGTTCGAGACTGCCTTGTGCATCGCCGCTGACATAGGCCATCATTTCTTCGTTGCGCTCTAGGTGCTGGGCATCGCCCAGACCAGATCGCGTGCGGTCTGCCAGTCGGTCCAGGAAGAACAGGATGTTTCGGCCACAGGCAGCATTGACTTTCCGTGTGTTCTTTATGGCGGCCGAGAGCCGCACGCACATCAAGGCAGCGTCATATTCGCCGCGGAAGCAGAGGACGAGGATGCATCGCCATAAGTGCATGCTCAGCATGTTGCTTGCGATAGGTGCCACTCTCGCCTGCCAGCTCGTCTCAGCCTCTGATTTAGGCGGATTGTGCAATGCTCTGGAGATGTATTTGGCGGTATCCTGAGCGACCAAGGCGCACCGACTCAGTGCTTGGCTTCGTTCTGTATGGTGACAGCTAGGGTTGAGGTTGCGTCTGTACAGGTGGAGGCGGGCGTCGAGCAGGGTAATGATTGGTGGCAACGCTGAGGCTTCAAGAGGAGCGCTTGAGCTGATTTGATACGCATCTGGAAGTAAAGATAGCTTCGAGTAAAACTGCTCATCAACACTTTGCAGAACGCGAGTTGTTACGATACTGGATTTTAGACTCTGGAGCACGTCGGTGTATATCCGTGTAGCATAGATAGTTGCGATAAAACCAGTGAACGGTGCGGAATTTGCCTGAGAGCGGAAGAAACCTTGAGGTTGAATGTAGCGATCTTCGACCGACGAGGGAAGCGAAATATCGCAGTCGTCCTCGTGAATCAACACTGGCCTATTCGTTTCTAGGGATGTCAACCTGCCCGAGTCAGTTCTCAGACCGCGACAGAGTGTAAGCTATATTACCTGTCTCGCACGTATATCGCCCACCACAGTCTGCGCCTAACTTCGCTATCGACAACAGACCAGCAGTCCACTTCAGGACTTATCTGCAGTTCCTGGGCTACTCTACTAGCAGAGGCCAGCCACATTGACCCGACAGACTTCTCATTGTTCTCTGCCGCATAGATGCTCAACAGCAATGCTGCTTGTGCATGTGTGACTGTGAGATCTTGCGACCAAGGTGTTAGGGCCTGGGTTGCAATGTCGAAGAAAGCCTGCCCTCGTGGTGTTCCGCTTGGAGAACTAGTGGGACTGAGCAAACTGCCGCAAGCCAGTACTGCAAAGAAGAGGCCGATCCATTCTCGGGGTAAGCCGGCGAAACTCCTCGATGTGTAGACTTCATCCACTTCATGTTGAAACGTTGGCCAGTGTATTGCTGGATACCACTGGTGGATAGAAGTGAGGTAGGATCGTGAAAGATGCGCAAAGTCGGCCCGTAGCGGTACTTCAGGTAGCCCCGAGGTGGACTCTGCAGTGACGCTGCGATTTTCATGGGGCGACCTGAACACACCCTGAGCGTGTTTTTGGATGTTACGGCGAACGTGGTCAAAGTTATGCATGGAGGGCATCGGAACTCGAGTACCTGACATGGTACCAACCTGAGCCTCCGAGTGTCGACGCTTCATGTCTGTTCGCTCGGCCTCCAAAGGATCATTAGTTGTCTTGGTTAGCAGTGTGGTCTTCAACTCTGCAATCTGGCTTTGTAGATCTTGCACCTGTCTATGCAACTGTAAGTGGTTGATCGCATTTGTCAAAGCGCTGCTACATACTTGATCGAAGACATGCGACGATTGGTCTCCTTGGTGAATTGACATTTGTGATTACGGCTCGAGCATTCAGAGCAAGCTGAAGTCTCCGTAGCATCGCACTATATTGTCCGTCAGCCAAGTTGGATCAAGAGCACCAGAGACAAACTCAAGATGCAACGACGAGCAGTCATAATCGCGTCGAAGGATTTGAAGCGATTCAGTAAGACTCGAGCGATGGTTACAAGGTGGAAGCGAACTCCTCCTCAACTCCAACATGTGTAACCAAACATGGTGAAGAGATTAGGAGTTCCTTGCCACTGTCCGACGGTAGTGACCCCAGATTTTCCATTGTGGGGGAAAGTGCTATTCGCCATATGTCGGCTCCAAAGACGGTTTCAAAGCTCAGTGCCTTGAATGCGGTTCAAACTCACCTTGACTTTTCGCTCTCTGCAAGCGTCGCACGAAGGGTCCTTCCTCCGCTGCCTGTAGGCCCGTTTTTGCGCGTTCAAGTTTGCAGATGAAATCTGAGTAGGAGAAATGATTAGGCTTGGCGTGTCGTGATGCTGAATTTCAGGTAGGCTCCCAGATGCTGTGCTTGGAGATGTCGAGTGGCTGTAGGAATTCGACGAGTAACCTGGTGATCTGGGTCCAACTGCCTGTAGGCTAGGTGCAGAGAGTGTATTCGTGCGAATAGCAGACGATGCTATCGCAAACGGATTCGGTGGCGGAACCATGCTGTGTGGAGAGCCCCCACTTGATCCTGGTGGAGTGCGCATGGCTAGAGATGGGGTACACTACTGCTGATAGTCTGAGTTCGAATTCCCAAGTGTCCTCGTGTTTGTAGAGAGGGCGTACAGAAGAGACAACTTTACTGTTGGGAATGACAGACAGTGTCGGTAGCAACCGAGCACAACACCACTCGAGCTCAATCGGCGCGATGAACAAGTCGTGGCACCGGTTGCATGTGAGGAGCCAATGGAATCGAACCTTTAACACATAACGGCGGCTTGGCTTGATGGCGAGGTGTGGTGTACAAGTTGGCTGGAATGTGAATGGATGGGATGACTAACGAGGCTTCGAGCTGAACGTAGAGCACCCGTACATGCAAGTGATGATTGCGGAAAGACGAGCGACTCGGGTATCAGGATGCAGAACTCGGGTGTTCCGTGTCGCTTGAGCAAGTCTTACCAGCCAAGCGCCCGGGAGACAAACTTTGCCCGAGCTTTTGATCAAAATGACTGGACCAGCCTGCTCAAAACCCGTGGAATATTTGGTAGAAGGACCTGAATCGTGTGGTGCTCTTTTTTTTCTCCGTGGCTGAGTGGAGGTACTGGGTGTTTCGGAAGTCGACAAGGATGCAATGATGAAAGCAACAAAAGCGGGCAACACTCGGCGACGAGCCGCGGAACGGATCACTGACAGTTCAGGGTGCGTGTGGAGCGGATCTCCAAGAATGTACGCTGGGGCGATGATCAGCTTAGATCCCGACCGCAGGGAGTAGTCGCTCGGCGCATTCTGGTGAGAAGTACAAGACCAGGGCCTGTGGTCGCCACTACACCTTTCAATATCGGAAGGGTGCTATGAACTACACAGGGTATTGGCGGGCAGTCCTCTCCGCGGCATGTATTACTTTGCAATAGCTGTTGAATTAGGAAAACGACAGGAGTGGCTTTGGTCGAAAAGTTCCGACCTATGCATGAATAGTTCTTGCATGCCTGTGAACGACAGAAAGACGTGGTGCTCATACATTTGACATACCAGTACACGAAATGGCACGGCTCAATGCGGGTAGAGAACGCCACGAGCGTCTGGGAAGTATATTTCGCCCCCGTCAAACAGCTGGGCCGATAGATCCCATGCACAGCAGTGTGCTTGTACTTCGTGAGGTCTGCCCAATGATTCCGCCATGCGTGTTAGTGCAAATTAGTCCTACCTCGACGAACGTGCGAAGCGAAGATTCTCCCTCGATTATTAGAGCGGGCTGATAGCTCCGTAGTGGGCTCGCCGGATGTAGATCCGGGTGGTTAGGTATAGACGTGCTCGGGTCTGACGACAGCTTGTTACTCTAGTTCCAGAATTCTTGCGTCTTATTGCCTGAAGGAAAGATAGGCCGCACTACTACTCCCGAAACGTACATAGTGAATCAATTCGGCCAGAAACAGCTACAGGGGTCATGCTGTATATGGGGTGAAGTCTCGCTAACAACGGTGGCCATGGCGAGAGCACACGGCTGAAATTGCTGTACCACGAGAGTTTCTTCGGTTGAATGATCACGGTCGGGGCTGATGAGGCGACAGCGGGCGAGGCGCAAAGACGATAGTTTCTCACCTACCAGCAATGGCAGGTTGCTCCGTTATAGTGGATCGCTACCGAAGGTGCATAAGCCGGACCTATAAGAGCCTGCCATCGCACGACCAGCGTAACCACAACACGTTGAGTAGCAAATTTTCGGCATGCGGCGAGCCACAGCCGTTTCAGTTACCGTGCAGATTCCGATTCGCTGATGTTTCTGACATGCCTGAAAGATGTAGTGGATGGCGAAACATGATTAAGGAGGCGAAGTCAAGATTCGCCAATGGGCTGGCTCCTTCAACAGGGGCAGCACGTTTAACAGCCGGTCCCCCGACCAGCATGCCGTTCCGGGTGTTGTCCAGCCAGCCAGCATCGAGGAAAAAAACACGACCTTGACTCTCTCGCGGCCAACATGCGTGGCACGGGTGAAAAAACGTGCTTTCCCCACGTTGCAGCGCGCGTCCGCGCCCGTCCCGGTAGACCCACAGGGCTCAAAGAACACACAGCGACTTCTAGCCTGTAGCCAGTTTTGGCAACACCGCGCTTGGCACCGATAGTTTCTGGCTATTCGGCCGCGACTAGAAACGTTATTCCGGTGCCGAGATGACCACAAACCCGGTTGGCATGGATGAGAGCATGTTGCCAACTGCCGAACCGCGTGCCTAGACCGCGATGCTGTTCCTCGCCACTGGCTCTGGCAGCAACAGGACACGAAGCGTGCGGATCTGGCGCCTTTTCAGGCTTTCGCCGGCGTCTCAGGCACATTGCCATGTCTCCAACCGGCGGCAGAGCAACGGTTGCGGCATCTGCACGAGCGAGCCCAAGTCTTTTCGCCTGTGACATCGGTTGAGGAGATATCGATCTGCTGTACGTGCAGATACGACGCCGTTAGTCGCATGGCCTGACATGTGCGCGTTTGTGTCCCCATATCTCGATAATTCGGTTCATGCGGATCTTGTGCTTGGTCGCTTATAGTGGGGACGCATCAGACGTGACATTTGTGCCTGCTGTCTAGTATTGATTCGACGCTGTGCCCCTGCGCTGCATCGATGTGCGTTGTCTTGGCCGTAAATGGACACATGGAGATCAGCATGCCTGATCGCTCAAGGTTGCGTGGCGCGGGTCGGCAGCTTCCGTCTCTGGGAGTCGATGGGATTCGAGAAAACTTCTGCCCTGGAGGCATACGTCTTTGCTAGACAAGGACCGAATAGATGAGAAGTATTGTCTTGGCAAACCCGGAGTAGAGAGCTGCAATCGGGCTGACTCCCATAGCCAGCCCTCCGACAAGGCGCCGTTGAATCTGCAGGCCAAAATGCCTGATCATCACACGCCTGACCGTTTCCAACAGCGACGATCGGCGTGTGTCATTCCAGACCAGATGTTGAGGTGTTGCACAGCCTTCCTCGAGACGCTTGGTGATGCGAGAGGCGTGCCGCTGGCGGGGAGATTTGAAAAAGAAAATGTGGCAATTCTGGGATGGCGAGTACTCTATGGCTCCATGGGGTGCGTGAGCGCAAAGTGTCATGCCGTTGAGCGCAATCTGAAACGAGTGGATGATTGTTTGTGGGAAAAAGCAAGCCCGTGAGTTGTGTCAGAGTTTGTGGCGGTCATGGTGTTGCGTGCCTTCCATCCAGACATCGCGAACGGAAGTTACAGCTGGTGGCGCATCTTCACCCTCAGCTCCGAAGCTCGGCTGCAACCATTACACAACGTCTATCCCGGCTTCTCGCAGCAATTCGGAAATCCACTCTATCGAGTCCCGTAGGGAAAGACATGTCTCACGGGTCGGGCGTCCTAATTTCCCACTGTGCGAGGTACCGGCATGACGGCGTACGGGAACCCGACAACTCTAACTCGACCTCTTGACAGTGGACACATCTCTATCATGACGAGTAGGTCTATTTTGAGCTTTGTATAGACGAGGTGGGTGGTTCTAATGGCGACTGCAGCAATGTCGACTGAACAGAATATTTCAGACGCGCTTACGCTCTATCTGAGCTATCACTAGATCTATAAAAGTGTGGGGATTTTGTGATTACATTAAATCCTCTAGGATAGGCGGCATTCGAGAAAGTCGTGATTATACTCTCAGGCCTCAACTCAATTGATAGAGAGACGTGTGATATCCTCTATCGGCTTCTATATACTCTAATATCTATACATAGCCAGCTCTCTAGGCTTACGTTCTACAGCTTCTCCAGCTTCCCACTCCCCCAAATCTTCCCCCCATCAAGCACAAGCGTATCGCCATTAACATGACCGCCCGCCCGCGAGCTCAAAAAGACGACAGCAGCCGCAACATCCTCTGGTTTCCCCACCCGCCCATTCGGACTACTCTTGTTCAGCGCCTCGACGCCGCCAATCTTCTCCATCAGCCCAGCCGCCATCTTGGACATGAAAAACCCCGGCGCAATGCTGTTGACAAGGATATGGCGGGGCCCCAGCTCGACGGCGAGGTTGCGGGCGAGATGCAGCACGGCGGCTTTGGACGCGGCGTACGAGTAAGCGCCGGATTCGCCGAGAGAGCCCGCGCCGATGCCTGCTACGCTGCCGGTGATGATGACGCGGGAGGGGTCTTCGCGCGACCCGGCTTTCTCGAGGAGCGGTGCGAATCTGCCCTCTGTTAGCTACCATCTCGTCGCACTTCAGCGGTCAGGCAGAGCGTACCTTTGGATGGTGAAGAAGACGCCTTTCACGTTCAGATCCATGACTTTGTCCCACCCATTCTTCTCATCCACCTTGTCGAAGGGTGATCCCCATGTCGCGCCAGCGTTTGCGAAGAGGATATCCACGTGATCCGTATGCTTCTCTACCTCTTTGACCAGTCTTTCGATCTCGGAGAGCTTCGAGCTGTCTGCCGGTAGCGAGTATGCTTTTGCGCCAGGCGGCTTGTTTGGTAGTGCATTCAGAGCTGCGACGGCCTCATCGCACGCGCTTGCTTTCCGGCTGGTAATGAAGACCTTGGAGCACCCAGCTTGGAGGAGACTTGCGCTGTCAGCGACTAGAGAGAGAGAGTCGTGCCGACGCAAAATACCCAGATGCAGCGTGTAGTCCTAGTCCTCTTGAACCACCGCTTACGACTGCGACCTTGCCCTTTAAGCTGAATATGTTCGCAAAGTCTTGCAGCTGGACGTCTGATTCGGCGGAGGCCATTGTGTCGCAAATGCTCAGCAAGTATACGAACGAGAGTTATGAAAACAACAATGAGGTACTGGTTTGACGTTTGTACAAGTCTGTAGATCACTGTTGCAGGTCTGATCTTTTGTTGCTTTCGTCGCAGCCTCGGTGTGACGCGTAGTAGCCAACATCTGAATGTACCGAGGCACGAATTGCGCTAGCCGAGAGGGGTAACGAGCTCACTCCCCGGGCCATAGCTACCTAGGTACTGCTAATAAGCGAACAGTGAGGATGCAGACATGACATTGACTTCAGACATGAATAAATAGATGTCTCGCTTCCTCTGGACGAATCTATCATTCAATGCAGAATCACAAAAGCCATCATCGATGAATGTGTCACCATCGATGACATCTACTAACAACCCAGACTCCTACCTCTCCCCCTCCGGAATCCGCATCCCATGCACCCCCTTATACTGACTAGGCAGGGGACTCTTCCACCCCTTGAGCACACTCTCCCTAACCCCGTCCTTGAGCTCCCACACCTCGACCCGAATCGGGCGACACGTACTCTTCATATCCGGCTTATCGCCCCCAGCCTCCTCCTCGTCCGCCTGATGCCATCCCCAGGCACTCAAGTCGCCGCCAGGACACGTGCTCAGCGCACACAGGAGATCCTGCTCGGCGAAGAAGTCGATGAAACTCTCCTTGGTGGCGGGGCTGGATTCCATAAAGTACCGGCCCTGGGCGTCAAGGCCGGTGACTTGGAACACGTTGAGCACGTCGTGGACGTCGAATTCGGTCAGGCCGTGCGGCAGGATGGCGCGGACGAGGTTCGAGTGGCAGTGGTAGTCGTACGAGGCGCCGGTGAGCATGTTGGATACTGACTGAGTTAGCAAACCGCTATGAAATTCCTCCCGCGCGCACGGATTGGTCAGTTTACTCCGGGTGTAAAGGGAGAATCAACCTCAGATTAAAAAAGGAAAAGGCAAAAAGAAACAGAGTTAAACATACCATAAGGATCACACCTCGTCCCTAGCAAATCATGACACCTTCCACCCCACCTCGTAATCCCCCCCCGCTCATCTCTCATTTCCTCCCTCCCCTTCCCCTCTCCTCTCTCTCCCTCCCCCTTCTCCCCCACGGGCGCATCCCGAACCTGACACCCATCCGCGACCATTCCACAAAGCGGCCTCATAAACGGCAGGACACTCCACAAGCGATCCCCCTCCTTAACATGGCTGCCCTGCAACTGCCTCGTCCGCGCAGCCCAGAACCGCTCGCGCGCATCATGTGCGTTCCAGACGTTCAAGTCGCCCACCTGCGGCCCCTCGGGCGTGCTGAGCCGCCATATCTGGCCCTTGGACACGTTCCAGGCTTTGCCGCTGCGGGGCGGGATGAGGAAGTCTTGGGTTTTGGTTAATTGGTCTGGCTTTAAGTTTTTCAATTTCTCATATAGTTCTTTCGGCGCGTGGAGGGGGGAGTCGGCGGATGTGGGGAAGTAGGCGGGTGCTGGGGGTATGTCGGTTCTTGATGCCATTGTTTGTTTTATTTTTATTTTTATCTTCTTGAAAGAGAGGGAGAGGTGGATGAGGACTGTTTGCACTGTGGAGTTAATATTCGTGATGGCATGCGAGGTTTGCTTGCGCTTGGTACCTTGGTACGCCGTTTTTAGTACTTAGTACCTGGACTTTAGTACAAAGAAGCCGGTGATAAGCGCCTTTTTTGTGGGTATAGCCCGATGTCGGAGGAGCGAATGGTGATGTGAGTAGGAAAGATGACTATTTTGGATTTGTATGTGTGGTATTGGTTCTTGCTAATTCGCTACTTGGTGTATGTAGGTTGATTTTGGTAAATTGTGGTTGTTGTTGATGATCATGATAGAGGTACATCGTGTACTTTTTTCTATGTAGCACTTTTTGAACAATGAATCGACTCCTATTCAGTCAGATGCAATGTCACATGCAAAACGAAGATAATGCAATACGTGAAAAGAAAATAGCTGATGCTTCACACGCCCGCGCTCTTGACATTAGCTTGGTCGCCGTTAACAGCAGCTTCCAGCGTATCCACCAGCGTGCTGCGCTGATTCTCTTCCCGACTCGGGCTCGACGCCGGGCTGGGAATTTCAAGGGTATTCGATCTCTTAGGACGGAAAGGTATCGGTGTGCTAGGTCTCGACGACAGGAACTAATTCAGTATTAGCTTCAGTTGTTCTCCTACTAATTGGAGGAGCCATGACGTACTGAAGAAGCAGCACTCAACAACGCGATCAGCGACGCCTGGACGACATCGTGGTGGATGCCTACGCCCCAGACCTTGTGCGAGCTCTGTGCTGCTGTGCATCCTATGTATGTAGCCGCTTTCGCATCCTTACTCGTACCAATGGTGTGTTCGTTGTAATCTACCACGTCCAAATCGATACCCAGACCCCTCAGCGCATCAGCAAGAGATGACAGCGCGCCGTTGCCCGAGCCTTGGATTTTGTGCTCCTGGTGGTCGATCTCTATGACGCCTTTGAACAGACGGCGCAGATTGCGGCTGCTGGCTGTTCTACCATCCTGCGGTGGTGCTGGCGTGGCAGAGCGGTCGGCGGTGATTTCGTAGTCGACAAGAGAGAAGCGGGGATTGCGCTTGAGGTGGTATGCCTCCTCGAACAAGTTGGTGATCTCAGTAGGCAGGAGTTCGCGGCCCAGCATGTCGGTTTCTTTTTGCACAATCTTGGAGAAGGCGACTTGCAGACCGCGCGGCAGATCGAGCTCGAGCTGGCGCTGGATGATCCAGGCCACGCCGCCTTTTCCGCTCTGCGAGTTGACACGGATGATGGCTTCGTAGGTACGGCCGATATCTTGCGGGTCCAGTGGTAGATAGGGAATTCTCCACGGGCTTTCGTTGGTTGCGCCCTCCTTCTTCCGCAGCTGGAAGCCTTTCTTGATGGCGTCTTGATGCGAGCCGCTGAACGCGCATACGACGAGCTGTCCTCCGTATGGTGCGCGTGGGTGTATCGGGATCTTGTTGCACGTCTCTACCATGTCGATGATAGATTTGAGGTCAGAGAAGTCGATGCCAGGGTGAACACCTTGGGTATACAAGTTCAGTCCCAAAGTCACGAGGTCGACATTGCCTGTTCTCTCTCCATTGCCAAACAGTGTGCCCTCTACTCGGTCTGCGCCTGCCATCTGTGCCAGTTCTGCTGCCGCGACTGCACATCCTCGATCGTTATGCGGGTGTAGAGACACGCAAATCTTCTCCCTCTCGGTGATGTTCTTGCAGAAGTACTCGATCTGGTCGGCGTAGACATTGGGCGTCGCCATCTCAACGGTAGCCGGCAAATTGAAGATGATGGGGGCCTCTACACTCGGTTCCCACGCTGCCTTGACCGCCTCGCACACTTTGATAACAAACTCGGGCGAAGAATCTGAAAAGGTCTCTGGTGAGAATTCATATACCCACTCGGTGCCCGCCGTGGCTGGGTCGTCTTTTGTAATGGAGCGGGCGTACTTTGTACACTCGACCGCCTTTGCAATCGTCTCTTCATCGTTCATGTTGAATACGATCTGCTGGAAGCACGGGCTCGTTGCGAGGTAGAGGTGGAGAATGGCTTTGCGCGCGCCCTTGAGAGAGTCGACGGTCCGACGAATGAGCTCGTTGCGGCAGGGCGAGAGGACTTGTACCCAGACATCGTCGGGGACTATGCCGGGTGTTTGTATGAGGCGTTGGGTGAAGTCGAAGTCGGTTTGTGAGGCCGAGGGGAACGAGACTTCGATTTCCTTGTAGCCAAGCTTGACGAGCATCTGGAAGTAGTCCCATTTTTGCGCGCCGTCCTGCAGGGTAAGCTGGTGATAGTGGGATAGTCGCAACGTGCACTCACCATGGGATCCACCAGACTCTGGTTGCCATCCCTCAGATCTGTCGACAGCCAGCGCGGCGGCCTGTCAATGGTTTTGCTCGGCCATGATCTGTCTGGCAGGTTCAGCGGCTTGAACGCCTTGTATTTCTTCGACGGGTCCGCGAGCATGGGCATGTTGAAGTCTCAATGCGCCTCCTCTTGAGTCGCGTCGTTTTCTCTCTTGCTGATTGGCCGACTGCGCGTTGCAATATGAATATTTGAATTGCCAACTTGAGGTGGGCGAAGGCGTGTCTCAGTCCAAAAGATAAAAGATTATATAGAAAAAAAGGGTAGGACGAGGCAATGAGTACGGGTACAGGTGAGATGACTAGACTGCTGGCTATGATTCATAGCAAAGCAAAAACTTTGGTGCTCGGTAGGACTAAGCACCTGAGCCGGCGGGCGTTGACTGGCGTGGTATGACGATGCGGGGCTTCGGTCTTTAGTTTTTGCAGAGAATGCGGGGGGTCGACGACGCTTGCGACTCTCTGCCCGACATCGGCTGGGATGGGGTTTATTAGTGACGGCGAATAAAGAAGAGGACAATTGATTGTTTACGAGTCGATCGCGGGATACGAGACGTGGTGAGGCTTGTCGTGTACGCGCTCTTCAGCCTGTGTGCGTGCTTGCTGGAGCTGGATTCCAGGTACGAGCAAGTCCACTACCAACACGCAACAACTAGGCTTGTCATTTATGCGCCCTTCAGCCTATACATCTTACCGAGTTAGTGGGCGTTCTAGGTACGAGCAAGTCACGTATCGACACGAACAGCTGTCGTGGATGAATGTACCCAGCCAGTCTGACGCCACCAACTCTCACACCACGGCCACAGAACGACGCCAGGAGACTAGTCAATGACACGAACCGGGAACCTGCCCTCAATTCTAGTAGAACCCTCTATCTTGGACCGTCTATAGTATCCTAGAAGACAGGGACCCGCAACCCGCAGCAGTCCACCTCGCTCCCCTTGACCCCAATCGCCCGTCCAAAGTACAGGCTGCCAAACTCCTGCACAAACGCCCTGTCGGCTTCGGACCAAGTATCCAGCCCCATTCGGGACAAGTCATCTCTGTCAATGACCAACGCATCTCCCTCGTCGTCCTCATCACTCTCCCTCTCGCCTGCCCGTTCGCTCTCAATGACTTGCGACAGTGTTTGTATCAGCAACGAGGTTTGCCGGTGGAAGTACGCGATCAAGGCCGTCTCAACAGACTGCGAGTACTCGGCCAGATCGCCAATAAGCTCGCGGTCCGTGTCCCGCTCCGCTGTCGTGTAAGCGTCCCTCTCACCCGCGGATGCCCACCACATGAAGCCCAGGTACGCAAGCCGCGACCACGTCATGGGCTCCACGACCGAGTCATCGTAGGCCTCGTTGAAGTCGTCGTCGGCCCGCTTCGTGTCGACTTCATCGCGCGACAGCAAGGGCGCTGTGTCGTCGTTGTCCTCGTCCGTGTATGCCTCGGGCTGAGTTTGTTGCCCGTTCCTGTGCCTGAAAAGCTCCTTGTGTAGAATCTTGTAGCGGGCCACGTCTCGCTGACTTGCTCTGATCAAGCTGCCGTCGCTCGTGCGTATCCTCGGCCAGCGACGTGCTTGCGGTGGGGCGTCGTGGGTGGATGGTAGCTCGACTACAATATCGTACAGTTGTGTCTTTGTACTTATAATCTCGTCTGTGGTGCATGCTGCCCAGCCTTCAGAAGCTTCGCTGCCTGGTGTGTGGCCGCCGTGTTTCGGGTTTCGTAGGTCCTCGAGATGAGGTATGTCGTGGACGCCAATGGAGAAGAGGGAAGGAAGGCGCACGAGATCTTCGGTGCCGGGTATAAGGAGATCTGAATCGCGCGTCGAAATGCTGGAGAGGACGGAGAGGTTGTATACTGTAGCGCGTCAGCGTCGGATCTAGCTGAAGCAGCATAAGTCGAGCATACCATATTCACAAGCAGTCCTCACTGGCGGACTTGCCACGAACAGTATCCTCTTCCGCAAAAGCGCTGCCTGCTGCAGCCTGAAGACCAAGGGCCCGAAAGTGTCCATGTACCGTAGTATCGACAGCGCAGGATGATATGCTGGGAGACTCTCATCATCCCTAGTGACAACGCTCACTGTCGATATTGCACGCGCTCTGCTGTGTCCCTTCGCACCTCCCTTGTCCGACGCCTGACTCCGGCTCCTCGATCCTGAATTGTGTTCTTCCCAGAAGTCTTCCAGCGGTGTCACCGTGTCCGAGTCGTCAGCCAGTGCCGCAGCCAGCTTCTCCAACTGCCCGGCGAGCAGCCATGCCCGCCCTAGCCTGCCAAATCTGCCTTCGTTCTTCACCAGTATGCCGACCGACACAAAGTTTGCGTTGCGCTCCTCTGCGCTTGCGTCGCCCTTGGCGAAGGCGCTGAGCCCGGCGTAGCCCTCATGTGTAAAGTAAACTAGGTCGTTCTGCACTGCATGGAGTCCTGACGGCAGCGACTTGAACTCGACGGCGTTTTCGAGGGCTATGTCGGTCGCAGAGCGCTTCCATGCGATTGTGTAGCTGCAGTCGCGGTCAGCGCATGGTTCCCGAGGCACTCGTGGCGTCCGTCGCATAATGACATACCCGACCTTCTTATCGAACCTAATCAGGAACAAAGCTTCGATTTCTGGCGGCCCACTCTCATTGCTCGTCTCGACATTCGCGGCACTCGAGTCTGTCGAAGCAGACATGATGCGTGCCTTGCGATGGAGGATAGATGGGGCGTAGGCACCGCTGATGCAGCCCGTCTCGCTTACACTTGCCTGTCTTTGAAAACACCAAGGCAGGATACATTTCGACTTCTATATCATCTACAAAACTGGGCCGTCTATGATTGTAACGAATGTATTCTAGTGCTAACATGACATCTCATAACCCTTCATTTTACAAGTACTAGAGCGACATTCACATTCCATCATTCACCTCGACGCCTCCAGGCAGCGATTCAAGCCCTACACAGACAGTCAGTACTCATCCAGGATGATATAGCACGAGGCAGCTTACAATTAGAGCCATCAACATCCTCTACCACAGTCTGTGGAATAGCGCACTGCATCGCCTCCTCATCGCTCTGCCGCTTCAACTCGCTGCAGTGGTCATTACTACAGCGAGCATTCAACGCGCGCTGAAGCGCATCGCCTTTCCATCCAAACAGGTAGTCACCATGGTTCCCATGGCCAGTCCTATTCCTCACTGTCAGCTGTTGCTCAAAATACCTCTCTCATCCCTCTCAGCGAAACTCTAGAAAGAAAAATTAACTCACGCATCGCCCATGGAAAACACAAACGGCTGCGTCCCATTCGCACCCCACAAATCCCTCTGATTAAACGGCGTAGTATCAAACATGACCTCATACATAATCTGCGGCAAATGCACAGGATGGCTATCCGGACACTTGCCCCTCTGCTGCTCGGGGGTATAAGGAGGCGTGGCCCGCGGCTCCGCATACGGCTCATACGGAATCGACGCATACGCCACATGGCTCTGGTGGTCTGGGCTGTCGAGGTTGACGCCGTCCCAGCACGTAGGGAAGGTGACTTGTGTGCGGATCCCGCCCTCACACATGCGCGTCGGGAGGTGCGTTGTGTCTTCTTCGGTGCAGGGCGCGCCGCCAAAGGGCGTCGCGTCTTTGTAGATGCAGCGGTGGCAGACCCCGCGGGACTCACCTGTTGTGTTGCGCAGCATGGGGTTGCCGGCTAGCATGCGGAAACCCTGGTTTCTAGTTAGTAATTGCATGTGTGATGTGTAGGCGTGAAGTAGGTTGGACGGGAAGGGAGGGGGTGAACGAACTGGTTTGAATGCTGTCACGTTGCTGACTCCATCGTAGGGGGGGATATAGTAGACAGTCATTCCGCCTCTTTGATGGAAGCCGGTGTTTGGAAATTGCTGCACGCGTTTGTATGTCCCATTCTTTGCGTGGAAGTACAGTGCTGCCGTCCAGTAGTTGCTAATAACTATCAGCTTCATTTATCATCTCCATTCCTATTCCATCACATGGCTTATCCCTTCTCACTCTTTTCGATCTTGTCCCTCATAGCTTTCCCAATACGCACCTCAAATCCTCGCTAAACGTGCAAGTCGTACACGTACTCTTCGTCACCAAGTCATATTCGCCCGGCTTCATTTCCGGCTTGAAACTGTTTCCCCCGACAATCTGATGCGTGTGAGGACTCCCAACAACACCAGGATTAACCAGGGGATCGAGTCGTTCAACTGTGAGCTGGGAACAAGCGAAGCGCATCATCGCCACTCCACGGGTGATATTCTGGGCCTGCGCTGCACCCGCCAGCATGAGCAATTTTAGAATGGCAGACTTCATGGCTCCAGTGGCTGCGACTACAAAATGCGACGAGGTGTTGTGAATTGTAGACGTCCATTGCGAAGACTAGTTTGTCTTTAGTATGATTGTGGGGCGCCAAAACTGCCGTACCACCAAGCGTTACTCATTTACTCTCCGCATCGGTGTGCTCCGGTGCTGTGGGTACTAGGGTACTATCTTCATAAGGTTGTGTGGCGTTGAGTGTATTTCTAGATTAAGTGACCGGGGTTGCCCCCAATCAAGACAGGCAGACAGTCACAACGACAACGTGGGATTGACACTATTTGAATATGTTGGGACTGTAAGTGGGAGATATGTCCGCGTTGTGCAGAAGATTTACACATTAAGAGCAAGATAGGGCGAGCGGAAGGTCACAAACAGGTAGAGATAGTCGTGCGACGTGGACAGTTTTTGTAAGAGCAGTTTTGATGAAAACGAACGTGACTAGAGCCGAAAGAGAAATTCAAAGGTTGAGAACGGGACTTATCCAATTGAGTATATTGCCACTACTACTTGGATATTGAGCACGACACATTGGTGAAGTGCGGGTATTGGCGATGATTGTACAATGTGTACATCTAATGTCAAGAAAACTCGCTAACAAACTAGACATGTGCATGCTTCGTGAACTATGCTTGCGTGTATGCGGGTGAGGAGCCCCGAAGATTTCGTGAACTATGCTTGTGTGTATGCGGGTGAGGAGCCCCGAAGATTTCGTGAACTATGCTTGTGTGTATGCGGGTGAGGAGCCCCGAAGATTGTCGTTCAGAGAAAGTGATTGTGTGGATGTCTCATCATCCCAAGCTCAACGCTGACGATGCGCATCCTGAAGCGGATCCCGCCAGCCAGCAAAGCTCCGCTCGTAAGGGCGAAACCGCTTCACAGTGATGCGCGGGATTCGTCCCCCCATCTCAACCCACAGCCACCACCTATACTCCTGGAACTCTTGGTACGGCTGGTTGGGCTGTTGCTGCTCGTCTAGCTCCCAGTCCGCGGGTGGATACCAGTGCTCGTCTTCTATTTCAAAGATGATATCGCCGGTGTCCTTGTCTTCACGGATCTTGTGTGCTCCCTCAGGAATATCATCCCTTTTGACTGCCGCCCAAGGCGTTTCATAGGCATCTTCCTCTCTATCGCCTTGAAATTCGGCGTCAGGAGGAGTCAAGTTGGGCGTATGGTATTCAAGATGTGAGGGTGCCTTCGTTGGAAAAGAGTTAACTTCTTCATGGTCAACTGAAGAAGAAGCTGGTGTCGAGCGGTAACAGTGCTCATCTTCACCATGGTTGTGATAGTAGCCGCAGAAGTAGTCGAGGTTCGTTCTTTCAACGAAGTCCTTGATGAAGTCCACGGGGTTGGCCTTTCGGCCGATCCATGCTGCCAGGAAGGCCGGGTCGAAATCTTCCTCTTCCTCCTCAACCTTCTCATCAGCCGCCTGGCCCTTGTACCAAAGGATGTCAAGAACTAGTTCGCGAATAGGGTCGTCGGCCTTCGTCTTATTCCAGAGCAGGTTGACGTCGTGCGGCTCGAAGTTCATGAAACGCACAACGTCCACGTTGTCTTGCATCGTGAGCTCGCCAGACCGATACTTTGCGAGGAGCTCCTCCTCGTCTCGCAACGTCTGTATGAGCTCATCGAGGATCATATCGCTGACGGCTGGAGTGCCCATGCGTTGCGAGAGCCAGTACGTCTCGAAGTAGTCACTGATGGTTGTTGGCGGTGTGCCAAAGTCTGTGTGGGTGTAGTCTTTTAGAAATGGCTCCAAGCGATAAACACGCTTTGGGAACGTATGGCGAAGACCCATCGCCAGACAGCTATACCACCGGTCGAATGCCGCAGGAGAGCAACGGATGATTTCTCGATCAGAGATACGCAGCTGGGACATGACTTCTTCCGTGACTAGGCGCAAGATTCCCCCTTTCTGGCCTAGAGGATGAATAGCTACAGTGACTGGCGTGCCTTTGTAAGACAACAACTTTGTAGTAGCTGCCCTCTTCAGGTCAGCCTCGTTCTGCGAGGTCTCCTTTTCGTGCCGAGTTGTACCAGCGATGATCTCCTCGAGCTCAGCTCTATCTGGAATGCCATGTTTGCTGAGCCCGAGTGAGTTTTCTTTAAAGTAAACGCCAGTTGCCTCAAACACGGCCAGGTTCGCTTTCTTAAAGCGTTTTCTTGCACCCTCTTCGCTCAAGGAAATGGCGTTTGCGACGCTTTTGAACGATACAGCCGATTTGTTCCACGGCTCTCGTAGCTCATAAGCCCTAATAGCATCGACCGTACACCTAGGATCTGCGATGGCTGTCCAGTCAATAGGACATGGAATCTTCTGGTCGTATGTGGGCGTGGGCGCCGCGAAGTCGTATGGCCACGGTGACATCTGCGGAGGAGGAACAGGGGAAAAGACTGCGCCGGGTGCAACCAGATTCGGATTGGTCGGAATTTCAGCGTTATGAGTTGAAGTAGAGGTAGTGGCCGCATTGCTTCCAACTACGTTCAACTGAGTGTGCGTACTAGTATTGCTGTTGTTTGTTACTATCGCAGTTAGTACGTCGACTTTGCAGCCAATATACGAGGACTTACCGGATGTCTTTACACGCTTCCTACCCGCCGAAGGATGGAGCTTGGAGGCTATATTGTAGACCCTAGGAGCTGGCGCGTCCGTCATTGTAGTGTCTACATCCTCTCTAGCCGTAGTTTTGCTAGCCTTGGGCGTGATTTTCTTTCGTGCCTTCACCGACGCATTCTCCGCATCCTGGTGAGATGTCTTCTGGCGCTTCGTAGAGTGCTTCTTTTCCTTTTGCGTCGTAGCGCCTTCTGTTGTTCTCCGTTGAGTAAGCTCACGGCCGGCAGCTTTCCGCTTCTTGCTAACGGTCGCGGTCGTAAGATGTGCGGGAGGAGGCATTAGGGGAGTAGATGTGGCGCCGTTGGCGTTGTGATTGGTAGCCATAATATCAGCGGGCGTACAAAGTGTTGTGAAAATTAGTAGAAGGATGAGTAAAAGTTGAGACTATGCTTTTGAGCTACAAAGTACGGCGGAGTGAATCAAACGTGGTTGCTGAACGTGTTAAAGATGTACCCCGTGGCGCTCCTCAAGAACTGCTAGTGCGAGGCCGTGGTCATGATGAAGGGAAGATTAGATGCAGCCCATGTGGCCCGTGTTGCGTTGATGGGACAATAGGTTATAGCTGTGGTGAAAGAGAAAGAATATCCCGGTCACGTCTGGTGAAAGCCGCGTGAGCAAGTCTGCACGTGCTGCTCTTGAAAGTTACTGAACCCAACGAGAAGAATACACCAAACATATTGAAATTATACGCATCAGGAAAGCTGTTATAATTAGGGTAGAGAACTAGGGAGAGGGTAGCGCGTACGCGGGTTGGGTAGGTGTAGCCAGGGGTGAATGCTTAGGAACGTGGAGGAAAAGGTGATGAGATGACATAGGATAATAACATAGAAAAAGAAGTGTGAGATGTACTTGACATGTATGAAGCACGCTACTAAGGAGGGACCAACGCACGCAGCATACTGACCCATGGCGAGCTGGAAAGATCAGATTCGAGCCCATTTCAGATCCAAAAATCTTAGCCACGTACGTAATTACTTACCATACTGAGCTTGTAATGGAGAGGATTATGGAGGTAGGTATCGGCTTCCTTATAGTCGTGTGATCTAGCTAGCTGCTTGCTAACATGCGAGCCTCTGATCACTACACATGCATCGTTAGTTGTTGAGACGTCAAGTTAGAGATAGACGGGTTTTACGTGCTGGGAGCAACAATACTTTGGTCCAATACTACCGTTTTTGAAGACGATACGCATTTGGAACACTCTTGAGTTGGCTGTTATAATCTCAAACGTGGCCAAGGTAAAGCTGTTTGGTCTTTCCCTCCACTTTTATCATTCCTTGTCGCGACATTTCTATTTCTCTTCTTCGGTTAAACTTCGACTTTCAGATACAGGGTCCACTTCGAACAGCGTTGCAGAGCCGATGTAGAGTTGGTAGTAGTGTTTAGGCTGAGGTTGATTCAGGTGTTTGTTGATCTTTCCGATAACGTCTTCCATAAGAGGATTTACAAAGCGCCTACGCTGTAGTTGAGCTATCCTTGGCTCTCTGAAAGTACTTTGAGTGCGGAGATGTTTGTGATTACATTGATTTGAGGATAGGCTGCATTCGAGATGGTCGCCAACCAGAACAAAGCAAACGGTTAGGAATAGTCCAGATAACAAATGTGTTATTTCAAAATCTCTTATTGACATTTGCGATACTATGTGTTGGCATTTATCAAGATCCGTTACAAGTTCTTCGGCGATTTCAATTCTTCCTGCAGGCTATTAATTGGTCTCTTCAGTTTAGCGTACATGATGGGATAGTCTTACTTTCCGAAGAAAACAAAGATCGCTCAACACTTAGGACATATCGTGCCTGGTGTTTTGTTGGTTGAGCTACCCATGTTTTCCTTATTAGTCTAGTTGCCGCAGCTTGCTGCGCAGGGAACTGGAATCCATTTTGTAACTTCGTGCTTTGGTGTTGCGGTACAGTTTTAGTACGTCATCTCTAACTGATGTCGTCCACACATATTGCATGTCTTTCTGGGCAGTCAGCACCAAAGAGAACCTTTCAGGTAAAAATCGCACCTACAAGATAGAGAGTTGTTTTAATGGCCGTCTTTAGTGTCCTCTGAGGATACCACGGCTAATTGTTTTGCACGCGAGTGGTGTGACCTTTAGTTTTTTGAAGCTTGTCCTCACGGGAAGCAATCCACACCAGAAGATTATGATTCACGAAGATTTGTGCAGAAGCAAGGATAAGTGCTACTGTTGCGTCATGCAAGCTCGACATGCATTCCTGCAGGCGCAATATCCTTCTGATCTAGAAGCGGACCGCCCGCTGTCCAAGACGCAGAGAGGGCAGCAGCTTGGATGTCAAGCCAATGAAAGTGGCCGCTTCGGCAGGCAAACTTATGTGAAAGGGGTGCCGTGCATACATAGCACCTGCTAGCGAGACTTTTCATGTGCCGCTTGTGTGCATGGTTAGTCTTTGGTGTATGTACGGATCTGTGCGCGGCAGCGCTCTGCGACGGCTTGTAATAGAACGGTACCGGGTGGATTTAGTGCTATTGAGCCACATGTTTGCATCAGTGAGGGTTAAAAGTTTAACGTTGCTCACGACGTTGCACGGTCAAGCGACGTTGGGTGTCCGTGCGGGGCACAACAGTAATCAGTGTAGTTTGACTCGAGTCGTACATAACATTCGTGACGACCTCAAGCTACCTCCACTTCTACTCCCTTTACAAACAAGGATCCAACGCCTGTCTCACCGATGAACCAGAATCCAGCAGACGTTATATACGTTACGCCTCACTTCCCTAAGGGGGTTCAGCACATCATCACTACTGGTAGTTGTCACTACATCGGCTTCATCAACGAATCGACCGTCTTAAAGTACCCACATGATGAGGGCTTTTCGGACGCTTTGAAAGTTGAGTGTGCAATACTCGAGCAGCTTGGTAAACACCCTCGTATTATTGAATTCAAGGGCAAGCACGAAGCGGGACTGCTTCTGGAGTTCGCCCCCAACGGATCGTTAGAAAGTCACATGAACAAGGCAGCCCTCACAAAGGAAGATAAGCTTCGTTTTGCTAGAGAGACTGCAGAAGCGGTCGCCCATGCTCATCGCAAGAATGTGATTATATGCGACATCAACGTCCGAAACATTCTTCTTGATGCTGAGCTACACGTCAAGCTCTGCGACTTTCAGGGCCGACTGTTAGGGCCTGAAGGCGAGACTCTTTGCGATGGAGGAGCTTCTGAAAACGCAGAGTCATCTATGCCGCGACACAACCAGGAGTTCGCAGATGCGAGGACGGACATATTCGCTCTAGGATCCACGATATACCACATCATCGAAGGCCACCGTCCTTTTCCGGAACTCCACACTATCGACGACGAGGCTGAGTTCGTGCGCCGTTACCAAGAGGGCCTGTTCCCTCCAATGGCGGCAGAATTGGGCGGCACCATTGTGTGGAAGTGCTGGGAAGGACGATACGGTTCTGCAGACGAAGTACTTGATGATCTTGTTTCTTTAGAAAGTCATCTCTACCGGTAAATGGTATGATCTAAATGTAGCGCAGCCCTACTTCTTCCTCAACTAGCCAGCAAGCCGGCATCGCCAATGAAAAAGCATTCGCGCACACGTCCAGGAAGTGTAATAGGACGGGCACAATGTCTCTGACTATGGTACAGACCAGAGACGGCAGTTCAAAAAGTAGGCAACTGAATGGTCTCGATAGGACCGAGTTCGAGGTGTTACCCTGCGAAAGAACAGATACTACATCAGATCAAAGCCATAATGGCAAAGAGCGAGCTGAGGAGAAGAAGAGGAAGGGAAGAGGTGCTTATATACGTGGCAGATATTAGGCAGCAGTTTGAAGGACACTGTCACGTGAGGGCACGTGTTAGGTGGTGCCTGGAGGATGTATGGATGATTAAGAGATAGACGGGTCTTCGTAGGGGTGCCGCAAAAGATTAACGAATTAAATCTGCTTCTTAGTCCTATCAGGGCATGGCACATGTCATCATCGTCTCACATGCAGAAGTGTTGCTCTAGGCTCGGCATCACGTGATGACGACTGCCTCACGTTCGACCTCGAAAGCGCACCTATCGGTCTAATTTCGAGCTCCCACGTGCAGATATCGTTGAAATAATCATAAATTTATCTCAAGAGCGTGTTTGGATGCGATGAAGGGACCCATAGATGATGGTAACCTGCTCACAAATAGATAAAATAGCTATAGTTTGACTGGCGATCGTGTCACCTAAGCGAATCTTGAACTAATTGTACTACCATGCATACAACTAATGTGGTCTAAAGCTCGTAATCATACGTGCGGAAGGTCGGACTGACGCAGATCTTTGCTGAATGTACACGCGGCTCAACGTCGAGAATTTGGGCGACATCGTTCCATTATCTCCTCATCAGCGAGGACGCATTGGAATTAGCATACAAACATGAGTCTGCCTCCTGTAGTAGTATCACGGACTTGACTCGTTAGCAACCGTGCGAGAGGACGCTAGCAAGCCTCGTGGCGTTAGCGCTCCCGGCCATCACTACCCGTGTTTCAAGTCAATGTAGAGGCCCAGCAACAGCCTCCTCAATCAGTATTTCTTTTGCTTCGCTCTTTGTTTTGGCTTTGATTCCCCGCTTCTGCTGTTGTATAGTATGTGCAAATGGTGCGGTGTCGCGTTCCGGTAGAGCCTACCTGTCGCGATTTCCACAACCTATGTTTTCTCCTGCTGTCTCCTGTTCATTTCTTGCGTCCTTGTACTTAGTGCGAAATGCGCCGATCGTGGGGCTGTAAGCCCCATCGGAAATTTCTTTAGTTCAAAAGACCCCCCACAACTGACGTCAGTGTAGATAATTAAAGAAGTGGCCTAGCGGCTGAAGCGGCTGAAGCTCGAATTGAGGCTGTGGGGGCGGAATCACCCTTAGTATTGCGCAGTAAATGTGGAGTTTGGACAGTTCACAGTCATGCATGTACTTTTCTCTCGCTCGCGAATGGAGTACCATTTTGTTAACATCATCGTAGAAGGCGGTCTAATTTTGACTTTTCCCTTCGCAAGCATCCCGTGGTCTGTCACCGACAATTACGTATGCCAAACTTTCTGTCAGATGGGAAGAATCCTGCAGGAATCCCGCGTTTCTTCATCGACGCCAAGAGCCTCTTCTCCAGTTTAACTTAAGGCCCTCAATCCTTAACATGATTGCTCACTAGCTTGAGTTTAGTGTTGTTGTTTCCGCAGAGCGCTTGTGGCTGTTCAAGGTGAGATTGACCCACGATCTCCACACGAGACCTGACGATCGGCCTTTGCGTCCGTGCCTGCAGAAATATTTGTGGGCCTGGCCGTGCTCCAGGCCTCCTATAACACATTGAGACACCATACCAGAAGAGGATTGGTTTCTACAAGTCTCAAGTCCTCCGAGTAGGAAATGATGTCGAGAAGGATGAGAGATCCACTCTCCAAGGCAGACACAACAAAGAATAGTCTGATCTACACTGTATAGCCCCAAAAATGCCAAGGTGTAGAGGCTCAAACTACACTGGTCGGACCATCGGGCTATGGCCAAAGGATTGCGGTCCCATCACCACCATTGTATGATGGAGTGTGCTAAGTAATGACGATCTTCAATTCAGGCCACCAAGGCTGTGCTCTGTGCAAAGAGCTTTCAGTGTCGAAAGATTCAAGTCAAGATCGAAGCAAAGAGCAGATGTAAAAGGTATATAAGAAGGTGTGTTTCCCGTAGCAAGAAGAAACATCACAACACAGCTCAACACTCCGGTATCCAGCTCAACATCTTTCCATCACCTCCATTGCGCCGTTCAAGTTCTCTGACGCTTTACCTTTGATCTGATATTTATATCCATCGTTTCGCATACCCTTCCAAATCTACCATCCAACTTCATCGAAAATGAAGACATCGGGCATAGTCGCGGCTGCAGCCATTCTGCTTCAGAGCCAGCAGGTTCAAGCTTTCCCTGGAACTGGCCTCATCGCGCGACAGAAGGCCAATATCCTCCTGTCCTTCCTCGAACTCTTTTCGACATTCTTTCCCAAGGCGGAAACGGCATGGTGCGCCATACTTCACTCTATATTTGCAACATCCAAGCTAATATGACACAGGGACATTAAAAAGCACCCGCAAATGTGCAAGGTCTACATGGAGACCCGAGACGGAGGGAATTGCAAGGCCAAAGTTACATGCGATGACGGAGAGAAAGAATACAACCCTGGCGGCGCAGGCTGGAACGCGTGCTTTGTCGGTACGCTACACCGAATCCAAGCATCAAATTACCTTCACTAACCTTCGATCTAGGTGGTCGTCAGTACTTCACTGACCCTCGAATTGGCGACTTCAGCATCACTTTCAAGGAGAAGAATGGCGCAGGCCAAGGCGAAGGCCTCACAACCCCTAGCCTCCAGCTCAAATATGTTGGTGACTGGAGGGAGTTTCCGGTCAATGAGCTAGCAGAAGCTTATAGCAAGCACAACGACTGTGATGAAAACGGCGCCAGCCCCTTCAGAGAATGTGGTGATGGGCCATATGTCTGCACCTACGGCGACTACCCGTAAGTCGCCTCTTCAATCCATCAGCAATCTCTTCCAGCAACTAACGGACATGACAGGGCCATGGGAATCGAGACGGGCATTTCCAGCGCACGCACAAAGAAGTACATATGCGGTGTGCCAAAGATCGGCAAGGGCGGCGGCGGTATCGACTCCAACGCCCCGACCAACGACAAGGGCTTCGCTCCCGGCCAGTGCGGCGTGCACGTCAAGCAGTACCAGAAGCCCGATGCGTCCAAGGACAGCTACTCGCTTGAGGTATATGTCAACGACGCCAACGAGAACAAGATTGGTGAGGTTGGCAAGTCCGGGCCGAATGTCAGCTTGGCGAGCAAGTTGCCCTTGACCTTGGAGGTTAAGACTGGCGGCATCGATAAGGATCCTGTGAGCTTCGCTTATGGAGGAGATTCCTGGACTTCCGACGACAAGAGGTGCAAGGTTGGGAGTTATGATAGTGGAGCCAGGCAGATGGATTGTGGTTTCACTTGTTAGTTAGAGAAGCCTAGCTCATGCAGGGGTTATGGTGGAACTTGAAGGAGTAGAAGCATGCTTTATTCATAGCTTTGCGTTGAAGTCCTTTTTGTAGCGTACTTTTAGTTGTTGAATCTCATCTGTTTGAAGACTGTACCTTGGGTACCCTTTGGCTGCTTTCGTTATGAAATTGCTTCCACAATTGTGTATCAGTCCTTGCTCTATTAACCAGGAATTGAAGTTTGTCACTCTTTTACTCTTATCTACCCCTTATATATACTCTTCTTCATGCGCCTGGATACATTTTAATATTTATTTTCATCCTTTTTATTATAAACTCAACGAATCGTAAATGGGTCAGGCCTACCTCCACACCCACATAAAGAACGCTGCATTTACCCTCTAGTGCTCGGTATTTTGTTCTTCAACTACGCGGGGTGATCTTCAGTAAGCGATAGTTGTGTTTGTTCTCAATATAACTGTTATGTTACCGCTCCGTCATAGTATTTATAAGGGAACTATAACATCCTATGTGTTCTCCTTTCCTAGGTTTGAAGCGCTATTATCCACTATCGCTCCAACGCCTACGAGCCGAGAACTCCAACTGTAAAAGCCATTTCGACCTTTGTTCACGCATTTAGAATATGGCTATGGGATTTGAGTTGTAACACTAACAATTCACGGCTAGAGGATTCACAAACCTCACCACAGCACAGTAATGGAGGAAACTATTGGCGAATTGGTATATTCAGTAAAATAATATCCTAAATAGCTTGAAGCCCCACCGAGTTGAATGAATCTTGAAACTATTGCAAGGTACCGTGCTGCCAACGTACACTTATCCCCCTCTCCCCCTTCCCCCTCCACCTCCTCGCCCACGGCCCCCACGACCATTCCCGCGACCATTCCCACCCCCCAAGCCCCTATCTTCCGGAAAGAAACTCGGCCGCCCATTCCACCCATTATCATACCACCGTTCCCCGCGCTCGAACCAGCGCTCCAGCGCAGACGTAACCTGCACACCCCCCGCAACCTCAACATTCCGCTCCCTCACCTTCCGAATCATATACAACTCGCTCTGCGACATGGGCATACGCGAATACCCCACACTCACACTATCCGTGACCGTGCGGCGAAGGAAAGCCGTAAACTGCGCCTTGCTCGGCGTGTCCTTGATCCCCATCGCAGCCAGGAAACGCGGGAACGTGTTGATTTCGCGGATAGAGCGGATGCGCTGGGCCATGGTGGTGGATGTACCTGGTGGTGGGGCACCGTGCGTGTCGAACAGTGCGTCGCGCAGGTCCGAGAGGGATTTGCCAGGCGGGCGGGCGGCGGCGCTGAAGAGTTTGAGGAACATGAGTAGGCGGTAGGACGTTGGGGATGCGTTGAAGGTCATGACTAGGCGGTAGTCGGAGACGGCTGATGGCTCGAGGTAGGCGAGTTCGGCCATGCCGGCGCCTTTTGTGTCTAGCATCCATACTACGTTGCGGAGGATGGCTTCTTTGATGATGTGGAAAGTGAGATCCTCTGTGAGGCCCGCGTCGGAGATTAGTGCTGCTACGAGGACATGGCCTAGGTCTGGGAAGTGGGCTTTTGTACGTGGGCCGGCGAGGAAGCGGGAGACGATGCGATTTGCGCCGGTGACGATGGCGGGGTTTTCGGTTGCGAGGCAGAGGAGGAGATGGAAGATGGAGAAGTACGCCTCTACAGCTTTCTCGGATGCATGGCTGAGCGTGCTCCGGGAGTCAGGGCTGTTGTAACCCTTCTCCGCATCAGCAGAGAACTGCACCACAATGCTGTTCATGAAGTGATACAGCACATCGACATGGTCAGCCTCTTTACTGCGCATCTGCGCATGGTCATGAAGACCCTTCAAACAAGGCCCAACATTCGTCTTGACTAGATTCCAGTGCCGCCGGCTCAGTGGCAAGGGCAGCCACTTCTCGAATTCGACACCCTGGATGCTCCTCCGCACACCGTGCTGGAAGAACGCCTCCTGACCTAGCAGGTCGAACTCGGAGCGGAAGACAGGCCGCCTGCCGCCCTTGACAGAGACGCCAATTCCTAGCTTGATTTCCATGAACGACCTCTTGAGACAGAAGCACTGCAATTCGCGGGTGCGGATGAAGTCGTATGAGTAGACTACCGTCTTGATCGTGGGAACGGCGTCGGCAAGCGCGAGGACATCTCGAGTTCCCAGCTCCGAAAGCAAGAGGAGGAGAATCTCATCCGGGAGCGCGAAAAGCTTCGAGATATGTTGTTCAGGCTTAGGGTAGACGATCGACGTGGGTTGTGTTGGTGGGGCAGTGTATTCCACCGCCATGTCTTCAGGCTCTGAAGGTTCCAAGTCCCTGTCTCGGTCCTCTCCAAACCCACAGACAAGGCACGAGGAGAAGTTGCTACGGATGTGACTTTGTCTCAAGCCCTTCCTCCGATACTCCGCCAAGTTAATAGCGCCGCCGGCATAGTCCTCCTTCAGTTGTGGGCGGCCGGCATAGTTTTGCTCCAGCTCATCGCTGCAGAAGAAACTAAGTAGCTGAATAACGATACCTCTCAATGTATAAGCCGGCGTCCAACCCCCAATTGTGTTTAGTATCGAGGCGCAGATGTAACCGCCAAACACATTTGGGTGTATGATATCACTCTGTATCGTGACCGTCGGCGCACGAAGCGGGTAACTCTCTGGGAATTCCATCTTCAGATGCAGCGGGTCTTGATCCTCGGGTGTCAGAATCAAGCATGCGCTGTGTATGTTCGCATCGTCGAAGTGTAGGTGCACATTTGGATACGGGTCTTGCTGAATGTCGGCGATGTCGTCGAGAAGTCGGCGGCGCAGCGAGGCTGGCATGTTGATGGTTTTCGAGGTAAACATGACCGTGCCCGACCAGAAGTGAGGTTTTAGAGAGAGAGAGAGAGAGAGAGAGAGAGAGAGAGAAGGTTGCGACCACAGAACTGATATGTCTATCAGAAGCTGGATGCTCCCCCAAGTGAGAGAAACGGCTCGACATTTAAGGAAAGTCCGCAAGGCTAGCCATCGAGGCTGTGCAAGGCAGTGCTATTTTACAAACGAAAACTCCCACTCACAGCGCCCTTCCGACCAAATCTCACCTGAGTGGATCAATCTCACCGCCTGCTGATGTTCATGTCAACAATGAAAGGCGATTTCCCGTATCCACTAACCTGATTCGGAAAAAGTGGCGCCCTTCAGCCACACAAACGTGGAAAAGGGCGCAGGCTCATTCCCCATTAAATCCGCAGACCCAAAGAGGATAAGAAAGGAGAGAAACTGAGGTATAGTCAACTCCACGTTGGCCTTCACTGTATAGATGCCTGCGATGGCGTAGCGATACAGGTCGAGACCTTTGCGCTTCGATTCCGGCGGCTGGAGCAGAGAAAGATACTAGGCAACATCACGAGCGTATTGCAAGATAGTTGAGCGGGTTAGGAGTCGAAATAAGTATTTTAGCGTCTACTTACCTCCAATGCGCCAGCAAACAGGCTGGAGACTTCGGTGTACCTGTGCCATCCAGACGCCATGAGTAAAACCAAGGCCAGGCCTAGAAGCCCACCCATCCGCACCAGAACCTGCGTTTCCAGCCACCATTCTCCGGTATCCACATGGCATCATTGAGGTCGTTGCACCAAAAGTTCGCGGGCCTGAGCTTGGGCTCCTGGCATACCTCTTGGCAGCTTCTGACCTCGAAGGGATGGATTTCCGTCTTGTCCTCGGTGATCATCATGGGCTTGCATTTGTGGCAGCCAGGTACTTCCTTTTCTATGACAAATTTGACGCGCGCTTTGTCTACGTTCGTGGGGTCTGTGACGGTGACGCGAACGCCAAACAGCATGGAGTGTTCTTCGATGCGATTTTTCGACTCGATGTAGTCAGTGATTTCCTTGAAATCTTTACCCTGCACCCCGCCTGCGCCAGCTTGATTTCCATTGGGATCGTAGAGCACCCACTCGATCCCCGATTGTTCAGGTTCCATCCAGTGGTGAAAGTTGACCCTCCAATTTCCGTATCTATCCATCGTAGCCGATGTTGTGGCGGGTTCCTGAGTGGATGTGGTAGACGACGTGGTCGACGAAGTAGTTATCATTGATGGGGTTGTCATGGAGGACTCTGTAGACCTAAAGGAGGTGAATACAAGAAACGACGTTGAGGTGGCGATACTCGATGCGTTGGAACGGAAGACAATCGAGGAAGAAAGTGACCCATCGGCAGGCATATTATCGCCTTCATCGTCGTCTAGCGAAAGTGGAGCCCTAGTGCACGCTGGAGCTTCAGAAGTGAGTGTGCTCTTTTCTGTCTTCGTTGTCGTTGTCGTGTAGCCGAGTAGTGCGCCTGGGCAGGCTTTGAGGGTGGCCTCGATATACGGCACGCACACTGATGAGATCATGGTTGACGAGGTCAGCCCGATGCTAGAGGGTAACTCAGAGACTGCAAATCCCTCCGTACACCACACAAAGCGTTCAGTCACTGTCGTCTTTTGCCATTCGTCGCATGACTTCGGACGATTCGCAGGTTGAGTTGGCGGCGGTCCAGGCTTTGGTCCACAGCCGCCGGAGATTGTACCTTGCTGAAGTTAGCATATTTCCGCACGCATTTTGGGCTCGTCTTACAAGATGGCCCACTGCAGATCTCCGGTGGGCATGGTGGGCAACCTCCATCTACCAAGCAGTATCCATTATAGCCCAAGATACCGTTTGGATCTGTCCCTGGTTCTGTGCATCCGAAGAAGTTGCAGGGCTTACACCCAAAAAGTCCACAAGTGAAGCCGAACTTTGGGAGCTCCCAGGTGATGGTGGTGTCTGCACAACCAGGTCCAAAACCAAGACCCATCCATCCGCAGCCTATCGTTATCAGTAAAGGTTGGCGGTGCCTAGCTAGAAAACCTACCACAACCGAGCATCTGACACTCTCCGTCTCCACCATTCTCTGGATGATCGTCCTTGTCTTTAGAATCATTATCTGGATCTTTGTCGTGGGGCTTCGTGCTAGGTTTCGGACGGGGATGTGGGTGTGGATCGTCCTTATCACTGTCGCTCGGACTATCCGAGTCGCTGTCCTGGTCGCACTTCCTCGGGATACAAGGGCAGACGGGGCGCTTGAAGAGCAATAAAGTGGTTATTCTCCACATGATGCAGTCTGCTATACAGTTATTTGGCCTGGCGGTGAGTTCTCAAGTTAGCAAAGATCTTCAAGCTTCGTTATGCCCCACTTACACGCAACCGTGATCACTGTCTGAGTGAGAGTCCGGATCGCCATCATTGTGAACGCCGCCTGAAGTGGTCGCGACTGCGCTGCTCGTCGTGGTTGTGAACGTGTTTCCTGTCGTAGTAGTGACTGTATTGCTGGTGGTAGTAGCGACCGCGCTCGATGACATTGATGTAGATGTAGCTTGATTCCACCAGTCCATGCACCATACAAAATTGTTGCACTGTGGTGGCTTGTCGCTAGGAAGGACTGGCACGATACAAAACATCTTGCACCATTCCTCTTTCCAACATTCCCAAGGGCAGGGTTTACGCGACGCATCAGACGGGGTAACAGAAACTTGTGTTTTAGTCCCCCCCAAACTCTCAGTCTCCGAGATCCGCGTTGCACTGGGTGCGGCAGTACTAACAGTTGTGAACGTACTGCTATAACTACTCGCCCAGGGTGTGGAGGTTGGTACGTTAGAAGATTGCGCTGATGAATCGCTAGAAGGTGTGGAGTCACTCCATATAGTAGAGGAAGAGAAAAACGAGGCAGCTGAGCTGATTGTCGCTGTATATGAGCCGCCTAAAGAAGTGGATTGTGGTTCAGAACCGCTGGTAGATTGACTAGCAGAGGTTGCAGCAGCTGAGCTGGATTGTACAGCTGTAGAGCTGAGGGCCCCGCTCGTTGTAGCAGACGACTCAACAGCGGTCGACGATGACGTCGATAGAAGCAAGCTTCCCTGAGCGGATGAAGTTGTAGTCGGAATAACAGCACCACTTGAGCTAGCTTGGGAGGATGGTTGAGGGCTGGGATCTGATGTCGTAATAGCAGAAGCTCCTGAGCTGGCTTGAGAAGATTGCTGAAAGCTGGACCATTGGGAAGACTGCGTGATGGAGTTACTCTGAGCGGAGGAAATTGGAGTCGAATCAACGGCACCACTTGAGCTAGCTTGGGAAGATTGTTGAGAGTTGGCTCCAGAAGATTGTTGTGAGTTGGCTCCAGAAGATTGTTGGAAACTAGACCATTGGGAAGATTGTGTGATTGAGCTACCCTGGGCAGAGGAACCTGTGGCCGAAAAGCTACTTGCGCTACCTTGAGAGGTTTCCTGAGAGCTAGAGGCTGGAGTTGGAATGCCAAAGCTACCAGAATTGACTTCAGAAGATTGCTGAAATGTGGATCCTGGGGAAGTCTGCATGACGGAGCTACCTGCTACGCTGGACCAGGAAGTTTCAGTAGAGGTCGCAGAGATGCCCGGTGCACCCTGGGAAGAACCCGAGATGCTGGGTGCTGCGGAGGATGGTGGTATGGAACTGCCCTGTTGGATGCTCGAGGCAACGGAAGATGCAGAGAGTGCACCCGACGCTGAAGGAATAGTAGAGCTTCCAGGCTGCGGTGAATTACCACTATTATGAATCAGTATATGTTCGTGGACGAACTGCTGTCATGTGCCTTGAAATCGCTGACGGAGAAACTCGGTTGAACTTGCCTTCCATCACAAATCTCATAATCGATGGCCCAAAGTGCGGTGCCACCAAGACAACGATTAGTAGCCAGCTCTAGTTTTAGGTCAAAGGTCTCTTTGTCGTCGTATGCCACCCACTGATCGTTCCAGCGAATCTCCTTCACGCCTGCGCCACCATAGAGGATGTTGGGCGAAAGGTTATTAGCGGCGATGATCCGCTTGATCTCACAGGCGCTTAGTAACCCTTCAAGGTTCGTACAGCTTCCTGCATTGCTCGGGCCAGTATATTGACAGCCGTATATCATGCAGTCCTTGTTAGAGACGGTAAAGCCGCGGCCATAATTGGCAACACCAAGATTGATCTTCTTTGGGGTGACATCGGCAGACCAGAGAAGTTTCAATGCCTCTTCAATCTCCTTCAGATCCGTGTGTGGCTTGATGTAGGGTCCTAGACCGGGAATGTAAGCATCCCATGCTCCTATAGCAATGTTAGCAACAAAGCCCACTCCAGCCAAGATAAACTACTGTACTAACCATGAAGGTCGTGGGTCACAATGCTAAGGAAGTCAACCTGGGCTTCAAGTGACTTGGGGTCCATATGCTGTAGATATTCGTATTGGGCAGGCAGGACGGTGGAGAGACCGAAGTCGCTGCCTAGGGCCTGGCGAAGCTCAGTCATGAGGGTGACGTGGTTCTGCTTGTCGGCCGAATTTCCACCGCGGGCTGAATGGCCAGGCCACTCCCAATCGATGTTGACGCCACGGAAGTTCCACTTGGCCAAAAACTTCCTAAGAGACTCGACGAAGGTTTTGCGGTTCTCCTTACTGCTCGACATCAGGGACCAAGTGTAGTTTGTGGAACCAGGATCGTTGAACTCCCAACCTCCAATGCCTATCGTTCAAGTCAGCATAGCAGTTGATCCGAAAAACTAGGCTTGGGAATTTGGGAGTACTCACCAATCCACTTGGCAACGCTAGGTGGGAGAGCGAGGAATTGCTTGTAGACTTCCTCATCATCGGGATGCATAGGGCGCACCTCGAACGTCTTTGGGTCCATTGTAGCATAAGAGAGAATCAGATGGGTCAGACCGGTCGTGTCAATTTGGCTGGGCATGACCTTATCGCAGTTTCGCCGCCGCGCATTCCTGTGACAGTTTAGCGGAGTAGTCGAAACGTAGGGCAAAGACATACCAGGCCTGGTAGTAGGCAACGCGGCGAACCACAGTACCGTTACTAGTACCACAAGTCGGGATCGAGGTGTCAGTTACCTCGTTATTACTACCATCGGTTTGGGCGCCCTCGGTGAATTCCTTCATTGGCAAAACGCCGTCGAGCATGTGGCGCGGGCCCCCGGAAGGTGTGGTATGGGATTTGGAGCTGCCTGAGCTGGAGGCAATTACGACCAGCCCCAGTAGGCATAGAAGAAGCGGTCGCATACTGCAAGGCGCAGTAGAGATGCGCGCTAGCAAGCAGTCGAGAGACGGTTGGTAGACGATAGCGGCAGGTAACGTCGAGAGGTGAAGAGGCAGGCGTGGGGTAGTCTCGAGAAGGAGTGTTGAAGGAGGGGGTAAGTGAGGGTCTATAAGGTGGCAGACGCTGGTGCGATGAGTGAGGAGATGAGGGTTGAGGAACTCCAGTTCAAGTGAGAGAGAGAAGGCAAGAGCGAGTGCCACTTTCCGCCGAAAGCAGGTAAAGAGGAAAATAGTTAGAGTGAGTTGACAAAGCCATGTGTTATCGAAGACGGCTATGATTATTCGATATAGAAATATGGAAAGCCACGGGTATTAGAGTTTCTTGCCAGCTTGGGTGTATGAATTGGGGCAGCCAGTTTCGAAAATACAAACATGCTACAGTACTGCCATCTCCTCGCGTCTAATACCTTGCTGGAGCATAACATCTGTAGGTCTCATCTAAATGAAGATTGAACACAGCTGTAAGCAGTGAAGCAAATGGAGATTAGCTTTCTGTTTGGTCGGGAAGCATGACTGTATAGTCAGCGCGCCATACTCTGTTCAGAATGAACTGCCTCGAGAGCTTCTAGCAAAAGACACGACATTGAGACAGGATAAGCAGACGTAGCAATCGTCTTACTACTCTTATAAGACAGTACCGACAATGATGGTGTCAAAGATGGGAGGATGAGATGAAGTGTTGAGCAAGGAACGAGAGTGGTGATGTGAAGAGCCCCGCTTTCCCGACACGTCGACGCGTCGCAGTTTTCGTGACCACGCTAGTCAATGACGCCCTCGATTTTTGCAAACCTCAATGTTGACTCCATCTTTGATCGATGCAGCTCAGCTCTAGTATTTTCTTCTTACGAATATCCTCTGATTGTAGTTTCAAACGCATTCGAGCATACGCCTTGTACCTGCGTGGATACCGCGATTCCGTCATCTCGCACTTTCTACTCCTCAACCTTTAGTCATTCTACTACACGCCCCATCTCTCCGTCTGTTCCAAACCGAACGTGCATTCGAGAATTACCTTCGCAAAGTCGTTGATCTCGGCCCGTGGAACCATCGCAAACATCTTGTCCACTTCCGTAAGCCGCACCAGCCCCGTGTACAGCTCGCAACACTGCTTCTCCCACGCCAAAGCAGACGGAGCTTCCCAGAACCCCCGACGACTCGTGAAAATAGTGCCGCCCATGCAAGACGCTGTGCCGTCTCGTATGAGCTTGTATAGCCCTTGTATCCCGGAGGTGATGAGCCAGGTGCGTCGAGTGCTTTCAGCAAGGATCCAAGAATACCAGAGCAGGTTATCGCATGGTATTGAGGTAGGTGCTGCGATCTGCTCCGAAGGCGCGGATATGAGTGATTCTCCGCTGCATGTTGTCTGGCTGGCTTGCGAGACGAGCTGAAAGAGCCAACTCTCCAGCACAGGGATGTGTTGTTCTGCTAGGTGGCGGAGGCGAATATTGCCATCGTATAAGCCGATGCATTGGTACACGAGTAATGACTGCACCCGGGCGAGGTGCTCAAGCGCATCGAATGTCGCTGTGTCGTCACTGCCACCTCCAGACGCCAGGCCTTGCGACGGGACGCCTTGCGCCACGAGCTGCAACACTCGATGTTCAATGATTCGAAAAATCATTTGCTTATTCGACGCAGTGCTGTGGAGGTAGGAAGACAGCGACAGGTACGCATCTTGGATACATTGGGGAAACCGGTGTCGATACAATTCCCGATAAATGAAAGGGTTGCTTCCCTCCTCTACCCATTGGACCAACCAGCCAAGAACTGTTTTCAAGAGGCGATCTAGGTCCACCGAAGAGATTCTGTTGGTAGTAGCCAATACCAGGTCAGATGGCGGCGCATCTATCGTCCAGCTCTCCGGAGAAGCAAACCAACCGTTCTCCAGAGAGGGAGGTACAGCTAGGCTAGGGATGAGGAGCTCAAAAGACGGTCGCTTGACTGCAACAGTGCCAGGAGCGTCGTCCACAAGCGGGATGAAACGGGGCGGCTTTGACGGTGGATAATGGCAGCTTATTCCCCGCGTCCTGCAGCGCGCGCAGTCTGGCCTTTGCCTACCACACCTCCTCCTGGCTCTGGCGCAACTACTGCATGCTTTCGACTCCATGGCCTCGAAAACGGATGCTCATTGCAATACGCGACGCGGTTGCGGTAATGAAGAGACCAAGTTGAATTGGTAATCGACGGTTGAAGCGGAAGCTAGGCAAATCAGTATTAGGTTGCGCGCACTAGGTGTTTGAGGCAAAGATCTGCAAGTGTTGACGGCGGACGCTGTCCCACACCGTACATGGTATCATCATTCTAGAGACGTGATACCCTCAATATCATCCATGATGGAAGAGTATTGGATCGCGTACTTGAATGTTATGGAGTCCGCTTACCAACTCTACCATGTCGGACGAATTTCTCAGAAGGCAACGATAATATTACTTCCGCTAATATAGTGCTGTCGGTCTTCTCGAGTACTTCAAGCTCAGAGAATATCGTTCAAACCGGTATCTTTTCAGTACACAATCAGCCCTACATCTCCCAGAGAATTCGAGCGAGCTCATCCTACTTCCATCATGTCGTCCCTCGAAGAAGCCTTGGCAGAGATCCGAAAGACCAATGTGACTAACACGATTCACCGCGAACCGTACCCCGCCATCTCATCCACGAGACCCGAACTCAGCCAAGCTGGGAGAGTCGTTCTTATCACTGGTGGCGGCACTGGCGTTGGTTTCGCCATCGCTCGTGCCTTTGTCCGCGCCTCAGCAGCCACCGTCATAATTGTCGGTCGCCGGGCCGATGTGCTCGAAAGCGCTCGCTCGCGACTCGAGGAAGAGGTGAAAGCTTCAGGGACAAATACTAAAATCATTACGAAGACGTGTGATATAGTCAACGTTGCGGAGGTCGAAGCGCTGTGGAAAAACCTCGGCGCGCAAGGCATCTTCGTGGACGTATATGTTGCCAATGCAGCAAAGTTCACTGATCAGAAGCCCATGCTGGAGCTTGGGACGGAGGATGTTTGGTCCCAGCTCGAGACGAATGTCAGGTCTCCGTTGCATTTCGCTGAGAAGTTCCATGCCCAACCAGGCAAGAAGCAGAAGGTAAGCAGCGCATTATCTTTTCCCAGAAGACGGAAAGGCCTATTCTTTATGACGTAGTGTAACTGACCAAACTATAACGTAGTTCATCGTCAATGTCTCAACGGGATCGATCCACGCACAAGAACATCCTGAAGTCGTGTCGCGCCCTGCATACACACTCTCCAAGCTATCCGGAACTCTGCTCTTCCAGCTCCTCGCCCAAGACTATCCTCATGAGGATATTCAGATCCTCAGTTTCCACCCCGGACTCATCTTCAATGAGACTTGGAAGGCTTTGGGCCTCAATCCAGACCAGGTCGACTCCGGTAAGCCAATCCCCTCCATATTTCAGAATATTGTCCCACAGCCAACCGGCGATCGCATCTTAAGGATTGTTTTGCTAATTCTTTGGCGATGTAGATGAGCTTACTGGAGCATTCGCAGTCTGGGCTGCCAGCAAGCAAGCTGCATTTCTCCACGGTCGCTTCGTCTGGTGTTCGTGGGATGTTGAAGAATTGGCTACGGGCGTGATTCGTAAGCGCATTGATGAGGACTTCTACTTTCTCAAGACTTCGGTTGTGGGACTCAAGTCAGGACTCATGGCCTGATTTCGGGGGTAATGAAGTATGGAACAGATGTCGGATGAAGCAGTGAAGAACCTCAAATGAGAACAGGCGAGATAGACTGCTAGTGGACCCGGAGCACATCGGACGTCCAAGTAGAGGTGATAGAACAATGGAAGCGCGCTTGAGAATTGTCAGGTGCAGATACATTTACTAGTGATGTAGTGATGCCAGAGGCAGGCACGTTTGACCCGAAGGAACTTGGCACCTGTAGTAAATGGAAAAAACATCATTTGCGAGAGCTGGACGGGGGATTGTACGCGTATTCACCTTTACTCTAGCCTCATTTAAGACTCACAGTACACGCACACGTATGCGTCGACTCGAGTCTAGTTTAACTGAAGTTACAAGCCTACAACAAAACTAAGCTTACCAACAGCTCCAGTCTGGTCACCTTTCAAACACCTTGTCCAGCATGAAGCTCCACGGCGCTGCCATCACCGCTGCCCTCATATACACGGTCATTTCCACAGTGTCCTCGATCCAGCACCCGCCTCCCAACAACGCCAACCTCACCTCCTCCATCCACGATGCGCACACAAAACCAAACGCACCTAGACGCAACTTCCCCAACCCAGTCCAACGTTTCGACGACGACGACCTAGCCTCCGACCAAGACTGGTCAACATACACACACAAAGGCGGCGCCCTGCTATGCGCCCTAAAAGGCACAGATGAAACCGCCGGCCGCCAGCTCAACGACAAGCGCACGCCACCGTCAGCAGCAAGTCCCTGGACCGGCGATCCGCAGCAAGATCTTGACACGTGGTATTGGCACCATGTCGATCCAGCGACGTATAGTTGCAAGATGAACGCGCATTGGAACATTGCGTTCGCTATGCGTTCTCTGGGTTTGAATGGGGATCCCAAGTCAGAGCAGGGCGGAGAGAATGCTTGCTTCCGCGTGGAGCATTGGGATCCGAGGAGGGAGGAGAACGGACATCAGGTCCCTGCTATTAATCAGTGGTATAAAGCCGGCGACAGGGAGTATCGTGTAAGTCGAGCCGAGTTAGGTGGTAGAGGGAGGGGAAGCATGCTAACAGACGACCCGCAAGTCAACGGGAGCACACTATGAATTCGGCATCAATGCCAAGGGCGGAGGTACCTTGTCTCTCCCACATCCATCCAGCAAATGACCATCCTCACTAATCACACCCCGCAGCAATCTTCGCTTTCTTCCTCGAATCCCCCCAATCCGCTGCCCGCACGCTCTGGTACGCAGGCCGCAAAGACGCCAACCCAGACGACCTGCCGCGTCTCCGCGCCCTATCAGACATACTATGGGCGTTTTGGACGCGAGAAAACAGCGCGAACGTGATGCAGATACGGTATTTTTTCGTGCTGGGGATTACAAACGATCAGACGAATCAGCTCATTGCTTCGTGTTTGGAGAGAGCGGGCAAGGCGCTGGTGGAATGGCCGGGCGTGAGCTTTGATACTGCGACTGAGGAGGGGCATGCGCTGTTGGGTAAGTCTTTACTGCACTGCTGTTGCTACTAAAGCTTTTTTTTTAGTTGTGGGGTCTGAGCTGACTGTTGATGGATCATGTAGGTTCACCGAATGGCGCTGCGTTTGCGTATTTCCTTATGCAGCATAAGGTGCAGTTGGGATACAAGTCGATCGGCAAGGTGACGGTCTTCAAGCCAGAGACAGATGATGATTTGGCTTTTGTTGATCCGAGTTTGGTGTTTCATGTTGAGGATGCTCCTCTGCCGTCGCAGGATGGCGACATGGAGACCGATGTTCGAGGAAAGGTGAAAAATATCATAAGGATTCACAAGTGAGAAAGGGATGCATGGTTCTAGCGAGGGGGTGGGAGAGCTCATGAAGAGGCAGGGTTTGGAAGCGGGCGACTGAAAGAGAAGCACCCTCTGGTTTTTTGCCGAAAAGGCATGCTTCAAACCAAAGGACCGAAGGGTCCCGAAAAAGTGAAATCACGGTAGTTTGAGAGATCGTGACTGGGATTTTCCGGTTTGGCTGGGAGTGATCCAGATACAAAATGGAAATCAATCTATAGTACATTTCACCCTGCAGAAGACGTCTGCTAGGGTCATGGAAAACACCAGCAATAGCATGATGCTATTTGAAGATCTCGCCATCGTGGTGTAAGCGCCTGGGCCAGCTATACCGCGCCTTTCAAGGCACTCGAGCCTCCAAGTCAAGACCATGCTTGTCCGCTACACCTGGCCTGCTACTGTCATTCTAGAACTCACTAGCTATGAAGAATGTTCGACTTCACCCGTTTTATGCTCTGTTGATTCAACTCGACAGTTCTCTCGCCGCGCCGCATCTGCAGGTCTGCTCACCTTCACCATTCCACTTCCAATATCGTTGGATCTCTGATCACTGGAAGCGGCACACCTAGCAGAGTCAAACTCAGACAGTCGCAAATACCAAGTATGCTTCCAGGGAATATAGACAAGTGAACCACTGAAGTTTGCAGCCAGCGGGACTCGGTTTCTCAACGTCTTCTTTGTGGGCCATGTTCTGTAGGTACGCGTGATGATGCACGTCAAACCCACGACACAAGGGCGACGATGTGGAGCGATCTCGTCTTCTGTCATAGATGGCGTTCGATTATTGCGCGTCAGATAGTGGGGACAAAGCCGTGGAGACTCCAGTTGAGATCGGCCGTGCGCTCGCACGGTCACGGTGCAGCCATGTGGGCGTTGCAGGAGGCGCAGGAATTCATCCTGTAGTTGATTTGAGAAAAGTGTTTTCTTACTGAGCCATTGAAGCTTAAAGCTCCTAACGCGATCGCTCAAATCTTGTTGTGCGCCATATCAGGGTACTTCGGAGGAGGGTCTTGTATCGTACCAAAACCATCGTCTTTAGGCGGCACCGGCGGTGGCCGATCGTCAAGCTCCCACTCTTCGTCCATGGTCTTCATGCCCTCACCTTTCATAGTGGAAGGATGCAGACTAATCAGTATGTCTTTCCCGGTCTTTAGAATCGCCACCTTGCTGTCGCCCGGCCATTCGCCGCCTGCATTTTTCTTACCACTGTATTTCAGCATTGCGTTCTTCGTGCGATGTCTTTGCGCCTTCGACACGAGCGGCTTTAGCGTTGGTATCGAAGCGCATAGAATACCAATGTTGACTTCGACCATGGACCATGTATTGATCGGTAGTGAGTCATAGAAAGGATCATTAGACAAGGTGAAAAGGCGGAGCGATTGTAACCGAACGATGGAGGCGATCATGCTGACAATGCCAAGGCCGAATATGACGAATAAGGCGATTTTCTCGCGTGGTGGGCGAGGAATGCGGAGAATAAGCCTGAGTGGAAGCACGAGGATCCAGATATCCATAGCAATATGGAAAGCAGAAGTAGCTACCGATTGTCAGTTCGGGATGTTCAGATGCACGTAATTCAGGTGGGAGTGTACCGTGGTAGAACGCATTGGCATTGATACAGTGTCCTGGCACTTGGCCAGTGAAGTCCCAGAGCTTGTGCAGTGGCGTGCATTGCGCAGGAACGACGATTATCACAACCAATTGATAGGCCGCGAGGAGACAAATGGTCGCTTTGCAAAGATGTGCGAAGGTCCTACTGACAGCTGTGGTTGTTTTAGCTACGTTTATCGGCAGGGCAGTGTATTGCATACCAAGCCGAAGATATATCATTAAAATAGAGATCTTAATGAGTGTCATTATCATCTTATACACAACAACGACAGCAAGAATCAGCTGACAGTGTTAGTCACATCTAGAAGAGTAATGCAAGCAAATAGTACCTTGAGGTTGCTGGCCATCTCCTCTGGGGTGATGGACATGCCGCTGAACCCTAGCTTGAACTCCTTTGCACCTACTATCAGTTCCAAAAAGAAGACGATGGTCAAAACCTGCTAGTGGTCAGTCAATATCTCCGGCAAACTTGGTGTGACCTACAGCCGCCCCGATCATTGTCCAGTCCTCAGCTCCCATGTTTCTGACTATGAAGCCGCGCGTGTACACTCGAAGGGCAACGCATGTCACTTGGAAGGTGTTAACGACTGCTCCGGCGCGTATTTGTGAAAGGTGATCATACCTCCAATGAGCGTCATGGCCACCGAGACGCCGACCATGACATCCTGCCTCGCTTGCTCAGCGCCCGGCGCGTACTTGGGGTCAAGTAGATTAGGTGCGTGCACCATAGTGTATCTCAATCACTTTCGAAGTTAATCAAGCGGTGATAAACAGCCTGGAGAGAGAGAGTAGATGCCTGGATCGACAAGGCATCAAAGCTATCGTCGGGGTACTGTCCCCTCACCCCTCTATATCACCCACAGTAACCCCTCTCATCCACAATTCTTCACGAGTCATCGTTGACAACCCTTAATACACGGATGTAGAGCTGTTGAAACGATGTAGTGCAGTGAACCTAAGAATCACAAACACTGTGACCATCAGCTGCAGGTGCCGAACCATCTTGACCTGGTTTCCGGTCCATGTGGGCCTCATCGAAGAGGATCGCATGAGCTTCGAGTCACGAATCCGTCGGTCTTGATCAGGCATGGAAGCGGGGTGTGGGCTGGTTGCTGCATATCATGCTTGTTCAAACCTAGGCGCAGTTTGGGGCGTGAATCTAGGTTAATGTCAAAGTCTCGCAGTGCGGTTCTATCCTCTGTCGCCTTTAGATACACTGGCGAGATATCGGTGACCCAATTACTTTTTCCCTTGTAGCGCTTCCCTTTATTTTACCATGGCGATTTGAAAGAGTACAATTGCCTCCGAGGTGGGATGCAAATCGACTGAAGAACGAGGTTACGAAACTGTTAAGGTTTCATCGTGGCATGCTGATACAGGTCCCTCGAAGTGCATGAGGGTCAAAGCGTTGGAAACGGGTTTCATGTCTTGCGTTGGGCTCGGTGGTGGAAGGATAACCGGAGGGATAGTCCGCACCCAAAGAAGCACGGCAGACTACGTCATCAGTTTTGGCAACTTATTAGGGTACATAGCTGGCATGTCGCTGGTTGTTGATGAGCGACGCATGGAATGTGGAGGGCGGAGGGCTGGTGGTGTCTGGGGGAACGATGACGTAAGTAATCGATAAGAAGCCGCCGCCGATGCCCAAAATATCGGACGAGCAACCTTGGAAGTCGAATCAAACAAACACCAAACCTATCCTTAAGAAATTAAGCAGCGATAAACTGGTTCTTCGAAATAGCGGCAAACAATGAAGTGAAATCTACTCTCACAAAGGGTTTTTATGGATTTAACCTTGAGTTACACATGAGCATTAGGTAAGCAACATGAGCTGTGCCCGAGCTCATCGTGAGCCAACATGATTGTGCCTGATTGCCCCCTGAGAAGCATGAAGAGGGTCTGAAAGTGGGCCCCAATAGGCTGGTTGGGAGTTGTCGAGGGTCGACTTGGGTCGATAGAGGCCCCCAATCAGGCGCGCCAGGGACCAAGAATGGCTCCAGAGCTTTCTTCTCTTAGGAACTTTCTCTCCTCGTAGATTTTCTCTCCTATGGGCTTGTTACTCCCCGGAGCTCCTCGTTTCTCGGCGACCCTCTCTTCTCGGAGAGGTTCTTCGCGGAGCCTAGCTCTACTCGGAGCATTGTTCTCTCAAGACCTCGTACATGAACATGCTTGATGGGAATCGGGTCACAACCAGTAGTTGCATAAACGGAACCGGAGCATCGATGAGAGTATACATAGCAGTCACTTCAAATCGTTAGTGCTTTCCGTTGAGCTTGGTTGCAATTATTGATCTGCAAATTGGTCTCCGTCCCGAAGCCAAGTATCTGCCAGCAGCTCCTTAGCTCCACTCCTCTCCTCCGGCCTCCACTTCATCATCTTCCTCACAAAAGCTAGGAACAAGGCTTTATTCTCGCCTTCTAGATTGCGCTCGGATTCTTCAAGGCTGTCCTCGGGTATTTTCACCGTTCCCTTCCAAGACCCTTCCAATGTGTCAGTCAAGTCCTCTGTGCGCTACAGAACTGAGATGCTCACCGTCTACGTTAAAGTACTTCTGTGCGACATCGCCCTTTTGGATCAGATCGACTGGGGGAGGGCCAAGAAGCGCGACAATGTGTGCCAACTGGTGTTCTATCGACACTTCGCCTTTCGGATTTCTGGCATTGAACATATTGCGGTCCTCGAATAAGTCCCATATCTACGAATATCAGTAAGGGATTTAGAGGAAGAGGAGAAATAACGCTGACCATTGCTCCAACATTCCAAATATCCACCTCATGGTCCCATGGCAGCCCAAGGAGAACCTCTGGGGCTCTGTACTGAGTCGGTTGAATAAGGCCAGTATGAGAACCTTCCCTTAGCCGAGCCTCTCCGAAATCTGTAAGAACAGGGCGCCCTGGATTTGTGGTATTGTCGAGATCCCTTGACTCGTACACAACGCGGGCGCCATCGATCTTTCGCGGCGTTGGAGATTCCAGCTCGTGTTTCGCAAACTCATCGAGAATATGTTTATTCTCTATGCCAAGGAGAATATTTTTCTCCTGGAGGTCTTTAAAGTCAGTGAGAAGCTACGTACACGAAAACTACGCTTACCGCAATGGATAATTTTAGCATGAGTGTGGAGGAACTCCAACCCAATGAGAATATGTATCAGTGTGAGCTTCAAGATATTCTCTGGAAGCTTCATCCCTGGAACCCTGCTTCTAAACTTGGCCAAACTCATCCCTAAGGGCTTGTGGATGATGCACGGGAAGTGGTATCCATGGTTTTGAAGCTCGAAGTTGTCGAGCATCCTTCGAACTAGCGTCGCACCGGCATGTTTCGCTCTGACGTTGTCAAGACGCCAGTATATGTCAATCTCCCTCTTAATGTTAGGCGCGTCACTGCGACAAAGTTTCAAGACAACATAGTCATGGTCCCTGACTGAAGTCAGCTGAAATCAACATGGGCTGGGATGGAGACTCACGCAAGGTCGCGGCAAAGCCATACTGTAGAATAGCCTCCGTAACCCAGCTTACCCACAATCTGGTACCTTGTGTTCAGGACCTCGCCAATTTTTGCCGGGTAGAATGTTGTCGCGGAGTACAATGACTCTCGCTCCTCTTCCACCACTAAGCTGTTGTCAAGGATCGGAAAGCCAGTGGCTGGAAATTTCCATGGTGGCGCTGGAGGTCTTAGAAAATTACGAGCTCTTCGAAGAATGGAAGCCATCCGAAAGCGCCTACGTATGCTAATGGAGCATAGCAATTTGGATGAGGAATGGAGGAAAGGGAGTTGAAAGTCCTGGACAAAGGACGGGATTTCAATAGGCGCGCGCGAAGTAATTGCCACTAACGTGTTCCACTATCCGGCGCACGTTCCCACCCGATTACGCAAACACCAAGATAACGCGTATTTTGCCACCACTATAAATCCACCAATACGACAGTTATAGACGTGACTGCAGTAGTATTAGAGTTACTAAGACTATTTTAAGTACAGCGTCTGCTATAATTATTTATTAAGATTACCCTTCTTATACGCTAGTTTAACTTCTAATAATAGGGCCTAATAAGGCTAGTAAATAGGTTTAAAGTACCTACTTAGCTAGTTCTTTATTTAAAAGTAAAGTTAATAATAGAATAAATTATATACTATAATATAGGTTTTAAGCAAGTAACGCACTTAAGAAAGTAATATATCTTTACTAAAACTCTACTAAAATTAGTACTATATATAATAGTATAGTACTATAAAAGACTGTAATACTAAATTATAGTAAGCTAATATTTACTACTATAGTTTTCTATAGTACTAATTTTAGCAGGCTTTTAGTTTCATAACTAACTTAGTACCTATAGAGTATATTAGCCTATATTATAAGCTATATATTTATTTTATTTAAATACTTTTTTAACGCTATTTAGTTAAGATATTATAAGTTAGTTAAAGTTTAGTAGAGTTTTCCTAAAATTATATTACTTGCTTAGAACCTACGTTAATAGATAAACGGCTAACTCTGCAAGCTGGGTATATGGATTTACTCTTTTGCCTTATCAATAGAGTTAACTATGCCCTATTTACAGCTATTTACAGCATGCCGTAGCCGCTAGGTTTTGTTTTGTGGTCCTTCTTTCTGCAGCGTTGCTCTCTGCAGCGTGAATAATCCAGAGGTGTCCATTAATCCAACGCTTCCAGATAGCCCATTGGTTACTTAGGCGCTTGTTTCAATATCAAATGTCATGCTGGCCATTCATTATGCAGACGAGGCTCCAATTCAAACCTGCCTGTGTGACGAGTTCTGTTTTTGTACCAATTGGGCACGCGGAACACCTTTGCCGCGTGAAGCCGATTGAAGGATATAATGGTTAGAGATATGGAGCCAGCTTCAGGATCCTTATAAGTAGATTGTGTCTTCTAAAATTTTGCTAGCATCTCATCAATCTTTCCAAAATCGATCTTAGCCTACAACATTACTCTCTCATACTAGATCTCTTTTGCACTATGTCTTTCCGAGCTACTGCTGCGAAACTCATCAGATATGTTGGCAGGGTAAAACTTGAGGATCTCCCAGCTAGTTGGCAATCGCCCGTCAACAATGTGCTAGAAGCTAAAGAAACCGAGGTAATCGAACCGTACTGGCCTACAAGATTGCTTTACGACTGATCACGCCATAATAGAACCCTAACGTCGCTCAAGCAAACATAAAGTATGTCTCCTTCGTGGAAACATCTTCGTTATCGATATTACGTGCTAACGTATATTTCCAGGGGATCTCACCCTCATAAGTCACACAAAGATCCCTCCGATCCAAAGGACGTGATCTCTGTACAGTTATTGGATGCTGCTGGGTCCCGAATCGAGTCTATCCATATTCATGAGGACGGAACTTCGAAGTCAAAATAGGGATGACAGCGGCACCCTAGGCCCTCAACGGTTCGACCCGCGATTATAAAAAGTCGTCGATTACAGACACAAAGCAAAGAGTTCCAAATGTTTGGTATGTAATACTATCAGAGTATTTTGAGGCTGGAGATCTTCATAGTTCCGCTAAGCAGCAATTAAGCCTGTGCACTTGAATCTCACCAAACTCTTTGCAAAAGCGTTTAGTGCTTTACAGTGATGCTCTAGCATAAGCACCTCAGTACAATACTGTCCGCAGAGCAGATATCAGCTCTCATCTTGCTCCCTCAAGCTCCACGTGCACAATGGGCGGCGCTCGAATGGCAGCATGGGAGTGTTGCGTATTCGTATCGTGTTTTGTCATTGCCGTCGCTGTCGTCGTGGTGGATGCGTACCTGTGGCTCACATTCCACCTTCACGGCGCGTACACGCTTATTTTCAAGAGTACAACCTCAACCAGGCGCTGTACGAATTGTGCAACGAGCGAAATGGGAAGGTCTTAGAGCCAGACCTCTGTAAACAGTATTTGGTACCATGGGAGAACGATGATGAGGTTTGAAACCATAGTTAGCGACCGTCTCGAAGCCTATCCTAGAAGAATCAATGTAATCACAAACATCTCCGCACTCAAAGTACTTTCACAGAACCAGCGATAGCTCAACTAGGGCGTAGGCGCTTTGAAAATCCTCTTAAGGCGGGGAGAGTTAGTGACGGCATTCGACCAATTCGGTTACGTGAACATCAGGTCCACGTATTGCACAGCCCGTACGCCGGTCCCACGCCGGTCCACTAGTCTCCACCTATGCAAAACAACAACGACCTGGCATGAGCTCTTAGCGCTTCACTTTATACTACCTTGAAGGTGGAGGTTTTGATGATATCTTGCTGCTCGCGTGCTTCCAGCGACGACGGGACTAGTCCTCTAATTCGGGGACACGTGAGGTAGCAAAGACCGCGCATTCCTACAACAGGTAAATATTTAGAAAAGATTCTAGCGCTTACAGAAGGCGGCCGTAGAGTTCAACAGAAGTATGCCTCGGGGGGATGTTGCGACGCTACCGGCTTCACCATTCTCCATTGGTCATGTTTTCACATCTTGGCATCATCGGCCCTTCATTCAGCGTAAATGAATACGCGGAGGTTGTGTCAAAGTGTATACTTGTGTAGGATTGATTGGGGCGCGTTGTCGTCAGGCGATCTCGGCGCCCACGCGGCTTTGATGCAGGAGCATTTTAGCTGTTCTTGTGTTGTTGCCTAGGAGATTTCTTGAATCCTTCGAAATTCACACTCAACCTTATTAACTCAAAAACCCTGCGCTTACCCCTTCGCACAGCATCATATCTGCGTTTTCAAGTACCCATATCTACTACCATTCATTTTTCTAGTTGATACATTATCGAGTCAACAACCAGTCCTGTAATATGAACATGGCTCACGAGCGTTCTCTCCGCGTGCTCATGCTCATCGGTGCCGCTGTTGCGACTCCGTTCCTCATTCCTACCACTATCATCTCCCTGAATTCGGAAAGCAGATACTACTATGATCATCGCACAGTAACGACTTTCTGCTTCGCATACTTTCCTCTCGCACTGACGGCTCTGGCATCTACACTAAGTCTCCTGCACTACCGGAAGTATGGGCGTTCACCTGGGCATCGATTTGCTCACTTCGACGCTTTTGCAAGTGCCCTGTACCTTGGTGTACTTGGGCCTATATGGGGCATTGAAGTGGACCGTATAAGCGACGGAGGATATGGTTTGTTGGTGGGCTATCTAACAGCCCCTATGATTCTCAACATGTGAGTAGTTTTCACTTCTGGTCTTTGCAGTTACATTGAATATGCACTAATAACATTACAGGATCATTCATTTCTACTGCTTCGTCTACAACGCACGATCAGCATGGGTGGCGTTCTCAAATAGGAAAACGCACGAGTGCCCGAACTGTCACCAGAACTTCGTCTCTGGCCCCCCTCAGGTCCGACAGACAGCCCAAGACCCTTCGGAATATAGCTTGTTGCGTGGAGAGACCTATCTTGATGAGAATGCTGTTCCCTACAGTAATGCGAGGTCGTCAGACGATCAGATTCGCCCGGAGAGTGACGAAAAGGGAGAGAGCAAGGGCAAGGCAGCCCTCGACGTCTAGATGGTGACATAGCCTGACAGGGGTGGGGAGCACCCTTCCCCAATCATTCACGGGAAACGAGGGGTCTGAGAGTGGTGGCAATATGTAGCATGTTAGCAGGCGATGGGAAGATTGTATCAAGAATGCATAAGGACGGAATTCGGGATCATATGTGTTTATGGGATTGTTGGGCTATTCGGGAAGCGTCTGTTGGAGGTATGATATTCAAGCAAGATCGACAATTGTAGGACGATGCTGGGCCAGGCCCTTCTTTTGTATCACTTTATAGCATCAAGTCTATCAAAAAGCTTGCGTAAAACTCAGAGCTCTTTACCTATTTACACTCAGCTCTCAACCATCACGCTATCTCCATCTTCGCACCGGCACCTTAATCTCTTCAACCCGATCACTTGGCCTTGCTGCACGCGCCCTTTACTGGCTTGGTAGTTGTGGTTGGGAACTGCTCTCCTTGATCCCACTATCAGATAGAGTTAGCATTGGCATCTTTTTATTGGGTCTCAGACAGCAGCCTTGAGCCCATTCCCTCACTCAATTGTATTCAAGGGATCTCAATGCTTACATGCTCAGCGATACACCCACCCTCCCACCTAAAACGATCCACAATAGTTCCAAAGCTATTCCGGTAGTTCAACCAGCTCTGCGGGTGCTTGTACGTAGTGCGTATCGGCGTGATGTTCTGCGAGCCCCAGATGGGAGAGAGAATGTTCCAGGCGGAGTCAGAGCCATTTTGAGCGGCAGGGTTGTGGTTCTACAAAAAATCTCTCATCAGCATTGTTTCAATGTGCCAAGATAACATCCAGTCATCGAGCATGGACAGAGGAGTTGTGCATACAATGTAGTCTTTTACGATGTACGTGAACGCCTCGGTAATGTTCTTCTTGTAGATGAAGGCTTGCGCAAAAGCCTCAGCGCGAACTTTGGTTTGTTCTTCGGTCGTTTTGAGGTCGCGAACGCAAGGCGGTGGCTTCGTAGGGCGAGCTTGTCGGTCAACAAGGTCGGCCTTGCCTTCAATGCCAACGGGTGAAGCAAGAACAGCGAGGGGCGCAATGAGCGCGGAAAGGAGAAGTGTGAAACGCATTTGCGATACTAGTGTTGTATAATCTGGGAGGTAGAGGTAGGAGGTGAAGTTTGGAAGCGATGAGCGAGACAACGTAACTTTATAACCATATAAGTTCCTGAAGATAAATAAAACCGCTAAGCTGCCAACCAATGATACCAGCCGAACTATACACGAACTAATCTCGTAGATATTATCTCCTGCTTTCGGGTTCCTGCGGACCCCAGCGGTTCTACCCCGGCGCAATGTATCGCCGCCCGGGGGCATTTTGCATCATTTGCCAGGCTCTTGGAGTGCTATCTCGGTCTTATGTAGCAACCGGCAGTTCGCTTGCCAAGATGAGACGTACTCAAAGTGCTGAATGTGGTCTAGACCGCGGATATGCAACCGGTAGAGATCTAAAGCTTGATAAGTAAGCTCAGTTTGGCCAGGCTTAGACGTTGTAACTTGTAAGACGCGTGTCTTGCTACTAGCTTTTGTGGAATGATGGCCACGATGGGAACAGCTAGGAAAAGTAAATCGCTAACGTGCGTATGCTCTGAAAACCTATTCGCGTGCATTGAGTCGGTCATGTTTTGGCTCGCGGATGTACAATAAGGTAGCTTGCGGGGAACAAAGAAATGTTACTCGAGGTGGGTAATGAGATAATAAACTAGTCACAAGGCCTATTACCCTCATATACTCATCTACTCAAACTTAGCAGTGGTATTATAGCAGCGCGAAAGAAAATTGGTCAAAATAGACACATCGCAGGAAGTTTCGGTTGCTAGGTCGCGTGAGTGACGCGTGAGTGCAAGAGGATCTATGACGGCACAAGGCTCGATTGCGAAAAAAGGCCGTTGTTTCAAACGTCCAAAAGGAACTTATAGCGCAATGTCACATCCATAGTTAGCTGTGCTTGTTGTAGCATTACTTGATTGATTGATTAATTGATAATCAACCCTAAACGCCTCTTGGTATTTGACCGACTTCACCAGCCCGAGCGCCCTCGGTTATATGTCACGTGCCTTCGAGCCGTCCTTTGTGACGCAAACAGTCCCACTTTTCCCGGAACTACCCGCAGTTACGGCGCAGTATCAACAACTCTCCCATTGCAATTCAATCCTTGGTAGCATTTTATAATTCTTATCAAGCTGCAAGACAATGGGCGACCCAGGTCTGTGTAAGAATATGCTTGTCATATTACGCTAGAGCGGGGTTCTTATCGTTAGCCCCCCATATCAACGTCATTCACAGCAGCAGGGCCTCGATATGCAGGCACAAGTGCCCCACCGCCCGCCCGCCCTGGGCGTTTTCAGGCTCCTTATTCTTGCTTTATCCAATATCTTGGTATACATGAACTCTTAGATGAAGTCAACGCTCATTCTCGTCCTCGCGTCTAGCGCGACGTCATGGGCCGCCCCGCACCAACAGCCTTGCCCGTACGACTTCCCATGTCAGGAAGCTTCAGATACGCCAGCTCTCTTCCCCGTACCAACATGCGTCGGCGTCACTTTAGAGGAAGCAACCATCGACCAGCTGCAAGGGTACTTGAGCGAAGGGCTTTTGACTTCGGTTGAATTACTCAAGTGCTACCTGAAGAGGGCTCGACAAGTTGACGGGTACATCAATTCCATCATCGAACTAAACCCGGATGCCGAGGATATTGCTACTGCATTAGATGCTGAGCGCGCGGCCGGGCGAGTACGAGGACCCCTTCATGGCATCCCGTTCATCGTCAAGGACAACATTGCCACGAAAGACCAGATGGAGACTACAGCTGGGAGCTGGGTGCTTTTGGGTAGTGTGGTTCCACGAGACGCGCATGTGGTCGCGAAGCTGAGGCAAGCGGGCGCGCTGCTGATGGGCAAAGCGACATTGTCAGAATGGGCTGATATGCGGTCAAGTAACTACTCTGAAGGGTACTCTCCGCGCGGAGGCCAGGCGAGAAGTCCTTATAACTTGACAGTAAACCCAGGTGGTAGCAGTTCGGGCAGTGCCGCGGCTGTAGCAGCAAATGTCGTCCCGTTCTCGATCGGTAAGCTGATTTCATCCTACCTTGTCTATCTCTGAGTACATCACGATTATGAAAGGTTAGTTGCAATATGTAGATCGCCACGCTAGATTCATGCCTCCTCTGTCTTTATTCTGACCTCAACAGGCACAGAAACAGATGGAAGTGTTATCAACCCGGCAGAGCGCAACGCCTTGATTGGCATCAAACCTACAGTTGGGCTTACATCTCGAGCTGGAGTGATTCCGGAAAGCATCCACCAGGATACTATAGGCACTTTCGGACGAACTGTTCGTGACGCTGCGTACGCTATTGATGCCATTTACGGTATCGACACACGCGACAACTATACACTCGCCCAAGAATCCAAAACACCTCTAGGCGGCTATGCGCAGTTCTTAGTTGACAAATCTGCCCTCCCCAATGCGACCTTCGGGCTACCGTGGAACAGCTTTTGGGTATACGCTGACGAAGAACAACAATCAAAGCTGCTTTCTCTCATCACTATGATTCAAGACGCAGGCGCAACAGTAATCAACAACACCGAACTGCCCAGCTACAAAACGACTGTCTCGCCCGCGGGATGGAACTGGGACTATGGGACAGTTCGTGGTTATCAAAATGAATCGGAGTTCACTGTCGTCAAGGTGGACTTTTATAATAACATAAAAGCTTATCTCTCGGAGTTGAAGAACACCCACATTCGTAGTTTAGAGGACATCGTCGCATACAACTACGCAAACGACGGGACGGAAGGCGGCAATCCCTGGCCCTTGGGCATTCCCGCATTCTATTCGGGTCAAGACAGTTTTCTAGCGTCGTTAGAAACTAGGGGTGTAATGAACGAAACTTACTATCAGGCCCTTGCCTTCACGCAGCGTAGCACGAGGGAGGAGGGTATTGATGCCGCACTCGCTAATAATGGACGCCCGCTTGATGCATTATTGGTCCCACCCGATGTTGGCCAGACTTACCAGGTTGCAGCACAAGCTGGATATCCGATGATCACCTTACCGGCTGGTGTACATTCTAGCACTGGGATGCCGTTTGGTCTGGCGCTTATGGGCACAGCCTGGAGTGAGGCAAGCCTGCTGAAATGGGCGAGTGCCATTGAAGACCTGCAGCTGAGCAGTGATGGGGCGTTCAAGCGAACGTTACCGAATTGGTATGGATATTTGGATAGGAACATTCCAGTAAGGAACTTGTGATTAAGAGTAGGAAAAAGAAAGAAACTAAGGATTTGCTGCTCTCGACCCGACACAGGCACTAAGCAAATACAATTGTCATGTACAATTAGCGTCAAATTTTGTTCCAAACGCCAAGCACCTATTTACTTATCAATGCTTACGAATCAGGGCCACCGAAGCGTCGTTGCTATGCAGCTGCAGCTAGTCAGCGCGCTATCAGCGAAAGTGAAAGCTGCTACACGTGATCGCATACAGGGCCTGTGCGGGCCTCTCCTTCCCTGAACGCCGACCACAGCCCTCCCAGCTCCTATCTCTCCATGAAATCTACTCTCTTGTCGCCAAAATTATCCCCCTTTCTCAACTACACACCACGAATTACCTGCCACGACGAGCTCAACGTTGCCCAATCCCTCAACAACTCCACTGCTTTCTACAGCTAGAGACGCCCAAGAACCGTCGAAGACAGGAAGAGTCATCAATATAAGAGAAAGAAACACGAAAGGAGAAGACGCATATCCACGTTCAAGATGGATCATACCACATCAAATTCCTTAAAGCGCAAGCGCGGTGATCTCCTCGTTGATGAGGGAACGTCCCCAGCCAGCCAGGACGCTGGCACACAACCCAGCGAGGATCGTACAGAGCCTTCGACCCAGCGTGGAGAGCACCCGTCGAAAAAGCAGAGGTTAACCACTGAAGATCCAACGACGAAACCCAGCAGGAGACCTAAGAGCTCTGTAACAGATCCTTCCCTTGTCGGACGCAAGAGGAAACTTGCAAAGTATGTGTTGCCACAAACAAATACTGCTTCTACAGCTATTGCTACCAGTGATGAAGACCAGCTGATGAGCGATGCGGCCGGGGTTGATGTCTCATACAACATCCATACAATCGAGGGTCAAGCATTATCGCAGCCGGCGACCGCAGTGCAGCAAGCCACTCCCTATTCATTTATGAGCTCCGCTCAGCAGTCAGCTACAACACCATCTGCATTATTACGCGCAGCCGATCCTGGCAATCCTTATATCCCTTCCATAGCAAATCCGCAGGCTAGGGCAGCCTACCTTCAGGAGGTCGGCACACGCGGTCTATATATCGCAATCGATCCGTTGCAGACATCAGGTTCGGCCGTCGAGGAGAAAGTCCGTTATGTGATCAAGCAACACCTCTGCCACCGTTGGACCTACGAAGACTGTCGCGAAGGCTACAACAGCCGCGGAGGAAACGCCAACAAGTTCCAGTCAGTCGAGAAAGCGTACAAGGAGCACGCAAGGCACTGGTTCAACGAGCAAGACATAGTTCTGCCATGGGATGCTGTTCACAAGGATGAGCGAAAGCGCCTGAAAGCACTGGGTCTAGGACCGAGGGATTTTCCTACACTTCTCCTGCCTGGGGCATTTCCAGATGTTGCTGGCCAGCAAAACCCACAGCCGGCGCCGAAGCGATCGACTGCCACTAAGAAGATTTCAGTTTCGAAGGCCCCCAACAAAGCTGCAACATCGCCAAGCGCCCATGATCAAGAAGCCTCCCCTGCATATACCGGCAGGGAGGCACATGAAGTCGCTCCTCTACGACAGGCGAATGGTGAGAGCATCCGAGCCAACAGCGAGTCGCAACACGGCGATTATGTTGACGACGATGAAGATCCCGAAGAAGACAGGGACAGTTTTGAGGCTGTGGAGGATAGCGAGGAAGACGTAGAAGAGAACGGAGCAGATGGCGAGTAAGTACTCTTTTCCAATAATCATCTTAGCAGAACACTAACATTGATAGAACCTCCATCCATGATCGCTTCCGCGCCATTGCCAATGCTTTCGATGAAGGTTCGACCAGTATTCGAGTAGCTGCCCAGGTCTACAAAATTCAGAGAGACGCCTTCTATACGTATTGCGGAGCAATCCGTGAGTATGTTGACAGAAATGAGATCGCCCAAGACTTCGAGGTCGATTTAAGCGCTTTCCCACCTAAAATCGTCCGTGCCTTTATTCAGGCCATCTCCCCGGTCCCATGCAGGGGACTACCCATTCACGACTTCGCCTTTGGAGATCCACCTCATGATAAGGACCTATTTAGTGTGATCAACCCAGAGAACATTTTAATCAGGGACTTTAAATGGGATGTGAAGGCTTGCCTCACGATGCGGGATTTGGCAGTACACATGGACTGCCCAATCATCAAAGACATGGTCGCTGATGAGCTATTTCATATGTACCACGAAAGCATCGTGGAGAAGCGGGAGAACCCGCAGTTTGAGCATGAAGACTTGGAGATCCCACTGGAATACCTGAACTCCTTGGATTCGAAGGAAGATGTCCCCTTTCTTCGACTGCTCACAGACTGTCTCCTCCATCACGCGAACTACAAACTCAAAATTCCGGAAGAGATGGCAGATCACGTTCGGCAGATGATCCACCAGCGACTCCATATTCGCCATACCATCTCGCCATCACTGGCCACGGCAGAGGGTCGCTGCAACCGCTATCACTCTCATGGTGAGAATGAAGAATGCTACGAGGTTCTCGCCCAGCGAGGTGAAGCAAGGACCAAAAAGACGATCCAGGACATGTTCACAGTTGTCCGAAAGCGATCGTTTGCCACTCACACCACCAAGATTGCAGCCATGTGCGCCGAGGAGCCCCGTGATCTGTATGCTGAGGAGGTTCAACGCCTTAGCTACGATATGACACTGTGGTCAATCGAGCAAGAGGAGAAGGTAGCTGGGGCCTTGCTCACTAGCGAAGTCCTGAAGCAACAAATTGCCAACAGCGACAGAGCAGATGCTAAGCTCTATCGGAAGTCTCTAAAGGAGTGGAGGCAGTACCTCGCTGATCTCCGGGCCGACCACGAGCAGGGTTGGGATTTCTTTGAGCGCGGCTGGATCGATGAGTCTAGGGAACCCGACTCAGACGATGAAGATGAAGAGGAGGTTGTTGGCGATGATTTTGGACCAAGGGTTCGCTACCGTCGACATCGTCGGAGTGCTGAGCGTCGTTCGGATGGCCGGTGGACGCTTGGATATTTTTATGCGCAGGTCCGGCGGAACGGTAGGCCAGTGCCTGCTAGGACGTGGGTCCCTACAGTTTCCGCATTACTGAGGTTGTGAATCAACCTGTAGTGCTGGGGTAGCTTTTAGAATCTTTTTCAACACTAACAGCAAGTGTTTGTTCATAGATAGGTATTTTACGCCTCACCGCATTTTATCGCAATACTAAGTCTCTCGTCTTACTAATTCGGCTGTCAAGCTTGTGAAGTCTGATTATCATAACATCAACTACGTTGGCATGCTGGTGACAACTTATCATTGATGTTACAGGAACACGCCATACACTCAACTTCTTGAACCGGAGCTACTCCGATGCAAGACACACTAAGAGGTCGGGGCTCGTTTTGGTTTCAAAGCATCTCTGGTAGATGCTATCAATTTAGATTATGCGTAGAAGAGACTGCTATATTTCCAGTCGACTTGCACGATATTCGTGTCTTCATTACGGTATATGGTAGCGCAAACAACTACCATTCCAACGACGCTGACGCCAAAGAAGAGTACCCGGACGGGCATTATCTAAAAGTCGCAAAGCCTGTGGGACATCGTTTGCACCGAGCATTACCAGCCACAAACAAAACTGCAAAACAACGACCTCTGGATGGCAAGTCGGTTTCATAATAGTCACTCGTACAGCATCGAAGATGACCCATACGGCATGCACTCTACGACTTATCGTCCACTCTCTTGGCCAGTCGTTGCAAACCTGTATAACTAGAAGTACGGAGTGGCAAATAGTTCAGCAACCATAGAGAACCGCGCGCGATAGCATCGGAATGCTTGGTTAACGAAACATCCGACATATCCAACACAGGTTATGTATGTGAAGAAAGATAAAGTACCGCGCCGCGTTCATCATTTGAAATTCGGTGATGAGCAGCAAACGCAGCTTGTGGCACATGCTCCCAAGAAGAATGCGCGTATCGGCGGATGGATCCCACCAGATGATATCCGGAACCAAGCTGACACTGGCAACTATATCCCTTACTCGGCACCTGGTCCAGAGTCCGATCACGTTGATGGATCACAGTCGAAGTTGTAGGTGCAGAAGAGTCCCCAATCAGTAGCGTTCAAACCCGAATCGAGAAAATCGCAATGATTCAGCTTGGTACCGCCGAGAGCTAGAGCACAACGCGGGCCTGACGATCTAGCTTACTGCTCATCGAAAGTCTCTATTAAACGGTATGTACAGTCCATCTCCAGCTCACCGTTGACAGGACTCTCTGGGGATTTGACTTCACTCATGGAGCTGTACTGCGTTCGCCGCGCACCTTCAGGATCATGGGGTTCGCGACCTCATCTTGGAGCATTGGTAGGACCAGCTCGAGCAGAGTATTGAGTAGAGACGGATTAGGAAGACCTGAACGACCTCTTTCGTAGCACCGAGTGCGATGACCCAGCGCGGGATTTCTGGGCCGCCGTTATTATTCAGATGATTGTTGTCGTGTGAAAACGAACCTACTGGCAATGTATAGTGGTTTCCACATAAACGAGGAAACTGACATGGTAGTGCGCAATCTCAGCTTGATCACTAGGACGGATCGTTTCACTAATGATGCGTATGACGTTCCGCACGTGATTGTGGCTTTCCCTTCAACTTGTTGCTACAGTACCGTCGTGTTCACTAAGCATTGTCCTGATCATCATCCCACCCCCACATATTTCCTTACTCTGGCCTCAACCTATCATCAGCACCATACAATCAATCACTTTTAGTCATTATATTGAGATCTTGCCGCCAGGGAGATGCATATGAACCAGGCCACACCCAGATTGTTAGACTTCGACGACGACACTGCTATGTCAGATTCCATGAACGGAGTGAGCGACAAGCCGACGGCTGAAACCAAGGAGAAGGGGAAGACTTATAGCAGATATCAGAGCCATAAGGAACCAAACGAGCGCAGATACACCCCCGAGGAGATCCAAGCTTTCGATGAAGGGCGGAAGATTCTTGCAGATTGGGGCGACGATGAACTCTCAGAGAAACACCTGAAGCTTATCCAGTGGATCGACCGAGACCACTTCAGGGGAGAAAAGCTGCAACAGCGCTGGTCCGACGAAGGATACCGTGGAAAGGGGGAAAAGCTGATAAGTCATACGGTACTGAATAGATGGTACAACGAACGAGCAGAGAAATTCTATGCGAAAAAAGGACTTGTCTGGGTGCCACTGAGAAAGCGCCGGGATCGTAACACGAAAATTTCAGTACAATCGAAGTCGACGCTGCTGGTACCAAAGCGAACATCAGACCGTTCCGGTGCTATTCCGAGGCCCCAGGAGAAGACAAAGGGCAGGTTTCGAAAGAGAACGAGCTTTGAGAAACTTGATTTAAAGCTTCTAAACCTTTTCTCAAAGACTGTCAAACCTACGGCTATCATTGTCAACCTCAGTGCGAAACGAAAATTGCAAGTGACCCTACTTGGTCATTGCCTCCACAAACCACTCGTGCTAATGAACACACAGAACCGATACGGATATCCTATCGCCTGAACTTGAAGTTTCGCAGAGCGACATCAACCGCTATCATGCCAATCAACAGAGCATTCATGCTATAAGCTTCAGGCGCAAAGATGGGGACGCTCCCCGTGGACATCCTAGCCGGCCTTTATTGCGACGAGACAGTGCAGTAAGATACTGCACATCCCTCCGGGATATGCTGAAGGCCAACCCACACACCAACACGATCGTTTATGGGGAGGATATCGACCAGATCACCGTTCGGCGGTTTATCGCATGCGTGTCGCCTTCCATACGAGCTGGCTTGCCAATCCACGATCTGGTGGAGATCGTAGAAAACAGTCATAAGACCATCATGTCCACCCAAATCCAGTGGAGTATGCAGGAGCTGCAGGATCTTTATATCTTCTCCCATCACATGGGAGCGAGCGATGTATGCGACATGGTAATTGATCGATGGCACGAAGAGCTACATCGGCCAACGGTCCGTATGCTCTGCACTGAGCTGGGAAGTATAGAAGCCTTCAACATTCTTGGTTTCGAACCTGCCTTCTTGAACTATCTCGCTGAGCATGATCATAAGGGCTTCGATTTCCTCATCGAGGTACTCGTTATAAAGGGTGAGGAGGGCTGGAAACTCCTTTCCACTTACGGCTTGAGCAGCTGGAGTGAAGAGGTGAAGACAGCAGTAATCGAGAAGCTGGAATCCGTCGACCCCGTTTCCGTATCAATCAATGATACAGATGCGATATGTCAGGGGTATCATCACCATCATGAACACGGCGGCAAATGTTATAGGGTTCAGGCCACCGCAGCGCCTTTAGCTACGTATCCCACAACACCCGTTACGCATAGCAAGCGCGTCAACTTCTTCAACAAGTATCCTCAGCCTGTCGCTCCCGGCAACACCAGGCGCTGGGAGATACAACGCGCATTCTCAGAGAAGGAGCAAGAGATTAAGAATAAACGCAAACGCAGGCGCAATGAAGACATCCCTGAACTCGATAGCGACGCGCACATCCAGAAGAAACTCAAGGAATTCTATGAGGATAGTGACGACCGGGGCCCGTACAACCGCGCAGAGGACCCAGATGACAGCGACGATGATACTCACGAACTCTCCATCAGCCTTCCCGACGAGTATAATGACTCCCGTTACTACTTTAGTGCGGATTCTGAAACCTATGAGGATGGGAATTTCACCCCACGTTACACCACGTTCGTGCAAGTAGAAAATGATCGTATCCGATACAATGGCAAAGGAATGAATGGAACGAAAGATGGCAAGGGAGTCGCGTACAAGAAGATGGCTCTTGTGGAAGAACGGCTAGCGTTGTTTCGAGCACATGGGTACGATGTGGACGGCATGCATGTTGAACTACCGGATGAGGAGGATGCGGGGAATTATGACGAGTAGGCGATGCCGGAATGGGAGTGTATATTCGCGCACGAGTATCTGACCAGTCACACGATCTGCCCAACGTTGTGCTATTAAGAATTACCAGGTTACTACAGCTGTACCTGATAACCTTCATTTATTCCAGTCTATAGTTCAGATCTCGTGTCACTACCAAGACTCCTGTCAGGGAAACAACTGCTGCTATCATTCCAACTGATAATTCACACAGGGGGTCGCTTAGATCTTCTCAACCTCAACAACGTTACCATGAGAATCGGCGGCGATCTTCTTCTTGATGAGCGAAGCATTGCGGGGATTCGGCGAGTTGAAGATGTCGTCGATCTCTTCAAGCGTCCTGTTTTTCGTTTCTGGGATGAAGAGCCAGACAACGAAGGCCTGAACTGGACACCAGCAAGCAAAGACGATGTACAGCTTCCACTTAATCGTGCCGAGAGCAATGGGGTAAGCGAACTGGTTAATCAACATGGCGGCGGTGAGCGACAAGTTGGAGAAAGCCATTCCCTTGGCACGCATCTCGAACGAGAGAACCTCCACGGGGTATAAAGCCTGGAGCGGCGTGATACCAAAGGCAAAGACGGCGTTGAAGAGGAAGACGAAAGCAACGAAAGCTTTGCTAGAGGAGTCGGTGTGCTGCTTGTCGTTGATAGCAACGGCGGCGATGGCGGCTATCCAGATGAATGAGACGGCGGAGAAAGTTCCAATCAACATGGGTCGGCGACCGAGTTTATCGACGAAGAACGCACCGATGACAGCCTAGAAATGTAAGCTTCTTTACGACAGCGTAAGGAGGATACAAGCTTACAAAGGTGAACTGCATGCAGGACTTGCCGAGGTTAATGTTCATCTTCTGGAGCTGGTCTGTGACACCCGCCGACTTGAGTACCGCATCGATGAAGTAATCAACTGCACCGTTACCCGCCCACTGACCAAAGATGGCAACACAACAGTTACAAGCAAGACGGTAGCGAGCAGGGCGGGACTTGAACAGCGCACCGTAGTCCCACCAGCGCTTGTCACCACCGTCCATGTTGAGGTACTGCTCGTACTCTCGAAGCTGCATAGTCACCCAGATGCTATCCTCATTACCGTTGCCATGGAACCTGGCGAGATTCCTCTTAGCCTCTGTGTGTTTGCCTCTCGTGTAGAGCCAACGGGGGGACTCAGGCAAGAACCAAGCCAGGAGGAGGATAAGGGCTGGGAAGAGCATTTGGAGCCACACAGGAACCTTCCAGGTTTGGTTGCCTGGTAGGTTGGTCGTGCCGCGGGCAACACCTAATGTGAAGAAAAAAAGTCAATGTATGTCTCACAAGCAGTCGTACATGGAATTGCTCACCGGCTGCTAGGATACTCCCGACAAACCAGAAAGTGTTGTATAGACCCGTGATAATTCCGCGATGAGCAGGATGGGCAGTCTCGATGACGTGAAGTGGTCCGGCAGTAGTCATGATCGGAACAGCAAATCCAAGCAAGAAGCGACCACCCATGAATTGGCCTTTCGGGTTGTGTGCTGGGGCAGTAGACTGAATGATAACACCAACAACACCAAGCGCACCTCCAATCATCATTCCATATCTACGACCCCAAGTGTCACAAGCAGGTCCAATGAACGGAAGAGCGACGACGCCACCGATCTGGTACATGGAGGTGATGATGCCGGCCCAGGCGCCATCACTCTGGACATTGTAGTACTTCTTGAACGTGTCGTTGATGAGAAGGGCGTTGAACATGGACCCGTCGAAGCCGTTGCATGTAGAGCAGAAGAAGCCAACAAAAGCGCAGAGATAGAGTAGCACGGAGGACTTTGTAAACCATTTGGGAGGCTCCTTGAGCCTGGCCTCTGCGATGGCCTCGGAGCCAGAGATGATTTTCACCTCGGCCACAGCCTTGGGATCCTAATGAGTTGTAAGCTTCAATTCTCTCTCTATGATATACCTGGCTTACACCATGATCTGACATCGTTGTGTTGATGTTTGTAGCTGTGTTCTCCTTGAAGTCAGACATTGCCACGGTCGACAAGCTCTAGGAGCTGCTGATGGAGAAAACCGACGAGACATGGACCAGATATAAAATATAAGCAACACATGCACCAAGCCTTCAAGGCCAGGATTTCGGATCCTGGGCCGCAATATCCGGGTATATGCTGCATCACAACGGCGCTCCGTTGGGACATTGTTCTGGAAACATGCGTCCAGGTAGATTGGGCACGGAGAGGCTGACTCCGTGGCCCAATTAGGAAGCGGCTCCAGGACGCCTCAAAAAGCCTCACCCGTCCGTGTGTAGGACAGCACACTACTTTTGAAGGTCTTGGAAATGCGGAGAAGGCGTTTTGCTTCGGCGACCCGGTCCTCACTCCAGCAGCGCCGAATAAGTCGTTCTCTGAAGTCGCAGCATAAAGCTACAATAATTCTAGCCTCGGATTATCTTGTGGGAAGACGGTAAGGTGCAGGTGTGGAGAGCCCATGGGGCCCCATATTCCGGGTCGAACCCAAACAGACGCAGGGTCTTACGGGGTTTATTCTCTCGACGGCTGCTCCAATGAGCCTCGCTGGCAATTGAGAGAGTATCTACTGTACACATGGTCCGCGGTCTCGCACTGGTTCCAGACAAGGATGTGGAGAGGGCGATCCCTGACACCAGATTGCACCAAACCAGAAACATGAATCGGCATGGAGCACATCGCGCATGTAATTCAGTAAAGATTGGCGATCATGTGAGAGAATTGCAAAAGCGCCTACGCCCTAGCAGAGCTGTCGCTAGTTCTGTGACGGTACTTTGGGTGCGGAGATGTTTGTGATTAGGCGATCATGTGAGATTAGTATAGGTGGAATGATCCGTTCGCGCCTCAGCCATAGTCGCAGCGAGTAGCAGGGTGTCCGCTGATAAGATGTTTTATCCGCGAATGAGACGAGGTACATGGAGCGAGCGCCATGGCGTGAGAGCGTTGCTGACAAGTCAGGGAAACCCCGCACAGTAGTCGATAAGGCCAACGGTGCTCTAGCAGCTGCCAGTGAGTAGAATATTGACTGTGGCCAGAACAGGATGCATGTGAGTGGGTTTCGTGGTCGACCAGCGATGAGGGGATGTGGAGTTGGTGCATGGACACCCACACCAAGCCCTTTAGCGAAGCGCCAACGATCATCGTCCCGAGGTCCACCATGCTCCACGGAGCTACTCACTCCGTGCCCGTTCCTCTCGAGTTAGAACTCTGGGGAACTCTGCTAACACGTAGGTGTGTGCATAGCGTGCAGTCCCGACGAACGATTGTGTACCGTCTGGAGGTCGCGCCGTAGACACACTTCATGGGCGGCTATCAATCGACCCTTTCCTTGAACTTCCATCATTCGGCCACGGAAAGACGGGCCGCTCTCATGTGTATGCAACGGATACTACTCCATGACGATTCCTTTAGTGACTAGGGCTCGTGTGATGTCTACAGATGGGGCTTTTGTGCCCAGACATGGAAGACTCGCCTGCGAGGCCTTATATCAGCTAGTCGCCAACTCAGGGCGACAGGATCTTGCAGAATTTTATGATCGTTTTCAACTTTTGTGCCGGGATTCATAGCCTACGATCCGTAATGTTCACGACATATTGATCACGTTATGTGTAATGTGGCGAAGACCTCGAGAAGATAAGGAGAAAATAAAACATGTATTTGAGACTCCAGAAACGCCACGCTCCCAGAATCAAGCCATTAATAGTATAAATCAACCAATAGAGAAGCGCTTCATCTTCCTAGCGATTCCTCCTGCAAACTTGCCCTTCATCGCCCACCAAGCATCGGGCTCACTCCGCAGACGGCTTAGAAAGCCCGCCACATCGTCCTTGATGCCATCCAAGCTACTATACATGCGCCCGGCATTGCCAGCAATGCCATCTAACTGCACGCGAACCTGCTCCTCTGCAATATTTCCAGCTCGCAGCGCTCGATGTACGTTCTGGTAGATATCTAGATCGTCGACCGCACCAGCCATCAGGACATCCAAAGAACGTGGTAGACTTGTGATAGAGTGGTTGTATGGGTCTGACAAGGCTTGAAAAAGAAGTTGGTAGATGCCGAGGACTTTGACAGCGCGATCAAAGAAGCGGTTCAGGGGTGTGATCTCCGAGACGACAGCAGAGTAGAGTTGATCAGTTTGGAGCAGGAGCAAAGCCTTTTCATTTGCGGCTGCAGTGGCGATGCAATGCTCAGACTCCATGGTGTCGATGAGCGTGGTAAAGGTCTCAGAGAACTTCTCGCTCTCAGCCTCAACCATATTAGCGTGAGACATGAGGGTGTCAAGCTGTTTATTCTTCTCGTCGATCGTCTCTTGATCTTGCTCACGCTGCTTTTCAGCCAGTTCGGCTATTTTCGCGTTTTCCTTCGCAAGCTTAAGGTAGGCGGCTTGCTGATTGTGGAGCTCGGCCTCCAGACGCTCAATCTTCAAAGCAGCCTCGTCAACGATAGTCTGCTTCTCCACAGCGTCGACCATTTTGCGCTGGTAACGCTCTGCACGCTTTGTTGCGTCATCAGCAATCCCCTTGTGGAAGTCGACTTGGCGCTGCGCTTGCTGGAGATCGACCATAAGAGCTTCGAATTCCTCGGGCTGATTCGTAAGTTCCTCCTCTTTTGCCTTCAACTTGATCAACAACTTGTCGACCTGTGCCTGGAGGTTCTTCTCTCGCCCTTCAATTTCCTTGACGTATGCTCGAGCCGCCTTTATCTCTGTCACTCCTTGCAACTGGTCCAGCATTTCGTTCGGCATGACGTCCTGGATGTTGTAGCCTTGAGCCTTGGCTACAGCCAAGATGCGAGAGATCTGCTCCTGCAGCTCGCCTCGGTTTAACATCTTTGCGATTTATTCGAGTTGCGGGTTCCTCGTTCGTCTCATGTACGGAGGAGACATTGAACACGAGGAAGTACTGGGAAGCATCTACATAGGCAGGACTTGCATGCGTTGTGTAAGTCATTGTTTGTTGACAATCCGTTTTGCGTGGAAAACAAAGTCCCGACAATAAATTGTGCTTTCACAATGCAGTCAAACCAAGGTATCGTCTAGCAAAACCTCTTCAAATTCAGTGCAGCCTATGGATGGTCACTAACGACCTATCAAATAAGCTGTTAATACTAAAGAAAAGCCCGGTTGGGTAGTGCCTTGAATGAACCAACCCCGGGAATTTATGGTGATGAATCTTTCTCAAATTACGTGATAAGACATCGCCTCCCATAGGTATTTAGTAGCTTAACTTTACTTTGTATAATGATAGCTGCAATTATATTACCCTAGTAATACGTCAAGGTCGTTGTAAAGAGGCAAATGTATCGCGTGTAAGGTGCAAGAGAACATTCAAATCATCAAATCGGATCCCCGAACAAGGAAACCCTTCCGCAACACCGCGGCTGCCCTACTCCACCACCCATGCATCGCCCACTGTACGACTGATCTGACAATAGCACGACATTTTATATTATCATAAACATCTTTCTAATGATGGCTTCGAGAGCAACGCTGCCTAGCCATTCTTTCGTCTTTTATCTTTCATCTTTCACATTGGCCTGGACACGATTTGACTGCCGTCACTTTAACGCGCGCACCCCTCGTATCCGATGGGTTATGGACATCGCACAACGTATTCATGCTTCGTTTTCTATATATAGCCTCGCCACTCCCTCTTTCCTCCAGTCAGCTGCTTCGGTATGCTTGAATGCAGAATGTGCATATAAAAAAAGAACGGTTAAAGCGAAGCGTTGCTCCCGTTGGTCGACAACACGCTGAAGGACACCCATCAGGCTGACAGTATCATGCAGAAACCTGCAGAAAATACCCCTCCAAGGCTAAAAAAAGCAAAAGAAAAGGTATTAAGAAGCGCTACACCCGGGCCTTTATGTGGAGCTACAAGCAGCCACGGTTGAAGGCGATAAGCAATCAGATTTGCACAATCGCAGCATCAAATATCTCGCCTACTTTATTCAAATCTGATTTTCGAACTTCATGATGGTGCTCATCCATACCCTGGTGTGTGTCGCGTTAGCGACCGGTGCATTAGCTGCCAGCAGCTGGGACGAATTTTCCAACAATTTTGCGACAGACCTCGCACCCATCCTACAGCTCTTCGGGGATCAAGCTACTAAACAATACCTCGCCGAGAGCACGTGCATTCTTGACTGCGTCATTTTCGCCATGGCCCCTTTGGGAATTTTGACCGCCGTGGTATCCGTTATTCGAGTATGTGGCCAACCCTTCCTCAGGGCATTTATCGGTCGTGCGCAGGAAGGATCAGGAATTGCAGAGTTAGAATTATGCTCATCAACAGGGAGGGATATCGCGGAGCTCTACCAGGGAGGCGCTATCACACGGGTCTTTGGACGAGCCAAGATTTTGGAATTCATTCACGTTCCGCAGTATGAAACACGTTACTCGAACCTAGACCAGGCTGCGACGGCAGGTATATACACTTTCGTCCAGTTTTTGGCAGAGAGGAAAGGTCGGAGTGGATGGAGATCGTCCAAACCCGGAAGTACAGAGGACCAATGGAGTGGATATACAGTCAATCCCAACCTCATGTTGAACGTTGGCTTGCGAAGACCCACCCAACAGCTGTTAATTTTCACAGCCGTGCTCGGAGTCCTGTTACAAGCATCCATGTTAGGATTCGCCGTATGGATCACTCACGTCAAGAAACTGCAAGAAACTGATGTATTGCCACCACCATGGGCCCTCCCAATGACTGCCATTGGTACAACCCTGCTATGTGCAGGAATGTTCATGTGCTCGCATTTGATCGAACGAAGTACCAAGGAGCGCACGTTTGACAGAGTTGATTCTTCCCAGAAGAAGGTGAACGAAATGGACGTAGAAAGCAACAACGATCAATATCGAGGACCTGAAACATCTGCTACAGGGGCCATCTCTCCAACTCAGGCGCTGTTCAATGATTCGGAATCGGGGGAAACTCACACCATGTATTGGGTTCAGCCTGGTGACCAAGTGATAGGCGACCAAACATTCGACTCATTCGCCTATAGCGACAAAGGAAGACCGCTTTCCCACTATACCACTTCCTGGAGGAGACCTGTTAAGCCATGGGAACGTAAGATGGCATTGGTAGCTACCGTCGTGACCATGGCTGGGTTCATACTTCAGTTCATTGGTCTGCGCGGCGTTCACTCTGCTGTATCAGTGTATCAAATAGTTGCGGTTCTGATCATGAGCATAGTACGCGCATCACTCAGAACGAAGCGAATTGATACACAGGATAACTTGTTCAGCACACAAGCTCTTGCTCCGAATACTTTGTCCAAGAACGACAACGATCACAACGATGACAGTGCCAGTAAAACAAGGGGACACGAGCTTGATCGTCTGGCAAACGAAGTCTTTAAAAGCCATTGCAGAGACAAATATCCAAAGTTTACATATAGTGACGATTACACCTGGCAGCTGCAGTGGAACCCGAAAGTAGAGACAGACCTATCAATAATTAAAGGTTTTAGGAAGATTGGAGAATGTTCCGAGATCTGGGTTTCTACTGAGGATCCGGAGCAAGATCATGAACAGCTTGTGCGCAAACTCAGTGCTGACAGACCCTGCACCCCAAAAGCGGCTTGGATATGGAAGTATCGAGTACGTCTTGGGCAGCTGACTTCAACGAAACTGACGAAGAGGACGAAGCCATTGTCCCAAGCCTGGCCTGATGTCATCGTAGAAGGTCGTTCAGAAGCCCGCAGGGTAGCTAAGGCAGTCTGTGCGGCTACTTCGCTGATTCTCCAGAACCGCACATTTGAGGCAAAGTCATTGTACTTCAAATTTGGATGCACGACAGCTGGTATGAGCAAACCCGACGGCCAGGATGTATCCGAGCCTCCAGATTGTATTTTCTTCTCTCTACACAATGAGAACGACGCGGAGCTGAGAGTTAGCGCAGATTGGGTACTGGATATTGCTCAAGTTGAAGCAGCCATCTCTTTAGGGCACTGGTCCTGTCTCGTTCAGGATCACGCCATGATGTCACAGAGACCATTGAATTGGCCAGAAGCAACTAGGACTGGAAAAGTACGCACAATAATTGCTGGCAATGGTCAAGACATGCAGACAACGAAAAGGCTGGTCGCTGGAATCAGACTCTGGGCTTGTGCATCGCATTGGGCTCAGCCGATTGAATACATCACAGTCAATCTCAGTAAGCTCAGTGCTGGGATTGCCACATTGTGGACGAGATCAAAGGAAAGCGATGAACCATATTTTCCCACCTCCGAAGCCTATCCAAAAGCCCCGAATGCTGAACGATTCTCCGGTTGGAACACTGTGACAAGGAAGAATGCTTCGTTCGATGGAGCGTATCACCTCGCCACTTGTTCGACAAAGCAATCTACCATGGCAATGTGCACCCAAGAGACTTTTTCTTACTTTCTGTGGGCACTACTAAGCTCAAGCGAAAGGCTCGTAACAACCTCAAGCTTTACCGACGGACCAGAGGGCTGTGGTATTGAGAACCCTATGGTGACGAGACTGATCGAGTCCTTCGTGGAGAATGGCCTTGGAACAAAGAAGGACGCTGTATTGTGTATTATCCCCGTTGTCTTCGCCACGAGTTCCGAAATCCCCGTGCAAGAGGCTCTCAGCGCAATGCTTCAATCCACTTTTGGGGCCCTAAAAAATAAGCCTCTGTCTTCAAATTCAACTATAACAAAGCTAAACTGGGCCTTACGCACTATAGAACATGGAGCTACCGAAGATCAAATCCGGGCGATTTTTTTGATGCACTCCTGGTATATCCACACACGCCACGGAAACCTGGAACAGGGAATCAGACGAAGAATGGGAGAAGATGACATATATAAATGGGGAGAATATGCAATCATACCAAAATCGAGAGAAGAGAAAAACATACGAAGACTGGTAGATGGCCTTATTCAGCGTTGCAGTTGTTTGCAACTTTCAGAAGAGGGTATGAGATTCATTTCACACCTCATTGACCGTCTGAGGATCATGTGTAGTCCGTTGATCGAGAGATCGGAGGACATAATTTGGAAGACTATCGCCGATCGAGAACCCCCTCTACCAGTTGGCACAAGGGACTCTGCAGCAGAGTGTATCAAAAATAACGACCCGTACGGTACGTTGATTAATATAGGCGAAATCATGACTAAAACACAATCTGCTGCTTGGGATCTTGCTGCCGGTATCGTCCAATCTTGGGGAACTGACTGGCAGTTGGTCATGACTGAAATCTCCAGGCACTGCGATATCTTTAAAGCCGAATACCCAGATGAACAGGATCTATTCAGCTTGGCGTGTTCAAATGGTGATCCAGAAATAGCGAAGCTGCTATGCAAGATTATATGTGGAATACCCGATTCAAAGGCGGAGATCTCCTGGTTTGATGCAACAGAACTGCTCAAGAAAAAGGATAGACGCGGATGGAGTGCTTTGCACCATGCAATCTCAAAGAACCGCCAGGATGTCATCGATTCGTTTAGTCCCGCCCTCATCACATTCTGGCTGATGTATTCTGAAGCAATCCCATTGTTCGAAGCTTTCGGAACAATCAGCGTGTCGGACGACAAGATGATTAGTTACTTTGAGGAAAACCACTCCGTTCCGCTCAAGTGGGCTCTCCGGGTTATTGAATCCGACACCAAAGAGATTAACGACGGAGCAGTTTCCAAAGATGATGATGACGAAAAGCCCCGTGCAGCATTGCGGAATGGTATCAGAAGAGTAAATGCCGTCAAGCTAAAGCAGGAAGGGGGAGATCTCTCCTCCAAACAACGACCAGAGCCCGTAGTCCAAGAGTGCCCCGCGTAAAAGAGGTGACAAGATCCTGAGGCGTCTCGGGAAGTGGCCATTTCAGATGCTACCATAGAACCAAAGTCAACCGCAGATAGAATGGAGTCGTCGCCTTGAAATTTGAGCAACACAATACCACCATTCAAGTTCGCATCTACGATGTTCATACGAGGTTTATTCCGATTATGTATTGTTTTTGTTGTGGGACAACGGGTATCCCACTGGAGTTCCGTTTTTGTTTGTGAAGAAGGGCATTACGGGTGGTGTGTTGACGAGCAAAGGTGGTAGGACGATGGTATCAGGACAGCATGCTGTCTAGGTGCATGTTGAACAAGATATGGCCACGAGTCATCTAGAGGGTGAGGGTGAGCAGAATTTGGGCACGTAAATTGTACACAGGGAATATAATTGGGTATAAGGCTATCTAGCAGTACAACAAATATGCACAAGAAGCGCTCTGGTATCTACAACGCAGAAAAAAAGGCAGAACATATACACAGCGCGACCATCATCCACGCACTAACCCTCAACTCGCCCGCAGACTTACTATCTTGGCCCTCACCTTTTTGCCCCTCCTTGAACCCATTGCCCAAGTACAAAGCCCCCAACTTCGACAACCCGCCCTTATTATCGAAAAGCGCAACGCCGTTCCCCGTCCACTTATTCGCGTCCTTCGGTCTGAACGCTCCGAACCACGCATACCTCTCCACGTACTGCAGTCCATCCAAATAAGGCAACGTCTGATTCATCATCTGCGTCGTCTCCTCCGCACTCAGCTGCGGCACCGCCATCTCCGTAACCCAAATCTTCAGCGGCACCTGCCTTGAAGAATTCGTGTTGTAAAACTCGTCCAGCGTAGCGAGCCAGGATTTCAGTCCATCAAACGCCCCGTACCAATGCGCGGCGACGAAGTCTGCCGGACACCCGTTCTTCCTGTCGATTTCGTAGCAGCTGGTGTTGAAGTCGCGCAGCCAGTTGAGGCCCATTGGACTGCCTGTCGTGACGGGGTGGCTGATCTTCCACTTTCGACCTCCCTTTTTGCCCTCTTGGAAGGGCACAACGTAGTCTATGTACGCTTTTGCTGCGTCCTTGGCGCTGATGGTACTCCCGCCACTGCCCTTGGTGCCGTCTGGTTCGTTGAAACTGAGCAAATGCGTACTTGACTGGGGGGTGTCTTTGATGACTGCTTCAGTCCGCGAGTCCTGGGTAGCGTCGATGCCGTGGATCATAGGGACGAATTCCAGCTTGTCTGAAGCGATGAGGTTGGTATTTGGGTAGGGGGACCAGTTGTAGTACCATTTTAGCGGAGAGCCAGAGGAGGATAGAAGTTGATTGTCCGGGACGTGGGTGTCGCCTATGAATGCAAAGCCGCGTTTTGAGTCTTGGGCGAGAGTTACAGTTGCGAAAAGGGCGAACAGCGTTGTGTAGGATGATACTCGGCGCCTGTGGCGTGTGTGGCTGTGACTGTGGCTGTGCTGTTGGGACATGGTGATTCTGTTGCTGGCAATGTGTACCAGAAGTTCCTTGCTCTTCCTTGTGACTTCAAAAAACGATTGTTAACGACAGGATCCCGGTCTATACAGGACTACTTATCTGTCGACACATTTTGTGGCGAGGTACATGGCCATGCTGGGCTTGCGTCATGTTAGTGATCGAAACTTGGCAGGTCCCGAGCTAATATGCCAACAAGGCGGAAATGAGTGTCAAATACGAACGATATCAACGGAGTTGGCGCCCAAAAGGTACCCAAAGAACTGAACACGGTCTGAGGATCAGCGTTGTAACTAGTATACGATGCAGGTGGGGATTGAGGCTCCAATTCGTTCAGGGTTCGGCTAGATTTATTCAAGCTCAGCGGTTCCATCTCGGCCAATTTTATTTTCCAAGTTCGGAAAATACGTATCTAAGCACTGCGCAGTCGATGGAGTGAAAGTCGCTACCCCAATAGTACATCAACGACGCTCGTACACGCAAGCCTACAGAACGATGTGTAAGCGACGCCAAAGTTTAAATGTGCACGCAGATTTGTTTGGGAACAGGCCGTGGCCCTATTTGTTTTATCGACCAGACACCGGAGAAATCGAAGTCCCATATCATGCAATACATGACGAGTGTGAAAGACCCTATGATTCATCGCTCATTGACTCCTAGACCGTGCCCACGCCATGACCGTTTTCTTCCTTGAACGTCGCACTCTCTTCTACTCGTCTACTCGCTGGCAGTGATGGCCTTGCGGGCCTCACGGCCACGCTGCCTGGAGTTCAATCGGCGCTCGGCGGACTCGTTGGACTTCTTGACGACTTCGGCACCCTCAGCGAGGATGAGCTCGATGTGGGAGGGGTTCGACATGTAAGGGTTGATCTAGAAGGGATTAGAATCGACTAGGCGTGCGGAGTAGGTGTACATACACGACCGTGAGCACGGTAAGTGCGCCTTCGCTGCTTAGGAGCCTGGTTGACCTGGATGTGCTTGACGACCAAGATGCTGGTGTCGAGGCCCTTGGTGTCGGCGTTGGCCTCAGCGTTCTTGAGGAGTCCGAGAAGGATCTCGGCGGACTTGACAGGCCAGCGGGCCCTGGAGACGCCCATAGCCTTGCCTGCGGGAGTCAGCCGTTGTCCATCACAAATAGCTCCAGCTACGATGCCACGCGACAGCCCGAGAGAAATGCTCTCTTCCACTGCCTTCCATCGCGTGCATCCGTAGGTTTTCCTCTCATCAGGGTCACTCACCCTGCGCAGTGCGTCCAGTGCCACCGGCATACCGCCTCATGGGAACGGCCTCCTTGTGCTCCAAGACATTGCCGAGGTAGGTGAGAGCGCGCTCGAGTTTCCAGCCGTTGATGGCCTGCGCCGTCTCGCGCGTGTTCTTGAAGGAGACGCGGAGGTAGCTGCCGCGAGCGCGGGCAGACTTTGCGCCGTCGATGCTGGTCTCTCCGTAGCGAACCTGGAGAAAGTAATTAATTCCATGCTCATAACGGGTGCGGGTGCTCCGATTGAGCCTCTCGGGGGCGGCATCGACGTACCATTTTGTCGTGAGGTGCTGTTGGTGTTAGTGGAAGTCGACGGCGTTGTTCTCAGGGTAGAAGGCACGATGGAATTCCGACTGTGTGCGGGCTTCGGCAAAACTAGCGCGCCGGCCGGTTTTGATTGGGTGGGGCCCGTGACAGCGCTAAAGTTTTTTGCGAGCTGCAACTTCAACACCTCGAAGCTTTTGCTGCACCCATCGCTCTACCCGCCGACGATACTTTGTGCACGCTTGCCAGACTACGCAAAACGATAGCGCATAGTCTTCGTGCTCCCATCACCACCCAGACCTGCGAAGTATGCATTTTGCCCAAACTCTCGTGCAGCTCCAAGCTAACAGTGCAGCAGTACTTTTCGCAAGAGTAGACTTCGAGTTTATACCAGCTCAATAAGCAATGTCTTTCACTCCTAGGTACGATTCTCCACACAGCTCGCACACTCTTATTGCGATGCACATTGAACGCGCCAACAGCGCAGAATGTTGCGCATTTCAGAGAACGCTGCACAGATGCTTGAATTCGTCGCGATAGGATTTAGATCTCTCCGACCTCCGTACTATCAAGATTTATCATGGAACTTAACTAACGTGCATCCAGAGGACGTGGCGGATTCGGTGATCGCGGTGGCCGAGGAGGCGGTGACCGTGGTGGTCGCGGAGGCTTCACACCCCGTGGTGGACGAGGTGGTTTTGGCGACCGCGGTGGTCGTGGCGGCGGCCGCGGCGGCTTCGGTGATCGCGGTGGACGCGGCGGTGGCCGTGGTGCTCCCCGTGGAGGACGCGGTGGATTTGGTGACCGTGGAGGTCGCGGCGGAGGTCGCGGTGGCAGGGGAGGTGCTCGTGGTGGCGCGTACGTTCAATCCTCACATTGCCCTAGGATCAAGCCTAATTTTACAACAGCAAGGTTATCGTCGAGCCCCATCGTCACGCCGGTGTTTTTGTCGCCCGCGGAAAGGAGGATCTCCTCGTTACCAAGAACCTGACGCCCGGCGAGAGCGTTTACGGCGAGAAGCGCATCAGCATTGGCGCCTCCACGGCGCCCGCAGATGGTGATGATTCGACCCCCAGCAGCACCGAATACCGCGTCTGGAACCCCTTCCGTAGTAAATTGGCGGCTGGTATCCTCGGAGGTGTCGACAACATCTACATGGGCCCAGGAAGCAAGGTCCTCTACCTTGGTGCTGCGTCTGGTACCAGTGTGTCCCACGTTGCTGATATCGTTGGCCCCGAGGGCACTGTATTTGCTGTCGAGTTCTCTCACCGCTCTGGCCGTGATCTGATCAACATGGCTACCCACCGTACCAACGTCATCCCCATTGTCGAGGACGCCCGTCACCCGCTCAAGTACCGCATGTTGGTTGGCATGGTCGACTGCATCTTTGCCGATGTTGCTCAGCCTGATCAGGCCCGTATCGTCGGTCTCAATGGTAAGCTCACAATACTGAGCATTTGCATGTGTTCGACGCTAACTTTTTTATAGCCGGTCTCTTCTTGAAGGTCGGAGGAGGTATCGTCATCTCCATCAAGGCCAACTGCATTGACTCCACCGCCGCACCCGAAGCTGTTTTCGCACAGGAAGTTGCCAAGCTAAGAGAAATGGGTATCAAGCCCAAGGAGCAGCTGACGCTCGAGCCTTTCGAGCGTGACCACGCCATGGTTGTTGGTGTCTACGAACGTTCGCAATAGATGGGGCTGTTCCGATTTGACTTCTGATTTACGATGCATGGACGCGGTCATATACCTGTACTTCACACGGATTGGCGTTTCCGGCGCCTGGCAGGCTTTGGTATTCGTTTGGTAAAATATTTATGCATGTGATTATTCAACGTGCAACTCATTACTCTTCTACGCTTCGTTCCCATTCTTGAGCTCTACCGTTCCCACCGCAACAAGTAATTCCTCCACAACCCATGCCTTCCTCCATCAAGGGTGATCATTGAACCCCTCGATGAAGTCGCACCGCACAGAACTCAACACATTATCGAACTTGTAACGAGTCAAGTTCCGGATCCCAGGATAAGTGAATGGCAGCGCTTTGCCGCGGCATTCAGTCTCGCTACTAATTGTTAGCGCTCATCCATATGACTTGACAGTTGATAGAGGAAAGGGGGAAGGGAATAATGGAAAATAAGGCAGTAGGGGAAAGGATTGACGTACGAGTACAAAGTGCAGAATGTGCCCTTGTCCGGTCCTGCAGAAGACACCTTGTCGTTCCAGGTTTGGTCGAGGTTATCTGTTGTTCTCAGCGTTAGCGTTATGTACTTCTCTCAGGCGTCAATATCCATTATTCTCATCAATGTTCTGTCTATTTCCACTCGGTCTCTTGATCTCTCTGTTTCCTCTCCTGCTCTCTATTTTTGCACACTACTCCCCTTGATAATTTAGTTTAAGTAATTTTAAAAGCTTACGGCACGTAGATGTATCCAAATGCATATTGGTACATTGTCCTTTGAACGACGAGTCGACGCAAAGGTACAAATGCGTTACCGAGCTTGGTTCAGGCGCTGGGTCATCAGGAATGGGAGCCGGGACGGCGAAGGCAAAAGTAGCCAGGAAGAGGAGAGTGGCGAGCGGATACATGACTGCGATGTATGATAAAATCAATAGAGTAGGTAGAAGTAGAGATGAAGATGAAGACGGAAGGACAAAGTGGGATATGAAGCCGAGTTTGTAGAGGTTGTCGAATTAAGGGAGGAAGTTGGATGCGCATTCCTGGGGTTGTACTACCATGCTAATTTAATGTCACCTTCTCCTTCCTTATTCCCCATGTCCGTTTAATATGACGGTACGACTTCTGCGCTGTTGTCTAATCTCTTCACGTGCTAAGCTGTTCTTGGGGGCTTTTGTACCCTTACGGCTGCTTCGATTCACCGACCTCCTTTCGTCATATCGTGGTCTTGCTAGGTCGTCCACTGGAAGTAGATGCATAGTCTGAAGGCCATCATGTACAACGTGACAACGAAGTGATTTGGCGTAGTGTCCTCGTCCTCATACCTGATCATAGACGACTTCGCCGAACCAGACCAGCGTACCCCTGATCGTAGAAAGAAGGGGTCGTTCCGTCAGGGCTTTCTTAGCCCTTGCACATGCTAGGGATCTTTCTCCATAGCTGCTCCCCTGCGTCTGCTGCACTGCTGCAATCACCTGCTTGTCATGCCATGCTACATTGCCTGCGTCGTGTGTGATTCCCACAAGATGGGGAAACAAGTTATTGGTGGATATTCATCCCGGTAGGTATAGCCACGAAATGAGTGATCCGCTTCCCATGGTAGGTATGCTGAAGGTCCCCAGGCTCCCGTCTCCTGCATTATGGCAGTGGTGGAGTTCCATGCTACCTCTAGCCAACAGGGTATATTTTTCGTCCAGCGTCGTGCTAGTCTTGAACAGGTTTTTAATCTTATGCACGCAAACCATTTGATGTAGGCTGCTAACTTATCGCAGTTATACTTGAAGGACTAATAAGCTCTTTCTTCTAGTTTTTCTTTTGTCTTCTGGGAAGCCAACATTGTCCTGGGGATTATCGTTAGCAACTGGATTTGGTGCGTAAGTCAAGGCGGTCAAGTCATTAAAGCTGCCGTCTACTCCCTGTTCACCTCATCGTCTTCCGTCTGATTTAGGGTCAAACAATACGAGTTCGTGAAACGCTCGGCCTGAGATGTCTGGATCAGTAGTAGTCCCTCTATGGGGTTGAGTAAGCAAGTAGTTGGAGTAGGTAGCTCCTGCCGGAATAGGAACGGCGGACATGATTACAGGCACTGTACAGCATAGATACATACCAAATCCCAAACATCATGCGTGACTCTTGGCAAGTGACAACGGTTGAGTCCTTATCGCCTTTGCAATGTTTTGCACTACCGGAAGTGTCTAGGGCGTGACGTCAGACCAACGTGGGACTCGAGACAATATATCTGTAGCACGTATCAGTTCGCAACACCCCATGTCTACTGATCTGCCAAGATCTTCAACCGCAATCATGGCTCCAGTCGAGATACCATCAGTTCCCAAAAACATTATTATTTCCGGCGGCGCACGCGGCATCGGTCGAGCACTAACCCGGATGATGCTCGAAGCCGGGCACCACGCCTACATCTTCGACATTGACGAAGAAGAACTCGAGCACACAACCCAGGTACATCTGAAGAAGTACCATGACGAAGGAAAACTGGCGTCGGCAATATGCGACCTCCGCGATGTCGAAGAAATTCGTGCCAAAGTAATACAAGCCGCTAAATTCTTCGATGATCGCATCGACGTTCTGATCAACAATGGAGGCATTGCGAGTCCGCAATGGAAGGACGGAAAGACCATGGAAGACCTGGATACTATTTCGGAGTGGCGAGCGTATATCGACACGAATCTTACCGGCCCATTCGCCATGTCCCAGGCCTGCATTCCTTATATGAAGGCCCGCGCATCTGACGTTGAGCATGGTGCCCATATCACGAATACGAACAATTCGAGCCCTGCAGGCCCGTGTATCATCCACATTGGCTCCTTCCGCGCGCTCCAGTCAGACCCTAACCAAGAAGGATACGCATCAAGCAAGGCTGGTCAGTTGGGTCTGATGCACTCAATGGCGATCAGCCTGGGTTCGCTGGGCATTAGAGTGAATCTCATTGCGCCGGGACGGATCAAGGTTGCGCATGAAAGTAAGGACGGAGACGAGAAGGGTACGGATTGGGCGAGTCAGGTTAGTCAAAAGGATATAGACGACCACCCGACAAACCGGGCGGGTAGACCGGCAGACGTAGCAAACGCAGCCCTCTATCTCATTGAAGCGGGCTTCGTCACGGGAGAGGATATTACTGTGGATGGAGGCGCGTTGAAAAAGAAGAACTGAGAGTAGTCAGCTTCCATTGTTTGTTAGAGGTAGCCAAGAAATGTCGGACTCACTTTTCGCCGACTTCATTGACGCATCTCGAGAAAAAAGTGACGCACACATGGTACAGTCCATTCGACTCTCTTCAAGCGTCCGTTGCGCTGGTCAACTGTATATCACTGCCCTTCGTGTCATTCTTTTACGTCGTCAAATTGGCGTCCAAACGCACCACCACCGGGCGCATCACGACTTTGACCATCAATTATTCCCTCCTTAGGTCACGCCCGCCATTTGGCCTTCTTACAGCTCGTACCAACCGCGCTGCCTCTACTCTCCACTCTAATCGTGCGCATAAATCGAACCAGTATCGTCCTCACTGCTGCACCTTTGCGACTAGGCCACCCCGCAATTCGACCTGGCCCTCGCTAAAGCAAGTTTTATCAACACGTTTGAAAGCGAAGCCAGCCAAAGTCTATTTATACGAGCCTGCTCGACCAATACCTTCACCTGTGACAGGTGCGCCCATACGATATTACAAACCCGCTCAAAAAGAAGAAACTCTCGAAGAGGCGCAGAACCCTTCGAAAGCACGCCCCGCACCAACTCAATGCAGCCGCAGGCGCGCACCACTGCTCGAACCTCTCGTAGCCGGTAGCACCGCGCAATCGAAATCTCAGCATATAACTATCCAAAAGGCAAGCGGAAACATCATGGCGTCAAGTATAGAGATTATCACAACGCCAACGGCGGATACGCCAGGCACCACCCTTGTACTACGGACGGCAACCAAGCACTATGTCTTCGGCAGCTTGGCCGAGGGCACCCAGCGGGCTATGGCGCAGCAGGGAACACGGATGCTAAAGGCACAGGACTTCTTCTTGACAGGGAGGGCCGAGTGGAAGAACACTGGCGGGCTCATTGGGATGATGCTCACATTGGCCGATTCGAGCACGAGCTCGTATGACCAACTTTTGGAGAAGAACCGCACAGCTCAGAGTAAAGGTAAGAAAACTTCAGGACCGCCAAAACCACAATTCAGCATCTATGGGCCGCCGAATTTGAAGCACACAATCGGCGCATGTCGGAGATTTATTTTCAGGAAGGGCATACCCATCAATGCAACGGAATACGCCAACCAGTCGCCAGAGAGAGATGCAAATGGTGCCATCTCACCAACCTGGCAGGATGCGAATATCCAGGTATGGGCGCTGTCGGTCACGCCTGCAAACCAGAAAAAACTTGATGCACAAGCTGAAGCTGAACTGGAAGCACGGCGGAAGTACTTTGACACGCATCTGAACACGTTCGAAGACCATCAGGCCCCTGAGAACGAGAGCCTGGAAGATCGCGAGGCACGATATGATCGCATACGAACAGCCACTATCAAGTTCATGTTTGATTCAAATTGGAGTTTCGATACGTTTGTGGAACGACATATCTCGGACGTAGAAATGCCTACGATGATGTTCGTCCGCAATCCGGACACGCACCGCTATGAGCCATACCATGGTCCCAGCCCTGGAGGTCCAGATCCTCTCCCCGACATTAATGTATTCACTCGTACACCATGGCCCGGCGCAACTATCCTAGCTCTCCCGCCCACTACGCCGGCGCCAGAGTGTGTCTCATATATTGTGCGAGCCTTTCCAGTTCGGGGTGTATTTGATGTCGCACGCGCTAAAGCGCTCGGTGTCAGGCCGGGGCCGGACTTTGGAAAGCTGACTGCAGGCAAGTCTGTTCAGAACAAAGATGGCGAATGGATAACACCAGAGCAAGTTCTTGGAGCAGAAAAACCTGGTCAGGGCGTCGCCATTCTGGACGTTCCCTCAGTCGAGTACCTGCAGAGTATCGTTCAGCGAGAAGAGTTCAGTTCCCCGCAAGTCATGAGCGGCATTGGGGCTATTATCTGGATGCTTGGCCCTGGCGTTCATAGCCATCCGATTTTGACTGAGTTTATGAGTCGTATGGACAGCGTACAGCACGTCATATCCTCTATTGACGCATGCCCTGACCGTATCGCCAACGACTCAGTCGCCGCCCAGGCAACGCGCTTGGGGCAGATTGACCCTGCTAGATATTCGACGCCTGTACATGACAATAGCACGGTGCCCCAAAAAAGCTTATTTAGCGCTAGTTTGTCCGTGGCTCCAGTACTTCCGAAGGACGCCATTGTTGCTGACAGAGGTATGACATTCCTCCTGATGCCGAAATTTGTCACCAAGACAGAGTCCGCCTCCAGCTTTTTCAGTCCTGATGTCGTAAGAGACGACATGGCCCAAGAGGTTATTCAGTTAGCAGAGAAAGCGCAACAGACATTGCAAGATGATCACGCAACTATGCAGGCGTGGAAAGGACTCCTGGCCCGCCCAGACACAGAAGTCACTACCCTTGGAACAGGGTCGGCTTTGCCATCGAAGTACCGCAACGTATCTGCTACCCTGGTCCGGGTCCCCGGCGTAGGTAACTACCTCTTTGACTGTGGTGAGAATACGCTTGGACAGCTGGCAAGAGTGTTCCCCTTGGAAGAACTGGTCGATATCCTCAAGAACCTGCGCATGATCTGGATCAGCCATTTGCATGCAGACCATCACCTAGGCACTGCATCCGTCATTCGAGCCTGGTACCACATCAAGCACGGTGGTATTCCGAACTCACAGCCACTCGATCCTTCAGCATCAACTATCGACGCTGACACATACGGTCTTACCGTTATATCGCACAGTGGCATGCTACAATGGCTTTACGAGTATTCGTCGATCGAGGACTTTGGATACAGCCGTATTGTTCCTCTGCAAATCACGGCCAACGAACATCATAAGCGCTCAACATTGTCAAGATTGAACTATGAGAATGGAGATATTGTCGGTGCTACCATCCACAGACAGGAGTACGAAAGTCTAGCCGGGTTTTCCGACATCCAAGCTGCTAAGGTGGCACATTGTCATGGCGCTATGGCGGTCTCTGTCACGTTTCCGCATTCACCAGCTGATGGCAAGAACGTCAAGCCACTCAAAGTCAGCTACTCTGGCGACTGCAGACCAAGCTACCATTTCTCCAAAATCGGCCTAGACTCCACCGTCCTCATCCACGAAGCGACTTTTGATGATGAGCTACAAGGCGACGCGAGGGCGAAGAAGCATTCTACTACCTCGGAAGCACTGGGTATCGGTGCTCAAATGAACGCCAAAGCAGTTGTTCTTACGCATTTCAGCCAACGGTATCAGAAGATACCCGTGCTGCAGACAGTAATGGACGACGAGCAAGAAGACCCGTTCCTTGATCTCTCAAAGACCGCAGAGGAAGCGAATGATGATGAGGGAGAGGTCGATCCCACGACCGAGAACGCGGACAACATGGACATGCACCCTACTGTCGCTACCACCTCAAAGCCGCCGACGCTCCAACACGCCGCTTCCTCCCTTCACGAAAATGAGCGCGTCATCAAGATCCGCAACAAGGACATGAAAGTCGCCATTGCATTCGACTACATGCGCGTCAAGATTGGGGAGATCATCGAGCTAGAAAAGTTTAACGACGCACTGAACGAGCTGCTTACCAAGGATGAGGAACCAGATATGACTGCCGGAGTTGGAGATGTAGTAATCAATGCGAATGGGAAGAAGATGAGCGGAGATGAGGCTGGTGGAGGCTTGAAGAAGCAGAAGAAGGCAGAGTCGAAGAGGAATAATTGAGTGACCTTGGCAGTAAGGGCCAAAGGCCGCATTAATACTCTCGAGGCTCTTTCTGTAGTCTTGCATAGCATCTGCAGTTCCTTGTGGTGTAATGAAAATGCACTTTAGCCATGATCCAACTTGAAGAATAGAAATGTATACATACTACCAAGCCCTCTTCAATCGGGAGCCTGTAGCGAAATCTAGGTTCTCATGCCCTGTTGCGCAGAATCTAATGCCGGCTATGATGCGCTCTCCTTTCTTCGTGCCTGTATCCTACACTTCACAAAATGCCCACGCATTCCTCCTTCACTCTCTCCATACCAAATCTAGACAGCTTAGACCGCAGCATAGCCTCCTCTACTCCCACCGCCCTGCACGGTACCCAATATCTTCCTTGCGAAGTCCTTTGCAATGTATGGGATATCGCGAATCGTATCGCCGTGGGGCAGCAGATCCCAGCCGCGAGCGCCATAGCGATTGTAGTTGAGCCAGGAGCCAAAGATGAGGTACGAGGCTATGGCGAGGAAGAAGCTAAATATTGTCAGAGCAGAGCAGAAAGGTTTGGGAGGGGGATGTAAGCTCACATGATGAAGAACCACCCAAAGAAGCCCCAATGCGATCCTCCATCTGGCGTAGGCGCATCCTCACACGCATGTTGTGTTCGCCACTCCAGTCTCAGCGTCTTAACTTTCTTATCCTTGTCCGCAGTCTCCAGCTGGTATCCACAGAAGCGTAAACTTCGGTCGCTGTCTTCACACTGGCCCTTGCCTTCATTCTCCCTCCTCCTCAGCTTCTCCTCTTTCTTCTCATCCCCATCCTTTTTGCCGTCTTTATCGCCATCCTTGGGCTTGTCTTCATTGTCCCCCTTATCCTTCTCATCGCCCTCAAGTCCCGTCCTCTCCTTATCACACACAAATTCAATGATGGCCCGCTGATCTATGCCATTCTTCTTATCATCAAACGGAGATCGGCCACCATGGAACTCGGCCCTCAGCCCTTCCCTCCCTGCATCTGAGTTGCTCTTCGAATTCCGCAGCAACTCAAATTTCGCCTCAAGCTCGCGACCCGTCTGCGTTTTATACGTTCCAGCGATATCAATCGGGGTAATAGTGGAGTTGTTGTCCATCGACAAGTCGATGTTTTCCCGAATAGCGCAGACTCTTGAGCCTTGGTGGCATTCGGTTGCTGCACTTCCACCTTTCTGCCATTTCAAAGAGTTGCAGATATCGAGGGTGAAGTTGTATTTGTAGAGCATCTCGTGCTCTATGTCTTCTTCTTGCCAGTGCACTACGTGCGGGCCGCCTAGCTTCTCAAAATGGAACTGCACCTTCTGCGCTACGATGTCCTTGCAATCGAATCCCCATGCGAAGTGTGAGAGAAGTGATGATACAGCGAGGAGAGGGACGAGCGACGCCCGCGATCGTGAGCGTCCCATGGCGGCGGATGTGTCGAGTGAGGCGGAGAGGCGGGTTGAAAGCTAGGGTTGCCACTAGTGAATGGGATGCAGCCTTTCAGGTTCAGGATGGCACGAGTGCGGTCCAGTGGTAGCAAGATGTCGCGTGGACTTCCGTGGAAGCGTGTAAGTTGGTCGCCCATGACGCCGTCCAAGCCTTCGCTTAGTCAGGCGGAGCGACGCGGAGTTATGACCCATACAGCAGCTGCGACCTCACATCCTCGCAATGAACCTATGATAGACTCCTACCACGGCAGCGAGAGTACGCGAATATCTTCACGAATACTTCTAATTTCTGTTAGCTTCTAGTTGCCTCACGTGCGAAAGCTATTGTTCTCTGGCGCCGGCGCGCCTCACCACGGCAACTCTTCGGACAAGCTCCCTCAACGCAGAGTCAGCGCATATGAAGCATTTTAACGCTCCATCTAGCAATAACCCTTTTCAATGACACACCATATACTCTTATTGTTTGTGGCTTTATATCTTTTCGTCCACTTCAACGGGCCGACCGGACACGAGTCAATCACGCGTAGCTAAAAATAGACGTAGAAATGGACTGATTCACCCAAACCCAGTATTTTGTTCTATTCGCTAACGTCTATCTAACCTTGTCTAATTCTAGTACGAACGCCATACCCCACCTCTAAGAGAACGCCAAAACAACAAGCAATGTAGGTTTTGCAGAAATAGAAGCTTCTGATGAAATCAGGCATAAGATAAGCGAAAACGAGCGACTAAGGTCCAACATTACCTCGTGCCGAGCCGTGTCCATCACGCGGTGAACAGTCAGCTAGCCTAGACTATGCGTGACTAGCAGGTGTGATCAGGGACATGGGGAGAAGAGAACCAAGAAAACAAGTGCAATCCAGACCGACAAACACCCTACCCGATGCCGTAAATGCAAGGTTGACCAAAGAAGGAATTGATAACCGCACATTCAAACGCAAAACCCACCAACCATGTAAATGCATACCAAGGCGTAAAGCGACCGACAATGCAGAAAGAAGAAAAGACTGCTCCAAAACCCAAGACCTGATTCGAAAGCGAGCGTAATATCGTTACCTGTAGGAGACAGGAGAGAGAGAGAATAGGTGTTTCAACGCCAGAAAATGCAATGCATACCATCCATGCAATAGTGTGTCGGCCATGAAGAGAAATCTAGGGGACGTGCAGAAAATCCAGAAAGGGTGATCAAAAGAAGAGTCATGCCTTCCACCTCGCCGTTTAGTATGCGTTTTGGAGTGAGAATCGATGAACGCCACCTTCGTAATACAGCTGATATAAGAAATGTGGCAACTGCCTATTTGCTCTGACCGCCACTCTGCTGCTGACCCGACCCGCGCGCATTGGCTGGCATCGGGTACGGGAACGGCGCATAGGGGAGCTGGTAGGATGGATTGCTGGATCCAGAGCTAGCACCAGCAGTAGAGGTGTTGCCTGGGGAGGAAGATGAGGATGACATGGTCGTGGCTGTTGTTGTTCTAGATTCGACTTCTGGTTGTGAAGACGAACGCCTGGGTTGTTCGTAGGGAGTTGAGGAGCGGTGACTTCGTGGAGGCTGCGAGGTCGAGTCGCGGTGCCGGTGACCTAGAGAACGGCCTTGTCGTATTGTTGACTCTGGACTTGGAGCACGTGAAGACGGGGAACCAGTGATGATTATCACAGGCGTTGAGATTGGTTGTTCAGCGGGAGCTTGAGGGGTTTCCGTAAAGTCCTGAGGAGTTGCAGAAGATTCGGTGGGTTGTCTGACTTCTGGTGTAGCGTGGCTGCTAGGAAGCTTTGGGGAGTTTGATGGGCTGGAGGTTTTTGAATGACGGTTGCTCATACACGAGATACCGAGAGGCTGATGTTTCTAGTTCAACTCTAGTAGGTCAGAAGAGTCTGGTGATGATGTCGGTTCCTGTCAGGTCGATGTTCCAAGAGTTAGTTGGAGAGATAAAGAAGAGATGATTTGGATTGTTGGTTTTGGTGATGATATCAGGAACTGAGTCCCACCAGGTCTTATATCTTCGAAGACGTCCCAGCGGCCCCCGACCGTCAAGCCTCGATGTCCCCGATCCAAGACTACCAAGGGTTGCTAATAGAAGCGTGGAGTCTGAATAGAGGAATTGTCGATGTTCTAAGCTGGTCCAGGATCGCATAATCGTGATATGATGGCTTGGTCCGCACGCCCTGGGAGGTCAGAGCGTTCTTCTTCTTCTAGAAGGTAGATCCAAGCGTCATGAAGGTCGTTGCTACAACGAATAGTATTTGTTGGTGAGACGGTGTCCGGTCAGTGGGTGACGGTGAGACCGTAGAGGGTCCGGTAGCCGGGTTCAAGGTGTGCGGAAAGAACCTTTTTTAGACTTGTGGCGTCCGGCCCACGTTCTGCTCCAAGAGATCCGAACGCACGGGTAGAGTATGCGGCGGGATGCTGTAGGGCTGTTGCTGTCGTCAGATGCTTATTCTGAGCCGCATGCACGATGACCAGTATGGGGTCTCTTGAACGACGGATTGGCCAAACGACGCGCCAATTTCGTCTTATCCGTCACGGGAGGAATGCGGTACTCTGCGGGCTGATACAGCTCTTTTCGTACAGTCGAGGGCCGTGACAGACTTCCCGTTGTCCATAATATATATCCTCCATCCTACTTCTGGTTTGTTCTCGCTTGCCATCGTAGTGGAAAGAATGTTGATTTCCTACACTGTGGTAAGCATGTCAAATACATGAGCAAGAAACGGCAACACCCGTATATTCGACGCGGAATGTATTCGCGACTAGTGGCGCCCAGGCGTTCTCCTCTATCGTGAAGTTGAGCGTGCATCTCGTTAACTACGTCCGAGCTTAGTGTAATCAACTAAAACGTTCTATTGAGGGAAACTGCTGGCGCAAATCGGGATCCCACCGAGAATCCATCTATTGGACAAAAGTGTAGCATTTGCAATGACCACGTAGCGTGTGAGAGCGAATCAGACCACCAATAGTCGCTAATATTAGTTGTCTTAACACGAGGTGTAGTCACGGCCAGAGCGCGTTACTCATCAGCGCTCGCCAAAGTTCCGCCTTGGCCTTCCTTGCAGCCGCTCCGTTATAATACTGCAAACCATCTATTAGGTATGCTATGAAGTCATCGCTAACACACAAAAAGGCGGGTACCGATTTAGATGTCCAATAGAATGCAGTACAGTATCTAGCGTCGAAGTCGGAGAGTTTGTCAGCTGTCGCAATTGTCAGTGTCCTCGCTTAGTGACTGATCCGACCAGGGTATTTTCTTGTATGGATTACCCAGGTAATCGCTTCTCCAGAAGATTGCCTAATCCAAGGATACATTGCTGAAGTTACTCGAAAAGTTACTGGAATCTCACATCGTGCAATACGGGACAGCCGACGGGGAGAGCCTCCCGGACGTAGTCGTATAAGCCTGCCGATGACGTCGTCATCTATACAAAATCTAACCCTCGCTTTAGCGCGTGGTAGTGTTCATGCTTAATCCCATTGTGGTTGTTAGTAAATTCGAACGCGGATAGATCAAACCGTCGAATAAGAGTGGGGTCTAGAGCGGCAGAAGAAAGTACCCAAATGAGCCCTTTGAGAAGAAATTAATACTAATTAACGGACTTTGCGTCCACCCACCCTGACAGACCGGCTTACGATGCTTACACAACCTGTTGTAAAGCATCTTTGGCTAGTCAATGGTGATCTCGGCGATACTTTGGCTTATCAGATATGTTCAGTGGCTTATTTGATGGTGCAAAATCGACCGCGATGCGGAACCAACGTTATAGTTCACGTTAAACAACAAAATTAGCAATCACTGCAGGCGGGGAAAGTATACGCAACGATTGAAAAGAGAGGATGCCCCCAAACGCTCCGAGTAACCTCGAGTAGAGCGTCCATCACTTCCAACATAACATTCCTCACACCCCGCCCTGTGAAGATGGCTACCAAATATCGCGCTGCGTTGATGCTCGGCCCGGGTAAGCAGTTGGAGGTGACATCTATTGAAGCTGCTCAGCCGGGACTCGGAGAGGTCCGCATCAAGAATTTTGCAGTCGCTCTCCAACCTCTGGACACGAAGATGCTCATTGCCGGTTACGGTACTGCCACGCAGTTCAAGTATCCGGCTGTCCTCGGCACCAGTGGTGCAGGTACAATCGACGCCTTGGGCCAAGATGTTACTGGGCTCAAGGTGGGCGACAGAGTAGTTTTCGACACGAAGGCTTATGTCCAGGTCGATCAGAACCGCCGGATGGGCACTTGGCAGCAACTGGTCATCTGCGATGCTAAAACTGTGGCAAAGGTATGCCTCTGTCAAACCATCGATGCAACATGGAGGACTGGCTAACATACGTAAAGATTGGTGATGTGGCTTTTGAACAAGCTGTCTTGGTAGACTTTCCGTTGCAGACAGCAGTCGCAGCACTTCACGTCTTCCTCGGGATGGGAAAGCTAAATAGCGGCAAAGAAGACGGAAAGGTTCTGATTTGGGGCGCTGGAGGAGCTGTTGGCTCATATGCAGTGCAATATGCGAAACAGGTACAATTATACGACTCTACTCTCAATCATGATTAGAACGTCCAGGATTAACACTCACCAGGTTGGACATGAGGTCGTCGTTACAGCCTCGCCCAGAGATATCGACCGTCAGAAGAGGCTTGGAGCATCTGAGGTAGTCGATTATAAAGCGACTGATGTCGTTGAACAACTTCGCACCCTCGGACCGTACAAGTACCTCTTCACAGCTAGCGGTGATCAAGCCTCGCAGAAGGCGTTGGTAAGCTTACTCGCGCCGAAAGGGGGCAAATTTGCCAGCGTGTTGCCAGCTGCTGTGGAGCTGCCTTCAAATGTGGAGATAATTTACACGGCCTTCTCCCAAGCTGCGCAAAAGGATGAATATAGTGACTGGAGAGACTGGTGGTATCAAGACTACCTGCCCGAGGTGCTCGCAAAGGGTAGTCTGGAACCCTCGAAGTTCACCAAGGTCGAGGGCGGTCTCTCGGCCTTGCAGCAAGCAAGCCAAGATGTCTTCGACGGAAAATTTAGAGGCAAGGTTGTGGTTGATCCCCAGGAGTGAGTTCAGCGGAGTTCGCTTCATAATTCCCAAGAAAGAAGTATAGTAGGCATGGATTTTAGCTTACGTATTCTTGAACGGTTAATGAGACGAAAAGGACCCCCAGTTCTCTCACTAAATCCATGTATTGCAACGTCACTTCTCGGCCGCTGCAAGCTGCAAGCTGGAGGTGACCGTCAGCGTTGTTCTCAGGTAGGAGATGGCGAACGCCACCGCCTCTCGATGAAAGAGGCAAGCTGCACGAACAAACGTCTGACGTAAGTCGTAATGCCCATTGTGAGAGTCTGCTGATGCGAAATTTGGAGCACCAGAGGCAAGCCAGAGGCGACGACGATTGCTGATGATCGTAATGCGGTGAGCAAAGTTGAGCTTGGTAATCAGCAGCTTCTCCGACGCGAGTTGACTCAGACATGACGCGAAGATCGCGTCTACACGTAGTCACGGGAGAAGACGATGTGCGTCGCAGATAATGTCGAATACCGCTCTCCGGCACGAAAACTTTTCTAATACAGAGCATCATGTAGCTGAGGATTCTTACCTAAAGTAAAGTCGAGGCTAGTCTTTGTGCCATTGCGATCGCGTTCGACGGTCAGATTCCCGATTACTGACGTATGAGATAGAGCAGTGAAGGTAGATGGTGTGACGCAAGAACAGCTCTGATAGCCTGAGACCCTCCCTCTTAATTCTCGTCAACGTCAACAACCCAATACTCAGCTCGAACGATTTGTCAACAACCATCAACATTTCTGCCAAGTTATTAGATATTGTGATTGGAGGCCACAAGGCCAACCTCCTCAGCACCTCAAATTCCCACATCCCACGACTTGTTCTCCATGCATGCCTGCACTAACCTTTCAGACATCTCTGAAGACTCCTGGCAGCACTCCCGCGAGGCCCTCTAAAGTCGCGACCGGCGAAGGAGGAAGTTGAGTCCGCGTTCAAGAATAGTGGAGAGAACGACCCAAATAGCGTTTCCGGTGGTCTCAAGCGCGATAGAGCGCTCGACAACGTGTATATGTTCAACCAAACCAGATATCTGGCCATGGACACCCGGGGGCAATTCGATGGCATGGAATGCGTTTGCTAGTAGGAGTGATTCCGTTGCCTTTAAAGTCGTGTTTCTTAGACGGTATTGGCTTTATGCGTGTTAGTGCGCTGCCTGTTAAATGCGAATGTGTGGTCATTCTAGTTTGAGTCGAATGCAAGCTCCTGCAGTCTTTTTCGTAGATGTCATTCTAACCGAGTGTCCTCTCTGTGCAAATCTCAGGACAATCAGTCTCATGCACTTGGTGCTTTCTCCTTCTCCAACAAGCCCATGACGACCTCTACGACCCTTCGAAACCCCTCCATCTCTTCCTCAACCGTCCCTCCCATACCCGCACTTGCAAAGCTTGTCGAATTGCCCACATATACTGGTTTTCCCGCCTTGCGCGCGAGTACCTTCGATAAGCGGGTCGTAAAGTCGAGCGTTCCGCCGTGCGTATAGAGGGGGGTGCTCAAGGTCTCATTTGGTGAAGCTCTCTACACAGCAATGTCAGCTCAATCTAGAAATCTCGCGTAGGATATAGTCCTTACATTTGGCATAGCATACACGAAAGAGCCCAGCGGTGCGGAAGAAGCCGAGTCGGGCGTGGCGGTGGTGAGGAAGAGTACCAGGTTCGGGCCGTTGTTGGTAAGCTGGAGATGGATGTTCGTATGCGGTGCCTTTGGTAGCGGGAAGGAGACTTCGATAGGCGCGTGCGACGCGTCGCCGTTTGTCATTGTAGCAGCCATTGCGTGGGATTCAGTGTCTGTTCTGTTAGATGCTGATGTTAGGGAAGCATGGTGGGGCAAGTTCGCGAAGCTTAGTCGGCCTTATTTCGGAGATCAGACACCATCAACCTCATACTGTTGCAACCTTCCAAAATTCTTCTCCATAACAATTTGGAGATTTATAGCAGCCAAGAAAAACACCGAATCTCGGGTTACATCTCGACGTCTGGCTTTCCTGGCTGTAGACCATCACAGTGAAAGAGCAAGGGAGACTCAGCCAGACGACTACGACGTTCATATGGACGAAACCGCGAAAGAGTGGGAAGGTGATTTTGATCCAATGGCGGATCCCGAGGAGCAGAAACACCTTCTGTCGGTCTTAGACTCCTTCCGGTGAGCTTACACGTGCTTCTGTCACCCTGGGCCAGGTACTGACCTACCAGTTCATATCGCCGCCTAGCGCACTTCAATGGGACCCATGTTCGTCGACAGGCGTTCTATTCACTACCCCAAGAGCACTGGATGCTTCTCTCGAAGCCGCCGTTCTCCATACTTGACACATTTTCCAACCTCGACGACCTCATCGATAGCAATGCTGAGTTGGCTGAAGCTATTTTCATAGCCGGCTTCAAGGCTTTCCTGGCGCCTACGGTCGATAGCGAATGGGTAGCTTCTATTGTCCCCGAGAAGTATACCCATAACGAGTATCATATCTACTCGACTGTGATGGACCACTTGAAAGTTCAAACCTCACAGACCGACATGGAGAAAGCGCGGAGTTGTGTGAATCAATTTTACCGTGAGTGGAGTGCCGAGGGGGTTGTCGAGCGATCGAAGTGCTTTGATCCTGTTGTAGCAGCTTTAGAGGACGAGTACCGTTCGCGGACAAAACTAGCCCCTAATCTGGACAGATCTGAACTCAAGGTCTTGGTCCCAGGGGCAGGCCTCGGGCGTCTGGTCTATGACGTTTGTCGTGCCGGATTCAGTGTTGAAGGGAACGAAATCTCATACCATCAGCTCATGGCCAGCGCACTTATACTAAATCACACACAAAATGTCGGGCAGTTCAAGATTGCACCCTTTGCTCTCAGCTGTTCAAATCACATCAGCCGCTCCGACCAGTTTCAGACATTCCAAGTCCCAGATGTTCACCCCGGCTCTGCGCTCTCCAGTGTAGGGAAGTCGAAAATACCGGGTCACGAACGTATGAGCATGTCAACCGGCGATTTCTGCGTTCTTTACAGTCAAGCTGAGTACAGCGAAGTGTTTGACGCCGTAGCAACAGTCTTCTTTGTTGATACAGCGCCAAACATCATTCGATACATCGAATCCGTACGCAATTGTCTCAAGCCGGGCGGGATATGGATCAACCTTGGACCCCTACTCTGGCATCATACATCACGCAAAGAAAGTGAAAGTGACGATAGTGAGGAAAAGGACCTGAAAAGAGCCAAGGTAGCTGATGCAGGGATTGGTGACCCAGGCTCAGTCGAGCTGACGAATGAAGAGGTACTGGCGCTTGTGCAACACTTCGGTTTCACGATGGAGGAGCAGGAGTGTAAGACCTACGAGACAGGTTATATCTCTAACCCACGCAGCATGCTTCAGAATACTTACCGACCGTCGTTCTGGATAGCGAGAAAGAAGTGACAACAGAGCAGCTATTTCCAGAAATATTTCAATATTACAAAGCTCTTTGATCAATGACCGCTGTTTGCTGCCTCTGATCATGCTACCCAATCAGATTGGGATGCAAACAAACCAGGAAACAGAAACGTTTTAAATTGTTCTGCACGTGTACACAGCGGGATTCGATGAATTCGCTTTTCGACCAGTCGGCTTTCAGAGAGCGAGCACAATGTGAGAACCACGAGAAGTCATGTCCATATTCATTGCACGGCGACCATGCCATAACTGAGAAACGCCTGCAAGTCTCATTCTGTAGTTGGATACTGCAATGGATGATCAAGGCTTTCATGTCCTTGTTGCCGAGCAGGATTATGGTCTACACAACAGAGTCTCATATATCACAAAATAGTACCTGAATCTCCACCCGCATTCAAGTATATCAAGGCAATCACAGGTACCACAAAGTATGAGTCGACATTCCTAGGAATCTTTAAAGATCTCGTCGAGATGTTTCAACGACGCGAAGCATCCTCATATGATCGACTGTCGAATGGCAGGACTTTGCGCCATGTAGGCAATCCCAATGATATCCTTACTAATTGGTTTTACCGAGCTCCAACACATTAGTGACCTTGTCAGCGCACTCAAATTCGCAGTGTGGTTTGAAAGTAACTATCAAGGCCGAACCGAGATCGTAAATCTTGTTCCAACTGCTGTGGTTGAGCAAAGACATCTAGTAAATGAGCTGGCATACACGCTCCTTATCTCCATTAGGAAAAATCAGTTTGCGGCTTACGATCCGAGGTTGCTAGATACACTTACAAGAAGAAACAGACGAGGAATACTATACCGAGAGAATTCGCGAGGAGCAACGAGAAGATGGGGAAGATCAACGAGGGCCATCAAGACGCCCATTCAACCGAACGGACCCCAGCATCGATTATGTGAAAACCGGTTGCTTGCTTTCACACCGGACGCGCAATACCTAATGGCGCCCCTGAGCTAGAGGCATCATAAGCTACCGAGGTATCACCCTGGCCCTACTTCACGGAAAAGTCGAGCTATCCTTGCATATCATCTGAGTTCGGTCGTAGCGCACTAGGATCGGGAACAAAAGCGGTAGTGAGAGTCGTTGTGAGGCGTACATTCATCCGGAAAGAGAACACAGATCCCTGCTTCACCTCGGTTGTTTCCCGCGTTTCACAGGGATTTTCACGAAGCGAGCATTTTGACAGGAGCATCATTGGATTGGTAGACTGCGCAGGATGCTGGAGTGTTTCCACCTGCAAATGGTTGGTCGAGGCAGGCTCATCACAACGTTTTTAGATCAACTTACGAACCCTAGCACTTGGTTACTCCCTGTTTCCCCATTACTTTTTAGATTACGTTTTGAACCTACTACGGTGGGGCTACCATTTATGATGCCGAAGCTGCTGAAGAATGATGCTGTCCCTCGGCGTCGTGAACATATAAACATGTAAACATCAAACCCTCCTCGAAAGCTACCGACTTTCATCAATCGCTCCATTCTACTCAAGATGCATATCTCCACTTCGTTCGTTTTTGGCGTAGCTGCCTTCTCTGCGGCCGTCAACGCGGTGCTCACCCGCGTCAATGACTTCGGATCGAATCCGACGAACCTTCAGATGAACATCAATGTCCCAGCAAAATTGGCCGATAAACCTGCTATCATTCTGGCCGTATGTTACCACATTGTAGCAAAGAGTTAATAGCGTCATTGATAAATAGTAGTTGCACCTCTGCGCCGGTACAGGCGAATTGTACGCCCTATTGACAAAGTACAACGCCCTCTCAGAAGAGAAAGGATTCATCACTATCTTCCCTTCCTCCAAGAAAGACCTCAATTGCTGGGAAGTCAACACCGCAAAGGGCCTCTCGCGCGATGCAGGCGGCGATAACCAAGGCCTCGTCAACATGATCAAGTACACCATCCAGAAGTACAACGCCGACCCGACTAAAGTCTTCGTTACGGGAAGCAGCTCAGGCTGCATGATGACCAACGTCCTTATGGCCACCTACCCCGATGTCTTCGCCGCAAGCACATGCTACTCCGGCGTAGCAGCAGGCTGTCTTGCAGGTAGCCCCGGCGCCAGTCCCATAAGCTCAGACCCCAGATGCGCCAATGGTCAAATTATCAAAACACAGGCGGAGTGGGTAGCACAAGCTAAAGCTATGTATCCTGGTTACAACGGCCCTTACCCACGTATGCTGACGTGGCACGGTACTGCGGACTTGCTTGTCAAACCACCGAACCTAGGCGAGCAGTTGAAGCAGTGGTCAGGCATGCATGGCGTGGAGTTCAGCAAGAATGTTACGAATACCCCTCAGAGTGGGTATACGCAGATTGTTTATGGAGACGGGTCCAAGCTTATGGGGTATATTGCGGAAGGGGTCGGACATACGGTGCCTGTGCATGAGGCAGAAGATTTGAAATGGTTTGGGCTTTGAGCTACTATGTTGTTTACCTCCACGGTTATTATGAGATTTGTCTTGGGGATGTATATGCTTTGTTGTATGTATATAGCTCTGCATGTTTTACGTCATGCAAAGTCAAATAGGCTGTATCACCGCTACGTCCACTCATCTCGACGATCAAAACATGATCTTGCTATTGTAGCCATTCCGAACCAAGTTTTCGAATGCTAGCATTTTCACGCATGAAGATATCTCGCTCGATCTGGTGCCCAATTCCCTTTCAGTGAAGATCATGTCATATATTCTTAGATGAACTGGTAATGGCTCTAGCGTACCTCGCCTTATCGACTTTGTTTGTCATTTGGTATCATGCAAATCATTAGGTCTGATTCTCGAACATGTCAAAGTAGATAACGATGTAGCAGCAACACTGGGAAATAGCCTGAACGTAACAACGAACACATCCTAGGCTGGCCGCTTTCGGCGGAGGGGATGTATAATGACTGGCATACTCAATCCACCTCGTCTCCTGTATCTTCGTGTACTTCCTCAGCGAATGTCGTTTCTTGCTGCTGAGGTTGATTTTGAACTTCCATAGCAATGGTCATATCTCTTCTACCATCTCCGTACATGGCTTCGTCTTCTATCTGCATCTGTAAGAGGATCGCTTCCATCCTGGGCGACATGACCTCGTTGATAAAGGCCTGGAGACCATCTTGAAAGCGATCATACTGTGCGTCAAGTTCTGGCACCAATTATTCAAGAAGGTTGAGAAGAAATGAATCTTCTTCTTGAATCCGCCTAGTCTTTTTGTCAGAATATCGAGGGGTTGGTGACAAAGCTGGGTCCGGCTCGTCGGTATGTTCAATGCGTTCGATGGTGCAGCATGTATGCCGTATCTCTAATCCAGAGAACACAAGGAGACGTATAAACTCAGTCACAATCCACTTGTGTCCTGGAGATTCTATCGCTTTCTCAACACACCAAATCATGGCATCACGCCTCGTAAAACTGTCTCGCATTGGCGGGATGACAAAGCCTTTAAATCGAGATTGATGATGATACTGGGATCGCTGGTGCTGGAGATCTTTCCAGAAGTTATGTAGAAATCCGCAACCCGACGTGCTGCATCTACAGGCGCAGTCGTCCAGGCAGGTGTCGGCGAAGAAAGTAGAGACCCCCGATGATCTAAAGCTGTTGTTGTGTGCCAAGTATCTCGTCATGCAGCCCGAGGTCCACCCAATACAATGAATTGCAGCCATCTTGGATCCCGGCCATTGCTCGTAAACGCTAGCACCTTTCGATAAGAACCATTGAAGGGTGGCTATCAGCTCAGTCAGCCCTGCCCAGTTCGCTTGTGTGCTTAGAAAAAGTAGAGGCGATATCGAGCTTTGGCATGCGCACGTAAAGTCGCTCGCTGTGATATCTTGAAAGCCAGCATTGAACAAAGTATCGAGGGTATGTTGGCGGGGAAAGGACACTTCGAAATTCCAATAGTAGATACTTTTGCGCGATGGCCTAAGCGAAGGATGCACGTCAACGCCCTGTTGGGTCAGATAATATAGCACACAGCTCGCATGAGCATCCAGTAGCTTGCCCTCTCTTCCTAGACACGGGCGACAATCGAGGTGAGTAATTGCAAGTTGCTGCAACCCATTTCTTTGTTCAATCATAGATGCTAGGATCATGGAGCTGATATCCGAGCTCTTATGGAAGTACGATGAAAACTCGCAGGCTGTTTCAAAGGCATACTCGAGATCATCTCCTACGTGTTCAATCTCGTCTTCTCTTACCAATTGCCTTGCATCTAGCCAGAACTTGATAATCTTTGGTTCAGGAGAGTCGATGGCGCTTTCCAGGAGTGTTGTGTTAGTGGTTCCTGAGCCTTGTTCGAAAGCATTTGGAAGTATCCTCAACCCGCTCTAGAGAAGAATTCTGCAACCATTCTCCCAACCTTTGTTAGTTGCTAATATGAACAAAGCCAAGTTTGCGTCTGAAACCATAAATCCGTCCACACAGTCTCTTTCGATTACTTTGCGGAGGCCTTCCTCTGACCTCAGTAGCACCATCTCTATTCCTTCGGTAGAGCAAATCACAGGGTCAGGAAATGTTTGATACTCGTTCAGCGCCCAGAACAGAAAAAAGTCGGTATAGTTTTCGTAATGAATCTGAAAGGAAAGTTGAGATCCATGTTCAAGCAGTTTTGCAGCAAGAAGGGTCCAGCCAGTGTGGTTCATCGACCTTCCGTCGTCAAGAAGATGATCTGCACAGGTGCTAATAACAGTTAGTATTTGAGTGCCCATTCTCGAGGCATGACTAACTATCCGTTATTATCACTTTCTTGTATCTCTGCTGAGAAGTGTTGCAGAAGCCGCAAAATCAAGGATTGAATCTGTGATCTCCACCGCTCACTCATACGTGGGATCTTGCTGCAGATATACTGGCTTATCTTTAGCTACACTCTTCGGGGCTAGAAAAGCTCATTTCAACACTTACATGGAGTAGAGTCATCCCGTTCGACAGGCGATCGTGCGGGGAAGCCTTTCTAGCTTGGAACAAGTCAAGCAGACCCTGCGCGGCCATTTCCCGAATCATTGGGTTAAAAGTCCCATCAAAGCTCGTTATCTCCTTTACAAAGCTGAATGCAGGAGAGTTTTCAGGGACTATGCGATAACATACCAGGCTTAGCCGAAGTGAGAAGTACCCTGCTTGGTGCGAAAGGGCTGCCGAAATATGTACACCCATTCCCAGAAAACGGCTCCCTACTGAAATGCCCAAGTATACATTAGTAACTCCTTGCTCTGTGATCGCTAATGGACAATTCTCTTCATGTATCAGCTTTCGTGTTCGGGATAAGATATTGGCCACTGTAAGTAGTTGCTCTCTTCGAGTCGGCCTCGGCATTGGCAACGCCTAGAGTTCGTTACCAGATCTCTGGTTTGTCGTAGGGCAGGCCATCGGACCTGGGAAGGAATGTATGCGGATTTTGAGCTCTGACCGAAGACTCTACTAGGTGAGATGGTCGATATTGCTTCCTGAAAGACATGAATAAAGGAAGTAGGTTATGCACGGGATACATACTACATGGTCAAGCTCATCCAAACACTGTGGCATCATTCTAGGCTGTGGTGAGTCGTAGGCAAGGTAATTTACACCGCCACGAAGATGGTTCACACCCAACCTTAAGGAGTCAAAATGCCGATGGGTGGTCAAGAAACAAGTTTGTATCATCTGGGTTTGGAAAGCAAGCTGGAGGCTGATGTGATCGAAGGTGCTCTGTTGTTTATCAAGGATCGACTGGCTCATGGACTGGCTCGCGCGGGATCCCTGACTAATTTGCGCGTGCATACGGTCAAAGTTCAAGCGTTGTTGATCCCTTCAAATTCTAACGAACCTTCTGATATATTCTCTCTCTCAGCTGAAGTGCATGAAGAGCAACCTGCCAAGTTTGCAGTATGTCACTCACCATACCTCTCAGGTATAGTACATCTGATTCCTTAAAGAGGAAGATAAGTCTCGTTGCTAACCTTCCCATGCCGATGCGAAGCTTGGACTTATTCGAGGTTGAACATGACCCTAGTTTATTCTTGATAGTCTCCATGGCATTTGCGCACGCGATGACGCTGTCTCGAGCCGCTGTTACAAGCACGGGACCGCGGAGTCGGTCGATGCATGCTTCAAGAGCTTCAAGGACATCCGAGAGCTGATTCAATCCCGTGCGGAGATTTTCGGCCTTCTCCCTGGCATCTTTGACGTTGTTTGTGTACCACACAAGCCGCTCGCAGATCTGAATAGAAAGAGAAACGATACCAACAGCGGTGCCCGCTATCTCCGCCATAGGGCACGCATCCGCAAGGGGTAGAGCGTAGTGATACAAAGGAAGAGATGAGGTTTTGATAAAAGCACAGGGCTAATTTCGACGCGAAGTGTGCACATGTCGCAGTCATGGTGCACTGGTATTGGCCAGCGTTCGCAGCCTGGTTGCGTCTGCCATGGCGTTTGCAGTTACCGGTGAGCGATTCTGAGCGAATGATCGAAGCATTCGTGACAGCGTGGCGTTGAATGCCGGTGAACAATGCCTTAGCGAGTCAAGGTAGTTGTAACAAACATGTAGAGTAAAGAATTGAACCCACGGATGAGCTGGGAGCAAGCCAGACGGGCATACAACGGAAAAGGGCGAGTGATGGAGGATGGTTCACTAAAGGCACGCTTTAACGTGTTCCTTATCGATAAGACGGCTTATCCTGGCATCAATGGCTCGCCGTAATCAACACCACCAAACCACCACGAACATGTGAAGCAACGCGCCACAACCCAGCTCTCCGCAAACGATGTACCACCTGTTCAAGTCGATATACCTTCACGCAACAAGTAAAGAAGGTAGACCTCCACTTTCCACACCTCGTTCCTAGATCGAACAGCGTCCGAGTTGCCTTGCGCTCGCTTTCCTAAGCTAACACCCTCACCCCAGAGTACTCGGTCCTCCTTCTCGGCCTCGACAACGCCGGCAAAACCACGCTCCTCGAACAAATAAAAGGCACCTATACGCCCTCTCACCCGAACCTGAAAACCGTCCCCACCGTCGGCCAAAACGTAGCTACAATCGCCCTACCACCACCGAACCCTCCAATCTACCTCAAGATATGGGACGTGGGCGGTCAGCATAGTCTGCGCGGACTATGGCAGAGCTACTACAGCAGCTGCCACGCCATCGTCTTCGTGATAGACAGTAGCGATGTCGGGAACGCGACACTCGCCGACCTCTCTGCCCTCGACGCGGCTCACAACGAAGATATTGGACGGCTAGATGAATGCAAACTGGTATTGGAGAGCGTGCTGGCAAATGAGGATGCGAGTGGGGTGCCGATATTGATATTGGCAAATAAGCAGGACAGAGAAGATTGCGTCGAGGTCGTGCGGATCAAGGAGGGGTTTGTGAGGCGGGTATTCGAGGGGGAGAAGGGGGGAAATGTCAGGGACAGCAGGGTGTTACCTTGCAGCGCGCTGACAGGGACGGGTGTACAAGAGGCCGTAGAGTGGTTGTGTAGTAGGATGGCATTCAACAAAGAGGCGAGGCCGCCAGTTATGCGGTAGCTGGAGGGTGGATGAGCAGATGGTACACAGAGATGAATATACCCCATGTTTGAGCGCCCACACGAGAATCGCCACAAAAGACCTGTACCATTTTCCTCCGTTACAAAAAGAGATATGCCTTGCCGCATGCAGGCTAGAGCAAGAGGCAAAAACACACAACAGCGGGCATTCGCTAGTAATCACGCACCTAACTACTAATCCGCCGGTACACTGCTTGTAGATTCAAGTTCGCGGTATACGGCAAATGCCGTGTTGCTACTAAAACTTTGTCCGGAGATACTGAAGCGATGCTATGTGATACTGAGCATAGAGTTCATCTCGTGAAGGGTGGCTTCTAGTGTTTTAAACATCTAGGGTGCTAAACTTCTCGAGACACGACATGATATCCTCGCTGTCGTCTTCTGGCATGATACATCAAGAGGAATCTTAGGACTATCGTTGGCATATGCGACGTATGTCCATTTAGCCTAATGTAGCCAAGGGACAAACAGCGGGCTACCTATGAGCTTGGTTTAAGAGAAACGACTTTAGTACTGAGTCTCGGGAAACATGTGACTTACACCACCGCGCCCATAAAGCTCAACTATGATCCCAATTTTGGTGTTGTACTGCTTCTTTGTTGATCACGACGAGCCACTCCAGGCATTAGCATGGGTGTAGGAAGACACTGATTGGCCTTTAGGTAACTTATTAGATGGTCATGAGTATGTTCTTATAATCCCAGTCCGGCGACGCTCCCGACGTAGGGCACAGTAATTCAGCTGCTGGATATCGACATGGCCGTATTTGCTCCATTGGCAGATTATCAATAGAAACGTGCATGGTAGCGAGGTATATCAATGTGCAGGCCTTGACATTGCTGTGCTGGTTTACATTATCCTGCATCAACTGGCAGGAATTAGACGCATACCAAGGACAGGTAGGATCCATATGCATATACAACCTTGAAAATAGGACATGATGACCATTACTGCCTCTCACATGGTGTTAGCAACGGGGAATGGTTTTGGTATAATTGAATTCGCTTTCGTCATATGTAGGTGTTCAGTTCACAGCACACTTTATCTGCAAATTCCAATTCCAATTCCAAACTCTACTCTCTACTCGGACGCCATGGCATGTGGGTGTGAAAGCCGCACTGCTCGCAGAACCTTTCAAAATTGTACAAACTCACCAAAGCACGTTATAACTAGTACTTAGATGATACACTGCAGTCAACCAAACGGCCCAAACTGCACGGGGTACAAACAAGTGACTCTGGGCACCTCAATGGTCAGGGTACCCGGCAACGTGTGCCCGAAGTGCTAAGCAAGGAGACCACTGGTATACATTCCTAAACTCGCAATGTCAGGTCGTCTCTAACGTAATCGGCAGCTTGGACAATGTATTGCGGAACATGAACCAACTCAACGACATTATGAAAAGACTCTTAGCGCGGATATAGTGATAGTCATTCCAATGAAATTGACATGTGTGACCTACCCGATGACATACACGTGTTGAATGACTTGATGATCATCCCTAGTCAGCTAGCGTGACACGCACAGACCTCCGATAGATAGATAAATACGCACTGTCACCCGGATTGCTTTTGAGAACTATCTTCGAACTCATCATGTCGAACGAGAATAGCCCAGACATCCATGTCTACCAGCATTACTGTCCTCCTGGTGTCAAGCGAGTTCTTGCCTCCGGCGCTAGCGCGTTTATTGGGGAGGTTGATGACTCTACAGTCTTCAAATATCCGCTTGCTCCAGGTCAGGACATGGTCCGCCTAGAGATAGAGGGAAAGCTCCTTAGTATTATCGGACCACACGAGCGAATTATCGGACTAAAAGGTATCTCAGAGGAAGGGCTTTACCTTGAACGCGCCACAAATGGAACCGTTGCCCAACGGATTGAGTCAGAGGAGACTATTCCGATGGAGCAGCGGCTGGCGTGGTGCCGGGAGGCTGCTGAGGCAGTTGCGCAGGTCCACGTTCACAATATCGTACACTGCGACATTCAGCCAACCAATCTTCTCCTCGACGATCATCTGCATCTTAAGCTCTCCGATTTCCAGGGAAAGCAACTGTCAAAATCAGGCATGGTGCTTCTCGATGGATGGAGCAGTGAACCTTGCAGATTTTACTGTCCCCGAAATGACCCTGATGACGCAAACGTTAAGACAGACCTGTTCGCCTTAGGATGTACGATTTACTACATCATGACCAGTCATGCCGTCTTCCCGGACATCATTGACGGCGAGGATGATTGGCAGGAGACAATAGAACGCCGGTTCAGGAGCATGCAATTCCCCCAAGACCAACATGTGTGCGACGCAATCACATTGAAGTGTTGGAAAATGGAATATGAGACTGCAGAAGACATTGTGCGCGACTTAAAGAGCCTCGAAGGTGCCTAAACTCCTGACGTCAACCGGTGAAAGACGGGCAAAATCGTGGATATAACAACTTGGTATTCAGTTCGCAATGGGCATTGCACCTAAGGCCCGGTCAAGAACCTGCCTGATCTGTGGGAAGAATACATACACGGCCCAAGAGAGAATAAGTGCAAGTGCTGCTACGATTTCGTTAGCATGGCGATCCAATATAGCCCTCCGGGTTCCCAAGCATGTCATATGCTATCCCAGGTTATTATCCTCATCTGCTTCCTGAAATGAATCCAAAGTTGGCGCATGGCGCCCTCCGTTGTGCAGCTAAGGACGATGCGCGGGGATCCCATACGTGTGTAGCATCAGTGCCAGGGAGTCCGGGAGAGGGACTGCCATCAACAACGTTGTGTCCAGGAAGAGATAGATCGCGCGGGTTCTCGGATTTGCGGTAGATGTTTACGATCGAGGTAGCTGAAAGTACACGAGGGCGAGGGCGGGGTGCGCGTAAGGTCGCGGGCGCTTAGTGCCGCGTTGAGCGCGTTGTCCAGTACCGACGCTTGCGCAGCGGGGCGACGCACCTACTCTGCATATTTTGACTGGCAGCGCGCACGCTTCATGGCTGCAGGCGGTGTTGAGGCAGGCTGAAAGAAGACCGTGATGATGGTGACCCGGCGGCGCGGCATGTGATGAGCGCTGGCACGTGCTCAGATCGATGTTGCAAGGTCAACCCGTCTCGTAATTCCCCGCCATCGACGATAAATAGATCCCTCGACTTCTCAACGAAAAGTGTTGCCTGGGACTTTGATCAAACCCGTCAGTGAGGCTACCCTAAGGAACGATGGCGAATATTGGCAGCTGCGCGCCCCTGGGCTTCGTTGGGGCTGTTTCCGCCAGCGTTCCATGTACGCACCGTCGTCGACCTTCAACACATCGACCGATTGTTGATGCAGGCCAGCTCGAGGAGTGTTTCATGGCGAACAATTGCGTGTCCACTGTCGTCGGACGACCGTTGTGCTCGTTCCCATGTGTTTGTTGTGCGTCTGACTCTACCACGACGGTCAATATGGACCGAGTCTGCGATACTTTCTTTGCCCGCTTCCGGAAATCTCAATTTTCTCGGCATCAAACACCTATTATTTCTCAGCTTCGTTCTATGCCAGCTTCATCTTTCATCAGCCTTGTCTCTTCTCACTCTCGCCCTTATCTTTATCATCCTACCGACAAACAATTGCGGCGTCCTGCGAGAGTGCAGGAAAATTATTTCAACCCCTAATTTCTATATTAACAGTATACTTCGCGCCATCTCTTCCATCTAGGTGGCTCTGGCATAGGGGACTTCCCTCTCGCTATTCCTTCCTCGGAACAGATTTTGGAGCGCATACGCCCTAGAATTACCTAATAAGCTATTCCTAATTCTTTAAAAGTACTTTAAGGGGGGGGGATGTTTATGATTACTTTGATCTTTCAAGATAGGCTGCATATTTCGAGCCAAGGTCGTCAACCATGGTATCAACTTGATGAGTCTGATGCGATCCGTGGTTATATAAGGAGGCACTCGCTCTCAAGGAATGCACCCAATACTTCTTTTCTTTTTAGACTCACCCCAGTTATTTTCTTGAATCGTTTCCGCATGAATCACTCGTATTTTCTCAGTCATAGAAACCCACCTACTCGACTGTGGTCCCGTACTGTCCCGCATGGCATTGCGACGTGTGTGATTGGTGCACCATGTTGGAAGTCTGAAAGTCAAACCCGTGGAAGTTTTACTACTTCTCAAAAACCTGCATACCCCCCGCACAAGTTCGAACTTCTCTTATTATTGATCACTCCTGCGCAGCACGGCAAAATCGAAGCCAACGACTAGAAACATTCAGCACGGTTGCGGAAGATGGCACAAGACAGCTTGCATCGAATGTTCGACTTGCCACCGGAGTTGAAATGTCACATTCTATGGTACCTATTCGTCAACGAGGGGTTTGACGCCTACTACACGCTGCTTGAACATGCAGAGATCGGCGAGTTGCTACGATGCAACTTTAACCAGCAATTTGAGCTGATCAGGCGCCACCACCCTCTCGCTACTCAGCTCCAGCAAATTCTGACCACGACCGCCCTTCTATCGTCACACAAGCCGCACTCCAGTCGCCAGTTAGCTGAGTTTTTGAGGCAAAGCCTCCTCGCTGAAGGCCAGTCCGTATCGTTCGACAGTGCGAAGCAAGCTGTCTCAGTCGTCCATACATACCGTGATTGTCTACACGATGCAAACACCATTATCGAACAATATGCCAAGATCATTCTGGGTAATGCCGTGGCTGGAAGATTTGCATATGAACAACATCCTCGCTACGGTACCGATACTCTGTCCGAAATCGAGCATCATCGAATTCTTCGTGCTTTCTTCAGGCTTCAACTCTACAGGCGAATTCGAGAGCTATATGGAACAGGAAGGAACTTCAAACGGAGGATTAGGGCCCTGTTCTCACTATGGACTGCTTGGGAATTTGACGAGGTTAGAAGCGTTGCTGAATGGATCATTCTCGAATATCCAAACCTCCCCGAGCATTACGCAGAGGGCATTCAAAACCTCTTCGCCACGGTCTATACCTATTTCGGCCTTGATATGAACCCGTATGTCAGAAACCGCCCTGCTCCCGCCCGTGATCGCCACCGCCATTCAAAGTTTGCAAAGCGCTCCAAAAAATGGGACGATACACCGTTTAATCCGCACGAAGGGAGAGCGGATGTGAGAAACAAAGACTGGAGACCCCTGGGGTACGACCGTGGATGTTACCAAGAGTACACTCAACGAGTTTACAGGGAGTTCTTCCTTGCAGGCGGCTACCCATTCTGGGGTCGATACACAAAGCCTGATGGATGGTGGCGTTATCGCAACCACAGTTCCGACCTGATGTTGCAATTTGGAGAATGCTATGCGAATAAAGACATTTGATCAGCTTATAGGGCCTGCACAAGTTTGAAACCATGGTTAACGACCGCCTAAGAGGATTTCCAAAGCGCCTACGCCCTAGTTGAGCTATCGCTGGTTCTGTGAAAGTACTTTGAGTGCGATGTTTGTAACTACAATGAGTCTTCTAGAGTAGTGAAAGATGGGGAACGCTAATGCTGACTTCACAGATAGCTTAACGGGTACCTACTTTCCAAACGCTGTAGCGTTTGGAATGAGTGCACTCAAGGGTCGTGCACTAGATGACGTAATACGCGAGATGCTTTCGTTCGCCGCCAGATCCCCTTAGTGCATAAACACACCTTCGACGTATAGCTCATCACATCACAGCAAACGCTAACGTCGAGCTGGAGGCATAGTATGTCTTCCAAATAGTTGTGTATAGGAGCAGGAGGGACCTCAGCTCTTGAATCATATCTTTCACTCTCTAGCAACAACAGCTCTTTCATGAACGGCCCATGCGCGGAGATTTTGGGTAATCTCAACTTTGCTAACAGATTTCAGATTATCCTCAAAGCCATGGGTGCAAGAATAATTACTCCGGAAGAGCTTGCTCAAGCTAAGAGGTTTGGAGATTACGTTCCGGTATACAAGGTCGATGCAGAAACTGTGGTCAAGACCGGCGATTCTATCCGACTAACTGAAGCTGATACTATGAGGTTGGTCAGTGAAAAGACGACTATTCCAGTGCCCGAAGTCTACAACGCATACACTGATCCTGTCACCGGGCATGCACGGATCGTAATGGAATTTGTCGAGGGCGACTGCCTCGCTAACGTTTGGAACACATTTAATAACGAACAAAAGCAACAAGTCACTGAACAACTCCATGGCTTCTTCTCCCAGCTTCGCAAGATTACAGGATCGTTCATCGGTTCTATCGATGGATCGGCCTGCGAAGATCCGGTGTTCGACGACGAAATCGGCGCATATGGGCCATACAAGGACGAAGCAGCTTTCAACGAAGGCATTGTCACAGCGCTTAGAAACACGTTAAGCAGCGGCTGGGTCGATACAGTCTGTGACATGGTGCTTGCTTTGAAAGGCCATAACATAGTGATGACTCATGGAGATATGAGCCCGAGGAACATCATAGTTCAAGGAAGCAAAGTGGTTGCCATTTTGGACTGGGAAATGTCGGGCTACTATCCAGAGTACTGGGAGTATGTCAAATCTCTGTACAGACCTGCCTGGGAGGGTGCCTGGATCAAAGACCGGGCGGTGGATAAGGTACTGGAGCCCTACCTCATGGAATTGGCTGTGTTTTTACATGTGAATGGTATTGGAGGCTGGTGAGGTAGAGGCAGCAAACAAAAAGAGATGCATTTATTAATGCTAAGAACAATCAAAGCCGCCTACGGAAGAAGAGGTATACCATCGCCTGGAGTCTACAACACATCTATAAGATGCACTCAATCACACGGAAAGACCGCAAAGCTCACCACGTGAACGAGATAGCATTCAGGCTTCATAGGATTTAAGTCTTACACTAAACTTAGCCAGAAGCACATGGATACGCCAGCGATAATTCAAGTGTCAATGCTTCCGGTTTATCTACATCGTTTCATGGTCTTAGACAGAAACTTTGAGTACACTAGGTCGCGAAATACAAGTACCAATAGTGATGGTTAATCCCCACTGCGGGATTTCAGGAAGAAGAGCAAGGTAGCGCGTATTCGGTAATGGTCACCCACCTAACTACCAATCCGTCGGTACGCTGCTTACGCGCCCTCTCTACGCGTTCTCGCTCCACTTCGGTATAACTGTGTGGCAGCTCTTGTCAAACAGAACATCCTAAGCATTGGCTAAGGACTCAAAACAGGTAGTAATGAAAATGATGTTCCGCTTATGGCCTCGCCACAATGGGAATGCTCTGTGTCACTTTTTCTATCCCCATTCAAGATGGCTACATAGGGGCAATTACTGTCTAGTTTCATCTTTTCCAGCCTCAACACAAGAGAGGACGATGGAGCTTCCTAACAGAAAATCGCAGGGTAAGTCGTATTCTATGTTGAGACAGTATATACTATTCTAATAGTCTGAAGATAATACCTCAGAGGATGATATCTTTAGCTACAAAGCCCAACGTTGGCTTTGGAATGAAGCAGAGCAACTTCAGCGCCGCTACTTAGGATTCGATTTGAAGGCACTAGTTCGAGCCGTTGAACAAGCCGCGGGGCCTGACGCAGATTGTGTAGAGATCACAAAGCTGCCCGAAGGAAATTTCAACAAAACCTTCTTAGCGATGATGTGTGACGGACGTCAAATCATTGCCCGGCTCCCAAACCCAAATGCAGGCTTTCCGCACTATACGACTGCCTCGGAAGTAGCAACCATGGACTATGTACTACCCCCTTCATAAGATTAGATCACTAAGCCATGACGCTTCAGCTAATTTTGCATAGGTTAGAGATCGCGTCCAGATTCCTGTCCCAAAAGTGCTGGCATACAGTACGCAAGCAAGCACGAATGGCGTCGGGGCCGAGTACATTATCATGGAGAAGTGTCCTGGCATTGAGCTTGGCCGCCTATGGGATGACATGTCAGGGAAACAGAAGATTGATATCGTAAGACAGCTGGCAACCTTCTCGGCACGCTTGTCAAAGGCCCGCTTTCCATACTATGGTTCGCTCTACTACGCAAGAGATATTCCAGACATCAGGGGCACGGAAGTCGACGACACTTTTAGTGTTGGTCCGACAACTAGTCGTACCTGGTTTGATGATAAAAGAGGTGAAGTAGACGTTTGTCGTGGTCCATGTAAGATTACAACGCATCGGGCTAGTGGTAATAGTCAGACTAATTTTGTTGGTTCAGGGACATCAGCTGAGAATGTTTTAACCGCCATCATGAAGCGGGAAATTGCATGTCTCGAAACGTTCTCTGGATTTCCACGGGACCGTCAGCAAGGTATTTTCAACGGCCCAGAAGGGTTTTGCCCATCAAAAGCATCCAAAATAGCGGCCATCCAGGACTATAAACGCATACTCCCTCTTATTGTGCCGAAGGACGATGCTTGCACTGCCTCAATCCTTTGGCATAACGACTTGCATACCGACAACATCTTCGTGAATAAGGATTGTCCTACAGAGATAACAGGTATCATCGACTGGCAGAGTGTGCATCTTGGTCCTGCCTTTCTCCATGTTCATTATCCATCTCTGATTGAATATGATGGGCCAATATTGGATGTTTTCGAGAAACCTACACTGCCATCTGATTTCGCAGAGTTGGATCCAATCGCAAAAGAAAACGCACAAACTCTACACACGGCCCAGTCTATCTGGGGACTATACCAAATATTCATTCACAGACAAGCCCCAGACCTGCTACGCATACTCCGGTACCGAGACACTCTTTCTTGTCAGATCATGACTCTGATCGGATCTATCTTCGATGATGGTGAACCATATATTCAGAGCTTATTAACGCAGCTCGCACAACCAGATATATGGAAGACTGTGCTCAAGAGTAATGGTCGGGACACTATTAACGTTCCTTGCCCTCTCGTCTACTCAGATGATGAAATTTCGGAGCAGAACGACGAGCTGGCTAGGTGGGAAAAGGACATCGAGCGGAAGGCGCGAGTGTTCAAAGAAGTCGGTGCGTACACGGGTTGGGATGGGGCCGTCCCGCCAGAAGAGTACAGCGTGATGTCCGAGAAATTGGAAAAAGCTATGGAAAGGTTTCTGGATACAGAATCGAGGACTCCAGAAGAGAGAGCGCAATGGGCGAACGCCTGGCCATTCAAAGATAGATGAAATTCGATACGTCCATTGACCCAAGATGACAAGCCTGGAGTGTAACTGGATCGTACTTTGCAATCTCGTAAATATTACAGTACTATTACATGATGGCCGCCCTTTTCCTGCTGGAACTTAGACAGGTCCCGGGTAGGTCTGGACAGATATTTGGTACTTGGTGCTGGAGGTCCCGGATGTCGTTTCAGCATGAAGTCTATCGCCTCAAGCATTGAGAAGGCAGCAAGGCTAGCATACATGTTGGATCTGCAAGTTTCGCAGCCGGGCGCGACTTTACTGAAAAGTGCATCTAGGGCTAAGCGAAGGGGCGTCGCTGTTGTTGAGAAGATCTAGGCTATTAAAGGGGCTACGCAGCCCACGGCTACGGCGGACAATCGTTTCAGGAAAGATCCGCAACCCCTCCATCTCCAAAGGGAAGGTCCGGAACTTAGGCTGCCGTTCAAGTCTTCCACCCCATTGTCACGTCTCGATAGCTTGTTATCACCGTGCAGATTATCAAATGTCAGAGTCCTCGATCCATACTCGTAGAATTTTGAGTGGTCGCATCTTTAGGCTTCTTTTTATACATCCTGCCCTCGACCAGCATCAGCAACTCGAATGCTACTGTCTTCCTTTCGAAATTGATGCCGCTCCTCCTTATGAAGCGTTATCCTATGTTTGGGGCCCACCAGAACCATCTACTAAGCTTCTGTGTAATGGACACTCCATTCTCGTCCGGTCGGAGCTCGCGAACGCTTTGACGAAAATGCGTCTTCGAGATTCCACACGCATAGTCTGGACGGACGCAATCTGTATAAATCAGGACGATGATGAAGAAAAAAGTTTACAAGTACCTTTGATGGGCAGCATCTATTCATTGGCAAAAAGAGTCATCGTCTGGTTGGGGTATGGAGATGTACAGCAAGTCCAGGAAGCCTTGGAGTGCATCAAGTTTATCGCTAGGGCTCGCCGCCAGTATAAACAAGACCACAACCTGATCGCAGATGACGACGATCAGCTTCAGGAAGTCTATCTCCCAGCAGACTCGTTTGGTCAAATTGTGTGCGACGGTCTGCAAAAGCTGTTCAGTCGGCCATGGTTCTCGAGGATCTGGTGTGTTCAAGAAATTCGGTTAGCGCAGGATGCACTCGTCCTCTGGGGGGAGCACGAGATCTCCTGGGCGGGTTTAGGTCTTGGAGCATCATGGATCTTCCAAAAAACCACTTCTTTAGACAAAAGCGACCCTGTGATACCCTTACTCTCCAAAATCGACATCGCGCGGGCGGATATCATGCGCGACAAAGTGACCGAACCTCTCCTCGATATGTTGCAGAGTTTCCGTGAGTTTAGATCCTCAGGCCCCAAAGACAAAGTGTACGGCCTTCTGAACCTAGTCTCGCTGAGGTCCGAAGTGGAAGCCCTGAACGTGGATTACAGTAAAAGTGTTGGAGAGGTATACGCGGACACAGTCTTAACTATCATCCATCTATACTCGCGGCTAACCACTCTCGCCTACATTACACATCCCGAAGACTATGATGGCGAAGACTACGATAGTACATACTACGATGGTTATCAAATGAAGTGGAATTTTGAAGACGGTGACGATGGTGGAGATGGTGACAATGTCTACAGGTCTTGGGCGCCACGTTGGGATGATCTATCAGCTGCAACAATTCTTGGGGTCCCTGAAGAGGAGTGTCCCTGGAGCGTAGATGACAAGTGCATGGTTACCATAACCGATAAAAATGACTTGACACCGCAGCAAATCCACCTTAAGGGCATATCATACGAGAAAGTGCATGAGGTTGAAGATATCATGGATTACGATGATGAACCCCCGTCCGTAAAGATTCATCCACTCCTTAAACTTTGGAAGACATTTGTCATGGACTCAGCTTCAGAGCGTTCACAAGAGGAATTTGAGCAGCGAGTTTGCGCCATGGCCCGCACTGCAACGGCAGGCACTTACGGTCCGACAAGGGAATACGTTCAGAACCTCGATGCCATCACTCAAGGCACATACTACAGAGCATTCTTGCGTTTCAGGCTCAGATTAACTCGGTTGCATGATCTAGGTGAGGAGGGTGAGTATGCTCATGATACAAACTCCAAACAATTCGCAGGAGATGCCTATAACACTTGCGCGCAACGACGCATATTCTGGACAGAGAATGGAGCCCTTGGGCTAGGTCCACAATGCATGCGAACTGGCGACGTTGTAGTAGTACTCTACGGAGGCAATACACCCTATGTACTGCGGCCAAGGGAAGACAATACCTGTTCATGGGTCAAGCTTACGTTGATACTATCATGTACGGAGAAGTTATGCACAGCTTACGTGCGGGAAGACTACAAGAGCAGGTGTTTTGCCTTATCTAAAAATATACCGGCCCGACATGAATATACGACTCAGGTGCTTCTCGAGCAGCTAAGGGATTTGAGATAATCAGCTTTGTTTACAATTGGTGTCCAAGCAATTTATAGGTGTAGCAGAGGCGTTGAAAGCATCTGCGGGCATGGGCAAAAAAGAACAAAAAACATACAAAAGCGTGGATTCGCTAGTGGTCACCAGTATCCTACAAGTACCGCTAAGCGAACGGGAAGCGCTGATGTCACTTAGAGAGCCCCCATAAAGTCCCTTAATTTTTCTGTATGCGGTAACCGTAGGATGTGCGGTACTCGGTACGCGCTGTAAAAGATCTAACCTGGTTCTGAAGACACCTGGGCAGACTTGTGCTTTGCCAGAGTTGATTGCAGGTGTGATTGAGAGCGAAGAGCGAGAAAGTGTATGCATGCTGTGAGATGAGAACATGAAACTTTATGTGGTGATAATGTGATCTTAAGCTGTTCGTTAGCTGTAGTCATCATGGCTAGGGGCCTGTTCGGTGACCTAGGCTGACCTAACTAGATTGGCCGGATTTAGCAGGTGGGGTGAAATAGAATTAAAAATAGCGTTTTATTCAGTATTCTGTCAGTTTTAATAGGCACAAATAGAGGTAGAAGTTTGCTAGTAACGCCACGTAATTTTAAACCCTTACGAGTGCTTACTTAACCTATATTTTGTAACGGGCTGATCAAGAGACTGTTGCCGAGAATAGTCAGGATGAATTAACTAACGGGCTTTCTCCAAGGAAAGCTAGGTTTCTATCCTTACATACTCCGGATGAATTGCAGGCCGATTCCGGGCCGACTCTGGGGTAACTTAGGTTAGGCCTCCTGAGATCCAAGGCTATCCAGCCGAGGCTTCAACCCAAGCACATGCCTGTTACATATTTAACCCAATTTGGCAGCTTCTTAAGGGCTAATTCCTACTAGTAGTTAGTACTAGAATTTATTAATAAATAGCTCTATATACGCGATCCACAGTACCTCGCGCCCCTCTATGCCTAGGCCACCCGTGTTAACCCACCAATCTCCACTTCGCATGTCATCTGTGCGCATGACATGACTTCTGCCACAATCCTTCACCAAGTGAGATTAAGGCCACCAACAGCTCACTCTGTATGTATGCGGACTTCAGCGCGGTTCAGGATTATCGCAGGGGGTTGAGGGACTGGATATAAAGACCAGCTGCGCCAGTGCAGCTCCATACCACAACACTCAGGGTCCAGCATTCACAAATTTGGACGCTGCCACAATCTGGAAACCATTCGAAATATACAACCAACTTCCTTCGTTATAATGAAGCTCAGCATCGCCCTCGTTACTGCCTTGATCGGCGCCGTCACAGCCTTCCCCGCGGACCCCCTGCCCGACGTTTCTATCGCTGATCGCTCAGTAGACCTCTTAACCAAGAGAGACTGCGCGAGCGGGTTTCTCTGCAAGGACGCTGGTGCAAAATTGTGCAAATGCAATCAAGGCATGCATGTGAGTGCTCTCCTCCTATCGTTACGTGTGATCATTTGCTTATATAGCGTGCGTAGTGTACATGCACGTTTATTCCAGGCGGCTCACCAGGGGGGACTCTAGGATGTAAGTCTCGTCAACCGCATTTTTCGACGCTACTTTGCAAGGCTGCTCATACTTGAGACCTAGATTATGCGTGGCTTTGCTGGGACTGCCCCAAACCTGCCAATGGAGGACTCCAGTGCATTAATGGAGCGTGCAACAGGGGTTAGACGTATGAGGTTTTGAGCGGTCAGCGCTCGAGATCACAGCTAGAGCAATAAATCAAATCTGTCAGTATCGCTTGGGAGGGCTAGAAGACTACCCTTTATTCTTTTTGCTCGCATTATTGGGCATGGAGCCTTAGGTACATTCTTTGCTCTAAACGCAGGACACATAGCTATCTTGCGTAGAGGACCTGGTTCAGAAATGCGTTCCTATCTATAAGGAGTAGCCTAAGACCGCTAGAATAACATGACCTTACAAGGTAAGTAATAACTAAGATATTCTTAGTCTAGGATATTATAGCTATATTGCTACCTAGCTTTACGTAACCTCACCGCCTCTGCATTAGCCTCGACCAATCACCCCGCCGTCTTTTCACCGTTGTATACCTGATGTCACGTGAACGCCAAGGAAGGATGGTCCGTGCCGGGATAGGGTATATCATTCACCCAGCAGCTAGTTTAGCTCGATAGAACCTATGAATACAGATCATCACCCCATATCATGACACCTGATCCTCCCTCAACCCTCATCATTGTTTGTTTCAACTTCTGTTCGACACTTTCAAAATCCTTTGTGATTGACTCTCAAGCTCCGGCTATCACTCCCTTATGCTCTCGTCGGCTCTCTTCCGGACAGGGCAAATTCTCAAGGGTAGAGCTGGGGCATACACTATAACGAAACAGGTCCAGGAGACTGTTTGGTTTGTAAAGTAAGTAGCTTGCAGGATTCACTAAGCTACGGATTGACGGTTATTAGGACCCATCGGGCACAGGAGACTGTAGTCATCAAAAGCGTCCAAGGTCATCCAAGGGTAGAGAACGAGCGGGACGTGCTCAAACGGCTCCAGCATCGTACTCCCTTCCTTCGGCCACTTGTTGATGAAATTGAGGATCTCTCTACTACAACTATCGCTCTAAAATATCTTCAAAGCGATCTTCTCAAGGAAACTGTTCGACAAACCTTGAACCGGGAGGAGCTCAAGCATGTTTGCCGTTCCATTCTAGAAGCGCTGAAGGTTATTCACGAACAAGGTCTCGTACATACAGGTATGAAGCTATGCCTAGAGTAATATTTTGCTAACTCGGGTTTAAGATGTCAAGCTTGACAACGTTTTTGTCAACTTACAGGAAGATATTGACCGATTCTCAGAGGTCCAACTTGGAGATCTCGGTGGATGTTACTCTGTAACTTCAGACTGGGCTACCTCAGGAACACTAGTTGGAACACCGATGTGGTCAAGTCCAGAGGTCCTTATGGAGATGCCATGGAATACAGCTGCAGACATCTGGTCATTCGGGACTTTAGTACGTATAAGTTTACTTGTAGCTTATTATTCGACGCGCATGCTAATGCTTCATGCAAGCTTATAAGCTTGATATATGGGGGAGACTTCCACTTGTTTCGACCAAATGTAGACCGAGACCATGAAGAATACATATTAGGTGTTGTGATGGAACAACTCCGCTGCTTTGGTCCTTTCCCTGAAAAGATCCACGACATCGCGAGCCCAGAAACTTTTCAATCAATCATATGGTTGAGTCAGCAACTGCCAGCAGAGAAGCGGACTCCATTTGACTTGGTAACAGAGAGAGAAGTTATGAAGAAGGACAAAGACTTTATTGGGAAAATCATGAAGCTTGACTGGAGAGATCGGCCAACGGCAAAGGAATTACTGGAGGATAAGTGGTGGCATGATGAATAGAGCGTGGTGGCATGAGAACACTCAGCTATTTGTACGTAAGCGTATCACCACTTATTTCGTTTAGGCTGAAACTGGATTGAGACTCTGCAGCCACAGCTATGGATTTTGCACTCTCTATTTGGGTGTGAGCCTAACGACATCATTTCACGGCCGGTTCTTCCTACCCCAAGCCTCCTTGATGATACCTTCCACAGTCACTGGCTTGACTTGAGGAAACTCTTTATTCCTAATACCTTCTCTGCTTACATCCATAACTCCCTTGATAGCCATGATACCGTACTCAGCTACCATTCCCCGCACTACCTCTTCAGGGAGGTCGTAAGATCCTTCAGGCTGCTCAAACAATGTAGGTTCTCCTCTCTCTAGCTGTTCAAGCGGCTCATATGTGACATCCCACTTCTCGCCTACAGGTTTACGAAACGGTCAGAAATTGAGTCCAAGAAGCTTTTATCATGGAGCAACTTACCAATCACCTTCTCTGCAACCTTAACCAGCTCATTCCAGCTCATCTTGTCACTCGCAAAGGCGCTAAATTCTGGCCATTTGTTCCCTTCATCGAGCAGTGCAGCGATGTACTTTGCGATATCCACTGAATGAAGAAATGTAACTGTCGTATTGCCGTCTCCTGGTAGCGCTGCGCGTCGATTATCGAAATCAACTGCGAACTTGAACGGCCTCATGTGACTCTTGCGGTGCGGGAAGCCGTAGTGGTCTAGGAGCCAGCCGAAGATGATACGCGTAAAGTCGAGGTGCGAAGCCCGTAGAGCATCTGCGGCATTGAGCCACCATTTCGCTGCAGGGTGGAAGTCGATGAGTTCTGGGTGTGAGTAGTTTATTCCGTATTCGCTCGGTATGAAACGTTTCACGGTGCCGGACTCAATTGCGGCATTGATGAGCTTTATTTGTGCTTTAGCGCTGTCTTCGGTGAAAAGGGCAAGGGCTGATATGACGACTTCGACATTATAGTCTTGCAAGATCTTCTTCACAGTGACGGAGTCACTATAGTTGGCTTCAAGCACAGGGACGGATTCCAATCCTAGAACTGTAGAAGTCTAATTCCGCACGTCAGTATTACGATAGCATATAAAGGATACGCCATAAAATAGGAGTACAGGAGTACACAAACCTTGCGGCTCAATATTAGGACCTTATGTTTGCCTTGTTGAACAAGTTCTTCGACGATGGTGCGACCAATACCACCTGTGCCTCCTGCGACTACTACGGTGGCCATTGTGAGTTTTCCGATGTATGAAAATAGAACTGACGGAGTTTAGAGCGCAATGTTACAGCATTAGCAATGCTTCAAATAATTGTTTATTCGGGCTTGCGCCGTTTATATATTTTATGATCCTTCAACCCTCACCTAGGGCGTAGGCGCTTTGAAAATCCTCTCAACCCTCACCTAATTAAGCAAGCGATGCGAATGCGGTGTTCTTTGAAATCATGATATTTATCAGCAAACAGCTTAGCGGGAGAACAAGCATTCTGTGATTAGTATGCAGTGGGGCGATATCCTCATTTGAACCATGTATGCTCACAGGAGAACGCCCAGAGATTACCGGTAGTGTGCGACGCCGAGAGCGAATGACGTAACCACCTCAGGCCACCATGATCATAATTCTCCAACATCTTTCATCATAACCTAGTTTTTCGGCTCGGGAACAACGATAATGGTGCGAGATAAGGTCTCTAACCCTTTGCATTATAGCCTCACTAGCCGCAATTCATACTCAAAGTTCCTCGATGGATTGGCGATAGCTCAATAGATAATCTTGGGCCCTGCAAAAGGTCATAGATCTGGTGAATTATCACACATACACTAAAGAACATCTTGAAGGAAACTGTACACTGTCCAGTGCTCGACCCTAGGAAATAGTGTTACAGTGGCATGACCCGGATAGGATTACGAAGAGGTTAACCATAGAATACATCCCGGAGTCCATTTTATAAGTCGCAATAAGTGAACTCAGATATGTCTACAAATGCCTACGAAAGTGCGATCCATGGAAGGCAAACGACCACAATGGTGAGAAAGCAGACTTCAGCGCGTTTGTTATGTCCCAACAATGCTGAGGACACTTCCATATATTCGAGAAAGCAACATTCATGTCCATCATTCAATACAACTTACTCTTGTCTCTCGGTGCGCGCATTCAAGATCGTAGAAAGATCAATACAGGCCTTGACGTTCAAGACTTGAAGTTTTCCTTGTCACCAAAGCGCTTTACCCACTGTCGCTCTATAAATATCCAAATCACCTTCTTCCACTCTCGACCTATAATCATATCCACGACTAAACAGCACACTTATAGACTTCGATAATAGCCCAGGGGGTTATTCAAAGACTACAGCCTTCCTCTTTGTTGCCCTCTACTAACCTGGTTCGGTCGTACTCACCAACCTAGAGTAGCCATGGCGTTCTTTAGTGGGTTCCCCACTCATACTTCCAGTTCATGACAATTAGAATTCAAAACTAATACTTTACAGAAGATAATATCCTCCGGAAAGAAACTGCAGTAGGCGTACTGACTTTCATCTCCTTGATCCTCTACCGTATACCTCCCCGCCACCTTACCACCTTGCCAAAGAATCTTACTAAAGGATACCAGTTTTCGTCCTTCTTGGATGTATAAATAAAGGCGCTGGAATCGACAACCTATATTGGGTTTCGATCTCCCAGAGCGCAACCCTGCCCAGCACCTTGAATCTAGGTGAAGTTCGAATCGGGTATTTCGGTCAGTTCTCCAGCGTTCGGCACACATTTCTTATGAAACTTAGTAGCTGACATTTTAACCAAGGGCTATGCACCAACATCGGTCACACTGGTGAGTTAACTTGTTTCCCCCGCGACGCAATCCCACCTACCTCATCTTTCGCTTCATCATCGCCAATTCTACTCGCCGCTATCGCACTGCAAAAACACGCCTTATACCCTCTTCCCGCAGTCGCCTCTACGATCTTCCTGCTCAGTACCATCTACTACTTCATCGTGAAGGGAAGAGGCGGAAGGAATAAGAAAGTAGCTAAGGCGCTCCTGGGTATAAGTGCGACGTTGGGTCTTGCCAGCGCGCTGACATGTATGGCTTCTGCGAGGGCACTCGAAGGCGCTGATGAGATACTCGGCGGTGTGAAAGAGGTCAGGAGTGGAATTTGGCTCGGCGTACTCCTTTGGATTGCAGCCTCACTTCACATTCTTGTCGTGGGGTACATTATGTCGGGTTACGGTGGTGGAAGCGGATCTAGCGGCTCAAGCGGAAGTTACGGCGGCGGAGGTGGTGCATACGGAGATCCACCTGCTATGCACGCAGACCCGCCTGAAGGATACGGAGCCCCTGCAGGCGGCTATGCGCCTTCAGCTCCAGCGCCGCCAGGCGGAGGACAGCCGATGGCAGGGGGCCCAGAGATGAGAGGGGGATACAGTGATCCACACATGGTCGCAGTCGATCCTTACACAGGATGTGGAGGCGCGCCAATAGCAGGTGGAGACCCATTTGTGCCAGCAGCAGATTCGTACATAGGAGGACCACCCACAGGAGGACCACAGCCAAGGACACTGTCACTATTAGCGGCGCCCTCAGGAGGACCACCACAGTCAGCGGCGCCTTCGTACATGGGAGGAGGTACGCCCATAGGAGGATATCAACCAACAGGAGTTGGCTCAGCGATAAGACAAGGGGGTGCACCTACAGGAGCACCACCGGCAAAACCGCCCTCTTCAGCACTGTCGCCTCCACATATGGTAGGGGCAACCCCACACGTGATCGGAGGAAGCAATCCGTACACGGGCGGTAATGATCCGTACATAGGTGATGGTAATGCAGCGATAAGTCAAGGACGCGCGCCAATAGGAATACCATCAGATGCGCCAAAAGGAGGTCCAGGATGTGCGCCGAAAGGCAGACCGGGAGGTGTGCCAGCAGGAGGAAAAGGAGGTACGCCAGCAAGAAAACCAATAGGTGCGCCAATAGCAATACAAGGACAGCATATTGGAGGAGGACCAGGAATGAAACGAGCAAATGTGCCACCGGGAGGCGAAGGTTCATCTATGGAAGATGGAGGAGATCCGCACATGGGAGGCGGAGGCAGTCAATATACCAGAGGCCATGATCCGCAGATTGGGGGAGGTAGTGGCCCATCCACAGGAGGGCATCCGCCAAATCCAAATGTGCCACCAAAAGCAGCCAACTCTCTACCACCACCTCCGCCTCCAAAGACTTCGAAATGGTTCAAGTCGCAAAAAAAGCCAGAAGTAAAGAAACCTCCTCAAGCACCCAACCCACTAGAAGCTGCAAACCCTCCACAACCAACAAACGCACCAAAGACATCGAAACCATGGAAGAGAACGATACCCTTCAAGAAATCGAAACCTCTCAAAGCCTCTAACAAAGGAATAGCACGAAAACCACTCGAGTTAGCCCTTACACTCAAAACAGCAAGATCAGTCAAGGCAAGCAAAGCCCTCAACGCAGATGTCAAGTCACTAAAACCGATCAATACCGAGGCAGCGAAACCGACGAAAATTAAACCGATCAAGTCCCTGAAAACAAAGACGGTAAAACCACTCAAGGCAGAGAAGAGGCGTACAGGGGCGAAACCGTTCAAGGCTACGATGTTTTCCATGAAGCCAAAGCCACTGAAAGCAGTAAAGGAACCGAAAGCCCCAAAAGTACCTACATTAGCGAACGGGTTGAAAGGCAAAGAGCCATCTTTGTGGGGTTTAGGTCTGGACAATATAACGTTTGGGTCCAAGGGCCTGGGAGTGCCCATATTAGCGAACGGGCAGAGAGGCAAGGAGCCGCCTGTATGGGGTTTAGGGCCGAACCTAACGTTTGGGTCCAAGGCTGCAAAGCCGACCACGGCAACTAAAGATTCGGGTGGCCAGGAGCCGTTAGAATGGGGGCTGGGACCGGTTGGCTTAGCGACGACGTGGAAGAACAAGGAAACGAAACCATCCAGTGCAACACCTTCATGGCCCACAAAGTGGGGAACCACGATGTCTCAACCACCTAAGACAACGAAACCAATCAAAGCAATGAAGCCAGCGAAAGGAACATTCGGGGTATCGAAACGGACAAGGAAGTTGAAGCCATTCAAGATAACGCCAGCCGAGCTGAAGTCCGTCAAGGTAAAGCCCGTCAAGCCCGTCAAAGTAAAGCCAGTCAAGCCAGTCAAGGTTAAACCAGTCAAGGTGAAGCCAATCAAGGTAAAGACGGCCAAGGTAAAGCCCAGGGTGAAGCCAATCAAGGTAAAGAAAGCGACCAAAGTAGTGCAGCCGCGCAAGAAAGCAAAGCCTGCCAAGCGCTGAAGCACCCCAAACGGCGAAACCATTGAGACACACAAGGGCCGATTGGTGCGTCGAGGGCACGAAAAGGGGAGGGTGACATTTGCTGGTGGCGACGTAGTCGAGGTAGCTTTACGGGGAGGTAATCGGTAGAAATTCGGTCTGATTTATGGACTACAGCTGAATGCGTAGAATGGCCTAGGTAGACGAATGCGTTTAGTGAATACCTAGAGCTAGTATCAGTAGTGAGAACGGTATCAATCCACAAGCATCCCTAGAGACGTGGGCACTCCAGCTGAACTCGTCAAATCCTGTATTGATGGATATCAAATCCCATAGAAATCCATGCCAATGAGGCTGTAACACCGCAACGCCTTGCCGGTCAATTCCTTCCCAAGGATGCCGTTTCGTTCGTGACATGAATTCGCTTAGAACTGATCCAGGGTCATGCTCATCGAGACGTCCGTGTTCTCAACCATCTTGGTGAACTCCTCAAAGCTGATCTTGCCGTCGTGGTCCAAATCGGCCTCCATGATAGTCTTGTCAACGATCTGTGATACAATCAGTACAGTCTTCGCCTACACCATCGATGCCACATACCTGTTGCAACTGCTGATCCTTCAAATTGCTGCCCACCATCATCTTCAGCACTATGAACAGCTCTCCATTACTAATGTAGCCGTCGCGGTCAATGTCATAAACCCGGAACGCAAACCGTAGCTTCTCCTCCTTATTGCCCTTGCTGCTAAAGGCAGACAATCCTGAGACAAACTCCTGAAAGTCGACGTCGCCGCCGCCGTCTTCGTCGAAGATAGCGATCATGCGTGTTGCGAGGGGGTTCGACGAGATTTGTGGAAGGGCGAGGAATTCGTCGCGCTCGATGGTGCCGGAGTTGTCCTATGAGCTACTGTAAGCCGCGAGACTCGTAAGAGTGGTCGGATATGGGGCGACGAACCTTGTCCAGCTTCATGAAGCGCTTTCGCAGGCGATCTACCTCCTCACGGTCGACTGTAGCCTGTTAGCATACCCTTTTCAGCCCCGCAGGCGCTCATACGAGCAGTCCTTCTTCCGCACAAGGCACATACAATTCGAGCCGGAGGCTATGTTGTCGAGAAGCCCCGACTGTTGGTTACCCATCTTGGCTGTTTATTTCGCAATAAGAATTGGTGGTGTGGCGAATACGTTTGAGCGTCGCAGTTGTCGTGGGGATGTCAACTTCGAGGTCCCGCCGCTAAGGGTCCATCTGCGCTAATCAGGCAGGAACGCTCCGACGTCAGGCGCCAAGCCCTTCGAGATTCACTTCCGAGGTGCTGCTGCATGCAATTACTGCTATCACTCACGGCAAGCTTTACCATTGTACCGATTTAGACATCATGGCCTCCAACATTCCCAGCGAGATTGCTTCGACATTACAGGGTGCCTCAATCAAGCGCCATCCATCCCCTCGACACGACTTGAACCCATCGACGGCCGCGTCAGAGAAGCAGCCTGTAACCCTCAATACATATCCCGACCCCGATGCCGACTCAGACGTCGCCGAAGATGAGATTCCAATCAGTGTACTAGACCCGGTCCCTCGGCGGAACAACATGCCGCCGCTGCCAGATCTACGGTTTGAACAGAGCTATTTGAAGAGCATTGAGCAGGCACAAGGGTGGCAGGGTGTGCTTTGGATAACACTACGGGACCAGGTATGGTTGAGCAAGGCAAAAATATAGAGTGGTGGATGTTGACGCATACAGGTCATCATGTGCTTCGCGCAAGGAGTGTTATGGACGCTTGTCCTCAACGGCTGGCGGCACTGGAATCGCTCGGCCAAGTTCAGTGGGCAGAGTGTTGGCGCAAAGATACGGAGATGGTGGTGGGGTGTCAACAACTGGTCGGTTCCAAATGCGAAATCACGGATGAACGACTCCAAGTTGTCCAAGAACGTGTCGGAGGTATGTGTTGCCTTCCTGAAAGTCTGGCACTTATGCCCTGCTCAAGCATCTCAGTCAAGCTAATAGAGAACATAGTATTATAAAAGGGAATTCCCGAACGCTGCTCATCATTGAGCGTGTGCGTTGTAGCATTGCATGTACCGGCGTTAGCAATTCAAACATTCTTGCTTGCCCAAGTACAGTTTGGAGGTAGTGATCTAAGATCGCAAAGACTCGCTCATATGTGCATACTTACAGGAGCTTCTAACACCTGTGACTAATCATGGCGTAGGTACATGTTGCATAATACATAACCCTGCGACGGAGTCATGTTCACATTCGTTGTTCTAGTAAACAGTTCGAGCAGTAGTGCCTTCTGGGTTATAAACGACTGAACATATATACACTCCTATCCTAGACGCTGTTACCTAGGTATTGCGCTTCATGTGTAATTGATTACGTCCAATGCTCAGGGCAACACCTGGCAGCTCGATCACATGATAGCGCACTAGCGTGTTATCGATAGCGTGTCATCGAACGCGTCGTGCTACCCAAGTAATCACCTTTCCTAACATCACGCCCTCAACGCTACCCCCAGAGCAGCTCTCACCTCATCGAGATGCTAGTCAGTCACCAATCAAACCCATCATGAAGCCATTCCGGCCTCTCACCCTCGCGCGGGCGAATTCACAGAACGGCGAGCCACCGAACAAAAAGCGAAGGATATCGTCCAATGCACTCCCATCGAGCAATCGCCAGCCCCTCAATACGCTGAGCAATCCCGCGCCAGCACAGTTTCTACCACCCGGCCTCGATGGGAGCTTTTACACTGTACTGTGGCGAAAGTACACGACCAAGAAAAACAAGACATGGGACGGAGATGGCGTGCTTGCTGTGGTCAACGGCTACGCTACGCTCACGGATAGTAGCACAGGCAAAGAGCTAGGAAAGGGGGTGTGCAATCGGCCGCTACTTCCTGGGTCGGCCTTCTCTGTGGGTGGCAAGGAGATTGAGATTGATGGCGTTATCGAGAAGGCGGACTATTTGGCTGGTCGCATGTTCTTGGACACGGCTGCTGCTGCGCCTGTGGGGCAGTCGAAGCATGTTGAACCGGGATACAAGCCATCGTCTTCGAGCAAGTCGAAGGCAGAGAGGACGGACTCATCGGGACGAAACAAGGTGGACAAAACTAGCGACGGTGGGGAAGATGTGTTGGGGTACAAGCCGTCCGTACACCGCAAGAAACATTTCAAGGCGCCTTTACTGTCAAATACGGTACTTCCGCAACGAAACCCGTCGATTCCACAGCCACGCCATGATCCGAACACGCCTAATGCGCTCGTCATGAAGCGACCAACATCGTGTCCAACAGGGAAGCAGATCGTCGACGTGGTAGTCGATCCTGTTGTGAGCAAGCATCTCCGAGACCATCAGCGTGAGGGTGTGCAATTCTTGTACGAATGTGTTATGGGCATGCGGTGTGAGGGCGAGGGTGCCATCATGGCCGACGAAATGGGACTGGGAAAGACACTACAGACAATCGCGCTTCTCTGGACATTGATGAAGCAAAATCCAGTTTACGAAAGTGCACCAGTCGTCAAGAAAGCTCTGATTGTCTGCCCAGCTGGGCTGGTAGATAATTGGAAACGCGAATTTCGAAAATGGCTCGGCAACGAGAGGATAGGGGTCTTCGTCTTGGACAGCAAGAATAAGAAGATTGCCAACTTCACTATGGGAAAAGCATACAACATCATGATTGTAGGGTATGAGATGCTCCGTATTGTGCAAGAGGAATTGAAAAAGGGCAGTGGCGTCGACATTGTCATTGCGGACGAGGGCCATAGGTTGAAGACTGCGAACAACAAGGCAATGCTTGCTATTCAGTCCCTCAACACCGAGCGGCGTATCATCCTGTCCGGTACGCCCCTGCAGAACGATCTGGGGGAGTTCTTCACCGCCATCGACTTCGTCAATCCCGGCCTCCTCGGGCAACGCTCTGCATTCAAGCGCGCATTCGAGGTTCCAATCATGCGCAGTCGTCAGCCAGACGCAAGTAAGTCAGAGCTCGAGAAGGGTGAGGCACGATGGAAAGAGCTCGTCACCTTGACTAGCCAGTTCATCATTCGACGAACTGCAGATGTTCTTTCAAAATACCTTCCGCCAAAAACAGAGCATATTGTCTTTTGCCGACCGACCAAGGGACAAGCAGAAGCCTACCGCGCGATCCTTGCTTCCCCAACCTTTGCGGTCGCATTGGGAAGTACCGACATCGCGCTTCAGCTCATCAACGTGCTGAAGAAGATCTGCAATAGTCCATCCCTGCTCAAATCCTCAAAAGACAACGATGACACGCCGTCAGAGATGTTACAAACACTCATTCCCCTCATTCCGCCGCAAATACTAAACTCGAGTGCGTCGAGCGCCAAGCTACGGCTGCTCGATAGCCTTGTACATCGTATACACACTACGACCGAGGAGAAGATCGTCATTGTGTCGAATTATACCACCACTCTCGACATGATAGAGCGCCTTCTCGTCTCCCTCTCTTACACTTTCCTACGCCTCGACGGAAGTACCCCAACGTCAAAGCGCCAGGCATTGGTAGAAAGGTTCAATAAGACCCCGAAAGCGACTTCGTTCGCCTTCCTCCTGTCCGCGAAGTCCGGAGGCGTCGGTCTCAACCTTATTGGAGCATCGCGCATCGTGCTCTTCGATATTGACTGGAACCCCGCCACGGATCTTCAGGCAATGGCTCGTATCCACCGCGACGGTCAAAAGTTGCCTTGTAAGGTCTACCGGTTCCTAGTTCAGGGTGGTCTGGATGAGAAGATCTACCAACGGCAAGTGATGAAGATGGGGCTAGCCAACGCCGTCGTCGACAACAAAGCCTCTGCATCCTCCTTCTCCAGGGAAGAACTTCGCGACTTATTCCGCCTTGATGAGCGTGAAGGCTGTCAAACGCACGATATACTCGGCTGCACGTGCGATTGCCGGGGCAGTCCGGATATCAAATTAGAAACCGAGGAAGTGGTTTCAACAGACGAAGAGGACGACGAGGTCGAAAAGTACCCGGGCTTGGTAAAAGCGAGTCAGGTCGATATGCATGAACAAGAAGCCAAGCTCGAGGCAAGCCGGGTGGCGAAGAAACCGAAATTACATATGCTAATGGAGTATCGGCATATTGACACGAAGATTCTCAAGCAGGCTAGTCGTGAGAAAGAGACGGAGAACGACGAGGTGGATGTCGATGACATGGCGGTGGCTATTGATGATGATGTATTCCTTGAGGTGCTGAGGGAGCCGGAGTGTAATGTCGGGTTCTTGTTGACCAAGTCGACATCTTAGGTACATAGATCAGTTGCTATCAGAGATCGCAGATGCATTCTAGCGTTTACAGGGAGCATATGCACAGCGTCGGAGTCTAGTGTTTACGGAGTAAGAAAAGGTCCTAGATATCGAAGTGGGATGGTTGTGAAAGTCACGACGGATTCAACGTGTCTGACATGAAGCACATGGTATGTGGGAGAGTTTCCATGTAATCCGAGAGCTTAGACTTCGATAGTTAAGTAACTCGATCAGAAAGGGTTTCAAATACCAATCGGTTAGATACCTATATTATGCAAAGTGATCAGGCACATTGTCTCGGTTCCTCATGTCCGAGAAGAATTATAATGAGATAGAATGTGCTTGGAATTATGAAATGAACTGCCAGCTTTGTTGTCCCAGAGCGATTGTTAAGAGGCAAATCATTCGAAGATGCGAATGCAGCCTGCTAACTAATCCTGTTCCAAAGCACAAGTGAGAAGAGAGAAATTCCTCGCGCACATTGAATGCCGGTGTAAAGAAATACCAATGATATAACCAGTCTTGTTGACTACTTTTCGACTCATGTAAGGAGGAGAACAAGATGGTCAGTTTCCCTATCCCCGATATCGAGTTTCGGATCTCGGTGACGTGGAGTTGATAGCTTTGGACCTTATTGAAATTAGCATATGTATGGAGATTTTCTGGTTGGTTACTTACGGATTCTGTGAAGAGACCAAAGTAATTACTTGTGCTTCTCCTTGTAGCACAACGCGTTTCGGGCGTTATGATCATGGTATTCGCACAGATCCTTAGAGTTGAGGAATCGCTTGATCCCTTGACTCCGGATATATCTTTTCCTTGTATCTGGGCCGATAAGTGCTAGGGCGTCTCTTAGGAACTGTACGTATGGTTTGTCGGAATGAAGAGCCTGGAGATCTCCATTGGTCCATAGAAGAGCGGCGATATCCAGAGCCAGTTTTCGATGGGATGACGATGCGCCTGAGTTGGCGTAGATCACTTCTATCAGCGTCATATCCAGCACTCTATCCGAGCACATCTTCTCAATAGCCAGATCAATCAACGCATCCTTGAAATCATTGTCCTGTAGGAAGTCGCCGAGCTTGTAGCAGTCTTCCCATTCACTCCACTCGTCATCTGGTTGATCCTGATCCACTTGGTCCGACTTGCCAACATCATCCGCCTCAACGTTGTAAAACCTCCCACAATAAAGCCATCTGAAATATATGGCAAAGGGGATGGGTTCAGAAACTGGTAATGGAACGGTTCTAGTCGACGCTTCGATCGAGTTCCCATTCAGAGCGTTCTCGAAGAATGCGGAGCTTGACCGAATGCAAGTCTCGTGCACATAGAATCGTTGCCTCTCCTTGCCAACGAGCACGCTAACAATTTTGGAGTCAAGACTAGATAATCAGCTAAGTTTTTACTATCCTATAGAAGAGAATACTCACTCTGGCCCGTCTGTCATAGGACGCCTCAAACTCTTTGAGTCTGTGACATTGCTCTGTTTGTCACGACCACGCTTTCTTGAAGCTTTGCACCTTTGCATAGTTGTTGAGTATACTCACGAAGAGTGTGGTCGTATAAGGTAGTTAAGAATGTGATGTTCATCTCCAGTAACTAAAATTAGTCCCACAGGATGAAGTGAGAGCGGATAGGCGACGTTAACGTTCAGTATTGTTGGCCTGCGACGTAAATGGGAACCTGCTGCCCTCGTATATGCGATTTGAGACTGTATGAGGAGACTGTGGAGCGGAAGCTTTTATACTTGCTTTAGGAACGAGTGACTCATCTTACAACCATGGATTGCATCAGACTTATTGAAAACTAAAAGGCTGATATCTGGTATACTAATTGGAGAACGATGGGGAGGTTTGATACCATGGTTGGGTTCAACCGCTCGACCTATCCTGGGAGATGAAAGTAATCACAAACATCTCCGCAACTAAAGTATATCCGAAGAACCAACGATAGCTCCAAAGGCGTAAACTCTTTTGAAAACCGGTTTTTTATTGCCCGTGCTAACGTAAGTTCCTAACCTAATTCTCGAAAGTACTCGAGCCTTCATTTGGATTCCTAGAAATTGAATGCAGGCTTCATCTTGTAGCAGGGCTTGTCTGACCCATGATCGTGGTACTTGCACGTATCGTTCAAGTCAAAGAATTTCCCAGCGTCCTTTTCCTTTATACCCGTCTCAAGATTTGGGCCAATCTTGGCCAGAACGTCGCACAAAAATTGCCGCGGTTGGAATGCGTTATTGAATTCGTCTTCTGTAAGCAAATCCGCGTAGTCGTCCCTGTCCCAAACTCGCACGCACGTATCAATAGCCAATTGCCGATGTGCCGAGCCTTTATTGGAGTAGTCGTAGATGTATCGTGCAAGCCCCAGCGGGTAGCAATCGGTCTCCACCATCCTGGTAACGAGGGCATCTATCGTCGCATCCTTGAAGTCGGAATCCTGAAGGAAGTCTCCCGAGGCATAGCAATCTCTAAGACGATCCCATTCCCCGCTGTAAGAGTCGCCGTCGGGACCAATTCTATCGTCCCCATCTTTCATGACAAACATTCGACCCGTGTAAAGCCACTTTGTCCAAATCGTGAATATGGCCGGCTCGACCTCAGATAGTCTGATAATACCGCCTTGGCCTTCTTTCCAGCCCTCTTTGAGCGCATTGTCGAAGAAGGATGATGTGGAGCGGAGCAGCTTCTCATGAATGTAGAACTCATCGTCTGTGCTCCCGACGCGAATGGTAATAGGTCGGAGCTCGATCCTGGTTTAGTCAGCTCGTGAGCCCTATGATCAATTGGAGAAACTTACTGAGGACCTTCGTGCGTTGAAAACCGGATTTTCTTCCTTGGGGGCTCCGGCGTCGTGCTAGATTCGCGACTGCTTTCGCTGGCCCTGGATTCGCGATCGGAGGCGCTCATCGTTCTTGGTAGATGCCGTAATTAGCTGCTTAATGCTGTTGGAAACGAGGAGGTCGAAGCCCGTGATGCAAGAAGTAGTAATACTTGTATCGTATGAAACTCTATGAGGGTGTAAATGGTTCACTGCCCGGTGATGGGTAAAAGAGAGGGTGACAAGAGCATAGTACGAACAACATGTTGTCATGTAGAGAGAAGGGAGGCATGATGGAGCATGATACGAGAAAGAAAGACACCGCCAAGAAGGAAGAGCGGTCAAACACCTGAGCAACTACCACTCACTGGTTGACTCAACACAACATCGACTAATCATGCACAGTGAGTGAGTGACGCAGGATAACAATGTAGATATAGTATATTCAAATTGAGACGTATACACTACATCTGCAGATATGAAGCAGAAAATAACCGGGTATCCTTGCGCCAATATTCGTCACACTTCATAGAAACACATGCGCAGCTTGGGCTAGCGCTCTGATAACAACATGAGGAAAAAAGGAAGGAATTTGTCGAGGCGCTGATGTAGCTGGTACGAGCAGTCTGGGCCGAAGGGAAATATGGACAAGAAGAGAAACATTCCGACGTAAGGAAATGTGAAAAGTAGGACATCGTATCCTAGGCACGTAGCCATCCAGCAATGTAGCTGGTATCGCGCTTCGTCACTCTTGCACCTGTCGTGAGGGGAGATCAGAGTCCACCCATGTCGACTTCGCGGGCGAGAAAGTCAGCTTCCTCGAAATCACTCCCACTCCCTACCGCAATGCGTCTTTCAACCCTCTCCACGTTCTCGTCAAATTCCATGTCCATATCCTCATCGCTCATCAGCGTCCTTTGGCCTGCCCTTCGGGACTTTGGCTGCGCAAACTGTCGGACTTGCGGTAGCATATTGATGCTCTGCGACGGCGTCTCACTCAGTGGGCTCACAGGCACGTCATCCATGTCCGCACTCAGCCCTTTCATGGGTATCGCAAAGAAGAAGTTGGTGGTCAGTGGTTTATCATCTTCGTCCTGCCATGAGCGTTTCGATGGATTCAGTGAACTCGAGAGTCGCTGCGAGGATGTTGAGTACCCAGAGTCAGTGGACCCTTGCGACGAGAAGGGCTGTGTGAAGGCTTCGGCGGGGAGGGGAAAGAGGTTCGAGGCTCGTATGCCGGTCGAGTCGAAGCCGCCGTAGAGGTGTATATTCGTGGTTGGTTGTTCTGCGTATCCGCCGACCTTGTGCAGTCCGCAGAATGGCAGCAACTCTCGCTGGTGAACAAAGTCGTCGGGCACAGCGTCGCGCGGGGGTTTGACCTCGAGGCTAACAAGTGTTGTTGAGGGTTTGGACATGGTGGTATGGATCGAGGGCAGGGTGGACATTTTGTGCGTCTTGTAGCCCTCAGGCACGCTCTTTCTGACTCTCATGCCGACGCTGAGCAGGTCTGCTTGTACCTGTCCCGGCACTTGTGGTAGGAGAGGCTCTCGCTGTTGTTGCGCTGCTCTGCTGTGCTGCTGTTGTCGAGGGCGGGTAATCGGATCTAGGCCCCGCAGATCCTCGTCGTCCTCAAAATCGTCTCTCAGCGAGAAGAAGCTCGTTATACTTGGCTGGAACTTTCTCTTGCTTCGGTGTTCAGCCGTCGAATCTCTCATATGCATGGTCGAAGGTAAGCGAGTGTGGGAGAAGAGGGGAGATTAGAGTGTGGGCTGAGGCAAGGCGACAATGCTGAGGAGGGGGAATTTCTGATGCGCGAGATGCACGCTCGAGCCAACTTTTCGGGGGCTGAAGGGCAGCGCCGGGATGCAGGGTAATCGTAATCAATTGGTTTGCTAAGAAGGGAATGGCGGATAGAAATCGACTCAGCGTGCAGTTGGCGACTATGGACGGAGGATGAAGAAAGTCGGACGATGGGGCCTCGACCTGGCGGACGGATGACGCCAGTTTGATGAACAAGTGGAGGCGTGCGGATCTCTCGCGGTACTGACGCGAGATATGGCAATCCGCAAGCGGCAATTGGCAACTTCTTTGTACGCGTTGAAGCTTCCAACAGCCGATCCACAATCAACGTGGAGCCCTTCCACCGTGCGTGCTTCGGAGCACCCGTCAATGTCTGAGATATCTGAAATATAATGTAGTCGCAACACAACGCTAACTGCCGCAGAAACTGTCTCACACTCGCTGTCTTTAGAGTAGAGAGACATGTCTTTTGTCGCGCTTGCTTGTCCCCATGAATCTCGACAAATGGTAACCGATTGGCTTTTTCGAATTGCTTCCCAACAACCACGTTACAACGCTTGCTAACCGGCAAGATCAGCAATCGTTCTTGGCTGTTCGGCGACCAAGAAACGAAACAGATTGAATGCGTATAGTAGCATGAAGCGAACAAAGACTCGAGCTGTTAGTGTGCGTTCCGCAAAGAGATGCTTACATGCATGGGCTTTGTCATCTTCTCATCGACTTTCAGACGCACAAAACACAGCATAGTTGGCCGATGAAGACGACTTAATCATTCGGGTATTATCAGACTACAAGAGGAATAACATGTCCATCATCTGATGGTATAGGACTAATAACGCCAGAACACCTGTTCACCTTTGGTCCGAGTTCCACCCGCGCATCTGACTCGCACATGAATGCGGCCTCCAAAAAAACAAGCGTACGCCGAGTCCTTAACCTCAATGCAGCTGTACACGAGCTACTTTTCCAGTACATACCCCACAGACGCGTCACTGTGCGGCTACTTTCCTCTCTTCACGCACCCATGACGACCCATCTTCTCAAGACTGCACGCTACCCATCTCAATACCCTCCTTCCTGCTCTGCCTACTCGCCCATTTATCCGCCAACCACGTAACGATTGTTATCCCCATACTAGTGCCCAACAACAGGAATATCGTCAATGTTCCATACAGGGCGAACTTGCTCTCCTGGCACAAACTCTTGAAACTCGCGTTGCCCATGTCGCTAGGCATCTTGATGTCCTGCGGCAGCGGTTGGCTGCTCTTATATTTGCACGTCCAAGTCTGAATAGTGTCGACTTCGGGCGCGTTGTGATTGAGGATATGTGCCCAAACCACGGTGACGAGGGTGAGGAGGAGAGAGGGGAAGATCGTGGCAAGGGAGAGTAGGGCGCGAAGGGTGTACTTTTGGCGAAGGGCGAGCTGGGCATTGTTAATAACGTCTCCTCGAAAGTGGTTCTCAGACTGAGACATACCTTTGGGACAAATGAGGCAACCAGGAAAGCACCGCAGAGCACTAATGTCACAACAGACGAAGCGACCAACGCCTTCATGCCCTGTGTATCGAAATGCTGGGGCCATAGTGGTAGCCACCATGGATTGGACGGCTGTTGCTTATTGAATACATCGAGAGTATGTGCCGATGTACCAAGAGTCGCAACACTGAGCGCAACGATGAGGCCAGTGATGATAGCCTGTGCTAGGTGGAAAGGCGCGGGGTTGATCTTCATCTTTACTGCTCCCTACTCTTATTCCAAATATCTTCAAGGATGGTGAAAGATCGACTGGAGTTTGATAGAACTGTAAGGGTCGAATCGATGAGCAGGTGTCAACCAGGAGCACCCAAGCGTTCAAAATGAAGGACGGACTGAATGAAACAACAAAGGGCGACGCTGAATATAACTCGGGGTACTGGTTGCCTGTGAGGAGTAAGAAACACTTGAGGGGTGAACGATGACTTTAAAACGACTTGGTCGCAATGTGCGTTTCACGCCCACACAGAACACGCATACCCCCATGTCTAGATGTGCACACCAGAATAGCTCTTCACGACAAGAAAAGGACGGTAATTTGCCTTGCCGCTGCAACGCACATTGGTACCTGGGTCAGCCAGCGGCGTTATGCTGCTTTGGTGCGTGGTGTTGTTATTCACAGCGCGTAAGACGCACACCACTCCTAGAATAGCGATATTAGCCTGCATATCAGCTGGCGACCTTGCCGGAAGCATCTCAATTAGCTCCCTCGCCCTTCCCTTGTGGCCCCCATCCAGGCCAGTTAACCACTGATAGTGCCGATCATCCGTAGAGTTAAGCACTGTGGCTTGCTAGTCGCTCCATTCGAAGCCAGCTACGTAGAGTTTGCTATGGGGCATGGGCGTTTCCGTGCGCGTGTCGAATAGGAGCGCAGAGGGGGCCAAATGCAGGCGTGAAACCCAGAACGCAGCATGGGCGCTTCGAGAGTCGAAGTGGAGGTGCTGATTCAGGGCAGGGCTCGGCGCTTACAGGATGGTAGGGTGAGGTGATACTGCATGGTGATTGGCTAAACGATCGTAGATGGGATGAGGGACTAGAAAAGGAACATCGAATTGCAAGATCGTTGGATACGGTAATTAGGATTGATGAGATGTATGGTATTTCCGAAAACAAGAACCACTGAAGCACTAAAGGCTAGTTGAAGTCGAGTCAGTATGTACGCAGAAGTGTACCGGTGCTGATGGAGTGGTACAGTATTCTATTCACGTCAACGCCCCGTGCCTTGTAGTACTGAAGCGCTTGTCAAAATAAACAATAAAGTCGTTCAGGGCGGCAGACGTAACGTAGGAGCCTTTGCGGCACTTTACTCCACACCTTGGGATCAACGCCACACTGAAATGAAGCATGGTTCGCGCTATGAGAGTTGACCTGTGAGACCTCCAAAGCCCCACTTTCGTCTCCCTGAGCTTTGTGCTTTTGCTTTGCCTTTCTTCGCGGCTTCGAGAGAATGCTCCTTCTCCCATTGCTCGTCGGCTTTGTATGCAGCAATCGCTTGTTCTAAATTGTAGTTTGCTTGGTCCAAATATAGAAGAGCGACATCGTATCTGTGAGAACAACCAGGTTAGCCTTGTTCTATGTCATGTTGCATATCTCATGGGTGTCGCTTACTCTGCAACCTTACATCCCATCATGAACTTTCTTAGCTTCGTCTTCTTGATCTCCTCCTCCTCGCCCTCCAATGGTCGCGGACTGAGACTGACCCCGCCCTTGTAATGTTCTCCAGGTATGAGTATTGTCCTACGTGCGGCTAGCAGATGATCTGCAAACAAATTGTTTGTCCGCCGTAGTGCGTCGGCGGGTACACCGTATCGTAGCGATAATGAGCTTATCGACTCGTTGTTCTGATCGACGAAATGCAGGACGTCAGGCGCGTTTTCGGGGTTCGACGATGACTTCTCTGGCGGTGGCTGTAGAGCGCTGTGTGCCGAATAAGGCGGTAATTCATCGTCTCCCTGCTGCTCGGCTGGTGGCGAATATGTTGGCGGATCTCGCAGTCCCTGTGGTGGCAGCGGTGACGGACCAGTAGCTATCTGACAGAAAGGACAATATGATGCGAATCGAGGATTATCTGTTAGACATCGGGCGCATATGGCGCGACCGCAGCACTCAAGACGGCGCTCGAACTGCGATGGTTTCTCGGTCTTCTCGTCATAGGTTGGCGGAATAGAAGACAAGAGAGCAGCGCAAGTACAGCAAGCTTCAGACATGATGTAGGTAAGAAAATGCAGTTGGAGGAACAGTAGAGATTCTACACGGATTACTCGAAGAGACACTGGGAGGCAAAGGTGATGCTACGTCATGACTAAGGTGGTTAGCGATTCGCGTCCTCACGTGTGATAGTGACAAAAGTTCTAGTGATGCGCTGAGGCTCGTTCGAGATGCCAAAACGTTCTCTAGGTTGTAACGAGGGTATGTCTTTAGTTCCTCCGAGACTGTCGGCAAGTTGGCGATGTTCGAGTCTGGTGTGTGCTCTGCCGCGAAGGTTAGGCTGAGTCGTAGCTGCCAAGTCGAGCCTCGCTAGTCGAAAAGCACGGGCCAGGGGACCACATCAAATTTGCCCACCCCAAAGCGAACTTTTCGTCCACCGCCAACGCTCTACCGCTCACCACCTACACCTTCACGAGGTATGTCCATGTCGACCCCGAGTGCCCTTCAGAGAGCCAGGGGAAGCACTCGCAGTCTTCCGCCAGGATGAATGCGACACTGCTTCTCCTCTGCGACACGAGCTGAAGAACCCTCAAGCTGCGCGCACTGAGGGCACTCTCCATGCTCTGGCATCTGGAGGCTAACCATCAACTTTTCAGATACCTCAGTCGCCCATCGCCATTGAGAATCTTCCTCTACAACCGCCAAAATGGTCAAGACTTCCGTGCTCAACGACTGCCTCAATGCCATCAACAACGCCGAGAAGGCTGGCAAGCGCCAGGTCCTGATCCGCCCGTCCTCCAAGGTCATCGTCAAGTTCTTGACCGTCATGCAGCGTCACGGTATGTTTTGTCCTTTTCGTTTTCGCATCTTGCATATACACACCCCTATACACCTGCACACCTCTCTTCGGGCTGATAACTAGGCAATGATCTCGCATTCTACACGATCTTTGCCCTTTAAGTGTCCGATATATTAAATCCTACGGAGAACTTACACATCCTCTGAACCTTTTCATGACGTACGATGTTTAATTCGCCGCAACATACTAACGACGCTTTCAGGCTACATCGGCGAGTTCGAGGAGGTCGACGACCACCGCAACGGCAAGATCGTTATCCAGCTTAACGGCCGCATCAACAAGACCGGTGTCATCTCTCCCCGCTACAACGTCCAGCTCAACGACTTGGAGAAGTGGGTTGTCAAGCTGCTGCCGTCGCGTCAGTTCGGCTACATCGTTCTGACCACCTCGGCTGGTATCATGGACCACGAGGAGGCGAGGAGGAAGCACGTTGCTGGCAAGATCCTGGGTTTCTTCTACTAGATTGCGCGATTGATGTGGGGGATGCAATATACCCGGTGCCTAGGCAGGCAGATATGTTTGGCTAGGTAGTCCATCATGGCAACGATAGAACGAAGAAATGACAAAAACTTCATGATCTACGGCAATACTTGTTTTCATCAGCCATGTTGTTGTGTTGCTTTTGACTGTGATGTGTAACAATAAACCTCGTTGTTTGATGTGAGGCTGATGTTGAAACGCCAGCATGCGTTAAAAGATTCTGACTAGGTACCATTCGTTATTGGTGTCGAGCTCATACCTACCACTTCAAGTTTCGGTTGTCACAATTTCAGTCGAGTATATATTATCTTCAAGTCACGTAGGATCTTTTTATGAGTACAAACGTTTCAGGTAGTACTTTTCATGTTTACTATATACAAACAGTCAACCCCAAAGAGCTGACCAGGATGTCTACTACACGCTTCTACTTTTCACCATTATTCATCAGCCGTAAATCATAATCTCAAGGTATGCATCTAGCACCCAATCTTCTCTGAAATGTCAAACTCCAAAACGCCCAAGCTAGCAGATGCCACCAACGTCTAATTTCGCTAACCGCCATATTTCCCATCCTTCTCCGTCAAGTACGTTTACTCATAAAGATCCATACCGCCATCCTCGTCCTCCAGCTCCGCTATAGCGTCATCCTCATCATACATCTCCGAATCCTCTTCGCTCTCGGTGTGGTTAGGCAGGACTAGGATATGTCCATCGTCGAGCACCACCCTCGCCGTCTCACCATCCTTGATGGCACCCCTCAGGATTAGGACAGCAAGACGGTTCAAAACCTCCTTCTCGATAAGTCTAGCAAGTGGTCTCGCACCATACGCCGGCGAATACCCAGCGCTACCGAGGTAATCGCGCACCTCGGTCGTCATTTCTATGCGTACGTTGCGGCCGTTGGCGCTGAGACGCTTCTGTATCTCTCCAAGTCGCACGTCGACAATCTTCCGAATCTCACGCCTTGTGAGGCGGTTGAAGATGACAATGGAGGAGATACGGTTCAGGAATTCGGGGAGGAACCAGTTCCGCAGCGCACCCATGACCATTTCCTTGGTTGTCGGATCAATCTTGCCATCTGGTGCATTAGGTCTGCTCAGATGCTCGGCACCCAAATTGGATGTCATAACAACGATGCAGTTCTTTGCGTCGACAACTCTGCCCTGCCCGTCGGTGATGCGGCCATCGTCCATGAGCTGCAAAAGCACAGTCAAGACTTCCTTGGCGGCTTTCTCGACCTCGTCGAACAGCAGAATGGAGAACGGTTTGCGACGCAAGGCCTCTGTAAGCTGGCCTCCTGCGTCGTGGCCGACGTACCCAGGTGGAGCGCCGATCATTCGTGACAGCGAGTGCCGCTCTTGGTACTCAGACATATCGAAGCGAATCATTGCCTTTGCATCGTCGAATAAGAACTCCGCGAGGGCTTTTGTAAGTAGCGTTTTACCGGTACCGGAAGGACCGCAGAAGAGGAAACTTGGCGGTTGATTTGGGTTGGCGAGACCGGAGCGCTGGAGGCGGATAGCGTTGGAAACAGACCCAACAGCCTCTCTCTGGCCGACAACGATTTTGCTGAGATGGCGTTCCATGTTGAGCAGCTTATCTTTCTCGGTCGTCTTGAGTCGTGTTACGGGAATACCGGTCCAACGACCGACGATCTCGTTGATCTGATCTGGCCCAACTGAGTCGCTCATGAGTGCCTCGCCTCCTCCACTCGCCTGGTGCGTGAACATCTCAGCGTCTGCTCGAGCTTTCTCAAGCTCAAGCTCATGGATGCGCTGTTCCACGTCGGGGATAGCGTAGTACTTGAGGTCTGAAGCGGTCTGAATATCGCGCATACGTTCCGCTTCGGCCAGCTTAGTTTTGAGGAGGTCCAGTTTGAGTTTTTGCTCTTGAATGTCCTTGCTGCGTCCCTTTTCACGTTCGTACATCTCACGAAGTGGTTTCAACTCTTCCTCGATGTTGGCTGCCTCTGCTCGAGCCTCCCTGAGACGGACTTGTGAGGCTTCGTCCTTTTCGCGGGCAAGAGCGTGGACTTCAATCTGCAATTGTCGGTGACGGCGTTCGAGATTGTCGAGTGCTTCAGGTTGCGATTCTCGGGTTACGCGAACAGCGGCTGCTGCCTCATCAATCAAGTCGACCGCAGAATCCGGCAGACGTCGCTGGGTAAGGTAACGCGCGGCAAGCGTGGCAGCGGAGACAATAGCGCCATCCATGATGGTGACACCGTGATGCGTCTCATATCGCTCTTTGAGACCTCGGAGAATGGAGATGGTCTCGGGAATGGAGGGCTCCTTGACCAGTACTTGCTGGAAACGACGCTCGAACGCTGCATCCTTCTCGATGTACTTCCTGTACTCGCTAAGAGTCGTAGCACCGATACAGTGGAGTTGTCCGCGAGCCAGCATGGGCTTCAACAAGTTAGCAGCATCCATGCCACCCTCTCCAGACGAGCCAGCACCCATGAGCAGATGGATTTCGTCCACGAACAGTACTATCATGTCCTTGGACTCTTCAATCTCTTTGAGAACACCTTTCATGCGGTCCTCAAACTCTCCGCGGTACTTGCTACCAGCGACCAGGGCACCGACGTCAAGGGAGAGCAACTTGCAGGCTGCAAGGTTGGCCGGTACGTCTGCGTCGACGATTCGGCGGGCAAGACCTTCGACGACTGTGGTCTTACCGACACCGGGCTCTCCAATCAGGACAGGGTTGTTCTTGGTACGTCGCATCAAGATCCGAACAACTCTTCTTGTCTCTTCTTCTCGGCCAATGACCGGGTCAATCTTGCCTTCTCGTGCCATTGCCGTCATGTCGATAGTGAATTTCTTCAAGTTCTCGTTATCCTCCTCCGCATCCGCCGTCTTTGAGTCGACCCGCTTAGTTCCCCGAAGCGCCTGAATTGCATTGTCAATCTGCTTAACGTTCGGTACGTTGGACTCGGCAAGTGCGCGTTGTATCGACGACTCCTGGCATAGCGACTGGATGAGGTGGTCGACCGCGATGTAACTGTCCTTCTGCGTCTTGCTCAGATCTTCAGCAGCGCGAAGTACCTTGGCCATGGCAGGTGAGGGTGACGTGCGCTCTGGTGGCGGGTCCTGGCTCGGTAACCGTACCAGAGCCTTCTTGAGATTGCGCTCGAAGAGTTGTGCGTCGCCATTTGCCCGGTCGAGAACTTGCTTGAATAGCGGTGGTGGTGGTATGTCGACTTGGTTTGCAAGGTCTTTTGGTGGATCTATCAGCGAGACTGCGAGGTGAATTGGCGTGAGTTGTGAGTGAGCATAGCTCTTCGCCAGGTCGAAGCTGTCTGCGAGACCCTTCGCTGCTCGGTCCGTATAGGCGTCGAACGAAGTCATTGTGTTTCGTGTCTACAGCCTTGTATATATTATATATGTGGCGTGAGGCCGAAGAACCGTGGTGTGTGAACCTATTCGAGGTTTCGTATGGGTTGGTATATTGGGTATCTCTGAAGATCAAAAGATGCGTCAAGGAGCAGCGAGGGATATATATATATGTGTGTGATCCAAGGCAGAGCTTCGTGAAAAAGCAGGAAGCAACCAGTCGGCTCGTGTGATTTCTCGACAGGCCTCGAAGGTGGTGATATCCACCTGCCCCAGCGAAACTTCTGGACGCTGCTGCAAGTTTCGGCCAACCCCCGCCAGGTACGTCATCTCGCACTTGCCACATCTGGTATAGTCAACATCCCCACTCCAAGACTCCAGGGCTGTCAACCTGCGCCCGAACACTCACATCTGCCCAACATTCAGCCTTACCTAGACGTGGCTCAATACAAGGCAACCCTCTGCATCGTTTCCACCTCTCAATACGCATCCCAAGGCTATGAGTACAGCCACTTGCGGCCTGACTTCCTTAGACCCACTACCCTTCAGCCTGACGGATCACGGAACTTATTATACATCCAGGTGCTGACTGGAATACACTCAAGTTGCCGAGTACTCGGACTTTTGTCGCGTCATGCTGTCTGAGACTCGCGGACTATGACCATCTGCAAGGACCTTCTACGGCTCAGGTCTCGAGTCACAACTTTGTCCTGCATGTCGCGAAGCCAGCTCCCACCTCTCAAGCTGAGTCAAGCGGGGCTAGGTGCTGATGTGCATAATTATCTATCAACTGTTTATGGCGCAACCTTCGGGTGCTCTTATTGTAATACCTGCAATATTGATTAGTCGGTTTTTACAGCGTATTGGTCGGATATACAGACACTGACATGTCACATACACTGCTGATTGGATTTGCCAACCAGCACTGCGCCACGCAGTTCACATGACACCACCGCGTTCCTCATAAGCTTCAGCCTGGTCCGCTCTTGACGACGACCCTCATCCGTCCTCCTGCGAACATCCTACAATATGCCTATCACGTCGAACGAACTTTTGTGCAACGCATGTCAAGGATTATTCAGCGATGAGTTTTATGATAAGAAAACGAGATACTTCACCCTTCACGCCAGCGCCGAAGGTTTCAAGGAAGCACTCGACTTGCCTTGCGCGCTTTGCGTGCGTATCTGGCTAGAATTGACGCGCAAATATAGTATGCTTGCGAGCCTTACGATGTTAGAACTCTACTAATCGCACGAAAGGACTCACGGTTGATATGGTGGGTAGAATTAGGTATCGTTTACTAATGAGTGATCGTGGCTGGATCATATTTTACGACAGAAGTAATCACAGGGCCTCACTCAAGCTTGCAGCTCGAGAAAGTGACGCGTATAGTCCTAGCACTCATTCGATGCACAAAGTAAAACTCGAGCACGGCGCGCAATCTTATGGAGAAAACACTGGACATGTTTCAGCGTTAGGTTTTCTGCAGTCTCAGTACAACACTTGCCAGGAAAAACATACTGTATGCCGAGCAAACATGCCAGTCGATGCATTCATGCCCACAAGATTGGTAGATGTCCGCCATGGCGGTGAACTCGTACACCTTCTCGAACGTCCTGAGAAAGCGTCATATGTCACTTTATCACACTGTTGGGGAGGACTCAAGCCTTTTGCTCTCACCAAAAGTACAGCCACCCAGCTGAAAGATGGCATTCTTATTAGCTGTCTCCCGAAGACATTTCAAGACGCCATTGCGGTTACTAGGAAGTTTCAAATGCGATACATCTGGATCGACACCCTGTAAGCTAATTTACAACTTCGATTACGTCTAGGAAGAGGACTAACTAGCCCTAGCTGTATCTTCCAAGACGACGTGGACGGACGTGATTGGGCCTTTGAGGCTGGCCGCATGAAAGACACCTACAAGAGAGCGGCTTTTTGTATTGCTGCCACAGCTGCCGAGAACGGAAACGCAGGCCTGTTCTATGAGCGAGATCTACGAGCCCTAACACCCATCAAAATCAATTTCGAACCCGGTCTTTCTTCGTCCTATGCAACAACATGCGGCTCGAGGTCACCTCTTGCGGGCCCTTACTGGATTGGGTGTGAGCAGTCAACACGTGTCGCGATTGATTCTGCATGCCTTAACCGGAGGGCCTGGGTAGCTCAGGAAAGGTACTTGTCACCAAGAATCATGCATTTCACCCAAGAAACCTTGTTTTGGGAATGTCATGAGTCTTTCAGGTGCGAATTTTCTCGCCATGAAATATCATGGGGCAACCGAGCTCATGCATTAAAACCCCTTATCAGCAATTTCCGGGAACGCTTCCCAAATCTCGAACTTTTAGGCCAAAGAAGTAAAGTTGTCGCGGAGTCGACCAACCTCCGTAACCAATTCTATGATGCTTGGCGCAATTTTCGCACCGCATACACGCACTGTGGAATGAGCAAGGAAAGCGACGTTCTAGTAGCCTTGCAGGGTGTTTCACAGGATGTTGCCGAAGTGTTGAATGAGCGGATGATTGCAGGCCTTTTGGAGTCGCATCTTGTCGCAGAACTGTGCTGGTACAACAGTTGGAGTGGGACTCTGAAGGACTCCCATAGGCCGGCCAAATGGCGAGCACCAAGCTGGAGCTGGGCCAGCACCATGCTACCAATTGGATTTGGCAGCCTTATCGGACTTAAAGAGCAGCATGACATGATCAAGATTATCGACTCTCACGTGGAGAGTAGACCGTCTGGCGAGCTTATACAAGCCTCCTTGTGGATAGAATGTCGGCCTCTTGCTGCTGAGATTCGTGGTTCATTTATCCATATCGATGGGGTTACAAGGCAGCAGTCTGGAAATCCCACGCTCGACTCCAATGACAGAGTATATGTCATGTTGGACGATCCAATTCCCAATGGCAAGGATGAGAAGAATATACGCAATGTGTATATAGTCATAGTACGCCATGTTAACGACGGAAACGGAATCGAAGGCCTTGTGTTAGTGCCTTGCGAAGAGATGGACGAGAAGACTTGCAACCCACACTATCATCACGACACTCGCGGCTTGCCCTATCTTGAGAAAAGCGAGCGTTTCCAAAGAATTGGCATATGCGACACTTCGTCGCTGAATGAATATGCCGAATACGGGAAGCGACTGCTAATAAAACATGAGCAAACCGAGAGCCGGATCATCGAGTTAGTGTGAACGACACGGGGAGGAGTGGTACAAATTGACTGTCCAGATTTCTTTAAATAAACGAACGGGACTTCTTTTCTCAAGTCTGATTTTGTGTTATTTCCTAAACCTGATTGAGAAGATGAATTAAAAATATATATTCGTGAAAGGTTTTAAGCCAGTCCTAAGGGTCAAGACTCCTACCTCCTACACCTGCTACTACACACCTGCTACTACACCCCTCCCCCTTCCTTAAAACCTACCACAAATCCAATCAACAGCACGAGCAATCTCTCTACCGGCCAATTCTCAGAAAATCTCATCATGCTCCATTCCATTTTATTTTTACCTATAAAATATCATTTCTCACAGCTGAAAACAAACACCCGAGTAAGCAAAGTTCTATCGCGATCACAAAACAACTAATAGAAAAGGGGGTTTTCATATATACTGTCATTTTACTGTAGGTTATGTGATGCGAGTAGGTGTCCTTGTCGCAAGATGATGTCTCAAATGCATGGCGCCGCGTGTCTTGTGAAAGACTTGATGGATCCGCAACGTGACGCCTGGAGAGTAGTCTTGTTCCCACCAGATCGTCCAAGACATAATATATGTTTCTCTTTGACATTGACATCTTCACAACTGAGATCTCGGATAGGCTTATTTCCATAATTGTCATGCATGTCCTCTCTCACACCATAAATTGACCGAGCCTCTCCTTCGATCCCGCACCCACCCACTTTCTCAAAGCCACCGTCTTTCCAGCAGCCTAGCAGTTAGTACTCGACAATCTTGAGCTTCTTGTGCAACTCCTCTGGCAACTCCTCGGCCTTGACGATGCCCATGCGGAGTGCGTCGCCCCAGAGAAACATTGCTCGATCATGAGCATACGCGAGATAGTCGAACTCTTCTTCATCCTGGGACTTGAATAGATCAGTCTCTTGCTCAGTTTGAACTTTTGCATCGCCCTTTTCCTCCGCCTTTTCTGGACTCACTAAACCGTTCTTTTCCTCTTCTTCCGCTTCCGCTTGCACCTCGGCCGTGGTGCTCTCTAACTCGTCTTTTGTCGCGCTCTTGTCAGTGCCTGCGTTGTTGCTCTCTGCTTCGAAATCCGGCATGCCCGGGATGTGCGCCTGGACAATACCCCAAGCGACCCACATAGCTGAATTGGCTAGTCGCCAGAGCTTCGTCTCGGCCATCAGACGCCGGCACTCTTCTTCCGTCTTCCGCTCAGCCTGGGCTTCCTGCTCCTGGTACGACGAGTGTTTCTCACCCGGTGGTGCACGGGAGTCGAGCATGAAGGCAGAAATAGTGCTCGGAGCCGCAGTTGCGGTCAGGGCGGTGGTGCTACCAGATGAAGGTAACGGTCCAAGGTGAGGAGTCGTAGGGTTAGAAGTGTAGCCACCTTGGGATTTGTAAGAAGGGTTGTGCAGCAGATATGCTCGGATGAACCGATGTTGCTCTTCAACCGTGGGGTAGTATTTGGTCTTGCAACGCCACGCGCCTTCTGCGTCGTGATAATTATAGGTCCATTCGGTCTAAATATAATCAGCACCCATACTTCCATGAATAATTTATACGAGAATGAGGATAAATGAAATTGTTCGCTTACGAAGTGGTTCGCGAACTCAAGACCAGGAAGATTTGCGTTTGCGTATTCGAAGTCGATGACCACGAGCTGCTTGTGCTGGTTTGCTGGTAGCAGAAGAGGCGACTCGCCTTCCGGCTCCATGCGGAGAATGTTGCCATACTGGGTCTGTCGCGTAGTATGGTTAGCTTCTTAATTTTGCACAACGCTATAGTGGGCGACTCACATCATTGTGGGAAAAGACCATCCGCTCGTTGATCTTCTCTAGTCCGCCATACTGGTTTTCTAGCCACGTTCGGTACTTCTCAACGGTCTGCCTAAAGATGGGCCATTGGACGCCGCACACGAAGCCCCTCTCCTTCCACCTGCCAGTGGCGGATTGCGTAGCGTCCTGCTTGCTCTCAAGAATCTGCTGATCCAGCCAGGTCACGATTTGCTCGCATCGGTCGACCCACTTGTCCCAATTCTGCCATACGAAAGGGCCGGCTTCTCGCTCGTGCTTCAAGAGATCGATTCCCTCGTGCAGCTCGCGCATACGCTTCGCAATCTGGATAGAAGTCTCCTGGATGCGCAATTCCTTGGCAGTGAGGGCTTTTGCGTTAAGAAACTCCTCGAAGCGTCCGTTCTGAAATGTGCCAAGTAGTCGTGGGCCGATGCGCTTGCGTGCGAGTCGTGTTAGAATCTGCAACTCGGATTCCCGGTCGATTAAATGCTCCACCTGCGGGCCGTAGATACGAAGCAAAAGCTTACTGAAGACTGTCAGCTAGGGCATGGCCTGAGAAAGAAGCACTTACGGGGGCGGGTTCTTTGGCTTGGGCGTGCCATCTCCGCTTTGTCCTTGCGCTGGTAGATTCTTGGGAGGCGAAACGACGTAGACGGCATTTGTCAATGCACCGCTCAGTCTCTGCACGTCAATTTCGTCGTGCAGGTCCATGGGTATCTTTCGCCAAGCCTTTAACTTCAAGGTATGAGCAATGCGAAGAATCTCGAATCGGAACTTGGTCCAAGCCTCCTTCTCCTTGCGTGCCCTCCTCTCAGAATCTTCAGTCACAGGATCGTCAGTGGGTTCATCAATACTGTACGCCATCGTCTTTGAGTTGTCTAGGACGACATCGCAGCCAGGGACGAGCTGATCTACAGACTCAATGTGGTCTGAGTCTAGCGAGATGGCAGAATGCCGCTTCAATCCCGTAGAAAGTCTGCGAATATGCTGTGACCGTTTCTTAGCTTCGGCTGGCTTAATAGCCAACGTCTTCTCCAAAATATGGGCTAACTGATCAAGCGAAACAGAGCCTGTGGACGACTCGGATCCACTCCTTCCTCGAGTGCCAGAGGGTTGATCAGTCGTTTCAGCAGTAGTGCCCTTTGCAGCTTCATCGTCATGACTGACATCTTTGGCAGCCTTTCGCTTCGCCCTACGTGCGTGACGTCTGGTTCGCTCATGCTTGAGCCACGCCCCGACCTGTTTCAGCAGATTTTCGTGCGCATGGTGGCCGTGTGGGGTAGTAGTATCTGCGGAGCTATCCGAGAGGAGGGAAGACAGCGAAGGATTTCCCTCTGCGGGTGCTGGTTTGTAGGAGCTCAGACGCTCAGTAGATGGCCTTCCAGATAGTCGCTTGCGGCTTATGCTTGCAGTGTATTGCTTGGTAGTCTTATCAAGATCAAGGTAGTCTTTCTGGTCAAGTTCCTTATTCTTGCCAATCATCAGCGGCGAGATGCTTTCATCGGGAAAGGAAACAACTGTGAGGTTGCGATAAGCAGGTATTCAGTCTGACGCAATGGGATAGGCTGAATGTGCTAGTTTGTGCTTCATATCATATCGATTGCAGAAACTGGACTGTCCTGTCCTGCGTGAGATACTCATTGGGGTCAGGACCGACCTGTAGCCCACGCAGAAGCGGAGTTCACGATACGAGGCGATCTCAAAATGCAATCGAAAAGGGAGCAAAACCCGTCGCCTAGCCACAAAAGGGGAGACAATGAGGGGTACGAAGTGTGTGGTCGCGTGGGGTCGAGCAAGAACAAATCCTCCAAGGAAACATGAAAACGAACCTTTGGCCGACGGGGGTTGCGGTGACGTGCTTTCATCATTCGCGGCGGTACAAGAGCTGGGCTCCTCCTCTGTAGCCAAGCTTCCCTCTGGCTGCTGCTGCTGCGTCTGCTGCTGCCAATGAGAAGACGACGCCATCGTTTTTTCGCCTGACACGACAAGCTCGGGACAACAAGCCAGACAAAGATCGGATCGGATCGCCCGTGTGTGAGTGAGACCCAACAAGCAAGCAGTGGGCAATTTCCTGGATAATCGCCTCGTTCGTTCGTTAATTGTTTGGCCTAGTGTGTGGTTTGTAGTGTTCGGGCGCTTTTGCGTGGGTGGCGGTTTGGCTTATCGATATCTAGCGCGGTGCTACTAGAAACGTCGGCTCGCAATCTGAGGAGCGCGCACGTGCGAGGTTGACTGGCGCAGGTGAGAGGACACTGCGCTCTCAACAATCTTCGAAGTGGTAATTTGAAACGGGGAGGATCAGAGTTTGGGGTGTGGGTAAGTGGGTAGCTGGAGGGCTGGCTTGCTTTTGTTCGCTCACTCGCTCGCTCGCTCTTGCCCAACTGCTTTCCTAGGTCATTTGGGCGTAGGCTTGGCGCTCTACGTCAGGGCATCACAAGCAAGGACAAAAACCTGCCAAAGGAGTCTGGAACTGCGTGAACTAGTTTTGTTTCTTCTATTAGGGAATACTACGTATCCTGCTCACAACAAGAAGCTGATTGTAGCCTGTGACGCATGTCGGCCTTGTAAACCAGCCATCCCAACGCCTCGCTACAATACCCAGATCTCTATCAAAACAAAGAAAATCGCCCAAGCAGGCTCACTTATGTACACTATTGTACATTTAAAACGTGATACCTTCTTGTGGCCTAGACTTTACGTCTCTTCGCGGTCCCTACAAGCTACCCTGACTTGAGTTGTGCCCACTCCACTGTCTCAAGCGCGAGCATGACCAGTAACAAGGTCGAGGGTAGGATCCAGACGACGTAACTTTGGAAGAGGATCTTCGACATGGAGCCCATGTATACGTTGTTGATCTGGCAGATCTGGGCAAGCTGTAGCGCGCTTGGGGCGCCACTGAGGAGGAAGCAGACGATGATGAATATTGGGTCATCCAAGATACTGATTGGGACGTATTTTGCAGTCAAAGCGAGCATGGGGGCCATGACTATCGTTGGAATAAGCATGCGGCTGACCAAGGAAGCGATTACGAGCTTCCTCTCGACCTTGGGGTCCTCCATAGAATGCTGGTCTTCCTTTGGAAGCGTATTGCGAGCCAAGTTGGCGCCCAAGACAACCAGAATGAGGGGGACAGCAACCTGTCCACTCTGGCTGACCGCGCGGGAAACCGAGTTGCTGACAAAAGTCCCGGGAGCGAAGAACAAGTGCTGGAGAGAGGGAACAGAGGCAACAAGAATTGCAGCCAACATGGCCCAGAGAGGAGGGTTCATGAACTCCCATACACCATGAAGAAATTTGGCGAGCCCCGAATAAATCTTGGAGAGTGCACTTTGGAGCCACAAAGGCAGGGATTGCAAGCAGCGGCGCCCAACACGAGCGGTGCTGTCAGAGACGGATTTCGCGGAGCGTTGGATGGCCAACTTTGTCCGTTTAGGCCATCCTTTGATGCCTTTGGGGATCTCGTTTCTCTTGAGGGCTTCAAGAGCGCCGACAGCGTGACCATTGGTAGAGCCGTTCATGTCCCCGACTCCTCTGATAATAGCGTTGCCGTTGGTAGGCGTTGTGAAGTCAGCCTGCGCCTGGGCATCTTCGCGGCCGAAGAGGGAATCTGTGTCGCTGGTGTCTGCTGAGGTGGCGTAGCTGGTTACGTTCCCAGATTCGTAGTCAGAATGCGAGTCGTCGAGCAGACGTTGTGCCTCGTCCGGGCTGTACTCGCCACTTTCAATGGCGTTGTTCTTTCCCACGTCTTCGTCCGTGTATGCGCTGGCTGGAGCGAGCAGTACGTTGAAACCCCAAGTCCACCGAACCAACTGGCCCAATTGTTGGAAGATGAGGAGGTAGAGAATGCCGCGTGCGCCCACTTCGTTGTCGTTATCACCAGGTACTTTGGCCCAATGCAAACCGGACAGTGTCTTGGAAAGCGATATGACCAAGGAGATGGGGAGCGAGTTGGAGTTTCCGAAGACCTGAAGCTGTCAGTGACCGGCACGCTTGTGGATGCAGCGGGTGCGCCATACCGCCATTGCTACCACAAAGTTGGACGCCCTCTTGTTGAAACCGCATAGTCGGGAAACGAGGAGCGCAGCGAGGTAGGATACGAGTGTTTGCACGATGAAGATGACGGGGATGACGGCGAGGTCGGACAGCTTGTCGGCGGTCAATTGCGACGCGAGCTTTGTGAAGACTAGCGCAGAGGTCAGTGAATGTTTCCAGCTCGCACTTGTGGTGGAGCTTACTGAGACAGGGTGTGAAGAGCTGCGTGTTGAGGTTTGCTAGGAACTTTTGGCTCTCTGCGTCGAATTGGCCCATTCTTGCGATAACGTAGCCGGGCAAACTGACGCAAACGACCTCCATGACGGCCTCGAAGACAAGGAGGGTGAGATTGGCAAAGTCCGGGTGCGAACTGTGGTTGTTCTTGAAGACGCGCATGAAGCCGCCATCGTTGCCGTAGTCGTAGGATGTGGACGCCATGGCAGAGAAGCCGGACGAGGGAGACGGTAGGGTGCGCAGGCGCAGAGCCTGGGGCGCAGAGAAGAAGGGCATTCTTGACCACATTTGGTTGTTTGGAAAGAGCGGAAGGCGAAGTTTGGGAGGTATCGTAAGTGCGTCAAGCGCTGTTTCGAGCCGTACTACAGCTGATGGATTGACGGCACAGTGACGCGCGCGGCTCTGGGCGATGATGGGGCGGGATTAGCAGAGCGCCTGCGCGCTGGGGGTGAGGGTGCAAAAAAAGGCCATGATGATTGTGATGGGGGGATTATGCCGCCAGAGGTGAATAGAGGGCAAAGGCGATACAACAGCGCATGGATGGCTAAAGTGAAAGGTACGCGCAAGGGCACTAGTGGTCAGCCTTGGATCTCTTTGACGCCAATCCTGTACTTTGACTTTGATATACTGGTAGCCTACTACCAGGCCCGCCCGTAGAGCAGCACTGCGAGTCGTCCCCTGAACCACATTACCGCATCCTGCTGCTGCCCACGCCGAATCCTGCTGTCGTGTCTCGCCCCAGTGCTCTCCTTGGTGGCCGCATCGAGTTGGTGGTCAAAGGGCCGATTGCCCTTGGCCGGTCAACAGTACAAGCAGGCTTCTTGCTTGCGCACACTCTCACACACACACAGGCAATTCCTGTTCCTGTTCTCCCCGTCGCTGCCATGGTCACCGTGCGGCCGTGCTGCTCGTGAAATCAAATTATATCATACCATACCATACCCTACCCGTCCCGTGCAATACAGGACGGCCTGGTGCTTGGACCGCGCTCTGCAAAGCATACATACCAACTACGTCACTGCACTCCTCGAGCTTGCAGCGCGCCACAAACCCACAACGCTTCGACGTCCCCATCCCACACGTCTGTTGAGATCGCCGCCAGCAGTCGCTCCGCGGTGTCATCGCAGCACCTGATTCCCCATTCCCCCATACTTTATTCCATTCACTCGATCCTATTACTAGCCCCCCCTCTATCCTCGTCTCCTACTCACTCCCCTCCTCAGGCTACCCCGCCAACCCTGAGGCTGCAACACAGACACATACACAAGACACCGCCATGGCGTCGACCGCGTCCACGCCCGACGAGTCCCAATCGCCACCCTCTTCTCCTACCCCATCAAGTCCCGTAGCCAGTGCCACCTCGCCCACACACTTGTCCCCCGATCGCCTCTCGGCTCGCTCCGTCTCGACGGGCAGCGCAACAGCAGGCATGACGCCCTCCTCGACGCCGCTCGGCAATATCAACGCCGCCAGAAATCCTCGCCCACCAAACCCCCCTACCATCTCCAGCCGAGGCAGTGGGCTCAACGTCTCTCAGGACATCTTGGCCAGGATACAAGCAGTGCACCTTGGCCGTCAAGGTGCCCCGCCAAATGGCGCCCCAGGTCGGGGTCCCCTCGCTCCAACTCCAAACCCAAATGCAAACTCGCGGGGTCCTATGTCTCCCAGTGGGCCTGTATTGGGCAACCCTGGCGGCGTACCCGGCGGCTTTCGATTACCTCCTCCCAAGCCGCACATGACCAGTTTTGCGTCCGCGCCAGCTGTCCCTGGCCGTGCAGGTGCACCTAAGATGTCCCTCGCAGAAAAGCGCGGTATGCGGCCGGCAGGTGGATTGTCAGCCCGGGCTCCCTCTGGCACTAGCCCGGCTCCTCCTGCTGGCAGGAAGCGCCCTGGCCTCACTCTCTCACAAATGAACGGAGACAAGCCGGAAGACGTGCCAAAGAAACCAGAGACCATGCTTGACAAGTATTCCCAGTACATCGACACCCAGACTGGCACGCTGAAATTTGCGGGCAAAGCCATCCTGAACTCGGAGGGCGTGCAGTTTGCAGGCGGGACTACTTTTAACATCTCGTTGGATGAGGTCGACACGCTGGACGAGCTCGGCAAAGGCAACTACGGCACAGTATACAAGGTCAGGCACAGCAGACCACGAATGCGGAAACCCGGTCAGGGCTTGGCCGGCAATAAAGCTGCGCCAGGCTCCCCTTCTCGAAAGACCTTCGATGGGGACGAATCGAGCCCGACCAGCGTAAAACCCGCCGTAGGGACTGGCATCATAATGGCCATGAAGGAAGTCAGGCTCGAACTAGACGACTCCAAGTTCGCTGCTATCATCATGGAATTGGACGTCCTGCATCGCTGCGTATCGCCATATATTGTCGATTTTTATGGCGCCTTTTTCCAAGAAGGTGCCGTGTATATATGCATGGAGTTCATGGACGGCGGCTCGATAGACAAGCTTTACGGCGACGGTGTACCGGAAGGCGTACTCCGCAAAATTACCCTAGCCACAACAATGGGTCTGAAGTCGCTAAAGGACGAGCACAACATCATCCACCGCGATGTGAAACCCACAAACATTCTCATGAACACGAAGGGCCAAATCAAAATCTGCGATTTTGGCGTGAGCGGAAACTTGGTCGCGAGCATTGCCAAAACCAACATTGGATGTCAAAGTTACATGGCACCCGAGAGAATTTCTTCTGGTGGCATTGCACAAGCGGGTGCGAATCCAGGAGGCGGCACATACAGCGTGCAGAGCGACATCTGGAGTTTGGGTCTCACCATCATCGAGTGCGCGTTGGGCCGATACCCATACCCCCCAGAAACGTACAACAACATCTTCAGCCAGCTCAGCGTAAGTTTTGAACTGTTAGTGTGCTTCCTTCGAACTGTGCTAATCCCTTGTAGGCCATTGTCGATGGCGAACCTCCGGATCTGCCTCCCGAGGGCTATTCGGAAGCTGCACGAAATTTTGTACGCGGCTGCCTCAACAAAATTCCAAACCTACGACCAACATACGCAATGCTGCTTCAACACGCGTGGCTTGCACCCCTCGCGAAACCGGAAACGATCACGGAAGAAGACGAGGAAGAGGTGGAAGCAGCCCACCAGGCAGTTGGTGGCGAAGCTGCTGGCGACCAGGGCGTGGCTGTGCCGGTGGAGATACTTGCCGATAAGGAGGTTGCAGATTGGGTCAAGGGTGCTATTGAAAAGCGTAGGAATGGCACGCTGAAGCGCTCGGAGAAGCCTGCCCTGCACGCTGCACCTCTAGACGCGGTGTCAAGCCCTTCGCACAAGGACACAAACGGCCTAGACGAAGCACTTCCAGAAGCAACAACAACCTAGACTACGAGAGCTCGATTGAGCAGTGCCAGACGTTTGGTTGCATCTCGCGCAATGAACGATCTCTCTCCTTTCCCAATTTGCTCGTCGCTGGGCTCGAGAGTGGGTCATCGATGGATTGTTTGGATGTAGGCCCAAAAGGAGCCACACCATCTTGATAGAACAGACATGGGCGTTGTGTCGGCGCACACGAGTGGAATTTTCCAAGCATTAATGGGCTGTTGGGGCATCGAGCGATGAAGTACATGTACCTAAATGAATAGCATACACCCTGTCCGCGATGGACTGATCCCCACACATTGATCATGGCTCGTGTTGGGCTTGCGGGTGACGTATTGCTGTGGCGCGTATGCACGTGAAGCAGCCCTGGAGGGTGGCCGGCCCCGCCAAGGCCCACTAGCCACTCTGTCGCGGCTGCCCATGTGTGGTCGGGGAAAGAACACAGTGGTCGGAACAAGTTTAATAGCCACGACTTTCTTTGAGACCGCCGCACACGCTTTTGCCCAGGTGCAGGCTTAAGACAACTCTCCCCCTCCACATTGCTCGCGCTGGGCTTGCAACTCCAATTTGTTTCCTTTCGTCGCTCTCTACCAATCTTCCTCTCTTCGTCCCGAGGGACTGACTGTTCACCATGTCCGGGAGCGACTACAACTACGATGACCAGGTGCGTATGCGCGCACGCAACAAAGCAACACCATGGCTAACAGCCTGCAGGGCCAGTTCTTCCCCTACTTTATCCTCACAGTCACCACGCTGGTCACGATTCCTACCACAATCTCTTTCCTAAGACCGAGTAAAGGTGCGCGCGCCCAACCACTACGGCCACCTGGCCAGATATTGATGTGTGCTCAGAGCTCGAGAATACCGGAACGCGAATAGACTCCGACTTCACCCCCGAACATGCCGATCTTATCCAGGGTCAACGTAAGAAGCAGAAGCGGCTCGAGAGGCGGATAAAACGGGGCATCTTCATGCTGGCTGGCTGGGCCCTCAACGCTTTCATGGTGTACCTCATCATCGTCACTGCGCGGACTGTACCCAAGATCTGGGATCCGTATGACGTGCTGGGTGTATCGAGGGTATGTGACTTGGACCAAACTTGGCGTTTGAAACATGTACTGACTGGCAGCGTAGTCCGCCGACGAAAAGGCGATTAAGAAGCACTACCGAAGGCTCTCCCTCACGCTGCATCCCGACAAGGCACGCGAAGATGCCGCCAAGAACGTCACATTACAGTCGATCAACGACCACTGGGTAGACGTCACCAAGGCGTTCAAGGCGCTTACCGACGAGGAGGTTCGCAACAACTACATCCAGTACGGCCACCCGGACGGCAAGCAGAGTTTCAGCATCGGCATCGCCCTACCCAAATGGATCGTCGCTGAGGGAACTGGGAAATACGTTTTGCTCATTTACGCGCTCGCACTCGGAGTCATCCTGCCCTACACTGTGGGCAAGTGGTGGTATGGAACACAGAGGCTGACCAAAGAGAAGGTGCTTGTTGCAAGCGCAGGCAAGATCTTTCGCGAGTACGACAATGACCAGGGTGACGCAGGAGTCATCGGTGCTTTGAGCAGCGGAGATGAGTTCAACGAGGCTCTTACTGGGCATAAGGCGGAAAATGGTCTTTCCAAGCTGGAACAGAAGGTTCTCGCTGGAGACTCTATCGTGTCGCAAACACTTACCAAGAAAGATCTCCAAAAACTGACCGACCTGGAAGACAGCAGACGGCGCAAGGTCTTGACACTACTGTGGGCATACCTTGGCCGCGTCGAACTGGATGACGAGACACTCAATGATGAAAAATTCGAAATCGCTCCCATTGCGCTCAGGCTTAACGAAGCTTATACCGCTATCGCACTTGCCTACGGTAGCACTCAAGCTGTTCTCAACGCATATCACACCTCACAGAATCTTATCCAGGCTCTACGACCAGATGCTTCGCCTTTGGAGCAGTTGCCGCACTTCAGCCCCTCCGTCGCTAGCGCTGCGGAGGCAGAGCGATCAAGAACACATCTTACCATTCAAGAATTCATGCGTATCCCAGACGGTCAGCGGAAAGCGCGTGTGGTTGCACCTGGCCTCCTATCTCAAGAGCAGTACAGCACAGCCATGTCCGTAGCTTCTCGTATTCCGGTTCTTCACGTAGACAAGGCATTTTTCAAGGTGGTTGGAGAGCGCTTTGTTACACCGAGCAGCTTGGTGCAATTTGTGCTCAAAGGTCGTTTCATCCCCTCGGCCGCCACCAGCCTTCCTGAAGTCAACCCCAAGGACCTGCTCGACATTGATCCCGAGGAAGGCGATATTGCGGCGATTACTGGACGAAAGGGTGACCGCTCTGGTGAGACGCCCATCCAGCCACCTCTCGCACACGCACCATACTACGCTCGGGACCACGCGCCTAGGTGGCATGTGTTCCTCGCCGACAGCAAGCAGGGCCGCATCGCAGTTCCTCCTTTCACGTTTTCCACCTTCGACAAGCCCATTCTTGATGAGGCCGGTAACCCGACATATAATGTGCAGACACTGAAGATGCAATTTGGAGCCCCGCCCCAAGCCGGTAGCTACACGTTCGTCATGCACATGATTTGCGACAGCTACATCGGCATGGATACCAAGGTGGAAGTAACGCTTGTCGTCGAGGACGCGAGCAAAGCGGAAGAGGTTGACGAAGACGACGAGATCAGCGAGCCGGAAGAGGGTATGTTTTCTCCTAGGCTGACAAGCAGCATGGGTGGACAAGGCGTGACTGACATGTTTACAGATTCCATCGCCGGCCAGATGCGCTCACTCAAGACCGGTGGCGCCCCAACGAAGAAGCGGAGACAGGCCAATGACGACTCCAGTGACGGAAGTGACACGGAAGGCGACGTTGAGTCTGAGAGCGAGACGGACACTGATACGGATTCGGACGAGGAGTAATTGCTAGATATTTGCGCGAAGGGGACGGAGTTTTGGGGTGACTGTACAATTGACCGACTGACAACGAGTGTCTGTCTAGCATTTGATGCATTTCCAGGCGTTCTGAGGAATGGCATCGCTTCTCGCAACTCCGCGGTAAGACTCTAGGCGGGTATTGAGTAGAGACATGGGGCACTATGTGTAGAAGCTTCATATCAACCGCTTCTATCAGTAATTCGATGAAATCCTCTCGTTTGGTCTTGTGCCGCGCAGCACGCGACTACATGGTTCATAGAATCGTGGCCTCGGGCGATGGTGAGGCCAGAACTGCACCCCTCATAGCGAATGTGATGAATTAATCATGCATACCTCAGGAATAAACCGCATCCGAGTTCCCCAAGGCCTCAGATATGCCTGAACGCATAGTGCTATACGCCTGCTTTAACATTTGCGACTCACAGCCTGACCCGGGTGTTCGTGAGATGTTCGGTTCCACACGTGCATGGTTTCAGCAACGTCTCGCCTACGCCACAACACCAACGTCCATCGTGAACACTTCGGTCGTATTGTTAGTCACACGGTGCATGGGAATGCATACTGTCTCATGGGCATTATAGGCATCGTGTGCTTTTCATTGGCGCGGGCGGGGTGCAGGTGGCGCTGATGGCACCTTCATCCCCGCCCGGAGAGATGGAAAGCCGTGTGCTGAGAGAGAGAGGGCGAAGAATACTACGAGTGCCGAATCTCACAATTTTGGATTCGAGAGCAGAGGTACGCTCTCTGGATGAGAGGTAAGAGCGTTGCCATAGTAGCCCGCATCGTACCCTACACTCTCTCTGCTTTCTCTTTCTCTCTCTTGACGACCGTATACCAGAGCTTACCCGCCTAGTCCCCAGGATCTATATTCCCAATCCGCAACATGTCAAACCAAGCCTCCCTGGGACCAGGATATACGGCGGCCACCCCCGCAAAGCCATGCCTTCCGTGTAGACAAGCGTGATGATCACCCCTAGGGGGCGACATTCACGTCTTGGCAGGATGCCCGGATCCCAACCTTCCGCCATCCTGAGGCCAGTTGACAAGCCTCAGACAGCAAGGCAAAACCACCAAGCACTTCTTGGCAGCGTTTTAGCTGCACATGTTGCTTGCTTGGCAAACTGCGGGTGTGTTCATCACCGGTCGACGGGTAGAGGGTGAAATGGTCGCCTTTGCAGAAAGGGGGCAAGTACCGACAGAAGCCGTTCTCGGGCATGAACAATACGTGAAGGTGTGGATGCAAATAAAAGCTCGTGGAGGGTAGCTGTTCTCGTTTAATTTCTTCATCCACACACTCTCTTCGCTACTTTCAGTCTACACATTCTCTTTACCCCCTCCCCCTTCCGTCCGTTTAATATTTACCTTCTTTGCGACTTTGATAGTCTGCTTCCGTCGTTCTTTGAATCACTTATACGTCTGTGACGTTCTTTAAACTACTCTCTTTAATTCTTTGGTATTATTCAGACGGGCTTAACTTCTTCATAATGTCGTTCAAGATTATTGCTACTATCACGCTTGCGACTGGTCTCGCTGGTAAGTCATCTGATGTACAGAACAGGAGACAAGACACTGACACTCCACAGCTGCAAAGCCCATCAACGCCCCGCAATCCCTCAACAACCTCCTGGGTCAGGGCTTCAACGGCGCCGTGGTAAACGGCAACAAAGGCAACGGCTTCAACTTCATCGACGGCTTCAACAACTTCAACCAGCAGCAGCAAGTCCTCCAGATCCAGGAGCAAAATCTGCAAATCTCCAACAACGGCTTCCAGCAGCAAGTCGTCCAGCAGGTACAGCAGGTCCTCGTCGTCGACCAGGTCAACAACGGCTTCAACAATGACTTGAACAACCTGTTCCGCAAGAGCAACTTCCAGAACCGCTTCCAGGATGTCAGCACCGTCATGCTTGTCGTGCAGGAGATTCAGATCTCAGTCGACAACGGCGGCCGTGGTAATGGCAACAACCGTAATGGCAACGACCGTAACGACCGTAACGGCCGTGGCGGCAACAACAACAATAATAACAATAACAACAACGTCTTCCAGGCAAACATCTTCGCCCAGTCCGCCGTCGTAGCGAACCGCGGTGCGCGCCAAACGCAAACCATCATGGTCTTCGACAGCCGCACGCTCATCGCGCAAGACGTGCTGCGCAACAACGCATTCGGCAACATTGGGCAAGTCGGCGGCATCGCGGGCGCCACGGGCGTGTTGAACAACGCGCTCCCCACCAAGACGGCGGGCATCCAGCTGTTCGGCGCGAAGCCGACGTGGAGCAGTGTGGCCGAGGACCCGGCTGCGTCGCTGGGCGGCATCTGGCAGAGTGCGCTGGAGGATCTGCAGAAGGGCGAGAATGATCAGCAGGATAATCAGCTCAATGAGCGCGCGGCTGAGGAGGAGAAGAAGAAGTTGGATGAGGCTGCTAAGGGGGAGAATAAGGATGCGCAGAATAAGGAGGAGCAGCAGAAGCAGGAGCAGGAGCAGGAGCAAAAGAAGCAAGAGGAACAGAAGCAGGGTGAGCAGAACAAGGATGAGCAGAAGGCCGAGCAGAACAAGGATGCGCAGAACAACAACGAGGAGCAGAAGCAGGAGCAGCAGAAGGCCGACGAGCAGAAGCAGAACGAGCAAAAAGCCGAGGAGGCGAAGCAGAATGAGCAAAAGGCCGAGGAGCAGAAGCAGGGTGAACAGAAAGCCGACGAGCAGAACAAGGACGAGCAGAACGCCGACGCCAACGCTCAAGAGAAGGAGCAACAGGCAGCCGCTGAAGTCGTTGCTGCGCCTGCACAGAATGCCACTGCGAAAGCTTAGAGACGATACGACCACGCTCCCTGCAGCTGGAGCAATCCGTATCCTATCCCTCCCCTTCCTCTAGTTAAAAAAGCTGCAAGTACCAGTATACCCAAGAGTGGTGCGAGTTCTTCTTTCCTTGTTCTGTTCGAGCTAGGCAGATTGATGAGACTTTGGAGTTTGGAGCGGGCGGGATGAAGATCGTCTTAGTGTTCGTTAGTATTAGAAAGGCCAGTAGCAGCTCCTGAACTGGTTCGGAGAAAATAGCTTCAAATGTGAAATGAGAATGTTTAAATGATATGTTTGCTAGTTCTGCTTTGTCTTCCATGTTACGATTCCTTTTACATGTAGACGGGTCAGATTATCTCAGAGCAAACATTCACTCACACTGGTATATCAGTGACCAGCTGTACTGACTAGATCTTACCACTGTATAAAATCAGTGTAATCAAAAACATCTCAACGCTCGAAGTACCTCCACTGAACCGGTGATGGCTCACTGAGGCATAGGCGCTTTTGACGCTCTTGTACACGTCCGTTTGCGAGACTTCACCTTCACCACGTCCTTTTGTGAAATTTTATTTGCACCGCAAAGCTTGGGCACATCTACACTATTATATATCCAACTAACACTCTTTCCCTGAACACCACCCAGCACCACGACAAAATCACCGCAGCATGTCCACCACTATAGGCATCGAGATCGAGTCCCAAATTGCCGCGAAAGCCATGACGTGCCCTCGCCCACCCGTCAGCCGCTCCATTCTCGCCCTGATCCTCGGACTCTGCATGCTCTTATCCTACACCTACCCCTCCCTCGTCTCCACGCTCACCAGCGGAGCACACAATCTCACACTCACACCCGCCCCCTGGAACGCAACAAGGCAGCAAAACGACATCCGCATAGCGAAAGCAACGATCCACTACGATCGATCTAACGCGCTATACAGTCAAGCCCTCGCCCTCCACGAAGGGCACAACAAGCAATTCGGATATGAAATGCACGTCCTCCGTCGCCGAATCGTGCGTGGCGCACTGAACAGACTCCTCTTCGTACAGCAGCTCATTATCACTGAACTGCAGAAGCGCGAGGAGGAAAGGGTGGAGTGGATCATGTACTTTGACCCGGACGTCGTGCTGTGGAATGAGCGGATTCCACTGCAGGTATATCTTCCGCCAGTGGAAGACGTAGAGACGTTCAAGACAGTAGAGATTGTGGGGATGCGATTTGGGGGGAGAGCTTTGAGACTGAATGTGTTCCTCATGCGAGTGAGTGCTGGGTCGGTGGAGCTGTTGACGCTGGCGATGGCGCGGGTACTCGAGTCCAAATCCGACCGAGACGGCGATGACGCAGCCGTGGATGCCGCAGCTATAGCTCTGCAGGCCATCTTGGACCAGGATCAGCATCGCGACAAGGCCGTTTACCAGTCCCCGTGGTGGTATGACAATCAGGGACCTCTTACCGGCGAGAGCGGCTTGTTTCTGCAACCAGATCGCTTCAAGTCGTATCCGCTGCATCTAAGCTTGAGCCATATGAAGGGAGCACTCGGTATAATACATCATATGGCTAAGAAGCCGGAAAGGTCGAAGGATCGTTCGCCATTCCCGCGGCCTGACGAGTGGCACATGTTCTGGAGTAGTCACACGGAAGCGAGGAAAGTGCTTGGTGAGGCAAAGGATAGGGGACATACGGCGGAGATGGGGGAGTTGAAGGAGCTTGTCAGGGATGTGAGACTGTGGTTGGCTTCGGGGACTTCAGATGCGAAGGAGCTGATGTGGAGGGTTGAGGCGCTGAAGGAGAGACTGGAGATTGACACTGGGGATGTGGAGCAAGATGTATGGTATGAGACTCGACGAGATGCCTCGAACGAGGGACCTAAATAGAAATCTACCATGCATGTATCCTAAAGACTCAGTCGTAGAAGTTCGAATCGTCCTCAAGCGTAACCTGATCCAGAATGCGGTTGTTTGTTCGCAAGAAAATAATCCAAGTCGGGCATATATTCTTTGCGAAGACTGAGGCGCCAGCGAAATTTCTAGTCCGTCCATCAGCAATGCGAAATCGGCATGTAGCTGAAGTTGGTCAGTAAAAGAGGGAGGGAATTCCAAAGTCATAGTACTCACAATTGCCTCATCCATTCTTAGAGGCCTAGATGCCATACTTGGTCTTGTAGCAGGGTGTGTTGAGTCGAGTGTGCTCGTGGTAATAGCAAGCATCTTTGTCTTTAATAAATCGGGAAAACGACAAACGCGTGACCCCCTGATCGAAGTTTCTTTTCATATCGAGCAAAACATCTTCAAGAAACTCGCGGGGAATAGCGTGGCTTCGAAGGGTGTCGAAATTGCGATAACCCCACCTGTAGACGACCAGATCTCGACATAGCTTCCTATGTAGAGAATCTTTGACAGACCTGGGATAGATGCTGCTTGAGAGAAAGGTCGGGGTTCCAAGTTGGGCTGTTTGCTCTAGTATGACGTCGACGAAAGCGTCGAGGAAGTCTGGCGCGTGGAGAAAATTTCCCAGCTCATCGCAAGCCAAGAGTTTCACATCTGTGGACCCATCCAAGCAATGGAATCGTCCAGTGTACAGCCATTTGGCGTAGATCCTGAACACATCAACATCGACGTTCGGCAACCTAACCACGCGCTCCTGGCCCTCCTTCCATTCCTTGTTGAGCGCCTTCTGGAAGAACCCGGAGCTCAATTCGAGGAGATGTGCGTGCACGAAGAACTTGTCTTCCGATTCGCCTGCCAAGATGGTGACGGGCTCGGACTCGACACTGCGAACATTAGATCTGTCATAGCCAATTGACGAGTTTGCTTACGGTGCTCCATCGTCACTGAAAGTTCGCGCCTTCTTCTGGCATGTCGGTTCCTCAGAGTCGTTGCTGGCGCGCTTGTTCGAGCTGTTTGAGTCGCTCATGGCGAAGGCTTGAGCAGCGTGCGATTTGTATTGCACAATGGAGAGAGTAAAAGTGTCAAAGGTTTAGGAAGTAAAGGTGGAGGCTAGAAGTGCTACTGACTGAGTACATCATGGAGAATTCGAGGTGATGTGAGCCTGTAAAGCACGAGGTGAAGGTGAAGATGAATAACAATAACGGGTTCAAGAAGCCCCCAAGCCCTAGAACGGTTCTATAGCTCTGTAGTTACTTACGAGAGAGAGCTGCGCACACCTTGTCCAGTTCCAAAAAGAAATGCGCCCTCACGTATCTCTTATGAAATCGACTTGATGAATGGATGTTGCAGCGCCTCCTCAGCCGTCGGTCGCTTCGCAGGGTCAACAACGAGAAGATACTCAACAAAGCCAATACACGCGTACGAACACACATCTCGTGAAAGCGGTTCTAGTTCTTCTCGCAACGAACCGAGGCCTATAAAGGGCATCCACTGGCCCGTTTTCGGGTCCTTATAACTTGACGCAGCGAGGTCATGTGCCAGTGTGAAGTCGTCCTTGTATTTCGGATCATCCGGTATTTCCATGGGCCCGATGAGCCTGATTATCTTGGCTAAGCACCAGGCTGTTGTGTACTGCTCGATGATCTTGTCTCTGGGACCGAATAAGGTACGAGACAGGAGCCAATGCACCAACTGCTCATTAGTTAACTTTGCGACAATAGGAGCTGGAAGATGGTGTACGAACTGTCACGCCAGAGACCAGATGTCAGACGAGTGCCATACTCCAAGGCCTTTCCACACCTCTGGAGCCCGTGTCTCCTTCGTTTGTGCGTTGGGATTGTTCTTCGCCACGCCCTCGTGGAATGCTTGATAACTTATTCAAGGCGTTCGAACTATATTAAAGCTAGAGGCTTACCGTTATCAAGATCACCAAGCTTGACCGTGGGCATCATTTGACCGAGGCCCGACACAAATATGTTGTTCGGGTTTATGTCTAGGCTGGTTAAAAATAGAGCGATAGGAGCGGTGGATAGGAATCTGTTACCTGTATGCACAGCATGGAGCCTTTGGAAGACAACCAGAGCTTCAAGAATAGACTTTGCTACAATTTGTGGAAGCTTCGGATTAGCCAGCTTGCCGTGCGGTCGGCATTGCCAGAGGTCGGCATCCATCCATTCTAGGACCATCTTCTTAGGCTGATCTCCGTCCCCCTCTATAACATCCTGCAGCTGTCGAATATGAGTACATGCCCCTATTTCAGGTATTTGGTGAGTTCTCAACTCCCGTTCTCGTAGTAGATTCTTGATAACGACTCTGGTACATGTGAGCATAATCTCTGATGCAATGGGGTACGACAAACCTACGGAGTGTACGTAACATTAGAAAGTGAGAGAGGCGATCGGTTTGAAGGGGGCAGGGTCCTTGCTTTGAAAACTGATGGTTCTTTTAGAACCTCGAGGAGTCTATAAGAAGCCTTGCGGCCTACCAACACACGACCTATACAGGACGCCATCACGCCGAAGAAAACAAGTGGACAACAAAACGTGAAACCCAATAAAACATTGTCCTAAACGAGTAATATTTCCTGGTCGGAGTTTATAGTAGTGGGAAGACTGGTTGTGCCCAGGTAAAGGCGGTTAGCGAAGAACCGACGCCAAGGCGCTGAATAAGAACTCCTTGAGTATGTGGGTTTGGAAAAGAATAAAATATGTAATCAGCACCTAATGCCCTGATTGAGCGACCGCTGGTGTGTAGGTTAGTTGAAGACAAATATATACTTCGTGCCATCCATTCGCAACGCAATGCTGTAATATTAGGACTACTATATACATCGCGTCCGCCGTGGAAGACTCGGATTAAACGGAGCACGCAACACATACCGAAAAGAAGGCTAGGCTCGCTGATTTCCAGACCAAACATTGCCAATGTTAAGAAAAAATAGAGTCCGAGTTAAAAAGCATTTAAAAGTGCAGTGAAGTGCGCAGATCGCTATCCATCCTGGTATCATCCCAAGTCCCAAAACACCAATCCGAGTAAAGAAACCCTAGTACCCAGAAAAAAGGGACATTCAGCACAAAAAGCACTCAGGCTCAAGCGACTCAAACTTAAGAGGTATCCATAGCATCCCCTTGTTCGTCCTCCCCCGCCCCCATAGTAGTATCCTCCCCACTCCCACTCCCACTCCCCTCCCTCTTAACATCCCCTTTCCCCCCACCACTCAACCCCCCACCACTCAACCCCCCAACCAAGCCCTCCAACCCCCTAATCTCCTCCGCCCTGACCCGACTCCCCCCCCACACCCCCTCAACACCATCCCGCGTATCCACACCCCGCCTCTCAAGTATCCTCTTACTCTGACTCTCAACATACATCTTCCTTTCTCGCTTGACTTCGTCCTTCTCGCTCGCCCGGCTATTCGTCGTGTTGGAAGGTAGCGCCGCGGCAGTGGCGATATGGGGTTTCAGGGACGCGAGGAGCTGGCGGAGGTAGGGGAGTTGGCTTGCTGTGAAGGCCGTGTGGGTTGTTAGTGGTGTGCGGGATTCGGGCGTTGTTGTTGTTGCTGTTATTGATTGTGGTGGGAGAGTTTGGATGCCGAGGGCTTGGGCTGCGGGGGTGTGTGTTAGGAAGGCGAATGGCGCGGTGCTGTTTGCGCTGCTTTGATCTGTTGGTTTTGCGGGGGAAGTTGAGGATCGAGCGTCAGAGTGCTTGGGAGGTATGGCGGGTTGGAGGAGGGAGCGTAGGCTGGCTATTTGCGCGTCGTTGCGGCTCTTCTCTGCGACGAGCGCGGCGTTGAGTTTTTGCGTTTCGATGAGTTTCCGCCGCAGTGTGAAGAGGGCTTCGGGTGTGAGGCTCGAGTCTTTGGGCGAGGTCTGGACGTTCTGCTACGTGTTAGTCTTGCTCTCTTACCATGCTCCCAACTCATGTACTAGATGATGCATACCTCATAATGCCCCAACCTAACCCACCTCGCCAACTCTTCCTCCCCGCGCGGCAAACACAAGACATTCCTCAGTGTCCAAATCTCCAATCTGTCAAAATTCTTGTCCACCGCATTCTCCATGAGCGTCTCGAGCTTCAAGACCCCCTCTTCAATCTCCAGCCGCGCCTCCTCGTATACCGCATTCCCCTCATCGTCCACCTCTGCTGTACGCCCCTCAGCAGCGTAGCGGTCGGCGAATCCCAGGAGGGCGGGGTCTGCAGAGGACAGGCCGGTTTCGAAGGAGTCGGTGCAGCGGTAGAGGACTTCGTTTACGGCATTGATGATGTCGTCGATTAGGGACTGGGATGGTTGTTAGAGAGAAGCGTGGAAATGGTTGGTGATTGTTTGGCGGGGCACTTCAGCAGCGCAAGACAATCTCAGGATATACATACAATTGGAGGCCAAGTAAAGTGCTCCGTCAGGAGCATATTCTCCTGCTGCTTCGCGCTTGCCATGTTGTGCTTCGTTTCTTTTCTTACAACGCTTGCACACTCCCGTCGCGACCTGCACCTGGGTTTGCAATGTTTGGCGACGCGCCCCGAGGGTCGTGTTTACCCGGGCCGGCAGGTTACTGGACGGAAGTGCTAGCGCGGGCGGATTAGCGCGGCGGCTCGCTTATCCTGCCCATCCTGGATCGGATATGCGGCAAGCAAGGCTGATGAACGGTGAAGGCGATGCTGCTTCATTGCTGTTGGGAGTGCGGCCAGAGAGCTGCAACCTGGTGGGGAGAGAGTCAGCGTGGCGCTCTGCTGCATGAGCAATCACACCGGCTCCCTTGCTCCTCTTTCCTCGTATTGGTCGCTGCTCAGCCGTTCACTCTACGTCTCGTCGAGAACAGCTGGTGGTGATGCACGCTTTCACCCTTGCATCGTCATTAATTCATCACGCATGCACGCAGTCACAGCACAGACAGAGGAGCTCAATCATGTCATAAGAAGGCCGAGACGGGTTCCTTCATGCGTGAGGCCTTTTTCAGCCATCCCGATTATTCAATACAGTTCTAAGCGCTCCTGCACTGAACCTAGTTATACAACGCTACTAATTCTTGTACAACGACTCTTGTCTTGTCGTTGACTCCCGTATGCAGCACAGTAAAATAACAGAGCAGCCAACCCCATCAAATCATGCTCATCATACCCCCCGCCCATCGCAGCCTTCTGCACACATAACGGGATAACGGGATATCGGTTCGGGCTCGCTCGGGACGCTAAAAGGGAAGAAAGTGGCTTTGTGCACTGCTTTTCCATGGCGAAAAAGACAAGATAGCTTGTAATCCAATAACACTGACTCGTAACACCAAAAAGCCTCAGAGTCCCAAAGTCCTCCATGCGTCATGTCGCTGTCGTAAATGCAGTATATGTCAAGCCAAAGGCGGCCACCACCGGCGTCAACCCCCCGCTGACGGTGCTAGAAGCTATTCAAGACGTCCAGGATCCAGACGTCCAGACCAAGATAGCTCAGTATGCTCGCTGCTCCCGATACCGTCGCTCCTCCTCTACTCGGCGAGCCTTTCTTTCCCTTTCGAGCCGGATTTTATGAGCCTCCGTCCCGTCATCCATGAGTGATTCCTTGAACCATGGATGTTGTAACGCCTCCTTGGCTGTGATCCGCCTCTTGGGATCGTAGACGAATATCCGCCGTAATAAATCGAGGAACTGCCGGTTAAAGTCCGTGTGCCCAGGTATCGTTTCCTGTCTGATCAGCTATGCGACTGCAGCGGGAGCATGGGATACGTACAGGGAGCTTTTTCATTGCCTTGACATACTTCTTCGATGCTTTGTTGGTTTCAGCATTCGGGTAATCCAGCTTGTAGTTTTTGAAATATCTCGCAGCGCTGAGACAATTAGCAAAAGGCTCCTTTATATAGGCAGTGTGACAACGTACGAGTTGGCTGAATTGCGTGAAGATCCGCGGTCTTGCTTATAGACGGCTCGGACAATATCACGGTCGATCTTGCCACTGCACACGGCCTCCATCATCGCTAGATGCTCGAGATTGTCGTGCGTCTGGAACAGGGCGTCGCCGGTGAAGAACTCGACCAGAATGCAGCCTATACTCCAGATGTCACAAGGAAAACTCCAGCCCAGGTTGAGGATAATCTCTGGTGCACGGTAGTGCCGTGTCGACACAACGGACGAGTGGTACTCGTCATTGAAGGTTGCTGAGCCAAAATCGATCAAACGAATCTCTGGGTCGAGAAGAACCTTGCGATGCCGTGCGGTCCGGTTGACCGTTGTCGACGATGAAGGTACTGTGCGGTTGTACGTAAACGTCTGGTAGTTGTTGTTGACAAGCAGGATATTTTCCGGCTTCAGATCGGTATGAATAAGATTCAAGTCGTGCAGGAACGCGACGCTGGTGAACAGTTGCTTCGCAAACTTTTGAATGTGAGAGCTCGGAAAGGGAACGAAGCCGTTTGACTTCAAAAAATCGAACACGCTCTGCCCATAGAGGTCTGTGACAATGCAAATGTGATTCCGGAAGTCGAAGCAGTCTCGCAAGTGTATACACCGGTTGATGTTGTGCTTGTCGTTGGATGCCAGTGTTGAGAGTACTCTCAGCTCGATACGGCTAGCATCACGGTACTTGGGCACAGATCGGATGACCTTGATGGCACAGTTGGTACCTTTCCGCTTGTCATAGGCCTGCACGACTTTGCCGAACGTGCCCTGGCCAAGAAGCTTTGTGATCTGGTCTGTGTGGAATGTCAGCAATGCACTTGGCGAGCGAGGTCGCTAGGCACCTACATCGCTCTGTGAGGTCGGCCTCGGGTACTACTATGTAATGACCGTCTTCATCGTCTACCTTCTGGTCCTTCGTATACGATTTCTACAAACACGTCAGGAACAAAGTCTATTTAGGAGGAGTAGTCGCGCGTCGTCTTACATCCGTGACAACTTGCACATAGACATCCTTCGCCTTGACGATGGGATTGGGTGGTGGCTGGTACAAGCTGAAGGGATTTTCGTCGTGGTCTAGCTCTCGCCGCTTGGCCTGTTTTACTTCGTCTTGTACTACCGCACGCGTTCGTTTCCGCTTCTGGCCCACCGCGCTGTTGTCGAGAGGCGAGATCTGCTGTCCATTGCTGACCTGCGACCCTAGCGAGGTAGGGGCAGTCGTGTTAATTGCAGAAGTTGTCCTGTCGGTCGATGTGGATTGGTTGGGCGAGTCGTAGTAGGGCGTCTGCGTAGTCGAGTAGGAAGTGTGCTGGTTGTAGACCGGGTCGTAGGCTGTGGAAGCCGTTGTTTTCCGCTTCTTGTCTGTGTGCCGTGCGGAGCCATTTGTCGCGGTTCTGGTCAGTGCTGGCTGGCGCGGTGGTGCAGGAGCAGCAGCAGGGTCTGCATCGTCGTCGTCGTCGTCGTCAATGACGATGATCTCTTTTGGCAGGCCGTTTTTATAGAAGGCAGCCCAGTCAGTATTCGGCCGCCTGTGGGCCGCACTCGCAGAATTCGCGTCCATGTCGAGCGCGGGCACCTGTGTGAGGGGCGGCAGCTGTGGTGGCTGTCTGGTGTGGGCAGTCGCGGTTCGACGGACATCTGCACTCGAGGTGCCGCTAGCGTAGCCGTTATACAGCGAATTGCCTATGCGAGCAGAGCCGTTGGCGATCTGGGCATTCGACGAATTCGGTTGGTATGTTTGATGGTGAGAATAAAATTGATGATGAGGCGGGAGCGTCGCCGTGGCGGTGGAGGGGGTCGACATTGCGGTCGTGTCTCTGCCAGGCGAGAGGCCTGACGTTGAAGCGCTACTTCTTTCCCACAGGCGAGCGAAACAAGCACGTCGGTGAGGCGGCTGAAGGGGGGACCCCGACGCGAAATTGGGTGATTCTGGTCGATAGGAATGCAGCGGGTTTGGATTCTGCGTGCTGGGACGAGGGCTTGCCACGAAGAGAGCCCGTTATCGCAAGCCTGGCTGGCTGGCTGGCTGGTCGAGGGCGATGCAGCGGAGCGAGTCTTCAGGCGCGGGACCGTGGGCACATGGGCTATGCAGAGCAGCCGGCGGAAGGCTTGGGTGATGATGGTGCTCTCGCAAAAGACGAAGAAGAACGGGCTTCAGACATGCCAGAGGGTGCAAATGCGTCGTGGATGTGGCAGGCGAGGTTGAGATCACGGCGGACTCCACTTTGGTGAGAGGCCCCCGGGCCTGTGCGTCCCAGTCCACCTGCTCGTCATTCGCGCTTCCAACGCCAGACGCACCGTCATTCGCCTTCTTTCGCGCCGAAAGCACACCCGGCTTTCTTCGAGCCCTTCACTCGGTCTTCCGCTTTCAATCGGGGCCCTCTACAACCTGCCCTTTGACGCGGCCAGACGAGAATCACAGAGCGCGGCAGCAAACCCAGCGTCACCTGCCTGTTGATTGGGGGTGGGCAGACCATGTAGCTAGCCTATTCAACGAGCAAGCCGCGCGAACCCCATTAATTCTTCCTCTGGTTCCGGCGGGCCTACCCCAGAGTTGCTCCTCCAGGCCGCTGTCGACCTTCTACGGCAATCAACAGCATAGCACTCATCAGTCTGATTATAGTCGGTTGTTTCTCCGCCAGGTACCCGGCTGCGAATTTGGTCGAGGCCCTAGAGTCAGCCCGCTCACCACATTCGGCCATCGGAAGCTCAATCCAGCCAATTCCCACCGAGCCTTGACCACGCCGATTGTTTGGAGTGAAACCCTCACGCATTCAAAACGTTGAAAAGGAACTAAAGGGTCCTCGTACAAAGGGGTTGGCCTCGGGAACGTGCTACATAGGCTCCATGAACATTTGGACCCTTATTACTCCGTCTGCTGTATATTTTTCCGCAGTGAAACCGTTCCAGAGGGCCCTGGCTGTAGTGCCACGCAGTATATCAGGAACCCGAACGTTTTGTGCCTAGCTGCAAAAAACATCTCAAGACAGGCCAGCATGTTTAACAAGTTCCTTTGTAGTGTTAAACAGTTACCCACGAAGGTGCCCTCTGCTATTTCATCCACGAACATGAATCATCTCAGCACGTGAACGTACACAGATCACCTTTCGTCGATTATCGATTATCGATACGACGCAGCCCTGGCGCCCATGATCGTTGTGCCATCTTATCCAGGAACCAACCCACACCTCGCGTGCGATATAGGCTGATGTGAGAGCCTTGCAGATTCCGCATGCCAGGCGTTTCCTCAGCAATCCAATGCGGTGCATCAGGTCATACAATAATCCAGCCCCGCGTATGTACTTGGACTTGAAATTCCCAATCATCCATCTCTAGTATATATACCCTGGGCAACAACTGGATGTGAAAGTCACATGGCCTTGGGCCAAGAGGGGCTGTGAGTAAGAAACGTATGTAGGAGGGGCAAATAAGTGTGCATGTTAGGAAACGAGCGGCACTGGCGGGGGGCTGTGAATTAATTCAGCTCACCAACAGCTCCAGGCTCGGCTCGCCTGACACAACAGGTCTTGATAACGTCATTTACTCCAATGCTCACTCTACGCATCGCACCATTTTATCTTCCTAGATAGTAAGCCTAGTAATACTCCGATGCCCGCCTGCAGAGGCACCGCGGATATGTAAAGCAAGGGCGATTAAACTTTTACCGCGCGCCATGTGATGCGCGCCTCTTCTCTGGGCGGAAATCCCAGTGGTAAGGACAACTACCACGCCGCACGAGTACATTGCGCGGAAGTAGCCATGCAGCGCTTGTGCAGTGTGATAGAGGCGCGCAGACGCGCAGGGCGATGGTCGACTGATTCATTTTTCCATGTATTGATTTCCCGGAGTAGACGTTGCTGACCGTAATAATGAGAGGTCACTTGAGAGGCAATGTTTACTACGAAACACCGGAGCTGGACGTGTATCCAAAGCTATATTGATAGGAAGCTGATCGGATATAGGCCACAGAAGCATTAATGAATGCTGTCAGGAGAAACAGGAAAGAAGGATCATATTGCCTAAAGGCACATTCGCTTTTATGCCTCTCGATGCACGCCGCACCTGTGTTCAAATATTATTCCCTTATATCCCTAGTCTGTGTAAAGTCGCCACAAATTATAATGATTCCGCCACCCAATATGAAAAGTTCATTATGTCGTGTTAGCCATGTACCCATTACCCGTCTCAAGCTGTTGGCCCCCTTATGGAGTGGTCTGATGATTCTTGAGATCAAGATCGTCGAAGTAGTTCTCGACGAGTCTCGTAACGCGCTCGACAATAGAAGTGAGCTCCTGAGTAGTGACGTCGAACGCAGGCGCGACGATGATATGGTCACCGTTCTTGCCATCAGCTGTGCCGCCTCCAGGGTATACGTGAATACCATGATTCAAACCTGTCCGATTGTTAGAATCTTGATGTAAATATTCGAATGAGGAGATTACCCAGTTGAAAGATCTCCTCGTTGACCATGCGTTTCGCATCAAAGGGCCTTTTCGTCCTCTTGTCCTCGACGAATTCGATCTAAGTGTGTCAATTATAGAAAATAAATAGACAGAAGAAGATAACTTACACCCCAGAACAGCCCCTCTCCACGAATGTCACCAACGTAGCGATGATCGCCGAGGCCCTTCTTCAACTTCTTCTCAAGAAGCTTTCCTTTCTCTCTCACATTCTCCAACAGTCCATCATCTTCAATGATCTTCTGCACAGCGAGTGCGGCTGCAGCTGCCAGAGGATAGTTTTGGAACGTGTGGCCGTGTTGGAAGGCACTGTTCGAGGGACCTTGTTGGAATGCATTGATGATCTTGTGCCCAATAAGCATTGCAGAGATGGGCTGAAAGCCAGCCGCAAGACCTTTGCCAACGAGCTGTATGTCGGGTACCACGTTGTCCTTTTGCCAGGCATGGAGCCAGCCAGTCCGACCCATACCACACATGACTTCGTCGAAGACGAGTAAGATGCCATATTGATCACAGACTTCTCTCATGGCTTTGAGGTATCCAGGTACTGCTGCAACGCAGCCTAGTGCCTATTGGACAGGTCAGCAGTTGTGAGTAGACTAATAGGCATGGGCTGGTGAATAGTGGAGACCGATGGGGTCATGGAAGGATCATACTCACGGCGCCCACCACCGGTTCTACAATGAATCCGGCGACATTATCTTCGCCCAGCTCCATAATCTTTCGAACAAGCTGTCTTTTCAGCTCTTCAACGTATTCCTCAATCGTCTGGCCATTCTGGAGATCCCGGTAGGGATAGCAAGGGGGGATGAGAGCCATATTCCCAGGAAGAATGGGTTCATACAAAGCCTTGCGCGCATCATGTCCACTCAAGTCGAGGGCCCCGAGGGTTGCCCCGTGGTATGAACGTTCCCGAGCAATGAACTTCGTGCGCTGTGGCTGTGGGCAGGACTTTTCTTTCGCATGATATTGAATCATGATCTTCAACGCCGCCTCAGATGCTTCAGAGCCTAAAAGACTGTCAGCCCTCCATCTGCCACGTACTTTGAGAGTAGTTACCCGAGCAGTAAAATATGGCCTTGCTCATCTGTCCGTTCGTAGAGGTGATCATAAACTGTGCCAAATCCAGCGCAGCCTTCGTGTCGAAAGCTAATGAGGGAACATAACTGAGACCAAGTCGCATTTGCTTATTCATAGCCTGAATGACGCGCTCCTGAACGCGTCCAAGGGAAGATACACAAGCACCACAAGAAACATCATCGATTTTTGTTCCATCTCCAAGTTCATATGTATGGCGGTACCCGCGGACGACTACACGGTAAGGTCTGACACTAATGCTCCGATTGAACAAGCAGTTCTTGATGGTTGTTGCAACAGCCGAAACACGACTGGGTGTGGACTTTCGTGACTTCGAGCTCTGAGTCGATAGTGCTCCGGGCGCCATGGTGTGAGCGAGAAGAAAAGGCGGTGAAACTTTGGACTGCACAGGTCGACGACGGTTCTGATTTCTTCAAGCCTCTAACTGTATGTTTATGTGACAATGGTAGAGCAGGTTTGCATAGATTATCTGTTCGTGAGCAAATGCAAAAAGAGAAAGAGGGATAACAAGGATTCAATAGTGTAAGCTGAGAGAGGTGTGGGTTCACCGATGGCTTTATACCAGGCTTGGGCGAGGCTAGTCATGAGGGCGGCACGATAACGTGACCTTATGAAGCATTCTACTGGAAGGGCCCGTTTGCGGTAGTCATGGAGTAGCGTCACTAGGACCCAGACTTCGCCCTCGGCAAGCCGAATCCCAAGTCCCACTCTTCGGGCGGCCCGGGAAGCCAGAGCTCGAAGCAGGCCAACCTAGAAACGCTAGAAGTCTCCATCAAGTTCATGAATCCGCTCCCTGTGAATGCGGCAGCGTAAGGCTTACCCGGCTCGTGAAGCCTTGAAGGTGACTTGCTTACTTGAGAAAAATCTGATTGGTTGATTAGATGAGGCTGTATTATTTTGCCGGGCCCTCGTTGGAGGTGGAAGAATGTAAGCCTCTATTATAGGAAATCCCTAGGTGGCCAGGAAGTGGCACAGATGCCAGATCCAGGGAAAATGAGAGCTACGATACTGCACCTCGACCTAGCGTGTCTCGCCTGCAGCCTATGCAGACTGTTTCACAGACGGGACACTGATAAACGGTGTAATGCTTGATTATCCCTGTTGTCGTTTCTCAGTTGCGGCACGGTTTCTTCACAGACGCGCGCCACAAGACGCCCGGCCAAAGTAAGTATAAGGAACCGAGACTGCTGCAACCATGCCACATGGCTTGTGTGGGGTGCCCAAGAGCCGCTCTATGGCTCCCGCAATGTCTCATGCAAGCTGTCCCTGTCCGATCTATTCCGCATACTGCCAAGTGCTGTCGTGCAACTCGAGTCTGATGTCAATGGAGATTCTCACGTTGGAGAGCAGTCTTTGGAGTGTGGAACAGCGAATGCCATATATGGGGCATAGATCCCTCCTGATTGATCCGAACTGCAGTGCTGTTGATCCATGGCGCTGTCCATGAATCGCAGGTGTTGTCACAGACGTCTGGTCCATGTCTCGGATTCTGCCTTGAATGGCCAGTACTGAATGCACTAGACATTCACCGACAGGGATGTTCAGATTGCCCAGAGTATCCTTCTCTTGATCGGGCAGATTTGCAAACTGTTCGCCTTCCCAGTTGGACAGGGAATGAGATGGTATGGACGGCCAGACGGCTAGGCAGACATCGTTTCCTGCTTCCTAGTATGCTAGTATGCTAGTGGCTGGTGGGGATACGTACTTGCATGAAGTAGTACAGGACAGAGGCGTCCTTGAGCCAGAATCCAGCCTAGTATAAGCCGATATCGTAGCCTCATAAGCCGAAGCTGAACATGTGCTAAGGCTAAGAGTGCATGCTAGCGAGACTAGTGTGACAACGGGGCATGTCGGCGCATAAAGCAAAAAAAGAAGAAGCATGCAGCGCCTGGCACTTCCACGTGTTGGCCGGCAATCGAAGACAGAGCACGCCGTTGAGAGGCTCCTGATGCAATGTGGCGTCGAGAGTCCTGTTCGGGACACTGCTGATAGCGACGGCGGTTTGCCCACGAGGGCCAGACTCGATTGGCAGACGACAAGTTGCGGTGAAGGGCGAGAGCAGCAGATCGCGATGCACGTGGATGATGTTGGACAAAAATTGGAGCAAGCATGAGGTTCGAGTCGGAATCGAGGGCGTGTAAGCGACCAGGTTCAGGTTTGATATGATACCTGCTGTCGGCCCGGGTGGGCGCGGAGAGCTGAGGTAACCGAGCCGAACGGTTCTCCTTCCTCGTTCCTTCCTAGTCCAGCGCCAAGCCCTGCTGCAGCTGCCCGCGCCCCACATTCGAAAGGAAGTCGCCCCAGACGCCATTCACTGGCATTGCAACCTTGGGATAGTCGCTCGAGCAACACCACAGAAGGCAGCCAAGGTGAGTAATTGGCGCAATGGACTGCCCCACACCCGCTTATGCTTCCAGGCAGAACCAAGACAGGACACACGGCTCCCCACAGTCATCAATCACAATGAACCCACGCGTCGAGGAAATCAGCGACTCCGAGTCGGACAGCGAGCCCTCAGAGATGGATATTGATGACGTGACGTCTCTGATCCAGCCTTCAAATCTACCCAGCTCCTCGTCGATGCCCTCGCAGCTGCTGCAGCCACAATCCCCCGCCATCAAGACGTCCACCGACCGCGAAAGGTCCAAGCACTACCAGTGCTTATACCCAATCTACTTCGACAAGGCACGATCAAGAGCCGAGGGACGCCGAGTAGGCCAGGAACTTGCCGTCGAGAACCCCCTGGCCCGGGAAATGGCAGATGCAGCCGCGAATCTAGGCCTACGAACCGTCTTCGAGCCAGACAAGACGCACCCCAAGGACTGGTCTAACCCGGGCAGAGTGCGCGTCTTGCTGAAGCATGAGGGCAAGCTGCTGGATGACGACATAAAGAACAAGCATCACCTCTACATCCTCATCGCCTCCTACCTGAGGGCGAATCCAACACAGAAGACGACTCCTTTCAGGTTACCCATTGCTGGTATTCCCATGCCCAAGGAGATGCCAGAACCAGCCATTCCAAAGGGCTGGAAGATGAACAAGATCTTGCCTCTGCACTCGCCTGCTCTGACAGGAGGTGGCGTCTCGGACAATTTCCTGCAAGACATGATGGCAGAAATGCAGGGTGGCATCGAGGGCGGCAGTGGAGCAAGTAGCGGCACAGAGACTAAGAAGAAGAAGGACAAGAAGAAAAAATGATAACGTGGAAGCAAGTAGCCATCGACCGCCAACGCACTGCTGAGCACCTCCGACCATGAGGTGCGGAGTGTAATCCGTTGTCCTTTTTGCCGCACACACATAGGGCATAGCCCGTACATCATACGCCAAGTCGCCTCACCACGCTTTACCAGCTGCAATATCGACAAGGGGCTTTACATTCTTACACGATATGGGGCAACGAATCACCAATTTCAAAATTCAAAATTCAATCAGCAATCTATCATCACCATGTCTTTGTCGCCTTTCCCAGTGCTAACCCTGAAGTTGGCTTATGATACCCTAGCCTGAGTACTCGGCAAGTGGAGCAGCTCCATGTCGTCGACTTTTGTGCCCCAAAGCTTTTTTTCCTGTGGCTTCTGGTGCCGCGCACGCATGCCATGTTGGGTATCCCTGCAGATCGCCAGCATGGATAACTTGGCGCATGTTTGGCTTTGTGAGCACTGACACCAAGTAGTGGATTGGCAACCCCTCAAATCAGAGATATCGCATCCAAATCGCGAGCGTGAGCTTGCCGTCTCTCGGTCGTGGTGTTTGAACCCGCTTCCCCGCGTCCCCCAACAAGCATGTGATCCTGCATGCATCCTCGCCTAGGCCGCACCACAACGTCTGACCGGTATATCTCTCATTCGTCCGTCATTTTGGTGCTTCGCCTCACTCTACTACAGCATAGCCCGGACGTCGCGTTTCCAATCGCCGGGTCTATCCTGTTTGTAATGCATGGCGGCTTAGGCAACAAATCCGGTAGCAGCCCGTTAGTGGCTTGGAAGGACGAATACAATCCTCGGATTGACCGACTACAACTACATCGGCTATGCGAATAATGCTAACTTCGATACTATGTCGGCTAGAGCCATGCCCTGGCCCCAGTGGAGCACCGGCCACGTTCTAGGTACTTCACCCGGTATGCAGATCACATTTGATGCAGGAATGATAACTTGCTGCATGCATTGGACAGACCGCTGCCGATGAACGCCATAGCGCACTAATGCGAACGGCTGAAAATGAACTCCTATACTCACACGTTCAACACTAATATCGCACGATCCCTGTGCATAGGTGGGCTGACGCTTGGGTGATATGGCCAAACTTCCAACTGCTCGATAGCCCGTCGAATCTTGTCAGCATAGCACGGCATGAACAGCATGCAAGCAGCAGCCAGTAACAAGTATCGATGTCGCACAACATGCGGGGAAAACGCTCAAGGAGAGATCGAGCGTGGGTGGATACGAACTAATCCGATGGGGTAGTGATATCACCGCTCATTAAGTGGACTTGGTCCGACCATGACCGCCGAACACGATTTCGGAAGAAGAATGGTCGGCCCAGCTTTGTGAACAAAGATCCCGTTGCCGTAGCGTACCCGTGAAAAGACTCACTTGAGTATTATCCAGGAGCTCACCGTTTTCCATCAAGACTCTGGAGTATAGGGTCGCAACACGGATGGCGCGCGTCCTTGTCATAAGCAGGCTAAGAATACGGAGCTTTACATGAGACTATATCGAAAGCCGTAAAGCGAACCGTGTATCTACGCAGAACGCCTTGAGGATTTCGGAAACTCGTTCCTCGCCAATCACAACTCTTAGTCTGACTCGTCACCGCGATAATATTAGGGATAGCCTATCGGCTTGCATGGCCCTTGTGAATTGTCAAATGATATAAGTCGGAAAGCAGGTCCTGCTTTCGCAATTGGATTTCTTGATAGCTATAGTTTTCCGCTCGTACCTCCGCAAGCCAGCCGCTATGGCCGCACATGCTCTAGGAACCTCTCTCCTCCGTATCTACACGTCTCCACACTTACACACCTGCCTGCTGTGCGAATCCTAGTCTCGGAGTCGACCCCGATTCATGAATAACGTACTTGCTCTTCAAAAAGATGTCGCCGAAGATGCTGAAGCCCAGACCTGTGTTCGCCTGGATACCGCCGAAGCACTTTGTCGAACCAGATGAGAGGGGTGCATAATTGATGTACTTGCCTGGCACCACCTGCTTCACACCACCAACGGTGATGGCGAAGTCGGGGAGTGCGGCATTGCATGGAAAAGTGTAGCCACCTTGAGCGCTGTCGACAGATGCGCCCGAGACTTGGCGGTAGTAAGCTTGGACGATGGAGGCATCAGTGTAGAGTAGCGATGTGCCTGTGTCGACTATGCCCGCCACGTTGGCTTTGGTGGTCGTGGTGCCGACGCTGTACGCAGTCGCGTTGAAGCCCCAGAAACCTTTGCTGGTGTCTACGTTGATGTAGGTGATCGGTCCAGTGTACTTGCTCTTGTCGATGAAGCCAAAGTCATAGCTACCCGCAGCATGATACTTCAAATACGAAGCAAACAACGGCTGGGCAAGTTGGGGCTTAACAGTGTCGAAGAAGGTCTTCTGCTGCTGGGGCTTGACGGTATTCAAGGTGCTGAACGAGAGACCAAGAAGGCCATCGGTGTCGACATCCTGGGCGAACGATGCGGAGACAGAGGTCGCTGCCTCGACAGCTTGAGACGTGGCAGTGACACCGCCAACCGTAACCTTGTCTGCATACACCTTGCCGGAAGCGCCAGAGCCGTCGCCGTAAGCGATCTTCCAAGTATAACCCTTCTTCTCCTTGGTGGCGTCGGCTTGGTAAACATCATGGCCTTTCGTCGAGGCTGCAGGTTGGAGAGAAGAGAAGACCCATCTATCTGATATCAGTCTTGATTCAAGCCTTCAAGCACAGTTTTGGGGCGTGAGATACGCAAGAGCAAGACCACAACTGCTGCAAAGCGGTTGATGGAAGGGTGAACAGGGTCACTTACAGATCAGCGCTTCCAGTATCGAAATCCAAGTGCAGGGTGTTGCCTGCAATCGTGACTGGACTGAGGTACAAACTATCATTCTCGTCGTTGGGAACGGCTGGGACAGTGCCATTCACATCCGCCAGGGAGAAGACATTCGCTGCGTTCGCACGGTTCTCTGCAGCATCCAACAAGCTCTGGGGGACTGGCTTTCCGTGCTTGCGTAGCGCCTTCACTAACTGCGCAGGTCCGTTTTTAAGGTAGGTTCCGCGCTGGACCTGTTCGACGGAGAAGGCTTCTCTCTTATTGAGTTGGACGGGTGTGGAGAGGGAGGTGCCGACGAGGGCGAGCGCCGCCGTCAAATGGGCGAAAGAGGGCATGGCGGTGATTGAAGATGCGTGCTATATATGCAGGACAGAGTGAAAGAGACGGCGTCAGACAGCGAGAGGCAGCGAATGCAAGAGCACACAGGAATGAGCGTGTGGGATATGAAGAGAATGTGGGCTTGGTGTTGGCTTTATACCAAGCCTTGCCACGGGCACGACATCATTGCTTGTGGGCTTGTGACTATACAGTCTCCTGTAGTGGTCCTGTACGCGGTCCAGAGTTGGGGAGCAAAGGTGGGGCGCGATCACCATCGTAATCTAATCCGGCGACCAGTAAATGCTCGAACCCCATCTTGGCAGGTACCATTAGGTATGTGTTTGAGTGAACCGCGTTTCAAACAATACCTGCTTCATCAAGGCTGGCTCCGGCGGTTCATGCGCAGCCTAGCGTCGAGTAGTGGACTTGGACAAGGGTACCAAGCACGAGTAACGGCGTTGCGAAAGAAGCTGTCTATATTGCGCGACAGTAGATCCGGGAGTGATATTGGTCACAGGGCTGATTACAACGTGCAGTGATAACGGCCATGTGCACGGCGTTGACCGACCCCTTCTCTTTGGCTTCAGGTAGATCAGGACGTCGCACCGTACCAAACACCCGTTATTGGAGGCACCCAAGATGACGGAGGTCGTAGCATGGTTAGCACTACTCGCTAAGAGCCGGGATCGTGCATGCGAAGAGGAGCAATAGTGTTGCGGAAGATAAGCAAGCGCCAACCATTTCGAGGCTCATAAGGAGTGTCAAGCTTTGGTCCTTCACCCTTGGCGAGCTAAGCTTCTGGATCCGCCAGCCACAGCCGTTAGCGACATTATTATGCTCTGACATTGTGGTCGTGCAAAGGAAAGGATTTGGCGAATCTACTTTCTCATTCATCTCGTAGCATGCGTATTATTAGTCTTTGCACGTATCTCAGGACTCGGCCTCGACGTAGTAGGAACTCTGAAGTGTCGATACCTGCATCGAGATCTACGTTCGCGAAGGCGAATCTTGGATGGCGAATTTCCAGAGAGGGCAAATAACTGCCGGGGTACGAGGGTGATCATTTGGTATGCCACAACCCCAGTTCCTGCCCGAGGCTGCCTCTAATTGAGCGCCATCGTTAGTCGTGATGCAATGATAGATTAACCGCGTTGTCTAAGAGCGAGTAGCTAGAAAGACTATTCGTAGTTCGTACCCCGTTTAGGGAGGTGGCAATGGATAAGATATGGGCGAGAGGGTGATGAACCGGAGGTTAATGGACGAAGGGTTGAGCCTGAAACTAGGGATCTTCCCGCTTACTAGCGGACATATAGCGGTGCACTCGTCCAATCAGCCTCGAGATGAGTATATTGCGACCATGTCGCGATTTGGTTCTGTAGCCAAACAGAGTGGTCGGCTACCTACTTTGTCCTTATTGCGCTCGTGCCTTCCTTTTTCAGACTTGACTGAGGTCACTTCCTACAAGCCTCTTTTCTCAAGCCCTGGTAAAAAGGGGGGTACCAAGCACCATCTCCGTGATTGTGAAGAAAGCTTAGTGCTGTGCAGCAGGGTCATGGGCCAACGACAGCATGCGCTAGCTTGTCGATTGTAGGTATCAAGCAATACTGACCAGGTCAATGAGGAAGCTTGTTATGCTAAGCATGCTATTTCCCCTGTACTATATGCAGTGAGCTGCCAATCTAGGCCCAGCTACCTACAGCATGCTTCGTAAATGTCGTCGAGCAACGCATCGAACCCTAGAGCTATCCAGCCTCAGTATTTCCCGCAACAGCATTCTCCAGCTGCTTCAGCGCCGCCCGATAGGTCTTCTTCTTGCCATTCGCTGTGACATCACTCTCCTTCCACTCCATACGCTTAACCTTCTTGTTTTGCCTCTTTACGCTATCTCCTTTAGTAACCTGCTTCAAGAACCACGCCGCTTCTGTCCTCGTGAACAGCGTCCACGCCTGGCCATATTTCCCAGCTCTTGCCGTCCTTCCCACTCGATGCACATAGCTCGTGATGCTTGTGGGTATATCGTAATTGATGACGTGCGTGATCGAGGGGATGTCCAGGCCTCGAGACGCAGCGTCGGAGGCAATGAGAATCTTTATGGCCCCTGTGCTGAAGGACTTGAGCAGTTTGCGGGAGGCGTCTGCGGTGAGAGCCCGAGTCATGGTTTTGAGGTAAGGTTTGAAGGATGGTTCGAGGACGGCGAGGAGATGTGAAAGGCGGGATGCGCTTTCGGTGCTCTTGGTGAAGATTAGAACGCGACTTGTATGGCTAGCAACCGATACCTCCTTCTCCACGTCGGACTTGTTCTCAGATGAAGAGTCCGAGGAAGAGGAAGAGGAAGAAGAATCAGAGTCAGAGTCAGAGTCAGAGTCCGAGGTGTCCTCTTTTGCGCCAGATTCAGATTGTATCCCTGGGAAGACGAAGTTGAGCAACACATGTAACAGATGTAGAGGCTTATTCGAGCCATCGCCCACATGAACTGCGAACTCTTCAAGGGTCGATGGCAAGCCAAACACATTCTCTTCGTTGTGTAGCAGTTGCGTCTCTGTTGCTTCATCCTGAACAACAACCAGCTTCGGTCGCTTCAATTTCAGGGTACCAAGCTTGGTCAGGTCCTTCTCCATCGTTGCACTCAGCACGACCTTCGTGAGTTGACGGCGCGCCGGTAATGCGACTGACCAAATAGAGTTGGCATCGCACTCGCGCTTCCGAATGTGTTCTTGGGCATTCATCAAGTCGACTGGTGTATCGCCGTGAAGGGCGTCCATCAACACGGTCGCCCAGCCTTGGAAATTTTGGTTCAGCAGCTGATCGGCTTCATCGATTACCAGCCATCGAACGGCGTTCAGCAAAAAGCCCGTAGTATTTTCGATATGTTCGACGAGCCGACCTGGGGTGCAGATGAGGATGTCGACACATGAATCATAACGGGGAACGTGGTCGAGAGGCATCTCTTTCAGGTCATCGAAGATGCCTCCCTTTTCAACAAACCCAGTCTGGAAATGTCGTGATGCCCTCTCATGGAGCTCCTTTGCTGCCTTTGGGTCATATTGAGCTCTTAGTTTGACGAGCTGTTTTTGTTCGCTGGCAAATGCAACGTTGCCAAGCGCCGTTCCAACCCTGATCTTCGTCCCGGCACATAGCTCCTCAGCAACCTGCAGCGCCTGGTTCACCAACTGTCGGCTCGGGACTACTATTATCGCAGAGAGTGTGGGTACAGCACGATCTTTCAGTGCCTCGATGATGGGTAGTAGATAGCCCAACGTCTTGCCGGACCCAGTTTTGGCGGAGACGCAAATATCGCCCAAGTGTTGCTCGAATCCAGGGTGAAGCATAGGCAATAATGCCGTTTGAACAGCCAAAGCGTCCTCAAAGCCTTGTTTCTCAAGCTTCTTTGTGAAGAATGGCTCGACTCCAAGCTCGGCAAAAGGAAGTGTCTTGGAAGCGTCGACGGTCACAGGCTGGGCAAGCCATGTCGGTAGAGTGGAGAACGTAGGCTCGAATGCGGGCTCGGGCACCTCCGCAGGCTGGGGCATCGGTTGTAGATCATGTAGCTCTTCCACCTCTGCCTCCTCTACTCCATCTGTAGGCTCCTCCTCCTCGCGCTGACCTCTCGCCTCTGCCAGTTTCGAAACCTTTTCGAATTTGGAGAAGATGGCCTTATGTTTCTTTGGAGTCTCTTCAGTTTGCTCATGCGCCTCAGCCTCGTATTTCCTTTTCTTCGGTTTCTTGATTGATTTTGGGGATTCTATCCGCGCCTCCTTCGTCGCAGGGCTGTTCTCTGCTGTGCTCGTCTCGATTGCAGTATTCAAAGGGCTGGCGGGCTTTGTAACCTCATGATGTACCGGTGGAGCGACCGGCTTGGGCGGTGCCCATCGCTTGAATAGAGGTGCCGGCATGGTGTGTCGAGTTGCGCCTGATTCGGAGGACCTGAGGATTTACTGTTAGCGACCCACTATCACATTGCTCGGTCGAGACAGGCTTATTTCCTCTCGCAATACTCACTCAAATTGTGGATTATGCGCCAAAACCTGGAGCCTACATTGGCTGGTAACTGTTCTGGAGCTGATTGAGTCCAGAAATTCGCGACCGCCAAAATTTGGTCGGAGCTCAGAAACGCTAAACGCCGATCCCCATGACGCGCTTGCTCATGCCTCATGCCTCATGGTGAACGTGAACGTGAACTTACCGCAACCATACCACTCCGCCCCAATGCGCCATTGAGCTGCCATGTATTCGTCTTCTGAGCATAGTCGAGGTATCAATCCTCACATATCACCAAGATGCCTTACAATATCGCGTAAGTACCGTTCCCCGCAATTTGTCTCTTCAATAAAGCTCACACATGCGACAGCATGGTCAGCGACAATTTCTATCCACAGCCTGGTATGAGCTATTCATGAGATTGCAGACTGGTGTCTTATTATAACGCAGGAGGAGTGGAGAGCCACATGTACCAGCTGTCCAGCGTAAGGAACTCCTAATGGGGGCTCTTCGTGTCGCTATGCTAACAAGCTCCAGAAACTGATCGATCGCGGCCACAAAGTTATCGTCATTACACATGCCTATGCCGGCCGAACAGGCGTGCGCTATCTGACAAACGGTCTCAAAGTCTACTACGTACCCTTCTTCGTCATTTACCGCGAGACGACCTTCCCAACCGTATTCTCCTTCTTCCCCGTTTTCCGCAACATTGTCATACGCGAACGGATTGAGATAGTACATGGCCATGCGAGTCTCAGTAGTTTATGCCACGAGGCTATATTACATGCCCGAACCATGGGGCTGAGGACTGTATTCACTGATCACAGTCTATTTGGCTTCGCGGACGCAGGGAGTATACTTACGAATAAGCTTCTGAAGTTTACTCTGAGTGACGTTGATCATGTCATTTGCGTCAGTCACACATGGTAGATCCATCGTTCTTCCTATAGCGTCTTTTACTGATTCGTTACAGTAAAGAGAACACGGTTCTTCGAGCATCGCTTGACCCACTCATGGTTTCTGTCATCCCGAATGCGGTCGTTGCTGAGAATTTCCGTCCTCTCTCGCACGATTTGGGCGGATCGAACATGCCAAAACCTCGCGCTGCCTCTGGCCCTCCGCAGCCCATGGGCCCAGATGAGATTATCACCGTCGTTGTCATCCAACGACTTTACTACAATAAGGGCACTGACCTCCTCGTGGCTGCCATCCCGCACATTCTTGCTGCACATCCAAACGTGCGTTTTATAATCGCAGGCAACGGGCCTAAGGCTATTGATCTTGAGCAAATGATCGAGCGAAACGTGCTACAAGACAGGGTCCTCATGATTGGTCCGGTTCGCCATGAAGAAGTCCGGGACGTCATGGTACGAGGTCATATCTACCTTTGTCCATCACTCACGGAAGCTTTCGGTACTGTTATTGTGGAGGCTGCATCTTGTGGGCTATACGTTGTAGCTACGCGTGTTGGTGGCATCCCAGAAGTACTTCCCCCTCACATGACAGAGTTTGCAGCGCCCGAAGAGGACGAATTAGTTGAAGCTACTGGACGCGCAATCGCAAAACTACGAGCAGGAAAGGTTAGGACTGAGTTATTTCACAATCAAGTGAAGCTGATGTACTCCTGGACGGATGTCGCACAGCGAACAGAACGAGTTTACGATGGTATTAGCGGCAACATCAGTCACGGCGAGTTCTATCAAGGCGCAGGCGCGGCTGGTGCATGGAGTGCTCCACGAGGTCGCGCCGGAGGTCAGAGTTTTGCGCTCATCGAGCGACTCAAGAGATACTATGGCTGCGGCATTTGGGCCGGCAAGCTTTTCTGCGTCTGCGTCATCGTTGACTACCTTCTCTACCTTGTTTTGGAAGTCTTTGCACCGAGGTCGCGAATAGACATCTGCAAGGACTGGCCGAAGAAGCTTTTGAAGGAGAAAAACAAGGCAATTGAGCGCGGCTTTGGTGCTGGTACGAATGGTGATGAGGTGCTTGAAACAAGAAATCCCCGACGCCACAAGGAAAGAAAAGAGGAGCTAGACGATAGCTGAAAAAGTAGGAATTTGAGAGAACAGTCACCGTGGTAGAAAAGCGAAGATGAAGAAGTCTTTATGATTTCAATATTACGAATACCACTATCCATGGATGGGTACAGCAGGTTGCGGAGAAGAATAACTATCTACGAGGCTTTTAAGGCCCTGTCAAAGAAGATGACAACTAATACGCCCCAAACGCCGACAAATGCTCTGTACAAGGATACAACTCAACTACTGCGCCCCGCAAAGCTCGTTGGCTTACGCGTAGAACCAGTACTGCGCGCTATACTGGACCGTAAAGCCGCCTGTAATATTCTGACACGACTTGGGCGCGACGCCGCCAGCAGTATGTACCCGGTACACCTCCTTGTAGTCGCCCTCAACCGCGTTGAGCTTCAACCACGGTACACTGCCGAATCCATTTGTCCCTGATGCTGCGTCTTTTGGTGCAGCACTCTTTACTTCATCTGGCTTCGCCTGTACGTAACCATAGTTGACGGCATCTGTGTGTAGCATGAACAGTGGGATCTTCTTCTCGGTGAACTCGTGATGGCCGGACATCCTCTTCTCGGCCTCTGGAGCAGTTGGGATTGCGTAGTTCAGAGCTAGCTTGGTAACGTCGGAAAGAACCTTGACGTTCAAGCGCGCGGCGTCACATGTTGCGTTGAAAAGGGTAGCGACGGCACCGACGGCTACGGGCGGGTCGCTGGAACTGGAGGAGCACGTGTAGTTTTGGGTGCCGCGGCCGATGGCAATATGGCGGAGTGTCAGACCGGCGCTGACTGCTGCAAGAGGCGTTGGGGCTGGTGTACGCGTTAGCATTCACGTGTCGTGTAAAAGAAGCAGAGCAGGAAAATCTTACCGATGGGGAGCACAACTTTGGACAAATCACACAACGCATTCGTCTTCTTCAACTGTTCGTAGACAGCAGCTGGCAAGTCTTGCCTTGGGATGAGGTTTGCTATTGAGTGGATGGTCTTGGTAGGGGCGGCGAACAGAGTGGTGGGCGCGAGGGCCAGGATGAGGCTGATGGTAGATGTGAAGATCATTGTCGATGTCGATGTCGATCAAAGCTTGATGTTGTGTGACGATGATGGTAGTGCGGTGATGTTGATTGTCGTCGAGATGGTTGCGTTGTTATATGTTTCGAGCGTGCTTATTGGATCCTTTGGCTCGAAATAGATAAATGGTTGTCGGATGAGAATAGCTCGGAAGGACTCAGTCCCGTATGTAGGCAGGATGTAAGAAAAGGAACCCGAAATGAAACCAGCTATTCAAGGAAACCCAAAGAAAACAAGACCCAAAAAAGGAGACACGGCAAGCACTTGTTGATGGTTTTAGAACAGTTGTAGTCGTGAGGGGGTGAAGAGCCTCCTACGAGGCCGTCCAAGTTCCTATATACACAGGCACAACATCCTCCCAGTTCCCCCAGCGCGTAGCTTGCCTACCTGTATTCCCAGCGATTCCCGTTGACGCCTGTCCCACTCGCCAACCAGCCAAAAGGCCCCAAATATAGCCCTGCAGGAGCATGATTGGTCGGGGAGGCTGGAAACGCGACAGTGCGTCGTGGTTCGCCAATCTACCGAGCCGCCGGCCGTCTTTTTGACGGCTACCATCCCTTTTCCTCTCTGGTGCCGATGGACGAGGCCCACCCGTGCGCTTGCTAATTTCCCTCTATGAGTTATTTTGGGGCCAAAGAGGTTAATCGGGTTAAGGTGCTGATGCGAGATTCGGTTGGGGTGCCGAGAGATTCTTACCATGAGGTTGGTGAGATTCTGTAGCGAAATGAGGATTCTCTTATTTGGAGTCAGGCTCACACCAGCGACATGTTTACCAACATTTTTCACAGCTCCAGCTCTCAGCACGACGGGAATAGAACTTAGGTTTGACACCCTCAACACGCGTCCAAGGCTAGCAACCGCCCGCATCCTCTGTTATTCTCCCACCACCTTTCCCCACCATCCCGCAGAGCCGCCCGTCCTACCTACCAACCACCCGTCCAAGAGCGAACCCACCTCACGTTCAATCTTTCACCCTTGCACTCTCGCTTCCAGTGCCTAGGTCCCTTGTGGAAGGTAACACGCCCGGAAAAGCATCCTAAAGCATCTTAATATAGCCCGTAGCGGTCGAGAAATGACAGCAAATATACCTCGCTTGGGTAGAATCGCAGCATCAGCCAATGAAACCACGTAAGATGAAGATTGTCGGGAGGCGCTGGCGTCTCGCCATTGGCAGGCCGCAGGACCGGTCTCTGGTCTAGAAGCCATACAAGTCGATGTCGTACAGGAAAACAAGTTTGCTTGCAAGGTACCAAGTCGGCTGGTTGGATGAGAGTGCTCGAAAACGCACAGGGTGGCGTTTCTTGCCAGTCCAGACCGGGACATGGTCAAACTCTACCAAGCATCCATACAAAAGTCTACACGCTCCCCTGCGCGTATGGGCTTCCAAGGTTCTTCTACACCACTGTTTTTTTCTTCTTGCGGGATTTTCTAAGCTCGAATGAGGTGGCCGGACGGGTCGCTTTCATCCGTATGCAGGTATTTCGAAGAATCTTGGTTTGTTGTCTTGTCCCCACCCCCTCGTTTACAGACCAAGTGTCGACTGGAATACAACTGGTCGGATCGCTTGAGTGCCGATGCATGGCAGTATTGACCGCAGAAATAAGAGAAATAGGCGTTTCAAAACACTTCTCAGAAGCAAGATCACGCGACTGCTACCGAGGCGACAGCGAGCGATTCCTAATCTCTTCTCAGTTTCCACCTGTCAGTGTTGCGCCATGGACTAACTCCTTCCTTGGCAAGTTAAACAGCACGCTGTTTCTCTGACTTCAACGTTGCTGGTTATCTTCTTTCCAAGTAGTTGTACCCTCTCTTTCCATATCCTATCTCCCTTCTCGTAGTCCTTGCTAACCTACCCTAACTGACAGTACCACATCGTACAATACATCTTTCCTCCACGTCGTACCGATTGTAGCAATACCACCACTCGCTGGTACGATACGAATCTTCCATACATGCACTGACACATCTCACTGCGGCATATACACCAGAGCATTCGCCCCGCTAGTCACTCCAGATGCATAGCGCAGTCTAAATGTAGCGACCTACCTACGGCCTTTTGACGCTCAATCGCTTTGGCGTAGGCGCCTTGAGCTGTAGCTGTCGCAGGGGATATCCACCTACTCTATGCGGTTGTTCTGCCTGCCATGGACTCTTCCTCTAACAAACTATGAGGACAGAATATCCATGAGCTAACGGTGAGACTGCAGATGAAGGAGATAATTCCACATTTCGTGACTTGCTTAACCTTTGACTGGAATGAGCGTTAATGATAAGTACAATCAGGTTTGGTCCACTGGCATTGTATTTGCGGGTAAGACGGATGCATTGCTTCAAGCGAGCACAAGGCGCTTAGAGAGAGATATTCTGGGAAATAGTAGACTGATATAAGGTAGGATATTATCAATCTCGTACTCGATTGCCTGGAGCAAGACTTGTGAGAATATTGAGAAGGAAGATGAAGACACCATAGTCTCACTAGCAGCGACAGCAAACTAGAATTAAAGTCCTAAGCGCCCACAAGGTACAACCTCGCGCGCGTGTTGAAGATGTGAAATGCATCCAAGTCTCGCCATGATCGCTCAAGAACACCATAATAGTACATGACCTAGCCACCCTCCCATCCTCTTGGCCTCTACCCTACCTTGAGCTACGACGCTGCCGTCTCAAAGCCCTCTTTCTGCCAGATAGTAGGGTCGTCGGCTCCAGCAGCTATCGGCCCACCAGGTGCCGCGGCGCCCACGATCGCACTGCTAACACCACCCATCTGCCCACTCTCATACGAGAATAACATATAAAACACCATAAAGTGCAGTCCGAACAGATACGCCGCGAAGATGTTCCGGCTCGTGCGCGTCTGGAGGACGAATTTGGTGACGCGTAAGACTATGCGTTCGAAGAGATGCATCCGTTTCATCGCACGCGCCGACTCGCGGCCTCGGAAGGCGGCAAAGGGCGAGAGATTGGATTCGTACTTTGCTTGGTATTTATCGACTGCCCCACCACCTCCACCACCGTCTCCCACGTTGATGGTCGAGGGATTCGGATTCGCGCCATATGCAGACGCCGATGAGGCCGGGCCCCTACTATGCGCGTTGTAGGATGACACGTATCTCGTCTTCTCGTAGAGGTCCAGGTTATCCTTTTGTAGCGCGCCAATTTCCGAACGGAGGGCTGAGACGGTTGAATGCAGTTTCTGCAGGTCGGCTTCGAGTTCCGAGTTGCGCTTCTTGAAGCGGTCGCGCTGTGCTGTGACCATGGGGAGGATGCCCGAGCCACCTCCTACAGGCTCGCCACCACCGGCACGGAGCGATGCGAGGGTTGGGGCTTGTGAGTTATCGAAGCCGGAGATGATGGAGGATGTGGGTGATGACCTTCCACGGCGCCCACCCCCGAAAGAAGATTGGGGATAGCGGGATACATAGGTGCCTGCTACCGACGCGCCCGACGGATCAAAGGCATTAGTGGCTTCTTGTTGCACTTTCTCGAGATCGGCCTCGAGAGTTTCGTTGAGTTGTCTAGACTTCTCCAAGTCCATGTTGGTATTTGAGAGCTCGTCTTGGAGGGCCTCAAGGCGGCTTTGGAGGTCTTGATGTGACACTCGAAGAACGGTGAGCTCGTTGCTCAGCTTCTTGTTTCTTGCGAGAAGTAACTGTTCTAATGTCTCGCCCTTGCCTTTGCCAGCGGCGCCGTTCTGTGAGAGGGCGAACTCGGTGGCCTCATCGTCGTCATCACCGGTTGCGAATTCAATTGACTGTTCCAGTTAGGGCAGTTTTAATGGTTATAGTGCGTGACTTACCTTCAAGACTTCCAGTTCCTGTTTCACGTTCTCATAGTCACCCCATTTATGAACCTTTTCACGCAATGCCTCCTTCTCGCTCTTGAGAGACTTGATTTCGCGCTCCAGGCTTCGAGTCTCTGTCTCCAGGCGAGTCCGGTCCGAATCCTTCTCGAAGCGCGCACGCTCAAGCTTCCGCAGCAGTGAAGAGTTCTCGGACCGCAGTCTGAGGAAAGATGGGTCGTCTTCAACAGCGACATACTGTGCTTGTGCTGAGGCGGTCTGAGCCAACTCCAGGCGCAGTTGTTCGTTCCGCGCTTCGATTTCAGCGAGACGATGGCTCGTCCTCTCTAGTTCCGAGCTGACGATCTCGAGTTCCGCAGCTGTAGCACCTGAGCCGCTCGTTGCTTCGCCCTCCTCTCCCCTGCCTTGTCGTTGCGAGACCTCATAGCTAGCCTTTAGCTCCTTCAGCAGTCGGTCTTGACTTTCTACTTTTTCTTCTAGGCCTTTCTCCTTGGCTTCCCAGTTGCCCTGCTTTTCGCTAAGCACTGCCGACCATGTCGACTCAATATCCTTGATCTTGCTGTCCCGGCTATCTTCGAGGCCTTGGCGCGCAGTCCGTTCCTCCTCGAGCTTCTTGTCGGAATCGTCAAGTTGCGTGGTTAGACTCACTACAGACTTTTGCAGTCGCTCGTTCTCGGAGGTGAGTTTCGGTACGATCTCTTCGGCGGTTACGAGGGAGTCGACGGAGGCTTCGAGAAGCGGGTATGGGTCGGGCGCTTCTGACAGCGGGGAGTAGACCTGGAAGAAGGCAGCTTGTACGGCCTTGGACTGATTCGATATGAGATCAATGAAGTTTTGGTATGCTGCATATGTGACTTAGCATAGCGCTGTCGAGTTCATACATGTATACGTACACTTCAAGAGTGCCTTGATATCAGTGAGCTTGCTTGCATCGTCGAGCTTCCTGAAGTCCTTCGTCTTCTGTGCGAGGTCCTTCCGTTGTGTGAGCGTGTCTCGTTGGTGTGCGACGAGGTCTGAGGCAACGGTATCCAGTTGCGGGATGAGCGTGGTGAGGTCGATGTCTGGCGCATGGTCAGCCTACTCGTACGTGTTCCGCTGACGGCAATCGTACTCCTCCATGCTCCGATGGCCTTCTGGAATTTGTTCTCTTCGCCAGACTCTGCTGTATCCTCTGCCGTCTGGTCCTCTCTGTCCGGCACCGCGTCCAGTGAGCCTCGTTCCTCCAGGTCCACTCCGCCCTCCATGGCTGCTCCTGACTGAGTGGTGAGACGCAAAGACGAGCGTGTATGTTGATAGCTAAGCAGCGCGCCCAAGACTCGACTATCTGCCGCTGTTTTTCGTAAATGCTCACTGCGCGTCGAATGCCCTGTGTTTGGGTTGGTTACGTATGTCGACAGCTTTCAACATCACCAAGCTGGGGAGGGTGCGGCGTCCCAGCATCGCCTATTGGTGGGGAACAGGCAACATTAGCTCCCCAGGCCAGGTACCACAGCGACAACACCGGTTCCCGCCATGTCCATTCTCCACGTATCGCGGCCATAGCCAGTCATGGCGCCGGTAGTGCTTTTGAACAATGGCAGAAGCAGCTTCCCCGTCGCAATTGACGACCCGCCCGCCGCCGCAGCATGGCCCTTATATCCTCCGCAAGCTTGTATCCGACCTGCCGCTGTCCGCTGACGGCTCCTCCGCCCATGTGCGCATAACATGTGTCGAAGTATCGAGTACGTATCTGGAAACAGCATCTATCATGTATCTGGTCCTTCTGGCTAATCGACTTCAGACGGCAACCTCTATGTTGGTACTTCGGCCGCCGAAATCCTCCACTTCGTCCTACTACCCCCCGAGCCCAATGACCCCTCTGAAGAGCCTACAGCCATAATCGCCTCAAGACTCAACCCTCCGCATAGCGACAGCACGGGACCCGGTGTGCAGCAGATCTTACTGCTGCCCAAAATCAACAAAGCATGCGTTCTATGCAACAACACCCTCTCAATCTACTCGCTTCCTGAGCTGAGCCCCGACTCCTCCTTCAAGCCAATATCATGCCTATGGGTTGGCGGAGTGGACCTGAATGAAGAAGAGGACGGCTCCGCTGGAGATGGCGTAGTGGTCGTCATCGGATTGAAGAAGAGGCTGCGACTCGTTCAGATATCCGAAAACTCTCCGCCTCGAGCCCTCAAAGCGATCGAGTATGGCGGCTGTCTGGTATCTGTTCGACGAGACACATTCTCATGTGCCGCTGATGCGCACTCTTATGCGCTGCTGGACGTCGTGCACCAGCAGAAGATTGGTCTGTTTCCGATATCGTCATTGGATCCAGACGTCGGTGACGTGGGTGGAGCTGCTGAGACCCTCGCAAGCGTATCACAACCGCCTTCAAGAAGCGCTTCTTCGGCAAGTATGCTGCCCCGAGGTCAAGATGAACAGCGTGGTCATAGTCGGAGCACAAGCTTGAATGTTCTGGGCTTCGGGGGTCCCCCGTCTAGGACATCTAGTCCTGCACAAAGATATGGATTCGACGTACCTGAATCACTTTCGAGAGATATGTCACCCGCGCCAGCACGATCTCCTGCTCGACCACTCAAGCGCGGAGAGCTGCCGGAGAGAGCATCTAGCCACACTCGAAGCGGCGCCGCCTCGCCGGACAAGCCTTTGCCGCCGCATCCAGAGGATGCCACACCTCAGGTCGAAGAACCTCCACCGTCACAACCACCACCGTTTGTTCCCCTTAGACCACATATTGCGTCACCGACTCCCAACGAATTCTTACTCACTGTCGGAACTACACCCTCTGAGCCAGGTGTTGGTATGTTTGTAAATCTAGACGGCGACATGTGCAGAGGGAGCATCCAATTCAGCAGTTACCCAGATGTCATAGTTGTGGATGGTTCAGGCATAGACTTATCAGCATCGATGGGCCCAGACATGGACGCCGATGAAGGCTATGTCCTAGCTGTTGTTCATCGAGAAGACGGTGAGGAGACTTCGTATGGTGTTGAGATTCAGCGATGGGACGTGGACCCTGGAGACGGCGAAACCGAGAAAGAGTGGCTAAATCTCACCTCGCTAGGCGTTACAACACGAGACGACGGCACTCACATATCAGCACCCTTGGGTATGCGCACTGTTGTGCAACCCTACGAACTCGTTCTACCTGAGATCGGGTCGAAACTATCAATACAGCGGTTACAGCTTGCTCCGTCAGCAGATGCAGCACAGGAGGCCACCCAAACGCTAACCTCTCAAGCGAGGGCGGACCGCGAATTCACTGAGCGCCTATCTAAGCTACAGGCACAGACCGTCATCTGGGCTGGGGATCAAATTTGGTGGACCGTCCGAAACCCGTTGGTGACTCGCTTAGATTCCCGTATCGAAGAAGCACAGTACACTCGAACTGGAGGCGGAACGCGGATTCAGCCTAATCGGAGTCTCTTGGAGAGAATCCTTGGAGATATACGCGGACAAGAGCCACGTAACGAATCGGAATACCTCAGTCTTATTTACATTCGTCAAAAGGCGTCGCTATTGCTCTTCATGGACGTGATTCTACGCACCAAGACCAACATCATCATCTTTGAGAACGAAAAGCGCATTACAGAGCAAGCCCTCGTTGAGGGCGAAATGGACCCACGAGTTGTGCTGAGTCTACTACCGACCTTGAATCAGGAGGTGGTGCAAGGGCCAGAGGGAATCCAAATATCAGGTGGCATTACGACACTTGTCGAACAATTCTTGCAGCAGAATGATCTCTCGGCCATGCCCACCAACGTTAATGGACCATTCGGCGACAATCTGCTTCGTTTCGTGAAGAGATATCTTCAGTTCTGGAAGCGGAAGAAGGGTATGGCAAGTGTAACAAATGATCCGTATGTTTTCCGCACAGTCGACGCTGCCCTGCTACACATTCTACTGCTTTTGGACCAAAATAGTCCCAAGGGAGCCTCGAGTCCAGGAACCCACCGAACGGAACTCAATGAATTAGTGGACAAAGAAGTAGAATGCTTTGAACGCGCCGTTGAGTTGCTGGAAAAGTTCAAGCGGCTATTCTTGCTTAGCCGCTTATATCAAAGTAATTGCAAAGCGTCAGTGAAAGCAGCCAAGGTGCTTGCGACCTGGAGACGAATTGTGGAGGGCGAAGAAGACAGAGGCGGTGAGCTCGTGGATGGGGAGCAGAGAGTGCGAGAATATCTGGCAAGAATCCGAGATCCTTCGCTCGTTGAAGAGTACGGTGCGTGGTTAGCGAATCGCAATCCTAAACTGGGCGTTCAGATCTTTGCGGACGATCAGAGTAGAGTCAAGTTCGAGCCTACACGAGCTGTTGCTTTACTTAGGGAGAAAGCTCCGGGTGCGGTCAAAGAGTACTTGGAATATCTCGTCTTTGGCAAGAAGGTATGTCTGCCCAAAACATTGACTCTATTCCAACCGCTGATACCGAATGTAGCACACGCAATATGTCAATGAGCTTATTGCATATTACCTCGATACCGTCATCACCGAACTCGAAAATCACCCCGAATCGCGAGATACGCTCTCACAGACTTATGAAACATACCGCATCCTCCAGCCCCCTAAACCCACATACCACTCCTTCATCACCGACAACGCCGTCCCAGCTGAGTGGTGGCAAGCCCGACTTCGCCTACTACAACTTCTTGGAGATAACCGGCCCGCTACATCATCCTACGATGTTAGAGCGATTTTGGAAAGGCTCCAGCCGTATGAGCAGGAGTTGGTGCCTGAGATGATCATCCTGAACGGGAGGCAGGAGAGACATCAAGAGGCGTTGAAGTTACTCACACATGGCCTTGGTGACTTCAACACAGCGATCTCATACTGTCTATATGGCTACAGCTCCATCTTCCGCCCCATAACTACGGGCAATCTTCCCGTCCCGCAGTCCGAACACCCTAGTCACGAGGAGCAGTCACGCCTCCTCAACTACCTTTTGCAGGAATTCCTACACATTGACGACCTGTCACAGCGTGTTGAGCGGACGGGCGAACTTCTGGAGCGATTTGGAGGGTGGTTCGAAATTGCGGACGTACTCAGTACGCTTCCAGATGGGTGGAGCGTAGACGTTTTCTCGGGATACTTGATCAATAGCCTGAGGAGGTTGGTGCGGGAGAAGGCGGAGAGCAGCATTGTGAGAGCGCTTAGTGATGCGCAGAATAGTCAAATGAGTAATGAGTTGGTAGAAAAGAAGGAGGGGCTAGGGCCGAGTTTCGAGAGAGTGGCATGAGGAATCAGATAGATGGAATCATGGCGCGAGAAGGAGCACATGGTATATGATGTACATAATGCAATAATTCACAATCGACAGGCCTATCCCGTAATGCGTTCCTGACAATATAAGGGAGATAACGACTTCACCCACTTTGTTCACTTCGATTACCATTACTCCGCTGCATCTTAGTTGTTCTCTTGGAAGATTTAATAGCATCACGAACATCCCGCCTCAAATTACCTCCCCAGGTCAGCAATAGCGCGTAGATGCGTTTTCTTTTTTTCTTGGTTCTGTCAAGTGTGTGGTTGGACCTGCCTTGATCTTGTCTTGGCAGTTCGGCTTGTATACCTGACGAGCCACGACCACCTATCCAACAACACCAGCGACAGTCACTCCACTCACTTTTCATTCCCGAAACTCTCTGTCTTTTGTCACGACTACTGAAATTTATCGCCACATTGAGAACGATAAGATGCAGCGTCGCATGGTGGGTAGTAGCAATTTTTGCTCGCTGTGCTGGGAAGGCGCTAACGGAACGGCAGCTCACGAAAGAGGAAGAAGCCTCGGCGGGAGGCGAAGACATGGAAGTGCGCCGCGAGGACCAAGAGAAGATCAATCGATTTAGCTCGCTGCATCAAAAAGAGGAGATACTTGAAGAAGAATTAAAGACGAAAATCGTATGTATTCACAAATCACTTTGTAAGCACTAGCTTTGACTGACAGTTGCGCATAGAAGGAGAAGGAAGACCTCGAAGAGATCTCGATGGAGCTGGAGCTCGTTGATGAGGAGGAGAAAGTACCGTAAGTATAGCTTATCATTTCTCATAGTGGTCTAGGCGCTCCGATGCGCTGCCGAGTACATGCTGAGGTGAGATACAGATACAAGGTTGGGGACTGTTTCGTCTCATTACCGCAACCACAGGTCCTTGAATTGCTTGAGGCATCAACAGGGACTATCGATGGCGAGGTAGATGCGCTCAAGTCGAAGCTTGAGGGTGTCCAAGAAGAGATGGGCGAGCTAAAGAAGGCGTTGTACGGGCGTTTCGGTCGCAGTATCAACCTCGAGACTTAGAGCTCCTGCGATGATACAGCATCGGTGTTCGGATTTCGGATTATGTGGCATCGAGATCTCTCACAGAATAACCAAATCGACTACTCAGTTCATCTCCAAGTCACTTTTCGACTCAATGCATTTACCGGGCAGAGTTGTCTACTGCTGTTTGGCGACTTGAACGGATTGTTTCGTCTCGCCTGTTTTCAGCTGAACGAAGATTAATTTATAAAACAGCGCGTTCAGTTACACCGCAACTCATCACCAGTTGCAGCCACTGATGACGCTTCGGAATGCCGTTCGGAGTCAATATCGGACTACGCCCGACAGCACCATGTCTGTCGTGCAGCCGCACCGCACCTGTCACGCCTTCTTTTAGCAAATAACCGGCTCCTCAAGTTCAAAGAGGCACGCTAAGTCCACGTCAATGATTCGCATCATCCTCTTCTAGTATGGAGGCGACGCTATTTAGCCCGCCCTTGGATATCTAAGCAGAACCGCGGGGTTAGCACCTCATTCCAAACCCTTCATTCACAACTCGCTCTTCATTTCTTCGTATGCATGTTCTACTAATCTCTTTCATTCCAAAGTTTGAGCCGAAGTTCCTGACAAATTAGCGAGTGCGTCATCGGCACAATGGAAAGCGCGGATTTAGAGAGGACTTATTCCCGGGAGCAGCAACGGCTGGGCCCTGGTCAAGAGGTCATCACCACCCCAGTGGCGCTCGTGCGGAGTGTCACATCCAGGAGCCAGAGAATTCGGAGTAAGTATATGGCAAATTATTTGCTGTTATCAGAATCGTTGAGAGAATGGTATAGCCGCAGAGCAAAGCTGTCGTACAGACCGGATACAAAGCCTTAAGAAGGATGGCGACATACCTTTAGACTTTGAGAAAGAAGACGAGATCGAGAAAATAGCATCGCCGACGCCGTCCACGCTAGACTCGCCATCGAGAGCAGGATCCAGCTCAGATACGTCAAGCAGACAGGATGATGGATCGCAAGAACGACGCATCCTTCGATTCGAAGATGGAGACCCCGAGAATCCGGACAACTGGAGTCGTGTAAGTGACCTCGGCTGCCCCTAATATGTATGGTAATAGGCTTATTGTGTTCACAGTGGAAAAAGATATACGCCCTCTTTGTTGCGATCATGAGCGGTAAGCACATAACTACCCTTTCCAACCTAGATGCTAAGACATGTTATAGTCATGAACAGCACCATGAACTCTTCGTAAGTCGTCTCACCAATCCAAAACGATTCAACCCTCCAAGCTTAGTTTCTACAGTCTAGCAGCCGGAGCAGTAGCACCCATGTCGCGCCACTTCAACCAGTACAATGAGTATATGCTAATCCTCCCAACATCCATGTACCTCGTTGGTTACGTGTGCGGCCCGATGATCTGGGGTCCAATGTCCGAATCCTACGGTCGCAAGGGCGTTATGATATACTCTTTCGCAATGCTCACCATCTTCTCCATCGCATCTGCCGTGGCGCCGAATTTCGCTGCGTTGGTAGTTTTCAGGTTACTGGTAGGCATCGGAGGGAGTTGCGCCATTAGTGTTGTTGGAGGGATTTGTGCCGATGTCTATCATAATCCTGTTAGTCGGGGCAGGAGCATGGCGATATTCATGGTAAGTCCTTCCATCAGTCTGGCCACGTACCGTGCGATCTAACACCCCTTGTAGGCATCAACAATGTTCGGTCCCATCCTAGGACCCCCAGCCGCTGGCTTCATATCCGTCGTGTCCTGGAGCTGGGCCTTTTGGGTTGGTGCCATCTTCGCCGGCGCGTCCTGGCCCTTGTTCTTCTTCTTCCCTGAAACCTACGGACCTACCATTCTTAAGCGCCGCGCGATACGGTTACGCAAAGAGACTGGGGATGAAAGCATCGTTGCGCCCCTGGAGTTGGAGAAGACAGATATTAATCACATTGTGACTGTGGTCTTGACTAGGCCGCTGAGAATGATTTTCTTCGAGCCATTGGTGCTGTTTACATGTTTATATTTGAGCTATGCTTGTAAGTTTTATTTCCGGTTAACAAAATGATGTCGTTGGGGAAAAGAAAGAAGTAGAGTTAACGTGACACTATAGATGCGATATTCTATATCTATCTCCAGTCATATCCCATCATCTTTTCGGGGATCTACCACTTCAACGCTGGCGAAACAGGTTTAACCTTCCTGCCTATCGGGGTCGGCGCTGCAATCGTATGTATAATTCTCATACAGATGCTAGACCTAAACTAACGTGTTTGTCTTTGCGTACAGTCCGCGGCCATGTACCTCTCCTGGGACTCGATTTTCGCGCGCGCCCAGCGCACAAACAAGCCTTGGTCCCAAAGTGAAGAAATGCACCGCCTCCCGCTTGCCTGCATAGCCGGCCCCTTCTTTGTAATATCTTCCTTCTGGCTCGGCTGGACCGCAAAAGAAAGCATACACTGGATCGTTCCTGCGCTCGCCGGGATCCTCTTCGGCATGGGATATCTGTGCCTCTTCATGGCTCTCTTGAACTACCTCGTCGATGCGTATGAAGTTTTTGCCGCATCCGCCATGGCAGCCGGATCGCTTTCGCGTTCTTCGTTTGGTGCAGTGCTGCCGTTCGCTGCCAAACCAATGTACAGAGCCCTGGGAGTAGCGTGGGCGACTAGTTTGCTGGGCTTCTTCAGTCTGGTGCTGTGTGTAGTGCCCTTTGTGTTTTTGAGGTTTGGGGCCAAGATGAAGGAACGGAGTAAGTTTTGCCAGTATCTAAAAGCAAAGAAAGAGGAAGAGCTTGAGAGGAGGGAGAAGGAGAGGAGGGGGCAACGGGAGAAGGAAGTTAGGGTCGAGCCATATGAGATGAAGGGGAAGGAGCATGTGTAGAGTAGATCGGGTTAGATAAGACGAAGTTCAGGCAAGCCAAGTTGAGACTACGAGGTAGCTAGGTGGAGTGAATTGTGACTGTGTCCCAACGCCTCGCCCCGCCTCGTCTACATAGTTTTTGCTCTCTCTCTCTTTTCAAGCAAGACAGCTAATCCTACAATGCTCACGACAGTACTCGCCAGCCGCAACCTCACACGCGCACCTGTTGTGGCAAGCCGTAGTGACCGGACTACAATTCTGTGATTGACTAAATAACTTGGTCTGCAAAACGAAAACTGTCTCAGGTGTTGGCACTAAGGGGCCAGAGTTGATTTACCTTCTTGCAAGTGATGACTCGGGCGTTGCAGTCTAGGCAGTCGCGGCTGAGCATGTTGTTGGGGTGTTCATTGGCGAGGGGCGTACATGTGCCGAGGAAGGCGAAGGCTAGGAAGAGGAATGAAGGGGTGCTGAATTGCATGGTAAAGGTAAGAGTGAGGGTGGCTAGTATTCAAAATTGGCGGGAGGATAGGAAGTAGAGAAAGCGGGCGGCAGTGTTTATATAGGCATGAAAGCATTTTCCATGGTTGTTGCGTGTAAACTTGAGAATAGACAAAGGAGCCCCTATCATAGGGCGGACAAGCTCCTACAATCACGGAAGGAGACATTTCTGCAGGAGATCTGCTTGACCTTCATATGGTTTATATTAAATGGTAATTCCTGGAAGTAAGCGTGCTAACCTGTTCCAAATTTCGATAGACCCGCGTAGTCAGCTACCCCGAGTCTGCGCTCCTTGCATACTAATCTAGAAGAATCTATTTTCCCGACGACTGCTCCTGAAACCCTGGCTGTACTTGAAGAGCAGTTCTACCCCCTAGTTGCGTTACTGGGCGAATACGTAAGAATAACAACATGTAATGCGCTCATATATCCTCTAGAATATACCCTGTTCTCTTCTCTGGCTCCGACTTGACGACCCAACTGTGTAGAACAATCTCATGCCATTGCACTCTCTCGCCATTCTGAGTTCGAAACACAGGCTCTCTCTCGACTACGAATTCCTTCCCCTTCCGTGCCCCAATCCGAGGCAAGAGGAACCTGAATGAAACCCAATACAAAACGCAGCAAGCAAGCAAGACCCACGAGAGTAGGCCAGTCATCATTGAAGGCACCACCAACCCCGCCTTGAGCTGAGCTCGGTAGGCCAGTCATATACCAGGGAAGTCCGGGGATGATGTCACGAACATCCATGTCGGAGGTGCGAAACGGAGGGATCCAAACCGCAACGAGAGGAAAGCCATTGGTGATAGCGTAGACAAAAGCTGCCGTTAAGCTCAACCACGAAGGCAGAGGCGATTTGGCGGCCCAGTTGGTGAAGAAGCGAAGATAAAGCATGCCGACCGCCATGATGAAGCTAGGGACCACATCGACGAGATAGACATAGAGGTTTGCGAGGATCCTGTATGCAGACGACGGCTTCAGTGGCCACGTGATGAGAATCAACAACACGGCGCAGAGCCAGTGAAGAAACAAGGCGCCGATGGGAGTTGGCTCGGGCTGGTTGAACTCATCTTTGTTCCGATAGCGTTGGAACAGGGTGCGATTTTCGCCGAAGAATTTGGCAAAGGGAATCACTCCTTCTTTGGCTATCTCTTGCTTTACTCTGGACAGTGTGAATGTCATGCCGAGAATGTTGCCGAAGCTGCTGATAGTGGTGAAGGTGACTAGAATCTTGGCCGCATACTTTACGCCCACAACGTTGGTTAGAAAGGCAAGCGCTACATCTGCTGCTTGAAGCTGTTGCTCTTTCGTGACAACAATCATCTGGTAGTGCGTGTTAGAGATGTTTTGATCATAGGCCAAGTAAACGTAATAGATCACTTACATAGCTCAGATTGACTAGCATGTACAGCACACATATCATCCCGACAGCAATTATGATGCCTCTAACAAAGTTCTTTCGCGGTCTGTCGATCTCGCAGAGAACCTGATGTCTGGTAAGTCTTTGGCTTGCCAGCGGACAGAATGACTTACGTAGTTGGCTTGATTGTATCCACTATATGCGTAGAAGACAGCCAAGATGCCTTGAGTATAGCTGTCAATGTTCGAATGGGCGTGCGAAAAAGATTTCGAGATGTTCAAGTTCTCTTCCGCATGATTCGTATTGGCGACTCCACTTAGAACGCAGATGGCCATGACGGGGAAAGTACATAGGATCGCGACTTTTACCACAACAATGATGTTATTGAGCAAAATTCCGCCACGGCGAGTGAACGCATGCAAGAAGCATGGAATCGATACAGTCAGTATCGCTAGGCCTCGTGCAGCGGCATCCTTTCCTGCACCGCGATCAGTGCCTTGTCCGCCAATGACGTCGTCGCCGAAAGAGAGAGCGTTGGCTGCACTCGATGCTAGCAAAACGTAGTTGACAGCGTAGAACGATAGGACGAAGAACTTCGGTCGCTTTATGAGGTAGTTGACCTAACCACTGGTAAGCTACGCCTGCAGAATGGACTCGCAAGCCTTACATAATTCAAATCCCCTCCGTTACGGACTACTGGTTCAACCTTCCCATTGATCAGATGTCGAGGTGTTGTTAGCCCGAACTCAATGTAGAGGACTGTGCCGGCAGATGCAGAGAGCGCTCCGAAGGCCCAGAACAGAAGCGTAATGCCTACGCTTTCTGTTGCTTGTATCGCTGTCCAAGGAGTGCGAAATATCCCTGTGCCTAAAGAGATATCTCAGTAGGTGTTCTTTTGATATTCAGCGATACGTACCAATTACTTGCTGTAGAATGAAGGCCACTACAGAGAATAGTCCGAGGGGATGTCTGGTGTTCTTTGTGGCAACGTGATCTCTGTCTGTCAATGCCTCCAGATACCGGCGATCCTCTTCATCTAGATTGAGACTGCTGTCGGATGACTTTATACTGCTTGAGTCGTCCATTGTACGAAGTCGCATTCAAACTCTACGTTCTTGAAGATGTAGATTATTGATGAGCTACTTTTAACCGACCATGTGCAGACAGTCTGGCTTTAATATTTTGAATAGGTAAGCACGGGCCGTGCTGCGAAAGCTTCCCTGAGCCGTGCAGGGCTCCCACCACTCAACCTGCTATGCCACCTCCTTCACGTCTGCAGGAAGAACACATCCAAAGATTATGGCTTGCGGGGCTATTGCCCGTCAGAAAGCAGGTCTGTTCCGTGGAGCCTGCGAGTTGAAGGACGCTCGTTTTCTGAAACGTGAAGTCTGCATTATGTTCGGAATAGGCCATCATGGCCGGCCACTCTGCATGGAGGCGTAAGGCTGAGGCATCCATTGGGGGCTGTGGATTACCCACGAAACACCGCCCCCAGATAAGCAGAGAAAAGGAGATTGAAAAACAGCCGTGCATTTATGAATCTATGATAATGTTCACAGGCTGACGTCGCTGTACTGCTCATCCTTTAAGGAGCGGACGTCTCGTGGCCGCCTGGGTGCTCTGGCGACGACCAGACCAGAATCACCGTTGACATGCCACTCGACCTCGGCATCGTGGGGTTGGTAGGTTCAGCGATCAAACTGTCTTGGAGCATATATGAGAAAGGTTTTACCAAGGAGAAGTCATTGCGTTCGTCTGCTTGAACCCCACAATGTTTGTCTACTAACCTTATCCGCCTAGCGCAACGTTACCTTGAGTTTGGCGACGCGCTCTTTCGACTCCACTCGAACCTCACCACCATCGCATCTATCGTAGAGACAGCGAATGGCAGCTTAGAGGCCGACACAATCAGCGCCTTTGGTCCTAAAATATACGATACAACATCGCTTACAGAGATCATTGGCAATTTTCGATTGACGCTGGAAGAGTGTCGTCAATTGCTCAACGATGATGACAAGTTCCGTCAAAAGAATGGGTTCATCACTAATATCATCTACAACATCAACATCGACCCCCAAATCGTACGATTGACCGAGCGATTGGCTTTTCACAGTACCAAAATTGGTCTTGTGCTTGACCCTTTCAATATTCACGTACAAACCCAGTTGAGGAACTTGCACAAAGAGCAACATCAAGACATCGCAGAGTTACTACAAGAGCTGAAACACCTGCTCATATCCGGGCGAGATCCAGTCAGTGAGACACCGGTTCTGCACATCAAACGAGATCTTGAGGTTCCCACTGAGCTTTGCGAGCGATTCACATTGGAGTCGCAACGACGCCTTTCGTCAACCTCGTCAACCTCTTCAGCCAACGATGCCACAGTCCATGAGGCGCAAATTTCGGTCAAGGATGGGCTGGAGGCCTTCTTCTACCACTTCAATGGTATTTCACAAGACGGGGATTCCATGTCGTATCTACGTCTTATGAAGAGCATTTGGATCATGGACAAGATCCGAGGGAGTCACGATTGGACCAAGATCCAACGCATCAACCCAGGGGGTCTTTACGATAGATGCGTTAGGGAGATGGATAGACGACTAAGAGCCGAATGCAGCCGAGTTGCTAGCCGTCAGGTTGCGCGTTCCAGGTTGTCAATTATCCTCCAACTTCCAGAAGAAGCATTCGCGATCTGGCCAAGAGCGGAGCCCATCAAGGATCAATCGCAAACCTCGCATCTAGGCGTTCTTCTGGATATCCCAGTCTTGCCTGACTCGAAGTCGCACACACTCCGTGTGGTGAGAAACGTCGACGGAACTTTAGGGATTGAGGATACGACTATCACCAGCACGGAGTCTACTGGCACGGTGTCCAGTGAACGGATCGTTCAAAAGCTCAATATTGATTTGAACAGGGCGTACTTCGTTCCCATATACGCCAGCCCAGGAGAGCCAGGCTCGAATCCACCCTCATGCACGGTGAAGTTGCAAAGCTCACGAGACGGAATCAACGGCGTCACGCCGGAATTCAAATCAACAAGCGACCTGTTCAAACTGCAGCACCTGATCACTGGATATCGATGTGTGAAGCAAAGGTTTGTTTGACTAGTCTTCTATTCTGAACCAGTACTCACTGCGCGTAATAGGAAAAACATCACGGTAACATCGTTGATCAAGGGACAGGAATATCCTAGTCAGTGTAATAGTACGAAACCAACACCACGGAGAACGCCTCCTGTTCTAGCGGAGGTGGGCAATCTCCAGCTCTGGCAGAAAGTACCATACGAGAGGCGCCGCTCAACACGAGACGAACGCTATGAGCCAGGACGATCGGGCTCGGATACATCCAGCCCAGACCCATCCAGCAGCAGTAGCAGCAAGTCCCTTTCCGCACCAAGCATCATAAGCACCATGTCCGGCGCCCACACGCACCAAATCTCCCTAGGCTCCTCCCGCAACGCCATAGAACTAACCCAACCCGCACCCCCGCTCCTCGTCCTCTTCCTCAAACCGTCCGCCGCAACAGACCCCCTATCCTTCCTCGTAATCGAACTCGACGAGCGTACAAAGATCGAGCCAAACAGCTGCGACTGCCGCAGCAGTACGAAACGATCCTGCGCAATCAGCGTCCTCGAGCGCGCGCGCAATACGCCCCTGCTTGCCCGCCGCTTCTACGCCCGCAACGGCCTGAAGAGCTGGAATCTAGCTGCCGTCGGCGAGCACTGGGCTGAGGCGCAGTCCCCCGGGGAGAAATCTGTCGTGGTACGCGACATGTACTGGCTTGGGATTGCGTTTCAGAGCGAGGCGGAGCGGGTGGGGTTTAATGCTAATGTAGCGGATCTTGTGCGTATGTTTGCTGCGCGCATGGAGGATTATCAGAAGGATTTGAAGACTGTTAGGGGCACGCATATCGTTTCGCGGGCTGCTTGATCTTATCTTGTCATTGTGCTCTATTCCCCTGATGTAATTTTTCTCCTTCTTTCCGTTGAGCATCATATGTGTTGTATTTGTATAGTATAGTGTAGGCAAGACTAGGTCACTTGTCGTTTCGGTTTCGTTGGATAGGTAATTCACTGTTCTCTAGGATACGAGTATTAGGGGGACTGTATATTCGAAGCCACTTTATTATTCATTATTAGCTACTGAACAGCTGTGTTCTTCAACTATCTTTTAAAGATTGAACAGAATTAATAAAAAGTAGCGAAACTCAAAGACTAGAGGCATAAAGATAATGTTCAAAAATGTAGATTGAGGCCGATACAGACAAAGCAACGACATTGAAGTTAGCAATACACCCACAAAGCCTAGTCAGCAACACCACGGCAGAGACATTCGATGATTTGCAATTTCTTTACATTTGGTGCGACTAAAGTACGAAGGCGATACTGTATGATACAAGGCAAGCAAGAATACCCATCCGCTCACTATGCCATCAAACCTATGAAACCCATCATGTCAATTTCACTGCCAATCAAACTATGACATCAAGTCAAATTCGAAGCCTCTAGGCCCAGAAGTCTCCAGCCAACCACCTATTAAGCATCTCAAGCGACGCCTCGGGCTGGTCATACGGCACCATGTGGCCACCAGCATGGATCTTCAGGAAGGTAAAGTTGCCACTGGACTTGACTTGACCAACTGTCTTGCCATCACCGTCGATCTTGAAGTCCTCCAACTTGGCGGCCTTGAAGTCCTTGTGACCAGGCCACTCGAGGGCTTCAGCCCAGGCCTTGTTACCGAGCCAGTTGCAGATGTAATCGGCATCACCGGCGTAGATCAAGACGGGGATCTCGGCAAGAATACTAGGAACGACGCGGTGGAAGGGCTTCATCCAGTCACCCTGGAGCAGGAAGTTGCGGTTGATGTCGAAGTTGCAGGATTCGTAGGACGAGACTTCTGCGCCGAGGGCCTTCATGACGTCCTTCTTGTTGAGGTAGCCCTGTATCCAGTCGAGCTCGTCATAGCAGAGAGAGTTGCCGCCGCAGGGCTTGCGCACATCGTAGACGTTTTGGCCAGTGCGCTGGTAAGGGCCAATCATGGCGTTGTTGCAGTAGATGGAGGCAGGGACGCAAGACCAGACCGACTCGGAGCTGTAGCAGTTCTCGATGAGGCTAGCGCAGCGGGGGTAGGCGTTGTCCATGGACTGGCATTGGCTCTCGTCGAGGACGGCGGGCCAGCCACCCTCACCACAAGCCATGGGGCGGTAGTACTCGTACTGGGTGAGGCCATCGGTCAGACCGTTGCCGATGAGGACGGACTGAAGGTTGATGTTGCGCTTCTTGTGGGACAGAATCTCAGAGGCAAAGACGGGAATGTAGTGTCCTGCGTATGACTCGCCGGAGATGTGGAAGCTCTGCTCAGCGTACTCGGGGAACTGCTTGAAGAAGAGAGTGAGCAGGGCGTAGATGTCCTTGCCCGCGGCGACAGTGTTGCTGACTTGGCCGCTCGAGTATGAGTATCCGACATTGACGGGCTGGTCGAGGAAGATGACGGACGCGTTGCTGTTCCATGAATAGGGATTGTGCTTGATCTTCTGGTCCTTCGTGATGGAGGCGGGGCCGAGCTCCATGAACAGACCGGTCAGCGACGAGCAGCCGGGTCCGCCATTGAGCCAAAGCACTACGGGGTCGTTCTTGGGGTCGTTTCGCGATTCGAAGAACCCTGAGTCATGTCAGTTACGGTGGCGAATCAGGGTGGTTAGTGAGGTACTCACAGTAGAACAAGTGCTTGTCTTCCTCATCGTCGTCAAGGTAACCGCTGTACTGCTTGACCTTGTCGACACCAAGGACACTCGGGTCGACCTTCTTGACCCTCAGGTTGTAGTTCTCGAGCTTGCCGTCAATCTCGCGCTCCTTCTCGCCGTTCTCGTTCTCGACCCAGACGCTCTGGACGTCAGCGCCCTTGACAACGTGGTCCCACTCGCTGTCGTGCTTGCGGGTGTGTGGCTTGGGCTGCGAGAAGAAGGAGGCCTTTTCAAAGCTCTCGGGGTACATCATGGCGACTTCGTCCCAGATGGCGCGGGCTTCGCCCGTCAGTGACTTGAGGCTCTCCTCGAGGTTTTTGAGCGGCTTTGTCCATGAGTTGGCCTTGAGCTCGCTGAACGAGTCTGGGAACTTGAGGATCTGCTGCTGCTGCTGGGGTGCAACGGCGGCGGATGCAGCTCCTATGAGCAGCGCCGAGGTAGCTACCTTCATGGCGGAGGGTGCTGAGCTTCCGGAGCTCAAGCGCTAGCTGTGGGAGAGATGATGAGTGCTTCTAAGAGCGATGAATGAAGCACAAGAGATGATGGAGGAGAGAGAAACGGGACGGGTGACGGGGTGTATGGTTGAGGTATGGGGAGCTCCGTGTGGAGGCTGCGCGGCTTGCCCAGGCAACGAGTGGATGACGCAGCACGAGGCGGCTTATCGGAGGTGGCTGGACCGTCCGAGCGCCGTATCACGAGGGCTTAGCGTTTCATGATAGCGGATGGCCCTGACGCATCTGGGATGGATGGAGGTCAAGGGATCAAAGCATCGAAAGTGAGGCCTACATTCCGTGGCGCATCGTCAGCTGGTGACCATTCATGGCTGCTCTGATGAAGCCTGGAGTGTTCCTGCATCCATGGCCTTGACCTCTACCACAAGCAGCCTAGCGCGTGGGTGAATCAGAGTGAGCAACCCATGGCCGGGCATGTCATACACCCCACCAAAATGTCGTCCAGCTTTTATATCGCGAATCCAACACTGCACTCCCACCACAAAATCTTTCTACATATCTCCCATAAATCCTATACAAGATGCCCGTCGGAATCATCCAACCGTCGAATCAAATCAAGCTCACCAATGTCTCGCTGGTGCGCATGAAGAAAGGTTCGTCATCATCCCCACCAAACCCACCCCAGACGCCGTCAACTGACATGTCTGGCAGGAAAGAAGCGCTTTGAAGTAGCCTGCTACAAAAACAAGGTCCTCGAATGGCGCAACAAGATCGAAAAAGACCTGTCCAACGTGCTGCAGATCGAAAACGTCGTCTTCCTCAATGTCTCCAAAGGCCAAGTCGCGCCCAAGTCTGATCTCGAGAAGGCCTTCCCCAAGAAGTCAGTCGAGGAGATAATAAAAGACATATTGGAGAACGGTGAACTCCAAGTGGGAGAGAAGGAGCGCAACGCAGAACTCGAACGCACCAAGAATGAGGTCATCGACATCGTGGCAGGAAAGCTCGTCGATCCCAAGACGAAGCGCGTGTACACGTCAGGTATGATTGAGAAGGCCTTGGATCAGCTAAGTAGCCAGGCGGCAGCGCAGCAGGGTGATAAATCCGACAAGACCGACAAGGCTGAGGGCGCTGAGAATGGAGAAGACAAGGCCAAGGCCAAGGAGTTGCCCAAGTGGACGGGCATCGTCACTTCCAAGTCGTCAAAATCACAAGCCCTCTTCGCCATGAAGGCCCTTATCGCACATCAGCCGATACCGGTAGCCCGCATGCAGATGAAGTTGCGCGTCACATGTCCTACCTCCGTCCTCAAGCAAGCGACCAAGACCGCTCCCAAGGCACAGGCAAGTGGAGATGACAAGGCGACGCATGGCACAATCAAGGACGCGATACTAGGCTTCATGGAGAAGATTGAGAGTCAAGACACGTTGGGCGCCGAGTGGGAGGCTGTGGGTCTCGTCGAGCCCGGTGCATTCAAGGGGCTGAACGAGCTCATCGAAGGCCAGACCAAGGGCCGTGGGAACGTCGAGGTCCTGGAGATGGCCGTGGGCGCCGAGGACTGAGTGGTGACACGTTGAGAGATCGAGCTACGCGCAGCGCGCTCGGTCTCACGTGCTGATGCATGCCGACTGAAAGAGACGACATAGATGAGTGAGCCCGAAAGGTACCCACACAGAAGTCGCGAGGTCCTATGGATGATAAAGGGCCTCACACCGTGGCCGACGCTCGTTCGCCACCTTGCCCCACAGCTCTCAGGTTGTCCACGGACAACCTTCGGGCTCATTACCTCCCACGCTCGATCCCGTGCCATCAGAGGGTGCATGTCTAGATCCCAGCATCGTATAGGCTCTGTTCCGAATACCTGTAGATACATTGACTGTCAACCACGGCAAAGTGCATAGCTCACTAAGTAGAGAGAAAAGAAACCTCCCTACCCCATCTCCATTTCTCGTCTTCTCAATCTCCATTACCATACTGTCAAGTCTATCTTTTACCTCATGTGAAAACCATGTCACTCTCTACATTCTCATCAATCATTCCTTTCAAGCAAGCATCAACCTTCACCAACCCTCAACCCTCAACTAAACCCTGTCCCCTGCACAATGCCATCTCACGAGCCTCTCCAAGTGGCACCACGATAACCCGCGCACATTACTCTGCACCATTCAGTCCCCCATGCCGTGTCACCCGCACCCGTCTTCGTAGCGTTTAACCTGCGTGCAACGAGAGCCACTCACTGCGAGACAGCTGTTTCTTGAGGGTTGCGGCTGCATGCAGGATGCAGGATGCTGCAGAACAATGCATGTACCGCATTGTATCTCAAGTCCCGTGTCCGAGTGTTGTGCGAGTTTGGGAGTTTTAGAGAGTAGAAGGGTGTGTAGTAGTTGTTGTTGATAGTAGGAGGACATTTTACGGTTATGAGATAGGACAGATAGTAGTCATATTGCTGATGGAAGTGTAGTTTTACATACATTGATACTAGTCGTTAGATTTCAGAGTTTATCATCATAAGTCATTATCAAGATCATGCGTTCCTGCGCCGGTTTTACGTCCGTAAAAAGTCGTTAGTCGTGTTTCGTTAGGTACCATGCAAATGCGCTCGCAGCCTAGAACATGCAAGATAGGAAACGAACCTGAGAACAGAGAAGCGAGAAAACAGAAACAGAAAAAGAAACGAAAAGGAAAGGAAACATGCTACTCCACCGGTTCGCCGTTACCTCTTGCCTGTGCTGTGCGTCCTGATATGCCCCCAGACTCCGTCTAGCGTTATTGATCGATTGGCGTCTGGATGAAATTCATGCTGTCGTGCGTCTAGTCCCACCACCGCCGGTTGTGCACCCTCCCATTCCCACTCAGGATATCTAGCACTTCAGCAGTGGACGTTTGTACGCCCCAAGTCCTCGCAATCGGCTCCGCGATCGACATCCAGTCCAGGCCTCTCACATCGTACAGGTCGAGCACCACACGCACCAGCCAGGGCGAATACATTGGGTAGCTGGTGTCTTGGTAGAGAAAGGGTGACGACGGCTCTACTACTGCTGCCGATGCTCCATCGTACGAGATGGACTGGCAGAAGGTGAGGGGATGCGGACGCTGTCGTGCCTCGCATGGCGATGGGAGTGGCGAGTCGGAGCACAAGTCCATGTTTCCTTCAGAGTCGGTGGGCGAGCTGGCAGCGGATGAAGAGGCGTCCGACATGATCGATTCGTCGCTCATCTTGGTGTGCAGTGGCAGGAGCACATTGACTGGCTGTATTGCTCTTTGTTCAGCTGCCTTGATAGCATCGTGCCTTGGGAGCGACGTGATCGCGCCCGTCGACTTTGAGCATGGCGACTCGTCGATGGGCGTAACAGTCATGCGAGAAGAAGGCGAGTCGAATGATTGCGCGCGTATCCTGACCTTTGGTGACGGAGTCCTCGGCGGTGCCATTGTAGTCGCCATGATGTGGCGAAGAAGTAGCTGCGATGAAATATCGCAGAAGATCAAATAAGAGTAGAGGTGATGTCAAATGGCCTCGAAGCCAGACCTGAGTACCCTCCTTCTCCGCAGTAAGGCTTATATCAATCAGACTCCTATGTGCATGCGGCCTGTTCGCTGGCCCTGCATACCAATGCTGCAACCACGCCGCAGACTTTCCATCCGACGGTGGAAATTACAGGGTTTCCGAGTCCCACAGAGTGCATGTCGCGGGGAAAGGGAACGAATGCCAATGGTTCAGCGCTGCTGATGCCGCAGACGCCAGTCGTCGGGAGAGCTCGAAGCTGCAGTAGGCGTGGAAGACAACGCACTCCACACTTGGCGGCTGATGAGCGAAAAGGGATAGGTTGAGGAATACCTCAATGCACGGATCAAGAAGCGTAAAGTACAAAGTAGTAGCTTGTAAAGCGCGCGTCAAAGAACTGGACAGGGACTTCTGTTCCGCTCGCGATGTTACGAACAATGAACAATGATGCGTAGTGCTCCCTTTGATGACTTGTCTACGAATAAGCATGCTACAGCGACACCCTGAATACCGTTAGCGGACCGTCCCGACTTATCAACCTAACATGACAAAGTCAGGAGACCTTGGAACATCGTGGGGCATGGACCAAACTGCATTGTGTGACGTGGTGAGTAGACTATGGCCGCACATGCAACCATGTCTATCTTCGCCAATCAGCGACCGGTCCCCCCGCCACACAAGGGGGGAAATAGAAAAAGGCGTGGACAAGAACGAGACTTTGAGAGGGAAATTGTAGGACGTTGAGAATGGAACAAAATCGGAATCTGATTGTGTGATTTTTGGTACAGGCTGTAATTGGCCAACCCTAACCGTGGTCCTTCATTGCCTACCCCATGTCGTGCAAAGCCGCATGAATGTAAACGTGAAAGCCAATGAAAGCCGTTCGATAAACACCGTAAGTGCACCACCCATTTCGTAGAAGCCGTGTTCCGACCCCAGCTGCCCAGCGCCAGCGAAAACCTTTAACCCTTCTTCTTGGAGACACCAACGGTTCGGCCGCGGCGACCAGTTGTCTTTGAGTGCTGGCCACGGACGCGGAGGCCCCAGTAGTGACGGAGACCACGATGAGCGCGAATCTTCTTCAGGCGCTCGAGATCGTCACGGAGCTTGCTGTCGACACCGTTGGCCAGAACTTGGCCGTCCTTGCCATCGACGATATCGCGCTGCCTGTTGAGGAACCAGCTGGGGATCTTGTCTGTGCATTGTTAGCCAGCCGAATGCATGTAGCCGAAGTCGGGAGAGCGTACACTGCAGGGGGTTCTGGATGATGGTGACGATACGCTCGAGCTCTTCGGAGGTGAGGTCACCGGCGCGCTTGCCGAGATCGACATCGGCCTTCTTGCAGACCAAGTTGGAGTATCGGCGACCGACACCCTTGATCTTGGTCAAGGCGTACATGACCTTCTGCTTGCCATCGACGTTCGTGTTCAACAAACGGATGATGTATTGGAAGCTGCGGCGAGTCAGTATAGTTCTGACCGACAAATGTGGCACCCAGATTGCTGCTATTGCGCTTCCATACGAGTCTCCTTTGTCAAAGCCATTCACAACCACCATCTACCATTTCGGTCCTGGACAGCATGCCGATTTTCCGGTCAACTCGTACACTTTCAACAAAACGCTTCTTAGCCACGCCCACCGTACGCCTCCCTCATACAATAACACTCAAGCATGCTGTCAGACTTCGAGGGCGGACCGTGATTGTGAATGGTTTTGGATCGGGGAGACTGCAGCGTAATATGGAGTCGCGATGGCGGGCCTGGGTGTCCTTCGAGTTTCATATGGATACGTACTTCGACTTCTCTCCGGAGACGAGCGCTATATCAACGTCAGCATGTCTGTTCGGTGAAGGCTCCTTGCGATTTCCGCCATTGCGATCGAACGTCCCAGGCTGATTGCAGAACTCTCAGCGTAGAGAGCGTGTCGATCGCATATATTGTACACTCAAGGCTCCAGGAGGGTTGTACTCACACATGATGGCGGCTTGTCGAGACTCGTCGATGTGGTGTTGTCGGTGCTCTAGCGATCCTGGAGTTGACGAATTTCGATGAGGTGCCAAGGTGTGTGCCTTCCGTGGGAGATTAGTTTATCCGAGGCCACTACGCTAACCAAATCTGTCAACGCCCGAACCCCCAGCAAACCAACCATCATCACACCCATCGGCCTCAGTCGTTTTCATCACGGTCGCAGAACGAGTAATATGTCTTAGACTCTCCTAGAGCTTCGCCTGGCTTCGCACGTATTGTGTGGTGGCTTGGGACCTCGAAGTGTATCTGAGGCATGTGCTGACGTGCGTTGTTCTCTCCTACTTCTTCACTTTGCGTTACCGTATTAACTGTACCGCCACCCCCCAAACCCCGTCTTATTATCAATTTCATTGCTTTTCTGTCCCTGGGACCGCTACAACCGCTGCAACCGTCATTTTCTTTCCTTTTGTCACAATCTGCCAGTAAACTTCACCTGCATGAGGACTGGGCTGTGCAAGCGATAGCGATCCGTGCTGCTGCATGCACATGTTTGCGCATTGTAACGCATCTTAACACCCTCCACTAGAATCGTTCAAACACTCAGTGTCGCAAGCCCAAGCAGAGGCATGCATAGCAATGATCCCATGGACGGTGTTGCGTCATGGCCAAGACTGCTGCCTGTAGTCTTTGGCACTCAAGGTTCAGCCGCACTCCTTCGTCGCGCGACAAGCGTCACAGCGACAGACCTCTTTTCTACCGGCGGAAAATTGCAATGGTAGGCTACTAATTCGGTGCGTTTCGAATGCTTTGCCCGCTGGTCACACGCTCTGGCAGAGTATGCTCGTTCTCACCCCTTTCTGTCGTTTTCGTTCTCCCATGCGCTTTTCAGCCCCAGTACCTTTCCCTATTTCGTAGCCAATTTCAAGAATTGGCCCTTAACCTGTTGATCGCTTCTCCTTTTGTCACTTTTTTTTCTATAGCTACGGAATCACGATGCAACATTTCCAGCCCCATTAGCGACAGCCTCCACAGTGCCATGGGAGGCGAAGCTCACCTGGCCATACTGCGCCACTCTCTCCCTCAACAATTTTTTTTACCATTCCAACTTCGGTTTTCCTGGGTGCCTGGAAGAAGGCGGAAATTTCCCTAATGACTAGTTTGACAGCGGCCGCCCCAAGCTGTGACGGTTAAAACATATGGTCGACCGCGCGCAATGCAGCGCACAATCGTCGTTCGTCAGCCTCATTAATAGCCCCATCGGTTCCCTACCCACCTCATCCAGTTCGTCTCCGATCTTTGGCTCTTTTTATTTGTGATCCCCCTCTTCGCTCTTCCCGGTTCGACTAATGCATCCATCGGAACTCGCGCCCGGACAATACAGTCGCGGAAGCCGACTGACCGCTTAGCTGTTGACAGCGACTAGGCATACCGCTGCTACCATGGCCGACCAAGTCGCTTCTTCAAATCCTGCGGACCGAGTCTTATTTGAGGATCCTCATGCTGGTGAACCTTCCATTTGCAACCCCGTCAGACACGACACCTCTTCATCCACTGGGAGCGCGAAAGCGTTACCACAGGGCCATTGGGAGTTGGAACTTAGTGGCAATTGTCCAAGCTGCCATCATCATCACAAGTCCACCAAGGTACACGTCAGGGCATCCGGTGACTCGAACCATGTCTGCGATATGGGCGAGATCTACTGTGAAAAATGTAAACGGCTGTGGTTGGACTTTGGTAGAAGGAACTCCACTCGGCTCTCTCTGGTGTCTGTGAAGACCATCGAGCCGGACCCCCTGGAAAAAGACTTTCATTCTACTCTTGTCAAGATGATACGTCCCATAACTACTGTCGCTACGCTGTCTCCCACACTTGCGGATATTCCGGAGTCGTCTTCAGCCAGTCCATCACGCGAGCCTTCTTTGCGATCAAATTCTCGTCGTGGTATTCGGGTAACGTCACCGTCCATTGCCAGTAACGCGATCACGGAGCACCACAGCGCAGCAGACGCAAACTCCCTGACCTTCCCTTCGGCGCAAAAGACCAAGGCTTCGCTGGGCAGGGCTCATGCTGCTCGAACCTCATTCTTGTCACAAGTGAGCAGTAGGATTCGCGACAAGTTTCCGCTGTTGAAAACCAGCCGCTTGACAACGTGGATGAAATCTTCTCAAGGGGATAAACTCAGCCCAAATCGCCGAGGGAAGCTACCCGTTTCAGAACCCGGGTTTTCGCCTGTGATTCCCGCTTTGCACGCTCCCGTGACCGGCAGCGTGGAGGCCCAAGTGCATACCGGTCCCACTGCGAAGAAAGAACCCGACGTCGTGGACGTTTTCACACCTTCGACCACCGCCGTTGAGGCCTTGGAATCGCTGAAGATTCTGGATCACGAAGAAATTCGAGCAATGAATCGGGAGCAACGCATCAACTGGATGCGTGGGAAGCTTACCGCCTTCAAGCGAGATGCGATGCCTTTTCATCCGTCTTCTGTTCCCATCATGGTGGACCTTCAACCAGATCCCTCAACTCCACCTACTCGTCACGACTCCGAATTGGCATTTGTAGGGAACAATTTTGGTTCGTTTCACTACTGGGAAACTTTTCGTGGCAGTAATGCCACGCTCAACGGCTGGCCACCCAGCATGAGCGAGCCTCCCCTGTCAGAGGCGGATACGGCTGTTGAAGGGATGAGCGTCACTTCTGCACCACGCCGTATCCTCGTGGAAAGCCTACAGCGGGACCGTCATGGGTCCAGCTCAACTCGTCCTCGCTCGTTTCAAGGCGTGGTGCAAGATTGGCAGCAAATCCGCCAAAACAGGGCCGAGGCTCGTCGGTCATTCGACTCGGCCGCAACTGGAGGGGCTGTCAGAAGTATTACCGCTGCCAGGGGTCGTGGCCCCAACCGCCTGTCTCGGACATCGATGGGTCGCCCCGAGCCCTTCGTGTCGCAAGTCCAGCTTCCACTGCATGAAGAGTCTGAGCAGCCCAGCGGCCAGGAACAGATCAGGTCTTCTTCTCCGTCGCTGCCAACCCCTGGGTAAAGTTACAAAACCACATGGGGCACCTCCTAACCTGGCCTTGTTCGATGCGTAGCATCACCAGTTACCATTCCACTTCGAGGTCCCCCTTTGAAATTTTTCCCCGGTAATTGGCTTTGGCTCTTGTTCCGTTTTCCAATGCGCTATCTCCTCCGTCGCTCCCTTGCGAATTCACCTGCTCCTTACCTCAACGATACCCTATTGTCCTATATACACAGCCTGTCTGTACACTTCCCCTTCATATGCACAGTTCACTTTTTTTACTGGTCTGGGACACATTCTTTACACGGCTTCCACGTTTTACGGTCATTTATACGCGGTACGATGATACGTTGACAACGACGGGGTTATCTACTATCAATGTTCTCTTCAGCCGCTGTGTTATTGGTGCTACTGCATATCACAAAAGTCTATCCTTAACAAGTCTAACTCTCTCCACGTTGTTCTCGTAAGCATACAATGATCAAATCTTTCCTTCGCCACACATTTCCCTTTCCTACCCTACCTAGCTTCGGTATTTAGACTCTAGTATGCACAGATACAGTCCCGCAATAACTGGTAAGTCTTAAAGTTTAGACACAATGAATCATGTATCTGTTGGCCTGAACAATGCTTGATTTAAGTTTGAAGTAGCTTGAAAGCGGAATTAGCTCAGTTAGCTTGTACCACTGCACGTATGGAGTCAATAAAAGAAATCGTTGAAAATGTCTACTAAACAGACTGCCACAATCAAGGTATCAAAAAGCCAAATTACAATGACGCCACCCTCATCCGACCATTCCCAATTTATCTCATCCAACGCTCACCAATCATCAATCATATCATTCCCCTCCTCGCTCTGCACGTCCATAACCTTCCTCGCAGCCTCACTCCCACTCACGGGCAACATTTCCAGCCCTTGCTTCTTGAACTCTTCCGGCACCTCGTCCGGATCCAACAGCCCCACTTGAAATAACACACTCGCTTGATCCCAATACACCCTCTCACACCACACCTTGCCCGCCCTAAACGCAACAATGCTCACCACGACGATCTCTACTTTCTGGTTGGTAGGGCTGATGCCAGGCAGGATCCACGGCATTTGGCACGTGTGCTTGAACTGTATGTAGAGTTCGTCGACGATGCGGTCTACGCCTATGGTGCGCGAAATGAGGCGCATGTGTAACGAGGGAGGTGCGGCGCGGAGGAAGTAGTCTTTGTAGAAGCGGCGGAGCTCAGGGAGGGAGTGGCCGCCTGTCATTGTAGGGGTGAAGTTTACGAAGGGAGTTGGGCTATCGGGGCCAGAGGCGTAGGTTTCCATAAGCTTTTCGATGTTTTTGCCTCTATACTTCTCTGTTGTTGCTGTTAGCTACTGCTTGTGACTGAGAGTTTTCAAGTTCGTATGGGAAAACGTACGCTCTTCATTCTCCTCCCATGTGCGCTCAAGATCAACTTCTGCGCCGAAACCCCGTCGAACCATGCTTAGGCTTCGACTCCACGCGATCGCATCAGCGACACTATCGTATTCATCTAGATCATGCTCCGCAAATCCCGGTTCTACACCCTCGTACGTAAAAACTGGATACACAATCTTATCTTGCAGACCGCCTGCGCCTATACCAGGTGTGATGCGCTTCTGCACGGTTCGTCGTTTCCCTTGTATGCCTAAGACTTCTGGGCGACGCGTTACGCCGACGGTACTTTCGTTGCCGGTTGTGCCTTCCGCGAGGTGAACAAGAACGCGGAAGGAGGCAGTGAAGCGATGGCGAGTATCGGGGATTGAGGATGGGTAATATGCGATCAGAGAACAGAGTTTCGAGGTTGCGGTTTTGGGCTCGGAGAATACGTCTAGACATATGGATGCTGCGTCGCCGAATGCTGTGAAAGAATATTAGCTACGGAAGCACGGAATTGCTACGCGCCATTTGTAAGAGGGAAGGCGTAAGAAAGGGCTATATACCTACGACAGCATATCGCTCCCCAATGCCCATTCTATCGCCCAGATGATGCAGTGTTTGAACATACTGTTTTCCACCTTTGCCCATCGGAATATATTCAACGATGAAGCCTTCATCCCGCCAGGCTTTCATCGTCTGAACATCGAAGTCGTCGTCTTCGGCGGTAATGTACAGCATAGGCGTGCTATGCTTGAAGGACAACCAGCCATTGCGGTCGGCGAGATATTGCAAAGCCATTGTCGAGGCTGAATTCGAGATCGCGGTCGTGTAATAGTTCTAGGATTTACAGGCGTATCTTGCTCCCGATGTTGTTGCGCATCCGTCTATGTTGATGGTGGCTTGGAGAGTCGTGAAGGAGAATGGGAGAGAAGTGGGTCCTCGGAGGCGGATGGTCGCATAACGGCCTTTTAATATAGGGTCGCATAGTCGGTGTGGGCTCACAAGAACTGAATCCTGCTACAGGGCTGGTTACATGAGGGGTCAGTGGAGTCGTGCGGCGTCCTCCATTTTCAAAATGACGTAGCTTCTGCAAGCTCTTTTGGGCTTAGCCTGAAAACTGACAGGCATCGCGTCACTAACACGGATTTAGATCTTGCATGACAATCATTGATGAGAAATTAACCATTTGTTGAGAGGGTTGAAGTGAAGGATGAAGAATATTTATGTAAATATGTAATACGCTCTTTGCTCTTCCTAACTTGAACCTAAAAAAGCAAAGTTTAGAGAGTGACCAAACTCAAGCCTTGTCTACCCCTAATTCATCGCAGTCTACAAGCTTCTAGAAGATAGGTCTATTGAGAACGTTTCAATTTTGTTCAACGGCGTTTAGTCTTAGGCCAAGGTCGCACATGACCCAGACCTCCTCTAATACTAACATCTCAAGCGAAACTGTGATGTACAAGACTCCATGACATGAGATGTCTTGAGGTTCCGTCTGCTAGAACATTTCCTTACAGAGTGGCTTCTGCGACTGCAAAGCTTTGCTTTCCCAGCTATCTCGAAAGCGAAGCCGGCCGCTTGATTTTCCAGCTCTAGGATCAGGAGACAAGGCTTGATTATGTATAGAGTCCTATGGTAGACGTGACTAGGTGAGGTGACATTATGCGCGATGTCGGCGGCGTAGGCTACTGAAGAGTGCTCATGTCCAGCGATATCGGTAGCTATAATCAGAAATGAGGCAATTGGTAGGACAGTTACTTTGGCAACACCCAGAGGAAAGAAGGTGAGGAAACCTTGGGTGTTGACTCGGTGGTCCTCGGCACAAAAGGCCCGAAGTCGGCGGGCTCCTGCGAGTTGCGGCGTGTGGCGGGGCATCGTGGGGTAGCTTTGCAAAGGAATATCTTGAGCGTGCGGCGCCCCTCTTCTTAGAACTCCGATATTAGTATTCTGCAATTATGCCTTCTCATAACATTGTTCTTCTTGCTGGTGAGTGGTGCCTATCAGAACGCAGAGAACAGCTAGCTAATTGTGCTCAGGTGACGGTGTAGGACCCGAGGTAACAGCCTTCGCTCTTTCTCAATACTGAAGCTAAAACATTGTCTAGGTCGTTGCGGAAGCAGTCAAGGTACGATACAGCATGGTACAGTATGCAACTGCCCGCTCACAATTGCTAGGTCCTCAAGGTCGTCGAGAAGCACACGGACAACACGTTCAATTTCCAGGAGCACCTATTTGGAGGCGTAAGTAATTTAGTATCAGATATCCTGTCGTCCCTAACAATATCTAGTGCTCCATAGATGCGCACAACAACCCTCTGACAGACGAAACGCTCGCCGCAGCCAAGTCGGCAGATGCCATCATCCTCGGTGCCGTCGGTGGACCAGTACGAAAGCCTCTAAAACCTACCTCGATATGCAGTACTGACAACCAGTACAGAAATGGGGAACCGGTAAGGTGCGCCCTGAACAAGGCATCTTGAAGCTCCGCAAAGAACTCGGCACTTTCGGAAACCTACGGCCGTGCTTCTTCGCCTCGGACTCGCTCGTCGACTCGTCACCTCTGAAAGCCCACCTCGTTCGCGGCGTAAACTTCAACATCATCCGCGAATTGACAGGCGGCATATACTTTGGAGAGAGGAAAGAGGATGAAGGCGATGGCAAGGCTATGGACACAGAGCCGTATAGCGTCGAGGAGATTGAGCGCGTCGTGCGGTTAGCGGGCACTCTCGCGTCTGCAGAGGACCCGCCGGTGCCTGTGTGGAGCTTGGACAAGGCGAATGTGCTTGCTACGTCAAGGTTATGGCGGAAAACGTTCGAGCGCATCATGAAGGAGGAGTACCCGCATCTCAAATCTGGCACCCACCTCATCGACTCGGCGGCTATGCTCATGATTAAGAACCCGAGGTCGCTGAATGGTGTCGTTGTTACGAGCAACCTCTTCGGTGATATCATCAGCGACGAAGCGAGTGTGATCCCAGGTAGTCTCGGTCTACTACCAAGTGCCAGCTTAGGCGGCATTCCGGACGGCAAGACGAAGCTCAATGGTATCTACGAGCCCATTCACGGTATGTATCCACACTAGTCATTCACATGCGGCGCGTGCTCACTATCTGCAGGATCCGCGCCCGACATCGCTGGTCAGGGCATCGTCAACCCCGTCGCAACCATCTTGTCCATCAGCATGATGTTCAAGTACTCCCTCTGCCTGCCAGCTCTCGCATTGAAGATTGACGAGGCAACAAAAATCGCCATCGACAAGGGCGTCCGAACTAAGGACATTGGCGGCTCGTCAACAACCTCTCAAGTCGGTGATGCGATAGCCGCGGAGCTAGAGACCCTCCTACAGAAATAGTATCACATGTCGACTACAATGTTGCATAATCTGTAGCTACAATATCAAAAAGTTCCAGCGTTCGGTAGTCGCGTATTCATCACACTTGTAGTCTTGGCAAGTCGGATGCGAGCGAGACGTTGAAAAATGTGATCCGCTCAACTGCTTCTCTACTAGTAATGATTGTTCCCTTTTTAGCCCTCAGCGCCGTCCTACCGCAATACAGCTGGACATGACAAATTTCGGCCGCTCATACATGGCGAACGTACAGTCGATCATCTCAAGCCCACGTGCAAGGTCATATTACCGGTCATTCTGATGTGCCCATTGGCATGACTCAATGCAAGTGCCCATTGTTAACGATTCATTGCGGCAGAGTCTTCTTAGAGTGTCTAACAGCTGAGTGTTCAGCTCAACGCCACAACACAATGTAGGTTGCACATGCGAATATGGGCTGTCGACGCCTGGCTAGAATATCAGTCTAACCCATCTCAAACAGCCTGGCAAACCGTGACTGATTGACAATATTCTCCTTCACATCCCACGTCACTGCGCGTCATTGCGACCCTGACGGCCCCAGGTACTTCAGCTCCCTAGGCAGATGATCAAACCCACAGATTGAAACCTCCACTACTCACTCTACCAGCGCCCAAACATACTTCTGAGCACGAAGCGTACCGGTGCCAGGGGAGGCGGGCTATGTGTCTCCCATGTTCGAAGGCATTGTCGTGGTTAGGTCCGCTAGGATAGATGGACTTGATCGTGATGTTTTTGACATGAGAGATATGAAGGGGATGAGCGGAAGTGATTTTCTTGATTGGACTATTGTCATGCATGGGATTCTGGATCGGGTATCTCTATAGCCAAGGCTAAAAGTGCTCAGATATCAATAGGAAGTTTTGCACTTGCACAACCCAGGCGTCGAGGGGCGTCGATGCTGTGATACCATAGCCGTAAAGAGTGCATTGTCTAAGTAAATGGCGAGGAAAGGGATTCATCATTTTTGATGATGCGATGAAACTGCTAGTGTTTGCATGACGGCAAGGAAAAGAGTGAGTGATGTGGACTCTCTTGATTATCGCAATATGGTATGTTCTCTCAGATTCGTGGTCTTTCTTTGGCGGCCTACGGACCAATTCTTTCATGTGTACGAGTGACGACCGGCATGGTGCATAGATTACTATGATGTGTCAAGCAACGGGATCGATAGTATGTCACCGGTCTGTGAGAGATGGCAAGGACAGCGTACAAACGCCCTTCAGATGAAAAGACACCTGTCAAACAAACGCCGATGAAACAGAAGGGTGCCCAGACCACGCGGGGGAGCATCGTCCAGGGTAGGGGTCCCATGTCTGTCGTTAAATTCCGGCGGGCCGTGATAAGTATCCGTGCAGATAGGAGTCTCCAATCGATAGAGGAGGCGTTGGACGTGGTGAAACAGTAGGGCTGTTGGGATTAGCGGGAGCGTCTAGGCGGTGCGACGAAGGCGCTTCGTCGTGACTCTCCGTTTGGCCTCTGAGTGCAGTGGCTGGATTCCTGGAATTAGCAAGGGAGGTGCACTGTGAAATGGAGTTTTTTGGGGAGGTTAGACGGCGAGGAGCTTTGGACTATGGCAAACGGCGATGCTGGGTGGTCCAGGTGCTGGGCAGCTTCAACCAACGAGATGCCAACGGCGGTTGCGCGTCTCGATCTAGATTTCTGATGGTTACTAGTCTATCATCACTCACATCATAGTAGTCGCGTCATGTCCAGAATAAGTACTTCTAGAAGTCCTTCCAGTGGCCATGTTGGTTATAGAGGAGATTTGGCAAGGCCCAAGTAGGCGACGCCCTTGCTGTCATCGCCCTAGATTACCTCAGCGGCTTATTTCGTGATTTCAAAGAGCACAAGTCGATCTGGAGAATGTCTAGATGCCGCCTTTTCGAATCCACAGAGGCGGCATTGTGCCTTGGTCGCGGACGGGTGTTTGGGGAAAAGCATAAGGATCCCTTGAATGAGTGGCCCCTGCAGCCGGATGCAAGAGGGCAGCCGTAAGCACAGATGAAGGGCGCCTGGTCCTCGGGAGGAAGGCACTGCGGATGTAAGGCTGCATCCAGGGTAAACATACATATGCAGAAGGTTGCATTGGTCTGCAGAATTGCTGAGATGATGGCATCATGGCCTGTTTCAAGACCCTTCTGCTTTGAAATTCACCTGGGAGCCGCGTGTAGACCGTGACGCTCTGAGAACCCAAAGGCAACTGGGCGCACTGATGCTGGAGTAAAGTTGCTGCCCGACGGCCTTGATCAACGAATGTGGAGATGTGCTGGGGTGAATGCAAGGTTGTTGCGGAGTTCAGGAGCGGACATTTGGGAGGCGAGATGCAAGCACGTGGCGGAGAATATAAGCGAAGAGGCTTATCGACGACTTGCCAATATATGAGAATGATCAAGGAAACGCAGAAAATCTCCGCCGATGAAACGGACTCTCTTCTTGGCTTTTGTTCATCCCTTCGAAATGAGGAAGAGGCCGAGCAACCTCTCGTTGGTGATCCCCCGCAGGGCCGCTCTTGGCAGGGGCAAGCGCTGCCACTACGTCCGATGCAGCAAGGCATGAAACACGACTTGAACCTTCGTCAGCCAGAAGCACTGCAAACACCACAGCGCGCCCGGACGAAGGCGCCTCAAGCCGCCACAGGCTCCCGCGTCTCGCCGTTTCGAAACACACAAATCAAGCCCGTTTCTGCAGGGTCGCTCGCGGCTCTCGGCTCACATTGGCCACGGCATTGTCAGGGGGCACCAGCTAGGATCCACTGCTCGACACTCTAGACTACGATGCAGGTCGCACAACGGCTTGCAGGCGCTGAATCTGAGCGTACTGAGGCGGAAACGCAGATGAGCCCGCCGGGCGTATTGTTCCAGTCGTCAGGAGACGGTTTAAAGCCTGAATGCCACCCACTATGGACGACGGCATCACTTTTCGTGACACACATTCTCTCGTGACAAGCAAGCCTTCGTCGACATTCCTTCTACATTCATTCATTTGTGTTCGAAAGCGCAGGGTCGCTTTCCTTCTTTGAGCCTCCTTGTTACTGCTTCAGATACCCCTTTCAACCCACATCCATCTCTTTGGCACTGTTGTGGAGAGGAGCAGAACATTGTCAACTGATCAGACTTTCAACCACAGCCCTTCATTTCTCCCTACTACTTAAAGACTTTCAAATCCTTCGTCTTATACCCAAACCACTCGTTTGTTCATTACAACACTCTTTACGAATCTTTGATCCATCACACGATGTACACGAAAGCACTTTCTCTTCTCGCCCTGGCTGGCGTTGCTCAGTCCCACATGAGCATGTTCTACCCCCCACCACTTGGTGGAGCCCCTTCTATCAACAAACAGTCGACCGAGTTGGACTCCGAGTTCAACTATCCTCTCGGTTGCTGCGGTGCAGAGGGTGGCGATACCAATCCGTCTCCTGGTCTTTGCCGTGGCCATCTCGACAAGTTCGATACCGAAACGGCGTCAGTGACCTGGGAAGCCGGTCAAGATGCCCACTTTCAGCTCACCGACTACTCCTACGACCCGAATGCGCCTGGGTCCACACACGCTGGAGGTTCCTGCCAGGTCGGCTTCTCCATTGACAAAGGCGCGACGTGGAAGGTTGCCGCTTCATATCATGGCGCTTGTCCTCATGCCACCGAGGACGGCTCTCCCGAAGCCCAGACGTTTGACTTCAAGGTTCCCACTGGTATGCCTGAGGGCGATGCCATCTTTGCCTGGATCTGGCTGAACCGAGGTAAGAATCTTGTCCATTCCCAAGTTTTTGGATACCTTCTAACATCCAACAGAGCATGAGTCCTTTATGAATTGCGCCAAGGTCAAGATCGGCGCTGGCTCTGGCAACAGCACTCCTTCTCAGCCCAGCCAGGCCTCCCACTCAGCAGTTCAGTCGAAGCAACCATCTCAGTCAGGTACCACACCAAAGCAGCCGGCTCAGTCATCCGCACAGCCGAAGCAACCAGACGACACCGAAGAACCTTCAACTCCTACTTCTACTTCTCGTGCAGGCGGTCGCCGCCCAAGGCCCTCGGCCGCCACTTCAACAGCCACTGTTGTTGCCACCGTTACTCGCTCACGACCAACTCCCACCTCTTCCGCTGACTCCGACGACTCTGATAACTCCGATGACTCTGACAACTCTGACTCTGAGGACTCCGATAACGACTGGTCTTGGCCAAGCCACAAGCCCCACCGCGAGGTGAAGAGAAACGCCAGGCGCTATGAAGTCGACGGCTCAAAGTGCGAGTGCACCCGCGACGAGCTCACGCTAGCTGCCCGCTGCTTTTGCGACGCATCTGATGAGAAGCGTGGAGATGTGGAGCGCAAGGCTCTTCGCATGCACCGCCGCACTTTCTACAAGCGCGTCGATGCTTGCAACTGGGACTCCGCTCCGGCCATGGAGGTCTCTTACTACACCCCAGGTGCCAAGTGTGCGGCCAACGCGAAGATCAACACTCCTACAAGCGATAATTTTGAAATCAAGTGGGATGTATCTTGCGGTGCCGTTGAAGGCAAAAGCGAATATCCCCTGAAAACTATGAACTGCGGAATGTATGCGGCCTAGACCGACCTTGATCGCCTTCTGGGATACAGACATTCTTCTTTTCTTGTCACATACCCTTTGACTTCTATTCTCTCGTTTACATCACGTTCACGGACGCTAGTATCTTCATTCTTTTCTACTTGAGGCCAAGCGGTTGCTCAAAGCGCCCAGGTGCCCATTTCTTTTCGCTTCTTTACATCGCGAGTAACAGGGGGATCTTACTCTCATAGCATCGGGGGGAAGGCTTGTTGTTTCTTACATTTCACGTTACTCATGCATACAACATCTTATGACTTGGTCGGGCTGGGTCGGTACGCGAAAAGGAAAAGGGACGGGACAGGAACAAGGAGTACAAATGGGTCGAGAAACATGAATTGAACGTTTTGACATATCTATCAAACATGATACTTTTGAGACAAATTCGCGTGAGATTCTCGCTATCTTGTGTTATTGTTTGTTTTTGAGTCTACACCAACGGACCTTGAAAGCAAACAAACCTTGTAAACCTAGCATAAAACCACGACTAACTACTTTTGCAGTACCTAAAGGTAAAACCTCCGGATGAGGGAAAAACCCCTTAGGTATGTGCGCATCAAATGAAAGAAATGCTTGCCAATTTTGACCTTCCTTTTGATGTTCGACACCTCCATTGCCAATTCCAACTAAACCTTCTCCTGCTGTACCTCTCCTTCTGTCATGGCTGACTCGGAACTATAGTATTGACCGAAGACACGATCTTCAATTTCCATGTTTTTGTCGAATTTGGCAAACTGACCGTGTCCGTTGCGACGGAAATAAATCCTTTTACCCCATTTCCACGCCTCCACGCCAGCGAAAAACGTTCCCGAGGACACGAACACAATCCCCCATTCCCAATCTATCGGTGCATGCTTGAAGACCACGGTATTGAGTTTTGGAATATAGATCAGAGGGAATAGCGTAACGAAGCCGGCGACAATGGCCCAGAAGAGGAACTGGTTGCGCCAAACATCGAGCGCCCATTGAGTGAAGTATCGCTTCGAGTTAGGCTGCATGCGGAAGAAGGAGCGACGTGTGTCTATCATTTCCCATGCCAGGAAGAGGGCAAACCATGTTAGGCATGCAAATGTCGTAGCTCGCGCGCGGAAGACCAGCTCACAAGATTCGTTGTAGCTTTCATTGCATCCTTGTCCGAGACTGCCGTCGCCAAAGCCGTAGACAACAAGTGTGAAGCTGCAAAGGCACAGCGAGGTAATCCACACGCCGTAGACCACCATATCGATGAGGAACTCCTTTGTGAAAATGCCGGTCTTCAGAGACTTTGGTGGACGCTGCAGGATGTCCGGCACGGCGCGTTCAAAGCCTAGCCCCATATCAGGCATTCCAGACGTCGCCATGATGATCCAGACTATCTGGACAGGGGCGAGCGGAAATACTGACAGCCCAGTGCTGTCTTTGAAGGCGAGACCGACAAGGAGCGTACCGGCTTGTGCAACGTTTTCGGCGAGAACGTGAAGCACAAATTTCTGAATATTGTCGAAAATTCGGCGACCTTCTTCGATAGCGGCGAGAATGGATGCGAAGTTATCGTCAGTCAATACGATATCGGATGCTTCCTAGATCGAGGTTTAGCGATGGAGTCGGGAAGCGGGACTTGTATGGAAGGGTTCTTACCTTGGCTACATCTGATCCAGCTTGACCCATTGCAATGCCAACGTCGGCGCGCTTGAGTGAAGGTGAATCGTTGACACCATCACCAGTCTATATATAATATGAGCACAGTGCTAACAAGACACCATAGGGCAACGTGGAAGTCACTTACCATGGCACAGAAGCGTCCTCGACGATGGAGAGCCTCAATCATGCGAACTTTCGTTTTCGGTGCACATCTTGCGACTACTAAAGGCAACACAGGTAGCTCATCGACTTGGTCATCTGTAAGACTGTCAAACTGAGATGCGGTCATGACTAAGGACTGTGCGATGTCTCCGGAAATACGCTTCATGCGGTCAGGAGAAGGCAGGATGCCGACTTCAGTCGCTATGGCTTTGGCAGTCTCCGGATGGTCGCCGGTAAGCATGTGTACCTCGATGCCAGCCTCGTGGCATTGGCGTACAGCAGGAGCGGACTCGGGTCGAGGGGGATCGTATAGACCGATCAGGCCACGGAAAACAAGGTCACTTTCGACGGAAGCACGATCGACATCAGCCCCCTTCTCTACCTTGCCAACGTACTGCTTGCTAGCTAGAGCTAATACACGGAGGCCAAGGCCGGCCAAAGCCTCCATATTACTCAGGATCTCGTCACGGAAGTTAGTGATGTCAATTGGCTCTTCTGAATCCTGCGTGATGATTGTGGTACAGCTCTCAACGACGCGTTCGACGGCACCCTTGGTAAAAGCGAAGACCTTACCACTCGAATGCTGCATGATGACTGACATGCGCTTGACGTCCGAGTCGAAGGGAAGCTCGACTAGTTCATCCCACTCAGCTGATTCACCTGTGACAAGGCGACTGCGAATTCTTCCGAATCTAGCAGCAAATACCTGGATGGCGATCTCGGTCGGATCGCCGAGGGCCTCCCAGTCACCATCATCTTTCTTCCTCACGGTAGCGAGATTGGCCAAGCACGCGACATCGAGAAAGTGTTCAAAGCCGCCGTGAGCGTGCGAATCGAGTGTCTCTGACGAGACGACCTCTCCGCATGTACAGCCGCCAGATTTCAGGTCCATCTTTCGAGGTGATTCAGAGGAGAAGCGGATCTCACCGGCTGTAGGATCTTGCGGTGCGGTGGAGTTTTCTATGGTGTAAGTTCCCATGCTTGGGATCCATGCCCCACGAGCGATCATCTTGCCCTGGGTCAAGGTTCCAGTTTTGTCAGAGCAGATATCCGTCACACCTCCAAGGGCTTCCAGGGATTTGAGGTTCCTAACGATAACATTCCGCTTAACCATGCTCTTGGTTCCAGCTGCCATGGTGATTGTAAGCACGACTACTAGACTGGCTGGGATCATCGACAGGCCTGTGGCGACTGCATAGATGATCACTTCCTGAGTGGCATTGAATTCGTTTGCTGCTAGGACGATGATCGCACAAACAACAGCTATACCGAAGAGTAACATGGCAAGTTTGGACAGCTTCTTCTGTAGCGGGGTTCCAACATTGAGGCCAAGGAATCGTCCGATCGCGTCAGTGAAAGTAAGCGTGTACGCCTCCATGTAGCGATGTGGCTTAGCACGACCGTCTGGCTTTCTTTTCACAGGTCGAACCTTAGACTTTGTTTCGCGTAGCTGGGCAGCGATGGCACCAATCTCTGTAAAAGCTCCAGTTGCAAAGACAATGCCCTTAGCACGACCCTTGGTGACGTTGGACGAACTGTAGGCTACGTTAAGACGATCTCCAGGGCCAGTTTTCTCGGGGAAAGTTTCTTTCTCGTTTTTGCGAACCGGTAACGATTCTCCAGTCAGCAAGGCCTCGTCTGTCTCGAAATTGACAGCTTCGAATACCCTGGTATCCTATTAGCGTCGAGAGACCTTGGAGGTGTTGAGGACGATCATGACTAACCTTATGTCGGCAGGAAGAGTATCACCTGTTTTGATTTCGATCACGTCACCAGGAACAACTTCACCCGAAGGGACAGCCACCTGTTGCCCTCCACGGATGACATGAGCGGTTGGTGAACTGAGAGAGCGCAAAGAGTCCATTGTCTTCTCAGCAGACCACTCTTGGAAGAAGCCGACGACTACCTATGGAGACTGTTAGAAATGAGACTCGAACTGGAAGATGGATAATACATACATTGAGTAGGATCACAAAGGTAACAACTCCGCCTTCGATCCAGGAGCTGATTCCAAAGCTGACAGCCATAGCAAGGATCAACACCATGGTCATTGCGTTGGCGACCTGGGCGATGAGGATCTTTATGACGGACACACCCTCGACTTCTCCCAGTTCATTCGAGCCATAGTCCTCAAGGCGACGTTTGGCTTCAGCGTCAGTGAGACCAGACCAAACCTCGGTGCTCAGTTCGTCCACGACTTGTGCGAGAGTAAGACTGTGGGCGGGGAGTGACATGGGCCGGTTTGATTGGCCGCTAACATGGCCCTCGTTGGGCGCTTCTCCTTTCTTTCCCATCTCTTCGAGACGGAAAGGCGTTCAAAAATATAACTAACGTTTGAGTTTTCTACGAACTCTTGCCCCGCGGACTATAGCCACGTGGACGAACTGAGTAGGAAGGTTGATGGTTGCAGACTGCATAGGGAACTTCAGCACGGGGTTTGGGTCAGACTCCTCCAAGTTGACGCCGTGATTGGCGAGGTAGTGAGAATTGAGCTAGATGCTGGAACAAGTTAAAAACAGTGGTGTTAGGAGCTTGAAGTAGGCTTCAAGGTAAAATTTGTGAAGAGTTCCTCCAGATGCGGTACTGTTTGGATAGTGCGGAACAGTTTGGGCGAGGAACACAACGACGAGATGTGCTTTTGTATGTTGGTGGTGTGGCAATTCGTCGGGATTCATATTTTGCAGAGTGCTGCCGAATATGTACTCTAACTTACAGGAGCCAAGATCTGCTGCCAAGCCCACTTGCGAGACGGTTTCTTGGGTCTTGGCTGTGAAAGTAGCGTCACGTTACTTGGCATCATGCTACGGCATACTCGCTTCACGGTTATAGCGGATGTATGGCTTGGCATTCCAAGACATGCGTTCTCTCTGCGTCATTGTTAGGTCGTGTTTTCCTGGGCGGTGAATGTTCGGCTTGCAATCCCTGTTGGCCCAGCCTTTCGTCGTGGCAAAAAAAGCCATCCCTACCTTGGCAAAAAGGTACATCAGTTTTTGGCTTGGCTAAGGTGGGTTTTGTCATTATTAAGAAGTGCTCATGAAGGTTTTCTCGCCTCGTCCTTCAAGATCTTAGGAACGGAATCCGCACCTTCACACTATCAGTCTTCGACGCTGAAACGGGTGTAATTGTCCAATCCAATCCATTTGTTTGATAATATATCTGGGGGTTGGTTATGCAGTGAGGAAACGTTCATTATTGGCGCAGCCTTGAGTGCGACGAGTCTAGGGGGGGTTACGTTTGCTGTCACCGCAATTGCTTCCACAAACTTTCCAGATTCGGATCAAATCCGTGGCTGTGATCGATTTGAATTATGTTTCCTTGGTTCCTTGGAGTTTGGTACGCCGCTGTAGCATTTGGTCGCAAGTGTTGTAGGGACTCATTGAGCAAATGATACACTTGGCGGCATAGTGTTCAGTAATCAAGATGGGCATGTGAGTGTTTCGTGCACCAGTCAGCGGGAAGATGTTAGCCATAGAGTCCTGGAATAGTCAGCATAGTGCTTCGTTCGTGCGTCGGCCCATAGAGGAGTGCCTGATGGCTGGAAGGGTGCGCGGCTCCAACATTATTTCTATAGTGTAGTAGCGCTGTGGCAAAGAAGCGACGTTGGCTTTGGCATTACTCAAAATGCAACAGGATATGTTATCGTCGATGTCGCAAGAGGTGGGTGAAGCCTGCCTGAAAGGATGCGCCATGCGACTCATAGCCTCCTATCTCTGATTGGCTGTATGACTCTGCTCAGCCATCACCGCGGGCTGTGATCTCACTCCACAACTTCCTCACCCACCACCTCAGCGTATCGCCATCCAATTGAGTCACCATGTTCTGGCCATATCCGTGAGAGAAGTACGCCTTGGAGAGTCACGCCAACTATCTACACTATGTCGGACGAGGGCGAGCCGTTAATCATAGCCCCAAAGGGCGATCTCGTCCTCGATGTTGCACAGGAAGAGGATAGCCAGCGGTTTTCGTACCGCGTAGACTCGAAGACGTTGCAACAGAACTCACGGTACTTCGAGAATCTGTTGAGTGACCGCTTCAGCGAGGGACAGCGACTGTCAGCGGCTCTTGAGGCTCTGAAACTCAGTGAACACTCAAATATTGCAGATGCTACCATAGACGTGCTACCCCATATATCAATCGTCAACGTCGGCAGAGTGGCGCTTTTGAAGGCGTCCTCGGTCGAAAACCTAGTCGCAGATTTCCTTCGCTCAATACACGGATTCGACCTCGCCGTGATAAACCCTCCCGTCGCCAATCTTGCCAACCTCGCCGTTGTTGCCGACCGGTTCGATGCTGTCGCATGCGTTTCGAAGTACGTGGAGCGGAGAAAATACCTACAAGTTGTCGATGCGAAGTCGAAAGGCAGACCAAGTCCGACCTTGACGGAGGAAAGAGTGCGACAAAAGCTGCTGATCGGGCTACTGTTCGACCACCCGCCCTGGGTCACAAAATACGCCAAGCACATGATCATGCGAGATTCAGTACAATGGCGGCCTGGCGTAGAGGAGAATCATACACAAGCTCTGTGGTGGGACATACCGAATGGAGTCGAAGATGAAATGATCCAGCGACGCGAGTACATTTTGGAGACGATCAACTCTCTCCAGGCGCATTTCCTCAAGCTGTATACCTCTGGAGAACGGCAGTGTAAGCTGGGGTACGACACATCACTACAATGTGACAGCTTCCAGCTTGGAGAAATGGTGCGGTTCTTCCACAAGATCGACACGGTGCGATTACAGGGTAAAATCTATGACAACACGGAGCCTACGTACTACCTGGGGGATATCGATCGGTTACTTATGTCATTGCGGCAATGTTCAAACTACCAAGTCGACGCCAACCACTCCCACTGTGGTCTACGGTCACGACTTCTCCCACTAGTTGACCTCATACAGAACCAGCTCAGTCTCGACAATGGCAGCCTTGACATTGGTATTTGCGCCGATTGCTGGAACCATCATCGCTCAGAGTATGCCTGGTCACTAGCTAAGAGACCGGTCTTGTGGACCCATCCTCGGTCCTTGACGGGCAATCGCACGCTTGCCAATGGCTTCTCACGGAAGGGCCATCAGCGGACGCCAAGTAGCTGCCTCAGCAAGCATGTTGCGGTGAGGGATCTGTTCATGGCTGTCGAAAGGCACTGGACGGCTAGGGACGTCTTTTAGGAAAGTGATGACGAGCTGAAGCGGCCATATCGCGGCCTCCGGGCCTCCCTCAGATTAAGCTTAATTCGACATCCCCCAGAACCCCTGCACATTTGTACACTAGTCTACCTTCTGCCGACCGCTAGTTTCAGTTCTACGGTGACTACCTTGTCAGGCATACAGGGCCTCAAAGTCATCTTCCTGGGTCACTGTTTGGCTACTACTTACAAACCATTATGAGCCTAGAAAGTCTTTTAAGAAGCAGCTGTTGACAATGAATCTGCCTCAGTTACGCCTTGATAGCATCGAGGTGCTAGAGAGGAAGGTTGGCTTGACCGGCCGTATTGCGATGTGGAACGCCATATACCTAGACCTATCGGCACCAATCTCTGCGCAGAGAGTTCCTTCTGAGTGCTGCAGTGGTTCATCACTTGTGCTAAAGCGATCTTCCCGTGGATAGAGCCACGGTGATTGATCGAGATGGTGGGGAGGTTGGTCACGTGAAGGTGGTCGGGCTGTGCAAGTCACTCTAATTGGTCAGCTTTTCAATATACCTGAGCGGCTGTGCCTAAATCACGTTACACGGTCCACAAGGCTGTGCTTACTGAGGAGCAGCTTAAGGCGTATACTGGTGGCGCTCGTTTCAATGACTGACTCCAAACAAGAGTCCTTTAGCGCAGACAAGGCAGAAAGGTACCACATGTAAGGCATTCACAACTGAGCTTCGCCGCTTATCATCTTGACACAGTCGTATAAAAAAACTCCTTTGACCCACCCATGGAACAACGCAATTACTACTGCATCTAGCGCTGCAACTTCAAACAAGGTTCTCAACTCTGCTCCGTTTGCCCTTCTGACTCAAAAAGACCCACGTTTGCTCCTTCTCCAATGTCTGTTTCACTCGCCTACTCGTGCTACGATGGACAGTGCATGAGCACAGGCGACCCCTTCCGACTCACAACCTCACCCGACATTCCACACCACACTTCATTCAAAAGCTCCAGGATGTTCAACGGCTTGAGGAAGACCTTCTCAAAGCGAAAATCGAACCCTATCAACGACTCAACGTGGGGTACAACAAACACAGCCAGCTCACATCCAGCACCTCAGCAAAAGCCCACCGGTGAACGTACCGGCGGTCTTGCGCCACGGTCGAATAGTAACCCGTTTGCTCCATCGTCACCTGCGACACGTAGACCAAGTAAGTATAACAACCAGCGCTCACTGCGCTGAACTTTCCAGTAACATCCTCTGACGTTTCCTACAGGCCGCTCAATCATGAATCCGTTCAGCAGTTCTAATGACGCCCCGCCTGCATACACTCCAGGCCCCGCGCAGACTAACGTGGACTCATCACGACCAGCTTCGGTTTCTACAGATGCTGATCCCTATGCGTTCCTTAAGACCTTTGACACTATCTTTTTGATAGATGATAGCGGATCTATGGCCGGGCGTTCATGGAAAGAGACAGGCGCAGCCCTTGAGACTATCACGCCCATCTGCACCCAGCGCGACGCAGACGGCATCGACATTTACTTTCTAAATCACCCCGACTCCTCACTCTATAAGAATATCAAGACTGCCGGCACCGTCGTCGAAATCTTTCAGACTGTGCGCCCCGGCGGTGCAACTCCAACGGGCCAGCGCCTCAACAAGATCCTGAGGCCGTACCTCCAGCGCTATGAACGAGCTCCTGAGACCACAAAACCTATCAACATTATCGTGATCACCGACGGCGAGCCCTCTGACGATGTTGAGTCCCCTATCATCCAGGCGGCCAAGAAGCTTGACAAGCTCGACGCGCCCGCATGGCAGGTTGGCATCCAGTTCTTCCAGGTTGGCAAAGAGCCCGGTGCGCGCGAGCATCTCAAGCAGCTCGATGACGGGCTCAAAGAGCTCGCAGGTGATGATGACCTCAGGGATATTGTGGACACTGTGCCTTTTACCGGGGAGGGGGATGCACAACTTACCGGAGTGGGAATACTCAAGATTTGTCTTGGAGCCGTGAACAGGAGGCTAGACCGTAACTCGAAGGAGCTGTATCGCACGAAGTGACCGCTTCGATGCAGCAGACTTACAGCGTAACGTACGCTGGGCGAGGAGGTCTTCGGGCCACAATCGCCGTATGGAGTCTCGATCATGGCGCCACACTAGCGCTTACACGATGGCTTCATTCCTTCGAATGGGATGGTGTCTAAAATGGCGTTGGCGGCACAATTTCATTGGTTTCTGAATTTCTCTGCATATGATACCCCGGGCTGCATGAATCGGTATCATGACAGATTTGGGTGGCAGTCTGCTTTGCTTATCATGGGTAACATGGACTTTCAACCTTTCCCAATCATCGGTAGTCATCGATGGTACAGTCTATAGTCATTCCTTTCTAATATATGTTCCCAACTAGTCTTGCTAGCCAATCTTGAATCCCGTGCACAGACTACTGGCTCACTGTGTCAGCCTATGCGATATTTGGAGTAAATGAGGGCACCAAGAGGGGTATTGTGCGCCTGGTGTGCCTGACGTGGTAAGGCAGAATCCATATCTACCGGTCATAGTGGACCTTCATCCTACACTACGGCAAGCGATGTGGCCTTGAGCTATTGCAACTCTGCCCCGCGCTTACGATACGAGTAGAAAATTTTGATGTCAACCTAATGCATCCTGCAGTAGAAGGTGTGCACCGCTATGGGGCCCAGCGTGCTCCTCATCAGATGACTGCCCAACCTGCATGAACACGTCGCGTGCATGATGGTAATAGCGAATAGAATAGGAGACATCATATAGCGGCTAGCGATCAAATATGATGACAAGCATCAAGAGCGAGTTACGTTAGAAGTTGTCATGGCTTTCAATACGCCTATTTCTATTGCCTGTGAAGACAGCTGTGATGACCGAACACAATGAAATAAAAGCTGGCAGAGGCGCAGTTCAATGTAGAGAAACAAAGAGAATCTCAAAACCTCGAGAGGAGTACTAGTCCGTCTGAAATGACAAGCTAACACGGGATATCCTTTCACAACAACCTAACTACTTTAGTCATGGCCAAGACGAACAGAGAACAAATGAAACGATGTGATTTATGTCATTAAGCTATGCATAGAAGGCTCCGGTCCATCTTGATGCGCAAATGCCGCGAATTAAAATTCTTGATCGTGAAACTCCGTCACTGAATGCAAGTATATGTATGCATGCTTGGGTATCGTACCTCCTTCCTAAAAGCCCGCTCAAAAACGCCCCATACATAACCCACACTAACAAATGAAAACAGTAACCTGAATAGGCTTTGGAACAAAACACGCTTCAACCAGCTCATGACACTCATCGCCGCCGACAGGGTAGTTTCATCCTCATCCACTCATCCCCCACGATCGCGTGGCCAACGCGCGTTTCGTAAAACATGCGTTGATTTTGCGCCCGTTGCGCTGGGCTCAGGCGTCGCTTGTGTATGTTTCCTTTTCGGTCGCGCGTGTATTCGAATTTCTCTTCGCCGATGATGTTGTGGATGGCTTGCTCCTGCGGGTTCATCTTGCAGTAGTAGGTGGGTTTTGGGAGCGGTTTGTCGCCGCTTAGCCGCGAGGAGAGAGACTCGACGCTGAAGCGTGTGGACAGCATTATGGGAATGTAGGAGGAGAGGTCGTGATGCTGGTTATATGGATTTGTTGGCGACGTGTTGTTCGAACGCGAACGCGGTTTGGTGTTGCGTTGTAGGCGTGCTTGAAGTTTGGAGTTTGAATTTCGTTGTTGTGTGGTTTTGATGGGAATTTATGAGAAGGAAGAGAGCGTTGGGGCTTTGAGCGTTTCGATGCACAATGTGGAGTGGTGCATATAGACAAACCAGGGTTTGGTCAGGTCCCAGAACCGACTTTGTTGTTCAATAATGCTGAACAATGCGCGGTACCGACATTGTTAGATGATTTTTCAACAAAAATATGGAACAATGTGGACAGTGCTTCAAAAATGTGCTCCCCAGAGATGAGGCTGGGGCGGAGTATATATCGCTGGGTCGGTCTAGAGTCCGCGTACCTTGGCTGGCATTGCGCCTGCACGATTGCGTGGGATCTTGCGAATGTTCCAAGATGCGCCCAGAAGCACCAGTTGAAACCTATTGTCCGACACTCGGCAAGGGAGGCTCTGTGTAGCATACTGGCCAATACATTGTATATCCGGATCACGGAAGTCCTCCACTGTGGCTCTATGCATCACTTAGCCTCTCAAGACACGCAAGGTTTGACGCCGCGCCCAGAAAACGGAGGCTTGTCACGGTGGAAGATCATATTTCCAAGATGCGTGGCAGGCTTACAGCGATGTTGTGGATTGAAGATCGCTATTACCAAGACCTTGGCGTTTGATTCGTGATGTGGAATGGCAAGAAGCGAATCGAAGAGGTCAAAGATCATCGCTTCTATTACACGATGGGTTAGACGTGTACGCCATCCCGTGGGAGCCCCAATCTCCCTGAACAGATCAGACGCACGATCCCCTATCTCCCCCGCGTTATTTGCTGGCTTTCCTTTTACGGCATCAAATAGTCAAAAGGAGACCTGCCAAGGACGGGGGGTCCTACATCTGGTGTCCCGGATCGATCCTTTCAAATACGGGCCAGGAAATTGGGTCTGGTATAACTAGGTCTCCTTTATTTGTTTGTTTTATGGTAAGCCAGGATTGAATTAGTACAGAAATATGCAGCGCCTATCCCGGAAGATGAATCGTAATCACAAACATCCCCCGCACGCAAAGTACCTCCACAGATTAGCTAAAAAATACTGGAATCAGCAGATGACCATACAGAACGAGGTAAACGCCGAGTAAGCAGCAACTAAACCTTATCATTTTCATGCGACGGTGATAATATATTGCAAGTCAGCATGATCCCACCACATCAAACTAGTACAAATCCTCCCAATTTGTACTCGCCGTAGAAGACCGTCTATCCACCCCTACCTTTGGTGTCCGCAGCAAACCACACTCCCTATCATCCCTATCGCAAACAACCTCATCTTCTTCTAGCTCCTCATCAGCGCCCTCAAACGCATCCTCGTCAAACGCACCATTCCCAAAAGCCGAGTACATCGACATCGGCCGAGGTGGTGGCAGTGTGATCGCGTCATCATCTGATTCGTCGTTGGCGAAGGGGTTTGCATAAGCATTCGTGTGAGAGGCGAGCATGTTGCGGTATTTGTCCACTAGCTGCTCTTGCGTTTGGGGAGGGTCGTACAAAGGGTTGTCGAGAGGGTCAATGATGGGCGTACTTTTTGAAATAGGAGCGCGCGGAGAGGCACCGCCATCGTAGGACATGATTGTTCGTGTGGAAGCGATAGAGTAAGGAGAGGGGTGGTTAGGCCGGCGAGTTGAGGGCCAGCGTTGTGGGAGGGTGGGGAGATCGCCGACGACGGAGTCATGTCGCTTATGATCGGCTGGATAATCTTGCGATGCAGCTTTCTGTGCCTTGGTACGCAGTGGAGCTGGATGTGATCCTACGGATGATATGCTATCGTCTGGATAGACTGTCAAGGTTGACATGTTTGAAGCCAACCGGCCAAGTAGATGCTGCTCAGTTGGCTGACTTAACGGTTTCGTCGAGACGCGATCGCGGAAGCTGGGCATACTGAAGCCCATTGGTGCTCCCGGTGAGAGACGGTCAACGTTACTTGGACGTGGGTTGGGTCCTAGTTTTGGGTCGTGCGGACTCAGAGAACGGTTCTCACGATGTTGATGTCCAGCATCAGCAATCGAACGTGAACGTGAACGCTCAGTCTCATGACTTGTTCGAGATTGAGTCGTGGTGCTGTCCAGACTGGGCTGGTTATAGCGAGTGGATCGATGTTCACCACGGTCAGGATAACGATGCATGCGCTGCTGCTCCTTCCACTCAGCCCGCATCTTCTTCATCTTCAAGCCAAGCGTGCCTGCGTCAAACAGCAACTGATCGCCGCCGTTTGAGGCCTTGATCCAGTATCGAACGAAGCGAAGACGCTTCGATTTAACCTTCTCAAACCCCACAATACCACGTAGAATATCCGTACCGGTAGCTCTATCCTTCATGCGGCCCACCATGCCAGCGAAGAGCGCAAACAGAACATCTTCATCGGACCCGATACGCGCAAGCATACAAGCAGGACATTGGCCCACTTGGTAGTGCCACTTCTCACCACACTGAACAGGCTCACGGCCTGGTGGTGCAGATGTTTCAGTCTTGAAGTCGTCGTGCCACATTTGCCGCACCGGCTCGAGCTGTCGCATCTTCATCTCCTGATGCGTCGTCAGAACGCCCGACATGATGATCGGGTAGAGGAACTTGCCAATAGCGCCATCAACTTCATGGCGTAGCCAAGCCCAGATTTCGTTGATGAGGCATGCATCTAGGCCCTTGTGCGTGCTGCATAGTTCGGTAGAGGAAAGCGAGAGGGGCGAGGATCGCAGGCGACGTGGGAGATTGCGGATTTCCCCTTTTGTGAGTTTCCGGTACTCCTTCTCCTTGCTCTCTGAAGAGGGGAAGGATACTCCTTGGAGTACACGAACAAGCTTCTTCATGTCGCAGTTGTGAAGACGCCGGGTCTCCATCTTCATCATCAGGGAACGCATCTTGGTCTAGGATGTTATGAAGGGATAGGAAATAGAGTGTGTAGATTCGGTTTGGTGTCAGGAGGGCAGAATAACGCGATCATGATGCGTATTGAAAAACCTATAGCCGGATGGTACACTGTGAAAATACCATGTAGTGAAAGTGCATTTTGGGCAGGGCACATTATGTCTAGTGCATTCGGTAGACATCTCGAAGTAGTTGAGCATATTCTGTGAAGCGACAAGGAAAAGGTGATGGGAATATTGTGCGGATGTTGATAGTAGAAAACATGTAGAGGCATCGGTTTGTGACTTGAGGAGGCCGAGGGGAGGTGCTGACGTGTTAGACATTTGTGAGACAAACAAGCTGTGGGTAGGGCATTGTCCGAACACACTTCGATGACGATCTGAGCATATTTTATGAGGACGTTTCATCACCGTGATAGTGAGCGAGGAATTGTAGTGACGGTACAGAAATGAGGTCGATGGGTCCAAGTATTCAGATCGAGTCCGGGTCCCGTTGAGGATGTCCATATTATTTTTGAGTGAGTGCAGCGCACACTCACTTGATCACATGGACATCCTCAACTGGGATCTGAACTCAATCATATGGGTATTCTCTTCATATAGTACATAACCGGGCGAGGCCTCGTAACCACAACAAGAACAAGGAGTCGTAAACAGCCACGTTGGGCGAGGCAATGATGAGCCCCCTAGATCCAAGAAAAAGTAATACAGAAGCGAATGAATATAACCCTCCCGAGGTTATGAAGCTGAAGAATATACATTACTTATCGCAAATGAACGATGCTATTTACACGTGGAAGACTCTGTTCAAAGCTTACTCTGAGCTACGAACCCCCAAGACGTTTGCTCTTCTCCCATGAAGGTTCTGATTAACCTTATTTGTGAGGTCTTTGAAGTTTCCCGCCGAAGACGAGATACTGGTCGCCTTCTTCCGCGAGATGCGGGGCGTCGCTACACCTTGTGGTAACAGGTTCTCGTCAGTTGACAAAGCTGATGCTGCGACAGATCCCGCAGGTACGGTCGTGACGCCGTTCTCCTTCTCTTGATCCAGCTTTTGTTGCGCAACACGGCGGGCACGCTCATACTTCTCAGTAGGGTCACCCTTGTACATGGTTCCGCCTAGTCGGTCTAGGTAGATGAAAAAGGGCTGCGAGAAGTTGGTCTTGATGCCCCAGCTCTGGTGGTGGATATCGTGATAGGCGGCATTATTTGGGAAGAGCCAGTGGAATGGGTCGAAAGGAAATGCGTAGCCGCCGTGGTCAGTCACCGTCTTGACCGTGGAGAGAGTGAAGAAGAACATTGACTGTCGCATCGTCATGCCCGTGAGCAAGTAGCTAATACCAGCACCTAGGGTGTCTAGAGCAAAACCTTCGAGAGGATGATTATACAGAGCGCCATAGGCATACGGAACGTAAAGGCGGTGATGGCGCGAGTGGAAGGTGACTGTTAATATTAGCTGGGAAAGCAGAGGGATTCTCTTCGATGTGAACTCACCATACAACCACTTGTTCATGTGCATGGCACGATGTAACATGTACTCCCACGCATCCATGATGACGATGGCAGCGGCGAACTGCATGGCTGGAATAGCGTACCAGTACGCAAAGCTAGCAGTAGCCAGTTCCCATGAAGCAAAAGCGGGGACCAGAGTCTGCTCTCCTGCGATGGTGGCTGTCTGCAGCAGCGTGGGGTATTTGCCTCCGATAAGCACTGAGGCGAGCGTGGGTTGCGAGGAGGAGATGTTCGAAGCCAGGGCGACAGGGTTCAGTCCTACGGCAGAGAAGATTATGGGGACTGCGCGCTGGGCCAACCTGATCTTCTGCGCGTACCAAGCGACATGGTAGTCTGCTATACCGGTCGTAGGAGGGTCGTCAAACATGGAAAGGCTAAATGAAGCTATGATTTGGATGATTTGCTGGAGTACAACGTCACGCAGCACTTCGTACCGCGATACATGGTTGCGCTTGAGGACCTCGGCTGGGGTGTGTAGGCGGTACTGTGGGTAGAGGTCGTATACGTCAATGACGTGGTATATCAATGAGACGATCCAGTATCCAAGGACGGGTAAAGCTGCCTGTATGAGCTCATCGGAAATCCACCAGGTGAGAGGCTGTAGTGGTGTAAGAGTGTAGTCGGGTAACGGGGGGAGGTCGTATGAGGTCGTGTTTGCGCTCGCCATGTTGCGGCGGAGGTCGAGTGTAGCGGAAGCTAATCACGAAGAGCGGAGGAGAGAGGAAGTGTAGGCAGTATTGGCGGTAAGAGCCGTCGGCGACGAGGCAGCGTTATTATAGCTCGATGGTGCAGGGCAAGCAGCTGGAGTGCGAGCAAGACCGGATGTCGCGGAGCAGCGAGATTAGGGAGAAAGGAGCGATGCTTGCGAGAAGTACGAGTGCGCGAGTAGGGATGGCGGCGCGAATTGGAGAGAAAAAGGGCTCAGAAAGGAGAGGCTGAGGTGGGCAGAGCAGAGCAGGGCGGGATGTAGGGAGATGTCGTGTGAGAGTGGTGCCTTTGGGGGTCAAGCAACAGGAGAGACCACCCGGGGCGGCATCATGATATTTGGCCGCCACCGGATCCCAGGGCCACTGATTTGCCTCCCTCCCGAAGTCCCGTGCAAGAGGCACTAGCGACTGCTTGCGGCTTAGCGCCTTCTCCCTCCCAATTTTCGACCCCACCAATTTCTTCCTCTCAACCTCGAGTAGCCAGCGCTCCCCTCCCGCCCAGCGTACAATAATCCGACCTCTTGCCCGGCCACCCTCCACGCCGTCTCTCTCACACAGCCACTCGTCTATCCACCATGATTATCTTCAAGGTGCGTTCCTGCTGCCTGCCCTGGCCTGCACCACTACCCCACCTTCTCCATCGGGCGCATAGTGCTCTACAGACAGGGCTTGAAGCCAACCCACCCCTCAATACTGGCCACAAAATGCTAATACTGCCCTCCATAGGACATCCTCACCGGTGACGAGATCATCTCCGACTCGTACAACCTCAAGGAGATCGACGGTGTCGTTTACGAGGCCGACTGCACCAAGATCAATGTTGGAGGCGAGACCTTCAGTACGGCCCCCAGCGCAGCCCTTGCCGTAGATACGAGAGTCTAACACAATACAGACACTGGCGGCAACGCCTCTGCTGAGGAGGCCGAAGAGGGTGTCGAGGACACGGCCGAAACCAAGATTGACGTCGTCTACTCCTTCCGCCTGAACGAGACCGGCTTCGACAAGAAGGGCTATCTCACATATCTCAAGGGTGAGAACCATGCAAGCATGTCTCACGGCTGTATACTGACCTGGAGTAGGCTACATGAAGGCGGTCAAGGAAGGCCTCAAGGCCAAGGGTGCCGACGATGCTACCATCAACGACTTCCAGACCAAGGCTTCAGGCTTCGCCAAGAAGATCATCGCCAACTTCAAGGACTACGAGTTTTACACGGGCGAGTCCATGAACCCCGACGGCATGATTGTCCTCCTCAACTACCGCGAGGATGGCACCACTCCCTACGTTACCGTCTGGAAGCACGGTCTCGAGGAGATGAAGGTCTAAGCTTGGGATTATGCGCATCTGGGGATGAAGTGGGGTTGGATTGGTTCATTGAATTTACGAATACCTATTGCATGCTCGGATATCCGCCATTGTGCGAAAAGCGACACGAATCTAGACGACTCTCTTGAGCCATACCTGGCACCCCAGTGTCCTTTCCCATGTCGTGCTGCCTTGTCTTGCTACTCTGGGTGTCGTTCATGCTGCTTCCTTCTGACCATTAGTTGACGGATGGTCGTGACATTCATTGCGCTGTCGTCAAGTGATTGTTGCCATTACATCGAGAGCTAAAGAGACAGACACCTTCATCATGCTAACCCGTAGTTCTTATAGGACATTGATCCATCCCAACAGAGCTTGTGCGATGAAGTGAACGAGAAACGTGATTGCGCGAAGCGCGACAGCGCGTCCTTCTGGGCACAGACCCACCACCGTATTCGGCGGTTAGCAACTGCAGCACCTGCAGCCTCAGGCACAATCCTCAGCCTTTCGGTTTCACGCCTTCTCTTTCCTACTTCTTCTTAATTGCCATTCAACTACTCACACTCTTTTGTGCCATAACAGATTATTACATTGACAACCTAAGCGCGCAGGACAAGTTGTGCCCCACCCATGTCGGACGGTAGTTCCAGAGGCGGCGGGACCGCCTCGCTACCGAAGACACCTCACCACCTTCGTCCAGGAGCAGCAATCGACGAGCTGATTCGCTCCCTCGAAGCCGAATGGCGAATAGGCCTAAAGGTTCGCGGTGCAGATTGGTCGCCCTTGAGACGCAGTACCAATGATCAAGCCGACAAGATTTATGGTCAGGTTCAGCACCTCTTCTACTCTGCTCGCGTGGCACTCAATCAAGCCCTTGCGACCTTCAAGGAACTTGCTCCGTTTTGGCCACATGAGAAGAGATTGGAACTACTCTCTGGCGTACTTTCCAGTAAGAAGGGCGATAAAAACACGATTTCGAGGACTAGCACGCCAAAGAACGATCCACCTAAAACCCTCAAGTCATCACTGATCGGTGAGTACGCGCCTGAGATCTTTAACACATGAAAGCTCAGCTGAGCTGAGCGACATACACGATCTGCAAACTAACGAAGAAGCAGCAGCAGGCCAGGCTCCTCAGTCAGGCAGCTTATCTCGCGAATCTAAACACGATGTGCCGGACTCGTATACGACCGCTGTGGACCCCGGGTCACCTACGGATGTGGACACAGACGACGAGTTCGTAACACCTCAATCGCCCTCTCCATCGTCCAGATCAGCCCAGAGCCGCATGCAGGCAAGTTCATTCGTCTCTTTGCGATCCACCACCAGGAAGCGACCCTCAGATAGCTCCAACAGTTCTAGTCAATCCCCAAAGTGGACAAAAACCTCACAAGGAAAGCAGGCACTCCAATCGCCCAAGTCCGGGCCGATCCCAACTCCACCTCTGTTCAAGAGGCCATCTCTTGATATGGCTCGTTCTTTGCAAACTGCAGCCTCCGGCTTGTCTTCAGTCAATACGTCTTTCAATGATTCGGTATCTTCATCGCAAGGGACAACCAACACTGCCAACACATCCTTCACATCATATGATGGTACCGCCGACATACGGGATTCAAAGGTAACAAGAACGAGTTTGATCACTGGTAGTTCTTTAAACGACGAGAATATTGCCAATGCGACTACCAATTCGGGAAGGGAGGTTTTCGAAAAGGAAAATCATAAACGACTTGACCGCATCTTTTCACAAAATTTGAGCCGCGAAAGTAGAACTACGTTCGGTTCTGTGGATGAGGATGGTCTTCGCGACATGTTGTACAAGGTGGAAGGAGAGACAAGGCCTGTGTCTGCCCTGAATGCAAAAAATCAGGATCCCAAGGGGTTCAATGTAACAGAAGATGGCCGAGGACATACCTCACCTGCCAAAAGTGGACTCTCGAAGAAACGTCAGATGGAAGGCATGTCCATGGACGTTTCACCACTCAAGGAATCCCCGCGACCCATTACTCCAGCAGAATCTCCTCGGAAAGAATCACACTACATACGCTGTATACCTGAGCAAAATTTGTTTGTCGACGAGGTCCCGACAGACTTCAGTGGAATCCCATACTTTGTCCTCTTCATTTGCCAGCGCATTGCTGCTGAAACTTCGGTATCGTTGCCCCAGCTTATGCAGGATATAAACGTTGCTTCAGTCCATTCTACTGCGGATGCATTTTGTACCTCAATTCGAAATCACTCGAACCCTAAAGTTGCTCTCCAGAGTACCCAGGGTCACAGTCGAATCTGGCAAGCTGCAAAGCGTCAGCTCGATGGCTACACTTTCAAAGGCCGAATCTCCTTCAATCCGAAAAGTTCTGGGCAAGTGTTTAGTCTTCAGCTATCACCAATCCATGCCGATAAGTCATGTCGGTTTCAGAGGAAGTTCGGTTCCGACCGCTTCCTTTATCTCAATGCTCCTGTCTTTGACTATCTGAAGATAGACCGCTTCAATGCAGCCGAAATGAAACAGGTCGAGTTGCGTTGGAACGAATGGTTGGTGAGCGACCACTGCTTCCTTGGTCGCATATGGAGGGTATGTCACGTCGAGCCTCTAAAAAGGGGCAAATCAAGCCGTAGAGCAACCACTCACGACAAAAGAGTTATTCTCTTCGCCACGGAAGGTTGGGGCGTTGACATACCGTACTCTATTGGAGAGATGCTCAATTGGTTTCTGCCATTTGCGTTGAATAAAAATCAAACATTCTGTAAAGCGTACGCTCGTATTGAGCTTGGGCTTTCGCGAACAGTTTCAACATTTGGCTTTAAGCCTTCACAGATCCAACGGATCCCTGATACGCTGGCGAATGGAGAACGAGAAGATATACAGTTCAACGATCCAGCACTATCCTGGGAAACCATACCAGATGATCAAATTATGAACGATGGCTGCTCCATGATGTCAGTTGGTGCTGCAAGAGAGATTTGGCGACAATATAAAGAAGCCACAGGACTAGAAGGACGACTGCCCCTACCAAGTGTGTTCCAAGGGCGTATTGCAGGGGCCAAAGGCCTATGGATGATCAGCGGAGAATCATCCTCACGAGAGCCTAGGGACACTGCCATCTGGATACAAATCAGTGACAGCCAACTGAAGTTCGAGCCGCACAACGAAGATCTTTCTGACGAGACATATGATCCTCTACGGCTCACTTTTGAAGTCTCCAATTACAGCTCTACCCCAACTCCGTCCGAGCTCCACATTTCTTTCATTCCTATTATGATCGACAGAGGCGTTCCGCAACAGGTCATTGCAGATTTTACCGTCGAGTGTCTCAACGCTGATAGGACTCAGCTACTCGACGTCCTTACAAACCCTGCTAGAACTTACGACTGGCTATACAGGAATGGTTCAAAGTCGAGTAACGGTAGCGAAATCTCGTGGCAAGCGGGTTTGCCAGTGGCATTAGAAGAGAAGCTAAGGCTTCTCCTCGAGTCCGGTTTCACTCCCATGAAATCCTCGTACTTGGCAAGAAACCTTGAACGTTTCATAACAACACAGCAGATTTTGCAAGAATCGTCGTTACGCACTCCTCTAGGAAAGTCAACCTATCTCTTCGGTGTCGCAGACCCTCTAGGTGTCCTCAAGCCTGGAGAGATTCACTTACAGTTCTCCTCTAGCTTCGTTGACGAGTTGACAGAAGATACGTATCTAAATCTAAGAAATACGGATGTTCTCGTTGCTCGCCAGCCGGCCTGCCGGAGATCCGATATCCAGAAAGTGCGTGCGTTGGTCTGTCCAGAGCTGAACCATCTTATAGACGTAGTGGTGTTTCCTTCAAGAGGTGAATATCCTCTTGCCGGCAAATTACAGGGAGGCGATTATGACGGCGATATATTCTGGCTATGTTGGGAACCTAGGCTTGTGGGTCCGTTCAGAAACGCACCTGCGCCCGTGCAAAAGTTAGACTGTGAACAATACGGGATCAAAACCCACAAGCAGAAAGTGAAAGACATCATGGACCCGACTGATTTGAAGGAATTCGACACATTCTTACGAAAAGCGTTTGAGTTCCGGTCAAACCCTTCACTCCTTGGTCGTGTCACTGTGTACTTGGAAAAACAGGCATATAGAGAGAGCAAAGTGTTCTCATGGACACTTGACAAATTGTGTGGCCTACACGATCTTCTTGTTGATGCGCCTAAGCAGGGCTACACGTTTACGTTGAGCAATTTCAAACACTACACCGAACACACCCTATCGATCAGCGAGCCGCCTAAAACGCCAGCTTACAAGGCTGCGATGAAGGATTGCTCACACTTCAAGGAACTAGGTGACGTGGATAAAGTTAGAGAGGCCGAGTATCCGTACAAGCCGGACCGAGTGCTAGACTACCTGTACTTTGGGGTCGTTAGAGTACACAACGTTGAAACGATTGGGCGAGTGAAGGAATTGCTCTCGAAAGCGTCTACAGCCGACGAGACACTAATACATCCGTACAAGTATCTCGAGGCAAAACAACACAGGGTCATCAATGAAGAGTTAGGGCTTCTTAAAGACAACATCACAAGATTACGCGACCGTTGGGCCTCTGGGTTTAAGAAGGCTACGACGCCTGAGCAAAGCGATGTCGTGGCAGTTGAGTGCTACCGAGAGTTCCGCGCCCTTCAGCCAACTCATATCGATGATCCGGAAGTCAAACCTTGGCTTGAGCCATATAGCGGTCTGAACTCCTTCGTATGGGAGGACATACGAGCATCAACGCTGTATGCAAGATACCCCTGGCCCGAAAAAGCGAACTTTGTCTTTAAGATGGCGGGTAGAGAACTTGTCGGCATGAAGAGCAGGAGCTTTCCAAACAGTAGATGCATCGTTGCTCCTATACACGGGATCATGCGGCCTAAGCGTATCAAGGCGCCAATAGAGTATGCGGAAGAGGAAGAGGCGGAAGAGAGCGAGGACGAATTTACGAGCGCCGTGGAGAAAATTACTGAGTGACCTGCCCATGTCCGGGCAGTGGAAATCTGGAGCCATTTCATCCGATGGTGTTGGCCTTGATGCCGACCGAACAGTCGAAGCCATCTATTCTCCCGGTTGATTTGAACCCACCTTTTCTTGGAGGGCATACAGAGGATACGCCGTTTCTTTTCGTCAAATGGCGCACTTCAAATCCGTCTTTGTGGGGGAGTCGACATGTCGTCTTTCATTGTCTCATTCTTTTATTTCTCGGTCTCTTTTTCACGCGCCATGAACACTAGCAACTCAGAGGAGATTACCACCACATACATGGACTCCATTTCTATATTCGAGTCGGAAGAGTATAGGGAGAGCTGGTTGGTTGTAGATCGAGGCGGAAACGGGATATTCTTTCCTTCCATATTGTTTATTTCCTACAGTCTCCGAATGTTTGTGTAGCTTTTTGGCATCTGACATCATCTTCTCACGCTCCTTTGGCTCGCGTATACCCTTCAATGCCTGCCCTTAGCTTGTGTCGCTTTGAGGAGACTTGTGTTCACATCCTAAAATACATATGCTCATGCTCAGTAACAGTGTTTTTATATGCATATGTCGTGACCTGAGCTGTGACAATCTCTATAGAAACATCTAAGGGGGTATCATTAACTATGTACGCATCTCAAGCATCCAAAACCACCTTCTCAAGTCGTCGCGGTTGCAGCAGCAGTCTTCATTCGCAGCCTCTCTTCCTCTCGCTTTGCCTCCACACCAGCCAAGAACTCCATTCTGCCCAGATAGGCTTCCTTGGTCTTGCCATGTGTGTCCAGTTCCTCCGCGATGCCTTCCTTGTCCACAAACCCAGACCAGTCCATGCGTGACTTGTCCACCACGTTCAGCTTCTGCGCTTTCTCGACCCTGACCTTGGGTACTTCGAATTCGGGCACATTCTCTTGCGCTTGGCGTAGTGTCGAGATGCCCTTTCGCGGCCACGAGAGTTGGTGTTCTGGGGCGAGGGCACGGACGTAGCCTGTGGGGTTGGGATCGAAGCGTGTAGGGCGGCGAAGTGGACGGCGGATTTTGGATTGAGCTGGTTGCTCGGTGTCTATTGCGTTCTCTTCGATGGGGTGTGCTGTAGCAGGAGGAGCATCGGGTGTTTTCCAGCCATCCGAGATGTACTTGTCGAGATGTGAGCGTGGTATTTGCTTTTCCTCGGTCGTGTCCTGTCCAGCAAACGTGTAGACTTTCTTGACTGTGACTTGTTCTTCTTCTTCGATTGGTGGTGGGACGTTGGTGATTGTAGCTTCGGGCTTGGATACATGCGCTTCTTCTTGAGGTATGAGGGGTTGTAAGGGTTGCAATGGCACGGCCGTCATCTGGGCCCATAGCGCGTCCACGTCGACAGTGGCGCCATCGGTCCTTGCTAGTGGTTTACGCTCCTTCTTCTCGACTCTTCTTTGCGCTCGGGTCTTGATCAGTCCGCCCTCGCCGCCCTCATCGTCGTCCGACAGAATCACATCCTCATCGGCAGTGTCCTTGGTTCCCTTCTTGTTCTTCTTTGCTCTCTTCTTCCGCGCAGCTTGTATTGTGACCTCGTCCCCAGAGTCGAGATCCTCATCTGCAGGTGCCTTCCGCTTGCCCTTGCGCTGTGCTGGTTTTGCGGTCGCATCGTCTTCGTCTTCGGAACTCGAGACTTCTTGGACGGGTGCTGTCTCTGGATTGAAATCGTCGTCCGATGACTCATGGTACTTCTCGTTTCCATCCTCTAGATCGTCGTCGTAATCCATGGGCGCCATTATGGCATGCACGTCGAGGCGGTTGAATGTTGGACGGTTCACGATCGCGGAAGCCATGGGACACGCTAGATCAGCAGCTAAACCCGAGAGCAGGTTAGCGTGGACAGGGATGTGAGCTGCAGATAGCGTTCATGACGTGGGAGGGGTGTAAGAAGACCAAAGACAGGGCAGGCGCGTCGAAGAATCAAAACAAGACAGAGCACGCATCTTTACTTTATCTCTCTACCACTCTCGTCGCTGTCGCACCATGCGCGTCCATGTCTACTGCTGAGTTTCGCATTTAATCCACGATCGATACACCATGGCGCCAGTCGACACCGACGCTGCTACGCGCAGCAACTCGCTCCCCATCGCCCTCTTCGGCGGCCAGATACTACTCGTGAGCGGCCTCACTGCACACGTGCTGCTCACGGCCCGACGCGCCGCCAAATCGTTACCTCCATCGACAAGAACGCGGTCGCAGGACCCAGCGCGCCGTCGCTATGCCATCACTTTCTCCATCCTCGCCTTCCTCTCGCTAGCTTCTGTCACGACCTTTGCCATTCTGTGGCGCGCCGTATCGTACGTACGTTGGGCTGAACATGGCAATCATTGGACGGCAGGCAGCCTGTGGAACGGCTGGTACGGCACTGGCGATGATGGGCGCTGGCACCTGGGGGACTGGATCACCGACATCGATCTGTTGCGCGAGTCGGATGCGGTTGCGATCATGAAACCTGAAGGGTTCTTGTACACCAGCCAGTATTTCGTTGGACTACTAGCGAGCTCCATCTTCATGGGCGTGGAAGGCAAGTCCGAGTTGCAGTGCTCACCATTATAATCTCCAGTGGCGCACTTACTAACGCATCGTTTTCATAGGACATAGACGCAACCTTTCCACCGTGACAGTTGCTTCTTTCGTACTTCTGAGCTCTCTAGGAAGCCTTGGATACGCATTGAGCTTGTTCTTTGTTACCATTCTCTACACGCCCATCTCACAGCAAAGAGATGGCAAGCCTTTACACGACACCCTGTTTACTCCCTTGCCCATAGTTTACGACTTGGGAATCATTATATCAGTTCTCTCGCTCAATCTGCTTCCTGAGCTAGTCGCAGAATTTGGCGATGTTCGTGTGATGCGGTTGGGTTATCTTATAATGCCCCTTTTCTTTGCATTCGCTCCAAAGGTATGCAGACTCTCTAGTTCTTGGTTGCCTTTTCTAACGAGCAAAAGATTGTACCCGTTAGCCTAGGCCGTCAACATACATCGAAAGCAGCCGCCCATCGATCTTACGCGAAAGTGTTTTACGCTCTGTCAATAGGTTCTTTCTTACTCTACTGGAGAATCTTCATCTCCAATATATACGTGAATACGCCTCGCGATCACTCCCATGTATGGGAAGTCTTCACCAATTCCATCAGCAAAAGCAATGCGTCGAAGCCCAACAGGCTACTTTCGGGCATTAGTATTACTGCCCAAAAGCTGAAGCATATCAGCAAGCACCCAGCTATTAGCGTCACCAGCCTCGATGTCCTCTTTACCATCATTAGTCTTCTGGCGTGGACCTTCACCCGCGACCTGGATGTGGACGCGATTTTGGAGAACAGTATTCTGTCGTTCCTGGCTCCGAAGCACGAGAAGCACGTGGCTTTCGAAGATGAATTAGCCAGAGTGCAGGAGCACTTTCCCGAACCCGTTGAAGCCGACCCAGTCACCCCGAAGAAGCGCGGACGTCCTTCCAAGAAGACCGCACCTGTCAACGGCACTTCCACAGCACCAGCAGCCTCGGGCGGGTCCACCCGGCGCAGCACGAGGACGAAGCCGCGGACTGTCGATCTTGACTCTGACGCCGAGTCGATCCCTTCTGGCAGAAGAACTCGCAGCGCCGAGTATGAGTCGGATGGAGACTCGACTTATCAACCTAGTGAGAAGACGAAACTTGCTGTCGCAAACACAGAAGCTGATGGAGCTACTGTGGTTGGAGATATTGCGCATGCTGGGGAATCGACCGCACTCGCATTGTTCCTCGCGTTTGCTGGCGGACTGGGTCAGCTGGCTGCTGGTGCTCTCGGTGCGGAGGTGAGCGGCCCGCTAGAGTGATTAAGACTGTATGGAAATTAGAAACCCGATGGCTGTACGGGGTTTGGCCGGACGGGAGGGGGAAATGGATGTGGAACGTCATGCGCGATACTTTTTTTTTACTATGCGGTACGGATTTGTCTGAAGGGTTGCCATTTCATATTCGGGTCGCGTGACATGTAGGATATTCTCGCAACGACCGGTTGTTTGGTACTTGTAGTCTGCTTTATCTACTTTATCCGCTTGGGAGATTGATACCCTGGGGTCTGGAGCCGAGGGGAGTGAGGGATTCTTCGGTAACGAGAGCGTTTGTCCGATAGCCAAGCTTGATATACAGACTCTATGCAACCTGCGTACGACGCTTTGGAAGCGATTGTGACACCATGTACCCTACGTAATGTTGCTTCCGGGACACTCGGGTAGCTAGGCGCAATAATGAAGCTAGGTGCCCATGCGGTGTCGCTGTCAGCCTCCTATAAGGACCGAAAAGTCATGCTGCGAAGTCGGAGAATGGCAATATCATTACTGACTGACTGGACACCAGAAAGGAGCGGTATGCCGCCATCATCCAGCGAGTGCAAGGCAGCTAGGAGGGGCCTTGCTCGGCTCCATGGCTTCGGAGAATAGGCGTAGGGGAGGAACAGTCGGGTATGCAGCAATGCGGTAAGCCTCGAGTCATGAAGCTGTGACAGCGGTGACAACCTCCGCGTGGCTCGAGTAGTAGTTTGCCATGGAGAGCTTTGTGCTGCACAACGTTGAAGCTTGGGCTGCCATGGAGGTTGGGCCGAAGACAGTTCTGTCTGTCTGACGAAGCCACGGTTCCCACACCCCCACGCGAACAAGTGCGAAGCAAGAGCTTTTTGACGCAAAGATGGCAGAGGCGTTGGTATTAGACAGTTGGACACTGATGTCGAGCGGTCCAGAAGTTCGCCACCAAACAGACAGCCAGCCAGCGTACGTGCCTGAAGATCAGTCTTGTTAAGCGAGATGCAGCCAATGCACGCGACGACCGACGGCGATGCAGCCGGCGGTGACCTTTCTCTCCGCCAACTCCTGGCTTCTGGATGGCCCATAACGTGCCACCAATCTATCGCACTGACAAACCCTCGATCCCACCACGACTCGCGCCGTCTTGTGACTAGCCAGTAGCAGCGCATCCATTGAGACACGAAACCCTGCTCTTCTCTTTGGCTCTGTGCCCCCCGTGGCCTAGCTGTGCTTTATACTTCCTTCCCGGACCCGCGACGAGGAATTGGACTGTCATCAGAAAGGTGCACGCTCCCCGTTCGAGAAGAAAAAGAAAAAAACCCGCTCCGGTTCCTTTATCCGTTCGAGTTTGGGTTGGGTTTTGATCGGGGCAAGGGTGGGTGTGTGCTAGGTCGGTCGGCCTAAAGCCATATCACAGCTCACCACCGTGCGCGCAACGCAAAGATTACCTACCTTGCTACAATGGAGGTGAGCTTTTATTTTTTTACTTTTATTTATTTTTTCCTGCTTTCTTTTCCTCACTCCACTTGGATCGCCAGGGTTCGCAGGCCACGCAGGCGACCCCTTCCTCAGCCCTATGACAGCCCATACCTGCATAACTGAAGTGGCCATGGCTTGAGCTTCTGTCGTACCTTCCGCCCGGTGTCGACTGCCTGGTCGCGTACTACTCTTGTAGAACCTCGCGGCTGCCTCTGATTGTCCCGTCGCCTTGCACTCCAGCTCTCGTTGCATGTCCAGCCTATCTCACGGCTTCCTGATCTCTGCCTCTGTCAAACACGTCATTGCACAGCGTGGCCAGATTCAAATCGAGACCACTACGCTTCACCGCGTAATGTCGGTGAGGTGAAGAAGAGAGAGACGGCCTTTACCTTTTAGTTTCACTCGGCCCTTTTTTTTACGTTAGCGATTCAATACCCAACTACTCAACTTTCTCGTTCTTTTGCTTGTCTTGCTTTCAGCACTATACCCTGTACCACTACGCATTGTCATGGAAAGCCGCGTTCTTGCCCGACGCCAATCAGGAGCAATAGATGCCTCTCACGAAATGGGCCTCGGAGCAGGTGGAGAGGAGGCTCAGACATCAGCAAGCTCGTCACTTTTGAAACCAAGTGCTCAGTTAACCATGGACCGATTCCTGCAGGACTTACCAAATGCCGAACAACCGCCCCTCGACTTTCCCCCGCAATATCACACCGGTCGCGTACCGAATAGCAAGGCCGGAGATGGCAAGCCACGGCTTCTGCTTATGGGCCAGAGGAGGTATGTCACGGTGAGAGGACGAGAGGGCCTTGGCTGACCGTGCAATGACAGGAGTGGGAAGTCGTCGATATCGAGTGTAGTCTTTCACAAGCTGCCGCCAAGCGAGACGCTATACTTGGAAACCACGTATAGGATCAAGAAAGAGTCGATGCAGTATGTAAAGCGGCACGAGGCTACAGTTACCATCTAATCCGTGTCACCAGCTCCTTTATGGATTTTCAAGTTTGGGATTTGCCCGGCCATCTGGACTACTTCGATCCGGCTTTCGACACGGACAACATCTTCGAAGAAATCGGAGCTCTCATCTGGGTCATTGACGCGCAAGATGAGTATCTCGATGCCATTTCTCGGTTAAACATGACCATACTCAACTTGCAGAAATCATACCCCAATATCAACATCGAAGTCTTTGTACACAAAGTGGATGGTTTATCAGATGACTTCAGAGGAGACACCTTCCGGGACATCATCCAGCGCGTGCAAGACGAGCTGAGCGACCATGGATACGAGCAAGCGCCAATCTCCTTCTACCAAACGAGCATCTACGACCACTCCATCTTCGAAGCCTTCAGCAAAGTCATCCAGAAGCTCATCCCGCAACTCCCGACACTTGAAGCCTTGCTCAATAATCTTTGTGGCGCATGCAATATCGAAAAGGCGTACTTGTTCGACATCATGAGCAAGATCTATATTGCCACGGATACAAGTCCTACCGATATTGGCAGCTACGAGATTTGCTCCGACTACATCGATGTGATTATCGACGTCAGCGAAATCTACGGATGGGATCGGCCAGACGAACTGCCGGACTATAGCGAGACGGGCAACAATGACGCGGAGAGCTTGATTACTATGGAGAAGAAGAACAGCAGATATTTATATCTTCGCGAGATCAACAAGTGAGTGTTAGCTTTGTTGGGAAGCTCAACTCGGGTTACTAACGGTTCGATAGATATCTCGCATTGGTGTGCATCATGGGCCAGGACAACCCTGCAGAGAAAAAGGCAATCATCGACTACAACGTGGGCGTCTTCCAAGCAGGGCTCAAGCAGGTCTTTCCCAAGAGTGACAGGGAGGCGCAAGTGGAGATACGTACTACCCACGAAGGCGAGGATGATTGATCTTGACGCGCTTGGAATGGCGAACAGGGCACGTTTGCAGGTATTTTTAGAGTTTAGAGATGGTGATGATTCGTCCCATGCTCTCCGAATGGCTGGATGGGACTTTACAGCCGTTCATGACTGTGTACAATAAGCGATGCTTGAATACATATATACAACCAAGGCATACAGTTATAAAAAATTGCATACACAGCACTTTCTACTTTCACCCTTTTTCGCTAATCTATAGTCGACATCTAGAATGGATAGAAGCCAATGACATCAGCCGCTAGTCCTGGTCCAATCATCGGAACCAGGAAGCGTGTTACTTCCGCCGAGAGTCGAAGCAATCTATTCTACCTTGATTCGCACTATAGTAGTTGACGCCGACGCGTCCCCGCAGCTAAAGTAAAAAGGACACTATGTTCTTTGCCTCGGCTTGAGTCGCGATCATTCACGTCAAGATCTCGCCTCTACTCCAGCACGCGAGCGCATGTAGATTTAAAGGTTCGAGTAGTCATGTACTTTTGGTAGATCCATGGTCTAACATTGTCTTACAGAGTTGAGCAGTCGACCACTCTGGCCCTACTTCGGAATAAACAATAAACCGCATACCACGTCCGCCAACTGCTATTAAAAACACATTCGAAACACACCACACGCACACACAATGTCCTCATCAGCGCGGTACCGCCGTCCCGCAACGGAGCCCTCCACACCTCCTCCCGCCGCAGCGCCTCCAACCGACCCAGCAGCACAAGAGAAGGCCGAGCTAAAGGCCGCGGTACAGCAGCAAGCGGCCGCAACATCAAAGGGCCTGTCTATTCTAGATGTGCTGCGCATAATAGGCGGAGTGCTGCTGCTCAGCAGCGGGCTGAGCTATCTCAGCACGAGCGGAGAGAGCATGACATGGGGCTACAACGCGTGGTGGACACGAGCGCGGGAGTGGAAAACGCTTCTTGTAAGCCCCCATCAATTCTATTTCCACGAAGCCCAGCGTTCGGCGGCGGAGAATATATATAGCTGACAATCGGTCGTGTGTCGCAGCAACGAGAAGTCCACCTCACCGACGCCGAACTGGCACAGTACGACGGCACCGACCCCTCTAAACCAATCTACCTCGCCCTCAACGGCACAATCTACGACGTATCTTCCAGCCCGACGACCTACGGGCCAGGCGGGAGCTACCACTTCTTCGCAGGCCACGACGCGGCGCGCGCCTTCCTGACAGGGTGTTTCGCAGAAGACTCGGTGCCGGACCTGCGCGGCGTAGAAGCCATGTTCCTACCCGTCGATCCCGAGGCGAAAGTCGGACTGAGCGCTGAAGAAAGGGCCGTAGAGCTGGAAAAGGCAAAGACTAGGAGAAAGCTTACGAAAGGCGAGTTGAAGAATCGGCATGCGCAGGAGCTGAGGCATGCGCGCAAGCAGGTTAGAGAGGGGCTGGAGGGCTGGCATAAGTTGTTTCGGGGGGACAAGGGGAAGCCGTATCGTAGGGTGGGAGAGGTCAAGAGGGCGGACGGGTGGTTGGATAGTCTGCCCAAGAGGGCGTTGTGTGAGGAGGCCGAGAAGGGTAGGCCGGTTCGCAAGTACGATTAGAGCTGTCGGAGGCAGTATTTATGTAAAAGCGAGTAGTCAATCCAGAGAATGGCTGATCGGTTTCTGTGTGCTTTGATGCACATGTCATGTTTCGCTACGATCTGGCTATGCTCTCAGACAAAGTAGAGCTCCGGTTAAAGACCTCACGATACAGTGTCAAGACCTGAAGGTGAATGGCTCCTAGTTTGGTTCACTTCACAGCTACGCATAAGCAGAGACTATCAGTCGAAGCGTGAAATCGTCTCATCACATCGCACTCCATTACACGCCACATGTGAGCTCAGCAGGTGCATTTCGGGAATCTTTTCATTCAGTACATAACCGACACCTCCCGAGCATCCCAGGTGCTATACCCGAGCTCCGTTCCTCTCAATATCATGTCCGCAATGAAGCATGCATCCCAACGTGTATGACCCATTCATTTCATGAAGACGCCGATTGGTAATGGGAAAGAGGAATGTCGTTGAAAAGCTGAAAGAAGCGCCCCGTGTCGTTCATCCACATTGGCTTGTCCGTTGGCGAGAGAGGAAGAAAAGTTTACTCGGTTTCGCCAATCGCCCGTGCTGGAGTTTGTTAGTCATTGCCCACACTTGATTCAGTAGCGGGATAACATACTGTAGATGCTCAACTTGGAGTGTCCAACCACCTTCTTGATCTGGCCGTTCGCCTCGAGATCAGCAAGCGCTTTCCGTGCAACCGAGCCGTTAATCTTTAGACGATCGACGAGCGTGGCAACGGTGATGAGGCGGTAAGACTGGACATCCTTCTGGAGCTTGTCGTTGACAGCCTTGTCGAGGACTACGGCGTGTTGGGCCTTGTCCTTCACTATATAGATGTTAGTGGCGATTCTCGCTCATGGGCTTCTCGAGTGCTCGCAGAGTAGCGCGGTGAAAGGGGAATCGGTGGAACCAGTCTTCGAAAAGGACCACCGGTGTGTCTTTGAGTGTATGGAGGTGTTGGATGTGCTGCGGTGCGGTATCACGTACCCTTGCCCTTGGACCACTTCTTCTTCTGCTTCTTGCCTCCAGTTGCTGCAGGTGCCTGTGAAAATGTCAGCGTCCTCTCCCCTCACTGTAGCATCTTCATCTCGCGGACAGACGTACCATTTTGTCGGATGTGGTGTTGTGCTGAAGAGGTGTACTTGCCGCTTCGAAACGTCAAATTCAGCGCAGGTGCGAGTGGGCGGCCGGGCGGCCTTGGCGCACCAAACCCGATTCGTAAGCGAGGCGTGACCATCACGTGATCCAGCGGTTCACTCTCAAGGTGGAGGTCAAACTTCCATGCATCATATCAATCACAAAGAGCTACAATCTATCCCACGTGAGCGCATCGAAAGCCTCCGCAAAGCTGTGAAACCACCACGCACGTGCAGCGCCTGCACCTACACCGACGTCGGCTCTCGGATCTACCACATCCCATCTACAACACGGTACATGCACACCATCTATCTCTTGGCACCGGCGTTGCATATCATACGCCTATCCAACACGAACGACATGATCATGCGGCCGCCCAAGTAGCGGAGATCCTACTCGAAACCATCAATTCGATAAATCGGAGCTTTAGCGCCTAATCGACCGATGTTGGTGGCTATTCCTGACACGCGATAGTGACATTGCTAAAGTGGGAAGGTGTGCTTCGCCAAGTGCAGGAAATCGTTATAGACTACTGCACAACGGACATCAGGGTAGCATTGGCAGGAAGATCATGGGAGGTTTAATGGAGACGTTGCTGGGTTTTGCGCAACCCCGTAAGATATTTTTGTTTGCGAGGTAGGGGCGGTTAGAGGCCCCTTTTATGGACGTGCGGAGGTCTGGGCATCAATGCGCTCCTGGAGACCCTCGCAGGGCGAGCGTGCAAAGCTTGGGAAAGGGTGGGTAGGTGGGTAGGTGGGTAGTGTAGGATATGTTTAGTAATTCGCCACACTAGCGATATTTTGGTGCGTCGCGGACCAGATAGCATGGTCTGCTTTGGGCAAGGGTTTCCGATAGCTACAACCTATCATCATCATCACGGGCATGCAAGTTTGCGAGTTGGGTGTCATGAGCAGAGACACCGAACGTTGTTTTTCCAATTACACAGCTAGGCAGCACATGCCACAACCACAAAGGACCCTTACGCCAGCCAAGTGCGTCCTCGACTGTTTCTCTACGGATTACAAGACGCAGAGCAGATTTATGACTAGAATGAGACAAGAGATTGAGAGAGAGAGACACGAAGCCACAGTGGCCCTTTGAGAGAGTAAGAAATACGCCCATCACATAGACGTCGACACAAAAAAAAGACCACAGGTAGAGACAATGAAGGCAAGGAAAAAGGTCAGCTTCGGCTAGAGATTGTCCTCCGTCTGTTACTTTTACCCATGTGGGCACAGCTACTTTGCGTGCTGTGCCCACAAACGCAAGCAAAGAAGTCTTCTCTACCTGATTGCAAATGCTCGCTAAGATAGAAGAAACAAGTCCGTGGTAACCAGAACATGGAACTGAGCTACAACTCGTAAATGCTGGTGGTTCCAATCCGCAAGTGCAACGTTGAAAGGTATTCGCCAAGACGCCATGTCCAAATGATGGATGCATAATCATTAGAAGAAATGGGTGTGTGGTTTTGAGAGCTCGTGAACTTCCATCTCCTGTCATGCTGATTAGTTGAAGTACCTGCAAGCGTGTTCCTGTGTGACATACCATTTTGAAGGAGTTGAGCTCTTCCTTGATCTGCTGTGCAAGCATCGGTGTAAGCCTATTACACGTTGCAATGTCTCCTCTGCGATCGTACTCCTGGGGCGACCAGGCATCGTGGAATTGGATGCGTGGGCTGAAGGAGATGTTTCTCAGCCCGCCCTGGGGTGTGGTTGGAAGGCTCCTTGTGCTACCGTTGGGTATCCTGGGTGGTTTTGTGAAGTAGTCATCGTTTCGGGCTTGCGCTGCCTCAGTCTTCAGAGAAGGAGAGTTGGAACTCTGCATGTTGAACGTGGGGCCCGCATCTACTGGCTTGAGAACGGGCGACCCAGAGTCGGAACCGGTCCCTGTACCTACATGGTTTTTAGTCATCGATCGTGCAGAGACTGCAGGAGACTTACGCTTCAAAATGCCCTTCTTCATCGAGGACAGGATTTCAGCGCGGTCGCGATCATTCCCGACAATGCTCTTCCGCGATATCGATTCATTTGTCGAGATGGACGGGTTGACCAGCTCTGCAGTTCGCCCTGCATCGATCGAATTGCGCTCTAATCTCGGATAGCCAGTGCCGCCTCCAGTCTGGCTATGAGGGTCTGCATTGACGTTGACCTTTTGCCTCTCTGCCTCCACAGTGACAAGAGAGACTTGACCAACACTAGGCCTGGTAATGGGCCCGTCGGCGGCCGGAACCCCAATGACTGACTTTGGCCTGAACAGTCCTTTGATAGATTTGCTGCCCTTTTTCATTCCATGGCCCATCTTTCGAAGCATGATCGACGCAGACGACGCAGCCGATTGGATGGACAAGTTGTCGGTAGAACCAATACCACCTTGACCAGAGTATATGCCAGCACCGATGCCCGCCGCCTCTTGCTTGGCGATTATGGCAGCCTGCTCAGCGTCGTCGTCGTTTTGATATCGGTCCTTCCTCAACTTGGCACGTTCCGCAGAAAGACTATTCTCTGCAGAAGCACGTCGAAGCTCGGCAGCACTGCCAAAAGAGAATGCCCGCCGCAGCCGCGACTTCATGCCCTTTTCTCGGTCATTGACAGCAGTAAGCTGCTTGACTGCCGCGCTAGCAGGTACCGATGGTTTCGCGGGACTTGGAGGCTCAGATGGAGAGACGGGGTACGACAGAGGGGACGGAGCATGCCGCCTGCCAGGTTCGGGTGTCTTCGAAGTCGTCCCTGCAGCCACCGAGGCGTAGCTACGTTGAGTGGTCACATCAGGTCGGGCCTGGAGTAGAGATTAGCTCTGTGATAACACGTATCTTGGTAGTACAACATACCTGTGATCTTGCAGAAGCATTCGAAGAAACACTACCTGCGCTACCTTGCCTTTCGTGGCTGTGACTTGATGCTGGCCGGCTTGTGGGTCGAGAAACAGGCTTTGTAGCAGTTTTCGGGGTGCTCAATGCTGCGCTTTGAGCTGCATTGGCGCCCACCTGCAACGAGGCCACGTTCGTGGGGACGGTCTTTTCTTCGAGTCCATTGAAACTGCGTCTCCTGTATCGCTTGGCGGCGTCCGTTCCACCTGATCCCAGGAGTTGGGTGTCATCTGCACTATTCGCTCTGTTGTGCCCAGGTCTAGCAGGAGGTGATATTTCAGAGCTACCCAAGGCCACGTCTTGACTCGGTTGAGACGAACCGAAGGTGGAGGTACCCACCAACGGAGAGCGCTGGGTTGGGGTAGAGGCACCAGTGGGGATGCTGGTGGACGAGTCTGTTCTCCCAGCACCACGTCGGTATCGCCCCGGTGATGGTTTAACGGGGGCATCGCCCAGAGAGAGCGAGAGCGAGAGGTCGGGAATCGCAGTGGATAGCGTAATGGATGATGCCATGCTGTCGACTGGTTTTCTGAGATCGCTATCGTCTTTGGATGCCAGCGGCGCCACGGGTAGCGAGCGATTGGATGATCCGGACGTCGATACCGTAGAGTCGGATGACGAAGAGGGGTGGGACGGGTGGCCGAGTCGAGCCTGGTTGGCTTGGCTAGGGGGTTGTTGCAGCGCCTGGGGATTCGGGGCAGAGACGGATCTGTTCTCTAAGCGCAGCTGCGGTGTGCTGCTAAAAGCATACGGCGCTATCGGCGCAGAAGTGCCTCTGTATCCTGTACCGCCAGAGGTGTTGTTGTACGTTTGATTTCGCGACGTCTGCGAGGCTCGCGGCTGTTGTGTCGTCGTCGGGTTTTGGTAGGCATCGGAAGAGGGATATGACATCGTAATGGAACCAGACGTCTGAACAATTGGTGCGAGTACCTGAGCCATCGGGGCCCGTTACGGTACGGCTCGATCGAGGGCAGCTTGTACACGTCGTCGGCAGGGGCAACGAACGAGACAGGCAAGTTAAAAAAAAGTCTGCAGGAAGCAGCGGTATTAGCAATGTGCCTTGGGGTGCGCGAGACGAGAAGAGGTGATGATTGCGGATGAGGCAGTTTGTGATGGGAGCTATTGGCCCTTTTGGAGCCGGACTGGGAGCCAGGAGGGCGCGCGGAGTGGGGAGGGCAGGGCTTTTGCTGGGGGCGGTGTGTTTGCGAGGGGCTGTTGGGAGAGATGTACCTGGTATGAAAAGGAAGAGAGAAAAAAGCGAGTAGCTATTAAAACAGTGAGTAGAATGCAACGACGTCGTCGGAGCGCTGGGAAGGCTGTCGTGGAGCGACGGAGATGGCAGCGTGTACCAAGCCTCCCGAGCAGACGGTCAAGCGTGCATTGGACAGTTTCGGAGAATCGACGTGCTGGTGCTGACAAGGACGAAGGATTCAACAAGCAAGCAGAAAGAAAATAATAGACGGAGGGTAGGCGGCGTTCGCGGTGAAGAGTTGGTTGTGAGGTTGTCGTAAGGGGTCGGCTAGCCTTAGCATGGGTCCGTGCTGGGAGAGACTCAGTCAACTCACTCACGCCAGGCGAAGAGCACGTTGCCTGTCTAATAAGTAACGTACGTAGTGCACGCTCTCACTGAAGACGTCGTCGTCCGACGCCCCGGATGGAGCGAATGCTGCGACGATTGCCTTCTCGAAGCCCTTGGGGCTGTACTCACGGCCAGCTTATGTTGGCGCGTGGTTTATTTTCTATTCACTCGGCCGCCCCAAGAAGAGGGTGGTGGCACATCACTCGCAATCAGGGCAATTGGGCTATTGTAATTTTCTTCCTGGTGGTAGACATGCACGGCATTCTTTGCCAGCTTCACTCAGTATACCCCAGTCACTTAGTTAATTGTGCGGGCCTATAGGAAGCTTGGGCACGGTTGGTATAGGGGAGGTGCAGCTCCAATATCGCCGCACGCAGCCAACTATTCCACGTCCGACTTGACTACCCAGCTAGCTGCTTGGTTGCTTTGCTGATGGTCGATGCAGCATTGCGACCCTGAAAGCGTTGCCCTGCGGAATCACAAGTCGAGGCAGGCATGGCAACGGGGGGCACGACAGAGGGCCGGGCTCCTCCATGGATGGTGGTCATGACATGGCCGCTTGCTGGTCTTGTCGCTCATTCCGGAGGCCAAGCGGCTTCCGAGCAACGAGGATTTCGAGGCGACGCAAACGCATGTGTAGCCGCATTCCAGGGGCCCTGCAAATTTATGCCGCCGCTATTTTGTGTGTGGGATATGATATGCGCGAATGGATTGCTTTGTTGGACGCGTCTGGGTCCGAGCAGATACGACGCGACCCGGTAAACATGACGAGTTTTGCCTCTGGGGGGGGGCAGATGAAAGCGGCCAACCGCAGAGCGCGGCTGAGAGTTTGCAGCAGATGGTGAAGAGCGGTGGAGAAGAGGTGCAGCAGCAGCAGCAGCAGCAGCATCAAGCAGCATGCAGCGACGGAAACTGTAGGAGGAGGTGGTGGTGTTGGACAGGGATACATACATGGTGGTGGTGCATGCGATAAGGACGACGCCGATGGCCTCACTCACTCCCTCACTCACTCACCGACACGTCTGTACCCCGCTCTCTCCCGTCTGTTGTTGCTTTGCCTGCTCATTTGGCCATGGGATAACCTCATCGCGGCCCACGGGTCTGCCGTTGCGCATGTGCGTCGCTCGCAGCAGGTGCATGCACAGCCAGCACAGGGTCCGCAGCGCGCCATGGATGGAAAAATAATAAGAATAAATAATTAACGGGTAGGCAGCAGAGGCCTGGCGGGGGATTGCAATGGCTGCCAAGGCGTGGGGAAGCGAGAGCATGCCAGCCGCAGCGAGACGACCCGTGTTTGATGTGTCTCTGGCTATGCAAAGCATCAATTTCCTTTTGATTGCGCAAAGAGACCAGTCGACTGATTGACGGCTTGATTGATCTCGTCGTAGTAGTCGTATCTCTCCCTCCCCCCCAAGACGGTTTGTTGTCATGGCCCTCGGTGCCCCACTTTGGCACAGAAGACGGCCGGGATGACGCGACAATCAACGCCTACAGTGCGCCTGCCGTTCCAGAGCCCGTGAGAAAATCTCCTGCCACTTTCGGACGAACCGACATTCACCGCCAGCCCTCACGGCTCCTAGCTCCCTTGTCCCAACTGCAACACCTTTGCTCACAAGTCTGCCCTGCTGCATCCTCTTCTAGGCACTGGGCAGCGTCTGCCGTATATCTTCTCTAGGCTCCCGCTAGCTGTCTAGCATCAAACACGACCGCCATCGAGTTTTCGCATGTCCAAGCGGGCGGGACACTGCACGGAACCAACCACTCCACTTGCTCGACACTCATTCGTCATGTTCAGGTGACGACACTCGAACCATTCGTTCAAACACGAGCGAGGTCCTTCTACTAGAGATCGGCGGCTTCACCACCTGTTTGCTTCAGACCGCTTCTACCCGCTCTACACCTGCCCCTCCGCAGTTTGACTGCTGTCTACTTGGAGACATGTCGCAAGACCAATTCTACAACACTTGGCTGATATAGAGCTCTGGTCGAAACAATGGCTACCTTTTACGGCTTGTTTGGGACAGTACCGGGCACTTTGTAACCCCCTCAAGTCACTCCCAAACTCACTTGGGCACTCTTTGGTCCAATCCCAGTCTGGAAACGGCTACGCCCGTACAATGAAGCTTTCGTGGCTGCTCTGTTCAACGTTGCGCAGGCAGAGCTTACCACTGTAAAGACAGCATCGGCTTCATTCACATCAAGTCAGCCAACTCAAGTGCACATGGACTAATGTAATTGTCGTGATCGATCATCTCCGTACAGCCGCCACCTGCGGCATCTCGAAAGCAACACCACGGATCTGGGACCGTCTACCCGAGACGCTCTTCCGGCAATACCTGCCACGGCGACTGCACAGTCGAGCTGCAATCTGAATCAACCACCCTAGGTGTTTCACGCCTCTCAGCGCCTCTAGCAGCTTCTCCACATCCAACGGAAAATTAAGAATGCGACCAGGATCATCCAGGCAGCCGTTAACAAATCCTATTACGCCCAACATGGAGACGTTACGTTTCACAGACCTTGTGTGGCGCTTGCGGAGAATATCTGGGTGGCTTGAGACTGTCCACCAGTACCGTTTGGGACGTGGAGAGAAGCCATTCGATGCCCATCTCGAACAACGTGTAACCCAACTGCGTCGGTGCCGTGGAAAAGGCCTGGAGAGTCCCGCTGGAAAACTGGAGACCATGTAGTCTACCAACTAGCTCCGTACCAAGCTTAACCAGCACACCGCCCCAGAGGAAGCACTCTGCACCAAGATAACTCACATGGACTGAATGCTCATTCAACAAATAGGACCGAGTACTATCAAGCTTCCCCAACCACTACCAAACAGTGCCTTCCTTCGCTCCGTCCATCTCAATCTCACCCTGTTCCACACCAACGTCATTTCCACAAACAATCTAAACCCAACCCGACGTTGAAAGCACCAAATTTGAACAGACAGGTCAGCCGCCGTGGTACCTACCGCATCCCCACAGTGTGCTCCCTCCGCGGAGATGGCATCGTTTCAGATCGCGTGTCACAGATCGGCCAAACGTCCATGCGTCATGTCGTCCATGTAGACCCAATGCAACATGTCCTACCTACGTACTTGATGATGCTGATGATGATGGCGGTTCCCCAATCTAATCTAAGAGAGTGTCGGTGGTAATTTTAGCACTAGATCTAAATCTGAAACATGAAACATGAGATTAAGTTGTGCACAACCAGGGGCGACCATGTATTGTAGTACACGCTATCTGCGATTTGCCTTACCGTGCTGTATGCACATCATTATCGCAGCTTGTTTGACAAATTTCCGTCGAGGGTATGTCCTTGTCCAGGGTCCAACGTCGTTTTTTACCCTGAAAAACTCGTATCCTCGTTCTACAGAAGTCCTGTGCGCATGTACTACAAGCAGTGCAGACGAAACATTCCGTTAGAATAAAGACGGCAATGTTGATGGCTGAAAAACTATAACCAATGCCTCATTTCATGAAACTCAAGCATCATGGTTCGCGGATATATGTGTATAAAGTCGATTGCTAGCTACTTGGTCAGATGACGGATGTACCGACATTGACATAGAGCAGGGCAAGACACGTGCTTATTGTGTTGCTGTCAGCTAGTGACTACGGGATGCAAGCCTCCTCCTAATTAAAGGCAAAGGATGCAGAGCCAACGGAGCTGGATGTCATTTAAGATGAAGCATCCGCACCACGACCACGACCAAATCCGCCGCGGAACTGAGGAGCGAACTCGGCAGGTGCATTCCCGCCATCCTTTCCCTCACCAGCATCACGGCGTCGATACTCACGGTCGCCACGAGGAGCGCCGCGACCGCCACGTCGCTCACCGTCATCGCCGCCCAGAGCGCGCGGAGCAGCGTGGGTACGCTGAGTCTTGATGTGTGTCTGAGGCACAATCTCGGCAGGAAGGTGAAGCCACTCGCGGAGGAAGTCTATAATGATCAGCAGCTACTCCACGAAGAAGCATAACGAGGAAACGAACCGGTGCCCTCTGGCGTGAGAGTATAGTAATAGTACTGCCAGGAGAAGCGCGTCTTGAGATATCCGCGGGAAGTGAGAGACTGGCAAGCCTTCACAACGAAGAGATTCTTGGTGTCGATGGCAGGGTGTTTGGCCAGGTTGTAGTCCTTCTGCGCGACCATGGTGCCCTCGCGAAAGAGGTATTCGTGGATGAGACGACGATCGGCCTTTGGAATCAGCATCTTGACGACCGAATCTGAGATTCGACGTGGACTTGGGCGAAGCTGATGTGCCGGGGGCTTGTAGAGGGTGCTAGTTTGCTGCGGTGAATGTTGTTGCGGAGGAGTAGTTCGAGAGCCGCAAATTGAGGGTGCGATCGCGGAAAATCACAGCGCCGATAGGGCTGGACGATCTCTACTGTAATCGCACTAGCCTATGTTCGCGCTGACATAACCCAGAATCTCTCAAGATTGTGTACCATATCCCAGACAATGACGGCGCTTGAGGTACATAAGAGGTATTATAGGTAAATTCGAATAAGGCCAAGGAACTGATCCCTAGGGTAGCTTATTCAAACCCTTTGACCAGATTAGAGCTATTAGAAAGCGATATGTTACCTAAGCCCAGGGGACTTGTCGATACAAATGCTTTTTGTCTAACATACACTAGGTTCTTGCCTGAGAATCATTTTCATACAGGAACCTAGTCCCGGAAGAGTATGTTCCCTTGCAATAGACCCAATCCAGGAGCTTTAGATACACTTGACCATGCTGCATTAGCCCTTGTAAGCTTCGCAACCATGTGATACACGAATCTTGTCCGAATAACACCATTATTGACTTCCACAACTCGAGGAGGCTACATGTTAGTCACAAGAAAAGTAGGCCAGCATTTCGTCTTCATAGTAGATGTCAGTCATGCTTTTCAAATTTCATCGTGTACAACAAGTTGGGTGCTTCCAATACCCTTGCTCGCAGCTCTCAGGGTCCCCTCTGCAGACGGACCCCATGTGAGATTGGGAAATGGAGTATAACATTCACTACCCCCATAAATCTCTTCAAATATTCCACCAGAATAGTATGCTTAATGCCATAGCTACCAGAATTCCCATTAATCTCTGTTCGGTTGGAGATAAGGAACTCACATCTACGAGCGTAAGATCGAAAAACCAAAGTGGATCCAGCCCCACTTGAGGAGGTATGAATTTTCCTAGCCGCCCAGTGCAGCATGCAACACCGTATATCCAATCTACCGTCTTTACCAACATGGCAGACATTGCTGTCTCTACCATGCTGCTGTGCCTCAGTTAATAGTCTCTGCTGTCGAGAAATCTTCCATCAATCAGCTCAACCAGCTTCGATTCAAATTCGCATCGGTGGTTTAGTGGTAAAATTAGCCGTTGCCATCCTCACAGATCAATTCGGCTAGCCCCGGGTTCGATTCCCGGCCGATGCATCCATTCTTTTTGCCGTGAAAAGGTGGTGGTGCTGCTGTCGTGGAGGCGTTGGAGAAAAATAGATTTTTGGGTGAGTCACGTGACTTTGCTCGACCATTTGCCGCCCCATCACCGGGGGTCTCCGCGAGTCAGAGGCGAAAGGGTGTTTTGTTCATTGAGAGCTACTTGCGTTTGTTTATTTTTGCTACGGTGTAGGAGATGGTGTGGTATGGTCCAAGACATTACCTGTTTCTATCGCCAGCTACAGTGGTTGTATTTTTTAAAAGTTTTATATTGAAACAAGAGAAACAAAAGGTATAGATTAAAGGGAGAATAAGAAAGCCCCTACTCCCTAAAACTACATGTGCCTGCTCATTCCCCCAGCCGTTTATAGGCTAACAACTCCAGCAGTAGTATCGACGTTAACAACCATTCTCCATTCGGATCTCCAAAGCGCCTACGCCCTCGTTGAGCTATCGCTGGTTCTGTGAAAGTACTTGAGTGCAGAGATGTTTGTGATTATCTAGAACCTGAACAGATACACCCGCTCTTAAAGTACGCCCTTATAGTTAGTAACAGCTCAATAGTTAGTTCTAAGGGCATAGGCTCTCCTTAAACATTTCCTCATCCACGTTACGTTGACTCATGGACCGAGATTTTCACTTGAAGGGGTCTCTAAAGATGTTATGTCAGTTGCTCCTGCGCATGATTCGCTCAACCTCAAGCTCCCTCTTACGTCGGAAAATCCCTTCGCTAAAAGACAACTCGGGCTATACAGTTTACTCTCCTACGACAACTACAGCGGAAACGCGGTTTGCAGGCTACAACGCCTCACTCATCCTTGGAAAAGAACCCAACATCCCCACTGGTCTTCCCTAGCTCCACAAGCCTCTCCCTCATCCTCTTCGCCCGCTCTGCCATCTCCGGTTCAAAGCCATCTACATCCCACTCCTTTGCCCACTCACCCACGCCATGCTGCAGCACGTTCCTCGCTCTCTCCTCTCCCGCCAACGTCGTTCCAATACTGCCGTGCAGCGTCATCCGCTCCTTCTTACTATCATACACACCTCGGTGTAGGATGTTGTTATTATAAAACGCCACCTCCCCGGCCTTCAACTTTACAGTGATTTGACCCGGTAGATGCGCTTCATAGGGATCCGCATTCCGCTCACTATCCGTACGTGCGCGCTTGTGAGTTCCAGGGATCAGAACCAAGGAAGCGTCGTCGTAGAGTGCGAGGTTCCACTGTGCGTGATAGGCTGGCTTGTTCAATCTCTCTAGTTCTTCTTCTGGTGTTGCGCTGGCGGTGATGTCGTCCCTGTGCCATCGTAGACTGAAATCTTCATCTGGTCGAACTAGCATGTTGTATAACTCCATTGTCAGGTCCCCTTCGTCACAACCAATGAGTTCTGCTACGTACTTGAGCAGCTCTTTGTCAAAGTACGATTTCGCAAATACCAAGTGGCCTGTATTCAAGGGATGGAGCAGATGCTGAACGCCCCATATTCCGTGTGATGGGTCCTGTGGCCACGGTGGAAATTGTTTGGGTAGAGTTCGTATGTATGGCCATGTTCCTGATCGTGCTTCTTTCGTTATGTGTGAAGCGGCGGCGCGGAGCGCTTCAAGGTCGAAGGAGGGGAAGAGGGAGGCGGATAGGACAACGAAGCCATCTCGGTCAAGAGCTTCGCGGGCTGCTTTATACGGGTTGTTGGATGATGTATCTATATTTGAGATTGATGGTTCGCTGGCAGCGGGCGTATCAACTGCTACCGCAATCGGAAGCCGCATGGTCGCTTTTGCGCTTTCCTTCTTCCCTCCCCTATCGGGCTGGAAATCCATCCTGCAATAGGGGTATGCTTTCGAACCACCGGCTATCTACTCAGAGATTCTATGGTTGATGTCTGAGCTGCCTGCTTCGTATAAGGTGGATTGGTAGTGGGACTATGGCTTTTGCGCTTCCTTTTCTAGGACTTCTATCGGGCCGTAGACCGTGTTACCCTCGAAGAGACTGTGGTGCTAACTTGTGCGAATAGCATGAACTCATCAAGGTTGTCAAAGGTCTAGGTTCGAAAGTGGCATGAGCTACCCCGCATCATTCACCCCACTTGATGTCATCTTACTCCTCCACTCAATTCATACAACTGAGTTTTACTAAGTCGGCTCGCACCTCCGTGGGTTCACTCCTACTGGAGGGCTTGAATTAGTTTAAAATTGAATATTTGATCTACCCTTCAGCGATTCGAGGTGTGACTCGGTGTGTGAAAGCCCTCTATATGCTCCCAAATGCCCTCGATCGACTACGCATTCTGGGACATTAACGAAACGATGGTTTACTCTAAACGAGCATACTTTTTAAATTCTCACTCATGTTGGCCAACGGTCGCCAGTTTCCACCCCTTTTCTGTTGCAACCAACTGAATCTTGACATCCTTTGATATCTTCTCCATCTCGCTCGTACTTCCCACTTCCTCCAGCTCTCGCCGACTATTGTCGTCCAGCCCATGAAACAGCAGTGCTAAAGCACTCGATTTAAAGTCGTAGAATGGAGCGTGCATGCCTTCACCCTCCCATATTTTGCGCAACTGTGACTGATCCAACTTTGCTTGCACAACTACCCAGACGAAGAAGAGTAACGTTAAAACGACAGCTGCGCCTGAATAGATCAGCCACGCCCATTGCACACGTATGCACACCGTATTGTAGTGGACTTCGCCTCGGGCTGGCTGGCTTAGATTGGCATGACCGTGTTGTCGTATGTGCGTTGTCAAAGAGTCGGAAATATTCTTCATGAGTCCACTGATGTCTTCAAGTGTGCCATTGCCGGAACCAGCATGCCAAATGGCCATCATTGATTCATTGCCGAATAGGGCAGGTGGCGACCTCGTCCCATATTCCTGTATCTCACCTTTGAATAGATCCTTGAAGAGGTTCTCGTTGAGCGCGTTCCCGGCGATATCGGTCATAGAGTACACGCATTCCGCAGGGACAATCTGAGCTGCGTCGTCGTTGAGGAGAATGCCCTCAGCGCCTGCGCCTGGCTTGTTCTTGTCGCAGTACTTATCGACCTTGTCCTTTGGCATGAATTGGCAGGAGCCTCTAAACTTCGTACGCTTCTCAGTCACGTTATAGGACACTGAAACATTGTAAGGAAGCCATCGCGGATCCTTGGCCAAGTCGTAGCCCATCTCTGAAAGCTGTTGCTTCTTGTCGTCTTGAAGACAATCGAGATCGGCAACCCGGTAAGCCCCGAACATGAGGTTCCGTGGTAGCATATGCTCGCTCTCTTGGGTTTCCTTGAGTAAGCTGTTTCGAATCTCTGCCGAGTAAGATCTGACGCAAGGGGAGATCTTGCATGAATAGGCGACATAAGTTTTGGTGTCCAGTGCGCGAATGACATCAATAGATGGAAAACCTCGCGCAACGAGTGAACGTCTGTTTTCCTCAACGGAGCCGACCGCTGTGACAATCTCCAATGTAAGGTTTTGGCCCGGGGTATCCGCAGTTTTCAATGTTATTTTTGGATAGCGCGCAAATTCAGGGACCGGCGTGATGTTCCTCGGGTTTGGCCAGGGTACTTGGATCAAATTTGCAGTAACGTCTTCACATTTGCTACAGAACGCTAGCGAGCTGTATTCATTCGGGAACGTGCAATTCCCGGACTGGCAGGAGATGTCAAGTTGAGGTTTGTTTGTAGCAAACATTCCTTGATTGACTGAGTTGCGCACTTTCCAAGGTATACTGGTCGAGCTGCCCCCTACCGTTATACCCTCCTCTTTGTAGAAGTTTGTTCTTGGTATGAATGCGGTCTCGCGGGGTTCCACCTGAACACAGACTGGAAAAGTCACAATCTGCTGGGAGAACGGCTCGAGGAAGAGGATGACAATCGTGATGAATGCTCCGAGCGAGGAAACATGGCGGCCCTTATCATTCCAAAGTAGTTGCATTGCGCCCCATGGACCGCGGCTCGCCTCATCATGGATCCAAAAGCTGCGTAGAGAGCGCGGCCTTTTCAAGCTCGTCCATTTGATATGACTGATTCCTTCTGCGAGGATGAGACCGGCGGAGGTCTTCAATAGTACGGTGAAGGCAGCGATGAAGGTGTTAATCGACAGACTGTAAGGCCAGTGGGGGAGAGGCTTGTTGTTGAAGGCATTGACGGTCGTAATGATGCCTACCAAGGCGCCAACCACGAGGACTGCGCATGCTGTCTCTAACCACCAGATGTATCGTGACTTTTGGCGACCTTGAAATCCGTTCCCATCTTCGGAGCTCCCTTCGCTCCTTTTGTTGACCGTGTTTGTGTTTGTGTAATTCTTCTGCAGGTTTGTCGAACCGTCATGTAATTCCGGAGTCCTCGCATTGCTACCGTCATCGACTCGAGAGTATTCGACTTGAGAAACGGGTGAAGGTACTCGCTGCATGCTGCAGGTATTTTAGAGACTCCAGGTGAACACGGAAGTAATAGAGTTTGAGACTCACGACCTCTCGACATTTTATTGCATTTTAGCCCTGCGTTGGGGGCCGAATGCACCGTGTTGCATAACCTATGCAAATAAGATACTTTTATCGTTAAAACGCTAAGCAACGGGGCGTAAACTGGGGTATCAGTGCCAACGCACTTCTACGCGATCCTCGTATCTTTGCAAGCGACAATTGGTAGGCATGAAGCTTGCCAAGTCAGGCACCCGACTTGGCGGCGCGTCCAGGCAAGGCTCAAACAAACTGTCATTGTGTACACGAGCCGGCTGTACCTCAATCTCGCGACGGTGCCGAGCAGCTCAAACTCGGTGGCTGAATCCAATGTACAAAGTAATAAGTTGGCAGAAGTATGCAGAGACATCTGAGATGATTGAGAATGCGGATGGACAATATGAAGACGATTGCTTTAAAGTTGGCGGATTGTTGGACCCCACGCTATGTACCGCACGAAGGAGCTGGCACAGGTACCAAGGTAGGACAGCTGATAAACCGCGGCAGCCAATAAACCACCTTAATATTAAAACAAACTTAACACGTTATTTTTAAACCGCAATATATTAACTACTAATAATCTAATTTTAGATGTAATTATAATAATTAATTTATAAAATTTAAAAAAATAACTTTTATACCGCGCAGCTGCAAAAATATTTAGTATTAATTAAATTACTTTAGCATATTAGCACTAAAGGAAAATATAATTAAATGCAGAAAAATCTTAATAACGCATGCATTTTAACTTATAATAAAAATTAAAACTTATATAGTATATATAAAAATTATCTAATTATAAGCTTTTACTTATAAAAGCTATAATAAAAAATTTTGCTTTTAAATTATTAAAATAGGAAGTTTTTAATAAGTAGATTTTGCAATTTTTTAAAAAATATTATAATATTTTTACTTTTAAATATACTACTAGGATTAATTGCAAACAGCTCCTTACTAATACTAAATATAATTATAAGTTATACTTTAACTTTTTTTATTTAAAAATTTAAAAGTATAATATTAATGCGCGCTATATTTATAATATAAATAAAAAAAAATTTTTTATTAATATTACTTTATACTCTAAATAGGTTTTTTTAAAGCAACTTTAAAAGTAAAAATAAATTATAGCAGCCTTATAAAATAGTAACTAAAAGTAAATAATAATTTTAGCATATATTTGTGCAGATAAAAGTACAGTAAATTTAAGTATAATTTTTAAAAAAAAAAAAAAACTTTATAACGCTTAGTTACGCAATATAAAAGCTAAAAAATACTAAGTTTTTTTTATAACAAGTCTTTCTAAATAGTCTAATAATAATATTAATTTAGCCTAGCTTAAACAAGTTTTTAATTAGCATATAAAAAATAAGGCGTAGGCAAATTATAAAATTCTTATTTTTAATAGTTATAGCAGCTACTTTACTACTAATTTTATAAACTTTTACAACGCTAATAAAATTCTTTTAATAATATTTTTTTCTTATTTAACTTATAGCTTATAATTTTTAAATATAGTGCTTTTTTTGCCTTTTTTAACTGCCTATTTAACTAAGCTTTTGTACTATCTTTATTATAGCTAAAGCCTTATTTTTATAAATAAAAGTAATTTTTTTTTATTATTTTAGGCTGCTTATAATACTACGTTTACTTTTATAAATATATAAAAAGTATTTAAAGCTATAAGCATTAAGCTACCTAATACTAATATTATATTATAATAATTTAAAATATAACTACAACAGGAAGATTAAAAGTTAATAAATAAAAAAAATAGTAATAGGGATACTTAAAACTAGCTCTGCAATTTATTTAAAATTACTATAAAAGATAAAGCAAAAGTTAAGGCTAAATAGTTAGGCTTTGCACTATATTTTTTTTAAGTGCAAAATAAGCTTTTTTACTATAAAAACAAAAGTTTCTGCAACGCGCTTTTAACTAAAAAAAAGCATAAAAGTAAGAGTAAATTTCTAAATTTTTAATAGTGTAAAAAATTTTATAGCGCTGTAGTATTTTAAAATCTAAAAACTATCTAAAAAGCTTGCGCATATAATATAGTAAAATAATACAAAAATAAAGCTAAATAATTCTAAAAAAAAAAAATAAAAAAGCTAAAAGTAGTAACAATATTATATAAAAAAAAAATTATAAAAAAAGTAAAAGTAGTATAGTTACTTGCTAAAGAGCGCGCTATAAAAAAGCGTGTAGTAATAGTTTAAAAATAAACTGCTATACGCGCGTAAAAATAATAAAAAAAAAAAGCTATAATGTATTACACAGGTGAGTTAGTTGCCCGGTTAAGTTAGTTACAATACTAAGACTTTACTAAAATTAGTAGTCTTCTACTATTAAACGCAATGCCTTAACACAATAACGTATAATTTTTTTAAAAAAAAAACTAAATATAGCTTATAATTTAGGCTTTAAAACGCAATGCGAATTTTTTCTAATAAGAAGCTGCGCGGATTTATAGCGTCTTTTAAATAATATTTAGTAATTAACTAAAAGAAAAGCTTCTATAACATAATACTAGGCCTAATAAAATAAGGCTTTTTTTAATAAAAGAAAAAGTAATTGCCTAGTATATACTCTACTTTAAAGACTAAAGATTTCTGCCCTAACTAGCTGCTGTAAATAATATAGCTAATATTTTGCTAGCTAAATATAAGCAATTACTTATTAGCAAGAACTAGGCTAGCACGTTTATTAGATAATATCTACAGCTTAGTATTAGGACTTTTTAAAAGTATAACTATTAAAAAGCTTTATATAAAAATTTTAAGCTTGTATAAGGCTAGTTCTAATTTATAAAAAATATAAAAGCTAAGTATAGTATTTAGGATAAAAACATATATAACTTTAATAAGATAGGCTTTATAATAGGCTAGATATTATATAAAATTATTATTTTAAGTACTAACTATTAAAAACAGCTGAAGATAGTGCAGCAGGGTAATTAAGAGTAGGTAACAGTAATCTAAAGCATTAATATAATAAAGTAGGCTATTTTACTTTTTATTATTTTTGCAGGCAAGAACTACTTTTTAGCCTAGTATAAAAAAAATAGCCTGCTTTATAATTAAGTTATTGCAGTTTCTAAGAACGGCTAAATAATAAATAAGCTTATTTTTAAGTAGTTAAAGCACTTTAACAAGCATACTAAAAGGAAGGTTATTAGTACTTATTATTTGCTTGTTATTAATAGTTATAAAAGCTATATATTAGTCTAATTTTAGCAGTACTGCAAAAAATAAAAAATTATTACTTTTTATATATTTTTATATTTATCGCACTTGCTATAGCTACTTAATATAGGTTGTTTTGCGCCTTTAAAAAAGGCGTATAAGTGCTAAGCTAAAAAGCTAATATACAATAGCATTAACTATATTACTAAAATTAAGTTTTTACTGTACTTTAAACTAGCTTTTAATACTACTATTATAAAAAGTAATATTTTAAATAGCTTTAAAAGCGCTAGTTTAGTTTTTTTTAACTTTAAAGCTGTAATATTAAAACTTAATATTTAGTTATATACTTTACTACTACTTACTATTAAAAATAGTCCTTAGGAGTTAAAAACACTAAGTAATACTTTAGAATTTAAGTTTTAGTTAATGCTAGTTAAGACAAAAATTTAAAAGTACTTAAATAGTTTTTTTATTTTAATAGTTAAAGCTTTTAAAAAAATTTTAAAAAGTATAGCTATAGTCGCGCATAAGCTTGTGTTAGTGTAGAAAAAAATTACTAAGTTTTAAGCAGCTAATAAAGCTGCTATATAATAAAAATTATATAAAAAAAAGCAAGTATAGAAAAAAGGGACTTTTATAGTAAAAGATAGTTTTTAATTAACAATTCTAAAAGAGTTTAAAGCGCGTAGTAATAAAAAAAAAGTAAAAAAGTAGGCATATACTAAGGCAGGTAAGCTTTTTTAAAGGCGCTATAAATACTATAGTAAGGCTAGGCATAACGCGCAAATGTGCAAGTAAGAAGTAGAAGTAGTTTTTAAATAAATTAGTTTATTATAATTTACTGCTATAGTTTTCTACAGTGCTGTACTATTGTGTATAGTACTAATTTTAATAGAGTTTTAGCATTGTGACTAACTTAACCGGGCGATTAACTTGCCTGTATAATACGTTAACCTTATAAAAACTTTATAATAGGGCAAATAAATATAAGCAAATAATTTTATATTTTGCAAATTTAAATATAGCAAAGCATTATTATATTATAGACGCTAGAAGTAGTAGTTTAGATATATTATAGCTACTATAGCTTTTACTTAAAACTACCGCGCGCGGCTGCTAAATTAATTTTTTAAAAAAATTTAAATAGTATAAATTAATTGCAAGCTTCTATTTACTAATACTTTATAAAATTTTATAATACTAATTTTTGTAAGTAGCTCTATAGCTTTATTTTTGCAAATAGGTGACTTTAGTTAAGGTGGTTTATCGGCTGCTGCGGTTCATCGGCTGTCCTACCTCAGTACTTTACGCTCGGCGAAATTTGCAGTTGCGACCGCCACCATTCCAGACACAAAAGTCACACCTCCTTCGTAGGTACAGCACTACCAGACACTAAACGGCATCCTTGTCTCGCAGGGAGATTGGAGCAGTTTCCGAGGGCTGTATCGTGAGTTATTATAAGCTCTAACACGACTGCGCCACCTTTCGGAGACCCTACTCTTAGCTGCCGGCCTGCTCTCTAGTACACTACTACAAGTTTCATTTTGTCCTTGATCGCGGGTTGAAGAGATGGAATGCTGGTCGAAGTGAGGACGTCACACTACAAGCATACGCAATGAAGGCTACTTGTCCCCTGGCTTTCTCTTCTGCCAAATAACCCTGCGCTATTAGACACGGTATTTCACTTCACGCATCCCCAGCAACAAGCTCCGCGCACATCTCCGCCAGCGCGTATATAGTACCACTCGGCATGGCAGCAATCGGGTCAGGGAACACACTCGCATCGCACACCCTCAAGCCCTTTACTCCATTCACCCTAAACTCATCATCTAGCACCGTCCCCAAGGCGCAGGTGCCCATGGGATGCAACACAGTTGCAGCAAAAGCCCTGATCCTCGAGTCGATATCCTCGTCGCTGCTCTGACTTGTTAATATGGGAAACTTTGGGTCTGCAGGCGGGGCTTCGCCTTCGATTTCAGAGGCAAACGGCTCGGTTTCGACTAACTTGATGTTCTCGCGCACGGCACGGCGCAGGATGTAGCGATCTGTGTGGGTGGAGAGGAAGCGCGGATTACAGATGGGGCCATCGTTGGGATCGGCGGATTTGAGGGTTATAGTTCCTCGGGAAAGCGGGAGCATATGCAGCGCTGCGAGAGCAATGTGGGTACCGGCTCCGCTGACTGTAGGGTAGAGGAGTGGGTTTGCGGCGAGGGGGTGGTAGAAAGTGAGGTTCATATAGTGGCATCTTTTATCGAGTAGCATCGAGTGCTGACCGTCTCCAGATCTAGTATCGAGGCTGTCCTGTTCGAGATGCGGCATCAGATTTGCAGCCTCGATATTTGCGATGAGAGAAAAGTCAATTGGCAGTCCTTGGCCATACTCTGGTCTCGCCGTTCCTTCAAAGGGAACAGAATACCCCTTTGACGGCTCTTTGAGCTTGTAGTACTGAAAAAGGATCGAGTGGTCGAAAAGGTTTTGGCCTACAGAGGGAGCATCAACAATGGTCGAGATATCATGTTTCGTGAGGTCGACTTTAGGGCCGATTCCAGAGAGCATAAGAATCTGAGGCGTTTTCTGTGCGCCGCAGCAAACAATTACTTCTTTGCTCGCATACAGCTTCTCGCCGGATAGTAGTTCCACGCCAGTCGCTCGCCTGGACTCGTCGAAGATTATTCGAGCCACTGGCGTATCGCAAAACACCTCGACACCGCTGAGATCGTACACCTTGGCGCTATGTTGTCGAGTCACCGTTGAGGCTGACGTCGCGCGGAAGCATTGATTAAAGTCGGCCAGTCCAATTGGGTCGCCTTTTGCAGCATCTGGATTGTATCGATGGCCCAGCTTCTCCGCACTCTTTTGCAAAATCTCCCTGAGCGGATACTTTCTTCCTCCGACCGTGTGAATCAGCCCGTCAAACCCACAGTAATCCTTGTCAGCCTCGAGATCAAAATGCGTTTCCAGCCTCTTGATATACTTTAGCATGTTGTTGAAAGTGAACCTCTGATGGCCCGCCTTCTTCGCCAACACCTCATGATCAGCAGTCGAAGCACGCATCCACATCCCTACGTTGACGCCACTTGAACCAGATAGGAGACGGCCAGCGGGGTTCATGATCTCTCGGTTATCAAGATGATCTTGTGGGGTTGTGGAATAGTCGACAACGAGGCCTTCTTGAAGGAGCTGGATGAGGGCGGTTGGATCGGATACATCGTTAACTTTCGGGTGTTCGACGGCATTTGGCCCCGCTTCCACGAGCGCGATTCTGGAATCTGGAAGGTATTTCTTAAGGCGCGAAGCAATAACAACGCCCGCCGTACCCCCGCCGACAATGATGTAATCGAAAGAAGAGTCCATAAGGGTGAGTATAGGGTTTAGTGACTAAGGATCAATCTGGGATTGATTGTGGTAGGTAAGCCTTTGATTTCGTCACCAAATGTGAGAACACCGCAGCTTTATGTGCATGGTACGTATCAGCGCTATGGTTTTCACTCTGCGCGGATGACAGAATATTGTGGATAATAGTGAGCCAGTACTGGGAGGGTAAGCTGACCTAAGCCACGACCCGTTTGGGCTCGTCGTAGTGTTCTCTAATGTTGATCAAGTAACGGCGTACTTTGATCCCTCCATATTGCAGCTTACATACTTATGGTGTTGCTGTAAGTAGCAAATGGTGTTAGCCTTCCATATGGGGTTTTAGATGAGCATACTGATGGGACATGGAAGAATCGGAAAACGAGACTGGGGACCGCAAAGCACGCATTGCGTGAGACATAATCATTTTATGAATTTCTACTTTTCTTTTTGTGGTATAGAACAAGGCAAGTGCACATAATCGCCCTAGGGTGATGGATATCCCTCGCTGTGACACTATCCGTCAACCTATTTCTTGGAAGCGGCCTGGGCAAGGTCGGCAAGCGCCTCGCGACGCTTGAACTTGGCATCCTGGATCACGCTCGCATCGGCGTCGCTGGAGAAGTTTCCTGTCCATGTGACGAACGTCTGTCCCTCGTGCTTGCCTGAAGTGACGGGGTACGCTCGGATGGTAGAGACGGCAGACGAGTACGAGAGCTCGGGCTGGGACGAGATGACGCTGTATGTGATGAAGTGGTCGATAGACTACATGCCGCGCGTTAGTCTGTCATTCTAAGAAGATGTAGAAGCAATGTAGACTCACCGAATGCTCCTCCTGCTTCACCTCAAGGACCGTCTTGTCCTTGAACGTCCACTTGACGACATCGGTCTCATCAGAGGCTCCCTTGACCCACTCGCTCTTGTCGAGCTTGGACCAGAACTTGCTGAAGTCCTGGAGTTTGATGAGATGCCAAACGGCAGAGAAGGGCGCCTCGATGACGGCCGACTCGCTGACGAAGGTCGAGGTGGGGATGCTGCTAGACATGATTTGTAGCGTGCAATTGGGTCTGTTTCTGGTAGTCTGAAGAGTGTTGTTTGGGGGGTAGCTGGGTTGAAGAGGTAGAGAGAGGTGGTGTGAAGCTGTTTGGCGGGGCAAAGTGTTTGTGCTATAGCTATGGCGTCATGGGAAGCTGTTTTTTTGAAGGAATGCAGCTGCAGAGCTTCGCATGCCCCTCCCCCGCATCGCGCTTGTCCCAAACAGGTCGCTACCAACACTTACTCCGGCCTTACGCTTCTAACATTCTCATCTATGCATGGAATTACCTTTGTATTGTATGCCTTTTCTGTATCAAGACTTGACCATAGCCCGCCCTTCTCAACTATGCCTTGACTCCTTTCAAGGCTACGCACAAGGTTCCTTTTCCCAATCTAACATCGCCCCCTGGTCAACCACACATGGCTTGCTTTGTCTTGTCGTAGTCAAGCATTGTGCTGTTCAGCGTTCTCGCTCCTTCTCCTCGATTCCAACTCGGTCACTTCAAATGTGATACGGACACTAGACAAGTCCGTGAAACCATCTGAGATGGAGTCACAGCCACGGTTGTGCTGTTGCCACCACCACATCGGAGGGTTTCATGCACCGATGGCCCCGACCGCTATACTCTTTTCGTCCTACCTGAGGACGCGCAACCACCGCCTGCCTGCTCACAATCTGGCCAGACTGGTTCTGAAGACGCGGCATAGAAGCCTATCTTTCATGACTCTTCGAGCTTATTCTGCGCGCTTCCCAGAATCCTGTGAAATGACGTGCCATTGGCCTTGCGATATCCATGGCGTATTTAGAACCTATTACACTTGCGTGGCGACAGGGCAAAGAGGGGTGCAACATACGTACGTCTGCACGTGCTGCTTGATGCCTGGAGTTGCTCTGTGTATAAGTGGTGTGAAAAGGTAGGATGTGACGGTTTCTTTCCTGCATCATCAATCCCTACTTTACCTCCGAATCTATCACAGTTACTACATCTACCACATCTACCACATCACTTGGCACATCATCACCATGCCTTCAGTCACATACATGAACCAATCCGCTCCATTCTGGGACTTCGTCGCCAGCCTGGAGCAGCAAGGCTCCCGGCATCCCTCATCTCCCCAAGGTCGCAACCATAACCATGAGCACGAGCACGAGTACGAAGAGGAACATCACGGCCCTCCACCATCCTTCGGTCCCTGGGGATGGGGACAGTTCTTCGGCGGCGGGAGGGGAATGCCTCATCGTGGCCCCCCGCCGTATGGCCCTCCTCCACATCATCATGACGAAGAAACCGGCGAGAGCAACGAGACGTCTGGCGAGAAAGACCCAGAGAAGGATGAGAACAACGACAACGGCGAAGGACCCTCGGCCAACTCAGGCTCTGACAACGAAGGTCGTCCCCATGGCCGAGGCCATCACGGACGCTGCGGCGGTCGACGAGGCCGATGCGGTCCTGGTGGGCCTGGCGGACGGGGTGGCTTCGGTGGACCTGGCGGACGAGGAGGTTGTGGACCACGTCATGGACATCATCACGGCGGTCCCGGTGGCCACGGAGGTCGCGGAGGTCATGGACGCTGGGGACCTTGGGGTCGTGGCGGGCCATTTGGTTTCGGCGGAAACTCGTTCGATCCCTCCACCCTCGCCGCCCATTTCTGGGACCAGTTTACTGAGAACCGCGGTAGCAACAAGAAAGAGAACAGCGACAACGAGGACTACACACCCGACGCCGACATCTTTGACACTGAAAATGCCTTTGTAGTTCACGTCTCGCTTCCCGGAGCGAAGAAGGAAGACGTGGGCGTGAACTGGGACGCCGAGAAGAGCGAGTTGGCTATTGCTGGAGTCATCTACCGCCCTGGTGACGAGGAGTTTCTGAAGACGTTGGCAATGAACGAGAGGAAGGTCGGAGCCTTTGAGAGGAAGATTCGACTTGGCACGCGCGCTACCCCAGCGCACATCGATGCTGAGGCCATAACGGCGAAGTTGGAGGATGGCGTGCTGAGGGTCGAGGTGCCCAAGTTGGACACCGGATACGTCGAGGTCCGCAAGGTGGATATTGAGTAGGAGCGGATGGGCGTGAGGGGAGAGGGTATCTTGCTGTACACATAGTTTGACGATGGAATGATGATTTTGTTCTTTTGCGCATTTTCTTCTTTGACTGGTGCATATGTGTCTTTTATCGATGGACTTGTTGTTATTGTTGTTGTTGTTATGTTCATTTACTCTTTGATTGGTGTATCGTGTATGAATTCTCGTCGGGAGCGCTTTGGGCAGCATGTCATTGGTGAAAAGCATGGCACGTGACGCATGATGAAACTCAGGGTCCAAGCCTCAACCGCCAAGGCGTCGCAAGGCAGATGGTAGATCAGCCCCGAATCATCACCAAACATCACATCACGTCCCCCCCATTCTTCACGCGTCTGCAACATCTCCAACCACACACCAGCCCTATCTCGAGTCGCGAGTACCTTTTGCGCAGTTGCAGATCACAACGGGCGTCGTGCGCATTAGTGCGCCGGCCCTCTGACGTCCTCACCGCCGCCGGCTCTGCTTCTGGTTCCCCAGGCGCGGAGCAGCCGTCCCACCGCCGCCCCACCAAAGACTTCACAAGCTCCAACAGCAATAAACCATGTCGGGCCCAGTCGCGACCGCTCGCCCTCCGCAGGCTCTCCGCTTGCGCCGTGAGTCCCAACGGCCTGGCGTCGCCCGCACCATGACGAGACTACCCAACACAGAAGATGAGAGCGCGAAGCAGGACACCAGGCGCTATGGTATGCCGCCGCCAGCTGTGGCACCCTTGACTACAACGCAACGGCTAATGTTTGGTACAGTCTACACGCAGCAGGACATTCTGGCTAGGCACAAGGGCAAGCCGCCGTCTCTCCGCGTCTACCTGCATCCAAAGCACTTTCGCATAAACGACTCGCAGGAGACGCTGTCGTATGCCTCGCCTATGCGCGAGCTTCTCCAGGCTATCCGCGACAAGGTTGTCCCCCACAACATGTCCGAGGACCTTTACGCCGTCGACACGCCCTGGTACGACAACTGCCTCATTGTTGAGGTGCATGACTATCGCTCGAGCGGTGTAAAGCCAAAGGACGATACCAACAGCACCGGCGAGGGTGGCACCAGTGCTTTCTCTATCCACAATTACAACAACTTCATCACGCCCTCCCCATTTGCCCCCTTTCCCTCCAGCAAGCCCGCCTCGAAGCCCGCCCCGGCCGACGCACTGAGCAAGGAAGGGAGCACCAAGGAGGACAAGGAGAATATGCCAGCCCCGGGACAGAATGGTGCCTCGCAGAAGCAGCCGCCGAGGGCCAAGGTCACCACCGTGGTTCTCTTCCCAACCCCGCAGTCCCACTTGACCGACATACAACTGCTGGCCACTACACCTATGCCTGACATGGCAACACTCAAGAGGATGCAGGCTGCTGGAAGAGCCGCAGGCATGCCGCCAACTCCACTCACTGCGGTGCCTCCCACGCCAACTTTCCCCGCAGGACCCAGCCCGAAGCGTCAAAAGATGGTTCTAGACGACAGCAACGTGCACGAGTTCGAGGCCGAACTTTACAACGCTACCTGCCCGAAGCTGTATCTGGAGCCCACGAAGAGTCTTGGGGAATCCCTTGCGCTGATGGAGGCCATCACACATCCCAACAACCAGAATCCTGCACCCGTCCGAAAGGCGCGGAAGAGGACTACGGCCGAACTGGCTGCCGACGAAGCTGATGCTGCCACTTTGCAACGCTTCATGTTGGCGGGCGATGAACAACAGGCGACTATGGCTGCCATGGCTTCTGGAAATGACGAAGGCACAGGGCGCGTGGCCCACAACTCGCAGACCTTCTCCCGCTTCAAGACCCTCGCCAGCATCAAGTCCAATCACGAGGAAGCAGATCGACGTAAAAAGGAGGAAGATGCCCGAATCGCCCAAGCCAAGAGACAGGCGGCCGAGGTCGAGACTCAGAAGAGGCGAGACATGGAATCGAACAGGCAGCAAGCCGAGTTGGTGGAGAGACAACTGCTTCTTCGCCAGCAAGCCCAACAGCAGGCACAATTACAGCAAAATCAGACCCAGCAGAACGAAGCTCTGCGAGCCGCTACCCATGCGCAGCAAATGTCAAATGCCGCCGCGGCACAGATTGCACAGACACCCCAATCGGCAACCCAGCCTCAATTCTCCCCTGTGGTACGGCAGCACACTCCTTTGACCGCCGCCACAGCTTCTCCGCATGTCAATGGCCAAGCCTCTCATCCTAGGGGAGGTACACCGATGGTCGCAACAGCTTCGAACCACGCAATCGCCAGCCCTGCTCGACCCCCGTCCGCTGTTTCTCATCATCCAATGGGACGTACTATAAGCCAACAGCAAAGTGCTAGTAGAACAGGTACACCGCAGATGGTTCAGGGCACACCTGTCATGAATCCATCTATGCCAAATCGCAACATGACGCCTACTCCAAGCCGCATGAGCCAAAGCAGCCCGTCTATGGCAATGCAAGGACAAACGCCAATGATGATTCATACCCCTCAGCCTGGTCAGAACATGACCCCTGAAGCGATGCAACAGTTGCAAAACCAGCAGCGAATGAATCAAATTCGGATGCAGCAAATGCAACAGGGCATGTCTCCAGGTAACCAGCAGCTGCAACAAGTTGCGATACAGAAAGCCAGTATGCACATTCAACAACAAGGACTTCCTCCGGGCCAGAATTTGCAAGCCTATCGTCAACAACTCGCGCAGCAATTCTACCGCCAGCTGACACAGCAGCCTGTTCAGCAGCAGCAGCAGCAGCAACAACAACAGCAGCAGCAGCAGCAAGCCATGCAAAACATGTCCCCTCAGGGTGTACCGCAAGCCGGTATGCCCCAACAAGGCATGAACATGACTAATATGAGCATCCAGCAGATGCGCCAGAATTATAACTCGCGCAAAGCCAACCTCCTGCAAACGTACGGCACCCAAAATGTCCCGGCCCAATATATCCAGCAAATGCAGCAACTCGAGATGGCCATCAAGACTCGAGAGCAACAGGCACAACAACAACAGCAGCAGCAACAGCAACAGCAACAGATGCAACAGATGAATCCCGCTTTGCAGGGTCAGATGCAAGGCCAGATGAACGCACAAAACGTACAGAATCCGATGCAAATGCAACAATACCAGCAAATGCTCCAACAACAACGCGCCAATCAAGCCCGCCAGCAGCAGATCATGGCGATGCGACAGCAGCAAGCTTTGCAGCAAGGTGGCCAGATCCCGCAGGGCATGATGAACAACATGCAGGGTATGAACATGGCGAACATGAATGGTGTCAATATGGGGAACATGGGCAATATGCAGGGTATGAATATGACCCAGATGCAGGGCATGCAAGGCATGGGCGGCGTTCAAGGTGCTCAGGGCATGCAGGGAATGAATATGGGGCAGATGAATCAGCAGCAGCAGATGCAGCAACAGATGATGATGATGCGACAGGCGCAGCAGCAAGCGCAGAGGATGGGCCAGCAGGGCCAGCAGGGTGGTGGTGGTGGAGACATGGGATGGAGCGGCGTGTAGTTCTAGTCGTGCTCGAAGTGTCTTTGTTCTTGGATGTTCTTATTATGAGTACTTTAGCTTTCTTTCGTCTTTGGGTGCATTTGGCATGGAGCAAAGGCTAAAAGGAAAAGTCGAGATACCCCTACGGAGTGGGACAGGAATCATGTTGGCATTTTAAGCGTTCAATAGGGGCGCATCGATGATACTACACTTATCTATGGTAGTTGACGAAAGCCTTTTTGGCATATACTTGCAGTATTGATGGTATGGAAATGGGCATTTATGAACATGGTACTTTAATGCCTCGTCTTCTTCTTCGAGCTTCTCATCTCTCTCTTGTAGCCTCGTCTACATCTTCTCTTTCAGTCCCGCCACTTGACAAGACTCTGTACGACGATCTCCCATCTACTGTATCCCAATCATTCTCATCTTGCCTGTGGCACCATGCAAACTGTTCATGGTGAGTCCGGCTAGACTATGCCAACTGTGCTCAAGAAACGCTTCCTGGTCTTGCTAATTTCATGACTTGATCACGGTGGAATCTGATGACTTGATGACAGTGCGATTTGATGACAGTATAGTTCGATGACAGTATAGTTCGATGACAGTATCGTTCGATGACAGTATAGTTCGATGACAGTATCGTTCGATGACAGTACAGTTCGATGACAGTGTAGTTCGATGACTGTGAAGTCTAATGTGTAAATGACTCTCTTCTACAGACCATGCAGCTTATAACAAAGTCCTGCTCCTTCCATCGTCAAACACATCTTCAGCACAACACAATTCAGAAGTCGAATGCGTCCGAACAGTTTCATCTAAAGTAGTAACCCCATAAATCTATCTCGCTCCTACACCTGCTAGATGCTAACTACTGCAAGCCCTTATATATCCGGAACCCCCAGATATACTCGAATACGTACATAACCATGGGGTGGTACTGCTGCATCTGCGGCACGTTAAATCGCGGCGACGGCGCTGATAAGAAGGATCACACGAAGACGCTACCTTGCAAGAAGTGTAATCGAAAGTGTTGTTGGAATTGCGGCCATGGCCCGGAACCAGAGCAACAGCAGCCAAAGCTACCGAACCCAAGACTTCAGAAGGTACATCCACGCCCGGCGAAAAGAGGGCCACCGGTGAGGCCCCAGAGGTGGGAGAAGACAAGTGGTTGCTGTGTTATTATGTGAAGACTTGGATAGTACGGGTAGGGATAGAGAGCGGCAAAAAGGGCATGAGGTTTCTGATAGAAGAGAAGCTGTAAGACTTGATTGAGTTGTGAGGTCGGGTTTAAGTATTGTGTATGTGATGTTTGGACCATCATTGATATACAAATGTGACATAATTGCCCGTTCAAGTGCTCACGGCGATGAGTAATAATATCAAGTACGATGACAACTTCTGACCATGAAAGATGAGTGTTCACCTTTGTCCACGTGAATCTCCAATCGTGAATAGGTGTCATAAGCCAGTCAAAGGGTATGTATAAACCCTCCGTCGAGATCCTGCTTCTACTATCCTCAGACCCAGAATAGCAGCCAACACACTCGCGCAACGACTTAACTACCCAAAATAACACGTATGAATAAATCGCCAACGTAAAAGTGCTGATACTGACTGCTCAAAGCAGGGCCTGTCATTACCACCAAGTTTTACGAAATCACCTTGCCAACGAGCTCGATATCACGAACCCCCGTCCTTTCACAACCATGAGCTGGACGTGCTGTCGCTGTAAAAATGTCAACTACGGTTATTCCGCCTATGTGAATCAGCTGTTGTGTAAGAAGTGTCGCGAACATCAGTGTTGCCATAAATGCACTCAGGGTCCTATGAAACTTCAATCTGTGGGTAACAAACCACAACCGAAGAAAAAGAAGAGCGATGCAAGTTGTGTCATCTTATAGATACATGGAGTTCAGTGTTAGAGATGCAGGATAAAGGTGCATTGTTAAATTTGATGTGATCAGGGAAGATGGCATAAATAGGGTTTTTTCTTCTTGAGGCTTGACGACAGTAGGTCTGAGGTTATTTCTGGAGCATGTATTATATCGATATGATAGAAGAGTAATAGAGATAAAGGAGTTTGCTCAAGATGATTAGAGTTTTAAGAGGTACATGCCGCAGCCTGAAGCCGCTCTACATACTGTGCTCGTCAGTACTGTTAGTGTATCCCGAGCCGAACTGGAAAAAACATGGAGTACGCAACGTCGTCAAAACTAAACATGTACCACCGATTGATCAAGTTCGTTCCTTTGTATGCAACTGCCGACATGTGTTTCAAAGAGTGCCATGCGAGGCAAAACTGTCAAATAACGTCATGCGCAAAAGCTTATACCCGCATTTCACCTGTGTGCCAACTGCTCTAGGTTGCCGTATTTGTCTGTCTCCGTGTGTTACGAGGCTGGTGACACTTAACTTGGAAGCCTGTCTGACAGCAGCATGCCTTAGCTGGTACAGTCTTGAAAGAGATTGGCTCATCGTCCTAGCCCCTACTGGCGGCCCACATCTATGATCTCTTCGGACCCTGTTATTCGACATTATTAGGTAAATCCAACCCTGAAGCGCACGGTACCCGGAAAGAGAAAGCACAACCGACGTTCAATATATCGACATGCCTTGAGTGTTCTCCATTCGAGTAGTAGTGTTGCGCGTTGCCTGTCACTGGATATAACCTCAGTTTGTAGTAGTACGTTCACAGGCCATGTAGTAAGGTCGTCCTCGGAGTGGCGTAACCGTAATATGCCCGTGGAGTCAGTCACACATCAACGGTTGAAAACCCAGGATAGCGGGTACTTACAGGTAGAGCAGGGAATTTAATTCCCAACAATATCGCTGGTGGTGTGAGTGGAGTACTCATTGGACCACTGTGTTACACGGCTCACAAGCCCTCGACGATCTTCTTTGTCCTAAGCTCCGAGAAATTTTTCGACGCCAAAGCGATTGATCTTTTGAAGTCTGGGACAAAAACTATTTAGGTGTACTTGTGATCGGTATGCACTTGCCTGACCGAGGAGACGAGGCAGGTTTTCAGACGTCGCCCGGAAGAGACCCACAGATATCTGTGATTCCGTGCACAGCATGCTGGGGAAGCATGCAGCCTTCATCGCAAGGACACAGCTCTTTCAAAGTAACGCGACATGACACGATGGGAAGGCGTCGAACACCCTGCCGGCATGATACAGCCACATTGAGCAGGGTGTCTCACAGCATCGCTACCCCACATCAGCTGCCCCCATTCGATCAGGTTTCCCGGACTCACAGGGCCGAGAGGCTTTGAGCGATCTTGTCCAATGTCTAGGACATGCGTAAGGAACCCAATGGGGGCACAATGAGGGTATCGTGTCCGATGCACAAGGTTTGACATACACGTTGACGTATCGACCGCAGGAGCGAGGGCATGCCGCAGAACTTCTAGAAGACATGGTATGAAACCTGTTGAAGAGTGACAGGTGCACTCGTTGAGCAAGGCTGGACATGAGGCGACGTTCCTCGACAGCTGTGATTGCGAGGGGTGAACGAGCTGCATGAATGCGAGATTGCTCCAGGCAACGGAAAGCGGTGGTGCTCGAAACTGAAACGAGAGGACTCCAGGGATCTTCCAGTATACGCTGAACCACGCCGCCGCATCAATATATGCCAGCCACCTAGTTGCAGGAGCTGAAGGCACTCGGATGCGCAATGCAGACTGGAAGAGCTCCTCGGTACCTGCATGTATTGGCCGCTAAAGCGACGCCTCTCGGGCAGCAGCTACAGAGCGAAAGAGACGACTCTGACGCTTTCGAAGCATGTGTAGCGCCCGCCATGCATCCGAGCGCGCGGTCATCCGGGCGTGTCGTGGTGGTAGTAGTCGTAGTAGTAGTCGTTCTTGGCTGCCGAAACCTCCGAAACTCGATCCGTCTGAACTCGGAAGCGACGATGCGGCGGCACGAGCCACACATCGCACACGCCTCATCTTCTTCGATCTTCACAAGCATCCCCCCCAACATCCTTTTCGGACGCTCACAAGTCGACTGGCCGCACATTGGCCCGCGAGTTTCGAGGCGACCACCATGCATGACCCCTCTCTGCTGCAGCATAACCGTGCGCCTCTGCAGTATGGCAAGGTAGCAGCCTGTGTTCCCGTGGCGGTCATTACTGTGACACCATGGCGCTCAACTCACGCGTCTCTCCCTGGACAAGCTGCCCTCCCTTCCCGTTACACCAGGAACACACTGCGGCGTTGGCTCGGCAGCATCCGACCGTCTGCTATATACCCCTCCCTTGCCGTTCAGGGCCCCTGAGATGCTGCTAAACTTGTTCCAACTTCTCATCTGCTTCCGTTATACCTGAGCCCCAGCCCATGTGCAAGGCAAGTTTACAACTTCCTTGGCCAACCTCTTACATTGCTCCCTAGCAGTCGTGCGCCGCTACTTTCGCTTATGTGACCTTTACATGTCCTGTCCCACACTCTCGGTACTTCCTGCCTTCCATTCCTTCCGCCACACGTCCCCACACATTCGTTCTATTAAGCAAGAGAAGGAGCCTGACAGGTATACCTCATCTCTCTCTCCGCCTGTCAGTCAAGTTGGTCAAACCGATTGAATACCCACACATTATGGTCAGAATGGCGCCCATTTTGAATCCACGGAAGCTCGATGGCACAAAGCCCAACACCGATGCGCTTGGAATCATCTATGTTATCCTCGCCATCGTCTACACACTCATCTTAGCTGGCGAACTCTATCTTCTGTATAAACGCCGTTCAGCTTTTTGCGTACAAATAAGGAACATCAAAGTTGTCTTTGCAGCAGTGTCAATGCTCCATGTCTATCTTGTCCTTGTATTGTTGGTCTATCCTTGGAACGGCCTCTTCCCATGCTCAGCAGAATTCTGGATCATGTCCGTATTCCTTCCTTCTGGCATGGCCTTCTTCCAGGGTAGGTTGTCTCGCAACTAGCTTCATACGCCTGCTAATATGCCATAGCTTGCAACGCGAAAGTGTTGACAGCCTACCAGACACAGCGTAGGCTAACACGCAACTTCCTTGAAGGCGCCCGTAAGAAGCGCATCTCATACACACCCAAAGGTCTCCTTGAAGCCTGGAAAGATCTTGATGCAGCGAGACAGGTCTACATTGGTACTCTTATCGGTTGGGTAGTATCAGTACGTAGCGAGTTGCAATGCATCTTCGGATTTGCCTTGCTAATAGCCGCAGTTCATCCCCGCCATCATACTATTTTTTGGCTCTCGCCGCTTCCATGCGTCTTACGGCTTCTTCGAAGTACCATCTGACTATTTCTCGTGCCGTACAGGGTTCGAGTGGTATGTAACACCAACTGTGTAATCTGGTTCCCGCTAATAAGCACGCAGGATCCCCTCTATCTTGATACAGCTATTCTGGACGGTAATCGTTGGCCCTTGGATACTATGGAAGATTCGACACATCAAAGACGTCCACTCTTGGGCCTGGCAAACTAGGCTGGCCATCATTGCAGGGTATGATTGCTTGCAAACCGGGTTCCTGCGTATGCTTATTCAAACTTTAGTTTACCCGGTACACCACTTTGGATAGCGTTCACCTATTCGCAACTACCCGCAATTACGCGCATAAACTATTACTTTGCTCCTGCTGGCTGGTAAGTGTTCAGCTTTTTTGCAGCGGAGTTTTGGCACCCTGAAATCGAGGGATACCACAGTCACCCACCCATTCATACTTTAGCGGCGATACAGCTTAGCTCAGTATCTTTCGAATAGGCTGCGAGCAAACGGTAACATACGCTAATCCGTGTGATGCAGGTTCATTCCGTCCCTAGTCGTCTGCCAGCAAGTGCTCATCCTCATTCCTCTCCGCGATGCCCTCAAATCACAACCTCGGCAACGACCCATGTTAACGTCGGAAACCGAATCTCTTACATCCACTCAATCCTCCGTATCATCGAAGTCGTCCGCCGTGGTCTTCAACAAGGAGCTGAAGTCAAAAGCGTCGATGCAAGCTCTTGAGTTTAGTATCGAGCACAGCATTGAACCCTTGATCGCATGGGCAGCCTCACGAGAATTCACGGCCGAGAACACCATATTCCTGCGCGAAGTGCGAAATTTCAAGAAAAAGTGGTCGGTTCTAAAGGTCGTGAGCACTGCTCAACGACGCCAGATGTTCAACGAAGCATCACTTATTTACTTTACGCTCGTCAATCCTTTCACCGCCGAAACGCCTATCAACATTGAATACAAGATCTTCAAGACCCTCCAATGCACATTCTCGGGCGTCGAGTTTGATCCATACATGCCTCGCAGTCAGACACCGGACGACATCAAATCGCCCGTTGCGAGAGAGAATGTTGTATGTCCATGGGAAGATACGCTTAGTCGGTCAGCAAGTATCGCCTCGAACCAGACCGCATCTTCAGCATCGAGTACGAGAAGTATCGTACCAAGCGAGTTCACGGAAGACGTGTTCGACGCGGCATTTGAGAGTATCAAGTACCTAGTCTTCACCAATACGTGGCCGCGCTACGTCGACGCTGAGCTAGGTGGAAAGGCAGCATCACCATGAATGCCAGAGTGGCGCTCCAAATATTTTCAGCAAGTTGAGGATCGATCTACATCACCACTTTCACGATAAAACGCCTTAAGAGTTGTCTCGTGCTCTCACCAACCCCCACTTTCACCAAGTCCAGCCTCATGGTCGGCTGGCCTAGGCCATCGGCTTGTCTTGTGCATACACTCCTTAGACGTATTGAATTAAGTCTAGTCTCCAACATGGCTCGTTGAGACCGGTATGGGTGGTAATTCTGGATTTTTTGCATTCTTGCATGTCTTTCGTTCAGCAAGCGTTTGTTTTCAATCCGTAGTGTTCATATGGCATGGTAGTGGAAAGGAATACCCTGAATGATAATGACCTGTTTCTTCGCCATTTTTCGGTCCTCGGTTCTCTTCTAGTCAAGATCCTCCTCCATGCGCTCGCTTCTACGATTTTCCGCAGTTTCACCAGTCAACTTCCTTTAATCACTTCTAGGCCACGACTCATGACATACAACGCTAGAACAACATGAACACCGGTCCTTGCCTCGGTTTCTTACGTTTGGTATCTACCGGCATGCCGGGGTAGGGGTGGATCTGACGCATTTGATGTCGCGGCCTATGGCTTAAACCTGACGTTGGGTTTGATAAGGCTGCTATATAACTACCCGTGCTAACAACACCTATCTTTCTGACTTTATCCGCGATACCCAACGACCTAATAATCCCGCAAATCCTGTAGGAATGGTTTGCGACCGCATTTTCGTTAATGCATTCATGCATAAAGTCGTATACCTGTATCCATAAGATGTCGAGGTCGAGCTCGCCTCTTGCCGCAGTCCACGTCGCAGATCCATCTGACTCAGTGTCAGCTTCCATAAACCAGGATACTGGTCGGCATTGAGAAGGTCCACCGAAACGTCATAGAACTGGTGCAACTGTAGAACAACGGGAATGAGTCAGTTAGCTGGGCTGTATAATGATAATCATGGAATGCTTGGTCATGGTTCTGAGTATGCTGAGGCTAAGAGCGTTACGTTGTCAAACGCAGCTAGTCTATGATGCTTTCAAGCGCAACTTCAAAGTCAATGTTCTTCACCTTCATTTCTTTTCGCTTAAATTTGTATACACATGTTGTCTCTATCCGGAAAGTTGAGCTGAGCTGTTGATAGCTGATGGACTTTTCCGTTTTAGGTGAGAGTCGAAGCGTCTTGCAGTGCCGCAGCCCCTGGTTGGAATACCATAGATGATTAGGCCAAACAGACTCTAGTTAACCATAGCGGGGTGAGGCGATCACCAAAGTCGGAACGAAAGGAATACGTTTAATTGCAAATGAAGCCCTTTGTTCCCTTTTGATGTGGTGATGGACGTCGTATAGGAGCTCCAAGTCCCCATAATAATAGTACCAACTGCGTAGATCGCCATCTGGGGTAGTGTGCGCGCCCGACCAGCAACTGTCGATGCTTAGTAATGCCACGATTCGTCACTATCACCGCGTATCGGCTAATTGCCCTTTCAAGGTTTCCGGCCGACAACTAACTAGATGACATCAAGCGTCGATCACTGCCCAAATCAGTAGAAAGATCATTCGTAGCGGGACTAGCTTCCCTACCTACACGCGTGAAAGTTGCTGATTACGAAAGTTTCCATTTGTAAGCGATCAAAGACGAGGTGGTGCAACCCCAAAAGCGATATATAAAATAACCTATAGAACAGCTAAACATCTGAAGTTGGGTCTAGATAACCTAGTTCTCTGCTTTTCCCCACTCAGCAGCATCCACCATGTCATTCAATAGCGTGCCAGCAGGCGCACAGCAGCAACCAACGCCATTTGAATTACATATCGACGAGAAGAAATTGCAGGATTTCAAGACTTTGTTAAAGTTAAGTCCGGTCGCCAAAGAGACGTATGAGAACTTGCAGGATGATGGGAGCCATGGAAGATTTGGAGTGAGCAGGAAGTGGATAGTGGATACGAAGAAGTACTGGGAGCAGAAGTACGACTGGTAAGTTACTCCAAGCATTGACTGAGATATCTGAGATTAGGAACTCATGTTTTTCCAGGCGCAAAGAAGAAACGCATATCAATTCATTTCCAAACTTCAAGACTAACATCACCGATGATGACGGTGGTGTATTCGACGTCCACTTCGCCGCGCTATTCTCCTCTAATCCATCTGCGATTCCCATCGCTTTCTTCCATGGATGGCCTGGCTCTTTCCTGGAGTTCTTGCCACTTCTTGACATTCTTCGGAAAAAGTACACGCCCGAGACTTTGCCATACCATATCATCGTACCCTCTCTTCCCGGCTTCACGCTCTCCTCGGATCCTCCACTAACCCGGGATTGGAAAGTTGCAGACACATCACGTATCATGCATAAGCTTCTCCTCTCGCTTGGGTTTGGGCCAACAGGATACCTTGTTCAAGGCGGTGATATTGGCAGCCTAGTGTCCCGGGTTATCGCAGCGACGTACGATGAATGCAAAGGCATGCATCTCAATTTCATGCTGATTAAAGACATCGAGACCAAATCCAGTCCCGACGACGTGATCTCCGAAGCAGAAAAGAAAGGACAAGAGCGTCTGAAGCAATTCATGACCGTCGGCCGCGCCTACGCTGACGAGCACGGTACGAAACCATCGACTATCGGTCTCGTTCTATCCAGCTCGCCGGTCGCGCAACTCGCATGGATTGGAGAGAAGTTTTTGGCCTGGTCTGACCCCTCAACCACGCCTTCGCTCGACACCATCCTCGCTGACATCACGCTCTACTGGCTTACCGAGTGTTTCCCAACGTCAATTTATACGTATCGCGAGGCAAAGAAACTCCTGTATGTGGATAAGCCGATTGGGTATTCATACTTCCCATACGAGCTTGCACCTGTTCCGAAGGCATGGGCCGAAAAGACCGGAAAGATGGTATTCTTCAAGGCCCATGAGAAAGGCGGGCATTTTGCAGCGCTAGAGAGACCAGAGGAGCTATTTGCAGATGTTGAGGCATTTGTGAAGGTGGCTTGGAAGTAACGGGCTTGTACTGTTGTAATCATGCATGTTGGTACTGAAGCCGTCGGACAGACATATGCGAAGAATGTCGATTTTAGCCCAGATCGCGTATGAGATAGATCTAAGTTTATGATCTCTGCGAGATACTGATCGCTCTTCCTCAGAGTGTGAGTTCGGGGCTCGTCTCCTTTTTGTGTCAGGCGCAAGGACTCATACACTATTATTCATGGCTTCATCCTCTCCTTCCTATTGAATAACTATGTAGAAAGATTACCTCTCAAGAAACTCTACCTTCCGTGATTCAAGAAAAGCGTGGTGGCGTCGAATTTCTGCAGAATTGATCCTCCCAACAGACTTCGGCAGAAGATTGTACGCCAATGCCTAACAAGAAACTGCCAATGAAATGCTAAAATGTGTCTTTAACAGCGGCATCTCCCATTTCTCTTGTTCTTATGACTGCGGTTGCAACTCGTTACGAGGCTTGTATAAAAACGAGCTAGAAGTGGTTAGTAACGTGGCTGAGCCAAGTGGATGACGCGGGTCTGCCTCACCAACACGCACGTCTGTATATAGCTCGTATGGTGAAACGACCAGTTACGCGGGTCCTGGAAAACAGCGAAAGGCCTCACCTGACAGCATTTTGTCACCGATTCCCCTTTTCCTTCTTCCCGTCACTCGTTTCGTGCAGTCCAGGACGTGCCGATTGGTCATAATGGGACGCAATGAGTATGGAGCCCTCGGTGGTATCTGCGGTTATGCCAGAGTAAAGTATGAAGAGAGAATCGAAGTGAAAAGACGCAAAAGGGCGTCCAGCGAGCCAGCCGCTAGGAATCAACTTTACGGCAAGCTACACAAACCGCCGACAGTCCAGAGCTTACATGAACGCCCTCGTAACCGACTCCAGAAGCGCAGTTTGACACGTTCAGAACTTCAAGCGTCCGCTCTCTTGTATATCCTGGAGTATGAGCCGTACCCCTACAACACCCGGCCAAGCGAGTTTATAGGCGTCTATTCAACAATTGATTCCGTCACATTAGGAGCGTTCAAACACGGCGCATATACATTCTCAAGAGAAGGATTGTTGGATGGAAGCGAGTATCTCAGTTCTACGGGTCGGATCAAAATTCTCTCTCAAGCTGTAGAGAATCACGGTGTCAAAGCACTCGTCCCTGATCGAAGCCGAAGCCTGGATGACGAGCATGTACGACTAGATATACCGCATCCCACCAACCAAGAAGAAGTTAACACAAAGGAAGCTGCCCGAGAGACGGTGTTCCTAGCTATCCACCAAAGCCCTTATGTCGCTTGTTGTATCGGGCTTTTCACAGAGAAAAGTCTGGCGTGGGGGGCATGTCTCAAGGACAAGGCCTCGTATGCTGTGTCGGGCACCTTACTCGAGGAAGAGCGATCCATCGGCGCGAAAAACATGCCACAGATAACAGCTAGGCTTGTCGGTAGTGGTCGTCATTCGTGGTTTGTTCAACCGCATGAAATCGATGGTCCGGGTCGATGAGACAAGCAATGCCGCTTCATGCTGAAGCAAAACTCTTCGAAACCCAACAGTGCACCCTGTACGCAGATGTGAAATGGCAAGAGGAGTAAGCATATTAGAAGTAAATGACTAGAGAGGAGCGTGGGAAGAGGCGGAAGATGAGGAGTGAAATGTAATAATAGGTGCGGACACACGCTGAAGAGGATAGACAAGAAGCCACTGAGCAGAGAGAGGAAACAAAAACAAGCTTTGATAATCGTACATCGTCGCCTGAATCGCCAACCTGCTTACAAGAACTACAACGCCGAAACAAAGCCGTAGAAGCGCAAAAGACAAACGCATTTCAAGTTGCATTACCAGTTGGACAAAAAACAAAAAAAAGGCCGAAGCCCGAGATAAGCCACCAACGCCTGCGTCTATTCAAGGAGAGGGAAGAGCCCCCCCTTCGCTACAACAAAGTAGAAACTCAACTCAACTCAACTCAGAACCAATAGCTCTCCCCACTCCGACTGACTTCAAACACACACCCCAGCCCGCGCCCCTGCTTCTTAAGCTCCTCCTCCCCTTCCTGCAGTTCCCTTAGGATCTGGTCGCCCATGAGCAGCCCATCGGCAAAAGAGTCTTTGACATGGATCACGACGACCTTGACGCCCTTGAGCGGCGAGTCAAAAGCAGCCGCTAGTAACGCGCGACTGTGCTCGGTGGACACGGAGGACAGATTGAGCGCTGCGGGGGCAGAGGGGTGGGATACGCGCAGGGTGTGTGGGTTAGGCGTGTGGGTACCGGTTGCGTCGCGCGAGGGGGCATAGTCTGTCATTTGCTCGTCGTCGGTGTGTGGATTTGTGCCCATGAGGGGGCTGTCGATGGTCCTGCCTACGCCGAGGTGAAGAGGTTTGGCTTTCCGATGATCTGCGGATGTGGGCCCGTCGAGAAGGAGGGTGTTACTTGCACGCTTTCGTTTCCTGCCTTTTCGCACTTCTTCTTTTTCTCGTTCGTGCTCGCGTTTGGATTCTTTGACCATTTCGGCGAGGTTCTTTAGTTCGGTGAGGAGATGTCGCGGTGCGAGGTGGCCGAATAGGACTGCGTCGGCTTGGGCATTGGTGTAGCTGACTTCGATGAAGATACCTCTTAGAATGCCGGCGGCGATCTTGGGTGCTGCTTCGGCCCAGATGAGTGCTGTGCGGGGTGAAAGGGATAAAGAGTCTGGTTCGACGTCACCGAATATGAGGACTTCTCTTTTTGGCGTGGTGGATGTAGAGTCGGCGCGAATGAAGTATGCCGTAGAGTCAATCACACAATGATCGTTTGACAATCCCGCAACTCCACTGGCTCTTCGTCCTTGCTCTGGCGCGCTGAAGCCCGGAGTACCAGGTGCGCTCTGTGTAGGAAGAGAAAAGCTCAACGAGCGGCCTTCGCGCCCATCTGGTAGGTGTTGAGCCGGAGCCGTATGTTGTATGCCCGGTGTTTCTGGTAGATTTGCGTTCGATCCACGATGTACATGGCCCGGTCCTCGCATGCAGTGCCCATGACTGACCTTGAACCCTTTCACGCCAAGGCCGTCGCAGACCTCAATGAAACCTCTACCACTTCCTTCGCCTAGAGCAATGTTACCGCCCTCGGCAAGTCGCTGGAATGTCACCAGACCTACACCTCCGTCCTCGTCTGTTAGGTTCGGCCAAATGACATTGTTGAAGATATGGGTCTTGATCGCGTTGACTGTGAACGGCAGCGCTGCCAGCCGCTTCGGCCGTGATGTATTATGGAACGCTGCTGTGTTGATAACGAAGCCCGATACGTGATCTAGATGCGGGTGCGTGATTAGATACGTCGAGATATGCTCCCTTACTACGTGCAACGCGTTTGCTCTTGCACTCGCATGGGGAAATGGCAATCCGGCAAAAGCTCCCCTCTGCAATGTCGTCAAAGTGACGGGCACCTCCCGTTCCGAAATTGGTGTCTCGGCGCCAGACTCATCGTCGGAGAGTGGGGCGGTGCCTGGCGATGGAGCGTCGGTTTCCTTACTATCGCCACTACCGCTGCCGTTCCGTGGAGTCGGGACCGGTGGATCTGGATTGGAGACGAGCGGAAAGTCCTGTGCCAATATGCGGGTGATTGCTGCGAGATGGGAGCCTGCATCTACGGCGATAACGGAGTTCTTAGACCACTTTGTAGCCGTAGAGCGCACAAGAAATCCAGTAACATTATCTTCGCTTGGTCCGCCCCCAGAGCCCTATTACTGTTAGTAGGGTTGTCTATGAAAGCAATGCTCAACGGCTCTATGCTACTTTGCGCAAATGCAAAAGAACGGTAACAGCCACCACTTACCAAACATATCACCTGTATAGCAGGCTCATTCGAGTGTCCGGATGACCTCCGAACTTCTCGTCCATCACCCTCTTTCATCCCCGCAGCGTCTTGGGCTCTCCCTCGACGCTTATTCTTCTGCTTGCTTTTCTGGCTCTGTCTCAGCCTCTTGTCTATCTCTTTGTACACTTTTGATTTCTCCCAGTGATGAGGTACTAGGTCTCAGCCACGTTCCCTGGTCCCACTCTTGAAGGCAATGTCTGTTGCCAAACGGCACAGCGACACAAAAACGTGGCGATGACGCGAGAAATCTTCTTTATCTTCAAAGCAAAGCAGTGTTGAATGCAGCGGGTTTCGAGTCCTGATAGGAAGGGAGCCGTTTGGATTCCAAGAAGCAATCGACCGTCTCCCCCCGCATCTAGCAATCGCAAACGGGTACGAGTAACAATTGTACAAGCCAGCTATCGCAAGTGGCAGTCGCGCACAATCCTAGGGGTGGTCGAGGGTTGCACAGCACGAACGAAGGCTCGCTCCACTGACAGCTGACGCAGGAGGCCGATGTGTGCAGCCCTGTGCAGCCCTGTGCGTACTTTTGAACCCAGCACTAGGTGTGTCGGTTGCCCTCGGATATCAATCAATCAATCAATCAACCAACTAATCCCTTGCTCTATAACGGGCTTCTTCAAGGCGTATTAGGCAATCCGATCGCCCAACTCGCACGACAGCGACCGACCAGCGTGCTCGGATCAACCTTGCGTCGGTAGATCTACGCGCCTCGAATCACGGTTGAAAGCGCTGGCCCACTCAACGCGCAAACCGTCGGAACCCTCGTTGTAAGGCGATGGCGATAGCGATATTGTGGAAGAAGAAGAAGAAGAAGAAGCCCAGAGTCGAAGGACTCGAGGTTGAAAGAACGACACACCCCAGGCCAGGCCTGCACATGATGGATGTGCACCTATCCTCCTGCAAATCAGCCTGTTCCTTTTCCTTGTTCATGCCGCCCCACAAAAGCCAATCAGCGCTCAGAGGGTCAAGCCACACATGCAAGCCATTCCCCGCCCACCTCGAGCCCAGATCTGGGGTTGCCTCACACACACACACACTGCCGAGACACGTCTCCTGCTCATTCACCTAAAAGTACACAAGCACGAATGATTCCTTGAAAGAGATATGACAAAGCGTATGAAGAGTACCAAGAGAGACTTCTCACGCCATTTAGACCCCCAACATGTAACCACCATCGGGTCCTGGTGATGGCTCTGGGAAGGGCGCAACCCGAGTACTGCCCAACGTCAGACACACGCTCACTGCCTCCATACGCCGGGTCCAGCCCACAGAATGTGCCCTCAAGCCTAGATCTGAGGGCAAACCGAAAGCAGCGCCCCATTGTGGCACACAAAGATAGACAGATAGCTAATCACCCAAACCCATACTGAAGTCTGGGCCATGATACGCTCCAAGTACTTTTTCGTATCCAAGTCTAGGCGTCACATCACGAGCAAGTGTTCAAAATTTGGCGACGTAGACATCTTGTGCTGCATTTTGACCTCTATATGCGGGCCACGGTAGTACGAGTTATCTACCAAAAGCTGCCTAATACCCATCCACAATCCCAAATCCGTGCCTCATAACCTTGTCCATGCCAGGTCGTAAGTCATCCGCGTCATTATCAAATCGAACACCTTCCTTATCCTGGGAAAGCATCTACTTGAACACCTTACCGTCGGCCCACTCGTATGTCTTGCCGTCGACCGTGATGGGCTTGTCCCATGACCACTGGTCGTTGACAAATTCCTTGTCCTCGGGCTTGCTTGGGTCGAGCTTGGTGAACTCGTAGCTCTCATAGTCGGGGGCGACGTCGAAAGCGGGGAGAGCCTCCTGGCCGCGAACGATGAAAGCACCCTTGATGATCGAGTTGTTGGCCTCGCCGTATACCGAGCAAGCACCAAAGATGTACTTGCGGCTGCCCTCGAGACGAGCAAAGAAACCGCCTTGTGCAAGTTAGCCATAGTTCAGAGTACCAATCGTCGAGTACACTTACCAATCAGGTTGGCAGTCATGAAGGTGAGGGTCAACTCGTCGTTGTACTTGTAGTCAACCTTGTAGATCGAGTACTCCTCGAAGTTGGCATTCTCCCAGAACCAGGGAAGGGCAACCTCGCGGGTCTCCTCGTTGGAGTATTTCCGCTTCCAGTCGTCCAAAACGAATGTGGCGCGGGGAAGGGACTCGAGCGGGTGCTTGGGCTTGGGGGCCGGCGCGGGCTCGTCATCCTCCTCAGGCTCCGCTGCCTTGGGCTTGGCGGCGGCCTTGGGCTGCTCCTTCTTCTTCTCACCACCCTCCTTCTTGGGTGCGACGTTCTTCAACGCCTCGGTGATGAACTCGAGCTTGCCAGCAACAGCCGAGTAGCTGGTCTGGTTGTAGACGGTCTCGTACCAACGAGTAACGTTGGGGTTCTCATCGCGCCACTTCTTGTCGAAAAAGTACTGGAAGCCACGGGCGATGATGCTGGCGGCGAAGAGATCGGCAAGAGTCAGGCGCTCGCCGACGAGGTAGGTGTGGGTGAAGAGGTGCTCCTCGAGGACATGGACAGCCTTGAGGGCAGCCTTCTGTGAGTCCTCGACGTTCTTCTTGTTATAGGGGTCGCGGCCGAGAATGGGGCGGAACCAGCCACCAAGGGGGGAGAGGACCTCAGTGTTGGCAAAGGACATCCATCGCAGGATGGTGGCGTAGTCCTGCTTGGTCTTTCCAAGGAGGCTCGTCTTCTCGTTCTGCGAGGCCACTGCGATGCGTCAGCTCTGAGTCACCTCTGGAGGTTGTTCAAACGGAAGAGTGTAGTAAACGCAAATCAGAATATATGGTTCTCAACAATAGTTTTCAGACAGGGATAACTGAATGATAAAACATTCGACATCATGTTACGCGTAATCAAAGGGTTCATCGAGTGCACTTACGGTAGACAGCGATGGCGATGCACTCGGAGAGCACGAAGCCGTCGGCACCCTCAAAGGTAGGGACCTTTCCAAGCTTGTTGAGCTTCAGGTAGTCGGCGGACACACCCTTAGCAGGCTCAGTGTCGACGAACTCGATGTCGAGGCCGTTCTCCTTGGCGACGGCCAGGAGGGACGTGGTACGCGGGTTACCCTAATGGCGTGCTGTTAGAAGATGCAGTCGAAAAGTTGTAGCCAGCATGGGCGGGAGTAGACGTACCGCGTAGCTGTAGAGCTTGCCGAACGACATGATTGCAATGGTAACCGTGGTTGAGCAGTACAGTCAGTAGGGAAGCGGGTGGTGGTTGGGAAAGAAAAAAGACAGGCTGGGTCGAAGTGGGGGGTTCCTCGTCGAAGATTCTGTGCCAGCGCAATTTAGTTTCGCCGGCTTGGCAGCTTTTTCTGGAGAGGCGCGCAGGGCCCATGGTCAATCACGGCCGTGGAATTACGACTACCATTTTCTTGCGCGTTTCGAATTCATTGAACGCGCAATGTCGAGCAGAGAGCTCTCACGCAGCCTGTGGAAGGCTGTCGACAGCCTGGGGAGCCGATCGAGGCCCCAATGCGAATGGACGACTCGGCGTGCGCAGAAGAGCTTCCCTCCCTCGGTAGCACGATGCATCTCGACGACGACCGCACGGCGCGCAGATGTCACAGAGGGGGAGATACAGGAGCCCTTTACGGCTGCACCGCCGATCAGGTTTGAGGCTGATGCAGAGGACGGAAAGAAGGGCGACAGGAGCATGCTGCGGACATTGCGTGTCGTGCCAGCATCACCATCCTACTTCAGCGCAAAGCCCACCTTCACCGACGACTTCCTCGCGCTCTCGGCCCTCCTCCGCAAAGTCGCTACTCTGCCCGTCATATCGCCCGCCGAAGCACCCAAGGTGGCATGGAAGACCATCTTTCAGTACCGCATCATGACCAACGAGCCCGTCAAGACGCAGCGCTACCACAAGATGATGCACATGGTACGGAGACTGAACTGCATCAACCCATCGGTGGTGCCTGAGGAGGTCACGCAGGCATTGCTGCGATACAAAAAAGCCAGCCAGCCCGGCGACATCAAGCCGAAGCCTGGTGTGATAGATGAGCTTGGGCGAGCCAAGGGCGTTGGACGCAGAAAGACATCGTCTGCGGTTGCTTGGCTAGTAGAGGGAGAGGGCGAGGTGCTTGTCAATGGCAAGTCTCTCTCCCAGTTCTTCGGCAGGCTGCATCACCGAGAGAGCGCTGTCTGGGCACTGAAGGCTACCCAGCGGCTGGACAAGTACAATGTATTCGTTCTGGTACAAGGCGGCGGCTTGACAGGTCAGGCCGAGGCCATGATGCTGGCAGTAGCAAAGTCATTGCTAGTGCATGAGCCGGCATTGAAGCCCGCGGTTCGACGTGGTGAGTCCAACCTGCTTTTACCCTTCCCTTTCCTCTTTTTGCCGTTTTGTTTGTCATTTCCACATGGGTTCCGTGTCCTTGACAAATCCCCCATCTACGCGTCACACGTGTTGTAAACAAACCCTTGGAGATCTCAAACAAACGGAATATGCGTAAACTGAACCCGAGCGCTAACTGCTTCACAGCCGGTTGTGTGACCCGCGATCCAAGAAAGGTGGAGAGGAAGAAGGCCGGTCATGTCAAGGCGCGCAAGATGCCTACCTGGGTCAAGCGTTGAGGTTTCACCTCTGTGTATATTGTACATGTATATCGTCGGTCACTTTGCCTGTTAGCGTAGTCGAATTCAGGATCGCCAAGTTGGAAGGACAAGCCTCTCAAGTGACAAATATGCTTCTACGTATGCTTTCTCCACAGGTGGAGACGCTTGCAAAGATCCATGCTGACAGGTGAGCACCGGTGCAACCAGCAGCGGGTATACAGGCCGTATTTCTTGAAGCCAGCGTATCACAGATTACAAAGGACCACAAAGCCAGAACTCCCATGTGAACATGTTCAGAGGTCTGTGTCGAGGTACACCCTACGTCGGTGGCAATGACTCGACTTTCGGCTTGCTAGAAGCCCCGTAGTAGAACTCTATCAGGCGCCTCATTATTTCCTAGAATATCTCTGCCTCGGTCCAGTATCATGTGTGACAGGGCTACGATGGAGATCTGCAGGCAGTTCGGCCCAACCACGGTCCCATGTCGTCTCCTCTTGGCAAATTCTGAATAGTGGTCCGGTAAATGGGCATTGATCCGTGGAGTACATGAGGACGAACGGTAGAGCATAAAAATGTACACATATAGGTGTTTGCAGCAAACTTCCTTTTGGCCGTGCCGCTGAGGTCAGTTTTGAGGTGATCCAAGTGCGCTAGGGTTATCGGCCCTCGCTTTAATCCCTGTGTCGATATTTCGCAGTATACGTGTGCCCATTGTGATATAGGTGCGGCAACCAGGCTGATGGAACTTGCGTACCTAAGCCTAGTGGCCTCTGCTGGTGACCTACATTGAAGAAATGGTACAGAAGATTTGACTACGTGTCGCAGGAAATTGCAAAAGAGAAGCGCTTGACCGTCTTGACTCGTCCGGTCCGTGTATAATTGGGCCGATTGTAGATGGTCGGCAGTCGTGTTTCTGGTTTTACACACAGCTCCGCATTGTGATGGCGACCGCAAAGGTCTTGCTCCGATGCGCACCTTGATGGTGGTAGTTAGTGCTGGCATTTTCGGTGCAAGTAGTCTTTGCGGTTAGAAGGTCAATACTCATTCTTGCTGCATTTTCATGAAACTTTATTATTTGGATTCGTCCTTAAGTGGATAAAACTCCCTGAAGTCTGAACATGCTTCGTATTCGTCCTTATTAGGATGACTTGTTGATGCAGCCCTTTGGGTCGGCGAAGCGGCCTTGGCGTGGTAGCTAGTCATGCTAGTTTCCGAACGAAATGAAACCTTCTCGAAGCGCGTTCGACGTCAGCCTACTCATTTCATGAAACGTCACGGTGGAGGTTGAGACGGGAGCCAGGGCCGGTTAACAATCGCCGGCAGGATCGAAATTACGCACCTGGCGTCCGCTCTGTGACCACAACCACAACCACAACACTTGCTAAAGCCAGGTAGTTTGAACGACGCAGAAAAGCCCACGGGCAACTGGAATCAGCAAGGCAAGGCACAGGCGGTGTTCATCCAGATAAACCTGCCAAAATAGGTTACCATATGGCTGAGACGTCGACGTGCCCACGTGAATGCTTTCGTCACTCAGGCAAGGCGGCGGAAAGAGGCCCGTGAGGCCAGAAATCATTCCACTTGATGCTGTCGGTGTCACTCAGAGGCGTTCTGACACCTAAATTAGACCTTGCAGGTTAGCATGGATGCGAGCAGGGGTATAAGAAGGATGACGGTAGTTTTTTAGTGCGGAAGCCAGTGAGATGTGTCGGCAGGTCCCTCCGAGATCGCGCCTAGTCAATGGCTTCGCACAGGAAGAGATTGGAGGAGCGAGCCGTCAAGGTCGGGATTGCAAAGTCGCATGTTGAGTATACAACGGTTGCGTCAATCCGACAGTGTAAAACGGAACGTCTCTATTCGTGGGATCGACGAGTGAGGCTGTGGAAAGTGGAGCGAGGGCGATCGCCGCCCACGCGCGAACCCCTGCACTACGCGGGATCCCACATGAGAGAGATGAGGAGCCTGATGGAGTTTCGATGCCGAAATTGCCCCCCTAAACTCTAACACCAGAGATCATCATCATCATCCACTACACAGGACGCCGCCCGCCAGCCCTTGCAGCGCCCGCCCGGCGAAGGCCGAATGGCACCATGATGCCTCCTCGTCTGTTCGACAGTTGTTTGATGATTTGGCAGCAGAGCAACGAATGAGGCGCGCCCCGACTACCAAACGACCTGGTGCATGAAACATGGCCGCGACGACCAGCAAGCTCGGGAGCGTGTTCCTTGAGCATTTGGCCCCCTTTGCACCTTCAGCCCTGGTGGACGGTCCATTGCTGTGTGGCGCGAGGTTGTCACTGTCTGCCAAGGCGAGCTGGGTGAGAAGGAGGTAGGTGTTCATGGGCGACATTTGGCCGCTGTGGAGCCGTGCGGGGCAGAGGCGAGCAAGTCGAAACGAGTTTTTGCAGGTAGTAGCTGAGGGAGAGAGGGAGAGTCTGCGGTCGGTGTAAGGCATCTCGCGCTGGTGGTGGTCGTGGTGGTGAGCCCTGGTCGACAACAAGCTCAACAGAGGAGATGCGATGATGCCCTGCAGGATGGCTGCCCAGGCGCCTGCAGATCCACCCAAGGTCGACGATCTGTAACCATGGCGGCCAGACAGACAGGGTTTCTCTAAGGCCCGCCTTGACCATATCGGAAATCGGAGACTTCTCATGGCACGCTGTCCTCTAGAGATGGTAGTCATGCCTCTCACTCGCCAGTCCATGGCAGCCGGCGTGCAGCCACACCCACTCCTCAGGTACCCAGCACGGCCTCAACACCCCCCCGGCCCATGCATGTATTTACAGACTGCTCGCCGGCGTGACGCGTTGGCGACGGAGTATCCTTTTTTTCTTTTTTTGCTTCTGTTCGCGCACACACACACTTTCTCACACACATTGCCTGACACGCTCCCCAATGTGCCCTCACTTCCCGTCTGTCCCCCCGACCGTCCACCTTACAGCTACCTACCCCAGCACTTGCGCCCATCCCCCACTTCAAGCCAGCCCTAGGATCCTCTTCCGGACGCCAGCCGAACGTCGAGCCCTTTTCCCACTTGTCCACTTGTTGTCGTCGTGACGTGAAATCTCGCACGGGCTCCGCTCCAATTGACCCAAGCAAACTCTCTCCTACAGGCCCTCTCTTTCTTTTGCTGGTAGTGGGCCCAGGGCGTCCAGGGCTTACAAATTGACACTCTGTCGCACTTTCCGTCTGGTCTCGGACCAAACGCTAACCTTCACTCCTGCATATACTTTCCTCTCGCCAGGAAGCCAGTGTACGTTTGGCCCGTTAAGCTACCGGACGCAGGCACCACGCTGTTTGAGACGATCTCTTAATTAGTCTGCTCTCCCTCGTCGCCCGACTCGTTGGAAACCGCTGAGGTTGCAAGGACTCCCCTTCACCCTTCTCTCGCCCAACTGTCGCCTCATCGCCAGCGCCCACCGCCCACAGGGTTCTCCACACTTGCTTTTGCTCGACGAACCTCGTGTCCATTGGTAGGCTGTGTCTAGCTGGTCGGAGCATATTCGCCCACATTTCCGCATTGGGAGTGCCAATTCCGGATTTTCTTACACACGACCGTCAACATCCTCGTTCGTGCAAAGGCGAGGATAACCCTGGGACCCTTTCCGCGCCTCAGCGACCCTGCTGCACCCGGGCTCAATTGGCATATACTGGTCGACGCGCCAGGGCCGTGTTTATATCCAATCCACCTGGGAGCCTTCCACGACCAATTCATCCTTCCCATTCGGACGTCATTCACCACCACCACCACCTCCTCCACCCCCACTTCACTTTTCCGCCACGTTCCTGGTCCATTCTTGTTGACTGTTTCCGTCTCCAAGGCCATCTCCCCCCCCCAATCCAATCACTGCTCCTCTTCCCATCTTCTTGACCTCAACGTCACGTCACGTAACCTTCCCTTCACTCGCCCTCTGCTGCTCTCCGACTCTTGCGCCCCCTCTTCCACTACTACCTCCCCCTCCCTCTCCCCCCTCAAGCCTGCAAGCTGGCCAACTACGCGACGCCGCCAGTCTCGCCCTTGGGCTATCGGGCTCTCGAACCACCCTTCAGTCTGCAGCTCAAAGGCCGGCTGGGTGGAATGGACAATGACCGTCGGCCGCGGCAGACCCCCTCAGGTTACGCGAGCCAGCAAGGCACGCTCCTTCCACCACAGGCCTCATATCCCGTGGTAAGCGCATCCGATCGCTTCAGGCAACCGCCCTTGACTGCACCTGCCCCGCCCTCCTCTGTCCCCGCCCCAGCAAGTCGCGCCTACAGTTACGCTTACGGCGAAGGTCCACAGTTTACTCCCTCGATTCAGCCCTCGAGCGTCTCCTATGGCGCCCAAGACTACGCAGCCGAGCACCAGCAGCCGCCCCAGCGGGCGTCACAGCAGTACGCGCCATACGGGCAGGGTGTAATGTATAGTGTGCCTGGCGCGCAAGGCCCCGGCACAGGGTCGTCGCAGTATGAACCTGTGGAACAATACCAGCAAAACAGGGACTCGGCTATACAAGTCCTCAGCACCGGCTTTGGGGTTGCACAACCGCAATACTATGAGAGTGGGCCCACGAGCGCGCCCGCCTCTGCCATTGCCACGCAAAACGTCCCTTCACAATACCCCTCCTTAGCATATACAGCACCCCAGGCCCCGGTCGGACGAGAAGCCCTTGCCCCTGCCTACACCGCCGCCTCAATGGCAGATCAACACCAGGCAACTGCCCAAGGGGCCTATTCTCAAGGCAATTATGGCGAGCCGCAAAGTGCTGGTGCTGGTGCTGCTAGTAACGAATACGACGACTTCTACAACAACTACCAGACGGAGCTGAAGAAGACCTTCGAGCACGTGCGGGATGGCCGGCTCAGCGAAGCCGGAGCCCAGCTGTACAGACTGTCGGACTGGCTGCTACACTGGGCTGAGACGCTAGGTGAGTCCTCTTTAGCAGGCACAAAGTAGAACGAGCAGCTGAATTGACTACAGGCCTAGTGCGCGACGACGAGGCCCATTACACGCAGCGACTAAAGCTATGGGAGGAGTTCAACACTTGCTGGCTTGCAACTCTGCAAAAGCAAAAAGCCATGACACAGGACATGGTCAACACGGGCCAGCGACCGCAGCCGCCGAAAACGCTGATTGACTTCGACTTCCTTGAGAAAATGGGCACCCAGCTTGTCAAGAATTGTGACATTATGGAGAAGCACGGTCTAGTAGACTACCAAATGGGCGTGTGGGAAGAGGAAATAGTCGCGAGTCAGTGCCGAGCCCCCCTTTCCATGTCTCTGGCGCCTTTCTAACCCCTTGAGCAGTGTTGACTTCCTGTCTCGACCTCCTCGAAGATAATGGAGCTGGCTCATCCGCACAGCGACCCACCTCCACAGCACGAAGGCGATGATCGCATCCTCTTTCGATAACGACAGCCCTCAGTAGCTTGCCCTGGCGCCGCCTTCGAGCGCCGCTGTAGCAACGCATTGGCTTGGCCGGCGAGAGAGGCTTGCTCTACTCCAAGTCCGTATACGTCGATACTTTCATGATATTTCCAAGCCTCCTATAAGGCGCTTACCGAGGCGGATTCGCCACCGTATCCGCGAATAATTCTCTCGCCTATATTCTGTACATCTATTGGACCTGCGGCGCTTAATTGACTTGTCTCATCTTTTCTTTTTTTTTACTACCATAGACAGCGACGGGCATTGGATACGGTATCGGGGCGGCAAGCTGCATTGCTTTCTTTGTGTCAAGTGTATCTGCATCCGCGGACCTTTCCTTAGCTGTCTGAGCGCTTCTATTACGAGCGCCATTACAGCAGGCCTTTCACAGCCGTCTCCGGCTATCTTTCCGCTTTGGATGATCTGCGGATTGAAGGGCAACCGTATCACGATCGCATATCAACTGGCATCCACGGTTTTTTTTTATCTATGACACGAGTATCGGGTTGATCTCAGGGATAGGGCATGATGTGCTGGCACGAGCAATGGGGCATGTGTGGAATGTGAAACGATAATTGCTTTTGTGGTCGGGATCGGTCAGGTTGGGATAAACGGACTGACGCAGGCGTTGGTTAGTCTCGATAGAGTTTTACGATAATCAAGGGAAAGATGAGTTGGATGAAGCCTATTGTGGAGCATGAACATGGATGTGTGCAGAGAAGTCACCGGTATGTTGATCCTTGGACCAGTTTCCGGTGACGGTTGACAACACATCGAACGACCTGGAACGTTTGGCGAACAGGCAGATTGCAGATGCGGGAATTGGGCGGCAATGCCCCGTCCAAACCCAAGTTCCAAGGGCGTGGCGAAAGCTGTCATGGACTTGTCGGGTTCTTGGGCCAGCTTTTGCATCCTGCATGCATGTAGATTCTAGTCATCGGGCAGGGTGGTTGGGCCGCAAGTGTTGCATATGGGCATGTTGTTGGTATCATGGAAGGAATCTTACCGCTTCATTGCAATCCTTCCCCGCAAACGGTATAGCTGGAGACGACGACGACGGTGTTTGCGCAGAATGTGTACGTACAGTAGTGTAGGTCACGGTGGCATCGCCCCTTCCTTGCCTAGCAGGGATCAGACCGGACTCCACTTCCTGTTCTTCTCGCCTCACAATACGAATACATGCACTTACATGCGCCATCACCGCCTCACGTTTTGACAGAACCAAACCACAACAGCCAGCGTTTCGCTTGATTCGACGCCTCAATCCGACCAAAAGGAACTCGATCATGTGCGCAACTGGGTGGCGCGGTATCGCTGCAAGTCAAGCAGCCTCAAGGCCTCGGCTGTCTCGAAAGAAGTAAAGTTCAGAACCACGGGCACGGAAATTGGACGAGATCACCAGGGGCGTCTCCTCCAGAATAGGTTCAAAGTCTATCGACATGCGCGCCTTTGAATTCGTCACATCTTGTCACCTTGCAGCATCGGGCGCGTCATGTCGGCAGCTGAAAATGGACGGCGATCGTACAGATCATAGTATGCATGCAGCCTCTCCAATAAATAGCCCAGGATCCAATACCAAGCGCAGTCCTTCGTATCATCATCATCTATCCATGATTTCCAAAACACGCACTTGTTGTTTCGTGTATCTCGTAGTCCTCCAGAGAGACTCACTCCACTCCATGCCCGCTGTCACGCACCGTCGTCGTGCAACTGTACTCACCGTTCACTTCAACCCAGTATTCTAGCGTTACAGGATTCTGATAGTCTGACCTGTCGCATTTCCAAGTTGCTATTTTCAGATGCATTCGCAATGTTCAAGACACGATTCGCGTGTCCAGCCACCACGAGCGGATTCGATGCAGCCGGCAGCCGGCCGCCACCCAATAAACGCGCTTCCGCGGATCCTGCCTGGGGGAGACGAGCCGGTCGTCTCCCCCGTCCTGGGAGCAGTCGCGCCTGCGCCCATCACACCCAGCTGACAGCGGAGGAGGCCAACCGCCCTTTCGACGCCCCCTCCCAGCTTCTCAACCACAATGCCTTTTGCCAAACACTACATGTTTCCTAGATTTGAGAGGATCTGCGGAACAATATAGGCGTGCGCAACCTACCGTGTTTCCTCGTGTTTCTACCTAGAGGATGAACAGACTCCCGGCTGGACTAGAGAGGATTGCGCTCATCGCGCGATGCAAGGACAAGATTGCAACCCTTGGAAACAGCGTCCGATTGCCAGATGACTATTTTCCCTTGTGCGCTTTAGAAAATTGTGTCATACGACGCAATTGAACACAACCCTTTAATTGGTGTCGTCCATTCCTCTCGAATCCACTCCCCCCCCCCCCCCCCCCCAGGAAGAGCAAGAGCTGTCACCTAGTCCAGCCCGATTTCTCCAAGCATGGGCTACGCAAGGGATGACGGGACCCTGCACCATCGAGAAATCTGTCATATTTTCCTGCGAACAAAAGGTAGCGTTGCACCAGCCCCTCCTGTCGGTAACCCATACTGTGCTCTTGACGAAGCTGCGCATGAGCATACCAGAAACGCCGGCCGCTTCATGCAGAGAATCTGTTCGACCGCCCGCTCCCCTCATGATCCATGCCTGCATCTCACGGGTGGGGGAGGGGGCGAGGGACACAACATGCGTCCGTCCGTCATCATCATGATCCGTTAAACCGCTCAACAAGAAGTCGTCCATGAATGAGGTTGCGTGGCGGTTCCAAGGTTCTGTTCCACACCACATGCATTCCTTGGCGATTACCACGGCGCATCCACTACAGATTGACATGCGACACGAGCTGAAACCCTGGGCGTGGAGCGGTGGACGCCTGGCATATCAGCGTGGCAGCCACAATGTCGTACGTGTATTCTTCCCAGCGCTATCGCGTCGCACGGTATATGTTGAATTTCTTGTTGTCATTGCTGTTGTGCCTGCGTCGAGCACATGCAATGTGTTTTTAGTATCGAGTAGAAATTGCGCCCCACCCGCTTTTGAAATTTTACACAAACTTGGGTCTGGGGGGCTTTTTTGTTGTATGACGGTCTGGGGTTTTGCGGTATGGTTCGACTAACTGTATGCAAATTCCGGGTATTTCCTCATTTTCTAGTGTCTCTGGGCTTTTGATAATCTTTGATTATGCGTATTACGCCATGGTGATGCCATTTTCATTCTTTTCTACTATACATAATCTCCTCCTTCACGTGTCGACATCTTTCGTTGCCGTTAGACGCTTTGTCACTGCTTCCCCCAGAAAAACAGTCCGCTCGACCGCCGGCAATAATGCCACATGGACGCTCGCTTCAAGACTTCTCGCCCGCTGCCCACAGGTCTGCCCACTCTTCCCCTTCAACCCAATCTCCCAGCTCATAGCTCCACCTCCTACCTACAAAGACACTAGGAGGATTGTACTCGTTCCAGAAGGCATAGTTACACTCCAATTTGACCTTTACGTCATCCGTCTCGGGCATCGGTCGAAGGTTGATGTGCATGTTGACATCGCCTTTCCGTTTATCGTGCATGTCACTGAGCCAGTTATAGAAGTGAAGGCAGCTGGAATCGAGCGAACTTGCTGCTTCTGTAGAACTGAGCGTGCAGTCGACCGCAATCTCCACCCGGCGACGTGGACCAGATGCGCTGTTTCGGTGTAGAACTGCGTATACTTCATGGTACGATGTGAAGTCGGAGTGGATGGTCCGTAGCCGGGAGGATTCTTGTGAAGCGACGCCGAAGAAGCGTAAGAAGTAGAGGTCTTCCTCCGCCGACCTGGTGTCAGGTGGCGGATTTATTCCATCGCGGTAGTCTTTAGCCCTCTGCAAGATTTGCTCCAGATCTTCGGTGGTCCCCGTAGTAGGTCCCTCGGTCTCAGATGCATAGCGCAAGACAATCCTCATCACCTCGCTATCCACAGCGCGCCAGTGCGCGACCATGCGAAGTGGCTCCGTGTTTAGTACCTTCATGGTCCTACGAAGCGTGACAGCCTCGTCGTGGATCTGGCGACAAGTTGCGAGCATAGAGACACCGGGCACGCGCTTGGAAACCAGCGTGAAAGCAAAGTCCTCGTGATGTTGTCGGAACTTGATGGCGTGGTGACGCGTGATGACGGGGAGGAGTTCGTAGACCATGAGCCGCAGCTCTTTTGGGAGGTCGAGGAAGCGGAATGGGGGGACTGCTGCCATGGTGTGCTGGTGGGCGTTAGCACTGCGCCTGGCTTGTTGCGATAGACTGTACGTACGTGGAGTCGCTATCGATGAATCCTGCTATGTAACTACGGTTCCTTCAGTGACTCCACTCTGAGTGCGAATCTGTTATTTTGTGTGCGCTATCGCTGAAGTGCAGTGGAGTGAGAAATAGAATAGCAGGTGCGAGAAAAGTAAACAAACGCCAAAGATGCGTTTGTGCGCGCCAAGAGCAAGATACCTTTAATCAAACGGCGCTGCTGATACTGTGCCTCGGGTGAAAGTGAAAGGCTTTACAAGAGGAAGGAGCACCCGAGTAGAATACTCATACAGGGTCCATGCTCTACCGAACAGTGTGGACGTCTACGAGGGCACTTTGTAACTGTTTAGCTAGATATTAGATATTTTTATTTTGTACTGGTTGCTCGCCATGATTACAAGCTTTGAATTGCAGTGTTCTCTGCTGGTATAGCGCGATATTCCACTCCTAGATCTTGCATAGTGATTAAGCACGAACACTTGGTAGGGATAGTTGAAGCGGACGCCGATAGAGAGTTTAAAATATTTGACTACGTTAAAATATATATCCGAACATGTAAACTGCCATTCGCCCTCCCGGAAATTGCGGTCCAAGACCGCCCGTTGAAGGTAGAAGCAGATAGCTAAGCTGATTTCCGGCATGATGACTCCTCCACCCAATACGTGTGTCCTTCAACAATTCGACAAAGGCAGCGACGCTCGAACTGGGTTTGTATTTGCGAGTCCATGACTCAAACAGATACAAGCACCTAGCGCGCATCTAGCCGACCTCAATGCCCTGTTTGCCCATAATCCACCGCCCACACGTAAAGCCGGAGTCCTAGGGCTGAGCAAATTTGGACCGATCCGATAATGACTGCAAACCGAGCCAGCCTAGTCGATCGAGCATCGTCTTCACTGCTACGAGTCCGTGCCCAGGTGGTATCCCACGCCTCCGACCGGCTACTAGAGTTCATCGTTTTTCCGAAAATATTCGGTTTTTCCAGCTATCGCATCATCATGCTTCAAACGAATCGTAGTTGTTTACACGCTTGTGCTTGCGGTCGTGTATCGTGCAAGCCATAGAGTTCAACCAGTCTGCAAATGAATTTCATAAGCTAGGCTTCCTTGCTACTTGCTTTATATTGTCGCGACAAGAGTGGAGAGAGGGAATGCAGAGGTGGAGTGGAGATGTGTGATGAAGGGCATGTGCTTGCAAAGTGTGTCACGGATCTTCGTAGTCGGTGAACCCGTCAAAAAGATCCGTAACCACTTTCATCATTGGCTCAAGAAGGCTTACTTCGTCACCTGGTTCACCACCAAAGATCCGAAGACGCTGCACCTCCACCTCCTGGTTCCGCTCTTGCTCTTCCCGGAGCCGGTTCTGCCATGCGAAATAGGTTTGGTGCCAGTGGTCCGCCGGCAAGTGTGCAGTAGGATAGGGCGAAGGTTGAATAGAAGAATGTATTGTTGAAGTGGAAGAGGTTGTATCGACTGAGACGCTTCGAGTATGGTTTTTTGATTGCATGTTGACGCTGTCGCGATGTCGCGGGCGGCTTCTGGTCCGCTTTCTGTTGTGACGCTTGCCCATGGTGGTTTATTTATTGATGAGGATTGAGATGGGGTGAGAGGGGAAAGGGGGAAGAGGGGACGACAAGTCGTCTTCGCAAAGCGAAGACTCCAGATGAGCTCGAAAAGTGAGAGGGGAGAAGCAGGATACATACATACCGTGACTTATATGTTAGTTAATGTGCAAGCATTGCGCCATGTCACATCATGCGCCAGTCAGAAGGCAGCCGTAGTGACTCAGAGCCGCACTATGGTGTGTGTCAAGGCAAAATGCCAGAGTGACAGCGAATAGGGCCCGCAGTTGATCCGTGCCGGCGCGTGATTGGTCACATTGCACAGCCGAACTTCGGCTTAGCACGGAGTCATGACTACGACGACACCTGCACAACTCATCGAATTGCAAATTGTTCACCTCTTTTTCCTCTCGACTCCACTAGCAATTTCTGCTTCGAAAGGGGCGCGTGGCCTGCGCGCGTGTGGCGAAGTAGCACATTCGTCCGTTATCTGCTCCCTGTCCATACCCGTGGACAATTATCGTGGCTGTGCGGAGTCACAACTCTTTGACATGGTGACTGCGACGAGTACACGGCAGCATCTAGTCTCGTCTTCTATGATCAGATGGTTCGTCAAACTTCACTTCCAACCGTCCTAGGATGGAGTCAACACAAGAGGTATCTCGAGGACCATACAGACTCGCTTATCACACACCTGCCTGGACAACTAGCCGTGGTTCCTGGGATTAACAGCCGTTCGGTACCACGAAGCAAGGTGCTACTGCCGCCTAGAAGAGGTCTGCTCCAGCTCATGACCAACACCGGATAGGATATGGCGGCGTTGAACGCGTGCCACCTGGAAGCCTGCGCAAGGCTACCAGCACGCGACCGAGCGCCATCGCGAGAACACGTGCCTGATTTGAGATGGAGGCCTCGAGATGCCTCTAGGTTGCCGCTAGGTTCGCACCGTGTTCGTAGACCGACGTCAACAAAGTCCGCAGCCTTAGGCACACGTCCCTATATGTGAAGTCGGGGCTGCAGGCACCCGTTTCACCGACATCTCACATACATCGGCTCTCCGCTGGTGAAGGCCGGTCTCACTCTGGACTAGATCGCCAAAGTCAACCACTCCAGTTGCTCGGATTTCTGCGGCAACGCGTAATCTCGAATATCTCTTGCTATGAACAGCGTCATTTGCGTCACATTGGGTCCGGAGAGGGCTTGTCTGAACAGGCTTGTGCTGCTTGGCTGCGTCGAGCGTTGTGCTGTTAGACCGGCTTTTAGGAGGGTTGTGAATAAGTAATAGGTGTTTCCTTCTGTTCTTTCCTCGAGTTCTCCCTCTCATCGTCCTTCTTGGCATCGTGATTCAAACTTACGATCATGTCCAGCCCGAGAGTGATTCTACTCAGTTTCGGTAATTGATTAGTGACCAACTTGCGGACTTTAGCTTACCACCTTGCAGCAGCAACTGCGGTATCTGCTCAGTACGGGCCTGGTGGTCGCTATGGGCCAGGTTCAGGAGGCAACTACGGTACCTACGGAGATGACGACAGTTATGGATCTTATGGATCATATGGCGGCGGACGGGGTGGTGCATCCCAAGCATTTGTCAACAGTCGTCAAAAGATCATCGTGGCGCATGGCGTCCTCGCTGCACTTGCATTCGTCCTCTTCTTCCCCGTCGGAGCCATCTTGATCCGCGTAGGATCCTTCCGTGGCATGTGGCTTGTCCACGGTCTGTTCCAACTATTCGCCTATCTCGTATACATCGCAGCCTTCGGCATCGGCGTTTGGATGGTCAACAGCATTCCTGTCAACTTGCTAGACAGCTACCACCCAATCATCGGAGTCGTGGTCTTCGTCTTACTATTCTTCCAGCCTATACTCGGCTTCGTCCACCACCTTCAGTTCAAGAAATACAATCGCCGAACAGTCTGGTCCTATGGACATCTTTGGCTTGGACGGGTCGTCATCACACTGGGCATGATTAACGGTGGTCTCGGCTTACTTCTCGCTTCGGATGCACCTGCGTTTACTGGATTTGCTCCCAGCCGAGGCCAAGTTATCGCGTACGGAATCATTGCGGGGTCTATGTGGCTACTATGGGTTGCTGCGGCTGTCTTTGGAGAGACGAAGCGAGCAAGATCGAGGAAGTATGCTGAAGGATCACCGCCCCCATACAAAGAGCACTATGCGCATCGAATATCGAATTCATCTTGATATAGAGTGGAAGTTCAATCATCACGCGCAGACATTAGGCTGTGATATGGATATATTTTTGGGCGCAAACATGAGAGGTAGAGAATGTACGGATGAGGAGCAGATACTGGTGGAAAGGCCAAAATAATCACCATGTACACTACATAATCACACACTACGATTCTTCGACCTGTCGTAGATGCAATGCACTACACAGCCAACCCAAATCTTATAAATGACCACCATGATTACCGCACACTAAGAGCCCCTACTAAACACTGTCGTATCATCTCTAAAGACAGGCTTACCCAAACAATACCCCTCGACAGCCGTAATCCAAAGATCCCTACCCTTGAACCTTGCCACGTCCTCATTCCAGCCCTCCACCTCTCGTAGCAGTTCCCTCCTCTCAATCCTACTCAACTCAACCAATCGCGTCGTGCTAGTTTTGGAACTGAACACAATAGCAGCTGACTTGGGCAGTCGGCGAAATATCTGCGTCTCGCGGCGCACAAGGAGGTCCTTGGGCGTGAGATTGAATATGTTCCCCGCGAAGAAATCTGCCGGTCGCTGGATGTGGAGTACATCGCCCAGTGTACGCCGGTCGGGGCGGGTCTGGATGTATGTCTCGGTACGGGACATTAGCGACGGGGCGAAGGAGTAAGGGGAGAGGTCGGACAGCTTGAGAATATCTGGTAGATCTGGGTTCTGGGGTTAGTAGAGTAAAATGCTAGGGGGTCTCTTGTACGCGGGGGGTGGGATTGGGACGGGGGGCACGTTACCTTCCCAGAGAGGCATGGGTTCGTTTCTATTGCTCACGATTGCGTCGAGAGGTTTACCAATGTGTTTGTGCATGTGCCAGCCTGCTGGAAACATCGTTGCGCTCGCTTGTCTATGCGGCTGTTAGCTTCACTGCCGGCTTCAATGTGAATAGATTCAATGGACTACTCACAGATACCACTGCATAGTGAAATCTCCCTTGATTAGTATCTGGAAATCCTCCATTGCGAGCCTCGCGCACACTTCTAAAGGATGGTGATCAAATGGCCGTACAAGCGAGTACTCCTCCTGCGTAAGCTCGTTGCGAATATACTTCCTCCTATCCTTGGTGCGGATACTGAAGTGATGTGGGTACTTTTCTGTCACGAACTCGACAATTTCGTGCATTAGTTCTGCGCACGCGGTTTCGCCTTCCTGCTTCACTTGGATACATTCCGTCTCCTTCATCTTAAGAAGTGAGTGTCGCGCATCGTGGAACTCAATGTACGTGTTGTCGACCGCCAGCCACTCGCTACGATCTACCCTCTTCAATCCTAAGCGCAGGTACTCTTCCGTCTTTCTTAGCGGGGATATATCTGGCGTGCCAGCGTGTTCCTCAATGGGCTCCAGCGCGATAGGTATATCGGGAAACTCCGACCCGTCACCGCAGTCGTCTTGCACAAAGGCCGGGAGCCTCGAGATGCGCACCTCCTCTGCGACAAAACTGCGCAGTTTGGGGTCGTCGAAATCGTCAGAGTCGGCGACATCTTGGAGGTTGATTGTAGGCAGAGTAGAGAAGCGTCGAGGATCGAGTGCCGTGTTCAGCATGGTTTCTGGAGAGTCAGGACCCGGGGGAGCGACATGCGGGAACACTGTGATGCGTCTGTCTTTGACAGTGGTGGAGTGATAATCAAGGTCCTGTTGTACATCATCGCAGTTGCCAGCGAGCATCGATTTGCGGTACCGCTCTTTAAGCTCCTTCGTTAAAATGATGAATTTCTCGGGCTCAGGGCCAAGGGCGCCTTTGTAGAAGTAGAGGCGCACGCAGACGGTACCTATCCAGAAGGAATAGGCGCATAGGGCAATCGCAAGGACGAGGAGCATGTACATGGGTCGTGGATCGGTATCATCGTAGGGTCGTTTCGCCATGCTGAGGTATCGCGCGATGTGTGCCTGGTTGTGTGTTGACTTGTAGCGATAACCTGGAGATACGAGTTTTTGTATTGATACGTAATTATGAGTCGAGGTGATTGTCCTCCTTCACCGTGCTATTTCTTCACAACAATAGCTTGCTGAGCGAGGGTATTGTACGGCATTCACCTACGTTTCCTCTTCCGGGTAATACCATTTAGTTGTGCGCTGGGCGATGCTCTTCCGAAGTTAGCCTGTGACGAGCAGTGGACTTGGGACGACTGACCTTTGTCGAGCGTCTCTGTTGAAACGCGAATAATGATTGAACCACACGCACCAAGCCATCAATTGTGAGAAGCGACGACTTACAGCCTCAGGGACTATGAATTTGTATATATCTAATCGCCCAGTATCGAACTCAAAATACCCAAGTATGCTGTGATGGTATCTTACAAACTAAACGCCAAACGAGAGCCGAACCCAGGTGTACATGCCCAACTCATACTAGAGGCAGATGTCCGCGCCGGCCAAGTCCTACTTGATCTGCGGCAAAGCATCGATCTTCGCATAGAGCTCCTGCGGATCCTCAAACACATACCAAATATCCCTCGGCACGTCCTTGAACGCTCTCTCGAAGCGTTCAGGATCATTCTTCTTGTTCTCATCCATTTCTGCAACACCCGTCACCTTGCGAATGTAAATTGCGCCGATCCACTTGGGGTGTCTCCGATACGCTTCACCGTACGCTTCGGGGTCTGATTGCGTGGAATCGCCGATAACGATGAACTTGCGCTTGGGGAACCACCCATTCACTTTCTCGAGGCGGTCGACTTTGTAGGATTCGGTGCCTTGAGTGAGATTGGCGAGGAAACCCCCGAGATTCATCCACGATGCGTCACGTAGAATCATGGTGCCTGACGGGTAGTAGGTTTCGCGGAAGTCGCGTAGGAATGGGTACAAGTTGTAGGGTGAGGCAGAGAGGTACCAGAAGGGTGGGTTCTCGAGCTTCTGGACGATGTGCTTATAGAGCTCTGGCATTCCTTTGATGGGCTCTGGCTCTTCGGCAAAGGTTGTCGTCAGGATGCCAACAGGCGAGGATGTAAGTGTTTTCTTAATCGTGTCGTCAATGTCACTTAGAACAGCCCAACCTTTTGGCTTGGCAAAGGTGATGTTGAAAGGCGTTGCATCAGCGTTGATGGCTTTGGAAGTGACAACTTCGCCGTCCTTGTAGTCGGTGCCAGGAACAGCGAGCTCATCCGAGCTGATGCCATCGCGCCCACTAGGCCCGAGTCTGACGTTCATGCCAAAGAGGTCAATCTCGACAGCGTGTGCGGGAAGGATCGAGTCAGCAAAGGGTTGGATTCTCTTCGCGATGGTTGCTTTGGCTTCTTCGTCATCTGCTAAGCCAATCTTTTCACTGACCCATGCCACCACTTCCGACACGTCCTTGCCGCTGTTTTGGACAAAGTAAGCAGCGACGAATTCAGCTTTCCACCGCCCTAATCGGTTCTGGAAGGCGGTAGTGTCGAGAAGCCATACGTAATCTGTCTCCGGATTGACGTTCTGGTAGAAGGGGTTATTGCGACCGAGATAGGATGTAATGTTGTCCTTGAAGGAGAACTGGAATCGATTCACGAGTTTGGGCATATCGGCTTCGAATTCGGGAAATTTTGCATATGTTCTCGTTATGCGGTCTTCTTCACTCTCTTGAAAGTACTGTCTGGTGCGGCCAGCCGCTGCGCTGGCGGATTCGGGCGCCATTTTGACGTTTGGTGTCTATGGAAAGAGGGTATGGACGGGTGCCTACGAGGTCGGAGGTCAGAAGGCAAGTGTTTTGCACGAGACGCAGGCGGGCTGTGGGTCATGGTCGCTGTCATATAGTCGCTGCCATTTGACCTGAGCTAATGCGTGGCGTTTCAAGGCTGTCACGAAGGGCAAGTGTGCATGTGCGTGAGAATGACGTCTGGCAGGGAGGCGTGCATGGCGGCGGCTGGAGTTTATGCGGGGATGATCGCTTGCCCAGGCACCAGATCGCCATCGACCTCACATTAGTGGCAACATAGGGATAGGAGGCTTATGTGTTGCTGTTGTTGCGGTGTGACTATGGACAACTCGACTGGATGCCAACTTTGCGCTGGACTTGGCCTTGATGCAACTCTGTTTCAGCTCGCTTGGTAGTTTGTCCAACAAGGATGGTCCAAGGATAATCCTAATAAGGGCATATACAAGACAAGAGACTCACCTATTAATGGCGACCATGACGGCCTCCAGAAGGTCGCCTGTCACACACTCGAGTAACTCTATATCTCATCATCATTTAATAATAAGCAAAGTCGCCTTTGAGAGGAAGACGCCAAGCACCAAGTCACATGGATCGACGGACGCTGTCATGCGTGCTACCCGTCAACGGACTGTCCCATGGGAAGTGGGACCCGTGCTTCTGTGACGGCCATGGATCGGAGAGTCGCCGTGCAGACGTACACAACGGGGCTTGAGGACGGGCATGCGAACATGGACGCGTAGCTTTCTCTTGGATAGCGAGCAGAGAGTGCCACTCGTTGTACGTTGTACGCGGCAGTTTACGTTGCCATTGTGCTTGTGATGTGTGTACCGCCTTGGCGGCGAGGCGCAGCGACCGCCTGTATATCTGGAAGAGCGTTGGAGGCCTCATCTCGCAACCACGAAATTAACCCGTCTCTCCAGTCTGCCACGCGCGCAACAGAACATCGCGTCGTCCTACTCCCGAGCGCTCGACCCTAATCATCGCAGCATCGTACGGTTGCGGCCGTCCCACATCGCCGAGGTGCCCCGCTGGGATATCGCAAACATGGAGCTCAAGAAGCGCTTGAACTTGGGCAGCTTGATGCGCAAGCGATCGTGTGAGTCGCACTCATACTCTTGTTTGCGCACTCATGCTGATAGCGCGTCCAGCCCAAGATGTCCATACAGATCCAAATGCAGATACGCCTGAAGCCAATGCCGCAAGGGGAGTGGTAGGTCACACTATGTCGCTACACCGCGAACAACAGAGCTAACTGCAAACAGAGGCTCTTTTGCGAGTCTGGCGCGGCCAATTCGGTATGCCCTTCGCGATAACAAGCCAAAAACCCCACTGACAGCTGCCAGGGCGAAGAAGTGCTGCATCTCCCTACTATCGTCGAATCTGCCGTCGCGAGTCCCCATGCTGCCGCTGCAGCCGCACAACAGATCCGCAAGTTCCTCTCCAAAGAAAACTACAATCGCCCACATGTCCAGTACAATGCTGTTATGCTCATCAGGATCCTGGCCGACAACCCGGGCCAGTCCTTCACCAAGAATCTCGACAAGCAATTCGCCGATACGGTGAAGCACCTGCTGCGCAATGGCCAGGATCCAAGTGTATCGCAGATAGTACGGGAGTCGCTTGAGTCAATGGAGCGCGAGAAAGCGTACGACACCAATCTGAATACACTCTTCGCCATGTGGCGAAAGGAGAAGGGGCTCATGGCGAATGCAGCCAAGCAGTTTGGCCCGCGGAAACTGAATGCCCCCGGATGGTCGGGCTCCCAACAGATACACGGCGGCTTCAACTCGGGCAACTCCAGGTCGTCGTCCAAGGGCCTACCACCGCCAGTGGAGCTAGCTGGCCGCATTGAGGAGGCGCGAACATCTGCGAAGCTTCTCCTTCAGCTCGTGCAGTCGACGCCTCCCAATGAGTTTCTGGGCAACGAGCTGGTCAAGGAGTTTGCAGAACGCTGTACGGCAGCGCAGCGAAGCGTTCAAGCTTACATCGCATGCGACAACCCCGCACCAGACGACGACACCATGCTCACGCTCATCGAAACCAACGAGCAGCTATCCCTGGCTGCATCCAAGCACCAGCGCGCAGTCCTCCAGGCCCGCCGCCTCGTCGGAGCGTCGCCATCACCTCCAGTACCGCATAGTCACAACACCCCAGCAGGTGTTCCTCCACACTCTTACGAGCAACCAAGTCTTCCGCCGCGCGACGTTGCGCCTTCCATGCCTCCTATCAATGCCGCGACGACGGAGCCGATCCAATCGCTGTCTTCAAACCCTATCAGCTATAAGAACGACGAGCTTCCACTTCCTCCCTCGCTCCAAGCGGGCCCGAACCGACAACAAGCAAACTTACAGGAAGAGAATCCGTTTGCTGACCACTACACCTCAACCTACGCCCCTCCACCCGGTCCACCGCAGGATCCCAGGTCCAACGGCTTCGGCAGTTCGCCTGACCCGTATCACCCCGGCTACCAGTCGACACCTTCGTACCTGGGACGACAAGAGAGTTCTGCAAATAATCTCACCATGCATGGCGCCCAGCAGCCAATTACCGAAGAGGTCGAGCCTGCACGCCAAACTCCCGGCAGCCAACGGCCACGAACGCCTGACCTCAATGTCCCTCGGCAACAACAGAATCACGATGTCTCGCCAATTGCCGAGCGTAATACAGTCACGTACAGATACTAAGGCGGCCGTTGGTGAACGGGAGGCACATGATGGTAGTTGGACCGAATGCGGATGCGTGATGTGGGGGAACGGTTGGCAGCAGGGTTCGCGCCTACCATCTGCCCCGAAGCATAGTCGTAGAGTTCTTCCGATGAAGGACGAATATTGTGGCTTTTTTTCTCTTCTTCTTTTGTGTCCATATTTCCATAGGGACCACTCAATATCCCAGCATGCATGCGATGGTTTTGATTCGAGAGATACCATAGTCGGCTTTCGTTGCGAATGCAATTTGATGATAGCGGACGTCTGCCCCTCACTTGCCCGTGCCACAAGGCTGCTGTGACCTCATTCCACCCCACGTATTTCCAAGTAACTCGTACTTCTCACACATGGCCAGTGTGCATTCACCTGCACACCGCGTGCCGCGCGTCAATACAAAATGCATCCAAGTACTTTATAGGGCATGGCCGACTAGTTCTTCCATCTGACAGCGACGACCCGGAAAGCCTCGTCAAAGACGCCTCGGATAGGGAAAGGCGAGGCCCGACCACCCCACTGAGGCGGAAAAAGGACCGCTTCTAGCTTCTAGCGCCGAAGATTCATACAGCAACGGTCATGATTGAATCCCAGACTATTTACTCTCCTGGTCGCCCGGCTATCGGGCTTTTGGCTTGATCTTTGATCCTTGTACTCATGGCACACTGCTGTCACAGTCCATGGCTCGTTCGCTCCCGGAATGCGTCGACACGGTGATCATAGGTATATACTCGAACCCACCTTGCGCCTCGTACCCATGCAGATACTTGGACGGTCGCTGATTAATAATTAGGCAATGGCCCCTCCGCCCTCATTCTCTCCTACATCCTACACGGTCATGTTCCCTACTACATCGGCGGACATCATGACACTATCCTCGATGCGAAACTCAAGAAAAACCCAAATCTACTGCACCTCACCCCAGACCTCTACGCGCATTTCCTGTCTTCGCTGCGGTACTCGACTCAAGCGCTTCCGATCAATACGCTCCTCGACACCCTTGTTCGACCGAATGCAGATACGGAGCTGAATCCCAAGTCATGCATCGAATGGCGCTACGAGCCTGAAAGAGCCATCTCGCACGTCGCTATTGGAGACGCGGCGCATGTGGGCGGACAGTGGGCGGAGAATCCGGTGTCTGCGAGCGCAGATATCGGGACATTGAGCTACGCGGAGCAACTGAGTCTTCCGGGGTACCCGTATGCGGATCATCTGGCGAAGAGCAAGGAGCAGGATGAGACAGATTTCGTGCGGCCTTCGAGGAAGGAGTTTGCGGCCTATTTGCGCGCCTATCCAGGCGCAGTCGGGATTGCGGATACTATTTATACCGGGCTGAGGGTTGAGCAGGTATATCGAGTTGCGGATGGTTTTGTGGTTGGGAGTTTGGGGATACGGTGTAAGCACCTAGTGCTTGCTTCAGGCATCTTCACCGTCAATATTCCCCCGCCACCATTACTCACCCCCATTGCGCAACTCGACTCGAGACAGGAACCATTGCTCGTCGTTGGATCTGGATTCTCAGCCGCGGATGTCATCATTTCTGCGCCTCCCACCCGCAGGATCTTACACATCTTCCAATGGGCTCCGGAGCAGAGACCGTCTCCGCTACGAGGCTGTCATCACACAGCGTATCCAGAGTATGCCACTGTGTATCGGCAAATGAAGCTCTCGGCGATTGCATCTACCAAGACCCGGGCGGTTAAATCGCCAATGTTGCGGCGGAAGTCTAACCCCTTCTTTCAAAAGCGTGACTGGGACCTTTACGAAGGTCTACCAAATGCTGAGATCATCAACGTCTCTGCCCCTGCAAATACTGATTTAGCGACAGTCACCATCCGACTCATATCCGGTGAGGAAATCACTCGCGAAGTCGGAGGACTAGCATACGTCGTGGGTAGACGTGGGACGCTAGATTTCCTCTCTAGCGACCTACAAACTGAGGTCACCAGCACATCAGAGCCCATGACAACGACTGCTTCACCCCCAGCCTTAATCTCAGGTCGCACGTTCCGCACAAAAGCAGAATCCTCCCTCGAAGTAGCCAAAAACACCTTCATAATCGGCAATCTAACCGGTGACTCCCTAATCCGCCACGCAGTCGGCGGCTGCGTTTTCGCCGCTGGACGGATCTTGGGCGAGATACCTACAACCTACTCCCCTGACAACACGCCCACACCTCTCACATCAACTCCGCGATCCGCGTCGCCCGTTTCCGACACTACATCGAATTTAGACAGGACCAGTCTGGATGGTTCAGCCTCGATTCCGAGTAGGCCAAGGACTGGGAGGAGCACTCCTGGTGAGTTGACGAATGGGCACGCAGATTTGCACCTGGATAGACGGAAACTGGCAAGAGCGATTGAGGTTGCGCATGCAGAGAATAGACTGTGGGTTGATTCGGGCTGGTGGGCTGGTGGACTGGGCCCACGACGGGTTGACGAATAGTACATAGCATGAGTTTGAGCACGGCGTTGTAGGCTGTTCACCTATGATATCATGAGACTTGACATGTCAATAGCCTGATCAAGAAATATCTATTTGATAATCTTTTCGCTACGCTACCGTTGAGATGACTCGCGGGTTAGGGTATTTTGTGAAGTGTAGAGCACAGGCCAAGCACTAGCGCCGATAACGGCTTCTATATTGGTCTCGTCCAACAAGTCGCGCTCTGAAACGTCCAGCAAACAGATCATGACAAGATACAAGACAACACAACGAAATGGACAGGTCCAAGACCCGGAAACCACACAAGAAATCTAGGAAAGGCTGCCTACCTTGCAAGGCCCGACATGTGAAGGTATGCGTACCATTGAAGGCGATGAAGGCTTGGGGCTCCGGCTAATGATACATCAGTGTGATGAACAAAAGCCACATTGCGCAAGCTGCGTTAAACAAGGGACTACGTGCGAGTACCGGCCTTCGGGAAGTCGAGAGGCCTCGAACGAATCGCCATTGGTTTCTGCAGTCTTGACGCCGACTTCGCCAACAGAAGGCCCCTCTCTCGACCACGTAGTACCGGATAGCGTGGCACATGTCGCGCCTGATGTCACTCTTAATATCCCACAACTACGTCTACTGCAGTAAGTTGGTCACTGTATATTTAGGTAGCCCTTCGCATCTTTTTCTCTAATCAGATTCCAGTCACTACACAACTGTTACAGCGAAGAGTCTCGCGACAAATCTCGACGCCGAAGACATCTTCTCAACTAGTCTTGTATACACCGCGTTGGAGTGCCCATACCTTCTTCACATTCTTCTTGCTCTCACTGCTTTACATATGAACCACCTAGGAGGCCACTCGCGCAACGGTGACCTAGACCTTTTACTTCAAGCCGAGCAACATCACGATGCGGCTCTAAGCAACTTCCGGGCTTCTGTACGCGACATCGACGACTCTAATTTCAAGTCGGTGCTCATGTTTGCGGGCACCCTCTTTCCGTACTCTTGCGCCCTGTCCATGGCTGCCAACAGCGATTTGGACCACGCCTTCAACAGCGTCCTCTCCAATTTGATGCTAACCAGAAGAGTCCGCCCAATGGTCACTGGCGTCTACGAGGCAATGAGGAGCTCCGAGCTGGGCAAGCTGATCCCCGATGACGTGAAAGGCATCGACTGGAGCACGGAAGAGTCTGTCGCTGAGACTGAGCTCGTGCAGCTGCGCAAATTCTCCAAAGTCGTGCATCACATATACCCTCCAGACATTGTCGATGCATACGGCCAGGCCATCCAACTCCTCGAATTGGTCTTCGCGAGAGCGGCGCAGTCTCCACTACCCCCATCGGATGCGCTGCTCAAGATATGGATCCACCTCGTCACCGATCGGTACGTGGAGCTTCTCTCTGAGAAGCAGCCGGGGTCATTGATCGTGTTTGCGCATTACGCCGTGTTGCTGCGGAGAAGCGAGCACTATTGGTTCTTGGAAGGCGTGGCAGAGCAGATTCTTAACATTGCTGATGCTCTGGTGCCGAGCGAGTGGCGCTCCTGGTTAGATTGGCCAAAGGAGCAGATACGCAGTGCATCTATCTTACCTACTCCATGCTGAGTGATAAGGGCATTTGAGAGTAAGAAAGACCGATACTCTGCGTACGCGTTCGAATTGTCAACCTAGAAGCGGCCTTGCCCGGATAAATGCTGTTGTTCTTTCAGCTATTCCAGATACGGGGACGCTTGAAGACATTACAGCCGAAGATGCATCGAAATTGTAAGTATGGACGAACCAGAATCAAAGTGCCGTTACTAAATAACAAGATACGACAATATTTTCCGGTCAGCATACGCAATGCTAGGATAGCAGCGTAATATTCGGGACCCTAAAGGCATACGCAATGTTATGCAAGTTTTCATTGGATCCATCATGGTGCAGCCGGGACGTTTTCGGGTGGCTGTGTTTCGCTTTTCTATACGCGTACAGCGTATAGCGTATCGGCAAACCACGCTAGCAGTACGAACTCGGGCGCAACCTTCGAACACCACGTAAGTTTGTTTGGAGGTTCGTACATGTGAAAATGAAGATACGACGAGTATACGCAGTCTTGTTCGAGCCCCGGTGGTATCTGCCGTGCCTATACATAAGGGCACTTCCCACTGCGTAATCCGGCGCCTAACATTTCTACCTCGCATCACCATCGTGCCCAAAAGCTAGAAGCGAACATACTTTCGAGCCAAAACTTTGGAATTCCTCGACAATCAGCAACGTTAAAGACTCATTGAGATTCGACCGTCATAATGACAGATGCTTCAGCGCAACCGAAGTTTGTGCTCTGGCCTTATACGCCATCCCTTCCCGGAGGTATGGTCGCAGCCATCGTATTCTTCATTCTCTCTGGCATCCATATATTCCGCCTCGTCAAGAACAGAACTTGGTTCTGCATCCCGTTTGTCATAGGCGCTCTAGTACGCCTCTCCCCAACAGACGAAGACTATCTCCTCAACTAACAACCATCGCAGTTCGAAGCCGTTGGATACGCCGGCCGAGCAGCAGCCCACAACGATACAGAGAACAAGAATCCATACATCGTCCAATCCACCCTCATCCTCCTCGCTCCGATCCTATTCGCTGCATCCATCTACATGATCCTAGGCCGCCTTATCCAGCGCACCGAGTCGGCCGCATTCTCCATTGTACGCACTACCTGGACGACTAAGATTTTTGTGGGTGGAGATATTCTGTGCTTCTGCATCCAAGGCGGTGGAGCGGGAATGCTGATCCAAGCCAAAGACGATGCCGGGTTCAAGATGGGCGAGAACATCATCCTAGGAGGGCTAATCCTGCAGATCCTGATATTCGGGTTCTTCGTCGTAGTCTCAGGTGTGTGGCATCGTAGACTAGCTGCGAGACCGACATCTGCCTCGGCTGAGGTGCCGTGGGGGAAGTATATCTGGTTTGTACGCGGCGAGTGGCTTTATTACTATTCGTAATCTATGTCGTGTTATCGAGTATGCTTTGGGCAGGGTAGGTTACTTTCGCATATTCACTTCCGTACCCAGAAATATAGGCAGCGCTAACATAAACAGAATGGCTACTTGCTTTCCCACGAATGGCCGCTTTACGTCTACGATTTCCTTCCCATGATGCTTACGCTCATTGTTTGCATTGCTTGGTACGATCCCAACATCAAGCCAGGGCGCAAGCCCGACATCGAGTTTGCAATGCGACGCTAGGAATAATGTGTTGGCCGAGGGGGGAGGTAGATATGCGCGCGTCGATGAGTCATTACATACGGTAAAGCTTCCGTTTCCTTCTAAGTTTTAGTACGCAGTGCGTAGTGCGCATCAGGGTACGTGCAATAGACTACACCCGTCTTGAAGTTGTTACAGCCCTCGATCCATGGCCAGGCCCGTCATCGCAGCCTTATTGTCGGCTTCCTCCACATCTGCCGCGCGCTGTATTAGGATATTCTAGCCAACGTGTACAGCATGGCGCGCAGCGTTCATAACGTTTACACGTCCTTTCGTTCCTCTCTTCCCGCAGGTGGCCTATGCGAGCACGCCGCAACGCTGGGAAAACAAATCAAAAAAACAAACCCGGTCCCTGCGGTGCCAGTCAGACTGTCCTGCCAAGGCGCATGTAATCTCGTGGCTACGCGTTCAGTGGTGGACGGAGCTGGCCTCGAAAAAGCAGTGCGACCTTTTACGACGTTGAGGACAGCTACCCCTGTCTAGCGACCCCCAGATTACCTAGGTCCACTATGTGCAGTGCCCTACACCGGCGCCAAACTGCTTCTGGACACGTTCAGCAGTGCTGGACACTGCCCGCAGTGCTGAACACTGTCCGCAGTGTTGGACACTGTCTGCCAATACGCGCTAGTCATGCGTCCCAGAAACATTGAAAAGACGCCTGAGGGAGGGGGAGGTTCCGTATCTTTTTGTTCCCTCTGCAATAAGCCTCTGCGTACCTAACATGCCACCGTACACCGCGCTATACTACTCTCGCAGAAGAGAAGGACGACCCTGCTACACGCCTGAAGAAGAGCAACTGGTTGCCTCTGCAGCTGAGCGACTGGGCAATCAGCGTGCGATATGGCTGCAGAATCCTGGAAACCCAGGTGCATCGATTTTCCTGGCCCGCTGTCCCCAGGTGGCGCTGGATTGGATTTGCAGCGAAGCCACGTCGAAGAAAGCCGTCCTACAATACCTCCGGCAGAAACGAAGACAAGAGAGCGCTATGGAGGACAACCCAGCCGAGCCGGACGAGCCAGAAGACAACGAGGGGGAGGGCAGTAGGGAGGGTGACGGCGATAGATCCCCTGCCCCTAAGAAGCGCAAGCGTACGGGTGGGCCGTCGTCCAACCCGTCGTCCAAGAACCACAGTCACCATCTGCTGCCCTGGCGTGACACCTGGCACAATTCGCAAGAGGCAGAGCGCCAAAAGCGCGAGGAAGACTGGCTCGCGTTTGCTGGCAAGCAACCGGAAGTCAGAGGGGCAGGCAAGGTCGCGGTCGTGGAAACTATACGTCGTGCGACTACTGTAGGGAATTCAGAGGCAGTTTACGATCTGCAGCTTATGCTTCTGCATTGGCGGCAGCGGCACGCGGAGCTCTCCCCGTCGCAGGCGCACCAAACTGCCATCCCGGACACGCTACGCGCACTACAGGGCCAGGGCGGCGCCCGCGGGAGCCCTGATCAGAGGGCCCGCTACTACTACCTACGAATGGAAAATGCAGAGCAAATGGGGGCGGCCCTTGCGATTGAGCGACGATACTGCGCTGCCCGCCTGCGTGCCGAGTTCAATACCCGCGTTGCAGCCAAGGCGGACCCTGAGCAGCTGCAGGCAGACATTCCTAGAAAGGTGCTTCTTGAGGTGCAGCAGGCGTTCTTTCTCACCATCTGCCCTAGAGGACGGGCTGCCAGGGGCGACCGCGACTTTGACGCCTTTATACGCAACCTACGGCACGGCAAACGGTGGCTTGCCTTAGAGCAGGCGTTAGGGTGCGGCATCTTTGCCCTCCTGCCCAAGTCACGCGTTCCTAATACTTACGTAGAGCGCACACTGACGGACGAGCTGTTCCAGCTTTGGGTTCGTATCCTGTCCCACTATAGTCCGTTGGTAGTGCGTATGGCAGAAGCCATTAGCCCCCTAATAGCCCTCGTAGCAGACGGTAAACCTCCTCCTGTCTCCCGTGCACCTTTGGAAGACCTAAAGGAGGAGATTCGCGAGTCGGAGAACCCTACAGAAGAGCTTGCTGGCTATCTTAACTTGTCCAGCCAGCATCCGCGCGTTCGCGAAATGTCAGGATCAGAGGAAGATGGGGGGCCTCTGTTCCCCTCCCGACCTACAGATGCTTTTAATAGCAACGAGATTGGTGCCGGCGAAGGAGGGGAGCAGGAGGAAGCGCTACGCCAGGAAGAGGACGAATCCCGTACAGTAACGCCCAAGTCAGAGTTTGACAACGGCCACGAGGATGAGATCTCCAATGCGCTGTCTGGCCGAGGGGGGAAGGTAGATATACGCACGCGTGGATGAGTCGTCAACGTTGAACCTCTACAACGATGAAGCTTCTGTTTCCCTCCGAATCTTGGTACGGACTGCGTAGTGCGCACAAGGGTATGTTCATTGCGTAAGGCGAGCTTCGGTGGTTGCATGTACAAGTGGTGAACCCTTGATGCGGGGTTCAGCCCTTTCTACTACATCCCGTATTCGCTACACTTAGTTCAGCAAACCATGCAACACATCATGTCCGGTCTTACTAAGATGCACCGCTCGGTACATGTATACTTAGGTCAGCGTGTGAGAATATAAACTGGTGGTTCAAAATCAACGGATATTCCATAATCACATTAAACGCCCAAGCATGGCGCACCAAACTGCCGGCTTCGAGCAACTAGTACAGGAAACGATTGAGGAATGGAAAGTCCCCGGACTCTCGATTGCCGTTATTCAAGGAGACGACATATATGCAAAGGCAAGCCTTTACAAACAGAACTAAAGAAGTCGCTTATCGCTCTCTAGAGCTACGGCTACGCCAAAGTTACAGGCGAGAAATGCACTGAGGACACACTCTTCGACTTGGCCAGCACGTCCAAGTCAACTACATCAGCAGCTATCGCTTGCCTGATTGATGATGAAGCGTACCCAGACGTGCAATGGACTACACCTGTCTCGAAGTTGTTGCCTGACGACTTTGTCCTCGCAGACCCCGAGTACACCAAGAACGTCACGATTGAAGATATTTTGAGTCACCGAACTGGTCTGCCAGGACATGACGACTCCTATCTAGGTGTTCGCGCAGAGCATCCAGATGATGCAAAATCCATGACTCGAAACTTGCGAAACCTGCCGTTGAGCAAGCCGCTCCGCACAACGTACCAATACAGCAACATCATGTATACAGTCGCTACCCACCTCGTCGAAACCTTAAGTGGCAAGTCATACGCTGAATTCCTTCGCATTAAGCTCTGGGAACCACTAGGTATGTCAAACACATACCACGACTTGCCCGGCATCTCGGACGCGACCGCAAAACAACGCCTGGCAACTGGCTACCGCTGGGACAAGAAGAACGAGGAATACATTGAAATACCTTCCTTCCCGCAACCAGAAGGTCAAGGCGCTGGCTCCATATTCAGCAGTGCAGCTGACTACGCCAAATGGATCCGCGCCTTGCTAAAGTGTAAAGCCCCATTTTCAGCGGAAGCGCACAAAAACCTGATAACGCCGCGAACCATCGTACCCCTCGAAGAGCCGTGGGTCATCCCATACTACAGCCACTCCCTCTATGCCCTGGGCTTGATCGTCGAAACGTACCGCGGGCGCACGGTCGTAGGCCATGACGGGGATGTGAATGGCTTCAAGGCCGTGGTACGTTACATGCCCGAGTTCGACTGGGGCATCGTGATTCTCGGAAACTCAGACGGTGCGTTTGGGGCAGAGCAAATTCTGCTGCATATGTTGATGGATCATGTTGTAAACGTGCCGGAAGAGGAACGTCTCGATTGGACCAAGTTCTGGAGAGAGTGGGGCGAGAGGGAGGAAGCTGAGGCTGAAGAGGACGAGGACGAAGACGATGTACAGTTTCAAACCCTTGAGAACCCAGAGGTGCTAGGTGTTCCGATTCACTCGTTGGCGGGAAAGTATTATAATGCGGGATACAAAGGTCTTGTTCTTGAGATGAAAGAGGGGAAGTTGGTAGCTGACTGTAATGATCGATGTTGGCCGTTTGTTCTCACCTTCTCACACCTGCCGGGGGGAAATTTTGCGGTCAAGTCGGAGAGTGTTTGGGGAGGCGATACGAAGATGATGAAAGCCGAATTTCGAATCGAAGAGGGCCGAAAGGTGGAATCTGTGGGTGTAAACTTTGTGGAGGAGATCCAGGGGCATTTGACATGGTTCGACAAGGTGACCTGAGAACGAGGAGATGCTTTAGTGTTCGCATAGGGTCTTAAGATAGTACGTCCCTAGTGCTTTGGTGCGGGGCCGTCAAGTGCGCGGTTCCAATATGGACTCCCAGGAATTCCAAAGTCGTAAACTTGATGGTATTAGAAAGCAACTTTTGACAAAACTATGATACTCTACACGTACTCAAAAGAAGCTAACTATGGAGATGCCAAAGGTCGTAACACAATGATTCGTAACACTATAAACGAGTCACCCGCCGTCATTACGAACGGTGATGAAAGTAACAGCCGGGAACTAATAGATTTTAAACTCAACAAGCCTCGCCTTTGTCCCCTTCTTTGGCCTGAAAGCAAGTCGGACCTTGCTACTTGACACTTTCTTCCACTCCACAGTAGTAATGCCATTAGCCACCGTGTCGCCATACTTTGGCTCCTCCACATCCACCCATTTGTTGTCCTTGTCGATAATTTGCACGTGATAAAACTCCGGGGCATTGAAGTTCTGCGCCTCATCTGCGAAAAACGCAATTTCTGACGCTTGAATAACAACCAGAGCACCGAAATCGATCTCGAACCACACCTCGTTACCGTCGCCGATGGGTGTGTTCCAGCCGTTGGCGACTTCGGGCTCGGGGAAGAAAAAGATACGCCCGTCGATGGCGCTATGTAACTCCAATGGATCGGCATTAGAGACTGATGCGCTGCCTCGTGGGAAAGGCGTGGTGATGTTGTGCTGTATAGATAATGCCTTCCGGGGATCAAAGTATGGTGGATTATCGCGAGGTTCGAATTGGACAGTCAGACGAGTGAGGACAGGAGACGATGCGAGAACCCTGCCGCCAACTTCAACCTGTAGGCCTTTGAAGAAATTGGGATAGTGCTCTCCCGTGGAATCCCACTGTACCGACACTTCGTGGCCGTGGTATTGCATTCGCTCAACGCGGAACCAGGAAATGTCGGAGCCGTTGATGAGTGGGTTGATCTCTATCTCGTACTTGTTATTTGGGCGTAGGCCCACAAGTCCAGTAAGGACCTGATCAATGAAGCCCGAGTGGAAGTAGTGAGATGAGCGCTTGAGACCGACGATAGGTGCTCCCGTATCGGGATAGTAGTCTTCTTCAAGGTTGAGAGTGCCATTCCTTTTGGGATTGAAGTGTAGTTGCGCATATTGTCGGAGCAGTCTAATGTAGTCTGCTTGGTTGATGACACCGGTAGCAACGCCCTTGGGGTAGTGGTCGAGGAAGTTCGCAAGTCCAGTAAGAACTTGAGTAGTCTGGAAAGGCCACACAGGTCCATCTAGACACTAATATCAGTACATGTCTCGCAGGAAAGTCGTTCAAGGACACTTACTCCACTGGCATTCTGGCTTCCCGAGTTCGAAGCGATACTGGTACATGTAGTACTGGAAGCTCGGCTCGACAGTACGCAGTCCGTGCTCACCAGCAAGCTCACTGCTATTGAGAATATGTTTCCAAGCCTGGGCATATTCAGGGGTATCATCTGGCAAGTCGTGGGCCCACGGAACATAGCCGACGAGCTCGCGTCCTCGGATGAAGTCCCAGAACTTGACGTGCTTGTTGTCTGCCTTGTAGCGATCGATAAAGTGCTCAAATGTCGAGTTCCAAAGATCCTCCTGTACCCTAGCTTTGAGTGCTGGAACTTTTGATCCAAACTCACCCCCAGCGTTGCCCATATCAGCCATATCGGCAAGAGCGGAGATGGCTTTGGCGTTTGCGTACTGGTAGCTGTTCATGCTTGGTCGAAACGCTTCGCCACCTCTAAACCCGTCTGCGCCGCCGCTGGCATCGATGCTGGAGATGGTGTACTCTGTCGCATCGCGAAGCGGCTCGACCCAGTATAAGCCTTTGTCGGCAGTAAAAGAGTCGTCCCAGGCTTTGTAGACATTCATCATGGCATTAACCCTCGCAGTGGCATCTGCAGCCACGCCGTCAACCAGGTAACCATCCCACACAGAAGCAGCCATGCTCTCCGAGAACTGTCGTGGATTGCTGTCGGGACCGAACATGAAGGTTGCGTAGTCTTCTTTGAAGCGACGGTCGCGGCACCAGCGGCCCTCGAGGAGGTGGAAACCAGTCGCATCGTTCAAAGATGCCCAGGGGTTAGTCTGCCAGCCCACATCATTGAGGAACTCCGTCGTGATATAGCCGTGGAGACCTAGGTCGCGTTGATGCGCTCGGAAGATTTTCCAGCGGTACTGAAGGGGGAATACGAAGTTAGTATATGGCCCATGTGTAGTTTATAAAAGGATGATCATACGTAGTAAACATCAGTAATGTTTTGGTCGCTTGATTCGAAGTATGGTATGCGATTGTCATACCAGGGGGCATCGTTTCCGAAGTACTTCTTCACCAAGCCGCGGCGATCGAGGAAGGTATTGGCGTGAGTAAAATTAAAGTAGAAGAGCCAGGTCAAAAATATAGGAAGCTTCATCCTTGGAGACAAACTTGAGCAATGTAAAGAGTCAAGGTGCTCTTAGAGCAAAGGCGGGCTCTCTTATATAGAAAGCCCAACTCATCGATTACGTTCTTCCCTCCATAGGGATGATGCGTGCTACCAGTGTCCATGCTTCTCTCCTTGAAAAGGCAGGCGCCATCGTGTTCGCAGTTCGAATTCTCCGGCCGCGGCTCTCCGAGTGACGATTAATATAATTGCCCCACTTGTACCCCGCAAACTTGCAAGTCAGAGTGAATCCATTTCTCCATGCTTGCTGATTAAGATATTAACTAAGACGGCGCGATGCAAGATTTCCAACTGATCCAGCGAGGACAAGGAATAGTACCATCAACTGGAACAAGGAGAGGGCCATTGATTTGAAGCAGGGAAGTGCCATTAACGAGGACCGTACCATCAATTCACAGAGTTGGTCCTGCAGCCATGAGAAGTCGAATACAAGCGCTTCAATACGACAAATACCACCTCTATAATTTACTGAGAGCTTTGGATCGGCCTTGCAACTTCTTCTACTGCTCTGTACGTGCTTGTAGCTTCCACGGTTTGCTGCAACGTGGTTTGCGTCGAGTAGTCCTAACCCCTGCTAGTACAGTTAAATTATTTTGCATCTTCAGTTGACTGAATTGATGTTGGAGAAACTTCTTACTCGTGATTGGGCATTTTAGAGAATAACCCGAGGTCACTGGCGGGGGCGGTTCCTTCGGGGGATGCTCACGCGACGCGATTCCGTCCAACTCTTATCGATAACCACGATATTCGATCGTAGAAGCACGCAATGTCGACAATTGACGTCACTCTCCTCGCAACCCTGGGTCTCTATCACTGCGTCTTCTCAACGACTCAATCGCCTTGTATCTATTCTAAGCATTGCGAGGCCTGTAGCCATGCCTACTGTCCTCGTCGTGGGAGCGACGCGTGGTCTTGGAGCGAGCATTGTCCAAACCTACGCAACCGACCCAAACAATCGTGTCTTCGCAACAGCTAGGACCCCGAATCCCCCAGCGAACAGTAAGTGGCACGCTTTGTTATGTTCTTACTTTTCTACCTGATGCCTTTTTTCACATTCCATCTGAACAGTATGACCTCATCAGCTCACGGTCGGTAGCAAAAAACATTACCTACATCCCTAACATCGACCTCGAATCCGCAGATGCTGGTAGCAGTCTCCTCCACTTCCTCGGAACAGCGAGCATCTCCCACCTCGATATCGTCATCATAACAGCGGGGTACTTCGCAACCGAGTCGCTCCAAGAACCCTCGTTCTCTGCCCAAGAACGCATGTACCGTACCTGCGCCATTGGCCCAACCATCCTCATCACAGCGCTTGCAAACAAGGACGACAAGCTCCTCGATTCCAAGTCCAAGGTCATATTCGTGTCGTCAGAAAGCGGTAGTATAACGCTCAGGCACGAGCAAGAGGGCGGCGGCAACTACGGGCACCATGCTAGCAAGGCGGCGCTGAACATGTCTGCGAAGCTTTTGAGTTTAGACTTGAAGGAGAGAGGGGTTGCGGTAGCTGCTGTTCATCCGGGGTTCATGCGCACGGAGATGACGCGGAGCGTGGGGTTTGATAAGTATTGGGATGAGGGAGGAGCGGTTACGCCGGATGTTGCGGCCAAGAGTCTTGTGGAGTGGATTGAGACGTTCGATATCAGCAAAACGGGACAATACTGGGCACCTAGAGGACCTGCGTAAGTTCATTCGCCACTTGATGTCTTCTCAGGTAAGCTAATGCGACTACACTACAGCGACATTGGTACTGCTGAACCCGTGCTCGGACCCAAGGACAAGCTTCCAACGCCTCTTCAATTGCCGTGGTAGGGCATGACCACACCTACGATTTACGACCACTCACCATTAGAATGACTTTAATGCCCCTCATGGCAAGGTAACAGGAGACAACTATGGTTTATCAAACTCCTACTCTCACTAGATGCTACTTCTACTTCCAATTACCTCATACAGCTTCGCCCCTTCCCAAATTGAGTATATGGCTATTGATGACTACTCTCGATAGTGATATACTAGTAACACCATGCGAAATAATCAGAACCAAACGCCTTGCTATGCGCTACGATGCAATACCAAATGCAAACGCTAAAAATCAACCGTGCCACTTCGTCAACTCTAACCTCGCACCCTCTCGCGACTAACCAGCAACGTGTTCGCACTTTCCTTCCTGGTCGCTTCCGGGACCCATTCGTCAGCATCTCCCAATCGATTAGCAGTCAGACCCGCGGAACCAGGATTCTTCATCCCAGCTTCAAGTTGCCGCTGGTAGCTGACTTGCCTCAGCCGCTGGGCCTCCTTGGGCGTAAGATGTAGATAGACCTCAACACCCAGCGCATGGATTGCGAACGCAAGCCATAGCGCCATACCGAAGTTGATGTTTAGCGCCGCGCCAGTGTTTGTCGCATCGCCTTCGCCGAAAGTAGCCGCTACGAGTGCTACCTGGTCCGGGCTTGTGCCGTTGGCGTACGCTGCGCAGGTAGGGTACCGGTTTAGGAGGAGGTGGGGGCTTGGGAGTGTTGCCTCGATCTTCGCGCACGGCCAGACAGTATAGTAACCCTGGTTCTTGATGATTATGGTGGCGAGGATGAGGATGATTCGATTGGTTATGATGGCTCCAGCGTAAAACCACCCCCTAAGCATCCAGGCTCGGTGTTGCTCAATCTGTAGTCTCTTTATGTTGATATATGAGATTATAAAACAGACGAGTACGCCGATGCCGACGAAGCCGATCCAGACTTGAACGTCCATTCCTCCGCCAAAGGCGTGTCGTGCGATCATTAGGGCCCCAACCAAACTGATTGTGTAGAGCAGGACAGCGAAGTACCCAGTAATGCGATGGACGATGATCCAGCGGTGCCGGATGAACGGCGTGAATTGCATAACGGCGAGCAGACAAGCGGGTAGGACGCCTGCCAGGTGGAGGATTATGCCGACCTTGTAGCGGGTGAAGTTGAGGTAGTAGTAGCATTCTCCGGGTGCGGCGCTGTTGCCGCTTTCGCTTGGACCGCCTTTGGGACAAAAGTTTGTGGAGAAGTTCAGGTACATAAATCGGGCGAGGACAACTATGCATCACTCGTTAGTGTTGGCTCTTATGGAGTATCTCTGGCAAGCTCGGGGAGGTACATACAGCCTGTGAGTGCGCCAGCGAATATAAACCAGAGCACGAAGTTATATGCTTTGCTGAAGCCGAGGGGGTTGTATATCTTCCTCATAAAGGCGTTGAAGGCATTTCGCGGTGGCCGTGTAGGAGCGACCATGGTGTGATATTCAAGTCTAGTCTTCAAGTTGTATGCTCAGTCCTTGGTGGGATTGGTCGTATTTCAACCCTTTTAGTAGGCGATAGAAAGCCGCAGGTAACAACGGGGAAGATGGGTTATAGATGGGTTTGCATAGTATGAATGTGTTGTAGTCGGGTTGAGTTTGTACTCCCACTTTCTGACCACGTCCTCATCCCTTATGTATATACCTTTTTAGCACTCATGTATCTACATCTAGTTAATCTTGCGCCAGAGTGCGAAGCCTCAACATGTGCGCCAATCACAACAGCCTGCATTTGTGCCCAACATCTCGAACCACTAGCGTCCGATTCGCAACCTTTTCGGCCTATTTCATGCAAGATCAAGGCGCCTCCAGCTCGATCGCAACGGGAATTGAGGTCATTAGCCCAGGCGTGGCAAGCCTCAAAGCTACCCTTTTTGGGATGACGATTATCGAGGCTAGCGACGTAGAATCATTGGCTAGATTTGACTGCTTGTCGCAGAATGCGCCCTATGTAGTTAAGCGTTGGTGGCCTTAAATGCTGTGCTTGCTACTGAAGTCGAGGCGAAGTATGCGCGCCTACTACCGGGGCCAGATCTCCAGCCCTCATAAACACGTAACTGTGCAGCTGTACATTATAGGCTGCGATTCCATACCGGTAAAGGGAGTATTTTGCGCTGCCTTGCGTTCGCCTTTGCCCAGATCACTGTCCGTGCATGCAGGCGACAACATGGTAGGCGTACCGGGCCGCTCTAAGGGGTGTGTGACGTGCCGGAAGAGAAAGAAGGGTGTAAGTACCCATTTTCATGTTGTAGCTGATGTTTGTACTTGGATTCGAGGAAAGGATAGGGCTGATGCATCTATAACAGTGCGATCTTAAAATTCCAGAATGCGGACAGTGCATAGAGCGAGGTCTCACATGTGGAGGGTACGACCTAGATCGCATGTTCATCTACCATAGCGCCGAGTCTGATAGACGGGGCATATCCACCGCCGCCTTGGAAAGAGATCAAGATTCCTCCGCTCCGCCATTTCCATCCTGCGACTTGCAGGTAGCACCTGTCAGATCTGTATATAAGATAGGCTGTCGTAGCCTAAACCAGTCTCGCCCCATCTCAGTCGTCCTCTCACCAGCCCTCGCCAGATCTGCCTACAGCGAGAAAAGCATTGAGGCCTTCCTCCGCCTGTACATACCCACTAGCGACTCGCGCTGCACCAATGATGAAGACAAACACTTTGTGGGCATGCTGCCACTGCTCAATATTAGAGATGAAGCACTACAGTTAGCAGTGTTGGCTATAGGCACGGCTGCACTCGGGAGGTCGACGAATGATGGTGACCTTACCAGGCAGGGGAGGTCATTATATGGTAAAGCGCTCAAAGAGACAGCAGTCGCATTACGCAACCCTACAAGAGCAACAAGTGACGCCGTCTTCGCTATACCGCGCGTTATGGCGCTCTTCGAGATCCTGTTCGGCGCCGAACTGAGTTCGAACGATCAGGCAAAGGGCTGGCTCAGCCATGCGCAAGGCGAGACAGCTTTGATTGTGAGCCGTGGTCCGGAAGCGTACGCGGAAAGCGAGGAGGCACATTTGCTTTTCATAAACGCAAGATTCAGGCCTCTTATCGCCGCGGTTCGGACGAGGAAAGCTACGGTGCTCAATGAGGAGCGTTGGAAAACGTTGCCTTGGATCGGCAGAGTGAAGAGACCGAATGATACCTTACTAGACATCCTATGTGGTGTTCCGGAGATGCTCGAAGCGGTAGACATACTGGCTTGCACACCGGCAAGCGAGAAATGGATAAAAGGGCTGCGTATCCAGACCATTGCGAAGTGTTGGACGTTGCACTTCCAACTCGACGCATGGTTCGCCGCCAACCCGAATGAGGTGTACACGCCTACGAGAGTAGATACATCAGCCCCTATATTCTTCCCCGATTTCGATACTGCATGCCTCTCAGTCCGCTACTGGGTAACAGGCCTCCTCCTCTATTCGACCCTCGACATGGCCTCCGGCATCCAACCACTGACCGATGACTCCATCCCACACCCCGATCGGCCGCATCCGCGCTATTTTGCCCGTCTAATAGCGAGGTCGGTCCCTTATTTCTTCCAAGCAAAGTATGGCGTGTCAGGCGCGACCCAAATCTCGTTCCCCTTGGGCAACGCGCTGTTCTATATGAATAGGAACCCCGCAGTGGATAGAGAGTATAAAGCTACAGTCATGAAAGTCTGGCACGATCCGATGCTGCCAAGTGCGATCAGGGACTTCCTGGCGAGTATGAAGCAGAGCTCGCCAGGCCGTCCCTGAGGGGACACCAACGAGACCTGAGGCAGTGTGTTGAGACCACGCTCGGACGTTGGCAGTGATTATAAATAACCACTCTTTCGGCTGTCGACTACCAAAGTGCAAGTGACATTAGTTATCGCTCACGTTGAGCACATCGAGCATGTCAGCTTCCATGGGAAGCTATCAGTGATAATACTACGACTATCATTCGCTATTCGTACCTATCTCCTTCTCAAAGGCCCCGATAAAATACACCCATCCGCGCACTTTGGATTCGTGCTGTTATACGCGATTTGCCCAACACTGCCTCCAGGCTCGATGCTAGGATCGCGAGGACTCTGGAACATACGGCCATTCTCTGGCGCGACCAATGTCTCCAAAATGTCGCCAAATGCGTTCCGGACGTTCGCAATAGGCTGACCTTTCGTCACCGGCTCGTCAACATCCACCAGCTGTTCAACGAATCCGCCGTGCTGAGTTGTCGTGTCATGGAACGCGTTTGCGATGTAAACGTTGCTCAGATCTGGCTCAACGGTCGAGTTCGATGGGACGATCTTGAGATCGACTAACACACGGTTCACGAAGTCGAATGCGCGATCGATAAGACTAGTGTTCCAGACTTAAGGTGGAGATGTACGGTCAGCGGATGGTTTCATATGTAGTTGCCGGAGATGTCACGTACCTTTGGCCTGGCCCATTTCAACCGTAATGGAGGGGACCTTATACTTAACAAATGTAGTTTCGATAGAGCCTGGCTCGCCGGGGTCGATTTTCAGGGTGTCGGGTTGAAGAAGTTTGGCGAGGCGCTCAACATAGGGCAGGCGGAAGTCAGCGTAGCCTAGGTAGGGGTACAAAGTCAGTATATGCACATGTAGTCTTCACGTGGAGTCTACCTACACCACAGCGAAGTCTCGCCACCGGAGCTTGGTGTATCTGTACAATGTCAGTGGTTGTGCGTTATTCGCGAAGATGTCGTCTCTTACGTAGGTCAATTCCCACATCTACTTGCGATGTATTGCCCCAAACATAGTTCCAGATGTTGTAAGCCAATAATTGGGGGCCGCTGCCTCCATCCGTAGCCGCGGTTCCGGGGAAAACGCGATTCACGTTGGTGAAGAAGCCACTTGCGCTAGCAGTAAAGTAGTTTCGCTGATTCAGATATATTCCCATCGGGTTGACGGTAGGTATACCAATCACTAGATGTGCATTAGCATGGTGGACGCTCTTGCAATGGGGTTTGGCCGACCTGTGCCATTGAGGGTCGCAACTTGACTCTCCAATTGCTCAAAGATGCGCTGCACAACGCGCACACCGTTCAGCTCATCGCCGTGAATAGCTGCAGAAAGCGACAGTTTCTTGCCAGTCTTCAAACTTTCCGGTGTTCCTCGCGCCACCATAATGGGAATATGAACCGGGTGTCCGCCATTGAGCTCTCCAGCCCGCAAATAGTACCTGGAAATTTTCTGCGCGGGGACATCAGCGAGATTGAGATCATGGATGACAGGAACGCCATTCAAGACGTCGCCGGTGAAGTTCGCAGCAGACACTCCGCTAGCGAAGACGGCCGTGGCTGCGAGGACCGAGGAGATGAGCTGCATCATGGCGTAAGCGGATTGGAGTGTCAATTGAAGCCAATGGAGCTATACCAACGTCTTATAGCTTTTTATTTCTCCGAGAATCTCCGATGTTAAGTATCTGAACCATCCCAAGCTCTTTGCGCAAATAGGAAGGTCGAAGTCGTCCTTTCTTTTCTCCGCGAACGATGACGGCGCCCAGAACGCCGAGCATGCGGTTATCGGTTATCATCAGCGCTCGAACCTGGGTCCTGGAAGAATTATAATATCTTGCAAGAAATAGAGGTAGCAATCGGAGGTTCTGAAATTTCGGCATAGAAGCTAGCTTTGGCTTGGTGATGTTGGTGATGTTGGATTGTAGTTTGCAGCGTTTTGGAGAGTTGGTGACAGCGAGGCTCACCCGAGTCATGCTATCGATTGCTCCTCCACCCGCCTTATCTCATGAATCAGACGCCCCGCACAAAGACTCCGCTGGATCTTTGCGGAGGATTAATAGTGTAGTCCGTGCATGGAGCGTCTAATTCATGAGATAATCGCTGCTGCTGATCACAGTTAGTGTCTCCCTAGCTGAAGTGCGTTATATCATACAGCTTCTCAACTCAGATGTTCACACTCTCCAAACCTAATGACTTTAGTATAGGGGAAGGCGCTAACACCACAGGTATGTGTACTAGCCTTGTTGATTATACCAAGTATCTTTACTCCACCTTGATAAGAGGATTTCAAAGCGCCTACGCCCTAGTTGAGCTATCGCTGGTTCTGTGAAAGTACTTTGAGTGCGGAGATGTTTGTGATTACATTGATTCTTCCAGGATAGGCTTCGAGACGGTCGCCAACTATGGTCCACCTTGATAGAGTATGGTGTATCTCTACATTGGTTGCTACATTAAACTAAGAGTGAGATCTGGTGCAAGGGTATTGACTGATTATTCCTCGGCATCGCATGACTTGGGTCATCTTTCAAGCTTCAAATGCCCTTAGCTTAAACGCTTATCCGCAGCAAGACCTGTTAGACCTAGGCTTCCCCTCTCGTCATGCTAGGGCTCAATGATGACTAACCCTGGCCTTGGTGCCCGAGACCGGTGTGTACGGAACCCGAATCAGCCCCTGTGAAGGTGGTCGAGGTGCCTCTAATAGAGCTTCTAGTTGTTGGGTGCGGCATGGTGGTCACATGGCTCAAAAAGTGAAGACAAGACGAGAGCATCAAAATACGAGTAGCAACCAATTATTATTCCACATTATATACAACGCTTGATCAGACAGCAAGCTTATTAAGGACCCAAAGTCGTCCTACAGTCATCTCAATTAAACACCTCCCTTCGCCCGACTCACTACTCAAACAAGTATTATCTTTGCCTAAGCAAGCTGACCGCGGACAGCACCCTGGGTGAACTGCGAGGTGTGGGTATCAGTGAAGAAACCGCTGGGGTTGGCGACGATCTGTCGGACGTGGAAGCCAGCAGCGTTGTCGGCTCCCTGGGTGCTGTTGGTGCCGACGAAGAAGGGACCCTTCAGGCAGCCGTACGAGGTACGGCGGTCATCAGATCCAGTGGGGTTGGGGAAAGCCTATCGTAAAATTAGCGTCCGATTCTCACTCAGCATTGTAATAGGGGGCAACATACCAGACGGGGAGGTCCAGCCTTGCCCTTGATAGCCTCGTGGATGTGAGTGGCGGTGACGGCGGGGGACTGGTAGTTGCCAGTGACACCGCTGAGGGTGATGTTGTAGCAGATGGTGTTCTCCTTGATGTTGATGCCATACTTGAAGATACCCTTTGCGCCTGGCTGGCCAGGGGTGGGGGCACCGGCTGTGGAGATGACCTGGTCGGGGGTGGCCTTGACGACGTATTCGGCGTCGAAGTAGAAGAGCTTCTCGGTCTTCTTCCACTCGTCGTTCTTCCACTTGTTGTCCCAGTCTTTCTTGCACTCCTTCTGGTACTTGTTGCCCTGACCCTTGTCGGCAGTAGGAGCGGCAATAGCAACTGCGCTCAAGGCGAGCATGGCTGGTATGGTGAAATGCATTGTGAAGTGATTGTTGGATGTGGTAATGGATTTAGGTAGTGGATGTTGATAGTAAAGTGAAGGAGTTGAGGCCGGTGATGAATAATAATTTCAGGTGTACCCCCGCGATCTCTTTATACATTTACGAGTCCCCTATCAACCTGGGCTCCCGTCTCTTTCTTTGACCCTCAGTGCGATGACATCGCTCTACCGAACAATATAGGAATAGATCGCTAGCAAACTCTTGGGCATACATTTCGGTGTTCGGTGGCATACCACAGGTTTAGGTAGCCAAGTCCACCATTTGGGTTTAAAATGGAGCTTACCAGAGCAAAAGAATAAGGACTTTGTGCGAGGAGTGACAAATTCGAGGCTGGCGTCCTTGGAAAGCCGACTCAGAGAAGTTAGAATGCCTAGGCGGGAAGAGATGCGGCCTAATCTGCGTAAATCTGAACCCCAAGTCAGTGAGCGGGAAGACTCCACTCAGGCGATATGGTGTAGTCATCCAGTGAGAGCACTGAAAATGATGCCGTGAAGAGGCAGCCCTTCGTCTTGGTATCGGCATTGACCATACAGAGCAGTGGAAACTTGAGTGTGTTCAAGCTATTATTGCTCCCAAGATATCGCCTAGAAAGCCTAGTACGGATAGCTTAAGTTCCGTAACAACACCAAAGTTCTCAAGTGGGGTTAGCCTTCACTAAGACTTCCGTATTGGGGCATGATGTGCTTTTGAGAGTGGCTGTGTAAAGGACAAAGGGGAAGAGGGCCAAGGCGCTACTATATGTTAGATCTTTGCGAACAACTTCAAGTGCGCGGAAAGTGAAGGGCGCAGCGCAACAGTGGAGCAGGTGAGCAGGATATCTTGCGACGGAAGTGTCAATCTGTATAGGCGTGGGAAATTGGCTTAATTATCTTGACAACCTAGGAATCAACGCAGTGAATTTCTAATGAAGTGAGCACTTCGTCGTGTCCAGAAATGTGTGAAGCAAACGGACGAAATGTGTGCTAGAGGCGTAATTTTCGACCTCTAGCGGAATGACATCATCATATCCACGCTCGCCAAGACTCCGAACCCAGCGGACTCTCAAATCGACCCTAGCGGAAAGAGGCTTTTTAGCTTCTCGATTCGAGTTTAGGAGCGATGCCAAGATTGCACTTCATATTTGCCTTAGAACACCACAAGAAATACCGGCAGTTGATGATGGGTTAGCCTTGGCTATTTAACCCACAACAAAATCAGCACCCTAAAGCACATTTCATTAGCGCATGATCTCCAGCTATCCGCAATGACAAGATGCTTGGCACATTGAACAGCTCGCCGACATACGTCGGTGGTACTTGTGCCTTGGCATCCCATCCAGGAGGCAGTAGCTTGGGGCGAGGTAGTTTCAATATTGGGGATGATACTTCTCCACTTTCATCGTCCGTGACTACGAGTCCGAATCAATACCAGATCAGAGAACCTGAGTATTATTATCATCTATTCATCTATTGATACAAACGACACACTTGTCAGTGAAGTGTAGGCTACTTATATTCGCCCAGAAAAAAGGCGAGCTTCCGTATATCCGCGAGACATTCCTTGCCTTCCTTCAACAGAAATGATCGAGGCCTAGACGGGCCATTCGCCGTTTGGCGGCTTGGAAGCCAAGTTATCGCAAGAATGTTGCCAACCGCGCAAGAAGCGCACCGTCATGGAATACCATGACATTATCAGCATGAAGCAACCGTCTGAAAATCCCAGAATTCATCGGCACACTTCCGAGCATCGCCTAACCAGTGAATCGAACCCTCGCGAGAAAACCTAGTTCCGCAAGTCCCACCTCTCCAATCTGACAATGAGGCTCTCACTGTCTACGGACAAAAGTCAGCAGAAGATCACAAGGCACAAAGGTACTCTACTAACTCGCAGAAGAACCCTCGGCCACACGATCTGATGCTTGAACTTTGCCAGTGAAGCGGCCGGTACCCCCTGATAAGAGTCCGTCAAACTCTACAGCCCTCGCCTCCTCGGCGTCCTTCCAACCCGTCCTTAGATTCCAGCCTGCATCGAGTGCAGCGAGCTCTGCAGAATCGACTTCTTGCACAATCACGCCCAAGTGAGGCCATTTGGCACTCAACATAGCGGGCGCAAGCGCTTGATATCGTTTGGTCAAGACGGGACTTCGGAGTATGGCTGCGAGACCGTTATCCGCCTCGATGGCCGTCTGGCTGAACGGCGCATACGGAAGCCTCGCATAGCCACAAGAGATGAACTCGATGGATTGCAGCGAGGTGCTACGCTCCGCATCAGCTTGCGAATGCTCGGAATCGAAATCAGAAAGATTGGTGCCGGGCGAGATAATGTCAATGATGTTCATCCAGGAGCCTTCACGAGGCTGCATTTTGAGGACAGATTGAGGGTCAGCCTGAGGGTCAGCCTGAGGTTGGGCGTTCCCGGGCACATGCGGGGGCTGAACAGCAGGGATGTGATGCTGCGTCTGTTGCATAAACGTGACAAAAGCGTGGTTGAAGTTGGGCTGCGGTTGAGCCTGCTGATGCTGTATTGCCTGATTTACTCCTTGGCCCTGGGGTTGGACTTGGAGCTGATTATTGTGGTTCTGTGCCTGGAGCTGCGCAATTTGTTGTTGCAATTGGTTCTGGAGAGCTGTAAGAGCCACAATCTGGGTTTGTTGTTGAACACCTCCAGCATTTGCTTGTAGCTGTTGCAGCTGCACCTGAAGCGTCTGCATATAGACCTGAAAAAATTGCTGTTGATTCGGCAGCATCTGAGCACCGCCGTTATTATGCAGTGCGTTCCAAAGCATCCCGGCTCCAAGAAGGCCGGCGGCAGGCGGATTGAGCGCGGCTACTTGCTGCACCGCTTGATTCGCGATCTCGTTAGGTCGCAACATAGCGGTAAGGGATACCGAGTCTAGCACCAAATGTTTCATGCTATGCACATCGTGTATCTTGACGAACTGCACCATGGCTGGTGGTGTGATCCAGCAGTTTTCCAAGGTGAGTCGGTCCACATGGCGGAAGTGAAGCAGGTTAGCCCACAGTCCATTGATATCATTCTCGACGAGCATTTCTGACGCACCCACGTCCATCAAGGGAGCGGGCATTATCAGTCTGTTTCTCGCGTGCATACCTTCCGCATGTTCTCCACCGGTCACCCACCCGATCGTCAAATTTCGAATGTTCGGACGACAAGCTACTTGATTCCGAAGCAAGTTACAGAATGGGAGAAGGGCCATGGATGGATTGATATTCGGTGTATCGACAAAGCCAGCTTCATCTTTCTTCACCGTTCGCCACTCCGGGAGTACCATCAAGGTGACATCTGTAAGATTTGGTAGAGCCTCCCAGAAATCTGCTCGGTTCAACAGTGGGAGATAACGAGCGGAGAGCTGGGATATTTTCAAGGTATGAACAGGATTGAAAGTGACGGGATTGTCGATAACAGAGAGCATGTACGAAGACATGAAAGCTCGCTGAGCCCACTCCGTCTCTAGCAACCACTCTTTCTGAGCTTCTGTGAGATTGGCTGGTATGATTGGGCCTATGAGTTGTCCAGCATCGGTTGGAGGCTTGATCGACGAAAACAACACACCAGTACCACTACCCGAAGATGATGGCGTCAACACAAAACGTCCAAGAACATCTGGGTCATCGAAAGAGGTAGGTATCTGTAGGTCGGCGGTGTCGTGGGGAGTCGCTTCATGTATGAGGCGTGGGTCCAAGTACGGCATATCTGGCTGTTCTTCAGTCACCATGCTGGCTTCCTTGAGCTCAGACATGGGGCGCTGCCCATCCAATCTGTACAGTGTTGCCAGCCTAACGTCGCTACCGTTGCTTTCATGGCATGCTTCTATATGACGCCAAAGCTCTTGCTGGGCCTGCGATCGGCGATCCGGAACGTCTTTTGGTGAACCGAAAACTTGCTGGGGCCTCTGCAGGATTCGCGCACGGATGGATCGATCCGGGCCATTCAGCCATCCGAGGCCACTGTCGACAGACAAGGCAAGTTCCTTTACCCTATTCAGCTCTGAGAATGCTATCTTCATTCGTGGTGTTTCATCGGCAGCGAATTCAAGGCCAGCGACAGTAGCGAATCTCCTATACTCTTCAAATGGCCAATCGTAATTTCCCCAGAAGCTGGTCTTCTGTTCTGTGAGTGACTTTGCCGGGGGGGTTGCAAGTGAATCCTCGTTGACTTCGAAGCTCATTCCATACCTCAGAATATGTTTCCCGAATCCTCGGAATACGTCCAGGCCGTGGCCATTATATACCTCGTCTCTGGTGGCATTCGTCCAAGGATACCCTGGATTCTCCACCTTTACTCGCTTCTTTCCCTTGAGGTCGGGCTTTGGCTCTTGTCCAAGCATGCCATAGATCTCTGTATTAAAGGGAACTACGACGGTCTTGAAGATGACCTGAGAGACGTAGTGGTTCAGCTCGCGGCTTACTAGGCGCAAAGACTTGATGTCGTCTCGATTGAGGTGGCAAGCGATCAACTCCACGAGCTCTACTGGCAGCTTCCATTCAGGGCGACCAGCTGGGGCGTCTAAGAGGTACTCGTCTGCGCTATCACTATTAAGTTGCGACCTTGTTACCCTCCTAGAAGGATTTGGCGCACGTCGTTTCGACTTGGACTCCGGTAGGATTTGTTTAGACCGATCAAACAAAACATAGCAGGCTGGGAGCTTTGCTGAGCTACGACATTCTGGCCAGATATCATTCGCTTCTGGATTTGGAGTAGAGGTGTCATACAACACCACCGCTACAGCGCCCTTGTTTTCCAGTATTTTGGTGATGTCCTTTCCGTCTGTGGCCTCGAACTTATCCCGAGGACGCTTCGTAGCGCCGGGCATGATGCGATGGAGGACAATATCGTCTAATGCAGCCTGAGATGCGCCCGTGCGCGACATGGCACGCGCAAGTCGGAAGAGGTCCAAATCGTCCAAGGATGGTCGCGCGGTTGACGCTTCGTCTGGTTCTTCCTCGGAGTATTCCTGAGGGGCTTCGTTTCCTAGCAGCTCGTGCTCTAGCGCATCGGCGAATTGATGATCAACCGACGTCTCAGTTGGTATACCGTCACTGCCTAAACTACCACGTCTCGTCCGTGTTCTGCTGCTCCAGCCCGAGCCAGTGGCCAAGTCCCTGGGGTCCCTTCGGCGAGCACGGGGGATGAAGCCCCTGCTGGATTGCGGCCCAGGTGGAGGCGAGTCTGTAGCGGAGGGTATAGTGGTGGAGGCGTGTTCAGAGGCCTGAAAGCCGAAGAGTGGGTGAGCCGTGGTTTGGTCGACGTCCCAGTCGGCAAGGTTACCAGCTTGAGGAGGGCGAATGATACGGCGGAGGGGAGGCGACGGAAGCTGCTGGGTAAAGTAAGTTGATGGTCGTGGAAGTGATGGTAGCCGTGCTGCTCATTGCCTGCCAATGAATGTTTGTTGGAGGCAGGCGCACACACAGGTTGGCTCCTGCAGTACAATACGAAAGCTGGGACGCTTGTTTCTGGAGGTGAACGTACCGTCGCTGGGGGGTTTGCAGCAGCCTCATTGTCGCTTGCGTCGCGTTCTGGGCGTCTTTCCTGGAACGAGCGCAATGTACGTCTGCGATTTGTGACGTGCTCTAGGGAATCCGGGGCTCTGCCATTGTCTGTCATCTTGTCCACCGGCCTGCGAGGACGTCTTTGGGGCAGTCAAGGTGAATGGTTGGCTGGTCGTGTTGGTATGTTGGCACGACCCAGGCCCACAAGGTTTCTTTGAAGCTTCACGCGGCATGGCCCTGCCCTGCCCCGCCCACCTGCATGCACAGTCGGTGCCACGTCCCGCCGCCCAAGGCTTGGCGAACTATGGCCGCCCCCAGATCTCCGCATCCTGATCCTGTCCGCCAATGCGCCACATATACCCATCTCACGCAAACCACAATCATACCAGGCCCGAGCCTGGTGACTATGCCTACGCCTCGGAGAAAATAGCAGTGGAATAGGAGATGCATCTGGGCGTTTGTACGTCGAAGGCTCTACCGGTTCTGAGACGATTGCATCGCATCACATTACCATTGTCTACCGAGATAGGAGCGATGGATAGAAGACAGGATAGAAGACAAGATAGAAGCCAGAATAGAAGACCAGATAGCTGTAGCATTGGACATGACGCAGTCTTCTTACTGTCGCCAGCCGTGAGCCGCAAGCTTCCACTTCCATGCACGATGCGACTCATTCAACAAAGCTTGTGCACACCCCCTGCGTCGCGACTGCCGGCGTCCAAGGTTGTTTACTACCAAACAGTTCCTGACCCACAACCTCTCTCAAACATTCCCATCGCAAGACACGGGCCTGATTACCCTACTGAGTTTGCGAACTATCACGGTTCAGACAAGAGCACACCGTTGCTAAAGTGTTGGGACTGAATAGGCGTACGTTGACACTCGACTGTATTTGCCCTCACGTCCTCCGGTGAATATTATCGCAACTTGCAAGCAGCTACGATAGGAGAACAACATACCCGGCTTCTCGACAGAGATATATTGTCAGATACGAAAGCCTATGAGCAGTATCCTGGACGAAAGGCTAGGCACCGAGCACAGCGAAGAGGCGGCCGAATGCCGCCTCTGCTGCTATTGGCAAGCTCTTAGAGCAACTTCCAGCCGTCGAGGAGCTTAATATCGACGTGCTCATACACGCATCGGAGGCTGGCAGATGGGCTTTACCAGATACCAAGCGGGAGAAGATACCGCCCTGGTTAGATGGGAAACTCACTGACGGAGGCGGACAAGCGTTGAAGGAGATTGTCAGAAGACTTGCTAGCATATGGAAACCGGCAGAATCAGAAGCCTTCTATACTCAATTTGAGCTTGGGAAAATTCTGGAATATCGAGAGAAGAGGTAATATGCTCACAGTAAGTCAATTCCTAGCCAAATATGTCAGGTGATGGTGGCTTATTATTCCAGCCTACGCCGAGGTCTTTGTGCGATCCCGAAGACCATGAGCACCTTGAAAGGGGTAGGGTCGACGAGTGTTTCGAACGAATATACTAGCGCCGTTGCGACATATCGCACCACCCTCTCTGTGAGTACCGGAAAATTATCGCCTCCACCACACGGACAGAATACATCGGACAATTGGCTCGTATCTATTACCCCGCTATGCTATACTTGGTGTATCGCAGGTATATAGAGTTTCGATGTTGTGGTTGCAGGCCCGTGCGAGACGTGATCGATTTTTTTCTTTTGCCCGAGTGGCGCCTCCCGCTCACAATATTACCGAGTTTATATTGGCTCAGCAATCAAGCTTCGGCGAAATGTTTCAGAAATACGGGAATGATATGTGGGGAACCCGGGCTCATGGGCCGCGATCCATCACCTCGGTATGTTAAACGAGGTCACGCAAGCCAACTGCCTCCCCAAAGAAAACACCAAGCCCGGCAGCTGCGGATCGATAGAGGTCAATCATACTTGGCAATCGACTACTGGTTATGGTTTCGCCCAGTGGTAGCTTCCAAAAGCCACCAATGCGAGCCAGAAGCCACCAGGCTTCGACGACGACGTTGTCTAGAGTTTGATGCACTAATCATCCCCCAGTACTCTTAGAGGAGATTCTACCCAATCTGGATTAGCTTTCCAAACGCGTACAACAGCTCGAGACTCTTGAGACGAAACAACGGAGGTGTACTCCCATCTCAATTCCTCCGAGAGCACAGGCTCTTTAGCTTCGAAAGTCTATCTCGATATGTACTTAAAGCTGGTGAAGTCTTCTTGATTTTTTCTCTTACCACAACACACAATCCACTTTCATTCTTTACCCAACTTACCTCTTCGGTACATTTTTCACCATGAAGCTCGCTACACTCTTTTTCGCCAGCGCGGCATCGCTCGCTCTGGCAGCGCCTGCGGCCACAGTCCAGAAACGCGCGGATTACTGTGGGCAGTGGGACAACGCTGTCAATGGCCCATACACGACTTACAACAACCTGTGGGGCCGTCGCGATGCCACTTCAGGCTCGCAGTGCACCGGAGTCGATGGGTTCAGCGGTAACACCATCAAGTGGCACACCAGCTGGTCTTGGGCTGGCGGGTACGTCTCTCTCTATGTCTTTCCCTCATTTCTTGCAACCCCCTAATTAACATGCATCGATAGGCCTGGCAAGGTCAAGTCCTACGCCAACGTCGTCACAAAGATCTCCCAGAAAGCGATCTCATCCATCAAGGCGCTTCCCTCAACCTGGTCATGGGCGTACAGCGGATCTTCCGTTATCGCCAACGTATCGTTCGATCTCTTCACCTCCTCCACTGCGGCAGCCAAAGCCGAGTATGAAGTGATGATCTGGGTCGCCGCTCTCGGTGGCGCCGGACCCATCTCCTTCGATGGCAAACCCATTGCGACCATCACGCTGGCTGGCAGCAGCTGGAGACTGTTCAAGGGAAAGAACGGTGACGTGAACGTCTTCAGCTTCGTCGCGGTAAATGAAGTTAGGAACTTCAAGGGCGACCTCATGGAGTTCCTCAACTATTTGATCAACAAGCAGGGTCTGCCCAAGACGCAGATTCTACAGTCGGTCGGCGCGGGCACAGAACCCTTCTCCGGCTCCAACGCTAAGCTTACCGTCTCTGGTTACACCTTGTCGCAAAGCTAGATTGCGAACACATGACTAAGATAGTTGAGGTGGGATAGGAGACGGGCAAGGTGCGGAAATGAGAGCGCGCAGAGGGGACTAGAGTGATTCTACTGTACATATTATACAAACCACTTATAAACCCAATACCCTACATACACAACTGTTGAGACGATCGGATACAACCAAGCGGGAATATCATCCTTTGTGTGTCTCAAGATCCAGGATTCGATCGTGGTGCGTGGCGCGCCGGGGGTGAGCAGCATGTCGTTCATTGAGCCTGCAGTGTGACGTTGCGCTTTGTGTGCCTGCTCGAACATCTTATTCTCATACTCTACGATCCTTTCATCCAAATCAGCTTGCAGCTGCTCTTTCGTCCGGGCGTCGTTCGCGTCTTTGACCTCCAATTCCCACACCGTGTGAGATGTGATGGACTGGGCTAAGAGCATCGCGTCGTAGAAAGCCGTGTTTACGCCGATGCCAGAGAACGGCGTCATCAAGTGCGCAGCATCTCCCAGAAGAGTGATACCAGGTCTATGCGGCCATGTGAAGCCTACGGGAAGTTGGTAGAGGTTGCGCCAGGCGACTGCGCCTTGAGTTTTGTCGACTGCGTCGAGGAGCTGTGGTGACCACTCGTGTAGCGCCTGCTTCAAAGCCGACTTTGCAGCGCCCAGGTCCTGTGCATCGAAACCACACGACTGTGTGTAGTCCTCGGGGTAGGATCCGTAGGACGAGACATGTAGACTTTCGTCTGAGAGCTGCTGGATAGCTAGGCTCTTCCCGTCACTGTACGCAAATACACTTCCTCGATTCACCAACTTGTACACTTCTGGCGCTGTATGAACAGCATCAGGGATGCCCAGTGCCCAACCGCCCAGACCGACATAGAAGGGCTTCTCTGGGCTCAGGAAGGAGCGCGTCTTGCTGAATGCACCGTCACAGCCAACAATCAAGTCGAAACCCCCAACTACTTCTCCATTGGCGAAATGCAACTCTATACCGGCGGGAGATTGTTCTACTTTCGACAGCTTGAACCCCCAGCGCACTGCACCCTCAGGTAAGCTCTCCATGAGCATCTTTCTCAGGTCCTTGCGATCAATCTCCGGTGCTTCCTGCAAGGGTGTCTTCCCATCACTGGCGTTCTTCCTGGGGCTTCTGCGCAACCATGTGACGAGGTTTTTATCGGTTACGAGGAGGCTTTCGCCATCGTAGCGTGCGTATTTCTGGAACTCGTCCCATAAGCCTGCTTCTTTGATTGCTGCGAGTCCGGTGCTTGACCGGAGATCCAGGGTGCCGCCTTGTGAGCGGTAGTTAACCGAGGCTTCCGCTTCGAAGATGGTTACGGGGATGTGAGCATTGGACTGGTGGAGAAGGCGTGCGAGCATGCAGCCTCCCGGGCCAGCACCAATGATTGCGATTTTGGGGGCCATCTGAGGGTGGTTTGGATGAGATGATAATGTGCTGCCTATTCTACGCTAATCAACCAACGAGGCAGATGGTGTGAGGGTATAGATCGCTGGTTGTTTGCAGTCACCACGGCTCCCTCTTTTATGTCGTAGAAAGCTTGATGAGCTTGATCGTCAGCAATTCACTCTTACGGCCTAGCACGGGCTGTCGCATTGGTGTCCTACCTAAGTTAGAAAGCTTGTGTATGTGCTTGATCACGATACTCCACGCTTACGGCCGAGTACAAGGCTGTCGTGCTTACGTGCTCCCCAGGTCGGAAACACTGAGCGACCCATTCCCGACAGTATCAAAGAGTGAGTTGAAAGCGCAAATGAGCCACGACTGGACTAGATCTCACTTAATCGACCCCTCGTCAACATGAACGAATCGCATGCTCTTGCCTAGTAGTCCGGCGATTTGCTGTCGTCCACCTCCTGAGGCAGGACGGAGGGGCAGCGACCTTGAAAATGCCGGCCATCGAAGAGTGAGCAAAAGGACCAGAAACCTCAGATCCATTCCGCCAGTTTATACGATCAAACGCTGCGCAGATGGATTAGTCGGGTTTAGCGCTTTAGCATCTACGCCTTACCTATACCTCGTCATTCACGTTGTGCCGTTGATCCGAGTCCCCGCGAAACATAGTCAAGCCTTTTCTACATATCCAACATCCGGCTGTATCCCGCGGCTGACAACCTCCAATAGCAGCCGCTGCGGCGCGCACATGTCGCTACCCCGGCGAAACCCACCCCGCTTTCAAGTCGAAGCTCATCCATCGTCGAAGCAGCAAGCAATGAGAGCAGCTGTAAAACTGCTGATGACCACGAGCTATCTGACGGGTTCTCAGCGTTTCCACTTTTTTATCTAAAACTACCCCCAAGTTCCCGCGATAAGGCTGTACTCAGCGCAGCATGCTCGCGACTCAGCATCTCATTGGGATAAAGCCAATTTCTAGGCCGCCTGTTCCTGCAGCCATGACGCAGTTGACGTGGAGAAGAGACCAGGAGCCAGCTCACATAGCTCTTGGGAGCTTGCTAATGGGTTGGAAACTACAGGCTACAAAAGGCCCGCAGCCTCGTAGCTATGTTCCAGGTCGGATTCCTTTTATTCTTCTATACTAGAGCCAATCGTTATTATGCAGTTTCCGCTTCTCTTGCTGCTTTCTCTGGCGTCCAGTGCCAGCGCCAGCTGGTCCAAGAACCTCAATTACCGGTCGCCGTCCACCCACCACCCCGCGCTCGGTATCGCGATTCATAAAGTGGTAAAGAGAAATGAGCCAGGGAGCAGCTACCCTGCTTCTACGTTGAATTTCACACACGGTGTCGCATCTGGTGATCCATACCCTCAGAGCGTTATACTCTGGACGCGCGTGGCTCCACAAAGCGATAATTCGCAGTCCAATAAGACTGTCTCCGGATATGCACCCCTCTTCGACCACGATAACGAGAAGTATGTCAAAATTTCGAAAGCGCCAATCTGTGTAGAGTACAAGATTGCCGCGGACAGGGACCTTACCAAAGTGGCAGACTCTGGCACGGTGTTTACCAGCTCCGATGTAGACTTTACCGTAAAGGTAAGGAACAGTAGAACAACTACAGGGTGGCGACTAAGCTAAAGTCGTTGCAGGTTGAAGCTACAAATCTAGAAGCGTACACTACCTACTATTACCAGTTCAGCGTGTGCAATTCGAACAACAAAAGTCCTCTCGGACGCACAAAGACGACACCCAATGCCGACGATGATATCACCAAGGTTTCCATCGCCGTTTACAGCTGCGCTAATTATCCATTCGGGTTCTTCAATGCATACGGTAACACTGTGCGAAAGGACTCGGTCGACTACGTTGTACATCTTGGAGACTACATCTACGAGTACAAGAACGGATACTATGGCTGGGGTGACAGTATGGGTCGAATTCCACTGCCGAACAAGGAAATTTTCTCTCTCTACGACTATCGCAAGAGGATTGCGACGTATCGGACAGACTTGGATCTGCTCGCCAGCCACCAGCAATTCCCCTGGATTCCAGTTTGGGACGACCACGAAGTCGCCGATAATACGTACCGAGATGGCGCCGCCGAACTCAACAACACGGAAGACTCGTTCATGAAGGATGGCGGCATCTCGGTCGATCAGCGAAAGATGAACGCGGTCCGAGCCTACTATGAATGGATTCCTATCAGACAAGTCGATATGGACGATAATCTCCGCATCTGGCGCTCCTTTTCCATCGGCAAGCTGGTCGACCTCCTGATGCTCGACACCCGCCAATACGATCGCTCCATCACAGATCTCTACTGGAACACCGACTACATTCACAAGATCTCGGACGATGCCGGACGCTCGCTCATGGGTTCGCGCCAGGAGAACTGGTTCTACCGCAAGCTTTCAGAGTCTGCCGAACGAGGAGCAACATGGCGCATCGTCGGCTCCCAGATTATCTTCTCTCGCATCGACCTCGAGCCCTTCAAGGGGACAAAGAACCCGCTGAACTACGACACGTGGGACGGATACCAATCCAACCGGAACCGCACGCTGCACCACCTGTACAGCAACGAGATCAACAACAACATCTTCCTTGCCGGCGACTCGCACGCATCCTGGGTGAGCGACCTCGTCTGGCTCGGCGAGAAGGACTACAACTCGAGTACAGGCGCAGGCGGCATTGGCGTGGAATTCGCCGGTTCTGCCGTAACCTCTCCGTGTCCATACGGCGAGAACATCACGCTTGCCAACGCGAACAACTTCTCCCGCATAATCGAGTCCTCGAACACGGAGCTGCAGTGGCAAGACCTGTACTACCGCGGCTACTTTGAGCTGCACTTCACGCACGACGATGTGCAAGCCAACTTCTTCGGGATGCCGGACATTCGCACGAAGAATGCGTGGGAGATTCCGCTTGCTAACTTCACGGTGAAGAGCGGGGCGAATAGGCTGCAGAGACCTGTTGCGGGGGGTGTTGTGGAGAGCGGGAGCTTGAAGTTTGGCAAGGTCGTGCAGAATAATTTGACTCTTGATACGGATAATGGGACGTGGTTTGTCAGCCATCCTAATTAGAGTGTGTGTTGTAGATGAGGGGAAATGTGGAGGATATGTCAAACTTGATGTATACAAAGATGTTGAATTGAATGGAAAGAGAAGGGTATACAGCGCTACCCTACCTGGATTCGACTGTGAAGTGCAGCTATGAGATTGAGTTGCCTGTGCATTCATTATTCAAGTGCCCTACCTGCACGGCCAAGAGCCATGTCTTGAGAATACAGCTTCCATCGGCTGAGAGGACGACTGTACAAAAGACTTCATAGAATAAAGGAAGCAGAAGAGCTAATCACTGCTCTGCATTTCCTATTGATCGTCAAATTTCGGTGACATGATGCACTCTCTCTTGAAGAAGTCGACAGGGTGACTCGGCACTAGCTGCGTACCCCACCAACGCACTCCAAAGGTTGACCAACCTGTCGGATGATATCAAAACTCCAATATAGGTCACGATCATCTGTGAGGGGAAAAACCTCGCAGATGACGACCGACTAGACTGAGCGTTGGCGATGCCGTCGAGCCATTCCGGACGGTCAGGGTGAGAATCGTACGACCCTCTCGAGCGCTCACCCCACGCAAGGCCGGCCCAGTCCGAAAGGACAAACTTCTCTCGCCACCGCGCACCGCCCAGGCTCACGTATCAGTCGACCCTCTGTAAATCACGACTGCGCCAGCCAATAGCGGCGCAGGTTTATTGTCGTCTCGCACCATTTGGCAGCCCGGGTTCCTGATCCTCTCGTAGCTGGCCGTCCAGGCTTGTTGTGTGTAGCATGGGGATCACGCAACCTGCGCGACCTGGTGGTAGGAATTGTCGGCGGGGACCGCATCTTGTTCTGCAGTGAGAATCTGTGCTTTTGTGAATATAAACTGCCTGTGGTTTCTGTGTTACAGTGTCTCATCATCCAGTTCATCACACCATCAAGCATCCAACAAGCCTTTACAGCATCTCAAACACTATCCAAAGCAACCAATCGACATTCACATCGATCGTACCAACCAACCAACCAACTCCCTGCACAACTCGGCACTTGAACGAAACCAACATCTCAAACTACCTCCATCAACATCAAACACTTCAACTCAACTCAACATGCCCGTCGCAGCCAAGTCCTACCTCCCCACCTTCATCGGCTTCATGGGTACGTCTCTTCTCCACTCTGACCCACAGACCAAACATCGAACAACCTCTAACACTACAACCCAGCCTTTGCAGTAACCTACACGACGGTCGTGGCCTCAAAAGAAGGCGCAACCATTGACGGCGCACGCACACGCTGGCAAAACCAGCACGCCAGGGCCCAACTCGCCCTGAGCGGAGGCCAGACACTGGGCGATTTGCAGGCGGCGCATTAAGCCAGAACGACAACGACGAAGCTAGCTAGTATGCATCGCATCATGGAGTACACGGCGTTTTTACCTGCAACCAGGCTGAGGATTATTCTTGTCATGCCTTAATCGGGCTTTCAAAACGGGGGAAACTTGGCTTATTGTTTTTTTTATAATCTTTTGTAGATGGTTTAATCAGTTTTCTTTCCAATGATTATACAAAATTCTACTTTCTACCACTTTTGCCCTTCTCTTATTGAGTGGAAAATGAACCTGTCTAGCTACACCTTGCCTCCTTTTCGGTACCATCTATCTACTACGTACCGGTTGCACGGGCCCTGGTACCCGGCCCTGGTACCGGGTCCCCAATGCCCCAGTTCCACATAAATGCCCCCATAAATCACATCCTATACCCCAAGGATCACGCGTATGATATTCTATATGGTATTCCTTCGGGACGCTGTATATAATACCCCGTGCATAATAGACCTTGACACTCTTGCTCCTATCATGTGGTAAGTCCAAGTTGTAGTAGGGTGTGGACAGGGTCATCACAAACAGTTCGAAGAGGGCAGTGTGGCCTTATTGATATATATTCAGTCATCTACATACATCTTTCCTCCACAGCCTATACCATTCAATATACACAAAGAAAACGCTAATAAAAAAGGACTGTTGACGCCGACCCGGGCCTGCTGTAGCCACAGCCAATTGACCTTGAACAAAGGAAAGGGGTCTTGACGCCCGATCGGTCTCGCTGGAAGACACAGTGGCCAACCTAGATATATCTTACCAAAAGAAATCATACAGTCATACTAAACAGTCTATGAAAAGAGGGCCCGCTCAAGTGCTCATTGTGTAAAGCATTGTGGGGAAGAAGCGAATGGCAACCCGCTAAGGGTCATGAGTCGAGCATGGCGGTAATAGCTGCTAACCTCTGAAGAGCGGGTTCCATGGCGGCGATTCTCCTCTCCAGGCGCTCCGCTAACCGTGCCTCCTCGGCCTCGTCTGAGAGAACCAAAGAGAAGTGTGCGAGCGCCTTGTCGGAGTTTGTGAAGAGTGTTTCGTGGTTTTCAATCGAGGCAGCGACCGGGGCAGGAGCAGAACGGGCAGGCGATGAGTTGTAGAGATCATACTCAGGGTCCTCATCCTCCTCCTCGACAACGATAGCACAGGTAGATTCAGACTGAACCGGACGCTCGATGACGGGGTAGTCAAGCTTGACCTCCTCAACAGACGAGTCATCCTCGGCGTTGAACATGGCACTGTAGCCCTTGCCAGACATGGCCTCAGTGTCGAGGGGGTTGGCTGGGCCGGCGGGCACCTCTAGGAGGGCGAAGACGCGAGGTTGCTGGAAGTTGAAGCCGTTGCTGGCACCCCAGTTGTTGCCGTTGTTGTTCAAGTTGAGCATTGAAAAGTCAAGGTGAGTCTCGGGGACCATGGTCATGCCCACGTGGACGTTCTCATTCTCTGGCATGCCAGAAAACTGCTGGTTCTGAAACGGTGCTGGTGCTGGTGCGGCGACGACCGGGGTCGAGGCTGATGGCATAGAGGCCATGGGAGCCTTGGGCTGGAGAGCCTCGTCGCGGGACAACTCCTCGAGGAAGGGACCAAAGGCCTGGTGGCGGAGCAGGCGCTCGATGAAGGCGCGAGAGCGGGCGTTTTCCTCCAACAGCAGGCGGTTTTGAGTGCGGAGGTCGTTGGCTTCGTTGACCTTCATGGCGACTTCACCCTCAAGCTGGCCGATGTATTCTATCCAATGTTAGCTTAGTTGAAAAGGTCAGGGGGCGGGTACTCACCCTTTCTCCTAGAGCGGAAGGCGCGAGCAGACACCTTGTTACGGAGCTGGCGGCGTTCCTTTGAGCTGAGCTTCTTTCCCTCGTCGGAGGCGAGTAGCCTCTCGTCCTCGTCCATTTCGTCTTCGTCCTTTTTGGCGCGGATGATGTGGGGAAGGAGGCCTTGTCCGTCGTTCTGCATGGACGACGAAGCGTTCTGGCTGTCGGCTCGGATCTGTGCGACGACGCGAGCGATGGTCTCCTCCGTGCGGGCGTCGCTCAGAGGGCTCGACGTCTTCCTGCCGGCCTGGCTGGGGGGTTGCAGACGGTTCTGTTGTTGTGCCTGCATGGCCTGTTGTTGTTGCTGTTGCTGCTGCTGTTTCTGGTGGGCGAGTTGTTGCTGCTGTTGCTGCTGTCGCTGCTGCTGCTGTTGGGCCTGTGCCTTGGCTAGAGCGGCCTGCTGCTGATGCATACCGGGCCACACCCTGACGTTTGGCATCTCCTCTTGTGTAATGGCACTCGGATCGACAAAGTCGTCTTGCGAAGCGTCGTTGAACAGGTAGCCCGGCGGCTGGTAGTTGATGCCCATGTTCATGGCCGAGTCCATGGGTAAGCCAGTACTCCACGAAGCGTCCATGACGGAGTCGCCGCCCATCAAAGCCATCTCGTCCAAGCCCGTGGACGAGAACATGGAGAAGCCTGGGTTGTAGGCGGCATTGAGGCCGGCGATGGAGCCCGAGGGCAGGCCCGTCTGCTGCTTGAAGCGCTCATACTCGTGGCTGGGCTTCGAGGGGATCTGCTGGTCTTCGTCGATGGCCGTGCTCGTCGGGCTCGCCATGGTCGATGTTGCGCTCGATTCCCGCTTGAGGTTTGCGGGTGTCGGGGAGGGAAGGGCGCCGAAGTCGAAGAACTCCTGCTCGGGGTCGATGCATTGGTTGGGGTGACTGTTGAAGTGCGCCATTGTCATCGCAGACTGCACTGCGGTGGCCATGGTGCTTGGTGCGTTGTTTGCGTGGTGAGAGGGTCGCTGGCCGTGATGGAGAGGATCCTTAGGCAGACAGGTCGAGGTGGACGGCTTGGGGGTGTGGTGTTGTGGTGTGGGCAGGCCGCTGGGGTTGGCCGGGGTCGCTGGGAGACAAGAGTGGTTAGGCTGACAAAGTCGTCGTCAGCTCGTCCTAGTGTTGCCGAGAAATCGTGGCTGAGTCTCTCCTCACCTTTTTTGGCCGTGTGTGCCGTGGAGGATCCGACGCTGGTATTTTGATGGAATGTGGTGGTAGTAGTGGTGGTGTTGATGATGATGATGGGTGTCGAGAATACGAGAAGAGTGACAGTGTGAGGGGCGGCGAGAGCGATCAGGTAGGGTCGTGGGTCGTGGCTTCTTCTTCTGCTGCTGCTTGGGAGGCGTTTCACTAATGAGGCAGTGCCCCCCCCCCCCCCCCCCCAGTGACAGTGTGAGGGGCGGCGAGAGCGATCAGGTAGGGTCGTGGGTCGTGGCTTCTTCTTCTGCTGCTGCTTGGGAGGCGTTTCACTAATGAGGCAGTGCCCCCCCCCCCAGCCCAAAATAGCAGGGCGGCGGCCGAATGTGCGTCGATGCATGCCAACGCCCTCCCGAAGTCCCGCCGCCGTTGAATTCTCCCTCCCCCCCCCCTTTGGGCATCGCCTTGGCCGCCAACTAACTTGGAATCCTTGGAACTGCCTCTTCTATCTTCTCCCGTCTCGGGTCCGGTCATGGTGATGGTATTGCTTGCTCGCTATACCCTTCCACAGCCTCCAAGGGTGCTGGCAAAAGCCTGGGTATTCATCCGATGCTCTTCCTCTAGCTTCTGCCATCTGCCATGTAATCTGCCATTACGCACTTGATGCAGCATCACGGCGAAGCAACCCGCCGACTCCGATCAACTACGGGCGAACCACAGCTGCCCCCCATCCACACGGTTGAGGCGGTGCACTCGACCTTACTCCTTTTAGGGGGCAAGTTGCGACGCCTGCTGTCATTCGTCCCCTCGTAGCTACAATATGCTCTTTTGCGCGCGAAGAGTTTCCACGGACGCCGGCTCAACCATCAGCTTCTCACCTCCATGCATTGTACCACCTAGTGTGCTGACAGTCTACTCTACCCACAACTCCGGTAGTCCTGCGTGATACACCCCAGCGTCTCGAAGCCCCGCAGCGTCGTCCACCCTGTTGGCCTCGGGGTCCCAGAGCTGAGTCTCATGAAACACCAGCCTGGGACGTCAAGCCTGTCACTAGACTCGCGACAAAACTGCCGGCGCGGGACTTTCCGCCCTACAAAACCCTCAAGGATAGCCTTACTGCGCTATTAACATTCCTTGATTTTCAGATCATCCCCACTCATTAACGTTTATCCGTCCGGAGTCATGCCTGCGACTTGGCCTTCTCAGCCTCACCACACTTGATTGACCGTGCCACTAACTTTATTGTAGATTCTGAAAGTAGTAGGGATTTGAAGCTGATTCGGCCCCTCATGTTGACTGCAATGCGTGAGGGGGGGAGGCCCTACTCCATGTGGTAGTACCTGTGCCTCACTCAGGCTTATCATGCTCGTACATCTTACTCTCAGCACGAGCATACCCTTCATGAACCACAAGGAGCGAGCTCCGAAGCAAAATCATCTCCTATAATCACCGCGTTCTGCTATCTCTACTACCATGTGCTTCTGCGCCTCCACCACCACGACATCAAGCGGGGGGCCTCTTCCTGGCCACCATGCTCTCTTTACCACAAGCGTCTTCCGCATCACATTCCAGCCTCAACCTTACCAACTTCATTACAGCTACCCAATCTCTCCAGCTCGGCCAACTGCGCATTGCACTAAACAATCCAGACCGTTCCTAGCCCCAAACAGCCCTGCACTCAACCGTGGAACGAAATCCGCGCGAGGCTAATCCTCCCTTACCGAATGCGGACCTTCATGCGCTGCGCTACTTTTCCGTACAAGATCTATGCACAAACTTACGACGCGCTGCTTTTTTTCGGCGAACGACTGGCAAGGTACGTCGTAAGCACACTAGAACTCGAGCCTTAACTGCGGGAGTATGTTTATTTCGAGGGTTATTCCCGTCTACTAGCATGAATGCACTCTACATGCCGCTGTAGTCTCCACTTCGTCAGAAAGGGGTGGGTTATTTTCAGACACAAACGATGATGAATGCAGCAATTTTCTGAACGATAATAAACTGCCGTACCTTTCTAGTATCGGAGCCGGATTGCGTAGTCAGACAGACCCGGAAGCTTGTTGAGCTTGTTTCATAGGTATCCCTTTTCTAGAGAACGCGCGCTCTGGTTTAGAGTAGAGGGGCTCGCAGGTGCTAAGAGGCTTAATGCCGTTACACCCCAATATGCTTAACTGGATTGTAGAAGCCCGTGTCAGAGCTTTAAACTAGGAGTGAGAGCAAGGCTGTCGCACCATGGAGAGGGACTCGTCACCTTGGATGCAAGTCGAGCTTCGGCCCATGATGTTGAATGCAGCTCAATCACAGTGATGGCTGAATTGCGGTAAAGAAATAGTATCTGTACATTGGAGTGTATATGCCATGCCTTCCATCGCGGTAGTTTATAGCTCCTACTGTATATATTGTACACAGTATGGCTTCAAATAGTCTTACAGTAGCCAATCAAGGCCCTTATACCCGTCCGTACCTAGGCTCACGCTCAGGCTCGTCGGTCAAGAAGCCATGAACATCCTCTTCCTGTTCCACTGCACCGTAGTCCACGTCTTGAACGTTAGATGCATGCGGTATAGGAGCCTCATCCTGCGCCTCCTCATCGCTAGCCTTTGGAGCGTGGTCTTGGGACATGAAATCGCCCATCCGCTCCTCCATACGTATACCCAACTTGTGAACAGTGTAGGAGAACACCCTCCCCTGCGCCGCACCGCCTGTAACGCCACCCTTGGCAACACCCTCGCCGCGCTCCACATCCCTCACAATAGCTCTCGCCCGCTCCATGTCCCCGTCTTCCACAAGCGCCTTGACTACATTCGTCAACGCGTCCCACTGAAGTAGTCTCCCATCCTTGGACATCTTGGCCAGCACGCTCATCATCTTGCCCACTTCGCCCAACGCAGCATAGCACTCGATCAAGCGAAGGAACAGGAGGCGATCAGTGGGGATTTTATGATCGGTGAAGATTTGCTGCACAAGGCTGTCCATGGCCGCTACGGCGGGTGGATCTTGCTGGAAATAGTCGGTAATCAAACTAGTATAGACGTAGGAGCTCGGCCTGAGGTTTCGGCGGATCATGTGGTCGACAAGCACCCGGACAGCGCCGTGATTCGAGTAGTGCTTCAGCAAGCGGTCGATGGCCACCCCGTACACGCCATCGGTCATTTTTATGCCGCTGGCCTCTATACTCTCAAACACAGAGACGATGCGCTCCGTCTGCTCTTTCGCAGAGAGGTTGTCGAATTTCTGCAAGTCGAAGGCGGCCGTGATGAGCATGATATGCGTGACGATGTCGCTTTCGATTCCGTCCTGCTCCATTTGTCGTACCACTTGGAACGCTTGAGCGTAGTCTCGTAACTGGAGGTAGAGTTTAATCATGATATTGTAAGTGCGAGTGTTAGGTTTGATCTCAAAGTTGCCAGCCCATTCAAGGATCCTTTGGATGGTTTGTACACGCTTGTCGCGCCTCAAAGAGTCTGGGCGCAACTTGACCAGCGCAGAAATAGCCCCATTAATGGTTTGGACTTGGGGCTTCGTGCAATTGTTGACGGCTTTGGAGGATTCGGATACATTTTGCACGCCTTTGCTTTTCCTGCCATGGGATCGCGGGCTTGTGACAATGTTTTCAGCCGCCATCCACCTCTTGCCCATCTCATCAAGCGCCTTAAGGCCTGAGTTGATTTGGTGCAAAGATATCAAACCGTTGACTCGGGCCGTCCAGGCATAGGTGTCCGGCTCCGCCCCAGTGCTGAGCATGCGCGACCACATTGCGTTGAGGCCGTTGAGGTCTCTGGTTTTTGCGCAGCCGTCGAGGACTGCAACCCAGGACCGCATATCAGGCTTGACACCGTGGGCGATCATGTGATTCCAGACATCGACAGAGCGTTCCGAGTGGGCAAGTTTCATGAAGCCGGAGAGGAAGGCGTTGTAAATTAGGGGAGGTATTGATGTGCTCTGGCCTCGGGGCGTATAATCATGCTCGACTTGTTTCCAGAGACTTTCTAGCCTCAAAGTTGACGTACTCGATAAGACCGCTCGCGCTATCCTCTTGAGATAGAACGCCTCCAGATTGGCTGCTTCATCACCCCCCCAAAACTCTCCTTTTGATCCAATCATTGTCATCGCTGTGTGTCGAACGACACCAATCTCCTTTTTGATCTGCCTCAGAACCTCTACAGGTAGTTCGTTCAAAGTTTTCGACTGCTCTACAAAATTCAAGATGTGATCAACATGGGCGTCCGCGAGCAGTTTTGCTAGGAACTGCAGTAAAGGCGCGGCTTGCTGTTGCAAAGTCTCATCCGAGTTCAGGGCCTCTGAAATAGTGAATAGGTAGACAGCACAGAAGCCCAGAGTATTGTTGCCCTTATATTTGGGGTGGTATTCTTGCAAGCGCATGCCGAAATTTTTTCCCGCAAAACTGTCGGCAAGAGATTCAGCTGCTGGCAGTTGCCACTCGGTGCTGATGACCTCTAGCGAATCGCCTTTCGGGCCCATGCATTGGAAGAAGAGTCGCCATACTGAAAGTAGCTCCAAGAGTAGCGAAGGTAGGTCTCGATTGGGTTTTTTGGTCGTATCGTTCACGGCATGGATAGCTTGATATGTCAAATAAGCTATTGTTTGCCTACTCCAGTATTCCGAACGCGCAATTCCCAGCTGCTCGAATTTGAAGAGGACGGCAGTCGGCTTGACGGCCACGTTTTTCAGGCCTTTGCAAAAAGCTGAATTGACAGCGTTCAAGAGTTGCAGGAAGAGCTTGCCGTCTTCCAGAAGTGCAGCATCACGGAGAGACGGTTCCGTCAGGGCTTTGCAGTCTCTTGAGGTGTAGTTATGCTCGAACGATTTCCAGGCTTGGCCAACCTTGCCACGGCTCAATGCTGACTTAATATATTCAGTATAACTCATCTCGGACTCTAGAGATGTGACGGGCCCTAGACCGTCCGTTGCAGCTTCCTCGGCACTGCCAGAATGAGTTGGCGGAGGTTGTGTTCTTCTCTCTGTGTCATCGAGTACGAGTCTCGAGTATCGGCCAGCGCGTCCCTCTTGTGGGTGGTTGCCCCTATACGGATATTGTATACTTGGCCCATCTTGGTATCTGTCCGGTGCGCCTTCTGACTGGTGCTGAGCTGCAGGTTGCTCCGTAGTCTGTGTAGGCTCGGCGTCTTCTTTCGATTTTGGGGTGCGCAGCGATAGAAACGTGGCTCGCGATTGCCATTGAGGGGTTCGGACGGGTACAAGGCGTCTGGAGGGCCGAGCCCTGCATTGGCGACATATATATGAGCCCAGCATGGCGCTCGAGCGGACTTGGTGAGAAGGACTGGAGGGCTTGAAGATGTTTGCGACTGAGCTTCTCGGATTTTGGGGAAAGAGATAGCTGCTACTGAAGGGCTGAAGGGTCGGAGTTTTCAATTACTCCGCATTATCGACATAAGGCGTAAAAGTTCGAACACCTCTTCTAACGCAAGGCGCAATGGCGTGCAGCACTTCCACGAGATAGTCTGGCGTCGTTGCAGATTTGAGTCCAAAGTCGCGAAGCCGGGCATGAATCGTGCTGTCCAATGAGATGCGGCTTAGGCCCGGGCGAATGACATGACACGTGACGAAAATCCCTTTGACGGGCGCCGCCAGTTGAGTATACTTGACACTCGAATACCTTATATAGACTCGAGACTCGACGCCTCGAAACTCTCGACCTCATTGTTATCTAGCCCTACTCTTGCTAATCTTTCCACGACGCAATGACTACGCTAATCCCGAGGCCATCCTATTCACGAGAGGAGCTTGACAAGCTTTATCCGAAAGAGCTTGAGCTGCAGCTCGTACAGATTGTAATTAATGCCATATCTCTGTGTTACACCAGACTAATCTTGAGCCTATAGCTTCTGCGCCATGGTTAGCCACGAAAGTCGGATTCCTCCAATCAAGAGTTGACCAGAGAACCTAGGTGAACGATCACCAGTATCTCCACGCTTCCAAAATGTACGATATTGTAGAGAAGGATATGTTCATTGCACTAACTGCTTTTTTAGACTGGACTACAACCATGTAAGACCTACCTAGAGGATGGAATGCGTCAATTCTCACACAACTAAAGATTGGCCCTACTGCAACTCTGCGCGCCAACTCACGAGCGTGATCCGGAACACCAAGGACTTCTCACAATGGGACCAACTCAAATATCGACGCCGTCTGGAGACTTTTGGCGCCTACGATAGCCCCGTCATTGCAGCCGGCCCCCAAGGAGAATTCGACGCAATATGCCAACCGGGCGAATTAACAGATAAAGGCCGCGACACCACGCTTGCCCTAGGCCAGAGGCTCCGCCATCTCTACGTCGACCAACTAGACTTTATGCCCAAGCTCATTGCAAGTAGCGATATGATCTACCTTCGCGCGACACCCATCCCACGCGCCCTGGAGTCCGTGCAACAAGCCTTCTCGGGCTTCTATCCGCCCTCTGCCCGTACCGCTGATTTTCCGCCACCGACGATTATTACTAGGACGCCGGCGGATGAGACGCTGTATCCTAATGACGCGAGTTGTAGGCGTTTTGCCAAGTTAAGTAGGGCGTTTGCGCAACGGACTGCTGAAAGGTGGAATGACACCGAGGACATGGAGTATCTGAGCAAATTGTTCTCCAAGTGGATGCCTGGGAAAGCGAAAGTCGCTGTGGACTCTCACCCAAGATTGTCAGGCATCATGGACACGTTAAATGCGACGGATGCTCATGGTCCGGAAACGAAATTGCCGAAGGAGTTCTACACCCCCAAGGCCCGCGCAATCATCGATAAGATTGCCGTCGAGGAGTGGTTCCAGGGATACAACGAGTCTGCGGAATACCGTATGCTCGGTAGCGGAGGTTTGATGGGCGATATCACATCACGCATGACCGGTAGCGTGGAGCGCAATGGCAACGACGGGCTTGTTGAAATCGGCGGCAATGATGGAGAACTTGGCAAAGGTCGTGGTGGCGAAACAGACATCAAGTTCGCACTTTCAGGATGTCACGACACGACGTTGGCCGGCGTACTCACTTCTCTCGGTGCATTTGATGGCGAGAATTGGCCCCCATTTACGAGCCACATTGCCTTTGAACTCTTTAGTAAACGCGCCGCAGCAGGTTTGTCCAGGCCCGCGCCGACTTTGCAACGACAGTCCAGCTCCAAGAATCCGAGCTGGTGGTCGTCGCTTTTCGGCAGCACAAAGCCTTATGAGGAAGCATCGGTCGCACCAGAAGGTATTTCCCGCAAGCCCATTACAGAACTTACGCAGGCACAGCGAGAAGCGCTGCAAGGGTACTATGTCCGCATCCGCTACAACGATAAGATCATGCAAGTTCCAGGGTGCAAACCGGAAGGCAAGCATTTAGATGGCGACACAACCTTTTGTACTTTGGTAAGTTCAAGGTCCGCATTGTGGTCGTTTGAAGACTTTGAAAGTGGAGCTAATAAACGTTACAGGAAGCGTTCAAGTCCATTGTAGACAAGTACACGCCGAAGAACTGGAAAGCCGCTTGTACAAGCAGGTTGGATGAACCAGCATTCCCAGACAAGCCGGAGCCTGCTGGCTACGAGTAAATGTTACCAACAGACAAGGAGATTCAGCGAGTAGCTTGCTTGTTATAGACCATTAGACTAAGACAGACCTTAGATGCGGCTAGAGCATGGATAAGTCAGAATTGCGAGATGAACAAACTTGGTCGATTACGGATCACTCTCCTTTGCACGCTAAACTAGCTTTAGATTTTGATTGCGTGGAGTTGGTTTGATAATTAGAATTGAGATTTTTACTGTCCTGTAGATGTCTTGGCATCCTCATGCTGTTTGAGTATGACCAGCATGGTGATGTTTATGCGAGGCCTTGACCTTGTCTGAATACAGAAATTTGACACTTCCCACTCCTAGCATAGCCGAACTGCTATATTGTATTCGAGAATTGATCAGAGTTTCGCAGAATCACAAGCTCATATCGTCGTCATATAGTAATATCAAAAGTTGCGGATGTGGGTATCAAATGGTCCATTAAATCTCCGGTTGTGGACTATAGAATTACACGCTACTATTGGTATCGCCAGATCGCATTCAAGTGCGGAAAGGGTTGAGAAGTGGACCAAACTTTTGTGCGTTTGCGCATGACCACGAACAAGTTCCCGCCACCAGACAACTTGTCCAATGCTTCTCTCCCACCCTCCTCCGCTGTGTCGTTTCGCATCCATTGCGCCACCATCTGTCCTGTTATTGTACAAAAGAAGATGAACCCCGGCGGATGTTCAGAGCTCTAGAAGGCGTAAAGACCCCTCATATTCCAAATCGCCTCATCAATCATGCTAGGTGTCCACTCCGCACCCGTCAACTGCGCCACGATGCCCTCTCTCTTATCTCTCGACAGGACAAGAAATCGCTCAATAAGATCACCGTCGATCACGCTCTTGACCGGTGCGTAATAACTGCGGTACGCCAAATGATCTCGTCCCGAAAGAGGTTTGTCATCCGTTCGTAATTGAAGCTCCAGCTGTTGGAACATCTTGTGCTGGCGGCGTGAGTTGAAGGGGATGAGCGCGCCCAGTGTGCCTTGAAGACCAGCCCAGAATATCACACGCTCACCACCGGACAGTAGGACGGTCTTCTGTATGGAGATTGGGATGTCGTTTGCAAAGTAGTGTGCGACGAGGTCGAGGCGGTTGGCGGTACCGCCAAGATAGCTCTTGTCGACAAGCAGATCAGAGCCGTCGGGTGATTCATCGGACGACTCAGAGACTTTCTGCGGACACCGGACTAGCCATATGTTGCCAAACTTGTCGCCACCGACTGTTGTGTCGTAGTCCAGCATTTCCGAGGCAGACGTGTGTCGAGCAATAGTATCATCGACAAAAGGAATCAGACGGTTGGGATGAACCTGGTCCTTGTGCACTACGTATGTGACAGACTGCGCCTGATCAGAGACAACAAGACGGCTTCCCTGGGTTTTAATGTCCGTAATCCGTGTCGTGACGCAATTCGGGGCTTGCGCTTTGCGAAGAACGGAGCGCATACCGCAGTCATAAAGGCAGAGGTGTCGACCAACGCCAGCAATAAGCTTGCCCTTGAAACCGAGTAGCGCTAGAGGAGGCTCGCTGACTTCGGTCTCGTGGAAGAACTCAAGCTCACGCCCGTTTGGAGAGATCTTATACACTTGTATCGATGCGGCGGAGAACTTGTATGGATTGAAGCTCAAGTCTTTAGCAGTGCCCACAGCGAGGAAGGCTTCTTCGCCCCGGCTTTCGAAGAAGACAAGGGCAGCGCTGACAAGGGAGTGATTCGTTTTGAGCTCCACAGTGTGCGTGACAGCCTTCTCGCTCACCGGGTCAACCACCTGGATGCATGACGCCCAGCTGCCCTTCGCCCGGGGGTAGCCAAATTCGACCGGGGGCAGTTCTTCGCTTTCGTGTGTGCCGTTCGCCGATTCGCCATTTGTTTGCGCAACCTCCATAGAGCTGCCGGTACCGTTTGAGTCTTTGGTGCTCGATTCCGCGATCAGTTTTTCTCTCGTGTCGGCGTTGAGCGTGTTGTTTTCGCTCTCAATGACGTAGAAGACACCCTGATCATGGTACCCTACCATCTTTCTTGGGGTGTACTTCAACGGTATGTTTTCGTAAGTCGTGTTGTCCGTGAGGTCGTTGAATGTGAAGATTCTATGATAGATCAGCCTTTGCACTACAAGGCCAGGTAGGTAGTAAGGTTCAAGGTGTGACTGCGTTCAGTAGGAACAATTGGAATTTGTTTTAAGTCCCTCAGCGTGTATAAGGAGTACGATGTGTCATCATGCAATCAAGAAGAGAAAGAAAAGAGATTTGCTTACCGTAACTCATTAGCGCTCACACAGATAATTCCCTTGAACTGTGAGCCTTCGAAGTTCCATGCGGATTTGAAAGCGATGTAGTTCAGCGGTGTCAGCTGTAGCACACCGGTGCGTGGATGCGTGTAGCCAAGCCATGGCCTGGATGTCATGGCGAGAATGGCAGGTTCACCGGCAACAGTCACCTTTGCGAATTTAATGGGCTCCGGACCAAGGAAACGTCTCCGGGTGTCTCCGATATCGCCAGTCATCTCGTCCAGCACTGATCGGATGTACACTCCACTTCGCAAACCAATATGGAGGAATTGGCTGTACCCGCGCGGTGACTTGTCCGTCATGACATTGATGATGAGATCGCTAGGTGGTGACGTGAGGGCTTGGACGGAAATGCTCCTCAGAATGTTGCCCTCCATGTCGGGACTCAAGTTGAATATCCTGACGGTCTGGTCGCTGCAGCCAACAGCCAAAAAGAAAGCCCGCACACTGCCATCAGGCACATCAGGCATCGCGAGGCAGTTGATCGTGCTATCCAAAGCGATCTCCTCTTCAGCCATAGCAAGTGAGCCATCTGAATCACATTCAAAGTACAGGATCTGGCCTGAACTCAGCGCGATGGCAACTTGTCGGTTGTTGGTAGCGCAAGCCACAATCGTTCGATGTGCGGGAGGCTGCCAATCTGTAAGACTAGCGTGTGTTGCGCTCGCGTCATCATTCGGGAACTGGATGCCCTGGATATGACGGATGCCCTTGGGGTGTATTTGAATGATGCAGTCTTCACCGAACTGCTGGACTCCGAGTGTGTTGGTGTCTGGCAAGAAACCCGTGTTTGACGCTTCCTCGACATCATCTCCAATTTTCAGAACAAGGGTTCTGCTGTGCAGACAGAGGACAATGAGCGTGTCAGTCTCGTCTTCAATGGTCAGCTTCGTCGTCCACACATCGGAAGCATTCTGCGGCAACGGTGACTCGATGAGATCCAAAACTTCTAAGGCGTTTCTTGTGGTGCGGAAAGAGCTTCGGCCGCCAGTACCGTTGATCGTGTAAACCTGCGGCGCATCCTCCAGCGCAGGGTTGGCAACTTCCATGCCCATGATTGGGTTCAGACTAGGCATGGTCTCTACCGCGGTGAGATTGGTCAAGGGTCTTGGACGAAAGAATGGAGGGGCGAAAGTGGCCGCGGGGTCAACAGGGAACTGATCGCTCTCGAAGAGAGGATCCTCTGTCTCATCACCCAAAGATTCCAACTCATACAGTATCCGGTCCCCGGATTCGCATGCGGCATATACGAAGCCTGCACGAAGGATGCATATGCTTGTGCAAATCGGTATTGTGTCGAAGTACTTGATCTTGATCTTGTCCACCGTGCCACTTGGGGCCTCAACAGTAAGCTTGAAAACGTCGCCGTCATCCGTTTGCAGGAGGTAGAAGAAGTCGCCACCTTTGAGCGAGTACAGTGTACCGGCGACGATGATTCGCTTCCGGTTGGGGTCTTCAGTCGCCCCCTCACGGCGCGGTATCGCAAGTCGATGCACGCTGGATTTATTATTGAAAATGCGGCGGTATGTGATATTGTCCTCTCCGCAGCAGAGCACGCCACTAGGCGCAGTGGGACCTCCTGGCACCCGAAAAAGCGTATTGGCTGTGCGATCAACCGGCTCAGACCACTTTCGCACGATGTGGTTGAGACCGAGATCCAGCTCATAGTAAACGAGCTCCTTCTTCAGCTCATCGTAGGCTTCTCCACTTGGATCGGATTCCGAGTTGGAATAGTCTACCTCAAGCGTAGCAAACATGGGGTTGTCGTATCCTACGTCGAGGCCAATGAGACAGTAAACCAGCGTCTGTGGCTTGTGCGCTTCTAATGGTGAAGAAATGGCAATGTCCGTCTGGCCGCTTCGGGTGAGAATGTAGACCAGCTTGTTTTTCTCCGTCGACGCTATCATGATAGCGCGCCCTTTCGGGTCGGCTGCCAGATACTCGCCAGGGACTACGCGGCGTATGCCAGACTTGCCATAAGTCTCAAAGTGCACCGTTTTAAACAAGCGCTCCTCAGGAAGGTACTCGTAGGTGACTAACCGTCCCGAGTCGGTGGTTATGACAATGTGGTCTACAGAGTCAGCAAGTGTTCTCAGATGCACTTATAGTCCAGTCCAGTCAACCGCAGGCTCAAGGCGCTGCGAGCCCCAGGGGTCGTGTGCTTTGGAAAATCACTAAACTGGCTTATAGCGTGTAGAGAAGGAAAAGACATACCCTTGGTACCGCCCGCGATCCGGAACTTGGCTATGCCACGCACAATGCCAAACACGTCCTGGGAGTAGAGCTCTTGGAAGCCCTTCTGTCGCCGTGAGACCTCGAGGATAGCTAGACGTGAGCCGTTCGCTGTGAGGATCTGCTGCTTGCCATTTCCAAGGAAGTCGCCAGAAATAGCATCTTGTGTAGCCGACGGCTGCTTCACCGTCAGAGCATAGAGGGACATGCTCGAGAAGCTCGTCATGGTGGGCGACGGCGGGCGCTGGCCCAGATGCTACCGACGCGCCGACAAGTGTAATGAGTAGGTTGCCCTTGAGTTGTATCAATGGGCACGAGTGACGCGGAGCTTGTCAGGGTGTTGGCGCGCTGAAGTGGGAGAGCAGCGGCATGTCTTGCTCGTGGAAGGCAGGAAAGATTTCGAGTGGCCAGAGCTCCACGCCGGCCAAACATGGCTCCGTGCAGCCAATCAGTGAAGAGCCCCGCCAAAAAGTTGCAAAAGTTCAGGAAGGCGTTAAGAAGTCTACTACGACAGCAACCAAACCCTATAATCGAGCCAAGATGAAGCGTAAAGTTGGTGCCCTCGAAAAGATCGAGGCAGATCATGCCGCGCTCCGCTACAAGATCAAGCGCGACCCCCAGAGCTACCGCGACGATTTCAGCAATCAGTACCAGCAGTACGAGACGCTGCGCGACCTTTTCCTCCAGAGCCCTGGAACTCTTGACACGGGCATTGTCGCTTTGCGGGATCTGGTCGAGTTCGTCTCTCATGTCGCCGATTGCTATCCAGACCTCACCTCCACATTCCCGGCCGACTTGACCCAAATCCTGCTGCAGCACCATGAAGTACTCGAGTACGAACTTCGGGACAAGATCGTGGGCAGTCTGGTGCTGCTGAAGAACAAGGATGTTATCGATTCTACTGCCCTGCTGAACACGCTCTTCCCCATTCTCATCACCACGCCGAGCAAGTCTCTTCGCCAGCTGCTCTTCACCAAGATCCTCTCCGACCTGCGCTCCGCCAACGTCAAAACGACCAACCACAAGCTGAACCGCACCATTCAGACTGTGCTATACAACCTGCTTGAATCGGACAAGGAGTCACCAAAGGGCATCTGGGCAGTGAAGATAACCCGAGAACTCTGGAAGCGGCAGATATGGTCAGATGCTCGCGCTGTCGAGGTCATGCGATTGGCAGCATTGAGCGACAACGAGAAGGTCATAGCCGGTGGCGTGCGCTTCTTCCTTGGTGGCGACAAGGAGCGAGAAGATGCGGCAGACGAAAGCAGTGACGATGACAACGATGTCGACATGGCAAAATTACGGCATCAGGTTGGCATTAACAAGAAGTCTAAGAAGAAGGAAAACAATCTCAGGAAGGCTGCTGTCAACCTGAAGAAAAAAGAAAAGAAGAAGAATGCGCCGCACCCGCTAAACTTCTCTGCGCTGCATCTCTTACATGACCCCCAAGGTTTTGCAGAGACGCTCTTTTCGAAGCACGTTCAGAACTCAAAGTCCAAGCTTTCTCTCGAGACGAAGCTGCTCGTCCTTCAGCTCGTGTCACGTCTCGTTGGTCTCCACAAGCTCACAGTTCTGTCCCTTTACTCGTATTTTCTCAAGCACCTCACCCCCCGACAAGCCTCCGTAACAAGCTACCTAGCGTGTCTTGCGCAAGCAACACACAACTATGTCCCACCCGACGTTCTAGAGCCGCTCGTACAGAAGATTGCAAATGAATTCGTCTCTGAAGCCTCAGCGTCTGAAGTCGCAGCAGCGGGTCTGAACGCCATTCGCGAGATTTGCGTGCGACAGCCGTTAGCAATGACCGATACCTTGCTACAGGATTTAGTTCAGGTATGTTGCACCATCCCAACCTTGATGGGGACGGACAGCTAATGCCCCACAGTACCGCAAATCCAAAGACAAGGGCACAATGATGGCCGCTAAAGGCCTCCTCTCCCTCTACCGCGAAGTCGGCGCCGAACTCTTGCACAAGCGCGACCGTGGCAAAGTCGCCGCAATAGGTGTCCGCGCTGGCACCATCAAGGAGCGCCGATACGGCGAGGAAGCAGTCGGCGAGGTCGAAGGCATTGAGCTTTTGGAGCAATGGAAGGAAGAGGAACGCAGGAAAAAGATGGAAGCTGCGGGCCTAGACCCGGACGTGGACGTTGATATTGAAGTAGATGACGCCGAAGACTGGAAGAAATGGGATGTTGAATCCGACGGAGACAGCGATGACTCTGGGGGCTGGATAAACGTTGAATCTGACGGTGAAGAGATCGAAATCAGTGATAGTGAGGACGAAAAGGACAAGTCGAAAGAACGTCCAGCGAAGAAAGCGAAGCTCAGCAGTGCGACACCGGCACCAACCGATGCGAACGACGAGAAGGAACCTTCAAAGAGCGCTGAAGCGGAAGCAAAGTCGATTTCAAAACTCCTCACAACCACCATCCTCACCCCGGCCGACCTCAAACAACTCCAAGCCCTCCGCTCCAGTTCTGCCATCACTAGTTCCCTCCCCTCGCACAAACGCGCCCAACTACTCGCAGCCCGCCACGCCGACGAAGCAATCACCGCCGAGACCATCGAGTTTGCCGCTTCCATTGGCAAGAAGAATTCCAAGGAGGAGAAGGTTAGGATGGCCAAGGCAGATAGGGAGACGAATCACCAAAGCACCACGGCTAAGCGGAAGGAGAAGAAGGAATCAGAAGGAAAGAGTACCACCAACAAAGAAAAGGCAAGGAAGAAGAATTTCCTCATGACGCTAGGCAAGGCGAAGAGTAAGGATAAGAGGTCCCTGACCCAAGTGAAGAGGACGTTGCAGGGTCATATTGAGAGGAAGAAGAGGGGTGGTAAGAGGGGAAACAAGGGTAATTAAAGTTGTGTGGAGACTGATACCCAAATGAAATGTGTTGAGAGAAGATGTGTATTTCTTCTTTGCTCACCATGCTTTGACATGAAAAGCTTACATTGTCCAACGCCTAACCGCAATACTTTTCATCGGTTTACACGTGTACAAAGGCCAGTCCCGAAAGTCGTACACATGGACATCACACACCATCGTCGACACCATCGTCGACACCATCCCACACTTACAAAACTCTTCGCCGACACGCCAATACAATGCCTTCTATTTCCACGTTACTCCACTTGCATAACAGTTGTCGCCAGACGAGGAGTCCTGCTACGAGGGCTTGATATCTTCCCGTCCAGACTCGAACGCATGCCACTGGAGCTCGCCAACTTGCCGTCGAACCTCGGTGTAGGCGACGAACTGCGCGCGTTCGCAAACACATCTGCAACACCCTGGCCCGAACCGTCTTGCCACATGTTCGCCGTAGCGGAAAAGACCCGTCTCATCTCGTCGTCCTGTCCCTTCCTCTTCTCTTGCTCAAGCTGCTGCTGGGCTCTTATGCCTGTCGCCATCGCGGACTGCACACTCCCGTCTTTGCGGTGACTAACACTGATCGTGCTATCCGTATTGCTCTTTCTGCGCTTGCGAGCGTTCTGGGATTCGATCTTCATCCACTCTTTGACTCGCTGGTTCTGCACCGAGACAAGCATTGCAATGTCCTCTCGTATGCCTTTCTGGTTGGTTGAGTGCGGGTATAATTGTAGGAGAGATGTGAGGAGGGAGGTATGTTCGGTAATTTGGGTGATGTCGGAATTGGGATCATTGTCGTGGTGGATGGCAAGCTTCCTGTTGTTCAGTCCCTCCTCAGAAGTGAGAGGCCATGACAGCGATGCGGGGCCTGGACGAGCTGTAGAGCTTAGAACAGATGGACGAACAACCTCAGCGGGGTGTTCAGACTCGGATGTGCTGGTCTCGTCGGGATCAGCATCCGAAAGCCTCCTCTTGCGTGCCGAAGGTCTCGAGTACTCTCGAACATACTGAACTGCTTTCTTTCGCAGCATCTCTTCATCCTGATTAGGAACCAGGGGATATGCATTCAGCTTTGGGGTGTGGTGGTTGTAGTACTGAACAGACGGATCCTGCCGTTGATTCAACGCGCCCGTATGCTGGGTCAGGAACTGAGCCGACATGGGATATTGCACCTCGAAGGGCACATCATAATATCCAAGACTTCTATAGCCGGGCATCTCATTCACACTCCCACCCGGTGCTGCTATCATCTTTGCGTTCATCATGCGGTATATATCATGGCTTTTGTGTCCGGTAAAAGTGCTTCCGTTCGCGGGTTTGGGCGCCAGCGCTGGCCTCGAGGGTCGGTAGCTATATAGCTTCCTGTAGCCTCGGTCTAAGAACTTGTGCGGTTCCGACTGCCGCTGCTGTTTTCTTCTTGCGGCTCGGGCTCGCTTTGAAAGGGGAGAAGAGTCGTTGATGATGATGGGATTGAGCTCGCCGCCGGTGACTTTTGCGGGTTTTGGCATCAATCTTCGCAGGGTCGGGGAGGAACTGCTGTCTTGACGGCTCAAAGGGTCGCAATTATTCTTTGGCATGCTCATGATGGCCTTGTCTGGCGTGTCGGTAGTGAACGGGGAGGTTAGACTGAGATCATACTCACTCATAGAATCTAGGCGTACAGGGTCGAGAGCGGTAATGGAAAGCTTCGGGGTAGCTGCAGTGTTTTGCGTCCTGCTTCTACTGGGTCCGATAACATGAATTGCGTCGTTGGCGGTGTTGGCGATTTTTGACTTTGAGGTCCGATTAGTGGCGGCACCGTTTGCAGTGCCTCGACGCGTGGTCACCATCTCGGGTATCTAGTACCCATTAGTCTTTCACCGTCATTGTGAACATAAGGCTTTACCTAAACCGCACCTGCACATATGCTAATATTCTTGCCTTCAACTTCTCTCCTGATTGAAAGCGAAGTTCAGAGCAAATGCCTCAACTCGCTAGCTAGTATGCGCTCACTGGTATATGAAGTGAAGCAAAGAAAAGCAAAGAGTTGGAAGAAGAGTAGAGAAGAGGGTGGAAGTTATGACTCAAGAACAAAAATTTCAGTTGTGCCTGTGTATATGTGGAAGGTACAATATTAAGTGGAAGGTGCGCGTGGCAGTGAAGTTGAATGGGAAGGCGCAGCTCTGAAACGATAAACAAACGCCACGAAAGGAGACACCATGTCTCTATGCAAGCCCTGACAGGCCCTCAAGGTGTACATTTATGTAGCCCCACAAACTCATGCGGATTGCCTTATCTGATTGTAGAGATCAGCAAATAGAAGAAGAGTGTCACACGAGCAACATTACCGTCGTCACCTGCTTCACTAGCCGCAGCACTTTGGCGCAAGCAAAAACGCACGAAGACATGCTATCGTTTCCGCATCATCCACCTCGTTGACCACCCGGTTGATTGCACCACCATCCCAAGCTATTCCATACCACAGCAACACACCGACATCCCGAACCATCTCGACGTCCGCTCTCCTACTCACCAAATCCGGCACGGCCTCTAGCAAGCGAGTCCAAAATAAAGCTCGAAGTTGCGGCGCATTATCGAAGTATACGAATTCAGGCGCAATGCTCGACGTGGAAGTATCGTACGACGGAGGTGTTGGGTATTGCGAGGCCGAAGAAAAGTAGCCCAGGAGATGCTCGAGTCCATATAAACAAGTCCCGAAAGGTAGATACTCGGCTTCTGCCCAGTCAACGACGCCTGCGATCTCCCAAGTTTCCTCGTCAATAAGAATGTTGGACGGTATGAGATCGCCATGGTTTAACGTGACCGGAAAGTCCGTGGAGTTTCGTATCTGATGCAGTCTATCCCTCGCTATATCCCTCAACCCCTGCTCCGGTAGCTCTATAGCGATCTTCTCAAGCCTGGCGATGATACTCGAGCCAACTTTGCCTGTGCACTTCAAGAGCATGGCCGTCTTGTCGTCCATGGGTGAATCAGCTCTCATGTCCCTGTCCAACGATGGCGCCTTCGTCTCAACTCGCCAGCCTTGCGCTATGAAGTCGGCAAAGCAAGCTACAAGATTCTCCTGCTTACTCCTTGAGCTGGGGTCGAGTGTACGGCTATGAGGCTGAAGCCGACTGAACGGTGCACCGTACAGCCTTTCCATTCTATATGCACATAATTGGTTCGGCAAAATCAGATCTAGGCCTTGTATACGCGGAGCTAGAGTGGAGTACGTCCTCTTCGCAGCCTGCGTCATTGCGAGTTCGAGCGCGTGTTGCACGGGTCGGATCTGAACGACAAAGTCTCCGCATTTCGTGAAGTCGAGAGCTGGGGTTTTTGCGAAATCGCTTCCCTTACTAGAAATATGTGGTAGGCCCTGAGGAACAATCGCGATTGTGAAGCTGCAATAGCCTTGTTGTTCGCACTCCTCAATGTCATGGTCTGGAAACCTTTCCCGCATAGCTCTCATACAAATTTCTTTGTCTGTTTCTTGCATCCCATTACGACGCCAAAAGCTCGATCGAGCGTGCTGTAACATTTCGAAGATAGTGATCAAGTGAGGCCGGTAATAAGGGTAGAAACGGTCCATCTCGGAAACTGGATGGGACCGAGGTCATCTTGTCATGAACCACCAGTGACGTGCTGCGCTTAGCCTGTTCGCCCCGCATTGCTGTATGTACAACGTTAGGTGGGTGTATATTTAATATAGATACGCCGAGATTGCTATATTAACTAGCTAAGCTTATAACGTAGATATCTATCCTTACGTGCTCTATCTACCTCTATAATAACTCTGGATTATTATATATAGCTCTAAAAAATCGCTTCTGCATTCTACTAGACAAGGGGATACTAAACTCTAATGCTATTTACGGCGCAAATGTATGCACCTTCTCTTGATAGTACCAAGCCCTTCTATTCTTGTACACTAGGTCATGCGTCTTCTTCACATCGATGCTATGCACACACCTTGCCTCACCGTCCAAGCCTATTGCTACACAACTATGCCACGGGCTCCTCTGAAAGAAGCCTTCTGGGCTAGGCACCAGCGGAAACGACAATTTCGCCGCGCCAGAAGAAGGGTGTATTGACAACCTCACATCGCCGGGCCTCGCTGTCCTTATCGCCAACGTAAATGCCTCCGAGCGCTGCATCATCTTCCGCGCTGCTGCCTTGATCGCCTTCCTCTTTGCCGCTTTGTTCAGCCCTGTCAGAGACAGATGCGTTTCGAGCTCTGACTCGAGAAACTTGACCATGCCGCAGTAGGTGAGGCCTGTGTCCTTGTCTTTGCGGATGGCGGTGTCGATAGTCTTCTCGGAGGGACCGAAGCACCGCATGATCTCTTCGCGGCACAACTCTGCGGTGGCGATGTAGTTCTCACGAATGTTCTCTTCAAAGGATGAGAGACCGAGCATGGTCATCGGACGGACGAACCGGAGAGTGTTAAAGTCGTTCTCTTTGATCAGAACTTTGAGGGCTTCGCCGTACTCCCAGCAGTCCTCCTCAGTTATTCCAATGATATCTGCACCCCTGGTCAGCAGATGTTAGGAAGGAAGGATTGAATAGGGATAGTCGTACCGCTGAAGAGAACACCATCGGTCGCAATGTTGATGAAAGCGCCGGGAGCGTAGACTTTGCCGATGTCACTCGCCATCTCGTGAAGACGGCGCAGGCCCAGCTCTTCGCCGAGATCAGGCAGGTGACCCAGCACTTTGTTCTGACGGTTGGCCTTTATACATCAGCTCGTTCAACTTTTCTCCTTTGCGTCTTTTTTTGCACTTACACTTTTGCAAGGAAATGCCGGCAGCGTCATCAGCACAGGCTTTCTTTGCCGCACAAAATTGTACACGTGGGGAAGGAAGTGCGCTTTCCCAATCCATGTTGTTTTACCCGTAGGGTTGGGAGTGGAGTCTATGTGCTTTCCATAGCGTTCCATCACATTGAGGACCTCAAATGAAAGACGGTAGTGCTCAATCTCGATGGAGAAGTCGAAGAATCGTTGTTGAAGGGCCTTTGGAATGACATCGATGACACTGTTGCGCCGACTGACGGTGAAAGAAGACCCAAACGACAGTTTTAGGGGAAAGGAGACTGCAGGGCTATGTGTTGTGAACATGGTGTTTGGATATGTAAGACCAATGATTTCTGGCTCACTGGACCTGATCATCTGGGTCATTTCTACTTGTAATAGTAGTAATTGCGCAATTTCGCAACGGGCTTCGATGATGTTTCAACCATGTTCAACAGCTCGCAGAGGATTAGGGGACCTGCATATCTGAGTAGAAGTCAAAACTTCAGGCCCCAGTGCAATACCAAGGAACTCGTATTTTCTGAGTCAACTTTCAGGCTTGATATCCAACCAAAATCCAGTCCGAGCGTTAACTCCGAAAATACGAGTTCCTTCGTACAGCAAAAGTGTAGGGTCGAAAGTCCAGAACACCATGGCGACTTCCTATACGAATAAAAAATAGCTCAGCGCGGTGTCAGATGGTGGCAAACCGAAGATTTAGGATTGAGGATGTCTCGGCTAGAGATGATGCACTTCGGACGTACGTGTGCTTAGGGATAGGTATACTACATGGGGCTCTATGGATGCTGTGCGGTACGCCTCCAACTTCGAAGGACGCAGTACCTAGGTACTCACCTAAGCCCTAGGTACTGTGACTAGCTCAAACAAGTAAATGGATGTCATACTTCCCTCAAGATGGACGCCACATTATTGATTGAGGCGGGCTGCAGTTAGGAGCATAACCTGAAGCTACGTTGTCGTGCTCGGCGCGTGGGATGCACGCGGCCATCTTCACAAAGATTGGAAGTGAGATCTGTGGTAGACATGCTTTTTCCGTCCAGGCCACACTGCAGCTACGTGTTGGTGTATCCCCAAACATTTGAAGCTGCGATACGTCGTTATGTGTGAGCGTCACGTGATAGATTAGAAAACCGGCACGCTACAGCCCGCTACGAAGTAGTGGTCCGTATTTACCAAGCTTATTGACACAACTTGAATTGAGAATTGCTAACGATCTTCTAATACTACTGGAATAAAGGAACAGCTGCAGGGCTGTATTCTTGCATCGCACTCTCCTCTCTCGCGGCTGCACGTAAATCTGCAGGCATTGCGGCTTCGCTTAGCCTGATCTTCCGTAAATAGCTTAGCGCTGGCGACGGGGACGGGCCGAGGCGCCAAGCGGAAGCTATTCATCCGCGCCCGTTCTGCCCAGGTGTTCTGTACTGGTAGCATTCTGGAAGCGCAGTTTCCTCCCACGTACCGCCCAATATCAGCTTCACCATGCCTGGCGCACAAGCGAAGATGTTGGCCATTCCGTGGCCATTGAAACCAGCACAGATGTACTGTCCCGGGAGCTCAGGGATCGCACCAACGTACGGCACCTTGTCGGGAGTGAATGCAAGTAAGCCGGTCCATGCCTGCTCCAAGTCCACTCCGTTTTCAATCTTTCGCGCGTGCGATGCCTCGGGGAAAAGCTCTGCAAATTTGGCATAAGCTTCTTTTGCGAGTGAGGGCTCGTACGAGCTCTCATCTACGCCGATTCCGCTCGGTCTGGCGATGCAAAACACGACTGATGCGTCCTCAGTTTGAATAGCTGCGTAGAAAGACTGCATGCTATACCGCAAAGCGTACGTTGCATTGATCTGAGCCCCTTCCGCTCGCTGGCTAGGCGGATCGAAGGACTGTACTTGCACTTTGACGGGTGTCAATAGAGGTCCAGAGAGCTGTGGTAAGAGTAGTCCTGCGTAGGCGTTTGTCGCATGGATAACAATCCTCGTATGTACTTGTCCTCGGGGTGTAGAAACGACCCACGAGTTTCCCTCTGCTAGACTGACGGCAGTTGCTGGACAATGAGTCCAGAACTTGACGCCTGCCCCAATTACACTGGACAGTAGCCAGTGTGTCAGCTTTGCAGGATGGATCGATGCAGCTTGCCATTCATACGCATCGATCGCGTTCGCAAAGCCAGTCTTTGCTCGTGCTTCCTCGTCCGTGTAGTATCGGATACCCTCCATACTACCTCCGGCTTCTGTGTACTGCTTGATATTCTTTGCTTCATCTGCTGCGACCTCTTCAGAGAAGTTGACATCGTAGGTTGCTTTCATCCGAAATTCGCAGGCTATCTCGTTCTCTGTTACAAAAGCGTCCACCGCCTTCAATACGCGGTTTTCGGTTTCTACAATCTGCAACGCTTGCTCCTTGCCGTGCGCGGCCGCATATCCGGCAAAACTTCTGAAGGCATCAGGTCGACAGTGTCCAGCATTTCGACCACTGGATCCGGAAACAGCTTCGCGAGCTTCCAGCACGAGAATTTCTGCTGGACTAACACCTGCTTCGACGAGTTTGAAAGCTGAAAGCGCACCAGAGATACCAGATCCAATGATCACGTATTGGACAGATTCAGGGACGGCGGAGGTGGAATTATGGTGCAAATAGCGGAACGATTCAGTCGTCCGGGACCAATATGAAGTCTGGCAATTTGAAAGTGGGAGTGAAGGTTTGAAATCTGCGGCAGGATGCGCTTTCGCCTGCGACATGACGAGTTAAGTCTTGATGGAGCGGCTTGGTGATTACTTTGAAGCTACCAAATTGTAGAAATCACAAAGTACGTGCGGTGAGACCAATACCATGCCCGGTCAAGAAGATCGACGAAGGCTATAGCACTTCCAAGTCACCGATCATCCCATACATAATGTCTACTAGCTTACGGAAGCCCTAACGCGACATGTGCGCGAGTTCTTCGAGAATCTACCGGTGCACCTAGGTACGACTGATCCGGTCGCAAGTCGGAAATCCTTCGGGCACCAACCCTGGTCTATGACTCCGCAGAAGAGTAAAGGTGAATTAGATATGCACATTGCATATGCGAACTAAATTAGCGTAGGACCGGAGTATTCTGACCGGGATCCATTCCTACGCTGACCGGACGAAGCATATAACCCCGTGTAACCCCGTGTAACCCCGTGTAAGCCCATGTACGCCTTGGTATGTCGTGATATCGTGATGTGAAGAAGATGGATCTGTTGCTAACTCCGACACACGTTGGAAACATGTCATCTCGCGGGATATTTGCGTCAGACGACATTACTCAATATCGGGATAAATCGGAATTAAGCACACACATCTCTTCGGGCGGTTTGGTCTGGCAGCTGCTTTCATGCTGAGAGCCCAGTTTGCTTCGTTTTCGCACCAGGTACCGTCCCTCCTATCTGCAATGGCAGCCACGAACGTAACCCACGCACCACCTGTAGCGCAGATGACTGGTCTAAGCATTTTCGAACCTAAGAACTTGGCTTCAGATGTTGCCCTGAACAGGTTTATTGAAACAACAAATGCAACCAGCGTGGACCAACGCTTCCTGGAACGCTTCGAAAGTGTCACGGGACAAAAGCCGCATCGCTACCTTCGCAGAGGCATTGTTTCCTGCCATCGAGATCTTGATAAAATCCTTGATAAGTCTGAGAAGCAAGAGCCATTCTACATCTTCACGGGGCGAGGGCCTAGCAGTGACAGCCTTCACATTGGGCACTCCATCCCATTCGAGTTTACCAAGTATGCGGCAGACCCTCTCTATTCTCACTAACGGCGCTAATAAACCTCCAGATGGCTTCAAGATGTCTTCCAAGTTCCTCTCATCATCATGTTGACCGATGACATGAAACTGCTACATTCGCAAAAGCTTGACTTTGAGAGCGTAGCGCGGTACACCTCTGACAACGCGAAAGACATTCTGGCCTTCGGCTTCAACCCGGCTTCCACGTTCATGTTCTCAAATCTGGACTTCGTTGGCGGCGCATTCTACCGCAACATAGTATCCATTGCGCGACTGATTCGGGTATCCGACATCAAGAATGCTCTTGGTTTCACAGACGCTGAAAATGTGGGCATGTTCTACTGCTGTTCGACGCAGTCCGCTGGCACGTTCGCCACATCTTTTCCAGGTATTCTGGGCGATGATGTGGAGAAGTTGCGAGGGATGCAGGCGCTCATCCCGTGCTCTTACGATATTGACGGATACTTCAGCGAGGTGAGAAAGAAGGCTGCTGGGCTCGGGTTCGCACCAGCCGCGTTCGCGTATTCCAGCTTGCTGCCTGCCCTTGGCGGTGTTGAGGGCAAGATGTCTGCTTCTATCTTGAGTTCTGCTATCTATCTCACCGATTCGCCTTCTCAGATTGAAGCAAAGTTGGCGGCGGGTGAGGCGAAGTTGGACGTTGATGCAGTGTTCACGTACTTGAGATTCTTCTTGGAAGATGATGAGGAACTAAGGGTGATTGAGGAGCGTTACGGATTTGGTGAGCTCTCTGTGGAAGATACTGTCCCTGTACTTGTGAGAGTGTTGCAGGGTCTCGTGTCGAAGTTCCAGGCTAGTAGGGCAAAGATTGACGAGGAGACGCTGAAGCGCTTTATGGAACCCAGGCTCCTCCAATAAAAGCGCAGTCTTATAGTTTCAATAAAATCGTTTGACCTATTCAGATTCGCGATCTTCTCTTCAATGGTGTTGGTGAGCCTAAGATTGAGCAGGAAAAGGTTGAGCACGTTTCACTACTGGGTCCCGAACAATTCAAGTCCAGAGCGGGGATTCATAAGAGCACATCTAAGTTTTTTATCCAGCCTCTAATCTATAAATCTCACTGTTCAAGCCAAAATCACAACGCTATGTATACAGCCTTCAACTCAGTCCAGTAGTCGGTCGCATAACGGCTGAATTCACGGCCCTCGCCACTTCCCTTCCAACCCCCGAACGGCATGTCGAAAGCCATTGTCGGGCTTGTACAATTCACAGCGACTGCACCAGCCTCAAGCTTCTTCGCTACGCGCATCGCTCGGGTAACGTCTTTCGTGAACACGCTAGCATAGAGCCCATACTCGGTGTCATTGGCCTTCTTCAGAGCCTCGTCCTCGTCTTTGAAGGTGTTGACGATCATGACGGGACCGAAGATCTCTTCCTTGACCAGTTTCGAGTCCTCAGGGACTGCTGTGAGGATAGTCGGCTCAATGAAGTAACCCTTGTCACCCTCACGGTTGCCGCCGAGCGCGACTGTCACGCCGGACTCTGGTTTCTTGGCTTGGTCAAGGAAAGTCATGATGCGGTCAAACTGCAGCTTGTCGACTTGCGGACCGCGCATTGTGCCTTCTGCCAAGGGGTCTCCGCTCTTCCCCATCAGGCTCATGGTCGCCTTGAAACTATTGATGAACTCTTCGGCAACGCTCTCATGGACATAGACACGAGAGCTGGCATTGCAGACCTGTCCCGAGTTCATGAGAATTGAGATGGCTGAGGCAGGCACAGCTTTCGACAAGTCCTGCAGTGACAATATCAGCGTACATATATATCTATGGACATGTGAAGTATGACTTACCGCATCATCGAAGACGACAATGGGGCTCTTGCCGCCAAGCTCCAAGGAAACGCTCTTCAAGTTCGTTTCAGCAGCAGCCTTCTGGATTGCGCGGCCAGTATTGGTCGAGCCAGTGAATGAAATCTTGCGAATCTCCATGTGTCTCGCAATAGCTTCTCCGCAGGGCTGACCAAAGCCGCTGAGAATGTTGACCACACCAGCGGGAATGCCGGCTTCCTTGGCACAGCGTGCAGCAACCAGACAGCTCAACGGCGCCTTTTCCGAAGATTTGAGCACGATGGTGTTGCCGGTGATAAGAGCCGCAGCGACTTTGTAGGCTGTAAACATAAGAGGGGCGTTCCACGGAACGATGGCCCCGCAAACGCCATAAGGCTGACGCAGACTAATGTTAATGAAGTTGGCGGTGTTGAGCGAGGATTCACCCGTGATATCAAGGGCTTTGTGGGCAAAGAATCGGATGATGGCCGGCACCATATGAGCGAGCTCTGCGCCTATCAGTACATTGGATAAGAGTGCGCGATGCATTGTGACTCACGGTCTGGGTAGGCAGGCTTTCCCATGCTGATCGCATCCAAGTAAGACATCTCCTGGGAAGCCGTCTCTATCTTGTCGGCCCATTGCTCAAGGTAATGAGCACGCTGCAACGAGGCCAACTCAGACCAGGCTGGGAAGGCTGCCTTTGCGGCAGCAACGGCAATATCGACATCTTCTGCGTCGGCCTCGTAGATTGACGCACTCAACTCTTCGGTGGCCGGGTTGTAGACATTGAATTTCTTGCCTGATTTAGAAGGCACGAATTCACCGTTGATGAAAAGGCGGTCTTCGATAGCATCGGGCTTGCCTGCGTGTTGAACTGGCATTTTTGATGAAAGTGTGGTTTCGATAGATTCAAATTTCACGTTAAGAGGGGGTTGTGGATAACCAGTCGTACAACATGATGCGCTATAAGACGATACTCGCAGCATGAGACTGCATTCGCCTTTCGGCCTCTACTGTGTACACACTAGATTGTTTTCTCATGTTGCAACGCCATCAGGATTCAATACCCACATGATGCTGACAGGAGGACGGCGTTCACGCTGAGTGAGATGCTGACAGTGCGTACCCTGTCTGTTTGCGCGGCCGCCTGCGGCAATTTACCCGCAGTAGTGAGATGGTGTGAGGTTCTGCTCTTATACGAAGTTAACTTGTGTCTTTTAGGCAGAATAGACATGTCCACCTTCCCCGGCCCCGGCTTGGCTCCCGCTCACCTGCAGTCGCCTACCGGTAGCTCCGATTAGTAGGCGAGCCACCTACCTTATTTCGACAGTGTCCTTTGATACAATTACGTTCTTGACTACCCCAGTCGGCTTTAAACAGTACCCTAAAACAGTACCCTAAAACAGTACCCTAAAACAGTACCCTAAAACAGTACCCTACTAGTAGCCTTGAATGTGGGGCGTGGCGTTCTGGCGTTATACAACGTCGCTCTGGCGTAATAATCCTGTCTTTTCGGCAGGATGGACATGTCCAATCTCCCTCTTCCCCGGCTTCTTGTGTAGTTCCCGCTCAGTCGCCCCTGCCCTGCCAGTACTTAGCGCCGATTGCCTGTTTCGTCTCATCCACATCCACGGCTCGGGTCCTCCCTCGCGTGGGGTTATTCCAAGGTTGTTATTAGCAATACTGCAGCTGTACACTCCACTCCCTCCACTCTCAGTTCACCCCCAATGGAAACGTAACGTAAAACTGGGCACGGATCCTAATGTGATCTTTTATGAGGTGAATCCATGACTGCAGGCCTGAACAAACAAAGGAGTGGGTCTGAACAAAGGGTGAGCCTGAGATTCCTGTGCCACACATCGCGTATGCCGCATACGATTGATTGCTAAGCATCGACGTCGCAGTATTATTTGCCGGACTAAATCGCGCGGAACAGTGCTGGGCGAGACGGGGTGCAAGAGGTGTTCACTTCAGCTTCAATCAAGTCGTCCCATTCAATCAAGTAGTTCTATTCAATCAAGTCGTTCTACCATCCAGACTCCATCCTCATACCTTTGACATGGCGAACTCAGAGAAGGAGACGCCAATTTATGGCTCCGATCCAAACACGCCGAACCCTGAGGCTGGCGAGGCCGAGTCGGCTGCTTCAAGTGAGCCAGCGAAGCAGCGCAATCTGGTTTCAGTACGACTCCCCATCCAAGTACCTTTAAGATAGCGATTAACAGCCAGATCAGTGGACCTTGATCATCGCGGCGATTCTTTCCACCATCTTCCTCTTTGCCCTCGACAACACCATCACAGCAGACGTCATTCCGGCCATTGTACAAACTTTCGGGCACGCGGACAAACTCCCATGGCTCTCAGTCGCATTCCAAATCGGTGGCGTTGGTGTCGTGCTTCCACTCGGTAGGATTTACGCTCTCTTCGACGCAAAGTGGCTCTATATTTTCTTCGTCGTGCTATTCTGCGGTGGATCTGCTCTGTGCGGTGGGGCACCGAACATGGATGCCTTCATCGTCGGTCGTGTCATCGCAGGTGTGGGCGGCATCGGCATCTATCTTGGTGTCATGACGCTGCTCTCCGTCAACACCACAACCACGGAGCGGCCCATGTACCTGGGACTCGTCGGGCTTGTCTTTGGCGTTGGAAACGTTGTCGGACCTGTCATTGGAGGCGCATTCGCCGACTCATCTGCGACATGGCGATGGGGCTTCTACATCAACTTGTGCATCATCGGACTGATGGCCCCAGTCTATATTTTCTTGATCCCTGGATTTCAGCCTGCGCCTGGCAGGACAGTGATCAATCGTCTCAGGGAAATCGACTTCGTTGGCACACTTCTTAGTATCGGAACCCTCGTCTGTCTTGTCATGGCCATCAATTTTGGCGGTGTCTTGTATGCATGGAGCAGTGGCCAAATTATTGCCCTCTTCGTCATTGCTGGCGTGTTGTTCGTTGCATTTAGTGCACAGCAAGGCCTCGCGTTGCTCACAACCAAAGAGAGACGCCTGTTCCCTGTCGTCTTCCTCCACAACAAGGAGGCCGTGCTTCTGTTCATTCTGACGGCTACTTTCAACTCGGCAGCCTTCATCCCGATTTACTACATCCCGACATACTTCCAGTTCACGCGCGGCGATGGCCCTCTAGATGCTGGTGTGCGGCTGCTTCCTTTGATCATTCTCATCACGTTGATGATCATTGTTAACAGTACCGTCCTCTCCAAAGGTGGCTACTATATGCCCTGGTACCTTGGTGGCAGTATTCTCTCCCTGATCGGCTGCGTCCTGCTTTCCACTGCCGACATGGGTACCACGGCTGGTTCCATCTACGGATACGAGGTTCTCGTTGGTATTGGAGCTGGTTGCGGTATCCAGACCAGTTTCGCCGTCATTCAGACCATCACCAGCCGTGAACATATGTCTCACGGATTGGGCTTCATCATGATTGCTCAACTGCTCGGTGTCACACTCGCGCTCTCCATCTCCGGCGCTGTCTTTGTCAACCAGGCAATGGACGGCCTTTCCAAGGTTCTGGTTGACAGCACGCGAGAACAGCTGCAGAGCGCGCTTAGGGGTTTGAGTGGTGACCTTGGCGCTTTGGGCGAGGAGCAGCGTAATGCAGCTCTGAACGTCGTTGTCAAATGCCTCGCTAAAGTGTAGGTTGAACTTCAATCTACCGGAGACTATCTTGCTGACAATCCTAGTTTCATTCCAGCGTACGCCGCTGCAGCTCTCGGCACCATTGCCGCGCTCTTCCTCCGCCGCCAGAAGATGCCTTCGGGCGCTGTTGCGGCGTAAGAGCCGCGATTTGATTAAGCGCACGCCTGAATATATGGAGACATGGAAAATGGCATACAAACAGACGGGAGATTGAACTTGGGTAACACGGACGAAAAGGATAGGACCGATGTTTTGGGTTGAGTGAATGGACATGAGATCTGCGCAAATAGCATTATGCCACCTCAGTATTGAGCTTTGTGGCTCTTCTTTAGATGGTATAAAAGCGAAGAGTTAGCTTAATTTAATATTCAAGTAGAATATCTTGGGCGACGCACCCCCACTGCCTAATGCCCGCAATCATAGCACACTATGGGTGTGAATATTCGACGAGAACGCATAGAATTCGAGGTTCTGCTTGAATTGGAAACCTGGCTTAGGTGAGGACTCTCCGCCAGAGCATTTACAAAACCTCCAAAGTCAGCCCTTTCACACGTGTATCGCCGCCCTGACCCAAATACGATGTCAGGGATGGCACAAAACCAACTCTCTGTGCGCTTCCTTCGACCCAGCCACGAAGTCCCCCTCACTCAGCAGAGATTTTGAGTTTTGATTTGTAATGGATGTTGCACAACATCTGGGAGAGTTACCCGCAACCCAGGCAATACCCGCAATCCACATTGGTGGAGTAATATCGTGATGTCGTGACAGCAAGGTACTGGCAGGCAACAGGCCGTTTGAAGAAAAGGAACACGGTAAGGCGCCCGGTATGCAATGCAATGCAATGGATGCTCATGTCGGGCGCTTTCCAGGGCTCGTGTCAGCCATAAGCTCCAAGCGCCTTCGGGTGGATATGGAGGTCGCTATGGTCGGATTATACCATACGAGTCTACTCCACTCCACACCGGTGCCCTGACCAGTAAACGAGCGGATTAGAGAGTGGCAAGAGTTACGGAGTTGAGGCGGACCGTATACGTAAGATAATATTCGATGGAACATGCATATGGCAGTCAGCAAGCCATTGTCCCACAGTTCTTGACAGGGGCTGAAAGATATGCAGTCACATTCTTTATGCAACTAACCATGGACGAGGTTTTCCCGTGTTTCTGGCTGACGGTATACCGGAGTTGGTCTTGGAAGGATCACAGCATCCTATTGTTAGAAAGATCGAACAAAGGAGGTAAACATCCACAGAAGCGGCCAAGCTTTGGGCCACGGAGATACTACCTATGTGGTACAATGCTTATGCATTTCAAATCACGGCATGATAATCTTTGCCTGTGAGTAGAACGAAATAGTCTAGAATGACACGCTCACGCACTAGTCGAGAAGTTTCGCGGTAGCTGTCTGTTGTGATTTCGCTAATTGTTGTCAATTGGCCCCGTAAACATCAAACATCAACCTCTCGCTTTGCGTTGTAAACCCGAAGTTATCGAAATTTCTTATCCTCATACTAGAGCTCACGAAGACCTTGACCGTTTGAAATCATGTGTGGAATAACCGCATCGTTGCTCCTCAAAGGAAGAGACCCTTCAAGCAGGGAGACCCTAAAGGAAGAAATTAGGGATGGCCTAAACATCATCAAGCATCGTGGTCCAGATGCTGAAGGGGATTGGATCAGCCCGAATGGTCGTGTCGGTGAGTGCTTCGCCTTTGCCCTCTCACGATCTCCTTCCTCTGCTGACCAGTCTTTCCAGGTCTTGGTCACGTTCGTCTCTCAATTATAGACCTTGCTCCCACTGGCAATCAACCTTTCCACTCGAGGAATGACAGAATCCACGCTGTTGTCAACGGCGAGATCTACGATCACGACCGCTACCGCGAAGAGCTCAAGTCCGAATACCACTTCGTTGGCCACAGCGACTGCGAGATCCCGCTCGCATTGTACCAACATTATGGTCTTTCCCTCATGCCGCACCTCCGCGGGGAGTTTGCCCTTGTGTTGTGGGACTCTAAACGCGAGCTCTTCTTCGCCGCACGCGACAGATATGGCGTTAAACCATTGTATTATACGGTCGTGGAAGGGAGGTTGTTAGTAGCCACGGAGATGAAGAGCTTCTTGGCGTTTGGATGGAAGCCGGAATGGGATGTACAGGCTCTGGTTGATCATGGGTGGAGAACTGATGGAAGGACTATGTTCAAGGGCGTGCGGAAAGTGAGGACAGCCATACGACGCAACCGAAATCCAGCTCGCTTACAATATTTAGGTTTTGCCTGGACATTACCTCATCAGCAAGCACTATGGACCAGTGGAGGAAAAGCCCTATTGGGACATTGAATACCCCGACAAGGTAGGTGAAGAGTGGCCGAAAAGAGGATGAGTGGAACTAACAGCATCCAGAATGTGAGGGAGACGCGAACTGAAGGCGAAATGATTAAGGGCGTGCAGGACCGCATGCTTGAATCTGTTAGACTACGTCTTCGCGCTGACGTACCTGTGGGTATCTACCTCTCTGGTGGTCTCGATTCCTCAGCTATCGCGGGAATGATTGCGCATGTCCTCAAGGAGGGTCATACCAAACTTGGAAATGATGCAAGCAGGGATCTGTCCAAAATGACTTGCTTGTGTGTCCAATTCGACAAAGACAGTGGTGCAGACGAGTCTGGTAATTAACAGGAGGTCTGCCATCACATGCTCAAACTGACCGTGGCAGAAATTGCGAAGCGCACCGCAGATTGGCTTGGCGTCAAGTTCGTACCCGTGGTGATGGATGATGAGGCACTGGCAAAGAATTTCGAAGACGCTGCATGGTTCTCCGAGACAGTCATGCCGGACGCGAATGGCCCCGGGAGACTGGCTATGGCAGCCATTGCTCACAAGCAAGGCTTGAAGGTTGTCCTCACAGGTAATTCCCCCGTTTCACCGACCTTAGGATCATGCTAACGTCTTGTATAGGTGAAGGTTCCGATGAGCACTTCGGTGGCTATTCGTCGTACGCCCCAGAAGCCATCCGGGAGGCCGATCCATCATGGCCTTTGTCTGACTTCCCAGAGTCGGATCGGCTAGAAGGGCTTCGATTGGCAGAGGCCAAACCGGATCTTAACTTCGGCGGCAAAGTAGGAGAGCGCCCGGAGTCTACCTCACGCATGCTCAACGGCAGTATACAAACCAAGCGTCTCGCCACCTTGACGCCGGCCAAGTGGGCATCTTGGACTGATTGCTACACCGACACGGACCAAGAGACGTTGATGGTCGAAAGCTTCGATGGTTGTGTCCGTGAGGCCATCGCTACTAAATGGCATCCGCTACACACTGCTCAATATATTCATACGAAGACAGCGTTCCCGAACCTCCTCTTGCGCTATGTTGGCGACAATGTCGACATGGTCAACCAGATCGAGAGTCGCACCCCCTTCCTTGACCACCACGTTACTGAGTATGCCAATGGCCTCCCACCGAGCCTGAAGATGAAGTATGACCCGGTAGCCAAGACCTTTAACGAAAAGTATGTATTGAAGGAGGCGATGCGGCCTTTCGTTCCTGACGAGATCTACAAGCGGAAGAAACATTCTTTCGTCGGCCCAACACGCTATCCAGATGGACCATTCAAGGATCTGCTCGAGAAGCTGATCACCAAAGAAAACATCGAGCAACTGGGGTTCCTTGACTGGACGCAGACGAGTGAGCTCGTGGGCAAGGCCTTCGAGGGAAGTGACCCTTTTGCCATGAGGGGCGCCATGGTGGCGGCGCAGTTCGTGGTGCTGGGAACGAGGTTTGGCGTTGCGAAGGCAACTCCAGAGATTACCACGCAGACATAGAGTGAATCTAGGGTTCGGTCGAACGCCTGCTTCTGGTCCCATTACTGCTAGCCATCGCCTAATGTACCATCCTCCCAGTATATCTCCAATATTGATAGCTCAATAGTGGAACAATTCTTTGTGGTGGGTTGGAGTCGGTTTTGGTTCGTCCGGAGCTGCGCGTGAAGTTGGAGAAGGAAGCAATACGGGGTGGGGTGTGGGGGATAGGTACATGGTTCCCATCACGTAAGCACATTCGTTGCAACAACCAAGCTTCAAGGATCGTTATGGACATGTCGATAATAAAAAGCATCATGTGTAATGTGACATTATTTTCTAAGAGGCCTTTGATCGGCCATGCCGTCCTCAGAACGGGGATCCACAAATAAGAAACGCAACCCAAAACAAGAAGCTCTTCACTCAAGCCAGCTCAGCCGTCAGAAGAATGGTATCACCACAGGTATATCCAGCATCCCCTCATCACCCATCACCCATCTTTAATTAAAACAAAAGGAACATCGCCTCTCCAGTTCACAGCATGACGAATGCAGCAGCAACAGCTACACCGAGGCCAAGGAACGACTGCGAGCTGAGACCCGGAGCAGCATTGGTAGTCTGCTGGGCTGGGCTGGCACCAGTGCTGCTCGCTGCACCTGCACCTGCGCCTGCACCACCTGCACCAGCACTACCCGAGGTGTCAGCGTTGCCAGGAGAGGCGCCCGAACCGCTTGAGGGTGAGGGCGGAGTGTTTCCGCCTGAGCTGGAACCAGCTGCCTGACCGGGGCTTAGGTTATCTTTTGCGGCGGCAGCGAGACCGATGAATGCTTGCATAGTGCGGTTACCGGATGCCGGCCTGTCACTGTGTTAGCATACTATTCAAACTATCCTGCCTTGGAGATAAAAGAATCTAGAAGGGGTGTCTTACGCATTAATGGCACCAACCATACCAGCCTGGCAATGCTTTCCCTGCGAACAGTAAAACCAAACGGGCTTTGTATCCGTGACACGAATCGTGTATGTCAGAGCCTTCGATGCTGCGGCGGTGGAAGCATTGGAGGGCATGAATCCCGAGAAGAAAGCGTCGGTCTTGTTGGCTTGTATGTTCTGGATAGGGACGCAAGGGTTGTCGAAGGTAGATTGGACGACGGAGTGGTTCTATTCGTACGCGATTAGTCCACTGAACATACTACATGGGGCACGCGAATAGAATAGAACATACCTTTGGGTGGAATTGAAACTGCACAAGATCTCCTGGTGCCGCCTTGATCGAGTTCGGATAGAAGGCCAGCGATCCGTTGGGGCCACCGACTTGGATGATGTGTGTGTTTACCATGCCAGCTGCTGAGTTGGACGGTCGCGACCCTGTCGACATACTGCCCGACGATGATCTTGTAGATGAGGCGAGGAGTGCTTCCGATGCTGCAATCGACTGCGAATGCTTTGTTGCTGCCGCGAAGCCCAGCAGGGCTGACACGATGACCGATCTTGAGAAGTACATATTTGCTGCTGCGTTTTTCTGGAAATAACCTGAGTCGAAAGAATTAAATATCTGATGATCTCGTCAAGAGAGTGGATATAGGCGACTGGCGCTCTAAGAAGACTTTGCTGGACTAGCCAGATATTAAGAAGAGAATGACCGTGAGGTATGAAACTGAAAGAAAGATGCGAGGAAAAGGCAACAGCAGCAGAACGTAAGATGGGGAAGAGAAAAGTGAGCCTGACGGGTGGCTATAGGCCATCTTAAGGCATGAAAAACAGCTACGTGGTTGGGCTTAGCCCCGGTGAGTGCGTAACGGTTAGTTGCTATTCCGATACAAGGATTGTGATGTGCGACGTGTTGGAAGCTGGTGGTGCTTCAGCCTCGTGCTCGGTTGAAGACCCCTGGGACATGAGGCTGAAGGCGAACATCGATGAGGAATCGTCCGTTGCGCTGCACAACTCAGAACCTTGAGAAACTACATTCAAAATGTAGCAGAAAACACGCAGATTGCAACTTAGTACAGCGAGAAAATCAGCGCGATGTTACTGTCGAGGTATGTTGCAAAGTGGACAGTTGTAGTGTTGTTGCAAGGCTCGGTTTGGGTGTTGAAGTTGCGACGCGCTGCATGTTCCGTCCGCGTTTGAGGCCTGCTTCAAGTTGTCGCCTTCCGCACCAAGCCTCGGCTACCAGCAAACCGGCCAGGGCAAACACTCCGGAAACTTTGTTCGCGAAATTAAAGATTGCCTGTTAGATTTGATGTCCATGCCGTACCAACCATGGTGTAAGGCGACCTTGGCGGCGATGCATCACCGTTGTTGTCCCAAACGCGTCAGAAGCGATGTGTCCTTCATTCGGCCTAAGATGACTACCTTCCGCCAGACTCACATACTCTCCTGTTCCGCCTGTATGTTTCGCCCTGTTTCCGCCACCTCTTGGACGACAGGGCCTGCAACATTTCACATGGGCGCGTCCTTTGCCTAGTCACCGTCACCCAAATCAGGTGCGGCACAGACACTGCATTCAATGTTCCAAAACAGATGCCACGTGTGAGTGATGAACTCGCGAAGAGTGAATCAATGACTCATTTACATGCCTTGAAATGTTTCTAGCATGTCTTCAGACCACCGCTGTAGTCGATGCAACGATCGAGTCTCTATTCCAAGCCCACTATCTTTCAGCATGCCGCACCAGCCCCGGCTTAAAAATCCAACACCAACTGCGGCGCGAGCTTCTCAAGATCCTCAACTTGCAGGAACCCATCTGATATGCCTCCTCCCTTGACAGAACTTTGCCGCTCATTCTTTGCCCGCGCAAACGCCTCGCGGACGAAGATCTCCATGTACTTGCCCACCAAATTCATCGCACCCTTTTGTATTTGTGTATTCGGATCCTCGAAATTCTCATAGAGCAGTCGTGCGAGCAAGGGCGCGGGTATGGGAGGCGCTATGGGCGCAAGGTTGGTAGCAGGCCTTGTGTTGTCGCGTATGGGCGCGTCTTCCATCAGATCATCGCTATCGTCCGCCTCCTGCACGTCCTCTTGTTCATCTTCGGATGAGGAGATTATCGTGGCTACTGGCTGTGCGGCAGAGGCTTTCGACTTCTTCGCGGCACCGGCTGTACGCGATGGTGCTGCTGCAGGAGCGCGTTTCGTGGTCGTCGATGCTTGCGTCGGTGCCTTTACAGGTCGTGGAGGGTTGAACTGGGGGCCCTTTCGCCGTGAAGCATTTTCTGTTGTATTTTTTGGCGGCATTGTGATATGATGTCAAGTTTGAGAGGCTTATGAACTGCGTGTGGTGTCTGTTGACCCCACAATTTGACGACGCGCTTTCACATGATCTGTGCAACGTCATTGCCCAAATAGGCAGCGATGATCTAGGTTCAACTTCATGGGATTAGTCTCGCTTCAAGTCAACTGTATGTAGGACCACAAAGACTGCGTGGGGAAGATGCGCTCCAGCTGCACTTCATCATCGTAAGCATCACAAAGCATTCGTATTCGTATTGCGATTTCGGTGGTGTTATCTTGCGGTAGCCCATTACCTGACTCGGGGCAGCGAACCAAGATTAGCAGGTGTTTGTTAGATTCTCACTAGTCGCGCATTAGGTTCCTAATAAGTCATCACCAGTATGGGGGGCCAAAGGTCGCATAACAGCACTTCTATACTTCACAGGAACAACTATTTCACCCAAAGTACCTTCGCGCACCTGTTCATAAACCACCGAGTGCCAAGCGCAGTTTTAGCCGTGAACACTTGTGAAGCTCCTGGCATGAATCGGTTACTGGTACGCCACACAACTGCATTGACCTAAATTGCCGACCGTACAGGCGGGTCGCACGGTCACACCGTTGTGAGCCGTTAAGGCATCTTGCGTAGTGTCACCGTTGGAGGTAGGATTCCGATGGCTGCGCTTGTGGCTATAGGCCATGAAGCAGCCCAGGTCGAAAAGAACGCTCGTGATATAGAGGGCGTGACTGGTGGTTGCAGTGAACAAGCAAGCCGTCGGACTAGAGATGGCGGGAGGAGAGCTAGGGGTAAGGAGGTCGTATGCTGCGAGGCCGGTATAGTGCGTTGTTGCACGGCGCTGGCGTCAGATCCGCATCGCGAAAGGTTCTGACGTGCATCGTGGCGGTAGGACGTAACTCCCATTGAAAACGGATCTAGAATCGCGGAATTGGAAATTTGAGGGGTGAACATGGTGGATGGCAACATGGCGCTTTGAGGTTCGCAATGGCTGTTGTTTGGGTAGCCTGAGAGTATAATTACGGGTGCACCGTAGGCTACGAGAATCATGGGGTTATCAGCAGGAGGAGCGTTCGTGTTCGTGCCGGCACTTGGCCATGTTCAGATACTACTAACACTTAGCATTGACTGGTTCGAGTGAGCGAGCTTATCAAAGTCGAGATTGGACAGGTGTTGTTGCTGCGGTCGAGACTTTCGAATGTGGGACGCGTATCTGCGTCAGGTGTGTACACGGGATATGGCCTCCTTCATATTGAACGAAGGAATGATCTTGGGACACCTCGTGTGACAGTGACGCAACCTTGCCGGTACAGACGACAGGCGCAGTTGCGAGTAACGTTGCGACTTTGGCCTGCCGCCAGGAAGCTCGGCGATGGTTCTTGTTTAGCATCGGCACACTCCCGGGTGGTCGCCTTCACGTGCAACAGAGCGGAATCCAGAGGACATGGTCACAGCGGCGTCCTGCAGTCATGTTGTGCACCCAGGGCGGCTCTGCTTCGAGCAGGTGGTGTGCGGCAAGGATTCAAGGTGAGGCCGCCAACCCAGGGCCTTGAAGAGAGAGAGCCAACGAACAACCTTGGAAGGCCGAGGTCGCCATCCCGAACGAAGTGGCGCCCGGACAGGGTGGGGCGGGGCCACGAAGGAGTTAGTCTTGAGCTAGGAACACGGTGAATATTTGTGGTGTTGTGTGCTTGGTTTTTTCAATTTCAAGATTTCATTTCAGGCGTGTGGTAGACCAGGGGCGCCTGTCGATAAATTTAATAGTGCCCTATTGCGGCAGAGGTACATCAAGATGCAGTCGGCGGTGGAGAGGGTCGTGAGAGAGTGACAGCAGCTGGAATGTACCTAGTGGCGTCCATGTTGAGGGCTGCAGACCGATGCGCGATAAGAAGTCGAGGAAGAATGGCTGCTGAGCGAGTAGCAGAGGTGCGGTCGCAACGAGTCGACGACGTCTGCTGAGACGTCGAGGCAGCGCTGGAGTGGCCGCTGGGGACCCTGGGGATGGTGCAGTGGCTAAAGCCTAATGCAGAGCGACTGGAGAATTGCCAGCGTCAGCGTACAGCCGAGAGTAGATCCCTAATCCGATCCTCTGTATTCCCATACCAAAATGGCGGCGGCAGGCCCGCGTGATGTGGATGACACCCCTGTCGTGGTGCCCGAAGCGGTTGTGCTCTGCTCCAGCGGGCGAGACTTGAATCCAAAGTCGTTCCTTAGCTGCTATATATCCATATTGTGGTCCGCTATTTTGGCAGGACCAAGTATTCGTTCCTGCTCGCCTCTTTTCCCTCAGCAGCCACTTTGTTGTTTCAAAGTCGACACATCAGACGCAGACGCCTTCACCACCACAACCCACGCCATTCGCCAGCACCACACACTGGCCCCCCACCCGTGTCTTTCGAGATAACCACTGCCTCTTGATACGAGTCCGTCCTGCGCAGAGATAAACAAGATAGACAAAGCCCGCTCCAAGATCCGCGCGCCTGCTGGTTACACAAACGGTTTTATCCATATCTAGGCGAGTCCACCAGTGTGCACCATCGCCCTCAGGAATTCACGGCTCCCCTCATCTACCAAACAAACAAACCCTGGTCGTCGTCACTCAAATATCCTCACTTCTGCTATATCCTTTTCCTCAGCCTCCCCCGGCATGCCCCACTCCACCAACAACTCGACCTCCTCGCAGACCAAGATGTCGCGGCCGTCGTCCACCTCGACGTATTCAGGAAATGTATTTCCCAAGCAAGCAGGCGTCACGCTCCTATCGCCCGAAACGGTCGGAGACCAACTCTCGCCGTCGGCATCACAGTTCTCCTTCGCCTCGTCGCCCCACTCAGTCCAAGATGCAGACCAAGACGACTCGAGACAGATGCGGTCTATTACGCGCGGCACTACTGGCGACAAAATCGGCCAGCTGCGACCGCTCAATTCCCGCTCGCGCCAGCAGTTCTACGACGATTCCTTTTCCTGCAAGGAGAGTGCACCGTCGTCTGCCCGCGACCGCGTGACAAAAGATGCACCCATTGTTGCTGATTTACGCACCAACGTTATCGTACGTCTCTTCTAATTTCCGCGCCACTCCACTTAACAATCCAGTGCTAACCAAACGCAGATCAAAGACGAGTACACCCTGGTCACCGACCTTTCCCACCACCTGTCGACGCGCTACCAACGGCCCGAATCATCCATCATGATAACTGTCAACCACTCAGCATGTTTGCTGCTCGGCGGTTCGTTCGAGCCAACGTACATCCTGACCATCAATGCTCTGCCCGTGCAGGTACAGCCCACGACCAACAAGCGCAATGCCGCCCTGATCCAGACCTTCATGACAGAATCTATCGGCGTCTCACCTGACCGAGGTATCATCAAATTCGTTGCCATCGCAGAAGAGAATATGGCCATGAACGGCATGACCATCCTAGGCGAGATTGAGCGACTGGAGCGACAACAGGCAGAGGCAACTGGCAGTAACATCAAGCGTGCCATGACCAAAAGCTCGCGGAAGTCTGCCATTTCCAAAGCAAAGAGTAGCATCCAGCTCGCTCGAAACGATTCCAAGGCTGACCCCAGGCAAAGAACAGGCGTCGCCGCTCCGATTCCTAGTGATGGATCGCTCGACTCTGCAATAGCCATCAACGAGAAGGGCCTTGGCCACTCTGCGTCTGTGAAGCCAGTCGACACCAAGATCAACAGCAAAACATCCGAGCCTCTCCTTTCTAAGTTCAGCATGAGATCAAATTCCAATGCACAAGTGGCTCCACCGCCCATTCCAGCTGACAAGCCCACTGTGCCGGCAATTGGCAAGCGCAAGAGTTTTCTCAGCGTATTTCGTCGATGAGCGGTCAACATGTCTTCGCATCATTTCTTCAAGCGTACCATAAGTCACGACGCAGCCGGCGTAGCTTCACGATACCGCGCTGGACTAGCGGGCCGGCAATGCCACATCATCTGTTGTACTCGGCTATTTCCTCTCATCCTACATGTCGCATACGAAGGCTTTCCAAGCGACACTAGCATTACAGGCGTTCTGGGTTTCAGTGCATATGGCATGGTGATGGAGGCCACAATCACCGACGGATTATTCTATTCACCGATATACCCTTCTGCATTTCGTTTGTAACAGGCCTAAGGCCTCCAGATACTCACAATCAACACCTTCTAATACTATACATCGAGCTTTCCAAAACACCACACGTCTTGTCTCTAAAGAGCAAGTGCCACGTTGACCATGCTAAAAGCCTGGGCAGTCCTTGAAACCTCGCGATCTCCACGCCTTGCCTAGATATTTGTCTAGATTGTCGTCTAAACATGTCTAGCTACCCCAGCATCGAGACAAATTGACCGCGATTCAAGACAAAAGTGACACGCAGGTAGCTCAGATTCAGCCTCTTCGCGCACCCCGACCGCTACTCGCGTCTCTTACCCCCCAATCAAGACCCCAAGCACGCCTTGTCTCGCCTTACCCGTCCCACATCCAACGCCCCAAACAACTAACGCGACTCTTCAGATCCAACCCACAGATGGTGTACTCGGTGGACCCTCTCCTAGCGCACACTCGCACTCAGCTCTCCATTGCACCGGTAAAAGTGGATCTGAAATGGGTACTGAAAACCGGGGCGAATGGGCAATGCTTTCGTGCAAAGCATGAGGGTCTGGGCTAGGCGCCACATGAGTTTAGAACGAGCTGTGCGCCCGCGTCGTTGTGGAGCTAAACTAGAGCGCGGGAGAGCGAAACAGACTAAACGCCACGATGGGATCTGTATAGGGCTGGAACTCCCATGGCAAAAGGACAGCAGCTGCGACCAAGCTTGGCTTTTTACTTTTGGTGGGGTTGTGGCGGTTACGGGGAATTTTTTCTTCCTTTTTCTCAAGATGATAGATTTGTGTCACGATGTTTTGTTGGTTGTTTTTGTGGGCTAGCGATAAGCCTGCAGCGGGGCTAAGTGAATGGACTCGGAATCGCCTTGCTTATGGAAAAAGGACATGTGATGTTGACTTTTTTTTTGGTGAGATTTGTATGGTTGTATTAGGCGAAGTCGTGCATGTATCTAGAGTCTGTAGCTGTCACGCGCAAGCCTTTCGTCGGTATGTACAACGCAACGCAGACATCCAACGCCTGGACTGCTGTAGCATCCAGCAATACCCAACCGTTGATACCTCGAACAACACCTATAGTAATGTAGTAAAGCGGAAGTGTCTATCGTAAGTGCGCGTTTCTTTTACAGCCCAACGTCCTCGAGACATATTCTTTTTTGCTGGGCTGCAATCAAAATACTACAATAAGCATACCTTGCCTAACTAAGGATATCACCGGGCTTTGACCACCATCACTCACCCAAAACTGCAACCACTTCGCCCATTTAAACCTTTCGCAAAGCACGAGGTAACCCCTATTACAGGGTTCCTTCCGCCCGCATGAGATAACATTCGTCATCCAGCTAATCAGAGCAGCCTACCCAGGTGCCCTTTCAGCTTGCCCTGCATACGTCTTGCTTACTTACACACACATACACTTACATCTACCCCCTCCCTTCGCTCGGGGCGATAATGCAAGCTTATTTTTTTTCGCGGAGATCCAGAAGCCCCCGGTCAACAGTCGCCGGAGCATTTTGTGGCGGCCTAAAGCAAGCCAAGCGAGATGCATGACACCACGATCGGCTAATTGATTAACCCTTTCCAAAGGCTTCCAAGCTTTGATCTTCGTTCCTTTTCGCTTCGTTATCTGGGCAGGCAGGGTGGTGGGGATTTCGAGAAGCCGAGCCACGTACGCCGGAAAATTGAGGTGCGGGGAGAGGAGATGCGATGTTCAAGACTGGAGCGATACTAGAAAGACTTTCGGAATTTTTGTGAGTAGCGAAAATAGATGCATTTCTGTGCTCTGATCACGCGGATGTGGCGGTGGGATCAAGTTCGGCGGTGTGACTGTTGTTACTGCTTTGGGAAGGTTTGCAAGAGTGTGGATTGCGGTGGAATTTAAACACACCCGCTGCGCTTCATGCAATTACCGCCACTGCGTAGCATGCCCCATACCTTGGCCGTGTCGCCATCGTCGTGTCCTCCGTCATTGTGCGGACATTTGTGATTAGCCATGGGCTATAGAAGTGTTAAAAGACCTTCTGCTGTTGCTTCAATTTGCAATATGTAATGTCGTCAGGGGCAATGGGTGGACGCGAGTGGGGGTTTGTACTGTAGCATCATGCGCACCTAACATTAATGTCTTCTCCAACGTTCTCGTATGAGACAACAGTTTACTCTTCCGTAATGGAGAGCCTCATTGAATTGCAAGACCTGTTAAGGTTCTGACATAGTGAGAGTGTAGGATGGAGAGTGAGTATGGTAGACTAATAATGACTCATTTGTAGCTAAGCCGCATTGCGCCTCATCCAGATCAACACGTGATGTTACCGAGCAACCGTTTGACTTTCAGCGGTCTCATCATTGTTCCTACCGGAATACCTCTCCTATCTATATAAGGCCTTTGGCTTGCTACAATTGATCAGCTTAGTTCTCATCATCTATAATTGCCCCTGCACTTTTATATTCCACGCAAGGGCCCATTCACATCGTACACGTTAAGCTATCCACGTTAAACTTCACTTCTTCTACATATTCCAACAAACAAAGAAGCAACATCAGAATGGCTTCGAATTTGCGTGTATTTCCTTGCAATACTTGCTCTATTACTTTCAACACCAGCGAGCTCCAGCGTTCGCACATGCGACAGCCTTGGCAGTAAGAATACCGCAAAATAGTAAGGAGGGAGGCTAACGGTGGCAGTGTTTCTAATCTAAGGCGTCGCGTAGCTGGACTTTCAGCATTATCAGAAGAACAGTATGATACACAGGCCAAGAGCCAGGATATAATCCCTCGACAGAAGGACAGCGAGGAGCCAGGGACAAAACCAATCTCCTCATACGATGCTGTGGTCGAATCTGTTTCCAATTCAGAAGATACACCCGAGGCACAATATGAGAAGGTCCCCCCAACACAATGCCTCTTCTGCAACCTAGACTCCCCGACTCTTAATGCGAATATCGACCATATGTCATCCCTACACGGCCTTTTCATCCCTTCACGAGGCCAATTATCAGATATGAGAGCTTTTCTTGGATACCTTGCAACCATTGTATTCGAATACAACGAATGCCTCTATTGCAGTCTAGCAAAAGGTACCGTGGACGGGGTGCAGACACACATGCGAGATAAAGGCCACTGCATGATCAAGATGAACGCAGAATCCGAGCTTCTTGACTTTTGGGAGCTTTCCGATAGTGGAGATGACGGCCAAATCGACGATGAAGAGTGCACGAAGAGTTCTGCGATCATGCTGTCTGAGACAGAAATGAGGCTTCCTTCTGGCGTGGTTATCAATTCTCGCTCTGATACCACTCAGCTTCGTGCCAAGCCGGGACTTGCACAATCTCGGTCTAAAGGCTCGCAATATAGAGTCAAGAGAGATGAAGTGAGAGCTATTACTGCAGGAGCACAGCAAGAGACGACCCATGAAGACCAAAGTAGACCCTCACGCAGCAACGACCGTCGTGTCGCTGTTCGTGGAGAAATGGGGCTGGCTGGTATTTCAGAGAGCCAAAAGCTGGCTTTGCAGATTACTGAGAAGAAGATAAAGAGGAGGGAAGCGGTTGCTAAAGCTGCACAGCGATACGCTGCGGAGCAGGAGCCAGTCAAGACAAAGTACTACAAGGTAAGTGGCTATGAAGATCTGGAAGGATTGGTTAATGAGTGGTTGCTAACTTGTCTACAGACGGAAACTCCTATATACCAGGCTGGATGATCAAGCTCAAGACCTTTTATATACTTGAACTTCCCGCTTATCTATCTCTGCGGCCCATCCTTTCCGATACTCAACTACGCGCATTGTCCTGGAATGGGACGGACTATGAAAGTCGTTTTCGCCCTGAGCATTTCGTTGGCGACAGTTGAACTCTATTCCTCTCCTACCATGAGGGTCGGGCATTGTAAAGATTCCGCGGATGGATCGATGGACCTAAAGTGAGTATACAATGTCAAGCGAAGATTATAAATTGGCACTGACGTTGTCTGGCAACAGGACTCCTACGCATCATCACAAGTACTGTGGTCATACATGCATGGCATCTTTACGATGTTTACAGATAATCCTTGAGCTCTCTAAAACTGTATAAATATCCAATATCTTGGTCTTCGTATTTCTCTTCCCGCAAGAAAACCGGATACCAATAGTTCATGCATACAAGCGCATTAATCATGACTCCTCAAGAACCACCAACCAAAGCTACACGTACGCAATCCAATCCATCATTTGTTGCAGTGGGCGTGGTGTCTAGTACATCTTCTATCGCTGAGCCCCACAAGCCGATCGAAAGCGGTCGGCTACAGCCTGCAGCCCAACCCGCCAAATTTCCTATTGGAGTATCGCGCTTCCAAGAGCGCTTTGATATGGTAGTAGCTGAGTATCCGCAGACTAAGCCCAACCATCGATCATTTGTGGGCCACATCAAAAACTTGTTTGAACCCTTGCGGATGAAAAAGACCTCCGAGCCAGCTCCACCACCTCCGATCGACGCTGGTTTGAAGCCGCTCCACTCTCTCCTCGGGTTCAAAATTAGATTAGACAGGAAGAAATGCTAGTGCCATAGTAGCCACAAATAGCTCGACTTCGTAGGCGAAACTGTCACCTACCCTTACTGTAGTATCAAAGCTTTTTCTTGGAAATCACTCAGCTTGCTCAATGTGATGATTTAGCTCATGTTCCTGGTGGTCACTCATATGATCAATTTGTATCTCGTCGTAATCCACAATAAATAATTCCGAGGCAAAGCAAATCATGTCGGGAGTGGCCCACCGTGTCGATCCGGGAAGGATGAATCTGCCTACCCGCGGTGGAGGACTGGGTCGCGCATGAGTCGGGATGCCCACAGTAAAAGCGCACGCGCAATCTTATAGCATTGAGGATGCCAGATGTTGTTTCCGCCGATAATTTTCTGAACTGATATTCTTGCAAACTACTTGAAATCTTTCCCATAATTAAGTAAACTAGTTCGTTTTGTGCCTGGACGTCGGGCGCTATATCAGATCAATTCAAATGCTGTACTATCTCAAACTCACTACACTGTCCTTCCTGACTTCGTATTTCCTTCGTCCCCTCAGCCTCGCTGCTTCAAATACACGCCCACATCCCCAAAGCAGTCCTCTTCACTCCCATCATCATACTCCATCCACGTACTCTCCTGCTTATACTTCCACAGAGCCGGACTCGATTCACACAGACTGTACGGGGTAAACGAACCGCTTCTAATATCGCACGACTTGCCATTACACTCCAGACCCTCACTCTGGATGCTGTTGCAGAATAAGCCTGCAGGCCCACCAAATTCGTGCGTCATGCCGAATGCAATCTGGCGGACTGGAACGTTTGGGGCGACGCAGAGGACAAACGTATTGCCATCGAGCGCTTTGAATCCTTCTGGGTCGTCGAGAGTTTCCATGTCGAACTGCGCCTTGATGTATGCGATACCCGTGGGGCCATAGTTGGGGTCTTGAGCGTATATCTTCGGGGTTTCCCCGCCCTGCTGTCGTGCGATGATGTCGCGGACTAGGCACGCAGCGAGATGCTGAACGTAGGGGCGTTTGGTCTCACGTCCTAGTTCCGTCCGGAAGCAGCCCAAGCCGAAGCAAAGGATCTTGTCCACGCGTTGCATCCTTTTCCCAGCATGTTCTTCCAGAAATGCTGTCAATCGGCTGTAGATTTCAGACTTTTTCCACTCTTCTGCCCATATACCTGCTTTCGCCGTCATATCTTCTACTTTGAAGCAGTCCTTGGCTTCAGTTTGGATTATATGCACCCCGAAGTTGAACGGACACAAGTCCTCCCCACAATTATATGCCTGTCCAAGGCTCTGGATACACTTGTACGCCCATACTCGCTTCGACATACATGGTTGTCCGTTGTACTTGATGCACTTGCCGTCGGCTTGAATGCGTACTTTTCTCTCCTTGCCATAGATATCCAACAAGGTAATCTTTTCGCGAAGAAACTTGTTTCCACGTCGGTCTATCACGATGTCGCTAGCCTTGGAGTGGTTATCTTCGATCGAACGGTAGGTAGCATACGCCACGTCGAAGAGCTCGCGACGAAAAACTGGACCATGTTTCGATTCAGCTTCTACGATGGGATCGAGTTCCACAATGATTTCATTGAGGTACTGCTCGCGGCCTTGGAGTTGTGAGTCGGCATTGGCTGATGTTTTGCAGATTTCAGTTTGCCCTGCCATTTCCCTTGATTTTTAACACTCGATTCGAGCGTTGCTTGATATCTTCGCCGGTTGGGTCGAGGTCGTTATCTTTGGTTATGAGGATTGGTTTGCATGTCTGGCTACTTAATGACTGGGACGGTGACCCGAAACCTAGCTGGAGCGTACAAGATGGACACATCATGCGTGGCCCCAATGAGCAGTGTTCAGAATTTCAAGGTCCTAGGTCGTACTGGAGGACTGTATGGCTCGATGATCATTGTGTCAGCATAGGCATGGGGGCCATTTCTCCAGAACCAAACTGTGCGCGATCGGAGCTGTAGGAAAGAGAAAGATTTGAAAGGCGCCTATGCTCTAGGACTACCTGTTGAGCTATCGCTAATCTGTAGAGGTACTCTGAGAGCGGATGGAGCTGTAAACCATGAGCCTGGGCCTGAACCATTCATTGGATATCGTGCGTACAACTTCAACAAAGCAACTCCAGGAACCGCTTCGCAATCCTGCTATTTTAAGCCTGAAACGGTTTGAAGAGCGGTTGCTGGTCCTGAAATATTAGACGCCTGTTGTCGTGTTTCGAGCATGTGGCGGTGCGCGCCTGCTCTTTCGCACGATGAAAGTCACTCTCGCTCATAGAATGCCATAAACCACGCGCGAGACACCAGGCGACGCTCTTGAAGTCTCAATCGTATTTGAAGTTTGCATCTCTGGTGAGACAAGCCAGAGTTGTGTGTCGTGTCTGCCTAGCCGGCTCCGGCAGCGGAGTTAATGGAGAGCCTCAGCGCTAAAACTCCACGGGGTTGCTCACGCTCCGCCCCAGCCACACCAGTCAGACGAGTCATCCTCCAACATCCATCATGGCGTATCTACGCCAGCCCCTACTGCGGCGTTGGTTGCGGGGCGCTGCTGCTGCTTGCTCGGCACTGAGCGCTTGTGCTGGCTGCAGCTGCTTCCTGACTCTGACTTGATCTTGCTTGCCCTCTCTTGTGTTTGCTAACTGTCCGCATGCAGCTACATACCATACCAATACCGCTTTTCTGTGACAACATCCGGTTTCGTAGTCAAGCAGCTTTCTATATAGGGTTTGGCAGGTATTGACTGAGACTCGCAAAGTTCTAGACGGAATCGAAGGACTATCAGACATTGTAGCACTACTGCCGTTGCCTGCTTGCTATGGAGGTTTGTTCTCCGCTTACCTTACATTCCAGTCATCAGTAGCTCATTCAGGCTCCAGGACACCACTATGACACCATATAGCGATTCTCCAACAGAGCCACGAAGCACATCACCAGTCTCATCTGATTTGTCGTCAACGATCAAACCGCTCCCCTCGCTTCCTATTCCCTCATACACCGCAGAAGACGAGCAACCATATCACGACGAGCCGCCAACACCGACAGAAACATCCCCAACACAAACCCATACAGTGTCGCGGTCATCGCATCCACCTCGGTACCAAACACGGCACATCTCACACCGGCCATACACAGACATTCCTCCCTCCCCTTCAGAAGCCCCCCCACCATCTTTCGATGACGATGTCCCCCTCGCCCACCTGTTCCTCCAGCCACAAGCCTACCGCTTCGAAACCTCGTACCCACAAGAAGCCTACCCGCTCGAAGCACCGCCCTCATACAGCGTAGCAGTACGGCAGGCCTACCGCGACACGCTCGTCCAATACATACCAAATGGTCAGCACGATCCGAGGGACGCTATACTCGTGGAGATAGACGAGGAGTCTGGGATCGACATCGTAAGAGGGGATGATGTGACGCATTCCGTTGAGCGGGTGGTGGCCATGTTTGTCGTGGCGTGCCTGTTGCTGGTCATGGCTGCGGTACTGGGGTGGTTGGCATTAGGGAGTGGGGTTTTTGCGTGAGCTGGACGTGAGAGGTCGGAGATGGGACACCTTGCGGGCTCAGGGCCGGCAGGAAGAGGGAGGGATGGATGAGCGAAGCGATTATGATACCAGCGGCAGCATGCTCTTTTGGCCTTTGCACACTGGAGTGCGAAGGAGGCGTTGTGTTTCACTGGGTGCATTTAGGCGTCTTCTAGGCGTATAGTTTTATACCGCAGGTGAACATCTCAACTATGCATTTTCTTCCACCGTTCATTTACCGCAGCACTGAAGCCTCGCTCGAATGATGAGAGTGAACATACTTCCCACCGTCACCCATAGCCATCGCAATAACACCTTGGACCAAGAAAGTAGCTTAATAACGGGCCTAATACGTCTATTGCATTATTTATATACCCTGATTTTACGCGGAACAAGAACGGAAGAATAAACCTTCATTGGAAAAAAAACACCATTGGGAGGGGGTATGCTGGAGTGAGATCGACCAACAGTCAAAAAAGGACGATGTAAAGAACAGAAAACAAAAAACACGACTTGTCCGACAGCAGCAGTCATCATCATCGTCATCATCGTTATCCTCGATCGCTTGCTTGCTTGCTTGCTTGCTTGCTTGCTTGCTTGCTTACTTTGCTTTGCTTTGCCACCACATTTCTAACCAAAATATATCTAAGCACTACATTAATCTCATCCCCAATTATGTCGCGCACAAGAAACTTTTTACATGTAGCCCTATGCAAGATGATGGATGTGTGTGTGTGTGTCTTTTTGTTTTATCTGAACCTAGCTGTGCAGCGACCCATGACTTCACCTTGACAGACGAGCTCGGCGTTGAATTCCGAGCCGTCGAGCGTAAGGTAGATATCGAAGTATACACGGTAGAAAGTTCCCTGGGGCGTGTCCATGCGCTCGAAGTCCTTTTCGAGGTTCTTCCGTGAGAGATCGGATGTGAGGGTGACGACCTCCTTGATGCCTGGGTCGAGGTTAGTCTGTGATACTCGAACACGGCGAGGTTGAACAACTTACGGGGATCTTTGGTGTACTCTGGGCACACGTCGTCATCGCAGGCGTATAGGATGTCCTCGTACATGAGGGTTGCACCGGGCGCGACTTGTCTGAAGAACGAAACCTTGACTGGCTCGCCAATCTTGACTCTTTGGCCCTTCTGTACGAAGATCTGGCGGGTGTATTTGCATCGATCCTTGCCATCCAGAGACGGCACACGGTACTGTTCAGGGTGGTGGCCCTCTTTGAATGGCTGGAGAGTAGCCATGAGATAATGTCGACGGGCGACACGGTGGGTGACAATACGCTCAGTGATACCGGCTGTGACAGCACCCTTCACGATAGCGGCAACAGAGTCCATTGGACGGACGACCTTGGACTGGAATTGTGGTGGCACGTGAAGCTTGATCTGTTGGAAGAGGTACTCTGAGGCACCAAAACCACCGACGACCAGCACATTCTATAACAATTAGTATTTGTCTGAGCTCGCATTACGGAGAGGTTTGTTTACCTGTAGTGACCTGTTTTGTGCCTGAATAGCGATGATCTGATTCCTTACAAGTTCCAAGATGCGGTTTACTACCGGCTCGAAGCACTGTAGAATCTCCTCGTTCGTAAACGTCATGTAGCCTTCCTCGATACCTGCCTCGGGGAACTCAGCCTCAATACCAACATCGACAGCCCATTTCTGGCCATTGTTTCGGAAGTCGGCCTTTATCCTGTTCTCGAAATCCATGATACACTTGGCGTAGACCTTGCCGGCAGTCTTGGAACCGTCGGGCAATTTCATCTTTCGAATCTTAGCGCGCAAAATGTTGCTGAAGTTTCGGTTCAGAGCAGTAGAACCGCAGGAATCACCGGAGCCTGCTGTGCACTCGGCCACGGAGAAGGGCTGTTCTTCCTCAACTTCGTAGGCGATCAAATCGACGGTACCACCACCGCAATCGACAATCAAAACAGCGTCATGAATCTTGAGGTTGAGGAGACCAGTCTTTGAGCAAAACATGGCAGCAGCTTCAGGCTCGGTAATGAGAGTTAGCCTGTTGTCATTTTCGTCGCGAAGAAAGCCAGCCTGGATGGCTGCGGTACGTGTTGCAGCCTTTCCAGCATCGTTCCAGATCGCAGGTACGGTCAGATAGTACCGGATGTTGCGCTCCTCTCGGTTGAACACTTCACCTAGCGTCTTCTGGAGCTGGTTTCGCATTGCCTGCCGAAGGTGGAAGAGGTAGTCGGCTGCGACATCGATTTCGGACTTGCCAGGTGGTAGCGGGGGCAGATTGATGGGGTCAATGTAGGTGTTGCCAGACAGCATCAGCTGCAGCTTGAACCATTCGACCTTTTGCACACCAGGCTTGGGGTAGCCAGTGGGGGCCAGCGCGTCAGCGATATCTGGGCCCCATCCCACAACTTTCTGGTACTGGTCATAGTAGAGCACGGTGGGAATCTGCGCATGGTATTAGGCATGAAAATAGATTGTGAAGATGTACGCGCACACACCTTTTGCTTCGTCTGGTTTCCCGCGCCAGGCCACTCGGTGATGATGTCCTCCTTGGCTTCGGTGTTGGTAGCGAATGCGAATGCGACGCCAGAGAAAGTGGTGCCCTGTAAAAGCGCCAGATTAGTGTCCGCACCACATGTTACTTGGAACAGCCTATACTTACAAAGTCGATACCAACAATGAGCTGCGCCTTGGAGCGGCCCTCGCCTGCTACCTCTGCCATGCCTCCTGGCCTGTTGTAGGTTGCGGGTGGCCCATGAGGGGCAGGCGCTTGCGGTGGTGCGCCATATCCTCCCTGGCCATACTGGCCTCCTGGTGGAGGCGCCTGCGGAGGGTATCCAGGCGGGCCAGCCTGGGGCGGGTAGCCCATGGCCTGTTGTTGAGGCGGGTAGCCTGGTGCGCCCGTGTTGATGGGCGGGAGAGGGCTCGCGGGGCGGCCGTGTTGCTGCTGCGGGGCTCCCAGACCACCCGGGGGAGCATATGTGTACGAGGGCGGGCGGCCCAGAGGGTTTTGCGGATTCATGGGGAGCGACGAGCTGCTGGAATTCGAGGCTTGGGGCGAAAGCGACGTCGGTCGCTGCTGGCCGGTGGGGGGGACGCCGCCTTGGGGAGAAGGAGAGGGATTGTGTGAGGAACTCTTTCGTTTCGAACCCACTAGGTTCTTGAAACGGGCATTCATGGAATTCATTCAGTTGGGGAGAGGAGTCGGGCTGAAGATATGGGTGGGGTACAGTCGAGTAAATTGGGAGAGCTGCTGCGGCTGACAGTCGAGCTGGGCAACGTCGACACGGAGCAGCAGGGCTATGGGCGTCGCCGCCAACGAGAGGCGCAGTCGCCGAGCAGGTGAATAGAGGTGCTCGAGTCGACGAGAATACGACAGGGCGCTCCGAGTCGTCGTACCTGAGCAGGAGACGCTGTCTTGACTGCCACGCTTGCCTGCGACGAAGTCACGACGAGGGGTACACACAGACAGCAGAGAGAGAGAGAGAGACACACACACACACACACACACAGACAATAGCGGGTCATTGTCCGACCGGTCAAGAGCCTGAGCAAAGCAAAGCCGACACTAGCAGCAAATCGAATAAGCCTCTCAGCAGCCACACCAATCCTTGCACCGCTTGACTCTAGCTACGACTGGCCGGGATACGGGGGAGATACAGCCGCCTGTCCTCACCGTCATCCTGGAGGAATCGCACTGCATCGCCTTCGTAGGGCAGACGCTCCACGTGCTGCCACAATTTCCACTCCTCACATTGCACAGCATGACATCTCCTCAACGACCCCCATCACCCCAGCTTGTCCACCCATTAGCGCAACATTTGTCTGTCGTTGTGTTTCAAACGCCCAGTTCTATTCTTTCAGACCCCCGCGTTTCTTTGTTCCTAGGCTCATATCCCAGGCCCTCCCCAAGACTCTTAGGAAAGCAATCCCTTGTGGTCGACGTCATTCAACAAAGCAGAATACCAAAAGCGCGCACGCGAAGTCAACTTGGTGTTTCACCACAGAGCGATTTGCAAGGTGACCTGCGACTATGGCCGAAATGTGTGAATTCGACTCTCAATATCAAACTTGAAGGATATAGTTGAAAAAATTATTCCAGCTCCTTAGATACCCTGTAGTAAATAAATGACGAGACAACCAGGCTATTTGGCCGAGGCTCCTGGACGCTTAAGAAACATGCCTAGTAGATGATTTGTCTACCCATAATTCCAAGTTTCTCCCAAGGCAGCATCCTCTCATTATTACATCTCGAACTATCAAACTCCCCTCCCTCACACTCAGCTCCACAACCCACTCACAGTCTCCACTCCCCTCTCTACCACAGCCTTGACCCTCGCCCGAAGCGCATTGTTGCTACACTCCACGTCCAAATCTTCAAGCCACACCTTGGCTTGCCATCGATCGAACTTGATCTCAATCCCCGGCACCGGTATGCCCAAGTTGTGTAGGCGTTTGAGTTCTTGCTTGTCCGCGGGGCTGAGGCTATCCTCGGAGACTTTGGAAACCGGTGATTTGGCAGCATCTGGGGTTGGAAGCGTCCCGTTCGTGTCATTCGCATGGGAGGTAGAGTTCCGAGGCAGAGTGATGGGCCGCACGGCATCTTCGCCGAATTGTGCTTCTAGGAAGAGGAAAAGGCGAGCGAGACGGGTTGAGGGGTCCATAGTGCGGTGGGGGTGAGGTTGTTTGAAGCGGTGGGTTAGCCGAGCTTCGGATTTCTCGCTCTGATCCGCGTGGGAGTGCGAGTGTTGTTTTGATGATTCTGTTTCATGTCAGCTTCTGAGAGTTCGCATACGGCAGTATAGTTGACTCACGTCTCACTGCCGCCGGCGAGCTTTCTACGGTGAAGAGGACAGCGAGTACGGCGTCCGCAATGCCATCGTTGATGACATTCCCCTCCCACTCTACCTCCACTCGTCCTCCGTTCTTGACCAGCACGCCCACGCAGTCCATAACCATGAACTTTGTCTCCGTCCGGCTGACTTCTTCATCTGCATCGTCATGCACGCTGTTGCCGTTGGTCTTGGATTCTTTTTTGTCGTCGTCCATATCGTTGATTTTCGACTCCTTGATGGCGCCGAAAGTGCCCTCGAGTGCCCAGCGGATCAGATCAATACCAGCCGCTGAAAGCGTAAGGTGCTGGCGGCAAAGAATCGTCGTCGTCGTCAAACCAGCATACTCTTTTAGATCCTCAGGCGCCATCAGTGAAATCTTGAAATCGTTCTGGATCAAAACTCCCGTGATCATATCCACCTTCTCGCCCTCGCCACTCACTTCTATCTCCTCGTCACCTTCACCGTCGAGGTGAGGTACAGGTGGTGCAATAGAAGCAAGCTTGCCGACGACTTTAGCGACCTTGTCTGTCTTGAAAGGGATGCGGAGTTCTTCGCAATTTGCCGGGGAGTAGATTTTGGTTGGGACGGTCTTTTGGGCGTTGAAGGAAAGAAGTTTGGATCTTAGGCGGGTCATGTTGCCCTTTTCGCCATGGACAAGGATCTGGGTGGTGATTAGCCTGTTGCACTTCCCTCACTTGTATTTTGCAATGTTTTAGTCGAGGTAAGAGGCTACTAAAAAAACTTACGACCACCGGAGCAGCAACTTCCTGGACAAATTCCATATTCTCCTTGCCATCGACGTGTGCGGCGAAACTGTACTCTTGCACTGTGCAGCGCCGGGGTATCATGGCCTGTTCATTCTCCCGCTGGCCTGGTCTCCGTGCTGTGTTACTTGCCCGCGTCATGATGGCAGGGATTTGTTCAGGTTCATGAACAATCTGCTTCGCCATTGTGCCCTCAACCGAATAACCCGTGATGATGACGCCGTTCCGTGGATCTGGAGCCCATCGCTCGAGTAATTCACGCGATGTGCCGGATTGCATCATACCAGGGGAAGCAAGCATAACGCAGCCACCGAGATCGTCGAAACGCTCGAGCGACTTGAGGGAGCGCACGAATTTGAAGTCCCATGCTCCGCGCCGGCCTGTGTCTCCTGCGGCTTCGGCTTCGGCCATGCGCTCTGCAAAGAGGCGGCGGATGTTATCGTTCATGGCAGAGACGTACGTTTGGTAGACTTGCATGCATTTCCGCGCGAGACTGGAATTGTAGTAGATGGGGACCTTTTGGACTTCTGGATGCTTACTCCAGTACTCGTCCAAGATGAGTAGCAATTCCTGGGCTCGACCTAATGCAAAGACCGGGAGCAGAGCTCGACCGCCACGGTTGAGGATGTCGGTGATGGCTTTCATGAGCTGTGTTTCGCGCTCTACACGGGGCGTGTGCATGGAGATACCGAATGTTGACTCGGTGATGAGGACATCGACCTTGACTCCTGGTGGAACAGAAGCAGAGACCAAATGCCTGTCGTCTTCTCGCGAGTAGTCTCCCGTGAACAAGATCTTCAGGCCCGCAATCTCCATGAGGAACATGGCCGCTCCTAGGACGTGGCCAGCGGGATATGGCGTGATGCGCACGCCAGATACAGTGTGGGTGGTGTAGAAATCGATTGACTCGATCATGGGGTAGGTGTTGAGATGATCCGCTTCAGTGTACATCTGGATCTTGGTTTCTGAGTTGCTCGACATGTTGCCGACGCGGACAGAGTCTTGGATAAGCCACTTGTAGATGGCCTTTGTGGGATGGGTCATGAAGACGCGACCCCTGAAGTTGGTCTTTGCGAGAACGTAGGGTAGGGAGGCAGCATGGTCGACGTGGAAACTTGTCGTAGGTTAGCCGCTGGTTTGTTCAAGCTGATGAGAAGGACTGGGATAGAGGTGGAGGGCGCAGAAGCTCTATGTACATGTGGTGGGGATAGCAATAAGGCACATCACCGGAGTCGAACGGGTAAGATGCAAATGATATTCCATTGATACTGCTATACATGATGCTGATCTGCATAATGCTCCTGGTGCATCCGTAGTCCGACTGCAGTGATGCGCCCAGTTCCACCCGACGTGACACTGACGCTGGAAAACAAGGTGCGCGAATACATACTGTGATATCAACAGCACGTCTACTGTGCTGAGGTCAAATTCATCGTAGAAGGGCATGGCGGCCAGGCCTTCGTACGCTGGATGCATGCCGGCATCGAGCTGTCCTCCGTTAGCATGCTGCGTGCCTGGTCTCTTGCTCGAGGGTGCGCACCATGACTGTCTTGCCCTTGTACTGGATGATGTGACATGACCGGCCCACCTCGTTACCGCCTCCCAAGCACAGGAACAGGAGCTCGTCGGAGGGGTCGATGGGGTCGTCGTCCTGGGGCGCCATTGCGGCAGCCTTTCTTTTGGTCGCCATATCTACGAGGACTGGAGGGCGTGCAGCAGTCAATGAGGACGCGTCGCGAGGACTACGTCTCAGCAGCCTACTACTGGCATCAGTCAGAGGGTGAAGGTCGCAATCCAGCTGTGCGCTTGCTGCTATTATGCTGGTCGATCGAGTGGTTGCAAGAGATGAGTCGCGGTGTCCAGTAGTGCAGGGCAAGTAAGTGAAGGTCCTCTTTGTTTCGCGCGCCTGCCAAGACCCCGGTCTGTGCGCCGTCATTCAACTTCCGCGTCGACCTTTTGCACCGAGACATGACTGACAAACAACAACGAACGCGCCTGCCTGCCCCGACCCGCCGCGACTGCCCTGCCCGCCCACATCGCTTCCCGCTCCATCGATTGAGAAGGAGCTCTCGCCGCATGACACGCCGATAGACGCACCGCGCCTCAGCATTCCCCACGGGGGAAGCGCGCTGCCCATCATGGCCTACCCCAACCACAACCACCAGTATCCGCCCTATGGCCAACAACAACCGCCGCCGCCGCCAGTCCAGACGCAGAATCTCAATATCAATCACCACCCACAGCAGCGTCCCTTCTCGCCGCCATCCTTCCATCAGCAGTCGCCCACCACCACCATGTCCCCGACCATGGGCGCAGGTATCCCCCCCGCGAAACGACAGCGCCTCTCTCCCAACCCGCCATCGCCAGCACCCTACCAGTCGCCCTTTGGAGCACCCACATACCCCCCCTCGCCGTACGCTACCTCTCCACTGGCCTCTGGCTATCTGTCTGCGCCCATATCGCCCGCCACGACGCAGCCGCCGCCCTTCCACCAACCGCAGCCGTACCAGCATCCAAACAATATGGGCCAGCAGCAGCAACAGCAGCCACCACCACAAGGTTCTATGCCGCCGCCCAAGGTACCATACAGCAAGACAGGAGACAGCTCAGAGCTGGAAAAGGCGAACGCGCGTGACCTGGACGTTAACAACATCAGCGACGTTCTGACGGGATCTGGCATCGATCTGCGTGCCGAGGAGGACAACTTGCTGCACAACTACCGGAGCTTCAACTCGCAGGCCTCGAATTCCACTGTGTCGCCACATGGCAGCTTCAGCAACTGGGGCCAGCAGGCCAACCATGGCGCATTCCAGGGAACGGGACCGCTCAGCCAGCCCATGTCGCAGGAGCAGCACGAAGCCGAGTTTCTTCGGAAGCACGAGCAGGCTGCCCGCATCTTGAATGAGTCCGCCCAGCAACCCCTCACCGACCCGTTTCTCGCAGCGAATGTGCTTAGGCATCGCATTGCAAAGCGTGCGTACGATCACGGAATCCAAGTCAACGTCGACGGCCTATTCGACAAGATTCCCGACAAGACGCCACGGGATGTTACACGCACCGCCCAGGCTGGTGCTAATGGCGAGCAAATCGTCGGTTTGGAGGCGGCCAGTCTCCTCAACCAGAATGCCTCCCTCGTTGAGATTCTTTCGCTATTAGCCTTGGCTGCCGAGGATCGCATACGCGCCATTGTCGAAGACTCCTTCGCCCTTAGTCAAGGTCGCCAGAATACCTCTCATGGTATCATTCCGCCCCAGCTACTTGATATTGCCGCTGTGGACGAGAAAGCCGAACAGAAAATGGTCGCGCCTGTCAACATCTTGAGGACGCCGTGGGAAGCGCCGGATAGCGCCGTCAGCCCCACCACGACAGCGAGCAAACGTATGCTACTTACCAGAATACATTGCCTCAATGCTAACAGCTATAGAACCACCGAACGCGGCACGTCTACCAACCCCACCAAGCGAAGCACCGCCTACACCGCAGCGCACGTTCCAGAGCGTCAATCGCGTCGCCCTTGCTCTCCAACAGCGCGTTAGGGATGACGAGAAATGGGAACGCGAACGCATCCGCAAGCGTCAAAAACGTCTACAAGGCAACTCCGCTACACCCACAGATACCCTCATCACCCCTCTTCCCTTGCCAGAACCTTTGACGAAGAAGGCTCAAGCCGCAGCAAAGAAGCAGAATCAATCAGACGACGTCATGTTCGGCAAAGCCAATGAAACAGCCAGCATGGCCCTCGGCGGCAAGAAGAAGAAATATTCCTGGATGACTGGTGGTGGTGGCCCTGGCGGAGGTGGCGGTATGAGCTCTGGCGCATCAACGCCTCGACAGGCGCAAGTGGCGGGCACAAGTGGAACTGCTACGCCTGCAGCAGCGCCGCAGTTGGACAAGGGACTTCAAGGCAGGAAGAGGACGTATGGCACTATGATTGAAGCCACGGATATCGGTGCCAAGATCCAGGTTAGGGATCTTGTGCATGTGCTAGAAAACGATGGCAGGGAAAAGAAGACGCTCACGGTGATACTAGCGAGGCTGAAGAACACGGATAAGGATCTCAATCCTAAAACAGTCGAGTATGACAGGAGGCTACCGGCTTCTGCGGGTAGGTAAGACTCGTCAGTCTCATTTTGCATCAACAGCGCCGGCGTTTGAGGGATTAGGATCCATATTTGGTTGCATCATATCCCAAGGGCTGGGGTAACTTTCAGGGGGCTTTCATGTTCCCCCAGGCTTGATTTAAAAGTTCAACAGTAATATGGGCTACTAGCCAACATGCCCTGCAATAATACATTATTAAATTCATCAAGCACGTCTAAGCAATTGACTGTCTTTGTGACCGTAGGCTGCTACCTACACTGGCACGTGAATACTTGGAAAGTGTTTGCAGAATAATTGAACATCAAGTGCAGAGAGTTGCGCGTGCTGCTCAAAGACTGAAGGTAGGTTCATCCTTCACATCAAGCCTCTCCGTATCACCCGAATTATGGATCTCGATGAATTCTTCTTGCTATAGTATTGACAGTGCAGCATAAGGTACATAGCCGCTTGCACGCCAGCATGCGTTGGGCAACTCAAACCTCCACCCCCAGGCTGTTAAGTACACACATAATACCTGACAGGACAAACCAGCGTGATTGCGAACGACGAAGCCATGCAAAAGACAGACGAATTACCCAAGAATGCAAAATTGACGCGTAAATACCTCCTCGAGCAATTGTGTGATCCAGATATCGATGATGATTGCGAAACGGGCTTTTATGACCATGATTGCCCAGAGACAGGGGCAGTAGCTACTTTGACTGAAGATAGTGGCGGTCCTGAGGCGCTGGACGCCAGTCTGGAGGAGGTCAAGGCCTGGCTCGATACTCTATGCCACAAGGAGAAAGCCCAGTATGATGACTTATCGGCTCCTGAGTGCGAAAGGCTGGAGACGGAGACGGGCAACATTTTGGAAACGGTATTTAAAAGGAGGGATTTGGGACTGGATACTAAGATCCTTGAGCGGATACGTAGAGGAGAGGGGCCTCGTGATGTAGTTATCGAGGACCTTCTCGCACCGTTGCGCCTGGATAATAACAGGAAGGTTAACAGTGTTACAGAGACGTACGATGACCAAAAAGCAGTGCTGCTGGCCTGGAACAAGCACGTTACAGGTAAATATGACAATACCAAAGGACGAGAATTGCTCGTGGCTGCTCTACATGAGAGACTGAAGGCAATCAGCAAAGTGCAAGAAATCATCCAGGACAAGAGAGCTTCTGAAATGTACGATAGGGTAGGACAAGAAGCCATCCTTGAACCATCTGCAAAGCGACTCTTACAAGCACTGCACGCATACCGACCTGAAACTGCACGGTTCGAGTATCAAGACCCTTTGGATATGCTTGTCATTCTATGGGCTAATACTAGACCCGAGATCCCAGATATCAAAATGGATGACGAAATGAAGTACCTCTCCTTGAAGGTATTAGCTGCCGAGAGTAGCCTTTCGCAAAGCTATACGAACGAAGCATTCAGGCGCGAGACCAAAAAGAGAAGAGACTCAGCAAGACAGAGACAGGACAAAGCCGAATTCCTACGCTTGAAGCAAGTTCAAGAGCGAAGTGATAGGAAAGCCGCAAAGCAGTCAATTCAGCGCAGCATCGACACCATCCTCTCTGCGCGTAGGGAATTGAGAAAAGCAGTCTTGTACGACTTGCAGGAGCTGACCGTCCTCCAAGCAACGCAGAAGCTAGTAGCTACAGATACCTTTGAAACAAACCCAGAACGCACACCACATTGGACAAACCTACGCAATGCATGCGTCCAGGCAGACCTCGCACTCTCCCGCGCACGTCTACACCACCTCGAAGACCTCGAAGCCAGCGCGGAAATAGCATCCCACAACATCCAGCAAATGCGCAACGTGCATCAGAAAATGCTCACTCGGACGCTGAAACTCGGGGGACATGATCTCGATAGAGTAGATGAGGGGAAGCGGAGACGTATTGTTGAAGAGCGGAAGAACGAACCTGTTACTGCGAGGATGATGAGTGAGACTTTCAATGGTGTGGTGGAGTCGAGGCTGGCTGCTAGGCAGATGCTGCGGCAGGTTAGTCTTATGGAGGGGTCATTGGAGGAGTTGCTGGATGTGGCGAGGACGCAGTATCGGGAGTATGATGCTCTTATTCGGTTGATTGATGGGAATTGAGTCTGAGAAGGTTGAAGCGGAAGTGACCCAAAACGCAGTTTTAGACAAGCTGAATGATCTTGAGTCTTGGAAGATGAGTAGTGTTGCTATAACGAGAAATTTTGTCAAGGCTACGAATCTTTGTCAAGGCTACTAAGGCATGCTGCCCACCGCTTCTTGCGCCTGGGGTTGAAATTCTGGGCGCTTGCCCACACGATTCGATGATGTCTAACGAGCGCTACTAGCCGTATGAGTTATGACAAGATTGGTGTCGTTGGAACGCTCACGACGCGGCAAATGAGAGTAGCCAGGACAACACTTCGCGGGGTGTAGAGTAGGAAATGGAGGCAAGAAACATAAAATATAGCAGCCGCAATAATAAGCAAATGCCGCAAGCCGTTGAGCACGCACTAAGGCGCCGTGACCTGAGTGGATCAATTTGTTGCTGGGGCAGGGATATCCGGATTTCGGGAAGAGACGGAGAGCGCCAAGAACAAAAGATTCTCATCTCTCCAAGAGCTTCCTATCTCCGTCTGTCCATTTCCAACCTCACCTCTCTCCACTCCATCCTTCAGTCTTCGGTTTCATCACCCCAGATCACCGGAATGTCGACCTCTCCTCCTCCCACCAGCACCGGCTCGGCCAAGGTCGACGCCGCCAAGGCCACCATCGCAGCCCACGTCGACCCGACTGCCCCTACCGGCATTGATCTGTACTCGCGCTTCGCTTTCGCCGGTGCCGTCTGCTGCTCAGTCACCCATGGAGCCCTCACACCTGTCGATGTGTACGTTATACCACCTGTACTGGCAGCAATGGCTGCCAATGGCTGCATCGCACCTATTTCGCTCTGCGCGATGGCTATCAGCTGCAATGACGCAAGAACGCGGCGCTAACCTCTCACAGCGTCAAGACGAGGATACAACTCGACCCTGTCACCTACAACACCGGTCTGATCGGTGGCTTCAAGAAGGTCATCGCCAATGAGGGTGCTGGCGCTGTCTGGACCGGCTTCGGTCCTACCGCTGCTGGTTACTTCCTCCAGGGTGCTTTCAAGTTTGGAGGTTACGAGTTCTTCAAGCAGCAGTCTATCAACCTCCTTGGTTATGAGACCGCCAGCAACAACCGCACTGCCGTCTACCTCGCCTCTGCCGGTGCCGCTGAGTTCTTCGCTGATATCGCCCTTTGCCCGCTTGAGGCTACCCGCATTCGTCTCGTGTCTGAGCCCACGTTCGCCAATGGCCTCATTGGAGGTTTCAGCAAGATCCTGAAGACTGAGGGTGTTGGTGCTTTCTACTCTGGATTCGGTCCCATCTTGTTCAAGCAGTACGTACTCTTCAATTCCCCTTCTCCCCAACACTCAGGTCGGCTAACAAGGCGATTAGGGTCCCCTACACCATGTCCAAGTTCGTTGTCTTCGAGAAGGTTAACGAGGCCATCTACGGCTTTGTCGACAAGAACAGCACCAGCTCCGGCATGCAGACCGTCTACAACCTCGCATCCGGTCTTGTCGCTGGTTTCGCTGCCGCCATTGTGTCCCAGCCCGCCGATACCATGCTTTCCAAGATCAACAAGTCCAAGGGCCTGCCCGGAGAGGGTACCACCTCCCGCCTGATCAAGATCGCCAAGGAGCTCGGTCTCCGCGGCTCTTATGCTGGTATCGGTGCTCGTCTGTTCATGGTTGGTACCTTGACCGCTGGTCAGTTCGCCATTTACGGCGACATCAAGAAGGCCTTGGGAGCCACAGGTGGTGTAGAAATCTCAAAGACGAAATAGATTCGTTGAAGATGAAGTTGATGGGGTGGCGGAGATGATACCAGGACAGCCATGACTGTAAATTCGCCGGAAAAGTCTGTCTTTTTTTGCATATGGCTGACATGGTTTGGGTCGATCATGTTTTCTGTTAACCTACCCTTCATGTGTTTTGCGTTTATTTTGCAGCCTTGATTTAGATCTCCCCGCTTTTCGTTTGCTTGAGGGCAATCCATGTAACAGTACGATCGAGTAGGAACATAGCTGCACAATAGACGAAGCTCATAATGACAAACCAAACGAGCGTGATTGTGATGTCTAAGACTTGAAGCTTTCTGAGCGCGAAGGACTCTGGAAACACTTCACAGTTGCACGAAGACGCTGCAGTTTCATTATAATGTGATCATCCCTTTGGAAGGAGCGTAGCTCGATGTCAGTTCTCCTCGACTGTCGGCTGCCCAGCTCTTCGTCGTCAGGTTTCGTGTCATAACTTCCCTATCATCATCGTTGTCATCATCTTCTGCTCATACCGCGTCTTACTTTGATTCCCGCTTAAGGATGGACAGCCTTATGTTAGGTGTTGAAGAATTAGAATTTAACTTGTAGTAGCAGAGGAATAGTATGACCTGTTAGATAATGCTTTTTTCCTATTTATCCTACGGGGTATAGTCTATGAATTCTAAGCAAGTAACCTAAAGATTATAATACAACCTTAGGTTGTTATTAGTTATCCTTCTCTCCATCCCCGCGACAGCATTTATGCCTTGTAAATGTCCGCGTCGAAATTGGTAGGGAACTGGTCCCTACCCTCGGCATCACTGCGTACCCAGACAGCCACGCTAGTTCCAGGGCACTTGAACAGGCCATACCCATCACTGTCAATCTCTACCTCGCCCTCCTCCCAGCCAAGCACATCCGTCCATTTCTCACCAGCGTGCATCTCCCCGACCGCCATCTTGATCTGTCCCGGTCCCTTGTTACTCATCACACAGGCCAGACCAGCCTTCTTATCCCAGGTACCGCGTCTTACGAAGCCAACCAGATTCGGGTCATTCCAGTAATCGTCCTGATCACCATAGGCATAGAGTTTGCGAGCCAAGATGAGGTCGGCGAGTTTACCGCCGCAGGACGCGGGCGTCTTGTGCGGCTCTGCGAGGCCGTATAGGTCGCCGTAGAAGGGGCAGGGGTAGCCATCCTGGCGCAGAAGAATGAGGGAGTAGGCGAGGGGCTTGAAGAAGCCTTCGATTTTGGTTTCCATGACTTGGCCGGGTTGTGTGTCGTGGTTCGTCACCACAGTCACCGCATTGAGCGGGCGCAGCTGGACGAGCGTGTCGTCAAAGACCTTGCGTAAGTCGCCTTCTTCCGTTGTGGAGATCTGACCGAAGTGGTTGAGCAGGGGCGAGTCGTAGAGGGCGAATTTGTGGTGCATATCGTTCAGCCAGTCGCTCATCTCCTTTACATCTCCGCTCCAGAATTCACCGACGACGAACATGTCCTCGCCGCATTGTTCGCGCAGATTGTCGATCCACTCATTGGTAAAGCGCTCACTGAAGTGCTGGACGGCATCGAGTCGGAAACCCTTTAGCCCGAGCTCTTTCGTGATCCAGACTCCCCAGTTCTTTACATCGGCTTGGACTTCTGGGTGCGAGTAGTCGATGTCAGCAAACATCATGTAGTCTGCGTTTCCCGACTCGTCGTCCACACTCTGCGACCAGCCTTTGTTGTCACCGAGGATCTTGTAGATGGCCTTCTTTTCGTTGGCCTGGTTGTAGTCTGTGCCACTGAAGTGCTCCCAGGAATACTTCTGAGACGAGTACTTGTCGCCGCGGCCGGGGAAGTCAAAGCCTAGCCATCCCTCAATCTCATATGCTTCTGAGACTTCCTTCGTGCGATCGCTCTGGTCAACCTCTATGACACGGCATTTCTCTGTCCTATCGGCGCCCGCCTTGTGGTTGAGCACGGCATCCCAGTACAGGCCTACGTTGTGCTCTTTCGCGACCTTGGTTAGCTCCAACAGCTCTTCCTTCGTTCCCCATTTGGTGCCTTTTGCGCCCTTCTGATCAAACTCGCCGAGGTCATACAGGTCGTAAATGTCGTATCCGACGCCCTTGGGGTTAGCAGCCTTGCAGCCCGGAGGAAGCCATATGTTGCTGATGCCAATCGCTTTTAGCTTGGGCAGTTCGGCCGCAAGTCGCTTCCAGTGCTTGTTGTCGTCAGGAACGTTCCATTCGAAACCTTGAAACAACGTGGTGTTCTCCGGTGTGGGCTTTTGCTCTGCGCTAGTCGTCAGACTCAAGCATCGTTAGGAAGATTGCTGGCGGGAAGTACCGTCTGAACCCATGATTATGAGTTATTATTGGTCTGTTTGAACTGGGTCTTGTCTCAAGTTGTCGTGTATCTCTCAATAACTGGTGGGGTAAAGTTATATGGAAGGATAGAGTGCCTGGCTTGGAGGGAGGTTTTGTCAAGTCCCGCTGGAATTCAAGAGCAAAAATCTTTTCCAGTACCATGGTCGACATTTATGTAGTCTGTATCGCGAGTAGCGTGGAACAAACCTGCATGCCCGCAAGGTACAAGCAGGTTTGTCCACCAGTTTCTAGACCCATGGGGAGCACCGATAGTGGTGCGTGGGCGTTGCCCAGGTGCAAAGAGTGGATGCGGGTGGGTTTGGCGTCGTTCAACAGATAGGCGCCGGTGACGTCAGCCTGCATTTCGGCTTTGGTTTCCGGTACAATTCGCTCGCAAGTCAAAGTGAAGCGTTTGTTGTCCAGCGAGCATGTCGAGCAGATGTAGACAAATGTAGAAACTTTTCATGCTTGGGAGCACCTGCAGTAAGACCTGGATGGGCAGGCTGGTTCAAATGTGCCACTGCATTGCACTAGACTCAAACGAACATAGCGCCATATGGTACCTAGGACCTCGACTTCCCTTTACCTTTAGCTTGTGATTGGTGCCTGTCTGCAACTTGATCAAAATATTTCAACAAATGCTCAGGCTGAGTATACACAACACGACAACTCTGAGAAGGTTTACTATCTTTTCGAGTCCTAGGTAAGGTGTAGCTCCGCCGGTGCCTAGACCTCAGCCGCCATACCGCGTGTCACCTTCACCACCCAAGCATAATTACACCGCTCTGCCAGCAACATACAACACTCTACTCTCACTCTTTCACTAACCACGACCATGGACAGAGCTCTAGACCGCCAAGAACAAGAGAAAGTGCGCACCGCACGCGCCAACTTCTTCCGGATACTGAAGCGCAAGGGCTCAACGGGCCAAACCACCCAACCCGAAAAGAAAACATCAACATCAACTTCGACGGCTCAACCATACTCTGTATCACCAGATAAACGTATCAAGCTCCACACCATGTCACCTTCCAAGGGTTCCGGTTCCGGATCCAACATCCCGCTCATCATTCGCTTCTACGACCCAAACACTCCTCCTGACCAAGCCAGAGACCCCCATCATCGTACATTGGATGAAATCTTATCATGGAACGATGCCCGACTAGAGAGCTGTCACAACTATATCCAGATGCTGTTCCCGCTGCCCGAGGGCTCACCCTACAACTGGGATGCCCCGGTCATTACTCGTCAGGTTATGCTGGCGTTCCGTTCGAGGGTCGAGTTGAGGGACAGGCTGCGGGAGAGCTTTGATCGAATGCTCGGCTTCTATGGCTTTACGTTGACTACAAGGTCTGGTGAATATGAGATAGAGGAGGTAGAGGGAGCGAAAGAGAGTGGCGCTGAAGGAGCCAAAGCACCCAGGTCTCCGCAAGAGACAGGATCTGAGCAGTCAGCACAGGCGGCCAATGCTGCTAATCAGACGAGCGCGGGTGATGGTCAAGATTCTACTGTCTCACCAGCTACCTCCGATACCCAAGGTCCTACCGCAGACACAGATGCTACGACTATTGCATATATCGCCGATACAAACACTACCGCCAATACAGCAGACGAGCCTCACCACTCGCCCCTCACTAGATACTACGTCTATCGCGCCCCCCACTGGCAGAAGTCCTCCCGCAACTGGGCCGTCCGCTTCGATCACAACCACCTGCGTATCACGCGCATCATGCGCTGTCTGCGCATCCTGGGTCTGCAAGCCGAGTGCGATGCCTTCTTCACAGCTCTGAAGCGTGTCTATGATGATCCTGCTATTGAGATTAGTGAGCGGAGCATGATGTACTGGCACCGTGCCGTCAGCCAACCACTGTACATTGCGCCTGATGATGATAGGTGCGGATGGTTGAAGCAGTGGGAGGAGGAACAGCAAGAGTAGGCGAGGCAAGAGGCATTCAATGGGGTGAAGGAGACGAAGGGAGACACTAAGTAGGAGAAGAACGGTCAGGGGTGCATTCCGAGGACAATGAGTATGGCTAATCAAGTTATTCGCTCGCTGTAGGCGGGTATTGATAGCGATCTGATATAAGGATTCTCAGCGAGACCTCGATCCTTCATGCTCTGTGATCGTCTTCAGTGAAAGCGTCCACTTCTAGGACATTGTCCAAGTCGCTCTTGCGGCCCATGAATAACCTCAGTAAAAAGCATTTTTGGTAGATATTTATTCACTCTTGATAAAGTCATACATGAAAGGATGGTTTATGCGAATTTGGAAACGGGGGTTTACAAGAAGAGATTACTACAACTAGTCATCGACGTGTAAGCAACACCTAAGCGGACACAGAGAGACGGAGGCCACAATTTCTCTTTTGAGAATACAAGAGCAATCAGCCGCTCCCCAAGAATCCTCTTTCCAGATTCCGCGTCCGCTCAATGGTAAACGCTTCAATCTTGACACCACAAAGCACGACTTGCATCCTTCTGGCCTCGCCATCACTCTCCACTGGCTCAACGCGGATACGCCAATGCGCCCTCTTGACCGTCCATTCCATTTCCGGTTCTTCATCATCCGCTCCCAAGCTGAGCGACTGGCCAGGATCAACCCTGTTACCACCCCAGAACCACTCGCTCTCTATCTGCGAAGGAGAATGTTGCTGTGTGGAGCGGTAAACGTCCCTTGACCTTCTGATTCCCACTCGTCCGGACTCGGTGTCGATGGCGACTTCAGCAGGCGAGCCATTGATTTCCAAGGAGCAGTCGCCATCGAGTCGTACGCGGACGCGTCGCTCGCTAACACCCGAATTAGCAGGGCTGACCGGCTGCGCGGCAACTCCACCGCCCGATTGCAGATACATGAGGCCAAGCGGTTGAGTAGCTGGAAGACCCATTTTAGATGCTATAACGGAGAAGAACGATGTTATGCGGGCGAGCGTCGAGTTATGAAACGTTGACCGCAGATTGACCTCGAGTGATCCAGGCGACATAGCTTTCGGTGCGGACAAGGGAAGATATAATGTTGTCGACTCGCTCGTGGAAACCTCGAGAATGAGGATATTGGTACGCGCGTGGTCGTCTGTGTAGGGACGGGCGTACGATACATAGCCTGCCTTTGAAGCGCTACTACTGCTTGACAGGGAGCGAGCGGGACTCGCGGTTTTGCTGCTGGGTAACGGGCCAGGGGATACGCCCATGGATTGTGCGCCAGACACTGTCCCAGACTCTGAATCGCTCGATGGTTTGTCCGGACTAAACGATATTCCAGATTGTCGGATGTCTTCTAGGCGAAGCAGAATCTCGGACTGCTGGCGTTTGAGGTTATACGAGATCTCGCAAGGTATTAAACGCTGCTCAAGCCCTTTGAGATGAAAGTATCGAGCGTCTTTGAGTAGCCGGGAGCGATGGTCGTCGTTTCGAATTTCGACGTTGTAGCCTTGGAGTATCTGGATCAGCTCAGCGAATGTTTCGCCGTTCTTATTCGGCACTGATGGAGGCAAGATGGATGGAGGTCGAAGCAAAGCACTACGATCTAACCCAGGAAACACCTCCGCTGGCGTTGAGAAGAACTGCGCGAAACCCAAGGAGAAGTAATTTGGGCTATCGCCAGGAGCGGAAAACAGATCTCGCGGAATCTGGAAGGGCGTTCCGCCAATTCGGATGAAGATGTCAGTGTTAAACAACTGTTTGGTGAAACGAGGTACTAGAAAAAGTCAGCACTTATTTCGCTTCCTGTTCAATCGCGAGGCTTTGCCTACATGAGTAGAACTGCGCATCTGCAAATAGCTTCACAAAATGCGCGCCATCCTTTGGGATAACGTGGTAGCCCTGGAGATGTAGCGCAATGTCGCGGAAGGTGTCTGGATCTCGGTCGATATACAGTGTTCTCACGTCACCAGCTCGGCCACCATTGTTATGTAGTTGATCGATGAAGAAATGCGAGAAGTATGAGGGTGCTCTAGTAGTATTAGCTTACGACTCTTTACGCATCGACCGATCGAGAAAATGCTCACCATCAGACGATATCGAGGCTCCAGACAGCCTGAACAGCTCTGAGCCAATCTGTATGGGGAACACTTTGCCCGCAGGCAGCATGCCTGGCCCACCAGGTGTCTCCGCCACCTTTCTCGGCTTAGAGACATCAATGACTCTGCCCTGCGGCCCAGTGCCCTTGCTCTGCTGCTCTTTCCGTCGCGCAGCCTCAGTGTTCCCTTGTGATGCTGCTTGCGAAGCGGGTTCGGTGGCCGCCGTTGCAGCAGCGGTGGGAGTCGTAGAGGGTGGACGGGTGTTAGCCTGGGTGATCACGGGTGAGGTGAGCGACGCATCTGACGATTGTCGTGACTTGTTCTGGCGCTTCGTGGGATTCTCTGTAGCGATACTGGCGTTCTGTGAGACGGCTGAACCAGGCTCCGAGTCGGCCTTCCTCTTCATGCCCGTCTGGATGATAGGCCTCTGTTGCGGCGGTCGGGGAGGTGGTGATAGTGGGTTGTGTGCGCCAATCGGCTCCGCATTCGCGCTCTGAGTTTGCTGTATTTGTTGGTAGTTTGGCTCTGGTGCAATGATGGGGAGTGGTATGCTGAAGTCGTTCGAAGATGCAATCTGGTTCTGCAGCTCTTGAGCAAGCTCGCCTTGCGGCTCGTATTGATTTGTGAACTCAGAGAAGTCAACTGAATTGGTCCAGTCCCAGCCCAGCGGCGCTGAAGGACCAAAGCCAAAGCTGCCGAATGGTCCTGGAGCTACGTGCTGCGGGTGCGCGCCGAAGTCAGGGTATTGAAGAGACGGGTCTTGGGTTTGCGCCTGATTCTTTGATGCGCCGGGCGCACTGGTATCGCGCTCAGCATCGTAGTGGCCATACGACTGCTGTAAGTGTTGCGAAGCTCCTGCTTGATCAGAGGTTTGGAATGCGAAGCCCTGAGAAGTCGCACCGGAACGGTCTGTCATATAGGCTAGCTGCACTCAATTCGCGTCGCAGTCTCGGGCGACCGAATGCCTAGGTCCTAAGCAAGCTTTGCAGCACAGAGGAGAGGAGAACCTGAGATTGCTGATGAAGCGCTGAGTAACAGCTGGACGGCTTGCGGGGAGTACTGAATGCGGTATCGCGAGATTTGGCAATGCAGGGTGCTCGCTAAGGGTCTGTCCGCGGAAGAGGCAGCCTTGGGGTAGAGATGATGGTGGGGGGTGTCATCCAGCACATCTAGGGACCTTCGTAAAATATAGAGAAAACATCCCCAAGGTGATTAATCTCATCCACTCGAAGTAGTAATGGCGTTCTGCATGAGACGACACCGTCGGACGAGTCCGTGTTGCTTAACTGCGTTGTGAGAACGGCTCGTACACAGTAATCGCCGACGCGAGCTTGGTAGGGCTGTGAGGCTGATGCTGACATACTAGTGATCGGTGCATTTCGCAGGGCTAGAAAAGTGCCAGCAGCTTCTACCGGCGCCTCGGATGATGTGAGGATGTAAGGCTCCTTGCGGACGCGAGATGTTGGAGCTGAGACTTTGCTTGTGGAAGGCGACAGTAACGGAGGTCGGCGTGTTGAAGCTCACGAGTGCATTCGGCCGAATCCAACCTCCGGATCGACGTCTAAGTATGATAATAAATTCCACAGGCTTCGCGTGCCTAGGTACTACAGAATGACGTGAAGACGCAGACCTAGTCCACTTCTACAAAACCGAAGCGTAACCGACATCGCAACTTCCGTGATTGCCTCATAACATTACAACTTCAGGTCGGAAAACGGTACAAACTTCTCTCCGCTCGCTTCAGAAACCCTATCCCCGGCCCTCTTGTACGCGTCCCTACCCTGCAGCCTTCGCATATATTCATACAGCTTTGGGTAGCTCGTCTCGCTCAGTGGCACTCGCTGGGTAGCACCTTCCAAAGCGAAGTGCATCATGATATCCGCGCCTGTGATATTCGGCCCGCAGAAGAATTCGCCATTGCTTGGAGACTTGATGAGATAGTCCTCGAGAAAATCGAAGTGGTTCTTCAATTCAACGTCAACAAACGAGGAGTTGATCTTGCCTGCGATGCCTCGGGTGATTGGCTTGATGAAAAACGGCACGGGTGCCTTCTCGATATCTTGGATGAAGTTAGCGCTAATAGCAAGAGGCAGTAGAATGACTTACTGCCGGTAATCAGCGCTGCCATCAGAAATGTGAAGAGGCTCCCTTCTGTGTAGTCCATGAGGAACTGAACAGTGTTAGTTTTCGATGCTTTCCCAAGTGGTCGACGCCTAGCAGTACGAATAGAGAAAGAGGAGATGCTGGGAGCTGCAGCGGAAAAGGCTCAAGTATCCACCAATAGAGGAGATCCACAACACCCGGTAACCAGGCGTGCTTACAAAGGTCACAACTGAGAAACTGCAGAAATAGTCTCACCTTGTACCTCATCCACTCTTCCGTCTCCGCACATAGCACACCCTCCTTTCCTTCTGGAAACTTTGGCGGGATCATGTGCTGGCCGAAATGCTCGCACACATAATCCATGATCGTTTCACTTTCAGCGATTATAGTCTCCTTATCAGATCCAGCAGGAGTGATGCCAATCATTGGAGATCGTCCAAGAGGATGCACTTGCTTCAGCTCAGGCCCTGCGCGGAAGTCTGCTCCGCGCTTGAAGACTTTGATCTCATACTCGAGATTCAACTCCTCAAGTAGCCAGATGATGCGCTGCGCGCGGGACTTGTTCAGCCTACGAAGAGTTAACACGTTGAAAGAGAGACGACCGTTCAGATGGCGGTGGCGCCGGGATTCTTAGAAACTGTGTGGCATGAATGCGAAGTAGCGTAAAAACATGGGTAGGACGTGGCTGTGTTGCTGTAGCTTACCAGTAGACCACGATCTTGGCACCCTGTTGATTCGACATGTTGTTATTAGAAGGAGTTCGAAGGTGGTCAAAGATGGTTTTTTGATTGATTGGTAGAGGTTGGAAAGTACAAATCCACAAGATTTTGTAACGTCGATACACCGAGGCTCTTTCCCATTTATCGGGATCGTCACAAGCTCGATCGCTCAGGCTATCGGCGGTTGGCTCGCCGCCCGGAGAGATTAATTGCTAGTGTCGGCTACAGGGGGCTCCGATGAACCTACGACACGGCCTATCACAACAGCACTTTTGAGATTTTGCCGTAAAAAAGCGCAGATGTGTGTAGGATTTGTATCCTAAGTACGGTGGCTTGGTCTCTATTGGCTATTTCGATTGAGTCGATGGGTAGACAAGTCGAATAAAGCCGCGTATCAAGCTGATGGAATATGAACAGTGATAACTGACGTCGACGCCCAATTCATGGAACATAAGGAACTGGAAGTGATTAGATAATTGTACCCTGTGGTCTTTTACAGTCATTTGCCATTGACGTGCACTGCCTGAGCGCTCCAGTCGAACGTGCCAAGAGCGGCTATTCCCGAGGTTGAGCCGCCCTGGTCGCATCACAGCTCAACCTCACCACCATTGAAGCCACCGGCAAACTACGCCACGAACCCAGAACCCGCCAGGCAACACCTCGAGACCTTCAATATGGCGGGCCACAATCATGGCAGTATGCAAACCCCCATCTGTCCCTCCTGTGAATCCGCAATGGCTAACAACATCGCAGTCCTCCATCAGGATCCCGCGCTCATCAAATGGAACAGTACGTCTCGCCACTCGCACCTCCTCGTGCCCCTCGCTATAGTACGCTAGAGTCGGGACTGTCGAAATAAAAGCATGTTTCAAGGACGCGAGGGGTTTGCCAGGACAGAAAGCGTTGGGTTGGGGAAGGGCAACGAGTTAACAACCAGCAGACATGACCACCAACCGCCACAAGTACTTCCGCTGGACGAAGCGGACAGCGTGGATCTCATTCGCATACGTTATCCTGGCTCCAGCTCTGTTGGGCACAGCAGGATATATGACCGAGGTGAGTGGCTCCAATATGCGCATGTACGGACGACAATTCCTAATATATTCATAGGGCAAGTGGGAGTTTCGCGGTAAGAGGAGGGGCGATACACTGTCTGAGTTTTAGATGCGAGGTTTAGGACGTGGGATACCACAGCGTACTGTCTATAATAATGGCATCGAGAATGAACAGCATCAGATGCAAGGGCACCTCTCTTGTGTTCATAGCAAATGCAAATGAATTCTCTGGAAGTAGGTCCCGCTATGCATGTATAAGCATAATCTGTCATGTACCCTTGGGTACCCCTGGCGTTGTGAAACACGTCGATCATCGCCGTGATCCGTGAAGACTGCCAGTTGTTGTCGATTTTGAGCGTCTCCCGCCAGGGCATCCACTCTTTGATGGCTTCGGTACAGTAGAGGACGTCTGGAAGCTCTCCCTCTTTGAAGAATATGTTATTCTCTTGCTTCTCATTTGATATCCGAACGAACTCTATGATTTCTACCAGTTTGAGGTGACAGGCGTGTTGTAATGCAAACACCAGGTTCTTGAACGGTAGGCCCTCTTTTGTTGTGCCATAACCGCCACTTTTGGTAGGTTTTGAAGCATAGGTTTGACGTCTCTCGTTCTGAGTCGTCGAGGAACAACGTGATAGTCTGTTCCTTGAGGTGAGGCAAGTGTATCATAGTCTCCGGCCGCCGGACCATAAGCTATTGAGCATCTATATACGGCAAAGAAAGCGCTGTCCAGAGGGCGGCGCCCATCTACCTGGGTGGTTCTGACCCGGGTTGCTAGCAACTGCATCATCTTCCTTCAAATGTTGTGTCCTTGTACGAACTGCAGAAATGAGAATACTTCCGGTCAAGTGTCTATTTAACTGCTCTTAGCACCCCGGAGTACCTCATGACATTATCAGGACATTTTTTTTTTACCTCTCTTGACGCACCCTGTCACCATTGACAACCTCAACACTAACATTATAAAGCATCGACATGATGAATGACATCCTCGGAATGTGCCACGGCTTTGGTTTGCATTACTGTCCGGATGTTCTCTGTTGCACGAGATCATTACGAACAAAATCAACTCAAATAGGTATAATAAGCTGATAGGGCGTCGGTAGGATCGTTGCATGACTGAGATGGTTGTATCATGTAATGTTGAACTATGTTGACAATCGGATGGTCGATTTACGACCAGAGTAGTATGACAGTATATCATAAACGCCAAAGTTATGCAATTAACAATCTAGTCTACATGCTTCGCTTGCTAAACGACCAGTAAGATTCGTAGGAATTTTCAGTATGCGTGTTCAAGAACGATTAACACAACGCTGGAGTATTAGCGTGGAGATGCGCAAGGAAGTATAGGAGGAGAGATGCTGGAGCAAAACAATGACGCTAGAAAAGAGCAATCTACAAGTTTTAGGTGAAATAGTAAGAAAAGAAGCCGTAGAATGAAAAGATTGACCGTATACATCGTGGATACCGGCAAAATAATATGGACACTGTCCAAACGTTGAGATTTCTCAGTCATCCCATGTGGATTCAAAGGCGATGTCGATAATGCCAATCAATCATCGGTCATGGTCGATCAAGGTTCCCAGGATTGGCGGTTAGAATAGATAGCCCCGTAGCTCCTCGGCTCGTCCTCTTCGAGTAGGCTCTCCATAATACTTCCGGCATCCGTGTTGGTAATGGTGATAGCATCGTCCTCATCTAGCTTCTTCCGCATGCGGTAAACCTGAACCGTGACATACGTGACCAGCGCAGTGCCGATCAAGAACGCAGCGATGCCGAGAAATGCATTGACAGGCGTGGGGTTACCGTCGAACGTTCGTTTCGTCAAGGCATTGATACCCGTCTGCGAGAGATTGACTAGTCCAGAAAAGCAGATGATGGTACCGTAGACACGACCGAAGGTTGCAAATCCGAAGACCTTGGTGGCATAATCGGACATTGCAGAGTAATACAGGGGGCGTAAGAAGACGAAGAGGATGACGTTTACATAGCCGGCCCATAGAGCTGGTATTGAGCCGACAATGCTGATGGCGGTGATAACGACGACGATAACGAGGAGTACGTTTGGGGTGCTTACGTGATCGAGTAGGGCGCCGAGAAAGGGTGTACTTATTACTCCAGCAAGAGGTAGAGCCCAGTCGAAGAAGTCGTTGACTTTGGTGGCCAATTCAACCGAGTTCAGCATATAAATATACTGCTCTCGAATTGTTGCGATGAAGTAGTTCATGCGCACCATTTGCAAGACTGTAAGAAGCGTCAGAAGAATGAACCAGGGTGTCAGCATCTGATCCTTCGCCGACTTGTTGTGCAGTGCACCCCATACCCCTGATGCCTCTTGCTTGTGCTCTTTCTTCTCTTCTTGCATCTTCCGCGCCACTTGATCACCGAGGAGCTCGTCGAGCTTGCTGAGCCGCTGACGGCGACGGACACTGCGATGTTTCCTCCGTCGCCACATCTCGTCATCAGGCAACTCATCATCGGAAGAGTGCACGTCCTGCATTGCGTCTTCAGCTTTGTATATCTTCATCTCCAACTGTGGGGCGGTCTTGTAGGCTTCGTTTGGTAGAAACGTCAGCTGAGCGATGATAATTGCAACTGGCACCGCGAGGTAGACTAGGAAGAATGTCTGTGGTTTGAAACCTCTGTTAGTTGCCTCGTAGATGAGTCTGTAGAAGAGGAAGACAGCGGCCGAGGCATCGAATGCTCCTGTGACGAGGGCTACAATACTGCCACCATATTTCGGGAAAGCATTAGCAATTTGGAAAGACGGCAGGAAGACAAAAGTGCCTCCCAATGCAAGGAAGAAATTTCCGATAGTATAGCCGTCAAACTCTGCAATCTGAAAGGCAAGACTCATAAGAACGCTGCCCACGGTGAGGAATAGAGATCCGAGCAAGAAACATATTCTCGGGCCATAACGGTCGAGTAAAGTGCCGACAGGAAGCGCAGATACATTTGCCGTAGTCGACGCCAGCGAAAAGAAAAAGTTCAATCGCAAATCCTGGTCGAAACAAACTTCGACATTTGAGTCCAATTCTTCTTTCGTGCAGAGATTTCGGAAGACACCTTCCTTGATTAGAATGGGCTTGAGTGCTGCAAAGCCAAAGACAATGCCGCTGGCGAACCAACACGCGAGGACGGTCGCAGTGACCTGTGCTGTAGTCGCATGAGCAGTTGAGCTTTTTGATATTACCGAATTAGGAAAGACTAACCGATACGTTTGGAAGTAGACACTTTGTAAGGTGTCAACCCCCCATACTCTTCGCCTGCAACCGGTACTTCAGGCTTCTTGAGAGCATCATAGCTGATGACTCGCCTGACTTGCTTGCCTGAGACACCGAGAAAGCCAGCAGATTCTGAGATGGCGCTCTCGAGCGAAAGCCGACGCCCCGAAGCCTCCTGTCGGCTAAGCTGGCGATCGACCGGTGGAAGGAACAGGTCGACTAAGGCTTCCTCGCGATCAATGCCCTCTTGTTGCGTAACATGTTGAATGAGCGACATGCAGGGCAGCAATTGAGCTCTCTCGTAAGGGAAACGCAGGACAAGATGGGGGACCGCAGGAATAAAAGATGGGTGAGTTTGGGTCGGGTGGTCGAGGCTGCAAATCCTGAAAAATGCGGGTAGGAGCGAGGTCCGAGTTTATTTGACACGACGACCCTGGCAAGGCCCCAAAGGCCTGGATCACCGGGGTCACATGTCAGTTGATCTTCAATCACCAGAGCGGTGCAGCTTTGCGGTGAGGAGAAGACATGGGGTTAGTAACATGACATTTAGCATGTTTACGGCTGTTGCTTCGTTCGCTTGCTCCAGTACCGCAAAAGGCCCCGAGGATTCTGCGGTGGCGTCTGGTTGGCTGTGACCTTGCAGCTCCCCGGCAATAGCAGCCGCCGATCGCCTCTCCGCATCACATCGGTCCTTCAAGAGCAAGGAAGCGTTTGGACTGGTGGTAATAGATAAGACGGGTGCCGCAATTAATTTGTCTTGGAATGATAAGCCATTGACTGGAAAGCTCTGCCTGAAGAGAACGTACGCGAAGCTTTTGCTTGGGACGGCCATGTACGACCCAGTCCAGTGTCTTCGCTATGCGCCGCGAGATTGCGCAGAATCGTGCGATCACAAGCACAACTTTGATACGAAAAGCCTTCTCTGTTACGCTCTCACCTCTAGGGGTCAAAGGGGATTAACTAGTGCTATGACTGTGGGGGGTCACAGAGTATTATTGAATGCAAGAAAGCTCACGTGGAATACCATGAACGCGAACGATTACGCATCCACGGCGCCCCCCTCCCTCTAGTCATCGGTCCCTGTAGGATGTTTCAGATGGCCTTGGACACTTGAAAGAAACTCCGTCAATGCAAACATGCATTCACTATCCACCATGCTCCCTACCTTCACTTCCAATAAGGATTTTCGCTCACACATTCGTCAGGCACCTTCGAGCTGGGCAGCGTGTCCAGCAGAAACACCAATCTCCAGTCCCCAGGCATCTTATACACGCAGCGATGAGATAGCAGTAATTTAGCCTTCTTTTTCTCTTGATACTCAACAGTAGTGCTGTGCATCTGTATGAGCTTGCGCAGATTTTCCCAGTCGAAGAGCTTCATGTCGCTGATATTAGTGGGAAGCGATTGCAGGAGATCAGAGTTTCGGAGGGAAGCGGCCATGCCGGCCCTGAGCGCATTGGCGACGACATTGGGGTGACGGAGATCGAACGTGTCGGTGATGCAGCCTATGAGTAAGCCTTCATCTAGCTCCTTAGGACGCTCGAGGAGGTACTCGTGTGCTTGGTCGATGAGAAGGCAAAATTTACTGTGAAAGTCTTCAGGCTCCATCTCGAGTAGATTCTTTAGTTCGAAGCCTATCTCTGCCTTGCTGTGGGTAACTAGCATGTTGAAGTATCGTGTCTGCTCCATGACGACAGTGAGGTGGGTGATGCAGCGGTAGTTGACCATGTTGTTGGCATGTTTGTCGTAGTGCGAGCGGAAGGGGACGCGGTACTTGATGACCTTGACCCAGCTGTTTAGGTAGGCGGTCCAATGCATGACGGGTGTATGAGGGAGATTATACTGGGCGCCGGTGAGGTCGAGCGCAATCCTAGTGCCGTCTTTGAGTGTAATAGAGTAAATACCCTTGAGGTCACCTTTCACGTCAAAGTTTGGGTAGACAATGTCTTCGCGGTCGGCTCTCACAACACCAAAGAGCCCCTTGTGCTCGACGAGATGGCGCGCGTTATCTGGAGTGAAGTGCACAACTTCCTTGATGTCCTTCTCGATGTCGTCGACCAGGTCTAACATGTCATGTTAGTAGACTGAAGATAAACACGCTATGTTGGCATACCTTCGAAAAGCGCCTGTATTGCGGCATGCATGAACACGAAAGCCCAGATAGAGTTCTGATCAGCCAGAATCGCGTGTTTCGCCTCATGATCACTGCTTTTGAACGTTGTGTGCGGGAATTTGATGAGCCAGCCGCCAGCATGGCGACCGCAAGTGCTCTCCTTTCCTGGGCCGGCATTGACACCAGGGCCGGCAATGACTTCGATTGTAACCAAGTCGCCATCTTGATCGCGAACGATGCGGACATTTCTCATGTCATAAGCCCAGGTATCCTGGATGAAGGCGTAGAAGAGGGCCTGCGCGACCTCGCCTGCCTTCTCAGCACGTTTGAAGAGTGTGTCACTCAAGACTAGTGGACACTCTTCTCTGTGCGGCTCGTCGATGGCTTTGCAGAGCGGGCTGCAATACCAGCGTGTCGGCTGCAGGACATCGTCTGAGTCACGTTCGCAACAGGACTGGCAGAATATCGTGCCTGGGCAAGTACAGTGGACGCAGGGTTCTGGAGCCATGGCTCAGTAGGCGTGGAGATGCTGCGCGGTTGGTGGTTTCGTTATCGTCTTGAGCTCATGCGCGGATCCGAAAAAAGATGTAGGTGACCTGGTCTAGTGGGCTATCGTGGTAGCTCAAATTACAGATTCACCTATCCTGCTTACTTTAGACTCACCTTCACTGCTAACAAAGAAGTGAAACCAGGTCGAAGACATCCAGGCTATGCTATGACAGCCGCTGTCCTTGATCTAAACCCATGATAGGTTCAATAACATCCTAAAGAGGCCTGCCACGATACAGCCGCAATGAAGTCCTACTCCGAGTTGTACTCAATCTGTATTGATGCAAGCCGTGTTGTCTATTGTTAAGTTTCTCTTGGAGTCGGGAGTTCCTAGGACTGTATATAGAAGACGTTATGAATGAATGCTTTTGCGAATAAAAATGGGGCATGTGAGCTCTAGGAATCATATTTCAAGCCATCGCTGCCTGTCCTTGGATTGTTGTACGAGCAGACAGTCCAGACATGTTTTACTTTGCAGCCTCTTGGACTAGCGTAAGCGTGGATGATGCGGCCTGGAAAATGATAGCCTGACTGGAAATGTGGCCAAGGACCGCCTTGAGTGCCTTGAGCAGAATCAGGCTGGAGAGAAAGTACGACAATCTTGAAGAAGCTCTTTAATACAAGCAACACGCGAGATCGACCGATGACGTTGGGCTTTGGAAGGGTGGCCCAAGCGTGTTGTTAGGGCAGGGAAGGTGCGTCGCTTAGCTTTGTTTACCATCCATGGGTCGCTCGTACCACCCGACACACCTGCAGCTCCCTCAGTATACTACATTTGACGGCATTACGACAGTATATACCCCTCCACACTATCTCTACTCCCCCAATACCGTCAAGTTGGCGCGACTCAAAGAATCGCCGGTCCCGATGGACCCGCCATCGCCCACCAAGCTGGCCATGTCGCCTGGCATGCCCATCTTCCCGGTCAGCCCGGAGCGCGTCGCAGGCACAAAACCGCCATATGGCGAGCCTGTACCAATGTCGCCTTCAGCGCCCAACTTGCGCTCCTACTCGCCGCTACGGAACGGGCATCGCCGGAACGATTCAGACGTCTCGGTACAGGGTCTTGCTGTCATGTTCGAAAACCTCGAGGTTAAGGACCCTCGGGAAGCAAGCAAGCGATTCAGGGAGGCGCTGGAAAAAGAGAAGACGAGGAACACAGAAAAGCTTATAAAAATGGAGAGAGAGCATGCTAAACGAGAGAAGGACCATGAGTTGGCGTTGAGCCGACGTGACGTGCGCATCGATGAGCTGCAAAGCAAACTTGAAGAAACAGAGCAGCGCAATGAGGTGGGCGTCACAAAGGCACAGTATGAAAAGGAGCGCAAAGCACACAAGGCCAACGTCGCTCAATGGGAGAAGGTGTTCAAGCAAAACGAAGACAAATGGCGGAGTACACAGGCTAAACTGGTATGCTGTTGCGAAGCAACGCTAGACTATCCGAATGCTAACGAAGTACCAGATCGAATCCGAGGTCCATTGCCAGGCTTACGAAGGAAAGTACCGTGAATACAAAAAGAAGTGGATGGATGCCAACAAGGAGAACTTGAGGGCAACGAGCATGATCCCAACATTGCAGACCAAGATCCAGGGTCTGCAACGCAATGTACAGCGCGCCGAATCTGACGTCAAGTTCAAGACCGAGGAGGCGGCCAAATACCAGAACCAGGTATACAGCCTACAGGTAGAGCTCGAGGGTGTCAACGCCCGATTGGGCGAGGAGGTTCAGACTCTAAAAGACAAGCTGAGTCTAATCGAGGGAGAACGCGATGCTCTGAGGACTAGTCTCAAGGAAGAGGAAGTTATGCGCGTTGCCGGCGAGGGCCATATCGCGCTTCCGGCTGCAGGCATCGACGAGGATGATGAGTTTGGGTCCCCACCTCCATCCCCACGCAAGCAGTACACTTTCCAGCGCATGGATGACGATAAGGAGAACGTTTCGCCAAGGAAGGGAGCGGTCGAGCTCCGCTTCATTCAGCAGGAGCTGGCAACCGAGAGACGTCTCCGTGAACGGGCCCAGGACCAAATCGACTTCATGAAGATGGAGTGCCAGTTCCAGTGCTGCTCTTGTCGTATCGCTGAGAACAAGGGCCAAAAATACATTCATGACAACGTGTATGCGACCGAGATGCAGCTAATAAAGATGTCTGTCCCGGCATTCACACCTCCGGCGAGCAACCAAGGCGACGACCAGATGGACATCATAGTCATCAAACAAGAACCTATCGATGATGAGCGCCCTATGACACCACCATCGGAGCCATCGATGAGACAAGAGCAAGACCTTGACAATACCGAACAAACAGACAATGACACCGTTATGGCTAATTCGCAGGCCAATGATCCTGAGGCGACAGTCACCTTCTCACCATCTACAGGCACATTCCGATCTATTCCGTCACCTGTTAAGGCTATTACATCCCCACATGGCTTGATGCTTGCAAAGCCACCATGCCTAAGCTTCTCTGCTGTCACGGAAATGACAACTGAGTCCTCGTCCTGGACTCCAGATGCGCACAGCACAGTGACCCCGAATGAAGTTGTCCTTTCGCCAGCCTTCCAACCGGAACCACGAGCAGAACTGATTCAGAGCCATCGCAAGGAGACCAAAGCCGTGGATATTAGCATTCACGAGGATGCTATTGAAGACACCGACGAGGAGGACTTCGAGCCACCAACACCATTCCATGAGCCTTCCGGTCCTGCTACACCTTATCTCACACGAACTATCACGACAACGACCACCATTCCTCTACACTTCTCGCCTGCGACTCCAGCCTTCAAGCCAGGAAGAGGCCCCATGACGCCTTCTACTGTAGCTCATGCAGCAGAGGACGCACGCACACCCGTCTTGGGCGAGCTGTCGCTTAATAAGCTACCGTTTGACCGAGAAGCCGCGCTCGAGGCAATTCGGGAGCGACGAGGTCGCGCACGAAGCATGGCCGCCGGACATGGCACTCCGATGAAACAAATGGTGGAGGGGGTTAAGGAGCGAAGGGATATTAGCGCCCCAGTGTCAAGGGTACGACGGTGATCACGAGAGATGTTTGTGAAGCTTTTTCTGATGTTGTAGTGCTAACGGGAAGTAGCGCGACTCGTGAAAGCTGTTGATTCTTTTGCATTCAATTTTAGGTTGCGCTTAGCGCTTTGCACGGAGTTGGAGGCCTGTCGCTTTCTGGGTTCTGCATTGGTGTTGGACAAAATGTTTGGTTGTTTGGATAGTCCGCGATTAAGCCAGATACCACGGTCATACCCGGCGTTGGATGTTTTAGCATAGTATTAATCGATTGACTTCATGTGCCATAACTACTACTGCCTAGCTCATGAGAGGAAATTCGCACTGCGCAGGGTGGATGTCTTCAGTGATCCTCACAGCCTCGAAGTGTAAGTAAGGTACGAGAGTTGCCGAAGCTGTTCCACCCTTCTTCTCTATCGATACGACCTAGAGAAAATATTGGAGTTCCGCTTGCTCAGGGTGGAGTAGTTCACGAGTTGAGCTGTGCCAAGATATCGGCGCTCCCCATTGGCCCGTTAGCGAGGGAAGGAGCACAGCTAGCTCGCACTCGAATTTGGCGGCCTCTTGAACCTCAGCAGCGACAACAAATTCCACGCCCACCTCCTTCCACCTCCAAACCGACAACCGCAACCATGTCTGACGGCGAAATCGAGGTCGAGAGCCCTTCCGGCTATGCCATCCTTCCCAAGGATGTTACCGACGAAATTGGCAGCGTCAAGCTGTTCAACAAGGCAGGCAAACCGCAATCTTTGGAGACACGGGCTGTTCTAACATCTTGCAGTGGTCCTATGAGGAGGTCGAGGTCCGCGACATCTCCCTGACGTACGATATCCCCACCCTCTTCTTCTGCGCGCTCTACGAATAAATTCGGCTGGCATTGGTGGATATCGAATTGCATAGCGAGTCCTTGAGCTAACTCAAGCCGCAGCGATTATATCCAGATCCGCTCCCCCGTCTACATCTCACACTCGGCTGGCCGTTATGCCGTCAAGAGATTCAGGAAGGCACAGTGCCCCATCATTGAGCGCCTCACCAACTCGCTCATGATGAACGGCCGCAACAACGGAAAGAAGCTCATGGCTGTGCGCATTGTCGCTCACGCTTTCGAGATCGTATGTCTATCACCCGAGCGCCGCTGTCAAAGTTTTCGAACTTGAAATAAATGCGCGGACGAAGTTATGTGTGCGGACTGACTCTCTATAGATCCACATCATGACCGACCAGAACCCCATCCAGGTCGCCGTCGATGCTATCGTCAACTGCGGTCCCCGCGAAGACTCCACCCGTATTGGTTCCGCCGGTACCGTCCGTCGCCAGGCCGTCGATGTCTCACCTCTCCGCCGTGTCAACCAGGCCATCGCCCTGCTCACCATTGGTGCCCGCGAGGCCTCTTTCCGCAACGTCAAGAGCATTGCCGAGTGCTTGGCTGAGGAGCTGATCAACGCTGCCAAGGGAAGCAGCAACTCGTACGCGATCAAGAAGAAGGACGAGTTGGAGCGTGTCGCCAAGTCTAACCGATAAGGAAAGGCGTACGTGTATTGTGGTGGGACTGCATGGTGTCTGGGAGGAGTTCTTTCTCATGGCTACGTCTGGGATTACTGGACGGATGGAGGATCTGATGCATTGCAAGGGTTCTCTAGGCGATTAAACACCTCTTTCATGGTTGCATGACAAAATGGACAATACGATACCAAAAAAACTTGGCTCTGTTATGTAATTGTGTCCGTCTGTGAGATGCAAAACGGGCAGCATATCCCGTCTTGCCTGAACTTGGGAGCGGCGCTTTCGGGAGCAGAGAGTAGCATTGAATGAGATCACACGAATGTAAAGCTATATCACTCATCATTATGGGGACTGATCACAATTCCTATACTTGCCTCGCACAATAGGCAAGCTTGCTTTATGGGACTTCTCACTATCTAGGGTATCATCTCACCAGACAAATCATGAAGTCATGCCGACCCCCAAGGTATATCAAGCTAAGCCTTCGCTCGTCCCAGCACGGCTTTCTCTAGGATCCCCCCAAGCTCTGAGAAAGTGACTTTCCCGCCGTTGCGCTCTCCGGATACCTGGGCATCTGCGTATGCTTGCTTCATCAGCTCAGTATCTACCTTGACGAGCCATCCTGGACCTGTTATTACGACATGCGCGCCGTCTTTTTGTAGTTGAGAAAGCAGCCCGCTAGCTCGGACCAAGCGCTCTACCCATATTTTGTCTTTGCCTTCAGTCCACGCCACATCTACCAAGTCGGCCGCTCCTCTTTGCTGCATCACTTCCCTGACCCTCAGCACCACTCGTTCTCGGCGTGCGTTCTCTTCATCCGCCTCCCTCTCTCGTTCCCTCTTCGCCTTATCTCGTTCTTCCCGCTCTCGTTCTCTGATCTCTTCTTCTATTCTCGCCCTTCGCTCACGCTCCGCCGCGAGTGCTGCCTCACGCTCCTCGGCCCCTTCAGCTTCTTGTAAGCGCCGTAGTTCGGCTTCTTGGCGATGGAACTCGTGGTAGGCCCTCCGCTGGTCTTTTCGAGCTAGACTTTTGGCTTTTTTAGCGCCGACTGTGCGGTTGGCGGGTGTTGGGCGGGGCCCGTTTGCCTGAGCGGGAGGGTCTGCTGGGCCGGGTGCGAATGCATCGGGGACGTCGTCGTCTACTCGTGGTGCTGGAGGCTGCTGTCGCAGTGGCTCAGCACGGTTGGGGGGTGGTGTGGGGGCGAATGGAGGCGGTCCCGCCATCATCTCGTCTCCGTCGTCTTGCAAGACAAATCGCTCGTCGACTGGCGCATCATCATCTTGTGGTGTTTCGTCCTCCGTTTCTGTACCTGGTAGACGTGTGTTGGCTCCTTCTCTTGGCTCATGTATCGCATTTTGAGCCTGCCGCTTGTTGTACCATTCTGCTATTTGTGGGGCGAAATATAATGTCCCGCACAGAATTGCTGTGTGTACAAGATCTTGTAGAAGAGGTGTGCCCGGTTTTGTGAAAGGGAGAAGGAAGTTGAGCAGCGTGACGGGGAGGGAGATTAGGGCGCCCATTTTGGCGATTTCGATATCGCGGGGTGGTATTTACTTTCGGTGAGTCGCCGGCGTGGAGTAGAGGTAAAGATGGATATTGAACCGGATTGAAGGCTCCCGCTATCGGGCCATATACATAGCGGTGCTCTCTGCGTGGATGGTTTCGTGACGTTGGGTGACTTCGTTTGTCTGGGGAACCACGGGTGGGTGTGAGAGCGAATCTCGAATTTGGTGATGCAATCCTGCCCCAGGCCGTAGGGCTGAGAGAAAAGCGCGCTAATCCACATTGAAGCTAGCCGCTGCCTTGCCTATGGTGAACGTTGCCCAGGCAAGGCTGACGTTTAACCCTCGCAAACCCATGTACTTCTTTCTATCATTTGGCTGCCAAGCCAACTTAGCTCCGCATTGTTGCGTCTATAGGCGAATATGTTTCACTATTATTTAGTCTGGAGCGGATTCCAAATCATCCTCGCCTAATTCTACCATATGCGTGCAAGCCTTCGACAATTAACGAAATATCCAACACGGAAAAGAGCTGTGGCTCAGTACCTTCAGCAAACCTAGCGTTACGCAAGTGTGAACCATCAGCATGGGGCTTGAAAGCACACGCAATGATACGAGCGTATGGCCGTTAATGATTATTTTCGAAGAGTTACTGACTGGGGCTTGATCGGTGTGGCTTTCGGCCGTAACTCCGGTCAATGTTCAATCCACCATATTGCGTCTTACGGACGTAGCAGCATCATCGTATTTCGGATGACTAGCCATCTTGAGCTGTTCACTAACAGCTTACACCATGGCCTATTCCCGAAACTAACGTATCACAGCAACAAAACCCAGCGTTTCACAACCTCCGACCTTCCAGAAGGCTGGACATGGGCAAGCGAGCACACGTGAAGGGCGCTAGTTTTTGAGTACTTATCGTTATTTAGGTATAGGTTACGTACGCACCTTGTAGAACGTGCGGGTGCTGATCTTCGACGGAGAGACTACACCCCTCACAGATGTTACGTCCGTTGCTGCCAAGTATATGTTGTTGGTGTCGAGCCGTTCTTTGTTGTTTAACTTTTGAATTTGCAACAAGCGCATTCTTATCATCTCAGCTCAACAGCGCTACCTGATCACTTTACATCTCCAACCTGTCTAGAATCATCGTATCACTAGACACTCTCATTCGAAACGTATTGACATACATCAAGCGGTTACTATTCATACACATACCACCTACCACTCAAAGTCGAACCTGAATTTCCGGGATGGTTGCAGCCGTAGTGGACTCATGGCCGAACGACGCTGGATTTGATAACAACTACGAAGAACACAAGCCGGTCGAGCTCGTAGTCAAGGGCAACATTCCGACTTATGCAGCAGGCGTTCTATATCGTACAGGTCCACTCGGATATAAAGCAAAGACAGATGATGGCAAGATTTGGGCAGCAAAACACTGGTTCGACGGGTTTTCCTGTGTTCACCGCTTCCAGGTCGACTTCCTAAAGGAAGATGGGCCAGCCAAGGTTCAATACCGCTCACGACGCATAGTAGATGAGTATCTCGAGGTCGTTCGCAAGACTGGCAAACTTGACAGTGTTACTTTCGCCTCGAAGCGTGATCCTTGTGAGAGTTTTTTCAAGAAAGTTATGAGCATCTGTAAGTGACATTGGTGTCCATTTACATGGTTATGCTGACTTCGTACCTCAATCTTTAGTCTACGCTTCACAGGCTACACGAAATGCACGCAATGCACATAACGTTGGAGTTACACTATCCATCAACATGCCGGGTGGAGGCTATGTGAAGAATCCTGAAAAGCCATCGATTAATGGACACACCAACCACATTGAAACCCTTCATGCAAAGACGGATGCATTTCTACTTAACAAAATCGACCCCGAAACCCTTGAACCGCAAGGCATCGCAACTCAAACAGTGCTTCATCCTGAACTCAAAGGTCCCATGTCAGCCGCTCACGCAAAATCAGACCCTGAGACTGGTGACATCTTTAATTTCAACCTCGACCTCGGATACAAGAGCACATACCGTGTTTTCCGCACCTCGGCTTCAACAGGTAAAACCGAAATACTCGCCAGATTCAATGGCAAACCAGCGTACATTCACTCCCTATTCCTCACTGAGAACTACGTCGTTCTCTGTGTGTGGAATAGTCATATTACATGGAGCGGCATCTCGCTTCTCTACAAAAAGAACATTGTCGACTCCATTGCGCCTTTCGACCCCAAGTCCAAGGCAATGTGGTATGTCGTAGACCGCACACATGGAAAGGGACTCGTAGCGACGTATGAAAGCGACCCGTTTTTCTGCTTTCACAGCGTGAATGCATGGGAAGAACCGGATGAGACGGATCCTAAGAAAACCGACATCATCACAGAACTCAGCATGTTCGAGAACACAGACGTCATTCATCGGTTCTATTACGATAACTTGGTCTCATCGATCGCGAACCCGGAGTACATGGGTAAGAAGCGGACGTCTTGTTTGCCCATGCAGACGCAGTTCCGCCTACCACGTGTCAATGTCAGTGTCAGTACAGGCAACCCTAGGCCTGCGGAAATCGTCTTCCAAGCGGACAAGATGATATCAATGGAACTCCCCACAATCAACCCTTCTTACCTTACGCACCGACATCGCTATTCTTATGGCTGTGCCGACCGCCTCAAGTCATCCTTCATGGACGGCATTGTCAAGTTCGACAACTTGACTCAAAAGAGTATCTTCTGGGAAGTAGAGGGTCACACACCAGGTGAGCCTATCTTCGTGGCGGATCCTGAGGGCAAAGCAGAAGATGATGGCGTGCTCTTGACGGTGGTGCTGGATGGGTACGTAGAGAGGAGTTACTTGTTAGCTCTAGACGCAAGTAGTCTAAAGGAAGTAGGAAGAGCGGAGATGGCTGGACCTATGGCCTTCGGCTTTCATGGCGCATACAAAGCGTTCGAGAGGAGATATGCCGGGGACATCTAAGGGAGATTGTCGAGTGTGTTATACTGGCACATCTGTCGGTATGTTTTGTACTGTACGTGCTTTTCAGGCGTTCATGATCTCTCTTATACGATTATCTGAATACTGGATCTTGCATAATCTCGATATACCCTTTTGTATTTGTTCCTGCAGTTTCGACTTGCTCTTGCCATTTTATCTTTCGCCATAATTCTCTAATTCCACCACGTAACTCGTCTAGGTTGACTCCATCAGAGGTTGCGGTAGCGTGTAGGAGCAGGATTGCGGTAACTGGGTATTTGAGTTGGTCTTCGGACATGATCGGGTTGTGTTCTGAGGTTTGGCTTTCTGTTGCATGACTTTCGATGTGGAAGTGCTAGAAATATGCCATTGTCAGTGTTGAATTCATATTCCACAAGATGTTTATATGAATGAGGTTTCCATGACTCTGGTGGGTGGTAGTCATATCGGCACGGACGCCGTAACGGTAATTCTAACTATACAGTCCATGACCTTACATCGACGGTCATCAATGAATCGAGCCTATACACCCTCCCGAGATTTAGCGAAGATATCAGGTATAGGTTCTTACATCATTGGTTTCATGGACGTAAGCAAATCTTAAAATTATTATTATATTACCAGTCTTGTAACTAATTCTAGGTCAACAAATGCAAGGCGTATTATTTTGGTCACAGTACTACAACATGTGATTCTAGTTATAATGCGCTTCTTCTATATTTTTCGCCATGACGATGAGAATCTAGCGCAAGGCTGCTACGGCTGCATCCTTGTGTAGTTCGGAATATTCTTTCTATTGGCGTAGCCTAAAATGCCTCTTGTTAAGACTTTGATACGGTAATAACAACAGCTTCTTTGGCCTGGCCATTATGCTGGTTCATGTCTCACTAGAATATTTTAGTTTGATAATTTCCGAACCTTGAATTCGAGACCTAATTACACGTGGACAAGGACCCGCTACTACTAAGATACCCAGATACAGCTTCATCCATGTCCACTCCAAGGTGTCTCATTGATACTTTAGACGACCTCAGATTAGTTACCCCTAAATGTAAACATTGCCAAGAGGAGGTCCCTCCGCCTCATGACTATCTGTTGAATCATTGCCACTCTGTGAAAGCTCCGTCTCAGCACCACCTGTTGATCTATCGCCACTCTGGTCCGGCTTAATATGAGGATTTTCAGGAATTCGATAAATACTCCATCCTTCTAGTATGTTTTCGAGAACTAATTGCCATCCCGCTGGTGGGTTCATTGAGGTCAATCCTTCGTTTGTCTTCAGGTAAAGTCGCTCGTCCGTATTCTCCAAGGTATTTCGATCATCGTAGCAAACGAGATAACATGTATTGTGGGTACACTGACGTGTTAAGATGATATGCTCGCATTGCCAGTATAGGGGAATATCTCTGGCTTGAAGTCCAGGTATAGTAATATCAGCTAAGACCTTTTCGTGTTCAAAGGTCCAATTAAGCGTTGAGTTACCGCTATCTATGCCTCTAGGTGGGGCACGCTTCATCGTGAGGGTGATTTTCGGTAGTTTCTGTAACCCCAGGACACTGGATTCGGCTACGACGGGTGTATCCGAGTTGATGTAGTAATGAACAGGCATTGTGATGTTGGATTTTTTGAAGTGTTCTTTGGGCCTTGGTTGTGAAGCTCATGGGGTCGATTCTGGAGGTGTGTTTGAAAAAAATGTGTATAGGCACTCGAGAATTGCAACTTATACCTCGATGCAGTCAGTAGAAGATGTCATAATCTACATGACTAGCCGTTGACTAGACGGCACTGCTCAGTGGATGACATCCACTGCCACAAGCTTGACTCTTCGAAATGTAAGATATATATTTCGTCCTCACGATCATTCGGGCTAGAAAAAACGACTAGATACTATTTTCACGATAAACTAGTCTAGGAACAGTGTGTTGAAAATTGTATACCGATTCAAGCTCTATGGCTAGGATGAGAATGATATGTCTAATTATAACGAAAACTATCCATCTACATCTCAGAGTCTTCTGTGTTGCGAGTTTATCACGTTAAGCTTTAATTTAACTCATACAGTGACTTCGCACTTCAAAAAACTTTAAAAATCAACTATAACATCGTTACGAAGCTTTGAACCAGAGTTTGTGTCATGCGAACAGTAATAGTCATAGGTAGTCCACACTATTGTGCATTATCATGACCACAGCCGAGCTGTGAACATCTAGAATTATTGCTAACGATGTTCGGTTTCAAGAACCATATTAATTGTTTCCAGATCCCTGAAAAATTCATTCAGTCCCCAAGAAGACCTTTTTCGCCGATCTGAACGACCAGCGATTCGTTTTCCCCATCGTAGTGCTCGGTTCCTCGAGGACCATATGCAAACAGCTGCATAGCTCAACTAGGGCATAGGCGCTTTGAAATTCCTCTGCATTCCGAGTTCACCACGAGCTGGGAAGTATTGGTATTGATTGTGGTGCTGTAAATATACTGTGTTATGGTGCTGGGTATAGCACCTGAACTGTGGTTTTATACTGACTTCTCCTACTGCGTTGTATGATCCGCTCTTGCGTCGACTTTACTTTCATTCATAGAAACAAATCAGATCTACCCAGAGCCAAGATACGAACGCTAGCCGAAATGTATTGAAACTTGTTTGAGACCATGTCCTTGATGGAATTGCTTGTAGCAGCTCTCTGCCTGTGGATGGCTTTCTGCTTAGATATGATATGTGGTATGCGGACTACATCGATCATGATTGTTCGTTCCTCGAACGACTGACGCATCGTCAGTAGGAGTGTATCCCGACCTTTGGGTTGCCGAGGAAGTCCGATATCCCGAGTCTTTCCCGGTTTGCCACGCACCAACTCGCATTTGCGTCATATAACCGCATAAGCAGAAAATGCGAATCCCTTAGAATGTAATCAATCTTGAAACGGGGTTAGATCGTTCGGGTATAGCGGAAGTATCTACAAACGCGGATTGTAACAATCTGTGCTCGGTGATGACTCGGTAGTAATATTTGTTGGGAGTGTCTTACTTCATAATGGATGAGATATATAATGAGGTCACGCCGGGTTGTTATATTGTCTATCAGTAGTATAGTTAGCAAGAAGCCAACCCATTACTTCAACATCCCTATTGTCGACGAACTTCTCTATTGTACCTGTAACTAAAACGGGCGTCATACTACCACCAACATGGCTATGCAAACATCTCAGCCTTCAAGTCACACCTCCTCAGCCACTGCGCTAGTTGAACGCTCCCAATCGACAAAAAGCCGGCATGCACTCGGCACCAACTTGCTCAAATCGGCACTGAAGAAACCATTTCAGGGCTGGTCAAAAGACCTCCTGCGTGCAAAAGATAACGACGATGACGACTATAACTTCACAAGTGGTGCGCGCCGTGGTGCTGAGCACTGCCGCAATGGTGATTGAGGAGTACGCGGAGGCGGCGACGAAATAAGAAAGAATGCGAGTTTAGAATTTGTTGGCACAACGTGAGATAAGGATAATTTGAAGTAGCGAGCGGGAGAAGAGCTAGAACCGGAGATGGCTGGACGCAGCACCTGCACGAAAGGTAGATGTCGCGTAGCTGATGTTGAGGGAAGCACGGAAGGCGTTGGGCACTGTGTTCTATACCTTCATTGACGTAAACGCTACTTCTTTTTCAATGCAAGAATACGAGGTAACGGATTATCGCACGATTTTGAGTACCTATCAAACACTGCGGATGGATTTTGTTGTGTGGTGGTGTTGAGTCAGCTGTCGCGCATTGTAGAAGGCGCCTCCCTAATTCGGTCTATACGTTACTTCTCATCAACTCACAACCCGGCCCATCTCCTTTCATCGCATGCCTTTGCGATCTGTTTTCGATGTCTGGGCATCTTTCCTGTTAAAGACAGCTGGAGGGCTCCCTTGCTTTTCGTCTGCGCCCACCGCCTTCCACGATCCGCCTTGCTTCTTCCGTGAGCATTCGCTTAGAATGCATGGAGCTTAAAACTGATCCTATAAAATCAATGCTTGGCAATGGCGCATATTGACAATGCGTTGAAGATCTTTCGTGACAATGTTGTCTGTCGCACAGCAGGTAGGCTCGTTCACAGCGACGATCCACGGGGCTAGCCCAGGTGGCCCCTCTCTACCTCTCCATCATTATATTGAGGGGATCGTGGGGACCGAGCAATTTCAAGCAATCTTCTGCCAAGATACGTTTGCCTAACCGTCACGGCCAAGTAGCCTCATCTAGCTGCGTCATCCGTCACCCTGGTCTGTGCGGCTCATTATACCTGCAGGATGCGTTGGCCCTGGTGAGCATCGCCCCGACTTCTAATGGACCACGACGTCCCATTTCATTCACTCTACTTTCTCGCTGTCAAATCGCTCTTGTTTACATTCTCAGGCGTTCGTTAATTCAAAGTCTCCTGCGCACTATCCTCCCGCATCGTCTGTAATACCACTCGTTATAATGGCTACAATACTCACTACGACTTTGTTCGCTACATACGCCGCTGCTCAGCTGACGACGTCTATATGGCTACCGGGGGCCGCGAATGCCAACCAGAGCTTTGTTGGTTCTGTAATTGAGCAAAACGGTGACCACACTACTCTGTCACTTGCTTTCGAGCAGGGTCCAGCCCAAACCCCGGATTACTACCGCAGTGCGCCTGATACCGTCACGATAGGGGGAACCACCTTCGTAGCATACGAAGCCACAGCAGTCGACCCAGTAGGCGAAAGCAAAAAAACAATCACCGTCTCCCTTGCATGCTCAAGGGCGAGAGCTAGCGCAGCACCTACATGCACCATGTCCACAATTGGAGCCGAGGCAGTTCTCAGCGAACTTTGCGCCGGACTTTCGACAGAATCGCAGGCCACGCCAGTTGAGGGGGCGCAATACTGCACCAATGGCGCCGACTTGACATTCCAACAAACTTTGACGTTGAGCGGAGATTCCCAGCATTACCTCAACAATTACCAGGTTATCATTACAGCCGGAACAGAAAAGTTGGGTGCTTCCGCGGCCGCCACTCCGACGGCAAGCAGCGCCTCAGCCACGGGTTCTACATCAGCGCCTGCTAATTCTGGATCCGGATCTGGATCTAGTACAGCCGCTGGCAATGTATCATCTGTGACAGGTGCGAGACCTTCCAGCTCTGTTCCACAACAGACCACCAATGCTGCTGCTCCCATGAGGTCAATGGCACCTGCGCTGGCCGGCCTGGGTGCTGCAGCCGCTGTTTTCTTCTTGTAAAGGCATAATTAAAATTAATGTCTATTTTCCTGTACACTATAATATTATTACCTGTATTTCGCGCCACGGAGGGCTGCAATCAAATGTCTCAGCATATGGAAAGACTGATGTCCATACTATAACTGGCACATTGTCATAATTTCAATTCGTGCACCTTGCTCAAGACGTTTGTCTCTCAGAATGAATCCGTCAATGTTCTGATCATCACATCGGGTGTCACTATTCACCTTCTCCTCTCGCATGAATTTGCCCCAAGTTCAATATTTCGATCGATCACGGCAAACTAATCTCTGTCCCCTCTTGCCAAAACACGCCTGTCCCTCCGCATCCTCCTTAAGCTGCCCACAGTAAACATGCCCTTCACAATCAACTCTCTTGCACCTCCATCTACTCACCTCATTTCCACCTTTCTCGACGAAGTAACAACCTTGATCGCACCCGTACTTCCATGGCTCCTCAACTATATGATGACAGCGCATCTCTGGTGGGAACCAAGAGCTCTTAATACTGACGGATTTTGTGGATAGCAAGTCGAGGTCTTCGAGTAGGAAACGATCATATTTAGGTTTATTCAGGTCGCCAGAAAGTGGGAGGACGGAAGAAGGCCCAGTTCTTGGGTGAAAGACTGGGGTGCGCGTAAGGATTGAGGGCAACCATTGTGGTGGCGGACGGGGAGGGGTATGAACTGTGAGAGTGTAGACGGTGGTATGATTCTCCGTTAAACCTTGTGGATCGAAGAAGGGGGGTAATGGCATAGTGCTTAAGTTTATTTTCTTTTTGTTTGAGTTTGAGATCTTAGGATTGGCTCTTTGTATCCTTTTAGTTGGCTGATGTAGGAGTTCTCGGGTTGCGCGAAGGGAAATTTATGAGGGAAATTCCAAATTCGGGGCGGTTATTGAGGTGAAAGATGAAGTCAGATCAAGTGGGCAAGTCGTTTTGTGTGGTAGGTGAATAGAGGTGGACTGTGAAAGAAAATGTATCACTATGGGAGATAACTATCTTCGATCATTCTAGAGCGCCTGACGCATAAATAAAAGTAAGAGAAATGCGACAAGGTCATAGAAGTGGTGGTTGCAATAATGAACAATGATGTTACGGGATACACGCTTGTCCAAGTTCTCAAAGTTTTCTTAGTGTACGCGGTTTGATTTCTTCTGCCCAAAGTATAATAGGATGCGTGATGAGAAAGAGGCGGGCGCGCATGAAAAGCTAGCTGGACTGAGGCAAAAAGAGATGCAGGATCTGGAATGGAAACACACTGGATGAAGATGGAAACCTTGAGACGAGATTTCAGTGTGTGGTGGACTAACCCATACATAAAGTTATTCACGCTGGCGAAGGACACTTGCATAATCGAGCTCATCTACTCTCCTGTCTACTCTGGATCAAGGAATTGACCCATCGCCTACCTGCATCTCAGCGAACCTCAACTTTCTTCGCTGTCCAACCCGCTAGGGCCCAAATACCCTTCACGACGCGCTCTTCACCGTCATGTCCCCTCAAGCTCATCTTCCCCTTCTCCAACTGATATCGTCTCAATTCTTCATACACCGCAACTAGAACGTCCTTGAACTTATTTGATGGCTTTCCTTTCCAAAATGTGCCTCCAATTTTCGTACAGCACCGCTCAACAACCAAATTCATAATATCATGCCGTCTTGTCGGCCAAGGAGTTGGTTGGCTGTTGTGAGCTATACTCTGAGAGACGAGCACGGTGTATAGATGCAGCAGCGGAAAGTATTGTTCCTCCTCCAAATTTGTAGCCTCAATGATGAAGTCCCAGCTCACGTCTAGCTCAAAAATTCCTAGACTTGCGTTTGCCCTCCAAAGCAGACGGTTTGTGCGTGCAGTTGAAGTTAGCCATTTGGGCAGCGTGGCCGACGCTGTGGACATCAAACGCGCTAGTCTCACGAACGCAATCGCAAGCCCAGTCGCAGTATCCGGACGGCCAAGAGAATCCCACGATGCGGCAACAAGGTTGTAGCAGTCTAGAACAGGATCATAGCTTCGATCTTGTGGCGATTCGGTCCTGCGCGCTGTCTTGATGAGCGCGGGTATAACGGCTTGGTCTAGGATTTCGGTTATGCTGAAATTTCCAGACGGGTGGCGTTGCCAAAGGATTTTGAGACCAGGCCATATAGCCATCATGAGGGAGTTGAGGCGCTCAGGGGGCTGATCGCAAAGTGCTTTCCATATTGAGGATGTATCGAAGTCTACTCGAGGAGTCCTTTTCTCGACAACGACGTATCTACATGTTGGACATGCGCTTGAGTTTCCTTGTCCACTTTTGAGCCACTTCTTGATGCACTCATGGCCGAAGATGTGCTTACAGGGTAGTGCAACGGGTTGGTGACTTAAGCTAAAGGGCTCCGTGCAGACTACGCAGATCTCGGCGGGGTGGAGCTGTGTTTCGAGAAAGTTGTCCATAGCGACTGGATCAGGGTTGAGATCGGAAGCAGGTGTATTGATAGTAGAGAAAAGGGACGCAGACATGGAAGCAAGCGTTCATATCTACGTCGGTAAATGATCGTTTGTGACGAGTGAATTGATGGTGGAGGCACAAAGGCGTGAAAGCGTTTGCTCCTTCACAAGCTGTTCTTCGTGTGAATCTCATAGTTTCTACTTCAAGTCCACGAGGGTCCTGTTGCTCGTCATGTCAATGATCTTTCCCCTGAAAATGAAGTTCAATATACCGGTTTAAGTATCTGCGAAGTTGTTTAACAAACCTGCCACTCCGTAGTCTTGATCATCTCCTACAGTTCCGGAAGACCGACTATAACATGACTAAGCCTCCAAGGGACAAGCATGATCGCGTAGGTAGAAAGTAGATAGCTGACTAGCGGATTCTCTCGGGTAGACGCAGACACATAAGCATTGTTCAATGAAGGTGTTGAAAGCTTACAAGTACCTAGTGGTGATTATCTTGAGGGATCTTTCCAGGCACTATTATAGGATACGCGAGGAGTGCGCAAGTGAAGGGTACCATGGGTAAGAAATCAGAGTAGCCATTGTATCTTACGCATTCTTTCTTAACTCAGAAAAGAATAAAATAATGGTGCCTCGTAAGCAAGCCACTGGAGAGCTTTTACAAAAGATTGGTTTGAAATGACGTTTGCGTAAACAAACACGTGCCTTACTAGCAAGGGCGATAGTATGGCTAGGACCATCACTTAGCACTCGTTCTTATCGCTAAGCCTAAAAAGACGACTTTGCTATACTGTTTGTCGGATCTGAAAGCATACTCAAGGTCACGCTAACTTTAGGTACTTGGACGGCGTTTTTGCCGCTCTGCTAAACTAGTCCGGTAAGTGCGAGATCGCTCAGCTGCCGTTTGTCTGGGCTCTTCTTTTGTTTGTATGTTCTTAAACTCCATCTCCCATTGGTTTTCGTTAGTGTTTAGATATTGCTCGCCTACGAGCCTGCCAATGACAAGCATTAATCTATATGTGGTACATGGAGATCATCTCCCGGTAAAACACTCCTCGTCATATAGTTATCGGCACTCGAACATCTTATCAACAGTAATGAGCTAGAGAGCGCAGCGAAATACGTATTAAAAGGTTGATCCCTAGGGTTAGAAGTTGGTTGTTAGCGACGCGAGCTCATGCTTTTTGTTAACTTTGCCGTATAATCTTGCGGAGCTCTGCAGTTACTAGCCGAAAGGAATCCCCCTCAATTCTACCAGGCTCCATCATCAGAGTCCTACAAAATAGAGAGAAGGCAAATATGTTTCTAGATGCGGTCCTTAGGATAACCGGACTGCTGGTCCTCACCGTTCCAACTTTAGCAGCGGAGTGCACACGTGAGGGTCTTCTCGCAGCCACCGAATCCTATCTCACAGCCCAAACATCCGGCAAGGTCAGCAACCTCAAGCTTTCGAGCAGCAACTTCACATACCGACAAAACAACGTTGTATCCGACATCACCAAAGGACTCCTTTCTACCGCCTACAAAGTTGATCTCAACCGCTCCACTGCCGACACGGTAGCCTGTGCTTCCTACACAATGTGGATCAGCACTTCTGGCAGCAAGCCATACGTTGTCAGCACGCAGATCCGGCACGCCAACAATGACACGAGCTCGATTAGTATGATTGACACCGTCGCCGCGAGCACGGGAGATTTGTTCTTTGATGCTAAAAAGACACTTGGATATATCCAGAAAGAAGACTGGAAAATTATACCCGCTGAGCAACGTCCATCGCGCGAGTTGTTGAAAAAAGTCGGTGACGCTTATTTGGACATGTGGACCGACGCCAAAGCCGCGGATAGTATTCCCTGGGGTACGGAATGTGAGCGCGTTGAAGGTAGCCAGTACACAAATCCATGTGGCAAGACGCTGCCGCGCGGCGGCAGCAGCAAGAATAATGGTATGAGACGATATGTGATTGACGAGGAAATGGGGAGCGTAGATGTGCTGGGTACGAAAATCCTATCACAAATACTATTCGAATGTTTTTGCTAACACATGAATAGTAGGTTCTTCACCTTTGATAAGACACCCATAATGTTATAGGCAGTATTCCGATCCTCTGTTTAGAAAAGTGCTAATCGTGTCGCTACTTTAGTGTCAGTTCGATAGTTTGGGCGCTTGGCCGGATAGTCATGAGGTTAGAGTTGTCGCGGGAAAAGTGAAGTATGTGCATACTGTTACTGTTATGAAGCTAGGGTAGGCCCGTTTAGTTGATACTTTTGCACTCGGGACAACCCATTGTTCTCAGTCTATTCCTTCATTCTGCTTGAGTTAGGTTGCCCCTCGTTTATATACCTACTTAATCTCGGAGCTCTTCACAACTGTGCCGAACGCATCCGCCAACTCTGCTAGCGCAACCCTCGTGACTTCGTCACCCTTGACGCCAGGGATATCGCGATCGCCGATGCCGTCTTCAACTAGGATAACCTCATAACCCTTTTGAGACGCTTCGCGAGCTGTCGTAGAGACACAAACATGAGCCATGTATCCCACCAATACCACTTTCTTTACGCCCAACGATTCTAGGGTTTCATGAAGGTTAGTCTGTTCGAAGGCGCCGGGAAATTGCTTCCCAATCGTCGTCTCGCCGTCCTGCCGATCCATGTTAGTATATGCAAGAAATAAGCCTCCAGAATAATCTTCGGTTTGTATACCTTTGGTTTCAACTCCTTGAACTCATCTGCAAAGTCCGTTCCGGGAGTAAAGATTGGTGCACCTTCCGGCGTTTTATGTAGGATATGCACGATCTTGCTATTCGCAGCACGATACTTCTCAAGCAAATCTGCAATCACTTTTCGGCTTTGCGGTGCATTGGTGACGGTCAATGCTCCAGAAGCATACTCGTTTTGGGCGTCGATGATGAGGAGCGCGGAGTCGGACGGCGATGCTGTGCCCGCGGTTGCGCCGAGGAGGGAGCGGAGGGATTGCGCCATCTTGATTGTTGGTGAAGATCTGAGATTGAGCGAACTTGTCAGGTCGTTTAAAGGCGTTAAGATGATGGTTATAGTAGTTGTTTTGCGGTTGCACAAGGATGGCGAGAATATTACTAAGGCTTCTAATTGTTACCCCGCTATGAATGGGCCTACATGACGTGCTCGGGATATTCCGCATCATCTTGGCATACTTGCCGGCCCCATTATAAAGAAGAGTGCGAGTGATGCCATGACTTGACAAATGACCTTTCTCTGCCGAGGTACCAAGTGAGGCTACGCTTGTCCGGTGGTGGTTTAGCGCTACTCGCTTAGGTAACTATGGTCCTACCGGCTCTCCTACAGACACGTGGCGCATGTACATAAAGGGTTCTCACTAGAAAGGTAGAGCTAGAAACACGATGGCCGACTAGACCAACTATCATATTTGAGGCATCCATAGCGCCGCCGCGATAGGATTCAGGTTAAGGAATCGTATAGATATAATACGAAAGGACGAGAACTGTGTCTTGTTACGGACCGCTGGGCCAAAGCGAACTCAAAGCAAACGAGTTTGTATATTCGCCATATATCCATTGTCCAAACACATTTCAGGAAGCGTTTTAACTCTAATACCTTCCTAGAATTAATTTTGATCAAGCCAAGGATATTTAGAGCGGATTTACCTGATCACAGATACGTCCTTCCACCCGGCGCTGCTTCCCTTAATTCCCGTAGATACTTCCCATGCTCCTGAATAATCTTAGGGCTTGTCTTCTGTGCCTCACCCTGACGGAGGGCATATGAGTACCACGTCTTGAAGCAATCTTTCTGCGCCGCAGTCGGGTAGTGTACACCTTTCGCGCGATGTGCTTGAAGCACCATGGACTCGAGCGAGCGAGTTGCGGCAGGCATTGTGGTGAAAGGGTTATCCACGTGACCAGGTAGGTTGAATTATCGCAATCGAGGTGAATCTTTTGACCTAACTTTCGCCCGATTTGAATAATAAAAAAAGCCGACAAAGGGATGGAGATGGGTCCTAGAAGGCTTCTATGTCCTGATGTTATCCCTCTTATCGGCTCTCCATCACATCTCCGCTTCGTGGTAGTTGTACAACGCCATGCGCGCATCCGCAAAACGCAGCCACCGTCACCATTTCTGGCGTATGAGCGCAACCCACCAATGCATCTGAGCTTACAGTCCCAGACCGCTATGTTTCCACTGGCTAATACCTCCGACTTTTCCCGAGCCGAGCCTGGAATGTGCGACATCACCTTACACTTTCTCTACGATTTTTAGGGTATTTAGAGCCTAACAAAGCTCTACATAACACGGGTATTCGAGGTGGTTGGTATAGGTACTGACCTAGCTGATGAAGTCGAGAACTTCGCACCCCGGGTTGTTAACTGTTAGCTTCATGAGAAGATCGATTAGTCCAATGTGGACACCATCGAGACAGGGCTGACTGCGTGAGCTGACCTACAGGCTGAACCGCATGTATGGAGCGGAGATCTCCATTTCGACGTGTAATGCTTGTAAAGGGGGCGTTGCAATGCGGGGTAGGCCGGAGACAGCCTCAACAACAGTTCAACAGTTGGCCCTTGAGAAACTAATCCACATAGTCATTCCTAAAGAAGCATATAAAACAAGGAACGAAAATGTACCGAACTCGATTCGATTCCGAACTACCTCTTAAGATTTGTAAAAGAAGGGTATACTGAAGCTAAGCAACTGGTCAGCTCTCATGTCGCAACTTATGCGAAAAGACTTCCTAACCTTGGTTCAAGGCGAATGCTTTACCTTTACTGTCATATATGTCACTACCATGATAATAATTCATTGGAGTTCTGCAAAGCTCGAAAGCTTTTACCCTGAAGGAGGGAAGCATAAAAGACCGTCCCGTACGATCACGATTTGTCGAGCCTGCCTTCTATGGGAGTGGCCTGCCTGATACGTGGGTATGCGCAATAACAGTTTTACACTTCAAGCAACTCTTCAAGAGACTATCGGAAAGCTGGTGGCGTCATGTTAGACTGGCAGAGTTAGTAGTGATTGGTTGAATCGATCGATGAACAGGGACAGAGCATCCCTTTAAAGTATTGACGGACGTTAAATTAATAGAGTTTTTGGGGCATAGGCACTGTTTGAAAAACTTGTTTCACTCCGTTGATTTCGTTCAATGAGCGATCACTGCCGAGACAACGGTGTCACGTGTGCTTAATTCACTTCACTTAGCATCGCGACGCACGGAGCATTCCGCCATTCCGACAGCCTTATAATGATCTTCCAGACCTTACGCGTTAGTCTCGCAACATATACTTTTTCAGGTCCTCCACCACCGCAAAGCTCTCGACCTCAACTACGACCATCTTTCGATAATAATAACTTACTTTGTGCAGTCTACTCTTGACTAGTCCGGAGTGTCCCAATTCACAATCCGGGCCCCACCAACCCCTCGTCGTTCCTCGGAAAACATCTCCAGTGAGAATAACAGGTGGAACCATGCCGTCATCACAGCGAAGACGCCTCGCCAGGGCGGCAAAGCAAGCCAAGCAAAAGCCCGCTGTCACTGTCATACCCGCCGCATCGAGCTCAGCATACGAAATCATCGGTGGCATTGAGTCAGAACGTTTAGAGATCCCGGCTTGTTGCGCTCGAGCTTCATCCTCCGACACGTCCCATAGCATTATCAGTGCCACAGCTTTGGATCTCACTATTGTCCCCAAGGCTCTCACCCAACAACTAGAAGCGACGAATCATATCTCCAGAACAATTGAGGGCTACAAATCTAATTCGCAGATTGATGAGTGCGCAGCGCCATCAACGGCCCTCCACACCTTGATAGGCTTTAATTCCACTTTCAGCTTCGAGAAAACCCTTGAATACACGTCGCCTGTGAAAGCCAAACACCAAAGGCGCTGGAACGAGCCGAAAATCACATCATACCGTAGGATTGGGGCTATCTTCGAGGGGACTGGTCAACGAGCGTTACCGGTTGCACGCTATACCTCTGCCGGTGGAGTATCAACTTCTCAAGATGCTCCCTCCATCTTTGACTACCTTGCTCTCTCATGCGTCAAAGATCAGAAGCCTGCCCCGATCTCCTCGATAGAGTTGTCAACACCGAATGAGGAGTTGGCTTTGCATCAGGACGCCCCAGTGTTGGTACCCATTGCATTTGGGCCAGCGTCTCTTACCCCAACTTCCCCAACCCCTACTTCATCTGGCTTGGAGGAAAATCTCCTCCTTCGTGTCGTTCTGGATGAGCCGAAAGGTTTGTTTTCTGCAAAGGTTGCCTCATGGGCTCATTGTGAGTTGGTCCGACTCTACCAAGCCCAGACAGCGCAACTGCACTCAGAGTCTACATATAGTGCACATGCGCCTGCCGGAGATTTCCTGCAACACGAGCCAACGATATCCGAGGCCTTGGTAGAGACTGTTATATTCAGTTTATGTGGTACTGATGCAGAGGTTTCGGATATCGCTAGCGGTCAAGCCATGGTGCTCTATCAGACCCCATACCGGCCTGCATATGAATCTTCGTACGAGCTGCGTAATGATTCTTTCGACGGACGCTCCAAATCACCATCACTCATCAGCGATATTGATGATGATAACTCATGGAGCCCACACAACACGGGGCGTGTATTCCTCTCCTCCCTCAACGGCGAGTTGTTTGTTGTAAACCCCAATCAGCTTTTATACAAGGTTAAGATCATCGATGAAACGGCCTCAGACTTCGATTCTATCGCCTCCCCCATCAAAGCGGACCGGAATAATATCAAAGGGGCTATCGAATTAGATGGATCGGAGCTCCATTGTGAGAATGACCGTTTGTCTGACGAAGACACAGCGAGCGATTTTGACGTACCGGAGCTTGAGGGCAATGATTCATCCCTTGTACTCAAACCATTTGGAATCATTCAAGAGGTTTCATTCGAGCACACGAAACTTCTACCTCGTCACGAAGAGTACGAAGAGGGGCCACAAGAGGTTCTCTTCGAAGGAAAAGACACTAAATTTGGCACCCTCAGTGAAATAGAGAAGACCAAACTTGGGCAGCGCAGTGCAGAGGTGAAAGAATCGGACTATAAATCGACGGACGAAGACCTTTTTGGGAACTCTGAAGAGGCCGAGGACGCATGTCACGCCACTACAACCGTCCAACCCACTAATGTTGCGGAAGAGAGTTCATCAACCGCTGCAACTGATTGGGTTTGTGAGCTCGCGCATACGATGCTAGGTACCGAGTCGTTGTTCACATTCTTGGGCGAGCTACATGTCGAGAGCAACGGAAATGCGACGAAAACAGCTGTGGCAACCGCCTTCCTCCAGCTTGTCGACTATGAGCGCCACAAGCTTGGAGGGGCTTTGCTGCCTCGCTCATGCCCTACCGCGACGATCCTAGGCAGTCGCATACTGCCGCACACTACGGTCCTCGGGTCTACAACTCTTGCTACATTCCTCTCTGAGCTTGACTTCGACCTCAACGAAGAAACCTCTGCCGTCGGAATTTATAAGGCGTTCAAGGGGCTAAGAAGGGCGGAGCTGCGCGCTCATGAGGTGGTCACCACGGGTGTCATGGGCGAACTTGGTCGTGCACTTGGAAAACTGACTTGAGCTGCGTCAGTTTGGTGCATGAAGAGTGGGGGACTAGCACCGTGAAACCTGAGAATAGCCTCCGAGATGTGGGATCGATAGAGGGGAGGTATATTGCTGACAGCCGTTGTTACTTCAATTGTTTATATTTTGGATCTAGCCAAAGGCTCAGGATGGTAATTTGGCCGCTCCAGGCGGTACTTAGATAGTCAATAACTGTACATTCCAGTCTCGATACATTTCGACACTTGCATATGCCTGATACATCCCAAATCATGGGCAAATTAAGTCGTGTATCGGTCCATCTGAAGTATGCATCCACTCCAGGAAGTCCTAGATTCGACATGATAGATAGAAGGAGGATGCCGGATAGTTTACACGTTACCCCTCACATAATGCAGTTAGAGACCTTCGATAGCAATATGTGCGCTTACTTTAGAGCGCTGAAGGTATCCTAGCTTGTGCCACATGTTGGAGGTCTTGTCGACACAGAGTTGTGCAGTGACAGACAGGTTTGGCTAACAAATCCAGCGGAGATGGCCAAGCAAGTCACCGGTTGTTCTAGCCCTTCCTAGCTAGCGATTCTACAGGCGCCCCTCCACGTCAGACCGACCTCGGGACTACAGCCTCGCGATGGCGATTTTCAAGTTCAATCTTTCATTGTTCAGGTCACATTGGAGGCGTGCCTTTGCTCTCCAAATCCTCTGAGGTTACGGAAACGACAAGGACTGTGCTAGATACGTCTGCGGGGTATCGTCAGGTCATCTCTTAGACATTCCGCCTCTACCTGATATACGCCACGATATACCACGTCCACAATACTACCAACATGGCGCAATTACCCCTAAGCACCATCACGATGCCACCGCGATTCTCTATAGAGCTCGACCGCACCGACCCCGATGTCCCCTTCCGCGCATCGCAGTCCCACATCCACCACACATGGGCGCGCACCTTCCACTCTCGTCCAGAGCTGTATATTCGGCCACAGAGCCTACAAGAGATACAGAAAGTCGTCACGCTCGCACGCCGAATGCGACGACGTGTTGTGACTGTGGGATGTGGACACTCGCCGTCAGACCTCACCTGCACGTCGGGTTGGATGGTAAATCTAGACGACTATAAAGAGGTGCTAAAGGTGGACAAGGAGCGCAAAACGATGACGGTCCAAGGAGGTATTCGTATGCATAGCTTGAATCTACAGGCGAAAGAGCATGGCCTTACGATGCCGAATCTGGGGTCAATTGACGACCAATCGCTGGCTGGGGCTATTGGGACGGCGACACACGGCAGCTCGATGAACCACGGACTACTGTCTGATTGCGTACAGAGCTTGCGTATTGTGCTTGCGAACGGGCAGGCAGTACGATGTTCGGCGACACAGTCACCAGACCTCTTCCGCGCGGCGCTGGTGTCGTTGGGCGCATTGGGCATCATTGTCGAGATCGAGTTTCAGATGATTGAGGCGAGCGATATCGAGTGGATGCAGACCATACGGCCGATGGAAGATGTGCTTGCGGATTGGAACAATGGTCTTTGGACATCGAACGAGTTTGTAAGGGTCTGGTGGCTACCGTACATGCGTCGGGCCATCGTGTGGCGGGCAGACAAGACTACAAAAGCGAGTGTGAAGCCGACATACAACTGGTACGGCGGCAGCGTCGGCTACCACACCTACCACATCCTTCTCTGGATATCGCAATATGTCCCGCGGTTCTTGCCATGGGTGGAGTGGTTCGTCTTCGGCATGCAGTACGGTTTCAAGGACGGCGCCATAATCTCAGCAGTTGGTGAGCAGCGAACGGAGCTCCTCATGAACTGTCTTTACTCTCAGTACGTCAATGAATGGAGCATACCCCTCGACAAAGGTCCCGAGGCCCTGACCCGCCTAACGAGTTGGATCAATGGCGACGAACAGAGCTCCGGTATTCCTTTCAGCACAAAGGGCCTCTATGTGCACTCTCCCATCGAAGTCCGCGTTGCAAACACAGTAAACAGGGAACCACGGCCGTATCTTGACACCTCATACCCTGACACACCAGCTCTTTACCTCAATGCCACCCTTTACCGCCCGTATGGTCAAGATCCGCCGTGTCGGGAACGTTACTACCAAGCCTTCGAGCACCTGATGAAAGACTACAACGGCCGGCCCCATTGGGCAAAGAACTTTCAGAACGTAGACCACACCTATCTCTCCTCTGTCTATGGGTCCGATCTCGACGAGTACAACCGCGTACGAAAAGAAGTCGACCCGGAGGGCATGTTCATTGGCGCATGGCACCGCCGCACAATCCTCCCTTCCAAAACCGAAGTCCCCGTCTTTCCACTCGAAGAAAAAGAAGTTGTAAGACGCGTTCGACGGACTGGAGGCATAGACTGGATCGGCGAGCAAGCGCGGTGGTGGGATGGCGGTATCGATGTATTCGAGAAGGCGGCAAGCGAGAGCGGAGAGAGCTTCGACTTGATGGCTGGTGCGGAGGCGGAGAGTAGTATGTTGCTCGAGAGTTTGAGAGATGAGATCAATGAGGAGAAGTATGAGAGGAGCGAGAGGATCGAGACCGAGCCTCGGATCAAGGAGGGTGCTGAGAAGTATTCTACCGGAACGAACGCGTTCAATAAGATGTAGGTCGTTCAAGAAGATTAATCGGTATCAGAGGAGATCTCCATCTTTGCGGACCTTTGCGATGCGTCGTCTGGTTCCGTCCAAGTGTTGGTGATGGTGGTGGTGGTGGTAGTTCTTCGCCCTCATTATCTGCCTCCTCTTCTCCCTTCAACAATCTCTCCTTGTTCACCCTCCAATACCACTCATCCACCGAATCCTGTCCAATATTTGCAATGAGCTCCGGGACCTCTTTCCTCTTCACGAACCCCTTCTCCCTCCTCCTGCCAACCTGCATAAACGCAGCTTGATTTGCTACCTCTTCTGCTTCGAGGTTCCCTTTGGGTTTGGCGTGACCTTTGATCCAGAAAGGTCAACTGCTACATCTTGGACATCAAGGAAATCCGCAGGGTCGTAAATATCCTGCAGGGCCCAGGAATCCTCTTGTAGCACAGGTCCAAGAGCCGCAATACTGCTGGCTTGAATTCCCATTAGCACGTTTGCACAATCTGAGAAGACTCGTACACGCTCAATCGAGTCACTTTTCTCGACTTCCTTCACAGCAAGCCGCAGCAATGGCAAAGAGTTCAGAATCTGCGCTCTCTCCGGTTCCTTGAAGGGCGTACATTTCGCTCTTGTACTGCCATCCGACCTGCCAAGCTATACCGGCTCCCAACTTCGCGTCAGCGTGCCTGTTTCCATCCGTCCAATATACTGCTGCCCTGCCTTGGTTGCATGCCACCCGAATATCCCAAAGATGGTCCGTATCTGTGCATGATTTCGCTTCTTTGAAGTCACCAGCTACTACAGTGCCGGAGAAGCGGCGGAATTCACCAATGGTGTCATTGATGATGCATATTTTCCTTTGGTTCCCTTCGCACTCTAAGTGATACTTGTGCTCGCGGTTTATTAGTCGAGCAGCGTTTTGGCTATTCTGCTGGTGCTTGGTCATCGGCGGGAGAGAAGGCTTCGAATTCGGATTGGAGAAATGTTTGCTGCTCGCGCTTTGTGCGTCTCGAAAGCGATCTGACTGAGTCATCGCTGCTGTTCTACATAGAGGAGATAAGTATGGTAAGTCTCGTTTGTTGAACAGTCAAATGGTGCTTTTGGATATGCACGCGGCCGCCGTTTTCATATGCTGTTAGTTGTGTTCTTTCGAGATAAAGTGAGGGAGGGAGACGCGAGGTTTCAGAGCACAAAAGTTGCCATTACGTGTCTTTAAATTACTCTATCTTGCCCTAGGAAGGAGCATGTGGTGAATGTGAAGTTGACTTCATTTCGAAGGTGGGGGGCAGAAATAACGGCCTCGCCGCGCATTTGACATCCTGGCCAAATACCCTAAGTGAAGGATAGCACATTCTCTCGATCATCTCAATCTGAATCACAGTGGCATGTTTTTTGGTACAGTTGTTACGGTAGGGCATGATTGCACCTAGAGAGGTAGTATTGGTACGAAGTGACAACGTAAGTTATACAAAATAGAGACATTAAGCCTCCTAAGAGTACACAGAAGGAGCGTAGCAGATAACAAAGAGATCCAAACATGTCACGGGGATGCATGTTTTGCAGACCAAGATACAACAGGATCGAGTGATGTTGTAGTATATAATACACAGCCATAGCGAAAACACTGCAATTCCTCGCAATATCTTTGACACCCGAACATAATATCACAACTCCCAGCTGAACGGTTGCGCTTCGATAAAGGCACAAGATCGAGGGTAAAAATTCCCAATCTGGTTGGCCTCTAAGGTGATCCTAGTCTGGTCCAACGGCAGGTGCCTCAGTCCTTCTCGAAGTATACCCTCGAGTTGTGAATCGAGTGAGGACGCGGCAAGAATCATATAATCTACTTCCGGTGACTCATCCCGGTAGTTCATGGAAACGACGAGCGCTTGACCAATTTGATTGATCAACTGTACAGCCAAAGTGTACCTCCAATACAAGCTTTCGCCTTGCATCCTTCCAATGGCCTCGATATGATTATAGACACGGCTCATAGAATGAGAGAGTTCGGAAGATGGATGATGAAGAGAGATATTCGTTATCTCACGTTCGACGGCACGGGCGTACACGTCGATAGTGTCAGAGGCTGAATCGGCGTCTCTTCTGATGACGGGGTCAAGCCCTACAATGGTGGGTCAATATAGATAAGCAGTAGTAATAGCGTCGGTCGCACCTCCTTGAATGCCATGATCTTTAATCGTGCGGAAAATGGTCGTGCAATGGGTCCTCCAAGCTTTTCGTTGGTTAAGGGCTTCGTCCAAAGTTTTAGGTCCATGGAAGAATAATGGACTACGATCGCGCAGGTCAACCGCAGCTGCCTCGAATCCATTTTCTTTAAGCAATTCGAACATGATCGCGCAACGAGTCTGCCAAGCGTCTCGTTGCACAAGGAATTCTTGTATCGTTTCTGGTACCTTGTCGAAGCGCGGGTTGCCGTCGCGAATCTCCTCAGCGCAATCGTCATGGAAATGATCGCGTCGCTCACAGCGAAAGCACAGGACCTTCTTCAGATTCTTGCAATCATGGAAGTGGTGTCCGACCTTCTTGCAGTAACGGCAGAATTCCCAGGTGGCACCGTTAACTGAAGATGGTATATATTGGATTGTAGGCATGGTGGACGGTGTCGTTGTGTCAGATCGCATGATTGTGATTTCAGGAGTAAGACGTTGTGAACGGCAGATAATGCAAACCGATGCAAAGACGAATGTGCTTGAGAAGCATCAAAGCAAGTATATGTTTATACTCGCTATCGTGAAGCGAAAAGAAGTTAGTGTAGCGTCCGACACAGGAGTTGATCGAAATATCGTTCAGTTCCTGCAGCTGGATGTTTCGACGTGGCTGCCGCTGACTAACCATCCGCATCACGAACCTAATTGCTGCCCCATCTTTCGATGATTTTGGAGACCCTTTGATTTATTAATTAGAGTAGAATTAACAGAGCTCTTTTAGTATAGGTTCTGGCATCAATAAGTGCCATGAATGTCTCAGGCTGCAGTTTGAAAGGCATTTACTATATGTCTACCATGGACATGGTTCACCCGCGAATAGCTGTGAAGCTTTATAGCCTTTCCAAGCTAGTTATGTAAAGACCCAGGGTATCATTGTTGCATCCGTTGTAGCTATGTTTCGTTCTTATAATGAGATGCCCTCGTCATCCTCCACCGCATCAATCTCATCATCTCCGAACCCCCCAACATCATCCGGATCGTCGCCAACGTCGAAGCGCATGAATTTCTCGTTTTTCGCCTCAGCTGTAGTTTTGTTAGCGATCTATCCATCACACCAACGTACTGGTGATACTTACTACCCCACTCCACAACCTGTCCATCCTGCACCTCACAGTCCTTCAGCACCGTCTTATCGGTGTTCGCTGCGCCGCCCTCAATTTTACACCTCCGACCCAGTATACAATCCGTAAGCTGCACATTCGGCCCAATCTCCACGCCATCCATTAACAAACACCTTAACAGCCTTGCGCCCTCGCTGATCTTACAGTTTGGACCAATAACGGTTTCTTTGATGTTCGTTTTCTCTTCAACGATGACGTTCTCTGCTAATAGTGAGTTTTCGGCTTCTACGCGACACTTTCTGGGAATTGATTCTTTATGGGCAATTTTGGACTGATGAGCAAAGGGTGAGGCGGTATCTTTGCTAGACTCTTCTATAGAAGAGAGTTTTGCAAGGCGGAGAGAGACGGTCAGGAGCAGGTGCGAGTCGTCTACACGGCGGATGAGAGGCTCGGTTGGACGAGATGGCTGGACGTATGCTAGTAGCGGAGGTATGATGAGTTTTGAGTCCGAGGTGAGCGATTTGGCAGATTCGGGTATGCTGGAGGACCGGGTGACTCTCGAGGCAAGTATTGTGGGTGTCCTTGTGCCGTCGTTCGTCATACCGCTGGAGTAGGTTGTGCTGAACTTGGAAACATCAACCTCTTCTTCGACTACCTGTGAACCATGGTCTGAGGCTTCATCTTCGCCCTGCAATATCTGTCGCAGACCCAGCTTGTCTCCTAGCCCATCCTGCCACCCAGCCTTTGCCCACCAGCCCAAGACTTCTTCGCTTATGCTCTCAAATTTTTCATTCTTCTTGATCATTTCAATCACCCAGTACGGGAAGAAGTAGATGTGCGCGTCGCGGTGAGTTGTGAGCATCTTTATGCGGGCATGCTTTCGGATGAGCGAATGTCGCAGCGGGAATGTCTTGTTCGCTTCGGTGATGTCGTTAAGCGTGTCTGTGGGGACAGAGTATACGAGGTTTGAGATGTGTCGCCGTAATGAGTCTGCGGGCGCTGGTACGGTGGGTGTCGGCAGCGGCGTGGTTGCGATGAAGTCCGTCTCTTCACCTTTCTTGCTACCCTCGCCTTTGGTTTCATACCAAACTCCTAGGCCGCCTCTTCTACCGAGCCTCTCTCCACCAGCGCCGAAAGCAATCTTGCTGCCGTTCTCATGCAGTCCACCACTAGCTCCCGCAAAGCCTCCCTGTTCGATCATCCACGCGTCAGCTAACGCTGTACCGTCCAGTTCGCATACGAGATCACACGGCAGCACGATGAAGTCGCCCTTGATCGCATTTTGTACTTCGGGAAGTCTGAAGAGGTCGCCGGTTCCGGTCTCGTGGGTGAGGTCTTTTGGGGCGAGAATGTCTGGCTTTGGCGAAGGAAGGGTTGTAAGGTGTGGGTTTTGGGACATGGCAGCTTCGATAGCTTCCAAGGACTCTGGGGGCGTTATAACGATAATGTCTGCCGGCGATTAGTTCTCGTGTCCACGGGGCTTCAAATACTCGGATCCTCACCCGTGACTCCCATGCGGTAACACCATTCCAGCGGATACCACACCATAGGCCGATTTGCAATTGGTAGCAATGCCTTTGGGATATCTCTAGGCCTTGATGTGAAGGTACTGAAGGATGCTCCTGGCCCACATAATATGAGAGCTTGGAAGCCTGGCTCTGGGAGGCTCGTCGCGTGAGGCATCCTGAGGTAGACGTGAAATGTGCGCAGTGTGTGGTATATTGGTAGAGATCCAAGTTCTCTTGTTCCACAAAGCGACAAATTATAATGCTAATGGACCATGAGTATTCCCAAGGAAGACAGTTGTAGCTTGCCCGGTTTGGTTCTGCTGTAGGTACGTGAGTTATGTAGGCAGTTCAAAAGAGTCACCCCGCCGAAGTTTTGGGTCAAATGACTCGCACGTTGTCGCCTCGGCAGGTGCGCGCATGTCAGGCACGACAGCTCCCCAGCCTCCTCGAAGACAACAACATCAGCTGCATAGTCCAGGGATACCACCACAATACGCACGTCTCACCAAGCAAACATACTAGAATGAATTGAGAACATGTCCTCGTTCAATTACGACCGTTATGACCGCGGCCAGTCGTCGTCCAGCCGCCGCAGCACCTTGGGCTACTACGTACCACTCATCCTGACGGTTACAGTTGCGACAGCTGGGCTAGCAGCTTGGGTCTGGAGCGCGCGAGAGGGCTCGGAAGACTATAGTTCAGATGAAGATCTGAGTTATGGAGAAGACAGCAGTCGCGAGAAGTCGCACGGCAAAGCACCCCGAGGCCCTACACAGCGCGACAACACGGGTCTACCACAAGGCGCGGTCCGCGAAGACGAGACTACCTTCCTGGGACGCGCGCAGGGCATCATCAGACGTACCCCAAGCCCACAACAAGTTTTCGACACAGTGAGCAAGAAGACGGTCGCGGGGTTGGCGGCTGCAGGAGCCGCAGCTGGAGCCGCACTCGCGTCGATTCGCGAGGAGGACAAAGACGACTTTGGCGACCACAGTAGGTGGTCTGAGGAGGCAGCTATACGACGCAATGTGGAAGCGCAGTCAAGGGAGAGCGCAGCCGCGGTGGATACACAGACCAAGAGCTTCGCGGCGAGTGTAAAGACCGGGCCATCGACGGGCAAGAGGAAGACGGTCGTGCTCGTTGTGTCTGCCGAGAGCTTGATGGATAGGGCTGACGACGACGGGAGCTATCGGTCAGAGAATGCTGTAGGTTTCTTATATCGTCTTGAGATGAATAGAATGCTGACAGTGTCTAGACGATCCTGTCATACCTCCCCGACACCGACTTTAACAAGATTAAGCTCTTCGTTCTCATCTACTCGCCCTCCCTACGCTCACGCCCACAGTCCCGTGCTGGTACTTCCTCCCTAGGCGATTCGTACTCTGCTATATCAACACCCGCACGCACGCCAGGCGAGGAGCTCCAGTCTATCGACCCGCAGCCCGAGGACACACATACTGTCTATACGCCTGCTCTTTCGGCGCGCAGCTCTGACAACATTCTGTGGAGCACACTGCACGCGCAAGCCCTTCGTCTCGTCGAGGAGCCCGCCATGGTAATGCCCTTTAGTACGCCTACCGGGTATGTCCATATGCTGCGACACATTGGCCCCGATCTTGTATATGTTGTCGACGCGCTTAGCGGTGTAAACGGGGCAAACATCGAGGATCTCAAGAGGTGGGTCGGCCAGACCATCGTTGTGGTCGGTAGCGACGGCACCGGGCTTGGCGGCCTTGTCGACACAGACGATGAAGGCCCGGCACGCAAGGGCAAGTCATCAGAGCATGCCGTGTCGAAATGGTGGGAGAGCGCGGATATTGTTGGTCTGGGCAAAGGTGTCGAGGTCGTTGATGCGTCTAGACTCTCAGATGATTACGAAAGGAGGATCGGTGGACGCGACTAAGTTGTTTACCGTTGATATGAGTTGGACGATAACCCTTTTGTTTTGCCTGTTGTTGATTGATTAGGTAGCACTTTATGTACATGTCACGAAGGATGAATACAACTCTCTGTCTCTCTCGGTCTCATTGACAGCCTCCCCTTTGAAGCGTAATTTGAAATAACTCTTGGAAGGCGCAAAGCTCTAATCTTGAGATGGAAAAGACTTTCGTCTTCAACACGACCAACGAAGGAAACACATTTCCGCTGAACGCATCACTACGCAGAGCAAAACATGATGTGTATCATAAACCTGGCAGGAGTCCTAAGAGAACCTGAACGAATTTGTAAGTTCACCCTCCCTCCCTATAACCAGCGGGAACGCAAGCTTGGTAGACGCGGGAAGAATTTAGGCAGCAATGAGGACGGTGGGGAAGGCCTACTGAATTTCTCTAACACGCTGATTTTGGGGTGGCTACTGGAATCTGAACTTTGCCTACTTGTAAGGTTGCACTCATGATACATGTAATTGATACAAAGCTCAAATATCAAGTTCTCATTGAAGCTGGGACTATATATAACTACCCAGATCGTATCCACGTAAAAGCAAGACTCAATTGAAAAGAAGTCTCTAGATTAGAGAACCCAACGAAGTACGCACACTACCCGCAAGGAGAGCTTCGGTCTCCTGTCATACTACTCCTCGTCATCCTCGGCATCCTCATCATCCTCATCATCTTCGTCTTCATCATCGAAGCTAGCCATCTCCTCGTCCTCATCGGAGTCGTCGTCATCATCTTGCAAGACGGGCGCAGGCCATGCCACGGTGACATGCTTGGCCAGCTCCTTTAGAAACTTCTCCATCTGCTTTCCAGTGTGTTCTTTTGTCTTGAGCAGTCGGGCTTCCTCATCTTGTACCTTGAAATTGACAAACATATAATCCTGCTGAAGCATGCCGGCCTTGAAATGCTTGAGCTCCAGCTGGGGAATACTAGATAGCTTCGCGAAGAAGTCTGACCAAAGATTAGGCTTGTGGCCGAATGGAGGCGGAGCTCGGGATTGGAGGCCCATCCGCCATAAGTTCATATCTTCTAGGGTCGGGGCGAACTTGGTGACTATGGCAACAAGAATGTCGGGACGAACGTTCAGTTGGCCAAAGTCCAAGTGCCTTAGGAATGGCAGTGCGATCGGAGCAGGCTCAAAGAAAGATACTGGCTGTGATCTCAAGGCGGGAGGCGGTTCACCTAGCCATTCCATGAAGGCCTCGTTGTTGGCCACCAAGTGCTTCTGGAAATTCAGGCGGAGATGGGTCAAATTCGGGGTATAGCCCAGAAAGCGCCGCATCGCGCGGCCCGCGTGTGCGTCTACACTTACTCCGTTGCTATGAGTGTGGAGATATCGGAATGTTAAATCGACATTCAGGAGCAGAGTCTTGACATTGTGTAGCACTGGCTCAGCCGTGGATTGGAGGAAATCCGGGAGAAAGAATGCTGTGCCGGGCAGACCATTTTGGCGAAGTAACACTTCGAAGTGGGAAGGAGTGCGATTGGCTTTCCCAAGAGCATGGATGATTGTCGAAAAGACGTGAGATAGGTAATTAGGGTCACTAGAAGACCGAAGTGAGATACCCGTATTTTTGTGCACGGTAGTAGCGCCCCAAGAGCTCCAGCTTGCATGGTCGCCATCCCTAACTCGGCTAGGAGCGTTGAAATCGCGCATGCCAACTGTGTCAAGGTTTACCAGGTTCTGGAAAGCTTCGGTGAGCATTTCGCGGTCAATCCCGGTGCTCAAAAGGACCTTTTGGTCTTCGTAGCCCTTGATATAGCACATGGCTGCGTGGCTGTCTCTGAATCGTAATGGAATCTCATCGTATACATCGGTGGCAATGATGATATGTGTCAGTTTCTTTGAGAAGCTAACGTGCTTGGAGATGTCAATCAAAGCCTGCAGACTCGTAGGGGTGAGCATAAACTGCTTCTTGGTGAAGAACTCCCCGGAGAACCATTCGTAAAGTGACTTTTCGATTTGCTTGCAAGTGAGACGCAGGGAGGCTAGGTCTGAGGTGGGCACAAATGAAGATATGGAGATGAGTAGCTCAAGCGGAATGGTGAGTAGCGATGTCATATTCGCTCGAAAGAAGGATGTCTCCGTGGTAGATGAAGGATGTCGGTTTGGTGATGTGATTGAAAGACAAATTGTGCGGTCTTATGTCCACGTTATCATGTGTTGTCGCGTTGGTCTCGCGGTAGGCAGAAGGGTCGCGCTAGCCGCTTGTGGGCTGCAGCCTGGCTCCTGTCCAACACAGACCACTTTTATCTCACCCGAGCGCTGATCTCACTCCAGCCCGGGGTCGTTCAAATAGCCATCATCTTCTCTGCTTGGCCTGCATTGCGCTTCGTTTCTCATCAAATTGCATCAATGGCTCGTAAAGCTGCGCAAAAAGCCTCTCAGGCTCCCCCTCTCGATGGCTGTTCCATCGCTACATCTGGCAGATTCCCCGGGACCACCCAGGCCGCACTGCAGGCACGCGTCACGTCGCTTGGAGCTACTGTCGCATCGAGCGTCACAGCGGACACCAATTTCCTAATTGCTACCGAAAAAGACTTTGAAAGTAAATCCTCCAAAGTCAAGGCCGCCGCTACTCACAATGTCCCGGTCGTTACCATTGCATGGCTTGAAGATTGCGAATCGACAGGTAAGTCCAGAGTGCAACAATGCCCATTGCAAACTTTCAATCGCATCCCAAGGTCCGTCGAAGAATCCAAACTAATATATGCGGCGGCAGGCACAAAAGCAGATGAGACACAGCATCTGCTATCATCTTCTGCAACTCCCGCTGCAGCTCCTGCTCAAAAGCAGAGTAAAGGCTCAAAGAAGCGCGCTGCTTCGCCAGACGCTTCACCGGCACCGACCCAGGATAAGAAGCCAAAGATTGCCGAAAATGCAAAGGTAGGTGACGGCCAGAATGCCAAATCTAAGAAGATCACAATCGCCATCGACGAGTATTGCCCACTTGGCAGCTACCAGGTCTACATTGATGGCGATGGTACCATCTGGGACGCTTCGTTGAACCAAACGAATGCATCAGCAAACAACAACAAATTCTACAAAGTACAGGTTTGTTGCCAGTCAAATCCGCTAAATGGTCAAGCACTAAATTACTACAGCTGCTCTCTAATGCCTCCGGTTCTGACTTTAAGACTTGGACCCGATGGGGCAGAGTAGGCGAGCGAGGCCAGATGGCTATGCTTGGTGGCGGTTCGCTCTCGGACGCAATCAAGAATTTCGAGAAGAAATTCAAGGACAAGTCCGGCCTCAAGTGGGATGACCGAGGTGAGGATCCCAAGGCTGGCAAATATGCCTATGTCGAGCGATCGTACAACCCAGACTCGGACGAGGAAGATGACAATGCTGGAGACGATGCAGTCGGGGGAGTCAAGGAAGAACCGAAGCTTGAAGTTGCTGAGTGCACTCTCGATCGTCCCACGCAAGATCTCATGCAGCTCATATTCAATCAGCAGTACTTTGATGCTACCATGACCGCGCTTAACTATGACGCGAATAAACTCCCGCTTGGAAAGCTCAGTAAGGCGACTATCGCCCGTGGTTTCCAGGCATTGAAAGATATGTCAACACTGCTCGACAACACAGATGCAAACTCCAGAGCTGAAGTGGAGCGACTTTCGAATCTTTACTATTCCGTTATCCCTCATGCCTTCGGTCGCAACCGCCCGCCAATCATTCGAGACAATGACGCCCTGAAGAAGGAAATCGAGTTACTCGAAAGCTTGTCGGACATGAAGGAGGCTGCCGCAATGCTTAAGAACAACCTCAAGGACGACAGCGGCATTCATCGTCTCGATAAACAGTTCCAAGGTCTCGGCATGAACGAGATGACAGCCCTTGACCATAGCAGCCCAGAGTTCACCGAGATTGACGCGTATCTGAACGATTCGAAGGGCGCAACACATTACATTAACTATGCTGTCCAAGACATCTTCCGCATTGAACGACAGGGTGAGTTCGACCGATTCGAGAAGAGCCCATATGCACAGATCGAAAGCAATCGCCGTCTGCTCTGGCACGGTTCTCGTGTGACCAATTACGGTGGCATTTTGGGTCAAGGTCTCCGTATCGCACCGCCTGAAGCCCCAGTCTCTGGATATATGTTTGGCAAGGGTATTTACCTCGCCGACATGTCCTCCAAATCTGCCAATTACTGTTGCGCCTACAATTCAGGAGGTACAGCGTTGCTTCTTCTCTGCGAGGCAGAATTGGGCAACCCTATGCATGAGCTCACGGATTCCTCGTACAGTGCTGGCGAAGATGCTAAGGCCAAGGGCATGTACAGCACGTTGGGCTTGGGCCAGACAGGTCCGAGCAAGTGGAAAGATGCGAGTTGCGTGCACCCAGCGCTGGAGGGCTGCATGATGGTGAGTTCCGCCATAATATTTTCCTAACACATCGTAAGCTAATCATCGCGACCAGCCTGATGTCTCAACTCCACCTGGACCTACCAACGTGCCAGACGCATATTTGATGTACAACGAGTACATCACCTACGATGTCGCTCAGGTCCGTCTTCGATATCTTCTTCGCGTCCGTATGTAGACTGTCAGGCCTCCTGCATCTCGTCGTTCCAGCAGCACTCCAAGCATACACAAGCACGGAAAAGCATATCTTTCTCGTTTTAGGCGTTCACGCAGGCAGAACAGCACGGATCTCATGCCTGCTTTGCGCCATCTTCTGTGATGGTGTTCTCGGCGAGGGTTTTCGTTCAGGGAGGTCAGCGAGGTTGAGGGGGAAAGGGTTCAGGTGGTCTGTGCATTTACCGGCGTATCCTGACACCACAATGATACCTACCTTCTTTCCATTGTGAGCATCAGCGACTTCGTTAGTCAGAGGATGATAATACAGCAACTACATGCGTTTCCCAGCTTCAATCACCCATGTGCTTTCATGGAATCCACAAAAAGATTCCTTTAGGCGCTACTGCTCGACAACCGGTCATTAGCTTGGTGTTGACCGGTGTATAAACTAGCCAATCAGCGACTTGTAGGCATCCACTTTCATTTCCTAATGCCTTACCTTGGGCGACCCGGAACACGACATATATCGCTTGCCATTGCCTATAAAATGCACTCAGTGTGATGCGGGCGACACTAGTGATGATACCGCATACGCACATGGTCGCACAGTGCGCGTCCACGAGGACGAGCGCGGGGGCTGAGATCTCGAAGACAGCGTGGAAAATATGACGGTTGTAGTGATTTGAAACCCCTCCTTTGCATTACATCTAATAATGAGAAACAATCCTGTCAGCAAAAGCAAAAGTTGATGTCCAGGGGCCGAAAGAAGGCTGATCGTGAACGTGGTTCCTTGACCGGCGAAGGCTGGGCTTGGCGAGCACGGATTAGTGCCAACTCACCGGTGAGAACCCTCAACGCTTAAACAGGACACTTAGACGCACTTTTTTCTTGTGCAGCTTCCTTTCGCAATCGCAGGATTCTTCGGGGGTAGGGCGAGTGATAAAGATGGAAGTCCTTGATGCGACAAGTCTTGCTGAGCGCTTGAGGTGGGAGGCAAAAGAGTATTGGCTGCATCTGGAGTCTGATAGTCCACTTGAAAAGTACCCAGGTGAGTAACTGGATATACAGAGATGTTACAAATGGGCTAACAGATTTTAGCGAAGCAGCATGCGAGGAGAGTGCAAGAGAAGTTGGGGTTAGAGGAAGGTTTGATCTATCTTCCGGGCCAAGCGGCGAGAAACAATGAGGATAGCGATATGCCTGCACCATTTCGCCAGCTACGATATTTCTACTACTTAAGCGGGTGCGTCAGACTCATATTTCAGACAGTGTGGAGACTAATCTGTTGAAGATGTAACGAGCCTGGCTGTCATCTAGCATACGACATTCGACTGGATATGCTCTCGCTCTTCATTCCCAGGATCGACCCAAAGCGTGTGATCTGGAATGGTCGTGGCTCTACTCAAACGGAAGCGCTTGACAAGTACGATGTCGACGAAGTGTATTACGTTGATCAGCTACCAGGCTTTGTTCAGGATTGGGCAAGCTGCAGGAGCAACCAACGCGCCGATCTCTACATTCTGCACCAATTTGAAATACCACCGGGGTTCCCTAGACTTGATCCCCGCGTTGACTCCGTCTCGCTTCAGCCAGCGATGAATATCGCACGTATGGTCAAGGACGATCACGAGATCAAGCTCATTCGCAAAGCGAACGACATTAGCTCGCAAGCGCACAGAGAGGTCCTCGCCAACATTCTAAAGTTTAAGAATGAAGCGCAAGTCGAGGGTTTGTTCATGGATGTTTGCATCTCACGACAAGCAAAGCAGCAGGCCTACGATCCGATTGCTGCCTCCGGCCCGAATGCTGGGACCCTACACTATGATGCAAACAACGAGAATTTCGAGAACCGCCAACTAATGTGCCTAGATGCTGGGTGTGAGTACGAACTTTATGCTAGTGATATTACGCGCACTTTTCCGCTTGCTGCTTCCTGGCCGAGCAAAGAAGCTGAGAACATCTATAAGCTTGTCCAACGCATGCAAGAGTCTTGCATTAAACGACTAGCGCCGGGTGTGAGGTATCTTGATCTTCATATTCGTGCGCATCAGATCGCGATCGATGGACTGTTACAGCTCGGCATATTGCATAACGGAACGAGAGAGGAGATTTTCAAGGCGGGCACGAGCAAAGCCTTCTTTCCCCATGGCCTCGGTCATCACATAGGACTGGAAGTCCATGATGTAGGACAAGCGGAGTTGATGAGTATAACGAGGGGAAAGGCGGTATGGGACCAGGTGAGTTTGCGTTGCCCTTGCACGTGAAATCAAGGCGTAGCTAAAGGTAGACAGGCACCCTCGTTATACCCGGAGAACTTCCACGTTCCGGTGTACGATTCCAAGACTTGCCACAGCCCAACAGATCCGCAGAGCAGCCATCTGGTGGAGGGCATGGTTGTCACAGTGGAACCTGGCATCTACTTCTCCGTGTATGCACTGCAACATTTCTATCTACCTTCGCCTGTCCACTCGAAGTACATCAACGCCGAAGTGGTGCAGCACTATCTTCCCGTCGGCGGTGTTCGCATTGAAGACGACATTCTCATCACCCATAAGGGCTATGAGAACCTTACTGCGGCACCCAAAGGCGATGCAATGCTCGACATCATTCGAAGTGGAAAGTCGAATGCAATCCTTACGCCAAGAACTACACTGAACCCGTTACGCGGAAGGCGAGATGACGAAACTTCATTGCTTCTGCGTGCCCCGGGTATTTCGAACGAGCTTCCGGAGCTGATACAAAGGCCACTTGCAAGAGCGGCAACCATGCCCGCAGAATTCAAGCGGCAGGAAACTGTGGATTTTGAACCTTTCGATGGGCCATCTCTATTCTCGAATTTCAAGCAGACAATGACCATAGAGGAGAAGATCCAGCGCTGGCGAGAATCTCGAGAATTTAATCCCGTTCTGGAAAGCCCGCCAGCGGTGACTAGAAGTCCTATTCCAGTCTGTGGTGAGGCCATCGCAAACGTCCAACATGTCTATATTAGCAACGCATCCAGCCTCGGGGCTGTATCGCGGGCTCAGAGCGAGGTGGGAGGGCAGGGGAAGTGCAAGAATTGCGCAATTCTCGTTCAAACTTTAGATCGGTTGCGACAAAACTTAATCAAATCTACGCAGACCTCGCCGACCATGGAACAGAAGCCCTTCTTCGAGCCCACTAGAATAAGCAAGCCCGAGAAGGCTCGATTGGAACACCCTGCAGAGATATTACGTGCGGCGAAGGAGACTGACATCTCCGCGGCCCTCATTGACAAGTGCGAAAAGCCTGATATGCCTCGCCTATACAGACTACACGGAGGTCCAGCAAGTCCAATACATCAGAACAGGGCTCGAGCTACTCATAACAAAGTTTTGGCACCGTGTCTCTCTGAGGCTCTTCACCATAATACCAATCTACATGAGCTTGCTCTACGCCCACTTCATGGCCAACAATCAATGGGAGGTCTGACGTCTACACAATCGGGTACACAAAAAGAAGGTGAATATCCTATAATCGCCAGGAGAATAAGTTGTCAAGCCGAGAGCAGCACTCCTTCCTCAGCACCAAACACGCGTCGCGATACGACCGACAGAAGACGACTTCAGAGTCAGAGGCAGCTTGATCGCCAGCAATATCATAATCGTGAAGATGCTCCTAGTACCTGCATTATCTGTGGGACGCACTGCCACTGTGGACGCTTATATAAAGAAACAGAGGGTGTAATAAAGGGTTTCGGGTTTGCACGTTGAGAACAAGCCGAGGCAGGCAATATAGGTAAGTAGCAGCCGCGGGGGCTGATTTCCATGATTGCGATTGCTCATCTTGTCACTTCATGCGCACTATACGTTAGCTATTTCTTTAATTTACTAGAATCTCTACGTATTTTCTTTCGATTTTCACCTTACGAGCGACATATATAACCGTGTTTGAGAGAGGTAGCGTCCTGAATGTAAACTCCACGGTCAACAGTATTTAATTCATTCTTTGGTGCACCTTACCATACGCGCACAAGCACAGCTGTATTATGATAAATACATCTAGCAGTTTGGACATATAATTCTATATATTGGCTTTATGCGTGTTTAGAGCTAAACCTTGTGAGTATCATGGCTCCTGTCGCGCGGCTCGGGAAAACTTCCCGCCAATTTTCTAGTCGTTAGGTTCAATCAGTCTCAAGACAACTCTTGGAATAGCACTATTAGCAACGTGTCTATTTCCGCTCACGAACAGAGAAATGGATACAGTAACAGGAAGATCTCTCCCGAGGATGACAAGAGTAATGTCGCCTGCTATTTAGATAAGGAAAAGTGGGTGGGGCAAAGATCGACGCCATGGCCGCCCCCACTTTTAACCCATCACGCCTCACATCCAACAAACATTCTCTAGCAACGTGGTTAATGTAACCCTACGCTCAGTAACTCTAACCTGAAAGGCGGTATGTTGCTTCTTACATTGCTAGACTAGGTAGTGTTGATTCTTCAACGATCGCACTCTACAGTATAAGACGCTATGCGTTCAATGTGCCTTGCATGCATCCCCACACTGCTAGAGTCGCCCCGATAGGCAGGTGTCTCAACTGGCACTGGCACAGGCACAGCTATCCTATTGGCTTCAGTTCTGCCATGCATTATCTAAATGTACCACCTTGGCGGTCTAAAATCCTTGGGGTTACGATGGCCGGACCGTAGCGGAAGTCAGGAGTCGCAACTACGCAGGGAATATAATTGCCGGCTTCGCCAGCGATTCAGTGAACAATCTACATCCAGCCATTCGTGAGTCTTTCGGAGGATATCAGATATGGGCTTTCCTACTGTAATACTCCTTGCAAGCTATCTGATCGTTTTGGCAGCTGGTGCTTGTGTACCAGATTTTCCCGAGAAGCTATTATCTGATTCGGCAGTCCTGCAACATCCCGCAGTGATCGCTGCGTTCGAGAGGGTCCATAGGAACTTTTCGTCGCTTTACATCAACACTACGCGCGATGGCCTCAGTTTTGCTGTGGTAAGCATTCATGACCCACCTAGATTCTCTTCTCACATCAACGCTAGGTCCATGCATCAACCCCAAAGGCTGTGTTTACATTCAACAATGGCACACTCAAGATGAACGAAACGGGTCTCTACCCGGCTGAACACAATAAGGTGACCAGCGACTCCATATTCCGCATCATGTCTGTCTCCAAAAACTTCGCCATGACTTCTGCTCTTGTCGTGGAGACCAAATCGAAATTGGTGTCCCCAAATAACTACTCCCTACTGACCATGAACACACCCGTTCGCCTTCTTCTCCCGAGCTTCGGACTTCCTGAGAGAGACTGGAATGATGGTGGCAGCGAAATTACGTTGGCCATGCTTGCGAGTCACACCGCGGGCTTTTCTAGAGAGAGCTATAGTACGGGATTCAACATGATTCTCAGTACTGGAAAGGCAGATCTGCCGACAATTGGTGCCGCTTGGGCGGGTGCAAGTGCAGACGAGGTCATCGAGTTTGCTAAAAGGACGAATCTGATATTTGCGCCCGGAAAGAGAGCTGCGTGTACGTTGTAGCCGATAAAAATCAACTTCAGGTTAGGATAAACTGACTTTGCTCACAGACTCGAATACGGGCATATCTATTCTTGCTTGTAAGTCCAATACCTTCATGTTTTATAAGATAGCGGAGAGAAGAGCTGATAGTAAATCAGCCGCTGTTGCGGCTTACTACAACAACATTACGGATTTAGACTTATCGTGGAGTCAGTTGGTTACTAGAGAGATATTAGCGCCCCTGAATATGACGCACAGCTTCTTTGGCACTGTACCGCAAGATTTGGAGCCTTATATCGGAGTACCCGGTGGCCAGAACTGGGCTGGTCTAATCGTTGGTAATGGGTATGAGCCAGCAGCCGGGATGTGGGTGCGTAGCTCCCTCAGATGCTTACCTCTAAATGCTGAGATACATTGTTTGTTGACAATCTTCAGAGCTCGGCAGTCGATCTCACGAGATACATACACTATATGTGGCTCCAACCCTCCCCCACTCTGATTACCCCGTCCCAACGCCGCCAGGTCCTGAAGCCTGTCGCCATCCTTCCAGACGGAATACAACAAGCTGGCCCAGGTTGGGAAATCGAAGTCTTTAGTCTGCCTACCAGTTCCAACGCCACACTAGTCGATATGACAAAGATTTACAGCATCTACGGCAAATCAGGTGATGGTGGAGGCTGGCACTCATGGATTGATACCATTCCCAATCTAGGATACGGGATCGTTGTGCTAACGCAGCAATCCGGTCTAGCAGACTATGTATCGATCTCGACAGCACGGACTCGCGAAATTGCCCATGATATCCTTGCCCCTGCTTTCGCGAAGGCTCTGAGTGCACGAGTAGCGGAGCGCTTCGCGGGGAACTACACTCAAGGAAAAGATACGAGTTTATTCAGTGATGAAGTGCCACGCAATGCCTCACACACTTCAACGTATGCAAAACTGGAAGTCAAAGATCAAATCTTGTACCTTCGCGAGCTCGTGGTGAACGGGACGAGTGCGCTGGAAGCGTTAGACCGTCTAAGCTGGACGGAAACCTCTCAACGGAGGTTATTTTCTACGCCTCAAGGCGTTGTGCTTGAGCCTGCTGAAGGTGCGGCAGAGACTGCAGAATTCGGTGAAGGGACGCAGATTTGGAGAATGAACTTTCCTGGATTAAAAGTTTGTGACTGGTTTGACTTTGATGGGTAAGTGGCACTCTTCATTTTTATTTGGGATGCTGTTCTTGATGAAAGGTTCATAAAGCTGATCAGTCGAAAGATACAAAGATAGTAGGGGGTGGCCATTGAGTAAAGTGGTACTGGTGGAGACGAACGGCGGAGTTGAGTTACGTTATCCACCATTTGATGTGGTGATGACTAGGGCGTTGACTCAAAACGGAGGAGGGGACAAATCTAGTCCCTCAACACTCAGTCGAAAACTATCCATCCTCGAGTAACTCCCCGCTACATCCAAGTCTAGTCGGCCCCTTTCACAGTCCTCGAAGTCTACTTCTGTCACTAGTAACTCATCTTCTGCTTCCCATGTCGGTCCGGCGAGAACCTCACCTTGTGGTGAGACAATCATTGAACCACCCCGAGAGACGAATTCATCGCCATCTGTTGAGGATTCAGTTTGTGTTAAAGACTGCGCAAGAGGCGAAGGCTTTTGCGTAGGAATGGGTTGCTCCTTGTGCACAGGAAGTGGCGCTGACTTGACTGCTGACGCATCGCCGTTGGTTTGAGCTTCTACGATAGGCAGGCAGATTTCGTGCCCTTCTGTCGTTTTACAAATCGTGCTCCTTCGTCTTCCGCTCCCACCACGTGCGTCTGAGGTGCTCCAGCCTACGTTATTATCACTACTGTTACTCTGCGATTCAGTTCGCTCTTCCGTCCCTCCAGATATCCAGTCGGGGAGATGTTTCTTCTTGACGCACTGGTTTGCGCTAACGACAAAGCATCGGCCCTCGCATCCCACCGTCCGCATTAGTGCTGCCCATGTATCTCTCGCATCTGCTGTCGGCGCAAACCAGAGATTAACGTTCTGGCTATACAAGCTCTGTCTTAGTAGCGGCATGTAGTTTTCCCAGCAAATCGCAGACCCCATACACAGCTTGACGCCCTTGATCTCTGTAGTCACAGCTCTCAGCGTCGAAGCAGACCCCTGACCCCATATTAGACGTTCGGAACCGGTCGGCATGACTTTCCTCCTCTTACCCAGCACGCCTAGCTTCGGGCACACATAGACGACTCCGCAGTACAACGTACCAGCGCACCGCTCAACAAGCCCAGTAACAACAAATACACCCGTCTCCCTCGCAATCCGTTCCAATTCCTCCCTCGTTCCATCCCCTCTATGTTTCTTTCCCCTTGGCAGCTCCAACTTCTTCTCTACCCAGTCTTGCCCCGCGCCTGTCGGTGTATCTCCAAGATCCACTGCATCGTGGAAGTATTGTAGGAACTGCTCTCGGCCCTCGGGAGCTCGTGCGCCAACAGCAGCACCGAAACTACATGTTCTTGGATAGCCCCCAAGAAATGCTTCTGGGAAGAGGATGATATCGATGCCTTGGGCTGCGGCACGTTTGGTAGTTGCTTCGAGAGCTTGAAGGGTCTCTACTGTTGTTGAGAGGGTACGGGCTTGTGCAGATGCGAGTTTCAGCTTCTGAGGCATTGTGAGTTGTTTCGGTAGACGATTAGTAGTTTGTGTATTGAAAGCAAGCGATAGTCGAGTCTCGATCTTGGTGAGAATTGGGTCGAGAAGATTAAAAGGCCAAGAAGAGCTCCGGAGAGTAAGCTTGAAGCATGAGCGAAATTGAGGTTGGGTAATAGCTTCCTAAGCTTCCCCGCCCGCCCCACCTCGTAGTTTGGAGGAGAAACTTTTGTCGTAATTGGCCAATCGGAGATTGAGATAAAACGGGTATGCCGGTTGCGGATAAAACCTTAGTAAGAGATACGTGATACCGTCAGTGGGTCGTAAGTGTCTTTATATATTCAGTGGTTCAATATTTTATCGAATTCCAACGCCGTCATCAACTTCTCCTAGTGGTATCTTCCAAAATGATACGTTCCCAAACGCCATAAAAAAACGGGTATATCCTTTGTCCTTTTCCTACACATACATTGAAAATCCTGACGTGTGATTTATCATGCATGTGTGGTGTGCCTCTAAAAACGCCTGTCATTGAGAATTCGTGACGATTGTACGTCTGCTGAGCCATAAAACATCATGAGACGAGTGAACGCCAATCCATAGTCGACGGTAGATACGATACGAGCCGTGCGTGGCCGATGGTTGTAATGAGTACCGGGGTACTAAGATATCTTGTCAGCAGAAGCCATTACGATTAGGCTCTCAAAACGTACCCGACGATAGCCATAGCTCCTGTGCAGAAATCGCTCTAACCGCGAGATCCTTCGAGCTAAGGTCGTAGGATGATGAATGACGATCAAACTTCCGAAAGGCCACTCTTGATGTTTCTATCATGGCTCCGACTTCTCGAATCGCTTCTGCTTCCTGGCTTGAGTGCAATGCAAACTGTCCGGCAGCCCTCAAGCCAGTCATTCCTCCCCTTTCGCCCTGGCTGATTCGATATTGGTGGGGCTGTGAGGTTTTTCGTACTGGCGTAGCTTGTCTGGCTCTGATCGTCTCTTAATTCAACGTGAACATCAAGCCCTTGGCTAATCTTTATTCCGTCGAGAGGTACATCCTCGTCATGCGACCCGCTAGCGACAATCCGAGACGTGGTTGTTGAATGTGTAGAATGCATAGGTGTTACTCTGCCATAGCCGTGCATTCGTGATATATGGGCAAGTGTTCTGGGGTCGTCGTTCCCAGAATAGCCAATACGCGTCGAGTTCTTGCTGAAATAACGGCGGAAGAACACCTTCAAAGCTGGCGCAGACGCACATATAACGCCTAGCTCAGCCTCGAGCACTGTCCAAATCCAGCCGTGATACGCATGCCAGGTAATGTCATAAGTGTCTGGCAAGTGAAGTTAGAATCCGGCAAGCGAGTAGCGGGATGTCCAGGGTCTTACAATAGTATATGTATGTCGCGTAGTAAGTGCGCATGATGCCGCAAACACAGGTTGTTAATCCCATGCCAAAGATGCCACACAATGCCACTTTTTGACGCCTTTGTATACGTAGATTCCAGATGAGGAAAATGGGTAACATGCAGATGACGAGGTCCTGTACTGTACTGATGGCGGCGCAAGCTACAATGACTGCTCCTTCGTTGTAGCAAGTCAACTCATGCGTGAGCCGCCACGGGACGTCGTAAAGGTGAAAGAATCCAGTTATCGGAGAGCAAATGAATGCAATAAGAAATGTGAACATGATACCATAGATGACGCAGAAGATGATTGATCCCCATACCCAATAGACGAAGGTATTCGTAAGGCCTCCAGTGATTCGGCGGTAAAAGCAAAGAATCGAGATTTTGATCAAAGTCGTCGATATCATGTAGTTTAGTTCGATGGACATGGCAATCTAGAGAGTTAGCACAGTGCGATTTTTGAAAGGAAGGGCGCCTACCTCTCGACTCGAAACCACAGAATGAGCGTTCTGGTCCCAGACATGCCATTGGAAGCCATATACGCGGATTGCTTGACATGGTTAGCTACCATTCATTTCTAGGTAATGCCATTCCTACCAAGAACAACGGATATTGCCAGGCCCAACAACGGTAGCATTGCAATGCTTATGAGTAAATCATCCAAGCCGGCATTCTTTGCGACCACAAGTCTCGCCCATATTCGGGCCATGTATACCAGGAACGTTATTCCCAAGACAACCAGTAAAACAATTGGCGCTGCCCAACCTCTTTCTTCCGGATTAATGTGGTTCGGATTCGGCCAGCTCTTGAGGACCTCGGGAGGGGGGTGCAAACCTCCATCGCGCGTGAATAGGACACTCGCATGTGAATGAAGACCGTTCAGATCTGCCATGTCGATATGTCTACCGGGCAGGGGGATTTGTGGTGCATTGCAGACGAAGACGAAAGCCCGGGGGTCAGAGGCAGTCTATGCACAATTTAGAACGTGGTCCTGGAGCTAATGTTTCTGTTTGCGGGCAAGTGGGTCACTACTAGTCCGCGAAACCCTAGCGCGCCGCGTGGGTGGGATGAACCATGCCACATCCGTCTGGCTGGGAAGTTCCTCATCTCTCACGGACACGTGAGTATAGATTACCTACTATATCACAGGTATTAGGTGGGTTTGGTTTCTTCCGGTAGAGATGATACGGTCATCTCAACTCGTTGCAAGCACTATACATGGACTCAAGTCAGACCCGCATCCCCAACATACTGGTATTCGCACAAGTGCATCAACACCGAGTACACAGCATCACTTGCTAGCGGTCGGGTCAGCTTGAGTCGTCAGCGGGGGAGCTTTTGTCAATTGACGATTCTGTTTTGTTGTAACACAACACGCGTTTTAAAATATTTTTGCGGTGGCACTGCACGAGCAAGGGTCGGAGAAAACGTGCCGATACGTCTAGCTGCATCTGAGAGCAAACCCTACGTTCTTCGTCGGTGCAATTGATCCATGATCTACACCAGCAGTTTTCGCGAATATTTCGGGTAAGCTCGCCGAAGGATATGTTAGGCTGCCGTGCCAGGAGTTCGAATATTCTTCGTTAATGCCCGACGACCAGGGCTTGGTTCCACAAACGAACCGATTGTTGAATTATTTAGCTCAGTGAGAGACCAGATAGCCAATGCACGCTGATAGACATCCCTAGCGTGTTGAGACCACTCGTGTGTCCTGCCAGAGTTTGCGCAGAGCGGTCGCGATGAGGAGAGAAAGTCTCAACAGCTTCGAGGTTGAATAATGACGTATTAGAGGCTAGACTCGATCACAGGCGATCCGCAATCTAGGGGACTGATGTGGGACTTCTTGCAAGCCCACCTTTCAGTGAGACTAGCCCACACGATCGGCATCTTTCCACTCGCCAGGAGTCAATATCTAACAATTTCGGCTTGTTGCCCCATTACTGTGTCAAGTTTAGTTTCATAACGGATCGGACGACCGTCCTGTAGCCTTGTGCAGTGTTCATGTTGCGCTCATTCCCTTCTGTAGGATGTATCCAGGCAGACGGGTAGCTTGCCATGCTTGAAAAGGATGTTGGCCATAGGTGCTCTCTTGGTTCAGTCGGGCCATCCAAAAGATTGATAGGTGACGGCGAAGGCAAGCGGACCAGTGTCAACTCCGACTCGACCAGTCCTACCAGAGTGTCGTCATGATTGCCAAAGCGTGAGTCAGTGAGTGCATTCCTCGAGACTTTGCTCCCATAAGCGAAAATAAAAGCCTCGGTACGGGTGTTGCTACACCAGAACTCAAATAGAGGGATCAGCACTAGTACACGGTCAGTGTGCTCCAAACGAGGCGCTTTCATGTCCAACTACCGTACGAGATACGACAAAAGAAGCTAAAAGGAGGGTTGACCAAGATGGATGTTGTGCGCATCTAGATGCCTGATAGAGTCTGTGAGGCGCAAAAGCCGGCGAGCCCCTTCAAATTCAACCCCGTCCATGCATGGCGCACGGGCCCTCGACTTTTGCGTGATCAACCGCGTCCCGCATCCTTCCCGCCCAATTTGACGCTTCACTTATTATCTTGGGAACCGTGAGCGCATCATATTGATTCAACAAATATCCTCTCATTCCTTGAGACGCAGTGAGTTGCATATCAACGCTGTTCTAGTCAAGCGACCCTTGCCATTCACCAAAGTCAACTCGTCCATCGTATGATCAGGGAGTCTGTCACCCGATGGAGATGGAATGTCACCGATGCTTAAACGATAGTCTCGAGGAAATCCCGAACGCCTCGTGGCAACCGCCATCCGGCATACACCACTCGGAGCTGAATCCACTGTCATGGTTTGTGCGGCAGTATTCAGTTTCACGGAAATAAGATTGCGATGGCATTCTCCTTGGTCGATTATTGAGACAGTTTGGTTACTCACGTTGCCGCCCCAACTTACTGACAGCGCTCGTGCAACAGCTCCAAAATCTCATGGCAGCTGCAGTAGTCTTGGATACATATGTTTAAAACGTGTCGTATGAGGCGAAGGCGGACTAATACACCGCACCGGTGATTATGGCAGAACATTAAGTCCCTAGCGTGACCCAAGTTGGGAGATGCTGTTGTTGAGCCGACATGTCTAAATATATTCACCTCGCTCACCAGAACAAAGACATGGTCAAGATAGGCCCAACGAGCTTTTTAAAAAGTGTCATCCAATTCGAACAACGGCTGATCACTTAGAAAGATCTGTCAACAGGTTATTGGCTCGAACTTCACGCTAAGCTATAATGATCGTACAAGATAGACCATCTATGTCATTCTGAATTATCAGGTTAAGTATCAGGTTTCATACTACAATCTATGTACATTCGCTCGCTTACGATCCCCCTCCGTGGTCTCCAGCAACTCTACAGTCTTACCGGAACCAACCGAGAAACTACACGCGGTCCGCTGCCCTTGGGCGACTACGATGTATCTACGATAGCCTTTAATCTAGGCCGCACTTCTCGAACAGCTCACGCACTGCTCGAGTCGCATCGTCTTCCACAGAGAGTCCAACCCGAGTCTCACTGAACTGCTCTAGTAGGCCGTTCAGCCTATTGTCAATCACTGGCTGACCTTGGTGGCGCTCTACCTGCCGCTGCTCAACTCCTCGTGATACACTCTCCCAATCTTGCTCGAAGTTGGCTAGGGTAAAATTAACTTGCTCATCCGCATCGCCCTCTTCGTGGGCAGTATCGCGAGGTTTCCAAACTTCGGATGTCTTGGACTTCTCCTTTGCTATTCCCGGGCGCTTGTAAGGAGTGCCCGGTGGCAGTCTAACATTCGCGTCATTCTCGAGTCCCTCGTAGCCTTCCTCTAGCAAGAACTGGTGGAAGAACTGGAGTTTGGGGTCCTTGAACTTCGGTGCAATCTTGCTCATTCGCCGTCCTTGCGCCAAAAGTTTCTTGAGTTCCGTGTCGGCAATCTTCTGGATCTGCTCCTCGCGAGAAGCACCGTTGTTCCCCATCTCCACGTCGTCTCCTACGTTCGTCAAGTCAAGGCCTTCGAACGACATCTCCAGGCGGACATGGGCAACAAGGCAGTCGGCGCATACAAATGGTTTATCCCCCCTCGGATTTAGGCAGTTGAGACCGCAGTGTTCAGTGCTATACTGAACCTGAATGCGGTGGCCGCACTGCAAGTCGTGGAAGCAGCTTAGCGGATCGCAGGCAGTGTAGGATGCAGTAAAGCGTTGGTCATCCGTGGACTGCATGACTGGTGGAAACTGGGTTTTCGGATGTTGATTTTGTAAGATAAAATCGGGGAGTTGATACGAGTGATTTGGTTGAGAGCGCTTTCTACCTGAACTACGTTTCAACGGTGGAGATTGTACGCTGCTGGTGATGAAGGAACTCAGGCCAGTGAATAGAGGATATTTAGCATTGCTAGGCAGCTGTCCTATGCCTCTCTACTAGCATTGTAAGCCTGTGACACGGGCACTGTGCTTTCACATTATCACCTAGTGAGTTAACTCCAGATAGCAGCTTTCACAACGTTGGTCGAGGGAAATTATGGGCAAGCGTTAAGGATGATATGCTAATCTAAACATTATATAGATCGGTAAGAGGGTATCTTGTATAGACTTAGTCGCAAATAGTGTCTGTGATGAGGATGCCCTTTATACTCGTGTACGTCTGTAAAGTCACCTGCCCTCCTAATCTATGGCGTTACTAATGTAAGATACATCATGTGGTAAAGAATATCTCTAACTGCCTTACACTGTTCTAAAATTCTATGAAGGCTCTTGCAAGCGATGACGAGGGAAAAAGCTGCGGGGGGATAAGAGATGTGCTATCTTTCTCAACAACAGCGTCTCCTCTCAGATAAAGACATATGCCATCTACTAATATTCTTACAACCGTTATGATATTCTCCTCCACCTTCAATAAGAAGCGCATAGAATCCCTAAGGCCATGCCTCGTCTTTCCTGCATAATTAATACCGCAACATACATATGCAATTTAAATCGGAGTAAGACCTAAAAAGGCTATATAGCTATCAGCGCGACGAATGCGCATATCTCTAGCTACCTGCTAGCATATTCACACTAGTGTGTAGAAGGTCTTACAATTTCAGTACTCAATCCTTCTTCGTAGTCAAGTTTGATGCGCCGATAGCCTAGCTGATAAGCTGAAGAGCAGGCCTTGCAGGCTGAAGCTACTTTTTCTTACACTTTTCAAGTGCCGCCTCGTTTGTCGTCAATAATTCACTTGACGCCAACAGCAGCGAGCCAACGGGTCTGCTCAGTCATCCGAAAGGCCATTCCCCTCTCTACTGTGCCTCCACCATGGTACACTCTTCTCGCCAACAGGCACCACAGTTCCTCGCATCGACGTCCGCCCTGAAAACCTTTCTATCGTCCTTCTCCCTCATCCACTGCCGCTGGAAAAGTCGGTCGACTATCCACGATCCAAACTATATGCTATTCACCCGATGCTCGAGGTGAACACCTACTTGCGGTAGCACTCTCTAGAACTTAGCATGGTGAACTTAAAGCGGATATTGCAGACTAGTAGAGTAAATTCGGTTGTATGTAGTCAATGCTTGAGCTCGATTACACCAACAGTGGAATGGGGCCCTTTCGCGGGCTGTGGCTGGGCTGTAAGGGCACCGAAACTTGGCGAAGCAATTCACATAGTGTGAATGCTTGCTAGAGGGAGGCACCGCGCGATGCGGATCAATTAGCCCCAGTTGCCAAATGCAGTGGGCCAAGCCCAGAAAGGACACGAATAGCGAGTTTTATAGCAAGTAAGACTTCGGTGTTATGCAGGCGACTGAGGCCCTGGAGGCAGCTTCCGAATACCAAGGCACTAGGCCTAATCATGCTCCTGTCATTGTGATCCTATTCTGAGAAGAGATTCCTCACCATCTTTCGTGAAATAATAAACTCAGGGCTAAACCTTGCCAAAAGGAAACAAAAAGACTAGAAGAAACGAAGGACTTTGCTCAGTTATTCTGCACCGGAACAACCCATGACGGCTCGGTCAATCTTCACCCTGCAATTACTACCAAGGCTTATCAGCCAATAAGCCACTCCACCCAATAAGCTACCTTAATATTAAAATAAACTAAACACAACTTTTTTAAACTGCGATATATCTACTACTAATAATCTAATTTTAAATATAATTGTAATAATTAATTTATAAAATTTTAAAAAATAACTTTTATACTACGCAGCTATAAAAATATTTAATATTAATTAAACTACTTTAGCACGCTAATACTAAAAAAAAACGCAATTAAATATAAAAAAAGCTTAATAACAGATATATTTTAACTTATAATAAAAATTAAAACTTATATAGTATATATAAAGTTTATTTAAATATAAGCTTACACTTATAAAAGTTATAATAAAAAATTTTACTTTTAAAATTTTAAAATAGGAAGTTTCTAATATATAAATTTTATAATTTTTAAAAAAATATTATAATATTTTTATTTTTAAATATACTACTAAGATTAATTACAAACAGCTTTTTACTAATACTAAGTATAGCTATAAGTTATACTTTAATTTTTTTTATTTAAAAATTTAAAAGTATAATATTAACGCGCGCTATATTTATAATATAAATAAAAAATTTTTTTTTATTAGCATTACTTTATGCTTTAAATAAGTTTTTTTAAAGTAATTTTAAAAGTAAAAATAGATTATAGCAGCCTTGCAGGATAGCAACTAAAAATAAATAATAATTTTAGTATATATTTATGCAGATAAAAACGCAGTAAATTTAAGTATAATTTTTAAAAAAAAAAAAAAACTTTGCAACACTTAATTATGCAATATAAAAATTAAAAAATACTAAGTTTTTTTTATAATAAATTTTTTTAAATAGTCTAATAATAATATTAGTTTAGCTTAGTTTAAATAAGTTTTTAATTAGCGTATAAAAAATAAAGCGTAAGCAAATTATAAAATTTTTATTTTTAATAGCTATAGCAGCTACTTTACTACTAATTTTATAAACTTTTGCAACGCTAATAAGATTTTTTTAATAATATTTTTTTTTATTTAATTTATAGCTTATAACTTTTAAATATAGTGCTTTTTTTACTTTTTTTAACTATTTATTTAACTAAGCTTATATACTACTTTTATTATAGCTAAAGCCTTATTTTTATAAATAAAAGCAACTTTTTTTTATTATTTTAAGCTGCTTATAATATTATATTTACTTTTATAAATATACAAAAAGTATTTAAAGCTATAGGCATTAAGCTACCTAATATTAATATTATACTATAATAATTTAAAATACAACTATAACAAAAGAATTAAAAGTTAATAAATAGAAAAAATAATAATAAAAATATTTAAAACTAATTTTATAATTTATTTAAAGTTGCTATAAAAAATAAAGCAAAAGTTAAAGCTAAATAGTTAAGCTTTATACTATATTCTTTTTAAATATAAAATAAGCTTTTTTACTATAAAAATAAAAGTTTCTATAATGCGCTTTTAACTAAAAAAAAATATAAAAGTAAAAGTAAATTTTTAAATCTTTAATAGTATAAAAAGTTTTATAGCGCTATAGTATTTTAAAATTTAAAAATTATTTAAAAAGCTTATACGCGCAATATAGTAAAATAATATAAAAATAAAGCTAAATAATTTTAAAAAAAAAAATAAAAAAGCTAAAAGCAGCAGCAATATTATATAAAAAAAAAATTATAAAAAAAGCAAAAATAGTATAATTATTTACTAAAAAGCGCGCTGCAAAAGAGCGCGTAGTAATAGTTTAAAAATAAGCTACTATGCGCGTATAAAAGTAATAAAAAAAAAAAACTATAATTTTATAAAATTTTTATAATAAAGCAAATAAATATAAGTAAATAACTTTATATTTTATAAATTTAAATATAGTAAAGCATTATTATATTATAAATGCTAAAAGTAGTAGTTTAAATATATTGCAGCTATTGCTGCTTTTACTTAAAACTACTACGTATAGCCGCCAAATTAATTTTTTATAAAAATTTAAATAGTATAAATTAATTATAAGTTTTTATTTACTAATACTTTAAAAAATTTTATAATAATAACTTTTGTTAGTAGTTTTATAACCTTATTTTTGTAGATAGCTAACTTTAATTAAGGTAGCTTATTAGGTAGAGTGGCTTATTGGCTGATAAGCCTTGGGTATATTCTCTACACCAACCTCTCCGCCCCTCGTACCGCACAGTTGCATCAGCATCCCGTCCCCAAGTAGCCTCCCGCCAATCATGATGTACTTTCCAGTGTCGATCCCGCAATGACACGGTGAACAGCTCCGAGAAAGAGATCGGGCATTGCCCGACCTGGGGAACGTGTTGTATTCTACCGAGCCAGTCTTTGTTCCCCACACTTTGGACGACGTAGATGGCTGTAGTATCCCTGCAGAAGCTACAGGCAAGCTTCGCATAAGTAAAGCTTTTGTGTTCCCGCCGTGCTTGGTGGTTCTTGTCGTTCGCTCTCCTGCTGTCGCACGTTCTCTCCATCCAACGCCAAACTACAGTAGCCAGAAGCCATTCGCACAGCCATCGGCACCATGGCAACAACTGACCTTGACCACAAAGCGGCGACCGATCGTTTCTCTGATGACAACATCGCGCCCGCGACTCTCGAGCCCGGCCATGGCCCGTCGCATAGTAAACTCGTGCCACCGCCGCTGGTGGCTGCAATGACGCCAGAGCAGCGAATCGAAGCCGAAACCAAGATGAGGCAGAAGATTGACACGAGACTGCTCCCTATGATAATTCTGATGTATATCATGAACTACCTAGGTAGGTAATCAATTGTACGAATTGTATGCGAGCAGTCACTTACCTCGTCCTTTGTAGATAGGAACAACATCGCGGCGGTTCGGCTAGCAGGTCTGCAGGATGAATTGAACCTGTCCAGTGTACAATACCAGGTATGCTCGCGCATAGTTCCACAGATACAGACTGAATCTATTCAATCACTAACTCTCACCAGACGACCGTGTCCATTCTATTCGTAGGCTATATCATTATGCAGATACCGTCGAATCTGTTCCTTAACAAGACGGGAAAGCCGGCAATCTATCTGCCCTGCTGTATGATCATATGGGGCATCATCAGCGGCGCAACAGGAGCTTGCCAGAACTTTGCTGGACTGGTCGCTTGCCGCTTCTTCCTTGGATTCATCGAAGCAGCCTACTTTCCGGGTTGTCTATTCTACCTGTCTGCATGGTGAGAATACTCGCGCAAATTATATGTGAGTCGGCTACTGACTTCGCGCTTTAGGTATACGCGTAAAGAGCTCGGGCTGAGAACGGCGGTGCTTTACTCCGGGTCACTTGTCTCTGGAGCATTCGGCGGTCTGGTAACAGCCGGCATCACAGGCAACATGGACGGAACGCATGGGCTGCGAGCATGGCGCTGGGTGTTCATCCTCGAGGGCATCATTACCGTAATCATCGCCTTCACAGCCTTCTTCATCCTCCCGAACTTCCCACGAACCACGTCATGGCTCACTGAAGAGGAACGCCAACTAGCCGTTTATCGACTACAGGAAGATATCGGAGAAGACGATTGGACGTCGGCGGAATCACAGACGTTTTTCCACGGGCTGAAGCTCGCGTTGATGGACATTAAGACTTGGGTCTTTACTATTCTTCTACTGTCGATTGTATCTTCGGCATCAGTTACGAATTTCTTTCCAACTGTTGTCAAAACTCTAGGTTACGACAACATCCACACTCTCCTACTCACTGCGCCCCCGTACGTCCTCGCGGTCATCACAACGTACCTGAACGCATGGCACGCTGATCGCACCGGCGAACGCTTGCTGCACATCATCCTTCCCCTCTGCGTCGGCGTCGCAGCTTTCATCCTATGCGCAGCCACACACTCTACTGCACCACGCTATGTCGCAATGATGCTCATGGTGCCTGGAGTATATACCGGTTACGTTGTCGCACTCGCCTGGATTTCCAACTCAATGCCCCGACCACCGGCCAAGCGAGCCGCAGCGCTCGCCTTCATCAACGCTATCTCAAATACGAGCAGTATCTATGCGAGCTATATGTACCCCCAACCGAAGGGAGGGAAGCAGCCAGATCTCGTTCTGCCGCTTAGTGTGGATTGTGCAACAGCTGTGCTGGCGATTATCATGACGTTGGTTATGAGGATTATCTTGGGTAAGCTGAACAAGAAGTTAGAGCGCGGGGAGCATGTTGAGGGGGCGATCAATGCTGTGCCGGGGGCTGGGCAAGAGCATGGATTCAGATTTTTGGTGTAATTGCTTATCCAATCATACAAGTATCAATGGCAGCTTCATAGATTAAAGATACCGAGATCTTCAGATCTTATATACTTTTATTTTACAGAGGTTGAAGGGCTCAGAGGCATGAAACACCCACAAATGCACCCAAACTCCAAGTTTATGCAATCGCTAACTAGCAGGGCAAAAAAAAAGGCACGATCCAGCGCTGACCTCGGAATCTGTGGACGAAGATCGACTTCACTCTCGGTCACGCGGCTTTCTCCACAACTCATCATCATCCATGCGACGCATTGCAGGAACACCATTTCCCCGCTGCGTTGCCGAATACTCAACGCCGCAAGAGCCCCGTTCCAAGGCAAGAGTTTTAAGGTCCCAGTGAAGTTGCTCGGAAGCGTCGTTTGGTAAGCTCGTACGGCCTCGAATCTCAGGTTGGTAATCGACAGCCGAAGTATTGGAAGCCATTAGCGATAGTGATAGTGAGTCAATTTCAGCGGCAAAGTCCATCTCCTCCTTGCTCGCTTCCATAGCTGAGCAGACATTGCTTGGCCGCATCTGTGCTTTAAGCTCCCTCTCGTAGATCTGATGGTCGCGAGCAAATTCGGTTTCCAACTGTCGATGTTCCTGGTAGTACTGATCATACTGCTCCTGTGTCATTCGGTCTATCGGCGGATATGTCGCATTGTGCTGCGCTTTTCGTTCTTCCCAGATCTTGATAGCCTCGGCCTGAATGCATTCGTTGCAGACGAATGCAGAGTCGACTGTACTACCAAAGGGCTCGACACAATTTGCGCCACAATCTTCCACTAGGTCCGTCCGGACGCGGTGTGAGCAGCTAAGTTGATGGTAGAGACGCCCTTGGCAGGGCGCAAAGCGCTTTGAACGAACGTTGAATATAGAACTCGAGGTTGTCCGAGGTGCTGACGAGGTAGGAAATGGCGCTTGCGCGTTTGTGTTTGAATCCGGCGTGCTAGTCCAGCCCCATCGACACGCCATGACCATGCTTGTGTGAGACATGGTATCATCGGAGACCTCGGAAGTTGGCACAGGAGTTTGAAAAGCGCTATTCGTGAAGTCCATGACTTGGTATCGTATTGAGTTGTGGTTGATAAGTGAAGGTGTCAGCTGACGGGTTGCGTTGTTGCCTTCCGAAATGTTCAGCGTCGGCCACTGTTTGCAGTGCAGAGGTGATCTGTGAAACCAAGGATAGTAGTTAAGAGGTCGTTAGATGCGTTGTACAGGCTTTGGAGCGTCGTCTCGTGAGGGTGCATCATGTGTGCACAAGGCGCTTCGAAGTTCGGTCGTGTACGCTATTGCGAAGCGCTGTTACTTCGGTCACGACAGGTGTTGGAAAGCGAAGGGCTCATAGTACAAGTGGCTTTAAGCGGTGAGATACTTAACGTAGATATGCATGCGCTTGGGATAACGAACTGCTGGGGATGGAATGCAGATGTGTGAGGTTGATTCGCGACTGCGCGTGAAAGATCGGCGCGCCTAATTAGGGTTAGTGCATTGATGATGTAATAGAAGCTTCGAGTTCCTTCAGCTGCCACACTGCCACGTCGTTCAATGATACAAGACCAAATGTTTGTGAAGTGTACGGCTTGTATGTTCTTGACTTTTTTTTCGACTTGGCGAAGTCTTGTATATACCCGGCTTTATCACATGTATTCTTTTTCCCGTTATATGTGTTAACAAATACAACATCCCATTTCTTGATTATATGCTTCTTGAACTACTGGTTGCTGGCTACACTATCTTTTCTAGTCATTTTCCAATAGTGATACATTCCTCTTGTCGGTTCTCAAAAGTTTTCGGCCTAGCTGTGCTGTATCCTCTTCCCTTAGCCGATTGAGAAAGCGCCTACGCCCTAGGACGGAGGAAGTTGAACTGGCAGGGGAAGCTTGGGAGGTGAAACCTTATGATAGAATGAGAGAAGGGAAGAGAGCGACATGACAGTGTAATTGAAGTGATGTTGAGGAGGGTTGGCGATCTCCTGAGGCAGTAGTCGACTAGGTGTGGTATGGGAGTACATGATGAATCAACATACCATCGCAACTTAAACCCGTTGTAAGTATTGGACAGTTGGCAGCACTTGTCGAGTCACCAAAGACCTCTTCGCCCACTGTAATTACTTCAGGTTTCAGGACAGGGAAAGTATTTCGTTGGGCCTGAGAAGATGCGAACGTACGGCTCAAATTTATTTGACAGCCGTGCATTAGATATGCATTAGTAGGCTACACCTATACTTCTCGTGGCGAGACAGTGTAGAATTGTTTATTATGACTGACTAAGTCCAGAAACCGTACGTTGTGGGAAGGAAAGTGGTGTTAAATCCGAGAATGTATTCGCTATGGATTTGGTATTGGATGCCACATGGTAAAGCCAGACCACCAGATAAAGGACATTATGCAACCCAATATATAGTCTGGGAATTGATTACTCTTTGCTAGCCCATGACTACAGAGCTAATGCGGTCAAGTTGGACACTAGATTTCTTCCGTCCATCACGTTTCCTGTAGTTGACAGGTAGAAACGCGTCCCACACAGCTGCCACTGCACGTCTATGTCACTCATTCTTCGACCACGCCCTGCTTCCTCAGCTCGTCCTTTCTCTTCTTCGTCCTGCCCTTGGCCTCTTCCACCCATTTATCATACGCACCATCACCCTGCTCCAACTTGGCCTTGACCACACCCTTCAGCAGCTCACCCACGAACCCGACAAAGTTATGCCGTCTTAACGAATTCTCCCACAACCACTGCGCCCGTCGGTCCTCCTGGCGGTCCAACTCTTCTTCGTCGCCTATATCTCGCGCACGGATGCGAAGGTCTTTGACACATGCCATGAGGTTGAAACGGATTTCTGTTTCGGGGTAGCGGGCGATGCGGCGCTGGAGGACGGGTATGATCTTGTTGGGGAAGTCTTGCGGCGTGCAGGCGCCGTGGGAAATGGGCGCCGGTTGGAGGCCGTCGAGCTCGTAGAGTTTGTTGTTTATTGACGTGTACCTATCTGCGTATGAGCGCGTCTTTCTAGACCTTTGGGGCAAAGGCGGGGCTTACGCAATGAAGTGGTATACATCGTCGTCCTCGGTTGCTGTTCGCTGTGTCTCGTCGATGAAGGGTGATGATCTCGCGAAAGAGTTGTGTGTTTCTCGAATGAGGTCTGAGTTCGACAGTGTCTCTCCGCGCAGCTGTCCATACTGTTAGCAGATCGCTTCGTGGGCGCGTCGGTAGCTTCACACACCTCTGGCGGAAATTCGCCGGCAAACTCCTTGAACTCTTTCAAGTCTTTGCCTATATCAACATCACGCTCCCTGTTCAGAAGGAGTGAGATTATCGCCTGTGTTCCGCAAGCATTCTGTATCGTTTGCGCCGCAAAGAAGAGGTTGCCCGCCGCATCATGATCGTATGTGCCGTCTTTGGGTACTTTCGTTGCTGCCTCGCCCGTCGGGTACTTGAACAGAAATATTACCCCATATATGGAGCCGAGTTGCTGTAATTCCGAGATCTCAAGTGTTGTGAGCTCCTCGAACTGTACGTCCTTAACACCGAGCTTCTCGATGAGATACGTGAAAACGCCCTGTTCTGTGATTAGTGTCTTGTTGCGGAAGGTGTGTGTTAAAAACCTACCGCATCTGACTCTATTGTATTCCAGCCTCCAGACATGGCTGTGAGTAGCTAGCCTGAGCGTGAGTAGGTGTTGATAATGTGTTGTCACTATTCGACCTTACGCCATCGAAAGGCGCCCAAACGCCGGATTTACGGTCGGTCCGGGCTACGCGCTCGGAATCATTCCGATCAACGGAATGCCCCCACTCATTTGGAGAAGTGCTTGGGATATCCTGTCGGTCGATCGCAATAGTGAAGAATTGAGAAAAGACGTCAAAATATGTGCCACAAATTAGTCTTGTTCAAATCAGATTCTAGCGGACTCCTATAACATGCTCATCTAGAGGCATTGCACGAAACATTTACATATCCACCAAGTCTAGCTCTACCTTTTCGGCTATGCCTCTTTTACACCTATGTCGCTGGTATTTTAGAGCTCATCGTGCTTCCCATCCTTCTGTCCCCCCTCCTTGGTCAACTGGTCAATCGCGGCCAGAATCTCTTCCTCAGTAGAGTCTTTGTTGATGTTGAGCTTCTTGAGCTTCCTCCCCGCCTCATCCTCAATCTCATCCTTATGCCCAAAGCTCTTCAACTTGACGCCATCGACGTCCACCCCGGCCTTGCGGAGCGCTTCCTGCAACTCCTCGTCGGAAGGGCTGTCTTCTTCTTTAGTAGCCTTCTTCGGTTTCTTCGAGGCTTTCTTGGTCGGCTTTGCTTTAGGCTTGGCCTTGGGCTTCTGGTTCGGAGGCTTGAAGTGCCTCATCTTCTTTGTCATCATCTCCATGATCGTATCATCCATGCGCTTCTTCTCTGCCTCGATATCTTTGACTGAAAACGCTGGGTCCTCTGTCTCCTTAAGCTTCTTCTGCTTGGCTTCGTTGTCGTCAAGCCATTTCTGTGCCTTGGACGCGAGCTCTTGGATGTTCTTGAGATCAGAGTCGGTATAGATAGTTGGGACTTCAGTAATTTCGGGATCCAAGGGTGCGGAGGCAGATGGGTCTGCGTCCTCAAGGTCGTCCATGGGGTCTGCGGAGGGAGATGCCGAGGATGCGGCGGAAGCTTTGGATACGGCCTCGCTGCTCTTTGAGCTTTCGGCCGACTGAGTCTTGATTTGACCATCGACCAGCTGCTCGACTTCTTTCAGGTGAGCGATGGTGTCCTTAAGTTCTTTAATGGCATCGGGGCGCTTTGCTGACTCGTCCTTGCGTTTGAGAACGGGGTTGACGATGTCTTCGAGCTCCTTGAGCTTAGCCTTTAGGACCTTCTCGGTGGCATCAGTGCCCTCGGAGTAGATCCAGTCCGATGCAGCGCTAAGCGCTTTTTCTATCGTTGAACGAACAGCTGATGTAGAGGCTCCGATGAAGGACTCGTCCTCAAGGTAATCGCGAGACCGGTAAGTGAAGGCTTCGAGAGAGTTCAAGACCTCCTCACGAAGGCGACGAGACTTATCAGAGGAATCGAAAGCGGCAAGCCTAGTTTGATCAGTTCACTGTAATCGATGTTTATATAGTGGAAATCTTACCTGTCCTGCATCTTCTTCAACTCCTTGCGTGGATGCTTCTCGTAGCCCAACTGCTTCACATCATACGTGATGGCAGACCTGATAGTCGTTTTCTTTTTCTCGCTCGTCTTTGCGGTATCAGTAGTCTCTGCATTTGCTGCAGATGACGAGGAAGAAGCTGAGGAAGCTGAAGCGGTTCCCGAAGAGCTGTCACCCTCCTTCAACGCTTCCTGATCTTTTTTGCCACCCATACCGAAAAGGTTCTTAACTCCATCGACAATGCCACCCTTGGCTACTTCTGTCTCCCCTTCGCATGTTACCCAAGCAGAGAGAACTTCGGGTGTACCAGTGATGGGGCTCAACCTGACCTGAACGTAGTTGTTGAAGGTGTCACGATCGCACTTATCCTCTTCGATCATTTTTGTGACAACTCTAGTCAAGTTACCGCTCTTGAAGTTAAGGACGGCCTCCTTTGAGACATCTCCGTTGACCTTGGGGATAGCCTGGTAGACTGTGAACTCAAATTCGCCCTTCATCTGGAAAGGCAAATCTTTGGTCGCCCCAAGCTTAGTGGCAGGAGTGAAAATCTTCTGGTCGCGATCTTTGAGGTTGAACTGATACTGAATGCCCTGGTTGTAGCCTTGGGTGTCCGAGTCGCGAATCTCCTTGACACGGAAAGACGGGCTGAGACTGGCGGCTTTGAAGGCAGCGCCGAATACGGCAGCCTCGTCAGAGTTAACGTTAGCCCTGATTTTGCCCTTGCCTACGATCGATTCAAGGCGACTTTGTACGAAGGGAGTACGGGTGGCGCCGCCGTGAACAATCACAGAGTCGATGTCCGCAAAGGTAAGACCTGCTGCCTCCAAGGACTGCTTGATGGGACCATCAACCCGGGCGGCATGTGCAGCAGCGAGTTCCTCGTACTTTGAGCGAGAGAGCGTATATCGGAAGTCTACATCCTCAAAGAAGCTCTCAAAGAATCCAGATGTCTTAGTGTTGGCGCTGAGCACCTGGCGGATCCTTTCGGCTTCTTTGAATAGCTTTGCCGCCGTCCGTCCATGGGTCTTGACCTTTTCGGCAGTGATTGATGCGCTCTTCGCGGCCGGGAGTTCAATGAAAGAGGAAACCATATCGTCAACGATGAGCGAATTGAGCGCATCACCGCCAAGAGTCCTGTCCCATCCGACTCCAAGAACCTGCACCTCCTGAACAGTCTTGTTCAGTCTACCCACATCCTTTACCGTCCTGCCTTGGAACTTGATGATAGTGGCAGACGCGGATCCAGCGCCCATATCAAATACTAGATTGATCTCCGGCTTGCCTTCCTTTGTGACATCTGGGAACGTCCTGCTTATGGCGTAGTTGATACCCACTGCTAGCCCGTCGGAAACTACGCTGAGGACCTTCATGCCTGCCAATCGTGCCGCGACCTCGAGCGCGCGTCTTTCCTCGACTGTGTAGAATGATGGGACTGTGAATACAGCATCCTGGATATCATAACCTCTGCCTGCTAGCGCCTTTGCATTCTCCCTCACGTTCTTGAGTTCCATAGCCAGTAGTTCTTCAACGGAGAAAGATTTCTCTTCCTCAGCTGCGAATACATCGCTCTTGAAGCTAACCGTCTTGCGTCCCTCTGTGCCCGTAACCTGGAGCGCAGGATATCGCTCTGTGTATGTACTGACAACATCGCTCTCCCTCTGTACACCTAGAAGGTGCTTCAGGTTCGGGTATATGTCGCCTGGGAATCTGGCCTGTAGTGCGATGGCATCGGAGCCGTAGAAGCGCTCGGGGAAGGAGCCTGCGGGGAGAGCCCCGCTCTTGGAGGGCTTGAAAGCGACGGCCGAGGTTTCTTTGCGTTTCGAGTCTTTGGTGAGGACGATCTCGAGGGGGATGCCGGGCTTGACAAGCGCAGCTTTGATGTATTCGGTTCCTAGGTCGATACCTAGGACTGCTGATGCGGCGGAGGCGGTCGCAGAGAAGAGGAAGACGAGGCCAAGAAGAATGGTTGCGGGTGAGAGATGCGCTCTCCGGCGGCCTGGAGGAGCCATATTGTGTGTGTATTTTTACTCCCAAGGATGTGTGTTCTGAGATTTGTCGAGATATGCAGGTACGCGAAGCTTAGGTGGGAGGTGGCGGGCTTCGCTGGGAAGACTTTGGGTATATAGCGTTAAGATCAAGGGAAAGAAATATAATGGAAGGGAATCTATCCCAGATAAAGGCGGCGAAAAAAGAGTCTCTCGCAACCGTGGTACATGAGGCGTAGAATCGTAGACGTATCGTCGTAGTTGTGGTTTAAGTGCAGAAGCTACCCTAGTTGCGTAACTTTTTGACACCTGTCTATTTGGTGAAAGGCCACCTGGACATCAAATCGGCGCCTTAGCCAAAACACGGCACATGCAGAACTTGATTACTTCTCTGCACGCTTGAATACTGGTGCCTTCACCTTGGACCCCTCGTGAGCAATTGAAAAATATCTGTTCTTATTTACGGCTGGAGTTCTGCTGTTCATGCAGCTCTCAAGATCCCACGCAAGCGATCTGACCAATCAGAGCATCAGGAACCTCAACTTCTCCGCATCTCCAGCGTTGACGATGAGCTCCTGAACTCTTTAACTTCCGTTGAGCTTTCTAATTTGTGGCTTTGCTGAACGTGTCCAATGGTCCGCCTAACAACTCCTACAGACAGCAGCAGCTTGTCGCATAATTATAGGCCTTCTCCCTACAGTTGATAGCCGTCCATCATATGCCACGGTTAAATTCTACCATCCCATCCTTGCCCCCGCGGGTGTGAAATTCAGGCTCCAACCTCTTCGCACTCACAGCCTCGCGTTGGGGAAAAAGTGCAAGCGCAAGTGGTAGTGCGAAGATTGATGTTGTGAAAATGAGTCCTATCTAGGCGTTAGCTGACACATCTACCATCACGCAGCCCAAGTGACTCACCCAAATTCACCGGCGTCACCATTCTAGGTCTCTGCTTAAGCCACTCTGTCTTCTGCAGCCTGACAAGAAGAAGAGGTGGCAGGACCATGATCGGTGTTGCGTTGAGCACACGGCTTATAGCTGTTTCTCCGACGGCGAGCGTGGCAGCCTTTTTGCTCTTGCCGAGTGACTTGATCTCAAGGTCCCCAGTCTCGATCTTGTGTTTCTCTTCGTCTGATAACACAGGGAAGACGTCAATACCCTGTCGAATCTCCTCGCCGCGCATAAGGAAAACATTGAGAGCACCCGCCGTAGCAACAGCTGCGAAAGGTACAAGACGGCCAGCAATCATCTTTGCATTGGGCGAAAGGCTCTTCAATCGGGGCACGAGGGCATTAAGACCTAGCGCAACACCGCATGATGCGCTGACCGCGAGGAAGTATGACTGGACGATTGTAGATGTCGATAGCGGGGTCGATTTGTTCGCGTTCGAGAAGTTTATGGCAACGTTGAGCGACTGATTCGTGACCTGCCATCCTAGAGTTCCTGCCGTCTGATATCAATTAGCACTGGAGCATTTTTCTTTTCCGAAATAGTGTTGCATACCCCGAGGCCTGGCGTAAGCATTCCAGCCGTGACGACCAGGTTCGTAAGCACGAAGCATGACATGCGGAATGGCAGGAAGACAGGCTGTCCAGTATCTTTAGTTCCATCAGCATTCGTTCCCAGAGCTTGTGTTGTCCCGGTCGCTAGTACCTGGGTGTATCGTAGAATCGATTATCTTCTTCGCATTCCACAGCTCCGGTGTCATCTCTCGTACACTCCCCGTCCTATACGCAGTGACGAGCTGTTTCGCATTTTCGAGGCCAGCGGAGGACGTAAGTAATGTTCTGCGGGGCGCATCGTTAGCTACAGTGACCTGGCAGGGTATCGGGGAGCTTGAGGTGGGTTTGATAATGGGAAGTTGGGCAAAAGAAGCCATTGAAAAGCCAAAGGTCGTGGTACTCACAACACGCAGCATTCGCAAGGAAAAATCTCATCTGCGCAGCTGCCTCACCTAGGATCTGATATGTTGGCCGAATGTTGCACGCGTCCCCAGTAGGTGCTGAGATCGAACTGGGAGACGGGCAGGTCGCGGTTGCCCGGTAACGAGGACGTCATAGTTGACTATTTGACGAACTCGGAAGGATGTGGGACTGTGATTAAAGTAATTGAAGCTTCACAGGCTCACAGAGACCGGCCTGGAGTCAGAGGGGAGTCAGAGGGGAGCTCGCGGGTCACGGCAGATTAACGTAGCAACGATATCGGGACGCGGGCGGTGAGCGAATTCCAGACCGAGTACTCGGATCCGGGCACAAGCACAATCAACATGTTCCTGTAAATATCTTTGACATGCTTTGACTTCCTACCTCTACATCTCAGTCATCTTTAGAGTACGTATTCTCAGATCAAGCTCGCTCGACTATACAACTGTAAAAGTCCGCCAATGTTATATTATAAAAAAAAACCGAAAAATAATGCAATATCCACAGAGAATCAAGTCGCGAGTACTTTCATGCGATCGACATATTCGACACCAACCTGATCAATCGTAAATCGTCTATTTCTTCTTTTTCTTGTCTTTTGGGTTCGGAGCGCTCTTTGCAAGTATGGCGTCAAAGGTTTTGCTTGCATTACTCGTGACAGGTTTCAACAGAGGTGAGTTGGCTGAAGGTGGTGCGACACCGGGAGGTAGAGGTAGAGCTTCTAATCCTAGGTTCATGACACTCTCGCGCCGGCGATCTGGACTGCTAGATCGTGATTGGGTTCCGGCTGTTGAAGGGTCGAGCAAGTGTGGTGCGGCAGGTAATTGTATAGCGTTCGCATTCAGCTCTTGCATAGCCGCTGTCAGAGTCGTGTCATTCGCCACCCATTGCTGTGCCTTCTTCCAGCAATGAGATCGTCTAAAAATGCCTTCGACACCGTTTAGAACCACGTCAGTAGGTAGACTGACAACTTGCCCGCCTCCTGCAACGCCGAACCAAGTTCGTGCGCGTGCTGTGTCCTCACGTCCCCAAGGAACATCGCTTCGAGGCACTTCGCATAAAAAGTATTCCACGCCTTCGGTGAAATGGACATCTGGAGCGTCGACGACCAGCATGGGTAACGATTGTAAGACGGCGTAGAGAAACAACCACTGTCCCGACCGCAAGTCCCAAATGTCGTCCAGGTTAGAGCCTGTAGCATGTTTGAACTCGAAGTGCCGGAAAGCTTCTAAGAACGGCGTTTGCTGTTCAGCGTCAATGTTATGCGATTGCTTGAGTAGCTTTGCAACCTCGTCTTTGTGTAGCTTTTTGCTCCGCGTTTTAGCATCTTTCTTCGCATCCCCGGATAATGGGCGTGGCCATGCGGGATACAGCGGTAGATCAAAGGGTACGGGCGGCTGTACAGGCGGTGTGCTACGGTCATATTCGCTCAGGACCTTTCTCAAGGCTCGCTGTACGACAGACTCAATATCTTCTCCTTCATCTTCTGCCAAGAAGCCGTCCGCTGTCCGATTTGTCAGGTTCTTCCGGTCGACGAGAAGGTCGTAGAGGTTGGACATGTCGCGATAGATGTCCAAAAGAACGAGTCGATTGAGTCCACTTGTTGTCAGATTGTTCTTCTTCGACCTGGCTTTGGGTAGCCATGACCCATATTTTGTCTTGTAATAATCAATCATAAAAGATCGAGTTGTCATGAAGGCCGCCCTCCATTTTTTGAAACTGACGACCTTGCCCTCAGTGGCCATGGCGCTATTCATTATGCCGGAGAAGATGTTTGGAAACTCGCAATCCTTGAGCTTCCCATTAATAGTAGCTTCTCGATTGTCCAGGTCCATGGCAGCTCGCGCGAGTCGGGTCGCAGTTTTGTGGCTCATCATGTCGAACTTTGGAGAGTTTATTTCCTTGATGCTGTCGAACTTTCCAGCAGCGTGCACGAAACCTTCGGTATAGAGTGATATTGAGCGCATGTTCTCGCCGAGCACGATAGCTTCGATTGTCTTTTCGCGGCTATGTCTGACATCTGCGAGGGCCAACTCGTCGACGTAGCAGTCGAAGCTCGAAGCAGCTACTTCGCCAAAGCTAGATCCATCTACATTGGAGAAGGCATAGTGCGATAGTATGTCTCCTATACGCAAGAAGATGTCGAATATGTCCGAGTGTCGCTCTGTGGCTATCAACGACTGTCCAATTAGAAATGCGAAGAAGTTGCGATAGGCCACCAGCGTTTCTGTATCCTTGAAGTCGAGTCGAGGCTCTTGCGGGGTGACGGAGGCATCTGAGCTCAGTGCAATAGGCATATAGAGGTGCTTTTCAGTATGGTCGTCCTCGACAGCGTCGCTAAGCGCTCTTGAGCCTTTAGATCCATCAGAACTTCCAATCTGGCTCTGATCAGGAGATGCCGTTCGAGACTGTCCATATACTTCAGATGAGACTCGACGTGACGCCCGCTCCGCTAGCTCACTAGGAGTAGCGGCAGCCGTGTCGCTGTACAGGCTACCGTGGACGAGCTGGGTAAGGAGCTGCGAAGCTGCGTATACGGAAGAATCGATGCGGAAGGAAGGGCCCTTGTTTGACGTTCGAGGAAAGAGGTAGACCAAGGTGTCTCCCTCGTCGTCCCAGAGTTCTGGGACCTGTTTTACATTGTTAGCGGACTCGCTACCGCAACCGCAAAACGGGAGACGCGACAACCCACCTTCTCGCCATTCAGCAACATGGTCAAGTTGTACGGCACCTTCCCCTGGTGTCCAACGATCCACGCAAGGGGTTTGCTCTGGTCATGTTGTGCTGGACCAATACTGCTCTGGCTGCCTCCGAACAGTCGGCTCTTCCGCCTCAACTTCTTCAGGTTTCCCTCGGATGGTACATCCAAATTGGGTGTAGACGGCCGACTACCATTACGAAAGGGCGACGTTCCACGAGAAGGGACCTCGAGGGTTGGCGGGGGCTCGAGGGATTCAAGCGTAGCTGCAGGCTCGACAGCCACTACAGGCTGTATGGTGGGGTTGGAGAGGGACCGCGCAGCTTTGGGTGGTGATGGAGGCGGAGGATATTCGGGTGCCAAATGCGTTGCGGAAGAGATGCGGTTCTTGACCTTGGTCAAACGGCCTCTGGGCTCTGAAGGTGTGGTGTGGTTGGTGTTCGCAGGTTTACTCTCTTGCGACTCCGAGGACCCCGCAGAGAACAGGCTCGATAGCCGGCGACGCGCCTTGTTCGTGTCGTCCAACATGGTGAAGACAGCTGGGCACTTTGATGCGGAGAGGACGAAGGGACAACGGAGGGTTGGAAATACTATGCGTTGATTAACATAGGGTGAATGATGCAAAGGTGTGCAAAAAAAAGAGCGCCATGCAGGGCTCCTGCGGCCACTACGGTTACATATACTGGTCAGAAGGTCTGAAGACACGGCAGGACTCAGTCAGGATTAATGCACCTATATTTGATATATCCATGCGCAGATCCGGGGCGGTGCCCATAGAGGGCCTACCATGCTACTGCTAGTCCAGCGGAGGATGCCCTATGACGACTCACTGGGTGGCCACAACATGAGCAGCGTCGTGGCTCGGCTCGCACATCGCCTGTCATTGTTGCAGAAACAAGCTTTAAAGATGTTATTTGCGGACGGCAGGTCGGGCCATGCTTGTTTGGGAAATTGGGAAGACGAGATCCGCCCGAGAGTCGGCTTGGGACCTGCGCCTCAGCTGCGGGTAAGGCCAACCATTCGGAGCGGATTCATGCTGCAGCCGTTGAATATAAGGCCGTCTCATCAAAGAGTTGCTCAGGGCCTCAACAGCAGTGGGGGTGAGACTTGAATGACTCGCTGCGCTGCGCAAAAGCAGTTTGAACTTGCATTGTGACTGCGAATATCTTCAGTTCGAATATCCAATTGGAGGGCACATAGGAAGCGTCGGGTTTAGCGAAAGGATGACGTTACATTTGCCCGTATCAATACCTCTGTGTTCAGGTTCACGGGCCGCTAGATTGCGCCATGCGTCTCGACAAATGTGAGACTAACAGACTTGCGTACAAGTGCTGCCAACAAAAAGTCATCTCCAGGGCTCCGACTTCTGACTTGGGCATGACATAAGCAGAAGCTTTACAACATCGTACCGCAGCCCCACCACCGCCGCACCATCCTCGGCTCTCAATAATCGTCCAATACATCCGAAGGGAAAAGATCTCGCCCAAAACAAAGTACAATGGGTGCCTTTTCCGACGTTGTTGGATCCAAAACTAGCTCGAAAAAGCTCATTAATCTCCTAAAAGGGCACGTTAGCCTCACCCCCTTTGCCACATGCGAGCATTGTCTTCCCTGTAACTTTTCACTCAACGCTCTGCGTCCCCTTTGGGTCATTACGCGGCCCAATAACACTACTACGTCGCAATGAATTGCTGACGACACCAGATGGCCGTCATTGTCGCTGCTTCCCACGCAGTTACTCGACAAAGCGACCCACAATGTGCTCAAACACAAGTCTATAGCTTTCCCAGCTCTGTGCTACGGACCCGATGCCGGAGACTCGTTGCTGCGTAGGAATGTCGCGTCCTGGCTGACGAAATTCTACCAGCCTGTTGATCCAATTTCCGAAGAGCGGATATGCATCACAGGCGGGGCTTCGCAGAATCTAGCCTGTCTCCTCCAAGTCTTCACCGATTCTGTATACACAAGAAATGTATGGATAGTAGCGCCAGCATACATGCTATCCTTTCGAATTTTCGAGGACGCAGGATTTCATAAGAAACTCCGATCCGTCCCTGAAGACGATGAAGGCATTGACATCGAGTACCTGAAAAGAGAAATTAGAAGAAGTGAAGACAAAGCGAAAGACGCCAACAATAATGAACCGGTGAGTGGCTCCGGGAAAGTGGAGTTAGGCCCCATTCAAGCTACCATCAATGCCCTGCTTTTTTGTGTACATCTCTCCATCATGTAGATTCTATACTTGCTCAACCAACGACAGTAGACTCTTAACTTCCACTAACAGCATGATCAGCAGTTCAAGCCTCAGCGATCTTGGGGTAAGATTTACAAACACGTCATCTATTGTGTACCGACGTTCAGCAATCCCTCGTTTAAGACTATGAGTCTCAGAAGAAGAGAGGAGCTAGTACGTCTGGCGAGAGAGTATGACGCTCTTATTGTCACCGACGACGTATACGACTTCCTACAATGGCCGTCTAGTCTCACCCCTCGAACCCTTTCCATAGATAAAGCTGAAATGCCTCGGATTGTGGATGTCGACAGGTACCTCGATGGCGGTGCGGAGAGAGAGGGCGCAGATGGCTTCGGCAATGCCGCTTCAAACGGTAGCTTTTCGAAGATTTGCGGTCCTGGTCTTAGGACAGGTTGGTGCGAAGGCACGGAAAAGCTGTCGTACGGGGTGTCACAGACGTAAGCAATGGCTCTTACTTGGTTAACTCACGCGGATAACCCGATCCTGCTGCTTGCTACTATCTAGCCCTGTCTTGAACCCAAATCGAGATGCGAGCTCTGATGGATCGATCCGAGCAGCTCTCATCTCTAGGGCTGATGGTGCCATGTCTCACTTGATCCGGCAACGACAGCTAACGTTGTTACAGAGGCTCGAGCCGGTCAGGCGGATCACCAAGCCAGTTAACCGCTTGCTTTGTAGCCGAGACACTGGAAACTGGAGAATTGCAGCGCTTCGTGTTCGAGGAACTGCAGCCAGCATATGGCAACCGATATCGTCGAATGGTGCAAGCCATCAACAAAGAGCTGATTCCACTCGGCGTTCACGTTCCCCAAACGGATCGTGAGGTTGTGGGAGGATACTTCATCTGGCTGACGTTGCCCGCCCCGTTGAAGGGTGCCGTTCTTGCGCAACGCGCGAAAGATGAGGAAAATGTTGTGGTAGCGCAGGTGAGTACAAAACGAGCTCTTTCCAAATCCGAATCCTGGGTGCAGCTGACAGCGACGGTAACACAGGGCGAGATTTTTCAAGTAAGTTCGCTCTCCGCCGATATGGACTTACAACTCACAGACCCAGGTCCCCGGCGATACCGAACAACCAGGCACTTACTTCAGTAACCACGTCAGGGTGTGCTTCGCGGTATTACACTTCGACCTCCGTGCCGAAAGATCACTAACATGCTACTAGTGGGAAGACGAAGACATGCTAGCGGAGGGCATCGAGCGCTTAGCACAGGTCATTCGTAGGATGCAAAATGAGGAGACCGTGGGCGACTCCAGTGCCCAACCTGCTACGGCAGAGGGGGACGCGAAAGACTATTGGTAAGTGCTTTGGCGAACAATTTCTCCGGCCACTTTGCAGGTGCTATTCGACTGTGGAGAATTTGTTGACAGCTGGCTTTCACCGTATCGCGAACCAGTCGCAAGTTCATATCTCTATAATAGGGGTTTTTTAGCTAAGAGACTTCAATATAGCCTCGCTGATGATCCACACATCCCTCGTGCGAGTAGCATGTCCATAGAACTATCGTTCGGCACATAGGTACTCCATGATTCAGAATTGTTTATCAGGATCGACCGAGGAGAAACAGGCTACTGCTAGCTCTTGTGGTAGCCAGACTATATTCACGTTGATATGCGAGGGTATCCAGGCTTCAAGATCTGGCTCCAGTGACGACGTGGTTATGAGTGGCCACACACAGCCTAGAACAGCACACAGAGATTTCATCGCGTAGGACTGGGGCAAACAAAATCGATCTCCCTAATGCTATTGGGCAAACCCTGAAATCGAGGTTGTTTTAAACATGGAGGATCTACGTGGCCAGCGTTCCTGGTTTAAACACACCCTTGCTGTTCCTCGCTGCACGCGAAATGAGCAGGGCAATTTACTCAATGCAAGCAGGCCCAGGACGCCTATAACATATTGACCATTATTGTACAGCCTCAAGCGGCGATTGGCAGGCCACTGTGCTCCTTGAACTTTAGCTTTTTATTTGAAATGTCCGAGGGGCGTTGAGAAGATGCATTGATGGTCGCCTTCCTTTGTCCGTAAGGCTCGCTCAAAGTGGCACACAGCCGCGATGAAGGGAGGCGAATTGTCTCTCCTCCACAACAGCCGTGGAGGCAAGGAAATGTGTTTGTGATGCGCAACCACGGCTTGGCTTGGCTTGGGTACGTATGATGTGGTCGAGTAAGGCGGTGGGTGGCCCGATGACTCTTTCACAGAAGCCCTGCTGCCCGTCGGGCGATGCGCAGTGCATCTAGGCACGTTCTCCTGGCGGCCCGTCGCGACCAGTAGGCCCATCACAGTGGCCAGGCTCGGATACGTGAAGCGCTGGCCGAGGGCGTATTTTGCGGTTGGCGCGTCGAGGGCCTGTCGATGGATTCGTTGTCGCAGGTCCGTTTCAAACGGCTGTGGCGCTACCATTCAGATCCCTGCCGATCCAGGCACAGAACATTCGCCTCGCAGGGACGTCAGGACACCATCCTTCACCCACTGGCCTACGACGCCCTGCTGTTTCACGCGCGGAGGGAAGACTACGAAGACAGGTCTGGTGGCCCCTGCTAGTAGCGACCCTAGGTAATTTTGCATGTGCGCGAGGGACAGAGGGTCACATTCCAACGCCCTTCCCTTCGGCACTCCCTAAGCCGCGGAATGCGGCTGGCAGAGAGGGCCGCAGGGCTTTCTCACGAGGCAAGAGAGAATGGAGGCAGGTTGTATGCATCGGCGACGGCGGTAGGGCATGATGAAGAGGCGCGCTGGTATCACAATGTAGACGGGGATATAAAGTGCCATTCTGGAGCCGGGGACAATGAGTCGATCACTGCAGAGCGAAGAACATCCCCCGGCTATTCGAAACTTGAAACAAGGAGGTTCAATACCCTTGATTGGCCTGTCGAAACTATTGTAAGTCCCATTCTTGAATACAACTGTACTTATACAGCGGCCGGCCCCTTCCTTCGCCTTTCTCTTCTTCACGCAGGCTCTCCGTCAGCTCACAGCACCATTGTGTTGCCTTCAATTCTTATTGTTCCAAGTCATTCTTTTCCAAAGTCAAGAGCTTGCTCATCACATTTTCATTCTACAACTTTCGTTGCCAGGCAACCTGCCCAATACTTATACCACAACTTCCGCATTTTCTGTCAACTTGCACAACATCGCATCAACAACAACAACTCGTCTTTTGCAGGCCAACTGACGACTTCCTTCTTAGTCTTCTGGATCATTCCTACGACGTTTAACAACCCCGAACTTCAACGCACGCACTGTCATCATGGTTGCCTTTAGCGCTGGTGCGCTCCTTCTGACGCTGCGCGTCTTCCTCTCCGCATCCACAACCACTGCAGCGCCGGTTGCGCAAGCACCAAGCGCACCGCAGACTGGTGCCTCTGGATACTGGCTTGAAAGTATCAAGCGCCAGGGTCAGGCACCTTTCAACCCCAACAAGGCGAACTACCAAGTATTCCGTAATGTCAAGGAGCTCGGTGCCAAAGGCGACGGCGTCACCGATGATACAGACATCATCAACAAAATGATTGCTGACGGTGGCCGTTGTGGTCAAGGCTGCGACTCAACCACCACGACACCAGCTCTCATCTACTTCCCCGCCGGTACCTACATCATCAGCAAGCCCATTATTCAATACTACTACACCCAGTTCGTCGGTGACGCAACAAATCTGCCTGTTCTCAAGGCCTCCCCGGCTTTCGAAGGCATGGGCTTGATCGATGCCGACCCATACATTCCTGGTGGAAATGGTGCCAACTGGTACACCAACCAGAACAACTTCTACCGTCAGGTTCGCAACTTTGTCATCGATATCTCGGCCACCAAAGCCGCAGCTGGCATTCACTGGCAAGTCTCCCAGGCCACTAGCCTCCAGAACATCGTGTTCGAGATGGCCAAGGGCGCGGCTGGTGCTGAGCAGAAGGGTATTTTCCAGGACAACGGCTCCGGTGGTTTCATGTCCGATCTTGTCTTCAACGGCGGTGCTATCGGTGCCTTCCTTGGCTCCCAACAGTTCACCATCCGCAACATGACCTTCAACGACTGCGGCACCGCCATCTTCCAGAACTGGAACTGGGTCTTCACTTACAAGAGCATCTTCATCAACAACTGCAAGGTCGGCCTTGACATGGCTAACAGCCCTACCAATCAAACCGTCGGCTCGGTTCTCTTGCTCGATAGCAAGCTGGTCAACACTCCCATCGGCATTAACTCTTCGTTCACCGAGAACAGCATTCCCACTACTGGTGGAACGCTTATCCTTGACAATGTCGACTTCACTGGGTCCCAAGTGGCTGTTCAGGGCGCATCCGGCAATGTCATCCTTGCTGGCGGCAAGAAGGTTGATACTTGGGCCCAGGGTAATGCTCTCGCTGCTGGTGGACAGCAAGGTCGTGTTCAGGGCGACGTCAATGGTGCACCCACCAAGCCACAGACTCTCCTAGGCGACAACGGTTGGTTCGAGCGCAGCAAGCCGCAGTACGAGCGTGTTCCCGTTTCGCAATTCGTCAGCCTTAAGTCCAAGGGCGCCAAGGGTGACGGCGCGACTGATGATACGGCTGCTATCCAAGCTGCTATCGACGGTCTTCAAAATGGTCAGGTTCTCCACGTCGACCATGGTGCCTACTTGATTACCCGCACTATTGTGATTCCTGCCGAGAAGAATGTCAAGATGGTTGGCGAGATCTACAGCATGTTTTTCATCACCGGCGAGTTCTTTGGCGACATGAACAACCCCAAGCCTGGATTCCAGATCGGCCAGAAGAGCGGCGACAAGGGATCCTTCGAGGCGTCCGATCTCATCATCAGCACTCAGGGCCCTGCTCCAGGTGGCATCTTGATGGAGTGGAACATCAACGCTGAGAACGGCCAGGCCGGTCTCTGGGACGTCCATTTCCGTGTCGGCGGTTTCGAGGGCACCAAGCTTCAGTCGTCCAACTGCAAGAAGAACCCTGATGCCCAACACGCGCCCAACCCAGAGTGCATTGGCTCCTTCATGCAGTTGCACATCACCAAGAACTCCAACGGCTACTTCGAGAACGTGTGGCTGTGGACTGCCGATCACGAGCTTGACCAGGCTGATCACGCTCAGATCGACATCTACAATGGCCGCGGTATGCTCGTCGAGTCTCAAGGTCCTGTCTGGCTCTACGGCACTGCCTCTGAACACTCTCAAATGTCTCAGTACCAATTCCAGGGTGCCAAGGACATCTGGTATGGTGCCATCCAAACCGAGACACCCTACTACCAGCCCAACCCACTACCCAATGTTCCCTTCACAAAGAATGCCAAGTTCTTTGATCCCGATATGAGCAACCTCAAGGCTGCTTGGGCCGTTCGCGTCGTTGACAGCGAGAGCATTTGGAACTACGGCTCTGGCACCTACTCATTCTTCGACAACTACGCTCAAACATGTGTCCCTGGGCAGAACTGCCAGGAGCACATGAACGAGATCGAGAACTCTTCGAATGTCAATTGGTTCGGTCTATCGACTAAGGCGTCGGTCAACATGATCACGTCGGGTGGCAAGGGCCTCGTTAAGGATGAGGACAACCGATCGAACTTCTGTGCTACGCTAGCCATCTTCGCCCAGGCATAGATGCTTTCGACCTCTTGGACACGCACATCCTCATCATTGGGTTCCTCGATGGACCCTACATATCATAGACTTGTTCAATTCTTTCCCTCCTATTCGCTTTTAAAGTAGGACTGGGCTTCTTTATAGCATGTATACCTTTTTCCCCTTTTAACTTATCTTCCTGTCCATATGCGGCGGAAGCACACTCGCTTAGAAATGAAAACGATTCCACTAGGTTGAGCATACTATACCCCCCGGGCAGGAGTTTTGGTCTTGTTACGATACGCTTTGAGCGATCGCTGGTTAGCGCAGATAGCACGAGAGACGAATTCAATACGAGTTCAAAAACTGTTTCTTCCTCGATGAATCAAGTGATATTTTATGAATACCCATGAAGAGTAGTAATGAGAGTGACGGGTGGAAGCAAGAAGGATAACAGTCTTTTAGGGTTGACTTGAAGCATCTGCCTTCTCGCCAAAACTCACCCCCCGCGTGCACGTCCTCGGGAAAAACTTCCCCGCTGAAAAGTTGCAACTCGAAAGTCGCATCTCTTCCCTCACAATCCTGCGAGTCTAACTTTTGCGATTCTCAAACATGTCGAACGGTGCAGACGACTCTACGCGACCGGCGAAACGCGCTCGTCTCGACGACAGCACGGCGCCTTCCCTCTCCGTCGAATCCACCGCACAAGCTCCGCAAGCCGCGCCCAAAGCCCCAGCACCCACGGTCATTGACAATGATCTCGAGCGCGAGGTCCGGGCAGGGATCACAGAATATATCTGCCCGAACAACCTTGGGTTTACGGGTGTGCTGAAGCAGAGATATACGGACTTTCTGGTCAACGAAATTGGACTTGATGGCCAAGTGCTCCATTTGAGGAGCACCGAGGTGGAGAGCAAGGAAAGCAGACGGCACAATGGAAAAGGAGTCAATGGCGGAGAGACTAAGAAGGAAGTATCCAAGGATGTAAAGATAGAAGTGAGAGAGGAGAAGAATGATGCGGAGATGGCAGATGTGCAAAATGGTTCAGCCGCAGCGCAGACAACAACGATAAAGGTTGAGACTGCGCCTGAAAAGTCCGACACTGCGGATAAGGATGCAGGCGGCCAGAAAGAGGAAGTCAAGGAGGAGCCGGAGGAAGAGGTACGCTTCAATTACAACAGTCTTATCCACAAAAGTGCTAACATCATCCAGCTCCCCGAAGAAGACCGCGAAACCCTACATTCGATATTCGGGGAAGATACCACTAAACATATCCTCACACTCGTCCGGCAAGTGCGAAGGCGCGAACACAAGAAAGCGAAAGACTTCAAAGCTGTAACATCCCCACCCATAACCGACAAGGACACACGGACGCAAGCCCACCAATGCCTACGCCGAATATTTCCAAACCTGTTAGAGAGCGCCATGGAGGAGGACCAGTCAATACGGATCAAAGCAACACCTCCAGCAGAACGTAAAGGGAAGAAGAAGGGCAAGGGCGGGAACCAAGATCGAAGCGACGCAGGTTTCGGAAGAAATCGAGGTCAATTGGCTTGGGAAGAGCTTGGTGGAGAATACCTTCATTTCAATTTATACAAGGAAAACAAAGACACCATGGAAGTAGTAGGCTTCCTAGGAAGCAAGCTTAATTGTGGTACGAAAGGATTTGGCTTTGCAGGCACGAAGGACAGGCGCGCTTGCACGGTTCAGCGACTCTGCGTCAAGAAACAGACTGCCGAGCGCATCCATGGCTTTAACAAGGTCTTGTACAATGCGGCCGTTGGAGACTTCGCGTACCGCAACAGTGATCTGAAACTCGGAGACCTAAAGGGTAACGAGTTCACGATTACGCTCCGAGACTGCCATTTTCAGAATGAGGAAGGCTTGGACTTTGAGCAACGGCACAAGCTGGCGAACCAAGTGATAGAAAAAGCCATCACAGACTTTTCTGAGAAGGGGTTCATCAATTACTATGGTCTCCAACGGTTTGGCTCATTCGCCGCAAGCACCGATGCTATTGGTCGCAAGATGCTACAAGACGACCTGCAAGGCGCCGTCGAGGATCTGTTGGCGTACAATGATGTCGCACTCGCTGCAGCCGAAGGCACCCACTCGGACTCGAATGTTCTCGTATCTCAAGACGACCGTAACCGTGCGATGGCGCTACATATTTGGAAGACCGAAGGGTCGGGCAGCGCCGCGCTCGACATGCTCCCTAGGAAGTTCACAGCAGAACGCAACATCATCCAGCACCTTAGCTCCCGCAACAGCAAGACCGGACGCCACGACCGCCGAACAGACTGGCAGGGCGCACTCATGACTATCCCGCGCAACCTGCGCCTTATGTACGTCCACGCGTACCAGTCGCTCGTATGGAACGTTGTAGCTGGTAAACGCTGGATCACCCACGGCGACAACGTCGTCGAAGGCGATCTCGTCCTAGTCAACGATCATCGCGACAAAGAGATAAGCAATCAGCCCGTCAGAACAGAGGCCGAAGATCAGGACGGAGAGTTCATTATCAACCCCTCTGGCAGCGAGAACGCCAACGCCGCAGAAGCAGACTTTGAACGCGCCCGCCCGCTTACTGCATCAGAAGCTGCAAGCGGCAAGTACGCCATCTGCGACGTCGTTCTCCCTCAGCCCGGCTATGACGTCGAATACCCGAAGAACGCAATTGGCGAGTTCTACAAAGAATTTATGGGTAGTGAGAAGGGCGGCGGTCTAGATCCGTATAATATGCGTCGACCGTGGCGGGAGATTAGTTTGAGTGGCGGCTATAGGAAGTTCCTCGCAAGACCGCTCGAGCCGCTTGACTTCCAAGTACATCGATATACGAAAGAGGATGAGCAGTTTGTTGAGACGGATCTTCAGCGGCTGAGGAAGGGCAGCCAGCTGAAGAGTGAGGAGGCGAAGGATGTGGAAATGGAGGAAGGCGAGGAGCAAGAAGCGAAGAAGTTGGCCGTGGTGATCAAGTTGCAACTGGGGAGTAGTCAATATGCTACCATGGCGCTGAGGGAGCTCATGAAGGCTGGTGGTGTGAAGGCGTTTAAGCCTGAATATATGGGTGGTAGATAAGTAGCGAAGAGCTGTGTATCTCAATTCAGATCAAGGGCTCAGGAATGCAAATGGAAGTCTCGAGCCTTCAAATCATGTTCTATTTCGGTGACATTATGCCTTGTAGAGCTGCTATACAGCGTTGTCTAATCCCCTTGCGTATGAGTCTGGCGATACCGGCGCGGAGACTGGTCTGTCCAACGTACTACCACCACCATTAGCAACGCCTCTCGACATCCAGCTCGTGTGTACAGTCTGCCTTCTCCTATCGTCTTGCTGTCGACTATCTTTTGATTCCACCGGCCACGGGAAGTCTAGTACAGAATCCTGATCTCGAGCAAGTATGCGCTCGGTACTACTCCGCTCCTTCCCAATATCTGAACTCAAAGCAATCACCTCCTCACCCGGAGACGCCAGAAACTCGAAGAAGGTTGGCTCTTCAGCAGCGGTTCTTGTGGTCCCGCGCCCTCCACCCTCATATATCGACTTGGTCGTGTTGGAACGCGGTATAGAGCTCCCGTTTGAGCCTCCTCCACTGGACCGCTCGCTCGACCTCAGACTCTTCGAGAACTGCTTTACGCGGCTAGACAGGCCGCTCGTCCGCCTCGCTTCAGTAAGGAAACGTTTCAGGAGCGGCCGTAAGGTGGCGAGACAGCCGGCAATGATGCTAGCACCGGCTTCGATTGTGGACCAAATTGCCACGTTGACGGCGTTCCAGAAGAAGTCGTCGACTTGGGTGAGGCCGTCGACATAGCGGAATCGTATCATGGAACATATGCAACCCAGCGCGGCGAGGCAGAGGATGAAGCCCACGGATAGTTTTGATTTCCTGCCCATGTTCGCGTTCCATAGGATGAAGATGGGGAGTGCGAAGAATATGATGTCTGTCAGCGTGGTGAACGCGGCTATGTTTTGAAAAGATATATCGTTAGCTCAGGAGCCATTGGCCGCATGTTGTGGTAAGCGCACCTTGCTGATATGCCATGAAGCGGTCCAGGGCTTGGGGTGTGCATTTCTCGGAGAGTTGCTGTAGAACATAGTTGTTCAAATCAGGGCCGCATCTGAACAGGCAGTAGAAGAATGCCGCGGCCGAGGAAACTATGTTGACCCCAACGGTGATGTAAATGAGAAGAAATTGCCAACGTTGGACGATTATGCGTGCGAAGAATATTCCTAAAGAGATTTTGAGAACCATCATAGCCATAATGTATGTTGCCTCGCTGACGACAACCCACTGTCATTGTCAGGGAAGTCACTTTGAGGCAGATTGGAACTTGCCTTGGTGAGTGATTGAAGCTGGGCGACACTGCTAACATGTGTTCCGCCACCATTTGCTTCAATGTAGAACTGTCCTGAACAGTACACTGTAAAAATCATCTACGATATAGTCAGTTCTGATGTGTCGTTCATGAGTAGTGAGGTCGACCTACTCCCGCGAGTATCATAGTTGTGTCATCCCAGCCGAAGCTCGATATGATATAGCTCCGCGTCCATATTCGAAGTAGAATGAAGAACCAAGCTAATACCAGAAACGCAATGGTGATCCTCTCCTGCTGCTTACCCGACCATGCTAACTCGATTGAATCATGCGCCATCCCGACTACCTGGCCAAGCCAATGCTCGAGTAAGGCTTCTTGGGGGCGTAAATAAATGCACGTGCTGCATAGCACATAGCAATGTAGTAGCAGATGTAGCTAGAAAGGAATGAAGAGGTTCGAGCGTCCAGCGAGAGATGGTTCGCGCAGAGACGGACGAGGGAAGAAATGCGACGACAGACCGGCCTCTCAGGTGGCTTAAAGGCTACATATTAGGTGCCGCCCGGAGAAGTGCCCTCAGGGTTGCACGACATCGTTCTGAACGCCACGTTGACAGCGTTGGTACACAGCGTAGGACAAGCCAGAACGGCGAAACCCTCAGGTCGCACCCATCGCTGCCAAAAAGCAAAGAAGGCTCCCTATATAGAGGCAGCCGAGGAATGAATACGAGCTGGTTTCGACTTGATGAATGAGAAGAAGAGAGTTGATGATGCTAAGAAACTAGTACCCGCAGTCGCAGTTCGGAACATGGTAGCCAGTCTCAGCTCCGCGAAACGCTACTGGGATCGATAGTCCGTATGGCGTTCCATAGGTTGGCATTCCTCATGATGATGGCTTCATCTCTAGTTCCGTCCAGACAAGCAAGCCCAGACGCCGGTAGTCCTTGTCGTCTGTGAAACGGCAACGGGGAGATCTTGGTGGCGTCTTGCCGGCGTTGGGGACGCTACGAAAAAGCAATAGGACGGCAATTGGCACGCTTAACGTGCGTGCAGACGGAAACGTGCAGCAGTGAGACGGTGAATGGCGAATGTGGTCGAGGAGCGTTGCAGGGAAGGCGCGTCGTGGACGAAAATGGCAGTCGAGTAATTTCCTGGCCCCTGCACCTTTACCTCCCACCACCACCGCCACCCGGCGCACCTGACGACCGCAAAAGCAACGCAGTAAATGAAAAGTGGAACTGTTGTAAGAGTTAGACCTAATATCCGTATTAGTTTTTTGGAATTGCTGCAGCGCGCACCCAGCAGCAGACGTTTGAACTATTTGGATCCCGGCCAACCAGCACCGAGCTACAACTCTCAACTACGCTTCTACCATTTCGCATGAACGACATATCGAGATCTCATAGAGCGCCACCATTCTGCGGCACTTGGGCCGACCCGAAGCCACGTTCCTAAAGTCACCATTTTCTCTCCTCGAGTAGTTGTAACCCTCCAGCGCGCGCGCTGGCTTACCTACATTCACCTCACCGCGGGACCCTTGGCTCCTCGATTCTCAATCCCTGCATAATAAACACGCCATTCCTACATTCTCCCAACCTAACTCCTCCATAAACCGGGCCTCTTGAATGCCACCCAGTTGGTTCTCCCGAGCCCGTGACATCGATCCGAATCTATCTACCACAACGCAAGTATGCCGCCGGCACTTAGGAGGAGAACACCGCAACAACACTTGCCCCCGCCAGAGGACCTAGACGATACGGACAGTGAGATCGATATCGAGCTCATCACTGGGCGGAGTATGAGACGTGGAGAAGAAGAGGAAGAGGAGGAAGAGGAGGAGGATGAGGCTATGGGCGACGAGTTGGAGGTGCTCGAGGGCGAGGAAGAATTGGAGGACGAGGATGCACTAGGTAAGTTAATCTAATACCTTGTTTCAGTTTTTTCTTCTGCCAGCTCACAGCTTATCTTCGAGCTCAACAAGGGTCTTGTTTTTTCATCCTTCAAGCATGCTGTGCGCTGTCTGTCCCACCAATCCCTTATAGATACGCCGAATCCTACAGCAGCATCTAGCTGACGAATATCAGCGTCCCCACACCAAGCCAATACTCCTCTACCAAACTTGGATCCACCCCCGTCCTACCTTCGCGAGATTAGCACGCTCGCCAGTTGGACAGTCTCTAGTTCTAAACCCGGCTGCTCCATTCCTCAACTCCGCCACCCTTCTACTTCTCTGTTCTGGCAATCCGATGGCCCCCAGCCGCACTACCTTAACATTCACTTCTTCAAGCTTGTCCGCATCGTCGGTCTACGCCTGTATCTCGACTTTGAGCAAGATGAGAGCTACACGCCCACCCGCATCATCTTCCTCGCCGGCAGCGGGATGAATGATCTGCAGGAATGGGGCGAGATGAAACTAGAGAGTCCCCGTGGGTGGGTATGGGCCGACTTTTCCGGGGTAGGAGATCCAGACAGCGACTCTGAAGGAGACGACGACGAAGAAGAGCAAGAACAAGAGCAGCCACAGAGGACGCTAGACGCCCCTCGACTGTCCATCGGCGGCCTCCCAGGAGACGACGCATCTTCCGACTCGGAGAACAACGCGCCTCGCCCGCCGCCGCCGCGCCTCACCCAAGCCCCCTCAGACGAAACAATGCACATGGATCCGCACACCACACACACGCCAACTACAACGACAACGACAACACCACTCCCCCACCTCGTCGCACACACGCCCCACGACCTACGTCACGGCCTAACACCCACCCTTGCCCGCCCAACGCCCCGCCTCCCCTTCGCCGCCCTCTCACCCAACACCGCGCCCCACCCGCCACGCACAACCTCTTCCCCGCGCCGCCCCAAAATGCCCGTCCTACGCGCCCACCTAGTCCAAGTCAAGATCCTGGAAAACCACCAGAACGGCAAGGACACGCATCTGCGCGGGCTGCAGATTTTCGCCCGCAACGATGACGACGCGGGGAGTGCGAGGGCGCCGGTTAAGACGGTCATGAGTGGACGGAGTGGTGCTGGTGCTGGAGGAGGAGGAGTGAGGACGCTAATGGGTGAGGATGTGGGGTTGCAGAGGAGTCTTGTTACTGCTTCTGGGCGGAATAGGGGGGTGAGGGGCGTGGAGAGGTTGGAGTTGGGGGGCAGTAGGAGTGCGTGGGATGTGGAGCCGAGTATTCGGTGAGAAGGGGAGATGCTGGGCAAACGGTGGTTGTTTGAGACTAGGTTGGGTAGACGTACCTTTCTTGTCTACGAAATGTCAGTTTGGATGCGATATGGACCGTGGCAATAGTCATGTTTGTACACACTCAGGTCAGTCAGGTCACAATAGTAACAAAGTATTAAAAGACGTGTCAGATTAGTTGCTACGTGAATTTCATCGTAGCCGGCCCGGTCCGGTCTTCCATTAGACTTTTGTGTATCAGTACTGCCCGTAATCCATCCAGTGTCGCGGCTAGTGCTCTAGTCTATTACACCTACGCAGCGCCTACGCCAGGAAACCCAGTTCGAAAACAGAAGGAAACCAATAGGAGAAAACCCGCTTCCTGCACAGTATACGTTCGTAGAGGACCTCTCGCCGAGTTATCGTCATCTCAGACTCAGAAAAGACCTTTGCCATCGCGCTTCTCCAGCGTATTGTTCAGATCCTTTGGCTCGGCTTCTCTCTCCGGCTTCTGCACCCACTCGTTGTCCAACTGCTCCTCCGACTTCTCAGATTGTTCTCGCGCCTTCTTGTTCGCACGTTGCTTGGCCTTTTTCGACTGTGGTGTCAGTGGCGTTCCCGGCCGTGAGCCTGACTGCTCTTCCTTGACATTACCGCTGTCCTTCTTTACTTCTTGCTTCGCACTGTCGTTTGCCTTTTGTGACTCCTGCTTAGCCTTCTCCTTGCCCTCCTGGTACTGGCCCTCGACGTTCTCTTTTGTCTCCTCAGCCTTTCCAACTACATTCTTTGCCATCTCTTTCGCCTTCTTTACCGTAGCCTCGGCGCCCTCGTCGAGCTCCTGCAACCGCTGGCTGACTTTCTTGTTCACGTTGTCGAGAAACTTCTTATTCGCAGGGCTCATGCTACCATGTCGCTCATCCTTGGCATTGCCATTGGCGTTGACCTTTCGACCACGCAGAGCATCTTTGGACCTCTTGACGGCGGACGAGATGCCGTCTTCAGCGGCCTGGCCGAGGGACTCGATCTCACGCTCTACGCCATGAGAAGCATCATGAGCGGCCTTTGAAATGGCGTGCTTGCTTTGGTGCTTGGCGTTGGGGTTTGTGCGGCGGAGGTAAGACTTGAAGAAAAAGCGCATGAACAGCAGGGTGAGTGGAGTCAGGTAGATGATGTTGAGGTAAACGGCGAACGCCTGGCCAGACGTGTCGATGCAGGGGACGGTCTGGTACTCGGTGCGGTAAACGACCCTTTCCACGGTGTCATGGTGCCTGAAGAAGTTCTGTACTGGGTGGTGGGGATCAGCATGTCCGGCAACTACGTGTTGTTGTTGGTGGACGGGTAGAGGTGAACCGGGGACTGGGATATTCTCGGCAAGACCTTCGTCACCCGCTGCGCGGTAGATGAGCTTCCTGAGGAAAGCTACAGCAACGCCAGTTGCTGTGGGAAGGGCTAGGGTTGCGGAGTCCGTGGCCGAGGTAATAGCAGATGCGATAGTGGAAGTGTTGAGTTGGGGTGCAACCTTCTCAGCGACCTTGTATGCGACCGCAACTGGCACCGTGTAAGAGATGAAGAGATGCATGGCGGCGAAGGTGGTCCCGACAAGGAATTGGGTAATCTGCAGCGTGGTAAGGGTTCGCTTGACCACATTGGGTACACGGATGCGAAACGCAGAGACGGTGTAGTAGGTGTACATCATCGCGTGGATGCCCGAATTGACCAAGACAAACATCCAGATGGGCGGCGACATGAAGCGCATGCCAGCCCACATGGAAAGCATGGCGCCAGCATGGTGGTATTTCTGGAGCGTGGTGCTTCGCTTGCCCTTGGCAAGAATGATGGCGGTATCCAGGACCTCGTAGAACTTGGAGAGGTAGAACCACCAGCCCCAGAAGGCAAGACCCTCGTTCCACATCCTGCCCACATCCGTCGTGTCAGGCAAGCCGGCGGGGCCCACGGTAATGTTCGAGTTCAAGCTGGTCCAAGTGTTGGCGTCTGTCTGATAGGTGACGGCATCACCGAGTCCGCGGGGGCCGTGAATCTTGCAGAGGGCGTCGATGGTGCCCACGACGGCATTGGCCTCGGTGTAGTGGGGGAAAGAGTGTTTCAAGCACAGAATCATGGCCACACAGGTGATGGCCGAGTAGACGGCCAGAAAGACATTGTGGAAGACGACAAATACGAAGAAGGGGCGCGTCTTTGCGATTCTCCAGGCCTTGTTTCCATGCTGGCGATTGTACCAGTTGAAGTAGGTGACGGTGACGGCGTAGACGGAGGCAATGGCCAGCGGGACCTTGTACGACAAGGCGGCCTGGAATATATCTTGGGGGATTGGGAAGGGGTTCGCAAAGGTCGACTCGCCAGTCCACGGGTTGGCAATGGGCGGCGGGGCGGCGTCGGGTGGGAATTTGAGGACGGCCCTCGAGGGCCAGTCGCCGGGGTGCAGGGAGGGCCCTGCGCCAAGCGTCATGATGTGTTTGTGGGTTGAACGTGTGGGTTCAATTGAGCGATGGGCGGTCGGTGCGAGGACGAGGACGAGGACGGGCGCGTGCGGATTGCGGAGGATGGGTGGGTGACGAGGCTATCTACGTCGAAGCTGTTGTGCAGTCGCGAGGTCAATGGCTTCGGTAAGCTCAACGCTGCTGCTGTTGAGGCAGCAAGTCTTGGGCGGGTTTTGTTGTTGAGGCAGGCGATGCGCTCCTTGGTCTATGCAATTCGCTCGGCCCACAGCAGCGAGCGAGCAATCGTCGTGCTATATAGCGGCCAACAGGGCGCACAGATGCAGCGGCTTCAGGCACGCACGTTCTCGGTGCAGCAGGGCTTGTTCGGCGCTTGTCGCTGAAAGGAGCAGGCAGGGAAATTTAGTAGACAAGTTGGTTCAAGTTGGCTCTGGGGGAGAGAGGAATCACGGCGTAGCTAGCGGTGCGACAACTTTTTCAGCGAATCGCAGCCATGACATCAACCGAGGCTGAAGGAGTTCTAGCCCCAACCGCTGCGACTGGACGGACCTTTAAGACCATATCTTTGTCTTGGCCTATGGTTTACTCGGGTACGCGGGCTGTAGTCTCGCAAGGCTAACGTCATCAGGTCTCTGCCGCTGTCTACAGTCTGCAGTCTGCAGCGACGGGCAGCATTCTGTGCGCGGGGGAGGCAGCGAGGCCCGCAAAGAGCCTTTGCCCTGGTCACGGTTGGAATGCGGTTGCATCTTGGGCCCAAAACTTTGTGACAGGGGGCGCGAGACAAACATGGCCCAAGCTCCCTCTCCATCTTTCTGGGAACGGAAGCCACTGACACCCGGCTGGTAGTCGGTAAGAGTGACGTGCGGGTCCATACTATCTGGCACACGTTCAACAATGAAACATAGTTTCCAAACTTGACAGACAGCGGGGTATAGTTTGGATTCTATTTACAAGGCTAGGTATGATCAAGGTAAAAAAATATACAAGTCAATAGAGCTAGAACTTCGGTTTGCTGCCCAGGGGAATTGGGGGTGGCTCGCCTGCGCTTAGCTCTTTCTTCTTGGGTGGGGGTGGGGGCGGTGGCTTCTTCTTCCCTCCAGCTATCATGCTGCCTCCCGGGACACTACTCTGTGTAGGTGACTGCGGCGCTGCGGGTGCTGTGCTCGATGATGAAGCGAACTGGTTCACCCTGCCAGCGATGCCGTATTTCTGATTCAGCCCGCTCGCAGCCTTCCATCCGGACGACACCTGTTCGCCGTGTCGCTGCTGGAAATTATTCGCCGTGGATGCTGCGCCTCTGAGGTCTGAGGCTGACACCTTCGACGGGTCGTCACGCAGATTCGCAGCGGTTCGCAGCGTCGCTTGCTTGTCTGCCCACGACGTGCCTGCAGAAGGCGCTGCTGCAGTCCCTGACGCTGGTGTCGACATCTTCGCGAACCTGTTCTGCAGTTCGTTCATTTGAGATCCGTGGCCAGCCGAAGCAGGAGGTGGTGTGGGCGCTTTTGCCGCTGAGCTTTCGCGAAAGGGTACTGGAGGCGATGCCATTTGACGAGCCGGCACTGGAGGAGAGGCAGTGCGGCCAATTCCAAACCCAGGCACAGAGACGCCAGCTTGTCCTAGCCGCCCCAGCGCCCCCTGGTTCAGCACTCCTTGTGAAGGCGTCCCCTGCTGCGTCGCTTCATTGTATGTTGGTGGGGGAGGAGGCGCATATGCATCGGGGTTGGAGTTTTGGCGTGGAGGTAATCGTGGTGGGGGCCTTGGGGCCGGTCTTGCAGTAGAATTTGTAGGAGGCGGTGCAGCGGCTGTCGTGGGTGTGCGTGTACTTGAGGGTGCCACGGGGCCTGCAGTGTAGTTTACTCGTTTCGGTGGAGGCGCAAAGCTCGAGGGGTCTTTCAGCGACGATAATGGCGTGGCCTGGTGTTCAAGAGCGGCTGCTGCATGTGTGTCTTTGCCCTGCGCCTTGCCCACCCAACCTTTCTATTGCAAGTCAGCAAGGAGCCAGAGAGAGGCGGGAGAGAGCATACCACTTGGCCGAGCTTCGACTCGCTCTGCCCACCAGAGCTGCTTGAGCTGCTTGCCGCACTCTTCTCCGGATGCCAGCCATTCTTCGCCAGGTTCTTGAAACGATCGGCCATCTAGCAAAGTGGGTATAAAATGGTTGTATGCAGAGTGGGAGGTACGAAGTGTGTTCGCTCCTCGCAGTCCATGATATATTTCCTACCAGTGATTGACGCGCATCGTGAATGCGCGGCCCGATGAGCTAAGCCAAGGAATCATGGAGCACATGTCGTGTCGAGCCGATTTCCGACCGACTTCGAAACGCCTGCAACTTGCTCCTACCTGTGGAACAGCCACACTACCAAGAGAGTTTTCAAAAATCGACAACATGTATTTGAATCCAATGCTGGCAAAAAAGCCAAATTGGCCCGCATCTTTGCGCACACCAGACGTCCTTCATGCACAAGCCTTCCAATGAGCTACACCTACATGATGGTGGCTTCAGCCTTTGGGGCAGCATGAGTATTGGGACTCTTCAGCCTCCAGCCTGATTGACTTTCTCATCGAGTATAAACTTCCTCTTGCCCCATAGCTGGCCTTGCACCCTTCCAGTAAACTCCATACTACATCACACTCTACGACTCAACCTCGTCGTCATTACCAATGGGCAACAGCTTTGGCTTCTTAAGAACCCAGTCTAAAGGAGGCTTCCAATTCACCGTCTTGAATGCCTGCAAGGCTGAAGGCATAGACTTGAACCAGACTTGTAGCCTAACTTTTAGCCCCAGCCATGAACTCGTTTCCATCGGTAATGTCACCAGAGGGGAAATGAAGCCAGAACCAGGGATAGCAGGGATAGGCGTAAGCGGAAAGTAGCCTGTTTTTCGTTCCCTGCTGACTAGATAGATGTGGTTCGCTATGATTCTGTTCTTCGGCGTCGTCGTAATCGCTTTGATATTTGTAGTCCTTGAGGTAATGTCAAGGTCAAGTGTCCCGTACGTTGTCCTTGAAAGTGAACTTGGCCTCCTGCACCTTGTTCTAACATGAAATAGTTCCCTCGCTTACTTCAAAGACTCGCCAGTCAGCAACCCAGATGATCCGAACTCGAAGCGAGGAAAGAGAGACCTGTTCAGGGCAGCAGGACGGACCTTTGTGCTCGGCGTGTCAGACACCCAGACCATCTTCGTCGGAGCCTTTCTCCTCAGTTTCGCTGGCCAGAGCAAGTGCCGGTTGACGAGCTACCACTTCACCGTGGCTATCAACCAGATGATGATTGCCTTGTCCGTGATGACTTTTTCAGTCGCGCTGGTCCGGACATATTGGCGCAATCCACTCGCAGCAGCTTTCCGACTTCTACTGTCTGTTGGATCTTTCATCGGAGTCGGCCTCACCATCTTCAGAGAAGCCAACTACGCACCGGACTGGCCGCCCCCAAGCAGTCGAAAGGACAGTGCGATCCTACTCCCAGTGGCCTGCTTACTGGAGTCTGATCTAAAATCGCGTGCTCAAGAACAAGCGGAACAAAACCAAGCAGAATTGGGATTCGGGGGCTCATCCGCCTTGCCCGGGCCCACTGAACGGTACTTTTTTATAATCCTGATCATAGCCTTTATACTAGCGCACGCCTCGATAATCGTCCGCTTCTTAGAGAACAAAGATCATGCACCGGAGCAATGGACGAGGTATCGCGGATGGTTCACCGTCGTCTATTGGCCTTGGATGCTGATTCCGCCTACCTTCACATCAGTTTGGTGCTGGGTACGTGTGTACGAAACGCGAGAATGGGTCAAGAACTCTGGGTGGATTGCATTTCCCAACCCGGAGATGATTATTTGGGACTCGGGTCAATTGATCGCCATGGGCGTGTTGATAACCGTCATGATGAACATGCTGACGGAAGCGTACAAGAGAGAACAGAAAGGTGCCCAGAGAAATGATGGTGCGAGATTTCAGCGGTTGCGTAGTGTGGAGGGCGTGGATAGCCGATTTGAAGAGGATCAGTCAGATTCTTATCCTATGGCGAGGACATATAATGCAGGAGCAAGCAGTTGAACCCCTTGGCTTTGCTCCTCGTATGCATAGATAGATTGTGCTTGGTTGCGCGAATACAATGTCTTGATACGGCTAGTCGGTGTGATGCTAGGTACCTAGGTAAACTAGGCGAGTTTGAATTCAAAACTTTTTTGAGCTCGAGTCGTCCTATGCTTGTGCCGCTGAGTCCAACTTGGGATATTGAAGCGCGCGAAAGTCTATTTCATTGATCCATTGATGTTCCTACCAGGATTTGTCTACGTGGCAGTTTGGCAGTGGAACTGGAGTGAGCGCGGATGCTACCCGAATGATCTGACGGACTGGAGAGAGCCCCCAAACTTGCTGACACTTGTAAGATACAAGCACTCCCATCTCAAGGTTGTACTTTGCTAGCCTTTATCGGCAGTGGAAGCGAAGCCACCGTGTTTCAAGTATTGACAGGTTGCAGCTCGATTGGTGTACGGTGATATCCTAGCGCTCCCAACCGGTGAATACGTGCAACCTTGGGCCGACAAGTCCAGATAGCCACCAATCGCTCGGCTGGAAAGTCCACGACGTGGACAAGTCTTTGGTACGTCTGGCTGTACCCCGGCTATTCCTGCGTGCGGTTTCTTTGTCTGTCTATGTGGATCAACCCAACCAGCGGGCACCAGGCGCAAAAATCACCACAATATTGAACGGAGCCCCATCCAAGGCAAATGTTGAGACAAAGAGATGTTGTGTGAGGGTAATGAGCACAGGGAGAGTGTTCATCCCCAGGCCAAGCACCGGATCGACAGCTAAGATAAAAATACCATTCCGAGCAGGTGGGGTTGGCCGTGGTTCAATGCTACCACCCACGCCTTACAGCCATCCAGGCTGAGCAGCACGCCTCTTCCTTTACCACCCTGGCCTCTGGCTAACCACACCGACTATTTCCTGCCGGGGATCGGACTTGGACCGCAAACAATTCCTGCGCCTCCCTCAGCGGCTAGACATATCAAAGAGCTGACCTCCGCACCTCTGACCTGTCTGTTTCCCCGCCTTTGCCTTGAGGGCTCAATGGTCTGCTAAACTTTACTCGCTTTTCTGACGACCGTTGCAAGAGATATATTGCTGCGCCCATTGTGATTTTCGCGTCATCGATTTAGTTGTGTACCAAGACAAGCTGCTCCAAGTCCGTCAGCCGGCCCCGCATCCCCTGCCACTGGGCACAGTGAAGGATCGGCATCACATTCCAGTCGTCGTTTCGCTCACATCGCTCACTCACGCACCTTAAGTTCTGACATTGTACTGCAAGTTTGCTCTTGCAACCAGCATCTCTCGTAAGCGCACCTTTGCCCTCTTGGACTGAGCCCCAATGGCTCCTCAGCAGGACGGGCTTAGGAAACACGGCATTTCTTCACCCTGGCCACAAGTCGATGAAGAAGAGTCGGACTTGCCACTCTCAAGCTCTGCTTTCACAGGTGTTGGAACGGATTTTGCAATGGAGACATCTACACCACCTGGCTACAATGCCTGGAAGACTTGGCACCTACCTTATACGGACTATCCTGGATATGCCTCCGCAGGCGGCTACCCGAGCTATTCACGCGACGGACATCCTGGCAGCTCAGCAACATGGTCCACCCGTAGGACTCCAGACGCAGAAATTCGGGAGACTTCGACATCATCAACAACGCCTACGTTGATTTCGAGTAACATAGATCCTTCCCTTTCAGCTACCGCCACTGATGATCCGGGGAGTGGACGTCCGGGTTGGCCATGGGCAAAGAAAGACACGGACAACAGCCCCATGTACGCTGCTGCTGCTATCGTACCCATATTGGTGCTTGCAATCATAGGGGGTGTCGCCTTCTACTGTCTCCGCAAGCGTAGGCGACAGAGGGAAAGAGCTACTGTTACGCGGATGACAGCTCAAGAGATGAAAATGCAGCCACGGGTTACAGCACACGCCTACAACGCACCACCACTACCAACCGTGTCACCACATTATGCTGGCTCAGCCAGCCAACCGCCGCCTACATCTGACCCTAGTGCACCCCCTCCCGTCATCCTAGGACCTATTTCATCTGGTGCGAATGGTGCCTATCTTACCGGTATCGACACTTCGGATGTCATCTCCGTGACCTCAAATAACCTCAGACCGGCAGACCCATTCGCAGACAACAGTAGTCTAGCAGAACCTCCACCACCATATCGGCCACGAAGCATTGCTCCGCCAAGCTTCGTGTCTGCGTCGCGACAAAGCAGCTTTCGCACCGTAGATGCTCCGCCTACGACATCGCAGACCCACCTCATTGAGCGCTCGCCTTTCGAAGACGCTCAAGACGACGATGTTATGTCTGAGCTATCGGGTCCTACGCCAGGACGAGGCGACGACGACGCTATTTCGGTCGTCTCCGACCTTTCGTACCAGCAGGATCCTGTGGTAGGCAGGTCCTCTCTTGCGTAGTCTAGGAGAGGGTGGATGGGGGTGGCTTTTTCCTTCTTTGTATATATTTGCCTGGGAGGTGGGATACGGATGTTTCGCACAATGTCTACACGTGAGCACGCATAGCAGGCAGGCGTTTGTGAATGCAGGTTGTTTCTTGGAGCGATGGCGAATATCAAAAGGGACGGATATATTTAGTTATCAGCCTTAATTGTTGACTCATGAATTATGACGACACTTGCTCCGCGTGGCTCCGGGGCTTGCATCTTCATCTCGGTTGCTTTGAGCTAGCTAACTTAATAAGGCGGCACGAGACATGAGACAACTAGATCAACACCACAAGTCCAGTGCAAGCCATCATCACCATAGGTAATGTGTGTGTACTTGTCCATGCTGCCCCTCGATTCGTACCACGTGTCCCCACAGAGGCTAAAGCGGAATGATTGCATGCTCGAAAAAACATAGCATGACCAGCTGCTTAGACTTGGTTATGCCTTTCGGACGACCTAGAATCAAGGGAGCTGGGCAAACCGTAACCATAAATCCGTACCTTGCATAACAGGCTAGCACTAGGGCCCCAGAGGTACCCAGACCACAGAATCCAGGTGCTTTCACATGCCATGTCAGGGATGGGAGTCCCACTTTGTGTCCCGCCAAACTCGACCTGCCCCTCTTTTGTGCCAGCAACGAGGCTGCGAGTGTCTAGTATTGAAGGGAGACGGTGTTTGCTGTACAGCGGCCCTGATCAAGTGCCTTTTATGTGACTAGCTGATGGCATTCACAATCCCGATAATGGTTCCCGCAGCGTGTGTTCCACTTTCTCCTCGTTGAGCTAGGGGCCCATCCCATGCTTGCTCGAATGCGGCAAGTGCTATCGAGGGCGTTTCTCCGCAAGGAAATCAGCCAAATCATTGTCCTGGACTGATTGGCCCTATTTGCCATTGGCCCAGGGTGGAGGAGGCGCGCTTGATGGTACGGGGACGGCATGAGGCCATCTAGATTAATCGTGCTGAGCTGTTTGTGAGGCCGCCGATTTGCTGTGGGGGGGGTGCGCCATGCCCAAGTGTGAATTAAGGAGTGCATAATACATATCAAAGTTACTCCCCAAGCCGGCTCGCTCGCTCATCAGGAGGGTGCATGGGGAGCACAAGCGTAGGGCAGAGGAGGACTGGTTGGCGGGAAACATTGGATGTCTCTAGGAGCGTTAGCGTCGACCTTCTGGGGGGGCAGACCAGACCTCAACGCCGACCTGTCAATCCATCGCATCTCAGCGCGCTCCGCCACGCAACGCAACGCATCGTTCTCTCAGCCATCGTGGAGGCTTTCCGTGCCGCTCGCGATCTAGCTCAAATCGTTGTCCATGCTCGCTCATGGCGCTGTCCAGCACCTCATTCGCTGTACTAGTCGAGGTCGGTTGTTTGGGGCGGCGTCCCCTGCTCCGCGTCGAGGGCCATGAAGGGTTTCGCAGCCCCATTCTCTCCCTGCCCGTTTACTACCAATGATGACTGCCTTGCTATATCTCCACGGGCATGGTTCTAGGGTCCTGCGGCTCGGTACCTGAGCTGCCAGAAACCTTTAGGCCTCAGGAGTCGCATTCCTGTGCCGTTGCTGGTGCTGCGCGTCCACGATCCGGGGCAAGCAATTATTTCATCGTTGCCGAACTACCTCCAATTTCTGTCCAGCTTCACCGGCCCCACTGCAATTCTTGCCTAGTGTACGTGAAGAAAACCTTCACCGTCATTCTCCACGGCAAACAAGCCTCTGAGCTTGAAAGCGCCCTCAGGTAGACTGCAGCCCGAGCCCTCTACACTACGCTGCAGTGACGCCGCCCCTCCTCGGTACCTGCATCCTCAAGGTGTCACAACGCTGGCATATGCCCGCCTCTCCCTGTTCGGGCGTATTACACTCGAGGTACCACAGCTTCCTCACTCGATCCTAACTGCCTCTGCTTCCAGCACGCCGCCAGACTGCCAGAATTCTCTGCCAGAGCGCCGCTGTCTTCACCCTCCACCGCCCCCTCGAACGCCTCGATCCCCCTTCGCCCCCGACGTCTTATATCGCTTGCTACATGGTCTGTAGGGCAAGAACACTGTGTCACTGGGCTTGCTATGAGTTTGGATCAGCACATATATGGGTATGGGCTCCCTTCTACCTGGTTCACGCCCCCCATGTGCCCCTTCAATCAAGTCTTCATGGAAGAGCAGATGACGCTGCCGGGCTGGTGCAATGAGTCTGCTGGTGAGCAGCAGCAACTGTCTATGGCTTCTCTGCCTGCTGGCACGGTCACATCTGCCATGTATAATGTCCCAATTGTGGTTGGGCTAGGCAGAGGGGCAGGCAGCACCGCACGGTTGTCGTCCGAAGCTCAATGCCGCCGGCCCCAAGCATCCCTCAAGACTGCATTCCAGAACCACGTTGTAAATTCTTTGACCGTCCAACTTTTCTTCCAATTTCTTCTTCATCTTCCCGAATCAGAGATCAACTCTTTTCGGCACTTCTTCACTTCGTTCTACGTCATCCAATTGTTCAACGCTAACGTGGGTCGTGTGCTAGCTCGACGGACTGGCATCTTCCAAGTCCATCCTCCACACCCAAGTCGGTGACGTTTCCAGATTCAAGCCTCAAGACGCCCAAGACTGAGGCCTTTCCTCAGTCCCACTTCCTCGACGCCTGGTCGACTCCTCGAGTCAATGGGCAGCACACCCCTGTCCAGACGCCGTCCTTTTCATTATCGACGCCCGTAGACCGCCCGTCGAGCTCATATAGCCAACTCGTTCGAACACCTGAGGATCCAGAGTTCCATGTCAACCACTTCGCACCCCAGAATCTTACTCTGCCACCTGTCGAGGTTGCTCGAAGGCTGTCGTCCTCGCCAGACCCGAGTCAGTTGAGAGGGGTTGGGACCAACCTGTCACAGGGTCAGCTGGGTGGCTCTCGTCCTGTCAGTATGGACTTTTCGCAGATGCAGACGCCGCCTCCCACAAGAGACGCCACGTCCAGAAGGAGTATGCAGCAAAGTGGAGGGAATGGGTTTGGCACTCCGGCTACTGTTATTCAAAGGACGCCCACCCAAGTCCCGACCACAGATGCCCTGTTCAATCAAACACCATTCGGCTTCTCCAATATACCATTTTCACCAGGCATGATGCCGTTCGCGAATGCAGGACCAATGTCAGCACCACCCATGCCCCACTCGCGCCTGTTCTGGGACCAGCCCAACGACAACACTCAGATGGATGTAGACATACCCCTAGCGTCAGACCCTTTTGGTCCTACACCGCACAGGATTGACCAGAGTATCAGCTGGCAAACGTTCCAATCTCCTGTTGCCAATCAAATGAACCCCCAAGCTTCTTATCAAGCTCTGCATGGCATGTCTTCGCCCGGCCCCGTGGCGTCATACGGGACAAGCCACCTGGGCGGAGGGCAAAACTCAAGACCTAACTCGTTCGTATCCACATCTGCTGGCGTTGATCCTAGCATGCTCTTTAGCTTTTCAAATCCTGGCCTGACTACTTCTTTTGGTAGCATACCGCAGCAGGCTAATAAGCAAGTTGGCTCCAGACAGCCATATGAGACCCAGACACGAGACTCGTTACGGGAGAAGGAAATGGCCAAGAAGGCGAAGAGTCAGCACTCACGCACCAATACGAACTCATCGTCAGGTTCAGTGGAGGACATCAAGCCTAGCCTACAACGAAGCAACACCGACAGCGGCTTTAGGAGGCACCGGCCTTCATCAATGGAGTCGAGGAACTCAGGCCAGGCAGCTGCCTCGACGATTCCACGTCGCTCATCGCCGTTAAAACGACAGAGTGGTGTAGCACTTACTGCCATTCCAGAGATACGAAGACCTCGCACACGGTTGATTATTGACGAAACTGGTCGAGCTCGCACAGAGACTGTACCTGTTGGGGACGAGGAGGATACTCCCAGGGATATGCGAATGGGATCTCAGAAGGACATGAGGCGTCAGTATCCTGGGTTGTGGGAAGAAGACGACACCGAGTCTGACGATGACGAGCCGGCTCCAGCAGTCGGTCGTAACACATCATTCAGCGTACCGCAGCCGCAACGTCGTTCCATGAAACATGCTAGGGCAGAAAGTGGCGGCCTCGAGAGATCCAACTCGTTCAAGATACCGCGACTTGCCTCTAGACCAGCTTCAAGCGCTTTCGATAAAGCTTCGTTCGAAACAGTACGTCCTGTCCGAAAGCTTGCCGATAACCCGTCTCGGAGATTCAGCATGATGGACTTCCCTACCTCGTTCGAGAGCGTGAAACAGAGTGAGGATCAACACATGCCTGACTCTCCTGGCGACGCCTTGGGGGCGTTGAAGAAGGTGGTAGCAGGCCGGCAGCAAAGAATTGGTATGTCATCAATTAGTCTCATTGATGGCCGCGTTAACCCAGATAGAACGTGCATCTCATAACACTCTCAAAGCCCATAACCAGCGCTGGGCTCAAGCATCTGCTGACCTCACCAACACCACCACTCCTCACGGCTACGGCCATTACGACCCATTCACTAATTCCTTCAACGCCTCTCCCAATACCGATGGTCTGACCACGCCGTCAACCGACCGAAGCAGTCGTTCGAGCGAAAGCACACGATGCGTCTGCAACGGCGTCGATGACGGCCAGCCTATGGTACAATGCGAGTCGTGCAACAAGTGGTTACACATGGATTGTGTTGGCTTGAATGCAAACAACCTACCGCCTGTATTCGTGTGCATATTCTGCACCGGACAGACGCCGATTGCAAGAGGCGGTAGAGTCCGAGGGCCAGTGCCCTTTGATTCGCCGCTTACGCATAAGTCGATGTTTCGACGATAGGCGACACGACTTGCACCTACACACGGATATCCCATCGTTAGGGCGATACGATTGTTCTAATCTGCCGTAACCCGTCGGTCCACGCACCAGCCAGGTTACCAGAGGCTTGACTTGGCACTTCTTTTAACGTTTAGCATATCCGGAGTTAATATAGCGATTCATCAGCCATGTTTTAGCATTGCCCGTCAAATTCGTCAGAGTTGAATCCACCAGACCGCATATGGCCCAAGCCTTCGAATCTCATCGTACCTCGAATTCTCATTTCGAACTGATCCCCGACTTCCTTTGCGACTTTCCTTCCCACCATGCAACAATAATCACGACAACCGCTTTTCATCACAATATCCGACACCAACATAATGATCGAATGCCAAAGCCTCCGCTGGGTCAGAGGCCTTGGTTCCTAATGTCTTGTCGTTTCTTTTCGTTCTATGGGCTGATGCGCCACGGCGATGTATGTTCTTTACGCTCCTTCACGTCTGTTTATGAGGTGAATGAAAGGAGACGCTGGCTTGATGGTATAATGAGAGAGATGATTGTGAAGTACATCCGATGTAGAGTTTGCATGGAAGTATAGGATATGGACAGATGTGGATTTGGATAGGAGCAGCGATGGGACCTTGTATATACGACTGCTGTTCTGTTCGAATTGATAGAGACTTTTGGAAAGCAACTGTAGTACCCGATTGTTCTTTGCCTCGTGTTGGTTTTGTGATGTTCACAGTCTTATCGCGATACTAATGAGATTACTACTCAGTCGAACTATCTAGCTATGGTAGTCTAATTCCGTTGCTTCCTCCCAGGCCTTGCGAGCAGCGTGGAGACATGTGAAGGGGTTGGTTTTGCATGTAGTAGCTTATATATTCAATTCCCTTTATTGATTAAAGCGAACATTGTTCATAGAGAGTACAAGCGCGAGGTGTGAAATAAGGTGAACCGAATTAAAACACATGCATGTATCGGGGAACCAAGAGATTGACAGACTGGCACTCAAAGTGGATGAAGATGCTGCAGTCCTAGCGAGCAGTGGGCATCACAAATCCTGAGGCTGTCCCTGCGCCACTCTGCACCGCCACATCAGGGACAGACATACAATCTCGACCCATCAATACATGCCCCAGCTATCCTGATGAGTTAGTGCTAGTTCGAGGATTCAGAAACCCTAGCTGATTGCTCTGAGCAGTCTCGAAGCTAGCCGTATTTTTTGCCCAGCTAAGCGAACTACCGGCCCCACCACCCACTCTGAGTTTTCCCACTACTACACCTCGACTCAGTTATTAGATCCCTGCGGCGATGAAGCCGTCCTCATATCGAAGCACACGCGTTTGCTGTGCACAGTACATGTATTTTCTAGTCGGTCAAATCTTTCATCAAAGCTTCAATAGGAGCCTTGGCGCAATGGTAGCGCGTTGGTTTTCGGTCTTGTGCCTGTTCACCAAAGGTTGTGGGTTCGATCCCCATGGGCTTCGATATCTCGAGTCTAACGTCCTTTGACAAGCCGTCTTTTTTGCTCTTTTTTTGGTGGCGTGGTGGATCACGCGTGGTAGACCTTTTTGGCCACGCTACCTCGACGAGGCCACACGTGATTGGATTATCCGTAGCAGCACGTTGTGTCATGTTATGCTAGCCAGATTTTCACATTATCGAGTATAACGCCCCATCGCATGTCCGCTGGGCATCTTCGAATCTTCGGGTTTCTTTGTCAGACTAGATTGGCACTTCCCTTATTTGGGTTCGTGGCTGTACGTGATATAGACTTTTTCATCCTGTGCTGTCCACCCAACAGGATGAATATGCCGTTCACTATGACACGTAGATCGATGTCAGAGCGGTTATCCTTGCCGGGCATGGTTACTAATTCTTTTCAAACAGTTTCGTCTCCGCAATTGAAGCGCTGGCAATAGGTTGGATTTCGTAATCGGGTATGCGTTTACTTATTTATTTATTTACTATATACTATCCAAAGCCTTCGGCTGGTATGCGATATGTACGTCCTCCAACAGTGCGCTGCATTTAGAAATTCCATAACTCCACGCTTGCTAATTTGCAGAAGCCATTCAAGGCTGAGAATGCACTAAAAATAGATAGAGATGTGCGGACTTTACTTTACTTTATGGGGAATATACGGTGGGTCGTGTCATCAAACGTGCGGGTTCATGAGGGTGGCAAAGAGAAGAGAGGGACTAAAGCTCGGACTTCGGGCAGAAACGGATTGACGTTTGAAAGATGGAATCTTGGATAGTTTCCAGGACGCAAAACTCTGGTTCGTGAATCTTGCGGTCGGTCGCGGAAAGCTCGTCGGCCATGATCTCCTCGCTGGTAGGTCCGACGGGTGCTGAGACGCTAGCGTTTTCCTCGAGGGCTTCCATAGCTAGATATTCGTCCAGATGAGCGATCAACTCGGTCTTGGCGTTCGGAAGTTCGACAACAGCATGCTCTGCAACAGCTTCGTCTGCAACAGCGACATCTACAACAGCATCATCTCCATCTACGACAGCTTCAACGGCGACAGCGTCCTCTGCAACAGTTTCAACTACGATAGCTTCAGCACTCGAGGCGGGAGATGTTGGGCTTGGTGTTTCCCCAGTAGAAGTCGACATTTCGATTCCCTTCGCCAACAGATTCGTGGTTTCAGAAGTAGGTGCACTAGTCCTCAGGCCAGTATCCGCAGTGTGAACTTCCGTCACGGTAAGTGTAGAGAAAGATGTCGCAGTAGTGGTAGCCATGACAGAAATCGTTGAAACATGATCGAGCAGGGCAACTTCGTTCGGTACTCCAACTATTTGCGGAGCCAGGAGCTGCTGTCTCCACGTAATGTCCATGTTCATTGACATGAACACAACGGTTGCACCGAGCAGAAGGATGGCAAAGTTCCGTTTATCTCCTAATAGGACGAGGAAGTAATTCTTCAAGAGCGTTCCGAGAGGGATCTCAGTTGCGTGAGGTCGGTAAGACATAGATCGTTGCCTCCTCCGAAGTTGTACGGCTGGGATGTCTTTAGACGAGGAGGACTCCTGTCGAGGAAGATCTTCAGCTTCGGATATTGTCTGTTCTTTAAGCGCGACCTCCAACGTGCGGAGCCGTTCAGCAATTGCATTGGACTCCGCAAGAGTCTGGGCTTCAAGTTCCAAACGTACCGCCTCTTTTGCCTCTTCAATCTTCTCCTCCAATACTTCCTCGAACCTCCGTCTTTCTGCCGCCTTCTCCTCCACACTTCTTTCTAGAGCAGCGGCAGCAGCTTCAAAGCTCTTCTGTAGCTCCAACTCCTCCAACTTCTTCTTTTCAGATGCCTCCTCCTCTAGTATCTTCTGCTTCGTAGCGGCTTCTTGGATCTGTCGCTGCAGTTCCACTGCATACAGCTGCTTCCGCTTATCTGCTTCCTGCTCTTCTTGCACGCGTCTTTCCAGCGTTTTCCGGACTTCCTCCGGTACCCATGGCGAGATCTCGACATCGCACCGCTCCATATCATTCCAGCAAGCGGACCATGCCGCGGCTCGCATCAGCCCGTTTGCGGCGTAGATTTTAATGTCCCACTTCCTTGAGCCGGCACCTACACCTTTACCGGGCCTCTTCAGCTCGCGATGGCAATCTACGCACATACTAGCATGATCAAGCATGTTCTCTGTGAGTGTACCTCCACTCATACGACTTCCTCGGCCTGTAGTATCGTCGGGGACGCTTGCCACATCATCATCCTCTTCGATATCTGTGTCATCGTCTGGTGGTACAAAGTGTCCACACTTGAGTAGTCGAGGCGTCTTTAATTCCAAATTCTCCAGTATGCGCTCCTCCAGCAGGTCGTATTCATCCCTTGGATGTGGTATCAACAATCCTCGCCGCATTAGGATGATGTCCTGAAGCTTTTCTTCCAACAGCTTGTAGTTCTCTACCAGCCAGTCGGGCATGATCCGAACCATCAAATCATGGGAGAAGGGTACCTGCATCGGCAGTATTGTAACGTGCAGCAGGACCAATGGAGCTTGCTGGGGGATAGGCGTGGGTCTTGGGCTGTGATGTTCCCTGATACTTCCTCTACGCGACCCTGATTGTCTTGAGACTGGTGTCTCGGATCTCCCACTTCTGCTCGGTGTAGCTACTTTGTATGACCCCTTCATTCGCTCACGGGAGGCTTCGTAGGTTGGTAGCGGCGGCGGGGAGGACATTTGCATTGCGCGCACAGATTCTGGGTTCCGAAATCGTGGTCGTTCTTTCTGTGGCGTGTACCGCTCATTGGCTGCGTGACTGGCTGGTGCCACGGGCCTCGAAGATACAGAGGTCTCGGATGGCAGCGCAGATATGAAGCTGTAATGGGTCACGCCTGATGATCGACGTGGCTGCGTAGTCGCTTTGCGTGACGTATACGAGCTTCTGTACGGTACAAGTTCTGCTCCGTCTTCACCCTCCTGCTCAAGCTCGATGCTGGGCATAGCATCATCGCCTAGAGGACGCGATAGCTCGGAATTGAATGATATGTCTCCTTCGAATACTTCTGACGGCGACAAAGGCTCTTGATCTTCTGGATCTTCATAGATAGCGAAAGGTGTAACGCCTGGCGGGGGCGGGTGGTGTATTGTAGCCATGTGGAATGTTTGTTGCTTGTGCGACGATATCGAGCGGATGTAACTCAGGGTCCAACTTGAGCAAAGAAAAGTGGAATAATGGTTCAGGGACGTCGTCCGACTTAGACTTAGACTAATGATGGGTTCCAGCGGTTGAGTGATGCGTTGTCGTTGTTTACACCGCCGGATTATCTTATTTCCGGTGGTTGCAGAGGGTAACCGGAAGTGAAAGCTGGCGGGGCCTATTTCGTCAGTTCATGCGACACTAGCCAACCCTACGCTACCATGGAGGCCCCAATAATACTTCCAAGCACACGGCTCTTCATCGGGCCTAGCCATGAGCTATTCGGCTTTGACAGGATATGGGTGAGCATTTTCGAAGGTACGACCTTGCACTCCAAAGTAACCGATCATGTATCTGATCCGCCGTAGGCCGTCACCGTGTCCTTGGCAGGAATGGGGATGATACACAGGACTTGAAGCTCCTCACGCGCATTCTCGAAGACGCTAACCCAAGTACGATTGAGACTTCCCACATGCCATTGTGCCTGGCAATGAGCTAAAAGCTGCAGAACACGCGCGCATTTCTCTTTGGTTCTATTTGACAGACAGAGATGTGCGTTCTGCATTCATGCCATCCGACGAATATCATTACACTCCTCATCCACATACAGCGCTGAATGGGCAAACTCCTTTGGTCTGGACAGTCGACTTTGATCAGAACCGCATCTTCTACGACCGAGATGGCATGCATTTGGTCCACTACTTCAGATTACCCGACGAACGCCCTCTGCGACTTCGACAGTTCCGGCATTATATTCCATCCCAGCCTTATGCTCCTATGCAACTTCCCATGACAGCAGCAAACCCATCAACGTCAAAATTTAAAAGGATCTCAGCACCACGAAACACGATCCCGCCCCAGCTCTTCGACTTCGTGTATCGCCTTGCACATGATTATGAGGTCAATTGGCGAACTAGCAAGTTCACAACCGAGAGCTACGGGTTACAGCAGCTTGCTAACGGCATCCTGAGCTGCTTTACATTGAACTTCAGAACGCAGGAAATTTTCCCCGCAGAGAGAAATGTGTCTCTTTTCCGATTCCCTGTGGATGTAGGGAACCTTTTACGCTGGCGTACTTGGCCTTCGCCCCCTGTAGTGTCTACAGTCAGCGTAGGAGACACACACATCCTGCTCACTGAACGAATAGATGAAGCCATGACACTTGTGAATGAGCATTTCGCGAGTGTTTGCAAAAGCCTCTATTTACGTGCGCATGGGCGGGCAACTGACCATGTGAAAACCCATGGGTGGCCGTGCTTCCACTCAGATACCGATGGGTGTACTACGCAGTATATCGTCACCACGATCCGGGAGATCCAGTATTTTAGAAAGACCTGCGAAACCGTCTCGCGCACACGCGTTTCGCCCTTCTTCAACGGCCCAGGTCCGCCATCAAGGATCGGCGTGCGCTGGATGTTGAACGCCATTCATGGACATGCGTATCCTATGTGTACACCAATCCATAAATTGCCTATCGAGCTGCAATATACGATACTGGACTTTACTTCGGCCGGAAGTTACATGGACCGCGCTATGTATGCGGGCGTGTTGGGCATTGGAGATTCTTTCGACTGGAAATTAGGCACACTACCACTCAAGCTTTGCCAGCTAAGTAGGAAAAGAACGTTGGATAATAAAAGATCCGAGCATCAAGTACTGTTCTGGGATGAATACGTTGCAATGTCGTATCAAGTGAAGGTTTAGCAAAACGGCCATTAACCGCACGTCGAATGACGCTCTTGGAAAGTTGTTCTCTTTCTAGTTCCAATATGGCAAAATGGACGACGTATAATGGCTAGATCTTAGATGTCCTTGAGCATATAAAGCAAAAAGTCCAGCCCGGGTAGGTTCAAGTAGCATAATTTCACGAGGGGATGATCAATTTACAGTTGCCGCTCTGACATTTTTTCACGCCGCCTCTAGGCCTGCTTCTAGCATCTCGGAGATTGCCTCAATAGCGCAAGGCGTTGATTCTTGGTTAGACTCCATTGCGGGTTGCTTGCTATGCTGTGAATTCAAGTAGAGAGTTGGCAAGTCGAGCAAGTAGTCCAGGAGCATCTACATTGTGAAGGATACGCACCGTCACCTGTCTTCCTCCTTCGAATCTCTCGTCTATTACTTCCCAAAATAATGGATACTACCCTGTCTCCGGTTGGGAACCATGAGCAATCGCCTATTCGACTTCGGCTGGATCTTTTGGAACGACTCCATTGGGATGTCTTCGGTTCGCTGGAAGACATCCAAGTCAAAAATAAGAAGGATATTTTAACGCCTTTCTCGGGCCATCGCATTGCTTCCGAGTCCTTGGCAAATCCACCCTTCACCAACATCGAGGTCAACATCGATAGGTGCACGCAGAAGGCCGCTCTCGACGAGACTAACGAAGACGAGGACCCATATGAGGCACCAGAGCCGCTAGTCATTAACAAGGAGGATGGGTCTCCAATATCGCTGCAAGATTTCGTCTTCCAAGTTCACGAATATCTCAACGCCAACAAGGAACAGCTTTACAAATGCGAAGACGAGATGTACATGAATCCAGTAGCCCTCGGCGACGGTCAACAAGCGGTTGAAGTCAATCCTAATGACGGTGAAGGCGTTCCCGATGGCGATGAAGACGCACCTGGATCCGAGGACGAGTCAATGGAGCGTGATCATTTCCTCAGAAGCGGCAATATCCCTGAAGGAAACCGGTTCTTTTTCGATCATGCTATGCTCAACGAGGTTGACACATACGAATATGACATTTACGTATCTGTATTTGTTGAGGGGCATATGGGACTTTCGCTTGAGAAATTCTTGGCGAGAAAACTCAGGCCATAGCAGCATGGAGCATACTCAACGCCGGCTTCATTGATATCTCCACGGTCGTGGGACGAAGATGTGAAAACTTTTGGATCCATTGTACGGCCACCCACGGACGACCACGGTTATCAAAACCATCCTGACCACACTGCCAGTCGTGCACTCTAAGGACCACGACTACCACAACCACCACGAAGCAGCCCGAGCCTACTGTCACGCCCCCGGAGTCTCCTGACTTCTCCAAGGACGTGACCAAATGCTACGACTCTGGTCAAGTCGGCAATCACGGCCATCTCACCAAGCCAGTCCACGATTGGTGCACCAGTAAGAAAGGCAAAATCGTGGAGTCGAAATACTTCTCTCCTGTCCTGAGTACATCGTTTCCGTGCTGCAATATTTGTGACGAGGTTGTCCCTATTGACATCAAGTGGAGTGTGGGGGTGCACGAGGGCTGCGAGTGGAAGGTTAATGTGAAAACATGTAAAGAGGAATTCCGCAAGATTATTGATGGTTATGATACCACACTGCGGATCAAAAGCAAAGTGGAAGGCTTATAGGAGACTGTATAACATGGAGAGTTGACCCCAACTCGCAGTTTTTCAATATGCCAGAATGTTAACTATTTATATATATATAATGACTAGGTAATAATAAGGGGCTAAACTACCTAACTACTAGTAAGGTTATAAAAGTACTAATATGATAGCTCAGGTACGTCTAAGTGGCATAACTCCACTCATCCCACTCCGGCCGCCAAACTACCGGTTCCAACTCCCCCTCGACACTCAATACCTGTCCTAGCGCGCACTCTGAAAACGTAACGGGGTGCTGATGCTCCAAGTAAAACTCGTCATACCTCTCATCCATCGCATCCTTCAGATTCCGAACGTCGCCGACAGGGTGCAGTTTCTCCCATGGCCTCGTACATGCCCGACCTTTGCAGCGCTTGAGAGTAAGCAGGAGTCCGTTGAGTCGCGAAGCTAGCTTGGCGATGGGCCAAGCGTTGACGGTGTCGTCGGTATTGTACAAGTTTTGAAGTTGATAAGGATCGTTCTAATACGGTTGGGTCAGCATGTACAATTTCTTCCATCTGATATATCAAAGCACAAAATACTTACGGTCATATCATATAGCTCATGGTCATTCGTGCACCATACTGAATACGCAAGATCATATTCCTCTCCAATCACTCTAACAGTCTTGTACGTGTTATTTGCGATCTTGTTCTGTCCAAAGAAAGTGTTTCCTTCGACTAGGTATTCGCCCCAGAACTCAATGTTGACGTGCTCACTCTTATCGCTGCGCGCTAGCTGCTCTTTTGTGACCGGAATAGGCTCTCCGTCGAAGTCTTCGCGCAACGGGATGCCTGCGAGAGTGAAAAGCGTGGGTACAATGTCGGTGTGACTGGAAGGAATAGTTTCCACTGCGCCTTTGGCGACGCCTGGGCCGCGGATAAAGAATGGGATGTTGACGTCTTCTTCGATGCCACAGCTTTTCCCTGGCGGAAGGCGGTGTTGCCCGATGTGGAAGCCGTTATCTGTCGTATAGATGAGATAGGTGTTCTCTAGCACCTCCGGGCTGGCGCTCAAGCGATCCATGATCGAGTCGATGAGCTCATCTACCGACTGCAGAGATTGCAGCCTTTTACGGTACCAGTCATCGTTGTACTCGATTTCAGATTGATTGAGCTGTCGGAGTGTCTTGAAGTACGAGGCTGTACCCGGCTAGAACGCAGAGTTTAGTGACCAAACTCACGTATGACGTGTAGACAACTTACAGTGTCTGGGTTGAACCCCGGCGTCCTTGGGACAGTAACATTTGGAAACAAATGTTCGTGCCTTTTCGCCGGTACTGGTGCATTGAACTTGACCGTTGGTCTCGTGATCGTTTCAGAATGGGGGGCAATTGGCGCGATGCCGAGGAAAAATGGTCGATTTGATGCGGCGATGGCATCGTCGAGGAAGCCAACGGCGGCAGCAGCGACAAGATCAGTAGAGTACTCCCCGGGAAGATTTCTGTATGGCTCGTGGTTGCGTGTCATTGTGGCATTGTAGAAGATATACTAGACGCGGGTAAGAGATTAGTGTATGTCTCACATGCAGTGTGTCTGGTTGCATACAGTTCCAGGGTCGATCAAGAAATCGGACCCGTTCCAGCCGTTGATGCGTGGTTTGTCGTAGGTATTGATGGAATGACCATTCATCATCTTCCCCGTATAATACGTGTTATATCCCGCATTTTGCAGCCAGACTGGAAGATAGTCATTGTTGAAACCCTCCTCAATGAATCTCGGATATCCACCTAGCGATTGTCAAAACCATGCTTCAACTTCCTCATTACTACCAATTTACCATATGGGGCAGAAACATCCGTGACATTGGTGTTATGCGCCGCTTTCCCTGTCAAAAGGGACACCCGCGACGGACAGCACAGTGACACAGTACAAAAGTGTTTCTTGAACCACGTCCCCTCTTGAGCGAAATGTTTCTGAACCGATTGTTGATAGTCCAAAGAGTTCAGGTGCATATCCTGGTCATCGGTCATGATAAAAATGAAGTTCGGCTTCGAAGCAATGCCCGTTACAGCGGACATGCCCGCAGAGAGCATCATCAACGCCTGGCTCGGCGTCATGGTCGATGATATTTGTCGGGAGAAATCGCTGCTGAGAGCAGAGTGACATGAATAAGATATTCATATTTTGCTTGAATATGACAAGAAGAGCTTGGTTCGGAGAAACCTTCGCCCATTTAATGTTGCGCGAGGTTTGATTCATATTGCGTGCTTCGGTAAAAAACTAGGTTTGTTCGTAGTGGATCGGCTGCAAAGCATTTAGAGGTTTACTCGGGCCGATGTGCTGAAGAAAAGCAAATGACGTAGTGGAGACAGCGAAATCGAAGACCAACAACAAGTTTCCTAGGGACGGCTAATGCTCGCTATGATGGAACTTATCTTTTGTGTAGGCTTTTGCATTTTTTTTCATTTTTTTTTACTGGGGTAATACTACCTCAGACGAGAATGGTCGAGGGCATGCGCTTGAGCAATATTCTACGTTGCGCACTCAACGCAATTTCAATGCGAAACGTCCGATGGAATGGTGGTAATATCACCACAGTAACTAAGCAAGCACCTGTATGAATATAGTCCAAAAGTATTAGAGTGCCAGACACAAGCGAATACTAAATACGATTTCAATCGAGACAATCGTAGGTCTGCCATATGCTATGTAGCAGCCTCGGCCTTTCGCTGCCTTACACTAGCATTTTTCTATGCGTGCCTTAGAAGCGACTATTCAAGTCAGTATTGCGAGAGTTGTCTGATACGACTTCTCTTTACCCAAGCTGCGAAATACTTCTTCACAAAGAAGCCGCTGGATCTTGAGCCATCGTCCATATACCCCTCGTATCCGACTCGCCGAGACATGGATTGGCGTGCGGCGTTGTCATTGCTGGCCTCATGTTCTGCTCTGCAATGTATCCCTTTTCGTTCCATCTAGTGTACGGCATACGCATCAGACATGCTGCCTAGCTCCCACGGTATGACGCTCTCGGATCGGATTGTAGATATGAGGACCCTCGACTGGGGGAAAACAGGTCGCTGGTTTGTGTGGTATGATAAATCGCATACGCGTTTTCGATCCGAGGCTGCGATCGATGCGGTAGGCTAGACATGATGCTATCATTGGAGGGTTGAAAAATCTTCACAGGTCGAACGCTGTGGGACGATCATGAGCGATTTGGTCGGTAGTCAAAGCCATCTGGGGCATCTCGGTTCGGTGCACCTAGGTAGTGTTATCTGCTTGTGCCCACAGTCCAAACGAGCCTCCAGGCTCTGATGTGAAATTGCAGCCTAGGTTGTAGCGTGCAGCAGGATATGCTCAACCGCTTGACTTTTGACCTTTATTTACTGCTCCAGGTCCAATGAGTTCCTGAACTCTGACCTTTCCCCACCCTATAATTTTCCTTTTTGCTCAATCCTGTCTTGTATTGCTGGCGCTGCGGTTGTAAGCCGTGCTCTGGTACTCGCATTCTATATCCTAGGTAGCTCAGGGCGTCTCGTCGACGATCACATATTTGTGGTGTACCTACTGCAACTAGTGCCGAGGATGCACAGTCTAGGGAATATAGCATCGCTCCAGGATTGAAGGCGGTATGACCTGAGAGTTTCTGGGGAGTCTTTCGGACAAGGTGAACTGACGCAGCAGCTGGCGGTCCTCCTTGCGCTGCAGATTTGCAAAGTCTTCCACTGACGGCAGAACACGATGGCAGTGACGTCGATAGTGTAGTAGATCTCATCGGGTTGGATCAGGGGGTATCATATAGGCGGTGTGGCATCCTCTTGTTCGCTGTGCGCGTCATCAGAAGGTCAGACATATTGTCTAAAACTTTGTCGTCGATGATGAGCCCCGTCGGAGAAGAAATCTCAATAAACCACTCTTGTCGACTACAATCTCTAATAAGGGTCGCTGAGGCATGGCGTTGTGAAAACGGCTCTTTCCGTTGATACGAGATTCATCTTCAAATCTTCGTATCCCTGACTCTATGGCTGGTTGTCTTATGGTAGACTTAGCGGATACGTTTGAGACGGCGCAGAGATCGACAACACTATGTTACAGGTGGGCGGGACGTTGCGAAGAAGAGGGCTACCTTGTGCTGACATCTCCGGGCCATCTAACAATCGCATATTCCTTCTCTTGCAAAACAATTCCATGCTACAGAAATAACTCTCACCAGCCACAATGGAATCTTTACTGAGATAGCCGAAAAGTCGATTGCTAGTCAGTCATCCTTCGGACGGTCCGTCCCCTCGGACAGATGCACGGTTAGTCATGGTTTCTTCCTCCAGATCAAGATGCCGCGGTAAGTCTGGAGGCGGACGAAATAAAAAGGATCGAATGATCAGAAAAAAATACAACCGAAATATTACCATTTTGCTCCAGAGAAAAAAAAGATGCTAAAAAAAGCCGGTCAATGCGTCTGATGGTCGCATCGCGATCCGAGCGGGGCTGGGTGGCCGGGCCAATGGCACGTACTTCCGCAATTGGATGCCTGAGGATCTAGCATCTGATAAAAAACCGATAAAAAGCGACTAAGAAGTCAATGGCGGCGAGTCATGTCATGCTCTTTTGCTAGTGTAGGTAGTTCAGCATTATCACAGTCCTAGAGCGTGTTTGATGTACTGCTGTTCGAATATTCCATCTCACTCTTAGATCCAGCAGTCAATCAATGCGGTACCCAATAACGGGATAGTGTGTACGGCGTAGCAAGAAGCAGATAGGGAGAAATCCTTGCGCGCATATCACCTTCCTAACTCAACCAACTTTTTATGAAAGGAAAAGAACAAGGCCCGATTTAGTCACGATGAGTGATGCATGGGAAAACTCCGGCGAAGATAGTCCGAGCGCGCGCTGCGTGCGGAGTGGACTATGCCGTGGACTCACGGAGGGGCGGTGGCAATAGCACGACAGACACAGCGGAGCCCAATTCAACGGAGCGGAGGGCGCTGATCTTTCGGAGCAACGAGCAGCGGAAACCACACATGGCGGTCGGTGGGGTCTTCTTCTCCTCGCTGCCTCGCCTTGCACGCACGCACTCTGGCCCGCTTCGCCTGTCCCTGCCCCTAAGGATGCGGCTAGCCGGGAACCAGTTGAGCTAAAACCTTTAGGGCCTCCCGTTAGTTGGTACAAGCGACGACTGCTAAAGAACCAAGGCTTTCTCCCGACCTTGGAACCGAGGTAGCCGAGCAGAGAGGATTGATTCACCCTCGCGATGATTATCATTGACAAGAGCATCATTAGTCCGAAAAGACGAGGAAGGATTGCCACGTGGGAAGGAGAATCTGACTCTGTGTTTACTCATCAGAAAGAACACTACCAATGCGCGCTGGTATTACCGCTTTCAAGCATCTCGATGCCATCCCCAATTTACCGAAACAGCCTATGCGTCGGCCTTTCAATCAACCTTGAGCCACACCCTCACCGGTTTCACACCAAACCCATTATTGCATCTCAGCGCTATTGAACATAGTGGCTGTGCCGCCGTCAGCCTCCTCGCGAAACATCACCTAAACTAGGTAGCGAGAGCAAGTGACAGCTGCCCGCTGCTGATCAAAGCAACAAGGCTGCTAGGGAGGCCGCCCTCATCCGACGGCGCCAAGCCTAGCCCGGAAAGGGCCTGTGTCCAAAATGACATCAAAGCAAGCTACGTTTCCCTAATGTTGCGGGTGTGCTTGTTTGGTAAAAAGAATCGGTTCCCGTCAAAGGAAAAACAAGCGAGCCATGTGCTTGGTTGCCCGTTCTTGTACAACACAAGAGCAGAGTTTGAGCGGAACATGGATGGGTCGTCCCCCCGTGGTTGATTGTACGTAACCTAGTTCGGCGGAAAGATAGAGCCGATCTCAGGCCATGTGGGGTTGGCCCTGCTGATTGGCGGATTCGGTCTGTATTTTTAGGAAAACTGGTTGCCTGTTCATCTTGGAATCCTTTGATGACGTGACAGGGTTAGCCTTGCAAAAGTCCACATGTGCGCGCTAGAGAGGGCTCCACACTAAGACAGATCCAGAGAACCTTAATTCTTCTTTGCATGCTATCGCTAATGAGTTTGCCTACTAGATATCGTTGGAGTTGATTGTCCAACAACCCACGTCCTGTGCTGACATTCCTTTGAGACCGCTCATGTCTGAATAAGGAACTTACGTCGCAAAAAAAAAAAAAGGCAAAAGATATGACCTGCTCCTTTTTGGTATGCAACATAACGTCGATGTAGCAACATGTCCAAAAGCTAGTCGTGCCCAGCGCCAAACAATGCAGTCATAAAAGTGTCGTAGCGCGGTGCAGGTGCCTCATTGGGCTGCCGCGCTGTGCCGTAACTCGGTGTCATGCCATGCATGGTGCACAACGTTCAAGCTCGGTTCCGGCTCCGCCTTACATAACAGGAGATGATGTGCATTAAAGCATCCTCTTCTCCGGCAACTGCGCCGAGACGCGTGGCGCAGCCAAACTGTGAATGGCTTTCTGCAACCTTTGAAATCCCGCTTTGCCAGTAGATGGCTCTGATAGGTTAGACGAATAGTAGACAGTTGATCGGAACTTGATCGACCAAAGATCTTTATACCTGATACTGTGGAGACAGTCAGGCTTGTGGGCTTTGTCGCGGAACCATCGAACCGGTGATTCCCCGAACGCCCAATCTCCCTGTCGATCTCATGCCTGACTGTACTGCGATGGAACAAAGGGAGTTCCGGGGGCCGCTTGGGGTGTTCTCCCTGAATCGGGCGTGGCGCTGGGATGAGGGGGCTGAGAAGCCACCACTCGAGTGTTATTGATGTTCCTGGAAGGTTCGTTCAGCGCGCTTTCGTTTACGTCCAGATAGGTGTAGCCACGAACCCGCTGGGATAACCCATAGGCACTCCATAGCCAAATCCATGTTCTTGTGGTGCCGAGTATGCCGGCAGCGCGGCTGCGGGAGACCCCAGCGGAGACGCATAATTACTTGACATGCTCGAGGACGCATAACTATTCGTCCCATACGCGTCCACAGTTGACCGTGGGACTTCGAGGTACGGTGACGTGGGCGTAGACGCCATTCCAGGTGGTAAGAATGAAAGTGGTGACGGGGCGAACGCAGGACTTAGGCTTTGACCATAACTGTACTGCGCAATCTGGTTTTCGAGATCCAAATTGATAGTCTCTAGCGCGTATGCGGGTTGTTGAACTGGGGAGACATTCGTCATCTGCTGCCGTGCCCACTCTCGTCGTGTTTTGTAGGTTGATATCATATCGAGGGGGAACTGGACCAGGTATGACATGGTCTGTATCCGTGAGTCGTATCGTGTGTCTTGGTAGCCCTGGACAAGTAGGACAATCTCTTCTAACGGACGAAGGGATAGGTCTGCTACGAAAACAGACGCGACGTCGGGGAACATGGGCTCCAATGCAAGTGCAGTGGCGTAGAAGTGCGCCAACACGACGAGGACGTTGATGTCTCCGCGCTTGGCAGCCAGAAGAGAGATGGGTACCCAGAAGAGCCATTTTCGAAGGGCATATAGCTGGTTGAACTGTTCTTCAGGGGTTTGTGGTTGGTTGGAAGCCCCAAGGCGGTCGAGGTAGCCTTTCAATTGATCAACCCATTTTGTCTCCTGATCATTCCGGCTCAAGTAGGGTTGCAGTCGTTGCAAAGAGGTGTGAATATCTGACAGGGCGTTCAAATGTTCTCTTCGCGATTCTTGGGATATAGGCGTGCTGATCGGGTTCATGAAATGTCGGTTGAGCATAGGAGTGTGCTCGGCAATGTAGTCGGCAAACAACGACTCATGTCGCCATGGCTGCATAGACTGAATAACCTAATTTACAATTAGCCGGTGAGGTTACACAGCCGTCAATATACTTGCCGTTCTTGTGCCCGTCACCAACGAAGCCCAGCCTCGCCTAATTGTCTTCTGTCAGTATTGGCAGTCATTTCACCAGGGAGGATATCTTACCAGTCGGTTGCCTGCCAGGCGAGGAGAAGAGACGAAGCAAGAACCGCATCCGAATTCAGTTTCGTAAAGTTCGTAATTCCATCGTGTAGCCCCTTCAAAGCAACGCTTACGTGGTGAAATGCCAGATTTCGAGTTTCATTCGACTGAGAAATCCACGCCAAATGTGACGCGGAAAATGCGAGAATAGAGTGCATGACAAAGGGGTGAGATGCGGCGATGCTCAAGAATCTAGAAAGGCGTCAGAGCTGCTTTTGGGTCTAGTCGCGTGGGGAGAAGATTGGCTCACTTGGGCATCATATCGGTCCAAAGTGTCGACTTTGATGTCCTGTTCCTGAACATCTCATTCGAAATGGAAGAGAGGTGATGAATCAGGCGGAGGTCAGTCTTGGGCAAGGCGCGCCATTGAGGCTGCGGATATACTCGAAGTTCGGGGAAAGGAAACTCTCCCGTCTGTCTCCAGACTTCGATTGTGGCCTCGATCTCCGGTGTCCACAGCAGGTTTGGCTGCTGGGGAGACTGAGGAGACTCGGGCATCATGGCAGCCGGGCTGTCCATGTAGTCGCAACGGACTTGATGCTTGGTGCAATTACGGCTGGCTTGACGTTGGCATTCGGGGCGTAAAAAAGGGTTAGGATACAGTGCTTACCATTGCGGGAATGTTTCATCACAGCGGATATGCCGTCTCTTGCACGTCTTGCATCCCTTGCGGGACTTGGTATGGCTGCGCCTCGAAGGGCCTCCACCTGGGCCAGCCATTTGGTTAGATGGGAATGATGAAGTAGTTTAGCGAAAGTGGGAAGGAATTAGGGCAGCGAGCTTGGTGGTGTAAGCGCTCGGGCGCGGGTGGAGTCGTAGTCAGTGTGCTCTCGTAGGGTGTATACCAGAGGAACAGAAAGGTTGAGTAGGCGGCGGCGGGGGGGGGGGCTGAGTATATGCGGGCTGTAGATCTGGTGGGCGGTTGATAAAGCGAGGGTAATGGGGTCGAAACCGGTGACTAAAACAGGGAAGGATGTTGATTTGGAGGTTGGCGATGGACGTTTGGTGATATATAGCGCTGGGCTGGATGGGATGAGCTTAGATGGCTAACTAGGGCTAACGATTATTGACGCAGAGCCAGCAAGTCTCCAGCGGAGAGGTAACGAGGGTACGACAGGGCAAGGTAACAGCGGATATGGACAAGAGAGTCCGCAAGATGCCCCCTGCAGAATGACCATGCAGGATGCGGACAAGGCTACGAGACTAGAGGCTCGACAGGCTGAAGAGGGACCTTGGGCGGCATGGGGAGTCAAAGTGCAGGGTGAATTGTGGCCGGGTCCCAAGACGACAGAGGTCAAGGACGGGGCCAACCACGGTTAGGCAGAGAGTAGCGTCCACACAAATAGCAGTGACGCCACGAGCGGCGGAGAAGGGAAGAATTGGGTGGCAGCCGGTAGACGGCGAGACGGGAGAAGCTAGCAGGGAGGGCCAGAGAAGCTTGCGGGAGCTACAGCTATGGAGTGATTGAATCACAGATGGGACCGGCTGGCTTCTGCTCGTATGACATAGCCCCCCGGTGTAACTCCCGTGGGGATAAAGCTTCTATCCAGGGCCATGGACCCCCGTCTCTTCGCTTTGGAGAAGAAGGGCCTGGCGTCAAGTGCTGAAATGACGAAGGCGTATATGGGTCGAGGCATGGGACTGGAGCCACTCAGCAACCCCTGCGCCAGGAAGGAACCCCAGGCTTGGGGCGCTCTGCGAACGTCTCTGGCTCGCCGGTGGGCCCTGGATGAAGATGCGGATGGAGCGCTCGTCAGTGAAGGGCCCTGGTCGTCCCGCATGGCAACGGAGACGTTTTGGACGTGCAGGCTGTAGGGGTGTAGGGTGCATGAGCCGCTCCAGCTGGCGGTCAAAGTGCTGAGAGGCGCAAAAACGCCGAGTGAACGGCATACAGTACATGTGTGCGGGCCGTGCGGTGGACGCGATCGACCAGTGGCATTGCGCCAGGCACGTTTGGCCATGGTGTTTCGCGGTAGACAGGAATATACAAGAATAAAACGGTGAGTGAGCACGAGCTGGTCCTGGTCCTGGCCGGTCCTGGTCATGGTCATGGTCAGGTCAGCCGGAGCGCGCGCTGGGCGAGTTGCGCCGCTTCAACTCTGCTCTACGAGATGGCCAACGGCACCACGAAAGAGGGCCGTGGCGTAGCAGCGGACCCCATTCAATTCACCCTGATGAAGCCGATGCGCAGGGCGGGCAAATCAGAAGCAGGCGGTGCTGATGGGGGGACGACGGATGGGATGCGAGGCACCAGAGAAGTTCGCTAGAGGGAGGCCCTTTGGCTTTCTGCGGCCAAAAATAGCTCCTGGCGCCTTGACCCGACTGTGGCTACAGTACCGGTACACACACACACACACACATCTCGTCTGTCACCAGATCATACACAGACATAACCCAATCTGCCCTCGCTGCTAACCCCCGCAGACCATAGGCTGGCCTCACTTTCTATTTTGTCGCTTTATCGAAATACTACGCTGGCCCATAGCTGCCACCGCCACTGTGCCGAGGCATTGCAGACGACCTCCACTCCGCTCCCACCCTCTCTCTACGCTACTACGGCTACTACGCTCCCCTCGGCCGCCGGCCTACGCGAGAGAGACAGACAGGGCAGTACGCACTGGGTAAAGCCAGCCTGTCCTCGTCTGTGTCTTACCCATTCATTGTTTTTTGGCAATATCCTCATGCAGCAAATATTGCGACCCTGGCTTACGCGAGCGCAGCCATGGCGAACCTGGCGGAACACGCTGCGGTGACATCTGCGAGCTACCCACCCAGCTCTTTGTCGCCGATAGTCCACGGCGCCGGACCCGGCCTGCCGCTGCAGGGCTGTCTGTTTGCTGCCATGACGTTCCGCTCAGATAATGGCTGTGGGTGGAGACGACCGACCGACCAAAGAGCTAAGAAAAGCAAACTGAACGAACGCTAACGGCCGGCCAATGCACTCGCGAAAGCAGTGTCAAGTCCATCATGGCCTATGTGTATTCCCATCGCGAGCCGTCGTGGGCGTGACCAGGTGAGGTTGGCTTTGGAACGGATTCTAGAAAACTATTCTTAGCGATAACCTCTTTGAAGCGTGCAGCTCTCGTCCAGGGTAAACCATGCCATCTCTGGGGTTCTGCAGCCAGGGTCGAGAGAACAACCTCTTCTCCATTGATTCGACTGCCTTTTGATCCTGCGACCAGCACTGGATGACTCTGCTGCACCCAGTTGCATTTTACTCTCTCCATTCGTCGCTACGTGATTGACTTTGATCCTTCTCCAGGCCAAGCCGGCAACATGGGATTAAACCGGCCCGCGCGCGCAATAAATAAACCCCATCCATCCATCCATCCAGCCATCCATCTACCTGCAAGCCACACACGTTGTTCCCTACTACTAACTACCCAAACGAGCCCTGCCTCCACCCAGACCGACTTTAAAAATAGTCCCCCCCCCCCCCCCCCCCCCCCCCAGCCCTGTCCTTCCACCGGCGCCGACACGGGTCCCGCCACAGTGCGAGCGTGGCAGGCCACCACAATAAACACACGTTCCCTCATCCCGCTGCCACGGGCCATCGCGTGCTCAATAGCACTTCTTCCTTTTCCGTGTGCTGAAACATTCACACTGGCCGCTGGCCGCCGAGTCCGATGTATGTAGTAACCGTTTGGCCTATAATTCTCCTAAAACGCTCCTCCCTCTTTCTAGCCTCCTCCACTACCTATACAGATCGACGCCAAGGTCTCTGAAGCACAGACTGTCACGAGAGTGTGTGCACCTGCAAGTCGATGGCAGCACCTCCAGAAGGAGCTGAGCTTGACGTCGAGTAGTTCACATCCTTGGTCAACGGTAGTGACAGTTGAGGTATTAATAGCAATATCCTTCTTCCTTCCCTGTTGCTCGCGTGGTCCATCCTGCAGGACCCATTGCATTGAACCGCAAATGGCGGTTAGCATGGCGACGTACATGGCGCTCCCTCATTTTGCCAAAACAACAACATGGGCATGTGGGCGTGACAGAAAACGACTTAATTTCATGTCCGCCATGCGAGGACGTGTTCTAGGCTACCTACAGCTATGGATAATCGTTGCGCAACCAACAGGAAAACGCCCGGAAATGTCTCAAAAGCTTGCCACCGAGGGACTATCCCTTTACAATCCCACCGAGTAGAAGTGGAAGAAAAAAAAGTCGCTCGCTCAAATAGACCCTCTATACATGCCGTGGCCTTCCAATATTGTCTCGTAAATGCTCATTGATTGCTCCGCCCTGACTTTGTAGGTGCACGTGGCTCCTTGCCATGTCCAGAGACTCATAATCCCTTGTGGTATCCATCTCTTCCTCTATCCCTCCACTCATGATCCAACGCCTACAGCTACATACACGAAAATAGAAGAGTGGGACTAGACGCTATACAGTTCCCGAAGATTGGCTTGTTGATCGGCGGGTAGGCCTCCGAGAAAGGCATCAAAGTTGGAGATCATACTCTTGTACTGCTGAATGACCTGAGCATCAAATTAGCTTCGTCGCTATAGCATCGCCTAATATGATTTACCTTTTGAAACGTTTCCCCAAATGGTCGTCCTACTGGACTTTGCACAATCTTGCTCTTCGCTCGGGCCATCTCACTAAAAAACTCGAGAAGCGATTGCTCCATAGCACCCGGGTTAGCCAGCATAATCTGCATAAAACCCGTAAGGGCGTGCAGTTTCTCATCCGTCCACATGACCTTCTTGATGGCACGGAGGAAAGCAGGCGCAATTTGAGCGAGATGCACAGCGAGCTGCTGTGCACAGCCCAGCCCTAGTCTTCCCAATGCAATCGCTGCGTTCTCGTTCAAAGATTCTGGCACCTTCTCGTCGAATAATATTGTGCCCATTTTCCCGAGAAGCCTTTCCACGTAGGGCTGCATGCCCTCCTTCTGCCTCATCGAGATTTCTCCAACGGACCAGCAGGCATTGTTAATGACTGAATATAACGTCTCGTCGCCTTCATGTTGAAGTTGAGTAACCTCGAGTTGGGCGATGAGGATTTCCAAGATGGTGGGCAAACAGGGCTGCAGCTGTTCGAAGACATAGATGGCACAATCTCCCAGAAGAGCGTAAGCGGATTGTCGTACATCATTGTTGGCGTCTCCCATACAGACAGCCAGCAGCTGGAAAAAGCTAGACGTGCCTGCAACTAGTTGCGCGCTATCCTGAGGCGGCAGTGCTTGTATGATGGCACTGAGCAAGTCCAAACTCGTCACCAAGAAGTCTTTGTCTGGAGCCTCGAATCCTGGATTCTCAACTGCAAACACACCTTCTTCTAGGTTGCGGTGTATGATCTTGACACAACGCGCAAAAATCCCGCCCGCATACTGCGAGAACATTGCGCCGAGTGCTGTGGCTACGTACGAAAGACACTCAAGTAGAGGGAACATCTCGCGCGACTGGTCCGAAACTTTGTTCCATCGTTGTAAGAGCGCTGGCATCAGTATGCTGACAAGATCTTCCCTCGCAAGTGCAGGGCCAACGTGCTCAGCCAGCGTTTGAACACAATCGTAGAGAATGAACATGTTCCGGTCTTTGTACATTGCAAAGCATTGGACGAACTGACGCACGATGACTGCACAGTAATCCTTTAGTTCAGTGCTCGCCCTTTCTTCAAGGTTTGCAAAAGCGGACGCTGCAGCCTCCTGGACCTTCTTGTTCGTATCGAGCATCTTTTTGAGAATTCCTTCCATGACCGGCTCAAAGAATTGTCGTTTTCCGGCCGGGTCGAGGTCCGCTGCCCATCCTGAGTATCGGCCTAGGGACCAACATGTGATTTGCCGAACAACAGGCTTGGGATCCTGTAGGAGCGTTATGAGGTATGGTGTGAGCATTGGCAAATGCGGTTCAACAACCCCCATACAACCATCCGCTATCGCGCCAAGCGCAAGCACAGCCGATTCTCTATTAGGCCAGTCCTGGTGATTGAGGTTATCGGTCAGATACGGGAGTGTAGCTTGGAAAACAGCCTCATGGAAAACTGAAGCGAGTACGTCGAGCGCCGCGGCCGAGCACTTTCGGAGGTTCCACTGCTCTTCTGGATCGCTAAACTCGTCGTCGTCGTCGTCGAACTCGTCGATTTCACCATCACTGAGGTCATCGTCGATTCTTTCAGCGGAAGGTTCCACGTCTCCGTGAAGGCCGGATGCATCCAGGTCAGTGGCTTTGGTGGTTAGTCTTCCTGCCTTGCTGGATGCAAAGGTTGGTTTCATGTCCTGTTCCCGATCATCAACCTCGTAGTCCTCCTCTTCGCCTTCGAGGCGTAAGATCTCATCCTCACTGTAGACCATACTGGATAGAAGGACAGGTATAATCTTCGGCAAATAGGGCCCAAGGTGCTCGCGCATCTTTTCGTCCTCGCCAACACACAACCAGAATTCTGCGGCGTCCAAAGCTAGCTCTGCGTTGTCGTCACTGCGTTGCTGTGTAACCATGTAATCGACCAAGCCTTCCATATGTGGTACAATCTTTTGGGGAGCAATGTCTGCAATGTGTACGAAGGCGCGACAAACGTGCTTTCGAACGTCCTCACTCGGGTCACTGGCCAATTGGAAGAGCTGCAATAAAAGCGCGTCGATATTCGCCATGACAGCCTGGGGCTTCTCTGGGACGAAAATGTTGATGCTGGCTAATGCATCGGCGCGTACTCGTGGCTGGGGACTTGTTGTGAGTTCTAGAAGTTTTGGAAATATGAAATTTAGGGGCTTTTCTCCTTGATATTGCTTGTCGAGCGCCTTTCGACTGTCTTCGCAAATCTTCAGTAGGGCGCTCATGCCGCCCTCTTGTGCCTGGATCGAGACACTGCCACTGGCATTGCTGACCATGTTGAGCAGCTCTGATAGAACCTGGGGCCAGCCCATAATGCCTCCCTGCCGCACGATCTCAGTGATTACGTTCCCTGCGTATCCTCGTATCTGCGAGCTTGGATCTTGTAAGCCGATCAATATTATCGACCGAATGTATTCCTTTGTGCTTTCGGGCATGGTTTTGTACGTGGTTTTGACATCGTTCTTGAGCATGACGGCGGCCGCAGCGCGAGCCTGGAAGTAGCCACCGGCATCCATGTTCACGGCGGGCGGAGGCTGGCTGTTCGAGAAGACGTAGGCAAGATATTTGTCGATATCAGGAGAGCTTGTGGCCGACTTGAGCATCTGTAAGGCCACCGGGGTCAGCACATGGGGTTCCAATCAGTTTGTAGACTGAGCCAACTGACGATTCCGGCGTTGTTTCGCGCATTCTGGTCATGGCCGCTCAGCGAGTCCCTCAGGCACTGCGCCAGCTGCCGTAAAGGCTCCTCTTCGGGTTGCCACGCCATGTTGGAGGGCGGTTTGCTCTGCAGTGCGGGGCAAGGTGCAAAGCTGCCTCGGCGAGCCACCTATGAAAAGTACTGTATTGGAAGGTAGGAATGCGCTGCGGAGGCGACAAGGGCGAAGGAAAAGTAGACCGTGGCGGCTTAAGCTGGTTCTGCTGGTGCGATGCATGGTTAGCTCTGATCTGTGCATGGGTAAAACAATGGAGACGAATTGATGAGGGGCAGCCTACGTACCAGCTCGCGTAGTCAGGGCGTGTTACAAGTCGGCACCCATTCTGTCAGGTCTTACGAAGGATTTTGGCGTATAGAAATTTTACGTGCGCTGCAACGGCAAGTTTGCTAGCAGATGGCAACGCGGGGCGGAGGAGTGCAACGGCCTGGAGCCAAGGGTGGGCCTTGGGCGACACTATACGAAGACGGGAACGCGGTGGGACAATGTCAAAGACGAAGCCAGCAGCGCTTTCGGCGGGCTTGGAGGCGAGGGTGAGGGGCTCCAGCAGTAGGTTTGGTTCGACGTGGGTGTAGATTTGTGAAGTGGGCCCCTCTCCCATTTCGGCTAGGAGCGACGACAAGTGGAGGTGACTGCGCAAACACCTCTCTACGACGACGGCATCTCTACATACCACAGGATACTACTCGTTGCACCGTACCCACCTGTGCCCTTGCTCTGAGCCCATGTCGTCCTCAGAGGAACTACTCGCCTCGTCCACATGTCTCGACATGTTCCTCTCTCTCGCCAGCGCTGCGTCACGTTGCTCTTTCCTCTTCTGTTACGTCCAAGGCTAGAGATTTGGCAGGTGCAAGCCACTGTCCATGTGAACTCCTCACGCTTAGCTGACTCGTGCACGCGACCGTTCTGCTCTGCCTCTTCCAGACAACGGCCAAGTCTTCTTATGGCCTATTCTCTTTCGGTCGAATACCTGCCTTCGATTGCTTCTCAGCTTTCTGTTTGACCCCTTAAACACAGTTGGATCTTGCGACATAATCTCGACTACCCTCGACCCATTCACTGAGGTCTGAATCAAGTCTACCTCGGAACCCTCAGATCAGACCAACCTCTTGCGGGTCTATTACCTCACCTGGAAACCCCGTCACTCCTAAGAAAAGATCATAGAAGCTAACAAGGCGATCGCATATCGACGACGTGGTCAGCCCCTTCCACCAGTTTGGCCGCCTCAGCCAGCTCAAAGCGTACAGTGAAGCGCAAATACAGGTACAAAGCTTTCATTTGGAGCTGGTGCTGCTGCTCCCCAGAACCAATATCGGGTGCTACACCACAAAGGAACATTCCTCCGTGTTGAGATGAATGGGCATAGAACGATTCGGGAAGAACATAATCATGACATCGTTTTGTTCGATTTACTTACACCCTCATACAGGGACTGGGTTTACTAACCAGTGTATAGAGAACATAATGAAAGGGGAAGCACGACTGAAGAGTTGGTTCTATCGCTTCGGAGTTGTCGAAGCCCTAGTAATCTAAAGTTTTACGCCTCATCCTCCGTTTCTTGTTCGAAAGAGGACGCAAGCGACGTTTTAAAACTCCATTCGCATGTTGAACTGGCTTATAAAACCTAGTCGCTCGTCAGCGGAGTTGTAGACACTGTTGGCACCTTGTTGCACAAGATACGACACTGACGGGTGATGTGGGCACCCGCATCCTGAGGATAGGACTCTGCTGCAGCTCGTACTCGCATACTCCGTGCTTTGTGTAGTCTTGATGAACCTCAAGTTTCCCCAAGCCTAGCGAGCAAACGATAAACACGAGGCAGAGGTCTAGAAACGAGTGGGACACTCAGACTGGTCGAACTCGAGTTGCGCAGAGTCACGGTCACCTCTTGTGATGGCCAATCGAGCCTTCTTACTCGAGAGACCTTTGCTCACAGCTCACTTTGCAGGTGCTCTGCATGTGATCGACAATTAGATGTTACACAACCCAAACAACCCCTGAGTTATTCTCGACCCGAGGTCTTGATCCTCCGCCTCGATCATTTGTAAATAAATGCTACCTCAGCACTATATGCTGGGCTTTCATCCACATACATCCAGTATGTTATAGGCCGGCGGCTGTTCATTTCTTGGAAGACACTTGACATCATCGAAAACAACAATATCCGTCACACAGTGCGGGTAAGTACTGTCTCTCGGGAAATCCGCTCGCACATGGTCTCTTTGCATTCCCACACGCGTCGAGCGGCTGAGACAACGAATATGGACGAACGGCTAAGAACAAGGTCCAAAGCCGAATCCAAAGCTCCCCGCCGGCGGAGAGAATCTAAAGTCAAGAAATAGAGTGCACTCATGGCTCCCCTTGCTCCAAACAACGTTCGCAATTGGGAAATCGACTGCAGACTGGCATCAGCTTCTGGGAGGCATGATACTCGCAAACTCAGCGCGTGGGTGCTTCATGATAGATTTAATTGAGCAGCCGAGGACAGATTCCGTACAATTCCAGCAATCACCGACCAATTCTTGAATGCTCTCCACGTCAAGATGAAGTCAGTCGCCATGTCTGTCCATGTTCCACTTCACTCATTTCCAGCGAGATAACACGTACATTTCACTATCCGTTGCAACTTCAATTCCCTCCGTTCTCACAAGCACCTCTCGCATGTGAAGTATTAATTATTCATCGAACAACTGCGTTTAGAGTCTTCATTCACTGTACAATTAGAGCGCAACCTATGTAGAACCTAGGTCAATCCTTCTTGCAGAAGGACTCATCGCTAACTGAACAACGGTTCTCTAGTGGACATTGCAAATCGTAGCCGCAAAACACATTACAACACCAGTCCCACAAAAAGGCCGATAGAAGCGCTGAACAGCAACGAGTCGCCATTCATTCACGGAGAGTGGCTCTTGCAACTGTATGACTAGGGAAACGTAAGACTACGAGTGATTTCATTCAACGAATGTCTCTACAGCGTGATGTTGATAATAGATAGCTGATAGCTGACGTCAATCGCGGACGGGCAGGGCTGGCCCGCTATCGTGTCGCAAGGCCAAGGAGATTGACCGACATGTACATCAATGTGTCTAACGGTTCATGAACCATCGACTTTATCTTTAAGTGAGCTTTGACACATCCAGTGTTCCAAAATAGAGAAGAAGTGACAAGGAATTGTCGGAGCCATGATGGCGACATGACCTGGGCATTACACGGTCGTGCCATGGAGATCAGGTCTAGTATATGCGATTGAAGACTAGCACAGCTCAGGCATCTTCACTCAACACAAGGCCAACGGCAACGTGCGTGAGGCGAATTGTTAGGGGCTGCAACGGTTGACGCCGGGCCGCTGTTCCTAGGAAGCGCTGCATGGCGCTCTACGATGGGTGTTGGTGTTTCAGAAGTGTGCGACATGTGGAAAGGAGTGGACGATGGAATGCCGGGAGAACCGTCTGGCGCGCGTTTACAGAGGGATTGCGGCTGTGGAATAGAGACACGGAACTGCGATTGAAGAATGCACGTTCGTATTTGGTACTGCAGGGTGCGCCGAGTAGAGGTGCGCTGTCGCTGAGACGCAGGTTATAGTTGGTGTCTCGGTCTGGATTGTTACGCGGACGGTTTGAGCGTCGCGACTACCTGTTTCCGGACCTGCACTGATGATACAGGGCATTGCGGAGAAGAAGAACTCTGCCTCGACGACGTTGTAGCAACCACCGACATACTTCTTTTTTTGAACGAGAAATCAAACGGCACGGGAACACCGGCAGAGGTTGCGGGTCTTGACGCGTAGTGGTCTGGCATCTGATTACGTGCGGAGGTGGCAAAGAGCAGGCGCTCCCAAGCCAAACTGCATCAGGCACTGAGTCGGAGTCTCGACAACGACGCCAACGTCACACCTCCGACTCCTCTCACTCTTCCAGCGACACCGCGCTGGTCCTCAAAGCGACCAGCACCACTCCTACCGCTGCCTGTATCGCTATTTCATCGCCAGCACGTCCACAGGCGCCCTTCACTCGTCAACCAATCGATCCCCGCGGCTGGATCGACACCTCCGGGGACCACCTCAGGACGGCACAGGCGCCACTGTGCCTGCTGGCACCGCTTTCACCTCGTCGCAAACCTCTTGCTGCCACCCAGCAACGGTAGTCCACCCTATCGCGCCTTTACGATGCTGCCACAAGAACCGCTGCAGGCGGATTCGCCCTCAACGACCCTCTTCAGATCATATCTCCCGAACGGCCATGCCCCGTCCACACCGTCCGCATTTCTCCAAGGACAGCAAACTTCACATCATGATGCCGTACGGATAGCAAAATATCATACCGGCCTAGGTTCAACGGCGAAGGGCGTGATGATCGGCATCTTCTCTGTGCTGGGAGCCGCGGGCCTCTGCCTTATCATTGCCACCGTTATATATTACTTCCGGTACACACAGCAGGGTCGTATCTTCCTAGATCGGTTATCGCGGCCGGGTGAATACGACGATGAACAGCAGTTTGCGAAAGAGGAAGCCGAGGCGCTGGAGGAAATGGACGACATCCAAAGAACAGAGTACATGAGAGCAAAGGGTATGACAACTCGGCCTCGGACCTCAGCGGAGGGATAGATGTTTATTGGGAGGACTATTGCTAACAGTGTGTAGCTTTCGTACAAGTCAATCCGCCCGAATCCGTGCAGACCGACATTTCCTTATCGCAGTTCTTGGCAATACAAGAGAAGGGTGTATCTGCATGGGAGTTTGAGCCCGAGCTCGAGATTGCTAATTGCTTCGTCGAAGGCCGAACCGAAATCGAGTTCTTTGATTCCGAGTGCAGCGTACAGAGCAATCTGCCAATACCGAAGCAAAATGAAGTCTACTACTGGGAGGCCAAGGTTTATGAGAAGCCAGAGAACACAAGCATTGCTGTGGGAGTCACAACGAAACCGTATCCGTTGTTCAGACTACCAGGTGCGTCCAATACTAGAGCCCGCCTCCATTCCACACACTGACATATTTCAAGGGTACCACAAAGCTTCGATATCGTATACATCCAACGGAAATCGCCGATACAACCAGCCCTTCACGCCCTCTGCCTACGGTCCTGCATACGTCCAAGGAGATGTCATTGGCGTTGGATACCGACCACGAACCGGAACTCTTTTCTTCACTCGTAACGGGAAGAAGCTGGATGATGTCGCGCATGGTCTCAAGACCCAGAACTTCTTTCCAACTGTCGGTGCAAACGGGCCGTGTCAGGTGCATGTCAACTTTGGCCAGATGGGATTCGTCTTTATTGAAGCAAACGTGAAGAAGTGGGGTCTTGCGCCGCAGACAGGCAGCTTGGCTCCTCCACCACCTTATGGCAGCGAGCAAGGATCAATACTCCTAGACTCTGGTCGCGAGGGTATAAGAGAGGGAATGGCGGGAAACTACATTCAAGCAGGTTTCGGACATGCACGTTCTAGTAGCCAGCAAATGCGCCTCGGACGACATCAACCGACGAGCCCTGGGCCGCAGCGCAGTCCGACAGATATCTCTTTAGCGGCACTGAGCCTCGTCAACTCGAACGAAGACATCGGCGAGGGCACTAGCGCAGAAGGCAACACGACGATCACAGCTGCTCAAGGCCTTGGTTTCCTGCAGCCCGGGGACTTTCCACCGGAGTATAGCAGCCCTGTGGGGTCGCCCGCGGCTAGGCACCGAGACTCATACTGGGACGAGCGAGCACCACTTATGCAGAACCAACAACGCCAAGGCAACACCAGCCCACCGATTCCCAGCTACGATGCTGCTATCGCGCAGCACCAAACGCCACAGATACGACCGCCGACGATCAGGGTGCGGAGTTCTACGCAAACCTCGAGGCCAAGAGGGCCGCGCTGATGCGTGGTCGAACCCACATTGGCTCTACACCATTTCTCATTCTGTCTCGTATCTTTTGATCTAACTATACCCCAATCACTTAGCATTTCTCCTCTGTCACAGACTATTCGGGGAAGTGTGGCATGTTGTGAATAGGGTGCATGTGGCACTTTGAGCGAACGACTTTTGTCCGAGCTATTGGCGTTTGAAGCGAGCATTGCAACGTTACTTGGTTACGAACAATTCACATGGCGCCTGGCTGGGTTTGTCTCACGGATGTAAGGCGTCACAGGTCTAGACGGATTCATACCGTATTGCCAAACACATGGCTTGAGGAATTGTACTGCTTTGAAGCGAGCTAAGCGCGCACTCTATCTATAGCTGTAGGACGTACTATGTCAATACACGCATTCCTATATTCACATATGTCATGCTGCTTCCGAGGACCTCTGAAAAGTGTTTGCGGAGCTAAAGTGTGAACACACCAGGATACGCATCAAGGAATAGTATGTCCCGACAGATTAATTACAGAGGTCCGACACATGGATCAGGCGGTTCCGTACTCAAAGATCGTCGTGGGTTACTCTTGTCTCGTACAACAAATTGTGTATCCAGCTCAAGGTCTTCTAATGGCAGTAGGAGATCGAGCGAGGCAAGAGACGATCATTCTACAATAGGAACTTCCTACATCGACTAGCATTGCGATTGAATAGCCCAAAAGGCGCGTTACACGTTATACTACATAGGTATATGTGTCTTGAGATGGTGGTTGTCGATGGAAGGGCAAGCTGCAGAGACGGTGTCAGACGCTCGCGTCGAGTTTTCTGGAGGCTGCTTATGTCACTATTGCGCTAGCTCCTTCGATGCGTTAGCGTCTCCTGGCAGCTTGCATCCCAACCCTCTGCCCGCGGGCGGAGCACATGTCTTTTCGAAAATCAAACATCCAATCGCGTGTTACCACTCGACAGACAAATGTCTGTCTGCCATCCCGCGTCCCAACAATGTGCCCAGTGGCTTGGCCTAAGTCGCCTCGCTTGAACCTTGTGCATATATCGACATGCCGCTAGTCGTGGACGCATCCCGCTTCTACCCAGGTATTAATCGAGTGACATAAGGAACACCTCTTTTAAATATTTGATTGATCCTTCCTCTTCGATCTCCATTGGTACCATTTCACGCTTTTCCTTTCCCAGGGATCTCTTCTGGTGTCATGGCTGCCGTTTATCATGAAGAGAAGAGCACTCAACTAGCCGCTTCGCCACAGCATACACACCATGATCCAGAGTCAGGCGCGAGTTCACTGTCGCTGGATAAAGACGTGGCCATCGGACTAGTTGGAGAACATGCTCGCGAGATCGATCCAGAAGTTGAAGCAAGAGTTCTCAAAAAGATTGACTGGTTTTTGATTCCGGCTATGATTGTTGGTACGTATTGACCGTAGCCTCGTCCGCCTATCATTGACAACAAAACAGGCTACGGGCTGGTATATTACGACAAAGCTATCCTCGGTTCAGCAGTTCTATTCGGTATGACCAAAGACCTCTCCCTCAGCGTCGTGGACACATCGACCAAACCACCCCGGACAGACACCTCTCGTCTCAGCTGGGCAACGTCATTGTTCTACTTCGGGATGCTCGCTGGCCTCTATCCCATGACCTTTGCTTTGCAACGCTTCAATCTTGGCCGTATCCTTGGCGGCGTCGTGCTTCTCTGGTCGTTGATATGCATGCTCACAGCCGCTGTGACCACGCACCAGGGCCTCTTTGCGCAGCGCTTCTTTCTAGGCTTCGTCGAATCAGTCATCCCGACCGGTTTCATGTGCATTATATCAGGATACTACACGCAAGACGAACAAGCCCTGCGCCAATCGTGGTGGTTCTCTTCCACGGGGTTATTTACCATCATTGGTGGCGCTCTTAATTACGCTTTTGCACAGATCACCACGGGGAGCTTAAGGCGTTGGCAGTACATCTACTTGCTGGCCGGGTGTCTAACATTTCTGTTTGGCATCTGGTGTTTCTTCATCCCCAATTCGCCCGTCAGCGCATGGTTCTTGACGCCGGCTGAACGCATCGTCGCCGTTGAGCGCCTTCGCAAGGGCCAAACTGGTGTGCGGTGCCAGAAGATCAAGATTTCACAACTCCGCGAAGCATTCCTCGATATCAAGCTCTGGCTTGTATTTATCTTAATGGCGTCCGCGTACACGGTAAATGGCGCCGTTTCAGGCTTCGGTCCGCTCATCGTGAGCACATTTGGCTGGTCATCCCTCGAGAGTATTCTATGGCAGTTCCCACTGGGTGGGCTGTGTCTCATCGCGATCTTGCTCTGCGGCTATATGAGCAGTCGCATTCCCAACATCCGGCTCATATTGCTCATTGTGAACTGTCTGCCCGTGATCGCTGGATGTGCCATGATCTGGAAGAGCAAGTGGACATACCACGCCGCCACGCCCGTTGCAGGATACTCCATCATCGGCACGTTTGGCGCGGTAGTCAGCCAAACGATCGTGATCGGTATGAGCAATGTAGCCGGCGCGACGAAGAAGAGCGCCATGGCCGCTGCCATCTTTGTCGCTTATTGTGTTGGTAACATTGTGGGGCCGCAGCTGATCAAGTCTCAAAGGAAAATTGACCATTATCCTGAGCTGTGGACTGGGTTGATCATCTGGTACGTACAAATGGTTATTGAGTGTATTTTGGCGGAACTGCTGCTAATAAACTATAGCTACTGCATAACGATCTTGGCGGCTGTAGCGCTGTACTTTGTCCTTAGGAGGGAGAACAAGAAGAGAGACGCTGTGCCTGTGAATGAGGAGGAAAGAGATAGGTTCGCATTCATGGACTTGACGGACAAACAGAACCCGTACTTTAGATACGTTTTGTAGAGGACAGGGGCATCGTCGACGCAAGCTTAGGGTAAATGTTATATAAAATCAAATGACATAACAAATATGCATCATCTATTAAGGTATTTCGTGACATGCTGCAGCTCTATATTGCTTTCTTATAGGATATGTAGTCCTCATTGTTAGTAGACATCGAGTGTCACAGTTTTGCTTCGCTTTTTGCGCGATAGGTACCACCAACACATCAAACCCAATAATACTATAGTATTGAGATGTAGTTGTATTCCGTAGCTATGCAAGATTCGACTCGAGCTGTCTATTCGTAGATTCGGAAAAGGTTAGCATCCCGTTGTGCAGATGTCGGTTCCCCGCTCAGGACCGTGGAACGTCAGAGCTGCCGAACCAGCAATTTCACACGAACTTGCTATAAATTCAGAGCAAACTAAGACTAACCAGAGCTCTTGGAGAATAGGAGGAGAACCACGCTGGTCTACGGTTAGAAGGTGAACAGTGAATCAGGTGATTGGTCGGTGCCATGAGGCGATCGACCCTGGGCGGCCAGGTTCCGAGCGGCTGGGTGTTGATGGATTCACAGCACCATGTCGCAGCCCCCCAACAGTCTTGTTCTGCTCTTTCTCTCTCACTTTCCCTCTCTCTCTCTTGCCCCAATCCTCGTCGTGTAGATGACAATTGCATAACACCTGTATCTTGGCCGCAGCACGAGGCACCGGAAACCTCGCCCTACATTCCGTTCCCCGCAACTGAGAGCCTTCCCCTCTCGCTTGTGCCACACGCCCTACCGTGACCTTACCACACAAGGCTATCAGTCAATCAGTTCATCCCAGGACCAAAGCAATGGCTTCTCGTACCTCTACTCCACAGTCACGATCGCGTTCGTCCACTGGTAGCAGCAGCTCGTCCGATACCACTATGATCGATGCGCCACCACAATCACCCAGCCGCCCGGTACGACTACGAAACCTATCGACGAGTAACCCTTCGACCGCTCCAACAACCGCGTCCGATCCTACCTTCAGCCTTCTGCTGTCCCTACCGAGGGAGCTTCGCGACCGTATATACACATTTGCCTTGACATCACCCTCTCCATTCTGGTGGCCGAACCAAGCAGCCGTCAAATATGAGCACAATATCGCGCCAAATCTCCTACGAGCGAGCAGACAAGTGTATGAGGAGGCAGCACTGGTCATATACAGTGAAAACAAGTTCGCCTTCACGCACCCCTCCGACTGCAACATCTTCCGTGTTGTCGCCTCCCCCGCCTCCCGAAACATTACCTCAGTGTATTTCCGTATAAGAGAGAGGGACTTGAGATTATGGACGAGCTATCTGGGTAGTAAGAGTCAGGATAGGAGTCTAAGGGCTGACCTACCGAGACTGAGGAGCCTGTGGATCTTTTCGAGGTGTGGAAGTATGGGCACGTCAGCTATGCTGGGGCAGATGGTGACAGTGTCACAAGCGATACAAGGGCTACAAGGATTACAAGGTGTAGTGGGTGGGTTAGGAAATCTATCGCCTGCAATCCAGGTGCAGCTTCAGGCTGTGCAGAATGTGATAGGACAGCATGTTCATGCGTTGACGCAGCATCTACAGAGTTTTCCGCAGGCCGTGGGGAATGGGGGAGGTGCACCACCACAGACACCGCAACTTTTGGGCATGGATGCGAATGGGACAGGCAATGGGAATCAGATACCGCCACCGCCACCTCCACCTCAACTGCCTGCGATGCCGTTCAACCAGTTTGCGCAGGGAGGTTTTAATCCCGTTCAGGGTCACGGCCAACAACAACAACACCATCAAGCTCCGATTACGGTACCACATCAACACGGCACGCAAAACAACCCACCGGACCCAAGCCCACTAGCACAACACCTCGCGTACACACAAAACGCAAACACTGTTCCGCCACCTCCACCGTTACATCACCACGCGCTCGCTCCAATCCCTGGCCAGCCTCCCCCACAAGTCCTAAGCCAATCCACTTCAGGACCGCACGCAAGTCCTCATCATCTGCACCACCACCCACACCCGCTCTACACCACATTCCTCCGTTTCGAGCGTGAAATCGGCCTCGAATCGCTCTGTCTGTCTCTCCGGGAAACGCTCCGTGGGCGCAGTGAGGCCTCAAGCGACACCACATCCCCCGTGTCTCCTTCGCCCTCTCCCTCCTACATCCCTTCTCCAGAAGTAAAGATTGTGTGCATCATGCGCGTACCGCGGCGGGAGGTGGAGCGCTTGGTCAGCATGTATCCCGACGAACTTAGCATCGAGGAGAAGACTGGGGATGCGCGGACAAAGTTTAGGAAAATACATGGTGTTGAGGTGAGCTTGGAGTTGAATGGGTATCCGAGTTCTGCGAATAGTGGTGGCGGGAGTGGAAGTGGCCATGGAAATGGGAATGGGACTGGGTCAGGATCGGTCGTGGTGGATGATGGACCGGCTGTTACTGTGCAAGAGCCATGAGATATACAAGCAATGTATGACTGGTGCTTCGTATGGGAATGGGCGAACAGTTTACATTGATGGGGTTCTTTTGGATATGAATGGTTCGCTATATACCTTTTTTTTTGTTATATTGGTCAAATTTGCATGCGTCATGGCGATTGCAGAAGTGTATAAGGAACGATGATTCTTCACGATGGAACTTTCGACATGATTGATATATTAAGCGCCCTTTTTCTTTATAAGCGCCAGGAGGGCATTCCGAAGGCGGTGAAAGAGTAACAGGTCATAATGAGAATCGTGGGCTCAAGTTGGGTTGAACATGGTATTGGTTTATCAGATTGCCACGCTCAGAAGCACGAAATCCAGCTAAAACTTGCTTTACGGTCCGCTACATTATCTCCCGCTTTTCACGAAGGCGATAACCACCAGGCTGAGCACACTACCAAGAACGTTTGACGCATCAGTTCGAAAAATGACAACCACAACGACGGCATGACCATGTTTTTGGCCCCTCTGTCTGCGTTAGTTGGTCTCTTTCCGGTCGCTTTCATCTGCTTTTCATTATGGCTGCAGCAGTGGGCTGGCTCTAAACGAGCTCTTTCAAGATGATTGGTTACTATTTAGAGTTCCTCATGCATATATTTACCTTGGTCTGCTGTCTGCAAATCTTGGAGGGCGTCAGGCTGAGACATTACTATTTTGGAGATACTTGCCTTGTGTTGCTTTTTGTAAAATGCGGGGGCTGAACCATTATTGTGGACTTAAGAGCGTGCGGTAGCTCAACTAGGGCATCGGTGCTGATTACATCTTTTTTATGAAAGCGAGTCGTGGTCCTCTCACTTTCTTCTCAAGTCCATTACTGTCTCAAGTACCGCTTTGCACCATGTCCAATCCAGCCTCTGTCGATGTTAGTCAGACAAGATATGTTCCGCCAGAGACCACAGGACACCTGGATGATCTCGAAGTAGCCAGCAAGTCCCTTTCGCAGGGCGAAAAAGCCATCTTACAAGTCATCGATGCGCCATATGATGGAACAACGCCGCAGGTCCGCGCCATCTTCAGCTTTAACGACGACATTGCTGAGGGAATGAAGAGTCTTCCGCCACATAGCACCAAGACTGCAAGGATTTTAGATGTCACTGTCCATTCTGATTTCATCATCACCGGCCTCAGAGATACGAAGGGCCCAGAGACAACACGGTCAGCCAGAGATGCCTTGATAAAGTATCTACAAGATACATATACGCAACCATTCGAGGAACGGCGAATTTTCAGATGGCTCAGTGATCCGCTTCTCGTGAACGACATTGGTAGCATATCCTCCCAATGGTCTCAGCGTCTAGGCGGCGGCAGTACAAATCTGTATCGCCTTGTCAACCGTACGAGCTTGCAACAGCATCCTTTGGATTATGACGTCCATCCAAGAGACTCGTATCTGACCTGTGTGCAAGATGCAAATGACCGGTTAATAGGTCAGTGCATTTGATTATGTTCTCTTCAATTGCTTACAAGCCTGCAGTCATCATAGTGAACGATGTCTGGTCCAGACAAACATTTCGCACGAACAAATCTCGTAACAGCCATATCCTTTTCCAAAATCCTCGCACTATTTCGAATATGCTGGCAGGGACTAGTTGGACCTCCCTCTCCGATGGGTCCCTCGACACTTTCGCCAAACTCTTAGTCGTAGACTTCTTCCTTACGTCCATCTACCTGCAACCCGTGGATTACTACGGACTCCTGATATACCCACAACTGTCCAAAAAGGAAGTCGTAAAGTTTTCGCTCACTAAAAACCCTCATCTTCAAGTTCCGTTAGGCCTCTTCGAACCTCGACTATCTGCTAAGAGCAGAGAGGCATTCAAGGAGATAGAAGACACCGAAGGCATCCTAAGGAGTGTCAAAAACTTGGTGGATTCCATTCTTTTTGTGGTCGCAGCTCTCAAGCAAAGTGACATCGCAGGCTCACAGCAGTCTGACCGCAAAGATCACGAGAGACGCATACAAGAGCTAGAGGCATTGTGCTTGGAGCGCGGCAACAACGCGCAGAGGGCCCTAGAGGCTCTGAACCGCCAGCTGGATTACCTGACGAAGAGGCACGCCATCCGCGAAGCCAAGGCGATCAAAATCTTGACGATACTGGCCTCCTTGTATTTGCCCTTGTCACTCTCAGCCTCCTTACTAGGTGTGCAATCCCCTTTTAAAACGATAGCCCACACCCGAACGCTGGAAGACCAGAATTCGCCGGGAGACGAGCGATTACTCGGAACAAACTTGCTCTTCGACTTCTTTGGCGTATTCATTGGGCTCGCTACCGCCACCATGTTCATCGTACATGCTATTAGACTCGGACTTTGGATCAAATCAAATGGGCTAGGTATACTATCGAAGAAATTCAGCGGCCCATTCTCTATATTCCACTATGGAAGGCGATGGCGCTATGGTGGACTAGGAGGCCGAATTTTCGACATCGTCCGCGTTCTCACTGCATGGTGGATCGGCGCCGGATTCTTCATCACGCTCCTGGTGATATTCATGGTTGGCATGCTCAGAACGGCCCAGAACGCATGGGACACTGCCAAATGGATGTTCGGGGCGTATATGGTGGTTGGCGGAGTTCTCATAGGGTGCTACGTCGTTATATACTGGTCCTTGCACCAGAAGAGGCTTCGGGTTCGATAGACGCCGTCTCACTATGTATGGCTTCAGATCATTTGCTACACTATTCGGAGATTCACAAGCTAAATTATAGTCTATCATTGATCAGTTCAGTTGCTCTATATGTACGATTCAAGCATCACAACACCGTTCTCTTATCTGATCACAGGCTATAAAAAAGCCTTGTGTCAATATTGTCGATCGAGTGAATGGGGACAAATGCACGGAAATAGCGAGCAACAAATCTGAAATTTCAATAGTTTAATTGTAGGGGATAGTAGTAGGCTAAACATGTATTCTAACAATAAATCAATGCAACCTTTTCCGCGCTGTTGAGCACCTGTACCATCGCTACATAGGCAAGGCAATGCAATGCAATAGTACTAATATAGAGTGGCGTCCAGCGCCTTCAATTATGGTGGTTTCACCTTTGTTTGTTACCAGTCTTTGTACGGGTTGTTTTGCCACTCCAGGTGGACTTTATCGTTGCCATCAAAGAACGTCTAGGTACGGCGGCGCTTGCCAACCCGGCCAGTTGCGACTTTGTCTAGGGATGGTGAAGTCTTGCCCGCAAGGCGGGCGGAGCGACGGCCCTGCTCGTGATGGTTGTACTGCGACTGAGCGGCATCAGGTGAGACGGCAACCTGGCTCGGTGGGTCGTTGACGTAGTACTCTTTGCTCGAAGTGACCGGCTGCGCGTTGAATGATGCCGTGCGAGCAGAGGATCGAGTAGCCCGGCTCAGCTTGGGCGACTTCATGATGCTGGAGTAAGGTCCGATGCTCAGAGTGCTTGACTTGCGGCGCGGAAGAGACAGCATGTAGTCGAGTTCCTCGTTTGTCAGGGCTGGCATGTTAGAGACGTCGATGGGGGCTTGCTGATCGATGTCGTGACGGGACCGATCCTTGGGAATGAAGAGTCCCGTGCAGCTCGCCTTGCGGGATTTGGGCGAGATAGCGCTAGAGTTGGCTTGAGTGGGGCCGACGTATGGGGTTGGTGTCGGTGGGACAGGGCCATCGTATGTTGGTACATACTGAGCAATCTGATCATAGACACTGCGCTGTTGCGGAACGTCCCCGGCCTCAGTGTAGTTGATGCGCGACTTCTTGCGTGGACTCGACCGTGAGCCTTGAGCAACGCCAACGCGTTGCTGCTGCTCGTAGTTGTCACCGATCTCCTCGAATTCATCGTCAGTGCGGTTGAAGTCAGGCTCATCGTCGTCCGAGTCGGGAACTATGACCCGGCGCTTCCGGGAGCCCCCTCGTGCAGGAGCAGTGCCTGCATCATCTTCAGCTTTGAATTGGGCGCGGAGAGCCAAACATTCAGCAATACGAGTATTGATCTCAGGGTGGAACTGATCATAGTAGGCTGAGTGGTCGAAGTCTTTGTGTCGCTTAGCAGCTTTAGCCTTCTTGTAGACTCTCAGGGTCTCAACCTTCTTATCCACCATGATGATCTCCTGGTCACCTCGATGAATACCAAAGGAGCCTGGCTTGATATTACGGTAGACGAATTGCTTCAGCTGCGATCGAGTGCGATGCTCCCAGTTGACGTTGTACATGGCGGCGATTAGAGTCTGCGGGTGTGGTTTAGGCTCACCTCGCGCGTAGTCTGTATGAACAGGGTAGTTGGCAAACTCTGGAGTACGTCCAAGCTGGCCAACCTTAGCGGCCTTGACAAATTTCTCTGCGAGTGCCTTCTCAGAAACATGCTTGCCAGAAAACGTAAAAGCGGCCACGCCCTTGGGTTCCTTAACCATCTCGCCACGCGTGTCGACCTTGACGTCAGCGTCTTGACAGATGCCCTCGAAGTCTAGAAAGCGCTCCATGCAGTATAGATGTGCGTACGCGACGCAATCGAATGGATCAACCACGCCCTTGCCGTAAGCCTTGTGCTTCTCATCAAACGCCACGCGGTAGTTGCCAACTTCAATGGTACCCTTGTTTGCCCACTGTCGATTCGGACATTGCTCGAATAAGCACTCACTATGGGATTTGGACGCATACCGACGCGCTGAGTCACCAGGTGTAACCTGGATCCAGATACGAAGATCTCCAGGATGCTGTGAGATGTACTCGTGGATCTGGCGAGCAGACATGGTGCGCTTCTTGAACTCATCCATGCCGTTGTGCTGATTGTACTCGAACTTGAATTTGCCGGACTGCCAGTCACCAATGGGAAGTGGCTTAATCTTGTACTTGGGGCCTTCCTTCGTGAACTGGTTAATTCGAGCTGTACGAGTCGTCTCGCCCTTGGTAGTCGTGTTGATTCGGACCCAAGACTTATCCTCACACTTTTTCGGTTTCTCGCCAGCGCGGACGACAGTCACCTTTACGGGTTCACTCAGTGAGTTGGTGTCAGAAACAGTAGAGTAGCGGCGAGAACTCTCTGCTTGAGGTGCGGAGCTACGCGTGGTGCGCTGAATCTGTCGAGGGCGCTTGGCAGGAAGTACATCATCCTCTGAATCGGAGTCTGGCTCGGCAGTAACATTCGGGTCCTTGTAGCTGGATCGACGGGGCCGGGCACGACCTACCTTAGTGATTGGTTGTTCGACGCTGCCTTGCGGTTGCTGAAATTGCGGACTGATCGGGATGTATCCATGGTACTGCTGGACGGGAGGGTTGAAGTAAGGCCCAGGGGAGAACGTCGAGTTCAAAGGATCGGGATACATAAGCGGTGGGGGGAATGAGCTGCCTCCGGGGATAGCAGAGAATCCAGGAGTAGTATGCGATGGCTGTGCAGGCATTCCGTAGACATCATTCCAAGGACCGAATGCTAGGTTGTTATTGGTAGACTCGAATGCTGGATGAGATGTTGAATTGACCGGTACCAAATCGAGCTGTTTAGGATCTGCCTCAGCCTGCTGGTTGTACAGTACGGAATCTTGCTCAGCTTGATCTTTCTGTGCATCTTTAGGGTTGAGGAGCTTGAATCCAAGGCCATTTTGGAAGTCGGTCTCAAACTCTTGCTGGGGCAAGTTTATGTTCTGGGACTGATTAGCATCGAAGTTGTTCGTAGACATGTTAGCGATGTTATTCCCAGTGGTTTCGAAAACATCCAATTTGAGGAACTCGTCGAAGAAAGTATTGTTGGCGTTCCAAAAGTTTGGTTCGAAGAAATCTTCAAGCGATGAATCGCCAGCGCCGGGTAGACCAACAACACCTCCAGAAGCATTTGCCTGTCGAGGGCTAGCTCGTGTAGAACGGTGCGTGTTAGCAATGCTACCTGCTCGCGAACGTGTACCCATGCTCTGCTTTTGTGAAGCAACCGAAGGTTGCCGAGAACCGCTGGGCTGGTAATGTGCCATTTGGTTCGTGGTCTGCTCTTGTTGTGGTAGTCTTGGTGATCTTCTTAGGGGGGTAAGGGGAGACATTTCGAATCTTCTTTTGTGATTGGAAAGGATACATAGTGCAACTACGTCGTACATATAGGTGAGCCCACAACGTTCTTTCAGCAAGTATTGTGGAGTTACATATTTAGATTGGACAAAGAAAGACTAATCATGTGTTATTAAAGTATGTATCATTGTCGAGCTGTCAAAGCCGAGATGAAAGAACTGTCAATCTGTAGAGGCACTAGCATTGCTGAGGTCTTTGTACGATTATGGAGCGCCATTGTCAACGAACATCGTGGCAAGACTCGACTCGGGCTGCTGGTTGCTACCCACGCATGACATCACCTTAGTCGGTAAGTACCTACAGTATAAGAGGCTAAGTAACGGGCCAGATCGGTTTAGGTTGCTATGATCTATAGAAAGTCAGCCGCTTGGTCTCGTCTCGAAACATGGAAGAGTGAGGGGCAGTTGAGAATTGTAGTCAGAGATTGTTTGATGCAAAGGTATCCACACGGGTATTAGGAACAGGTCTGTGAAATTTGCTTGTATCATCAGGAAGGGAAGAAGAGAATGGTGATAGATACATACCTGCGATTAGACATCATCCCCGGCTAAGTAGCCACTGAGACGCATCATGCGTTGGCCCGCATCGAATGCGTTGTGTACGTCGCTCTATCATCAAGCGGACAAAAGTAGTTGCTTCGTGGCTATTTTCCCCCAGAGAAGGGCTGCGCATCGCGCATCGCGGGCGAAATGCGCGCTAAATGAAGACGCGGTCGCTATCGATGTCCAGACATTGTGGTGCTTAAAAGAAAGGTCGAAGCCTCGAGTCCTAATGAAAGAAAAGGGTTTGCTGCCGTCGCGCTAGTGGTGCGGGTAAACCATTTCGCCGATGCCGCTACTGTGCCAACCCGTCACTTGATGCCTTCGAGTCCACCTTACAGCCTTATCTCTCTAGTGCCCGTCTTGAGGTGTTGACCGAGCTTTTTCGGCGATCAAACATATGTGCCGGCATGTTACCATTCGTTTGGGATGCTCTGCATCCCGCGCGAAGCACTTACATCAATGGCGAAACACGAAAGGCCTACTGAAACATCATCATCCTAAAAGAAGTGCTCAGCCACACATGTATCACCATCCATGGCACCATTAGTGGGAGGATTGTTGCCACAAAAGGATACTTCACCGGCGATTGAACCAGTTGGAGTGCATCAAAGTTATCTACTTCGGACTTGCGTTTGCTCCGAGTCGCACTGGGAGGGATAAGGTGAACATGTGAAAAGCAGTGAGCTCAGTCGATGAACCTTCGAATCTCTTCTTCGACCCTCGCGCAGCATGCGACATGGTATATAGGAGCTGGCGTAGTAGATAGAGCGCCTCTGTCCATTGTCCGTCAGAACATTAGCAGCCCTTTACTGCTATCAACGCACGCTTAGACTTTAGAGTGCACTAGCATCTCCCCTACTTTAGAGGCAGCCCCCGCCCCCTCCCAAGTACACCAAGATTTTGTTACCCATGTAGCCTTAAGCAAGATGTTTTCATTGCGGTTTGAGGTACCTTGCAGCAGGGTTTACCATACCTCAAATCATCAATGGCGTTCCAAAGAAGACTTGACGGAACAGGGTCCGAGTTAGCTGTATCGCTATACAATGAACGTTTGGGGTTTTCATCTTAAACTTTCGCAGCCGTCACAGCAAGGCTCGGCGTTCTACACTAGACCTATGACGAACATCACGCAGGCCGCTCGATGCAGGGAGTATCTTGTCACAAATGCACTCTTAATCTCCCAATGTCTCCTTCCATACCGCTGGTTATCTCTGACTCCGATTTCTGCACGGTGCGGTTGGTGTCTGCTTTACACTCAAAGTATGGCAAACGCAGAGCTTCAAGAGCTAATATTGCTTGGCTATATTACCTTCTACCTTATCATAACGCTTATTGTTCTAAGCTACATCGCGGTTGGTTTGCGACTATGGGTCCGCTATCGTATCACGAAGTCTCCCGGATGGGATGATGCAACAATGGTTGCGGCTCTGGTAAGTTTTGAGCAACTACTTTCTAAACATTGATTGGATAGACTGACTGACGTATGGGTAGTTATTGTTCACATGTTACTGCTCTATAATACTTGCAATCACCTTCCGCAGTCAACAGCGCAAACTCTTCAACAAAGAAGATATCCATGTAACGCTCATCTACGTCCAACTCGGAGAAATTTTCTATATCTTTACAACGACGCTCTTCAAAATTTCACTTGGCCTCTTCTTCCTACGCGTTCTCACCCAACCCTGGCAGACTCTCATTTTCCGCGTCATCCTCGGCGTCAGCGCGACATACGGCCTGTTTTACATCTTTGTGACCATCTTCCAATGTGGCAAGCCCGCCGATCTAGCCGACAGCTTGATCGGTTCATCAAGTTGTTTACCTTCTGCCTTCCTCCTCACGACTGGCTATCTCTATGGCGTCATCAACGTTATTGCCGACTGGACGTTTGTCCTAATCCCCATCTCCATTCTCGTCGACAGCGAACTTGATCGCCGAGCCAAAATCTCCGTCAGCGTGGTAATGGGGCTTGGAGCTATTGGCAGTGTATCAAGCATTCTACGCATGGTGTACTTGAAAGGGCTAATGTTTGGTGGTGGTGGGCTCACTGGTATGCATTACTCTTCTAGAACCCGGCATATTGTGTCTTTTGCTAACGTTGAGACAGCAAATTCAATCAAAGCAACAATTTGGGCTACAGCTGAGCCAGGAACTGGAATCGTCGCTGCCTCAGTTGCTATTCTGCGACCCCTCATCCGCCAATTCAACTCCTGCATCCATACTAAAGTCTCCGACTACAGATCCCGCAAGAGCTTATTGCCTAGCTCTTCTAGACCTTTTGGCTCAGAGACGATCGCTCTGGCATCCCAGGCCGGGAACAAGACAAGTATGCAGTCAATCCGCTCAGACGATCCGTGGAGCCCGACAGTGGTATTAGGGGAGGCGAATGTGCAGAGAGTGATTAGTGTGCAGATGATAAATGGGAGGGGTAGTATGGCACCAATGACGAGATGACGCGACGTGTGTACATACAGTCTTTTACGCGGCGTTATGGGTTTCAAATACTCTCGCTTGGTGGTAATGCTTTATTCAAGCTTGTAACTCTGGAATGCTGTGGTGGCTCGGGAGACTAAATGCCTACTGTGTAGATATTAAGCTATAGTATTATCACATGGAAGTCTTCAGTGTACAGTAGGAATTTGTTACGAAAGATTGCAATCTTTAGTGCATTATAAGGTAGTATACTTGGATATGGCCAAACACCTAGATGACTATAGCATAATTAAGCCTATACTGTCAAGGTGTGTGCATTCATTAAACCCTTCCATTCATTCGCAGCCATTCAAACCAACACCTGCACACCCAGTACAGCACCTATTCAAGCATATCCTTTATGCGTGATATGCACTAACGCATTGTGCACCACTGCCCGTTGCTCATGACCCGCCGAGAATTCGCTTCTCGTCACCGTCGGACTTACTGCGAACAGGACCTCATGAGCCCGGGGGTCCTTCATGACCTCACCCATCGTTCGCAAAACGTTGCCGTACAGCATCCTGCTCTCATTGACCATTGTGCCTGGGTTGAACTCGGCGCCTGGTGAAGGCCACTGGAACTGCCACTTGGTAGCCGCCATACGCAGGCGGAAGCCGATCCTGTACCCCTTGACGTATAGCTCTGAAAGGGTATGGTTACGATCTGTGAGCGCTGCTGGAAAAAGACTGGTGGCGAGCAGGCCATTGAGATCAGACAAGAGCTTGGTAGTAAGACGCTCAGCGCAAGCGGCTCGCCAGGTCTTGTGGTCCGGTGCGTTCTTGATAGCGGTGTAGATTTCTTGTTGGGCGAGGAGCAGGTCGTGCTTCGCTTCGTGATTGTCCAAGGGAATAGTTGTCCATTTCCAGGCCAGTTCCTCGCATATGTCGGCCTGAGGATGTCCGCTCGCATATATGGAATGCTCGTCCAACGCGTACGTCCACATGTGTCGGCAAACCACGGACGCAACCATCGCTATCAACATGTCCTGCTCAGTGACTAGCACCATCAACTGCGACGGCTTGCCAAGGCTCCCAGCCAAGGCAAGATGAGCGGACAGATTGTGTACTTGCTCGGCGTTGAGCGACTTTATGTGCACGGTATACGCAGCGGCCCATTGCTTAATGTGTTCGAAGAAATCGAAGAGGAGGCACCGGTCGTTTTGAGGACCCATACCCACCGTGAAGACCGGCTTGTTTCCCATCATAGCGCGAATCGAACGCTGTTCGGGCGTTGCAGTACGGTGATGACGACGGCGAAAGGATCTGGTGGGAGGATGTTGGGGAGCTGGAGGAGGCTGCGGCTTTGTGGGCGTGCTCGGTGAATCAAATGCCTTCATCAACGATAGTTCCTTGGTAGGCGAAGGAGTGACTGGCTCCTCCGGGCGGGTCGTGGAGCTCATTACCGGCCGGATGAATTTGGGGGTTATGACGTAGGATCTTTCTGGTCTGACTGCAGCTGAGCGGTGATTGTGATGAGTTTGAGCTCTCTCTTGCTCAATGAGACGGTACTTCAAACTCGAGATTGTGTCTTGCGATGAGCGCAGTTGTTGGTTCGCTGAATTGAGTTGATCTGTGAGCTCCAAGTTCCAATGCTTCAAGTTTTCCGTAATCCTTGCATAGTCTTGGTTGCTGTGAATGTGAAGTGAGTACAAATCCAAAAGAGCTTGAAACGGAACGGGGACACTCACATGGACGGAAGCTTTGGAAGCAAGTTCTCAGCAGTTGCATGTTCTTGTGGGTTTGGCATTGAGATCGGGGACAGCGCCTTTGCAGCTGAAACATGAGTTCGAGGAGATGTGTTCGTACACGCCAGTCCTGAACGAGTGTTGCTCGGCTCCGAGAACCGCGCCAGAAGACCTGGGTTGTTCTGCTGAAGCCACAAGTTCATGTTGAGTGTGGCCTGAAACGAGGTCGTGATGGCTGTAGGCTGGAACTGAACTGCGCTGTTTGTCGCAGGTGAGACGCTATTCACAGGGGCAAGCGGAGGTCGCTGATTGAAGTTTGACTTTCGCTGTTCGGTGAGGTGATGGTGATCATTAGCGGTACGAGTAGTGGAGCCATATATCTCGAACTCGGTACCCTTGCTAAACGGGTTGACCATTGGGTCGAGGCTGTTGTTCATCTGTTAAACTCCCTGTTAGAAACGACCTTTTTAGGTACAGTCTTTGTGCTGGCATACCTCGAGATTCGTTTCCTGTTGGATTTGTCGTTCTATAGGCGAAGACCTCGAAATACACTATGGATATCTCGACACCTAGAAGGTCAAGCTAATACCAAAGTCAGATTAGTGGAAGCCCTCGATATGAGAGAAAGAAAAGTATGTAGAACTCAGAAGAAAATTGGAAAAGGAGAGAAAGAGGTTGCAAATGAAACAAGGGAAGAAAGGGAAGAGTACTGTATAACTGACCTGTGGACGTTGTAAACGTTGATCCAGCACTGACGGCGCCGCTGTAGACCAATCAAAAAAGACACAGCAAAGTCTGCGAAAATTCCGTGAGAATGATGGTGAAAGCTAATGAAGTTCGACTAAGTTGAGCTCTGATGATCTTTGTTCACGTCTCCAAGCCTTCGATTGTCAGTGAAGATTCAGAAGATGGACCGACTCGAACTTCGAGGTTGATGAAGGAGATAGGGACAAGCAGGCAGATATGAAGCCTTATACCAGCCTAAATGTCGAGCGCGCGCACGATCCATGGGCACGCTCGTCGAGCACGTATTGGAGCCTGTGCTCAGAGGCGTAACACAATAACAGACAATAGCTGTAGTGGGTACCCTGCCATCTCTCACCGAAGATACTCGACCCAGCAAGCCGGTAAGTAGATTGGAAGTAGCCTATGAGATCGCTTAGCATGTCGTAGAAGATGCGGTAGAATCGCGCATGGATCGTTACCTGAGGAGTGCGCTCCTCACATGGCATGGTCGCTGTGGCGATATTGGTGTCCGTGTTGACTGCTTTTCGGTCAAGGCATCATAGCATGCGCACCCCCATGACCTGGCTGGTAAATGAGCTTAATCTGAGTTTGGTCGATCGATGAAGTCGAAGTGGGGTATCGTGAAAGCAGTTGTCAAGAATGAGATACAGATCGAGGTAGATGTGGGGACGAGCCTCAAGTTTAATGTACTGAAATTTGGTTAACGCATTGACTTGGGCAGTTTACAAATCATAATGCTCACTTTGGTTTGAGCTCGTTAGCTTTATGCTTGTTGTCATTCTCTTCGGGGAGCCGAGTCCGAGTGATGGCAAGACACATCAAGATTCAAGGGACAATTGGTACTCGTCAGTATGCTCATTACCAGATAGTATGCGAGTGTGTATGCGTAAGATGCTGGTGACGATGCCTCCTGAATTTACGATGTCCTCGCGGCTGAAGTAATGCTAAGAAGTACGAACTTCAAGCGCAGTTGAATGCTCTCGACCCACAGCCGGCAGGTGTTGTAAAGGCAGAGGTAGAAACACTCGATGGAACTGGTATTAAGTTCTCGATTACCCCTCGCGGGAATCGTTGACCAGACGCTCAGCCTAGCATAGGACGGTTATATAATACTGGGAGATGCGAGTCGATGCCCCCGATTCGACATTTAGTAGCGTGGTAGATGAGTATTGGAAAAGTGTCAAGTCTGGGAGAAGATATGCTATGAAGTCGTGACGCTTAAGCTGGATCTGAATCCATGCTGCAGGGGACAGTACATCGTAGTAAGACGATGTGAGGTGTGAAAGAGGGAGGAGATATCAGCGTTTATGCACCTACCTAGGTACCTAAGGATTGGCGGCTAACCTCCTCTCGCCGTCTCTTGGAGAACTTCAAGTGCCCAATCTTAATGCAAACGCCGGTTCAATATCGAGTGCAATCGCTGGGCTATGAAAGGCTCAGACCTTGTTCCGAAGGCATAGCTTCATCCCATTGTCACCATGCAATCTGCGCGCTTTTAGAGCTCCCACTCACCATGTATATTAAGCTCCTCTTATTCATTCTCAACATCATGTTGGATATATTGAGACGAAGGGACATTTGAAGTCTTTGATGGTAGTTGACATGACGTAACATTGCCCAATTAGACTGCGTGTTCCGACCAATCTGACTGGGGTTCAGGAACAGCGGGACGAGCCATCGCGACTCTGGGGCTTGGAAATGGTTATCCCAACAGCCCTACCATGACATAACTACCGACAAAGCACGCGATGCATTCTTCGCAGCAAGGAGCAGAATGTGGAAACGTTCAGTCTATCTCCCTAGAGCCCGAAGGCGTTCCATTGCCTGCATTGCCTGCGCGCATGCCCCGAGGGTCCCCTCCGCATACCACCCCCCCTCATCGATAACGCCGTCCTCCCACCAGCGTCGCTACTTCCAGGAGTACTTCATCACTCACATACCCTCGACGTCCTTGCATCCAGACTCGCGATCACCGCAACCCAGCCTGCACCACAAGCTCCCGCGCGACAAGAGCACACCTTACGATGCCGGCAAGTCGAACCGGTCGCCGGCTGCCGTGGTGGGCACGTCGCGCGAGATGACGGTCGTGAGGATACCATTGAAGAGCGCCAAACATCATTTTGGGGTCTCACTATCGCGAGGAACACGGCCGTACAACGAAGATGCCTTCCAGGCAGGCACCATCGACCTCCCCGCTTTCGCGAAACGGCGGCCAATGTCGTTGACAAGGAATTCGAATAGAGATGAAGTGACACCCAACGTAGGCGCCAGTGGAGACCCCCAGGTCTTCTACTTTGGTGTGTTTGACGGGCATGGTGGTGCTGAGTGCTCTGGCTTCTTGAGAGAGCAGTTGCACGTCTACCTTGAGAAGGCGACACAATTATTCGAGCTGAAGAGTAGCTTGTTGCGGGAAAGAAGCACAGGACAACCAAGCAGCTTAGGGGATAGGGACTATGGATCACCACCTGCGGGCCGGGCGAAGAAAGATAAAGAGAGCTTAGAGGCTGTCCAGATGCATACGCCGCCGGGAACAGAGCCGCTGAAGCCACCACAACCAGGAAGTAAAGAAGGAACGCCCACTGCAGGCTCCAAGAGTATGGAAAGACCCATAGATGGCGACGAACCGGTCAAACAGTCTGATAGCATAAAGAAGGCTGAAGAGCTGGAACTGCGTCTGGTCCGAGAGTGGAAAGAATTGGTTGGAGGTTACTTCAGGCGTTTCAAGCCAGAGTTCTTCGCCACGACTGCAGGTGGATATGGCCATCCGGCCGAGAAAAAAGCCATGTCCAAGGGCCATACAGCCAGCCCTTCAACTGATATAGAGGAGGGTATTGGCATTGAGACGGTACTGGAGTATGCATTCCTCAAAGCCGACTACGACTTCGTTGCTGCTCAAGTTGGCAAGAAGGAAGAAGACCCCGTTCGTGCAGACAAGGCTCTCAACGATGATGACATTCTAGGACATCCCTCGCGCACTAGCAAGAACATTGGCGGCACGACACGCTTCAAAGGGGGCAGTACATGCAGCATCGCTCTTATTTCTACCCCTACGCCTTCGCCATTTTGGCACCCCTCGTCACCATCCTCTCTCATCACTGCGCATGTCGGCGATACAAGGATCCTTCTGTGCAACACTGCAACTGGGCTAGCCGTACCACTGACATCGAACCACCACCCTTCGCTGCCGGAAGAAGCCACACGTCTCCGCCGCTTCGCCGCTGCCTTTGTGACTGACTCATTTGGCGAAGAGCGCATCTCTGGGCTTGCCAACACGCGCGCCTTTGGCGACATGGCCTCGAAGCGCGTGGGCGTATCCGCGGAGCCTGAGATCCGACGCATTGAGCTCTCGCCCGCCGAGTACTCGTTTCTAATCCTGTGCTCCGATGGCGTCTCCGGGCACCTGTCAGATCAGGAGATTGTCGACATTGTCAAAGAGGCCAAGACTCCCGAACAGGCGGCAAGAGATGTAGTCAGCTTCGCCGTGGAGACGTCGACGGGCAATGAAGGTGCGGACAACGCAACTGGGCTGGTAGTCAGGCTGGGCGGGTGGGAAAGAAGAGGCGAAGGAGGATTGGGCAGTATAGGGACCAAAGAGATGCGGGACTGGCGGAGGCAAGAGGCGGAGAATCCCAGGGCTAGTGGGCGGATGTAAGCTTCTCTTGTTGGTCATGATGCGGTGTAATTCTTCTTGGGCATATTTGATGCGACTCTGAGTATGGGTTTGCATATCTGGCGTTTGGTGCGATGACCGCGGTTGTATTGCTTGCTTGCTTGCTTGCTTGCATTGTAGATAGTACCTAGCACTTGAAGGGATACATATTGAGCCTACTCCATCCTTCATGTGCCCATCATCATGTACCCTACATATCTGACATCGACCCTTCTTCGTCGCCGTGACGCGCGCGCTTGCTGTCCAATAGATGGCTGGTGATTGACGATGCAGCCACTGGGAGGTAGCCGCTTGGCGCCCAAAACAAGGCCGGTTCAAGACAAAGAGCAGGTCCCAGGCTTCGGCGTTGGTATAGCTGGCAGCACAGGACGAAAGCAACCTGTCCGTGTCTGGTGTGCATGAAAGGCCCCAGTTTCAGTGAGCTGGCTCCAGCGCAGGGCTGCAGCGGGAGGGCGAGCTCAGTCTGGGGCGGAAAAGCACGAGCCCAGAAGCGAACCAATGTGGTTGCCAGGCGGGCGTTGGCTGCCTTCTTTTCGAGCTTGCGAACGACGGACGGTGCCTGAAGCTGCTGGGGAGACGACGGCTGCAAGAACTACTACTCAACCTCTCATCCAGCCCACCGTGTGTTTGCTGTCGTGCTTGCTCTCTTGTCCTCCCGTTGCACAGTATTCCACCTTTGCTCTGCTCCCAAGCCCGCGCCGTAGTAGTGGGGCAGCAGATCCGTCTGGGAAAACAATTCACGTGTTTATTAGCCCTGACCGTCGACCTACTTTCGCTTCAATTTCCCTCCCTACACCACTGCCCACCGCAACTCCCTCTCCTTCAACTGCCACCGCGGCTCTCTACTTCTGTAACCCTGCTAGATACCCCCTCTTTGACTCTTCGACCCGCCCTCCTGCAATCATGGACATCAACCAGGTGTTGGAGGGGACCTATTCGCCCGGTATGCTGCCCTCACCGCGATTTTTTCCTCCATTTTGCAGCCTCGACTGACGCTCTAGGCAGACGCCAGCATTCGTAACAGCGCCGAGCAGCAGCTCATACAGGCCGCCGACTCCAACTTCGTAAGTCTTCCCCCCCGCAGTCGAAGGCTGCGTCTACTCCTGCCAACCCAAACAAACCCACTTACACCCTATTTCACTCTAGCCACAATACCTCACCGTCCTCGGCGGCGAACTCGCAAATGAACAAGCCCAACCGCAAATCCGGCAGGCCGCTGCCCTCGCCCTGAAGAATGCCTTTACCGCACGCGAGTACACCCGGTTACGTCAGGTCCAGGAACGATGGCTCAACCTGGACAACCAGATCAAGCAGGACGTCAAGGCCATGGCGCTCCGCACCCTGAGCACACCTAGCAAGGGCGTCGGCTCTACAGCTGCTCAGTTCATCGCCTCGGTCGCAGCCATCGAGTTACCCCGCAGCCAATGGCCCGAACTCATGCCCACCCTCGTCGAGAATGTGGGACAAGGCAGCGATAGCCAGAAGCAAGCCTCGCTCACCACGATTGGATTCGTATGTGACACTGATGACATGGAGCTGAGGGAAGCGCTGGCACACCACTCCAATGCCATCTTGACGGCCGTCGTCCAGGGCGCCCGCAAGGAAGAGACCAACAACGATGTCCGCGTGGCAGCCATCAACGCCCTCAGCGACTCGATCGAATTCGTGCGGTCCAATTTCGACAATGAAGGCGAGCGCAACTACATAATGCAGGTCATTTGCGAGGCCACACAAGCCGATGATAGTCGCATCCAGCAAGGGTCATATGGATGCTTGAACCGCATAATGGGCCTCTACTACGACAAGATGCGCTTCTACATGGAGAAGGCGCTATTTGGCCTTACCATCCAAGGCATGAAGAGCGACGAAGAGGACGTTGCCAAGCTTGCTGTCGAGTTTTGGTGCACCGTCTGCGAAGAGGAAATTGCGATTGAAGACGACAACACACAGGTATGATTAACTTTTGTGTAGACTACTTGGGACAGATACTGACTTGTGAATAGGCACAAGCTGAGGGCTCAACTGAGCTTAGGGAGTACTTCAACTTTGCTCGAGTTGCCACGCAGGAGGTTGTCCCAGTACTGCTCGAGCTTCTCGCGAAGCAGGATGAGGATGCCGACGACAACGAGTACAACACCTCGCGTGCCGCATACCAGTGTTTGCAGTTGTGGGCACAATGTGTCGGCAGCGGCGTCATGCCCCCGGTCCTTGCTTTTATCGAGAAGTTCATTCGCTCAGATGACTGGCACTACCGAGATGCGTCCGTTTCAGCCTTCGGTGCCATCATGGAAGGACCTGAAGAGTCCGTCCTGGACCCAATCGTCAAACAAGCCCTGCCTACGCTCATTGGCATGATGGACGACCAGAACATCCACGTAAAGGACTCTGCAGCCTACGCCCTCGGTCGCATCTGTGAGGCTGTTCCCAGCGCCCTGGATGCACAGCAACATCTTCCTCCTTTGATCGGATCTCTTTTCAATGGCTTGGCTAGCAGTCCCAGAATGGCAGCGTCGTGCTGCTGGTCGCTGATGAACCTCGCCGATAGATTCGCGGGAGAGCCAGGATGCCAGACCAACCCACTGTCGCCGCACTTCGCGCAAAGCGTGCAGCATCTTTTGACCGTCACCGAGCGGGGCGATGCCGACAACCAGCTGAGAACCGCAGCCTACGAGGTGCTCAATTCCTTCGTGAACAACGCCGCTGGTGACAGCGTTCCGCTGGTCATCGAACTGTCAACCGTCATCCTCGAGCGCTTGCAAAAGTCTATTGCTCTTCAGCAACAAATTGTCAATGTTGAGGATAAGCTCACCCTTGAAGAAATGCAGACCAGCTTGGCCAGCGTTGTCATGGCCATCATCCAAAGATTGGAAGGCGATGTTAGGCCACAGGCAGACCGCATCATGGAGATTTTGCTCAGCCTGCTGTCGTCCCTACCTCCCAAGTCGAGTGTTCCGGATACCGTCTTTGCCGCCATTGGATCGATCGCTACCGCTTTGGAGGACGATTTCCAAAAGTACATGGAGGCTTTCTCGCCCTTCTTGCACAATGCCCTCAACAACCAAGAAGAGCCTGCTCTCTGCTCCATGGCCATTGGACTGGTGGCTGACATTACTCGATCCCTAGGCGAGAATGTCCAACCCTACTGTGACGCATACATGAATGCTCTTCTCACCAACCTTCGAAGCCCTGCCCTTGGCAACCAACTCAAGCCAGCCATCTTGCAGTGCTTCGGTGATATTGCGCACGCGATTCATGGCGCTTTCGAGACCTATCTTCCTGTCGTAGCCCAGGTGCTTCAACAGGCTGGTCAGGTCACTTTGACAACCGAGGGCAACTACGAGATGATTGACTATATTACTTCGTTGCGAGAGGGTATTATGGATGCATGGGATGGTTGCATCGTTGCCATGAAGAGCAGTAACAAAAGTGAGTATCATTTTCTATAGATTGCCTGGTCCACATATACTGACAGCTCTAGCCCAACTCATCGTTCCATATCTCGATTCGATCTTCGATCTTCTTCGCACCATCCAGCAGGATAGCAACCGCACTGAAGCCCTTCTTCGATCTTCGTGCGGTGTCATTGGGTAAGTTTAGCAAAGTGGCTCGTCCTATTCGTGGTCGGCTGACTCTTTCTAGTGACCTCGCCGATGCTTTCCCGAAGGGCGACTTCAGGGAATATTTCCGACACGACTTCCTCACGGTAATGGCACGCGAGACGCGTGCAAATGCCGACTTTAGCAGCCGAACTCGCGACACCGCTCGATGGGCACGCGAGCAGATCAAGCGCCAAATCGGTACGTCACTAGTCAACAACCCCTTCCTCTGTCCACCTCGTCTGCTCGCCGCTTTTTCTTAAAGTCACACCTCGTACCCCTTGTATATATTTTATCCCACTAACAACCGTTGCCAGGCGGCAATCAAGGCGTAATGGCTTGATTGTCTATCACCTCCCATCCCCAACCCTGTGGATTGAGCTGTAGTCTGGTCACTGGTTGGATAACCTCCTCTCAGGGGGTATTATCTAACATGTGACTAAACTATTGAATATAGCTCCTCCTCCAGCCCCCCATCGCGCCCAAGATCGATCGGAAGAAGAGCAGGGCGTTCGGATGTATAATCCGTTTAACCCAATGACATCCTACCTGCTTAATCAACCTCAGCACAATCTGGATGTTTGCGGCTGGCCAAGTATACCTGGACAAGTACGATCGACGGACTTTCCTCAGATTCTGGTACCTCCTGAGGATGCATTCATCACGTGGTTTGGTCCTACGCGCGGGGGCCTTAACGCCTACTTTGACAGTCTTGCCGATTGGACTCCGCGCCATGGCGGACCTTTCTCGAACGACGATTGCACGGAAACACCATGATGTACACCAACAGAGGACCCCGGCCGCCCCGATCACCAACCCCCAAGTGCAAACAACATTCCGGCACCCCAGCACCGCGACATTGAGCCCTATCACCCATCGCCCAGACATATTCGCCCCCGAACCGCACAGCACCTCTCCACAACAATCATGTAGCACCAGAAGTCTTGTAGGCAGAGCACAAAGTTCTGCCAGGAGAAGAAGAGATAATCATTTTCGTCACCCCAGTTCTTCATCTTATTACGGCGTATACCACTTTTTATTTGGTATGGATACAGCTGGTTTGTAGCTGTATCTATTGAGTATTGCATAGACTTCTATCATGATTCCTCATTGCCCACGTGTGATGTTTCCCTGCCTTGATTGGCTATGCTACTGAAATACATCGTGCCCATGAAAGTGTGTCAAAGTCATCTACTTGGGAAGTGGTCAACATGTCAATGGCAATTGTAGAGGAAGTGAAAGAGGTGGTGAAAGACAGGTTTAAATTTGGACAGAAGACGCTTCACAATGCTAAGTCGAGTAATGATTGCAATACACAGTACCATATTCAACTCTATAAAAACAGTACCATATGCAATCCATACGGGGGACCCAACCTTGTCCTTTCTGAAAGACTCTACGGGGAAGGGCCGGACAGGTAGTGTTGTTCCAGCAGCATTCTATATGCCTCAGCACTAATGCTGCCCCGTTGCAATCTCTCATTCATTCCTTCGAACAAACTACAGTTCCTTCTTCAAAAAATGCTCAGGTCGATGGTCCGTCTCATAGTCTACATGCACATACGCCCTCTCTACATCAGGCAAGCTCTCTAGTTTGATTTGGAGTTCCTCTGCGACATCGTGGGTTGCACGCAGGGAGGACTCAGGGTCCATGACGATGTCTACTTCAACGATGAGGCGGGGGCCAGAGTGGTAGGCGCGGACTGTGTCGATTTGGAGGATGGCGGGGGAGTGCGTCATGGCTAGATGATGTGAGTAAGTTGGGGTTATATATAGGATTGGGAAGGGAAGGAGGTAGCTTACAGATGTAGGTGATGTGCTGGAGCATAGCGGTATCTGCCGTGACGCCGATGAGGAGCTGGAATTCACTGTACGCCGTCCTCGACCACAGGAAGATGATCAAGACAGACAGGATCATCGCGCCCATGGGATCGAGCCACCACTTGAGCTTGGAACCACCCACACTGGTGAGCACACCGAAGCCATTGATAAACAGATCGTTACGGTGGTCCTCCCACAAAATGCGTACTTGGCTGTACTTATTCCTGATCGCCCAGCAGTACAGGAACAAACTGAACTTTGTTGCAAACGCTATACTAACAGCGATGACACTGGGGAGGTAGAAGTTGTTAGTTTCTGGCCCGGAGTGTTCGGCCACGGTACGTATCGATTCGACGATGATGACTACTGATACGGTGATCATGAGCGCGCAGAATGAGAGGTTGCCAGCTGTCTCGATTCTTGCTTTTCCTGAAGGGAATTTACGTCCGTCGACGCGCGCGACGGCGCGGTTACACATGATCAGGGTGAGATTGGACAAGGGGTCGAACAAGGAGTCGGCCATGGTGGTGAACAGGGAGAGCGATTTGGAAGTGATGGCGGCGTAGAGTTGCAATATGGCCAGAATGATATTCGCAGCGAATGATCCGATAACGGCGATTTTATACTTGAGGTGATTGGCAGTATCCTCGTCTTTGGCCGCTCTTCTGTGATCGTCGACAGGTTTGAGCAGGCGCTCAATGTTCTCGTTTTGTGCTTCGTAGAATTCCTCGAGCTTTCGGGCACTGCGCGCTTTCGTATTGAGAGAGATGGGCCCGCAGCCATCTCGTTTCCGCGACGTGTTGGCGCGCATGAGGGCGAGCTCGCTCTCAGGCTTGATGGCCATAGACAGCCGGTACGGATCATTGTCTGGTGTATAGCCAGGCGGCGACTGGCTTTCGATATCATGGGCGCTGCTCGAGCGGGCAGGGACATGGCGCGCAATGGGGTCGTGGTCGTTGGCCGACTGTGTAGTCTCGATAGCGGTACTATTGCCGTCGTGTTTGCGGACTGCCGTCTCCGCAGACGTGTGCTGATTGGAGCTGGAGCTGTTCAGGTGCAGGTGTGGACTGGCGCTTCGATCCGTGCGATCCGAGTTGTGAAGCTGGAACGGCAGCGGTTTCATGGAGATGGCGCGGTGAAGGTCTGGTTCCGACGACATGGTGGCGGGCAACTCGGTCGGCTAATGCTCGTAAAAGTGATTAGGAAGAATGGGAGGACTCAGAGGTGCACGACGACCCTGCTCAAAGGTTGGGTAGTGAAGCTGGAGAGTAGTTCGAGGTTCATCGTTTGCTTCGACGACGGCGTGCGAGCCAAGCTCCCAAGCGGGGGGCCTTCAAGGTTGGGAGGCGCGATCTTCGTCCATAGCTCACGATTCGTAATACAACGGCATGTGGCCTATGCGATACATCCAAGACGCAGCTAACTCCCGTAGCTTCTTAGCTTTTTGGGATTGCATTGATAATAGCAGGTAGTCTAGGGGGAAATGGTTGTCTATGATTTGGAGCTCATAGCGTTGTGGGGTATCGATAAGCTCCAGCTCCACCGCGTCATGTAACACTTGCTCTAAAAGCGTCAAAAAGGCACCCACTAAGATATATAAATTGCTATAAAGTTGTTGCAAAGAGTGCGGTAATGAAACTTCCTCACAAAGCCAAGAGTCGCTTGTTGATCGGCGCCTGGGTATCAAGATTGTCTCGGCCCTTTCTTGCTCCTTGCGTCATCCCCCTCCTACAAAGATCTTATCTTTTCCATCTATGAACAGGGTCCTTTGTCGCTCTATGAAGACGGTACACGACTCGCGTCCAAGGCGAGATCGATCCTGCAGCCCCTTTAGCCGAAACGCCTAACAGTGTGCGAACATGGAGAAGGGATAGCTACACTATAACAAAAGTCTATTAAGCATCCATCATCTTTGCAACGGTCCAAAGTCTATAAGCGAAGTCCATCTATGTACATCCACATGCAGCTCAAACCCGTTCACTGTCACTCCAGCTATTTAGCCTCAAAGAAGAGTTGGGGTATCGTCTGCGCCCCTTGTCTATAACGACCGTGCAAATGCGTACAATATGACTACGGGAAAAGAGAAATGGAAAAGCACTGCCACCGACAATGCAACAATGCAATGCAGTATAGTCGGACAATATGGGTCCCTACCGGCTGTTGTGTAGGTCCGCAGGGTTGGGAAGAAACCGCGCTAGTGTTCTTCTGATGCGATGTAGGAGGAAACGAAAACCCGGTGGTTATGTCTGAATTCGTAGAGGTTGTCGTCGCCAGCGAGGTTTGCTTACTGGCGCTAGTTACCATGCATCCAGCATGCACCACCAGACCCCGAGTCTTGTGCCGCACCAGCGTACTCGTAGTCATTGCTCAAACCAAAAGGCGTTTCTAACATGTCCGGTAGATTTGTGTCCCACATCATATCGTCCCAGAAGTTGTTGAGAATCGTGGGGTCATTGGCGTTAGCCCAAGTAGGTGTCGCAGGATTGTAGTGAAACGCGCCCTGACCTTGTGGATAAGCGGCGTGTGAGTTGAGCATAGCCGGGGCTCCATTTGTGGTACCGGGGACCGCAAACTGGGTATGGCCTTGATACTGAGGTGTTGTGATAGGCATGGAAGCTTGTGACTGGGACAGGCTGGAGGCACTCGTTTTGTAAGCCGCATAAAGACGCCGAACAGCATCGCCGCTTCGCTTGGCCGCGATACTCCAATCCTTGACTGTTTCGAAAAACTGTAAGGCTGTCTCGACGCTAGCCTTCCATTTCTCAATCTCTTCCGGCACGCTGGCGTCGCTGAACAGGGAGACAAGGGGTACCATGCAAGCCTGGAAACAGAACCAGACGGCGTTCCAGCCGGATATGAGATCGGGCATGCACTCTTGACTGATATCCTCGATAGTCTTGAGTGCGATGAGTCGGCATTTTCCAACGGCAACCTTCTCTTCCGCCGTCAAGGTAGCCCATGCACCTCGTCGTAGTGCTGTGGTAAGCAAGATGGGCCGATGAAGTACGACGCGAATGTTCTGGAATCGCCACTTCATGACTAGTCTCACCCGGCGGATAAACTCTGGACACGGCTCTTCAGGGTGGGAGAGGATTGAGGGTAGCTCCTCGTGCCATTTCATAATGTGTGCATCGTAGCTGGCGGTTTCAACTGAGGAGAGGAGAGGTGATTCAACGAGACGGTCTTGTATCCTCGTTGCTATGTCACAGAATGCGGAAGCATGGATTAAAGGAAGGATTTTGAGCTGCTCGATGTACTGCGGGCTGTTGGGCGGGGGTATAGTCTGTATCTGTTAAGGCAGTCAGCATATGTCCACCATGACCTGCAGCCAGAGGATTCTAATGTATACATACCGCACCAGCAGCCGTTCCTGGTCTCAGGACTGTGATCGAGGGTCCCATCCTGCCCAATGAAGGCCGACCGGTCGTGGTCGACGCCCATGCATCAAGACAGAACAGACTCCACCATATCCTTCGTCTCATCTCGGGGGAAATCGAATCCTCGTCACCGGGTGCCATAAACTGCCGGCTTGCATCACTTCGCTCTGAGTACTCGCGGTGCAGCCCCAGCGCCGTAGCCATACGAAGGGTTCCACCCATGAGCGAGTGCGCCTCATTTGGTCGGTTGAGGTAGTGCATGTAATAACCGCTCATAATCGCAAGAGCTTGCAAGACCTCCAAATTTCCACTTCCAAATGACTCAAGAGATAGATGTAGTCGCGAACGAGTGAAGTAGACGTAATGAGCTTCGTTGTCTGCAGTAAGGGACGCGAGCGAGCCAAGCGCGAAGACCATGTTCAGCAGGCCAAGCCATGGTGAGTCTTTTCGGTTGCTGTACAAATACGTCGACCAGAACTTGCGTTCGTCGATCATGGGGAAGAATGGGTGAACGCGGTCAAAGTAGCTCTCCAGGAGCTCCTGGCCATGCTCTGGGGGCGGCAGAGCATGTGGACTGTTGTCCGCGAGCTCAGGAGGAGGGGATCCCGCACGACTCGGTAGCGCTGTCTCCTGGCTGTTATGCGTAATGAGCGAGCGTGCTTGTGGTGCACACCGCACAATGACTTTGAGTGCTGCAGTGATGGAGGATATGCCAACGTAGGATGAGAGCTTATCGACAGACATGGAAAGACCATTGACGTCGTCTGAGATTCCTTGCACACGGATCTGGTGTTTTCGCGCCTCGTCCCAGTACGGATCCTCAGAAGGAGCTTGTTCAAGGGCCTCAAGGCTCTCGGCACCATCAGAGCCGGCCTGAGCATCTGACAAGGCCTGGGAATCTGCTGTCGATGGAGACATTGTCAGGTTGTTTATCGGCGCGGATAGAGCCAACTCGAGCAGTTCCTCTCGAGGTAAAGCGGCTAGGGATTCGAGGTTCTTTCCTCCATATAGCTTGGTCAAAACGGTCTTGTACTGCTCGATGTTGTTGGATAGCTTGTCGACTAGCCTGATGGCTTGTTAGCAGATGGTCCTGTACGGCTTATGAAGAGTGGACTCACTTCCTACTCGGCACTACTCTCTGTGCAGGCTTGGAGTATCCGCACGCCTCGGGATGTTGATACCACTGGCACTGCCCACAAGGCTGTGAACCATCACATCGGATCTTTCTTCTCCTGCACTCAACACACGCATTGCTGGTTGATATTCGCCGTGAGCCTGGGGGCCGTGTTGGTTTCCCCGAACTATCGGTGTCTGCCCCAGGTGACCGCAGCCCAGCGGTAGACTGGAACGTGTGGAACATGGTGATGAGTCGGCTTCTGTCGCACGACCTGCCCCGCTACCAAGCTCCGGGACCAGAAGTTGAAAGTAGGCAAGATGTCGCGCCCAATGCGTCTGCCAATCATGAATCCAGCTGCCAGGTCAAGAGTAGTAGAAGGTTCGCTCAGCGTCGATGTCGTGCAAGAGAGTTGGGGAAGGCGCGAAACCAAAGTCTGGTACGATATGATACACCAGACGTAGAATATATCCAGAAATCGGGACTAGAAGTAGTCGGACCGGGATCGTTATATCAGAGACACCGGTAGTGCAGCGAGACGGTTGCAGACGACGGCGCTGCACGTACGTTACGTTTTGCCTTTAAGCAGTTATTCAGGCTGCAGATGGGACTGCCCGGTTCGCCTCTGGTCCCCAGCTATGTATCGTCATTCTGCTGCACGTCTTCTCGTTAGCGATTCGCAGGAGCTGGGCGATAAAGTGACAATCCAGAGTGGACATTGGCTCTTCCTATAGTCCCCGCATTATAGGCCACTACCCGGCTGGGGCGGGCGACAGGGCTGACTGGTGGAGGAAGAAATGACAGGCGACCGTTGAGACGGGTGGACGGGAAGATTGCGTCGCAAAAGCCAAGCGAGCCTGAAATTGACCGCCTGTGGCTTCGAGAAGGCCGGCAGAAGGTGGCATAGACAAGCAAACTCCCGCGCTCAAGCATCGTGTCTGGTCGCGGCAGGCTACTCCTGCACGCCGTCTCAGCATTGCGCCTCATCCTTCCCGCCATCGCATGGCGTACGTTAGAGGTTGTCTATGGTGCGGGTTGCAAGACTCGAAGCAACCCTAACGCAACCACCGCGGGACAAGACAAGGGCAGGCCGACCTCATTTCCGCAGCAAGTGTACTCGCTAGCTTCTTCTGCCGACATGGCAATCCACAGTTGCATCCAGCGTCCGGGTCGAGAGCGAGCGTGGGCCGAAGAGTAAACCTTACTGTTGCACATGCTGCGGAATCTGCGCCCGGCGACTTATTACTGTGGTATGCGACTAGGTTGCATCATAGTACAAACCCTGTACGCCGTGGTGAGAAGGTGCCGGCCAATGGCCAGGGGGCGATTGATTGACCCTGGAAATTCACCATGTTCCATAGACGACCTTCATATGCATGGCTTGGCTGGGTACATGGCGGTGGTGGGGACGGGGCCTATACTTGGCCTCACGTAAACCCCGCCGTTGAGAAGTCGACTGAACTGATCCATTGTGCTGCGAGTTGTATTCTTCCACTTCCTTGCCTATAACAGTCCTAACGCCAACTCGTCACTAGAGATAGAATGCGACGACGTCTAATGCTAGCCGTTTGCTGCTAATTAACTCAGGACTTGCTGTGCTGTCCGTCAGCATGCAGCATGAACCCCTTTCTACTTCTCAAAACCTCAGTCCCTACACTGTGGTCCTTTGATAGCTTTGCATAATCAGACCACTCGCGTCCCTAGACGTCTCCACTTTGTACTTCCTGCACGCTGACCACTAATCTTTGCCCAAGTATGTCCATCTCAATGGCTCGTCCTGCTTGCCCAGTCCCCTCACTCTGACGACCTGTTCATCGCCAGGGACAACGTCAATGGCGCTGTCGTGTACAAGCACACCTGATCGTTCCTCAAACACGAGGCCCTTGGTGGGCTTCTCTGCTTTGATCACAATGGTGTCGCCCTTCGGAATAACTTCTACGCCACGGTCGTCGAAATCTAGGTACTTTAGCGGTTGCGGCCAATCAACGTCTCTTGACACGATTTCGCCGTCGACCCATATCCTGACCGCCAGCACATGCGGCTCCTCGTTCCGGTTATCTATGGTTCCTGAGAGGATGTCGGTTGTGCCGTTCGCTACCAGCTTAATGTCTTTCTTGACAACCTTGTCTTTAATCTCCCTCCCACTCTTGACACTAATATACCGCAACTCCACAGTCGCTGTGATCTCATCCAACTTCTGGCTCGCGACCCAGACCTCGAAGTCGCTGGTCTTGGGCACTCTTGCATGTACCACACTCCAATCAAAGTGTGCTCGTTTGACTGCGACGGCGATGGGTGCGAGCACCCGGCGCATGGCGTAGTAAGCCGGCTTCTTGCGCTGAAAGTAATCGACGATGGACCACGAAGTTACTGGCCAGCAGTCGTTGAGCTGCCAGACGAGCGCACCACCGCAATGCCGCTCCTGGCCCCACTGGCGACGCCAGCCCCTGTACCCGAACATCAATGCCTCGGCTTGAGAGAGTTGCGTAAGATGGATGAATGCCTTTCCGCCGTCAGCAAGGATCACAGGATATATGAAGATCCACTTGATCGTGGTACCCGACGCAAAAACAGGGAATCGAACAATCGAACGCCAGGGCACTTACCTCAAGATCGGTTTTGGTGCGGAAGTTCTCGACTAGGTAGGTCGCTATCCGCCGCTCGTGCCCATCTGCTTTATTGTGAAAGTCTAGCATATGGCTTTGCGGGTATAGTTGTGATGGATCGGTACAGTAGTACTTGATCGTGTCGATGTGAGGAAAGGCTTCCATGCCGAACTCGCTATTGAAGCGGCCACCGAGCGTGTCAAAGATCTGGTACTTCTCCTGCGTGCCGTGCCACACTGTTTACGTTGTTAGCATGCGGTGGGCCATGAGAGAGCTAGAGTAGTACCGTTCCATTGGTGCATGTCGCCTACTGTGGGGTTTGAAGTCTTAATACCGTCACCCCAAGGCGAGCCTGGGTGGTACGGTACATGTGGGCTTTGCGCAGCGACAACTTCAGGCAACAACTGATCGAGCACCTCGATTAGCATAGTCCAGAGCCTTTTGCTATCGGTGTGCACCTACCTTCTCGTAGATGTACCTGGCAGGGAAGTCTGTCTTGAGCCAACTTTCTGGGTCCTTGTCCTCATAGTTGTAAGTCAACCCAAACGACTCTTGTACCTGGTAATCCTCGTTGTTGCCCGCATAGATGATGATCGAAGGGTGGTGTCGTAGTCGGCTAACATTGGCGGTGCACTCCTCCTCTATCGACCGTAAGATTGCTGGGAAGGCAGGATAGTTACCGCACCCAAACATGAAGTCTTGCCACACCAGAACACCCAGCTCGTCACAGATGTCATAGAAGATGTCTTCTTCCCAGATGCCGCCACCCCATACACTAATATGCGTCAGCAATGGTAATACTCTTTGCTCTCGCGCTGGAACACAACTGGTTGAGGAAAAGACACGACGGACCGTATCATGATTTGATATCCATCCACCATCATCTCTAACCATTTGCGATACTTCTCCTCTGTTACTCGGGTTGTGAACGAATCTGCAGGAATCCAATCCGAGCCACCACAGAATACGTCCACGCCATTGACGCGGAAGTAGAATGACTTGCCAATGGCATCCGGCTCCTGGATTAGTTCGCCGTTGCGGAAGCCAGTACGACGCGTCACCTGGTGCAATTCTACATCGTCCGCCGAGATTGTAGCAGTGATCTTGTAGAGAGGTTGCTCGCCGTAGCCATGCGGATACCATAGCTTCGGATTGTTAACATGGAACTCCACCTTTGCCACGCCGTCATTGACTTTTGTTGATTCTTTGAAAACTAACTTCTCGCCGTCGTATACAGCAAAACTAACACTTTTCGCAGATGCGCCTTCGATATTCGCCGAGACCGTGCCCTGTACCGACGTCAAGCCCGCATCAAGCTCATAGTCAACACGTAGATCCTCAATCCGGGTCTGATAGGTCTCCAATCGTACTTCGCGCCACGGACCGCAAGTGTTGAGTATTGGCCCCCAGTCCCAGCCCCAGTGGTATTGAGCTTTCCTCGCGGCAAGCCTCGACATGTCGCCATTGAAGCCCACCCACTTGTGATCTGGATGCTGCTCACGGATCTTGATTGCTTCCAGTCGTGCAGATGCGAATACAATCTCCAATATGTTGTCCGATCCAGGATCCAGCTTGTCGGTAACATTGACACGATGCGGGATGAACATGTTATCGCTATCGAGAATAGTCTCGTTATTGAGCTTGACGGTAGCAAACGTGTCCAGGCCATCGAAAGCTAGTACGTATGCTGTACCATCCTTCGGTTTTGTAACCTTAGGCAGCTCGACTCGGTAGATCCATGACTGGTCTGCGACCCACTCTGCCTCGAGCTCGTTGAACCCTAGAAAAGGATCTGGGATTCTGAAAGCTGTATTAGCTGTGGTCAGAGTATTGATTCCCTCTACTCAAAATCTGTCGAGACATACTTGCCATTGTCCATCAAGTCTAGATGAACATTGGTGGGCACTTTCTTGACCGGCAGCCATGCATCCTGAGCTGTATCATCTGCCTGCTTGAACGTCCATCCATTCGTCAACCGGTCGACAGTTAGAGCTTGAGCTTTTGCCATGATGTATGCAGCGTCAAAACGGCGAAGTTGCACGCCCTCACCAGCTCTCGAATATCAACTGAGCGTTAGCCTACCACTGAGCGGGGTAAGCCAAACAGTGGAAACGTCCCTCCTTTGAATTCGAGCAAACGGTCCTTCTGCCTACCTATATTTCAGACGGTGGCCTTGGCCGGAGCATGAGCTGCCGTGTTGTGCTCATCGAGCAGCTCCAAATAGTCCAGAAAGGTATGCGGAGCGGCTACTCCGGGCCGAACCCCGTTAGTCGAAGGAGTTTTGTGGGACTGCATGTGACGTCGGAAACATGCGCCTTGTACTACTACCTTACGACCACGCGGGACTTTTGCAGGGCGGTGATGAGATCGGGCCCAACCTCTCCGTGATTGATGGAGAAAGTTGTGGCCTGTGTCGTAATGTTGTAAGCTAGGACAAGCGTTCCGAATGGCTCCCCCCCCACGTCGTTGCACGGGATGAGCACGGGATAAGCGCCAAGGAGCTGAATCCTTAGAAACACATGATATGTGTCTTAGATGCATTGTTGTTTCTACGGACATTGCGCTCCGTTCCCAAAACCCATCACTGAACCCTGGAAGCGGAAGACACACGTGCACATGCACATCACCGTTCCCGCCTGTCGGGTCATAAAACCCAAGGCAGCTCAAAGATTACATACCTCGTTTCTGTGCGATTATGGTGGCTCAAGACTGCGTACAAAGTCAGAGAAGGGTATCGAAGTATTCAAGCATACCAACAATATTCACATCGTCCGCCCAGGAAAACAGACTTCTATTCTACATCCAGATACCATTACTGCTACCTGACCCATGCTAAGCTCATGACAGCCGATACAAAAGCTACCGTAAGCACAGTGCGGTCCAAGCGAAAGGATCCCGCTGCAGCACTTCTGCGGAACATCTCCTTCCTCGACCTTTTCAGACTGAGTGCGGCTTGATGATCAACTTTGCCCGACTGTGCTAGTTGAAGCATCTTCTCCATGCTTGTATCCAGTATGTTCGTCGAGCGTGCTCCTGGACAGAAGACGACTTCGAAGCCAGCTCCAGAGGGGATGATGAAGGTGGACGATTGATCGTCGAACGCTGAAAGGATGGCATTAGCATTAGGATTACATTTGAAAAGTGCAAGAACTTGCCGAAACTGTAGGCATCTGGACAAACTTCCTTGACACTCTTGGAGTAGTCGCCTGGTCGACATTTGCTTGCCGAATTGTACTCTCCGGTGCAACAGTCTTCGGGCTTGTTGTTCTTCGCGCACGCGGAGAAGCAAGGGTTGAACTGGGCTCTTTGGATGTTGTCATCAGGGTACGGATACACGCCGTCACCGGGCTTGTCGGGAGGAGACTGCTGTAGATCCCAAGGACACCACCTTGATATCTTGTCTTCGTCCACCGCGTCTTCGAAGGGTAAGGGATACGAGGTGTTCGTTCGCAGGAAGTCGGGATACTCGGGATATGGGGTGTATCCCTTCTTTGCTAGAAGGCCATCTGTGCCTTGGCATGATGGGTTGGTAAGATTTGGCGGAATGTCATCGAGGGTAACGTTTTCTAATGGCTGTAGGACGATGGCCATGGGTACGTTGTAACCATCGACTAACGAAATATCGTAATAGGTGTGCCCATCTCCGGCATCTAGGGTAAACTCTGCAAGAGAGACGGGGACGTCACCCTGTATTCAAGTCAATCGAAGTCGTTCATGTGTGGAGCATGCAGAAAGCAATCTCACTTACCCCGACCCGACAATTCAGTACACCATTGCAATCGCCAGAGTAACAAGCTTTACCCCGGCCTTCTGCGGGACCAGAACCATCGTCGTTGAAGGAACAATTCGTTCTGCCCCAAACGCGACCCTGCCAGTCTTCTGATACTGTTTGGTTCTTGGAGGCCCCAGGCTCCAACTTGAACCCGTTCTCTTTCGGGCCTTGTCCAGATTGCGTCGAGATCCCGGGCCAGATGTCTCCGGGGCAGCGATTGGTGACTAGCAAGGGGGTGATATCCTCTTTTCGTCGTTGTAGCTTGCGCGGAGCCTTTGAGGACATGTGATGCATGCCATCGGCAAGCGGAAACCCTGACAATAGGAAAAGTACGGTGCAAAAGTGGGCGACAGAGAAGCGAGCTATAGGCTGGGAATGACCCCTGCTGGACCTGGGAGGTGTGCGCATTGCGAGAAGTGACTAGGCGCGTAGAGTGCGCAATGATGGTTCAGGTGTAGTAGTTTGAAGATGCGCGCGGATAGGTATACTGGAGGTTCCAGGCCAGCTGGGGGTCGTTGTGGGTAGGAGGATGTAGTGTCCAATATGTATGAAGACGAGGCATGCTGGACAGCCAGCGTGCGCAGCACAATCAAGGAACAAGAAGAACGGGCCGATCATGGACAATGTGAGGAAGTCGTGACTTGGTCAAGGTACAGTAGTGACGCAACTGGTGGTGCCTTGCCAGGGTCCAGCAGGGGCTCAGCAGGGCTCAGCAAGGCTGAAAGCCTATCATTGGCCTCGACGTGCGAGTCTTCAAAACGGTCCGACAAATGTGTTGGTGGCGTTTGAGCGCGTATCCAATGTACTCATTACTTGGATGCGATAGTAGAGCGCTGATTTTAAGTTAAGTAGAAACACGTGTGCACGCGTCTTTCAAGTAGATGCGCAAATATCAAATACCCGTCGTGTCGTAACGTAACGGCAGCAGAGCGGAATGACAGAAACAAAACTTGCCCGGCATTGTTGTTGTGGGACAAGTGGTAGCTGATGCCATCATTGTACACATATATTATAATAAGTCTTGAGATGACTGGTACCTAAGAGGAAGAGGCGAGGCGAGGCGTGGCAGCGAAGTGAAGTTTCTCAAAAGATCAATCAGACAAACAAACAGATTCTCGACTTCGCAAATGCGCACAGATGGTGTGAGAAACATGCCGAGAGACGGAAAAGACGAACCATGACGGTGTTAATCGGCGGAAATGAAATTGCAGCTCCTGGCTGGCAATCTTATCGTTTGGTCAGCGACTTTTCGGAGGACGGAAAGGCAAGCGTTCCAGGGTCTCGCCACCATTAGTGGCCCGGTGGTGAGATCTTCGCGAGGCGAGCAATTTCTTGGCTCTCTCCTGACATAGTGACATCTACTTCTCTTGAGCGCACGCTTACTCTTCTTTTCACGGCCTTTCCGCCATCTCCCACCCTTTACATTCCTTCGTTTACACTCTGCAGCGCTCCCGCTGATCTGGGCCTTCCTGTCGCGTCCTTTACTCCGAGTCTTCCTCGATCGATACTCGTTCCGAAGCTTCCACCTTCGTCCCTCCTAAGGCCATCTTCCGATTCCCAGACTTCCCTCGACACAGTTGGATCACTGGCATACGCAGCGACTCTTACCTACCATCCCAGGGCTATACTGAATGTCTACGACCACGACCATGCCAGGCCGCACCCTTCCGACGATTCCGACCGCTGAGGTACAGGCGCATAACAACGAAGAGTCCTGCTATGTCACGATTGGCACAAAGGTCTACGATGTCACCGACTTTCTAGAGGGCCATCCCGGTGGCCCAGAGTTCATACTGGAGTATGCAGGCAAGGATGTGGAGGCCATCTTGAAGGATGAGATTTCGCATTTCCACTCCGACTCAGCGTACGAGATATTGGAGGAAAGCCTCATTGGCTTCGTCGCCACAGATTCGATCATGAACGGCGCCACGAAAAGCTCCAAGCCTGCAGACATCATCCCTTTGCCACCGACAGCAGCGGGCACAGCGGAGCTCAAGAGCATGACACAGAATGGAAAGCCGCTGTACGCCGCAACTGGCATGTCGAATGCGGAGGACCTCTCCAGGGAGACGGACCCCTCAATAGACTACAAGCAGCACAAGTTCCTCGACCTCAATAAGCCGCTCTTAATGCAGGTCTGGTACGGGGGTTTTACCAAGGAATTCTACCTCGAGCAGGTGCACCGACCACGACATTACAAAGGAGGCGATTCAGCGCCGCTGTTCGGCAACTTCTTAGAACCCTTGAGCAAGACACCATGGTGGGTTGTACCAACGCTGTGGTGGCCTTGTGTGGTAGCCGGGACGGTGATTGCTGCTAACGGATTGGGATCTGCGCCAGCCCTGGCGGGATACTGGATCTTCGGCTTGGGCTTCTGGACGATTGTAGAGTATGTTCTGCACAGGTTCTTATTCCACTTGGACGAGTAAGTCATGCCACCCTACGTTCTGACAACCTATACTCATATCGGACAGCTATCTTCCTGATAACCGCGTTGGTCTTACGCTCCACTTTCTGCTCCATGGCATTCACCACTATCTGCCCATGGACAAATACAGACTGGTGATGCCGCCCACACTCTTTGTTGTGTTGGCAGCACCTTTCTGGAAATTCGCCCATGCAATCATCTGCTGGAATTGGTATGCCGCGACAGCTGCGTACTGTGGCGGCATCTTTGGATATACATGCTATGACATGACACACTACTTTCTTCACCACCAAAAGTAAGTGAGCCCTAGAAGCATTCGATGCAACTGCTAACAATGTGAAGGCTGCCCGAATTCTACCAACAGCTGAAGAAGTACCATCTTGCGCATCATTTCGCCGATTACCAGAATGGCTTTGGTGTAACGAGCCGCTTCTGGGACTGGGTGTTTGGTACACAGCTAGAGATGACGCCTCCCAAGGTCATCAAGAGTGCCTAAGGCCTACAAGAGGAAGCAAGTTCTTGCTCTGAACCTATATAGTTGTAATCATAACGCATGCATCGGCTTCGGGGGGCGTTTGATAGGCACTTGTCGCCCAACTCTACCGTGTTGGGAGTTTCTGGTTAGTAGCGGGGACATGTCCTATATACCTTCACGACACGATATCACTTTCTAGACTAATATTAATGTATGGCTGGTAGCCTCTACCAACGAAAACTTCTTGTCCCAAATTTCTGCGAACCATGCACGTGACCCTGCCGACAGTTTCCTGTTTTGGGTCTGGCCCCGCCGCCAAGCATTATAACCCTTGAAATTCCAGCTGGCCAGCCTCGTTCCTCCCGCCCGCTCACTCACCCACCACCACAACAACAATTGTGCGCGACAACACAGCTTTATCAGCTACAGATTTGTCGAGTACAATTCGGCCACGGACAGGCTATACGTCGACTACAAGTCACCTAGCGACACTGTAGTCACAGCTATCTTCGGCATCTCTCAGTACAGCAATTGAATCCAGTATCTAAGCTGCAAGCTCGCCGCAACCACTTCGCTCTCACCGTGACTGCGCACTTCGCTCCCGACCGACACAACTTATCGAGAACTAGGACTTGCCTTCGCCATGGCTGCAGTCAACGAAATCGAAGCCCTCCTCGATGAGGCCGCCCGCGACGTAGAGAAGTCACGCGAGCGCCAGGCCAGCGACGAGGCCCGCGACACCGACAGCCGCCGCGACGATCGCCACCGCGACCGACATGCAGACCGACATGACCGCCGTGATAGGAGCAGGGATAGGGAGCGTCATCGTGAGTCTAATGGTGACCGGCGTAGAAGCCGCGAGCGGCGAAGAGATGGAAGCCGTCCTCGATCGACCAAAGGTGCTGACACAGAAGAAGACCGTGATAGGACCCGTCGCAGCAGCTCGCGCGACCGATACCGCGGAGGCCGTAGGGACCGTGGAGGCGACTACTACAGCGGTGGCGGACGCGCCCGCTCTCGCTCCCCCCGCCGTGACCGCGGTGACGACAAGTACCGCACCCGCGATGGCTCTCGAGACCGTCGACGTGGTGGACCCGGTGCTGAGGAGCGCCGAGGCAGCCGCCGCGAGAAGACTGCAGAGCCCGAGGCCACGGAAGATGACCGCGACAAGCGCACCATCTTCGTCCAGCAAATCTCCCAGCGCGCCGAGACACGCCACCTGCGCTCCTTCTTTGAGGCTGTCGGCCCTGTCGTCGAGGCACAGATTGTCAAGGATCGAGTCACTGGACGTTCCAAAGGGTAAGCAATTCCACCCAACCTCTTGTGTCATGTGCTAACCCCAACTCTAGCGTTGGCTACGTTGAGTTCAAGGAGGAAGAGTCTGTCCCCAAAGCTCTGGAACTGACTGGCCAGAAACTGAAAGGTGTTCCCATCATTGCGCAGCTCACAGAGGCTGAGAAGAACCGTGCTGCTCGGCCCTCCGAGGGCGGCGCCGCGCCTGGTGCCAACGGTGCCCCCTTCCACCGTCTCTATGTTGGCAATATTCACTTCAGCGTCACCGAGAAGGATCTCCAGGAGATCTTCGAGCCCTACGGTGAGCTTGAGCAGGTCATCCTCCAACGCGACGAGATGAACCCTGGTCGGTCCAAAGGATACGGTTTCGTTCAGTAAGTGCTACTTCGACCTTTCGTCGATGCAATGCTAACCGCTCTATAGGTTTGTTGACCCTACAAACGCTAAAAATGCTTTGGCAGAGATGAATGGCTTCGAGCTTGCCGGTCGCCAGATCCGCGTCGGTCTCGGTAACGACAAGTTCACTCCCGAGTCGACTGCCAACCTTCTGCGCACCTTCACCCAGCAGGCTCAGAGCTACCAGGGATCCGCTTTCAGCGGCGCTGGCGGCCGTGGCGCTTATGCCGGCGGTGCTGGTGGCGTCTTCGACCGCACTCACAGCAAAGATGACCGCGGTGTGAGCGGCGCCTCTGCCCTCGACGACACCGATGTCGCTGGAGTCAACTTCAAGACCTACGACCGAAGCAAGCTAATGGCAGCTCTAGCCGGCCGCGATAACCCAGAGCCCACGAAGCAAGGCGCCCAGCCCGTCATCAACAAGCCTCGCGCTCCTATCGTCGACAAGCCTATGGCTTCGAAGTGCGTCAAGATCGAGAACGCTTTTGATGCTGACGAGTATGTATTCCAACCCCTTCTCTGATTTTCTGGTCGGCTAATACTCTTTAGGGAACAGAAAGCTTGGGGCGATAGCTGGGTCAAGGATCTCGAGGCAGAGGTCAAGGTCGAGTGCGACAAGAAGTATGGAAAGGTCGTCCACATCGCCGTCGACCCCAATACCGAGGGCGACATCTACGTAAAGTTCGACTCGGTCACCGGCGGCGAGAAGGCTCTCCAGGGTCTCAACGGACGCAGCTTCAACCACCGCACTATCCGCGCCTCTTACGTTGTCGATAAGATCTACAACTCCCTCTGGGGTGCTGCTGCTAGCAGGTTCTAACTGATCGGTACGTCATGACTTTGTCGAGGGGTACCCGGTAGCTGGCCCGCTGCCGAGTGCCCCATTTCTTGACTATGTGTGCATACAGGATCGAAATCGACGACACTTTTCATGGTTTTCAGATGCATGGATGGCGTTACCAGGATGGACATGGATGGCGTGCTTCTTTGATTTGGTTATGGATGATCGTTCACACTCTCTGGAGGTGTCACAACAAGCGCTTCGTGCGTCTTCGTTGCTACCTTTCCAACTGAGAGATGAGGGGTTGACGAATCTTTCTCGGTATGTTCTGTGACGGACCACGACCTGTTCAGATCTTACCTTGGTCTCCTAGGTTCCACAGATTGCTGCACATAAGCAGCTTTGCGATTGCGACAAGGTCATAACGGAGGACTTGGGCTGCTAATAGTACATAGGCCCAGCTCGTCTCCTCCGTTCATGGATGACCTGTCTGTCAATAATCATTTGTTTAGATACTTCCTTGCGAGCAACTCTGTGATATGGACCACTTGTCGAGAGATGGACGTTTTGGAAGTGCCGTTGAATCGGGCGTGGTTTGACCCTCTCCGTTACTGACTGCCATGCCTGACACGTGACAGATTCTGGTCACAGCATCACCGTTGATGGCTCATTTTCCTATCAGATCATGTCCCCTCCACTCCTCTTTATCTTCGTGTGCTAACTCATGTGCAGTGATTGTTCGACCTTGCGCTTTGACTCATCATCTAGGTACTCTCCTTATTTTGAACACCCACGCCGTCTTTCTAACTGAAGAAGCCGCCTACCTGATGTGCAGGCTCCATCCCATTTCTTGACCAGATTTGCAAACACACCACCGTCTTTCCTGGTAGATTGCATGCACAACGCAGTCTTATCTGCTGAGGCTAGTAGCCGCGTGAAATTGTCGCATGCATTGGTAACCTACCGGCATTCGACGCCTGCCAGTCGCATCATAACGCGTGAAGTAAGACGATGGCCTTGACGGCTATTCTTAATTGATCATTGCACTAACATGATTTACGGATTATTTACCTGTACGCGAGTCAAGGGAGGTTAAAAAGAACTATCATGTAATTCGATCTAGACTTGCATTTTGATTCCGGTCTTTTCTCTGCTCTTTCTATACGTCCTCAGCTCGGATGGTCCTTTAAGCGAGTTACGCGTACAGGATTCAGTCTACATCTACAGTTACTTTATTTTACATAGATGATAAGCATGCTAGCAAATTGAATCTAGTTAGCACTGCATACAACAAGTAGAGCTCAAGAGTGATAAACATTTGCCTATTTCCCAGCCTCTCTTGTTAGATACAGAATCAAGCAAGTCCTTAAGGAGGGCCATAGTGACATTGTGCATTTTTGTAATATACTGTCACCTGACCCTGCAGCCAATATCGTCTCTACTCTTCAAGCCTGTGAGCATTATCAAGTCCAAGGGTAACATTGTGTGCTTACTGCGTCTTTACTCAAATCGTTAACTTTTAGGCTACACGCTGCATATAGTTTCGACCATGGGGTCATTGTGTATGCACATATCGAATAGCATCAGCCATCCCAAGACTTAAACAACGTACAATATATTCTCCCATCCCATCTCTAAACAAAACACACCAAACACACCAAACTACTTACCCAACCACGCAGAAACTAGCTCCAACGAAAATGGTGAAACTGAACGACATAACCACGGCCTATCGCACGCAGGCGTGGTCCTATCTCCCCTGCGCCCCTGTATCCAAAACACACGACCTGAACTGCGGTCACCGTGTGCAAACCGCGGCAGCCGAGCCCTGTGGTAGCAATTGCAGTAACCCCATGCATCCCGTCTCCACACCCTTCATCTGCCACATATGCATCGCGCAACCCATTCTCGAGGGCCTCGGTATCAAACCGTATGCCTCCACCGACGAGATCTGGTACCCTACCAAGCTCGACGACGAACTGGCTACTGGTATCGCCTCTGCGCTCGTTGAGGAAGAGGTGTGTTCGCTTACTGACCAGGGCCAGCGCGATACTGCGCCTGTCCTCAAGACCGATGGGCTCGCGGAGTTTGTGCGGGAGTACGGAACTAAGGTGCTGGAAATTGGTGAGCGGGAGTTGCTGGCTGTAGAGAACATGTTTCGGGGTATGGAGATCAAGTCGAAGGAGGAGAAGATGGAGACTATGGAGCATGTTTTTGCTGCTTTGGGTTTGGCGGAGAGTGGTGTTGGAACGGAGCAGGAGGACGCTGTGAAGTGGTTCTGTTAGTGGCCCTGGTAGCCCTGGGACAGGGAGTGGATTCGAGGCTGTCATTGATGAGGAAAGGTACTATTGACTGGGTAAGTTCGCTGTAGAGGGTTTAGAGTGTAAAGATATGTCTCCGCTTCTGTCTTGAACTTATAAAGCTTAAATTGCTAATTTGAGTGGATACTTTTCGCGAAACAAACCCCTAGAATGTCGTAAAAATGAAAATTAATGCCAATTCGATACTGTAGGAAAATAGTAGTGAAGTGTAGTTGGGATCGTTGACCAGTGGTTCAGATTGCAACACCGCCTCTACGATTTTGACTGATGCTCTAGCGAGCTTTAAACCCTCTCAGTCTCTTCTGGTTACTCGTTACCAATATTAATATGAACATGAATTGAGCACAGTGTGACCTCTCGCCGAGCTGGTGAAAGTGAAGGAGAAGATTGCATGTAATTTAAGGTCCCGCATTCACCTCGCGAAGAGCACAAACTCCCTCGGCCTTCAACTCTTGATCTTTTGGCAATCTTCTACACGCCAGACATGGCATATCCTACAACAAAATGATTACATCCTAGCTGACACCATTTCCAGGCGAGTCACCGGAGCTGTGTTTGTATGCTTGTGAGCGATCGTACAGCAGATTGGTGCAATGGTTTCTCCACGCTCTACACACCGCAAGAAAAGCGCGCCGCTTCCCAAACGCAAAGTGGTTCGCGAAACTGTCTCTTACCCACGCATCAAAGTCACCACTGACAACGACTCCTGTCTGAACGATTCCATGTCGCGAGAACACATTTTATCTTGCGGCCACCCTATCATCACCGCAGATCCCGGTGAGCCGTGTGCACCCAATTGTCATCATATCGAGAATAGTGGGGGTGATTTTCAGAAAAAATGGAGGAAGAGAAATGAAAATAACGTCAGCATGAAAGAATTTTACTGCGACGCGTGTGTCGAGTCAGAGAACGAGGCGCTCATCCCCAAGGACGCGACTTCCAGTGAGGCCGGTACGTTGCGCACCCTACATAGACGCGTCTTGTGCTTACCTTTGCTCAGAGATTACACGAGCGAAACTGCGGCAATCCGAAGCAAAGATCCACGGCAAAGATACGAAATACCGGAAATGCTATATTGGTATGAAGACGACATCTTTTCCATGTGACAGCGATGGTGATTGCATGGAGAGTTACGTACCTCCAAAGACACATCACCCTTTCGACACAGCTGAACCTCGAACCGGCGATAACATGTTCGAAGACATGGATCCAAGCACTGCGAAACGCCCAGGTCAGATGAAGGCGAAAGGAGCGAGTGTCAAGGTGGTAGAGATATCGAGCAGCTTGGACGACGGAAGTGAGAGTGAAGCGCGGATGACGGAGTCCGAAGAAGAAGACTTGTATGACGGAAGTGAGAGTGAAGCGCAGATGACGGAGTCTGAAGAAGAAGAAAGGACAAGAGCGCAGATCGGGTCTTCTGGTGGCACAATTTCGAAAGGGAATTCCGCTGCGCCGCAAGCTCTTAGTAGGGTTCGTGCGATTCATCGCGCTCGCGAGTCTAGCCGACAAGAGCCTATCCCTACTTTAAAGTCTAAGAAAAAGCTCAAGAGACCGGTTGCTGAGGACGAAGATTCAGATGACGGGTATGAGGTCGTTCGGCCAACAAAGCGAAGGCGACCGGAGTTCAGATCTTGCAAAGCGGGAAAGCACTAGACAAAATGAGAGCTACGACGAAGCTTTCGTGAGCTATTGCTAGCTGAATGGCGCACCAAGAGAAAGAGAGGAGACAGTGCTGTTTGGAGCTTTGAAAGTTCGCCGTTTTGGGTGGTATTTTCAGTTAACAGGCAGATGTATTGTTGATGAGCTCGAGAATTAACCCTACAACTGTAGCATAAGACTAAAGACCACTAATAGCTCATTGATGAGTCTTTTGGAGAAATATTACTGACATGGAGTGATAAAAACCTGTGGTGCAAGTGTGTTATCCTCGCCCCAGCTGCTGATTCATTCCTTTCCCCGGATTCTCTCGCCTAAGTAGGCTTCCTACCCTCACACACGTCTACTTCGCGCGAATATGTGTACTATGACTATAAATAACCATGCCACGATCCAAAGTATCATAGGAAGATAGGGGGAAAGGAGGACACGCAATATGCCCCCCCTCCATCTTGCATTCAACTCCTCAGGAGTGAAGACACCTAGCTCAAGGTCCCTGACATCGGCGGTTTGGTGGATTAAGTAGTCGGCATTGGAATCTTCGCGTGGTGGATAGCTGTGTGAGGAATCGCTGTTCGGCTCCGAGATCCTGGTAAAGCGATTTGTAGCAGTCAAAGTAGTAGTCGATGGAGTCTGCATAGTGGAGTTGAGTTGACTGCTCGGGATGTGAGTATTGGTGGGTGGGTCGAACTGAGAGGAAGTATTGAGTCTCTGAGTTTATCTAAGGGGGCGTGATTGCTCTGTTCGGCTTTCTTTCACTATAGCAAGCTCAAGATACTGCGCATCGTTACCCCTGGAGTGGACGCCATTTCACTCCGTTTCACTCGCTAAGGTCTCGTTAGGTTGACGACACCCTCTAAATCAAAACAGTCTTTCCATGTCTCTGATGATCTGCTCCTAGTGCTGACTCTTCGACTTCTTCTCCACCACGCGTACACCTCTGCTCTGTCGACTAGGTGCTGGTATAAAATAGTCTTGCACGAACTTGATATCTCGCTCGTATTTCGTGTCGTGTAGCTGTAGCCGGTTCCCCAACCGCCTGAATACGTAGCCGAGGGTGAGATACAACTCGGCATACGCGAGTCTCATACCAACACACTGTCGAGTGCCTCGCCCGAAATTATTCAGATGTGCTCGCAGGCGCTGGCGCTCTGCAGCATCGAGGTTCAACCACCGTTCTGGGTCGAAATTCTCTGGATCCGGGAAGATTTCAGGATTACGATGAAGCATGTATGCTGAGTAGCCAACGGGTGTTCCTGGTGGGATGTTCCAATTGTGGTATTGGAGAGCGTCATGTGGGTGCGAGCGAGAGAGGCGGTGCATGGAGCCATAGGAGAGACGGAAGCCTTCGTTTATAACAGCATTCAGATATGGAAGCGATTCGAAGACTTGCTGGCTGGGTGATGATGCTGCATTTGGCATGGCTGTTTCTAGTTCGGCTACCAACCTCTTCAGAACGTCTGGATTCGATAAGATGAAATAGCTTGTTAGAGATAGCATATGTGCCGACGTCAATGTACCCGCGCCTACAATCGATGTCGCTTCAGCTTTCATACGCATCTCAGTCTTCTCTGCGGGGGGTAAGCTCGGTTCATCGAGTATCTCGTGGAAAATGGTGACATGTGAAGTCTTGTCTGCGTCACCTCCACTCATAACGGCACGCGTTTGAGCCAGGTACTCGGCTTCTTGCTGGCGAATAAGCCAAACAGCGTCGTCAGTACGCTTGACCCACCAGTTGGGCAGTTTGTTGAGCATGGGAAGCAGCCAGGGAAACTGCTTGATACTATCTTTATCAGTGCGGGAAGTGTCAGCAAAAGGGTGGCTACTAGTATGACTTACACGGGAGTAAAGGTGCAATGCACTTGCATCCCTAAAAGTAGCAACACGATTAGCACAATCCTAACTAGGATACGAATACTACCTAAGACAATCTGAAGAGTGTCTTATGAAATTTTAATTACTTACTATTCGCATGTTAGCAAAAAGATTCAAGTAGTATTTGTGGTAGGACTTTCGCACCAATTGTACCAATGTGGCGAGAAGTCCTCCTTTTGAAGGCAGTTTCTGCTGAATGAGAAGCAATACTCGGTGATTACGTCTTGCGTGAGCGCTGAAAATGCATGTACAAGATTGACTTCTTTTCCTGATTCGATGCCTTCTTCAATCTTCTGGATCAGGATATTAACCAGTTCCTGCAACACTGGTTCGAGTTTGCGGATATATGCGGGCGATAAGAATTTTGCAAACGCGGCGCGGCGCATCTTGTGGAGATGGTGAGGGATAGTACCGAATGTCATCTCAACGTTGCCAAACATGCCAGCCGACCACCAGAACTTGTCGACGTCTATCCCAACCGAAGGATACAACTTGCTCATGAACTCCAAATCAATATCGTTGATGTGGAGTTCGTACGGATTGATACGGATGATGGGGCCTGCACTGAATTTAGCTAATTCAAGAGGCACAGGCGGCTGTTGCACGTACCATAGCGCTCATGCATTCTCTCGATCTCATACACATACGCGCCACCTTTCACGACATCGTAGTAAAACTCATACCAAAATGTCACCGCCGCTGCTTTTGATCCAGGGAAATTCGCAATGGGGGACAAATAGAGTCTCCAGATAGCGCCATATAAAGCATATAGCACCAATGTTGTCGCACCACAGACAAGGACTGTTGTCATAAGCTCCATATCTTCAAAATGTTCGTTGGAAGGATATTTGGAAGGCGATGGGGGGTTTGAAGGATCATATCTACAAATAAATAGGTCATCTCCTAGCCCTAGTAGGTGTTGCTTATGTGCGTTCGCCCTACTGCAGTGCTGACTGGGTGCGCACTAGATAGCTACCGATCACAGAGACGTGCACGAAAAAGAGACCTACGTAGAGCTGATATCCCATCTCATTCATTGGCTGTCTGGACTGGGAGAGTGAGATCGGCCCCACGTTCTCCTCGTTCTAGTATCCTGCTTGAGGTAGAGGGCATATCAGGTGCTCCTATGAAAGTGTCGTCAGAAATATGATCCGTTTGCATTTTGTGATAGCTGTTTGTTTATTGATGCTTGAAGGAGGAAGAATTCGAGCGGTCGCTCAAAGTAGAGAGGTCACAAAACTGGAGCGCGGTTGTTCACGACGCGGGGATTGACCACATGGGAAGTTATCTCCGTTACTTCCGATTGGGCCTTCTCACGCCAAAAATAATCTCAACTTCATCCGACAGCTCCAATGTCACTCTACTACGAGGCCGCGGCGATTCTCGCAAATCCCGACAATATCGGTGGATCTTTGAAGTCGCGTATATACAAGAAAAAGGACTTGAAGAGCACGCCTGCGCAAATCTTCGCGCTCGTTGCTGAATCTTCGAAATGGTCGGTGGTTCTCAAGCCTGTGATTGAGAAGTGCGGATTGCTGGCGGAGGAGAAGAAAGTCAGTACATCATTTAGAGACTATATATGCACTTTGCATAGCTAACACACTCTCAGCTCACTCCGATCCTCGCTCTCCTCCTCTCGCACGACTTGCTCCTTGCTAAGAATGGCGTTGCCGCACCGGCGAACCACGTTTTGAAGCTTGCGATCACCCGGCATAAAGCGCGCCTGAGCGCTGAATTCACGAAAGCTCGCATACAACACGGGCATGCCGCATTGGATGCTTTCAGGGAAGCTGTGAACAATGGCGAGCTAGACAAGGAGGATGGAGCTGTACAGAAGATAAGCAGACACCCACGTTGGGTGCGAGTCAACACGATCAAGAGCACCTTGGACCAGCAGCTTTCGACCACATTCAAGGGTTTCCGTGAGACGGACAACCTCAAGGACGTTCTCCTAGCAGCGAAAAGATCGAAGATATACTACAAGGATCCAAATATCCCCAACTTGCTCGCGCTCCCTTCGAGGATCGATTTGAGCAGGTCGCCAGCATACACGAGTGGCCAGATCATCTTCCAGGACAAGGCTTCATGTTTCCCAGCCTACTTGTTGGATCCAGTACCTGGTGATGGGGACGTTATCGATGCTACTGCAGCCCCAGGAAACAAAACCACTCACTTAGCAGCTATTGTATCAAGTCAACTCCGCACAGGCCAAAAGCAAAAGGTGATTGCATTCGAGCGCGACAAAGGCAGGACTGTCACGTTGCAGAAGATGGTCAAACTCGCTTCAGCGAACAGCGTGGTTCAGGTGAAAGGTAGCAGCGACTTCTTGGCTACTACGCCTGGGTCAGGCGAGTTCGCCAACGTCGGTGCCATATTGCTCGATCCTAGTTGCTCTGGGACTGGTATTGTTGGGCGGGACGATGCAATCAAGATGCACCTGCCGGAGGTACAAGGCGGCACAAAATCTTCACAGAAGCTTGATAAGAGCAAAAAGAGAAAGAGAGGCGACGAGGCCGGCAACACATCTGAGGCGACTGCAACTCTCAATCTACACTTGGATGATTCGACACCGGAAGAAACACCAATTGAGGGAAAGCTGTCCGAGCGACTGGCAGCTCTATCGAAATTTCAGCTTCATATCCTCAACCACGCAATGCGATTTGCCAATGCACGTAAGATTACCTACTCCACCTGTTCCATCCACTTCGAAGAGAACGAGGGCGTGGTGTTCCAAGCATTAGCATCCTCTGCCGCGAAACAAGGGGGGTGGAGGGTTTTGGCAAGAGAGGAGCAAGTGGACGGCTTGAAGAATTGGCACAGGCGGGGCATTTGGGAGGATGAGAAAGTGAGCTGTGACCTAGATGAGGGATCGAAGAGGGAGGTACTGAATGCATGTATTCGTTGCGATAAGGACACCGAAGAAGGCACAATGGGCTTCTTCGTTGCAGCTTTCGTAAGAGACGCAGAGAACGTTCCCGCTCAGTTACCGGAAGCAACGGTCGATGATGTGGAAGAGTGGAATGGCTTCAGCGACGATGGCGGTGGTGAAAAGACCGAAGATATTGACGGAGCTGCAGTACAGCAGCCAGAGAAGCAGAAGAAGAAGAAACGGAAAGCATCTGGACAATGATCTTCGCGAGCTCGGATTGAATAGGTATTGCAGTATGGCGATCCTATTGTGGAAAGCGCACGTGGTACGAGAAAGTCGGTGGGCGGGAGCCTTGAACCTAATACACATCCACCAACCAGCCATCACTGCTATATAATGCTTATTCGTTAGTCGCTTCTACCAAGTTCAATCTCCCTCCTGCCAACTTAATCATGGATACCAACCGCAACCTCTATCACGCTACCTGTGCGATGGTCTTCGCTTACCAACATATATTCCTTCCAATACGCAACGCAATCACTACTTCGGTCCAGCACTCGAAGCCGTAATGTACACAGTAACACCGCCAGCTAATGATCTCTCCCGCCCTAGGCTCAAGCAACTTGCCACGTGGATTCGCGACGACCTCGACCTGCTCGTCGCCCGTGAGGGACCTGACGTTCTACGACCTGACGACGTCTTGATCCTGCACGAAGCCTTCTTAGCTCTTCGACAAGCACACAACATTACATCTTCGGACCTACGAGCAACAGGAATCTACAGGGCGGTGAAGGACATCGCTGGTGTTGCTACTCGGTGGCCCGGACGATTGTGCGATGACTGCGACAAAATTATCGCTATCTGGACCGCCAAGTTTGGCCCGCTCAACGACCTCCACCCTTTTCTATACGGAAGAGGAGGCAGACTCGAGGGTATTGCTAGTACCACTGAGTACTCCAAGGAGGTACGATATCATACCAGATAAAGGTCGCGTGGTGTGACTAACCATTGTATATAGGCCCTCCTCAAGCGGTGGGCCAAAACCTGTCCCGCAAAACTGCATCCCAAATTATCGCACAGACATGGCAACTTGGGCTTTCGAGCTGGAGCGTGAGTTCGAAGAGTGCTCTTCGGAAAAAGCACGATGCTAATTGCTGTCGCCACAGATGGTGGCTGAATTCCCTCTTTGCACACCATGCCGGCGTTGTCGGGATCGAGTCAATCGAAGGTGGCATTACCTTCGACAAGCATGGCGCATACGCCTTAGTCCTCCAGGGGACAGGAGAAGTCGGAGCCAGCTCAGAAGAACGATTTACATACCGATGCCCACTGAACGACAAGGGCAAATTTCGGCTTACCGCTGCATCAGCACAGAGCAGGGAGCCCATTCGCATACTTCGCAGCCATAGTACCAATAGCGCGTGGGGACCAAAGGCTGGAATCAGATATGAGGGCCTGTAGGTATTTACCTAGTATGCGCGACATCTGTTGACAAGTCTCAGGTTTAGCGTCAAGGGCTGGTCCATCCGGACCGCTAAAACTAAAGACACTGTTTTAGGAGAATGGAAAGAAGGCGATATAGTTTTTGAGATCAGGTTCGAGCGGTGCGACCTTGTTCCCATGGGAGAAGTCACCATGCACCCGACAGCCAACGAGGTGGACGACTACACGGAGTACAAGCGACTCCGCAAAGTGCACCGCGAAGACAAGCACAAGGATACGACTTCATCATCGATCAAGAGCCCCCAAACTGCGGTCAAAACTGCACCTACTATTCTACCGCCACAACCTACATCACCACCAAGTGCAACGCCAAAACGTAAATCAATGTTCAGGCGGCCCAACTTCGATGAAGAGTCACACGTACACTTTGCGCTGGATCAGGACGTTATCTCCCCTATGACCATCCCAAACGTGGAGGAACTTGGGTTTGGAAAGGGGAAGGGCACACTCGCGGTCCCCGCGCAGCACAGAAGACCTACCCTCAATAGGACTGGCCCATCACCTATGGATTCACGAATGCGTATTAGCCCAGTGAATTCGAAAGCCAGTAGTAGTGCGCACACAGCAGTCAGTACTCAGTCCAACATTAGGGACGTCGCGCCTTGGATCGACTTCGAGGCACAACTCATGCCACCCTCTCCGATTAATCTGCCTCCGGTCATCCGGGAAGAAAGCATCTCACCAGCTTTCACCAATAGCTCCGATAAGAAGGACAACCCTATCAGCGCTACACAGCGTAGCCAACAGCGCGTTAGTCCCATCCCACCCAGTGCTCGGGTTGAGAGCCACAAGAGTGATGACTTCAATAACACGACTTCGTACTTCAGCTCGACAGACACAGACAAGAAGGATAACCAGAAACCGATTCCCGTGCCAGGCCGAAACCCGACGGCCAAAGTCTTCGACGGCGTGGACGAAGATGCTGGCGACTACTTTGGCATCGCGGGTACCACTGCCAGAGCACCATCGGCCAGCGAGGGACCGAAAACATCCAAGTTACTGCGCCATCAGCGCAGTTCTTCCAATGCCACGAGGCGTATTCTTCCTTCCGCTCCACTGCGACCCCTTGCGGCCGAGATTCCCCTGGGTCCAAATGACACCGCGCCCCTCTTCCCCGCTATCCCAATAGCAAAAGTCGACAGCTTAGCGACTTTGATGCTCCCCAAAGACGAATCGGGTGACCCGTTTGTAAGTTCACTGTCCACCCACCTACCAGTACCGTTACCCGTCTCCTTGGACACGGTCATTGCACGGCCTCGAGCAGCAAGTTCCGTGACAAGTACAGCCTTGCCACTAGGGTTTGTACCAGATGACACAAGGAGGAGGAGACATGATTTGGTGGCTGCACAGAACGTGGGGACCATGGAGGAGCTGCATGGCATGGAAATCAAGGTCGCGTTTAGAGATCCTTTCAGTAGCTCGCCGCTGCCTCGTCATACTCTTAGAAGACAGAGCAGTGTGGGTGTTGCTCCAGATGTCGTTTTGGACTGACTTCACCAATGCTGGGAGCACAGGAGAAGATGTGTTGAGGCTGTCCTGTACTGTAAGTCGGGCCATTCCAAGTCTTAGAAGTGGAGTATTAGAGTATAATCCAGGGTATGAACTTAACTCGGCAGGAATCGATGATATTAGTTGTTCCATGTTAAGCACTCATCCTATAGTTCCAGTCGCCACTGCACGTCCTCCGCTGCCTCTCTCCGTCTCACCATCACCTGCGGATCTATGGCAGGTTTCATCACAGTCAATGGTATCCGTCCATCATCTTTCTCTGGCAATTTCAATACTCCACCTTGCACATCCGCGACATCAAACATATTCACGCACAAGGCCACAAAGCCCAGAATCTCCGTCATGGCAAAGTGTCGACCAGGACAGAGCACAGATCCGCCGCCAAACGCGCGAAACGCTGCGCTTGGCACGGAGTTGGGGAGTGGGAGAGCAGTCTTCTTGTCGTTGACGTTTCCATCGGAGCTTTTGGCATGTCGAGTGGCAGCCATCCATCGCTCTGGCTTGAAGTCTGCGGCATCGGAGCCCCATGTACTTGGCGCCGCATGAATGACACCGGATGCTATCTGTATCATGTTGCCCTTTTCCAACAGAAATGGTGGGTGGCCTGGTGCATTGATCTCGTGTGTGCCTGTTACGAGGCGTACAGAAGAAAGATTTGCGATATGGCGTAGTGTTTCGCGATACGTAGAAAGTAGCAGTGGGCAGTGGGCTTTCAGGACCGAGACACTAATGACATTGACTGTCTCGTTTGCGTGTATAGCCTTGCTCGTTTCCGCTCTGATAGCGGCGAGTAGTTCCGGGCGCGCAAAGATGTTTGCTAGCAACCAGAACGTAGTCGGTACAGCGTTTCCCAGGATACCGAAGAGTAGGATAAGTTCGGATCGCCCTGCCATTTTAGGTGAAATGCCGTGTTTGAGGTTGATGGCAACGCGTTTTTGTATCAGAGGGCTTGCTTGTCTGTAATGCTCCTTTTCGATGAATTCTTGTAAAGCGTTGTTCATTGCTTTTCTTGCTCTCCATGACTTCCAACTGGTGATGGAGGGGAAAATGTCGGCCATGAGAGCGATCATACCGGCTTCGTAGTCCCAGAATGAATGCATGAGATGGGGGTGCACGGCGAAGGGGTTGGACGGGCCGTATATGGTATTGGCATTTGCGGTTGTGAAGATTTGCTTTACGAACTGCATCAACCCTATTTCCACACCCTTTGCCTCCCCACTTGGTACAAAGGCGTTTAGTAGAGTGGTGAACTGCTCGAGTTGCGTCGTTGATAACGAATTGAGGTTTGGTCCCGGTTCTAGACTCCCCGATACCATTTTCTCGCTCTCATGCATGAGTCCTTCATGTGTACCGTGTTCGCCGTCTAGATTCCACTTGATGATTTCCATGGTGGGATAGTCAAAGTCTACTAGCCTTCTCGTGACTTCGAGAATCATGCCGTAGAAGGTGAGATTAGGACTCTTTTTCTGTATCGCTGTCGCCAACGTTGGGTCGATGACGACGATTGTTCTCTTGTTGAGAGTTTGGAGTGTGAATATTGGGTGCTGGGTTGAGGCGCTGATGAAGGCGAAGTACTTTGCCCCATGCCAGAACATGCCGACGACATGGCCGAGGAACGGAAGGTAGGGGTGTGGGATGAGTGGTGGTTCACGGGGGTTTTGCAAGGCTGCGAGGAGGGCTTCTGTATCGAGGTGGAAGGTTAGGACCGCGTAGAGGAGAAGGAAGATGCGGGTTTCTGATAAGATGGAAAGTGCGGATGCGAGGATGAGGAAGTGTTGGAGCCAGGGTATGTTTGCTTTGCGAAGACGGATGAAGATAGACATGGCTATTGATAGGAGGTGAAGGAAAGCAGTGTGCTTTTGAAAGACTTGTGTCACTTAGCCGTGCATGTTTAAGTGGAAGGTGTAGTCAAATGGCATCAAGCGGGGCAAGAGGGACCCTCGAATATGGCGGCTAAATGGGGTGCCGCAGCACATGAAGTGTCGTCACCTTCTTGAAGTACGCGAGAGACATGGCGCTTGTGCAACAGTGGTAGACAGAGTGTTACTCCTTACCTCAGCCCTTGTGTCAGATGATAGAGAGTCAAGACCTCTTATTTCAAACGTCCTATTTCTTGGATCTGTCTATACAATGACGTTGATGTCTTTACCACTTGCCCAGCCTTCTACTGTCTCTTTCAAAATGTCACCCAGATTCGTCAGCGTCCTCTGAGAGAACCACGCCAAGTGCGGGCTCATAGTGATGTTCAAGTCCTTCGCATCCTCAGCGAGGAGCGGGGTATCCTCTGGGCCTCCAACAGGCTCGACTTCATATACGTCGGTGGCATAGCCCGCTATGCGCTTCTCCTTCAGTGCTTCTACAACCGCTGCCTCGTCTACTATCCCGCCTCTCGCGATGTTGATCAATACAGCGTATGGATGCATCTTCGCGAACTCGGCTGTGGATAGGAGGTTCAGTGTCTGCGGGGTTCGCGGTAGCGACAGCACGAGGACGGTAGATTGACGGAGGACGTCATCAAACGGGATGCGACCATCGTCTGCGTTGGAGATGGGAAGTTGGCCACCTAGCGATGGGGTAGATGATGTCTTACGAGCCGCAACTACGACCTGCATGCCTAACGCGCGACCAACTGATGCGATTTGTCTCCCTTATCAAGCCAACACCGTTAGTCCTAGATCTCGCATCCGGATTGAGTTCACGTACCCAAGCCGCCATATCCAATTACCCCCATAACCTCATCCTTGCAGATTAAAGGAGGTTTGCCATCTGGCAATCGCATGTGTCGGTTCACGCTCCCCGCCCTTCTCCACTCGCTAGGCTGTGCCCTCGTTACGCGGTCTAGCAAAACTGTCCGCCGCCTAGCAGCAAAATACAAACTAATAGCATGTTCGGAAACCGCGTCTAGGTTTGCGCCCGGGCAGTTTGTCACACGAATGCCGCGCCGTCTGCAAGCTTCGAGGTCAACGGGATCAGTGCCAGTTGCGGACACGGCGACATAGCGTAACTTCGGTGTCACTTCGGGGCGGAGTGTTTCGGCGTCGATTTTGACAGTGGTAATGATTATAACTGTTGCATGGTGGATGCGGGCGTGGAGCTGTTCGCGCGACGTCGTCGACTCGTAGGTGCTGAGGGTGTGGGGAAAGTCGAAGCCATCCAGTGGGAGCGGCTGGTGTTGCTTTTCGAGTGCTACAATTTCGTGATACATGGCGATGGATGAGGTTGCAAGGGGTCATTCAGGCATGGAATCTAGGCATGTAACATTCCGTACACAGACAGATAGCATCTCGACTTTATACATGAATTGATTCTTCTGTATGTTAGGCTAGGGCTCTGCGGTGTAAGCGGGTGGGACGCGACTTCCCATTTTGATGTTCGTAGGGCGTGTGGTGCCCGAGCGAGGAAAGAGCAACGGGGCAGGAATTTCCATCTTCCCTCCCTCCTCTGCCCTCGAATTCCCCTGAATCCCTCAACTCTAAACTTTTCACTCCAACTCCAGGGCCGAAGCCAATACAAGCAACACTAATACCAATGCTAACACAGCACCAGTACACGGCACAGTGCAATCCTACCTCGCGGCTTAGCACCTGGCCGGTCAAGCATCGCCCTGCAGCATGCCTTCTCCACTTTCGGTTCGTCGCCACGTTTATGGCGTCTACACCGAGGCGATGCTCCCCTTCGACGCCTATCATGACCACCTCGGCGACGCCCATTGGCCCCCGTCATCATTGAGGTAGCAACCTTGACAGCAAACACCCCACGAACCCTTCAACGTTACGCGCATAGTACGGCCCGCCGCAGAGTCAAGTGAAGCGATCCAGGCAGCCATACTATACCGTACGTACTGTGTACCGTACCATAGCCAGGGCCGGGCAGGGTGGGTGCGCCATTTGAAATTCTCACCTCGCGGGACACTAGCAGAAAGGTTCGAGACGCAGGGGCTCCGGGCGGCTGAAGGAAAATGAAAATGTCACTGGACGCATTCGGTGATTTACTCGGTCGCGCCAAAACAGCCCTATCCGAAGGGCCCCTCAGCAATTGGACACCGCCAAGGCCGGGCTGGTCCTGCGCTTTTTTGACATTTGCCTGGGTGGACTCGTGAGCCCTTTCCACTTCCTCGCTAGTCGGCCTGGACCATGCGCCAACTGACGTCTGTTCAAAACCTGCGCGGATCCCGCCGCATAGATGCACATGTAACAACGCTCTGCTTCGCGATAGCAAAAGTTCCCCACCCCCTTCGCGACAGGACGACAACACCACGCCTACCATGTCCAACTACCGCTACGGCACTCAGTCTGATGCCTACCAGGCCGAGAACGACATAGTCCCGCGCAACATGGAAAAAGAGGCGAAGCTGGGCCTGGCTAACAATCCATTAGCAGAGCAGGGCAGTCACAACGATGCCGACGACCTGTTGGCCGCCATGGGCTACAAGTCCGAGCTGGTGCGCTCAAGATCGACGCTCCAGGTGGCCTTCATGTCCTTCGTCCTCGCTTCCGTTCCCTATGGACTGGCGACCACCTTCTACTACCCCATCGTAGGAGGCGGACCGACCAACATCATCTGGGGCTGGGTCGCAGTCTCTCTAATCATTCTCTGTGTTGCTGCGTCGTTGGGAGAGATCACAAGCGTCTACCCGACAAGTGGCGGCGTCTACTACCAAACCTTTATGATCGCCCCGCCTTCTTATCGCAAAATCGCCTCGTGGATTTGTGGTTGGTGCTTCGTAGTTGGCAACATATCCATTACTCTCTCGGTTCAGTTCGCTACCGCTCTTTTCTTCGTCGCATGCGTCAACGTCTACGAGAGCGCGCCTGGAGTAGGCGTCCTCGAGGGTAAACCCTACCAAGTCTACCTCATCTTCCTCGGTATCACGCTCATCTGCAATGCCGTGTCTGCCTTGGGAAATCGCTACCTACCATTGTTGGATGTGAGAAGTCTCCCTTCAGCATTCTTTGCATGCGTTACTTACAAAACACTAGACTTTTGCCATTTTCTGGACCTTTGGCGGCGTGATTGCCATTATCGTATGCGTACTGGCTATCGCAAAAAACGGTCGCCACAGCGCCCACTACGTCTTCACCGAATTTGACCCTTCCAACTCTGGATGGGTTCCTGGATGGTCTTTTTGTGTCGGATTGCTCCATGCAGCCTACGCGACCTCGTCGACGGGAATGATCGTCTCGTGAGCCCCCCCTTCTTACCAAAGCGACACAAGCCCACGCAAATTTCCCAAGCAATTCCCCAAGCCATTTTCCAATGCAACATTCCCATGCGACAATTCGTGCATTCCCAAGCAACTCGAAAAGATCGCGGCATATGCGTGTTCAGCCTCGGTAAACCCCATCTGGAAACTGACCATGTGCTGACTTTTTCCAATTAGGATGTGCGAAGAGGTTCGACAGCCTGCGACCCAGGTCCCCAAAGCTATGGTTGCCACTGTTGCGCTCAATACCATCTGCGGCCTAGTCTTCATGATCCCTCTTGTCTTCATCTTGCCCGACCAAGCCTCGCTCGCAGCACTCCTCTCGGCCCAGCCAGTACCAACCATCATCAAGGATGCAGTAGGGTCTTCTGGGGGTGCGATTGGCCTTCTGGTACCACTCCTCGTCCTTGGATTACTTTGCGGCATTGGATGCACGACTGCCGCGTCTCGCGCTACCTGGGCTTTCGCTCGTGATGGCGCTATTCCAGGATACAAGTGGTGGAGGGTTGTCAACCCTAAGCTTGACGTTCCTCTCAATGCCATGATGCTCAGCATGGTCATCCAGCTAGCGCTCGGCCTCATCTACTTCGGCGCTGCCGCTGCTTTCAACGCATTCTCTGGTGTTGGTGTTATTTGCCTGACATTGAGTTATGCCGCTCCCATCCTAGTCTCAGTCCTCACCGGACGCAAACACGTCAAAGGGGGCAATTTCCACCTTGGAAAATTCGGTCTATTCTGCAATATTGTCGCCTTGGGTAAGTTTCGACCAATGTGTTGACTCCAAATCGTATACAGTTTACTAACTCACCTTTCAGGCTGGTCTGCGCTCGCAACACCCCTCTTCTGCATGCCAACTACCCGTGTCGTCACCGCAGCCACTACAAACTACGCCTCTGTCGTTCTTGCTGCCGTTATCATGGTCTCAACCATATGGTATTTCGTCTGGGGTAAGAAGAATTACGAGGGTCCGCCCACCCATGAGGACGCTATCCTAGAGGCCAGGAGAGCCAGTGTGGTGACTCATTGAAGTGAGCAGAAACTCTGCAACTCATCCGAGGAAAGTTTCGGAAAGAAACTAGGGCGGGTTTGGGACGAAGACGTTCTTAGAGGAAGAGTCGAAAAGGAAGCTTTTGTGCGGAACGGCCCAGATTATAAAGAAAAGGCTTCTGTAGACATTCACTAGAATCCTTGAATCCACCTCCTTGTACGGGAAAGCCCCACTTCATTCTGCACGATATGTGACTTGGCATCCACTTTTGTACTAGATCCTTTCACATTTCTTACTTATGTCGGCACGTGCAAAGCCTCTTAGTCGCTAGAGGGAAACTAAATCGCGCCTTTGTGATTAGTAGGGGAGAGGTTAGTTGAAGAAACTTGCATGGTCTGACTCTCATGTGGTTCTGAAAGCTGCTTTGCGTGTAACACATTCCAAGGTTGTGAGCACGCGCTAATAGTACACGCAAATTTCAGCAATCCTTCCGCAACACACAGCCTTGAACTTTTAGTATTTGTTTTTGTTGCTACACGTTTCTACATGTGCGCAGCTGTATTGAGTCTAATCAACTATCAGGCGTTGAATATCCAAGACATTGCTAGCGGCGAGCTGTGGAGGAAAATCGTTGTTCGTGACGAGACGTCTGAGCTCGAAGTAGGACGGACTACTACTACCCGTGCACTCCTTGGTTGCGCGGCTTTCTCATCATTCTAGATACACCCTTCTTTCTAACCCGATTCAGTCTCTTCGTCTATCAGCATATCATCGTCCTCGTCCTTATCCTCCATAGTCTCCTCGTCGTAGTACATGTTCTCGTCTTCGTAGAAAGTTTCCTCCTCATCGTAGTATACGTCATAGTCTTCGGCATCATATACGTATGCCTGCGCATTCGTATACGCCTCCGTAACAACATGAGGTCGAGAGTCGGCATATCCGAAGCACGCAAGCGAACCCAGAACGCCATGATTCTCCGGGGCCGACATCGATGCGGCGGAATCTAGCAAGCCAGCCTCGTCCTCAGCAGTAGCAACAGCAAGCCCATACGGATTCTTGACTCCCATAACACCTCCGATCTCCGGGAAGGCGCCCAACAGCTCCTTGCTCGTGAAGGATACTTGCGTCTCGGCTTGCACCATCTTGTCAACACTCCACCCGTTCTTCTGGTCTTGGTCGGCAAATTGTTTGTCAACAATGCAGTGCTGGCACACCATTGTTCCAAAGTTTGCTTTGAGCTTCTCCCGCTTTTCTAGGCACATGTAATGGTACCAGCCAACTATGCACTCGTTGCCCGCACACTGCGCAATCTTGACCTCGAGTGTTCGCGCGGGCTTTTGGCACGAGCAAATCAAGTCGTTGGGCTCCGGGAGGCGGGTTTGGTATGCCTTGAACGTATCCTCTGAGACCGTGTCCGGGATGTCTTCAAGCTTGGTAGGGAGGCGCTTGGCGAATAGCGGGGAGAAGATGGGTTGGGGCCGTTCAGTCTTGTTCTTGGGTAGCGGTTTGATTGCGGCACCGGTTTTGGGACGCGTCGGTGACTTCTTCTTCTTCTTCGGGGATATCTTCTTTCTCTTCGGAGGCTTGAGCTGGCGTGTCTCTCCCTTGAGCTCGTGGGGATTCTTTGCGTTGCTGGAATCCTCGGACTCATCAATTGAATCCGAGCTGTCGGATATCAGTATGGGGTTGAGGCGAGTCTTTACTGCATCGAAATCTGTCCCTGGTATTTGTGCGGAAGGGCAGCGAACAGGCGCAAAGAAGCTCCGAATGTCAGACTTTGATTTTTTATCCTTTATCATGTCTTCCGTCAATTCGGTAGTGGCCCGCAGGTATGTAACAACTGCGTTTGTGTCAATCTCGCAACCGAACCGACGTGTTGTCTTATGGCCAGAGGTGACGGGACTTGTAGTGTTGCGAAAGGCTGGTGAGCTCGGTTGATGGTCACCGCTGTCGGACCGCAGATGACGTGGTGTGTCCGAGTAATAAAAGGTCTGGTTGGATGCAGGTGTTGCAGGAGTGGGAAGAGGCTGATTGACAGGGTTCCAGGTGGAAGTTCTAGTAGCTAGAGGCGAAGCGACATTTTCACTCGAAGTCAGCCCGGGAGCCTGAGTGAATGGTCGAGCTCCATGTGGTGAATCTTTTGACTCTAAGGCTTCAGCCGCCTCTTCCATGTGAGAACTCCACTTCTGGTCCAACCGGTCAACTGTACTAGAGAGATTCAATTTGGATCGGAGGCGTGGGGTTTCCATGGAGTGACTTGGAGCGAGTAGGCGCTGCTCTGGACGCAGGGAATCAATGGGGCCGTCGAGCTGCAAAGGTGTCTGTGCTTCATTAGTTATGATTCAAAAACTTCCTCGCAAACGGTGGTATTTGGTGCAATAGCAGAAGATCCACCAAAAACAAGTATGCGACTAGTACTTACTACTGTGACCTGATCACCCGCCTGATTGTGAGAGTTCGACAGCTCACTGCTTCCTGATGCGCTGTTCACAGAGTCTGAAGCAAAGTATGGTTCTTTAGAAAGCCAGTCAACTTCCGTCTGCTTGTTCCCATAGTGAATAGAACGAGTTGGTCTGTCATACGGATGGATCGCTCCATACGCAACGTGCCCGAGTTGGTCGATAATCGCCCAAGCTTTGACTCTCATGCGCATTAGATGCTCCAAGCACCGAATGCAATAGGCGAGAGGCTCTTTCCGGGCAAGAGCCTTTACTTCCAGTGTCCACAGAGGGTCGGCCATTTTCTCGCCGTCGCGGCTGAAAACTAGTACCTTTCCCTGAGATATGAGCAAATTAGGCACAGGGGTAACGGTGCCCCAATCGAGAAGCGGCTCAATCGTGATGATGTGCGTGTGGAAGGTATGGTTGTCATCCTGCGTACAGCATGTCAGATTGTAACAACGCATCTTTGAACCATCACGGAGGACAAAGATGTGGTTAGCTACGAATGTCAGTACGCGACATCGCCATTTCAGAAGGTGTCTCACAATCAAGTAGATCGGCAATCGTCTTGACATGACGAGCCAAGAGCTGCTCGTCTTCCGACAAGACCGTATTGCTGATAGACGGCAGCACCTGCGCCATGGGGCTTATGACGAATGGACTCCGAGCTTGCGATGGCCCTGGTGTTGATAGCCTTGCAGCGAGAAGCTGGGGAAGCTCTCGCCAAAGTTTTGCTTGTAGCTTGGGCAGATGATTGCTGAGGATGTCATTGAGAGGCGTCACTTCGCCATATTCGTCGGTGATGAGATGGAGGGGCAAGTGATTGTAGAGAGAGCTGCGGAGCGCGTTGGCGCTTTCTTTCCCTGGCATTGTGTACATGGAGAGTGTGATCGAGTTACTATCTGTTATTGTATAAATGCCATCTGCATTATCGCGCTGTTCGACATGCTTACGCCCTTGAAGGTCGAAGGCCAGCTCGTAGTCAGACTCATCTTCGTAGACTTTGTCTGCCGAATGATACGATGCTGTCCATGCATGGTCACATGGGCTGTACTCGTTGTAACAAGCGGATGACTCCTGCTGATCCAACATGTGGGGATCAGATTCTAGTATAGCCGCAAACGTTCGGCTTTGAGGCATTGGCATCGATTGACTGTTAGGCGGCGGCGCAAGGCGAACACGACACGGCTGCTCCGGCGCTGAATCGGTCTGTGAAGCGAGCATACCTGTAAGTTTAGTAGAAGAGAATTGATCAGCAGAATTGAATCCCTTGGCCGTCATCGCCGTCAAACGCAACTGACGTTGATCCCTGTCACGATATGCTCCTGACAGAGCTCGCCTTTAGAAAGCAAAAGTGAGTAGTGTAAGCAGCTTTTGAAAAGAGACAGATTCGTGCCAAGACTAGGAGCCTAAGGGCACAGAAATCAACCAAGGTAGCGGGGGCGGATAGAAACGCTCCATCCTCTATAGGTTCCGTATTCACGTTCTTCTACGTCTTCTACGTCGTTCTATACGCGTAAAACACGTGGGATTTTGACTCATCGCGCGCAGTCGAACTAAAAAACAGAAGTGAAAGCAGACTGTGAATATGAGAAATATAAAAGCGGAGAAGATGCTTGACCTGGCACAACCGCTGTGTCCTCATCCGTGTCTAGAGACCTTATCAGTGCTCTCATTATAGTACAAGGCAAGAAATTGCTGCGTTGTAGCATCTGTTTCAACCCGATCCAAATTATTGTGTGGTGAATGAAGGATGGCTGGTGAACCTCGGGACGTGTCGTGAATTCGGCAAAACATCTCTCCGTGTACTAGTGTAGGCCAAGGTAACGGTCGGAACAGCCTCCCTCGATCCTTCCTTCGAGTCACAAAAGGACATGGTATGTTTCTAGCCCTACTACGTTAACATTAGAGACTGCGCGTTATTGTTATTGGAGGTAGCTTCACCGACACAACTACTAATCTTGGCGCTCTAGTATCCCAGGTAACCCGCACTGTTTCTTCACGAACTGATGCTTCACAGGCGATCTACCAAAAAAAGTTCATCAATGCTACATTAACGCAAACAACAAATCTCAGCACAGTCCGAAATCACCTTGAGCTATCTGTACAGGCTCGGGGGTATTTCATCATAATCGTCATTTCCCAGGCCAAGCAACCGGGCTACGCCACACTCAAGCCAGGCTATAGCACGACCACTAGCCCAGCTATGACTGCGGTGATAGCACCGCCGAGGTACAACCCCCTGCCAAGTGGGCGCGCAGCTTCACTTGATGTGTTCTGGTCGGCCAGAACACTGGCCTGAATCTCCTCCTTTTTCTTGTTCATGCCGTCGAAGACAGTCTTCGCTTCCGTCGGAATCGCATTGTACCTGTAAACCCAGGCAAGATCAGTAAAAGGCCCATAGCTACCCTGACGGCGAGGGAAAGGAATGGGAGCTAGCTCACCAAGCCGGAGTGGTAGTATATGTCAAAACGGTATTCGATGCTGTCGCAGCTTCAGGAACGTCTTTGCCCGTCTGCTGGTACGCTCTCATAACATCCCAAGCCTTGGTCCAGTCGGCGCCAGTTGTAAGTGTTTGATAGTAGCTCTCCACTGCTGAGACATATGCCTTGCTTATGGACGCCGCTTGTTGGTCGTTTTTGGCCTTGAAGCCCTTCTGGGGTTCGATTACCCAGGTCGCGCACGCAGAGCCTGTAAAGGCGAGGGCGAGGAGAGGCGTGAAGAGCATGTCTGTGAAGGAGGAGTGCGGGATGTGGGGACAGGTCGAAGTTCACCTTCCACTATTATTGTGAGGCTGACGCGGGTTTATAGCTCATCAGCAAGGCAAGACGTCCCTGTATAGGATCCCTCGTATCGCGCACTGCCGTCTTAAGGCTGCCAGCAGCCTTGGCAAGGCCCCCCAATCATTCGGCTAATTTCCAAATACGTCCTGTGTACAAACTGTGTATGCTGTATGCTGCGTTCGGTGTTTATCTGTTCTAGTCTCAACCGCGATGACCTACTAAACACGCTACCCTATACTTGCCAGCAGGCAGACTAGCGTCCGGTCCCAAGAAAAGAAGCTTAGGCACATTTACATAAACTCCTAGTCTTATTCTTCACCGGAAATCCGGTACTGTGGTACCCAATGGGGGTATTCCGGATCGCCGTTTGAATAGTCTAGACGTTAGAACCTGGGGCACTAGTGAATTCATAGAAAGGCCATTTATAAGTCACTAATGTACAGGATGCAGGTCTCTAAACTCAATAAGGTATTGTGTAAACTCCAAGGGGTTACAAGCATACAGCGTTTCTTGGCAGGCACGTCGAATATCCACGAATGGGGGTAATAAAAGCTCAATTACGCCGCAGGTTCTCTAAAAACTGGCAGGGGTTCGCAACAAAACAAGCTGGCCCAACTTGGAAAAAAAGTGAGCAATTATCTTCTAGGATCTCAATCAGACTTCACAGTGTGTGGAAAACCTTCGTCGAACGATAGCTTGTGTTCCAGACATAAATCTTCCGATTCGTTTACAAGATATGTAGCTACCAATTCCCAATCCATCTCGAGGAAGGGCCATATGAGATCCCATACAAATGCGAATCCCTTGTCAAGCTAGCTGTACAAAACGCCATCTGATGCATTTGCAGGATGTCTTACCAATCCGTAACGCCTTCTTCCGTGTTGAATCGTGATGCGGTATCGTTGCCTGATCCACAAAAAGAAAAGAACATCGTGCTAAGATTTTAATCTTAACGAGGTTGGAGAAGCCCTTTCATAGGACGTCCCAACTTGAGGAAGTATAAACGACATCTCGAACGTGGTTAGTTAATTCGCTTTCCCAATCCTCTCCTCGTACGCAGCCCACGCAGCCTTCTTGTAGCGCTCAGCCTCGGATTTTCGATCCTGCGCGCGCACAATGCCTCGTCCAACAATGATGACATCGCATCCTTGCTCGAAGATGAGTTTTCGAGGGGTGTTGTACTGCTGGCCCAGGTCATCGCCTAATTTCTTCCCTTCTTGACCCGGAGGCGGTAATTGGCAGCCCGGTGTCATGGTAATGAAGTTGTCCTCTGGTTCGGTATTCAGGCTTCGCTGTGCGATGAAGCCCATGACAAAGTCACGGTGTTTGCGCGCAATATCCACGGTCTTCTTCTGATATTCTGGCGTCATGAGGTGGCCTTCAGAGCTCATCTCTGCGAGTAGGAGGAGTGAACGGAGGAATGGCACTTCACCGAGGCGGAGGAGCTCGGTGGCTGTGTCGAGGCTAAAGTGCTCATCGCCAGACGCACTCGACTCGGGGCGAGGCGATATGGCTTCTGTTCGCATCGATATGGAGGTGGTGACGCTCACGACGCTTTGTTTCCTGTCGGTGGCTTTGACACTTAGTCGCCTCTCCTCGTTCTCCAATTCTATAGGTGACTCAAGGGCGGAATCGGCAGGTGTGTCCTTCTCATCGTCCTCGTCGTCATCGTCTATCCCGTTGATTGGCCATGTGCGTGGGGAGGCGGAGATCTCGGTGTGTACGGCTGTATTGTACTTTGCAATAGTTGAATCTGCTGCTTTCTCAAGGGCAGTAACAATAGCGGGACCAGGAAGAACATGGGCATTCGTGATCTCGGCCCAAAGCGATATGCGATGGTGTCCGGACGTATACTGTTTTTGTACGGTTTCTGGTGGGCAAGGTCAGGATTAATTTGTCCCTAGTGTAGTACAGCATGCGCGGGGTGGTGTAACCGTAAGCTGCTTGATTCGAGCAACGACTGACATACCTCCAATATCTGCAAACTTTCGGTCTTCGAAGATGAGGAAGCGCTTCCGCCTCGCAATCTCTCTTAGTGCTTGAGATGTCCTATCCGACCAGTCGGAGACGATGTCGCAGTGTGTCTTCAATAAGCATATCGAGTCGCCCACCTCCTCGGCGAGTTGTAGTAGTTCGGCTGAGGTATCTACGTCGGCTGATAGGCAGAGGTTCGACTGTTTTATCGAAATGAGCCTCAGTAGGTATGAAGCCAGGGGACCCGTGGTGGGCAGTCCAGCGCGGGCTCGGTACGTGGTGGTGAGGCTTGCATGTGAAGACATGGCGTCTGGTCGATGTAGCGTGTTTTTGAGGCCGGGGGTTCTGCGTAGGACGTGTAGAGGCCTGCGAGACCAGCGTGTGGCGCGTGAAGATGATGAATTAACTGGGTGTTGTCATGCAGCCAGACCCTTGAAAGCTGACGCGGGGATGACGAGGGGCAGCAGCGAGCAGCGGAGGAAGGGGCGATGGACGGTTTCGAACAGCGATTGGCAGGAGGCGAAGGCCGAAGGTGTAGGCAGTCAAAAGTCCAAAGGGAGAAGTCAGAGCAGAAGGGCTGCCAAGTTATTAAAGAGAAGGGAGGGTCAAGCGGCTGAAGAAACAAATGTCCACCAACAGGCCAGAATACGCATGAGGCACAAAATTTGCCGCGCAACCTAGGTGTGCCTGGCGGGCCGCTGCTCGCAGATCCACCTAGACTCAGCATTCCGACCCAAACAGTCGACGACTGCAGCATCAACGCCCATGTCTGCCAATAATGCCATTCTGCTATGCGCAAGCCCTCGCTTGGTAGAGACCCAGTCTGCGGCCTGCCTGTCTACCGTCCCTTGTGCTACCGCCGCTAATATGCAGTAGCCAGCACTGGCCGGACGACGGCACCGCAGATCCTGGCCTGAGAGACTCGGTCGGTCTATGGCGATATGTCGAGTCGTACTTCTAGCCATGTTCTAGGCTTACTATTTCCATCCTCTTGACCGGCTCCCATCATGTCCCGCTTGGCCGTCTTTGTCTGCGCTGACATATGCCCGTCTGGGCAGGCCATACTGCCTTCGGTCCGATATTGCTGTGAACCACCTCCCACTGCAACTGCAACCTCAATCGCCCGTTAATGCTGCGGGCCACGACGCAGTCTCATCGTTTCCGTCACACAGCCCTATGGCTATGGGTCTTCTTCGCCGATCTGCTCGCGCTAACCGTGCCTCACTAGCACATGCATCCTTTCGACTGACAAAGCTGCCAATAGCCGCGTCCTGCGGGTCGCATCGTCTGCCGATTCGTAGCTTCAGTCTCCCGAGTGGGGAACATGATCGATATCGTACCACATCGACATATATATTACACTTGCGAACAGGATGTCGTCTACAACGTCTGCAACGTCCAGGCTCAAGGATTGGGTTCCGCTATTCTGGGCCGGATGGTTGCACCCGGCTCCGCGTAACACACCTTTGCCGTTGCTATTCCAGTGGACAAGTCGTAGTATGCAAGCAACTATAAGCTCCCAAACCTCGTATATTTTCCATATTGTCCGACTGGCCACATAATTGCATGTAAAGTTTCCGCTCCAAAGGATTCGTCCCCTACCCTATAATCTTGGCTATCTGGCTTCAATTGCCAGGAAGAGGCGGTCAGAATGTCTACCCACAGTAATTCCTCCTCTCCACCCCTGTCCTTGCAGATCCACAGGACATCTCCACAGAACATCTCCATGGATCTTCTTCACAACTTTCACAACGGGATGCGCTTCTCCTTAAGGCTCCCTGTGTCCGAAAGAAACGAGTCATTCACTCAATCCCCTCGCTGCCATCTCAGCGGAACTCTAGCGAGCTTCACTTCTCCATGTATACGATCCAATAATATCGCAGTCTTAGAGTGCATGAATAAATGAAGCTGGCGATGCTGTTGAGGTATCGTACGATTCTTTCTTCCTGGGGATCAGATCAAATCCGTATTGATAGGCTATGCTTTTCGTTCAAACATCAATTTGCGTTCCTCGTCTCATGAATGCCCACGAGCAGTGAGCGGAGGAGAAAACGTTGTTTCAACGTTCTCGAAGTTATTAGCATTTCTCGCGAACTATGAAAAGTTGGAGACATGGACAGCTGTTTCATGGCTGTCATCAATAGGACTGAATGGGCTTTCACTTCGTAGGTCGCGTTTTGCCTTGCCGGTATAAGTCTCATTAGCGCACCACAGACACCGAGCATCAAGATTGTCGATATTTATTCTGGTTGTATACAGCACAGTAGGAACTCCTGTCTAGACACCGGCGAGCTAGCTTTCCTATGACGAGCGCAGAATAGCCATGCATGAAGCGATGTGAACCTGACTTATCAAGCAGCCGTGAATAGGTATTCCAACATGTTGACGCGTTCGAATCTGAGGTCACCTACAGTTGCTGCACATTCGCTGCCAGAATTGCGTCTTCCTATCACCTTCACCTCGCATTCTACCACAACATATAAACCCCGCCATTCCTTCTCACTTGACCTTTCCTTCGTTCAAGACAAACTCTTCTCATCATCTATTTCTTGCAAAAACTCTGCTCTGCTCTTTCTTACAAGTCTCGACATCCAAGAACGCCAATATGCCTCCCAAGGAAGCTGCGGGTGCTGAGTCCACTGAACTCATCGCCGGCTTCACTGACAAAGAATGCAAGCTCCTAGCTGCTGCGTTCGTTAGCTCTACTGGTCCGGACAAGGTGAGTTCTCGCATCCTAGCTATGCCGGTTATTAACACACAATAAGCTTGAGTACAGGCCATTGTTGCTACCCACCTTTATTCACGTCTTCATGCATAGACACCTACTGACAGGTTTACAGTACGACTATGAGCTCATGTCCACCCTCACCAAGAACACAGTCGGCTCCCTCAAGAAGATGTGGCCTCCCGTCAAGAGAAAGGCGATCGGCGCCCACAGCTCCTTCGCTGCCTTTCTCGGTTTAGCTGGCACTCTTGCTCCGAATGGTGACGCCAATTCCGCCCCTGCCCCAAAGGCCACTGCTAGCAAGAAGCGCAAGGCTGCTGACGAGATCCTCGACGATGCTGACGATGACAAGAACGACCTCGAGCCCAAGTCTGCTGCCAACAAGTCTGGCACCAAGAAGAAGGCTCCAGCTGCCAAGAGCAAGCCTGGTCAGAAGAAGAAGAAGGTCAAGAAGGAGGCGCCTATCTCTGAAGATGAAGCGACTGTCCAGGCCAGCGAGAACAGTGCCGATGGTGGTGATGGTCTCGGTGAGTTCATCTTCACGCAGAGCGTGGTTGATTGGATCAACAAGACTGACGAATGCGCAGACAAGGAGGTTGACGAAGATGAGGCCTGAAGATCAGGTTCATGACGCGTCTCCTTGGATCTGGGATTGATTGGGTACACTGGGGCGTTATGGCTCGGGAGGTTTGAAAAGTGTATTCTTACTTTACGGATTTGGGGTTGTCTCGCTCATCGGAGTAATACCGCACTTAGCTTGCTGGCACTCGTCTTGCAGGTGTTGCGTCTTCCAGAGTACATTCTTCCACACTGGAACGGTATGATACCCTAGATCTAGCATTCATTGGGCTCCCATAGCCTTTTCATGCTTGATTAAAAGCTTTTCATGTAGCTGAATCAAATCAAGACTACAGTCTTCATGGTCTTGTGCCCCCTGCTATCCTTGAGCCCTGATTCTATATGGTGGTAGGCTTTTGAGTACCGAAATACACAGCGGAAGAAAATAAGGGATTGAAGAGCTCTGACAATACATAATAGCTTGATCAAATAGCTTGATCATATATCGCGGAATGGAAGTAGTGCCTTGGAGGCACTGTTACATGGGCTTGGTAGGTAGGGGCGATAACAAAGAACGTCTTGTTGCGTTCCATGTGAGCGGATGACGGGCTGGTCTAGTTCCCGACCCCATCGGCCCAATTCCGCGCCTCGGCATGTCTTACAAACATACAACATCGAGCAGCTTCGACAAGTCATAGCAACTGCCGACAAGCGCAATGCAATCCTCCTCTCTCAGCATGCATATATGCTACATCTGGTCACTTCTGCCTGGAACATGAGATTACTCCGCATCCCGCTGCTTACCTTCATCAGCCTTCAACGACCACAGCTTGCATTTGCCGAGCTACTCCCCAACAATTTCACACTCAATCCTCTACGAAGTATACAGCAGTTTCCACTGTCATCCTACGGCACCAACATGACGCGCCTCGCCCCCGTCGTTTCCCTCTCCCACGGTGGTGGCCCAATGCCTTTACTAGGGGACCCGTCACACAAGGAGATCACGAACTCGCTCAAGACGAAGGTGCCTCGAATCCTCAAACTAGGCACATCAGATCAGCCAAAGGCCATCGTTCTGGTTACAGCACATTGGTCCACGAACAAGGTGACTATCTCTAGCGGCTCAAAGTATGGGTTGCTCTACGATTACTATGGCTTCCCTCCCGAGACGTATGAAATCAAGCATAACGCGCCAGGGAGTCCAGAAGTTGCGGAACTAGTAGAGAAGGCGTTGAAAGACGCAGGTGTGGAGTGCAACAAGGACACTGAACGAGGTATATTACACCACCCGCGACCACAGCTTCTAGCCGTTGCTAATTGAGGTGATAGATTGGGACCATGGCGTCTTCGTTCCCATGAAACTCATCGACCCCAAAGCGAAGATTCCCATCGTCCAGCTCAGTGTCCTCGCGTCCGAATCTCCCGCACAAAGCTATGCCATCGGGCGCGCCCTCTCCACTCTCCGATCCCAGAACGTAGCGATCATCGGGTCTGGCTTTGCTACCTTCCACAACTTGCGCCTCATGTTCTCTGGCACGTCCGATACTCCTCAGTTTAAACAACAGAATGTGGAGTGGAGCAAGGCAGTCACGGACGCGGCAATGACAAATAATGATGTGGAGAGGGAAAAGAAGTTCACGCAGTGGAGGAGCTGGCCAGAGAGCTTTGTGATGCATCCCAGGGGTGGCGCGGAGCATTTTCTGCCGCTGATCGTATGTGCAGGAGCGGCGGGGGAGAGCGCGGGGAGAAATTACGCAGATGACTTTCGGGGGTTGGATATGTGGAGTTATTACTGGGAGTAAGCGTAGGAAAGTAATGAGAAATGAACAAGTGGGTAAATGCATTGACTCGATGCGACGCTCGAGAATACATGCTTGGTGTGTTCTCACGATCTAATTGGGATCAACAAGCGGATCGACCTGGAAAGACTGGCCAGAACTCCTGATTACTATATATAACCGATCTAAATGTTGCTACAGTGAGCTTTTGCGAACACGAAAACATCTTCAAGGCTGGTCCCCTCTCCTATCCAGTCCTGCCCCATCAAGCACCGCTTACAAGGCCATGACACCGACAAATGCAGCCGCAACACCAGCACCAACCACCTTCACGACCGAACTTGGCGCAGCAGCCGTGCTCTTGGCCTGAGACCCCGAGCCTGTCGGGTTTCCACTCGCACCAGACGTAGGAGTGGCGCCAACAGCCTCGTTCACGATGCTCTGCACGCGCGCGTTGTTTGCGTCATAGTAGCTCTTGACGTTGCTTGGGAGCGCGCTGTACCAATCGGGAACCGTGGTGAACGTCTGGAGGCCACCGACCTTCGTGACATCGGAGGGAATGCTGTAGGATGCCGTGGCGGCGAAGGACACGAGCGCGAGGTGAGCAGATGCGGCGGCAGAGATAGCGCTGGGCCCGATGGACTCGGCGGCGACCTTGGAGGTGACGAAGTTCTGGAGGGAGGAGATGTAGGATTTGAGCTAGATGGGAGTCAGTTTGATGCTTGCTCGCGACAACGTGATTTGTAGAGGCGCAGACGTACGTTGGTGAGATCCGAAAGGCGGGTGGGAGTAGGGACGTCAGTGATGATGACGAACTCAGCGGCGGCGGTGCTGAGCGCAGCAGCGATGAGGGCAAGGTTCTTGAACTGCATTGCGAAGGTGTTTAGATGGCGAGATTTGGGAGGGTGTGCAAGTTGTAGACGTTGTAGAATTGAAAATGGAAGCTTTCAACGAGTGATGGTGTGAAGGTGAGTGAATGGCAAACAAACGACTCTCCAGCTGACGCGTTGAAAGTGCGAACCCTTGTTTTAAGTAGGTAGCACCCGGCACCCATGTATCGTCTCAGCCACAACGTATCTCCCAAAAATGGGCCGCGTTAGCATACGAGTGGGATGCCTAGCCAATGCAATAGTAAGCCAAGAGCTTACGAGTCGCGCTTTGACGCGAAGACCCAGCTTCGTTATCCCTCGATAACAAGTACCAGTTCGCTCCGCAAGTGGAGAATTCGATTCCCGTTGCTTTCATCTGGAGCGATGGTGGGGTAAATGATCCAAACGCAAGGGATGGGGGTGTGATGAAGATACACAGGGGCCATGTGTTTGAGGCTGATGTTTCAGTCTAAATGCCAGGGGTACGTATTTAGCTCGTAAGATGAATGCTGATCTTCGCCATGGGCTCATCTAACCATTCTCTAGCGTGATTTCGACTCCCAACTCCCGCCAATCTTTTATCCCATTCGTTATGCAAGGTTGTGATAGGCGTCGTGATGAACAGCCTATTTGACCTCCTTTACTGCTGTACCCACCACAACGCCCTCTGTGCTGGTCTTCTTCCCCGCGTGTTCTGCATGGCCGCTAGACGCGTCGCTTTCGGCTTCTGCGACAGGAGTGGCGCCCGCCTTGCCTTCCTTCCAGCCTAGGAATACGAATCCCACAATGACAGCAAGCCAGTATAGGTTGTAGGAGATGACGGAACCGTATGTCGCGCTGTTTTGCCAGCCAAATAGCGAATTGAAGATGCCCCAGCCACTTCTAGTCGTTAGCAGAGCTCGGTTATAATGTACAAGGGAGAACATCTTGCGTCATTAAGAGGCAGATTGTCCAGGCGAACACTTACCCGTCACCGTTTTCGAGAGGGGAGCAGCACTACACTCATTAGCATCCTGCAAGGTTCAAGGGTAATCGCAAGGGGGCTTACGTTGACATGCCAAACACTCTTCCTGATGTCGTAACTTCCTGGCCCTGCGCCTGCCTCCGCAGCGCCCTCGCCAGCTAGCTTAACATAGGCATTCTGCTCGAGGCTCCACACACCCTTCGAGAAAAGGCCAGCAGCAACGAGATACAGAAAGCAGGTCGATATGACAAGGAAGATCTGCAGAGACGTTTTGTTGCCGCCCTTGTAGATGAGGTAGCCAATAAGTGCGCCTGCGCCGAGACCACAGAGGACAGCGAGCGGGAACGATGTAGCTGGGAGTCCAAGACCAACTCCGGCGATGAATCTAGTTAGCGGGTTAGTATCGAGCCAATGCGTTGAGGGCGTTGGAACTTACAAGACGGCCTCAATGCCCTCTCGGAGCACAGTGATGAATGGTAGGATGAACATGGCATATTTCTCTGTCCACTTCTTCAGCTTACCCTTGATAGGTAGCTTCGAGTCCTTCTGCTCCAAGACTTTGGCGATCTTGAGACGCCATTTGTCCTGCAGCTTGCTGACACGAAGAAGAGCAGCACCCATCAGAGTGATGATGACGCTGGCGAGGATGGCAAACACTCCTTCCCAGACGTTCTCTGCGGACTCGAAAGAGTTTCGGCCCGCTGTGTAGAAGGTGCCGATCACGCCTGCGCAGATAATGAGGCATATGAAGACGCCGGCACCGACGCCGTACCAGACCTGTCGAACAAGCCTTTTGTGAACAGTAGCATCTTGCTCAGGACCAAGAGTTTGCTTTAGGAAAGCGAGCAGCACAGAGACAATGATGCTGGTCTCGAGGCACTCGCGAAAGCAAATGAAGAAGACTATTGCACATGTCAGTAAAGTGAACCGATGTTTGTGGTTCCTCACCATGCTCGTGAATCCTCGCGAGTTAGCATACCGGGTACAGCAAAGACGTTCGGCATGATTGAATGTTTTGCTAAAACGTTCGCAATGCAAATGGCAATGCTCAATCAGATAACAGGAGTAGAGGTTCGAGGAAGGAAAATATCTAATCAGATGGAGGGCATACAAGAGAAAGTGGTCTGCTGCCATGGCCTCCCACGCTCGATGGCGCTAACGAAAGCCTAACTTCGGCTGCATTCCGCATGCAATCAGGCCCTTCTCACCGGGATTCTAATTAACATGGTCTGATCCAGCTGTACGACTAGTTTCATCTTCCGCCGTCGCATTTGCCCTCTTTCAGTATACTAGTCCTCATGGCGTCTTGTATGGCGCAGCCCGATCTCGTACAGTAGTGTGATAACTCGACTCTCGCATACTCATCGCGCCCAACAGTTATTTTTCCCACTCACGCGGGCACGCCAGCCGCTGCAGCCGCCAAGGTTGTCAAATCAAGTCAAGAGTTTTGGTTGACGCTTGGCGAGAAAAAAGCCCTCGCCTACCCCAGTCCCCGGTCGATCAACGGTCCAGATTATCAGATGGGCCGATAACAGCGGGTGAATGTCCGTTGCAACGAATCACAATATCCTTCTCGCTCACACCTGCCAAAGATGTGGAAAATTTGTCAAGACCCTGAGACGATCGGCGCTCCGATTCCTGCACTATCAAGCCCCAGGGCTGTAATCGCGAACAATTCCGCCTTAAGGACTGCTTGGCCGCTAGTGTGGTGAGGTGATGATCTGATTATTCACTCTCTAGATCGTGGAGGGTTAAGAGGCTTGCTCTGGGTCGGCGACAAGGTCTTATCTGATTCCCCGCTATCGGCTGAATGATCTTATCATTTTTCGTCTGTTTTCATCAGTTCTCATCTCGTCACTACCGTGGGGGATTGTCGCGTGAGTTTCTGGACTTTGACTTTCCAAACAGCATTTACTTGACCGACTTCTAAGTTTGGTCGCTCAGAACTCTCTGCGCTGAGCCGATCTTCAAGATGGTGCTCTCACTATCCACTTTCCTTCTCCCAATATCACTCCTCGCCTCAATCGCGCAATGCGCCACTGTCACGTACGACTTTGACATCGCATGGACATATGCCAACCCCGACGGCCAGCAAACACGCCCGATTCAAGGAATCAACGGACAATGGCCTATCCCACCTATCACGGTGACGAAGGGAGATCAACTCATCGTTAACGTCAAGAACTCACTTGGGAATGAAAGCACGTCGCTTCATTTCCACGGTCTCTACCAAAATGGCACTACGCACATGGATGGCCCGGTTGGAGTCAGCCAATGTTCGATTCCCCCAGGGGGCTCCTTCACATACAACTTCACGGTAAGTGTTACCTCTCATGCCATCGTCGCAGATACTAATCAAATCAGGTCGATCAACCAGGAACCTACTGGTATCATTCTCATGAGCATGGACAGTACCCTGACGGTCTTCGCGGTGCCTTGATCGTGCATGATCCCAAAGATCCCCACAAGGATCTGTATGATGAGGAAATCGTGCTGACCCTGTCGGACTGGTATCATGACCTTATGACAAATCTCCTCAAGGACTTCATCAGCATCGCAAATCCATCTGGCGCAGAGCCCGTTCCTCAAGCAGCTCTAATGAACGACACTCAAAATTTGACTGTCAAGATCGAACCAGGCAAGACGTACCTCTTCAGAATAATCAATATGGGTGCTTTTGCTGCTCAGTATGTGTGGTTCGAAGATCACACTATGCGAGTTGTTGAGGTCGACGGTATCTATACCGAGCCGATGGAGGCAAACATGCTTTATCTCACTGCTGCGCAGCGGTACAGTGTGCTTGTTACTGCGAAGAACGACTCCAACTCCAACTTCGCTTTTGTTGGGAGTATGGACCAGGATCTATTCGACGTAATTCCTGCCGGTCTGAACTCCAATGTCACCGGCTGGCTTGTTTACGACGATAAGAAGGACAAGCCAGCGGCAAAAGAGATCGAAGCATTCGAGCCTTTTGATGACTTCAACTTGGTGCCGTATGATAAGGAGGGGCTGTATGACAAGGTTGACCAGTCCATCACTCTTGATTTGAAGATGGACAACCTGAACGATGGTGCCAATTAGTAAGTCCTGCATCTAAATTTCCTCCAATGTGTCGTGGCTAACAGTACTACAGCGCCTTCTTCAACGATATCACTTACGTCAGTCCCAAAGTCCCAACACTCTACAGCGTTCTCTCGACCGGCTCGAATGCTACAAACCCAGCTATATACGGCTCAAACACCAATTCCTTTGTCCTAGGCCACAACGAAGTCGTTGAGATCATCTTGAACAACGACGACGCGGGAAAGTAAGTCGACCTAAGCGGGCCCATGATGAAAACATACTAACCACATCGCAGACATCCTTTCCATCTCCACGGCCATGCATTCCAAGTCGTAACCCGCAGTGATGAGGCGGCAGGATTCTTCGACCCGGCCAATACTACGACACCGTTACCCGCGACGCCGATGCGTCGCGATACCATCCTTGTCCGTCCAAACGGCTATATCGTCCTACGCTTCCGCTCCGATAACCCCGGCGTTTGGCTTTTCCACTGCCATATTGAGTGGCACGTCGCCTCGGGCTTGATTGCCACCATGATCGAGTCGCCATTGGACCTACAGCGTCAGCTGTCCGATAAAATTCCCCAGGATCACTGGAAAGTGTGTCAAGACGCTAATAAGCCGACGAAAGGCAATGCTGCGGGCAACACGGTGGACTACCTCGACCTGACGGGTGAGAACAAGTCTCCTGGCAAACTACCAGCGGGTTTCACAGCGCGTGGAATAGTCGCGTTGGTCTTTAGTTGTTTGGCGGCTTTCCTAGGTATGGGTGTCATTGCATGGTATGGTATGAAGCCGATCAAGACCAAGACAGGTTAAGGATGGGAGCTGAGACATGAACTGTATGGCGTTCGCAAGGTATCTAGGGCCCTCATTGTATTCTAGCCTTTCTAATATGCGATGATATCAATAATTTGTATGATTTCTTCTTCTCTATCGCGTCTATGTTATACCTCTTGTGGTTTTGGTGATCTAAATCTTCTTACGCGAACTTGGAAGAGTTGTATCAGAGAGAAAGAGAAGCAATGCCGAATTATATTTGCGAATCACCTTTCGGTTTCGCCAGCTTCGCAATCTCGGGATCTTTCGTAACCTCCTCATAGTCCGGGCGAGGGAGCTCAAAAATCTGCGTAGTCCGACCATACGAGATACCGCCTAGACGGGAGATGGGCTTCATGACCTAACCACAAGTCAACATAACATGAATAGAAAGCAAGCAGGGCAAAACTCACAGCAGGGTCGATCAGAACTCCTTGCTCGTCAATTGCATCATGGCGCACCCAGAAGTTCACGCCCTCGAGGAATACCGTGACGCTCGTCTTCTTGTCTGGTGTCGCAGGGTTCTTACTCGTCCATTCTCGAGTCTCAATCAACTTCGCTTCGATGCTGAATACTGCTTCCTTCACCCTATCTGGCTTCACATATGTGCTGCGTTCTGCATGCAAGCCGCTAAATGCCCACTCGCTCACCCCTTCCGGCGCGTTAATACTGGTGTAGTTCGCCGCCTCGATATATTCCTCCGTGATGATGTTGACAACGGCCTCTTTCGTGTCCAGCAGGTTTTTCAGCGTGTCTTTCGCCTTGTCCAAGCCGCCTGAGAAGCCTAGGACGAAGATAGGCGGGTCATGACTCATCAAGTTGAAGTAACTGAAGGGAGCAAGGTTGGTGGACTTGCCATCTGCGCTGATGGTAGACGTGAATCCAACGGGGCGGGGGACAATGGCCGAGATCAGGAGTTTGTAATTGTGTACAGCGGGGCGGCCTTCAGCGTAAGGATCGATTTGCCGGTGCGACTTGGTGAGGGAAGAGGGCTCGTTGGGTCCTTGACCTGGCTGCCAATCCGGCTTGGGTGTCTGGGTGAAGTGCAATGTTGAGCTGGTGTCAAAGGGTGGGCGCGAGGCTTCTACGGCCTTGAAGTCGCCATGGGGATTGCGTTTTATTTCCTTCTCTGCATCGAATTTTCCGGAGGCCATTTTGAAGGATGGATTGTAGATTTGTCAAGGCTAAACTGGAGAGTGCAGGCGTTGGGAGAGGAGTTCAGACGGGAGGGAAAATGCTCTTCTAATGACGTTATTGAGTCGTTAAACCGTCAATCCATCAATCAAGCGTAGAGCTATAACGGCAAATGCCGGACATATTTCCGGCATATAAGAGGCTCAAGTCGGCTGCGGAACGTCTCCGCAGTTTTCAGAGGCGGAAATCCGCTCTGTACAATCTAGCAAACCTGCACTTGTATATAATAATTTACACTCGTATACTTCTACTAAGCTTCTGATTGTCAATGCGAAGTATTCGTTACTACATGGAAGGATCACGCTTACACACGGGTCGATCTCTAGGCCATCGACCCCGCCATCAGTAGGAGCTAAGTACCCCACCTGCTCCCAGCTCCCACCTTGACACCAAAAGTATGGAGCAGATACCTCAGGGCACACTTGAATAAGAAAGAGGACTCGTGGTTGCAGTGAACCTAACCACGCACAGAAGACTCGGTCATGTTACCGGAAGAAACTCGGACATGTTTTGATGATATGTCAGCCTACCCTACGGTAGGTAATCTTAGTCTTAGCTTGTCCCGAAAAGGTGTGCGATATTGTCATGCAACTAGTTAGCTCTACGATTATGAAGTGTTAGTTCATTTATAATAATGTGTTGGCTCAACTGCTATGACGTATTAGCTTCCCATTACCAACAATAGGTGGGGTATGCTGACGGATCATAACGATGAGCCACTTTTGACTTCTGGTCGGTATATCATTATTAAGATGTAAATCCACCCTTTGAACCGTTGTCGGGTACAAACATACAAAGTCATCTACCTTTTTTGCTCCTTCTAAGAGCATATTTGGCTTAGATCCACAGCCCTGGCGTCCTTATCTTATCCCCCACTTAAAGTACCATCATAGAACCAGCGATAGCTTTGGGCCTGTTCGGTAGCCTCCATTTTAACTGGCGCAATATTAATACATATAGTAAGGCTTGGGTTTTTTTAGCGGATATAGAGTTACAAATATAGAGCTAGACCCCAACTACTAGAGAAAACTGCCATCTCTATTTGCGCTAAGTACGTATAAATAAGCACTAATAAGTGTTCAAAACTGCATGGCGTTACTAGTGAACTAGTACTTTTATCTATGCTATTCAAATTAGGTTAAATCTGTTGGATTACTGAACAGACGCCTATCTCCAATCCATTTTACCCACCTACTATATCCGGCCAGACTGGAGCCTTGAGTTTGTTCCACCGAACACGCCCTCAGCTAGGGCGTATGCGCTTTTGAAAATACTCTTATCTTACCCCCCTTTGTAACTCTACCCTTTGGCATTGTAAAGACTGGGGAGAAATCTCAAACACGTTCCAAGGTATTTACAGCATCAGTAATGTAGATTAATATCAAAAGGCTAACCATGTTCAATAGCAGAACTGATTCAATTTAGAGAAAGCTTCCTCTGCACCATGTCTTCAACTGAGCTGCCCAAGATTCCGGATTTGAAAGTGGAGGACGATTTCCAAACATACAAGCTTGGGAGTTTCAAACTCAAGTCTGGTGTAGAGATTCCAGATGCATTTATTGCGTACAAGACGCTCGGTGATCCATCTTCACCTGCCATCATCTACCCCACTTGGTATTCTGGATGTGAGCTTGGGTGTCCCCGCAACCCCTCTTTCCTATTGCTGACCACAATATTCTAGCAATCTCCGACAACCTTTGGCTCACCGGCTCAGACAAGACACTGGATCCTTCTAAATTCTACATCATTATCCCGGCACTTTTTGGCAATGGCCAGTCTTCGTCGCCGTCGAACATGCCAGAATTGCGTCCATTTCCCGACGTCCTAATTTACGACAATGTAAGAGCACAGTATGAGCTTGTGACCAAGCACCTTGGTGTTTCCCATGCTCGTGCCGTTCTGGGCTGGTCTATGGGAGCCGGGCAGACATAGTGAGTAGTGTGTAGACTGCATTTCTCTAATAACTGACTTTGTCTCCAGCCAATGGCTAACTCAGTACCCCGATTTCATGGACATTGGTGTTCCTTTCTGTGGTGCCGCAAAGACGAGCCTCCACAATCAGGTTTTCCTTGAGGGTATCAAGAGCGCCCTCTACGCTGCGATAGGTACAAGCTCAGCAGGCGTTGCGAAGCCGGACTTGCGCACCGCTGAGAATGGTGGGCATTCAGCTTTCACTCCCGACCAAACAAAGATAGGTCTGAAGGCCCTCGGGCGCGTATATGTAAGTCAAACACTGCTTTTCCATTGTACTATCTTTCCGAAACATACTAACACTCTAATCTGGCCGGGTGGGGTTTCTCTCAGGCATTCTACCGCGAGAGGCTATACGAGAAGGCGCCGACACTTGGGTTCAAAAACCTAGATGACTTTCTCGTCAACTTCTGGGAAGCCTGGGCGCTGTCGAATGACCCGGAAAACATGCTTGTTATGACTCATACATGGCAAGCCGCGGATTGTTCGGAGCAAGAGCCGTACAATGGCGACTTCCGATCGGCGATGGAGAGTATCAAGGCGAAGACCCTAGTGCTCCCAGCAAAGACAGACCTGTATTTTCCACCAGAAGACTCAGAAATTGAGGTCCAGAACATGAAGCCAGGAGTCGGAACGTTCAAGGTCTTCCCGTCTATTTGGGGACATTGGGCTGGCGGTAAGTGCTCTCTGGCGACATAATTTGCGGATAGCTAATACATATAGGTCCCGGGCAATCCACGGATGATGTGAAATGGCTGGACGAGCATTTGGCGGAGTTCATTGCTAAGAATTGAGGGGGGCCACGGATGCTATTCTTTCCCTAGCTCGATAGTGCCAACGATCTTAAAACGATCCTTGTAGCCTGTTCGCTCAATGACAAACACTTTATCAACATACCAGTCCAGTGCCATAGGCAGTTCTTCCTTGACTGTAGTCAGTTCGCGAACGCTCTTCTTAATCTCTTCTCTAAGGAGAAGTGCCCCCTGCTCACTGCCTGCCTGCCCCATAGATAGGTGAGGCGTGAAAGGTCGTTGATCTGCGTTACACTCGGAGAACTCAGCCTGAAAATCTGCTTGGAGCTGCTGGATAGATTGAGTGGAAGGGCCCAACCACACGGTCTTGCTTCTTTGACTGTGAGAGAATGTGCCAGGCAGCTCGGCACTCAAGGACACGTGGAAAGGTGCAATGTTCCTTGTTACTTTTGAGATCCGCGTGCGAATAGATTCTTTCAATTGAGAAGTAGAGGTCGCTCCTTGCTCAATGGTCTCAGAGGGAGACGCAAGGAAAGGGTAGAGCAGATTAATATGTGGTGGCCAACGAGCAAAGTGCTTGTCGTGGACGCGTCGAACCGCTTCAATAGGTGCAGTAATGCTAGAGGACGGAAGTAGCGCCAATGCGCTTTTGTGCGATAGATGCGCTGGCAGCTGTCTTGCCATGGTGTGGCGATGTGATGGAGCGCTTAGACGATGACGATGGGTGATGCTGATGGGGCTGGTAAAGTCATTGTGGCGCGTGCGCCTTGGCACCCTGAGCTTTCCCAAGACGGCCGCAACAACGAATTGTTGCATCCATCACTCAGCCAGACCCAACCTCGGGAAAGGTCGCGTCGCCATGTGGGAGCGCTGATTTCAAGACCATTATCACCCAGCCGCTACTCACGACAATCTACCTCCGACACGCCGCCGCCACTGCGACTTCGCATCAGCTCTCCGCAGCACCTCCGCACCTCGCAACCTGTTACTCCTATCCTCCAAACACCATCATGGAAGGCCAGAAAAAGATGCAGTGGGGAGTCACAAGCGCCATATCTGAGGCATATCCTACAAAGGAAGACGAGAAGCGGAATGACGAGCTTATAGCGACGCTGAAGCGTGAGAACGTCTTCGAAAGCCCCGAGGGCAACGCAAAACGGTATATAAGAAATCGTCTCATGAGTGGCAGGAAGCACAGTTAACGTGGCGTAGGCAGACGGTCATAGAACACCTGGGAAAGGTCGTCGAAGAGTTCGTTCGTCGCGTGTGCAAACAGAAAGGCCTGCCTCAGTCCACCATCGACACTGCCGGCGGGAAGGTGTTCACCTTCGGCAGCTATGCCCTGGGCGTCCACGGGCCATCCTCCGATATTGACACGCTGGTCGTCGCGCCAAAATATGTCTCCATTGACGACTTTTTTATGACCTTCCCTCCCACCTTCAAAGAAATGTCCCGCACCGAAGATATCGAGGAGTTTGTGCCCGTCGAAGAGGCCCACGTGCCCATCATCAAGATGGAATATAGCGGCGTGAGCGTAGACTTGATCTTTGCGTCCCTGCCAAAGATGTCCCAAATTCCGGCGGATATGGCGACCATTGAAAAGAAGAATCTGGAGGGCCTTTCGGAATCAGCGACGCGAAGCGTCAACGGCACCCGGGTCACAAAAGAGCTCCTATCAGCAGTGCCGCCGGGCACGGCTTTTCGACATGCGCTAAGGGCGATCAAGCTCTGGTCGAATCGTAGGTTGTGCCTCTCTTCGTCAATTTCGTTGGCTAACTCTCAAACAGGCCGCGGCATATATGGAGCGGTGTTCGGTTATCCTGGCGGAGTTGCGTGGGCCATCATGGTTGCCCGCATCTGCCAGCTCTACCCGTACGCCAATGGCGCTACCATCATCTCCAAATTCTTTAGTCTGATGTACAAGTGGACTTGGCCGAGGCCTGTTCTATTAAAGCACATTGAGGAAGCTGAGTTTAATCTTCGTGTGTGGAATCCACAGGTGAGTATCTTCCATGGCAATGTTTGCTCTTGCTAAGTCTACCAGCTCTACGGCCCTGACAGAGGACACATGATGCCCATCATCACACCCGCGTTCCCTTCAATGTGCGCGACCCACACCGTGATGCCCTCAACTTTGCGTATTATGCAAGAAGAGTTTGGGCGAGCCGACAAGATTGTGCAACACATCTTTGCTGGATCAAAGGGCTGGGACGCTCTTTTCGAGCGACATACTTTCTTCACGAAGGACCACAAGTATTACTTGAGCATCGTTGCCGCAAGCCGTACCAAAGAGGCCAGTGCCACGTTCTCCGGATTGGTCCAATCAAAAATCCGTTGGATCGTCAAACACATTGATGATGGACAGACTGGTATCGAGACTGCACGTCCATATATCGAGTATTTTGAACGTGTCCATCGATGCAAAAATGAAGAGGAAGTCGCCCAGGTCAGCCAAGGCAGCCTCAATTACTTGATACCGGCATCAGAAGTGCCTACAGAGGGCAGTGCGCCAGCAAATGGCGAAACTCACATCATGTACACGACTACTTTCTATATTGGCCTTGCTATACCGCCAGGTATGTTCACCTATTTCTTAACTGCTATATGCACGACTAACTCTTCGAGCAGAGGGTGCTAGGTCACTGGATATATCCTACCCGGTGGCCCGATTCCGAGACATGGTCACAGAATCGCAGCTGTATGATGAGAACACCATGTCTGTTAGAGTGGTTCACACCCGCAAGTATGAGCCCCGAATAATGAATAACTTTGTTCAATCACTAATGGATTAGCACTCAACTTCCCGACGATGTGTTCGTGGCGGGCGAGACGCGACCACGGAAGCCGACCAAGGAGAAGAAGAAGAAGGACGCTAAGAGCGTGAAACGTCCATTTGCTGATACGGGTCTCGACGTGCGTGATTCTAGACCACCTAAAATCCCCCGACGCCTATTGGCGCCTCGGGAGTAACATCACGCTCTCATGCTGACGTTCGTGCTAATACAGGACAGCGAGCATTCAGCAGCAAAGCGCCGACAGTCCGAGCTCGCCACCAATGGATTGCCTACTCCGACGGCGGCATAAGCTCCCTTTCAGCTAAGCTTGCGCATGTTCGCTATAATCTTCTCCTAGCATACATTTGATATCACGGGGTTCTGACATTATTACTTTTTCAGTCACGGCTGCATCACTATGCGCCTCCAAAGATACGTCTAGTCGGCCGATAGCTTCCTGACGCGATGTCATAGGTTTAAGCAATAACAGCGACACGAGCCTCCAGATCCGACACCCCACCAGGTTCGTATCTTTGTCGCGCCGAGGCTCTAACAACAAAACCAGAGAAAAAAAAGTAGGAAAAGACCGCTTCACTGCTGGTCACGAAAAGCTACAAAAAGGTTTGCTTGGGGTTTCACAAGGCCAATTCTCTCTACTTCACTTTACCATAATTCATCACCCAGTTCGAATCACATTGGTGTCTTAGGGAAAATGCATGTTTCGGCGCTAGGGCAAACGGAGTTTGGGCGCGATGAGCGGGATCACCCAAGTTTGTTTCATAGGAAGAGGCGAAGAATTTGCTTTTGCGGCATGGACAAAGGAGTGTTCTTCTTCATACTGGGCTGGGACTGTGTAAATACTTTGCAAGTCAGACAACCAATTTACCACCATTCGGGGCCTTGGGGCTCCGCAAAATCAATCTCGTACCTTGTCCTTTGATATGTCGAAGGTCTAGACTAGGAGGCAGCAGCAACCACTGCCGGCGCTGCAGCCGTCTCCAAGATACTATCCATTTCGCAAATTACTGGTCCACCGTTTTGATAAACATGCGAAACGTGCTGAACTGACTCTGCCTTTTTTGCACCTGGAACTGCACTCGCAGCCGTAGACCAGTTGAAGTACTTGTTACATCCTATGCAGTGCATGCTATCGCATCCTCCATCTTTCTCGATGACGAGATGGCAGTTGGGGCAGCGTTTGCCGTCTTTGGTTTGCATGAGCTTCAGCGTGTCCTTCTCCGGGTCGGACATTTGCTCGTTGATGCGCTTTGCGGAGAGCTCGGCGCAAGTGACATCTTTGTGCCAGGGTACGAGGCACAGTGCGCAAGACCGAAACAAACACTCGTGGCATGTGACTTCGGGGTAGCCCGCGGACATGACGTCTGGTAGGCCGACGGCAGTGCAAGTAGGCGATAGACACGTCATGGGTTTGGGGATGACATCTTCCAGCCAGACGTTGAACATCTCCATGTTGAACTTCTCGAGAGGCTCGCCGCGTGGCAAGTACCGCATGATGAAGGAGTGACTCCATGGCTCTTCGCATCCGGGCTCGAGGCAGCCTGCGCCTACTTTTCGCGCGCCGAGCATATCGAGGCGAGCAGCCATGTTGTTGCCGATGCAGGACTTGCACACTGGCTTGATGCTCTTCTTCCTCGGATTGCGACTAAGGTGCGCGATACAGTGATAGGGGACGTCAAAACTGTCCATGGGCAAAGACCATTGTCGTCTTGGTGAGAAGGGTGGTATGAACTGATCAGTAGTCTGTTCCTCGATACAAATCCGGCAGGTGAAATGAGTCTGCGGTGGAGCACGAGGTTTAGACGTCGGGTTAGGGTTTACTTTGCGCTTGGGAGTCCATGGATCTGCACGCCGACGTCGTGTCTTTCGCTTGGTGACTTTGGACACGGGTGCTGCTGCTTTTGCGGTATTGGAACGTAGGACCCGTGTGTTGCTAGATGAAGGTGGGGTGACTCCTGCCGCCTGCAATGCCCGCTGGGGATGTCTCTGTACGATGCGCGCTGTTCCTGGGGCGCGAGCCATGTTGCAGGCAAATGTGATAAGAAGAGCGAGGAGGAAATGGTCGTAGAAGGTAGCTGGCTACCTTGAGAAAGAGTGATGGAGAGAAATAGAATTGAAGATATACACGACGAACTTGGAAGAGCGAGTTGGGAGAGCCGGGATGGATCAGGCTGACGTCCAAGGATCGCGGCTGAGGGTGTTGGAGGCGGGGATGGCACTGCCCGGAAGGCTTGTACTTATCTCCCGCCATAGGACAGTGAGTCACAGTTGCCTTGTGATGCTCAGTTGTACATGGCAGTAGTCTGATTTTCAGACTCCTGTAGAGTATGCTGAGCCACTTAGAGTGCATCATGCAGCACTGAGATAGGCATTCAGGCAGGAGCTAGTAGGCTGAAGAGAGCCCTGTTAGCGATCTTCTCAAGGCTGCCATCTACAAGGCCCGCGACACATCAACCCAGTGGTGCATGATATTACTTATCATTGGATGATATGCATTTGTTCCATAGTGTACTGCGAGTGCAACGTCTCTGATGCCTGGAGGTCGCGGTGGGGCACTAGCGGAGGCAGTGTCTGGGCTTTCGACAGGGATCTCTACCGGGAGTCGCGTCTGACCGCCTGCACCTTCCGCGCTAAGGCTGGTAAAAAAAAGTGAAATCCCGACCTCGAAACATTGCACGCTCGCACGCCCAGAGCCACTTGCCAAACCGAAACCGAAATCATGGCGCCGAATCTCGACGACGACTTCATCTTCACCATCTCTGACCATGACGACGTGTCCGACGACGGTGGCGCCGACGAGCTCGCTGCGGCATCCGCAAAACTCTCAGGTCAGGGAAAGAAGAGGAAATACACCGAAGACCCAGACCTGAACGTGAAGCCAAAGGAGGTCGCCTCGAAGAAGGCTAAAAAAGACAAGAAGAAGGGCAAACAAGGGAAGCAGGCTGAACCAGACGCCGAGGTCGAGGAGGAGGCTATGCAGATGCCAAATCCCGGCGAAGATGTCGAAGCAAACGACGACATTGCAAGCGACTTCGAGTTTGCAGTCGGTGACATTGATACTGGGTTCGTGGAGGAGTTTGATGGGTGGGGCAACGACAATGGCACAGTTGCGCAAGAATCGGGCAAGAAGGGCATGGCCGTGGACGTGGACGAAATCATCGAGCGAAGACGCAATAAGAAAAGCGCGAAACAAGCTGTAGAGCAAGAGTCGGTACCTGCACCAGTGGCTGCCGATTTCGAAGGTTTTGGCGACGATGACGAGCTGCTGGCTGAAGACGCATTCGGTATGGGAGCTGCAAGCGACTCAGAGGATGAGGACGGCCAAGAGGAAGAGGCTTCAGAGAATGGAGATAGTGGGTCTGATGCTGGGGATGCCGAATCAGACGATGACGCGGAGATTCCGGCTGTCCCTCATCCTATGGACCTCGAGGACGCGGACGCGGACTCTGACGATGAGAATGACAGCGAAAAGGAGGATGCTGTAGAGGCGAAGAAGGCGGCTGCCTTCTTTGCGCCCGAAGAAAGTGTCCCTATCAAGAAGAAGAAGGGCGCCAAAGCCGGAACAGGATCGTTCCAAGCCATGTCACTTTCGAGGCCTATCCTGAGAGGCCTCGCATCTGTGGGCTTCACGGAGCCCACTCCCATCCAAAGCAAGGCAGTCCCAATTGCTATGCAAGGCAAGGATGTTGTCGGAGGAGCCGAGACTGGTTCCGGAAAAACGGCCGCCTTCCTTATCCCTATCCTTGAACGACTCCTCTACCGACCGAAGAAGGTCCCAACTACGCGCGTCGCGATCTTCATGCCAACGCGTGAGTTGGCTGTACAGTGTTTCAACGTCGCTACGAAGCTTGCGTCCTTCACCGATATCAAATTCGCATTGATGGCTGGTGGTTTCTCGTCGCGCGAGCAAGAAGCTGTACTCAAGACAAGACCAGACGTAGTTATTGCCACGCCGGGTCGTTTCATTGATCATATGCATAACACAGCTGCATTCCAGGTGGAACATCTTGAGATCCTCGTGCTCGACGAGGCTGATCGTATGCTTGAGGAGGGATTCGAAAGTCAACTCAACGAGATCTTGACCACTATCCCGAAATCACGACAGACTATGCTTTTCTCCGCCACCATGACTAGCTCGGTTGACAAACTGATCCGCATTGGCATGGACAAGCCTGTAAGAATGATGGTCGATGCGAAGAAGCAGACTGTAGCAGGCCTGACGCAAGAGTTCGTGAGGGTGAGACAAGGAAAAGAAGACAAACGGCTCGCGTATCTGATGCACATCTGTGAGAAGGTGTATACGGAAAGAGTCATCATCTTCTTCAGGCAAAAGAAGGAGGCACATAGGGTTCGTGTTGTGTTCGCTCTCTGTGGGCTCAAAGCAAGTGAGCTTCACGGAAACATGAGCCAAGAACAGGTAGGATATCCTCTCTGACCAAATGACGCGCATCATACTGACTCATCCTTAGCGTATCCAATCCGTCGAAGCCTTCCGCTCGGGCAAGTCCTCTTTCCTCCTCGCTACTGATGTCGCCTCCCGTGGTCTTGATATCAAGAATGTCTCCACTGTCATCAACTACGAAGCCCCTCAGAGTCACGAAATCTATCTACATCGTGTTGGACGTACTGCCCGTGCTGGACGAAGCGGCCGAGCATGCACACTAGCTTCAGAGCCTGATCGCAAAGTAGTCAAGCAGGCTGTCAAGGCCTCTCGTGATCAAGGAGCAAAGGTGGTTAGCCGACAAGTCCCCGTTGAAGACCAGGACAGGTGGATGAAGAAGCTCCACGACCTCGAAGGTGAAATTGAGGAGGTTTTGAAAGAAGAGAAAGAAGAGCGCGCTTTGAGCATAACGGAGCGCGATCTCAAGCGTGGCGTTAATCTCATTGAGCATGAAGATGAGATCAAGTCTAGGCCGAGGCGCATATGGTTCGAGTCAGAGAAGGACAAGATCGCTGAGCACCATAAGGGTTCTGCTGCTCTCAATGGGCCGACTGATGGGGCACCCAAGGAGAAGAAAAAGAAGCTGAGCGGTAAGGATAAGAAGAAGCTCGAGCTGAGAGACATGAGGACAGAGGGCCAGGAGTGGAAAAAGGGCAAGGTGGATCGTGGGTTGACTACTGCAAAGGCGAAGGAGAAGCAGGCTTTGATGAAGAACAAGTCTAAGAAGATCGCTGCAGTAACGAAGTTCAAAGGCTTTGGAAAGTAGATAGCGTTCCTCTAGTACCACCGGGTCGGGTCATATCAACATCAATGTTCACACAGCAAACCAGAGTCCACCCTCGTGGAGCAACCTTTCGTCCGTGAATCTAGCTGACTTCATTGGCCATGCGGACATTGCAATGTCCGATTGACTTCAAGCTGCCAAGGACCCCCCTTTTTGGCCTAGGTCGCTAAGCCGGGAGCTGGCGGACGGAATGCCCAATGATAATGATCTCGTAAAATCTCAAGGCACCGATACACTGTCACGTCTCACCACCTTCTTGCTGACCCCTCATTTTCTACACTTTCTCGCATCTCCTTAAACACACGTTTCCAACCAAAACAGCCCCGCGACCGTTTGGAGGTGTACAACCCTGGCGTACTAGCTCGCTCCTAAGCTTTGTTATCGGCTTATCAAACCACCGACTTTGACAACTTTCTAGTCCAGCTTCAACCGCTTTCGCAACCCTTAAACCGCACCTACCAACCTCTCTCACACTTTCCAAGAGCTTTCATTTCACCTCACCTGCGCATAACAAGTGTGCTAAGCGCTCTACGAAGTCTCACGCCTACACACAGCACTTGCGGCTTGGTGCATAGGAGGAATAAGCACAGCAATAAGACGAGCCTCGACACGCGACAGTAAAAGCTGCGGGGTACCGTGAGATCGAAGAAGCCCTTGGAGCGAGGGCGCCGCTACTCTACAACGCCGCACGACGGTCATAATTGCCGCTATAATGGCAACAGTACACAGCAGGGCAAACGGCAATGGCACTACCGTGAGGTCTGTCAAGCCCGAACAGGCAGAGGACGAGAACATCTTCCTTTTCATACCCAACCTGATCGGTATGTCCTTCCCTCTCACCCCACCATAAACCAGCTAACAAACCGCTAGGCTACTTCCGCATCGTCCTTGCTGTAGCCTCCCTCTACTACATGCCCCTCCACCCACGCACATGCTCCATCCTCTACAGCGTATCTTGTCTCCTCGACGCCTTAGATGGCTATGCAGCCCGCGCCTATGAACAGGGCACAAAGTTTGGCGCGGTTCTGGACATGGTGACAGACAGGTGTACCACAACCTGTTTGCTCGTGTTCCTGGCGCAAGCGTTCCCGCGTTGGAGCATTGTGTTCCAGGCGCTCATCAGTCTGGATCTGGCGAGCCACTACATGCACATGTTTGCGACATTGAGCATGGGCGGGGGTGATCAGAGCCATAAGAATGTGGATGAGTCGAGGAGTTGGCTGTTGAAGCAGTACTATTCGAACAAGGTACGTCTCCTCTCTCCTACCGACACCCCTCTTCAGTTTCCCAGTAGAGAGATTGGATGGTCTCATAGGTCGTGCTAACACCCGCTCAGAAAGTCCTCTTCACCTTCTGCGCCCTCAACGAAGCCTTCTTCATCGCCCTCTACCTGCTCTCCTTCTCCTCGCCCCTCCTCTCCCCAACTCTCTTGGCGGACCACAACAACCCGTCCTCTATCCAGCCCGGGTCGCCCGCGGCCCCAAAACCATCGACGTTCTTCGCCAGCCCGTTTTCAGCAGCTGCCATGGAGATGGCTCGCGCGAACAAGATGGACTCGACAGTTCCGTGGATCGTGATGGTCGCCTCTTGCCCTGTTATGATCCTCAAACAATGGATCAACGTCGTTCAGATGGTCAAGGCTAGTCAGTGGCTGGCTGAGGGAGACAGGGCCACGAGGAAGAAGGAAGGCCTGCCCAGGAAGGATAAGAAGAGCCAATGATTGCGCAGCTGGGTCAAGGATTGCGAGGAAATGGAGCTGCAAATGCTGTCTTTTCTTGCACGTCTTTAGCTTACTCCTCACATGGACGGTTCCAGGGTTTAGAAGGCGGCGTTGAGGGGTGGGCTTCACCATGACATGTTTGCAATCGCAGACAACCTTTGAAAGCATGATGATCAAGCTTCAAGGACAGGCATCTGGAGGCCTCCTAGAAGCACAGGCATGTATAACAAATCCTGTACATTTTCTTCTTTTTTTCCCATTTCGATTCTTTCACTTTGTCCATTCTACCCATCTTGTAGTCCTTTGCGATTTTCTTCCACGGCATAACCTTTCGCTTCAAACCGGTTTCCTTTCTTTCCCCCCATTACGTTTATATAGAAGGCAAATAGCGTGAGCTTGAGAGTGTCATGAGCTCCGGATAATACTATTATAATCACCACTACTATTATTCCACTGCAATTTGGCTTTGACTGGTTCATTGAGGATGACGATTATGGTTCGGATAGACGCGTGAGATTTTCTTTGTAGGTACACCACGCCTCTATTCTATGTTCAAGTGTGTGTAGCATTTGGGGCATGAAGGATGAGACACAGAAAGGAGATACCACTAATTGAAAGCTGAAAAAAACCACCCGTAAAGTGACTATGAGATGATATATCTGACTAATTAGAACTTCGAGGAGTCGAGAGGCAATTCCAAAACGCTTTTGGTATGTTCAATCGATTTGACCCCCAATAAGAGACTAATACCGCCTATTGTCTTGCATGAACAAACTGAACTATCATTCGTTCGTCATCTTTCTACACGTCCTTGTCAGTTTCTCTCGTACATGACAACCTGCGGTAGGTCTAGTTGGACCAAGAAGATGTGCGTTGAGTTCGGTCGCTCCTCGCCAATGGGCTTTCTTCCGATGCTTGTCATGTTTAGCTGCTGCACCCCAACGCTCGTCCCTCCTTCTAACCGCTCTTCCCAAGCTCTGCGAATGATTACGTGTTGCAAATAGTCCCTGCTGGAATGGTGAGCGTCTCGCATGGCAAGCATACCCTGTGCAAAAACCTTGAGGATGCAGAAAGTCTATCGTCACATAGCTTTGGAACTTCATTCCACAACAGGACAACAAGCTCGGAGCTGTTGAAGTAGTTAGTGGAGAAGTATGCGCCTCCAACTGTCTTATCTCTAGCTGCCCGATGTCGCCATGCGGGAACAGACGCCATTGACGGAAGACGCCAGGCTTACCGCCCCACTTTTGGGGGAAATGCAGCCGTCACCGAGCCTCTCCGCTAGCCTCGGCCGCGATGAAATAGACGTCAGGCAGCTTGGCTACAGCGATGATATTTCGTCTCTCGCATTAGCGTTCATTCCGTTTCCCTTTTCCGCTGGCGGAGCAGCATACACGATGGTTGCACCTGAAGGACCCCGGCGATTCTCAACGAGTAACGAGGAGCGCGTCGGCCTACTCAAAGCGCATGATAACGCCGCAAAGCAACACCAGTATGGGGCAATTCCAGACCCTGCAGAATTGGAAGGACTCCTCGCCCAGGGTGAACTGGTGGAAGAGCTGGAAACGACAGCAGGAAATGAAGCTAAGCTGTTGTTGAAGTATAGTGTTCCGCTTATTGGGACGTATCTTCTTCAGTACAGCTTCTCGTTGGTCACCATCTTTGTCGTTGGACATATTGGGACTGACGAGCTGGGTGCCGTCTCTCTCGCTACGATGACAGCTAATATCACGGGATTGGCCGTGTATGAGGGGCTTGCTACGAGCCTGGATACGCTTTGCGCACAGGCGTACGGATCTGGGAAGAAGACCATGGTCGGCCTCCATTTGCAAAGGATGATCTTGTTCATGCTGCTGGTCACGGTACCAATTGGCGCGTTATGGCTCTGTTCTGGATGGTTCCTGGCAGCCCTTGTTCCAGAGAAAGAATTGGCCCATCTAGCGGGTCGATATCTGGCTCTGCTTCTTGCAGGCGCCCCAGGATACGCAATTTTTGAGGCGGGAAAACGGTTCACGCAGGCACAAGGACTCTTCAACGCGTCGCTTTTTGTTCTGTTGATTGCAACCCCGATCAACATTGTACTCAACTACGTTTTCGTCTTTGTACTTGACTGGGATCTCGCTGGTGCTGCGCTTGCGACTGTTGTCAGCAACAACCTACTGCCGCTACTACTATGGATCTACGTCTACTTCGTTAATCCGGCTTCGTTGGAGTGCTGGGGAGGGTTTACGAAGTTGGCATTCTCGCATTGGGGCCCTATGATCAAGCTTGCGATACCAGGAATCCTCATGGTCGAGACGGAGTGGCTCGCATTTGTACGTTCATCGGGTCCCGTCTGTGGGGAACATACGCTGATCTCACAACTTCATCTCAGGATATTCTTACCTTCTCTACAAGCTATCTCAGTACTGCCCATTTGGCCGCGCAGAGTATTGTCATGACTCTTGCAGTGGCCATCTACCACGTACCATTTTCGGTGGGCGTGGCGGTTTCGACACGGTTAGGCAACTTGATTGGCGGCGGATCCTTGACTGCAGCCCGTACTGCTACTCGCATATATATCCTGACGTTCTTGGCAATCGGCCTCGTCGACTTCACGTTTCTGACTGGCCTACGAAACGTCCTGCCAAAAGCCTTCACCAATGATCCCGAGGTTGTCACAATCGTCGCTACCGTGCTTCCCCTGCTAGCCGCATGTGAGTAACGTCTGTGTACAAACTCTATGCAAGACATGCACTGACTTGTTACCTCAATCTTTAGTCCAATTTGCCGACTCCACGACCGCGCTAGTGAATGCAATCCTTCGAGGCCTCGGCAAACAGAACATAGGAGGCTGGTACAATCTTTTCATTTATTATGTTATAGCGGTACCTTTAGCGCTGTATTTATGCTTCCCAAAGGATCTGAAGTTGGTGGGTCTATGGGCCGGTTGTGCCGTGGGTAGCAGCTGCATCACGATATCGGAAGGTCTGTACATGAAGTTCTATGACTGGAACAAGGCTGTCGAAGATGCTAGAGGCAGGGAAGAATGATAGTGGCAAATGGCTGGCATAAGGCTGGCATAGGAGGCTGCCTCATATTGCTAGAGCGTTTGGCGTTTTTGGTTTGGGCATTTCTGGTGGTAAAAACACTGGTATGAGCGGCTAGATGCTGCCGAAGGTTCTTGGGCGAATAGTGAATTCGAGCCACGCGTGCGCATTTCACAGCTGGCCTTCAAGCATCTCAATGGGGACAGTGCATCGGGTGCCTGCTAGTGCCTGCCACGACATTCAGGGGCTAGTCCAAAGAGAGATTCTTGAGCGATGTAACCGTGCTTCAACCTCACTCAAACCTCACGTTCCACAACTCTTTGCTTCTACTGCAACTTCAATGTCAATGCACGTCCCCTTCATTCACCCATTCCACTTACGTGGTGACGAGCGCATTGAGCAAATCAGGCAGAGAATCACTTGGGAAGTGGTGTGTTCGTAAAAGTGTGTCATTACCTCATACATTACGTGCATACATGCAAACTAGCTAAAATACAAGAAGAGCGTAATACTGATAGAATGCCTAGGCAAAACAGTATCGCAAAAACAGACATGAGCCAACCCAATCCCCGCAACACAATGAAATGCTATTTTTGTACAACAACCGCTGCTGTTGCGGACGAACCAAGACCTAAAAGTCTGTATGAGCATCGCCTTTACATCACCTACTGGCTAAGAGAGCGAATCTTGTCAACCGCTTCCTGTGCCTCATAAACGAAAACGTACTCCATCCTGCCGTTTCGCTCCACTTTTTCCTGGAATTCGGGGTGATCATCCTCCTCGATCTCCGGGTTGTAATCACTACCCACCTCCTTCTTCCAGTCATTAAGCAACTTCTCGATATGTTTCGGGTCTGAGATCACCGAGATGACTTGGCGAAGTGAGAACTTGACATTGCGGCCGTCCTTCTTTCCTGGTCGGTGAACATGAGTAAATCCGTGCGCCCAGCAGTTGTCGTTGCGGTTAAAGCTCTTTTCGCAAAGCAGACAAGGGAAGTCCTTGTCGGGACAATGAGTTTTCCGGTGGCGCTGTCGATGTTCAGGCCTCAAGAAGGACTTCCCGCAAATCTCGGGATGGTTGTCTGCGATGGTCTCGTCGTCGTCATCGTATGGGAACTTGCAATACAGTTTCTTGCGGGGTTGTTGATCGGTCCATTGCCATTTGTTGTCCGCTCCTTGGAACACAGCAGCCATGTGCGACTCGATCTTTCCATCCTCCATCTTCCAAAGGACGGATCGCGACTTTGGCTTCTTGACCTTCATCTTCCTCTTTGGCACGTTGCTCAATCGCGGCTCCTTCTTCACTGACTTGCCACCTGTGCGCGTTTCGTAGATAGATCGCTTGAGGCACCTCTCATCCTCGGATGACTCAGGCTCCGGCTTGACCCAAGTTGGACTTGACTCCTGTTTGAACACAACATGCTGTGGCGACGGTGGTAGCGGCACGTCTGTGTCATCGTATGAGTCTGAAACCATCTCGGGGTCCGTGTCTACGTGAACGTAGTCTTCGCTGAGCATGGCTTCGCACGGTACGATTGTTGGTTGGGCTACTTCCTGCATTTGGTGGACTGGAAGATGCCACATGGAATGCATTGACCCACTGGAGCCGACATCGAGTACGTCTACGTCCATATGACCATCAAAGTTTGTGTATGTAGGGCCAGCGGAGCCGCACCATGGATGAGATGCAGCGGCTGTAGTTGTCTCCAGGCCAGTGTAGGTTCCCGTCTGCGTCTGCAAGTAACTCGCATGCGATGGGAAAGCTTCGTTCGTCCTTATGGGTAAGGCCTGCTCCATATGGTTCGAATTATCAGGGAAAGGCCATGGTCCGGTCAAGGACTGATCAAAGTTGGATGCTTTCATCTGATGAAAGTCAATCGGAAGCATATGGATCGACTGTTCAGGAATCAGATCAAGGGTCGTCGCTTCGAAGCTCTCAGTGCTAAAAGGGCTTCGTCCGCAAATTGGAGTTGGCGGCATCGAGTAGTCGGATGAATAAGTTGTGAACGACGAAAGAGACAACGATGAGACGTCCGAGTTCCTTCGGGCTTCCATGTTGTAAGGAGACAGAGTCGACATCATCGCCGTTGAGGGAGCCATCGCCGGTGATTGAAAGGCGTCTTTGGATCCGCCTCGCCGGTACACGGTAGATCTCGAGGCCATTCTGTCGTATTAAACGGCAGGTCTAGGAGCTAATCATGATGTATTAGCCGACCGTTCATAGGATGCAAGCATGATACGAAATCAACATCTAACGCTTTAACTTACGGTGGAATGTCCAAGATGGTATGGGTAATGTGAACGAGCGAACACCTGGTTATCTTTCGAAGATCGAAGGGATGAGGAGCGACGCAGTTGAAGCTTTTGAAGCAAGATTCCACGGAAAACGGAACGGGTTCCGGCAGTGGCGACGTTTTGCGAAAGCCTTGCTCTAGGTCCTGTGGAACATATAGAGGCGCGGTTCGCGAGCGCGATGAGGCAGGGCGTTGGAATGGCGTGTGGTGGTGCGTCAACCGTATCGACGGAAGCGAAGGAACAATGATCTGAATTGCGAAGCTACTGCAAGGGGAAATTCCACTGAGAATTTAGCAACTCTGAACAACAGTGAACACGGCAGCTTAGAGAACTTCAAAGACCAAAGATCTCTCACAGCCTGGCGTACCTGGGGTACTAAAGTACACAAGCCGACAGCCTTGCAGACGGCCAAACAATGCCTGTTGGGGCTGTCTGACCTGACCTGAGGTCATCGGGCCGTGTGTATTGTAACTCAAGATTCTAGCGAACGCCTCTTCTGTAGGATGGAACCTTACCATGGGGAACAGCCATGCCAGCAGCCACTCGAAATCGCAGGCTAGCACATCCTGCATTGTCCGTCGCCGGCCTCCAAGCAGCTACAGGCAATCGACTCGAACCAACCTCCGTGGACCTGCATGCAGTTCTCCACACATCGCTCATTACACAAAACGTCTTCGAATGCTCTACTAATGTTCTCCACCATTCGGCAGGAATGTCCTTCCAAGTGGGCCTCAGCTCAACGAGGACTAGGCTAGAGAAACGGCTGCCAAAGTTGTTGCACAGACTCATATCCTACATCATTTGGAGGGCAGGTCTGGCCGCTTCACATATGACGATGGCCGCCTACTGCAAGTTATCCGGCTAGATCGGCACTCGACATACCGCACCACAAGGCCCTTGTCACTGGGCTTAGTATAACTCGACCTCCAGCAGCTTGGACATCAATACGTCTCTGATCGCTTTAGTCTCAAAACAAAAGAGTTTAGCCTCTTATTGTTTGGGATTCAAGGTTTCTTCGATTTCCGTCTCGCTGGGCTGACTGAAACCAGTTCATCAGCTATCACTTGTTTTCTGTGGGCAGAGCAACGGGGACATGGGCATGCTGGATCTCCCGTTACACGACAGTCGACCTGCATGTATCGACGAGGTTCTTTGCGATCAACACGAATTCTCCGGCCCAGACAAGCCACTTGCCGCAGCAGTGATGATTGGCTTGTTTCAAACGGGTCCTCTCCTGTGCAGGGAATGTAGACACATTAGGGAATCGCTCACGATTCGTTGCCCGTTTAGCCACTCGAATATGCGACATCGGCGCCTCGCCTTGACAGCTCCGTGTCGTCGCGAAGTGGCTGTAAGGTCTTAAAACAGCTTGGTGCGCGAATGCTACGTCTTTTATTAGGCAAGCTGTGTCGCGATAGTCATACTAGAGGCAACAATTTCTCGGAGATATACTCCCGCCGCTCACGAGGGTCCACTCTGAACGGGTAGTTAGCTCGCGTACCCTCCCGATCGAGATAATGTGATTAGCCGTTGTCAGTACGCCAGATCTTAGGTGCACAAACCCAGGAACGATTCGCGCAACAGTGAGGAGATAAGTGGTGAACATTTACCAAAACGGATATCTAATATTGTTGTCGTGTTACCATTGCGCCAGACTTTCCATCACGAGCCTGCAGCCAAGTTAGGCGGGTCCACAAGTGAGAATGACGTGCATATGGTCCCTGAAAAGCATTGGATAAGCTCATGAGTAGCGCTGCAATGGTCTGCAGGCCAAGCCATTACGAAAGTCCGTGAGTCGACTGCTTCTCGCTCGTACCACCCATCTGAAGCCAAAGTAGGTGCTTGCACGAACTGGCAGACTTTTCAGACAGGTCTTGCCAATTTGGAGCAGAAGCAGGATGGTGACCTGGAAAACTGAGGCTTTTGTTCTCGGCTTGCGGCTTGAGATCCTGCGGGCGTGAGCGGATTGAACGGACGGTTACGCTCTTCAGCATCAACACTGACCCTCGTCCAGCGCTTCCTGGCCATCGAGGCCGAAACTGAAGTCGCATTCTTACTACCGATCTCCGTGGCACTCCCATCGCGAGCTTGCCCCGCGGGATCTTCAGTGGAACAGGGACATTCGCACAACCTCGGGCTCCTGCACCTCAAGATGGCCTGCTGGGCCATGTTCGGGAATAAAGGACCTGCCAGGGGCCTTTGCTCTCCACTTTCTGTCAGCGCGTCAAACTCGCGTATGGAAGCAGGGGCGGGGGTTATTAATTCGGTTTGCGCGGCTACTGTCGGTGTCCTTCATCTCCTGTGTGCTGCACGACTAGCAAGATGGACAAGCGGAACAAAGTAACTGGATGTCATGGAGACTTCGGCTAGTAGTCTTCATTCCAATCCTTCCATGCAAAGCGTGGGCAAATGACAGCTTGCACACCACTTCAAGCCAGGTGTAGATCTACACTCCATAGCGCGTGGAAGCGAGAGACTGTCATCATCATGATGGGAGTGAACAGCCATTCAGTCTATAGGTTCGGTTACCTGAGAATCTAAGGATATCCTGATCTGGGAAGGCTGACTCTCCCACCCAATCACTGAACTGTCGACGAAATAGTAACGTTCTCCAACAAAAGAAAGGATCGCCATTTGCTGTGTGAAAACACATGCCCAATCCATCGGGGAACAAGATGCGAATGTTGATTTGCCATCTCAGCAAGGGCAACTGGCGAACCGTGAAGTGAAGGTACCATGTACCTCCACTACCCACAGTGCACCGTTTGTTTGTACGCCCCTTGGTAGCAAAGTTGGGGAAGCACGGTGAAGCCCGGCCTCAAAAAGGGGTATCCTCGGGGTTTCGGTAGGTTAGCCGATGAATGGTATGTGCTGGCGTCTGGACCTGAAGCAGGTACCAGTACACAGCATCAACGGCCCCATCTGCGTATGCAATTAAGGGTAATGTGCTATCGTTGCATTTGCGGGCCGTTGAAAGCTTGGACGTTGATGTACGCTTAGGCCCGCATATTCTGTGGAGAAACCAGTGGTCCAGATACTCTTGTTGACCTCGCGGATGCTGTAAGTGTCCACGCAAGCTTCAACAATCGATAGTGGCGACCAAAAGCTGCCTAGAAAGCATTCCACAACTTTCGCCTTTCGACTTACCACGCATACCTCGCTACGATTTCCCACCGGGACTACCTTTTTGGCCACCTGAGCCTCAACACAGCAGCGTGTCACACAAGAGTCTGATCATGCTCAGCAGAGTCAGGAGAGGGTGCCTGGTGGTGGCCCACGAGGCGTTGTCCTCGAGCCGCTAACATGATTCACGCGCCATCAGCAGCAACTGTTTCAGTGAGGATAGAGTTCCCTTTTCCCGAATACTATTAGCCGCTATTGACTATTGAGCTGACTGCTTCCGAAACAGGTCTCAGCAAGTTTTGGTTCCTGGAGGCTGAGCCCTTTAAGGCGATAGTAGATCGATAGTGCAGGTTGCATAATGCAGCGTGAGTGCGGGACGAGTACAAGATCCGAGCAGGCAGGACTCGTTGACTGATTACGGATGCGTTGCGATTCGCTCACGGCGATTCATCCTGTTGGCTCGATACGATATTCCCAGTTCGTGTCGCCACACATGTCTTCGCCCATTGACATCAGGTTACCGACGGCGTGAGGACCTTCCCAGTCAGTGGCCTGATGAACACACACACACACACTATGCCCATGAAAATCGACACATCGAGCATGCCGCCTCAAGCGCGCACGCCAGACGGTGACCTGGACCCAGTGATTTCCCTGTCTCAGGGTTGCAGGCGCAGAGCGCAACACTCGAACTGCGGCCTCTCAATCCGAATACGATTGCCATCAACGGGTTCACTTCCTGCTGGTAAAGTAGCAGTCGTGAGATACAGGGCTGTTATCACACTTCAAACGTAAGTCTTATCTTTTATGCGACCTGACACCAGTGAACTGATGACATCTATCGCCGCTCACGCCCTACACACGCACAGCAGCAGCAGCAGTGCTAGGAAGGGTTTGGTCTAACGGGGGTTCACAAACCCGTCTCCCCCCTCCAAGTCCCAAGATACGATAACCACTCAACTCTTTTGAATTTCTCTTCTCCGCGTCAGCTAGTAGTGTCACCAGATGCACAATCCCTGGAAACCACAACGTCAGCACCGACACGTCCGCTCTTGAGCTACATGTATAGACTAGTGACAACTTCACATGTTGTGCTAGGGCTTATGCACTTCTTAGTCCTTGTTTCTCATACTAGTAGTGCTTTGAACAATCCTCGAACTAAACACCTACCTAGAGTGGCACGTCACGAGTCCTGCGGGTTGTCCGACCGAGTCATTTGTATTTGCCACCCTGATATACGATCTCTTTCATACTGTAAATGCTCTTGTCAGTCTGTCGCCGCAGGTAGTCTCGGCTACGACATGGCTAACTCGCAGTGAGCATGTCCCCGTAGCATCATATCCGTCCTCACACTGCTTCGTTCCCAGTCAATGACTGCTTATCTTCTTCTCAGAGTCAACACAAGTCGCAGTTCCGCTCGCACATGATGCAGTGCCGTAACTTCGAAGACTGGACTAATTTCGACGTTTCGAGCAATAGGTAGGCCATGCAAACCCGATCCCCGGAGCACCGTTGCTTGTCCTCCTCTTTCTAATCGCCAACCGCCACTCAATCGGCAGCTTGAAACGAAATCCGTCGTATGCTCTATCCTATACTGAGTAGTCTGTTGGACGACGTGCAATTTGGCTCCATGTCGACCGCGCTACGTGACACGCGCACATACAAACCCATCATGTACAACATCGAGACTCTCTATCGAGAGATGGCAATAGTAAGGACCCAGAATTCTTAGACGCGTCTGCAGCGCGTAGGCGTGTTTGCGAATCATGGACGAAGATGGAATGATTTTAGAGTACGGGCTGGTACACGCATTCTCCCTTCTCAAAGTGTAGGTTGGAGCGTTCGGCTCCATTATGACGCGCTGCCTAAGAATAGCCATGGTAAAGTAAAGTATTCAAGCATTCATTCAAGCCGATTCTTTCTCCACCATCACGATCTTACATCGTCATCAGCACACTTTCCTTGTCTTCAAACCCCTACCCGTCGTCACATCTCACCTCCCCACGAGTCTGAACTAACACTATTGACCGCTAGACCAAAACATCCCATCCCATCCATCGCTATCTATCATCCACCTATCAGACTCCCCCCGCCCAGCCTCAAAAAGCCCCGAGCCCGAGTCCGAGCCTGCCAGCCAGCCCTACTAGTCTAGCCCACGCTACCTCCAACGTTGCGGAACGGCAAGTACGTAAACGGCATCCCGCCCGGCCCCCAGTTTCCATCCCACCACTACCATACCACCCACCGCCGCTGCTGCTGCTGCTACTATGGATGGTCGGCACTTGGAGGGTCCGGCTGGCGTGTCGCGCTGCTACTCGCTCTAGGGGGGGTAACCGGAAACACTTGGGCAGCCGGTCGGGCTGGACTGGACTGGAGTGGGCGGGAGAAGGGGGGCGGGATGATGGGAGGTTGCGTATGTTATGATCAATGGCCGAATGAAAGATGCAGTAATTGCGTGGGGGGGCAACGTGTGCAGCGTAGAGTGCTGAGAGCGGTTGGGGTTGATTGGGTGGAGGGGATTTTGAGGGGTAGGACATGGGCACGGACTCGGGGGTATGAGGGAGTAGGGATTGGAATTGGGGATTGGGACACGGCGGTGTGTAGTGCAGGAGGTGGTGAGTTGGCGGGGGTCATGTCGTGTGTGCAGTATGCACGCATGTATATGCACGCAACGCGGCATGGCAAGTCCGTAGAGACGTGCATGGTGCGGGTTAGGGTGAAATCGTATATTATTTATTATTAATACCGGTTCCAAGATTGCGCGCCTTGAAGATATATCTTAATGGTGCGATGCGCGCGATGTGTGGGTAATGAGATGCAGAAAAGTATCAGATGCCGCAGGCATTTTTGATTATGCCAAATGAAATAGTAGAAGAAAAGAAAGGACAATGCAAGTCTATCAATCCAGCCATCCCATGCAATGATGAATGAGGCCAAAGCCTGGCACGCAAGAACATGGAGCCATCCGAGGGCTCTTACATGACAAAAACGCCGGAAGATGCAATTAGAACCAAAGAAAAAAACCCAATGCTTGAATATTGACGGTGAAGTGAAGTTGATGCAAAAAAAGTGAAGATTAGTCTGGCCTCGCAAGGATGGCAGCGATGGCATCGCAAGGAGCACAAGGTTGGGCTTTTCGTTTGGGCGGTTCGGCCGGCGCAGGACAGACACATGGCTCTTCTGCCGTCACGAGGAGAGATGCCTGGCGGGCTTGCGTTAGACCGGGGGCGTCTATTGGCAGGACGACTGTTTCACGGCTTTCGAATTGCGGAGAGCATGCCCCATCTTCTAGCCCAACAACCGAGCACCGTCGTGAAAAGTGGCCAGAGCTTAGCTCATCGTTGACGGACGGGTACGCAGTGCCCCAGAAGGGCAGTTTTGGCGGCGTACCCTGTCCGTCATATGCCACGTAGATGGAACCACCACGGGGTCGGAGGAAGGGACTCGGGTCATCGAATTCGCCAAAGGGCGTTTCTGCCGCGCTCCTGTCTGATTCCTCTTTGGTGGCTTCCAGATGCGATTTGGCGAGGGCTTGTTCGAGTTCTTCGGGTGAAAAGGGTTGTGAGGCGTTGCGAGTGCGGTCAGAACCTGTGCCTGGGCGTGATATGCTCTCGCGGCGAGCAGCTGTTGACTGTTTCCGACGAGCGTCGCGAGGATCTTCTGTTGGATTGCGGGAGAGGCCAACTAGAGCATATTAGTAGGCGTTGGCGGGCGGTAAAAGAAGTGAAACACACCATTAAGGACGTCACCCTCATCATCACTGGCCTCTCTGATGTTGGCAGGCCGCTCATCGCCAGCAATGCTCGCGCCAATGCCGCTGTCGACCCAATCTTCAGCATCGTACTCGCTCGAGAAACTGGATCTCCGACTCCTGTGCATGCTGCGGCTGCGACTCCGCCTACTCCTGCAGCTGTTCCTGCGACTCGGCAATTTGCTTCCCATTGGCGAGTACAGGCTGGTGTGGCTTCTCCGACGCCATGCTGTGCTGAAGTTGAAAGACTCGAGGCGCTTCTTATGCTCGGGGTCGACTGGACGGCGGTACTTTAGCGGTGGCATCTTCTCGCCGGGCAGGTAGAAGTCGCTTTCAGGGAGGTTCGACTTTGCGTGCCTGGCCTTGAACTTGCTGAGGGGCCCGCCCTCGTCTGGCGAGCCGGTTAAGACGCGCCGTAGACGGGTACGCAGCTGTCCAGGCATGGTGGTGGGTGTGTTGAAGAAATGGGTGTAGGCCGGTGTGGGTTGTGGCGAGCGTTTAAAGTGGTGTTGCGGGGAGTTGTTGAGGGTTGGTTGTGTAGCGTGGTGTTGTTGAAAGTGTTGTTGAGGATTGGGCGAGGAAAGGTGCAGTCGGCGGTTGAAAGTCGGGCGGTATGATGTCGGTAGCAGCAGGGTCGGTAGAGTGAGGCTGATATGGGAGCACACGGGCGTTCGAGTGGGTCGCGCGGTAATGCTAATCCTGGCCCTGGACGAGGAGGTGCTGGGCAGTGTTGGCGGGCTCCGAAACCGCGCTGGTACGGTGAGTGCGGTGAATGCAATGCTCAGACGCTGGGCGCTGGACGGGCAGCTGGGGCGTCTGTGGGATGTAAATGGCCCACGCAGGCGGCTGAAACGCAGCACTAGAGGAAAAGGCGGAGACGGCACAGCGTGCTCGGCCTTTTGCTAAACGCGACGATCTGGAGAGCGGCGGCGGGCGGACTCTGGTGACAAGGCGCGACGAGCGGCGAAGGAGTCGTCAGCAGAATAACTGGGACAGGCGCATCATGGCTCTGCGGGAGAAAACTTCTGGAAGAACGCGCGAATCGCGCAAGCGATGGCGCGAGGATACTGGGCAGGAAAAAAACGGAGTCGGCCGAGGGAGCGCTTTACTGGGCCCAGAACTGAAGAGGCCGAGCGCTAGAGTTGTTGGAGCAGAAGTGCCGTTGGGGGTCACATCCGTGGCTCGCCACTAAATAAGAATAATTCGCGCAAAAACAGGTGCCTATTTGCTGACAGTCGGAAGCCGGATGCGAGGTTACGGAAGGCCATGAGTAGTAGAATTGGTATAGATGGATGGTGTCGACACAAAGACATGCCATGCCCCCAATTCTCGGCTCAAAGGGCCCTCACGTGATGTGATTCTTCTTACACGCGCCGCGCCCTCGCAACCTTCTTTCTCTCAACAAAACAAGGACTTTCTACGGCAAGACTTGGATTGCGATACTCCATCTCGTCGATGAATTGGATTGCATGGAATGGAAGGGGTTTAGGCTGTGACTGGCCTGCGTTGGTCATGTGCCGTAACTGACCGAGTGTGGGCACTGTGGGGTATCCCCCTCGTAGCGCATCGGTGAGGTCATGATCTGGCGGGGCAGCCTGCATTAATTGCGATTGCGACAGACTTCTTTGCTAATAACTCGCCATATTGTAGACATATTGTAGACAAGAGTGTATATGCCATGGACAACGCTTGATGATACAGTAGTCTATTGTTTGTCCTCGCTGTACAGACACTGCCACCCTCCCATTGATGTTGGGACGAGCAGCCGCCTCAGGCTCTACCCAGGTACCTCCAGCCTTCACGATGCACTCCACCATAACGATGACCGCATGCCTAAAGCGCTCGCTTTGTCCAAGAGAACTGGTAGCGGTACAAAACAGGATGCCCTTCACCTCTCATTGGGCTGTGGCGTTCCATTTGTGGCTCGACCTTCTCCACACGCTGCTCTAATTGGAAGCCGCCATCTAGCTTCCTGCGCCTGCCCCAAGTTATGAGGTCATGGGCGTAGCTAAGGTAGCTACACCACACGATGATGTTATGAGACCGTAGAGAGCTGTGCCCTGCTTTCTACCCACTCCACCACTGCATTTGAACTGACCCTGGTCATCCTTTGGACAATCTCAACCTTGTCCGTTCACCTCACCGCAGATCACAGGGCAGTAATCAATAATACAGGAAAAATGGAGAAGATCAAGAACGTCGTGTACGCAAGACCCAGTACCCACACACACACAGGAGCTTTTACTCACTTTGCAACAGTTCCGGTCACCGCAAGAGCGAGGACGCGACGCACACTTCTCCGTCGACCGCTACAGGGTTCGTGTGCACACCGCATAGCAGACGTTGCGCATCGCTGACCACGATTGCAGTAGTGAACAACATCCCATCTTCGACCAGATGACGGGCCACAAGGAAGGCAACGAGGGCACTCTCACCTCAGCGGGCGGGCCGTATGCCCAAGTACAAACCACGTCTGGCGAACCCTACACAGCCCTAGCACAGCCCAGCGACTCGCCTGGTCATCATGGCCATGCGAGGCCAGAGCATGTCGCCACTGGCAGCCCCATTGGCGCTTCAAACACAACTTCGAGGGAGCCCATTGGCAGCTCCAGCACAACCACTGGGGGACCCATTGGAGGTTCCAACACTACCACAGGGGGCCCCATCGGCAGCTCCAACACTACTTCTAGGGAACCCATTGGAGGCTCCAGCACAACGTCTGGGGGAAACATTCGCCCAGACTATCCCACCGGAAAAGATCATCTCACCGCAGGCATCAGCGACGCAAGTATCAAATCTGGCGTCATTGGTTTTGGTGCAGGAGAGCGCCAGGAGCACGCTGCCTTGTCGACCCACAACCCCACTGAGCAGTACATGGATCGAAACCAGGTAGTCGGAGGTGGGAATCCCGGAACTGCGGCTATGACTGAGGGGAAGAACTTGACATCCACTACGGGCGCCGAGCCTCACTCCCGTACGTAGCTGCTTGCTATTTTATAGGTCGTTTTGAATTGCAATTGTATCTGACCTCAATGCTAGACTCTGGTACAACCCAACGGGACCCCACAGGCACTAATGTTGGCGGCACTACGGCACAGCAACCGTATGACAATACTCTACGCCAGCAGAGCTATACTGCCGACACTGATCGCTCGTTCCCTCTTGCTGGAGGTGTTGCTTCACGACAACACCCACACGAGCACACCTTGCCCACTCAGCATAAGACTGTCAGTGAGCGAGAGCCAGGTACCAAAGAGAGGGAAGCTGGACTCCATAAAGGCCATGGTCGAGAGGGCCTCGCCGGTGCAGCTACAGCCGCCACCGTTGGCGGTGTTGCCACGCAACGTCCACATGAACATACATCATCTACTCAACACAAGCCAATCAGCGAGCGAGAGCCGGGCACGAAAGAGCGGGAAGTTGGCGTTCATGAAGGTCATGGCCGAGAGGGTCTAGCTGGTGCAGCTGCAGTCGCTACTACCGTAGGAGCCTCGAAAGCACTCTCCCACTCGGAGGAGCGGAATGTTAAGGATCAAGGCCTTGAGACTCGTCAGGCTACTTATGGTAATGTGCCACCAGCCACTGTAAGTCCATCTTGCCACCCCAGTACCTGTTCACCAGTGGAGTTTTGCCGTACTACAATCTAGGCGGCCTTGATTGAGGCCAGATACTAACGTAGTCCAGTCAAGCAACACATCAACGGGCCCAATTGGTAGCACAACGGGCAGCACAACGCATCACCACAATCCAGAGGCATTAGCTGCCGCAACTGCGGCTGCATCAAAGTCTTCTACCATCTCGCCTTCTGCGCAACAGCCAGGATATGGAACTCAGGATCGCAGTGTCCCTGGTGCCTCTCAATCAGCTACTTCAAGTGGCCCAGCCTTTGAATCCTTCGGCGCTCTTAACCGTGACCGCCCTCACGGCACCCGAAGCGCGTCCCATCGACATGTCCCAGGCGAGTTCCCAAGCCCTACACCGGGCGATGAGTCAAAGACTTTTCTTGACTACCATTCGGTTGTAGAGCCCACATCCGCTTCGGGTGCGCCTATTGGCCAACATTCGGCCGTAGAGCCTACGCCTACCATAGATGGTTCTACGGGTTCGCACGAGCTACGCCATACTGGCAGCCTTGAGCAGCCACAATCCAAGTCTTCTGACATCCATGAGGAACATCATCATGGCCGCGATGCTGCTCTTGCCGGCGGTCTGGGTGCTGGCGCCGCAGGCTTGGGCACGTATGCGGCTTCCCAAAAGCACGCGACCTCAGACACCGGCAACAAGCCTCTTTATGAAGAGGCAAGTCCATATAGCTCTAAGACGATTGACCCTCGCGTACTGGGCACTAAGGCCAAATTAGAGGAACAGCGATTTGATCCTCAGGCTCAGTCTGAAACTCTGCCTCATCACGCGGCACAGACGTCTAACCCAACCGGTATTTCCGCCGCGTCTGGTCCTACTGCTTCGCACGGCACTGCTAAGACCGAGGATCCTCAGCATCACTATGGCCGCGACGCTGCTCTAGTTGGCGCAGGTGCTGCTACTGCTGGTGGATTACATCACACTCTTCAGCGTGATGATACACCAGGTACTGGTACGGCGGCTCTTCCTCCGAATGCATCATACCCCTCAGCGCCTCTGTCATCGTCGGCTATCCCCCAGCAGTCTTCAAACACCTCTGCCGGAATTGCACCCCAGCAACGTTCTCCAGGTAATGACACTTTCTATGGCACTCCTGGTGCCCCAGCTCCTGTAGTCAGCGGGAGTTCACCACAGCAACAGCCTTTGAGCAACTTGGGACATACTTCTACCTCGGGACCTACTGCTATTCCAGATAGGGATCCCCAGCATCATTATGGGCGCGATGCAACACTTGCAGGAGCCGGTGCTGCCACAGCTGGTGGACTCTACGCTGCAACCCGTGACAACAAGGCGAATACCGGACCAGCTTCGAGCACTATTGGCCCACACGACAGCAATATTGCAAATGTCTTGGATCCTAGGGTCCAGCCTGACCCGAGCAAACAAGTTCATCACAATGTCGGCCCGACCTCTCAGGACCCCGCCTCGAGGACAGTCGGCCCACACGACGGCAACATTGCAAATATTGTCGACCCCAGGGTCCAGCCTGATCCTTCGAAGCAGAAAGGTCATACTACGACTGGACCGCATCAGTCGGATAGTCTCAACCGTGCAGACCCAAGGGTGGACGAGAAGGCCGGTGAGCATCACTACGGCCGAGACGCTGCAGTCGTTGGTGGAACCGGTGCCGCAGGCTACGGTGCCTACGAAGCCGCGAAGGCTTACGGCGAGCATCGAAACACTCAGCCTGGAGCCTCGATAAACGAGCAACGCTACGGTACTACCGACAAGGTAGCCAACACCTCCAACACTGTCCCAACGCAAAGTCAGTATAATTATAACGATCCTAGCACCGCTAGCAACGTCAACCGCAATACCGCTCTCGGTACTGGTGCTGGACTGGGTGCTGCAGGTGCGGGCGCAGGGGCTTATGCCGGCTCGAAGCATGCTGACAATACCCAAAACCTGCCACTCCACCAAAAGCAGGACTTTGCTTATTCGGCTGCACCGGGGTCGGTGCCGCAATCTGGGTCGACTGGAGGTACCATTGCGCCACATAACACCCATACACAAGATCCCGTAGGCAATCAACACTACAATCCTAGCCAAGACCGGTCAGAGCAACATCACGACAAGCGTGACGCAGCTCTTCTTGGTACTGCTGGAGCTGCAGCTGCCGGCGGAGGCGCATATGCATACTCCCAGCACCAGGACGCCGAGCGCGAGCGTGCCCGTTTAGAAAAGGAGCAGCAAGAGCGCCTGAAGCACGAGGCACATGATCGCGAGAAGGAGCAACACCGCTTGGACAAAGAACAGCACAAGCACGAGAAGGAAGCTCACAAGCTCGAGAAGGAGCAGCACAAGCATGACAAAGGCGTCGTCGCAGCCCAGCACAAGCATGACAAAGATGTAGCGGCTTACGAGAAGGAACAACACCATCTTGAAACGGAGCAGCACAAACGCGACAAGGAGGCGGAGAAGGAAGCCCACAGGCTGGAGAAGGAGCGCGAGGGTGGAGAGAAGAAGAAGGGTGGCCTACTTGGATTCTTGCACCGTGACAAGAGCAAGAAGGAGACGCCCTCTCCTGAAACTTCCCCGAGGCACTCAAAGGAGTACTCGCCTAGGGACTCGAAGGAGTACGCTGCGGCTGGTACAGCTGGCGCCCTTGGTGCTGGTACCACCGCGGCCGCTTATGGGGAGGAGCAAGATCCCGAATCGCCTCGCTGGAAGGGTAAGAACCGTCTGCACAAGGACCCACCTCCCGGTCATCCAGCACGCGAGGCACTAGAGAATCAGAATGAGGGCCAAGGCGAGCTTTACGGCGGGAAGAGGGAGCACGTCGGTATTGATGGACCGATTGGGAATCCCAACCTGATCTCTGGAGATAGGTACGTTTGACAGTGCACACTGCAATTGAATAGGAATGCTGACGATTAGCACAGGGAGACACAGAAAGGCGTCTACGGCGGCCACGAAATTCATGACACGGGCAATCTTAGCGCTGGAACGGGTGGCGCCGACGCCAACCCGAACATTGGGGGATATCACAATGCCCCTAGTGCTCCTGGCCATCATCATCAAACTGCGGCAAACCCGGAGGCTATCCGAAAGGCTGATACACCTTACTAAACTTGGTGTTCAAGGGCGAATAACGTGTGGATGACTAAGGATAGCTCTATGTTTTAGCTTTTGTCATGATTTCAGGGCGATTGGAATTCCATTTTCCCCATTTTATTGCTAGGATAGCCAAGCTGTACACATGATGAATGTTAATGATGATTGTGTTTTGTGTGTCGGGTGTAGATTCCAGGTGCAAAGTGGTCAAATGTTCAAGAGAATGACATTTCTTTTCTTGGAAAAGGGGCTGATGGATAATATATATATCTTCCAGGTCCATGTCACGAAAAAAACAGGCTTACACAGCAAAAGTACAAACAACCTAAGGGATTTGGTATCATCAACAATGTATAACGAAAAACACACCACGTCGCCTGGCCCGCAAATGTGATCAACATGTGTTACACCCCAGGCCTTACTCTTTTCTTCCATTGAGTACAGTCACTCATGCACCCACGCAATCGTTTGCTGCATCACTATCCCCTCCCTATTTTCCAACCACCCCCCTGACAAAAAAAATGAGACAGTGACGTAATCCATCATTAAGCGGGCCAATAGGAATAGGTAGTTTACTGTGGCTTAGTGACTGTGCCACAGCTTGGCACAAAATTGTATTACATAAGCGTCTCAGTTAATCTGTCAGGGGGGTGCAACGGTGCCTGATCGCGTGAGAGTATCGGCCGTAATGTGGTTGGACCCTAAGCAACCATGGGCTGATTTGTATTCGTATCCTGGTTCCGATACTCCGTGCTCTGGCCGTCCGGCCCGTCCATCCTCGAATTCACGTGTGCATGTGCGGCAAGGCCGGACTTGGCTGCTTCTTGTAGTTGGGCTTCTGCGCGCTCTCTGTCCCTCTCGGGTGGAGAGTTGCGACTCGGTGGTCTCCGCGCGTCGTGCGCCAAGTCGTAGTGCGGGGGTGGTTGCACCATGTGCTCGGGCCGCTCATGAACCTGGTGATGCTGTAAAGGTGTGTGTTGGCCGTTGTTGGGTGGAATGTGTGATGGCGTCAGTCCAAGGCGCGGCGGACTTAGCATGGCGGCGGGCGAGCCGGTACTCGCTCGCTCGCCACTCTCAAGATCACTCGTCTCGCTATGCGCGTTACTGTTGGTCGCAGGAGGGTAAGAAAAGTTGCCGCGCAGTTCGCCCTCACGGACCTCTTTCCATGAGCATTTTGCGTGTTTTTTGGTGCAGCCCATGCATGCGGTTAGGTTTTTGAGACAATCCATGTGCAATCTGCGGCACCGGTCACATGGTGGAAGGATGCGCTCGCCTTTTGCTAGCGATTCCATTCTATGCACCATTTCTGCCTTGAACGGGCCACCATCGTCTTTCTCTTGTGGTTGGCTGGCGCGTTGACTATTTGCTGGAAGCAAATTTGAAGGCGTGTTTGGGATTGGCACGGGCGAGTTCATCATGGAATGCAGCTCCGACTCGTTGAGATGCGACGTTCTTGATACGATTGGCGGCGGTGCTTCGACTGGAATGGGTGGAGGTCTGGAGGGGTTCATTACTGGCGTCGAAGGATGCGATATACCATGAGGGGCTGATATGGAGGGTCGTCTTGCGACTTCAACTGTGCCGTTCGAGGGCTGGGATGAGGGGCGGCGTTCGCTCATGGTGTGGAACTTTGACAGTAATTCGTGCCGGGTTGTTGATGAGGTGCCGTGGCCATTTGATTCGTGGTGTTGACGAGCATTGACTGCGACAAAGCCACCACCAGTAGGCGATGTCTGTGAAGGCTGAATGTGAGCTAGGTTTGTAGAGTTGGGATGGCCGCCATTCATGAGAGCGACGTTTGAGGGGCTCGCGGGTCGGGGAATAGACGGAGCAGGACTTGCGGTGGTTCGACGGTCAAGAATTGCTTGTTTGCGCCCTTTGAGCCTGTGGTTGAGTTGGCGTGTGCGCGCAGCAACTGTGCGTTGTTAGCATGAGAATTGGCACTTGTCGTTTTGCTCGAGATGGGAAGCTTGAGACTCACCTTGATCAGCCAGCTGACAGATTTGGCCCAAGTTCTTCTCCAAGATCTCAATGGTGCCCAGCTCCTTCTCCTCGTCCTCGATGATGGGCTGGGGTGGGATCATTTTCTGAGGTATGCCAGACGAAATGAGGACAAAATCCTCCTCTGATATCTGAACCCGACATTGCTTGGTGTAGAATTGACAAACCCGCACGCCCTCACTCATTTGTCCCAACTGGAACTGCTCGGGCTTGTTGCGCGCAAACTCGACTACATCCAACCATGTGACGGTGGTCCCATCCTTTCCATGGCTCTTGAGCACCCGCGGCGGCCCGTCAAACAGGCGCTCAAAGCGCTTGATCAAGATGGGACCAAGCGGGCGGGCGCCGAGGTTGCAGGCCATGCTCTCATGGCGATCCAGCACGCCCTGGTAGTCGCCCAGGAGCGAGAGGATGTTGGGCAGGGTGTCATCGTTTGTGATCAGCGGCAAGTCTGCGTCGAGGTGTCTTGCGAGATAGTTGATCTGTAGGTGGTTGTGGGTCTTGGCGGTTTTGGGAAGTGGCGCAGCGGCATGGTGTATCTCGTGCGACGGGCTCCGTTTGCGCTTCAGATGGCTAGGTACTGGGGGCGCGTGGTGATGGGAGGCATGCGAAGCCATGGCGAGCTCGCCCGTAGCATGAGGGTCCATGTTGGACATGTTCTTCTGCGCTCGCAAGGGCGGCCGAGGCACACTTGAGCAGGACGGAGCGGGCGGTAGGTGAGAAGGGTGGAAGGGGGGCGGACCAGGCTAGCGCCAGCCAGCTCAGAGCGCACAACACAGAGGGCTACCCGCGTCGCATCAAAGCGCTACAACAGCGAGAAGATGCATGGCAGGAGGGTGGAGCGATGGAAAGAGGGGAGCAGCGGAGAACAGACGGGCAACGCAGTCGCAGAGGGCCGCCCGTTGTTAGATGACAGGCTCGGTGGCAGGCTCGGTGGCAGAAGAGCACCGGGGCGCGGAACGCAGCCACAAAGAAAGCCGCCTGTTGTGGGAGGGTGGGCGCAAAGGCACGGAAATAAGACGAAGGGGGCCTGCGCTGGGCCCCGCAGCCAATCAAAACACACTGGCCTGGACTTCCCGCAGCCAAATGCACGGTCTGGGCTCCATGATGAACGGCCAGGCGTGTGACGGGGTGCGCGTTGGTGCTTTGAGAATTTGCCGCCCTCGGAGAGGCACCAGAGGAGCGAGCGAGCCAGGCGCAAGCTAGGGAGCAACTCCGACGCGAGACATGGTGAAACTGCGTAGTAGGGGACCCTCTGGTCTCGAGACCGACAGCGACTACGTGGAAATGGAAAAAGGGCGGGCGGGCGGAGATGCGCTGCCGTATCTGCACTCGCTCGACTTTTGCCTGGGACCCTCTGATGCTAAATCACAATATCATCTCTACTAGCGAGCGAAGGGGAGGGAGGGGGGACGAGAAAATGCCTCAGGCCCACGCGTCGGCGTTGTCGTCGTCGTCGTCGTCGTCCAACGAAAAAGCGCCCCCAAGCCGGAGAGTCTGGACCACCCGCCCAGCGGAGTGGAGATTCACTCTTCCACCCCTGCCTACGTAAGCAACAAGGGCCCTCCTCACGTGAATACGGGAACGAGGAGCCTTAGCCGAAAGGCACAGACCACGCTTGCGCTTCGAGCTGCACGTCACTGCACAGCCCAAATACACCAGACACGCTCCCCCCTCTTTCCATACCGAGATCATGTCAGAGCGCGGCGCATTCCGGGGACGTGGTGGTGGACGAGGAGGCGGTGATCGGGGCGGGCGGGGTGGAGCTCGCGGCGGAGCAGCCCAGGGCGGTGCAGCAGGCCAGACGGAGCGACCCAAGAAGGAGAATATCCTCGACTTGAGCAAGTACATGGACAAGCAGCTCACCGTCAAGTTCAGCGGTGGTCGAGAAGGTAAGCCTATACCAAGGAAGAAAGAGAGGCGTGGTGGGGGCATTGGACGTTTTCCTGTCCCATCCACCAGTTAATTGGGAGAGAGCGACGCAAGCTAACTGCCCGCAGTCATTGGCACCCTCAAGGGCTACGACCAGCTTATGAATCTCGTTCTCGACGAGGTCAAGGAAGCGCTGACCGGTACGATACCCATTGTCTGCTCTGCTGCCACACCTTGGAAGAACTAACTAACATGTGTTCCAGACGAGGAAGGCACCATTCGCTATCGCAAGCTCGGCCTCATTGTCGCCCGCGGCACCCTCCTGGTTGTCATCTCGCCTGTCGACGGCAGCGAAGAAATCTCGAATCCCTTTATACAGGAGGAAGAGTGAGCATGGGGTCGCTTCCACTATTCGAGTAGCAGCAAGACGGACAAAAGCCTCGCCATGGAGGAATCAAGATGCACAGGACATGTTTTGAACAAGCCGGACGCTTGGAAAAGTAGCTCAAGCTGAGCATGATACCCCCGAGTCTATGCGGAATGATATCGCGATACGACATCACGGCTCAGACGAGAGGAATGATATGCGTGATCTTATGAGGACATTTGGAAAGCGGTTCTTGGTAGCTGCGCCCTGGCAAAATGTAATGGACTACCATGACTAGTCTTTTATGATGTCGTGTATTCATGTACTCATAGTAGATCTTATGCAATACACATGCATGTGAATCGAATTAGTGCCCACGCAACTTGACGCCTTATCTACAAGACAAGCGCTGAATCTTACCTGAGCGATTCATCCACGTCGCGATGAAAGCAGGAAGACACCAACAGGCACCCAGCGCAATTAGATTCCTGTCAGGTGGGCAAAACGCCATGCTGTGAAAAGAGAGTGTGGCAGTGCAGTGTTGCATGAGCTGGTTGGTAAAGAGTGATGATCCATCGTTTCAGATTGCCTCATCCAGTCGTCGCCAGGCACCAGCATTATTGAACATCTCAGCTGCGCACTTGCTACGAAGCGCATTTCCTCGCAACCGTTTCTCGTCTCAGACTTCACTTTGCCGCGCACCACTCCACGTCGCACACGTCGCTCGCTTTGCACAATCGGCAGCCTGCGACGTTCGTTTCCTACGATTCTCGCCCAAACCCTTCCTATTTTGGCGCACCACAACGCGCCCTAGAACGCCAGCATGGACGGGACTCCGCCTTTTCATTCACGGATTGATGTCGAATCGTCGATGATAAGAGCAAAAGGTCCCTCGCAATGGAGTTCCCATCTCGCTCTCCGATTCCCTTCATTTGATGTTGCGTGTTTGGTAATGACAGTGCTTGCGGTCATCGTACCACTAATCCTACTCTGCGCTATCAGACGATATCAGAAGATGCAGTATGAAAATAGGAAACCCTTCCCATTCATGCAGTTGCCCCAAGAGCTAAGAGACATGGTGTACGAACACCTCATCGAGGATCCCGTATACCCTCCGCCACAACTCCGCTTGAATCATGGATCATCGCTATGGATGATACCTGGACTTTGGTCATCTTCAGCTGCATCTTCTCGACGCTTGCATACGAGTAATTGGATATTCTTAGCGAACAAACAGGTGTATAAAGAGTGTATGGATGTGCTCTGCAAGCGCGCAACTTTCCACCTCACCGTCTCGCCGCACAACTACAAACCGTCCTCTTCCTCCTCCCCACCACCACCATCACCTCCACACTCAGAAGATAAAAGGTTATGGAACATCTCCCCAGATACCCTAAAAGACCTCCGTACCGCCTCCCTAAACCTCATAACCACTTCAGCAATGCTCGGCGTCCCAGACCCCCGCAACATGACATCGACAGACTGGACCCTCGCACGCCACGTCCGCGAAGAACTAAAACAACTCGTCAACGTCAAAAACCTAACTCTCGATGCCAAGGCGCTGGGTGATCCCCTCTGGAACCCGCTGTGGATATGGTACCACGCATGCCAGAGCTTCAAAACCATGGGCACAAGCGCGTCCAACACAAGTCCCACCGGCCCCAAATTAAACCGCATCACCTTTAGTCTGGATACGTGGAGTCCGGGCGAAAACTACCTGGCGAGACATGGGGACGAGGACAAGTGGACGTGGTTTTGCATGCAGGGTCATGGTGTTGGGCTTGACATTGGGCCTGAGATGACGGTCCGCGAGTTCTGCGGCAAGTTGTATCAAGAATGCCGCATTTGCCGACCGGAATTAGAAAGCGAGGAGGAATGACTACGTGGGAAGAGGGGGGCATCCTGGATCGAGATGCTAGGGAAAAGGGAAACTTTGTATTGTGATTGCTCGTTTTGGATACTCACGCAAGCCGCATTTTCACTTTTATTCCCTACATCTCCTTCGCCGGCATGGTCGCAAACCGCGCCATGACCTCTAAATTCTTCTCCTTGCTCATCTTCTCATCACTCTTACTGATCTCTGCAAGGATCTTGAAGTAGTCAATATAGAACGCCGGCGTAAATGTATTGAAGAACTTTGCCTCCTCATTCGTCGGATTGGAGAAGGTGTGTGGCGCGCGGATAGGAACCGTGACATAGTCGCCTACGTTGGCGTCCTGGTGTTGGCCGTCGGGGGCGTGGAAGCGCACCATGCCTTGGGTTACAAGGAACGTCTCGTCGTGCATTTCATGCCAGTGCGCTGGCGGGCCAGCCGTATTGGGCGGGATGGTGAATTCCGCAGAGCCTATGCGATTGTCTGGTTCAGGGTTGGGTTAGGCGGGTAGAAAGGGAAGGGACTAGACAGTGTGTGCTACCTGTTCTTGACCCGTCTTCCATGATTCTGCACGTGATGTGCCCCAGCTTGAGGATTTCGCCTGACTTTGCGGACACGAAGTTTATGGGTCGTCGGGGCATCTTCATCGTTGCTAGCGCTTGGCGTGCTTCGTCGTCCATTGTGATTATTGCTTTTGAACAAATTGGAAGTAGGAGTTTTGGAATCGAGAAGCTTTTTAAATCTCCAGAATTAATGTAGGCGCAAGGAATTACTTGATGTTATATGGGCTGAGATGGAGGATTGCGGAGAGCCGAAGGAGCCGCAATTGCATTCGGCTGAGGCTTGAGGGTACCTAGGTATGGAATTATGTAGGGGTGGTAGCACAAAGTGGAAATTAGGAACGAAGATTACCCACACTAGCTTCGCCACTCCATTGCTGCTTATATTCGCTTTAGAAATCGCCATGCCCTATGATTAGGATTTATACGTAAATACCCCGCATCAACCCGTAGTTGAGCGGGGAAGCATTAGCGAGCCGAACGCGTGCACACCTCTGTCGTCCAAGTGTAATGCAGAGGCTGCCTAAGTATCGATATGTTTGCCTAAAATATTACTGGGACATGGATTAGCGTGTCTCAGTGCTACTACGACATCAAACCTTATCGCGTCGTCCATTACCAAGCAAATAAAATATAAAAGCGCCTACGCCTAGGACTACGTACATCAACAGTTACACATTATCAGCAAATACACATCAACATGACCAAAAAACTCTTCTCGGTTCTCGAGAATAACCCCGAGGTGATGAATCACCTGGCTCGGGACCTGGGACTAGATGAAGGTCTTTCCTTCTACGACATCTACTCGCTCACAGACCCTGACCTGTTGGCCTACATACCTCGACCAGTGTTCGCTCTGCTTGTCATCATTCCACTCACGCCCACATGGAACGAGGCTCGCACGGCAGAAGACAAGGACAAGCCCGAGTATGAGGGCAAAGGCGACGACGAGCCAGTCATCTGGTTCAAACAGACGATTGGCAACGCCTGTGGCTCCATAGGCCTAGTGCACTGCTTGCTCAACAGCGAAGCATCAAAACATATCCGGCCCTCCTCTGTGCTCGATCAGATACGCAATGATGCCCTACCGAAGCCGATATGGGAGCGGGCTAAAGTGCTCGAGGACTCGAAGGAATTCGAAAATGCTCATGCGGGGGCCGCGCAGCTCGGGGATACAGCTACGCCCACTCCGGTTTCGGATGAGCATACTGGACAGCACTTTGTGGCTTTTGTCAAGGGAAAGGATGGGCATCTGTGGGAGCTGGAGGGCGCGCGCAAGGGTCCGCTTGATCGTGGTGCGCTCAAGGATGACGAGGATGCGCTTAGTCCGGCAGCGCTTGAGAAGGGTCTAGGCAGGCTGATGAGGATCGAGTCTGAGAAAGGGGGTGATTTGAGATTCTCGGCGATTGCGCTGGCTTCAAGTCTCACTTAGAACAGTGGACATCTGACTGACACGTACGACATTGCTTAGATTTGAAGATCTACTACTTACACTATGAAGTATAGATCTTTTTTCTTCTAGCAACTCATCATCAGACGGTCGCTCTATCATTTCCGTATGCTAGGCTCCACTTCAGCCGCCTCAGGGTATTATCGCATCATCCATGTTAAAGCCAAGCTATCCAAATCTAGTGTCTAACCCAAAGGACGAGTATTAAAGAGCTTTCTCAACTTATTCAGCCTTACTCAGAGTCACCGTCAGCATCGACATCGATGACTTCACCACGGTCTGCATATCCTTTATCCCGCTCCCCGGCCTTCGCAATCTCAGCCTCCATCAGCACATCCATGTCCACATCCTCGTCCTCATCACTGCTATCCTCTTCATCAGCCTTCTTCCAAGCCAGCTCCCTATAACAAGGCAGCCCATTCTTCCAATGCTCATGGTATCTCTTGCACCAACTTCCCTCGGTACTCTCCTCAATCTTCAGCGTCAACTTCCTGCGCACCATCCGCAAGCTCGTCTGCATAACGTTGAACAGCAAGTCTGGATGCCACTCGGTTCCTTTCTTTTTCGAGGCGCCCATGAGCTTCTCCATCTTATCGCCGCCCAAGGCCATCGCATCAGCCCAGAGGAGGCGCGCGCCACACTTCATATGCGTATGTTGGTACAACTCGTTGAGCAAGGTGGCGTTGAAATCTGTCACGTCGTCCGCGATGGCAGGGTCTAGGATGGAAAGTCCATAGTCTGGGGCGTTATGGTCAAACCCCACTCCCAAAGGTGCCTTCCCTCCTATTCGCTTGATGTAACGTGCTTGCTTTTCCATGTCCTGCTTTTTCCTCTCCAGGGCAGGGTTGGGCCGCCATAGCTGGTACCGCACATCTGTCGAGCCTTGCTTGCGGAGTTGGTGGAAAGCCCGGATCCAGGTATCTGCGACGAGATCGCATAGATTCCATAGCTGGCTGTCGTAGCAGAGGAGATAGAGATGTAGGAGGGACTTGGCTGTGTATGGCTGTTCTGTGCCGGGGTTGCTTGCGTTGGAGAGTGCCGGAAGGTCAAGATGGATCTTAGACGTACTGCGAAGCGCGTTCATGATCTGATAAACATCGGGATCCAGGTCAGCGAGAAAGACGCCGTTGCTTTGGAGCTGCTGCGGTGGAGGGGGCGCGATGTTATATGAGTATGGGGTGTCTTCTTGTTTATTGACTTTGCGTGAAGAGGTTTGGAAGTGAGAGTTCCTAGCTGGTCGGCCCGGTCTACGCGTTGCTTGTAGCTGGAGAATCTGAACGTCGCTGGTTCTTGATTGATACGCTACCAATAAAGTCAATTTCCTCTCTTTCGAGATGTGTTTGGCGAGGGTGATACTCACTTGGTGGGCTCAGTATGCCTGGCCGATAGTCATCTTCATCATCCATCTTCTGGACAGAGCTCTGCTCGACAAGACGATCAAAATCGCTCCCATAGACGGCATCTGAGTTGTGCGGTGGACGAACTTGCCGTCCGCGCCGCGTAGTCAACGTTGTTGGCCCCGCCACAGAAAGCTCTTCCTCCTCGCCATAAGGCTCATCTTGCGGAAGAGGAGCTTGCAGGGCAGCTGTGTTCAAAGAAACCTCTGTATCGAACTTGGGGCCGAAAGGAAGTTTCAACTTCAGCTTAGGGACTGGGCGGTCCTCCGCTGGTGTACTGGCCTTCGTTACACGTTCCGCAGCGACCTTGTGCCCGCCGCGCCCACCAGCTCCACCACGCGCCTTCTTCTTGCTTGGTGTGGCCATATTCTGCTTCGGTCTCGGTCTGGTCTCTGCTGCTTGGTTGATGTGAGTCTGCAATGCAGAAGCTGGATCGCGGAGGTTGCGAGTAAATGTAAGTTGAGGTGGATGTTGAGTTGCACTCGAAGATTCTGGGGCATATACAAGAGTTAGAGAGGGAGGATTTAGGAGGGGCGAGTGAAATTGAGGTGAAAGAGAGTCACCGGTGATCTCTGCGCCAGCCAGTGTTAGGTTGTCACGATTTAAATCAATTGTGACGCAATAGTGAATGCGGGAATTTAACGATGAGAGAAACAGAGGGCGTAGAATGAGCCGCAAATAGTCGGTACTACAAATGGTGTAGAGAGTTGTGACAGTAATGGTGACAATTCAGCGCGCTTGAGCTCCTCTTGTAGGAACAACAGAGGCCAAACATACAGTTCACCTCTTTGTCCGCCAGGTAGGCGGTGAGTGAGAATCTCCTTGCACAGAATCTCACCTAAAGCGCTCAAGAGTTAGAAGTTGCGGAAAGGCATAGATTGAAATAGACAAGACGACCGAAGTTCTCTGTAGGCGGTGGCTATCTAAAAGTTGTCTGACACCCACAACTGCAATGCAAACAGCGATGAGAGGGAGAAACATAACAGAGGGAAAACAAGAAAGGTAGGGAAAAGTCACCGTGATAGAAATTAATGTACTACCTGCTACGTATCCATATCTAAGATGACGCGCTTAAACCCAGATCTTCGACGAACTGACATGCTGCTGCATGATCCCCAGCGTCCATAAGTTTAAGCAGATGTACATCCCATGATAGCATGTCTACATACGATTCGCAATCCGTCTGTAGCGCGACCACGCAGAAGATATGTCTGAATACCTGCGAATCAGTGATTGGCCTAACCTGTTTCCACTCGCCATCCCGCCCGTCATCGAAACGGTCCAGGAGATCTTCTTTACCCAAGACTAACAAGTTGTGAACGAAGGGTTCGAGAATGAGGAGCATTTCGTGGAGCTCATGTGTTGAGATGCGGTCGCGGGGACTAGTATCGAGCGTACGCATCATGAGGTAGTTCAACAACCTACTGTAGATTGTTGACGTGCGTGAGGATGGGCGATTGATTCGCATGGGAGCAGCCGGATGGAAAGCCATGTAGAAACAAAACTCCTTGTAGTAAATCGAATATTCCGTGCCCAATGGGATTTCCTTGCCATTTAGATAGAACCATGTCTCTGGGTCCATCGCTGGAGGCTTGATCTCCTTCTGTGGTAAGCGGCCAAGGGCAAGCGCGTGGACGATGCAACCAAGAGCCCATACATCAGCCGCAGGGCCGTGACAAAATTCTGCTTCCGGGGGTTGCCAGCCCTCGGTACAACGATGGCCGTATGGGATATTGTAGGGATGGTTGACCTGTGCTGTGCCGAAATCTGCAATCTTAGGTAATGGATAGATATCCCCATCGCGAGGAGCTGTAAGCAGAATGTTGCACGGCTTGATATCTCCATGTACTACACCGTTCTGGTGCATATAATCGAGGCCAGCTGCAATGTGCTTAAAAACATGCCAGATAAACATCTCGGTGTTTCCATCTTCGCTTGAGTTCACATAGTCCACAAGATCGCCAATTGGGCAATACTCAAAGAGGAGCTGCTTATGGAACTTTTGGGTCGGATGGCTCAGCATCGTGTAGTACCGAACGATGTTCTGATGGTAGCCCAGTAGATGTAGGATTTGTACCTCGTTCGGTGGAGACCGTGGTTTATCGTGGTATATTGTCTTCACAGCGACAAGAGTTCCCACTTTTGTATCGCGACAGAGATGAACGGTACCATTGCCGCCTTCTCCGAGCAACCGAATAGAAACGTACCGCTTACGGAATATACTGCCTCGTATATCGTTGTCGGCGCTGGACGTAGCTGAAAGTCCCAGGTATATCTCGCCGGCTTCAGCGCCGCGGTCGAAAAACTGGAGCTTTGCTAATAGGTGAAGCCCGATGGCTTTGCCGCGTCTCTTGAGATAGTGTGTTGTCTTTTGCTGCAGGGAAGGGACTGTAGAGAGAACCACGGTGTCTTCAGCGTTGATGGTGTTGCGCCCTTTGGCCGGTAACGTATCCTTGTTGGCAAATATGGCGCGAATGTTCTTTAGAAAGCCCATCGTAAGATATCAACCAAGGTCCGGTAGAGAGAAAATTAGCAGAGCCGAAAAGCAGTCGTGTTGCGAGGTTATGTGTGGTTGGGTGTGGATGGATTGTTCTGGACTAAAAGCTGTAGAGTTCCCGCCTGAAAATCAATTAAGTGTAAACAAGGGGCTGGTGGGCCCTCACTCGTACTCCTACATCAACTCGTTGTTGGGGGTACCAAGTTTATCCAAGCCAGTGAAAGGTTGTCTACGCTCGGATGTGACCTAATCGGGAGAGGGGGTAGAAAGTCTATGGTTGAGGGAGGTAGCACTTCGCGCAATTGCCGCCAAACGAGTTGGAACCAGAGTATATAAAGAATCATGACCACCCACGAGTAGTTTAACGGCCGTCAAGCCCCTCCAATAACCCATTTCTCCAATATCAATGGTAGCTGTTCGAGGGGTGACATGAAGTAATTAGCCTGACCTTCAAAAATGTGCCGACAGGCTGATTCTTCATCGCGCGATATCGAGAACACAACGCTCTTCATGATCGTGACAACAACCATGCGCAGATGTAGCATGGCCAAGGTCTTACAGAGCAAGAGCGGCTTTGCATAAGATAAGCTCAGGTCTGGCGATTTATCACCGCTTAGATGGAACCTGTGGATCTATATAAGTTAGTACAATCAATAATGGAGAATTAAAAACATACCTGAGTGAATGGAACAAGTAGGTGTGTTGACAATCAAGTCGACCAGGCATCACAGCGCCTTCTGGCCGCGTTCCTGTGGTAATCTATCTATGAGTATTATTTAGTGCTTCACGAGTCTCGGGAGGTACTCTTGCAAAGCTGCGCGAGGTGGAAGCCCGTAATCATGAGCCGGGCAATGTGTGCTTAGCCTTGGTATGAAACGCTCTTTCCTGGTACCGGCGCTGATGCTTAAGATAGTTCATATATCGAGTACGCTGTAAGTTGTGAAGTGTTAAATTTACCCATACAATTTGCTGTTTGAAGCTGAGTCTTAGCCCATGTGCGTCTACGATGTACTCCACCGGGCCGATAGAGATCTCGAGTCACGCTAGTACTATTTCAGCTTACCAATCACAACTGCATGGAGCAATTGCGGGGTGACTTAAGTTGAGTCGTGCCCGCGGAATGTGAAGGACGAGATGATAGTTCAATGTGATTGCTAGAATAGTAAGACCCAAGCCCATTTATCTTTTCCCCTCGGTTGAAAAAATTCGTATTGAGATAATAGGGTATGAGGTGTACGAACTTTGTGAGCAAACATTTATACAGATGCGCGCGAAATGATGAACCAAGTGCACCTGTAGAGCAGTCATCTAACGAGGTTTAGCCTTTCACATACCCTAGGTATATTCAATCTCTACGAGGCTTAAGGTATAGTAATAGCCGGCTTTAGGAAAACATTAGCACTCGACTTGCGTTGTGCAGCAAGACCACTAATTGCTTAAAGAATAGCTGGAGGCTATATTAGAAACAGCAGTGATGTTAGCAAAATGATAGGAGATGTCAGAAAATGTCAGAAAATGTCAGAAAATGTCAGAAAATGTCAGAAAATGTCAGAAGTTGTCAGAAATTCTAGAGTCCATCCCTAGGTCACTGCATCAGTAAATAACTGACCCAAAAATCATACGTGCAAAAATATCCAGGCCTCCCTCTGCTGATCTTTTATAGGTGGCATTTTATGTAATTGGGGTAGGCCTCAACTTGGGCTTATCTGCAGGCTTTAGGTTCGGTCGAAAAACGGAGGACATATTACCACAAACAAGAACAACGTTTTTCAGCATAGAAGTTGCGTCATCCTCAGGTAATACACAATTTCTCAGATATGCCCAAAATTCAGACTTACAAATCTCAAGGACCGTGCACCTTTAGTCGAGGATATAAGTACTATAAGCAGTTCCTAGTTCGAGGACAATCATAGAGCTCCATCAAATCGCTTCCTCACCGCAAGAATCAATCAGCCACGCAATTTTCACCATGACAGAATCTCAGAAACGAATCGGGCTAATTGGCCTTTCCGCAAAAGGGTGAGTACGATTTGAACAATTGCAGGAATCGCTGACAGTCAACATAGCTCCTGGGCCTCCATGTCCCATCTCAGCTATTTGAAATCATCTCCTCTCTATAAGATTACGGCTCTCCAGAATAACTCGAAAGCCTCTGCTGATGCGGCTGCGAAGGAGTACTCCTTAAACGAAGTTGCAACTTACGACAACCCCTCCGCAATTGCATCGGACCCAAATGTGGATATTGTTGCTGTCAGTGTCAAAGTACCCCAGCACTACGACCTCATACGTCCCGCTCTCGAAGCCGGCAAGGACGTGTTCTGCGAATGGCCACTTGCTCGTAATCTCGCCGAAGCCGAGGAGCTCGTGCAGCTAGCGAAAGAGAAGGGGGTACGAACGTTGGTTGGCTTGCAAGCGCGCCAGAGCCCAGCTATCATCAAGGCAAAGGAAATTGTCGCTTCCGGTACTTTGGGTAGGATCTTGGGCACGACAATGTACGGCCATGTAGGTTCAACTTTCGTTATAAACCGCGTTAAACCTCTCGCTGATTATGTATTCTAATCAGGGCATTATATTTGGTCCTAAGGTCACAGAAGGCTTTCTATATGGATTGCCCATCGAAGCTGGCGCAAACTTGGTTACCATTCCATTTGGCCATGCCGTAGACGCGCTGTGCTACGTCCTAGGCGAGATTAAGGACATCTCAGCCACGCTCGCGAATCTTCGCCCTGAGCTTGAGCTTGTGGACAAAGATGGAAATCCTAATGGAAAGGTGAAAAAGGCTGCACATGATCATGTTAGCATGACCGGTCTTCTGGAAAACGGCGGTGGCATCGTATCGGTTACCTACGCCCCTTCCCAGTCGCGCACCAACCGCAATTTTCACTGGGAGATCAATGGCACAGAAGGCTCGCTCGTGCTCGAGGGTGGTAAGATGGGAGGCCACGTTCAAATGTACCAGCCTACCATCAAGCTAGCGGCGCAGAAAGATGTAAACGCCGTTCTATATAGCCAGCAGTCAGGAGGGGAAGAGGAGCTCGAAGAAATCCAGGTTGAAGATGGGTCCGCTTTCTCTTATAATGTCGGCAAGGCCTGGGACGCATTGGCTGGTATTGGCTTGGACAAGGGCCACGGTGTTGTAACCTTTGAGGACGCGTTGCTTCGACACAAGATGATTGAGGCAGTTTACCGGAGCGCGAGACAGGGCACACGAGAGAACTATGTGTAAAATACCAGGGTATTGAGGATCACATGGCATGGCGAGCTGGTCGCAAGAGAGATGACAATCGATCGTGGCTATAGTCAATATTTGCCTAAACGGGTTGTGGGATTTCAGGCAACACTTCTCTTCCTCGTACATCAGACATGAAGTCTGATAATTCTAGAGGGTCAGTTAGTTACAGTAGCTTGAAGATGTATTAGTGTTCAAATCCTCGTTTCAAAATGAGTCGTGATAACTACCTAGGTACGCCAGAACGAATTTAGCGGCTCTTGCCTGTGATGTCACTATTGCCTTCAAACACATTCCCGAGGCTGCCATTCTAGATATGCGGTCCGCATTCATGTTCACGCAATCTATTGCACAGGTATACTCTGACCTGTATGACAGGACATTCTTCGGTACAGGAATTGTACAATCTGCTATTGTTATAGTACAGGTTATAGGCCTCACCGTGTTACTAGTGCAGGATCGAATTTACTTCCTCTCCACGACACGATATAGAACTATCCAGTTAGCCCATCCTAGAAGCATGCCTCTATCTCAGCATGCCTGCCTCTTTCATCGGTCTAGCAGATGGGCTGCTCTACTTCACCTGGACATCATACTACTCCTGAACCCTGAGTCGTGCCATCTATCTTACTCGCTTTTTCAGCTTTGGCCTGCTTTGTAGCACTACGGTAACAACGTATGTTGTCGATGCATATGCGAAGTGCGCTGCTAGTGTTGTCGCAGGAATAGTGTTCCTGGAGAACTTCATGGCAGCTTTCCTACCGTTTGCTACGCAGAGTATGTATAGAACGGTTGGGTTTCAATGGGTGAGCAGTTTGTTGGGGTTTGTGGCGTTGGCACGTAGGTTTGTTCCGTTAGTGCCAGTGAGACATGGGAGACGTATAAAAGGGTAAAGTCCATTTATGAGCGAGGTGACGAATAGATCTCTTAACTTCGCAAGAAGTGTGTTCCTATTGTCTATGTAACGTCGCCGTGCGTGCGATCATCACCGATGTTCTCCAATACAAGTTCGGTACAGCTCAGACCTTTTCCGTTCTCTGGTTCTGAGTTCCACCAGTAGCATGCTCAGCATGTTCCATCTCAACCGTAGCCGCCTTCTCGCCTGCATGGTCCAAAACCTCAGATATGCCACCACTTCCTCTCGTGAGCTCCGCGCCCTTGCGACCGATTAGATGCCATGGTAAGCTGAACATCTCGTCCATGGCTTCGAGAGACTTTCCGGTCGTTTCTGGGAGGAAGAAATACACCCATACGAGGCCGATCGCAGTCACACACGAGAAGAACATCATCGTACCGCCGTGGGTCATGGCAAGGAACATGATGGGCACAGCCTATACGGGGTTAGCAGTTGCGAGAATGATGGAGAATACCTTGGGAAGTTTACCTTGCTATTACCATACTGGTTGACGAAATGGAACGTCATGGCAATACTGCCACCCAAGGCTCTTAGTCTAAGAGGATAAATCTCGGAGTTGATCAGGTACTGTATACTGTTCCAGCCAAGCGCCCTGAATATTGGAGATACGAAGTTAGTGTATATTCCACATACGGTTTGTATCTGGTTCATCTTACCAGCCAAATCCGCTGAAATATATCATCACAATGGCGCCCATTGCCGCTCGCTTCTGACTAGGAGTCTGCGGTATACTCTTATCAGAAACCTTGTTATCCACCAGCAAAAAGATGGCCATATACAGCATGGCGAAAAGTTGAATCGAGATACCGGCAGACAGTGAACGCTTGCGACCGATGAAGTCTATAAGAAAGAGGGCGCATATCATGCTGGAAACGAACTTGACGACACCGAAGATGGCCGTTGCAAAGAGCTTCTCCTTTTGGCCGGTGGTTCCCATCCTAAGTTGCAAATTTTAGCGCATGTCTCTTTTTTTTATATACAGACAACGAGATATGGGGTTTTCTTACATCGCGAAGTACTGCGGCGCGTATACAGTTATGCTATTCGAGCCCGACCACTGTGACAGCAGCTGTGACATGATAGAGAGCTGGATGCGATAAAGGTTGGCCTTGCTCGAAAAAAGCTCCCGGATTGGGCCGAGCCAGGACGTTCCCATTGTTGCTTCCCGCTCACGGTTGAGCTGGTCGTTGATATCAACGATCTCGGACGTGACATACGGGTGGTCGGCAGGTAGCTGGCGAAGGCGCGAAAGGTTGTCAAGTGCTTCCTCGTGGCGGCCAACTTTGATCAGCCATCGCGGACTCTCGCGACTGAAAAAAGAAAGGGTGAATATCAATACGGCAAACATCAAGTGCATGCTATTGGGTACCAGCCACTGCGCGTCAGTGTGTGAGGAGATGTGGATGGACGAGCCCCAGGATGCGAAGTAGGCAAGCATGATACCGCTAACAACACCATTAGTTAAGTGAACCAGGACCGCGTTGGTGTACATACATATAGACTGCTCCAGCGAAAGCGCAGACACAAAGACCACGGATAGCCCTTGGAGCAGTTTCAGCAAGATAAGTTGGCGCGACAACAGTCGTCTGTCCAATTCCAACACCAGCGATGAATCTGCCAGCATAGATTTGCCCAACAGATCCAGTTGCAGAGCTCGCAAGAAAGATGGAGATTCCGATAACCCATACTACACAGAGCTGTCGCGTCGCCCAAAGGCGACCAATGCGATCTGTGATGAAGAAGGCTATCAAGGCTCCAAGGATAGAGCCCATCTGCACCATTGACGTGATGTTTGACAGGAGTTCTGCCTTTTCATGCTTGGATTTATTCGGATCCTCGAGGCCAAACTTCAGCTTGAACGGTTCAAGTTCTGCGGTTGTACCGATTAGGCCTTCGTCGATACCTCGAGCAGCGCCCATGAGACCGAAGACTAAAAAGAAAAATTAGTCTGAGCGTAGATTGGATTTGGCTCAAGTGTTACCAAAGACACCAAACCAGAGACGCCAGTTGAGCGACTCCTTGGGCGTGTCCTTCAAGTTCTCACGCCATGGGTTCCACATGTTGGGCGGTTATGTAGAGTCGGAAGTCAGCACTCGATCAGCGCTATATACAACGTAGGAATTCGACCAGTCCAATCGATGCGGGGGGGCGGTTAAGAACACCTCGCGACTACAGATGTGCGAATGCTTCTTATACTATGAGCACCGAATGCGGGGTGCAACATGCGGAGATACAATTTGCGGGAGGTGTCACGCCGCCCTCGATCCCACACATGTCGATCTCACGTAAAAAAGCGATTCATATGCCGCACCACGACACCTTCCACAACTGTGAAGATGTCTAGGTCTGGTAATTACACCCGCCATTGGTGTGTCAAGGTCGTTGCCGTTGTCTCGTTCAGGTAAGCAAGCCGCTGATCAAGGCAAACCGGTAAAAAGCCGAACGGCTGTATGCGCCGCTGTCAGGCTACGTGACAGCAGTCGACCGATGTTACATGCCCAGTTTGGTGGCAGGAAGCTTTGCATGCTTAGGTGGAGAAGCTTCCTTACATATGGAGCTTAGTATCGGGGAAAGCGACGAATAAGAATTCGGTGACACATGTTCCTCCACACTCTGAGTCGTTCGAAGACTGTCCACCCCGCACCAATCCTGGCAAGCCTCCCCTTGGCACTCCAAGAGCTGTCGGAAACGCTTAACTCGCACCGACTGTAATCGTCCCGATGAAGGACCGCGTCAATAAGCGTCCACTCATTGGCCAACAAGTCGCGACGAACCGGGACCACAAAACGACGGTGTTGAGCCCACCCGTCACGAGGCAATTCGCCGGTAGATTTGACACCGAACAGGTACACATTGAGGCCTGGGGTTGCATTTAATCTACAAATGCGACTTTAGCGGATGAGGCGGCAGGGTAATGAGAGATGCGGCTCCAACGCGATCTGCTTCCTTGTTCAACGCTTGAACTTCGGCTTCTACAAGCGGTATACCGTCCCTTAGGCGTCTCACTTTGTTGAGGTCTTCAATCTCGCCAGGAAAATAGATGCGGTCAACGCCCGCCATCTTATTGGACGTAACAACGCGTAAGTAGAGGTAGTCCATCCTCTCTCTGAAGTCGTCGATGCTCATGAACAGATCTGGCTTGATAGCGACGAGAAAGTGGCCTACGTCGGCTGGCTTTGAGGGATCGTACGGGTTGGTGACATGACCCGCGAACGCACTGCCTGACAAGACTCCTGAGAAAACATCCATCATTATAGCGAGCGCGGAACCTTTGGGCCCACCCATGGGAAGCATGACACCTTCAAGTGCCTTGGCAGGTTCATCTGTCCTGTTTCCATCCTTGTCAAGTGCCCAATCCTCTGGTATCTTCTCTCCCCTGCGCAGGGCTTTATAGATCTTGCCACGCGCGGCGACTGACGGCGCCATGTCCACAATAAACGGACAGCCGCTCTTGCCTGCTGGAGCTCCACAGGCGATGGGCGACACCCCCATAAGCTTTGACTTTCCTCCCCACACGGGGAGAGCTGGGGAAGAGTTTGTGAATACCAGGCTCATCATCCCTGCATCGAGCGCTTGTTGAACTACCCATGCCGACATTCCGAAGTGATTTGAATGTTTGACTGACACCATGCCAATGCCGATCTCGTTTGCCATATCGATTGCTGCAGCCATGCCCTTATGTGCTGCAAGGAAACCAAAGCCGTTATGGCCATCGACCTGGGCAACAGCAGGTGTAATCCGGCGCAGAGTCGGTGATGCTCGTGGATCCAGTACACCTTCTCTTATGCGTGCCATGTAGCTTGGGATTCTGTTCATCCCATGGGTGTCGACACCGCGTAGATCAGCTTCCACAAGGCACTTGGCAACAAGAAATGAATTATCCTTCGGGACTCCGTTGCCGATTAGCACTCTCTCTATGAATGCTCGCGCGTCTGAAGCGCTGACATGCTGCATTGATTGGTGGTCGGTCATCTTGGCGACCTTTTCAGAAGATATGGCGTGATTGCGATGTAGGTGATACTGAATTCGAGGGCGTAGAAGGCATTAATATGTAAGGATTGAGAGGAAACCTTGACTTTAGGTGTTGGCGGCACAAGTGTTGCAAGGTGACGGTGAGAAAGCCGAACAGGGTCGATGATTACTCGCATGCCTAACCGAAAACTACTAGGGCGCTCGCTCACCATAAGCTCTTATTCTAGATGGACATGGCTGCTTCAGAACAAAATATCGCCCCCAAGCCCGAGATCAATTATTGACGCTGAATTGCTTAGTGTACTTTGAGGCACACTTCCTCCATCGTACAGCAAAATTTTGCCTACCCAATATATCATGCTCAGTGCGAAATTCATAGATCCGTGATCTTCTCGATTATCGTTATAAACTAAAATGATAGCGAGGGCTACTTTGCAGGATGACTTGGATTCTACTGTGATGTGTTTGTTAGTGACTATTAAGTTGATATGAACTTGTCCTTGTCGCAACCCTCTCGCCAGATGCTCTGCACCCGTAGCTTTTCAATAAAATCCCGGACAAAGTCTTCCTGCGCCTAGAGTAATTCAGACAAGCCTCCAGATTGTTGGCAGCTTCCTAGGGTACATTTAGGTAGCCTGATGATCTTGATGGTGCACTGTAACTAGCGAAGGTATATCTACACCACAAATACTAACAGTAATCCCCAGGCTATCTGAATGATAAAATGTCCCGTCCACTCGCGAGTAATAGCAGCCTATATCCTGGTAAAGCTTCGAGGATCGTGGTGGGTGTTGAGGCAAAAAAGGTGGCTCACACCCCTCTGTGCGAAGAAAAGTCACTGGACCATCAAATGGAGGACGACGACGCAAAAAGAATGTAACTCTCAGACGGGGAATCGAACCCCGGCCTCCGGCGTGTTGTGTTATGACAAGCCGAAATACTGACCACTATACGATCTGAGATAGCCAACTCGAAGAGTTGAGATTTGGTGGTTTTGATGGAATTTCTGCAAATTAGATAATATAAATTCTACATTTTTTCTAGCAGCGTCAGAGATCGTATCAAGGAGCGCCAAATACACTCTCAGTAAGTGGGGGACGCTTTGCACGGTTCAAGTGGAAGATTTTTATAACGGGTGGAGCATATGTACTCGATTAGGTTTAGGTCACGGGACTAGCACAGCAGAACCACGTAAAACCGGTGAACATCATTATTAACATTGAATCTACGCTACCTAGATCTGTATCCTGAAAATATATCTGTCACCTTACTCGAAGTGCGACTTCAAGCGTCTGATTTGTCATGGAGGTATACGATGTTCTACAACGTCTACTCCGCGCAACCAATGCCCGCGCAACTTCAAGTTCCGCCGCATGTAGCAGTAGCTTGCGGCAGATATTACGTTTCAGAAGTAAATTCGGACTTGTAAATGTGAGTAACTCGTCGTGATAGGCCGATCGTACGAAAGGTGTAGATGAGTAAGATACTGATTAAGTGTTTTGTGGCTGCGTGTACGACAGGGATAGGCGAAGCGGTTGACCGGTGCCTGCAGCGAAACCGGGTTCGCGGTATGGGCGATGGACAGAGTTAAAGTTGAGACTTGAGACTCTCAAGATGATTGTAAAGTTGCAACTCCTGGCCAAAGGAGGCTATTATCTTATCAGAAGGGAATTAGGGAAACAGTAGGGATAAAACGACCGTTAAAGCCATGCAGTACAGGTGTTGATAGAAGTACTAATGAGAAAATCTACGTCCTACTGTACATGTAGTAGTCGAATATGATTGAAAGAGCACTCTATAATTTCACTCTAGCATAGTATCGCACGCCAGGAACCTTGAGAGGTGCCCAGTTTCGATGTAGCGTTTAGCTCCCAAGTCTACGAGGCGGTGCACATGCGGCACGTCTGGAAACCGTCAGGTACGCGTGGCTGTGCGGACGAAGAACCTTGACACTGGTGAAGCCGAGTGGAGCTGTGGCCGTATCTGCATCAATTAGATTTGGCCCGTGTATCTTATACGTTAGTCCGAAGAATAGCCTAAGGCAGAATACACAACTTTCAGCAAGTAAGAGAGAGGCATGAGCATGAACCGGTTCCCAAGTGCGAGAACAAAATGGCTTGAAGCGCGGAAGCAGCGAGCGACGTCACTTGTCTGACACGGCGAAGGTTCCTTTTGGAAGTCATATGTGACGCCTCGACGGTAGCGTTGCAACAGAGGGGAGTGAAAAAGCGGTGGCTCATGAGGTAAGCTGCGTCCTAGTGAGATGCGGCGCGGTGAGGGTTAAACGAGAGGGGTCGGAGAAGGTCTTGGCTGGGCGACGGGGGCGGATAACCACACTAGGATCTGGGGATGGATGCCCTGGCGGCGGCTCGGGGATGGGGAAAGCATGTGCTAAACTAAGGCTGATAGAGTTGCCTAGCTGTCGGTGTTGGTGCTGGTGTTGGTGCAGACATGTCCGCAAGGAACAAACGACCTGAGCTTCGATAGTGCAAAATATTGGCTTCCAGGGCTGCTGTTGTTAGTGGTCAGGTGTAGGCAGGGTTGCAGCACCTTGCTCTCAGCAGGACATCTGGTGGCTGAGTTGGACGGAGGCGTCCTCCGCCTCAGCGATGTACGAGGACGTTGGCTCTACCGTTGTACTCAGCCTGGGCCTACACTGTTCCCCGTTCTCTCTTCTGATTCTCTACCCATAACACCCCGGAGTCGCTCGTTGTCGCCCTTGTAATTGCCTGGGATTGCCTCGGCCTGCGACGTACCGAAGCGACCTGCACCCCGTCAGGCTGACTCCAACAGCAAGGTGCAAGGGAGCCTCATCTGCCGCTCTACATAGTGGGTAGACACTGCGAGAAGGGCCCTCGCCAGTCACTCGTTTCACCCCGATTGCTTCGCGTTGCATGAGAGTCACTGAGAACTGATCTCTGGCACTGCGCGAGAGCTAGAGCCATCAACGCCACTACCTGAATCGCGAAGGAGCACCACCCGCCGCCTAGGGCGCGACCGAACCAATGCGCTCTAGCAACAAGAACTACATCGATCTCAGCGAGAACCGACATGAGCGACGGGAGGGCACGCCGTGGTATTGGCGCCTTATAGCACTCGTTGCGTCGTGGATGATACTGGGAGGGTGAGACTCGCAGCTGAAGAAGCTCAAGACGAACAGCAGCTAATCCTCTCCAGATACCTCATACTACCAGGCCTCTACGCGAAAGACGCACAACTGAAGATCAGCCAAGCAGTGCTATCCGTCTTCGTTGTCGCACTCCTCACAGCGGGCTACTCCTTCACGGCGCTACTCTGCTTCGCATGTCGCAATGAATTGTTCCAGGCAGAGGGAGTCTTCCTGTACGGCACTACTTCCAACGCACAAGATTGCTGCTAACTCTGCTAGACCCGCCCTCGTCTCCTCTGCCTTCGGTCTCCTCTCGATCGCCTACAACTTTTCCTTGTCGCACGCCTATGTTTGGGAAACCTCCGCAATTACTGGCACAGCAGTCAGCACCACAGCGACCCTGCTCTACAGCGCACTCCTCCTCTGGACAAATCGCCGGATAGTTAAGATGAGAGAGCAAGCAGGGGAGCGCGCAAACCTTTGGTCAGAACAGTCATACTACAGCAACTTTATCCAGAACATGTACCCGACCGCCGTTCGCACACCCCCACAAGTGCCCGAAGCCGCAATCACCGAAGACGAACGCGTAAATCAGCAAATGGCCTTGCTCCTCATGAAAGCAGATGCTCGGCCAAGCCCCGACGCGAACAGCACTACGTTCAGGATAGACCTGCCAGAAGACAGAGAAGAGCAGGAACGACACGCGCGCAGCCAGGAGTTAGTAGGCACACCAGGCCAAATACATACAGACTGGAATCGCAATCGGGCAGACAGCAGACCGGACAGTCTCAGTGAGCAGCAAGCCTGGCAACAATGGCAGCAACATCGCGGGCGGACGACGATCCGGCCATCGAGCACTAGCCAGCGGAGTAACCACTCGAGAAATCTAAGCCGGGAAGAGCGGAGGAGAGAAATCGAACATGGCGGTGCATGATCCACCGAAACACCGTCTATATATCTCTCTCTTTCCTTCGCAAATACGTAATGTTTCGTGTTCCGCACATGGGCAGCGTCGGTGTTCTTGGCTTGTTGTTATTGGAGTTTTCACATTTGATACCTTGGCATCTTGGTTTGCACCCCTGGATGGATGTAATGCAGCGCGATGGACATATTGGATGATTTTCTAGTATGCTCGTGCTGGATTTGAGTATGTAAACTACATATTGAAACTATTGATAACTTATCATTATATGAAGACCTTGTTTCTCGCTCGTTCTCATGATATCGACATGCAAACTCAGTGATGAAATCGCCCCTGGGGATATGACTTGGCCTGACGTGACGGACTTCAACGTTCCTTCGTCATATCTCGTTTGTTCGCGCCCTATGCAGCCCCCAATCATCAACTACCCGTGGCCCCCCAAGTCTCAACTCCACTCCACTCCACTCTCTGGCTGAAGGACGCACCTTGCAGGCCCCTGGACTAGTTTCCATTTCGTGAACACGAAACCAACGCCCCTATTTCTTCACCATGGAAAGGCCGTATATACTTTGTAGGCAACGCATGCACGTATGCGTCTGACGCAGGAGCAGGTGCGAGGTTCCGACAAACTTCCGCAGCTAGCGCACAAGCGAGGGTTCGACGGGTTCGGTGCGACTGTGATTGAAGTGCAGTGAGAAGATTGTATGTGGCGTTGACGTGGAACAGGCACGGTTATGAGGTGAGAAGGAAGGAAGGATGTGGCTGTGTACCCGGGAATATGTGATGTAACATGGGGGCTGGCTACAACGATATAGTGTAAGCTTGCGGATAAACAGTAACGCGACAATGACACTTTTCTCCTTAGTCATAATGTTGGAAAAATTGGAGATTCTACTATTTAGGGGGTGCATTCGTTGGTATCTTGTAATTGTAAAAGAAAAAGTCCAAGGGAACAGTGGTACTCATCGTACCACTTGGAAAGATATTACATGCTTAATTTATCCTCATCGCGGGTCATTTGTTTGTGGTTTCGCGACCATGTCATTTCTTGACAGCGTCAACAGGTAACTAGACCTTGATAGCAAACTGTTTCAAGTACTCGTAATGCTCGACGTTAGCGGCGACAGTGTCCCTGATGACGTTTGCGCCCTTTTCACCGTATTTCTCCGTCCACTCTCCGAAGAGCTCCTCGTCGCTCTTTGGCGCTTTTTTCTAGTAAGAGGTTAGTAAGTGTATCCACCTCCCACATTTTCAAAATAATCAACGTACGTGTGTCCTCGCCCTCAACCTATCGCTATCAAGCGCATCCTCATGGAAGCCCTTCCACTTCTCAAACGCCTCCTTTGCAATCTTCTGATCTTCCTCGGTGTCCCAAATCAACATCTCTGGCTCCCACTTGATGCCCGTACTCTTGCAGTACGCCTCGATAACGCCGGACGGGTTGTCTAGCAGATCGTCGGCATCGATGACGCAGATCTCAACGCCGCCCGTGTGGCCATTGACTTCGGCCTGTCCGTTGGGATCGGTTTGACCAGCAAGTTTCGGCCCAATCTGGCCCTCGCTGCGGAGGTAGTTGAATAGCTGGCGGAGCTCCTCGTATCCGGCTTCATCAGGACGGAAGTTGTAAAATCCAGTCATCTTGTCAAGTGGAGGGATCGTGCAGCGGTAGTAGCTAGGAATGCTGTATTTTGGGTGGCGGATCAGGAAGGTGAAATGGTAGGTCGCCAGAAGGTCGGCTGGAATGACAGTTGGGTTATTTGGCTCGCCTTTGGTATCGTATGGGTACGGTGGTCCTTCCTTACCGGTCCTGGATTGGACTGGCGAGAGAGCAGTAGTGTCGGTTCCGACGCCACTTCTGTAGTTGGCTAGCGACGGAGCAACTGTTGCAGGTTTACCGTTGGGAGGTATCCAGTATTGTGCCATATCTTTGATGAAAGCACGTTTGCCCTATCGAAGGTCAGTACAAGTTCATCCTCGTTGATTTTCATTATGGGTTTCGAGGAAAACACAAATAGATATCCAATGAAAGCTCTCCTTTCGAGAATTGGGCGGTGTAACCAGGCGCTGAATATACGTAAAAAAGCGCCGAATTTAATGTGGCGTAGAAAGTACATGACTTTCATCGCGATCCAGAAATGTTCGAGCATACACACAACAAGCTTCCTCTGACGAATCGAAATGCTGCTGTCTTGCGCAATACAGCCACGAATAAACATCAGGCTGTGGTGGTAGTGGCTGGACCACGCGACACAAAAGTGACGAAGTGAGACGAGGGGATGCGGTAGGAGAGTCTTGATTGGGTGTGTACTTTTGAACGACAACAGAGAAGGGCCAGACAAAAAAAGGCGGAAAAGTGATGTTCTGATAGAAGAGCAGGAGTACCGACCTCTGAGTTTTCCCTCGCGATATGATCGAAGATGGATCTGTATGTGCTCTCGGCGTAACCGCTCTCTTTCCTCGCCTCTGGGTCATTCTCGTATCTTTCGGCAAGACGCTCAGGACCGAAGTAGTAGGCATCGCCAAAAGGCTCGTGCACGCATTGAAGCGTTTTGTGACGGGTCATAAAGACCTGGAATACATTAGGATCTTAGCATTAGCTAAAGACAAGATTGGGGGTCATACCCGCTCAAAGGCCGTCGAGCAGGCCCTGGGGTGAGTCGCTACGAAGATGGGTTTCTGCGACATGTTGGCGGTGTGGATGCTAACAATCGAGGGATAGAGACGAAGGATCTGTATTTCAAGAATCCTCAAAGTCAGTCTCAGTCGATGGAAGATGGGCTCAGGTATATTTCAAACTGAACGTACCAACTGCCTGGCAAGGACACGGACACTAGCAGACTTTTATAGATCTCAGACCCAAGCAAACATTTCTGATCGTAAGCAGTTCCACAATTCCTGTTCAACCTTCCCGCACGGTAATGCGAGTTAGTGGTGCTAGTGGACCTAGAACAGCTCTGTGCAAGGTTCAATCAAAGGACCAGACGGTAGCAATGCGGGAGTGACAGCTGATCCCCAGCCGTACCAAGCGAGACGTGGCGCGCCGAACATGCAGATAATTCGTTTTTGCTTGCCTCGGCGCGGGAAAAAGACTTTGGGCTCGATGAAAGCGGGTTGGCTGCAATAGAAAGAGATATCAACATGATGTCATAGCAGTTTCGACAACGGAAGGCCCCGGGGGTGCCCCTCACTAAGATGCTAGCGCTAGTCTGGCTGCGATTGCCCGACGGTACGTCGCGCGCTAGCAAACCTCAGCCCTCTCCAAACACGTTTGCCTCACGTCGTTTGTTGTATATTCGCGCAAACCTGGACTTCGTGTTGGTTCGAACGGCGACCATCGAAAGCACGACATATGGTGGCCACTATGAGCAATGCTTGGATCAGGTGGAGGATACTGATTGCTTTTGTCCCCCCCTTATGCCTTCGCCAAACAAATGCCCTCATCAAAACAAGAGGAATGGCTAACATCATGGCTGACAAAATAAGCTAGTGTAGGTTAGGGTAAGTATCGTGGAGAGAATAAGTACAGAGAAGACGTCTTCCTCGTAGTCAGCTGAGGTCCTCCCCGCCGCTGTGAAGTCTTCTCCCGCACAATTTCCTACTGGTAGCCTCTTAGACACCATTTCGTTGTAGAAGCGTAAAAGAGTCGGGACATTTGAAAGAGATACACTCAAGATCTTGGTACATCGTAAGGGACAGCATCATCCATCAAGCTCGTAAGGTGTGGCGACACCTTTTGCTGCGCTACCAGGTCTAAGTTCGTATAGACTTCGGAAGACTAGACTGAGAAGAATAAGAGCGCGCGAGATCTGGATGTCGTTCCGAATTCTTCTGTGGAAAAGAGGATCCTGCGCAGGGAAAGGGGTTCCATGCAGTGGTCAAACGGGCGTCTTGGACGGATCCATATGAATAGTCAAATGGGTGTGAACTGTGTGGTCGACGCAGAGGCCACCCACATCCTAGCAACCAACTACCCTGGATGGCTTCAAATGCAGTCTCTGGCGACATCTTGATTGACAGGTGCGACACTACCAAGATAAACTGAATACTAGATATTCCGTTACCAGGATCGATTCGGGACAATGGCAACAATTTGATCGACCAATAGTTTTGTCATGGCTATCTTGCTACTGACAAGGACTTGCTAGGCGCGGTTAACCTCCCGTTGCTATTCGTCATTTATTATCTTTTCATTCACAGCTTCTAAACCACTACTCGTCACAGTCTTCAGTTCTATCGACTTATATTGAAACTAAAAATATAATGTCCCAGGAACAAAATAAATAGGTACATGTCTCATTCTCGCGTCTGCGCGCCTCATCCTTTTGGTAACTAGGCTATACTCTCTCTTGAGTTCTCAATTCTTAATCTACTCTAACGCGATGTTGACCCACTGAACGATGATGAGTCTCTTACCAGTTTACTTGACGCGAACGACACAGCGGACAACACTGACGAGCTCGATATCTCGGACACTTCATCGGAGTTGGAAAACTTCACAGGCGACAAGATTGATAGAAGCAATACCGAGCCTTACCCGCACAACGCTCCTCATGTTCACGTCATCGGGCAGACACCTATCTATCATGGCGAGGCTACTACGGTGGGCTCGCACAATGGATTTGGGGTGGGATGTTATGGAGACTCTCTACCGCCTCGTGCTTCTCCTTATGGTTCCGCGAAAACTACAGACTTCGTTCAGCATCATCAAACGCCTCACCTTTCCACAGGCCGAAACTTGCACGGTGAATGTATAAAACATATCAATACCATTTTACCTTGGTTCTATGTAAGCCGGTCCTTTTAGTATAAGTGGCAGTCATTCCTCAATCTACTGAAACGAGCAGTTAGTCAATGTTGCCGCGCTTAGTATTGCATTCGAGCTCTATGCCATTAGCCCTCATCGGCACCCCTTCGTTACCGGAGTCCCTAAGCTAGATAGCTTGACGCCGGTCCTCAAGCACATCCAATTCCGGGGTCGCCCATCTCCTCTCGCGACTTCTCAATCCTCGCATACCTAGCGTACACCAGCTCTGCCCTACCAACACACTCCTGGCAGAAGATCGCGTCGCTCTGCCTCTGGTCCCCCAAACAAATCATCACCTTGCACTGCGGATGATTATTGCAATTCGATGCACACGGCCGTGTTGGGGCACACCATACCTGGTGCCCACACATCAAATAATGCACATTCATCCAATCGAGCGCCTCGCGACTCAGATGGAAGAAGGGCCGAGACAACAAAGACTCAGTCTGTTCGTTATCAAGACTGAATTCAGAATTGAGTAGTGGACGCGTGAGAGCGATGCAGCGCCGCGAATACTTGGGGGTGGTATCATAGGGATCTGGAATGCGGGGATAGAAGCTGGGGTCTAAGTCGAAGAAGTCCTTGGGGGGATGCATGATGATATACCGGTCGTATGGAATGCCGGTGCACACTTCGCAGTATAATGAGTCGTGAGCTTGCGTTGCGCTGACTGGTGGTAGGAGATTGTCAGCCAGATTTGGACTGAATAATGTCAGCATTTCGTCGACCACTGAACAAGACCTGAAGTACTCTACATTTCGTGTGCTACTGGATTCATGATGTTATTTGCATTAGAAGAAGCCCATTCCGTGGCGTGTTGGCAATTTCGGCCACAGCGTCTATCAATCTCATCAATGGCGATGAGATGTCCGCAGCTGAGGAGGTGGAAGCGACCAGCTTCGGTGACCAGCCCGTCGGTGAGGGTACAGCAGGGCTCGACGATGTTGGGGACGTATTCGTGAAATGGATCGCCGGGATGGTTGGCGTGTAGCAGACTGTGCATCTCAGGTTCATAAGAGGATTTTCAAAGCGCCTACGCCCTAGTTGAGCTATTACTAGTTCTGTAAAAGTACTTTAAATGCAGAAATATTTATAATTATATTAATTTTTCTAAAATAAGTTAAAACGGTTGCTAACTATAATTCTAAACCTTATTATTATTCTCTTATAGTACCAAATATCGATTTTCTAATAAGTCTGATGCGAGATTTAGTTGTATCCAACAGTTCAAGTATAAAAAAAGTTATTTACTTTCTAGGCCTATATAAAGCTTTTACTCTATAGTCTCTAGCTTCTGTTTGTATACAATAGCAAAACAAATTTTTTTTTTTTTTGCCTACTCTAGCATTAATTTTTTAGACCTACTTTAGCCAGAACTTTAAAGGCTTTTTCTTAATAACTTTATTATAAAAAAAGCCTAGCAGCTTAAAAAAATAAAAAAAAATATAGCTTTAGTATAGCTTGCCTTTTTTTATTAGGACTATATAATAAGTAAAAAGCCCTTATTTTTTTATACTTATTTACTAATAATAGAAGCTACGCCAAGCATTAAGCCTACTAAAGTAGCTAAAGTAGCTGCTTTTTACTAGCTACTTTAAAAACTAGTTACTAAAACTAAAACTGTAAAAAACTATAGCTATATAAACCTTTTTAAAGACTTTAAAAAGACGCTGAAGGTACAGTTGTGTGGGCCGTATGGGCTATAGGCGCTGGAGCGATGGTGGAGGTCTGACTGGGCAGAGAGTCAAGTTGCCGGTGTTCGGTTGGATGCGGGAGCGGAGATCGGGTAACCGAGGCTGGCGTTATTTTTTTTTTTTTGTTGAGATGGGCTGGTTGGGAAACCATGGTTGAGAGCTGTAGACTACCCTGGGCAGAAGAAATTGAACGCGTACGTTGAGGAGACTTTGAGAACTTTGAGAACATCTCAGGTTCAGTTTGAGGTTGATCATCCAAGTTCATGACGGAGTCGAGAGTTGAAGCTTTTAATATGAAAGGACAAATAGTGGAAACGATGAATATGAGTATCGATAATCAGCAAGCTGTTATGAGCTGGTGAAGGCTTTCACTTTCACCATTAAGCGATGGTGTTTCCACTCCCTGATTACAGCTCGCGGGGGTGGGCAATCGAACTTGTGTCAACCACAGTTAGCAAATCTGAACTTGAATACATCGCGAGCGACAAACGGCCTATCGCAGTTTTCTTCACCACCCCTACGTTAAATGGATCTCTAAGCACAGCTTCCCTGCTAGTGGGGGCGTGAGCAACGTGAATCGATTATATTTGATGGTCCGGCATGCTACCACAGCAACACTACTACATCGAGACCGTGATCGTTCGAGAAAGTCCAGGGATACCACCAACCTGCGACATAGAGCCTTCTCTCACGTAAGAGGCTACAACTCGTCAAATCTTCGCCAAGGTGCTCAGCTTGTACGATATCCATCTGTATAGACAGGTTATGCCAGCTCTTGCGCGCCCTTCCGCCTTCCCGCTCAATCTCCAGCTACAACTGGACTGGAGTACTGTAATCAATGTACACTCGGCCAAGAGAGCCATGGTCGGAGGCAGACTTGTTCGAGCTCGAATAGGGTCGTTTGCTGCTGATGGCCTGGTCACGTCCGTGTAGTGAGGCGTGCTATTCAAAAGTCGAAGATGAGGCGAGGGTGACTAAGCACTGTGCAAACGCGTCAAACACCGTCATGCAGGGATGCGGGCGGGTGCTGATAGGTCTCGAGCTATCACACCTCAGCACTCCAGCGGTCCTGCTCGTCCTGCTCGCCTTATTTTCTTGGATTGTGCCTGCCGATGGAGACGCGGCTGCTCCTGTTACAGGAAGTAGGAATTGCCGGGGGTGGTTCATAGCCCGCCATCCGCAAGGTACACCCAGTCCCACTATTCCATGACAGTCCGCTATCGCGAACCATCCCGCCCGCCATGTCCCTCGGCGGCCTTGGACACTTCCAGGAGCCGTCTGCGCCATATGACATTTTGCCTTTGATGGGCTCGCTCTCTAATGCGTTTTCAGGAACATCTCACGAGATCTTTGGTCCCAAATTGCCCACCATTCAGCCTGCGTCGCCGAACAAAGGCGCGCCGCACGCTCCAACACCTTCCCGCCCTGCTTTCTTTCCGCTGCCCAAGGGACACCCACATGCGATTGCCATTGCAAGCCCAGGATCCTCCACCGCCGAATCCATATCCGAGTTGACCACCTCCTCTTCGTCGCGGGACTCCCTCCCCCCTGCTCAGGCGCGCAACGGCGACAGCTCACCTCAGAAACAAGTGCGGAACAATAGACGGAACAAGTCCAACAAGTCGAATGCCAAATGGAATAGAGGCGGTTCTTCAGATGACACAGGCTCAGATCGCAAGCCGCCCACATCTCAGCCTCCAAACCCCACGCAGAGCGTCGTTCAATCACCCCAGCCTGCGTCGAAGCAGCGCCAACAGCCGACTATTGCTACCCACAACTCAGCAGCGAGTCAATCACGATTAATGGCAACAACTTTTGGTGGTCCCTCGGGTGATTCGCGACGGGGAGTAGTTTCTCCTCGGCCAAAAGGTCGCGGTATGACACGGCTACAATCCATATATATACACACTTGTCAAGTCTGACCTGCCTCTGCAGAAGCGAAGAATACCTTCTGCCGCAATGTAACCATCTACGGGCACTGTCGGTACGAGAACAGTAAGTGCTGGGCATTGCACCTGCCGAATCTTATGGTGACCTTGTTTAGCCTGCCCCTACATCCACGATCAGAGTAAATTGGGCCAAAATGAAAACGCAAGAAAAAGATTCAACGTCGATTCTCCGTCCTTCACGCCTCTGCAGGCAAGTACCAATGGATCTGTGACCCCGTCGTCTCGCAGCGCTGCAATCTCACCTAAAGCTGCAAACGCGGCTGTCTTCACACCAAAATCGCAACGCTCCAGTGAGTTTCACGTCCCTACCATTCGCGACTGCCTTACGCATGCTGATTTACTCAGCTGTCAGCACTCCACAATTGCACGCCAAAGAACCCGCCATCGAGTGGCCTGCGCAAGACTTTCAAGAGTTTGTACCACAGGTATTTGACAGTCAGATGGTGCGTGTGCAGGTTTCCTACAGTCCACTCATCTATGCTGCCCCGTAATTCCTTCTTGCTGCCTTCATGTCATCGTATCGTTATCCGAGTAGCCACACTTTGTGCTCCGCAACTCACAGATTGAATATAGGTTGACCCGAACGTTGGCTATGATCCTTTCAATACATCTACGAACATTTCTACACTCACTGGCTCAAGCCACCAGGCCACCCAAATCAATCCCTACAGCCAGGATCATTCAGGAGGGTACTACCCTAACGCCAACGCCTTTCAAACAACACCAGCATATCATTTATACTGGCCCGTCGGACCCCAGCCTACCGGTCTACTCGCTTATCAGCGCACTGCACATGATTTCTTCATTCCAGATACTATACGGGAGGACCTACAAAAGAAGGCGGAAGTTGGGCGCCAAACTCTCCCTAACACCTCTCTACCGGTCATCGAGCAGTTCCACTCCCTGTTTTGTCTAGACACGACCCCCCAAAAGAATACTGCGCCATTCGGTTACGCTAGCTGGATTTACAAAGCTATCTCTAGCAAAGATGGGAAGACTTATGCGCTGCGTCGTCTGGAGAACTTTCGGCTCACGAGTGAGACCGCTATCCGCTCAGCACAGCCTTGGAAGCGCATTCTCAACGGCAGTGTCGTGACAACGCATGAGGCTTTCACCACAAGAGCGTTCGGCGATAGCTCCCTTATCCTGGTCACTGACTATCATCCGAACTCGAAACCTCTCGCCGACGAGCATTTTAAGCCAATGCAACGCTTTCACGGGAGACAGCCTACATCGTCTCACGTACCAGAGCAAGTCTTATGGGGTTACCTTGTTCAGATTGCGTCTGCACTCAAGGCTATACATGGGTCCGGCTTAGCTGCAAGGCTAATTACGCCTTCCAAGATATTGCTTACGTCGAAGAACCGAGTACGTCTGAATGCATGTAGCATTATGGACATCGTTCAATTTGAGAACGCACGGCCTATTGCCGAGCTCCAAGCGGATGACTTTGTTCAACTAGGGCGATTGATCCTTTGTATTGCTAATAACAATGCCACCGCCCATCTGCAGATGCAAAAGTCTATGGATTACATCACGCGGAGCTACACAGGTCGTCTCAAGGAATGCATACAGTGGCTACTCAACCCCCAGCCCCCATCTGGAACACCCTCATCACCTACGACCACCGGAGCAATGCATAAAGACATTGATACATTCCTGGCCGGTATTGCAGATCAGATTGCGTCTGTGTTTGACAGCGAGCTACATGCTCAGGACACTCTCACCAACACTCTCGGGCGTGAGTTGGAGTCTTCAAGAATCGTCCGACTTCTTGTCAAACTCAACATGATCAATGAGCGTCCCGAGCTTGACGCTTCGCAGAGTATACCGGGAACTAGTACACCCAACCCTTCTGCTGTATGGGCAGAGACGGGAGAGCGCTACTACCTGAAGCTCTTTCGAGACTACGTCTTCCATCAGGTGGACGCCAACGGGCATCCGGTCACGGATTTGGCACACGTTCTCGATTGTCTCAACAAGCTTGACGCTGGTACGGACGAGAAGATTGCACTCATCAGCAGAGACGAGCAGAACGTTTTGATAGTAAGCTATCGCGAAGTAAAGAGGGGCTTAGAGTCGGCGTTCCAGGATTTGCTGAGAGCGGGACGCAGTTCAGGAAAATAGGATTCTGCTGACTCCAGTCCGTTCGGCTAGCATGAACAAGGAAAGCACCATGGAGGGCATCGACCATTAATTCACAACAGACATTACAGAGGCCATGGCCATGGCTGACATTGGATCAGGCCTTGATATAGATGACGTGCGATGGGACTAAGTAGATGATTCGAGAATTACGGAGGGTAGGAGCAGCACAGACACCATGAATAGACTTGGGACACGACATGGGGGACAGTGTTGGACAGTTAACGCGTTCTGATTAGTTGTGGAGACGTACGATTTGCTTATGTTGTTTTGAGATGGGGTTGAACAGGAAAGATTAGGGGAGGTACTGAAGGAAGGAGGGAAGATGTACACATTCATAACGCAATTAAGAACGCACTCTGATTCAGTTGAAGGTTTCTGTTAATCCTTGAATCCCGGTGGTTCCGGTTGTGTTGTGGTTGTTCCGAGGGCGAGGTGGCATGATAAACAAATCCCCACTAACATCGCAACCTCTCGATAGCCCAGGAAATGTAAGAAACTCGTAACAGTCTTCTCCGATGAATTTATAGCATACCTACAAGATGACACCTTTCATCTCTCGAAGTTCACGTTCGATAAGGTCCTTCTTTCGGCTGCACCTTCCCTCCACAGCACCGCTCTCGGCGGCTGCTGCTGGCCGACTTAGCGCGAAGCTTGCCATATGTACCCCTCGGTCACCGAATTTCTGCCCCACATCTTACATTTGCACTCCAATACAACACCAACGACGCACCTTTACGAACACCTATACAATGGCTGGCAAATACGAACTTCTGTGCTTGGAGAACCCGATTCTGGATATCCAGGGTGTTGGGTGAGTGCCTTGCCCATTACCTCCAATTACTTTAGAGTGACATGTGGGAGAGTACCGCAATAATCTTGGGCTCACGAATCTAGCGACCAGAAGCTGCTCGACAAATATGGCTTGAAGCCAAACGATGCCATCCTCGCGGACCCTGAGAAGCACTTGGGCATTTATGATGAGCTGATCAAGGACTACAACGCTGTCCTCATTGCTGGTGGAGCGGCGCAAAATACTGCCAGAGGTGCTCAGGTACGCCACGAACCTTGCCGATACAATTCTACTCCATCTCCTTTCTTCATCTACATTTATCGTCCATATCGTCTGTATAGTTGAAGCTAACACAATGCCACGCAGTACATCCTTGACCCCAACTCCGTCGTCTACATCGGCTGCATTGGCAAGGACCAGTATGGCGAGACCTTGGAGAAAATTTCCGGGCAGGCAGGTGTCAAGACCGAATACCTCTACGACGAAAAGACTCCCACCGGCCGCTGCGGTGTCGTCATCACTGGCCACAACCGCTCGATGTGCACCGATCTTGCCGCTGCGAACAACTACAAGGTAGAGCACTTGAAGCAGGAGCGGATCTGGAAACAAGTAGAGAACGCGCAATTCTTCTACGTCGGTGGTTTCCACTTGACAGTCTGTGTGCCTGCGATCAAGGCGCTGGCTGAGGAGGCCGCTGCTAAGAACAAGGTACAGACCACCTACCTTGCCCACACTCCACAACATGATGAATTGACATGATATAGACCTTCATCCTCAATCTCTCCGCACCCTTTATTTCACAATTCTTCAAGGACCCTCTCGACGAGGTCCTCCCTTACGTCGACATCTTGATCGGCAACGAGTCCGAGGCCGCCGCTTTCGCAGAATCGCACAACATCGAGTCCAAGGACGTCAAGGAGATCGCAAAGGAGATCGCTAAGTTGCCCAAGAAGAACTCCAAGAAGTCAAGGACAGTGATTTTCACCCAGGGAACTGACCCGACCATCGCTGTGAGCGCGAAGGAAGGTGGTGATGTCGATGTTGAGGAGGTACCGGTGCATGCCATCGCGGCGGAGAAGATCAACGACACCAATGGTGCTGGTGATGCGTTTGCTGGAGGCTTCGTCGCGGGTATCGTCCAGGGCAAGTCGCTCAAGAAGTCCATCGACATGGGCCAATGGCTCGCCAAGTTGAGTATCCAGGAGCTGGGACCTTCATACCCCCAGCCCAAGCAGACGTACACTTCCAGCTAAGCGTCATGTAAATGAGCGCAACAGCTCGTGTATTTCAACAATCTACGAGAGCATGTCTGACGCAAGAGAGTCGATTTGCGAGTTAGGGCCCAACTAGATAAAGCTTGGGCGAAACCAAAGCATTGCCTGGTGTTTTGGAATAAGCGAAAAGGATATCGAACTTTCAACAGCTGTTCAATAGATACCCTCAGCTACACGCTATCATGAAGCAGCGACAATGAATAACGTGAATAAACAACAATGCAAGTCCCAGTACTTTGTGCAGAATTTACAAGACAGCGTTACTAGCATGTTAAAAAAGAATACTAATTACTGATAATTGCTGTTGAAGGGTAAGGGGCAAATGCGTATGTAAATCTGAAATTTACCGCACTTCTAAAATTACATAAACACTGAATTTACTAAATTATCGATACTTCCATTTATTCCTGTCTTGATTAATTTAGGCGCTGATAGCAGCAAGAAAAAGCAAAAAGAAACTGAGGTTTGCCAACTGCCCGAATCGTAGTAGCAGACTCGCGTGGGGCTGTGTGCAGTGAATGCTATGCGCATGGTAAAGACGCCATGTGCACGAACCAGGAGACCTGCGAGCTATGTCAAAGGCGCGCCCATGATGGTGAAGTTGTCGCTTGTAGGCGCATAAAATGCAAGGACTTCGTCACTTGCACCTTGAAAAAGTGCATTTTTTCCCACGCCAGCCAAGCATTTCCAAACGACAGTTTTGATAAGTACGTCAAGAGACGGCTGCAGAGGCTGCAGGGCAAAGAGACGATTCCAGCATACATGGCATTGCCGGATACGCTTGATATCCACTCTGAGGCCAAGCCAAGCGGAAATCAGGGCGAAAGGACTGGTCCAGCGCATGCGTGGACGAACTCAGATGATGAGGCAATGGATTTAGGTGAATAGTCGCCTAAGGGTGCTTATGCGGTTGGTGTGTTTTCTAAGACCAAAAGATACCACATGTAGACAGACATAAAGAGTTTTGTAAGGCATATTCCCCAGTAGCTTATGCCCTCGCGAATAAAAATTCTAGATAAGAACATTTATTAGCAGAAGGTTGAGTTTCCATGGCTGCAAAAAAGAAAGTGCCCACTCGCGGAATCGCTACTCTATTGTTAGTTCCAGGAATCGAACTAGCGAGTTTTGGGTATACTGACAACCGCGGATCTTCGCATATGCATGTTACTAATACAAGTGCGACGCTGTACCCCTAAGCCAAGCGGGCGGTTGAATTATGGATTGCTGGCAAAATGTTAAATATATGTAGTTGATCAAAGTGAGAACTCGCTTGCTATACATGGTTGATGACTATTCAAATTAATATTTAGGTCAGACTAAGAGACATTGTGTGGGGCCAGAAGCGAGGGAGGGGTAGTTAAGAGTCGGTAAACGAAGATGGATCTCCCTTCCGACTGGGTGGTGTCAAGATTCTACACTATCTACTAGAGAATGGCACTTGACTTCGCCCCTTTGGCGGTCTGGTTAAAAGGTGAGGCATATCGTACGAGTCTTACCAGCGCGAAAACGAGAATCGTGTTGCGCAAATATAGTCGTGTTTCCGGTGGCGCTCGATCGCCATCTTTTGGCCTCACATCCGATGAAGCGACCATGAAGCTGGGGGCATGTAATTCTTAGGTACATGCTAAAGTCTGTGTATACCTAGTATAGCATGTATTAAGGAAGGCAGATATAAAATCAATACATTCTATAATATGTATAACAAGCTGAATACTAAAGTTTGACTTAAGATGGTAACATGTCCAACAGTGCCGTGTTTCCTTCGACCACCTCCAACAGCAGCGCTCTTTCTGAATACATCATCCTGTCGTCTTTTGAGTGCAAATGTTCCGAACCAATTCACATGACCATAAATGATGCCTTCCAGAGGTGCAAACAGTCGCGTGGCAATGCCGAGAACTAGCCTCACCTTTCCAAGTGCAGAAGCTCCGACCACCGAGTGCATCATCGGCCGGCCGTTGAGGCCAGGCAACTCCTCACTTTAAATACCACGTTGTCTTCCGCAACTTTCACCCCACAGTCCTTTCCGAACTCGTATCTCTAGTATCGAAATCACCATACTGCCTTGCACGGAACGCAATTCGACCCGCAAACATGGCGGACGCCGGCGTGGACATCGCAGCCCTCACCGAAGACCAACAACTCGCGCTCCAAACATACACGGCCGTCACTGACCAGGAAATCGACAAAGCGATACCCCTGCTGCAAAGATGCCAATGGAACGCTCAAATAGCAATCACACGCTTCTTCGACGGCGAACCCGCTGAAGACCCCGTCGCTGCTGCCACGGCCGCACAGCCCGCACCGCAAGACATCCGCCGGCAAGAAACACTGCTCAACGGCTTCACATCCTCCCCGCGATCGTCGACCAGCAGCGCGAGGCGAGTACGAATAGAACCCGCACCGAGGGTAGTGCCGCAACCAGAGAGCCAAGTCAGCACGCAAGTACCACTCGTGCTTGCAGTGCTGTTTGCGCCGCTGTCGCTGGTATATTCGCTGGTGGGGAAGTGGTTCAGGTTTATGGGATGGCTGTTCCCATTCCTACCTAGGGCATGGGGCCGCGTGACCGCAAGCAATATCAATACACCTGCGTCAAGGCGAAGTGCGAGTGGACGGCGACCGCTGAACCCACGGGATACGGCGGCGCGGTTTATCCGCGAGTTTGAGGAGGAGTACGGGAGTCACCAGCTGCCGTTCTTCGAGAGCGGATACGCGCAGGCTTTTGATCTGGCGAAGAAGAACCTGCAATTTCTGATGGTGGTTTTGATTTCGCCGGAACACGATGAGACGGCGAGTTTCGTACGGGATACTCTACTCTCTTCTGAGGTCGTCGAGTTCATACGCGACCCTGCGAATAGCATCATCATCTGGGCTGGTAATGTCCAAGACTCCGAAGCCTACCAAGTCGCCTCTGCGCTGAGCTGCACCAAGTTCCCCTTCACCGGCCTTATCGTACACACGCCCCAAGTCTCTAGTACAGCTATGGGCATAGCGACGCGCATAGCTGGGCCCACGCCGCCGTCGCAGTTCATCTCTAAGCTGAGGACTGCTATGCAACAACATACCCAGCCATTAGAAAGAGCCAGGAACCAAAGAGCAGAACAGCAGGCGACGAGGAACATACGGCAGCAGCAAGATAGTGCATATGAGAGGAGTCTGGCGACGGACAGAGAGAGGGCAAGGAAGAAGAAAGAAGAAGCGGAGCGCAAAGCGAGAGAAGAAAAGGAAGCTCTGGAGCACGAACGGGCTATTGAGCTATATGCACAGAATCTCGATCAGTGGCGGAGATGGCGCGCGTCTCTAATAGCGAGCGAACCCGGCCCAGATGAAAAGGATATCGTGCGGATAAGTCTGCGCATGCCCAACGCTGATCGCGTCGTACGCAAATTCGCTGCCGATGCGCCTATCGAGGAACTATATGCATTCGTTGAGTGCTACGATATCCTCCAGTCCCCACAGGGGTCTTCAGAAAAGTCCGACAAGCCACAAGGGTTCGAGCACGAGTACAAGTTTCAACTCGTCTCGCCCATTCCACGCGAGGTTATCGAATTCAAAGCAGGCGGCACGATCAAAGCGCGCATCGGAAGGAGCGGCAACCTCATTGTCGAGCGAACGGATCTCGAAGGCGACGAGGACGAGGATGACGATGAGGATGACGAGTAAGAAGGTGGGCTTGCAGTGCATTGTAGGGCGTTCGTTGTGATTAGCTTAGCGTGGGTGGGGTTTTCATGTACATGATGTGTTCCCGAATATAGATAGGGTGAACCGAGAGTTAGCTAGGCATGGAGCAATTGTCAAAAGCACCACATCATCACCAAGGCCAGGATACAAATCATGAACGCAGAACTCCCTGATAATAAGATGTTAAGCAAAAGCGACTATGACACGAAGTGCTCTCGGGCAAAGAAGCACAACCTTCCCCCACTAGGCAATGAACATGCTAGGGTGAGGTGGTATAGAGGTGCTTCAGCGTACCAAGGAAGCATCCGCATATCCATAGAAAGTCCAAATAATCCCAAACGATACCGCATCTCTTCAATCCATGCTGCAATTTGTGTGATCAGCCCTTCCTAGTCTGTTGTTCCCCGGGTGCCGGAATGGTAGTGGGAGGCAAGAGAAAGCATTGGGAAATAGAAAGAGTGCAAAACTCGACTTCTGATCGTGCATCCTCCTCGCGTCACCCTACAGGCGTTATGGCCGCCGGAGGGAAGGCCGTTGAGCCAAAGCAACTGAGAGTATAGCCGCTGACTCTTCGTAGGCGTGCTGCGATAGCTCGGTGGGGTAGAAGGTTGTCTTACGACAGTAACAATCGATGGTATAACAGCGATAAGCAACCAGCTAAGGTTGCGTTATCATAAATCAACCGCCTTGGCCGTTCGGTGGAGTTCGTCCCCAGGAGCTATGCGCATTGTCCTGGTATGAGCTAAAGAGCAACGGGCTCGCCATGTTAGCTCCGTTCGTGTATCCGTGTTGGTTGCCATTGAAGTTGCTGCCGTACACCGATCCCCAGTTTGAAGGGCTGCCGCCTGAGTTTCCCCAAGCCGCGCCACTACCCAAACCACCACTGATAGGTCGTGGTGCCCTGGCGGTGCTAGGAGTCATGGCCTCTGCCCCCAGGAGTGAGTTCGCAGAATCACCACGGACATGGCCAGACATTCCGGGACTCATGCCATTCATGGGCGACCTGCGGAGGTCGTTCCCAAGTCCGTTACCTGTCATCATGGAGGGAGACGAAGGTCCTGGCGCGTCATTGTACTGCCGATTCCAGATTGAAGGCGAGTTCCATTGGCCATCTGGAAGAGAGGGTAGGTTGGCCGCGTGGCGTACTGAAGAGGTAGACCCAGTTCTACCCATAGGTGTAGACAGCATCGCTGCACCTGGAGCAGGAGACAGGGGCTTATAGTTCTTCACAGAGTTCACCAACTCGCTGATAGAGAACGGAGCCGGTGCAAAGGTGGTGTCGTTGACAACGGTAGTATCTTCGAAAGTCTGCTCCGGCGGAGTCGGAGGGATGTCCTCATCTTCTTCCACCAATGGATCCAGACCATCATCAGCTCCAACCAGGTCGTCCACCATACGATGCATCGCATTGTCCTTAGCCAGCGCAGTCGAAGCCGAATCAGAGGCTGCCGCAACGCTATGCGACTTCTGATCTTCGGGAATCGAGATTTCCGGGGGGATCAGGGGTAAGTCTACTGCCTGTACAGGAAGGACAGGAGAACCATCGGCCCTGTTACTTGGGCTCGCCAGAAGCTCTGACGGCAGGCCTTCTTCACGATAGATGAAGCGCGAGCCAGCCAGGTCTAAAGGGACATCTGCATTTTGTGTCAAGAGAAGGCCATCGATGAGTAAGTCTTTAACCCGCATAAGCATCTCGACGTTTGGGTGGTTCCGCTCCAGATCAGTCCATTTTCGCTTCATGGTGTCGCCAACATACCATAGTTTCAGCGTGTCTGGTGACATAAGTGGCTGGAAGCCAATGGTATCTGTATCTTCTTCAAGCATGTAACTCTCATCGGGAAGCTTTTCGACGGGAAAGCTCGAAGCTAAGAGGGTTAACGTTGCAGCGTAGGCCTTCCATAGCTCCTGAACATCAACGGTGGTCAGAGTGTTGGCGATGTTTGCGTGGAGCACTTGCCAGTAACGAGAAAACCATGTGCTATACAAGCGCAATCCTGGAAGGATACGACGGGCAACAGCGGTGATCTTGTCCGAGAGCTGTGTGGTGCGGTCACTATTCTGGTGCTTGACGTCGTCGCCCTCAGACAGGCGATCTAATTCCGGCTGGAGTACTTGGAGCAGAATAAAGAATGTCTTAACGTTGAGTCGGAGGTAGTAAAAATAAGTTCGCAGGATGTTTGCAGGCGGATTGGTAGCCCGCATCTGCACAGTCGTAAAATACTCAGCAGCAAGGTTGATAAGTATGATCTTTGTCAAGATGGAATCCAAGGGACGCTCCTTGAGCTCGATGGCCAAGTGACTTAGCACTTCACCTTCCAGTTCTTCGTGAGCAGCGAATTCCTCGCCCTTGTAGATTCTACTATGCAAGCGAATAAACCAAGCGATAAGGGCGCGGCCAGCAGTATTGGTGTCAGAGGATTTGTGATTGTTAATTAATTGTCCCTTGTCCCATGCAGCAATGACTCGCTTGAATTCGACCTCGAGGTTTGCCTTGGCTTGTGGGTGTGGCGACTTGCTTGCAAGCGAGCGATAGAGGTGATAGACGGAGCGGAAGTGGTCGCCATCCTCGCGGGAGATGACGGCAAGTTGGTTATGCGCATGGCCTGAGTCCGGGTGTATCTCGGCTGCCAGACCATAGTATCCTTTAGCGGGCCCCCAATTGCGCTCCTTGTCTTTCTCGACAAGCTCCGTTTCGCGGTAACGCGAGAGGTCACCAAGTTGAATTAGGGTCTGGTGGCAGGAGAGAAGGACCTGGTCTTTCAGTGTGGCGGGGATGCGCGGGCGCGGGGAAGTCTTGGAAGCTGGTGTGGTGTGAGCAGCGGCGTGGCCGGAGGGGTAAGTGTGCCTACAATCATCCTTCCACTTCTGTGCAATCTTGCGCAGCTCTGGCAGCCCGTCAAACTGGGCGTCGAGGTTTAGTATATACTGGCGGTAGAAGCGCTGGCTGGCCTTTATGAAGTGGAGATAGAGCTTCTGGAACTTCCTAATCTCCACAACGTGGTCCTTGGAGCGTTTGAGCTGCCCGTCTATCAGTACATGTTCCTTGCTCTGTTCTGCAAAGTATGACACACGATCTTGTGTTCCTGCCTGAAAATGGCGTTGACCTTCAGATGCGCCGCCCAGAGCTTTTGTTCGATTTCGTGGGCCGAGGCGTACTCGAAATTGGCGAAGGTGAGAGTCTCACAGGCGGTACGGTACCTGTCCTGTGTTAGTGGCTACGAGCATGGGGTAGTGATGGTTGCCTCCTACTCTTGCAGTACGACAGCCAGCTCGGCGCACGAGGATCCGTCTTCGGCGCGCTTGTTGAGCTCCTGTTCGATGGCCTTCGCCCGCCTGCTATTCTTTAGCACCATGCTACGAAGTTTTTCAATATATTATGCGCGCACCTGTCAAGTTGTTCGGTGTTGGCGGCCATGCCTTCTATACACATAGGCCGGTGACGTTCATATGTGACCCCACGGTCGGCCGGTAGGTCAGACGAAGGCACGGAGCAGTCGGCGAGCGTTGTGGCTGGCGTGCTCCATTTATGATGCGGTTTTCTGCCCCGGGATGAGGACAAGCAGCGAGCAGGAAGGTCTCAGAAGCAAACAGCGCCCAAGACGCGAGTGCGGCGACAGAGTGAGAGGGCGGTTAGGTAGAGGGCGGTCGTGAGGTGTGAGAAACTAAGGTTGAGGTGACTCGCCAACTAGCCGGGCAATTGGGTGGCTTCACCGCCAAGACATAAGGGTACCGCATCTCGGCCCGCTCTTCAGATGGCTACTACTGTAGACTTGGTCGGACCTCACTCACCGACCCCTCAGACAGACAGACAGACAGACAGCCTGCGGCGTTGAGACAGCCTTGCGAGACAGCCAGGACGTGCATCGGTCAAAGGTACAGCCCTCTTTCATACCTCGCCGCCCATCACATCACAATCAGACATCACTCACTCAATGGGAGTCAAGCGCTCACACCGGGACTCTGCGTCGTCATCAGAAGACCCTAGCACGCCGTATCCTCCCCAGCAGTCTGTCTCTGTCAAGCTTGTCCACTTGGATGCAGACTCGGCCATTTCTGATCAACCCGCTGTGATGAGGTGCTCGCTTCCCCCACATGAGCCTCTTAGCTTTGCTTCGTTCGACGAGTACGATGTGCACTACCGGAAAACGCATGTGAACCGATGTTCCGAATGTCATAAGAACTTTCCAGATGAGCATCTGCTACTATTGCATATTGCGGAATACCACGATCCCATTATTGCTGCGAAGCGGGATCAGGGCGAGAAAACGGTAGGTGCTTTGTCTTGATATCTCTTTGCCCGCATCGTATCTCATTTTTATTTCGCCCTCGAAATACTTGCCTATATGAAAGGCGTGGACATGCGGTATGTCGATAGCCCTTTTACGAATCGTATGACTGATAAGTCACAGTACGCATGTCTCTTGCCAAGTTGCGATCGCCTGTGCAGCACACCGCAGAAGCGTCGCCTCCACTGTATAGACAAGCATCAGTTTCCCCGCAACTACGATTTTGTCATTGTAAAAGATGGAATCGACCGGCGGAACAGCATGCTAATCCCTCGTCATCATCGGAGGAGCTCCAATTTCAGCTCCGCAGGTGGCATCACTGAAGCCACTGGGAGGCAGAGAGGTGAGTCTTCTGCGGGCACTGTGTCAGAGAGCATGGATATTGTAAAAGACAAGGAAGAGGATCAGAGTGACGTGGACGAGGAAGAGGAAGACGGAAAAGACGGCGAATGTAGGCGTTATCCTACTAGGCTTCATGGGCGCGGCGGATTTGGCCATGCTCAGGGGAGTAGTCGTGGACGTGGACGAAGCATCTCAACGACCTATCCTTCGCAGCCGGCTCCAGCCACAGTTACTCCGCCCACAGATCCAATGGAGAAGCTTGCTTCCAGTATGTCAGCGCTGCAGTTTGTTCCTCACAGTGTGCGGGTAGCCCGAGGAAGAGGAAGGGGAAGAGGCGTTTGACAGGCCTTTGGTATGCGGGTCGCGCCATATGCCCTAATGCCAAAACCACAGGACTTCCTAAGAATGCTGCATCTCACCAGACCCTATGATGTCCTTGTCTTAGTGATGTTGCACTGCTCTGTTCCTTCTCAGCTTCACACGTGGCTTGGTCACATCAACATTCCAGAGCTCTTCGGCCGGCCTCCTGTACACACAACACCAACACACAACACCCCGTACCCGCCGTTATCTGCCGTCTTTGCCGCGCGCAACTATTGCGGTACGTATCTATCTGCTCAAGCTATCAAGAACGGCGCTAATCGCGTCAACTGCACCACTACAGCCTCCGCAATGTGACCGTCGTTTAGGCGATGGAACACATCGCTCGGCTACACTACGCGTACCGCAGCCTCCTGCTATTGTTAGACCATCTACAGACCTTCCGCCTAGTGAAAGCAGAGTGCAGCCTTCTCCCCTGCTGCCATGTGGCCGAGCTACGCGTGATTACCACCGCGTCGCGACAATTGCCCAACAGTTGCCTGCACGCAGTCGTACTACGCGTCCGAGCCCCGAATGTCCTCAGGACAATTATGAAATCGACAACCGTCACGCGCTGCACCATCGCAAATGAGATCCTCCGCCGGAGGAAGCAAATCGAACACGACAATCGTCACCCCCACAATCACCCCGAATACAGCGCCGACCTGATCAGTATATCGATCGAAGACATACCGCCCACGAGAACACGCTCCGAGCGAAGGACAGAGCCATCTGAGTTGTCAACAGCTGACGAGCAGGGCATCGTAGAGCCAGGTAGCATTCATACAAGTGCGCTCAATAATACCAGCGCGCCGTCAGGTAAGCTATAGCAATGGCTAGTGATACTTCTGCGCGCCTAGAGAACTCGAAGCTAATTAGACGTCGATAGCGCAACGTCGGAAGTCGAGCATGTGGAGACCCGGGCTATTTGCCAATCAACAGAACAGTGCTATATTTGCAGCGTTGCAACGAGAAGTGGCAGGCAGCGCTCGAATAACACAGTCTATACAATCAGCACCGTATGAACGATTGAGTGGATCTACACAAAACGAGTGCCCAGATTCACAAGAAGAGGTGCAAAAGCGCGTGGGAACACCCCAGCCAAGAGCACATCTGCTAAATGAAAAGGATCTTCTCGACACTACTTTTCGTTTCCCGCCGACCGAGAACACTTTTAGCAATCACGAGCAGCACAGCATAAACTCCGAAAGCAATCCTCCACGTGCATACCCAGAGGCTCCGCGGGACTACACATCACCAGTATCAGATATCACATTGTTTGAAGAGCCCGTCATATGCTCTCTAACCCAGCTAAAAGGTGGCGACGGTCATCAGTCCTATGTATCCTGTGAAGGGGCAGAACAGCATAGTGAGAACGACGAAGCCTCCCCCACGCCTGTTCCAAGACGTCGTGTACGGCAACAGCACGAACTGCCAATCAACCCAGCCCTCAGTGCCGCACACTCGCCTTCAATACCGCTCCGAGCCAGAGCCAAGACGAACGAGGGTATGCTCCAATTATGGGCTAACTCTTCTAAAGAGCCAACTACCATAGTACCTGCCCATCGACATCGACACAAACTCTCCCTGAACCTTCCTGTTATAACATCCATTCGTCGACCTGATGGCATTCAGCAATCTGAGCTCACCCCGGGAAGAACCAAATCCCCCCGTAGTACGCGGACACGCGATGCAATAAGCACCTTGATGCTAGCAGAGCGAGAACTGGAGTACAAGCACCGGCGTATCTTCATTGGCACTGCATCCCTCGACGATCTCCTCGAGCTACTAGAAGTCTCTCCCGAGCATACTACAACTAAATATGCAGTAGCGAAGGCGTTCATGATCCTGTCTTCCGACGAGCAACTCTACGCACGGCAATGCTCCAGAAGGCCAGAAGGCTGGGAGCTCGTATCGAGAGTTACACTAGACCTTACAGATACCGACTACGTAGCGCAATCACAAATCAAGCTAGGATCAATAACCCTACGGCAATTCTTAAACTTAATACCCTTCGACGAGGAAGAGGTGGAAGCACTGCGTGTCATTGAAGCGTTTTCTGCGGCTAGCCATATGGATGTGAAAGCTAGTGTTGGCACGGGAAGCAAAGCAAGAGCATTCAGGAGCTGGATGGTAAGCCTGGAACACACTGAGCGCTGAGGGCCTCCACTTTGCCCAACTTGGCGTTGCATGATTGCATGAAGATATCTTTTCGAGCGGCTTGATTTGAGTGAAATGCCGGTTGGCCAGATTCGCGCCTTTTTTATATACCTCTCGTTTGATACCCCGTCGTATAATAACATGTCCTTTCCTGATCACGCCTTTCTTCTGTGCATGTCCACACTCTCTTATTAGACTCTATATCCTCTCTGGGTCGGTTGTGCTACTCACAATTTGGAAAGGCGACAGCGCGCACGGGCAGACGCCACAACCCGATCACGTGTTTTCACTTTCACTTTCACTCTCACAGGAATGGTGCCCCTCCCCTTACTAAGCTGCTAGCCTCCGACCTCTTAGTCCTTTCGCGCACTTCCTCCGACCACAGTCCTACATCGACAATTTCGACAATCTCAACTGTAGGCATTGCGACTCGATTCTCAACTATCTCAACGACAGACCTTGCGACTCGACTCTCAACCCTTTCACTCAAGGTACGCTCTTGCCCCGCACCCCTCTTATTACTTTCTCCCCGTCCACTCCTCTCCCATTGATCTTCTCCGTTCACATTGGCCAGCTACTCACAAAAGCAAAGCTCAGATCAGGACCACCTCCTCCACGTTATCCGAGCATCAATCTGCATATCTGCAGTTGTAGTCAGCAGTCTTTACTCAAGGTAACTACTGACCCCGCCCACCAATTCGTTCCTTCTGGTCGGACACCTTTCGACCTCATGCTTACACCTGCGCAGCAACAACTGTAACCATGTCTCCTAACGCCCTGATTGTCTCCGCCTATCACGGCCGTAATGAGGCTATGTTCGACCCTACCCAGTCCTCTACCCTCTCCATCTTCGCCGGCAAAGCCGCGTACCAAGGCTTCAAAGCCGCGAACATCCAGAAGTTCCGCTCCGACGCCATATCCTTCATCGTCGACTTCGCTTTCGAACTCGCCCAGCACGAAGCCGATGAGCTCGAGGGCGATATCCGCTTTCGCGCCGGTACATTCAACGCTCTCTTTGTGCACCTTGCCTTGAATGAGTCTGGCTTCCGTGAGCAGTGCGTGCCACCTGAGGATCACGACATCTTGACGCTCGCCGAAGACCGCCATAAGCTCAAAGGTTTCTTTGGTGGCCAGGAGATCTCGGCCTTTCCAGATGACTTCAATGATAGACCTACTGCGGACAGCAAGCACGATGATCAGCTCCCAGTCCCTCAGATCAACGTCAAGGTCGCCACGAATGTAACTGCGCCGATGCAGAACACCACCGTGTCGAGTAGTGGCACTCAAGTCGCCGTTTCAGAGTCGATCAACACGAAGACCGATTACAAGAAGGTGATGAAGAACATCGTCGCATCTGAAAAGTTGGATACTCGAACTCGACTTCGGCGTGTGTACGAGCAGCACCAGGAGACGAATAGGGCAGGGTAAGATAAAGCTGAGCAGTTCAAGAAGGTGCTAGAGGCAGTCAACCAGGAAGAGGCTATCCGCGCCAAGCTGTCCTCAAGGGATAATCATAAAGAAACCTCTCAAGAAGAGACGACATGCCACAAGACCATGTCGAAGGACCTGGCTGAGAAGGTCCTCTATGCAAAGAAAGCTGTGATCGCCAACATCGCCACCACAAAACTCGACGTAAACATCCACACCAACCAGCGCGACTACTGGATCCATGCGTTCGTAGACCTCTTCCCCGATATGTCTCGCAGCGAATGTGCGGCCCGTGTTGCGGCAATGGAAGCCCGCGAGGCCACGGATGACAACAAGTCACCTTGGGATGTCAAGTGGCACTCTTACGCCTACGTTCGAGACTCTCTGGGTTGCAAGCTGGCCCCACAAACTTTCATGCCTGTCTTGCTTGGGTTGTCCAAGGGCTGCGAACACTTCAGGGATGTTTTTTCTGAGATCCAGCGCGAATCGGTTGTGGCAAGTGCACCGACGGAGGCCATCAAATCGAGCATTGCAGCGCCTACTACTCCCACCACCACCGCCGCCGCCAAGAGTGGCGCTCACCATACGTCAGTGTTGCAGCTACCGTTGCCGGTTGGAGACCTCTCTGTGCTCAACCCGTTCGGCCATCTCAAGGTGGACGACAGCTCGCCACAAGACAGCTCGCCTAAGAAGAAGACTACCAAGACGCCTGATCGACAGTTCACCTTTGGCAAGAACATGCGTAAGGCACCAACATCTACTAAGCCACAGACCGCCCATCCCTTCAGCAAGAAAACCTTCGACTTCAACGCGCCTCTCGAGTCTGCACCAGTCAAGCCTAGCCATTCGATGATCTTCGGCAACGCGAGCAAACCGAAATTTCATCCAATTGACAACAACATCTTTGCGCGCGCAGCTCTCAACCGTCCAGGCTCTGAGTGCTTCAGCTTTGCTTCTGGTCAGTCTGGTGGCCAGGCGGCATCAGGTTCATTCCGCTTTGCCGCTGGTAGCAACTCACCACCGCCATCGAAGCCTGATGGTTCTGCGACAAAGACCTTCCCTGTTGCTGATGTCGGCAAGAACTTCTCGATATCCTTGGACAACACTGCCCCGACGTCTTCACCTCGTCAGTCAGACAGCAAGCAGTTTGCTCTGACTGACGGAGCGCAGAAGAACGCACATCAGGCTTTCGTAAGCACTGAAGAGGAGCAAGCAGTGTATATCGATGCCGCTGCTGCGACGGCATCCGACAAAGATAGCACTGACCAAGAAAAAGTGGATTTCTTGAAGTATAGGGATATCCTTGATGAAGACATCGCTTCTTCGGATGAAGACGAAGACGTTGCTGGTGAAGAAGTGGATCCCCTCGAGAAATACAAGGACCTCCTTGATGAAGAAGATGAGGATGTTTCCGGTGACGAAGCTACCCTCAGCGGCGACAGTAATCCAAGCACACTTTCGCAATCTGTCACCAACTGCCTCGGCGATCGAGTCGACTACATCCCCGCCCTACACACCAAAGCTCATGATAGCTCCCTTCCTGGCAACATTGACATCCAGCAAGACAGTCTCGCGCCAACGACATCCCCCACCGCCATCGCAATTACATCCGCGGGTGCAAAGCACAACGATGACGCAGCCGCCTATGGCAACATCAATGCCTACGAGTACCTTGTCCAACGCGACCATGAGATACACGATACAGAAGATGATTTGTACTCATCTGAAGATGCCAGTGAGACAGACCACGAGCCGAACTCCTCCGAAACTGGCCTTTTCGATCGCGAGGTATCACCGAACGATACCAACACGACTTCTCCTACGCTGGAGTCAGTGTCTCAGGACATGATTGAGGACTATGTCCTCGAGACTTTCCGTCGTGTGGCGGAGCTAGAAAATGACAGTCGGGTTCCCAACGAGCCACAGGAAGACATAATCGACGAGTTGCATCAGTCTGAGATCGAGACAAAGATCGCGACATCAGATATCGACTCTTCTAACGAATCGCCACTCCACGATGTTGATATGGTCAGCCTGGTCCCCACGTCGCAGATGAGCTCCAAGCTCCCTCCCCTGGCTCTATCGACCGAGCCCCTAGAAGACCTTGAGGCCTGGGCAATAGACGCGCTCGATGATGCATTTGGACCTTCCAATGCTCCTTCCTATGCCCCTCCTCAGCACCCGACCTTGGTTCTGGATCAAACCGCATTCCACGAGCTCTTCGATCCAGAGTTGCTATTGGGATCTTTTGGTACCTCCACCGATGTAACAGACGAACCTCTGAAAGACGAGGTGCAGCTGCTTACGCAATTGGAGCACTTGTCTCTGGCGGATATTATCGCTAATACGAAAGGCGATGTTCAAGCACCAAAGCAAGTTTCTCCAGTCGACACCAAGCGGAAGGCCACCCAACTTCTCGACTTTTCAGCGATCACAATGATCATCAATATTGCAGTCGAGCCTAACTTCGGTTGTCTCGCTAGCCATAAGGCATGTCGCCCAGGCAAAGACACGCCATCTAGCGCACTTTCGCCTGATTCGGTGTTGGTAAGCAACTCCATGTGCCCAGTCAATGAAATCCATACTAACAAGGTAAAGTCTACCAAGTCCACATTGGATCACGCAACTCCAAACTCACTGGACATGAAAGTCCCCGGCGCTCGCACAATCAAGCCAAAGGTGACAGGCACCAAGTTGGCTTTGCTAGCGCCAGCCACGATCAACAACCATTGACGGTGTCCCCGCGTCTCGGGAGCACGAAGGATGCATGATAGGCGGGATTATGATTCGACAACTTCGCGCTCCCACAGAGAGAGACCTGCCGACCGATGCGATGAACGACAAACGATGGATTCCAACAATAACGATGAAGATGACCCCTTGGAGCATGTTACACTACACAAACACGCTTTATATGTCCGCTATGAGGCGTGTAACATTCGCATTGCCCTCCCTTCTCTCCAGGCGCAACATAGGCGTCTTACACTCGGGTTATCGTCATCTACATTGGTTTATCGCGCAACGGTTTATGGTCTCTCTCTTCCTCTCACTGGGGGGGAAATCTTATGGATAATGACAGTCACCACTTGGCCCGACTGTCAAAGTTTATTGCGCCCACTGGAAACACAACAGTAGAAGTATTTTCAATCCAGGCTTTGGGCGCAAAATCAAGGGTTCAGAATTCTTGAATTTGATTTTTAGTTTGTTCCGACAACAGTTGTCGGAGGGGAATACGTGTATATCCAAGGTTGAAATCTGGGCCGATAATATTTGTCGGTATATGTATCATATACATACTAGGATTACTGCGGAGTACATGGGGATTTGGGTAGAGCAAGCTTGAAAGATGAATGTAAATCTTGGAAGCTACCATTATTTGCGTGCTTTATGCTGTGATGTTGAAATGTGATGCTTTAATCAAGCGCAATTCGAATACACCATCAATGGGAAATCCTTGGCTCAGAATCTCAGAACCCCGAGAAAAAGAACCGACCACGGCATCTCTTTCTAAAAACATTATCATTTTACATGACTATATCATACCGTGTCCTACTACTCGATGCGTAGTTACCGGTACCGTAGTTCTGATGAAAGTGAACCAAGGAAAGGTTCACTTGACCAATTTTGCGTCTAGCGAGCACAATAATCGTGAGTTTTTGGAAATCAAGAACTTATAAAGTATCTACAGTCTGCTCATTCTTTACTACTTAGCACATCACTTACGACTATTCAAGACAAATTCCAACAATATTTCACACTTACTTTTCCAAGACACCCTTAACATGTCTTCCTCTCCCGCTACCATCTCCCTACAAGGGAGCAAGATCATCCTCGAGGAACACACCTCCCGTTCCTCCACCGCCTACGCCTGGTCGCAGAGGAAGAAATGGATACTCCTCACTATGGTCGCATTCTGCCAGGTCAGCATGAACTTCAATGCTGCCGTCTACTCCAACGCCGTCGAAGGCATCAACACCACCTTTGGCATATCCAATGCCCGTTTAGGCATGGTCGCTTTTCTTATCCCATACGCCATTGGGTGTGAACTCTGGGCTCCGTGGTCTGAAGAATTTGGAAGGTGGCCAATCATGCAGGCAAGCCTTAGCCTCACGAATATCTCGATACTGCTGTGCGCTCTTGCAAAGAATTTTGGCTTGGTTATCGGTGGCAGAGTAATGGGTGGACTAAGCTCGGCGGGTGGAAGTGTGACTATGGGAATGGTAGCTGATATGTTTTCTCCTGAAGACCAGCAATATGCCGTACTGTGGGCTTCCCTCTTCAGCTGTCTTGGTGCCGTATTTGGCGGTATCGGCGGCGGTCCCATCCAACAGTACCTCCCCTGGCGCTGGAACTTCTGGATCCAACTCATCTTCGGCGTTGCTACCCAAGTGCTTCACCTGGCTGTGGCAAAAGAGTCCCGTGCAACGATTCTGCTTGACCTCGAAGCAAAAAGACAGCGTAAACTAGGCGCCTCAAATGTTTACGGTCCGGACGAAGTCAGATCCTGGAAGGAACGCCTGCACCCAAGGGAGATTATGACAACCATATGCCGGCCATTCCAGATGCTCTTGTTTGAGCCTATCGTCTTGTTTCTCTCCTTGTTGAGCGGATTTGCAGATGCGCTTATCTTCAGCTTCTTTGAAAGCTACGCATATGTATTTCAGCAATGGAGCTTCACGCCGACACATATATCCCTTGCACTTGTCGCGCTGGCCGCTTCATATGTTATTGGATACTTCACCTTCTTCCCGGTCATCGCCCGCCACAACGCACGCCGCAGCAAAGGCGAGCAGCTTAGTCCCGAGGCCCGCCTAAAGCCGCTTCTCTTCCATGTCGTCCTCTTGCCAGTCGGGCTCCTCATCTGCGCATTCGTGGCTACAGGTCCGCCTCTCCACTGGGCCGGTGTCATCATTGCATCCGTTATTATTGGTATCGCGAATTTTGCGATTTACTACACCACAATCGATTATATGGTCGCCGCGTACGGACCCTACAGCGCCTCCGCAACAGGCGGCAATGGCTTCATGCGCGACTTTCTCGCCGGCTTGTGCGCTCTCTACACGGGCCCGTTGTACCACAGGTTGGGCATCCGCAATGCTTATCTCGTCCTGTTTGGTCTTGCGGTCCTGTTCTGCATCCCTGTCTACGTCTTCTACTTTCAGGGAGCTAGGATTCGTGCACGCAGTAAATTTGCCAGCGAGTTGGCGAGCAAGAAGGAGGAGCAGTCTGGCGGGAATGACGGGATCGAGATGGGGGACGGGGTACTGGCTATTTCTACGCTTCAGGAAGTTTAAGGCTATGGGAATCGACTATACATGGGTGATTTATGTTGTATTTGCCTATAGTATATAAGTGAATATTATAAAGACATGGAATAGTAACTTGTGCAATGCCCGTGATGAAGACGAAGGTCATGACATGAAATTAAGAACGTCGCCAATAGGGAGTGCGTCATTGATAACGTAAGCAGCGTTCGGCCAAAGAACATCATAATCGTAGGCGGCTCGCTTGGCGGCCTCCTTACTCCTATCGCCCTCAAAGGAAATCGCATAGACCTCAACATCCACCTCTTTTAACGTAACTCCGCACCTCCTCAACAAGACCAGGGCGCTAGCTTAGTTCGCGCCATCTGCCATGCTTAGTGGAAGCAGAGCGTTGTTACTCGGCGACGCGATGGCGGTCTTAAGACTGCATACAACAATCAGCACTTATCATGCTGTGAAAAATGCCACGAAGCTCGCTCGAGCGATTGAGAAGATCATCAATGGCAAAAGGATCGAAGAGCTTCAGGTATGGGTGAGAATAATGTTCCGATATGCGAAGTGCATGCAGAGCCATAGCACACGGGCGGGAAACCTAAGTCAATTCAACGTGCTCCCAAAGCGCCTCAAGCGCCCTAGAATATAGCGTCTAGAGAAATCAGTTGTTTTGGATATTAGTATTCACTGGCCGCTTCGAATCGGTCAATAAAAACCCTTTTCATTCCAGTTGAGAATCGCAAACGCATTCAAATATGAGGTAGCTATCAGGGTTGGCGGACAAGATGAAACTATGCCCACTCAAAACGACTTTCAGCTTCTTCCATCTCAGTCTGGCGCCGATTGTATGTCTATCTGTTTGCAAAATATCCGCTCCTTCCTCATCAGTACTCACCTTCACCAAACAATCGCGGCACACGTAAGTGACCCAGAGAACTTCAATAGCCTTTGCATTTCACTCAGCTTCACATTTCCCATCTCATAACTTCGAACTTTACAATTTATTTTCGTCAACCTCATCTGCCGTTATAAGCTTCGCATAATCCCAACAAGATGTGCGAAGAGCCAACCAAGCCGGAGATGCCGGACTATTACTTCGATCTGGGTTTAACCCAGGATGCTACAAGGTCGGAGATTAAGAAAGCATTTCATAATCTCGCATTATTGCACCATCCTGACAAAAAGGCTCCCGGTGAGAGCGTCGATGCGGTGGAGTTTCGCCAGGTCAGAAAAGCGATGTGAGCAAACCCCACAAAGATACTAATAAACGGCTTTAGGCAAGAGAAGCATACGAAGTCCTGACCGACAACGACGAGAAAGACACGTATGACGACGACTACGTATGGGTCCAGTCTGATTGGATACGATACCGTCGCAAGTTGAAGGACTGGGAGCAATATTTGGAGGAGGAGAGGCTGCGGATAGAGGCTGAAGAGCAAGCTCGACGACAGGCTGCAGAAGAGCATGACCGACGTCAAGCAGCTTTGGAAGCGGAGCGGCGTAGGAAAGAAGAAGCAAAGAAGAACCGACAGGACCCCGAAGATTGCGAAACCCGTCGTAGCAACTTCGCCGAGTGGGCCTTCCGTCAAGCGGAGAGACTAAAAAAAGAGGCCATAAAGCAAGAGGAGGTAGACAGGCAGCAGCAGGAGTTTGAAGGAATGGACAGGCGTAGAAAAGCTGCAGAAGCGCAGGAAAAGAAAGCCGAAGAGCAGCGAAGGAAAGTCAAGGAGTGGATGCGACCAAAAGAAGCGCAGAAGGAAGAAGATAGGAGACGCCAGCGAAGTGCTGAGCGCGATCAACGTAGACAGGCCAGAGGATATGGCCCAAGAAGTCACGGAGGACTCTGTCCATGCGCACAGTGTGTATACGACCATTGGGTCGAGGCATACAAACAAGAAGTAGCGGAGGCTAAGCGACTATCCGAAGAAGCAGCGCAACGTGCACGCGAGGAAATGGAACGTAAAGCCAAAGAACATTTAGAAAAACAGGCAGCAACAGAAAAGAACAGGCAAGAGCGCGAGAAGAACAGACAAGAGCGCGAAAAGAAAGCCCACGAGCGCAAACAAGCAGCAAAAGCTAGAGCGGCCGAGACGAAAACTCAAGCAACCGCCCAAAAGCAGCGCGAGGAACAGGAAAAGAAGGCGCGGCTACGTATGGCTAACGAGCATATCCACAAACAACAGCATGCCTACCTGAGCACTCTTGCAGAGAGTGGACAAGAAGTTGGAACCACCGATGTTGTTATTGACATTGGATGGATCAAGAAGAAAGGTGTGGCGGAATGTCTGTTCTGTGGTAATCGTATCAATTACTTTTCGTTCCATTGTCCTGAAGGGGGCATTGTCCTGAAGGGGGCGCTGTGGCGTGCAATCCGTGCAAGTTGCAGCTCAGTCAATACACGCCTGCAAAGCAAGATATTGCGGAAGTAGATAGCGAAGCCAAAGGTCTGTCTGAACTTGAGCTAGATGAGAATGACAGCCAAGGTTAACTGGCGATGTTGAGGGACAAATGTGAAGGAAGCAGAATCTCTCGTAAATTTCAGCGGGGCGGGAGATGAAGAACATGTGTTGCAGAATGAGATCATGGACTTGGGGGTGGGGGTGGGAACATATGGTTCAAGTAGAACTGTCCGTATGGACTGTACTAAAGAGCAACTCTACGCTTTTCGGGATAGCAGTCTTCCTTCGCGTATATATCAGAGTGCCCTGCTCATCAGTCTCCTCGTCCAACTACTCTTCTCTTCTTATAGCTTAAGCGTTACAGACTTCTATAATAACACAACACATTCCTGCACACGGAGGTCTGATATCATCGACAGGGGAAAACAAAACGTTGAGGCATGTTTTCATATTCAGTCTATTATAGTCAAAACGCATCATGACCACAACCACATTAAGGGTAGTTCCACAACGACAGTCACTAACCGAAAGCAGGATATCATGCAATGCCACAATTAAAAAGAAGGAGAGGGAGAGAGAGAGAGGAAAAGGGAAATCAGCAAAGGAAAGAGATGCCTTCCTTCAAACGAGAACGCTCAATTGCAACTTCTTCATATTTACAAGCCCGAATCACCATTTATCAGTATCCCGTTGGGGAACTTGCTCTTCCTCCACGTACTGAATTTATTACAATTCTGCTGCATGGGCTGTAGACTGCCTATGGAGCCGACTATCTCGCTCTCGCGCTCGAGGAATTGTACGCCCAGACCCGCAGCTATGTGGAAGGGGATGTGGCAATGCATGAGCCACGCGCCGGGGTTGTCTGACTCGAAGGCAAGGACGAGGTAGCCTGCAGCAGGCAGTGTCGCGGTGTCGCGACGGATGGGATTGTCTGTTTTCAGACGCGAGATGTCACCGTTCCACACTGCGTTTTCTTGGTGGTCGAGGACGTAGAAGTCGTGCCCGTGAAGATGGATCGGGTGGGGTAGGGGAGGGCTGAAGGTAGCATTGTCCATTTGGATAACCCAGTACTGCCACTTGGAGTGGGTTAGTCTCTGCAATGAATGGGTTGTGTAAGGGGGGAGATGACCGTACCTCATGCTTCTCGCCAACTGTGAAAACGTGCCTGCTGGTTGCGAAGCTGCTGTTTTTCTCGACCACGGCCTGTAGGGTAGGACTGTCAAGATCGACCGTCATGGGCGTGCCGTTCACCAGCCATTGGACAAGGTTACCCTGAGCCGCCGTGTTGGTGAATCCGAACTTGAGCTCCTTGGGCAGCTTGCTGGGTACGATAGTCTTGCTGTAGGGAACAACGTTCGCTTCGTCATAGCATCCGCCCGGTAGCGGAATTGCTGCCGTTGAGTTACTGGGGTTTTCACTCTTGGCACCGACATATCGGAAAATGCTACGAGTGTTATTCCCATTCGCATTGGGACCATCGCATTTCCCACCGCCAGTACCCACGCGCAGCCAGTAGTTGTCGACCGTTTCGGTGGCGTTGATGATGATGTCATACCGCTGGCCTGAGACATAGTCAGTGAAACGTTACTTGCATGTGTGCATATTCGTGGCTGGGGTACACGAGGCTGGGCGTGTGAGGGGGAAACGTCAACGTACCCACTGCTAACACGATGGAAGTTGCTTTGTACGGTACAATGGGAGTGAAATCAGCCGAGATGACTGTGAAGGGATGTCCGTCCAGAGCGATGTGGACATAATTATTGATTCCAGTGTTTATCACACGCAAGAGATGCGTCTTTCCTGGCGTGAGCGTAGTGACGGCATATTTGCCTCCGAACGTTGATGTCATTGTACCGTTGATCAAAATATTGTCGGCAGTCGGGGGTCCGGCAGCGTGGAGAGATGCGGCATTGACCGTAAAGATGGGTGCATGGAACCAATCCGTGATCGGCAACACGCCTAGATCAATGTCATAGTTCGCGGTGGCTGGGCCGTTGATAAGCATGCTGCCCACCAGCCCATCGCCATATTGCACTGAATGATGCGAGTGATACCACTGACTTTGTTAGTGTGCACTGAATGAAAAAGCACTGTTCAAACTTACGGATGTGCCGTACTGCGTTGCCTTGAAGCGATAGACTGTAGTATCCCCTGGCGCAACTGGGCACTCAGTAATGCCATTGACCCCATCCATCTCGTTTGATCCGAGTTGTCTTAAGCCATGCCAATGAATACCTGTCCCGTTAGTTTCAAGTTTATTCGTCACAGTGATCTCGATGTCGTCGCCCCAATCTGCCACTATTGTCTGCAGAGCGTCAGCATCATGAATGTCGTTCTTCGGATTCAGCACTTACTGGGCCAGGGTATTGTCCGTTTACTAGCAGCATGAGTCGCTCGAAGCCGTCGGGGGCTAGTGTGGTATTCGTGATGTCCAAGTGGTACTTCGGATGTTAGCATGGCTGAACGTGACATTTCTGATTGACAAGACTTACTTTTACCGTCTTTCCAGTGTTGGGCCACTGGAGATCCATATCAGTGTCGATGCTGAAATTTCCATTCCAGCATCCTCTCGACGATGGTCCATGATTACATCCTGATCCCGTTTGAGAGCCGACTCGTTTTCTCTGGCCAGCCCAAATTCCGTGCTTTCTCCATGGTACTCTCGGTGTGAGAGGCTCCGCGGGGAGGGCGAAAGAAGCAACAGAAGGCAAGAGGTAGAGTAGTAAGGCAGCTGCCTTTATCAAGGATGAAGGCATTATGAATTAGAAGAGCAAGAAACAAAGAATGTACATGTACAACCCAGAGCACGCCGCACGATTTAGCGAAGGATATGCAAAATGACTTGGGATAGAAAGCAGCCTGAACCAAATAAAGAGGGTGACACGAGCGATTATAACTTCGCCATGACAGTTTGCCCTGCCTTGGCTAGTAAGACGATCAATAGTCTAGAGGAAAGCACTACCAGTTGTGGAGAGCTGCCACGACTAGTACGATCCCACCTCGTGAAAGATGCCACCATGTCGGTGTGATTTCCAAGATCGTCATGATTAGGACGGCACGCGAGCGGTATAGGCGTTAGCTTGGTGTGGTAGCCTGGATGGTAAGAGGCAACTGCATATCAGCCTTGGGTAGATGAGCGGACATTTATGACTGGTTGCCAGGGTTCATACTCGGTTTTGTTCGTGTAAAAGGAGCGAATGCAGCTAGAGGTACCGAGCCAGGTATGTAGGCCTTGACCTAGTCGGGCTGCTGGTAAGCTCGGCGAGACAGAGCCAAGTGCTGAGTCGTACATGATGGCGGTGGATGCAGCAATCCTCCGGGCGGCCCTAGGCGGTGGATGCATGTTAGTTGCGCAGAAAGCGGGGACCGGAGGCGTAGATTGACATGCAGATTACTGAAGCAGGAGAACTCTTGCATAATGTTGGCTTCCAGCTATCCATGAGGTCAAGAGCTGTGTAAGCTTGCAAGGCGTTGTGGCTGACAACCGAGCGCGGGATCCCGGAAAAGGTGGGCCAAGGAAGCGGGTCGGTGCTATTTCCGCACGCACTAGGGCTTGTTGAGTCCTAGTGGCGTGAGCCATATCGGACTCTTGAAGAGGGGAGCCGAATATCATCATCACCACGCCGTACATTCGGCCTGTCAGTACACGCCTTCACCAGCACCCTCGGTCGACTAGTGCCAAGAGAGCACAGCAGGAGCGGCACGATGGTCCCCCATGAGCATGTCGTGCCACTGGTGACGCTCGCTGCCAGCCTCTTGACTATTGGACCCGCCAAAGCTGCGCTGGCTGCTTTCCCAACACATACCGGGTGCCGTTGGTGCATTTCCCAAACTCTCAAGTGGGCTTGCGCAGTCTCTCTCTAGTTCCCGTGTTATCAGAGACATTGCGTCTTTGATTCAGAATAGAACGGCCAGAAATCAACCTTGGCAATAGTTCAGCCATGAACATCTTGGGTTGACCGGATTTTGAGACTGGACGGCTGGCGATCGGTCCTGTAGTGTACAGTCTGCCGTATGTCGGGAAATAGGCCATAATCAGTGTTATTCCCTGCTCGTTGCCGCATTCGGATTGTACATGTAGTGATGCCGCAGCTACCTGCCCAGTACCCTGGACAGCAGTGCATTGTGCTCACACGTCCAGCATCGTACCGCTCGCGAGAGCCCAGTCATGACAGCAGGTGACATTCAACGGTCTCGTGTAAGATAAGACGCGCATGGCAGTACTTGGGCATGCAGACATATGTCGGTGGGTCTGACATGGACAGCGGTAACGCCACAATATTGGAGAATGCAGGCGTCCGTCTTGACACGCAGAGGAGCGTGGGATCCGGTTCCTTCCCGAGGGTTTGTACAGTGACCCCGACTTTAGTGTGTAGACTGGTCGACGTGCTCGGTTTGTATTTCCTCCTTGGTGCTGAAGACCTGAGCACGTGCAGTGTCAGCCTCGTCGTCAAACGATAACACTCTTGCAGTCCTGGTGTCACTGCAGACGTACTCCATGGTTCCAGCATGCTCATCGATGCCTCAACTGTCGTGACCAGCGCCTTCTGTCGGTAGAACAAGGTGTGTGTCGGTAGATTTTCATGCCACAATATCCGCATGAGGCATCGAGTCACTCTAGCTGTCGACGAAAACCTTGGTGGAACTGGCCCTTTCGTCCATCTCATGCTGTTATCGGTTTGGAAGGCGTTAGATAAAGTCCTGTTTAGGCAATGTTACCAGCGCTCACAGTCACTAACCTTGGATATCCGAACAGCATCAATATAAACTGGCCTTCGGTTTCGGAGTGGGCGATATCGAAAGGAGATATACCCCTAAGTATCGCGTAACCCTTGCTTCAGTTGCACCAGTGACTTGTCTGTTGAGATGTCGGTGTCGTGTGGTGTATCCTCCTTCCCTACGTGGTCAGTGAACACCACATAACCGTACAGTGCAGTGGATAAAGGCGACGTTCATGATACCAGCTTAGCAGAGATGAGGTTGAGTCTGAAGTCTTTCGTCGCGGTTTGCCAGATCTCGGGATGAGCAAGTTTATATCAAGGGCTCTCTCTTAGCGTGCAGAGGATTATGCATGATTTTCGAGCGTCGGAAGGGCAACGGCGACCATGGCGCAAGAGAAGCGCCCTTCCACATGTAAAGCATGTGGCTCGTACATGTCAGACGCGACTAGAGAAGCAGCTGAGGCATTGTGAGTTGGGATTGGAATGTGCAACGCACTGAAGGCTTCCACTGACGCGTCACATTCGAACCCGAACCGACCTCAACTGACGATCATTCGGCTTCACTATGTACATCGCCAAGCAGCGCTCATGTGCCAACAGAGAGTTCACAACCTATCATACAACGTAAACTGCTAGACATAATATCATATGTTCGACTCTTCCGCGTACTCATCATCACTGTGGCTCTTCCACTGCACCCAACGCCTGGCCAACCTTGACCTTCTTCCCTTGCTCAATGTTCCACTTGAAGCCACCTTGCCTAAGTCCCTTATACCCCTCGTCTAGGCTGGGTCTAGTTCCCTTCGGTGCCTCAAAGACAAGTACAATCGTGCTGCCCAATTGGAAACCACCCATCTCCTCACCACGTTTCAGCGCGTGGCCGCCCAGTACGCGGCTCGCACTAGTGTAAGAGGCTTCCGCAAAGCCAGAGTACGGTTCACCCCTTTCGGCGGCTTGCTCGGCGGCGCGGTCTGCGGCAGTATCAGTCGTAAGGCTGTTGGTGCGCAATTCTCGATCGAAATTTATCTTGATGGAGCCCACGTTCGTTGCGCCAACGGGTGTGTAGGAGAAGAAACCCCAACGCCAACGGCCGAGAAGTACGACGCGCTCATTCAAAGTAAACAGCCCAGGCATCGTGCGCTGTAAATACGGAGATACACTATACAATTCTCCAGCAAAGTGACGGCGACTCTCCACGACCCATGAGACGGGCGAGTGGAAGCGATGGTAGTCGCCTGGTGCGAGATAGATGACGCAATAGTAAAGTGCTGTTGGTGTTGTGACGGAAGCAGGCGCCCACCATGGCCGTTGGGCTTCGCTCAAAGCAAGATCGGCACGGACTTCTGCTTCGGAGGAGGCGGCTGGGGCGGTGGACTGGTCGGTTGGCATCTCTGCGGGCTTGCCGCCCTTTGGCCAAGGTCCAGAAAAGAGATTCGGCAAGGTATAGGATATGCCGTTTACGTTGGCGAATTCTTCATCTGCGCGTACAATGTCTTCTTCGGTTGTTGCGTCATGCTGCGAGCTGGATTTGATTTGCGAGTCTGCCACGTTATGCTCTGGCGTTGAAGGTTTGTTGGAACCCAGTAGAGCGTCCAGACTGTACGTCACACCCTTGACTTGTTCGACTTCACCATGCTCGATTATTCCGAATTGGATGACTTTGCCATCTGCAGGCGATAAGACGGCGTGGGGATCCGGATCTAGGGGGCGCGCTCCTGGCTTCAGAGTGCGGTAAAAAAAGGAGGCGAGATTTGGATAAACGTGAAGGTCTGGCTCTGAGACTTCTGATAGACTACGAATAGTAAGCATGGTGCGTAGATGTCAATTGGGGAGCATCACTGACTTTACGCCGAAGATGTACGAGTAGAGCTTGAAGCCAGGCACTCGTAGATAGTATGGAATGTCAATCTCATTGAAGCGACCCCATACTCGTGAGAGAGCCTTCAATGGTAGGGTTGACATGACCCTGACAGTCCTAGCAAGCATGTCAGTATATGGAGGGAAATTGGGGATGGTGTAGACCAACCATGGTCCGCTTGGCCGTATCCTTTCTCGCTTCTTCGGGCGACCTTGGTTATCTAATGCCGTCTCGTCATCCTTTTCTCTTTCTGCCTGTGTATGCTTCTCTCTTCGTTGTATGCGATAGATCTGGAATGCGCCCAGGAAGCCGATGCCTAGGGCTATTGGGATGGGTTCCCATTTGATCTTTGTGCTTTTCAGGGCCGAGTTCAGCCGAGAGCGGAACGACTCTTTCCTGTGGAAGTTCTGCTTATCGAAAGCGGCTCGAGTAGACGAGAAGGAGCGTGAAGGGAGGGAGAGGCGCGCATGGCAGAAGGTGGTACGAGGATATCGCGTCCTAGTGGGAGCTCGCATGAGCTGGCGGGAGCAGGACGAGGCCATGGCTAATTCATCTGCCTCGACGGTACACAATTGCCAACTGTTGTCTACTGTGTAGACGGTCGGTAGGCAAAAGACTGGCCGAGCAATGACGGAGAGGGCGTCGCATGAGAAAAGCAGAGCTTCGTCGTGAGCCAATGACGTAGCGCAAGCCGGGTTTAGCGCGCGGCCATGGGTCTCGGGAGAGCTGCAAGCTGTCGACGGTTGTGGAGTAGTAGACTTGTAGACTTAAGCAGACTGCCGGTCACATCGCGCGACATAGTAGATGTTTGTAATCATTGCTATTTGCGTCGCGTGAACAATATCATCCCGACACTGCAGATACACGCCTACCTTGATTCGCAGATGGCAGCAGCTACCAGTCCAGTCAACCGAGGAGCTGATTCGGACCTCTAAACGCAACGTATACAAACACGCTGCCACAACTGTGCCACTTCTTGCACTATCGCCACTCACTACTGTACGCGACCAACGGGCTACGGTCAACATGGCGGACGACGAGGCAACCATCAACCTCAGGATTCTCTCGCCATCGACCGAGGTGGAAGGCGGCATCTCTTTCCCAGACCTGCCCGCTTCGACGACAATCAAAGAGCTGCGGAGTCGCATACAGGATGCAGTGCCCTCTAAGCCTGCCCCCGGACACATGCGCCTGATCTACAGAGGCAGAGTAGTAGCGAATGATGAAGACACGCTGGGCAATGTCTTTGGTGCCGATAGCGTACGTTCACAGTCCACAGATTATATGTATACCTATGTATATGTATATGTCTAAGCTAACAGCAACTCCAGATCCGTGAATCCAACCAGCAAAGCCTCCACTTGGTCTTGCGAGAACCACCATCAACTGACACTCCCTCTTCCTCACCCGCCCCGCGGTCTTCCACCGCCCCACCAAATCCCTTCCGACCCGCTCAAGCTCCCATAGCTGCGAGCCCTCCGCTTCAGACCAATCCCTTTCGAACCATACCACAACCCAGACCAAACTCGCAACCGCAGATACCACAGCCGCACCATCACCACCCTCCACATCACCACATACAGGGCCCTCCCAACACGTTCCCAATACCCAATTTGGAGCAACATCTGCGCCAAACCCTAGCCCAACATGCACAGGCGACCAATATGCCAGCCCCGATCCCGCAAGGCCAACAGCCTAGCGGAACTACACCTGCAGCTGTCAACGGTGGCCAAGTACCACAACCTGGACCCGGACAGGTACCTTTAATGGCCTTCGGACAGCCGAACCTCCCGCCAACTGGGGCAAGAGTCGTACGACAAGAAGGAATTGGACCTAATGGCGAGCGATGGTCCGTCACAATCAACGAGACCAACGTCAATATCCCTCTCACACCCAACTTACCCGTGCGTCCACAACAGCCTGCAGTTCCGCGGCCATTTACGCTTCCTCCCGGCCTCGGCCTGCCACCTCGTCCCGCAGCAATACCTACGTCTACCGATGTCATAGATCGCCTGTTGCCACGTATCAGGCCAATACTACAAAGCGCGAGGCAAGAGATGGAAAACGTGAGAACTATGTACCAGATGCCTGGGGGACAACAGCCAGGTTCAGCGGGACAACTTGCAGCGGTTAACCCTCCCAGTTGGCGTGTCGAACGCATTCGAGAGCATGTCCGGACTATGAGCCAAAATCTGGATTTGGTTGAACGGGGGTTGGCCGTCATTCTGGCCGATACAACTTTGGCCCAAAATGCCGATGTTGTTGCTCTCAGGCAATCGGCCAATGAGCTCAGGGCGCACGCAGAGGAGATGAATCGTATGTTGGCTCGCGAACAGGGTGACACCGTTCCTAGTCAAACACCCTCTACTACGGGAGCCTCTCCTAGTCCGGCGCCTGAGGCAACTACCTCTACTCCATTGATACCCACCTCATCCCCACAAAGACTAAACACCGCACAGTCAATGCTGGCAGATACCCCCGCGGAGCTGTTTATCTTGTCAAGCCCGCAAGGACCAGTTGGTATTCTTTTCGACCAGCGGGGTACATACTCCACGGCCCCTATGGTCTCGACCCTACCATTTCAAACTTTCACAAATCACTTCGCACAGAACAGGCAACTCATTGCTGGAATTGGGCAGCAGATTGCTCAGGGTTCCCATCAGTTGCATACCCAGCTAGCCAATATCCAGCCAACACCGATGCAACAGGCCGCAACTGGTGGGCAAGCTGCAAACCAGCCCCACGAGCAGGCACAAAATCAAGTCCAGAACCAGAATCACAATCACAATCAAAATCCAATTCAGAACGCAAATCCACCAGCAGAACAAGATCGTATGGTGAACGTTGCCGGCCACTTGTGGCTCATCCTCAAACTAGCCTGCTTCGTCTACTTCTTTGCTGGCGGGGGCGGCCTCTACCGGCCCATTATGCTAGGCACCATCGCCGGTATTGTCTACCTCGCACAAATTGGCATCTTTGAGGAGCAGTTCAACCTTGTACGGCGGCATTTTGAAGCCATCTTGCCAGTTGGTGCCTTGGCTGAGCGTGGTGCTCAACCGGCGAATCCCGACGTCAATAATAACCAAGGACAGCAGCGAAATGGTTCAATGGGCAATTTGACACCCGAGCAGGCGGCACAGCGATTATTACAGCAAAGACAAGAGCAGAGGTTTGGATGGGTTAGGGAGAGTATGAGGACTGTAGAGCGGAGCTTTGCGCTTTTCGTGGCAAGCCTGTGGCCGGGGATTGGGGAGAGAATGGTCCATGCCCAAGAGGAGCGAATTAGGGCAGAGAGGGTGGCGGAAGAGGAGAGGCAACAACAGGAGCAGGAGAAGCTGAGACTAGAAGCTGAGGCACAAGCCCAAGCAGAAGAGAAGAAGGACGAGGCAAATGCGCAAGGAGAAGCTGGTGAGCGTAGTGAGACGACTAGGAGTGCAAAGGGCAAGGAGAGGGCTGTGTCTGCCGAGGGTGAGGCATCAACATCGAGCCAGGCTTCATAGGCAAACTTGAGATGATGAGAGTTCGCTAGTCTCCTTAGGCTGGCTGTATATGGATACCCTATTTTGTTTTCAGTGGTTGTAGATACTGTAGTACAAACATACCACCTACAATACCTTTTTACACCCGCGCAATATCGCTTACGCTGAATTAGGTGGCTGGTAGAGGACGAGAGGGCAGAGACCAAAGACATCACACACTTCAACACATGAACAAATTCAGAACTTGACGTATTGACTTTTGTCTTCATATACAATCGCCTCACTAAACACTACACACTATATACACAGTCCCCTCTCCTCCCCTCCTTCTAGGTATCCACCACCCACCCTCTAAACAAGAAAATTCGCAAATGCAACGCTATGCTATGCTATGCCATCTGCTGATGCTCTATGCTCATGCAGCTCTTTCTTCTTCTTCTTATTCTTCCAACTCCAGCAAAAGCTCGTAAATAACCCAACAGAAAGGACAGATGATAATGACAGAGAGAAACAGAGACGGCTTTGATGCAAGGAGAGACATGACATGACAAAAACATTTCAATATATTAGGAACGAGTATGTACAACGAAGTGAAAAGAAAAGAGGGAGGAGGGAGAAGAGGTAGTAGTAGTTATGTTTGTTGGGGTTCCATGAGACATGGATATAGACAGTTCGAGAGGATGGAGGTGGACTCGCAGCGCGGATGCATGGTGCGAGGCGGGACGCCGGTGGCTATGCGTTTGGCAGGCAGGCTGCGGCGGTAGTGGTCTGAGACGACGCGTGGAGTCTCGGGATGCAGGTATTTGTAAGACCTGTCTGCCGTGCGTGTATGTGTCGTCCAGGATGATCGGAAAACGTCCAAAGGGGATTCGTGATAGATGCGTATGTATGAGGTTGGTATACCCAAAAGCAGGGAATGCTCTTAGTAAGTAAACGCCTCTTCGATAAAGTCCACACAGCCCTCTGTCAACCACGGCCTCACGGCAGCGCGGACGTTATCCGCCATTCCTCCAGATGCGCAAACCGTGACGGCTACAGCGCCGACGCGATTCCGCACCTCCTCTTCGATCAGAGCGGCAGGCTGCGGACGGCCAGAGTACATCTTGACCGTCTCACTGCTCGACTCGACTCTGCCCTTTGGCCTGGAGATGAACAGCTTGATCCTTAGACACTGTTTGCGGCCCTTCATGCGGAGGACCTCGTCCATCCACGGCCGTACCCATTCCAAGCAGTCGCTAGACGGGACGGTCCAGATCAAGACGATTTTCTGCGTCGATGTTGTGCCATTGTTGAAGCCGCCGACAAGGTGCTTCATGTACATGACCTGGTGCGTGATGCCTACACCGCCGGCGAACAGGACAACAGTGCCGTAGGAATCCAGGCTGTGATGGCCGCCATAGGGACCTTCGATGAAGCCCCAAGTAGTAAAGGATTCGCTGGGCGATTTGCATGCGCGTTCGTACATTTTGCGCGTAAGACCTGTGCGGGCACGGACGACGAGGTTGATTTGTTTTGACTTCTGAGGCGCGCCGGGGAGGCTGAGCGAATCTCCCTCGAGAATGGGGAGCGTCATTTCTTTGGAGTCAGGGGTAAGCGTTGGGGCCCAGGCTACGGAGAAAGGATGCGAGGACCACAGGGACATGGCGGGCATCCAGATGTGTACGTGGCAGCCGGGTCGGGGTGTCCACTCGCGGACGAGATCGATGGTGATACGGACGGCCTCTCCAGGCATGGCTTCGACGGTGACGCTGGACTTCTTCTTGAGGCTGAAGCCGTAGTATAGAATTGAGAGGCCGCGGATAATCCACTCAGCGCCCCAGAAGAGGAAGATGAGATGCATCCACGGAATTTGGGGTAGCTTATGCATCTCGAGATGCTTGTACAGGCCAACCAAAGCGGCGATGGCGCACAGGCGATGGATATTGAGGAACGTCTCATAGAAAGCATGGCGGATGGGTGACCAGGCTTGGATGCCGATGAGCGTGAACGCAACGGTTCCGACCATTCCCCAGCCGTAGGAGCCCTCGGTGCGCAGGCCGTTGGCGATGGCGGTCCAACCAGCTCCGTGGCCAGTGTTGTACATCCAGGCGACGGTGTGGACGATGGACTCGAGGATAGTGATGCGAGCTGCCCAGCGATGGAACAGATTGAAGTCATCGTACGAGACCTGGAGGAGCGGGATCAGGGGGTTGTTGCGGAGGGCGAAGAGGACGGTCGGGATAAGGTTGAGTGCGGCTAGAGTTCCTGAGCGGCCTCGTAGAGCGGCGATGGTGGCCTTGTGATCGAGGACCTTGTATGGCAGCGCAACGCACCACGCGAAGTTCAAGCCCACGTAGGTGACGAGCATGATCGTGTGCCACCTTCCTGGCAGTGTGCCGTTGTCAATCGCATTGCTGATCTGGAACTGCGCATTGTGCTTCTTCTTCCACAGAGGTGCAGAAAGAAGATGGCGGTTCAACCAGGGCCACCAGCTGGTCCTGTTGGTCGCCCAATACGCCTGCCGCGTGGGGTTTCCCATTGTGGATAGATGGCGGTTGTGGCGCCACCACATGTGCGTTATCCGCAGACCTAGAAGAACAGCCGCGAGGCCGACTAATATGTATAGGAATGTGTCGACCCAGATGAAGTTTCCGACTTGGTCGACGCCCGTAAGGCCGAAGGAGTATTTGAGCTCATCGAATTTGGCGGCGTCCCAGCCGGAGAGGAAATGGCGAGGAGTGAGGTCAGGGATGGCGGCGTCGGTAGGTTGCTCTACCCTCCGGGGGTGGAGGAACGTCGACATGGTGTTGTATGTCTCGGTAGTTGTGTTTGGGTAGGTGTTGTTGCACAGATATCGTGAGCGACTTTGAGCTCACGAAGCAGCGATGCCCGTCGAAGTTGACGCAAGGGGTCGCGTTCGATGTGAATCCTATCAATTGCGTTCGGTGATGTGTATTATTGAAGTCGGGAAGGATAGCGCGAGGAGGTCGATAGGTAAACTTTATCCCAGGGTGCTTCTTGATCGGAATGCGAAAGCGAGCGTTGTTGACAGTGTGGGACAAAGGGATTGTTCGGGTCACCGATACATGACAATGTGATTGATTGATGAACAATGCTATTGTAGTGCCCAAGGTTGGCCTGAGATATGCACAGGGGAGTGGGAAGAGCACGGGTCGATTATGCACTGCACAATCGAGGGGCTGTGAAGGGAGGTAAGTCGATGACGCGCGGTCCAGTCCAGTGGAATTGGCAGGTTGTGCGAAGCTGCTATGTAGCGATGGGGAGAGTGAATGTGAACAGCGAGGGCGATCTTGATAGAGGCACTGTCAATAGGAACAAGTCTTGTCAGGGTCTAGTGGCGAAAAGAGGGCAATGGCGTGAGGAAACCGGCTCGAGCAAGTGGAAGCGAAGTGAATGTGGTATATGTGTGTACGGTGTTGCGGAAACGAGTGAACAACAGTTGGACGAGAAACGAGGGTGGCGAAACGTAAAGTCAGAGTGAAGACAGAGACGACGAGGGAAAGAGTGGATATGAAGTTCTCGCGAGAAGGTGAGCCAGCATAGCGGCCAGCATCTTCGAGGCGGATATGGCGGACGATTGGCCAGACGTGGTCGGACCAAACGAAACCCTGAAACGACACCAAGGATGCTGGAGCCACTCAGATTGCCGTGCCTGGATGCGCCTTGAAACGGAGCCTCAGCCCACCGTCTTTCGAGCGGCCAGGCCGTCCAACCGGACACGGCGGGACCGTCGCTGGCTTCTAGTCTCTGCCGAGTCCCATCGTTGTGTGAGGTCGCGATTCGCTGTGGTTGCATCGTGAAGACGAGACGATAGCTGACCAGCGCCAGGAGTGCACTCGAGAGAAGCCCAAACACACGCCCGTCCCTCTCTCTGTCTCTCTCTCTCTGTCTCTCACATGACCGACAATCTCACGATGATCTTACGACGCCGCTCTTATCGCTACTATAGGCACGCATAAAGCTCTCTTCCTGGGCCCCGCCACACCCGTGTCCGATAATTGCGCCTTCATATCTACGCCTCCAGGCCGCCGACCGCAAAATGACATACGTGGGTCAGCCTCCCGGCGCCTAGGCACCAAAAAAGGATAGCCAGGCGAGTCAAGCTCTCACCCATCTGTCTGTGCTGCTAAGACGGCCTCTTCCATGCCGCCGCCCCCTGACCGACGGTCGTGTTCCTGCATCTTGGTCCTGCTGCCGAGGCCAGCATCATCCTTCGTGCAGCCACGAGGCCCTCCTGGCGAATCTCCACTGTCTGTGCTGCCTGCGAACTGCGACTTGCGAGCGTTGCAAACTGTCTAGATGCTGTTGGGGGTCCATCTTGGAGTTTTCCCGCCTGTGAGGCGCTGAGAAAAGTCGGTTATCGGGTGAGTGAGGTCTGGGCCAGACGTTGGGAGTATACGAGCTTCCATGCACTTGCACTCGCTGCTCAGTGCTCACTGCTGCGCCACGCGACGAGCATCTCCCAAGAAAAGAACCTTGGACCCCCAAAGAACATGGTCAACCGGCTTGAGATAGAACTTGTCTGTTCGCAATAGACACCGTAGAACTAGGGGCTTGCCTCTCGTAGGACACAGCGCCTGCACCAGCACTCTTGACGCCAGCTTCACCTCGCACAACCCCACCACCTCGCACCAGACCTAGCGCCAAACCAAACCACAATCTCAACCTGCGCTTCTCCACCCCCTGCGTGTCACCATCGTCGAAATTTATCCTCCAGCGCGAAAAGAGCCTGGGAACCGGTTGACAGCGGCTCCCAAGACGCTTGGCCAACACGGCCAACCTTGCACCCTTAGATGAACTGCTAATTTCGACACACAAGACCAAGACGGCCGTTACCCGTTACCCGGGTTGGGAAAACATGCCCACTGTATTGAAACCCCTTGATCCTGACACCGACATGATAACAATATATTCCGTGGGGCGGTAAAGCTAATAAATAGCATCGTGTTATCAAGCCATCTCACACTATGCTCACGTTTCTACCGCACCGTCATGGCCGTAAAGGCTGTGTGGATCGCGTGTCGTACAAAGTGATAACAATAACGTTTCTGTTTCGCAAGCCCGCCCTTGGTTCTCGTTCATGCTAGCTCTACCAAACAACTCCTGGTCACACCGCCATGGCCCTCCTTCCAAACGATCCATCCACCCACCCGTCGGGCGTGACGCTTCTTCCAAACACCAAACATCCCACCCCCCACACAGACACGGCACCCGTGAAAACACAAAATGGTATAGTATCCACCACCAACACCTGTCCAAAAAAGCTTAATGAAACGCTTTTCTCATCTCGCTAATCTACATACAGCTAGTTGGCGGCTCCCAAGCCCTTACCAATACATGACACTCACTTCACATGAAACACCCCATCTCCACCACTACCATCTAGAGCCCTCCGAATCCCTCGTTCTTCACATTCCTTGACTCCTGCCCGGCCTACTACTACTACTACTGCGCGTGACGCTGCGGCTCTTGCCCAGCCAGACTCAACCCAGCCAGCGCGTCCTGCCGCCACGACTCGTCGGCGCTCTCGTCGTCGCTGGAATCTCGGTTCGCGACTCGGAGACCGCCTCCTGCCCTTCCGCTCCCGCTGTCATAGTAGGCACTATAATCGTTCGCACCAGCTTTTCCAGTGCCTCCACTTTGAGAGGGCAGAGTCCAGCGGTCTCCGCTGTTCTGTTGCTGTCTGGTATCGTGGTTGTCTGCGTACGACTCGTAGGGTGTGCTGTCGCTGTAAAACGTGCTTGCATGCGATGTGTCTGCTGTCCCCGGGCGCAGGATATCCGGTAGCGGTGCTTCTGAAGTAGCTACGCCGTACTGTTGTTCATGGTATGCGTTTTGGTACGTCCCAGGCTCGTTGTCTTCAAAGACGCCCGTCCGATCGATGGGTGAGTAGTCCATTGGCCCCTTTTGCTCCTGACGTTGTAGGAACGAATGCCTTGCATCCGTAGGAGTTCTGTCATTTATATCGTGCGTTTCCGTACCCAGTCCCGGTATGCTCTCTGGGTAGTACGAAGGTTGTTGGCCTGCTATCTCAGATGCCCCATGCTGTGGAGCATAATTCAACGCCTGCATAGGCTGTCCAGGCACCTCCTGCGCGCCCGTCTGCAACGCCAGATTGTTCATCGGCGCAGTCATCCCAAGTATACTGCCAGCCCCGAGGCTCCCTTTTAAGCTAGCCGGACCGCCGGACCCTCTCAGCATGCCACTCGCACTCATACTCAACCGACCTACTGGCTCCTCACTAATCATCATTCCCGCCACTCCCATACCATCTTGCTCACTATTCGGGTCCCGAATACTATACTGCGCAATCGTTCTCATCTTCCTCGTCACCCACCCGGCAAGAATCTTCCCTCTTTGCTTCTCACCGAGGCGGGAGCGGTGGAAATCTCCTTTGATCACAAAGGCAACAATGTCGATGACGAGCTGATGTTCGTTCAGGATGGCGTTTACGATTACCGGGACCATGGAGGCTAGGAAGTTGCGGCGGAAGATTTCCACCACGATAACGACAAGACCGCCGGCTTGGAAGACGGCACTGTGGGGTGTTAGTACTTTGGCAAACTAATATCACTCCTGGACGGGAGAAAAAAGTAACGTACCAGCCTCCTGGCACAATGTTCCGGTGACAGCGTTCGACAGACTGCTCAATGTCTATCGAGAAGTGATTGAGTCCATTGACTTCGAATGTGTCGCCGATGCTTCCCAAAACAAAGAGAACCTGCATGTCTACAGGGGCGCCATTGGGTCCAATGGGTCGTGTGACGTTGTGTAAGAATCCTAAATCTCCTGTCCGTACATACCGCACGTTCGGATCACCATCAATAGTCCTGCCATTGAATCTCTCTGCATCGAGGCGTTCTGTAGAGCCGTAGAAGCCATAGGCATTGGCTTCAGACTGCACCCATATCTCGCCGTATTCGCCGACGAGGCAAAGCTGGTTGGTCTCGGGGTTGACGATTGATATCTGTGTACTGACGGGCACCATGCCGGAGTCTTGGACTAATAACGCGTTCGATTCAATGTCTGGATCAACAGGCATGATGAGGCCACGTCGTAGAGCGTTCACGTCGAGGTGCAGCTCTATCGGCTCAATGCACATGTATGATCGAGAAGCGACCATAGGGTTGAGAACGTGTGAATAGACGGTGTTAATCGCCGTCCTGTCAAGGCTTGCCTGCGCAAAGTGCACACGAACTCTCTGGTCTGCAAAACTGTTAGTCTTCGCCATAAACACATTGGAACAGCTGCTACCTACAAACATCAACACGCGGCCGACCGTCAGTCGCAATCATAAGGTTCTTCAGCTCGTGCAGACCCATACTCTTACCAGCCCCACGCGCAATAGCATGGTCGAGCATCTGACTGGTCGCGTACGCATCCTTGATTTTGTACCTCGACAATGTCTGGAAAAGAATGTTGGGATTTTGCGCAAAGTCGACAGGTGACACGAGGTACGTGGGGGCAGCGAGAAAGATGCCCATAACGCAGGTGTGTATGAAGCCTAGTCCAATGGTACTTCGTACACATCCAAGAACCGGTCGTGTGCTCGTCATCTGGCATGTCTCCTTCTGGACTTTACAGAGCGCCATGATTTGGCTGTGTCCTAGTTGCACGGCAATACGTCGTTGATCTGGCGTCCAGTATGTCCAGACCAGGACTGGAAATCCAGACTGCACCCAAGCCGGCCTTATCGTTAACTTCAGGTCGCGACAGCCACTTGATTGTTTGGGTGGCTTTGTCGTGTTGTATGTGTGCGGTACATTGATCTTAAGAATAACTGCTGATTGTTTGATGTGCTGTGATACCTGCTTGACCTTCAACAGATGGTCTACGTCCGCGTTGACTAAGATGGCCTTGACCCTAAAGTCTGAAATGATATGGAGCAATGCGGGAGCATCCTCGTTCAATCTGTTCTGATCAATGGGGGCCATCGGAATCGCGACAGCTCCTAGAACAAAGCACGCATGAATCGCGTAGACAAAGTCTTCTGAATGTGTGTACATCAGGAGGAGGTGGTCGCCAGGCTGCACCTTGACCTTATTCTTGAGGTACATGGCAACACCTGCAACCTTATGGTCGAATTTCTTCCAGTTGACGCCTTTACCTTCCTTGCCCCTGCCATCGACGGTGCAGTAAGCAAGCTCCTCGGCCTGTCGCGAGACACGCCATTGCATGAGGTCATGGATGTTGGAGAACTGGTTGAGCGGCGTCGAGGTCCGATCGTCAATAACGACTTCCCGATGATCCACCCCTGAGTATTGCTTGTCTTGCAACATGAGGAATTGCTGACGAGCCATGGATGCCTCAAAAGACCACATCCCGCCAGCGGGATCGTCGCCCAAAGCAATATTCTGGACGGACCTTTCGACGCCAAACTTGACGTGAACACAGGGCAGGGAGCCATTGTCGAATTCTCTTCGGCAAAGCATGTTGCCGATTTCGCGTCTGCCGTTCTTTATCACCCGTGGAAGAGTATTCGGGGCGGTGATCATCACGCAGTATACTCGCAGATGATGTTCTTGGTACAGAATCTCCATGCAACGCTCAGATAGCGAGTCAAGGAACGGTATGTCAAGCTGTTGTGGTGGGCCGCCCGGATTTGTGGGAGCAGTCGACGCAGCCTGCGTCTCGATGAGAATAATGGGCAAGTACTCCCCGTTGACATAAGAGTCGAAAGATGAGCTACACCGCGTTAGAAATATCACTCGAGGGAAGCTATCACTTACCAATCGTAGATCTTAGGCACTGCTTTCATAATACTTGTTACGAGATGCTGCACGAAAAAGTAGCGATGTTCAGCTTCCAGTTGACCGTGCTCAACCCACTCCACTCGCTGTCTTATACGATCTTCATATAATCCGAGCACAAATATCTTTCCTTCTACTACACATCCAAGAAGCCCAGTACGGAGGAATTCAAGTTCGAGCAACTGGGGCGTCGGACTTCCTTCAACGAAGCGGTATGGCCGAGCATGAAATATGGTCTCGGTATGTTTCTGAAGTTGCCAAAACCCACCAGACAGCGAAGGTGAATCAACCCAGATCTCGCCAATAGAGTATGGAGAACAGAGCAAGTTTGTCTCCGGGTCTACAACAGCAAGCGTGGCATCTGGTATAGGATATCCAAAAGCGCCAACTCTCATAGTACCGGGCTCATTCGCACGCTTGCTTGCCTCTTCTCCAATTGCTAGTACCACAACATCGTTCATCTTCAGTGCCTCTTTGTCAAGAAGAATCTCAGTCAATTCAGCGTGCTTCTTCTGTTTCTTCTCTTTGGCATTGTTCGTGGTGCCCCCGCCAATGAGACTCGAATATCCGTTGGGCGCACTCGTGCCCTCAGGCAGACCCTCATCGTCCGATTCTTCTTGCACTATGCTCAAGGGACAGCCCATACGCTCTTCGCCACCGAGCCAGTCGCGAACCGAGATGATCATGCCGCCATGTTCAGGTAAGCATAACATGGGTGCAATTAGCTCCCGCGCCCGTGGGTTCCTCATCGGTCTGAACCACCTATCTCCAAGAATCTCGTGGAAGTCACAGTCGACAGTCAGCGTGTCGATGAGACAGATTTCCACAGACCCGAAATTCGGCTCTGCGTTCTTCTTAAAATTTCTTGTAGCCATAGGGTCTTGTTGGTAGTTGTAGGCAGCGCGTTTAAGTCCCGGATAGTCGGCTACTAGTATGTTGGCCTTGTGCTTGGTTATGAGATGTGCGTAAAGCCCAGGAGTCTCCATGGTCGGCGATTCTAGCCAGACTGTAGTGTGTCCACCATACACTGCAAACAAAACACTGAGAATGAGACCGGCGCTTTCACGGGGATCGAGATAGCTGAGAATAGTCTCGGTAGGGAGTTTTCGTGGCGCTGGTGCGAGGAATTTGCCAGTTGCGTCTCGTAGGTGGGCGGGAAGCGTGTCTGTTTTATCGCGTCCGTCTGGAATTGTACTGACCATGGCGCTGATGCAGGCCATTTGATGCATAATTGTTCGATGGCTGAGTACTACACCCCGCAGGTCGCCAGTTGGGGCGCGCGAGAACTCGATGTAAGCCACTTCCGGGACCTGTAGAGCTGGAGTATCGTCATGTTTCTTCGGGTGATAGCTTCCAAACTCGTTGGTCTTCCACCATTCGACTCCACTGGGCCATTTCAGACGATTCTGGCTGATGTCACGATGGAATGCCTTCAAATTGTTATCCGTAGTTAGGGCGAGATGGGCTTGGGTGGTGGTCAAAAGGAGAATGAGTTTTTGATAGTCGTCCACGCTATTGATTGGAACTGCAACAACGCCCGCGATGAAGCAGCCCATCAGCGCCACGACGAACTCGATGATTTCTGTGTCCCTGTATACCAATGCTACGCGATCGCCCCGGTAAAGGTTACTTTTATCCCTGATGACTTTTGCGACCTTTTCGGCACGGCTTGCAACCTTTTCCCACGTTATTGATGCCGTCTCTTTCCCCTTCGCGTCCAGTACCCAGAAAGCAGTACTCCGTGGCTGGGTGCGGCCGCGATGGCGCAGCACAGCGCCGATATTGTCGAACTTGGACATTCTGATGTTCGCATTGTGTGGATCGTATACGTCAAAGGGGAGGTCTCGTGGCTCTAGTGGCAGCATCGTGTCGACAACACCTGCGGGCAGATCATTGGGATTCATCATGGGAGGCGGTATCGCAGCGGTGGGAGAGAAGGCATCGCCAGTCGAGTATCGGTTTGGGCCGCCGTACGAATCCCGATGGTCGTGCATTTGTTGCCCCGTGAAATCAGAGAAGTAGCCCTGATTGACATCCAGCATCGTGCTCCGCCGGCTAATGTCCCCTCCCCCTGGCGATGCTTGTCCGTCAAAGCCCTGCTGAGTGTCCGGGTTGAAGGCGTAGTTGCCCATCATTGTCCCTTCTCGCGAATAACTGTATTCGGGTGTCTGTGGCCGCGGTATGAACGTCTCGCTACCCTGAGAGAGCTGTGAGGAGTTCCGTTGGAGCGAATTGGTCCGTATTCCCAACTGCTTCTCTTGAAAGCGCCCTACTTGGCTGGGCGGAAAAGCCTTGTATTGCGAAGCTCCTGCACTACTTGTAGACGAGCTAGGGTGATGCGAGGTAGCCATAGTACTCGGAGCTGAGCTCTCCATGTACGAGTCTGGTCGCGCGACCCCGACCTGCGGTGGCTGCTGCGGGCCAGACAGCGCGGCCAGTGATGCGGTGCGTGAGCCAGAGCCCTCGCTGTGGACTGAAGTCTGCTGCCGTAGCTCATTTTGCAATTGGGCTGCATATTCAGGTCCTAGGTACTGTGATAGTAATACGGTTCGACGTTTCTCATAACTGTGCGACTTGTTAGCCCACGCGGGGATGCGACTCTGGACATGATGGCGACAGCGGGCGGGAGGTGACGAGGACAGGAACCACGGACCCTTTCTTTGTGATGTCGCCCTCCTCCAGCTCATGGTCCAGCTCCTGCAGCCTTGCCTGCAGCTCAAGATTCGACTCGGCCATGGTGGCTTCCAAAACGGGGGTGCGGCGGTCAAGTGGAGCGAGTGGGCGTGGTGGCGGTCCGCGACATGTCAAAATTGAAGAATGCGAAGCGCGTCTGGCTCGAGAGTCCACCAGAGAAGATGCGCGCGTGAAGGGTGCGCTCAATCAATCGCACAGTTCCCTGGTGAATACGGGCGAGCGCACAGTGGCATCAATGCGCAGCGCAGCAAAGCAGGTCAGGTACGCGCAGACCAACCGTATGACGTTGTGTTGGATGGCGGCTCCTCCTCCTCCTTAGAGCGGATCCCTGGTCCTTCCTTCCCCGTTAGTCAGCTGTGGCTTCCCGTTCTGGCTGGCTGCCGCACCCATGTGGACTTGTCCTTATGCCTCGGCTCGAGGATGTGGATGCGTCGGGATGCGCGTTGCGACCGAGCCATGGGCCACAATTATTATCTACAATACTTTTCTCCTGGCGCATCTCCCTCCTACCAGTGATACTCACCTCCTTGTAGTATTATAACTGACGCGCCATGGCGACCCTTGTCCGCCCTCCGCCTATCGATCACTCGCTATCAAACATCGAGAATGTTCTCGACCTGACGCAATTGTCCGACATCGATCAAGACCTCTTCACAAATACAAGGCCGCTATGGCATCCGCCAGGTGCTCGAGGCATCTTTGGCGGTGCCGCCATCGCGCAGACGCTTAGTGCTGCTCAGAAGACGGTGGATAGCGACTTTACGGTTCACTCGATGCACTGCTACTTTGTACTTGCCGGCAACGCAGACATACCTCTAATCTACCATGTCGAGAGGGTCAGGTCGGGCAAGTCGTTTGCAACAAGGACTGTGCAGGCGCGACAACGGGGGAAGGTCATCTTTACAACCACCATGAGCTTCGTCCGACAGAATAGTGGAGGAGAGCAACAAGTGGAGCACGCATATCCAATGCAAGACGTGCCTGGACCTGTCGAGGACATGGACGATCTGGAAGTGAATGGCGGCCACAGTCCTTTCCAAAGCCAAAGGATGCCAATCGAGAATGGTGATTATTTGCACATGTCAGACCTGACGCATGTGAAAGCTGACCATTTGTAGATGATTCGGACCACGCTCACCTCAAGAAATGCAGACAGTGGGTGAAAGCACGCGGCAAGATATCGCCCGCGGGTGGTCATGAAGCGCATCTCTCTGCCATAGCCTACATGTCAGACAGCTATTTCATTGGCACCATCGCCCGAGCTCACAAGCTCTGGAGATATTCTACACAACGCAAGAGCAATGCCAAGTCAAGTATCGACGAGGATATGCTCAAGAAGCTTCTCGCTATGGACGATGCCGAATTGAGGCGCATGAAGTTTATGGATGAGGCAGATATTCAGCGTATCCAGAGGCTAAAGAAGGGCGAGGACATCACGCAGGATGCCACGCCAGAGATTGGCATGATGGTCAGTCTGGACCATACAATATACTTCCACAATCCTCGTAACTTTAGAGCCGACGAGTGGATCTTCACGGAGATGGAAACGCCATGGTCTGGTGATGGCCGCGGACTTGTATTCCAGAGGATGTACACACAAGACGGAACTTTGATTGCGACTTGTGTACAAGAAGTGAGTTACCTGAGCCTCACTAAGCCTGCATTTACTGACTTGATGTAGGGTGTCGTGCGTTTGCGGCAAACTGAGAGCAAGCTGTAGATAATAAGACAAATTTTGTATTCGATTCTGTATTCGATTCTGTATTCGATTCTGTATTTTCGGTCTCCGGCTAGTATCTCTCTGAGGCCTTCTTCTAGTTCAGTACAATAGCGTTTGCGATTTGAACATTTTCTGCGCAAAGAGCACACATTTTTAGACAACTATTCAGAAAAATTAATTGCTTTTCTACCACGTTGCTATCTTGTGATTGCCAAATGTCATACATAGCGGGATGATTCGACATATTCTACAGGAGGATGAGAAGTATACCTACGTAATGCATAGATTCTCATGTCGAAGAGGGTTGGCTCCAAGGTTCTTTTGGAGGCCTGGATCGGGCTCCGGCTAGATCACAAACGGCTAGCACGTCTAGCAAGCTCAACATCGGGTCAATCGGACAGCTCTCCAAGCTTACAGCTCTCTACTTGTCGCCTCACTCGCTTTCTCAAGGCTGGATGTGTTTGAGATATTTCGCAGTTCCCAAACGGTTGGTGCATGTGATGCTGAAGTCAACCAGCCTAAAGCGCGAAACAAACACCGAGGCATGAACACCAAGCAAGCCGCTTGCTTGAACTGCCGAAGGAGCAAGATCAAATGTCGCCGTGATGATGACGCTCCAATCTGCGAGAGGTGTCAGCATATTGGGACGGAATGCGTTATACCAGAGTGTAAGTAATGTTGGTGTAAGGATTGCAAGGTAGACAAATACTAACTTCGTGCCCCAACTTCAGTCCATATTGGCAGGCAGAAAGGTGTCAAGAAGTATGTTGAAATCATCCATTGATACATTCAGTGCTGAACAAAGTCAGCAAACGCTCCGGCCTCGAAAAAGCCATACACCAAGTCGAGGAGGCAATTAAGAAGAGAAAAACAGATGTTACTACTAGCCATAGTACCCTCCAACACTTGCAAAGGCTTTTAAGCGAGGCGCAAAGCTATAGAGAAGAGACCCTGCATGACCATACAGAGTCACCTGAAAGCAAATATGTTGCTGTATCCACAAAAGAGGCGATAGGACCATCCAGCGACGATCAACTGGCGCTGGAAGGCGTTGAGAACCCTCTTCAATTGCTGGCCCGCGCATCAGATCTACGAATCGCATCACCCCACAACAACAGCACGGCCACACCCGGAAGCCAAATCAATGGAAGTGAACAAAGTGCCTTCCTAGACGTACATCGGTTCTTTCTTCCCATGAAAGCGAGCCTTGACCAGGGTCCAGGCCTAGATCCGATCGACGTTGGATTGGTTACAACTGAAGAAGCAGAAATGCTTTTGCAATAGTGCGTACTTAATTCTGGTTTGTTGTGCGACAATCAACTAAGCTATGTAGTTTCCACGAAAGGCTGGCACATACCCGTTGGGGTCTTGACCCAATGGTGCATTCACTGCCCTTTGTGCGGAATCGATCAGCATTCTTGTTCACGACACTGCTCGCGATGACTGCAATATTTCTACCCGAAACGGCGTCGTTAGCTAAAAGACTCCTTTTGCATCGAAGATTCTTAGCGGAGCAAGTCATTGTTAGGAAGTTTAGGTCCGTCGAGATTGTGCTAGCATTCATGGTTAGCATACCTTGGATGCCTCCGGGCTCCCATGCAAGCGACGATGACACCAGCTTGTACCTTGCTACTGCTTTGTCTATCGCCTTAGACCTTTCGCTAGACAAAATCATCGTACCTTCTTCATCCTTCGACCCAGAACTTGTTAGGCAGATACCGAAGGCCGATTGCCTCGATGCCGGCAAAGCTCTCACTATGGATGGATTCGAAGACGTTGATGTAGACTCAGAATGGGGCAAACGGCTATTACGCCGTAGAGAAAGAGTCTGGGTTGCATTTTTCGTGCTAGAGCGTGGAGTTTGTCTTGCCCGCGGCCGCAGCTATTGCGTCCCAAAGACGTCCCTGATACAGCACAGCGACCAATGGTACTATCACCAACACTCGGACGTTCAGGACGGACCGCTTGTGTCCATGGCCGTACTCCGCAGAGATCTCGATGACCTCTTCGCGAATGTGAGATCAAGATGTGACAGCTACCGCGTTGAAGATGTGGGCTTGAAGGTGGCTCAAGAGATCGACAAAGCCATCGAGGACTTTTTTGACAACTGGTCCCGCACATGGACCTTGGTGATTGGTGAGCCTGAGAGCAAGAGCCTTCCGCCCTATGTCGAGATCCTTGTCACGCACACGCGACTCTCTACATACAGTATGCTACTCAATCACCCGAGCGCACCGCCTGAGGTCAAGCGCTCGTTCCGCAAATCCGCCCTCTCGTCTGCCCTTAACGTCATGCGCGCGGCCATCCAAGGCGAATCTCGTTTGAAATCAATGCCGAACAACACCGTCACTATGATATGTTTTGCAGCCAATGTCGCGCTTGCTCTAAGTGCCCCAGTACCTCAGAAGAGTGGCAGTAAGAGCCTAGCACCTAGCGTTCGTAACCTGATCGAAGAGACCGCCACGGTGCTAGAGCGCATCGGCAGTGCCCCAAGTCACAGAAACGGTGCATCCGTCGTATATGGCCGGTTTCTACGCGTCCTAGTTAAGCAGGCGCCAAACATTGATCGCACTCCGCAGATAGCTTCGCAAGACCTTGCGCAGTCGGTTGCAATACCAGGCCTCTTGCCGCCTCCTGCTACAGATGCTACACTTTCATCAGGCCAGCTACCACCGGACCATATTTCAAATTTTTGGCCAGACACACTCCCGTTCTCTACGATGTCATATAACGAGGTCAATGAGACCGTGACGAACTCCGATCTATTCTCGACGGCGCTCTTCGATCTCCCGTGGAATGATAGCAATCCGTTGTGGACGGATTGGATGAATCTACCTGATTTTAACTATCCATGACGCATCTCCATCGAACGAGATGTTGCATAGCTTCTATGGCCGCAGCATCAGTTCCACTCTAGCTAAAGTTCATGAAGGACGTCCGCTATATTCAACGTCATTTCGTGAAAAACTGCTAAGTCGAAGGAGTATGAAACTCGAATTAAGTAAACTGAGCATGTCGGAAACCAGCGTATTAGACTTGTTAGGATCGAGGCCTATGATAAAGGTAGCGAGAACAATTCATCTTTAGATGAATTTTGTTCAGCAGACTCACAATGGGTCTGCTAATGCACTATGATATATCCATTAGGTAGCGGGCTGAAGCGCGACGCGTTGCAAAAGGACGGTGTTTGTCAAGTATAAACAATTGGAGCTGGAACACAACCTCGGTTCGCTTGGTGCATTCAGGGGGAACTAAACATGCAATGAACCCCGCCCCCGCCCGCTGTCGGATCCACGGCAGAATAAACGAACCATCACCCGTCCAGTCGTTCAACGCTGACAAAACTGCGTTAGTTTCTTCGGGAGTTCTTCTGATTCCGACGCGTCATATTGCCGAAGCTCAGTATTCATGCTCGACGCTCGAATGCTTGACGAGCTGCATAGGGTGGGGCGTTCGCTCCGGCTACGGAACGTTGACATCAAGACTACCTCCGACAGGGATAAATTACGACCCTTCTTATATTCCACATTTGCATCTGAGCGCTGGCCGCTGTAGTGGTACACTTTACGATGGATGCAATACCTTCTTCATACCGGTTGCTTGCCGCTCTTCCTGCACGACTATGTTCGCGACGACCTATACCCTCGCAATTACGAGCCGCGCGGTCACTAGCACCACAATGGAGGTTCACGAACCATAAAAGAAGTATTAGCGCAGTAGCAGAACGCGCACCTACGATCGACCGCTCGAAGTCGAAGCTTTTCAAAGACGCCGACGAAGCTATAGCAGATATACAACCAGGCTCGACGGTCCTGAGCGCAGGCTTCGGACTATGCGGAGTCGCAGATACCCTCATCCAGGCGATGCAGAAACGCGGCCCACAGTCACTACATTCATTGACGGCTGTATCGAACAACGCTGGCATCGAGGATGTTGGAGGTCTAGCACTTCTCACAAAGAATGGACAAGTCGAGAAGTTGATTATAAGCTTCTTGGGGAACAACAAGGGCTTGGAGAAACAATATCTAGGCGGAGGCATAGAGATTGAGTTGTGTCCACAAGGTACACTTGCGGAGCGGATTAGGGCTGGTGGTGCGGGCATCCCAGCATTCTATACACCTACAGCTGTGAATACGCTATTACATGATGGGCAGATCCCGGCAAAGTTCGACAAGGAAGGCAAAGCGATTGGGTTCGGCCAGAAGCGGGAGGTGAGGGAGTTCAATGGCAAGAAGTTCCTTATGGAGACTGCTTTGACGGGTGATGTCGCGATCATTCGAGCACACAAAGCTGACGAGGCTGGAAATTGCATCTTCAGGTAGGGAAAACGCAACGGTGACAACAAGAAACCCAAATTAATAATTGGCGTAGATATACCACCAAAGCCTTCGGCCCCATCATGGCTAAAGCCGCGCGCCTCACCATCGTCGAAGCCGAAGAGATCGTCCCAATAGGCACATTCGATGCGAACGAGATCGACCTTCCCGGGATATTCGTTGATCGCATTGTTCCCTCTACAGCACCCAAAAACATCGAAATCAGGAAGTTGCGCAGCCCCTCAACGTCAAGCAAGGACAAGTCATCCTCCAAGAACGACCACCGAACGCGAATCGCGCGTCGCGCTGCGAAGGAGCTCAAACAAGGATACTACGTCAATTTAGGTGTCGGTATTCCAACTGCAGCAGCATCATTCGTACCTGAGGGAGTGAAGGTCTGGCTACAGAGTGAGAACGGTATCTTGGGCATGGGCCCGTATCCCACTGAAGACACGATCGATCCCGATATCGTAAACGCCGGCAAAGAAACAGTTGAGCTCCTCCCCGGCGCATCGACCTTCGACAGCGCTGAATCTTTCGGCATGATCCGCGGCGGTCACGTCGATGTTTCAATCCTCGGTGCTCTACAGGTCAGCGCATCTGGCGACCTAGCAAACTATATGGTTCCTGGCAAAGTCTTCAAGGGCATGGGCGGCGCCATGGACCTCGTTAGTAACCCAGATGCGACGAAGGTCGTTATTGCCACCGAGCACGTTGCGAAAGATGGGAGTAGCAAGATCGTGCAAAATTGTTCGTTGCCGCTTACTGGGGCGAAGTGTGTGAGCACTATCATTACAGATCTGTGTGTGTTTGAGGTGAACAGGAAGAGGGGAACATTGACGTTGACGGAGACTGCGCCAGGGGTCAGTGTAGAGGACATTAAGGCGAAGACGGATGCGAAGTTTGAAGTCTCGCCAGATTTGAAGGAAATGGAGTAGACTTCCAGTTGGTTTGCGAAATTGTATAGCGCATGGTAGCGTCGTCTACTTGATCTTTTATTGGTTTTGTAGGTACTGAACAGTTCATTATATCAATCAATGAATTTGCCTGTCACAATTTGATAAGAGAGCAAAGATCAATACAGCGATAAGTGAATCAACTTCACCGTTCAGCCGCACGGTAATTTGCTTTTCAATAAGCTCGAGATCGGCAAAATGCCCAGATCGAACATGGATCGCTGAAGCTTCGCAATGCTTGGCCGCCCCTCGATCTCGTGCAACAAAAGCTTGTGCGAAATCATCCCAATCCTCCGTCGCAACACCCACAGACTTCACCTGTACGCCTTGGAGGACGAAACATCTCGGGATCAAATGAAGTGCCGTTTAAGCTGCGCAAGCCACTTTCCATCAGCGTCAGCAGTGACTGGCGCCGCTAATGTTGATCACCACCCGCTTTGTCTGCTTTCATCAGGGCAACGTCGCGCAAGCACCGAGCATTACCGCTAGTTGTGCATGGAATGACCCGTGTATGCCGTGCTTCCCCACGGGGCAGGTTTAGTGTGACATGAGACCCTGGCAGTTAGGATTCCGCTTGCGAAGCCAGATAAATAATGCAAGAGCCTCTCCTCCTGGGGTATGATTTTGCTCCTATCATTCCCACTCTATCACTTCAATTTCCCACGATTGAGAAATCGGAAAAATGAGTGACGCCAAGGTGCGCGAGGAGAAGATTGAGAACGGTGGCGAGCAGCTGGAAGCGGGGTTCGGAGATGGGAACGAGAAGATGGCGAGGCGGGTAGTGTTCAAGATGGACGTTCGGTATGTGCAGTCATCTCATTTTGTATTGCCAAAACTTTCTGTCTGACAGCTGATAGAATTCTACCCGTTCTTGCGCTACTCTTCTTATGCTCGTTTATCGATCGAACAAATGTCGGGAATGCGAAGATCTTGGGCCTGGAGCATGATATCCACATCAATGACCACCAATATGCGATTGGATTGTGTGTTTTTTATGCTACATACATTGCGAGGTATGCCACTTCTTGATTATGAAAGAGGACATGTAGCTGACGAGTTGCTAGTGAACTTCCAAGTAACCTGGTCTTGAAGAAAATGTCGCCCAAAATCTGGCTGCCGCTTCTCACCGCCGTCTGGGGCACATTAACGCTGTGCCTTGGGTTCGTCCGGAACTTTGCATCGTTCGTCACTGTGCGAGCACTGCTTGGTGTCGCTGAAGGAGGCCTTTTGCCTGGCATGGTACTTTAGTCCCTAAACAACAAGCCTTTGATGCCTGTATTGACTCTGCATTCAGGTCCTTTACCTCTCGCACTTCTATCGAAGACAAGAACTGGCGTTGCGTATAGGCATCTTCTATACTGCTGCGTCACTCTCCGGAGCATTCGGTGGTCTCCTCGCCCGAGGGTTAAACGCGATCGGACCAGCCGGAGGCCTCGAAGGCTGGCGCTGGATATTCATCGTCGAAGGTCTTTTGACTGTCTTCATTGGTTTATGCTCCGCCATCTTCCTACCGAATTCCATCGAAGCTGCTGGCTTCCTCTCAGCAACCGAGAAAGAATGCGCACGACACCGCCTCGGCGAGCAAAGCTCTGCGCACGAGCGATTTGACTGGGCTGAAGTCAAACGCGGCATCTTCAATCTGCAGGTCTGGTTGACCGCACTGGCATACTTTGCAATCTTGTGCTGTCTCTATTCATTCGGCCTATTTCTACCTACGATCATCAATAACCTGAAGTTCGCAAAGGACCCGAACGAGGCCCAACTGTGGACCGTCATACCCTATGCTGTCGCAGCATTCTTCACCGTATGCGTGGCTCTATTATCCGATCGTCTCGCGATGCGTGGGCCAGTCATGCTCTGCACTTTACCCATCGCTATCATCGGATACGGCGTTATCAGCCGAAGCACGAATCCACACGTCCAATACGGCATGACCTTCATGATGGCAACTGGCATGTACGCGACTGTGCCGTGCATTCTCTCTTGGAACAGCAACAACTCAGCGGGCCATTACAAGCGCGCGACGACGTCGGCCCTGCAGCTTGCGGTCGCTAACTGTGGTGGGTTCGTGGCGAGCTTTGTGTACAAGAAGAAGGAGGGGCCGCATTTTCACAAGAGTCACAGTATCATGTTGGGATTACTCTGCGCTGCGTGGGTGCTGTAAGTGTCTCTTCTCGGATCAGTGCGATGTAATTTTGCTAACAGTCAGGCAGAATCGCGGCAAACGTTCTTTGGGTGCGGAAGATCAATCGTGACAAAGCGAGCGGGAAACATGCTGCTTGGGAAAGAAAGGGCGATGATCGCGATCCGGATTTCAAGATGGTGATGTGATCGCTCATGAGACTTTTATTGTAAACGAAATCGCACAGTTGGATCATTGACTTGAATAGCTACCCTCTCGTCTGTCATCGAGACCCTCTCACAAGTACAAGCCAAGCTACCAAAAAAGGACGCCGAGGCACCTGAATACCTGCCCAGAGTCTTATACCTTACACTGTACCCAATCCTTCGCTTTCAGCATGGACTATAATGGCATTCGGCGTATGAGTCGAGGATTCCTCATCTCCCTTCTCTTGATCTCTATCACATCTCTTCAACGCCATTCTTCCCTTCCCTCTCCTCTAACTGAACGCATCATGTCGTCTAGACAACCATCCCAGCTCTACCCAGGCCAGGATCCCCGAAACTTCCTCATATCTCATATCCTCAACCTCCTGTGCGACCACACGATATAGAAAACCCAAAATGCATTTATGGACAGTAGGACCACCAATATTTCGAACCGCCAATCCCACCAAGTGCCTCTCTCTACGTCACCAAACAGAGAAGTCGTTTGATGGTGTATGACGTGTGCATAATTCGGGTTACCCAGCTCGACGTCTTGATTATGCGCAGGTTGGCGGGTGAATAGTCGAGAGACGAAGTTCCCGCGATGAGTTGGTGCAGGGCGTTGAGGAAGCTCGGGTGGAAAATGGGAGGAGGACTCAGCTGGCTCGGGGATTGGCTCGATGGTCGTCAGAGGAGGAGGGGATGTAGGTGGGATCGGCGCGGTGGTTGAAGCCATGTCGTTGGTGTCGAGGGAGGTTATTGATCGTTGGCTATATCCGATAGCGAGATGAACATTAAGAGTGTGGTCGAGGGTTGTGTCATGACGAGAAAGGAAAGCTGAGCGTGACGTTTCATTAGGAATAATCTTAGTGGTATATGAGGTGAATGTGAAGTGAGGATAGACGTTCCAGCCGAGCAAATGTGCGTTCCTTTCACTATTGGCACATTCGGTACAGCCATGACACAAGCACCTTTCTTCCGCAGCTTCTCAATACCCATCGCTGCCCTACCATCCTTCTAGCACCGCTTAGTTTCAACCCATGTCTTCTTCTCTGTTCTCCTTCGTCCTATCCTACACACTTTCTTTTCTAATCGCCGCGCCTTTAGATGGTGAAGCCTACGAACAGCTGCCGATCCTTTCTCTAGGAGGATTTCCAAAGCGCCCACGCCTAGTTGAGCTATCGCTGGTTCTTTGAAAGTACTTTGAGTGCGGAGGTGTTTATAATCACATTGATTCTTCCAGGACAGGCTTCGAGACGGTTGCCAACCATGGTTCTAAACCTCATCATCGTTCTCCCATGGTACCAAATATCGATTTTCTGCTCTCGATGACTACTGATGAGTCTGAGATCCTTTCTCTAGGAAGGTGCTGGGACTCTCTAGCGCTATAAATAATGCAGGTGGACGTAGTTCGCTATGGCTAGTGCAAAAATGGGTTTGGATATCCCCTTGCTGGCATGTTGGGTCATGAAGTGGTAAGGCTCCAAGATGAAAGTGGGTGGTAATCTTGAGTATGTTTGAGATGTTGACAATTTGTTCTTATCGTCTTGCTCTGCATGTAGCTTCTTCCCGACAACAAAGCTCGAAGTCGGCACGTCCAGTGATGATTACAAAACTATCATTATTGGTTCTAGAAACCATCGCCTCGGTATGGCCCGTTGAAAAGCTTATTTTAAACCTGCGTTAGCTCGGTTTCACCTCAATGCTCTGTTTAAAACTTTAGCAACTATTACTATCTTCGCTGTACATCTCTACCTGCTGAGTATTGTGGCCGCTCGCCTTTTGAGTACCGAAACTCGCAGCCTAGTGTCGATATCTTTTGACCAGTAGACTAGGGTGAGATGTGCAGCCTAGTGCCAAGTGGGCTGTCTCCAAGGTTTGGATATGCATGCACTTCGAGAAGTGTGCATAACCGCTCTGCCTGCAGATGGCTGAATGCCGTTTTCTTTTAGGGCAACATCCGCCGAATACGAATACGAGTAGGCGACAACAGTGGAATACACTCGCCCTGGCTGTGACCGGATGAAGATGCCCGTGGATGCTGCTTCTAGAGTCCTCGTCCATGGGGTGGATGCCTAGGAAACCTTGCTCGGGAGGAGAGAGATACCGAACCGAACTACGCGAAATGCAGCTAGTTGTCAGACATCCAAAAATAGCATGTTCTGGCGGGAAGCTGAGGAAGCATGAACATCCCTGGCCGTTTCTTCAGCACCAACAAGCTCGATTTAGAGCAATGGGCCGTGGGATGTGCTACGAGCCCCGTGGGAGTTCAAGGTCACAGATACTACAAACCGACTGGAGACGCTTGGCCAGCGTGATCTAACCATCGCTGGCGTGTAGCCCAGGAGGTTGCTTAACGCAGTACCTGTAGGTAGAATTAGTCTACATGTGTGTCCATCAGTGCAAGGCTGCCGACTCCGTGTACACTAACATATTCCCCACTTGGTCGGCATGTTGTTGCGAGTGAGGCACGGTTGCACGAACTGGCCCTCGGGAGGCGCATTTGAGGGAAGAAATGCGTGCTTGACTTCCTCGTGCTGCTGGATGGCGGGAGTCATGGACACGACAGTCGACCGAAGGGATTGGCGAAGTGTGCATTGCATGCGGTCGGAGGTGTGGTATGGTAATATGCTTGCAGGCGCGTCTACCAATCCAAATAGGCGTAAAGCACTGCCACCGCCGCAGTCCATATCAGCAACTCGTTCTGGTGTCTATCTAGCTGGCCGGAGTGTCGCTCGCTGTCCATTTCGGTCGGTGTGTTGCGGCTCGCTCTGGGTCATTTGCTGATGTATGCCCTGCACGTGCGGCTGGCTGGGGCTGAATGGAGAACACGTCTATGGAGGTAGCTCTGCGCCCGTTAGGTACATGAAGAAAGCGATGCTGTCCTGGTTTGGTCGGGTATATGCGCCTCTTGCGACTGCATCGCCGCCTCGGTCGGCCGTCTGTTGGTCGCCTTTTGTTATTCTTAGCTGAGGCCATCTTCACTACTCCGCCCCGCCCTCCCATCTCCTGCAGCTGCGCCGGGGGAGCTTGAAGCTGCCGACACTGCGATGCCTCGCCTATGGTCAAAGTCGAATCGCTCGCACAATTCCGTCGACACGCCCTCGTCAGGGCAACCATCGCCGGCGCCATCTGGTAAGGGAGCGGTTGGACGCCCAATAGTTCGTGCGGCTGACGAGCAAGCGCTGGCAGTGAACGACACGGGCACACAACGATACCAACCTTCTGGCGGCCAGCAAGCCCCTCCACCGACACAACAGCAGCAGCAGCAGCAGCAGCAGCAGCAGCAGCAGCCTCCTGTGCAGCAGATTCCCGCTGGTGTGTCGCAGGAGCAGTTTAGACAGCAGTTCCCTCAGCGGAGTGCGAGCCAGGCCAACAACCGCCTGAGCGCACATGTCGACCAGCTGCCGCAAAACTACCAGCAACAGCCCGGCCCTCCGCAGCCCTCACCCGGCCTCGATCAGGACCGTCGCGGCTCCTACCAGCCCCAATCCTCGCCTCAAGTCTACGGCCAGGAGCCCAAGAAACAGTCGCTCCGCAGCCGCATTGCAGCCGGATTCACTGGGCACAAGGACGACGAGTCCTCCAAGCAGGCACACAAGAACGGCGTAGGAAGACGCCAATCAGTCAGGAAGACCGACCCCAGACTCCAAGACTACTCGTCGCAGGAGGGCAATCGACTGCAGCAGTGGCATCAAAGTCAAGGGTCAAGCCCGCATCTGCCCGCGTCCAACGAGCAAGACGAGGACCATCTCGATCCTTTCCTGCAGCAAGACGGCCACGACACACCCCAGGTGCCGCCGAAAGATCTCCAGTATCAGCAGCAGCAACAGCAGCAGCAGTTTGTTTCAACCCCGCGTCAGGAACAGTATAATCGGCCCCCACTCGGCAGGGTAAGCACAGAGGGCAGCTATCAGGCCCAAGGCGGGGTAGATCATTACAGTCCCGATCAACACCAAGGCCAGGGTCTACAGCAACCACAACAGCAAATAAACCAACAGCAGTACCAAAGCTACCAGCCTACTGTGCAGCATCCGCAGACCCCGAACGAGTATCAGGCATTCAATCCACAAAACGTGCCAAGCCCTCTACTAGGAAACGCTCAGCTGCACGGCCAGGGTCAAGAACCTACACCGCAACAACAAAACTACTACCCATACCAACAGCAACAAGCACCTCAGCAGGTTCAAGGACAGTCACCGCAGGATAATTCGTCACAGAACATTCACTACCAACAGCAACAGCAATTCGTGCCTCAGCCTCAGCCGCACATAAATCAAGACGTACAGCAGCAACAGCCTCAAACTGTACGCCCGCCCTCTCAAAAGCAACCTGAACTGCAACACCCACAGGCCACTCGTCAACTCCCCCAGATTGTGCAACAGGGGCAGCAAGCTGATACGCAACATTTACAACAGCTCAGACCGCCTTCTTCGCAGCAGCATCAGCAATTTGCCCCACCGTCACCCCTCCAACCCCCATCCTATCAAACCTACGACGCACAGCAAGGCAAACAATCGCAACCGTCCGACTTGCACGCGCATAACATAACGCCCCCTCAGCAAGGACAGGATAATATGGCTCCTAGCGGTCAGGGCGCTAGTAGGAACACGCTGCGGAAGGTCAACGATGGCGGCCAGCAGCAGCCAGGGGCACCGTCACGAGAGTCTTCTCTGCTTCAACAGCCCCCAGCTCAAGGTCAGCCTCTCGGACAACCGCCTGTGTCGCCAGGCATCGCATCATTCGACGCTAACGTCGTACCAACAGCTTCGCAAGGTCAGCCATACCGAGGCGAGAAGGGACAGCAGGGTCACCAGGCAGGAGAGATGGGACGAGCGACACCTCCACCACGGTCATCTACCACGACCGATATGTCAGACGAGGAAATTGAGAAGATGATGAAGGAGCACGAGGTGCTGCGTGAGTTACATGCTAGACAAGATTCGAGGATAGCAACTGACAGATCACAGGCGAGAAGTACCAGAAGGTCAAGCGATACTTCTTTGAGCAGCAAACACAGGTACACCAACTGCAAAATACCCTGGCAAACCAGCGTCTCTCCCTTTCTCGGACAGCTTGGGACGACAGCGAATACGCTACACGTTTCAACAGATTAGACGGGCTAATAGCGCAGCTGTCATTCTCAATTCGCAAGGATTGGAAGTCAATTCCACATTGGTTGCACGTAGTGGTCAACAAGACCGCCGTGGAGACTGGTAAACAGGAAATGACTGCTGTTGGCCGTGCTTTCATCTCACATTGGCTGGTGGAAAACATCTTCGACAAGTACTTTCATCCGGATCTAGAACCTGGCTTCTCAACTCAGTTGCAAACGATAGCTCTCAACATCCGCAGATTCTCTCCACCCTGCCACAGTGCAGAGGACGAGGAGTCTCTCGCTGCAAAGGTCATCAATTGGCGGTTGGCCACACTTGAGGGTCTTGCAGATCTGCTGAGAGCACCACAGGCCGCAATACACCGGCAGACGCTAATTGAAACACTCAATGAGAAGCTCATTGCCTCTCTCCAGATGCATTTGAACGAGCCTGCACCGCCTGATCTCAACGGCGGCGTACCCATGATTGTCGAGTTGGCTGTCAGCGTTCTACAGCATCTACCACTCGAGAGCCGAGAGGTGCACATCGAGTATTTCCCGCCAGGTCATGGCATTGTACCCGACTTTATGAAGATAGAAACCGGCATTCCAGCACTGACAGCCCCCATCACCGACTTGGACGAGGCGGATCGAGCTTCGATGAGGAGCGTTGGGTCCAAAGTCCACGAGGATAATGCTTCCATCGCCGAACAGGAGCAGCAAACCCAACCGGGCGCGCTGCCTCCGAAAGAAGACAAGAAGCGTGGCATGTTTGGCTTTGGTGGTTCGAAGAAGCCCACAGCGGCTCCTGCGTCGCTCGGTAAGCGCGAGTCTTCACTCGGTCAGGGCGGAAGCCAGCAGAGCCTCACACAAAACCCGCCGGGAAGCTCGAGCGGACCGAAGGATGAGCCACCGCCGCGCGTGCGCTTGGCAGTCGGTGTTGCCGTACAGATTCGCGGCAAGAGCATATTGATGAAGGCGCCTGTGTATAGCACGTGAAGGTTCTGAAAAGCGGATTTTACGAAACGATGATTTGAACAGAATTTCAGCGATCTAGAGCAGGCAATGTGGGAATGGTTTCGTATTTTCAGTTCTTGTTTACACATTTTGTGTAGATTCTGGGGCTTTCAGATTGGCTCTCTTGTATCTAAGATGGCTATACCCAGCTGTGTTGTTTTAAGCGTTGCATTGTTTGGGTTTGATGAGCATACCGATACCCTCGCTGCGTCCACGGTTCAAAAGATAAAATTTGGTGATGAGAGGCTTTGGCTTGCACAATATGCACGCCATGGGCGATTCTGAATCTGCAAATGAAGGTTCAAGTGCATGAGATAACTGAAATAACGACAAGATATTCACGCTCCAAGGCGGACCGCCTCGGTCCCCCATTGGTCCATTATCGTACATTCTGTTTGTTTACCCCCCATCAACACCACGCTCATGTCCCCGCCATAACCTTGCCCCCGCTCACAAGATGGAAAGCATTGACATATCTCCGCAATTCAAATGTGAGTAGCGTCACTTCCACTCAAGTGCGTCAAAGCTGACGCGACCCAGCAACGTCCCTTTCCGTCACCTCGCCGGCCGCAACACACATCGCCTGCATCTCGAGCGCACGACTACAGATACGATGCCTGTCGACTTTCGAGATTATACGGAGTATAGCATTACCGTCGAGCCATGATCTCAGGAACTCGAGGATCGCTTGGTCACCGCCTACCGTAATCTCCTCTTCATCCAGACCGTCCTCTGTCTCTACACCACCGCGCCGCTCATCGCGCACATCACCTGCCCGTTCAAATCGCATACTCGTCTTCGACCAGGACATGACGCGCGTGTATGACTTGCGCGACGAGAAATGGAATGCAGTAATCAGCAATGGCTCAGGCGGCATGGGGAAGAACGTGCATGTGGAATTTGGCGCGAGTGAAGACGAAGTCATCGTCTGGAGCGACTTCAGCGCATGTGTAAAGATATGGTGTCTTAATACCGGTCGCGCAGTCGAGATAAGAGACCCCAAGTTCCCCGGGCGCGATGGAAGGGGATGGGCTTACCGCCCATGGCTCTCGACAAAAAGCAGTACGAGAGGACGAGTCCTTGCTCTGCTTTGCCGCCCATCGGGGGCCGATGTCCTCCTGCTCCTCTCCTCACCCTCATACAGCCTCCTCTCTCGCACGGAACTCCCCACAACCGACGCTTCTGGGCTGAAGTGGAGTCGTGATGGCCGCTGGCTCGCCATCTGGGATGCTGCTTCCACAGGCTATAGGCTCTGCATATACACCGCCGACGGGCACTTGTACCGAACCGTGACCCGCGAACCTACGGACGAAGCGAGTGAGTGGAGTGTAGAGGGATTAGGGATTAAGAGTGTGGAGTGGGTTCCGGGTAACCAGTGGCTGGCGGTAGCGGGATGGGACAGGAGGGTTAGGATATTGAGTACAAGGACGTTTGCCCCTGTTGTATTCCTCGACCACACTGCGGTCATACATGTGCCCAGCGCGCCCGTCTATACCGAGCTCGTTGACGATCGAGGCAATCGAAGCTACGCGGCCACCCCGCAGCCTGCTACACCACCCAAAGCGCCGGTTGACAAGAACGAAACGGGGCTGATGAAGCAGGGTATCAGTATCTTGGCTTTCAACGCAGATGGTACGCTGTGCGCGACAAGGGATGATTCAACGCCGAGCACGGTTTGGATATGGGATTTGAAGAGTTTGAAGCCGAGCTGCATTCTGATTCAATACGCGCCGGTTAAGCACCTGCACTGGAACCCGAATGACCCTTCTACGCTATTAATACAGACAACGCATGACTCGCCGACGGTATACCTGTATACTACATCCAGTCTCGCAGGATCTGCAGAGTCTCCGGGAACAATAGGGATGCAACAAGCGCCTGAGATTCTTGGTTTAAGGTCGCACATCCACAAACCAGCCGGCTCTATACCCGCGAAATGGACCGCATCATGGCTCTCTACCTCTCCGGACAAGAAGCCTGCGTTCTCACTTGGACATCAACAGGGTTGCGTTCTCGTTTGGCCATATGGCAAAGACCAGATTCTTCGCTTTGAAAACGAACAAGAAGAAGATAATGATGGTGATTCTGACGACAGTTTGTACGAAATCTTGACGGGCAGGACACCAATACCGCAATTTAGGAATACTGGGAGTGAGGGCATAGAAGCCAGTGGGGGCATGGAGGCTGGCGGAGGTCTAGACGATACGTTTCGGGAAAGGAGAGAATATACCAACGGAACAGAGAGAGGACAGAGCATATTTGATGAGAGCGGCTTAGACGAGATGTTCTGAACCATGTCTTACACACACTGGGTCAAGGGGTTCGGAGTCCGCAATCATGTTCGTTGGAATTTAGATATACCCATATCGTATCATTACAGCACAAGTCATATCAAATAAAGCCATGCATATCGCCAAGTCACTTAACCAAAAGGACCCTTTGATTCGTCCTGGAATCCCCATCGACCCGTCTGATCCAGACCCAATGGGTTATCCCCAGTCTGCTCCTTTCCGCCAATCTATCATGGTAAAACCGTTAGCTCAAACCCTCCCCCAAAACAAGACTTCCTTGGACGTACCTTCTCGGGCTTGGATTCATAGCTATCCTTGTTCTTGCCGCCCAACAACTCGCTCTTCTCCTCTTCCGTGCCCATCAATGGACCCAGCGCACTGCGCGTTGTGCCGCCCACCGCATTGCCGAGAGGACCTGTGACGCCTTTTTCAAGGGGCGCGCCGATGGGACGGAGGGCTGTGCCGAGGACTTTGCCTGTTTGGAGAGTGATGATCAGCTGGGTTCATTGCTACGAAGAAGCGTTGGGGGAGTTGGGGGGATTATGAGGATGAAGGGAGCGTACCGGCAGGATCTCCAATCATGGACAACAGGCCGCCTGACCCCGAGTCCTTTTCTTCCTCTTTATCTTTCGACTCTGTGGGGATGTGCTGTTGTTGCTGGTCTTGCGGTTCTTCCTTGTTGCTCGACATCTTTTCTGGTTATCGCCCGTAGGTTCTTGTATTGTGCAGCTTGTGCAAATCGTTCGTTACGAGAATAGTGGGTTATCTAATGCCGATGCAGGTAGACGGCTATTCGTGTTGGTGGAAGAAACCGTTGAAGCTAAAAAGGGAGACACTTATAAGTAGCTTGAGAGAGGCGGCGGGAACGCCTTGGTTGCATTGCAGATCAGGCTTCAGAGTGCTTGTGACGTCAGTTGTACGGTTGAGGTTTGTCGATCACTAGCTTGAGCGGGGGTGTTAGCGACTGTTGCAAGGGTAGCTGGTCTAGCCTGGAACCACGACTACTGCATTGTTCCCACTTCAATCTACGAAAGTCACTAGAATCTTATGAAGCAGAATGTCAATCTCATTCGGCTACCCTTACGCTACAAATACCATATGAATCCAAAGCCCCAGAATCCGCTCCAGGATCTCGTCGTCCTAGCATGCTAAGTGTCCTAGTCGCTTATCTACCTGTTCGGAAGACTGCGCCATCAAGGCAGACTGTTGCACAGATGCCGCAGCGCAACTGTTCTCTGGCACACTCGGAGTGAACTGTACATCGAACTTATATCGTGAAAGCAGAAACGCAAGGACAAAAGAAGGAAAGAAGGGGCCGAATGGAACGCTTTTAGGACAGTCAAAACAGAGACATTGTTGATCGTCGGACTTTGCTCTAACCCAGTTTCAATGGGAAGTCAACCAGCTGACAAGGCGCTGAATCAAAGCGTAAGAACGGTTCCACATAGTGACTGCACGAATCGATCGTGCAATCTCTCAATACTGAACTCAATTCCGCTCCAGAGGAACCGTCGGGATGCTGCCAGGGTTGATGGTCTCGGTGGTGTGGTGTTGGTAGATCGATACATCGACAATCTGATCCTTCTTGAACCCCACCTGGGAGATTCTGCCAGCACGCACGAACTTGAAGGCACTCAAGTAGTCGGTGGCCCACTGGATGTCTGCGCCATGCTGATGATGGACATTCAACAGGATCGTCTTGATGACTCTCGAAGGACCCGTCTTGAGATAGTCAAACTCATTCACGTACTCGTAGCCTCCTCTGGCGTTGTATCCGGTATTAGCCATTTCCAGAAGCCTGTCGAGAAGGCACTTAGCGATGCCTTTCATGAGGTAACCTGGATGAACGAAGAGCTCCATCTCGAAGGTGAAGCGGTACATGCTCGACTGATCGCAGTAATCATCTAGGTTGATATAGCCAACGATCTTTTCACGGATGTAGCCCCCACCCCTTGGCTGGTTGCCTCTGGCTATCGCTACCAGATAGGGCAGGCCTGCTTCGGTGATGCCGTTGATACGATCGCGTATCTGGGCTTCCGTGCGGCCGTCGAACTCGTTAGCGGCGATGGAGTTCTCAACGTAATAGTTGTAGATTTCCTGTTATGTTGTTAGATTTTTACTTTGAAAAGGTAAAAATATGGAAAGTAATTACCGCAATGCCCCTTACGTCTGCTGGCTGAACAGGCCGAAGGTAGACGTTAGCACTCGGCCGAATGCGTCGGTCTTCCATCTCCGGGACTGGGAATTTTGGTTCTGGAAGAGGACGGTTCCGCTTTGCCAGCATCCTCTGCTGCTTATTGATATCCCGTTCGCGCTTGTTTCGCATCCTCTCAGTAGCGGATGCAAAACCAAAGGGATTGATGTGGTTAGCCACATCAGCTCCATCAACTTTTGCATCCGGCACCACCAAAGCGCTGATGAAGGAGCTAGATGCGTCGGTATACAAGTCCCACCACGGCGGCTCCGCTGTGATGTCAGTGTCGTCCAAAGCCTCCGGCGCACGGAGTGGCATCTCCTTCCAGAACTCGCGCAGAGGCTTGCCCTCTATATGCGCCAACAGCCAATACCGAGGTACGAGCTCTTTGCAAACCCCATCAACAAGGACATGTTCGACTTCATCACCATTGGTCGTCTGACGACCTCTGAAAGAGTCAGAGGATATGTCCATGCTGTCTATGCACTCGATACTATGCCCATTCATCCACTGTTCCATGATTTGACCGAAGTGGCGGTTCGAGTAACCTTTGCGAGCAGACCATTGCTCGGGAGGAGGAAGCCAGTCGCCGTTCCAGTCCATTAGTTGTTTGACGTCGTAATGAGGGTCTCCATTGCTGTTAGACCTGAAGCTGACGCCGCCGTCACTGTCACTATCGGTGGGGATATACTTCATGTCACGCGCCTTTGGCCAGACTGTCTTCTTCGGGGCCGGCTTTGGGCCGCGTGGCCATCGCGGATTCTCAGCTTTACGAATTAGAGGGGAAGATTCGGGCTTGGGATTGTCCCAGCCAGCCCAGCCGTTATTTTCGACTTTCTCTGACTCTGGGGGAGTAGTCGCTGGAGAAGGGGGTGAATTCGGTGATTGGTTTGCACTGTTACTACATGAATGTTAGCGTGTTTGAAGAGGTGCGATCAATGGTGTGCTGAAAACTTACGGAGATGAATCTAGCTGAGCGGGATGTTCGGTCTTGGACTTGTCGGAGACCGCAGGGGATCCGTTCGCAGTATGAAGCCCGAGCACGGAGTCTGCTTTCGCTGGGGTAGCAGAGCCGCGCTTGCGCAAGTGGGGAGGAATATAGGCACTCTTCGGTAACGCAGACATGTTGTTGCGTGTCTCTTGCTTCTTACTCTTGCGTGGCGGTCTTGTGTGCGAGGACTTCTCAGGCTTCTGGGTGTCGTTTTCTGGAGGTGATGGTATAGTAGGTGTAGGAGGATTAGCGTGGCGAGGTGAAGCTGAAGTAGCTGCCTTGGCACGAGGGTTACGACGAGGGTCTGGGATTGGAAACTCGGCCAGTTGCGCTGCCCAGGTCTTGCCCTCCTCTGCTGCTATTGTAGGCGGACTCTCAATAGCTGCTGGGTCGAAAGGTGCCCATTGTACGCGACTAGAACGGCGCTCACTCGGTTTCTATTGTCTGTCAGTTGCAATTAAGGGCGGTTAGGCGTCGGCGTGTGTGGCTGATGATGACTTCATTGCGTCTCTGCTTTCACTTACCGCGGCATGTCCAAAGTCCTCCCGCTGTTGCCAGGTCATAGCGTCATTTGCCTGTTTCGTTGATGTATCAATGGGGAGTGGAAGCGTGGGTACTGTCGGGTTCATTGTGGCCGTAGGCATAGAGTCGCGCGGACAAAAACTGTATACACCACGTGCCATGATGCAAGCTTACTTATCTCTGAGTCAAGGAGGAAAGAGCGAGGGAGTCTGCGGATAGGGAAGGAAAGTGCTGACGAAGATGAGGGAGGGAAGGATAAGGGGATGAGAAGGCAGGAACTATATAAGAGGAACTAAAAACCCTTTCAAATTCAACCAAGGAAACTGACTGGTGATACACGGTGAGAGGTTCCAGGGGTGCGGGTCGTGATAATCCAGTACCTAGTCATCCTTTACTTGAGAAGAGTGAGTGACTGAATAGCTGCCTAGCACTTTAGAGTCTTACCATCAATAAAGAGGGCAAGAATACAAATCGGTCAGCATGTGGACATTCGCAAAGGACGTTGACAAATGAAATGGACAGTGATTGATGGATAAAACCCCTGAACCTCATCACTCAGCAGAGCAGCGCACCTATCCTGGAGGATGCAATGTAATCATCACAGCCACCACTCTGTCAAAGTACACCCACTGACTGGCGATGGCTCAACAGGTAGTCTAGGACGCGGGCGCTTCTTAAACTCTTTTTCTTAACAGTGATCGAAGGTAGTGATGCTGGTGAAAACCGAGCATGCGCATGTAGCGTCGACGTTGAATTAGAGAGCTTCGCGCGGAGGTCTTTGCACAACAATAGTAAAGAATAATAGCAGCATTAAGTGCGGAGCTTCGACGGCTATGAAGATTTATGCCGAGTTTGAGACAACAGTGCGATGGTGGATGTGTGTCTATGGCAAGTTTAGCCGAATGGCAGAGAGCTCCACATCGGCGCATCGTCTTTCTCTCTCTAGAATAACCGAACCAAGACCTGGGAGAAACAACCACCCAGAATGCTCTCCATACTCCGAAAAGCGCGTCTAAAGGACAAGGAGATGAGAATCTTGATGCTGTGAGTGTTCCTGATCTTTGTTTGGCGTTGGAGGCTAAGTGCAGGAGGGGCTTGGATAATGCCGGCAAGACCACCATCGTAAAGAAGATTATGAACGAAGATGTGAACAGCGTCAGCCCTACTCTTGGCTTTATCATCAAGACAATAGAATACGACGGGTACGTGCATACACCGAAGATGATCGTGGAAAAGACTGATAATAGAAGATACAAGTTGAACATTTGTACTGCACCTGCTCTACTCCTCCCGGGAGGCCAGCCGATGCTAACTGCACAGGGGATGTTGGCGGCCAGAAGACGCTGCGGACATACTGGAAGAACTACTTCGAGAAGACGGACACGCTCATCTGGGTGGTTGATGCGACGGATCGCGAGCGGATAGACGACTGTCGACAGGAGCTGGCGGGGCTGCTCCTGGAAGAGGTTTGTGGCGAACCAACCAAGCCATCAATACATGTGCTGACAAGAGAAACAAAACACAGCGTCTCTCGGGGGCAAGTCTACTGGTTTTCAAGAACAAGAGCGATGTTCCCGGCGCCATGACAGAGGACGAGGTGCGCGAGGTGGGTACAGCTGACGAAGATGTTGAGATGGGTTGTCAGGCCAATAGTAACGGCGTGCAGGGACTGCGACTCGATGCGATCAAGACACACAAATGGACCATCATGACGTGCAGCGCCATGACGGGCGAGAACCTGCGCGAAGGTCTTGAATGGGTAGTGCAGGACGCAAAAGCTCGACTCTTCCTGTATTAACAAAGCGTGTCAGGCACCGCATGTCGGTGCAAGGGGCAACGCAGGCCCAAAAAGCTAGATGCGGGTAGGAGTGGAGCCGGCGTCTCAGCACTTGGAACCATAACAAACATGGAATTGACTGAAAGCTTCCTGCGTGACCTGCCGTCCAAGACACCCTTCTACAAACTCGCTTTGCTTCCCTCTCGTACTCGACTGACCTGATCCACGGTCGATGCGCATTTCCCCATCTCCTAGCCCTGCGTTTCAGCCCACTTGAAACCGATCCGCGCTCTGGCCAGGCATGAGGTAACCGAGCCCCTCGAAGCAATTTAACGACCACGAAACGCCCGGGATTGTCCTTCACTGCCGAGCAGCTTCATCCCTCGCGCCTTGCTGTCTCGTAGCACGGACTGGCCTGTGTTTGTTTACCAAGCCCTTTCTAGTCGCCCATCGCCATGTCTGAGGAAATTGATCCCTCCGAGTTTGTGCAGCGCATTCGCCAGCTGGGCGAGCAACGTGACCAGCAGGACGCCGACAGAGTAAAGAAGCTAGAGGAGGAGCTGATACAAGGCCGCAGCGAGAGATTAGCGCGCAGAGCAGGTATGTTGTGATTGTTGTTGTTGGTTGTTTGCTCGTGGAAATGAAACACTCTGCTGATGCTTTTTCCCCAACCAGAACGAGCCCGCTCAATCTCCCCCGACAAGCCCTCGACGTCCACACCACCGTTTCTGCGCTCTGCAACCGATACCCCACAAAGCGTACAGGAGAGGGCCGCCAACACACCCACGCCGGCCATGAATCCGCCACTGCAAGACGCTGCTCGCGACGATTCGCTGCAGCGCTTGACAAGTTCTCCCACACCGGCAGCGCTCGACGACACAGAAGCCAAGAGACCAGCGACCAGCGCAGCGGCATTAGGTCGCTCTGGCACGCTGTCATGGAAACAGAGACCTCAGTCGGGCGGCATGCGGCGCCCGCTCTCAATGGCTTCTCCATCTCGATCCCCAGAGAGGTCCGCTGCTGCTTCTCCACGCGGCACCCCGGAACCCGCCTCTCCCGAGCCAAACCCCTCGAGAAGCTCCATCGCAGCGTCGTTGAGCGCCAAAGATCCCACATGGTTCCGACAGACGCCAGATAGGGGAGTCGCCTCGGCAGCATACAGGAAGAATCAGGAAGACAACGCTTCGGAGGTTGGGTCAATATCAGGCAAGAGGCAATTGCCGGGCATGTCACGCGAGTCCACGATAGAGCCCGAGATCAGCAGTCCACCCCCGGAGAGTGTGCGCTCAAGTTCGCCAGGCTCGCGGGGTGGCTCTGCGCGTGGGAGTGCCATGATGAGCAACCGCTTCTCGACAAACACCTCAATATCGGGTGGTGACGCAGAGTCCCTCGCCAAGACACGCTCACATCTACCAGTGCTCGATTCACAAAAGTTTGCTCCTCCTTCGGAACAGGACTCGTCAGTCGACGCCGGGGACAGCGCAAGTTCGGCACGCGCGCTCGCCATGTCACCAACGCAAGGGAGGATATCGCCAGAGCGAGAGCGTCCATCTTCTCCAACAAAGGGCATGGGGGGCTTCGTACAGAGTGCTATGCTCAAGCGCAGCGACAGCGTCAGCAAGAGGTGGAGCACACAGACACCTCCAGGCTTGACCAGGCAAAACTCCACGTTGAGCAATCGTGGAAGCGCCATAGCTGGATACGGCACGCTATCGAAGATGGAGCGACCGACCATGAGCAGAGACAACTCCATAGAACCGTCCTCCCGTCCTGTTTCTAGCCATAGCAACGCCACCATCACGCAAAGTCCGGACAAGGACAACACGCTCAAGGATGTATTTGTCAAGCCCGCGCTGCCGTCCCATAGCAGAAGCAAATCCGTTGCATCCTTATTCAGCGAGAAGGACAATCCTCAAGATGACACGTCCCCGCCCAGCCCGTCAAAGCGATGGAGCCCTACAAAATCAAGCTGGTTAGAAAGTGCGCTAAGCAGGCCAGACTCACCAAAGCTGAAGCAACCGCCACCAGCACAACCTGCATGGATGGCTGAAATAAACCGTATCAAGCAGCAGCGCGGTAGTGTCGATCTCGGCAAGGGAAGTCCTTTCCAGAGTCCGCCAGGTGACGCTCCTAGCTCCGGTCGAACATCACCCATCAAGGACATTCAGCTGAAGCCAGTGGGGTTGCGCAGGTCCGAGTCTCCCAAGAAGGAGGAACCCATCCAGTCGGCCAAGACGAGTACACCAGCAGAGCCAACACCCAAGCCAAAGCCTGTGTTGTCGCCAAAACCTTCTATCCCCGAGGTATCTGACATCAAGCCCTCAGAAGAAGTTCTACCTTCGAAGCTCGAATCCGAAGTTCCACAAGCAGCACCTGAGCCGTCACCAGCTACTCGCAAACCCGAAGCGCTGAAAACAACTGTCAAGGAGACTCCAGTACCAGTAGCCGACAAACTAGCAGCATCAAGATTCGCCAAGGACTCACCACGTGCTGTCCCTGCAGCCAAAGCCAAACCAGAGACTCCGCCAAAGAAGGACTTCCGTGCTGGCTTGAAGCCACGTAACCAGGCTGGCGATGCCTCGAAGAAGAATGAAGTGAATGAGTTCCAGAACGTTTTCGGCAAGCTGAGAAAGGCAGAGACGAAGAACTACGTTGCGCCCGACCCCCTCAAAGACAACATTACTCGTGGCAAGAATGCTCTGCACAACACTGGTGGTCCGAAACCTACTGTGCGTCGTGATGAGTTTAGACATAGTCTTCAGACTAAGAAGTCGGCCATACTAGAAAAGGCAAAAGAAGAAGGTTCGGCTCTTAAGAAGGCAGACAGCTCTTCGCAACCGGCCCCAACACCAGAGGCGATTGCGAAGAGAACTGTTCTGGCTCGGGCAGATAGTGGCTCGAAACCTACTCTGCCAGAAAAGGAAAAGGACCCTGTTCCCGAAGCTATAGCTAGGAAGCGAAGCTTGACGGCAAGCAAAGCAGTCATTGAAGAGAAACCTACACAGCCGGCTCCGTTGTTTACCTCCAAGGAACCGGCTATATCCAGTAAACTGGCAGGTCGCTTTAACCCTGCGCTTGCCGGCATGCTCGCTCGTGGACCACCTCCGTTGGCGACTAATAAATCTACCTCAAGTGCTGAGGCAGACGTGTCTCCCACCAAATCCACACAGGAAGAGAAGACCGGACCTGCTCCAGAACTGCAGCATATCACCAAAGGCCGGGCTCGTGGTCCAAAGAGAAGGGCACCGGCTACAAGTAAAGCCACTACAGAAACAGATACGCCTCAAGAGAAGATGACCGCTGCGGTCACTACAATCCCATTGGTGAAAACTGAGCATGTTCTTCCCAATTCCGAGCCTTCCCGAACTAACGGACCATCAGACGCAACCCCAGTGACGAAGACGCCGGCCAGGCAGTCGGTAACTGAGAAGCCTGCAACGCCGGTGAAGTCGCCTCGGGTAGCGTCAGGAAACTTTGGAAAGACGTCAACTCCAGAGCCACCCAAAAAGCCGGCATCCTTGGAACTGGTTCGAAAGATCTCTGGATCTCAAGCACCGCCCAAGAAATCGCCCCGGCCAGACTCCATCCAATCGCCGAAACCTTCATCCCCAGGAGTGCCAAAGAAGCCAGCATCATTAGAAAAGGATAGGAGAGTCTCTGGATCGCATAGCACACCGCAGAAAACTCCACTCCCAAAATCAGTCGACACAGCGAAGCCAGTGTCGTCGTCTCCCTCTCCCACAGTATCCCAATCCAGATTCTCGCGTCCACTGCCTACACTTCCAGCCAAGCCAGTTGCGGAAAGCCCAAGAAAAACTGCGCTCCAAGAGATAGCGCCTCCGAATGTGGAGATCTCACCTGCCAAGGAGGAGCTCTCGCCCGAGAAATCTACCTTCTCATCTGTTAAGAGTGCAACCACGCTATGGGGCAGACAATCAGCATCTTCATCTCCTGTACCAGCAAAGACAAGGTCGCCGATCAAACTACCCACCAAAGCAGATGAGCAAGCCGCTATGGAGGATGCTGGCCTCGTCCGCTCACCACAGTCGCACACAAAACCTCTGCCGGAAACGCCACTATCGAAACCTCAACCCGCTGTTGAATCGAAACCCTTACCGCCAAAGCCAAAGCCGGCGGGTCTAGGTTTCAGTCTAGGCAGCTTGGGTGGTTATATGGCATCCCGCTCACGAGAGTCAAGCCCACAGCCGCCCACGGGCTTTCCTGCATCACCGCCAAGCAGTGCAGGCAGGCCAAAGTCTGAATCTTTCAAAGCATCCCCAACCCCGCAGAAATATGAGGGCATGTTCGCAGAGTTCTTTGATGAAGCCCCAGTAACCGATGGGCAGTTGCCGGAGAATATAGATACAGTCCACGTATTGAAATCGCCGCCGTTTGACCTTGGACCTGCTGGAAAAATCCGCACACTGCGCAAGCAGATACAAGAAGTGACAGGGGACGGCAAGCTCTCACCAGTACCGGTGCAGGAAGAACATGTTTTATTCCAAGACTCAATGTATCTTTGTACACATGTGTACGGAGATTCGAAAGGTGCACGCCACACAGATGTCTATCTCTGGGTAGGTAGCGGCATCGCAGAGCCGACTCTTGAGGACGCTCAGCTTTTCGCAAGGAACCATGCCAAACAGAATCAAGGACAGCTGCTCATCATCCGGCAAGGCCAAGAACCCCCCAATCTCTTTGAAGCTCTCGGTGGCATCGTCATCACGCGCCGCGGCGCGAAACCAGCGTCCAAGGAGTTTATGCTTTGTGGGCGTCGCCATCTCGGGCACCTCGCCTTCGACGAAGTAGACTTCTCCCTCAAGAGCCTCTGCTCCGCTTTCCCTTACCTAGTCTCTACAACCGCGGGAAAAGTCTACCTGTGGAAGGGACGCGGCTGCTCTGCCGAAGAACTGTCTGGCGCGAGACTGATGGGCATGGACCTCGCGCCCACCGGCGACTTTGCTGAAATCGAAGAAGGCACCGAGCCTCAGGACTTCATAAAAACCTTCCCTTCTCCTGCAATCCCGACTAAGGGTCCTGCTATCCCGCGTTCAGCAGACCACTGGCGCTACAAGTCCACGTCTGATAAATACCGACCTCGCCTCTACAAGATCGAACAGCATAGTGAGCAACACGCTGGTTGGGGACAGGCACTCCAGGTGAGCAGCTCCTTTTTTGCGCAGCTGCGCCGACCATCTTGGAGTGGACCACAAGCTGAACAGAGGCCACAGACGCCAGTTTCGCCGAGTGGAGTGCGGACCGAGATTAAGGAAGTCATGCCGTTTTGTCAGCGGGATCTGGAGCCGGAGCATGTATATGTCCTGGATGCCTTCTTTGAGATGTATATGTAAGTTTCCTCTCGCCACCTGCACCCGTAATAATGAGATGGTTTATACTAACGCATTACAGTATCATCGGCTCCTTGTCCCGCACCCAATCGCACGCCTTTAGTACCGCGCTCCTTTTCGCACAAGAGTATGGCATCCTAGCCGTCTCCGAGGAAGACCGACCCTTCATGCCAGTGACAACTGTGGTCTTGGAGGGTGTACCAAGAGATATGAAGGCCGTTTTCAGACACTGGGACGACCGACTAATCCCCGCCGCTGGGCTAATGACCGGCAAGTTGGGACGCGGAAAGAGTCTGAGGATTGTTGGACTAGAGAAGGCGTTGGAGGGGACGAGACGGTAATCGGCATGAAGACATGACAATAGACATTCGACTGCTCGGCACGCGAAAGCAAGTACGCGTCTGGATGATTCACATAATGTTTGGTTCACTTCTTCGAGTCGTCTCTATGGGGCTTTGGCTTGGTGTTTTGCTTCAGTGTACAGAAGTTTCATGTTACCTTTATCAGCATTTTTCCGGGCGCAGCGCAGCGCAATGCATTGGGTTGGAGAGTGGCGTCTCTCCTGGTGTTATAGAACATAGGCTCCCATGGAGCAAAGCGATGATTTTTTCATTATGCGTCGAAAAATGTCTTCCTGTCTCATTTTCGTTGGTGATACTTGAAACCACCATCTTTTTTCGCGTACTCACTACCTGAATTGGCTGGCAGGGGTGGTGTAGGGTAGGGTTGTTGGTTTATTTACCCGGTACGTTCGGTCCGTGTATCAATCTAATCCCACCCTTTTCATTAAACACGGTGGGCAAATGAGCTGGTAGAGATCATGCAAGCACATGACGCCACCGCGCATGGCTGCTTTGGACGCGGAGCCGAATGCGGATGGGCGATTGGGATGTTAGAGGGAAAAGAAACTGTGCAGGTGGCTGACAATTTTACCCCGTGGGGTAGCAGTGTTGCACTGCATGAGGAGGCGTAGGACTTCAACGGGTTATATTTCATGCAAAACGAACTGTTCGATATTCTCGCACGGAAATAATACTTTAGAACTAGTCAGACAGTCTAGAATCTACGTTGAATGAATATGCTACCCCTAGTCCTATCTTCTCGGCCAAGGCGGTGTGTTTATGTTATTGGGCTCCCCTCGCCTTCGGGGAAATGAAAGGTAGGTGGGCCATACACTCAGACCGAGGCTGATAGCTCCACGCATTGGTGGCTCTTTGTCCAGCATCAACCGACGATTATATTACCCGGTCGTAGCTCTCGCGTGCTTGCTTCCCAGTCCACACCACCGCTACGACAGACGTCGATATTAATCCAAGTGGCATTTCTCCACCTTCTGGCCTATCGCTTGCGTTCCTGCTCATCACCCGACCTACTACTTCTTTACTTTTCGATCGAGTAATGGGCGTGGTCGTGGCCCGAAGAGGGATGGCTTGGGACTCAAGAACCGGGTTGACTTGTTTGCTCGATATGAGGTTTTTGATTGCGGGACATGCTGGAACGGACGCGTCGATGGCCTTGTGATGGAAGGATTTTGGGCTGGCTGGAGGGTGAAAAGGCTGCTAAGTGCTGGGGGATATGTATATAGGGAGGGTGGAATCCGGGGACAGAGCTGCTCGCGAGAGGAAAGACCGCTGTACATCACATCTACTTTCTCATCAAAACCGTTGTGAGGAGCCACAGCGTATCCGCTATGCACTCCCTTACCACTGCACTCGTTGTGCTGCTCCCCCTCGTGTCTGCTCACGGCCACGTCGACAAGGTCATTGCTGATGGCGTGACGTATCAAGGCTGGAACGCGGCGCTCAAGTATCAGAACCCGATCCCACCGACAGTCGGCTGGCAGGCTGATAACCTCGACAATGGCTTCGTGACGCCCGATCGCTTCGGAACCGTGGATATCGTGTGCCACAAGTTAGGCAAGAGTAATGGTGCATACGTGTCCGTCAAACCTGGGTCCAAAGTGACATTCAAATGGTAAACCAACATGCCTTCCCTCCTAAATGAACCATAGACTAACCTAGCTCTCCAACGTCAAGGGATACCTGGCCGACAACCCACGCAGGCCCAGTGCAAGAATACATAGCCGCATGCAATGGCGACTGCGGCGCCGCGAAGCCCGAGGCTCTCTTCTGGACGAAGATCCAATCCGGCGCGTGGAAATCCGGAAGCAACCCAGGCGCGTGGGTGACGGACGACCTGGTCAAGAACAACTTTTCCTGGGACCTGACCTTCCCCAACGTCGCGCCGGGCAACTACGTTGTGCGCCACGAGATCATAGCGCTGCATGCTGCGGGCCAGACCAACGGCGCGCAGGCGTACCCGCAATGCGTCAACTTCAAGGTAGAGGGAAGTGGAACGAACAAGTTAGCCGGCGGTGTGCCGGCTACGAGCTTTTACAAGCCAACGGATCCGGGTATCTTGTTCAATTTGTACACCAAGTATGAAGGGTATACGGTTCCCGGGCCGGCGTTGGTCAAGTTGGCGAAGAGGGAAGAAAGGGAGCATGCTAGGGCATTTGCATAGATTGGTAGTTGGAAGCCATATTGTATCATGCTGGAAAGGTCGAAAGCGTTTGCTTTTCGGTATTGCATCTTCGGGGGCATTCGCATATTTCGTCAATTGTCTGACGTCCAGCTTTCAGAGTTGTTGAAATCCACATGGTACTCGATGAGTATTTCTTCCAAGCTTCCCGTAATTCTGACTGGCTTAGTGATGCATAGTATGTTGATGACGAACAGCGGTGTGTAGGTTGTCCGTCTACAGCTCATCGTCCTGCCTTGCGTCAGCTCACGGTTGATCGGTCTCTTGGCTTAGCATAGGCTCAGGACAGCTACTTGGGAGAATGAGTATTCGGCCAAATTTAATGGAATAGCGCAGTCGGATTCGCTTCAAGATGCGTTCCGTGCCGTGTTGATACTCATAAGTCTTGAGAGCATCTGCTTTTCGGTCCTCTTTGCGCCCTAGGAATGCTCGGCGCGAGTACCACATCTCAAACTTCGATTGTCCTGTCACATGTATGGCAGCTGGTATCGAGGAAATCAAGTAATGCTACTGGAGTGACCGTGGATAGAGGAACCTTGGACGGTTGTTGATAGTTAGTTTAGCAAGATAAGAAACTTGAATGACTGTACAAGCTACACTATTGCACGCTATCGTAGGACCACAGAAAGTTCTGGCACATTATAAAACTCCACAATGGACCTGAAGAATGAAGATATGTAATAAGTTGTGATCGGCGCGGGTGAGGGCCCATTCGTTGCTATAAAAAGTCGGCCTGATTGGTGTTCAACGCCAACTGTCTCAAGAACGCCGTGGTTGAGGGGGACGCGTAATTGCGCATAGTGGCGGCTGAGTCAGCTTACAACCACCGCCCAGCATTTATCTTTTAACACGGCCCTTTAGCACCAGATACTCTCACAAGATTGAGAGTGAGACACGTCACGTCTCTCCTGACAAGCCATCTGTCGCTGGTAGACAAGCCCGAGAGCCGCTGTCCAAGGCTGCTGGCCAAGTGCCAGGACGTACCTTGTGAAACCATCCTTCGGCACAGCCCCTCCGGCCGATCCGGCTAGGGTGAATAGACCCGCGTACCACATTATAGAAGATGACGCGTACCTGAGGCCCTGCGGACAAAAGCGGGTTTGCGGGCTTGGCCTAGCACGTGGATGATTGGGTGAAGATTAGCTGAACACACGGGAGATCAGACAGTGAAAGAGTGTCTGGGGATTCGCGGGGTGCTAAATACCGTGGTAGATATTTATCGGTAGCCTGATTACAAACTTTCTTCTTGATTCCGAAGATTCCGTGTGCAACCGCTCCTCTTCTTTACCACCGTTTATCTCGTTGTCAACGCTGCCCATTCGCTCACGCGATCCCTGCCTGCCGGAGCTTCCGCATACACCAGTCTCACTCTTCCGACGTCGCGGCCTTCACCTCACCAGCGACGATCACCCGCTGAAGATCAAGTTCACTCACGCCTTCTTCTTCTTCTTTAATCCCTCTTACAAGACACCCGCCCTCGTTACAACCAACCCTCGCAAAACCGCAACCATGATCATGTACATGCAAAAGAGAGACAACATGGGCTTCCAGATCGCCCCAGCCTTGATCATCTTCCTCGTCATCCTAGGAGCTGGCTTTTTGATCTGCTGCGGGTTTGCCGTGTATCGTTGTACGTAACCGCCATGTACGAATTGCATTTGAGCATACACTGACTGAACGTTCAGCCTACCATGCTGCTGAGGATGATCCCAGTTGGAGTGCGCGATCACCAGAGCAAGACGCGTACATGCGAGAAGTCCGAGAGCGCAACTGGGGGAGATTCTCGAAGCCGGGAGGGCAAAACCTTGCCGGTCCTTCCTTCAATCGAAACATGGCCCACGCGCCTATGAGTCCAAGGTAAGAAGACGGTCGTGGTTCTGTACCAAGTTCTCCAATTGACAGTCGCAGCGCCACTACCAACAACACCTATGGATGAATACTGAGTCAAAAGACTTGCATACATACAAACGACGACAACGACGAAAGATTTTGAGCTGTACAGAATACAACGCGCATGCCAGACGAAATATGATTGATTGTTTGTTGACAACCACCATGACGCTTCTCCTCACAAGTACAAACTTGATGGGCATCGGCCATGTTTGGTCCTTTCCGCGAATCGAGAGCCCGATAGTAGTCGGTGTGATTGTTAGACCGTCCCAAATAGCCAGGTTATTTCAGCATCTGGTATATACGCACCATGCAGCCCTGAGGGGAGAGATCGGTTCCTAGACACTTGGGGGTACCCTTTTGAGTCTCCTTAAGGCAGGTCGGGGTGAACCAAGGTTCGGGAACCTGGGACCGAATAGCACGCTTGATTATGAGCGCGACGAGTCGGAGTCGGCTTGGAGCGATTCAGTTGGGCGTTCTGCGGTTGTCTCTCTCATTGAGGTATGAGTTTGCGGAGACGGTTTTGCCAGATTTCGTAGAAATGTCAGATCCATGTTGGTTGCAGTTGCAGGCCACTCGACCCATGCCCAGTTGTCCTCGCCAATGACAAGCGCAGCAGTTGCTATGAGATTGGCAGCCAAACCATCGAGCCACATGACTCCTGTGACCCTTGACAGTAGTATCGCATAATGAGCGATCAGTACCCATGCCTCCATACATCGTTGTTCGAGCAATGCCATGAATTCAAGGGACAGCTGCACTGGCCAGCTGAAAACCGAGGTCCAGTCGAAAGAGGTTGCGCACCTTGTATCACCAGACTGAGCAAGACACCTAAGCCTTGACACAAGAGCGAAGGCTTCTCGCAGGTCTTTCAAAGCGTGGCGAAGGGTATGGAATGAGTAGTTGTAGTTTCTTCCATGGCGAGACCACATTGTCTCTAACCGTTGAAGCTTTCGATTCTCGTCAAGTTCTTCTGCGGTGACCGGTACAGGCGCAGGCCACCATTCACGATCAGTAATGGGGCGAAGTGGTCCATTGTAAATACAATCCCAGCAAGGAACTATGATGACCAGTACTCCGCGTATAGAGCGCAAAATCCTACATATCGCCTTCGATAATGCCGAGATTGAGCCGAGCGTTTCTTCGATCGAAAGGTCGTGCCTCCTGATAGACCTCAGTGTTGCTTCACATTCGGCACCAGCAGTATGGAGAACAAAGGTCGTAGTGGTCGTAGAGAATGCGAACAGGGCTTCGGCGTTCTTTGTCGTCATATTTTGGACTTCAACACGGTACTGCGTCAGACCAGTGTTCATTTGAGTCGCAGCTATATCTTGATACATCTGTTGCTCCTTCTCCGTCCCAGCAAGCCGGGAAAGATGAAGCGAGGCTATTGCTAGGATGCCATGCGTCACAAACCTGTACTTGGTACCGAGTAAGGGAAGAGCTTCTCGCCAGGCCGCTTGAGCTGTCAATGTAGCGTCCATGGTCGGTATCGTATCAGTCGCGAAGTGCTTCAAAAGTTGCTGGAAACGTGATTGGGAAGACTCTGGAAAGTCTTCTAGTAAAGCAGCCTGAGTAGTCGGATCCAATAACCCAAGCCCTGGGGGAGAGCGAGAGACATTGTTGGGCCTCTGGGGGAAAGTATACACGAGTGACGAAACGTTTCCATGAGCGGTCGCTGATGACGAGACTGAAGGCTTGGGAGCTGGGTCGAAACGATGGAAACTGCATTTGATGCCACGTCTTCCACAATTGTCGCAATTCGGACGGGCTTCATCACACTGTCTGGACTGGTTAGTTCTCTACAACCGTTTTCTATAGCCATACAACGAGTAGACTGGATCGGCGTGTAGTCGGCCATTAGGCGCAATCGTCGTCTGTGCTGCCGGACGAAACCATGTTGGCGTACCTTGACCCGTCTACGCTTGCACTCTGCGCATCCCATCCTCGATTTAGGGTGAGCCCTCCGCGTAGCCATCACAGCGATCTCAAGCAGCCAATATCCTCGTTGGGTACGTGGAATGGAGATTGATGTTCAATATGGAATGATGACTGAGTCTCTCCTATCTCGGAGTTTGCATAGGTAACGCCGACGCTCTAACCGGTTGCAGCATGGTGTTTTCCGCCTCCAAGTCAAAGCTCCTTTCAAAGCAGTATCCATTCAAGATGCTGCATTATTTCAATCACATATCAGCGAACTGCATAGTATCTTTGCAGAAGTCCATCATCATGTGTTTACTCTGTAGAACCCTAGACTGCTCCAGGCATTCGTGGTATGGATTACCCCGCATGAGCCTGAGTGAAGAACGGTGTCATGTAACCGAAATGTAACCTTCCCAATCAAGCAGTTTTCAGTATTCCTGTCGATCGTAGTCGGGACACTGCAAAAACTGAGAGCTCGGGTGGCCGATACTCCCGGCTGGATAGCTTCACCGAAGGTTACACCGCAGCTCCAACACTTGTCCCTGTTCATGAGATCAGCGTGTGGGGTAAAGCAATATGGAAGCTAAAGCGCCGATTCGGTTCATTCGAACACGAGACCTTGATGGTCCTGTGCACTATTATTCTACCTACATAGGTTAAGGCTCGCCATTATGCGTTTGTTGTTGACAAAATTCGGTCAATTCCTTCGCTGTTCCGTTGTCTCTTCGTTCATGATGCGCAGTTCCAAATTCTTCAGTATACTGTCCACCTTGCCAGTACTAATCACGGCACAATGTCCGGCATACATAGATTATGCAAATCAAGTACATGAGCCTCTGAGCTCGGGCAAGTACAAACTCGCATACCAGCGACCTTCGGAAGAGTGTAGAACCTTCAAGTCGCAAGGCCTTGAAGATACACTCACGCGCATAAAATCCACCATCAAAGATCCGGACCTATCTCGCCTGTTTGAAAACGCGTACCCGAATACTCTCGATACCGCTATTAAATGGAAAGGACATGCGGCGAATAATATAGACGAAGAGCTGACGTTCATCATCACTGGGGATATCAACGCAATGTGGCTGCGTGACTCGTCGAACCAGATGCAGAGTTACCTACCGCTCCTGAATGCAAGCAGCGACCCAAATTCGATCGCGAGTCTTTACCGTGGGGTCATAAATCTGCAGGCACGATATCTGCTCACATCACCATACTGCAATTCCTTCCAGCCACCCGTCGAAAGTGGTCTTGGAACGGCGCCAAACGAGGCTGCCAGCCAGGATACCGTTTTTCCGACCTACTCAAACAGTTCTGTTTTTGAGTGCAAATATGAGCTCGACTCACTCGCTGCTTTCTTGCAAATTTCCGCCGATTATCACAACGCAACAGGCGACACTGAGTTCTTTGGAAAATTCCAATGGGCTCAAGCAGTAGAAGCTATTCTCAACGTGGCGCAGAATATGACATTGCCTACCTATGGACCAGATGGGGCAGTTCTTAAGAGCCCATATACATTCACTCGCTTCACCACTCGTGCAACGGAAACATTCGCAAACGATGGCATCGGCAATCCAGTTGCAAATGGCACGGGTCTGATCAGGAGTGGCTTTCGACCGAGCGATGACTCTACCATCTTTCAGTTTTACATACCTTCGAACATGATGTTCAGTGCCTACCTGGCATCAACGTTACAGATCATGGACAAACTGAACACCGGCAACTCTGCGGCGCTGGCAAAAAAGATGTCAGATCTGTCAAAGTCGTTGCGCGACGCTATCGAGACTCACGCCACAGTCAACCATCCTACCTACGGGAAGATCTATGCCTTTGAGGTCGACGGCTTTGGCGGTAGCACGATCATGGATGATGCGAATATCCCTTCGCTCCTTTCCGCGCCCTTCCTCGGCTACAATGTGAACCCGGAAACGTACGCCAACACGCGCGATCTCATCCTCAGCGCAGCGAATCCGTACTTTATGCGCGGCCCCGTGATCAACGCTATCGGTGGTCCCCATCAAGGGCCAGGCATGGCATGGCCAATGGCTTCTATCATGCGCATTCTGACGACCGACAAGGACGATGAGATTGTCAATGAGTTGAGACAGATTGTGAGTAGCACTGCGGGCCTGGGCTTGATTCATGAGAGTATTGATAGCTTCAATCAAACCCATTGGACAAGGCAGTGGTTTTCGTGGGCGAATGGGCTGTTTGGACAGATGGTACTGAACTTGGAGGATCGGAAACCGGCGATCTTGGAGACGAGCTTCCAGTGAACGCACACATTTAGGTGTACATAGGTCATTTGACTAATGACAGCGACATGTGTAACGAACTACGAGTTGATGTCCAGATTGAAGGTGAACATCACCGTGGTTACACAAAGTGCTGGAGGGTCCATGTTCCTCCCAGAGACACATGCGTCGAAAGGTACGTGTGGTACCTAGCGCAAGTTGGCTGCTTCACGGTGAACTCCGAGTCGCGGGTCCCAGCAGATCAAAGCAACATCTGCTGGTCGTTATTGTTGTGTTACGTGCTACTTCGGGCATGTTGTTATTGTTGTGATACATGCTGCTTCGAGCATATTATTGTTGTGTTACGTTGCTGCTTTCGAGCATTGTTTGCTTTCCAACGACACTGCATGCAGCAAGACAGGCAGGGAGTCGATGCTGTGCAGGGTCGAGGACCTAAACACCACCAACGAAAAAGCCACATGATCGACACAGAAGCGCAAAACCTTAATGCTGATCAAACAGGTTTGCGAAGGTATCGTTAGTTGGCCAGAAGTATCGATCGACTCCCGGCGTCATCGCTGCGTAACCCATAGACGCTTTCCAAGAATCACGACTGTGTCTTCCAAGGCAGTGCAGTGTGCTCTGCTCGACGGCAGTGGTGGACAATGGTTTCTCTAACATGCAGCTGTGCCGCAGTCGGCGCTACGAGGCAGCTGAGTTGGCAGTGTTGACGCCCAGGAGGAGGCGATAGTTTCAGGTCGCACGGAAGGCCGGATCTGTGGTTCTTCTCTGCTTGCGATTCGGAAACTCCCCGCTCTCTGACAACCTCGCATATCGGTCACGGACGACGATGTTCACCAGGGACTGCCGCAGCACAGCTACGATTATGCGTAACTATTATGCACGCACGCGTTTGTTTCAAAGCGCCGGCACGGGCAATTGAGACGAAGGCCTCGTGGGAAATGCCCTGTCCTAAGTGGGTCGCTTCTTTGCCGGTGATCGCGTCAGGGGTAAGGGCTAACAAGCGGGTCTCTAGCTGTCGTAAGAGGAACCGCGCGCTGATCAACACGCCGTGTCTAGGATGCTGTTGGCTAGTGATGACAGGGGAAGACATGCAGGATGCGATCTGTTCAGCTCCCGAGAACGAGGTTGCGGCCCTGGTTCCTCAATCTCCCTGGTTTCTCATGGGATGACAGCGCTGCAACACACTCCCAAACCACGACGATAATGTATAGGCACAGCCCAGCAGAGCCTCTATGGTTCGTCCCCTTGCTAAGCAACGGTCCCCAGCTGAGACAATGGCCTCACGGACCTACGGCAGCAGGAAATGAAGGAGATGGAAGCGGCTCCTCCCTAACCAACGTTTGCAGCCAACGAAAGCCCATCGTGACATAAGCTCAATAATGCGCGTCGACTTTGGCGTGTTTGCGATCATCGCTTCCACTAATGAAATCTCCGAAGCTTCGCTTCTGTCTGTTCTTTTCCCATCTCAGTGCTGGAAAGCGCCATGTGGCTGTCGTCTTCCTGGCTCCTGCCCACCTAGACCAAAGTACTTCTCCAACTCCACCCCAGCCCAGCCCATCTCATCTTTCCTTTCTCTTCAACACCCAGGCTACACACAGTATTCAGTGCATTTTGGACCCATTCTGGCACCGCGTTTCATAACATCCACATTTCAGCGATTTGGACCCCGTCATTAAGCGCTCAGGCTGCCACTACATGCCAACATCATCAACCGGCGCCAATTGGGCCAATCTTGAACCACCGCTACAGAGGCTCACTCCACAATCCAACATATCTGTCTACCGGTGACCGCCTGCATCAACACACGGCTTTTGTTTGCTTCAGAAAATTATCCGACTCGATCTGATTCCTCAGGCTTGCATCCTTCCCTGTCAGCCTCGCCATAAACATACATCCAAAAGCTAGGCCCAGTTTCATCATTCTGCCAAACGCCCGTTATTACCTCCAATCACGAAATCGCTTTGTTCGACTTGTACCCGCATTTCAGGACGGCACCAACAGAAAGAGCAGGCTAAAACAATCCAACCAACGCTTCGACATGGATTTCTATTTTTGATACCACCAAGTCTATGCAACACATCAGAACTGTCCAGGGCTTAGACGCGCACGCGCTTCAGAATCCACCCTCCTTGCTCTTATCAGCTTAGTTGACCCGATATGGTGGCCATGGACAACACTACGCTCCACACTTTCCTCTTGTATGTCTTCCCCTTCGTGCCACTTCCCCAAGGCTGTCACTTATTTTCATCTCAAGCCACTGCCCGGTTGCATTGCGCAGCATAGTTTTACTTGGTTCCTGGGACAATTTTTCGAGACCTTACTCTCTCAAACTTGACGCACGTCGGGGGCGTAATTTGTGGAAAGGCTGCTTTACCTTCTCAGACATCATCTGTGACGGAGACTTGGACCAACTGTCTCCTAAGAGGGACGGACTACTAAGAATGGGTGGCACTTACTGGTACTACGTAAGTCAAATGGTTTGATAGAAAGGCTCACCTAATGACATCCTACAGTACAAGGTAGACGATGATGAGGAGTGCCATAATCCTTCGGAGCCGTCGACCACCCTTTGCCCTCTTTTACCCGGTCAGTGCCTCAATGTTCTGGAACTGCCTAGCGAAGGACACAGCCGGAGCATGTCTGATATCTCTGGCGCCTTTACTCGCAACCCGCAGGATAGGTATCTTACACCTGTTCCACCGGCGCCTTTAAGACCACCTCCTTCTCTACGTGTCGGTGTGGCAGGCCCGGACGCGTATCCCATGCCTATGCCTTCACCATGGGCTCCAAGATCGGCTACATATCCTCCAGCAGATCGTTTCCTTTCTCCGAATGTGGTACGACACGCTCGAAGTGCTTCTGCATCGCCACGCATGCCTTCAACGCCGATTTTTGCGGACTTCAAGGTATTGAAGGATAAATTGGCGTCGAGGACACGTAGTGGATCGAAACCAAAGGAGCTGGAGATCGGATCGCCCGTACTCGTTAGTACAACCAACGAGGAACTCAACCTGATTCCCCTGTCTGTGTATCAGCACCCTCCAACCTTGTCGCCGAGAGTTTTGCCTCCCGCCACAGCAACTACATCGCTTCCAGTGCCGACCGTGAGGAGAGAGTTCTCTCCGCTGGCCTCGCATCCTGTGGATCCTATTAACGATCCAGTCTTCAACTTCACAGCGCCACCGGTAGCCAAAGAGTGCATGCCCCGACGACGATCTCATGTAACCTCAACAGTTGTCGCAAGCGAATTCAAGTTGGGCAACATTCGCAGCCGAGCCAACTCAGCAGACACAAGGAGGACACAACATTATCTCTTTTCGAATGATCCATGGCTTTCATCGCCCAAGCTTCAGCAAGAGTTCGAGTCGCCAGATCGATTGGTGGCTGACGATACCCCATCTGCACCTGTACTTTTGCACCCCTCGAGTCTACTTGAGCTGCCAGCCTTCAACGAGCGCCCCACTTCCAGTCATGGCGGTGACCGCAGTCCAAATATTCGACAGGCGCCATTGGACAAAGAGCTTCCTGCGCTTCCTCGATTCTTAAAGCCAGCGCCGTTATTTACGCGCAATAGCTCCTCTTTTAGTCCTGTGCTTACCGAGGAGCCACAACAAGAGCTCGAGGAAGAGGAGGATATGGAGCGTTTAGATGATTTCAGGATACAATTCAACGAGAAGCCACGCAGCCACTTCTCGACTTGGAGTAGCGACTCCATTGGCTACAGCTGTCCAGCTTCAGACGATGGCGCCGATCAGTCCCCGACTTTTAGCTCTTTGGCGAGCAACTGCAGCGAGCTTGGCTCCCCGCAACAGTTTTCGAGACGCTACTCATACACAGAGCAGACAGACGACACCGAGCGGACTCCTACCATGCATGAGAGCGAATTGAATGACGAGTTGAACGATGTGCATACCACTCATCTCTCAGTAACGCCACCCCAGCTAGACAATTTGCGTATCTCGACGTTTGGCTCCGATCTCTTCAACCTCGACATTCAACATACAGACACGGCACCTCGCCGACAGGCTGCATGCTTTGGGCTAGGCTTCTACACCTTGCCTGACGACGAAATCACCTCTAAATCTACCATCACGGACAACACGCTACGGCCTGAGCCCACTATCAACGTTCAGCGCGACAGCTCCATGAGTCAGTTGAATACGCTTATGGACGAGTTTGCTTTTCTAGGCGACTCCGTCATCTAAGCCTACATACAGCCACCTGTTTCTTTTAGCACTTGTACTTATGAAGTCGTATTCACGGCCAACATTTTCCACTTCGATGTTACATTTCGACGCATATGCGCCTCCTGTGGAGTTTTCTGTATGATATTTTTTGCGCTTCTTCCTTTCGACATACCAGCAACGTTTCATTTAGCGAGCATTGCACAGAAGATTTCTTTACTTCAATCCACGATATAGATGTCATATAGTAGGACAGAACTTGTACGAAGACGAGACGTAGAGGTTCTACGACGACAGCAAGGTAGTTGTGTGCCTCAAACAGACTGCACCATGAGGTTCAAGCAGCTTTTGAAAAGCAACATGATAATTTCGCAATATTTGCGATTAGATAGCAGCATCAGACTTTGCAATTTAATGAATGATGAGACTTTACATCCGTCCCCATCTGCTGAAGACTTGACTTTAGTGAGATATGCGCCACGCTACAGCCAGGCATCAATCAGTCAGTCAGTCAGTTAGCGCTTACTGCGCCACACAACACAATAACCACTACTCTATCATTTCCTGTCACTCTAACAAACAAACAAACGCTCCTGAACAAAAGAAAACCCCTGCACCATGAAACGGAAACGTTCAGCCCCGTCCTCAAACTCAGGACCACCAGCCAAACGCCTCAAACGAACTTTATCAGCCCGGCCAGCAGCATCACGAACGCCAGCTACTGAACACACATCACCGGCATCATCTCAAACACAAAGTTTTGAGCCCAAAATAGCAGTGCCAGATCAGCGGCAGGAGCAGGAGAAAAGCCATCTTGAAGCATGTGCTATGCTCGACTCCAGTGCAAAGCTTCCCTTGCACGACACGTACTACAAAGGCGCTGATGTATCACCTAACTGTATAAAGACGCTGGAAGAATCACAAGAAGAGTGGAAACGAAAAGCTATAATAGAGCGAGAGCAAGAACTAGATGCGGATGCAGACGTAGACACATCAGCGGCTACTTCCGACGAGGTAGACTGGGAAAACGACCCGATACGAATGCTATGCTGCATGCCCGCATTTGCATACAATGATATTCCCGCGGAACAAGCGCGGAGAGAAATGGAGCGCGCTGCTTTGCTCCCTTTACCTGACGAGTGAGGAGGACTTTGATGATGATGGTGGGGAAGTTATTAGGGGAGTGTAGAAGGGGAAGGAAAAGGGAAGATTAGAGAGGACAAAAAATATGCCGTTGTTGGGTATGAAGGAGTTGCTCACAGCAAGAGTAATAGGGAAATGGTGCGTAGAGGGGCTAAATGAAAGGACCCGCGGCAAAGTGAGCGGGAAAAAATTGAAAGAAGAAAGTGGGAAGGAGGGAAGTTAATGATAGCATTTGAGTATACAAGTACCAGATGAGTCTGACGAAGAATTGCAGAAGAGAAGAGCGCGCAGTTGAAATCCCGGAAGCAGAATTCGGAGTTCTCATTCATGTCATTTGATTCGATTTTTGGTCTAATCTACCCGGGTGCCCCCAGCGCCGAGACGGTGGTACCAACGGAACTTGCTCCCCCCAAAATTGAAAAGTTCTTGTGATGATTATGCGATCTCGTACACGTCCGCAGTGGATTTGACATCTTTGGTGAAGCTGATGTCTTGGTTCATGGAGAGGAGGGTTACAGAAGAGACCTGAAAGAACTGTTAGTACGTTTACTTTTGTTGAAAGGTTAAATGGTGTTTGGCTTACGTCCACATCCACAAATGGCGTGCTCTTGGTGAACCTTACGCGCATAGGGAAGAACTCCGCGTCGCTACCCGCTTGAGCCTCAAACTCGAAGCTACCAGAGCTATTCGCATCATCGACTGCGCCGATGTTCCACTCAATACTGTCGCCACTAACTTCGTACACCGCATCGAAAGACGACACGTTGGGCTCGTCTGTCTGGTAGGGGATGGTGACTGTGACGTCCTTCAACGAATCACCACCAGTAAGCTCATACTCTACCGTGATGTTATACATGTTGCCCGAATCCTCTACCCAGACCCGGAACGTGATGGGTGGGTCGGACACATCGTCTGGCCGCGGCACGAGTTTCCACTTCATGACTCCGATACCCATATTCGACGGGAAGCCCTTGCTCGTGTCCGCGAGCTGAATGACCTTGTCGTTCCGGAAGACCGTCTTGTCAACCTTGGGATGCGTCATTAGTTGAGCGCCGCGAGTGTTTCCTGTTGCGAGATCGAGCTTGACTTGGGTCAAAGAAGGGTCGGTGATCTTGAGCTGCATGTCGCCCTTGACTTCGAAGTACTTGAGGAGACCCTCGCGGTCTAGTCGTGCCGAGATCGTCTCGTTGGTGGTGATGTGTACGGCTTCGCGGTCGGTCGAAGTAGATTGGCGTGCGCTTGCGGGAGCCGCGGCGGCTGCAGATGGCTTTGGCGCGACAAGTGGTTCTTCCTCGACTGGTAGTCCGCCAGTCACTTGTTCGTACATGTTGTTAGTCTTGTTCTTCTTGCCTAGCTGCATGCCTTTCTTGCCCAGTGCTAATGGCTTGGCCGCCGACTTCTTTTTGTCGGCTTCATAACTGTCGTACGTATCGGTAACATTCGACGTGGGCACGCTGGGCGTGAAGGCAGGATACGAAGGGGAGCGACCCATACCGCCGCTGCCCATTCCTCCACCCATACCTCCGCTGGCTCGCTGAGACCGCGACATCTCTTTCCGTTGCATCTCGAGCTGCTTGGCACGACGTTTGCGCTCCTCGCTCGCCTCGAGCTCCTTGTTCCTTGCAATGATCTCCTGGATCCTTTCCTCATGACTCTCCATGTCCAAGAACGTCTTAATCTGGCTCATGGTCAAGTTTTCCCGATAGCCCAACGTGACAATCTCATCAAAGGCCGTGAGCAGCTCAAAGGCATTCTTGAGGATCTCGCGCTCGTCGAGCGACTTGCATATCGAGGAGGCAACCTGGGCGAAAAGGTGCAGAGAATTAATGTCTTGCAAGATGTTGGATTGCAGGTTGGTGATGAGCACCATGTAAAGCTCGTCGAGCGGCTGGTATACGTAGCGCACGTTGTCTTGCTCGCAGATGGTGTGTTGTGTGCCGCTGTCGGCAAGCTTGGGGAACGAGGCGAGGAGGGCTTCGAGGCGGGAGCGCTGCATTTCGCGGAATTGGCGCGAGAGGACGGCTTTGCCGCCTCTTGTGCATATTGAAGCTGCGAGGACGACCTGGGGGTTCATTAGCTTGCTGCTCTGGGTGATGGCCGCAGGCATGTCTTCTGTACCATCGTCGTTAATGTTCAATTGCGTATGTTGGAATACACTGGATTCCTAAACTACCCAAACGTGTCGGTATTTGGGGACCTGGGGTGAGGCTGTTGTCTTGGAGATGGAGGGGGATATTATCGACTGGAAATTGCGGAGGAGCACACCAACTCCCGGAGTCGCAATCCTAGGTGTAGAGGGAGGAGACGTTCTAACAAAGTGAAAGAAATGGTGAGGGTCGTAGCTGCAGATGGGGTGAAGTGATCGCACACTTTGAAGCTCTTCTCTACATAACTCACCAGTCGCAACACCTGGAGGTTCGATGTGGACACTTGTACGTCACGTGCAACTCGCGATTGCCTAGCGTCGGTGCCGCACTTAAGCAAGCTCGAGGTCCTCCCTTGCCAGCAACTCACTCGCCCGTCCACAGGATACTGCTGTCGGGTTGCGCATCTTCCTTCGTATTCCCAGCATTTCAAGACGCAAGACTCGGTTCCCACGACCTTCTGAAGCGCGTTGTTGCCTGCCTTCTATCATTTCCACATAGGCACTTACCCTTACCTCTCTTGGCGCGACACCGACCAGGCCATCCTTTGTCTCATTTCCCTACACCTCGTCACTTTACCTCCACACCCCTTGACGATTCCGCCAAACCTTTGACCGTCTCTCCACGACGCAATGGGCGCCTAGACAGACCCCAACCTCAACCTCGACACCGTCCCACCATCCCAGTTTGCGTGGTCATCTGTGATTCCGGCACGCATCGTCGTGACGCGCTCACCACACCGCGTTGTCTGCGCGTTCGACCAACAAACGGACATCCGCAAACAGTTTCTCTCCACGCCAGCACTTTCACTATGGCCACCACTGCGCACGCTGTACCCAACCTCGACATCTCGGCTCCTGAAGAGATGGACCTGCATTCTGATAGTGGACTTGATTTCGGCGACGGCGACATCGAGCTAGATCTGGAGCCTGCACCTCCAACTCAGCATCAGAATGATGACGTGTCGATCAACGACGCAGCGTCAACTGGCGATCTGGATGTACAAACAGCGCCCGCCGATCAGGACGACTTCATGGCGGACCATGAAGACTTCATCGAGGAAGACTACACTTACGGCGACGATGGAGTCGTAGTGGCAGATCAATACTCGACGAATAACCTTGCTCCAACACAGACAGAATCGCTTGCACCTCCAGACGAAGACTTGATCGACTACTCCGATGACGAGGGTCAACAAACTCAGAAGAATGTAGCTTCGACATTAGAACATGATCAGTTCGAGGTACATGCCGCGCAGGATGAGGCATTACCTGCGGAACAAGACAACACTGAGGACATCACGCAAGCATTTAGGTCCGCCAATGACGAAAACGTTGAGCAACATGACCAGGACAGTCCGGACCGTGATCAGGTCGATCAGAGTGCAAAGCTAGAAGGTGTCGATCTCCAAGACGAAGCAAGTAACCACCAAGGATATCACTCGGAAGCCCACGACGAAGAGAATGAAAATACAGATGGCGAAGATGGCGGAGTTCTGCTACGAAAACAAGAAAGTCTCGCTGGTGATGATGAGCACGAGGTGGCTCATGAGGACTCTGAGCATCCCAACACTGCTACTGATGAGGAGCACCAAAATCATCAGTCGGTCGAATTACAACCTGTCACAGTGAACTATGCTGGTAATGAACTATGGCTTTTTAAGCAACATGACGCGGATGACAGTGGTGACTGGCTCCTCGACGATCTTTCACTGGCCAAGTCAAGCATGTCAGACCTTTTCCAGGCATGCAGATCCTCGCTCGGAGACGACGTGTCGCATGAACACGAGATAGGCTTCCGCTTCGATCACTTGCACAACTTGGAGCTGTATGAAGATAATACAGTATGCGTTGCCGTTTCGCTAGAGCGCATGGTGGGTTTGTATCACACCCTTCAAGCGCAAGACGGTAACACTGAGCCGGAATCGTTCTACGTTTCACTTTTATTTCGACCGCGGTTTGCTACGTTACTCTCCGACGTTGCCAAGTACGCCGAGCAAGGAAGCGGCTATTCTGGCTTGGATGCTGCTGTTGCTGCCGGCGAGACCCACTTCAGTAACTTATTTTCCGGTTCCTCGACGGAGAATGAGCCCAATGATTGGGAGAATGAAGAACAAAAAGAGGCAGATCGCGATGACACAGAACAGATAAACCGAGAAGCGCAACAAGAGGTGGACCAGGCGGAGCATGTGGAGCAGGAACCTCAAACGAACGCAGAACCTGAGGATAATTATGATCGAGAAGATGATGATGATGATGCTGAAAATGACAACGAGAGCACATCCGCCGATAATGTGTTTCATCAGGAACAAGATGACCACGATGCATCTCCTGAGAGTGCTAACACTAGCGATGTTCCTACAGACCAAGTAGGTCAACTTGATGCGCAGCATTCGCAATCTCAAAGCGAGACTGCCGTTGAATCAGACGCACGTCGTGAGCAGAAAGAGGATGATCTCATCGACTACAGCGACGAAGACGATGCAGAAGATGCAGAAGATGCCCAGGAAGCCGAACATACATATGTTGAAGAACGGTCTCCATTATCCTCAACGGTACAAGGCGATGAGCCTGCGACTGCGGAAGACGGTGCCCATACTGCAGGCTCCCCTGAACAGAGTGGACAAGACCATGAAAACAACGACGAACTTGACTCGCATGTTGAAGATGACAACGGCACTCACTTCAATGATCAACTATTAGAAGGCATCGATGACACTACACAGTCATACCAAAACTATGCCCAAGCCTTCGATCAGGACGATTCATTCCAGGACTTCCAAGCGGACGGCGATGCTAACCAAGATTACGCCGGGTTCGAGTACCAAACCCTAGACCAACAATTGCAACTTAACTTCCTGGACGGAGCCGAGTTCAACGCCGGTGATAGCTCAACCATGACTGGGAATAACTTCACTGGTACAAACGATTTCCTAGACCTCAACAACGCGTCCGAATGGGTCACAGAACAAGAATCCGTGTCAAACTTGCCGGAGGGTGTGATGGTAGTACACGACGATACCACTACTCAAGTTGATGAAGAGGACGGTACGGCCAAGCCCTCTGCGGTCGCAGCGTCTTCGACTGCAGATCCTGTTGCCGCCTCGTCAACTGAGTTCCAGAAATCGTCTCCACAAGGACAAAAGCGATCCATTGACGAGGCTGGCTATGGAGTAGACGATGCACTCGACTCTATAGGTATGCTTGCGCATCTTTTATCCATGAAGCGGTCCTGTAAAGCTGACTTTGTGCAACCAGACGCCAAGCGGCCCAAAGTGTGAACGCCCTCCGTCCTCCAAGTCCCTGGACCTCTACTATCACTAACCATTAGCTTTTCCTACTTTCTTCCGACTTTGACAACTCGACCAACCTTTTAACTCCATGTCATCATAGACAGCGCTCCGTCGAGCGTTTTGGATCCAGCACCCGTTCCATGTCACAATTGACGCTACGAGATTCGCGCACTCTAACCTCGTGACTGCCCTACTAACACTAGATCTAACCTCGCTCTCACCACGATGGAAGCCAAATACCGGACAGGCAATACCGTCCTGCGCTGTTGCAGACGGACTGCGACCAACTAAAAGGTATGTAAAGTATACCTGCTATGCGCTCGCCTGCCAAGCGGAAGTGCTTGTTTGAGCGGTTCTAGTCCTTCTTTATTTAGTTTGTTTTCTACTCGGTGGATCATTGGAGAGGTCAAAGAGGTTCTTTCTGCAGGGAGTGGTCGGCTAGGTGGGCGTAAAGGAATAAGTGGGACTTTACGGCGTTGCCGGACGACACAGGACATGTTTCGCCATGGTCGAATATGTACACCTATATGGCGTCGAATACCCAAGGTTTCGATTTGGAAACTCCCAAGGAGCGTTGTGGGGCATTTTCGTCAGCGACTACGAGGCTATCGGAGCGATTGCGTGGCCTGTGTAAAGGTCGCGGAACTAGGAGTCGGCGTCGACACCAACTGGGGTGGTAGAAGACTGTTTCGAGACTTTGCCAGTTTGCGCATTCGCGAAGATGATGGTCTAGCGGCTGTAAGAAGGCTTCATCTCTTTTAGCTATAGTCGCATCTAGCTGATCGAATTCAATGCTCGTAATCATGAACGGTCAGCCTCCCTCCCTTTTGTGGGGTTGTGAATGTAATTTATCAGGAGCTATTTTTGTGCTCGCAGGCCGACCAGACTAGGAAACTCTAAGACAATTACAGCTACGCCACGTACACTAGCCGGCACACACACACATGGTTGCTATATCGAACGCTAGGGCCTTGAGTCAGTCCACGGGTCGATCGATCAACTGTCCAAGATCCCAAAGTTGGCAGCAACAGGTCAGAGCCAAAAGTATCCAGATGTGTACCTGAAAGCGGACGGGCAGGGCAAGCCGACGCGTGTCTTGGAAAGGGATCTGGCGCAGCCCTAGTGTGTCTGGATAAAATTATGCCCCCTGCATGAACAGCTGTGCAGCTGGGCGACCTGCACGCCACCGCTGACGGCTATCGATAAACCGCCATGTCCCTCCCTTTGCCTTGCCTTGCCTTGCGCTTGCTCTTTGATATTGACATTCCTACGCTCGCTGCTGCTCTCTTGGTGCTGTATAATTAGTTATAGTTGAAGCCAGGTCCCACACACTCATTCGGTAAGACCCTTAACAAGCTCAAGACCAAACGGATCCTTGGCCAGGAACCGGCGTTTGATGAAACGTGAATCGATTCTACGCTGCGCACCCTCGTCACCGTCGCTACCTTATACTGCTCAACCTGCGCCGAGAGGTTCGCTGTCGCATCGTCCCATCCTCGAAGCGCTGAACTGCCTGGTTGCCCTTGCGCATCGCTCCCTCGGCTGGCCACGACACCGAACCCTATCGATAAACGCACCGCACCGCAACGCGACGCAACGCAACGCACTGGCACCTACCGCAACGCCATCATCGTAAACGTATACCCGAGCGAGAGCACCAACAACTATATTCGCATCATCTGGTAGAGAGGATTCAACCGAGGTCGCAAAGGCCTCCACTAGGGTAGCAAAATGGTGGAAGACAAGTACGTTGCGCGTTGCGCGAAGGGATGACGGAGCTGCAGTACTTACGCTGTGGACAGATATGTTGGCCTCATGCTGGCCGTGAGCTCTTCACTCGCAATTGGTACGGCTTCTCTACAATTATACTAAACGTGCAATACACTAACAAGCCATTGTAGGCGCAAGTTTTGTCATAACGAAGAAGGTTCGTCCCTCCTCACTGGCTGTCGCATCGCATCGCTTCCTCCTCCCTTCCTCCACCATATTACATGCGCTCGGAACAAGCAATAGGTCTAACTGGAAGTCTGACAGGGTCTCAATGCGTCCATGGAAAGGAACGGTTTCAACGGTGACGGCTTCGGATATCTACAAAATCCCACCTGGTGGGCTGGTATAACGACAAGTGAGCGCAGACTGGATAACGCTGTCAAGTGTCTTGACTGACCAGATACAGTGGTACTCGGCGAGATATTCAACTTTGCAGCGTACGCATTCGCGCCCGCCATTCTTGTCACGCCACTGGGCGCGCTTTCAGTCCTCATCGGCGCAGTTTTGGGCTCATACTTCCTAAACGAACAATTGGGGCTGCTAGGAAAAATTGGCTGCGCCATATGTCTAATCGGATCAGTCATTATTGTGCTGCATGCGCCGCCGGACAAGGAAGTCGAGTCAGTCGAGGAGATCTTGCACCTTGCTTTACAGCCTGGTACGTCGTCCTCAGTCCAACCTCCTCTATCTACTTTCTGCAGCGACTAACAAGCACTCACAATTTAGGCTTCCTGTTCTACTGCGCCTTCGTAGCCGTCTTCTCCATCTTCATGATATACAAGATCGCTCCCAAATACGGCCGCAAAAACCCCCTCATCTACCTCTCCATATGCTCTACCACAGGCTCAGTCTCCATCATGTTCATCAAAGCGTTTGGCATTGCGCTTAAGATGACTTTTGCAGGGAATAATCAATTCACGCATCCGTCGACGTATGTATTTGTGATTATGGTTGCGGGCTGCATTTTGACGCAGATGAATTATTTTAACAAGGCGTTGAGTCAGTTCTCGACAAACATGTGAGTGACTCCATTATTGGAGGCGGTTGAGAGAAGCAGGATACTGACCGTACTCAGTGTAAACCCCCTCTATTACGTATGCTTTACAACTTGCACCCTCGTCGCCTCCTGCCTCCTCTTCCAAGGCTTCAACACCACATCCGCTGTAAACACAATCTCTCTCCTTTGTGGCTTCCTCATCATCTTTTCCGGTGTCTACCTCTTAAATCTCTCTCGCGAAGACCCCAACGGCAACAGGCATCTCGGCTCGCAGTTTACGGACGGCGCTCCTTCGGATGCAATCTCGGGCTTCCCGACGAGGAGGAGTATGCAGGCAAGGAGGAGCGAAGAGCTCATGAACGAACGGTACACCAATGGCGTTGCGCGCGAGGCGCGAGCGAGTTATGCGGACAGAGGGGATACGGCTGCCTTGATGCATGATTATGATGTAGAAAACCAATTTGAGCTGGGGGATTTGGCAGACAGTGAAGAGGAGGGTCGAAGCACGAAGAGAGCGAGTCTCGATGAGGACGCGAGATTAAATGCCAGGTTAAGCGGGACAGGTCGAGGAAGGGTGCAGAAAGAGCCGGTGCAACCAAAGCGCACCTCGTCACTTCGGTAGATGGAGCTTTGCGGATCGCGCAAAACAGTCCCACTGTATGAAAAAGAGGGGGTATGGGTATAGAGCGGATACCGCATGGCTGGTCTGCGCGGTTTCGGATTCGGGGTTTGGTATCGCTTTGCGGCGTTTGGAGTTCATCAGGAATTGCACTACGCTATGAAGGGACGTCTGAGGGACAGGAGCTGTGTATTTGTACGATGATCGCATGACATTCATACCCAGGTGTTACGGATGAATTGGCATCTGCTCTAAGCAGAACCGGAATATGATAGGACATTTTTGTCGATTCGAACCCTACGCAAGTGTATGAACAGGTGAAATGGACCTACTAAATTACACCAAGACTTCTATAAACCTATGAACATACCCGTAACCTAAGCTCTTATCCATGCCCACGTATCACCTTCGACGCGACTTCCGTAACTAAGCCCAGCAACGTGACTGCGCGAACGCGCTAAGTACTTTTGGGCCTAGACGCGCACTTCTCAAACAATCCACCTCGACACATTCGTGCTCTCTCCACCCCGACGGCCTTGGAGGCCAGTAATTCAAAGTCATGGCGGTCACCGACCCCGTGAAGCGACGCCAGCTTCTCCAGCAGGCCGAAAAGATCCTTCTACATCCTATTCATCCCCATCTAATCTCTTACTGTCCAACAATGGATCTGATTGCCGTGGTCACCGACGAAGAAAACCTAGACGTGTATCGAATCAATGGGCAAAGAGCCTTTGGGCTGAAGAGAAAGAATGAAGACATCAATGTTGATGCGTTACAGTGGGAGTTCAACGGCAAAAGCATTGCGGTCAGCTGGAGTGATGGGTCTACCGATCTTGTCAGCGCAGAGACGGGAAAGGTGACCCATAAGGATGTCATGTTACCTGCTGTCACACGTCAAGAGGGTAGCATGATAGAAGACTCTCCGGCGAGAGTTAGGTGTATGGGCTGGGGCCTGAACTTCATTGACGTTGACGCTGTAAAAAGGAGGACGGGTTTGGAGGAGAAGACGAAGGGTAATGGCGCAAAATCCACGCCAACTGATGCTTTCGGCAGCCCGACAACGGAAAACTGGGATGCGTTCAAAGACGAAACAACCCTCGATGATTTCCTGCAGCGACAGCCCGACTTTCAGACCCTGGACACCGCGCCTGATCTACCCGACCAACTCGCGATGATGGATATGGAATCACTATTACCGAAACTTCCAGCAATTCCATCACCCCCTGCGCTACCGTTTATGCGTGTCTCGGCAGCAGATTCCGGCGCGTTCAGTTCACAGGCTGAAGTTGATGCACTGCTACACTCACATCATCTGAAAGATCACAACTCAGTCGACATGCTCATCCGCTGTTCCGATCGCGGGACGGTGCATCCCTCCATTTACGACTCGCTTGAGACGGTCAATGTAAAATTGCCGAAGTCCTGGAATGTCGAGAGCATGCCGTTGCTACATGCTAGTCATCCATATAGCTGCACCCACGGCTTATTGATGCGCACCAGATCCGCCGCCTCTCCACGAAAGTCACAACTTAGTTTCGTTCCCCTAACGCTGAACTTCATCCCCTCAGCGGGTGTCTACCTTCATCTCATCGCCTCCAAGACCTCACAGCTGCAGAATCTCTTCCTCTATATCACGCAAACCCTGCAACGTCTCCGTACCTTCTTCAAGCATGCCCAAGATCTGCCGTCAAAGTTCATGATGAACATATCAGAAACACTAGAGGAGAAAGGGCAAGGCGATCTTGTCACGAACCTTTTTCATATAGCTTGCACAGGCAATTGCCCGCCAGTGGTACGAGAGTGGCTGGTCGATGAACTGGCAGAACAAGGGCACAAGCGGTGGGATAATACGGTTACGACAAGTTTCATGACGCTTCTTGCGCTAGTGCATGAGAATCTGATACCGGCACTGGATCGGTGCAGTATCGTCATCTCCCGTCTTCGCGGCCTCGCACATTTCCATGACCGGGACTGGATCTTCACAGGTCCGCTTACCGATTTCACAGCGTTGCTGGAGGTGCTGAAGAATATGAGGCTGTTAGCGCATACAGTTCTGCTGTATGCAAGTGAGGAAAAGAGACAGTTTCATGCATTTAGCAAGTGGCTGCGGTTTACCATTGACTATGAAGCTACGGAGCCGGAGAGCCAATCTAGAGGGGAAATGGAGAATCGGGATCCTGGTGTTGACGTTGCCCAAGTCCTCGAGTACATCAAATACGGTCTCACAAAATCGGACCTAACTCCTTACTTGAGACCAGAGGCGCAGCTAGGTCCGAAACCAAAAGGAACAGAGGCACCAAGTTATGAAGACACGAAGAAAGCTGTTGAGCTCTTCAAGGAAGGTGCCATGTTCAAGGAGGAGGCGCTGTGTCTTGAGCATGTACTTGGACATCTCAGTGTAGGTGTTACCGGTCTGCTTAAGCAGGTCAGTGGGTGGCAGGAGAACAATATCCGGATGGAATCTGGTCTTGTGCTGGACAACAATGACGATGGAGATCAGGAGGAAGAGAGTGTGAAAGACATGAGAATGATGCTGGAGGTTCGTTGCCGTTTTTTTCTTTTTCTTTTCCCACAAACTCTCAACCTCAGCAACTCCCTCTCAAAGTCGCACGCTAACTCAACATCTCAGCGGTCAAGCCACTCTCCAGACAGCATCTCCACCTACATTGCCCTCTTTTCGCTGTCGACGCCATCGACTCTCCTCATCCACCGCCTCACCCATGCACCAAGCATCACCTCCTTCCCAAAGGACATACACGCCTATGCCATCTCCACTCTCGACTTCTCCTCCGCATCGCCAACCACCAGAATACTAGATGCCAAGTTCGGAGACGACACAAACCTACTCGTACTCCTCCAGCTTCCCGGACCAAAGGGTAATAAGACGACGAGCCACACAAACGTCTTGCTCTCTCTACCGTATACCTCCATGAAACTAGTGGCCTTCTCCCCCGTCCCCTCTTCGCGCCTACCCGACACGCTTTTACCAGCGGGGAAATCTGTGCCAAAATCCTTACGCACCACCGTCCCTATGACGTCTGAGCTTGTAAAGAAATATACTAGACATGTCTTTGAGGGCCGTTTCACGCCTCTTAAGCTTATTGTCAACGGGAGGAAGGGGAGGAGAGTGGTAGTTGTGCTAGGGAGTGATAAGAAGCATTATCGGGTCTTGGACATGGACTTCCGAAAGCGGAAGATAAAGGAGGGGCAAGAGGAGGGCGGGAGTGCTGATGAGAGTGAAGAAGATGAGGATGAGGATGAGGATGTCGAAATGGGCGGGGCATGAATGCTCAAGACCGCGTCACGCCTTTGTAAGTGAGAAACGCCATGTGTCATCGTATGAGAGCACGCATACATTGTTCAAGCGCAAAGACTAGTCAGGTTTGAACATGTATCAATCACATTGCCAGAAGTACAGACCAGATGCATTTTTCGGAATCACATTCCCTAAGAACCTATCATGCATGCAAGCCATAGAAAGCCTAGCTTGCCGAGAAGTTTCGTTATAACGCCCGGCCACCCGCATATAGAGGTATGGAGAGAATAACCGTTTGCATCATTGCCGTTGCCCCCCATCGACGCCACCATTTCAAGCACTCTAATCCTTGGTCTTCTGAGTACCACGGAGCAGACCCGTCCTCCGCGCGGCGATGAGACCGGCCTTTTGACCTTGTACGGCGTACCGGGAGATGGTCGAGGCTTTACCGATATGTTGATGGTTACCACCACCGTGAGGATGGTCAACGGGGTTCATGGCAACACCACGAGTCCTGGGCCAGCTGTTGCGCTTGGCAGCGAACTAAAACATGTCAGTATTCGCTCACTCTTCTAGAACAAGGGTACACACCTTATGCTTAGCACGCGAAGCCTTCATGAGGGGCTTGTCTGTTCGGCCACCTCCAGCGACGATACCAACCATACCACGGCACGAGCTGGGGAGGACCTTCTTGGCGCCAGACGGGAGCTTGACACGGGTCTTACCCTCGTCGGGGTTGTGGCCGATAACGGTGATGTAGTTACCGGAGGTACGGCCGAGCGCACCACGGTCACCGGACTTGTCTTCGACGTTGGTAAGGACGGTACCTTCGGGGACGGAGTGGAGAGGGAGGACGTTGCCGATGGTAAGAGCGGCGTTCTTTCCGGCGTAGATGAACTTTTGCACTGTTAGCCATGAAAGTTCTCTCCCACAGTCTGTCGGGGGTTGTCCAAACTAACCTGGCCAGTGTACATGCCCTCGTTGGCGATGAACGTCTGGGTCTCGTGCTTGAACTTGTAGGGCTGCAAATTGTGTTAGAAGCGCATACAGATGAGCGTCGAACGGAGGTCTCGTACGTTGCGGAAGGTGACCCTTGCGAGAGGAGCGCCTGTAGTAAATCTGTCAGAGGAGACTCGAGCCGTCAATTTGCGTGTACAACTTACCACGACCGGAATCGTGAACAATCTCCTTTACGACACCCCGGATGTATCCATTGCGCTCAGCCTGTGTGAATTAGCCTTGTGCGTCCGTCGTCGCAATTTCGCGATGCTGTGGGCGGACGTACATAATCGAGCGTTCGGAACTGGGCCGGTGCCTTGTTGAGGCGGGTGTTGGCCGTGAAGATAGAGCCGCGACCCTTACGCTGGTTGCGAATAACCCTACCCATGACGACGGTGTTGTTGTGAGTAGGAAGGTCGATTGGAGGTGTCGTGAGCTCGACTTCGCTGAGTGCAAGTGTGGCCCCGAAAATGCTAAGCGAGACGTCCGTGCGCGCTGTTTCCGCCAAGACTTCCCACCATCACGAGAATCGAGTCGGTCGGTTTCTGGCTCAATTCTTTCAATTCTTTTTGATTGATGATTTCTGCTTATTATATGAGAGATAACTGATTAATTGATAAATTGTTCATTTTCTTGAATTTTCCACGTTTTGTGTGAGAAAGGGCAATGAGAGCTAATCAACTTTGGCTCATGTCACCAAAATGTCTCCGAACACATGGCGACAGTCCAAACTCGCTCATCACAATCTGCGTCCCTCTCGTCTTGGGCCAACACCTCATTCCATGATTCACATAGTAGGACGAAACCATTCCATGCCAACAATACTGCTCGGCAAAAACTCACATCCGACACCTTATTGGACGTGCTCCACGCGTCGATGAACTACGACGTTTGTATACCTGCACCCGTGACATCGTACCCTGCATGTGCGCTTCGTCCAGCAAATATAGTGATGTCGGTTAGGGATTATCGTAGTCCAGGCTGGGCAAGAGTTATCGTCCTGAGCACGACGGACAACGCGAGTGGCGCGCATCGAGCTGCTGACGAACGGTTTGTGGCATATATCCAGGATAACTGGGTGCCACGAGGGAAAAAGGATGTACGACAATCAGACATATAGTAGCTCCACCTTGTGGGCGCAGTCTCCCCCCACGCGTAGTCTAGATGCAAAGACCATGAACAGTCTCTTGGAAGATCACGTGCTATCCTCAAGTTGGGTCATGTGCTAACACATCGCAGACTCTTATCGTATTGACTTCCTGGTACTGGACCTGGTCAAATACAATTCTTGATCTGCACTCGAGGCTCAAGTATTCAATGCCGCTATCGTTAGTTGCTTGTAAAAACCGTCGAACTCTGTCTTGTCCTTCAACCATTTCAACCTCAAGCGTACTACTATCCCGATGCCAGCACTGCAAGCGTCAGTCCCTCCCATTTCTGCGAGGGCTGCGACCCATTCTTTAAAAAAAACATTTGGCGCCCTAATAATTGTATCCCCCCGACATTTTCTTACCGATTTGAACCGCCCTGCACGTAATTATCCTAACCGAATTCATGCTACTGCAAGCGTCAATGCATTGCTGTAGCGCGTATGCTACTATGCTGACAAGATCACCAACCAGATTGGCGTTTGTGTTCTCTTTACAACTGTAAAGCTTGTTATTCCACGACGATAACGTCGGGGGACAAGGGACGTCAATGAGAGACACATCGCTCGGCGGCAATGCGTATATATCGCTCGCGAGGATGCAGAGGACGCCGGTTGACTCGTAGGCGTCGTCGGCCCCGCTGATGTGAAAGAAGTCTGTTCGAACTGCTAGTATACTGGTGAGCTTCGTACGATGCGGGAGAGACATGCAACCTACCATGAATCCCGGATAGCTACCGCTCCGCCTATACCCCCACCCATCACAGCGCCAAATACAATAACTGCAACCACGACCAAAATCCAGAAATGTCGTTATTTCAGGCCGAGAATAGTTTCGCGTCTCGGCACGGTCTGCTCGATTTCGACATGCGTCGTGTACGCTTCTTTCGTAGCCGGCACCTCTGAGCGCGACGATGAAAACGTATCGCCATAACGGTACACAACTGGCGCTTGCTCGTGGCACTGATCAAGCTGTAAATGGTCGCCTTCGTATGCTACGTGGGGTGCATCTGCCATTATAATGAGAGTGGGTTCATTCGCGGAATGCAACCACTCTAGGCAATCTGTCCAAAGCGTTGAGAAGTACAACAATCGACTGAGAGCGACACAAGACTTTCATATTTTATATACCCACGTCCCCCCCAGCCAGAAAAGAGATGGGGGTCGCACCTACAAAGCTATACTATATTCCATGACCACGATACGCCCTCGCAAGGCTGAAATTTCTAGGAAGAACCAGAGACAGATGGCCTGGATCCTTTACTGGGCTCTTCAGAGACTTGCAGGAAACCTTACCGATTCGTTTTTCCCATAACGAAGCTTTGCAAAAACTGCTCCTGTTCGATTTGGTTTCTATTGCGATCAAATGATAAGCCTCTCACACATGATTTATTCCCAAACCATCCTCCGAAATCAAACAAATCGATAGCTAAAGAAACATCGAGAATAGCCATACTCTCTGAAGCACATCGAAATCCACGACTCCTACCCATTCGTAAAGTCTCGCTCCAGCTTATCCCCACTCTCCGTTCCATACTGCCTACCACGCTCTTGACCATTCCTCCCACCCTGTCCAACCCCTCTCGTCCCAGACGTATCCACATGCTTGGCATTCATCTCATCAAGCTCACTCGTCGTTGCCGTCGCCGTCTGCCTAGGTCCAACGTGCTCTTCCCCAGACCCATTACCATGCGACGAAGACATTTTCGCCTTCTGATCCGCGTTCCAGAGTTGCACCGTGAGCGCCTTTTGCGGATGTGTGATAGCGGGCTTGCTGACGAAGTTTTTCAGGTTCGAAGAGAGCAGCTTAGAACGTGAGCCGCTTGTCGCTGCGGGAATGGCCGTGGGGTTACTTGAGGTGGGATTCATGACGCTGGCTACATCTATCTATGTATAGAGATATGTCTAGACTTGTTGTTGAAATGCGACGTCCACGAATGGAACTCCTCTTAAGAAAGGGCTGAGATAAATGATGGATGACAGAATTATGTATTGTGCAATATATTTTTCAACCATTTAACAAAGGATAAGCAGAAGCGGTGTTGTTTGGATGTAGTACAAGGACCTGCAACGATATTCAAGTTAAATGTACTCTCCAAGATCCACAATTGTGGATCTGCTGCGTACGCTGTGGGGTTATGGCTTGGGAGAGGGGAGAGACGTAAGGCTGACCGGTTAGCGCGGCATGACGCAAGCAGGTTATGCAACTGCAGACCATGGCCAACAGCATTAACAGTTTCAATGATTTTATCACAAGTATGAGCAGGGGACGCATTGTTATTAGAACAAGTTTGATTACTTGAGCTACGTGAGCTACCTACACGTATAAGACATTACGATTCAAACCACCACTGTAAACCCATCTCCAAGCCGGTCGGTAGCAACAGACACTTTGTTACAAGAGCTGTTACTCACCACATTAACCCCCTGGCCAAGCTATATGACCAGTGAAGGGAACGCACTATCCGTACATATGCAAGGAGCGTGCGGTCACCCGACCAACAGCCAATTCATGTACAACCAGTCTAATAGTCTAGGAGTAGTCTGATGTAATCGACTGTACGAATATAAAGGAATGTTCCGATTCTTCCAAATGTACAAAGGAGGTCCAGTCTGTCTCACCCAGGTTTAAACTAGGGCGATGAAAGCAAGGGCTGCAGCCAAGAAGGCAACAACGGGCTTGGTCGCGCTAGCCGCACCAGTGAACTCGGGTGGGGGAGCGGAGCTTGTGCCAGCAGGAGGCTTGGGGGTGTAGCCAGTGCCAACGGGAGGAGGCTGGGGCTTGGAGGCAGAGGGAGCCGGGGGAACTGGTGCATAGCTCGAAGGAGCCGGGGGCACCGGGGCGTAGCTAGACGGCGCAGGGGGAACTGGCACGTAGCTGGATGGCGCAGGGGGAACTGGCACATAGCTGGATGGCGCAGGGGGGACTGGCACGTAGCTGGATGGCGCCGGGGGAACCGGGGCGTAGCTAGAGGGCGCAGGGGGAACTGGCACATAGCTGGATGGCGCAGGGGGGACTGGCACGTAGCTGGATGGCGCCGGGGGAACCGGGACGTAGCTCGAAGGAGCAGGGGGGACAGGTACGTAGCTGGAGGGCTTGGGAGGAACCGGAACGTAGCTTGAAGGAGCCGGGGGGACCGGGACGTAGCTCGAAGGCTTAGGAGGGACCGGGACGTACGACGAAGGAGCCGGGGGCACCGGGACGTACGACGAGGGAGCTGGAGGAACCGGGACGTAGCTGGATGGCTTGGGGGGCACCGGGACGTACGAAGAAGGCGCAGGAGGCACTGGGACGTAGCTCGATGGCTTAGGGGGGTGAGGGTACTCCGTGGTGGGCTTGACGGGGGGAGGAGTAGAAGTCTCGGGGCAAGGAGTGGTCGAGTTGCCGTAGCTCGTCACTGGCTTGGGAGGCGCAGGAGGGTAGCCGGAGGACTTGGGTGGGTGGGGGTACTCAGTCGTGGGCTTGGGGGGAACGGGAGGGTAACCCTTCTCCGAAGTGGTAGGCTTGGGAGGAGCAGGGGGGTAGCCGGTGCCCGAAGACTTGGGAGGGACGGGGTACTCCGTAGTAGGCTTAGGAGGAACAGGAGGATATCCCTTCTCCGAAGTGGTGGGCTTGGGGGGAGCAGGCGGGTATCCGGTGCTGCTGCTCTCCTCGGGGCACGGGGTGCTCGAGGACTGAGGAACTGGGGGGTAGCCCTGCGACGAAGTCGACGAGGTCGCCTTGGGGGGGACGGGAGGATAGCCCTTCTCCGAAGACGAGCTCGGCTTCACGGGAGTGTAGACAGATGAGCTTGCCGGGACAGGGGGGTAGCCCTTCTCCGAGGTGGTGGAGGAAGTAGCCTTGGGAGGCACAGGGGGGTAGCCCTTCTCCGATGAAGTCGAAGAGGTCACCTGGGGAGGAGCAGGGGGGTAACCGGTGCTGCTGCTCTCCTCAGGGCATGGGGTGCTGGAAGACTGAGGAACGGGAGGATATCCCTTCTCCGACGTAGTCGACGACGTTGGCTTGGGGGGAACGGCTGAAGACGAGCTCGGCTGTACTGGTGTGTAGACAGATGAGCTGGCCGGAACTGGGGGGTAGCCCTTCTCCGAAGTGGTGGGCTTAGGAGGGGGGACAGCAGGGTAGCCCTCCGACGAGCTGGGCTTGACAGGAGGGTACACCTTCTCCGAGGTGGGCTTGGGAGGGGAGTACTCGGACTGTTGCGAGTTAGAAACACATTTGGTGTGCAAAGGAGCTGAGTTGAAACTTACCGATGGGGGAGCAGGTACATACGCCGAGGGCGTGTTTTCGGGGTACTGATCCTCACCGTATGGGGCGGCGGCAGCTGCACCCATGAGGGCGAGCAACGCAAGAGAGCCCTTCATCCTGAATCAAGTAACGAGTGTTGGATTGAAGAAACACTTGGTGTGAATTAAAAGTAACAGAGCAACCGTAGCGAGCGAGTTGCTGTTATTGAGACCGAGGGAGGAAGGCTTTATGGTGGGTGAGAGTACGAGACAGAGTGGATGGGGAGAAGATCTTAATATGCGCACGGGGGAAGCACTGCGCTATTCGACCAGCCTTCTAGTGACCACCAGCCCATGGTTAGGCAATGACAAGGTTGCATAAGCCAGGGGGGCAGCTTTAGGAGCTTCCGAGGTCGTTCTCAATACCGGCGGGTGAGGATATTGACCTTTAGTGCGTCTCCACCGCCCTCGTAACAGTGGGCCGAACTACTGAGGCAGGGAGTGAGGCTCGCCCAAAAAGGCAAGCATTAACAGCCGATCGAGCAACACGATAGGCTAAGGCTGACCTAGCAACCGACAGAAGTGATGATTCCAGAAAGCCAATGGATACACCGGATGCTGTCGGGATGCATGAGGCTTGCCAGGATGGGCTGCGTGGTCAGCAAGCATCGACCACCACCATGATAACCCGCCTCTTATGCATACCAGCCCTGCAGTGAACCAAAGCAACTGTTGACTGTTGGCACATTTCACAGCAAGCGTACCAAACTTTGCTTAACACGACCGGTGAATTGGGCCCGACGAGTTGTAAGCGGTCTGCGATACTGCTTCCCATGGACTGAGGCCGAAGTCCACTTTTGCGAATACTGTTAATAATGAAACCCGTATCTGAACACGAACGTGCACAAGGCGCATGATGCAATGACAACCAACTCTGGTGACTCGAGCGGTGCCTCGGCTGGCCTGCACGGGCCATGAAGCCTCGTGTGGTCGTCCCGTTGGAGAACAGAGCGTTGCAAGCCTCAAAAGCTTGTGGCTATGATTAGTACCACGGTGGCGATCCTGGGCTCGGGCTGGGTATAACGGCGTATTGTTGCCAGCTGCCCGATGCAGTTTGGCGACATGGGCCGATAACCACTGATGATGATGCAATGTTGTGCTTCTGCCATGGTCGTGCATTCAAGCCCACGATACTCGCCTCTTGAACGCAGGCAGGGCAGTGCAGGGGGGCCCTCCGTGTCCCAGAGAAGAGGCGCTTCCGTGGGCTGGTTGCTATCGCGATGGCGGGGTGAGGGTGGCAGGATAACCAGACCGACTCTGCCTGCCCTAATGTTGCAATCGAGATGGCCTTGGGTGTTGACCGGCCACCGGTGGCGGGGTGCTAGGGTGATCGCTCGCAAGCATTGTTTATCGAAAATATTGAAAGACCGGGGGTCGTCTGTTGTGAGTAGTTGCATGTAGTGTGGTTGGTGGTTCAGGGCTGTATGTCCCTCGCAACCTTCGCTTGCTTTTTGCTACCCCGCGCCAACAACACACCTCATCAGATGCCTCGACATATCTGTCGCAAGCCGATTCTGCTCTTTACCATGGAATGGATCGACGAGGTTGCTTCGCAATGGCCGTGCCTATTCAAAAATTGGGTCTTGTCTTGTCCCTGCAGCAGCTTCGCGGCTTGTCGCAAGCTAGTCCCGCTACTGAGCGGAGTTACAGCGTCAGCGTTGCATCTTGCACTGCGCAGGACCATGGTTGTTTGTTTCCATCCGTTTCGACGAACCACAAGAAAACACGGCACTGTACCTGGCAGTCTGACGGCTACAGGGTTTTTCTCACTTGTTGGGTCATGAGCTCTTGCATACGGGCCTATTGTCAGCCATGTCCCTGCAACACTAAGCTCGCTCCACCTCCCCCCACTACGCCGAGCAGCCCTACTGACTTTGGAGAAATTTTACAGGAAGCAGTCCATGAACTCGGTCGCATCCCGTCCGACTCTCGGCTTGCCATTACAACTTTGCGCCCAATGTGCGGTCCTCGCTGTTTCATGTCGGACGATCGTGCTCCACCAGGAACCCCGGGAGCCCATCATACGAGGATACGAGGATTGATCTTAATAAAAAGATCCGCTCATCGACGTCATGCGCCCAAAGAGGCAACCCCAACTTCTCCTGTGTCTTGGGGTCCCTGGGCTCAAGCCGTGGCAGCCCTGAACACTTATCGGTCCCAAGAAATCCCATAAGGAATGCATCATGACGAAGTGCTGAAATATTGAAACCGCCATATTGGGGTATTCGTTATCGATAGCGTCTAGTCGTGCATGCGCTGCCAGCTTGTCATGTCTGGGTTCAGCATCAGTCATCAAATAGCGGGCGGTGTGAGACTCTTCCTGTTCGCATCGCTGGCTAAATTAACTGTGCTGCCTGCCTATGAGCCAGCTCGCGTGTGTTGAGTTGGAGGGCAGTGAATGCTGACCATTCCACACGACATAGAGCCCGAAAATGACGGCGGAACCTGAACGAAAGCAAGGCTGGTCGGTCGACTATTCATCGTCGTCGTCGCTGTCAGTGCCACTGTCCCATCCTTCATCATACTCTTCTGCGAGGACCTGCAGGCCGTTGCAGAGCGCCTCTCTTTCTTCGATTCCCACCATTCGCTTGACAACTTGCTCGACTGCTCGTATCTGATCCGCGACAGCCGTACTAGTACTAAGCCCAGCATGGACACCAAGCTTGGTGGCATGACCAGAACCTACGTCAAAAATCGATGCTGGAAAACTGTCAAGTAGCGGGAAAAGTATCGGTGCGGTAAACCTGAGAGGTATTAGCGTGAGTTCAGCGTGCCGTATCCGAATAATAATAGCAAACGACTAGGGTAAACCTCGCTCGTATCAATGGGCATCGCACAGTAGCACCGCATGTCCCGTAAATGTCCGCGATAGTGTCCAATGGGGTAATGCGCCAACGACATACCTTTGCACCGCCGGCCCGTTTTCAAATCTATCATGAGGATCACGACCACCATAATCGTCAGAGAGGGCCCAGTCTCCCCGAGAAGATTCCGCTCTGCCAAAAGTATGCTCTTTCTTTCCAGGCCGACGGGAAGTGACTCTGTAGTCCCGTGTGAAGACGTCGATGTCGAAATTGCTCAACTGGCTGTCGTCATCGCTTGTGCGTCGCGATGTTGTTGAGCCCGCCTTTTCGGCAGATGCAATCTCGCCCGGAGCGTTCTGCGAGAGAACGTCCGGGTCTGCGACGCTCATTTCAAACTTGCCTATACGTCGTTTCCCTGTGCTGTTGATGGTGTTTTCAAGATCCTGAAGCGTGCCGCGTCCACCCAGGGAAGTTCTCAGCCGAGACGAAATCGTCATGCTCTCCAGGCCTACAGCCTGTAACGCAGCGATATGCCATGACGATGTAGCGTCCATCGACAGATATCCTGGGTACTTGGCTGGACTGTTCGACATTGGAATGTAGACTGATGATTGTTCGCCCAGAATTTGGAGTGATCGTGAAGAGTTTTGGACTTGCTGCAATCGTCTCTCCTAACCAATGTTAGTTGTTAACTCCGTTGACTGAATACTGCAAGAAGACGTACACGAGGGGTCTTCGTGTTTGCACCATGGTTTCCTAGCCCCCAAGTCCAGATGCTCATCTTCCCGTACTCATCTCTCAATCTCTCCAACCATCCCGATGCCCATCCGCCCCAGGCATCGTCGACGCCAGTGAAGATTTGGAGGCCCTGGATGCCATCGCACTCTTCGACAAACGGTCGTAGATCTCTGTCGACTAGGTCTACTTCCCTCTCGAGCTTCTCGAAAAGCTCCATACCAACTTCCCAATTCTCGAACGGCATCAGCTGGTCGTTAACTTCAAACTCTGACAGTTGAACAATTGACTTTGGGTGATAGTAGACTCGACTATAGTCAGACCAGTAGCGAACAGTCGATGTACTCAACGACGGCGGGTTTAGGCCTGCATCGAGGTGTTCCTGGTATGCCGACTGTGGAATGGTTTGCGTGGCACGCTGGATGATGGGTTTGGACGGCCACACTCCAGTCTGGTCCAGTATACTTCTGTCATCTTCGGCTTCATACAGTGCGTTGATCTTTCTCATGCTCCCAAAGGCACCTTTCAGATCATATATCACCGTTCTTGGCGTGAAGGTATCGGATCCATCTGGGGCAATGCCCGGCCGGAACAGAATATCATGGTCGACTGCTGATTGAGGCTCCGGGGGATATGTGAAGTAGGCTTCCTTAAAAAGTGTTAGAGAAGAAGAGGTAATGGTGAGTTTCGTAGAGCGGGGTCATGCGCATGTCTTGCAGGTGGTGAGACGCTTCGTATGCGGAATGCACGACGATGACCAAGCCAAGAGTACGCGGCCTCCCCACCAAATGCCGACGTCAATGCCAGACGTGCATTAGAACACCCGTAACAAGGTAGAAAGTGTGGAGAACGAGTCCCTCGATGGCGAATGGGGGAAGAATGAGGCAGTGCAACTCACCTGTGTATTCCAAAAATGGGTTCCAAGGTAATTGCTCTGTTGACCGAACTGCAGCGTTACGATTTCGCGCATGATGTCAGCAAAGCTCTACATGAGCAAATGTTGACGTAGTCTGAGTTGCACGATACAAGTAGTAGGTGAGGATATGAAGTGGCAAAGTCGTTTGATGTTAGACCTAGGAAAAAGACGATGTAATGAAGCCAAGCTTTGATAGTTGCCCCGCACGTGAGCGCGCGTTTCGGGAAGGAACGACGACAGTCTTCACGCATGAGGCTGAGGTAACCTGACCACTACAAAACATAACTATATTCCTGCAATCCGGCCCAGCCTTTGTGTGAATTTAGATAAAGAAGGATAGACCTAGCTGCGCAGTACGGCGCAAAGACATTGCTATGGGCAATCCATTGTTGTGCGCTTCCGTAAACACCCTCTCCACCCGCTCAATATTACAAAAGAGGTCATATATAAGTCTCTCATAATCGGTGGTATCGCCTGTTTTCGTGTCTATCGGCATATGGCGCGTGGTATTGCGAAAGTTGTTGCAGTTTGATTGCATCCCCGAGCATACATGACCTTTAGTGTCAGTCGATTCCCATTCGCGCGCTTTTTGCCGTCGACAAGACTAAGCATGCGTTGTGCTCCATGCCATGGTCTCCGAGTATTGAGCCTAGGCCGTCTCTGTAGTCATATGCTCTCCTTGGTGAGAGTTGATGCTTAGCTCCCCTCAACCCATGAGCTGCAGCTGATCCGTAGGTGGCCATCTTGTCTGCGCAAAGCTCAAACACCTCTTGATGCTCTGTAGGTATTTTCTCGTCATCTCGTCGCTCATGATATGGGCCGCATTTTTATCACTCTCATGCAACTTCTCTCTGGCACTCCGCTCGTGGATACCCACCATAGTAACACCAATAGGCCACGCGGCCTTGCCAATGCTGAGTCTAAGGTACCCATCATTCGCATCGACGTAGCGTCGCTCTTGCGCAGCATGCACAATCTCGACGACAGGCTCGAGAATGCTGTCTAGCAGATCAAACTTTTCCAGCTTCTTGAAGAGTGGACGCATGTTCTCGCGTGCTTGTACCATGGCTGCGTAGGCTTGCTTGCCTTGATAGCTCTCCTTGACTTCGGGGTCTCGATGCGCGAGCGTAGTGTCCCATTCTTTGAGCACCATGGTGAAGTAGCTCGCCAGCTGCCTGAACAGAAATTCCCGACCTTCTTTGTCCTGAGGCACCTTGAGCACCACCTTCATGTCTTTCTCGGGGACCAGCTGCAGCGTGGTGGGTATTGGGCCATCGGTCATAATGGCCGCTAGGCTGTCTGCTCCAACGCGCTTCTTGTACCGTTTCAGGCGTTGCTTGTGCGTTTCGCCGAATACTCGCGCTGGCTCATCTAGAGCTCTTAGCTTGGCCACGAGATCTTCGTCTTTAATGTCCTCCTCGTCGGGTATCGGGGTCCCCTCATCTTCACCCTCTTTCTGCTTTGGTGGCAGATCAGGCAGACCCAGCCGTTTTCTTTGCCTCCTTTCTTCGGCCTCCTCCTCGTCTTTGCGCCTTTGTCGCGACTCTTCCGCCAGTCGCATCCGCTTCTCCCGTCTCTCGGATTCTTTCTCAGCTTCCTCTTCCTCGGCTTTCCTCTTCCTGTCTGATCGTTCCCGTCGCGCTCTTTCCTCGGCTTCTTGTTCGGCCACGTATGCGGCTTGCCGTTGCGCTTCGACTTCGCTGCGCTTGAGATATTTCTTGTCCTTGGAGTCCGAGGGGGAGGCAGTATCTTTGCCCTTCTTTATGTGCGCCGACATGAGCTTTGCGAAATCCATGGTGGCGAATCGATTTGAATATGGGCTAGAATCGTGCGCGCGAGAGCAAGAGTTGAGCAAGATGGAGTTGCGACTTCAAGATTCACTATTCAGTGCATTAGCGTTGCCAAGAAACCGCACTAGGGAGCTCTCCGCGTCGCGTAGCTGTCACTCACTGCTCCGCTCTGCTCTTTCTCTGCATTTCGCGCGTTACGTCACATTCCACATTGCGACTTTGGCCAATTGTGAATTGTATTTGTACAGAGAAGACACGCGATTGCAACTTGCCTACAGAACACAGCCGCCATATGACAACCAACATGGCTGCGCAAGCTCCAACAAAGATCGACCGGCAAGCAACCACGCCGTTTCTGTTGCGCCTCTTCTTTAAGCAGGGGTCATATCACAGGTGACTACCCGTTTTCTCCCATATCTCTACGGTGCTGACTATCCAAGGCTAGATGAGTTTGACCCGACCCTACCACGCCTCCCCACCAACGTCCAAATCTATACCTGGCAGAGTTGCAGTCTCCGCGAGCTATGCAAACTGCTCCTTTCCGCTGTACCTACGCTGCTACCCCAGCCTTATACTGGATCCCGCCTCGCATTTCGACTAGTATATCCAGACGTACAAGGCTCTAATCGTCCGGGCGCCCCAGGACGCTTTATTTCTCGAGACATAGGATCCGTCATTATTGGCGCACGCGCAGAAGATGAGGACACAGACATGGAAGGTGGAGATGGATCAACTGTCACAGAGGCACTGAAACAACTAGATGGAGACCCGGACAGGACCCTTGCCGACGTCAAGTTCCTCATAGGCGATTATATCGCATGCGCCATTCTCCCCCCGTTGCCTGACGGCAGTGTACCAGCTGCACCTCCACCTCTCGCTGGGCCTGGAAGAGGGCCGCCGCCTGGTGCATACGGCGGACGGGGAAGGGACAACGGTTTCAATGGACGCGGTGACTACGGCTATGGAAGAGGGGGGAGAGGGGGAAGATTCGATGATAGAAGAACGAGCGGAGGTGTACCATCCGGCGAATGGAGGAGAGGTGATGCTCTACCTGAGCGAGAACTCGGCTATGGCAGGGGAGGACGCGGAAGAGGCGGCGGTGGTGATGGCGGCGACTGGCACGACCGAGGCAGAGGACGAGGAAGATGGTAGCCGGCTAGAATGTGACGTAGTATCTTGCCTTCGCTGTCTAATTGTACAACACAGGGTCGCGAAACTGTCGTCCAATCGTGACGGCAACAAGCAATCAACGCCAGCGCGAATCGTTTGTTGGACTATCAAAACCTCCACTGTCCCGCTGCTACTTGACAAAGTATCATCTAGAGGTGACACTGGTGTTCGACGGTGCTTCAAAAGCTATGAAACGAAAATCATAAGAAGAGCGGATGAGCAAGGTGTGTTTTATCCCACTAGGTTATTCTTAGCCAAGCTACAACACTCACTTCTTTGGTGTTGCGGTTGAATTGTTGCAATATTTCCAATCGCGCAATTTCATCAAAGCTGACATTAATACCAGGACAAGCTTTCCTAGTGCACTCAATCGTCGCATTCACTAGTTGCACTGCAATGGTATCCCTACCCCTATAAGAGGGCCACATTCATGCTACAACATCGGAGAGGGATGTGTTTAGTATATGATTGAGCTAGTAGTACCAAATTGGTATTATGGCACCTAGAGTCAGTCTTGATTTTATTGTTGTATGCTGTTCAAATAAAAGAAATTTCACACCGAAGCTTACGTTTCAATCTTAATTCTTATTTACCAAAAATCCTCCTTGGATACGGCTCTTATGTCTCGAACGACCCTAGGATGCCGTCGAACGATAAGTCTAGAATGATACAAGTTCTCGACTATCCGCTGCTCGAAAGTTTGCAAATGAGATGGACTCCAAAGCCTCCAACAAACCCTTATAAGCGGCGGCCTCGGTGTTCGCGACTGGACCGTGGTAGTATACATTCCGCTTGTACCAGTGGGCTGAACCTTTGCTCACCAAAGCCGCCATATATTCAGTCTCCACAGGTTCTGTCGCCCCATCTATCAGATAAGCTTTCTCAAATTCGGCCTTGCTTTTACCATTGGGGACTTTTCGCATAGATGAGAGATCGACGTCAATGCCATCGGGCCTCTTTAGTGTTTCCTCTATATACTCTGTCATGCACTTGTTAGTGTGTAGACTAGGTTGATATTGGCTTGACTTGCCAAGAATATGTTTTCTCGGCCTTTTGTTCTCATAGCGCTCATCGTCCTGTTCCTGATCGCTTCCGGAATCTACTACGGCTTCGTCGTCGGAACTCCACAATGTCGGATCGTGCCAGCGACAGTGGTACGAAGGTACTCCGTACGCAAGGTCGTCTTCATTTGATTCGGTCGTCATCTTTGGCGCCATATCTGTGGCAAGGTATTCTACGGAATAGATCGGGTTTTGGTAGGGAAAATTGTGTAGAAAGGGAGGGTTGCTGTTGACGAGTGGGTTTATATAGCATGGTGACTCTTCTGCTGACTATCAAATGCATCAGTCCATGCGTGGGCGGATTCACATGGCATCAGTCATATCTACGCACATTCTTCTCCTGGTCCGTCTCTCTGGTCACTACGTAAGTCCACTTCATGACTTGAGAATGAGTTCCGGTTAACGGCACATCATAGGTACCAAGTGAACAAGCTCCTGTGCACACAGCAGTCAACGTCTAGCAGGTACTCTTGGCCCAGTTTGTACCGACTACGGGATCCATGAATAGACGCGATAGTATGCATCAATTAAGTAAGAGGGAGAGCACCAACGGGTTTGGAAAATGTTCAGCCTCTATTCATTCCAGTGACGAGCCTCATATGACTTGACGAAGGAAGCGATGGTAGTGACCACGACATAGACTACTGTAGTCGCCTCAGTGTACAGCAGTATATCAAATGTCAAGCTGATGTACAAGCAGTACATAGTGAATTGGCGAGCTTTTCATATATCTGCGGCGGTTTCGTGTGTACACGAAGAGAGGGCTCGTCAGGGAGCGAACGCTCGATCGTCCTTTGTGCCGACTACGCGTCTCTGAAACTAAAAAAGTAAAACACTCAAGGTGGGATCTACGCTCCGCTAGGACTGTCGAAGTACACATGCTTCGATCACTTCGAGCCTAACTATGCACCGGTAGCCAGCGCCTTGGACGGTCTAAAAGGCTGTTGTCAATGTGGCGAGAACTCGGCAGAGTTGCAATCACCTACTAGCATTAAGAAAGGTGGAAACTACACCTACCAGGAGAGGGACATGGCATCTAATTCGGCGTATGAGCTCGTCAGTGCCGCATACAGCCAACTCGTAGAGTCGGATATTGGGACCATGTGTCTCTTCTCGACAGGTACAGGCACGTACGACCCGAGTCGCTGGAAATCCAATTTGTCATCTCATGATGTTGTCCTAAGGATCGTGTACGAGTCTCGATTCGATCCGACTCTTTAGCACTGAAAAATCACTTGGTCAACACATTTGGGAACGGCGACTTGTGTCAGTCCACAACCGGCAGGTCCAGGGGATAAAGAATCTACGCACAAAGACACCTGAATACATCGTCGTGTCTTACATGCTTTCTCACTTAAGCAAGGCTCAATGTATACCATACAACCACGTGGATGTGAGACACACAACGGCCTCAATATGCAGGTGGGCGATTCATTCAACGCCACAATAACAAGCTTGCAGACCGAGTGGTAAGAATAGCCCAGCTGACCGCAAAGGTCAAGAATATGGAGGCGAAGTGCTTGCATGCGCACGTGGGACTGCTGCGGGTGTGGTGAAACAAAGAACAAAGGCGAATGCATGCGGCGACGCAAGATCAATTCAACCTCGATATGCTGCTTTGAACGGTGAGACAGCGTCTCATTCCAAACCTGCTGACAGTTCGAAAGTTGGTGGCTTTGGATTCTCGAGTGTGATTGTTACTCATGATTGGTATGCCGCATACGGGAGGGTTAGTGAACAGAAATGCAAGGGCTTTCGCATTTTCGTCAGACAAGCGTACGGCTGCCACGTTGTTGATGCATTACTTGTGCAGGAACAAGGGCCGTACAGATTTCTTGCTGGAAGCCTGCAGTCCTAATCCACTGTTATCTGTAAAAAAACTATGGGGTACGAAGTAGGTCAAGTCACTCCACAAGCTGTTGCAATTGCGCGGCGTTGATCAACGAAGCCACTGGCTATGTTCCGAGCTTAGTTAGCACCCTTGAACGGACATAATATGATTACCTCGGCAGACGTCCTAATATGCAAAGCTGGGAAAGTGTGTACTTTACTCCGAGGACGATCACTTTTCGCATCCTCTGAAAAATGAGGCTAGCGTACGCCTCACACAAGACAGACTTTCAAAAGCACGGCCAAAATCGTATTCCTTCCCATACATAGATCACAGTGCATCAGCTTGGCATTGTGGGAATATAGCAATAACTTCCTCGTTGATTTGCGCCGCGAGGAATGGAATGCCTGCCTACATCTGGACATTAATACGTTGCAACGGCTCGGCAGGCGGAGGAAAAACAAAACATGGAGCGGCAAATGCGGTGATACGAACCGAACTAGCCTTATTGAGGAAATTGACGCGAGTGAAGGCGTTGTTGCCCTCTTCTCCTTGGTCAATTTAAGCGCTGCGGCGGCATGCGTGATAACACTGCCCACCTGCAATTGGTTCTATTAAGATATTGAAGGGTGCGGAGACTCTGTGGCATTCGGATCACCGGAAAGCGGGTCCAATGAAACTCTCTCTTGCGTGTGTGTTTGCCGCTGCCCGGTTCATCAACACCCGAACTTACGCGGCCACATGGCGGCAAGTGAACGTTACGTCCACCACCGCCAGGCTGTTGGATTTCCCGAGCATACATATTCATCGATTCATCAATCTCTGTCCCGAGATTGGAAGCTGAGGATGGAGTTGGCAACGTATCACACTGGTATTCACAATCAGGTTTACCGTTGGCAACGATGTGCGTTCAACATGAGCATGACTCAGGGCACGCAAGTTCTAACCTTGGCTGAAATGAATGCTTTAGGTCTCTTCATCATCTGTCCTGTGTAGGGTGTTAGCCATCAGTGACTGATCAGCAGCTTGCTACCTAACCCCATCGTCCGATGATCGCTTTAGGCAAGTGCTGAACGGGGTAACTGTGATCGCCTTACTTCCAAGATCGAATCACGTTGGCCTTTTGACCAATCATTGAATGTTCCAAACATGGAAAACTCGATGTCGGAGACGGCCAAGAAACGGGTTCAGATCGTCGGGTTACAGCCCTACGTAATTTTCTGTTCTGTGGATCATGCTGGCAATTTCCCCAGGCTTGAGTCTGGTTTCAGAGCTTATGGCAGAGATTCGTAGAGAGGAAGATCTTAGAACCGGTTATAGTGGGAATGTGGAAAACATTAGCCATGTGAGATGCCCCGTAGAATCACACTGTAGCCTTTGATCTTTTCCTGGTAGATTTCTATTCAGCTATATAATGTGTTTGCGTATGTAGCTCTCAGAAAGGTCAATGAGAGAACTCTTAGTATATATGGAGATGAACAATGTGACGGTTTCGCAAACATACTGAGCGTACATCTTACCCCTACGAGAAAATGAAACCACACACAAAGTGCATGCAAACAGGCAAGCCCCCCTAACTCCATGTGTCCCATAACAAAACCAAGAGAGTTAAACACCAGTGCAGACCTCCCCGACGCAATGTTGCAGGTTTAGAGTTTAGGGCGCCCCACATGCTGCCTGTGCAACTTCACCCTCAATCTCCTTATCAACTTCTTCTCTTTCGGCCCGAGGATAGCCTTCAATTCTGCAAGGTTCATCTTGATATTCCTGCCCGCCCTTCCCCCACGACTCACATGCGTCCAATAATGATCCCTCAAATTGTCGCCCCTCGAGAAAGCCCTATTGCACTGAGGAACTTTGCACCTGCAGTCTCTTTCGTCGCCATGCACTGTCTTGACGTGGCGACGCAGATGCTCTGGGCGCACGAACCTCGTATCACAGATACGTCCGCGGGCATCTGGCTGAGTAGTGAAGGGGCAGATGTAGTTGCGTTGCTCCAGTTGGCTGAAGGGGTCAGTGTTCACGGACCATCTGCCGAGTTTGAGGACCGGGGACACTGTCCTCGCGCCTTTGTGCTTGGAGCTTGAGGTGGAACGGCTGGAGTCATTTTCTTTGTAGTCCGAATCGTCTGAATCAGAATCGCTCTCGTCACTGGTGTCTTCCACCACGCTGGCTGCATCTTTGAGAGGCGCAGAATCAGCGACTGGAACATTGGGGTAATTGTCTCGTGTCGGGTACGAGAATGACTGTGTTATGTCATGGCTGACGGGTTGGAAGCATGGCTCCATAGTAGGCAGTGGATGGCTTGTGTATTCGCCCTCACCCCAAGAAGGTAGAGAAGTTTGTACGCTCCAAACATCACCTTCGGGACAGTGTCGATGCCAGCCATTCTCGGTATTCTCTATCCAGCCCATATTGCTTGGTAAATGACCCAAAGCATGCGGTAATGGCTGTTCAAGGAGGGTGTACTGACTTTGCGGAAATTGTCCAGTACAAGGTGGAGTTGAAACGCTCTCCGAGGTGCTGATTGAAGAGCCTGTAGATAATGGGCTGCCGCAAGGAGGCACATTTAGTAGCCATGGATCAAGGATGTCTACTCTCGTGACTGGGGTGTTGGAATAGTCATGGATCGCTGAGCTGTGGAAAGCGAGATCCTCCTGGAACGAGCCCTGACGTTGCTCTGGTGTCATCGGGTTGTGAGGGTCACATGGATATGTTTCGTGAGACACTGGTAAGTTGTTGATATCCTGATATGTCCCGGAAGGGAATGACAGAACCCTTCGTTGCTCCATAGATAGCGTTGTACTGATCACATCGTAAGATATCACTCGTCGAACATGTGAGGTGAAACGTACTTTGGGTATGAGAGTGTTTCGAAGTAGATTGTGTGACTCGAATGTTTACTTTTAGTGAATCAGTTTCGGAGTATTGTGTAATAGATTATACGAGCTGGAACGAAGCTGAACTTATATGTCAAACTCGGTAGCGAGAGCGAGAACATGGGAGGCGTCGGAGCGTAAATATACTACCGATCGGTCGATGCAACAAAAGATCCAGAGATTCGGGACCTGACATACCTGACCCGTTGCCCGTACCATTTCGGCACGCCGCCTTGCCTGCCGTGCACAGCCTGACCATTATTAGTGCAGAGAACAATGAACGGGACAGGCAAGCATGGGTGTCATATGCTGCTCTGCGGCGTAGTTGAAAAGCACAGGTCGAAGGCGGAATGGCTTTGTTTGATGATGTACAGGAGGAAGCATGTTTCGTCGCTCATTACTAGATTTCATCCGTTCGGTCGTAATGAGCGGCTAGCCGATGTCAAGGCACGACGATGAGTTCTAGAATGGCTGTAGTACTCCTGAATATGATCTCTTTGCGGGTTCGGGTCACGATTGTGTAAAGTTGCCTCCGCTTACGACGTTACTTATCGAGAACAGAACACATCTTGGTTATCATTGGACAATCTATCTCGTCAGGGTCTCGACGCCGATTGATACAATCGTACCGCGCGGTCAACGCCCACCTCGTGAGGCAGCCAGTCAGCTGTGCCCCTTCCTCCTTGGCTGTAGCCAACCGTGGCAAACCAGGCCTGGGCGTATGAAAGAGCGCGTGGACTAATGCTGTATACACGCTAGCATCGGCAAGGATGCAACGCGACGCATGCTTCGTTGGGATCAAGACAGTAGCGTTGGGCTTAGCTCACCGGCCGCAGCAAGGATTGTTGTCCACAGAAGCATGGCAACGGGCGGTTCATTGCGCTTCAAAGGCCGTGCTTGGCCTAATCCTTTGATGCTGCAGTCAGTTTGTTTCAACTACTTGTACTACAGCCACACTTGTTCTTTGTACCTACTAGAAGTGACTAGAGAACACTATTCTAGTAGAATCGCCAACGTTCTGAATATCTGATGCAAAGAAGCGCATCATCACTTCGGTTTGAAACGTCAAGTCGCCGTTCTGGGAGCGTGGCGTAATAAGGAGGATGGGCAGCAGCATCAAGTGAGAATGTTCCCAGGGTACTGGGCACATTGCTTCTTCGCCCTAACCAGAAGCATTCGTGGAATGCGCTGAAATTGCGTATCGCATGGTTTCTTTGCTTCCTATGCTTGGGGCCCACAACCAATTGGATCTGACATATTGTCTTGGCTACCTTCAAGGCCACAAATTTAGATGGTTGAAGTTGCATGAATGGGACGATTTGTGTCGCGATACGAACCGCAGTGAGGCACAGTAATTGGCGGCACCTCGATCGCACCAGAGAATGCTCCGCAACGCCACTCCTCGGTTGATGTGAACACAAAGCTACCAATTAAGCGTCTCCCGGAATTACAGTTGATGCCAAGGTCTTTGCACTAGCATGCTGGTACATGCCTCGCTAAAGCTTGTTGGTCTCGCTCAGAAGCTCGGAGCTTAGCAAACTGAGCGTACGAGATCATCTTTTGACTTAAGCGTTCAAGGTAGCCTTCGCTATGGTTGTACTTCGCAAGGACATATCTAGATGCTAGAATCTTTCAGTGCAAGTAGAGGGTGTGATGAAACCGATGGCTACTGGACTGACCAATAGGCATTTAGACCAGTCGTAAGGAGCTGCTATCCTTTGTAGGAAATTTAAAACGAGGGCTTTGATCTGGACGTGCCTCGTGAGATAGACGGGCTAGGCGCGTGTCGTCAGTGCATGGAATATGCGTCCTTGTATGCGACTGGACGATCTCCGCATTCCTGGCCTGTGGGTGTTGAGAGATCGTATAAGTGGTCTGATTCTGAAAAGCCCTCGAAATTATCGAATTAGAGCAAATACTGGCTCGGATCTCGACGGAGGCGCGGCTCGTACACGAATCCCACACCGCATGCGGTGTCGATCACGTGTGGACAATCATCGAAGTGCTGCAATTGGTGTGTCGCATCTGTTTAGAGTTTCAAAAGCCTCCGCGGGCACCAAGGACGTCGGGCATACCGACGTTCCCTGTCCGTTTGTCTCTCAATACATGGCGCTCTGGAAACACCCCTAATCGATAGATCGCCTTGCAATTCGTCGCTTTTTTCGACACCCACCTCCTACAATCTTCTCAAAGCTTGTCCTTGTCAGTGAGTCAATGTGTCTTTTCGATGGGAACTGTGTGGTGGAGCTACTAACATGACAAAACGGACACGTCGTCGCACTCCAGACGTTGAACAAGCGGTAGCTACACATCTGGGCATGCCTTGGCACCCAGAAGAGGGGCATACTACGAAGCTTACAGACTAGCGTGTATACACCATGCATGCCGCGGAGCTCTACTCCGCCCATACACGGGACAGCAGACCTCGGGAGCAGGCGTGTGAAACTAGTCTGTCGAATATCCCCGCGATGGTGATTCTCAGTACCATTATCTAGATGCGGCGTGGTTCGCAGCTGGCCGACGAGCTTTCAGCTGTTGTGGATCTCGAACCTTCTGATTCCCCGCATTGGCAAACATGGGCTACCACGGTTGGAGATGCCCAGACAAAGGCACGATTCTTTAACCTCTCCCAGGCGCGTCATCCTTTGGCTTGGCTCTATTCTCAATTGTCAATGCTTTAAGATGTGACAGTGGTGCTGCATATTTAGAATTAGCTGATCATCCTGCTAGTAATATGCAGGAGCGCGCCTCTGCATCGATCTGCAAGTGAAGCGTCTTTAGCACTGATTTTGATTAGTGATATATGCCGAGGAAAACCACGTGCGATGGCTAGGTATTCTACGGCGGAAGAGCTGTCATCCGGCCAGGGAAACAAACGCGAGTGAAGCCATGGCAGTAGAGCTGGATCCTCAACCTATCCAATCGCTACATACCACCTCGAGGTTTACCACACGGCGAATCACCTTTCATTACTTGTGGTCGCTCAGCAAAGGCTGCATACCTACCATCCAACTCTGATGACCAGCTCATATGCGTTCAGTAGAGTCGAAGATGTGCTCAACGCACTACAGTCCCAGACGCCGCCCTCCATAACCAACAAAGCTACCATTGCGCACACCCTCCTTGACTCGACCGCTTCCGTTTCAGCCCAACGTATAGTCACCGCTTGGCGCTAGTGAGCTCGTAGTATTCCTACTACTGGAGTCGAAAGCCTACCCTTAACATTCTCAAGCAAGGGTGAGGAACGCTTGGATGTCTTGTACAAGGACAGAGACTGCGAAGGTTTCGCGCGTAAAACCGAAAGACTGCACAATATTAGACGGAAGACTAACAGCAGGCTTGATCATTCCGATGATTTAGACCATCCAATCAGGTGACTATCTTCCTAGCTAGCCAAAATGCATCCCGGAACTCTAATTCCATGAATGGCAATATCCTGATTGCAAACTCTTGAGGAGTAGCAATCTGAAGGCCGTACCGCACATAAACCAACTTTTTCCATTCTCTTCGATTCTCTTCAGCTCATGGGGAGAAATTACTGTCAATCGTTCGAGGCATTTCCGTGTGTAGAAAGTGCCCGCAGATGTGCGCCTCTGCTCTAGCTCATGCGCTTCTTCTTTGCAGCCGTTGTCTCGTTGTCTTCCATAACGAAAGCCCGCTTCTTGCCCTTGCCACCTGCCACAAAAAGCTGAGAATTGTAGAACTGAAGAAAGGTGATCGTATTAATAGCAGTTTATATATAGGGGGAAGCTATATTTATATACAAAAAGGAGTAAAACTAAAGTAAGCTAGTTTATATAAAAACTAGCTTATTAAGTATATAATAAATTATATATTAAAAATTTAAATTAATAGCCCCCCTAAATCCTAATACAAGATAAAATAAAAAAGAATAATAGTATTATAGTATTATATTATAGTATAAGTATTCTATATTAAAATTATAATTTATATACTATTTACTATAGTAAACAAGTACTTCTCCAGCCCCTCCTACTCCTGGAGCTCTTTAAGGAAACGACGCTTATCTGCTATTACTTTTAGAATTTTCCTCTAGCCTTAAGTAATCTTGTTTGCTAGATCCTATAGCATACGCTGCTAGTTAAGTAAAAAAAACTTATTTAGCAACTTTAGCTGCCCTGTATAATTTAGCAGTAAGTGCATATATTACTATATAGCTGCGATAATTATGTACCTTAAATATATAAATTTTTAATATAAAACTAGAAGAGCTTAAGTACTTTTAGCAGCTCTAGCTTTTGCTAGCTATTATTAATGCTAGCTGTTTTTTTGCGCTCTATAGTCGCAGCATTTAAGTAGTTAAAGTTTACTTTGTTAATAATAGAAAGCAGATATATAATATTTATGCAATAGTTAGCGTTGTATAAAGCTCTAATTAGATATATAATAAACTAATTTTCTATAAGCTGTAGTATAGGAATAGGCTTTATCTTTAAGTACTATTGCGTTAAATAACTATTACTATTAAATAACTATTACTATTAAATAACTATTGCAAGATTTTATTAAAGAGTAATACTTTAACTGCAACGTTTTATATACTATGCGCTAAGCAATTGCTACTACTAAATTGCTACTATTAAATTGCTACTACTAAATTGCAACTATAGAACTTTTATAAACTTTATAATTTTCTGCTTTTGCGCCTTATACTCTGCTTTTTTTTTTTGCTTTCTGCTTTTTTGCTTTTTGCTTTTTTGCTTTCTGCCTTCTTGCTTTTTATTAGAAATTTTTATATTTAAAATTAGTTAGATAAACTTTATAGTATTTTTCTCTTTCTTTGCTAAGGAAAGCAATATTTCTTTAAGTATATAACTATTTAGTTTTTTATAACATTACTACGTTAAACTTATAGTCCTATTATAAACTAATTACATTGCGTATTTTTTATTAAATAACTACTTTTTGCAAGCTGCAAATAAATAGCTTGTAATATACTATAGTATATCCTTTTTAAATTATAGCTTAATATAGTAAACTAGCATAAATATATAGATTTTATTATATATAGTACTGTTGTTTTATTATCAAATAGCTGCCTAAGCGGTTTTAGCCTTCCTTCTAC